GAAGAGCCTTTGGTACGGTCGAGTCCATTCAAAAGGTGACGAAGGTGTCAGTGGATTTGGACTGTATTTGTGGTATATCCACGCCCTCCAGCAAAACGATGGAATGGATCCTCGACCAATGCTGGTCTGTTAGCACATGCTTGTAGGAAGCACTGGAGAATCCAGTCAAACTTTGCTGCCCCTTGGGATGGGCGCCTCGTCTGGGTGAGTTTCAATGGCATCACGCTTTCTTCAGCAAGATCCACCATGAACCATCGTACACGAGTCGACGACGATGCCGGTGATGATCAACATCAGTTGTATTCACCCCGAGTCTCCTTCGACGCCCGCCCAGCAGTTTTGAAGAGGTTACGTGTTGTACCTGCTGGGGGCGTTTGATCTACTGTAGTTCTTCTCCTTTGTACCAAGGACCTTCAATACAAGGCGACCGGGGGAGAAAACTCTGTTCTCTGACTTCGCGGCGGGCAAAACCGTGGGCATGCGGTCCAAGGCCTACATGACCTTGTTAACTATTGCTCAGTTTATCATGGCTGTTGAGGCCCGACGTGGCAGCAGCTTCACTCAAACGCAAATATCCACGACAGTCACTGCCTGTCATCAGCAGAGTGGGGGAGTCGTCACTGCCTTCGCCCCTGAGGCTTCAAACTTTATATATAAAACGTTCGATGCCTTGTCCGTCGATCTGAAAAGTCCCCTGCCGTTTGACCCCGAAACCTGGACACGAATCTAATCAGTCTCCTTCATCCAGTCTTATTGAACTACAGCCATGTCTTACTCTTGGTACGCAGATGCTGAATTCCCCAAAGCCATCGCGCCAAGGGAGTGGTACCAATATCCGCCTATCGAAGCAGGAGCACCAAAAGATTGGCCAAAGACACGACTAGGGGGTCTTCCGTCGTTCCTGTTGAAGCAAATCCTAGTCTACCTCTGTGAGACGCGCTCGAATCAATGCGATGTCACTGCGCCAACCAGGTTGAGACGGCGTGAGACCAGTGGGCTGTTCTCAGAATTTGTTCGACACACTCGTGGTGTCCTTGGAACGTGTACACAATTACGAAAAGAAACCTTGGGTTTTCTCGCAGCGACAACAGTCCATACTTCGCGCCAAGTGCTCGAATTGCCATCGTTGCCAACACAAATCGGCCGCCATAACATGACGTGGATTCAATTCCTCAAGGTGGACACCCACTTCTTTCTCAAGACGAGAGCCGAGCGCTATTTTCCCATCGTTTTGGGCTTTCTTTGCAGCCAGCTTCCGAATCTGATGCGATTCCAACTAATCAGTGATTATGAAACCAACGCTCCCAGATTCTCGTTCTCTGAGGCGCACGATCTGCAAGCCACAACCCGTCATCAGCAGGAGATTAGAGCGGTCTTGCGGTTCGGAGCATTCCTGATCCTACGGCACAGGAACCTGGACTTGCTAGTGTGGCCTTCTGATTCCGGTCCAACATATGAGAGCAGCCAACAACAGACAAGAGTATACATTGATGCCATAGCGAACACGATGAGGACCGGCCGTCGACCTTGCCGTAGAGAGAACCACCCTGGTGTGGACGGACTGGAAACTGTCGGGGTGAGTATGCGAGGCCAAGTCAGTTTAGTCGTGAAGCTAACTTTGGATTTAGGATCAAATCCTCAACGCAACAAAACTGCGCCGATACTTGTGGTCGGAGCTTGCGACAATCCCTTTGCATGAGTTTGTCAGTTCGAGTGATAGTGATTCTTCCGAGATTTATGAGCAACATCGGTGCTTTGCAAAAGTCGATGATGAAGGCTACTGGCATTCTCATGCCCAGCACTACGAGAAGCCCAAATTTGTTCCTGTCGACGGGCTGGTCAGGATGTGCCGCAAACATTGTCGGAACGTCTGTGGTGATACACCAAGAGAATAGTGGCAATAATATGCATTCACAAGGCGGCCGATTCAGATTGAAATTGAATTTTGTCCTCAGTGGTCAAGTTCGACTGCTTGCGAAACAATTGTGGCAGAAATGGAAGTGCCCTCCGGCATCATACGGGAGACAGTGCTGGAAGACTGTACTTGTTGTTCTTGCACATAAGAATCAAATATCTTGGATGTACCATATGTGTTGCACAAGCCCTGGACAATCGGAAGTATTTGGCGCAGGAAGTGAATGGCTGTGGCTTGAGGATTAGCAGGAACTCTCAATCCAGATGAGGAGAGCAATGTCAAGCGTGGCGATGGCCATAGTGCTTGGTAGTCGAGAGTAACAAGAGGGATTCTGACCGCGCCTTCAGCAACTAGGTCATGAGAGTCACCCACCTGTAAAGTTTTTAGTTTTCCCATCCTTCTCAGGACTTGTCCTGAGATTGAGGTCGTTCAAGGCTAAAGACAATTAGAAACAAGACGGAAATGTCCTCAGCCATTGAAAAAAGATTTTCAGAGATTATGCTCGTAGTGGCTTCGAAGACTCGAACACCGCTTCCGTTGTAGATATCGTCGCCACCCTCGGGCCTTATACATAGGTTAAGGCATCCCAGAAGGACTTGGTCTCGTCTTCTCAGTCTCTTGATGTCACTACTGTTCAGGACTGTGACGAACGCAGTTATTGCTCATGCTCATGCTACCGTCAATATACTAAATCTTGCATCTCGTAACAGACAATATTCGACGTGGGTGCGGAATGTTTCGATTTCTCATATCGACGGTCATCTGGATAATGGTATTTAAGACAATTTTAACACATCTGGACTTTCGATCGGAACATCTGATGTCGTGTTGTATGGTAGGTAGCAATGTCGGACATAAATTAAGATGCTTCAGGGTATAAGACACTCGGCACCTGCACTTCGTACAAATCAGCACCCTTTGAAAGGGGCCGTGCAAAAAGGCAGGAGGCATTGCAGATCTCTGGCCAAGCCTGAAAGGTCAACGGGATTGCCAGGGTGGTGAGTGCCAAATGCTTTGGAACGAGGAACGCAAGAACCGGCGTTGCGCAAGGGGTTGGCTGCCACCCGATCGAAGAGGCATATGATGTTGACCCTGTCATGGTGCTTTGAGGCCTTGCATTTGAATTGTGCATAAAATGATACCTTTCATCTCCGTGTCCCTAACTCGATCAAAAGCCTTCCAGACTAGAGAAATAGCTACACAGAAGGAAGCTAGGCGCGATGAGAGGTGCACTCCCGAGTTGCACGAGCCATGAAGTTATACCAACCGGTGTGAAGAACATTAAGGGGATCTGCATTCCACCTTATTGATCATTTTGTTTTGTTACTGGGGTCTTCGTTCAAGCTTACATTTGCTGTTTGGATGCGGAACGAACCGGTCAACTCCCCCCCTGTCAACATGTTCTCAAACAGGGTGTTGGGTGAAAAAGGTGCAGAACTCCATTGTAGTACGCAATGCGTTCGTGGAAAACTTCGACATTGGACCACGTTGCAGGCAGCAGCACATAGAGTAGAGTGGACACAGGAAATTGCATAGTCACCAGGAGAGTGACTTGATGTTGTTGCCTCGAAGCTAGTACCATATCCGAGTTTACGTAGAGTCCTTCGTATGCCCTATAGTACTCCATTTGTTCCGAGCTGCGGAGGAAATACGGACGAAGACATGTCCAAGGCCCACGGATTGTCCATCACTGCCGGAGCCTGTAGCTGTCTGTTACTACTCACCTACAAGAAGTTGATCCCCCGGATGCTACTATTACAGTCGGATCGACGTAGTAATGGAAGGATCTATTGAGTGGATTATCAGCAGCTGGATTGTAAAGTCTGGTGCCTTATTTATTGTCGTACAGTATACAAAGTACGGTAACAAGGCCAGCTGTCTTGAAAAAAGACACAATGGTTGAACCGTGGTGGTTCAGTCTAGCTTTGACATTGGAGGGTTACAGTAGAATACGGCCAGTTCGAGTTGCCCATTTGGTCGTCCGGCCTCGGAATAATTTTCATCCCTTCTTTTTGTGTGACGGCGGTAAGAGTGCTGATCCAATGGCCCCATACGAGACCGTCCAAGGAGTCTGTGGTGGATTATACGGGGAATGATGAGGGATCAAGCATGGGCGTACTCGGTACAGATGGCACCACTGCGGAAGCGAATACGAGGGCCACCGTACTCCCCATGTTATGTAACGTTTCACGGATGGATAGAGAGTCCTGTTGGAAAAAGGGCATTTGATTCTGGACGGGAGGCTGTCGATCCGGAGAGCCGATAGGCTGTTCTAAGGCGATGATGTTGGGTCCTGTTGGTGTTTTCACTTCTCGCACGAGAAATGTAGGCCTTATGGTTGCATGTGAATGGCGCCTCGAAGCGGCGACATTATGCGAACGACACGTGCATTATATCGCGCTCCTCGGGCGCCGTTCCTCGTCCTTGGCCTTTAAGCCGCCAATATGTCTCCGTATGGAGTAACAGGATGGCTCGCTCACGTATCGGTTGCTTGTAGTAGGTGCATTAGGGAGGTCGAGGTGGGCCGGAGATGCTCGGGAGGTTCGATATCCGGGCAAATTCTGGGCGGTTGGCGCCTGGCAATCTCCCCTATGAGGTTTGTATTTGGCTGCCTGATGCTCCCTAAAGTCGTTTAAGTTCCGCCTAAAGAGGGGCATTCCTCTGGCAGGGGGCTCGTAATCGTATACCATTCCCATTCCAAGCCTAAAGATCTCCATACTACCAGCTAACTCAGCCTCCCTCGTACTCGTATTATTGCGCAGTCTTTTGTCTCCTCCACCCGCACAGTACTCACACACGACCATCATCACCACGGGTCGCCTACGATCAACCCGTTATCTCACGCAGTACTCCGTGAGGGAATCCTCGCTTTCCGACCAAGGCCCTGCCAAGCCCATCAACATGCTCATTGACTCACTAGAACGAGGCCTTCCATACCACGCAATCGGGATCCTCCCACAGGTACCAGGGTCGGAGCCAATGCAGCCAATGAAGGACTAGGCGAGATTGAAATTCGAGAAGGTGGAAAACAAAAAAACATTCGCCGTCGACATCATCATAAAACTCTCCGACCACGCCCAAAAATCCTTGTCAGCCTACGGACTACCACCTCGTATTCTCTCTTCGCCCGTGTCTGGTCCGTGTTCCGATTCGTGTTATTATCCTCGATTCCATAATTTCTTCCTTTACTTTTCTCATTTGCCCTCTATCTTTTTAATTGTTAAACGACACCAATTCTTTGTGGGGGACATGGCATGCTGATTCAACAATTTTCCCCCCCGGACACTGATCGCGACCATCTCGGACCCTTTTTCGCTGGGCGAGTGTTGCTCTTCCCAACATGTCAACTTTCCTCGCCGGTAATATAACCACCAACTACGATCGCAGTCGTCGAATGTCTGGTGCATCACCTCAGAACCCGGCCGCAGACTTCCCGTATGCCGACAAGACCTTTTCATCCGACGGGGGTCCTGTCATAGACGACAGCCGGGATGAAAACAGAGAAGTGCGCGACCTTGCCCGGCAATACTCACGTACGTCGACTGAGATTGGCCATCATCCTTTCGACAGCGCCGGTGTCGATTCGGAAGTTGATCCCAACTCCGACAACTTCAATGGCCGAGCATGGACCAAGGCAATGCTGAAACTCCAGAAGATGTCTGGTCAGGAGAATGTCGGGAGGACGGCTGGTTTTGCTTTTCGGAATCTCTCCGCCTTTGGCTTTTCCAAGGGCAGTGACTTCCAAAAGACGGTCGACAATTATATTCTGGCCGGAGCAGATCTGGTCAGATCTATCATCGGCAACAAGGGTCGTCGCGTTGATATTCTGCGCAATTTCGAGGGTGTGGTACAGCCCGGTGAAATGCTGGTTGTGCTCGGTCCTCCTGGTTCTGGTTGCTCGACTTTTTTGAAGACAATTGCTGGAGAAACACATGGCTTCACGCTGAGTGATGACACGTATATCAACTATCAAGGTAAATTGCTGCACTTTGCGACGTTAAATGTCCATTCTCTGACCATATCGACCCTCTAGGTATCAGCTACAAACAAATGCACCACGATTTCCGAGGCGAGGCTATTTACACTGCCGAGCAAGACATTCATTTCCCCATGCTCACTGTCGGCGATACCCTCTTGTTTGCTTCTCGTGCCAGAACTCCACAAAACCTGAAACTACCAGAAGGTGTTACCAAGCCGATGTATGCAGCCCATCTGCGGGATGTGGTCATGGCCACTTTTGGCATTCGACATACCATCAATACAAAGGTCGGCAACGATTTTGTCCGTGGAGTCAGCGGTGGTGAGAGAAAACGAGTTTCGATTGCCGAAGCCACTCTAAGCGGCGCTCCGTTGCAGTGCTGGGACAACAGTACGAGAGGTCTAGATTCGGCCAACGCCATCGAATTTTGCAAAACCCTACGAACGTCGACCGATCTGAATGAAACCACTGCCGCTGTGGCCATCTATCAAGCTCCTCAGAGCGCCTATGATTACTTTGATAAAGTGATTGTGCTCTATCAGGGCCGCCAGATCTATTTTGGTCGAACTACAGATGCTCGACGCTACTTTGAAGAAATGGGCTTCGAATGCCCTAAGCGCCAGACAGACCCCGATTTCCTTACATCCATGACCAATCCCATTGAGCGTATCATCAAAAAAGGGTTTGAGGGCCAAGTACCACGAACTCCCGACGAATTCGCAGAGCGGTGGCAGAACAGTGAGGCTCGTCGACAACTGCTAAAGGAGCTTGATGAGTTCGAGACAGCCAACCCTGTCGGAGGACCAAATTTCCATGCATTCCAACAGTCACGGCGTATTCAGCAGTCCAAAGCTCAGCGCAAGTCCTCGCCGTATACTCTGTCCTATGGCAGCCAAATCACACTATGTCTATGGCGAGGTTTCAAGCGACTCAGGGACGATCCCAGTATCACCATCACCCAGTTGCTCGGCAATTGTATCAATGCACTTGTGGTTTCCTCTCTATTCTACAATCTACCGGCAAATAGTGATTCACTGCGTTCTCGAGCCTCACTCATCTTCTTCGCAGTTTTGCTTAACGCTTTCGGAAGCGCCCTTGAAATTCTTACTCTCTACGCACAAAGACCTATTGTCGAAAAACATACCCGCTATGCACTCTATCACCCGTCGGCCGAGGCATTTGCTTCGATGCTTACAGATATCCCGGCAAAGACCCTGAACGCTATCGGATTCAACTTGATTCTCTACTTTATGACCAACTTGCGCCGAGAACCAGGAGCCTTTTTCTTCTTCTTGTTTTTGTCGTACGTGCTCACGCTTACTATGAGCATGTTGTTCCGTTGTATTGCTTCGGTTTCAAGATCATTGATTCAAGCACTGGTCCCGACGGCAGTATTGATGATTGCTATCGTGGTCTACACTGGTACGTGTTTGTGCCGTCATTTGTGCTTGTTTGGCATCGAGCACTCCAGAACACTGCTAAATTACCTCTAGGCTTCGTCATTCCCGTTAATTACATGCATGGCTGGGCTCGATGGGTAGGTCCTCTCTACATTTTCAGTGCAACAGTATGTTGACATGTCATCAGATCAATTATGTTAATCCGACCGCGTACGGCTTCGAAAGTTTGATGGTCAACGAATACAGCGGCCGAGACTACCCTTGCTCGACATACATCCCCCCAGCACCTCAATTTGGGAACGGTTCCTCCGTCCGCCAGATTTGTTCTGTGGTTGGTGCTGTTGCGGGACAGACATCGGTCAGCGGTGATGACTACATCGGTATCTCGTATGAGTACTACAGCTCGCATAAATGGCGAAATGTCGGAATCCTCTTCGCTTTCATGATTGCGCTCCTCGCCGTGTACCTGGGCGCTACTGAACTGATCTCAGCCAAAAAGTCCAAGGGCGAGGTTCTATTGTTTCGTCGAGGTCATAAGCCTGCCTTCTTGAAGGAGCGAATATCCGATGATGAGTCCGGAGATACCGATCCGTCTGTCGCACTCGAACGCCAGCAGACCAAAGATGAGGAATTGACACGCCAGGTCTCGGCAGTCATTCAGAAGCAAACGTCGATATTCCAGTGGAGAAATGTGTGTTATGACATCAAAATCAAAGGCCAACCTCGGCGCATTCTTGACCATGTCGATGGTTGGGTCAAACCAGGCACCATGACAGCTTTAATGGTATGTGTGCATCAATCCTGGGTGTATCTGTCGAAGTCTGACCGTCCGTCCAGGGAGTCTCTGGCGCTGGCAAGACCACTTTACTCGACTGTCTAGCAACTCGCGTCACCATGGGTGTCATCACTGGTGAAATGTTGGTAGATGGAAAGCAACGTGACGAGTCGTTCCAACGGAAAACCGGTTATGTGCAGCAACAGGATCTACACTTACAGACGTCTACCGTGCGAGAAGCTCTTCGGTTCAGTGCTCTATTGCGACAACCACGAGATGTGCCACGAGCAGAGAAGATTGCATATGTTGAGGAAGTTATCAAACTGCTCGACATGCAGGAGTATGCCGATGCAGTTGTCGGAGTTCCGGGTGAAGGTTTGTTTTTTTGTTTCGTGCGAATCAGTCCACGACCGGGAACTAATCTTTGCGTTAGGTCTCAATGTTGAGCAGCGTAAGCGCTTGACTATTGGTGTGGAACTTGCTGCACGCCCTCAACTACTCTTGTTCCTTGACGAGCCTACTTCGGGTCTTGACTCCCAAACATCCTGGTCCATTCTCAATCTTCTGGAAAAACTCACAAAGGCTGGTCAAGCAATTCTCTGCACCATTCATCAGCCGTCTGCCATTCTTTTCCAACGGTTTGATCGACTTTTACTCCTGGCAGCTGGTGGCAAAACGGTCTATTTTGGCCCTGTGGGCAAGGATTCGCACATCCTCATCGATTATTTCCAGAAAAATGGAGCTCCCAAGTGTCCTCCTGGAGCCAATCCAGCCGAATATATGCTTGAAGCTATTGGTGCAGCTCCGGGTTCCCACTCTGATGTCGATTGGTTTGAAGCCTGGCGAACCTCACCTGAATACGAGGAGGTTCAACGTGAACTTGACGAGATGAAGGCAGAGCGATCACAAATCGAAAGGCCCGAGACAGCTAACAAGAGCGACTATTTCGAGTTCGCTGCCCCTTTTGGTTTACAATTCTGGGAAACGCAGAGACGAGTCTTTGAACAGTACTGGCGAACACCCGAGTACATTTATTCGAAGTTGATCCTCTGCGCGCTGACTGTAAGGACGAATTCATACTTGCTAGGATTTACTTACTGACATTGGACTCAGGGTCTCTTTATTGGTTTCTCGCTCTTCCAAGCACCCAATACTCAGCAAGGTCTCAACAACCAGCTCTTCGGTATCTTCATGTTGCTCGTCTTATTCTCACAGCTCGTTCAACAGATCATGCCATTGTTCGTCACTCAACGAAGTCTTTACGAGGCTCGAGAACGACCATCGAAAACCTACTCGTGGAAAGCCTTTATGCTGTCGAACATTCTAGTGGAACTTCCGTGGGCAACCCTCGGTGCCGTGGTCTTGTTCTTCTGCTGGTACTACCCTATCGGTCTGTACAATAACGCTGCATATACCGACTCGGTGACATCTCGTGGCGGTCTGGAGTTTTTGTTTGTGTGGGAATTCATCATCTTCAGCAGCACTTTTGCTCACTTGATGATTGCGGGTATTGAGACGGCAGAAGCGGCGTCCAACCTGGCCAACGTCCTCTTCTCACTATGTTTACTGTTCAACGGTGTCTTGGTCGGACCGAATGCCATGCCCGGCTTCTGGATCTTCATGTACCGAGTTTCCCCCTTCACCTACTTGGTGTCGGGTCTCCTTGCAAACGGTGTCGCCCACGCCCCTGTGCACTGTGCCGCCAACGAATACCTCCACTTCAGCGCCCCCTCGGGTCAGACTTGCGGCGAATACCTGCGGCCCTACATCCAGGCTGCGGGCGGATACCTGGTCGACGCCGACGCGTCACAGTGCCAGTTTTGTTCGCTGGACAATACCGATACATTCTTGTCGTTGGTGAGCATTCACTTCTCTGAAAGATGGAGGAATTTCGGCTTGTTGTTTGTTTACATCGGTTTTAATGTCATCGCTGCGACTTTCATCTACTGGTTGGCGAGAGTGCCCAAGGGCAAGAAATACGCTGGCAAAGATGAACAAAAGGGCCTGGTCAAGACTGCGAGTCACGCTTCGGGAGCACCAGAAGTCAACAAGGTGTACGAGAAGGGAACTTCGACGGATAGCACCGAAAAGGGTCTATCGACGCCGGGCCGATCCAAGGCTGGAGACCCTGGGTCTGCTCCGAGAACGCCACCAGAAATTTCACAGAGCGAAAAACATCCTGTGGTGTATGAACCCATCAAGACTCACGCAGATGAATCTTCGCCGCCAACGACGTCGTCGGAAAAGAAGGAAGGTGATGCCTCTGGCGTTGCTGCGGCTGGCGGCGCTGCAACATCTTCGGACAGACCTGGACCAGAACGATTCGTTACGGCCAGTGAATTTTAGAGAGAAAGAAAAAAAGGGAGTCATGTTTGATCAGAGTTTGGCGTGACTGTTTTTGGAAGCAGATTTGTACCATACATATTATTTTATTTTGTTACCTTGAGTTATAGACCTTGTGGAGGAAGTTGTTTGTCTTGTCAAAAGACGTGGTTGTAGATATAAATGGAAGATGTTGAAGTATGAAATTGGGAAAAGAGAAAGAGAATAAAGAACTCTCCAATCCAATTGAGATTTTGATTCTAATTTCAGACGGAATGAACGAGAGAATGTCATGTACTTCGGCAGTCCGTGTGTATCTAAGATATCTGCGGAATATTACAGTATGTGATGAAGTCTGCAGCCTCGCACGATTTCAATGACGACGAGGCTGAACTTTTGGGGGCCACCAATGAAATGACACGGTGACCTTTTTTCTCGTCGTACTTCGTAATCTGTACGGAGTATGTAGCTGCGCGTCTGTCTCTCCTCCTACATACACCCCGTACGTACCCTCATAACTGTACTCCCGGTAGCTACAATTTCTTGCCAACTCGCCACAGTTCTCGAGAGGAGTGACTGACTTGGTCATCTGGGAGTTGGTTTACACATTTTGCTTGCAAGGTGTCGTCGGGCTCCCTGCACCATCTGCAACCGTGCATTCCGAGGGGATCGTTCGAACATCCGTCGTCGACCAGTCGCTTCGCCCAAATCAGCTCGCTCAAGGATCCAACGAAACCAGGGTGCATTCACCCTTCATCGACAAGGCAAACACGGGAAACGAGAAACGAGAAACGAGAAACAAGAGACAAGAAACAAAAAATGATTACGGATTCCCAGCTCTACTCCCTCGCCATCTTCCTGGGCGCGGCGGCCATGCTCATGATCGTCCTCTACCACTTTCTCGAGGTCAACGCCCAAGACGACAAGGGTCTCGAGACCAAGTTGACGAGTGAAAAGGCCGGGGTGGGTGCGGTCAAACCTGCCGTCAACCATCCCGTGGTCACCGCCGTGGGAGGAGCCGGAGACTTGTAAAAAACAAAAAACGAAACGAAACTGGTCAGGAAAAGCAAAAAGGCAAAAATCAGACCACCTGAACGTGAGCCATGGATACCACCGACCGACCCGATGAACTGCAAACCCACGGAAACACATTCATAATCTACCCGTGTCTTGCGACGATCAATTCCTTCGACCTTTTTCACCTTTTACCAAGTACAAAGTACCAAGTTTCAACGTCTCGTCAATACCCATGACCAATCACACCCCCCCCTTCCACCTTCAACACTACCGCCGCCGCCGCCGCCGTCGCCAAAAGGTGAGAGTGATAATAACCGACGAGGGGAATGGCATCCCAACAGGGAGAATTGGATTTCTTCTGACAAGGGTGGAAGGAAAAACAAGAGCCAGAGAAAAACCCCTCCCCACCCCCCAAAAAAAACACAAACCACAAAACCACAATGCAATACTTGCCTTGCCAATGGTGATATAGTCACAAGGCGCTAGTTCGGCATTTTTCTCCTGTATAGACCAAATGAAAGAGAGAGAGAAGGAGAGGGAGGGGCCAAGACGAAGCAGACGAACCCAACGGTCCCGAGACAGAATCCTCTCAAATGGACGGAGGGAGGATTGAGACGCTAATAAATCACAATCATCAAGCACTTCGAGATGCTTGACCGTACTACGAGTAGGTAGATGATATCTTTGTACCAAAAGCCAAGTCGTGGGAACAGTTTCATCCTTTTACAGAGGACAAGTTTTTGACCTTTTTTATTGCATTTCTAAATTTGATTAACCACGAACTGATGTTCGTTGGTGTGTTCGTTCCACTTGGGTCCCATTACTCGTAAGGGCTATCGCGCATTGTTGCATCCAAGCCTGCCGTTATCTTGATCCGTTTCGGCATGACCTTTCCTCTCGCCTCGCTTGGCTGTCTCCGTTGCCTTTGTCCTGTCTGAGTTGGACCGCCATCTTGTGCACCTGTCAATGGAGTGTCGTCGAAAAATCCGTCGCGTTTGTGCTTTGAGCCCACATTGCAGCATCCTCTCGTGCTACTTCACCTATCACACCATTTCAATGATCAAGATCCACAACCTGAGCGAGGCCTTGATTTTGAATCAATGTCTTCCTCCTCTCCTCAGTAACCAAGATGGCCCCGGCTCTTTCCAATCCTGGTCCGATACTGGCTTTTCTGGCACTCATGGCTCTCAACGTCTCTTCTGCAAGTGCCTTGGGGCTGTTCTTGGCAGTTTGGCGATGTGTCCTCATGAAACTGCGCTGCGCAGTCATTTCATGATCGTCGGAATCCGCTTTGATGAGAGTGAAGGTGTCCAGTTCAAGATCGTCTTGGGATTTCATCGATGATACAGGTGTCGTGCTACGGCCCTGTTCATCCGAGAGATAGCGAGCTCTATCCTGGGCGATAGTCTGAGGGTCTAAGTAAGAAAAAGTTCTAGCCTTCTGTATGGACTTGGGTTTGTACAAGAATGGAGACACGTCGAAACTTGATGACTTTTGCTTACCAATGTGTTTGGTAGAAGGACCATCCCCATGTTTCATCGCAACATCGTATAGGTGGTCCTCCTCAATATGTTTGATCCATGCCTTTTCGTTACCAAAGGACTTTGATGCCGTGACCAGTCCAGACGCATCCTCTACCAAGAATTGACATCTTCTCCACCAGCACACGTATCCATTTTCTAGGAGTTCAGCTGCTGAAGGGCAATGGACTTTACTGACGTGATGCCGCAGAGTCTCGAAATTGTGTAGGTGGGCTCCGCATCGTTTCCATCGGCATCGGAATTTGGGATTGGAAGTTTGAGACGGTACACTGACAGAAATCTGAGTGGGCGGAGTTGCCGCGCTCTTCAATGCTGCGACACCGGAGTTGACATTCTTGGAACCAAAGGGACGTCCACGCTTCTTGCCGCTTGGAAAGGTAGAGATGGTTGCCATGTTGGGAACTGGTTTTGTGTTGTCTTCGGTACGAATCGACGAAGAGCGAACAGAGCGGCGTCGGACCCCGGATATGACACTAGAATTTCGTCGGCGACGTTTCAGTGTGTCCTTATCCGACCCACGCTGCCCATGAGATGGATGCGCGAGGGAAGGTGAGTTTGACTCCGGGTGAAGTCGTCCATGTGAAAGTGAATGGTCGTTTGGCGTGAAGTGTTGCGGGAATGTTTCCTCCACAGGCGCAGGCGTGTCACGCTTACCCAATTTGGACAAGCGTGGTTCAGGTGTCTTCTCATGCCTCTTCACATATTGTCCAAGTTGATATCGCGGAGGCTCCATGGGAATCTCAATCAGTGCCACCTGCGGTACATCAGGCCCTCCAGGATCAATAGCATCCCAATCGAATGTACTGAGGTCAGAGTCGATGTCAATAAGCTTGCCAAGCAACCCAGCCATATGCGCATTCAGCGGCCTCTCTGTTGGATGTCTACCCGCCGCGATAAGAATGTCCCTTGCTACTGTCTTTGGATTATAATAAGTCTTCTGCAGCGCTTCATTCTTGTTGATCTGTTTGGCCAAGGCTTTGTACGACTTTTTGGTAGTTGAGGCAGGGGCTGGTCCTGGAACTGTGGCAGGCAGGGGACGGTTGCGACCTGGTCCTTGTTGTGGTGTCTCATTCGGGTTGAATTTGACGGGAGCGGTTTCTGTGGCTATGGACCAATTTGCGGAAGGTCCCTGAGGCTGTAATGTCGTAGTTGGCGGTGCTATCGAACCCATATGACTCTTCTGGTACTCCTCAAAAGGATCATGCTCCGGAGATGCACTGGCGACTCTTGCTTGTTTCCGCGATAGGACATAATCCTCGTGATCGCTCAATGCCGTCAAATCCACAATTTCGGAAAAGTCACGCTTCCGTGCCATTGCTTCCTTGGTGCCTTGCGGAAATTCCCGTCGGGTCATGTTCATCATGGTAGACGACCCTGACCTTGCGGCTCTCACCGGTGCTCCCATTGGAGGTGTCGGACGGTACTCGGCCGGGCGCGGCCCTTGATAGAATTGAGGAGCAAGGGGCCTCACGGTCCCTGGAGGTGCAACTGCATTCATGGGATGGCTGTTTCTTTGATTCACTGGTTGAAAGCTGGTCGGTGGTGGAATAGGTCGTGTAATTGGGTTAGGGATCTGGGGCGGCACAGGTTGCAGTGAGGGCGCAGCGGGAGCAATGTTCGGCATCGGTGGTGTCATCTTTGGTTCAATTTGCTGTCCTGGGAAAGGATGTAGGGCTTGAGATGGCGATGGTGGAGCTTTCTGGGAGGCATCATTCAAACGCGGCACTTTGCTCAAGAGCTGACGTGCAAATTGGCCTCGGTGAAACTTGAACCCTTTTCCTTCTAGTATTTCGCACAAGTCAATATAGCTAGGATTTTTCTCGAGGATTGCATGAATGTCCGCTACTGTAATCCCAACTTCCTCGTTAGCCGGTACTGATTTCAAGGCTTTGACAGCGGCTTCAGCCAGCGCATTTCTCTTTTCCTCTGGCCAAATTGTGCCCCCGTCAGCCGTTCGTGGTGGAAGGCCCTGAGTGAAAACAGGAGACTCCACAGATATTGCCTGTGACGGGGCTGCTGATACTGGCGCAGGGGCGGGCGGAGCGTTTGTAGAAGGATGAGCGTGAGCAATTGGATTGACATGATCTCCACTAAGTTGCGAACCCGCATGGGGCTTTGCTTGAGGAGTCGTATGTGGTACAGACGTCGGTTTCGAGGCATCACGCGCGCCGCGAGCTGCATTGGGACCTTTTTTCACGTTGTAGGACGCCCGGATCCGGCGTTCGGCAGGAAACCGTCCTAGATCAGGTAAGGCTTCCAGATTGTTTTCGACCACAACCTTATAACCATTTGAATGCGCTGGTGTCGGTACAGGCGTTCTCTGCTGGTTTTTGGCAGGGGTCTGCTCATCTGTGAAGTGTGGAATGGAGGTTTTTGACCGAGGGGTAGGTATTGCAGCTTGAGCCAGTCGAGGAGACGAAGACGGAGACTGTACAGAGGCCGCGGGCTTTCGCATATCATCCCATAGCTTTTGGAACAACACTGGATCTTTAGTCCGGAAATCTTTCATCTTCTCCATCATTGCTTTCAGCTCGGCTGCCATGTCTGGTTCTGAAGATTGGGTAGTCGGTCCACTTTCGTCGGTACCCTCCCCAGAGATTTTCTGATTGGTTATCGGACGGTCATTTCGTTTTGGCTTCTTGTTCGAACTTGTAGCCTTCGCCTGTACAGAGGCCGCCTGCTTCTGCTTTGCAGCTTCATCGTTGAGTCGTGGGTTTTCGGCGGCTGCAGCTTCCTCTTCCTTCTTCCGCTCAGCAGTGGCTTCCTCTTCAACCTTCCTCTTTGCTGCTTCTTCAGCCGCTCTTCGTCTTCTCTCATGTTCTCTGGCATATGGATTGAAGACTTGTGCCGGGTCGATGTAGTTAGGCATAACGTTTTGCGGTTCTATCGTAGTAGAGTATTGTGGTTGAGAGTATTCCTCGGTGGACTGTGTCACAAGCTTTGAGATACTGTTTCCTTGTGGTCTTTGTTGTTGTTGAATTTGGCTGGCAGAGGGCCCTGCTCCTTGACTCGTAGTGCTGGCATGTTGGTAGCCCTGATCCTGTGACGTTCCCTGTCGCTGGTCTCGCTCACTTATCGAATTGCTCAACTGAGGAGACTGCTGGACGTGAGAAGAAGATCGCCTTTGAGATTGAGGCAGATTTGACTGATAGAATGGTGAGACTGGGTTCTGTACCACACCATTTCTTACTGCGCTGGAAGCCTCTGAGACCGGTGAAGCCGATGCTTGTGGGTATTTGCGGCTGACTGCACCTGCGAGAGCCGCAGCTGCAGCAGGCATAGGTGGCGACTGACCAGGAATTGATGCCGAGTTATCCTGGTACCTGTAATCGGACGGTCGATTCGACGAGTTGTGCTGGCGCACGTTGTTTTGGGTGGCCGTAGACAGCGCACGATCCGTTCCGGTTGCGCCAGAATATGATGAGTCCGGAGGGAGACTTGATTGTTGCGTTCGGTCACCCCGCCGCTGCGATCCCGAGTCACTCAAGCCCGATGCATAGGCCAGGCCGTTCAGACCCTGCGTTGACTGGTTTGAGGAATGGGTCCGATAGCTTCCCTGCATAGTGCCTCCCAGTGACGATTGCGCTTCATGTACCAATGACTGCCTCCTATGCACATGAGTAGACCTTTGCGCATTCACACTTCTTCGAGAGGATTCGTCGAGGGTGTGTGGTTGGCTCGGACTGTTCGGGAAGCTCTGCTGATTCTGCTCCGACCAGTCATACGCCGTTGGGCCATAGTGAGACTGTCGGACATCGTTAGAATAGGAGGCTTGACTACCATAGCGCTCGCTCGTCTGTCTCCCACGGATGTATGTACTCTGCATGCCCTGGCTCTGACTCTTGTTTTGGCTCTGGGTCTGGGTCGTGGGGTCGTAGTAATTGCCGTAAGGGGGGATTGAAGGGTATGACATATTTTAGCAAGCGAGCTTCAAAGCGAGGATGGTAGGCGCAAGCCAGTCTCATCGCATTGGCTTCGCTCCGTCCTACTCTTTCCTTCTTATTTTACCGTCACTGCGGCGCAAACCGGTCGATGTATTTTGTCCTCGAGGATTATCGCGCGGGAACATTGAGGGAAGCCTTTGGGCTCGCTCTACCGCGAAAGGCGCCTTTTTCGCATCCCGCGGACCACATGCCGCTTGTAAAGGCACAGGTTGACCTGACTGCGAGGCCAGTCACTTGAGGATGAACGGCGGAAACGAATCTCGTACTGACGCGCAGGTGGGTAACGAGTTAAATGTGGAGCGACAGACAGACAGCCTTGTTCGGAGCTAGCCTCGGATCTTAGCAATTGCGCAGCCAAGCCCGTCAAATATCACGTGACGACCAACTCTTGGCAGTCGCACATCGAAAACTTGCGGGCAAAGCGTATCCATACAACCACCGATTTACACCTTGTCGTCGACACTCACTTCCACATCGTCAAACCGCCAAAATGACAAAGATCAACCACGGTATGCAGCATCTACGAGACTATGTCAGGCTTGTAATGTATCTAACGGAATCACCAGGTCTGGCTTCCTCGAGGCGCAAGTCTCGCAAGCTTCACTACGATGCTCCCTCCCACGCTCGACGAGTGATCATGAGTGCTCCTTTGAGCAAGGAACTGAGAGAAAAGCACAATGTTGGTCTTTCCGAAAAGAATCCTTTCACTCCTCACTCTCGCTCCCCCGAACGGGGAGAACTTCTGGACGAAACGTCGAAAGCGAGAAAGAAAAAGTCTGGCTAATAACCTTTCCTTAAAACAAAAAACAGGTCCGCAGCATCCCCATCCGAAAAGACGACGAAGTCACCGTTGTGCGAGGCACCAACAAGGGCCGTGAAGGCAAGGTCACGTCCGTGTACCGATTGAAGTACCTCATCCACGTCGAGCGAGTGTCCCGCGAAAAGTCCAACGGTCAATCCGTGCCCATCGGCATCCACCCCAGCAAAGTCGTCGTCACCAAGCTCAAGCTCGACAAGGACCGAGAAAAGATCCTGGAGAGAATCTCCAAGGGCCGCGAAGCCGTCAAGTCAAAGTCATCTTGATTTTCCCCTTTTCCTGGTTGATGGGTTATTTTGCGGGCTGGAGGTGATGACGATCCAGAGTAGAAGAAAAAAAAACATGCCAACATGATTGAAGAAGATTATTTTTTTTTCTGTACCACGACGGGCCACCCGCTCTCTGTTTCTCCTTCAAGGGAAAGAGAACTGAAAGGCGGAGTCGGAGTGGGAGAGAAAACAAACAAGGATCACGGGCATAATAACTTTTGACAAACATTTTCCAAGAGCCACGTCCGTCGTCTCTACATAACAATTACACCCCGGCGTGGCCTCTCACAATTTTGTCAAGCATGAATGGAAAAAACAAAAATTCAAAATCCGAGGCTGATGATGATGATGATCCTCCTGCTGTCGTTGTCTTTGTGTGAACAAGAACGGTCGAACCTCACTTTCTGTTTCGAGGAAAGTACAGCAACATTTCCCCCCTTGTTTGTTGTTCGTTGTCGTCGAGTGTGCTTTGGGTTTTTGGTTTGGTGGGCCATTTTCATCTACGGACTCCCTCCTCCTCTAGCCCTCCCTCTTTTTTTTCTCTTGCCAGTATTATCTCCTTGCCTGCCGATCCTCCGTGGTTTGATCAAGGTATACGGCTGGCGCAGATTGAATTTTTTCCACGCACAACCTATTATGCCCCTCCCGGGGCGTACATGTGTGTGGTTTTTTTCTTTCCGGCAGACTGTCTACGAGGGATAACCTACAGTTTTCCTTATGAGTTGCAGGATTTTGATGGCGAGATACAGAAGAAAACTTCCCTCCCCCCTCCCTTAACCCCCCTTGGTCCATGTCTGTTTTGTTCGTTGGTAGTTTTGTTGCTCCCCTTGTTGACATGTACACAGTATTTGTCTCTCGCGTGAGTCTTGCCCATGGCCCATGACCCGTTACCCGCCGCTCAGAAAGTCGATTCAATTTCGCCTCCAACCGGTGACAACCCTTTTTCAACACCGTTCGGGACACCTCGTATATGCACTTGTCTGAACGACCTACCAAAACTATCTACCTACCTACCTAGTAGCGAGTACGCTGTTGGTGGTCTTATTTGGACTCAAGTACGCTCACTCATTACACGACGACTACTTCTACTCGTGATGGTGCGTGCTTTGACGTCCGAATTAATAAAGTACGATGACGCGACTCCGTACACTTTGATTGATTTCTCCCCCGGGGAAAATTTAACAACACCGAGACCGAGAAAAGCGATCAAGTATGGCGCAGGGAGATAGACCAAAAAAAAAGGAGTATGCCGCAGACAAAGTATCCATGAAGAGAAACATCATACAGTTATCTCCCGTTTCCAGGCTAGATACCTATCCAAAACACACAAAGTACCTGACATTGCTGTCGACACACACGAATACTACGTACCATACAAAGACTATCCAAGGTGGGAAGGTAGGTGGTAGGTGTAAGGTAGCAGCCCTATGCCGTCCGTTCAAAACTGTCATCTGCCAGACTTCCTTTTCTCCCCAAGCGCCCCTGACGGGTTCATCGTGAGCCTCAAGGTACTCAGCCCAAAAAAAAGTCTCGCTCAGAACTGCTTGCTTCGAACGCCATTCTCGCCGGCGGCATTCATGGCACCTTGATTCGTCTGCCAGGGGTCCTCGTCGATATGGTCGGCGGCAAGATTCACGCCCGTGATGCGGCTCACGTGCCGCTTCAGGCCCTCCTCGCCCTCGGCGTGCTCGGCGTGCCCACTGTGTATCTTCTGCAGGCTGTCCCGCATGAGGAACTCGTAGTAGCCCGTGGCGAAGATGGTGGCGGGGACGTTGACGAGGATGCTGATCCAGGGGTAGCCGTTGTCAAAGGTGAAGGCCTCCTTGCCGAAGAAGATGGCGGCGACCATCCGCGTGCCCAGGTCCCTGGCCAGGTTCGTGGAGATGGTGTTGCCCGCGAAACCCCAGACCATGGTCGCGTACGCGATGCCGATCGTAAAGGGGACCGACACGGCGCTGACGAACGGGTTGGCCGGGTCCAGGCACGTCCAGATGACGATGCCGATGTAGCTGTCGACGAACCACTCTTGCATGAACAAGTAACCCTGGTTGGTCTGGTCCGGGTTGGGGAACGGGCAGAGGATGCTGGCCACGCCGCCGTTGTACACCGAGGTGCCGTGCTCACGGAGGTCGATTTCCTTGGCGGCCGAGATCTGAGGCCAGTAGCAACCCACCAACAGCAAGCCGGCCATGAAGGAGCCAAAGATCTGTGCAAAGATGTAATGCGGCACTTTCTTCCAGGGAAACCCTTGCCAGATCGCGAAGCAAATGGTGATGGCCGGGTTGAAGTGGCCACCGGAAATTGGAGCACATGTCTACAAAGGTCACTCTCACGTTAGCGGGCCCGTCCATGACATTGAAACGACGAAACAAGTTGGGGAAGCATTGTCCAAACTTACAATGATGGCGAAAGCGATGCCGATGGCAAATGCCCAGCCGATCTGGAAGAGAGATCCAAAGATGCTCACACCGATCTGCCCAGCCACCGGATTGGTCGTGGCCAGCGTGAAGGACGCCACCGAGGCGATCCCGGGGAAGACGTAGAAGAATACACCAGTGGCTTCGGCCATCATCTCACGCAGGATGCGAGGTCGCTTGTGCTCAAAGTTGAGTTTGCGCTGCGACACCGGCTTGGGGGGTACCACGTGCCTCGTAATGTGACGCTGAAGGGCGTCCGAGACACCAACCTCGATGTCATTGGTATGCATTCTGGCCATGTCGTGGCCGCCGTTAGGTTGGGACATGACTTGCTCGCTTAATGTCGATCACCCCGTCGAGGAACGTGGGCACGAGTATCAGTAAACAATCGAGAAGGAAGAAACTCGGAGTTGGCAAACAGAGTCTGGGGCTTGAAAGCGAGTTGAAGAGTAATCACGGGCACGAAGCTGGGGCAATTGAGGGTTGATGTATCCCCATGGGTCACCCTCAATTTGGAAAATATTTCATGACTTGCCTCGGTCATGGTCCCTCGCAAAGCCACCGTGGGTCGATGGTGAGACCCGGTTATGCCGTACGTGCATGAATAGGACTGGAGATGAAAAGGTCTTCGGAGCCGATCATAACCATATCGAGCATCAGACTGGTGGGGAGACTGTGCTTTGGCGAGAAAATGCACCGTCCTCGCAGTAGCCGAAGGCGAGAGCAAGGAGCATAAAGACGGTGGACCGTCCTCGCATTCGTGCATAGAACAGAGAAAATGGAAGCAACTGCGCGTCGTCATCATGAGGCAAAGGGAACCTCAGTGCGGAAGCGGAACGTGATGACAAGCTTTTGGCTGTGTGCCACGCATTGATTAGCGAATTGAAGCCAAGTTGAAGAAGCTTTGGGTGGCAGAACCCTCGTCTTGGGAGATGGTCCTCTGGCGCAATGAGGAAGGCAGCTGGGACTATTGGACATGGGCATCATCAGAGCCGGCAGTCCCAGATGCAATCAGGAGCTGAGAACGTGCGAGGAGGCTTCGGGGATGGAGCTTTATTGGTCGCAACTCCGTAGTCCAGGAGATTGATAATACATCATCATCCGCACAAAGTTGTGCTGGTGGCGGAGACAAGCTCCATACCCCGGCGCCTCCCCCTGTAGGATTGTCGCTTGTGGGGAAGACCTCATTGCTTATCTGCTTTTTGCACGCGGAATGCAGTGACTTTCAGCCTCTGCCGGAGGATCTCATGCCGACACGCAGGACGCCACCAAAAGTAGTTCGTACGGTCGTCTTCCGTAACAGCCGGCGGCACCTATACCAAGGGTATCTGGAAAAAGTCTGCATCCAATTGCTTGGTCAGCGTAAATAATAGAACCCACGGGGCAACTTTGTCAGAAACCGTTCGAATAGCCGAAGCTAAGAGACTTCCGGTGGCAAAATTGGAACGCGATCGCATGATATTTATGCAAGTCGGCTGCACGAACGAAAAAAGGAAATTTGAATGGACCGAGGTGGTTCTGCTGCCATCGCAAAATGTCATTCCTTTCAGGAAAAAGTATATGGAGTACAAATAATGCTGGCCTGAGCGTACTGTAGGTGGCTACCACTTCTCGACATACGGCCGGATGTCGAGCTCATTCGTGAAGCAAGTCCTCGGTTGGGTATGGAGATACCAATACGAGTCGGCAATCTGTGGTACATGATCACTGTCAGCACCCTATTCTCAGGGCCAGGCAGGGCTGCACGTCTGCAGGTTGAAAACTCACCGCCTCGGGCTTGATCTTTGCATCAGGATGGTCAAATTTGTAGTCCTTGGTCCTCTCGATATCAATGACTCCATCGATAATGGCGTGAGAGACATGAATGCCCTTTGGTCCGAATTCCCTCGCCAGTGACTGTGCCAATGCTCTCATGGCGAATTTACCCGTGGCAAAGGACGAACAATTGGCGGATCCCTTCATCGCAGCCGTTGCCGAAGTAAATATGAGGGTCGGTGGATATTCTGGTGAACTGTTTACCGTGTTGAGCAGTAGGGGCAAAACAGCCTGCGAAAACAGAAAGGCCCCCCGTCTATAACACTGACAGTCAGTCCACTCACTATTGTTGAGCAAACCATGGAAGGAATTCGACGTACCCGTTGGCTTCCCACCCCGCCTCAAATTCTTCCTCCGACAAGTCTAGGAAGGGCTTTCGAACGAATCTCCCTCCGACGTTGTAGATTGCCGCAGCCAGTGACGCTCCTCCGGTCTCTTTCTTCAACTGCTCAAATGCACTTTTGACACTCTTGCTGTCGGAACAATCGGTACTGATGCCAATCGCTTTCCCGCCTGCGGCTTCGATCTCTTTGACCAGGGGCTCATAGTTGGCTGGGTTTCGCGCAAGGAGGGCGACGGAGTAAGTCTGGGCGAATCGACGAGCGACACTCGCACCTCTAGTGATGAATGAGCCCAGAGTTGACTTGGTGTACCTGGAGACAAACTTACGTGCCAGGTCCAACGCCTGCAACCACAGCCCATGCCTTTTGTGACGACATCGTAAAGAATGATGTGACTTTCTGAACCTCGCTACCTGGTTTCTGTTGGACTGTTGAACCGCTGATTACACCGCGAATGTCGCCTTGTTCTGGCCACAGAGAAGGGGGAAGAGAGGATTCTTTGTGAGATGCTGAGCGGCAACGGATATTAATTAACTTGTAAAAGATGCTCGTATTGCCTCTTCATTGATAATTCAACCCCACAATGATGTGCTCGTGGGTTACAAATCGAACGGGCATGTCCTCGTCAGATAAGTAATCGATATGGCACTCGGTCATCAGCAAAGCTTCATTCCCCGCAGACGCAATCGGGGTCCAACAATGTGGTCGGGGTTCTGCCCCCTCGCCTAAGCCAAGCCTAAAGAAAACCTCGGGAGGCGTCTTTTTACCTAACGTACATTACCTACCAGATATCTAGAAGAGTACTTATATTGAGGTGTACTCTATACAAAATTGTAGCTTGAAGTCCGAACCCTTTGAAGAGGACTCATCACGAAATTCGCATTGCTATCTCTACGTAGCCATCTGAACAGTCAGTGTCAGTTAAAAGTTCCCTGGATTTGATGATATTGAAACTATCATCAGTATTGTCACCAAGCCAGACTGACATGTGTTTCCTGCCTACGTGAACTGCAGCTTCGAGGGCATTGTTAGCAAGACAAGAATTTCAAATATGCTGTGTTGTTATTCTTCCAGGGTACTGACGGTGAAGTTACTCCGTATCGTCTCAAACGTTCCCAATACAATACCTTACCGGATCATGATGCGTTTGACATGACATGCAAACGGCGGTGTAGGACGCCTTCTAAGGGGGCAAGAAGAGCAGCGAAGGGTCACCCAAGGGGCCTTCGTCCCGTACCTGCATCCAAGCCGAATCGATCCAGCCAACCACTTACGGTACCTGTAGAGATCGTAGGTCATTACTAGCTATTCGAACGGCCTCCCCCTGAGTCCTGCAGCAGCTGCCAGCCTTGCCTTACCGTAGTATACCCTGCATGACCTCCCGAACAAACGGTCAGATGCAGGGCCAGATGCAAACCAACGAAACGAACGGACGAACGAGGTGTTTGACACCGCACCCTTGACTCGTGCAAGAGTGGCAGTCTGCTGGACCGGGTTCGGGTTCGGAGTTGCCGTTCATGTGAAACCTGACATGAGTTTTGATCTGACTGGTTATGCAAAGAAGTTCACCAGTTGCAACTACTGGACGTGTTATGTCAAAAGGCCACCTCTAGGGAGTATGCAAAACGTCGAATCAAGCACTGGTTGCAGCAAGGTCGCAGGCAGAAGCGCGACAGGGGATCGAGAGACCAAGGCCAGAGGTATCTTGACCCTGTATGCCTGGTCAAGTATTGGTGTACAGTTGTCACGTACTGTACGTACTGTACTAATAACAACCATGCGGACTCCAAGGGGGTTTCTAACCGGTCGTTTCAGAAATGCGACCAGAACGACAGGCCATGCACTTCCCCGCGAAAGCCTGGTAGAAATAGTTCATGTGTGGCGTCGAGCCATTGAGAATAGTCGACAACATGATAGAACCATCATTGGGTAGAAACAGGAACCAGTCATGTCATCACAACAGTCACCCATCCGAAGGCGGGCAGGATACTGAAAGTTTGCCATCCAGAAACGCGAAACACAATTATTACTCACACAACAAGCGAGAGAAGCGAGAATACGAGTACGGATACAACTCTCCAGGCAACAAAGTGCTTCTTGACCAGGATGTGAGGTTGCTTGCCACACACACACACACACACACACACACACACACACACACACACACACACACACACACACACACACACACACACACACACACACATACACACACACCTCGTGATCGTCGGCGCGAAGAGCACGAATCATTCCAGAAAATGGACGCGCCTCGCTCGCAGCCTTTTCGGAATGGGTGGTTGGTATTGTTCACTTTGTCCGTCGATGCATTCTGAGCAAAGATCCATCATTCCACCATGAAGCATGTGAACACACATATATATCCCAGCGCTGACTTGTCACACCCACCATCACCAAGAATGCATGCCGGGCTTGGAATAGGTCATTTAGGGTGAACAACCTTTTGTGCAACAACTCCCAAGAAAGATAAAGGAGGGGAGTTATTTTCCCCGTGTCGAGCTGATCACGGCGCTTAAAGAGAACCGTGTTTGGATTGGAAGCCTGAGATACGGAATGTTGATGTCGCGTTCTATTGCTCTATATGGAATGCCACTCGAGGAATAGGCCGGCTGGCTGAGATGGTACAAGAAGGGTGTGCCTCGATCTGAACATGTAACCGCATACTGACCTGATATGGTGGGCCTGAGCTGCAAGATATTGACCGTGCTACAGAAGTTGAATAATATTTATTGGTATATAACCCGTACCCAGGTAGGTAAGTAGGTAGTTAAGCAAGTTCACCACCAGCGTCGATCCTCTTGTCGTAGTAATCTTGACTATCCCCGGTCCTCCATCAGGCCTACTGCGGCTTGCTCTTCTTTTCCTTCTACGAATACGCGCCGAAGGTCCGTCCAATCATCAATACACCCACCCCATCTCGCCGCCCTCCCGGTCAACTTTGTATAACTCGCCGTACTCGTATTGATCTAGATCCCGCCCCCGGGATGCGAGAAACCGCAGACTCTTCGGCTCACCACACACCCCTCTTTCGATCTCATTGTGACCTTGCTCTCTACTCGTACAGTTAGAACTCATTCTACATCCCCCCACTCTCTCGAGACCCTTGCAGTAAAGGACAACTCGCCCCCGGACTTACCGTTCGCATGATGGTTGCATGACCACATGCATGCATGCACACACACGCACGCGCGCACGACTAAGCCAGCCAGCCAGCCAGCCACAACAAGAATCAGTGGCAGCATTCTGGGACGGAGTTACCTGTGAACTACGTAACTACGCAACTAATATACCCTTGTCAATTCTCTTTTCCATCACTTCTTCTCGAAGCCATTCGATGTCAAAGCCGCAAACCCCCCCCCTCCCTCGCTTCCAACCCTCGAATACAAACTAATAAACCAACTAAACGACACACACATCACATCACACACTCATTTGGTTCGTACTGGCTCACTCGCAGGCTTACTCACTGGCCCTCGACCATTTCAGCGGCACGCCCTTTTGCCGTGGCTGCATTCCGTTTTCCGCGCGTGATGACCTACGAGTCTAGAAATAACTTGGATTTATCTTCGATCGGTATCTCAATGACCGAGACGGAATTCCCTGGGTGCAAAGTCCGTGTGGAGGGAAGGGAAGCAACGGTTGATTACCGTTGAAAAACCAGCCAGCCAGACAAGTCGGACAGAACGGCGATCTTGGGGGAGTAGAAGAGAAAGGATTCTCATCGCCAGACCATTTCGTCGTCGTTTGGTTCAATCATGCAGGTTTAGGGACGGGCATGGTAGATGGTCTGAACTTATTCATTATCCTCGTGTAGACAATCGCATGCGATTACGCCATGACGCATAAAACGCACACAGTGTGTACCGCAATATGCTCCCGTACTTCCCGCAACGTGATGGAAAGAAAAGCACCGCTTCATGTCATCAAGCCAAGGCACTGGTTCTCTTCCTTTCGGTCGGGCGCTTAAAGGTAGGCACAAAACACCCAATCGGCCATCGACGGGAACCCGTTCAAAATACAAACCAGCCTAGTCCCCAGAGAACTAGAAACAATGTAACTCACACTGGAACTCGCGGTGGAAGTAGAACAAAAATTGGCCGGAGACTGAATCGAAAACGCCCGAACGAGGTTTCAGCGACGAACCCATACCCGGCAATGTACGGAGTTGGTTACGGCTGTAATTGCACAATGCATCATACGGAGTAATAATTGCGATACACGAAACCCTACAACCTCGAATGGCATCGCACGGGGAAACAGAATATGACGGAGGAAATCTATGACGGAAAACCAGGAAGATCGAAAATCATAGTACCGTATAGTCGAACAACAGATAATGAATGAAAAAAGGAAGAAGCGGAGAGGATCCTCGTAGGGACAAGGAAAACAACGAAAATTATATGTTTATTACAAACTCCAAAAACAAAACTCCTCCGAATCACCAACTATCTCGATATTGATCAATCCCGATTGGAACAATGACTCTGTATCAAGGGAAGTCTGGGACATCCATATAAGAGAAATAGATAGATAGCTTGCTCCAAAAAAGATCGAAACTTCAACTTTCAAATTTCCCAAACACCTAAAAAGTCCTCGCGGACAAATTCTGCCTCTTTACGCAGTTAAAAGCCAAAACCAAAAAAACATGCATAGGAACTCCCAAATTTCCAAAAGGTGGTACACAGCCGACAAGATTCAAGGAGAAACACCCCAATAAGCTGTCCCAAACTCGAAAAAAGGGGGGTATCGTGCGAAAAAAAAGAAATGACAAAGTCCAATGATCAAAATGAACGCCGAAAAGACCTTATCCCACCAGAAAGCAAAACACAACAACAAAACAAGACGCAGACGACCGTCGCCATGATTCCGTACAAGTACAAGAGTCATTCCTCCTTTCATCTGTCATGATGTTTCGTCCTTTCATGGCTTCATGAGAAACTTTTTGTTTTCAGCTCCCTGTTGCTCAATGTCCTCCGAAACTGGAAATGTTGTTTTTTGTATTACCAATATGTTGCCTTGCCATGCTCCCCTTTTTTTGTACCCTCAAAACGAAAAGCGAAAATAAAACGAACGACGTGAACAGCAAGAGAGAGCCTGTGACCCTAGCTCCTCTCCTATGACTCACGAACCATGAATCCATGCTCGGAAGACAGGAAAAACAAGCTTGTTGATGTGTTGATACAATTGCAGCCTGCCGGCTTATTGCATGCGCCAATGGTACGCAAAGCGAACCGGGATGTTTATGTTGATGTCGATCTGTGATTGTGTTGGTGTAGTGTGGCGTGTGGCGAAGTCGTATACGTATACCTCCAACCATTTCGCCACATCATCGAGATATGTCAAGAAAATTGCCACCTGACCGGTGGAAGTCAGGCACGACGAGATGTCGGCCTGGACCTAGACGAAATCTAGGCAGCGGAAGGACGACGCAGCGTATCCTCGCAGTTGACGTCGAATCGCATGTTCCAAAGTCGAACTTGGTTCATGATATTCTCCGTCGACTCGAGGTAGCGATCGCGTCCGAAGATGGAATCGACGAACTCGGTGCCAGCTTTCTTGCCCATGGTCTTTGTGCCGTCACGCTTGGCAGCCTTGAGCATGAAGTGTTCACAGTCCTTGAGAAGGCCTTTGAACTTGTCCCACATCCGGTGGCCACTGACGATGAAGTCTTCGACCGTTTCGCGCTTGTCGAGATTGCGGATGCGATCCACGCATTCTTCCGCTCGCTTCATCTTGCCTGCAAGTTTAATGAGAAGCAGCCACAGCTCTCCAGCCATATCGGCCATTGGCGTTGAGGCGCCATGGTGGAAGACGGTCCAGTCGTAGATCCACTTGCCCAAAGAATTCGCATCGAACACACTGCCCAGGAGAATAATGGGCAGCTCGGTCGGGTCCCAGTGCTTGATGGAATATCCAGCGGGAATACCAGCACGGATGGCGTCCTCCTCGGTTGCCTGTGGAGTTGTTTTGGGTTGCGACCTGATCTTGGATCGAGGCGAGGGCTTGCTGGCGGTCGAAGCTCGTCGCGTCCTCGACCGTTTCGGCTGCTCATCTACAATCTGTTCCTGCGCATAGTAAAAGTATGTATCAGTGCTTGGCTTCCTTGCATGCTTTGTTTTCGGTCTTGGTGGTTCTCGATAGATGTATGTAGGCTGCATTCCTGCGTCTTCAGCTTCATCGTCGTAGATGTAGACGGGCTGATTCTGCTTGCGCGAAGTGGAGCGGGTATGATATCTTGAGGTAGGAAATGTATTGTAGTAGCCCTCGGGCTTGCGGACTTTGTCCTTTACCTCACTCACATAGATATCATCCCGCGGTGATGCGTACTGGACGCCGTGTTCATAGGGTGGAGGTGGTGAGCCGGCGGGCGAGAACCATCCCCCGACCCTTGGCGAAGGGTTGTAGCTCGCCTTTCGAGCATGTCTTTTCGGCGTCGTGTCGTATTGTGGCGCGTAGTGTACATATTCCGTGTTATGATAAGGCGAGGACGTTCCATGATATTTGGTGTAATGCGGCGGCGGCACGCCGTAGTGGTAACTCATCTTGACTACCGTAAAAAAATCTTCTGGTGGGCGTCACTCCTCACTCCTGCCCCTGTCCGCAACAGTCTTCCCCCCGATCAGGATCTATGTCTGTCTGGTATGGTTCGGCGAGGCCTCGAGAAGTAAGGTAGGTTCGGAAGATGTTGGACTGGCTGAATATCATAGCGTGAAGGGCCTGTGCCGGTGGTTGGGCGTGGTGCTGGAATTGAGCCTTGCGACTCAATTTTACTGGGTGGTGTTGATAAATTCAATGGTCGTCTCCGCGGGTGCGCGATGACGTGCAAAACTGTGCAGTGAAGAGGGGAAAAGAGGAAGAATCCAGAGGGCTGGGAAAAAAGTTCGTGAGATATGTCTTTCCGGAGGGGAGGACCAGCCAAGAGTGGATTTCTTGCTAGGGGTCGCGGGACAAGGCTGCCGGCGTGAGTCGATGGACGGCGCGACGGAGACTGATCGAAGCAGGATTGCCCTCTGTTAGCCCTGGACGACCGCGCGTTTGATGGCGGCTGGGAGGCTTGTGACTAATGCTGGCTACTCGTAGTGGTGACTGGGAGGTGGGAGAAAGGCCTGGGACCAGCTGGAACCTGCTGGCGAAATAGACCAATCGACGAGCCCATGAACCATGAGAGTGGCCTCTCTGTTGAAGTTGAGAATGGTTTTTGGGTTAGATCTCTCAGGTTGGGAGATCAGGGGCAAGAGGGCAATTAAAAAGGACGAGGTCGGTCAAGGAACGTCCTGCTGATGGTGGTGGTGGAAGTGGATGCCTCACAGCGGATGGCTTGGGTCCTTTTCAACGCCCACGCTGTGAGGAGCAGGGATGTACCCGACTTTTTCTTTGATGTGTGTGGGCCTGGACTTGATCCTCTTTTGACGCTTAGACCAGCCCCTGGCGAGCGAGGGAGGGGTGAAGGAGACCGAAAAGATTGGGGTGGAGGTCGTTTCGGTAAATCAGGTAAGGTAACGAACGGTAAATACGAGAGATACCAGATAATGGGCACGGCGAGGTATTTGTACTCTTCGTAGGAGAAGACTCTGATCTGTAGAATAGGCTGCAATGTGGCTGAGGGCTTTCACATGAATATGATTCGTACTGAATGTCGCCTGGATGGTTTGAGATATTTGTCCCGGATTGAAGATCGCAGGATTTGCCGCTGAATAAACATCAAGCGAAGATGATGGAAGCAGCGATACCTAGCGACGACGACAACCAAAGTGGCGACCAACGGAATGAGTCCTTACGAGTGACAACATCCGTCTGCTGTAGCCTGTAGAGAGCGTCACGGATACTCATACTACGTATTCCATCGTCCATCCGCGCATGGCCCGTTCCACGATGTCCGGCTTACAAAGACCTATTTCGCGACCTTGACTGAAATTGTGTGAATGAGGGTCAACCAGTACAAACTACAGTATAGGTGCAATCGTCTACCTGAGATGCCTACAGTGACATGCCGACAGAGCCTTTTTCTAGAACGTCCAGGGCCTGTGACCACTAAACTATCATCCTCCAGGCTTGCCCCCGGCACCGCTAGCGCTGCGGTTGCACCTGCGCGTCAGCTTACGCATGTCTTTCCACATGGCCCAGCTGGGCACCATTCCTATAACTGCTATACGCAGCGATAGATCCCTCTCCGTTCCATTCCATCCCATTGTCCTGCGAGATCATTAGCTGCTGGCCGATTTAGGGCAGATCTCTCAACACAGCCACTCGTTGTTACGAGGTACTCGCTCGTCCTAGAACGCGTTGTTCCGCTATCCGATGTTTTCGAGACACACGTCTTTTCAGCCACCAGCAAAACAAGATTGACGTTACGGTAATAGCGGATGGACCAAAAAGATGGGAAATCTACGACTACGGTGGGACTAACATGTTGTTCTGGGTGGAGCTCATCAAAAATTAATACAAGTGTTTCGCGGATATCAGGTTCCCCGTGCCTTGGTCTGTATCCAGATGTTGAGCACGGAAATCTAGTCAACGACCGATGCGAGATGGCTTCTTTTGTTTGCCACCTTCGCTACCAGTCCGATGGGGAACTGGTGGATGTATCGTAAACAAACGACTAGAGCAGCTTCGCGCATGTCCAACCATGGCCTCCGGTGAAGCTTAACTCCCTTGACTGGTAAAAGGCACCAGCTGAACCCTCGGCGGTCAGATCCAATCAATCTCGGGTCCTGCAAGATGAAGCCTTGTCAGATTCCTGATCGACCAACTGTTGCCACTTGTGCAGCTGGAAAGACCACAAAGCTGAATCTGCGGCTTCTTGAATGAACGGTGGTGGTTTCAAAAACTTTCTCTTGCTTGGTATGTGACCTGTCTTCGCTCACTTTCAGCCCATCTGTCGAACATGTCCAGCTGGTTTCCAGCTTGGTGACAGCATACGGCGGCCAGTGGCGGACATCCTGGCCCCCAGCTCGGCACCAACCCTTCATGGCAATCTATCGGCAGTCTCATGTAGTTGACCGCAAAATCATCGAAAGGCATATGCGATCTGTTTGAAGGCCACAAGAAAACAGCGAGTCGCATCTCTCCAGCGTCGGTAGGGTGCATGAGCACCAGCCGAGTCCAGCGTCGGTCTGTGTGCACAACAAGCCAGCTACACAAGAAACGTGTCATTTGCTACGCTGAGGGATGTCCACATGATTCGCGTTGTACGGATTATTTTGGGGTTTTCTGGGCGTCTGGGTTGCCCATCTTCCATGTCTCTAGGTAGCCTTGCTTTCTAGTCGCCATGGACACTCTCTCAGGGCGCTTCAGTCCATGTCAAACTTACGGTATCTTCAGTATGGAGACGGTTGCCAACATTACCTTACGAGTGATTTTTTTGTCGAGTGTGAAGATTCAAAAAGCCCTAAAGAAACTTGGGCCTCACTATTGCGTCGAAGAGGACGAGTGAGAGGCTGCCAACTCATCGCTGTACGCATGAGCCTTGGCAAGGCTTGGGCAGCATCTTGCCCAATTTCGACCAGTTGCATGTTTTCTTCTAGACAGATTTCACATCAACAAGGCTCTTCTATGGCTTCGCGTATTTAGAAATGAGGCAAGTACGCATGGTCCGGGCACTCCTTAGGTGCAGCGCCCCGAGCCGCTGGCATCTGCCTTCTTGGAGCCCAAAGCGTCGTTCGGATGCTTTGTCCAGCATTATGACTGTTTACGACCTGAGGATGGCCATTTCTGTCCACTCACACTACAGCTTTCCGGTAATTGCGAGACTAGGAGTTACGAGCGATATACTTCCGACCCCATTTGGCACACATATGAGGCGGACTTCGTCGTCGACGCCGATGCAGGAAGACGTCGCCTGATGGAGACTCTTGACGCTCAACGAAGCATGTGCCGTGCGAATTTGTCTGATGGACTTGTCAGAGCAGGACTAAGCCTCACCGCTCGAGTCACCATTGCGTAATTCTCTTGTGGTATTCTGTCATGTTGGAAGGATATGAGTCTTCTCTTGTGCTGGCATGTGCCTTCTGTGCGTTAGGTGTGTTTTTGTCGAAGCAGCAGTCAAAACATTTCTTTGGACTTCGCTTAGATTCCAAGGGAGACTAATGGTGATTCGCCATCTCAATTTTCGGCGCAGTGTTCGGCGCAGACCTGTGAAGCACTTCAAAAACTCCGTTGGGAGGAGATGTTGTTGTCTTTAGCATACGCTGAAGTTCAACCTGCGGACAATTGACTCTTCAGAATGGCTATTTTGCCGATCGAAGAAACCGGCCTCATCTGTGCATTCAAACGCGAACACACTGACGCCAGTGAGCTGAACTTTTCGAGCGCTTGAAATTGGAACTGCTGATAAAGTGTGGGATGACTGCTTGTGGAAATGCTTTGATACTAGACTGAAGTGCCGACGATAGTGATGGTTGACGCAAGAATGTCCAACACATGGCTGATGAAAGAACAAACAAGAATATACCTGGGTACTCGGCAGGTACGAGTACAATGTGCAGCACGTAATTACTGTCCGTATCCAGCAAAGACACGGAGTAGGAAAGGTACCTACCTGGATACTTCCCTGGTGTAGCGCGGGCGTATTGTGTACGGTAATGAGCATCCGGTATTTTGCTTCGCTTGTCTTCAATGGCCCTCCGACTTTGCCAACATTAATACTACAAAAAGTGGTTCGAAACAAGTCTTGACGCTGCAGCAGTGGAAAGTCAAAAGATAGAGACAAGGATGATGACAGGCATATAAGAGGATCATTACTCTTTGTCAAACACAATGTGCCTGTCAAGGGCACAGATACGAGGAAGTGTCTCACACTCTAGGTAAGCCATTCGCCACTGACATGGAGTTGTTATCTTTCTGATCATTGCCACCCCTCCATCAACTTGTACCCCAGGTGTTCGTGGAGGGTTTGAGATCTCCATCTTCAGGAACCAAAGCAACACCAGGTAGAGAGAGAGGGGGTTGATTTTCCTGAGTGTTACTCCGTAGGACAGGTAGCTGTGCCATGTGCTGCCTGCAACTATTGACCTTTGGGACCCTAGTGGTCTGACACAGTAGGTAGATAACAGGGTCACAGTGAAAGAGGGACTTGTCGGTTGATGGAGGCCCCCTCAAGACCCATAAGGGATGACCTTGGTGTCGATGATGCTTGTTTGGAGGGAGTTTGGAGAGGGGAAGCTGGGAATTCCAGGACTTGTCGACGCTTGTTCTTGGTGGGTACGGAGGCTTGTACCGATCGCAGTCGTCGAGACCTACAGTAGGTTCTGTCAGGTTCAGTAGATGAAGACTGCCGCCCCCGATGCGCAATAATGCTCGGTTATCAAAAACTGCTCTGTCTTCCTCTTGGATGTAGCTGCCGGGCCTGCTACGGCAGTCTCATCCCTTTGCTCCTGAGGATTTGTTCAATTACAGCGTGGACATCGATACCTCCGGATCAACCTCCGACCTGTCGATTGAACCCTTGTATGGGGCCGACAGACACCAATCAAGGCCCTTGGACAATTCAAAATGCAATCATCCGCACGGAGTAGATAGCGTAAAGTGGTCGCTTCGACTAGACACATGGAGCATGGAGCGTGGGAAACGGAACATGGCCTGGGGGTGAAAACATCTGCCGCCGATTGTGCTATTATTCCCGTAGTATGTATCCGCCCTCCGCCCTCCGTAGGGTCATGTAAAACGATGCATTGATTGTCTTGTACTCGCCCAACTCAATTACTCACAGGCCTCTCTCAACCACCTCGGCCTCGTCCTGTCGGGTACTTCCCCAGGCCTTCCTAGTCTTTCTCTTATCACACCGATTGGCTTTCCAGACAGCCACAGTCGCACTGATCTTTCTCCCACCCCAGTCTTCTCGGCCTCTCATGTATGCATCGCCAATTGACTTCTTCCTACAGAGTAGTCCGGAGACGGTGGTGGCGGTCGGTATTTCCTGCATTGCAGATCTCCGTCAACTCCAGGTTAAGCCACCCATGAATCCTCAAACCCTACGAGAACGCTGAATCTCCGTGCTTGTGATTTCCTCATCCTTTTTCGAGCTCATTTTGCCATTGTACGTTCATCACGCACGACGTGTGACATGTCCATGCCTCCATATTCCTGTCTATATGGAAATGCAGAGCGCTTGAGCTTCGTCCTGGCTTAAGGACCAACGAAATTCCCACTTTGCGATCCTGAGCGTGACGTCGCCATTCTTGTATGACCAGCCTTTGCGATTGCGACGACCGTCAGCTTAATCAGCCATAAGAGACATGTCGGCCGCCCAAGACCAGTCTCAGCCTCAGTCGCAGCCGGTGAAGGCATCAGGTCAACCAGAACTCAGTGCACCGCGAAAGAGGAGGAAGCGTGCTCCCGCTGCTGGAGCACCCGATGACTGCTTTACCTGCGCTACCCGCAACGTCAAATGCGATCGCGTGAGACCATATTGCTCCAAGTGCTTGGACGATGGGAAAGATTGTGCTGGATACAAGACTCAATTGACCTGGGGCAACGGCGTCGCAAGCCGCGGCAAGTTGCGCGGCCTGTCGCTACCAGTTGCTGGTACTCAAAAAGCTGCGCCTGCTCCGGCATCGCCCACTAAATCAAGGAGGAGAGCCTCTCAACAACGACCGCAGAAACCTCAATTTCGTGCTGATGCAGGCCAGACTGTCTCTTCACCTCCAGGGACTGGTGCAACGCTGTTGGCCCGCGGCTCTATCTCTATAACCAAAGACAATGCTGAGTCCAATTTCCAACGACATACGTCGTCATTCCCTATACCTGTTCCAGACACAACAACATCCTGGGCGACAGCAGCGGCGACAACGAGCGCGCCGGCTTCTACGTCTATCAAGATAGAGAACGTAGACCCGTCGCATCCCTCAGATGCTTCCGTGCCTCGGACATCCCCTCTTCTTACAGGACATCAATTCTCAGCCGGATTCTCGTCAGATATTGGGTACGGTGGAAGTCTTTCGCCACGCTCATATCCAGATACTTCTCCTGAGCCTAGCTACTTTGGACGGGTTTTGAGCCACGAGACCTTAGGACCGCGAGCACGTGCTTACCCACTCTCACCTCAGATTCACTCACCTTACCGCAGTGTCTTCTCTGATCACGACCAATTCCCAGCTTTTTCAACCCAAGAGACACCCTATGATGCCAACGATGGCTATTCCCGATTATGTTCTCAACAGAAAACTTCGATAATAGTAGACCTCGATCAGCATCTTGCCGATGAAGAAGTGGAGGATGTCAAACACGCTTACAATGATGGATTTGTCGCTGTCGACGAGGACGTACTCGTCACGTTTCCGCGTCTGCCGTCTAACTACAACCTGTCCATATCGCCCTATGCTGGAATGGGTGCCATTGGAGCTACCCCGCGCATCCAGTACTTGATTAACTACTATACAGAAGTCATTTCACCTGTTATAGTGGCTTTCGACGGCCCTTCCAATCCTTACAGGACACACATTCTGCGGCTAGCAGCGAGGAGTGACACACTTCAGCATGCCATCGCCGCTCTCTCCGCTAGCAATTTGAGGCAACGACGGGAGACTGGTGCTCTGTCAACTGGCAAGACTGACCCTGCGAGGCGATCATCCATTGCTCATTTGACCCTGACCCATGAGTCGTGGCAAGAGTCCAATGGCTTATCCCCGCAAGATCAGGCTAGAGAAGAGGCGCTGCATAAAGGGATGGCCATTCAATCTCTGAACAGACAGCTTGCAGATCCTGTCTTACGCAAGGACGACTCTATTCTTGCTACGCTCCTGATTTTATGCCTTTTCCATATATGCGATTCGGGAGTAGCCAAGTTTCAGACCCAATTCGCAGGGGTGAAGAAACTATTGGGCATGCGTCAACATGGTCTTGGTGTTGATACCAAAGAGGCCAAGTGGTTCACGCGGATGTTTACGTGGTTCGATGCGATGACTGCTACCGTCAATGATCGCGAGGGACAACTCCAAGGTCATCATCTAGACGTATCGGCTCTGTCTGATGAAGATTGGGCTTTGGAAAATCTGGCTGGCTGTGACGGACAACTTTTCAAGACCATTGCCAAATTAGGTCGCCTCAACGTTCTAAGCCAGGGCAAGTCTGTCGAAGAAACGCCAACACTTGTGTCGAGACCTGTACCCCGGATGTCTTTTGGAACAAACCTCGACTATAGCAATTTCGACGGCAATGGGTGGATGAGAATCATGGAAGACGAGAATCTCTTTTCTTCCAAGACCGCTGATCCAGACGTCAAGACACAATTCTGGCGCGAGTGGAGAGAAATCCGCCAGACTCTGCAGACCTGGCAGCTAGATACCACGATGTTTGACTGTTCTAGCCCAGAGGCACCACTACTTACACACGAGCAACGAGTCGACCTCGCCAATATCTCCGAGTCATTCCGTTATTCTGCACTTCTTTATACGGAGAGACTTGCAAACCCGACCGTGCCTAGTACGGATCAGTCCATTAGGTTCTGGGTACAGAAATGCCTGATGTACATCAAAGCTGTCAAGTCGGACGTTTATCTACTCTGGCCGCTTTTCATTACGGGAAGCGAATGCGTTGACGAGGTTGACCGTGAAGTTATCCGGGAACGGTGTTTGGACATCCAGAAGGATAGTGGATTTCTCAACAACAAGAGCTGTTTGGAGCTGCTGGAAAAGGTTTGGCATCGCTATGATGAAAAAGAACGCAGATCATCCCCTGGACATGAGATGAGACAAGTTAGCAAGGAACATGATGGAAGGGAAACAGGATTCCGGTTCACGACGATAATGAGAATGGAAGAAAACGAAGGAGAGTATATTGTTGTTTAGTTCATAGGCGACGAAGGACCAGAATGTGTAGTGGAAATTGGTCGCGGAGGCCTTTTGGATCTCGCATTTCTCATGTATACGCGAGCAAACTTTCCTGATGCACGGAAAGAAAAATGCTGACCATGTAATTGCAATACTCTATATCCATTCCTGAGTTCTTGAGTGGAGATCTGGTGTTGTCTGCAAAGATACTGTATGAATCCTCGTCAACACCTACTCCGAGTTAGTGAAAGGCGCAACGCAGAATGAATATCGATATGACGTTGTTAGGCTATTGTTTTGAGCGCCTAGAAAAAATGCCATGATGGGCTTTGGCAGTGAGAGCCTCGTCCCGCAAAACTTGCAGCCTCGCTTCCAACCATTTCTCTTTTCATGCCGATCCTCCATTTCTCTCCCTCTTTTGTTCCTTGGAAAAGGTAGCGCGAGTGTCGGAGATGTCGAACCCTTCAAATCCACCCTCGGGCACTTCCACCCCTCGAGCATTCACCGCCCCCGGCACGACCGCCGAAGAACTCCTCAAATCGCAGACGGTCGGCTTGGTCAATCTCGCCGACTTTCGGAAACGGCGTGCCGACGTGCTAGAACAAAAGGACAAAGAGGCCCGGTCCGCGGGGGCAAACACACCCGACGTCGAAGATGGCGAAGAGTGAGAAGGATCCCTGTCGCCTTGCCTTTTGCGGTTGTCGTTGTCAGGAGTGGGCGCGGGTGCTAATTTCCAAAGTACAGTGCGGTGACAGGGCGATCGGATCAACCTCCCAAGAAAAGGAACAAGAAGAAAAAGAAAGCTGCCATGGGCCTCTTGTCGTTTGGTGAAGATGAAAACGAGGACGATGAAGGCGGAACATCTACACCTGCGGCGGCGCGCAGTTTGAGGACCTCAGCCGAAGCGTCGCCCGAACCGTCGAGCACTGCGCGAAAGCTGACGCCGAACCCGAAGTCTGGGCTACCGCCGCCACGGGCACTGACGAAGGCCGCACTCGCTGCGGAGGCGGCCGAACGAGAGAGACTGAGAAAAGAGTTCCTCGAGATGCAGGAGGCGGTGAAAGAGAGCGAGATTGCCGTGCCTTTTGTCTTTTACGACGGCGCGAACATACCCGGTGGCACTGTCAAAGTGAAGAAGGGCGATCACATTTGGTTGCTGTTGGAGCGGTGTAGGAAAGTCGGCGCCGAGTTGGGTGTCAGTGGCAGCGCGAACGGGAGTGGTGCGAGCCTGAAGAGCATTGAGAACAGTAAGAAACAATGGGCTCGTGTCGGGGTCGACGATCTGATGTGTGTTCGAGGCGAGGTTATTGTGCCCCATGTAAGTTGCGGAACCGCTGCCTCATGCAACCTTGAGACAGACGGCGAACTAACACATGATAGCACTACGAGTTTCATTACTTTATCGCCAACAAGATCCCTGATCCGGCGAGGGAGGGTCGGCTGTTGTTCGATTACTCAAACACGGTGGACAAGAAAGACCAGGATGCACCGTTGTTGCGTGTACCTGGACAAGAGGAGATTGAGGGACAGAATGACGATCCAACGTTGACAAAGGTCGTAGATCGGAGGTGGTATGAGAGGAATAAACACATTTACCCAGCCAGCTTGTGGAAAGAGTTCAAGGTTGGCAAAGAATTCGAAGAGATGGCAAAGGGTAGAAGAGATGCTCAGGGAAATGCTTTCTTCTTTGGTTGAGCGAAACCATCAAGTGCAACCGCTGAGGCAGTGGAATGAGTGAGAGACTCTGAAGCAGCACAAAGACGATATAATCAATTGTTGAGTGCTTCGCCGGATGGGAAACTGGAACTGGGTTGGTGGCTTCTTCTTCTTCTTCGTCGTCGTCGTCGTCCTCCTCCTTCCTTCGCTTTCAGTCCACGAACAGCTTCCCTCGACAAACTTCCTTCCCAGTTTCATCCCAACCTCAGTTGGTGCACATGCTACAAAGTCAACACCCAACACCGACTCTGTTTTACAGGCACCTGCTATTAGTCCATACTGGGAGACTCCTGCAGTCCAACCTCTGCTTCATGAGATATGGAAATCCCTCTGGTCTGTAACAACAGCCGCCTGGGCCGAGAATGTAGGACAGCCTTGACCCGTGAAGCAGTTGTGACAACATGCTCGTAGGTATGAGACCACCCGATATGCCGCAGGTAACTAACATGTTTCCAGGCACATTTTCTGTATCGACTGCGCTGAAAAGACCGGACTTTTGGGCCCGAAGTTTGACCAGCGTCATTGTCCTTGCTGCGATTGCAACCTCCCCAAGCCAGATGATGTTGATCGAACCCGACTGGATCCTACTGATGACTACAAGACACTTGTTCTGAGCGGGTTAGACCCTCCAACCATCCTCGACATAGCTGCGAGGGCGGTGTCATTTTGGCAGAACCAAAGTGCACAGGAGATGTGAGGACGATCCAATGCCTTGTAAAGATCCGATCTCTGACACTTTCACAGGATATGTCAGCACCTTTCAGTGAAGGATATTACCGAGCGCAACAGTATTCTTGAAGCGAAGTTGAAGAAGGCCTACCACGAAGCCGATATCGAGTTCGAGGCTGGACAAAAAAAGATCAATGGTATGAAGGCTGCAGAACATTGTATTTACCGAGCTGACAAGGATTCAGAGCTCACCGCTGAGCTTCGAGAATTGCGTAGACGATATGATGAATTGATCAGGGCTTATCGAGAAAAGGACCGCAAGCTCAATCAAACCCAGAAACTATACAGTACCCTCAAACAACGAGCCCAGGCCCAAAATATGATCCCCTCTGCTACATTGAATGTATCGAAAGATGTCGAGCAGACAGTGCAGTCGATCGAGAGCGCGCGACGGTCCGATGCAAGGTTCCTCAAACCAGAATTACCTCGTCAAGATCTTCGGACTTCGACTCTGCTGAAGAGGACACCTCAACCAATGGATGGCACACAGAACAGTGTTGAGCTTCTTACCCACCAAAGATCTGGAAACAGTGTCGCAGGATCTATTCAAGCAGAGATGTCGTACACACGCGCAACTCCGGGATTCAACCTCGGTAAGTGTTCTCGCCTACGCATGCATCAATGTGGCTAATGGCTTCAAGCGACCTTTGGAAGTTCAGGCACGCCTTTACGTCGGGAAACCCTTCAGACGAACACTGGCACTTCCATTGATGGTCGGCCGCAACCTCCGAGCACGGTTGCAAGGGCTAGTACTGGGCCAGATCAACATGTACCAGGCTTTGTCAGACGACAGTCTCTTCGTGGTAGCAGGGAATCGATTTCGATGCAGAGCCGTACTGGAACTTTATCTGGTGCAAGGGCTGGTCGACCTGGAACCATTGAGCCGAGCGACGTGGGGTCCAAATTTGATCAATATGCTGGTTGGTAGATCTCTTTATGGGTTGACATGACTAACTGACTCTTTATAGACAAGTTTTATCATCCTCCGAAACCATAGATGATGTTACTCGAATATGATATTGGACTTCAGAAACTTGCTGCGCATAGGTACTCCAGCCTTTGGCTCGAGTTCACGATGTTCGTTATGTGGGCCATCCCAACATTGACAATTGATGGCAATTGATAGGAGTCGGCGACTTATATGGACGATATCGAGTAGCATTGTTTCCATTGCGAATAACTTGGCAGCAGATTTTTCGTACGAGAATAACAGTAGCGATCCAATCGATTTGTCGAAATCAGGCCTATCGAATTAAGTGAGACGAGAAACTCGAACATCACCCGCATCGGAATCGTTATCGGCACTTGTCAGCGGCATCGCTCGTTTACTCTGTGAACCCACCCACCCTTTGTGATATCGCATAACTTCAAGTATGGCCGTTACCATGCGTTATTGTTCCTTTGACCTTGAGTTTAACAGTGTAAAATTTCAATATGGGAGGCTCTACTGGGGTAGAGAACGTCAGCAAGACTGACAGTGGTGTTGACCTTGAGGAATCGAGCCCGACTTCGCCAGCAATAGTCGACAATAAGAATGAGGCTACGGTCGACAATGAAGCTATTCAAAGAACAGTGCTCAAAGCTTCCAACGTGTAAGTCTATTGACAACGTTCTCCCTTCAACTACCCCCCGAATACTCGGACTCGGCCTCCAGAAGTTGAAGCATCCCATTCTAGCCATTATTCATATCCCTCCACCTAGTACATATCATACCTACTTATGTTCTATTGACTCACTTGGCTTTGTTTCTAGACGACAAATCATAATCGTCCTGGCTGGCTTCACTGTCACGGCGATGACATGTTCCATAGTCTTCGCCTTTGGTGTGTACCAGGCCCTGTATGAAGACATGTCTCAGAACCCTGACACGCCATTCACGTCTACCTCCTCCGCCGAGATCGGACTCATTGGGACGCTGGCCCTCTCGCTGATGACACTGGGCGGACCGTTCGCCATGACGTGGGCGAAGCTCTTCTCTCCCCAGATCGTCATCGGCGCGGGAGGGGTGGTGTTTGGGATCGCGTTCGTCCTCGCCAGCTTCAGCCAGCAACCGTGGCAATTTGCCTTGACGCAGGGCTTGCTGGCCGGGGTCGGGACATGTATGTCGTACGTGCCCACGACGGCCGTGGTGCCGACTTGGTTCGACAAACGCCGCGCTTTCGCGATGGGCGTCACGATAAGTGGTACCGGCGTGGGCGGCATGTTCTGGCCTCCCGTCTTACGAGCGCTCATCACCCACGTCGGGTTCAGGAATGCGATGCGCATCTCAGGGTGTACTTGCGCTGTGCTCGTCGTGGCCGCCGGGTGTGCCTTGCCCTTTGAACCGGGGTTTCGAGGACGTATGCAGCTGACAGTACCTACACCTACACCTACAGCTGGGTTCACCACGACTGCAGCGACGACAACAACAACGAACAGGTCGACTCGTTCGAGCAGCGCAAGGACGATTCTACGTCGCATGACGACCCTGCCCAAACTAGATTCCGGCGTCGCCACGTCTCGAAAATTCGTCGCCCAGGCACTCGCCAATTTCGTCCAAGCGGCCGGATACTCGACCCCTTTGTTTTTTTACGCCGCCTACGCCCAGAGTAGGGGGTTCGGGGCCGACGCGGCGGCCAACTTCATCACCCTCAGCAACGCTTCGAATTTTGTTTCGCGTATAATGATTGGCTACGCCGCGGACAGATTGGGTCGACTGAATGCACTTTTTGTGACGACGGTCTTGACCGCGATCACGGTACTTGGGTTTTGGCTCCCGAGTACGTTTTGTGACGTGAATCACGACGCCCACGGCGACAACGGCAACACATGCGACACCGACGAAGCCAATGTTTTGTTTTTCATCTTCACCGTCCTTTACGGTTCATTCGCCAGCGCCTACATCTCCCTGTTCCCCGCGTGTCTGTTGGAGCTGTTTGGCCACCGACACTTTACGGCCGTCAGCGGCAGCTTGTACCTGGTCCGGGGAGCCGGTGCTTTGGTGGGCACCCCCCTGACGGGACTGCTCATCCCTCGGGCCACGGCGCTCACCCAGGCCACGACCTACACCCGCGCCGCCGTCACGGTGGGGGCCCTGATGTCTGCGGCCGCCGTCTTCACGGCGTGGGCCAGGGTCGAAGCTCAATTTGGCACGGATATGAATGCGGGTGCACAGAGTACGAGGGCACAAGATACGAGTACAAGGACGAACAAATGGAAACGGAAGTGGAAAGCCTAAGCAAGTCCCCGCCTCAATTATATAGCAGTCGTCAAGACCTACTCTACCTCCCACGCGTCCATGTCGATACCTCCTCCAAGGTCATGGATTTTGCCTTCGGGCTTCAATCAGCTGGGCATAACTACTGCACACAACAACACATTTCTTCATGAACGATTTGTAGTTTATGCTAAGACATTGCGGTTTCGAAACTTGCGGCATCACAATCACAACTGTCATCATCACTCTCGAGAGCGGCAGTATTATTCAAAGATGCCTGTTTCTACAACTTGAAACCTTCATGATGGCCCAAGTTCCGTGCCACGTCCAGCGGTGTCCGACCTGATTTGTCCTCCGCCCCAACGTCGGCATGATAGTCCAAGAGGCCCCGACGACCTCGATCATCCCACCGTGGATGATCCCCCCGCTCTGTGAAGGAGTGTCGAAGCCATTTCATCGTGAAAGCGTGACGCGTTTCGCGTTTGGGTCCAGTCCGGCTCGGACAAACGTTCTCATTATCTTCCCATAGGCAGCTTCGATACTTCCGCTGCTGATCGCGGGGTCCTTGGATGTCGGCAAAGTTTTGGCGCTGAAGAAGTTGGCCTCCCCCAGAGCCCCCATCATCGCCTGGTTGTCAGGCTGACATTGCGCCAGGACTGTCTCGAGGATTTCCGTGCGGCCGAAAGACCTCGAATCGGGCCAGCCCTTGATGACCGACTGGATTGCGATCACCAGAAAAGTGACGGCATTCTTTCGCTTGAACTCTTCCGGCAATGATGTCAGGATATCCCGCAAGCAGAGGTTGAGATGACACACAGTGACCAAGTACACCAGGTTGACATTCGGCTCATGATAGTCTTGAATGTCAGTACTGTAAGTGCCTCGCCACGCCAGGGTCGAATCATCCCAATTGGTCAGATCGTACCAAAACGTGTAAAAGTCGGGTTTGGCGGCGAGATCTTGGACCAGATGTGCGCGTGACCTGCCACTGATTGTCTCCAGATGCCACATATAGCATAGAAACAGTGATATCTCTTTCCGGACATTATCCATTGACTTCGCGTGGTGGAAAAGAAGCAGCATCTCATGGCCGGTTATGCCTACAAGAGCCGCAGGCTGATTTAGCAACAGCCTCGACGTCGAGATCGCCTTAACGATCCATTCTTTCGCTGTTTGATGGATGTACTGGACCTTTCCAGAGACAATTTCAAGCAGACCGCCTCCTCGACTGGTCAATCGTCTCTCTAGCTCTCGAGATGACCCGTAACTAATCGTAGGAGATCATCTGTCTCGTCCCTGACTTTTGCACTGACATATTTGAAGTCTGCTTCTCGGTGCCTGCCGTCGTTGCCAATGACATGGCCCAGGTTGCGATCGCTGACATGTTTGGTGAACAGGGATTGCATTACATGACCTGTGATCTCCATAAAACGCGAGATATCAAGCGGGCTCCGAGTACACAAGGCAATCTGGTACATCGCGTATGCTTCAAAATTACACTTTGCTTTCATCTTCTCCGGCTTTCTCCGGCCCCATGCGCAGCACGGCGGGTGTACAGATGTCCTCCAGTTCGACAGGAATATCCTCGAGAATATCATTCAGTTCCTCAACATTGTCACCTTCCTGTATTCCTTGGACTAATTCATCCATCACAAGGCGGACCCGGATGAAGACACCTTGGGCCAGCCGAGATATCCTTGCAAGGATCACTTCAACGAATTCTGTCTTTTCCTCAACGTGGCGTAGGGATAGCTCCATTCGTATGCGGCCACGGGCGTACAGCATCATATCGCCTGATGTGTGGTCGTGGATCTTGAAACCTGAATGGTCCTGAAGCCAGTCTATGAATTGTGTCTCAGGGCGGCTGGCTAAGCAAAGCTTCACCTGTACAACTTTTGGATCGGAAGATGCTACCAGATTAACCAGAAGCTTGAGCATTTCAACACGTGAGCCAGAGTGCTCATCCAGAGCATCTATGAAGAGACACAGGTTTAGAGGCAGTGTGGTCTGACGGATGATGGCCAAAAGGGCCGCTTGTAATCGGCCAGCGGTCCACCGTTTTCTCTCCTCCGTAATGTCTGATTTCGAATTTGGATTCAAACGTGCTAGGTTAAGCTCGTCAAAAACCAGCTGGCCATTGGGATTTGGGTTCTCGATCGAGACCTCGTTCACATAGATGGGAAGTACATATCGCGCTAGTTCGGGACGTTTCGTAAGAAGACTGTGCAGCAGCTGAAATAGTAAACCACGTGTTGACTTTTGTATCTCCCAGCCACGGTCGTAGACAAAGAAGCCGCTTATGAGCCAGTCCCTCGGCGAGCTCTGTTGTAGCAACGATTTTGTGCGCATGTGCTGCATTGCATACTTCATCGCAGTTGACTTTCCAGAGCCGGGTTTGCCCTGAATCCAAAAAGTGCTGTTCCGGTGTTTCGCTCGGAGCCACTGGTAAAAGGGGACGGTTTCACTAAAGATCCAGTCACAGGTACCTCGAAAGCTGTCCTGGATAGTGGCCGACCGGAATTCAATCTCTTTGATCTCGAGGCTGGTCAGACAGCGACGAGCCTCATCTTTTTCTGTATAGTACGTAGGTATTAGCAGATCCTACACGTGTCTCACATATTTGGCTGCAGCCAAGGGACAGGCGACTCAAGTGCATACCTCGCAGTGACAAGGACAGAGGGTCCGAGAGCCAGCGCCGCAGAACAGCAAGGATTCTTGTGAAGCCGATGTCGCTGGATGGGGCAAATCTTGTCATGTTGTGGTGGTTTGCGGGAATGTCACGCACGACCTCACGCCCGTTGCCTATGACGGATGAATATGGCTCGACAATCATAACTCCTTTGGTGGGCGAAATTTCTCGAAACCACTGAACCTGAATTTGTCCGTCGACTAGCATGGCTGCAAAACCATCCGAGATGCGCTCAAGCACAGCCGAGTTACGTTCCAGTGTTCGCAAAAGATCTATATTCGGTTGTGTGTATGCCATCCGGGATATCTGGAAAGCGATCTTCCCCAGCGAGGCAGTGGCTGATCCTCTATGGGGAGTACCCAAGAAACAAACTCCAACAACAGCAGGCCATATCTCTTTCAGATAGGTCCTGGTCATACTGGGAAAAACCAGAGCATCTTTGACGACAATACCTCCAAGAATATGTACCACAAACACCAAAGGGCGCTGTTTCTGTGCAGGTGTGGTCCGTACAGCAGTCAGGTCCGCTAGGAGTTGTTTCGCATGCTGAGACACGGTGGATTGTGAAGCAAAGGAGAAGAAACTAGTGACATTGGCATCATAGCCCAAGTGAAGGCGCGAGTATCTGGCAAGGCCACGGGGAGGAGGTCGCCTGGTCAGAATATGTGGCTTTGAGACCGTGAGGATGTGTCAACATCATCTCATGTGGCATATGTCTCCTCTTTCAGGTCACCGACCAAGGGTCTGCAGCTCGGAGGCACATCCTCGCTGTTACCATTGCGTCTCCAGAAGGCCCATGTTTTCTGTGGACTGGAAGTATTGCCGCGGAATCTCGTAGGGTCTTCGAGTACATCACGACGGCTCAGGATACTTGTTGAGAACGGCCGTGAGGAGGATCTACAAGTCCAGGTGTCAGAGGGATGTCCGAATAAGCCGTGGACAAAGATGATACTGTGGAGGTTAGTTTGATGATCCTATCAACCGTGCTTATTGCTTACTCCACAGAAGCATGGACATCATCGTTATCCGTAGAGGAGGATGATATCTTGCTCAACCCTATACAGCGGACTCTGGACATGTTGAAGGACGAAATGTCCCATGTCTTCGCTTGGAAACATGTTGGACTTTGCGAGCCATCTTAGATGTCGCTGCGAGGCTGGTTTGGTAGGCATTGTGGAAGCGCAGGTAAAATAGCCCTGTAACGTCGGCTGCGGGTGTCATTCATTCGTGGGCTAAAACAGGGTAAAACACGCCCGCATTTTGTCTCTAAGCAATCAACAACACCGACTTGGCTCATCTTCCACTTGGAATTCGTAATGATCCTCACTTTATCCGCATCTGGACATAGTTGGCTTCGAACCTGCTTTGCTGTTCGGACAGCTCTACGGAGTACGGAGTACGTCTGTTTATTATCTCCCCCTGCTTAGTGCGGCTATGCCTGCAGACTACTCCCCTAGAGCGCCTGCAAGGTGCCGAATGTAGGTGCAGCTGAAGATATCTCCAGGGGGATAGAAAGCAGAATTGCGACAACAAGGCTACAGCATTGAGTTGTCCAGCTAGTGGCAGGCCTTGTCGACGAATCACGTAAGTTGCCGCTACAGGTCGAGTCCCCAGGCCCTCACGTCCATGCTGTGATCAGGCTGAGATTCGTATCGAGTCCATGATCCTGGTTTGTTGTTGCATTGGTTCCGCGGGGGCCAATTCAGTATCATCATGTCTGCCACTACCGAGAAACCATTAGCTGAAGGTTGTCCGATCCTGGCCTCTGGTGGGATTGCGTGGTGGAGGGGTATTCTCAGCCTGATCACTGTGGTATATCTTACTCTAGCCATTCCCTCCTCCATTCGACAGTCTGATCTTGGGTCCTCATTTCGAATGTGAAGCCGCCTGAGCCTTTAATATCCCAACTTCACCTCATTTCTCCCAAAATTATGGGTGATTTACCATCTGAAACGGAGGAGGACAGGGTCCCTTCGGACGAGATCAATGCCGGTTGTTCGAATTCTGACATACAGCTTCTTGCTGCAGTCTATGACAGGGCAATCGACAAGGCTGAAGCGCTTCTGTCCGAGCCTGATGTCAAGCTCGATGCAAAGGATGAAAACGGAGAGACAGCCCTGCACATAGCCTGCCGCCGTGGCTACGATGACATTGTGGAGAATATGCTGAAAAGGTTTCCAGACATCAATAGGAAGGACGATGATGGGTGGACACCGCTCTACAGTGCTGCATGGGGTGGCCATGCATCCATAGTTTCCTTACTTCTCTCAAAAACCGGTCTGCCCTCTGTCAGCAAGAACAAACCTAAGACGGGTTCGAAACTCGATGGTACGAAGAGCGGCCGCCAACTTCCCATCAGCGGTAGTCAAATCGAAATAGACTCGCCAGATTACCAGGGGAGAACGCCTCTGCACACCGCGAGCTACTGGGGATATACAGATGTTGTCAACGAGATTGTATCGTACAAGGCAAACCCCAATATTCATCAAAGCGAAAGGAGCTTGGACACAAAAGACAATGCAGATCGAACACCACTTTATATTGCCGTTGAAGAAGGTTACGCAGAAGTAGTGAGAGCATTACGCACCGCGAATGCTACTATTCTTGTCAACGATCGCACCGCTCTCCATCTTGCATCGGAACGTGGAAGCCAGGAAGTCGTGGAAGCCGTTCTCGGCCTCGGATCCGGGCGGTCTGCCCTGACGGTCAGAACGACTGATGAGAGGAAGGAATGTCCGCTCCACGTCGCCGCCCGCCATGGCGGAACTGCTATTGTCGAAGAGCTACTAAAACCACGGTCCGATGGCTTCACTGGCTGTGTTGATGCAACGAGCGGACAGAATGGGATGGTTCCAGGACAAAAGCTTGCCCAGCGGGCTTCTGATCGCTGGCCAGTGTTTGACCAGATTAAAGCCCAAGACTCAGATGGAAACACGCCCGTGCACCTGGCGGCCGAGGAGGGTAAAGCTGATGTGGTGAAGATCCTCCTCGAGAAGTCAGAGAATGATATATGTGGAAATATGTTTAACCAGGCTGGCGATTCGGTACTACATGTCGCAGCCAAAAAGGGGCGTTTGAAAGTCATACAAGAACTTCTGAACCGGAAAGTGAACGTTATTCAAACCACCCAGGTTGAGGAGAATACAGCTTTGCATCTCGCTGCCTCCCGCGGTCATGTTCCGGTGGTGGTGGCTCTCGTCTCCGTGATGAAGTCAACTGACGTAGAGGAGTTGAAGAATGCAGAATCGGAAACTGCCCTTGGTCAAGCAGTTGCAGCGAAGCAATGGGATGTTGCTCGCAAATTATTGGACAAAATTCAAAAAGCGGACTTGGGATCACTTGGACCTGACAATGCACTCATTTCTGCTGCAGAGGATTGTATATCACACGACATGGTACAGCTATTGCTGATGAAGCAGAAGTCTAAGACCATGGATAAGAGCCGCGCGGTGCAGGAGAACAAAAGACACGTTATACCGAACTATTGGGGTCCACTTCATTGGGCAGCATATTATGGAAACGGCGTAGTAGTTCGGTCACTTCTTCTAACCACTGCCTGGACAACACGTCAGATGAAAACTGCGCTGGAAGCCTGCAAAATCGGCCTAGCCGAGTTGAGAAACGGCCCTGAACCGGAATTCGTTGATAAGCCTGGCGAAGGACCATCTCATCTTGAGGAGCGCATCCAAGGCCTGGGGAAACGGAGGGACTCGCAGTTGGGTATCGGTCCATCCGGGAAGACCAAGCAAACCGCAGAGGGCAGAGCTAATCCTCATGAGCGCGAGATAGAAGAAAGATATGCTCTGCCCCTTGATATGCTGCAAGATCCTCCATTTCTAGAAGCGTCCGACCCGCAAGAGACATACGAGAAGCCCGAGCTGACAGATGAAGATATAAAACTCTCAATTGCCGATTTCGACGCTACCGTTGTGGATTTCTATCGAGACGGAGATCGGTCTGGCCTTCTACGTCGGTCTCGTAAGGTCTGTCAGGTCATATTTGAAGACGGCCCCGACGCAATAATGAGAAAAGCAAGAGACACTCTGAACAATCTTGAAAATGGTATTGGCAAAGAGAAAGGATTCAGTGACAAGCACCTTCAATTCCGATGGATACACTTGCCGGCGAACAATGTAAGTACTCTCTGGCCATCTTTCAGAACGCTTCACTAATATCCGGTAGCTCGAATGGATGCAGGTAAGTACTGGAGCACGGATTTGCTCCGTACGGCAATAACGAAGACCTAAATAGGATTTGACAAAGAGAATTTATGTGGAGAGAGAACGGCCACGACAGAATTACAAAGATGTGGCAGACTTCCTTCGGCGCAGTTGGTATGAACTGCCAGAAGGGCCTTCAAATGCACGCTTCATGAAGCCTGGCTGCAAGAAAGAGTCCTTCACTCCACTGTCTCTGAGTCAAAAAACTGCAGACGCTTCAACTCAAACATCTAATACTTCGCCCTCCGGGACTGGGGAACAAGTGCCAGAGACAAGCACAACACCTTCCGATGAAGGAACGTCACAGAGATCGTTCCGTAAACTTGCCTTGTATGTGAGTATTTGCTTTGGCTTGAAGCTTGCACTGTGTGACCATGTTCTTAGATGCCGTATGTCACCTTCGCGGAATATACCCCAGCCGAGGCTTGCTCATGGCAACGGTCCTCCTCTTCTGATAGTGGGAGCGACGACGGCTCAACGCTGGGAGAGGACCTGAAGAAATACCAGAGACTATTGGAGATCTATCACGACAAGATTATCCACGGATCCCGTACGCTGGACGAATCCTACTATGAAAATCTTTCGAATATGAAAGAGCGAAACGAAGACCAAGTCGTCACGAAGTACTTTGATAAGCACTCCCAGCAGCCTCAAGAACCCAGCCTGGTCCAAACTTCCGGCCCAAGTCAAGCTGGACACGCTCGGCAAATGGCTTCTACAACCGGCAGAGTACGGGATTCACCGATAAAAATCCTGAGGGTTGACCAACTATGGCTGTGGGTTATTGATCACGGTTGGTCAGAACTTCTTTTTCCGCTAACACCCTAGTTGACATACCACTTGCAGAGACAGTCATCAGTAGCTCTACACATCGTCTCGACCATGGGGAGGATCCGGTCTTGGAAAAGATCTTTGCGTATTTGAGAGAAGAGAAGGTTGCAAGCACCGGCAGAAAAGGCAAAGGCTTGCCGTCTACAGTCGACGATATGAGCAGATTTATTCCCAAGTTTTGCATCGGCTTTTTCAACCACTGTAACTGGAAAGGCGAGTTGGAGATCGACAAATCCATCTATCAAATTTTTGCAAGTTCAATCAATGAAGAGGTAGGTTCATCTCGAATGGCTGTATAGAACAAGGCTTATATTACTCTTCGTGCTTAGGCCAACGCAGAGTCGGAGCTGTTCGACAACTTCAAGACCAAGATGACGGACATAGTCCACAAAATTGACGAGAAGAATAAGAGAGAAGGTCGGACAAGATCTCAGCATGCTACAGCGGAAACTCCCAAGGTTCAGAAGTCTGGCAAAACGGAAGACACGAGCCCGGGTGAGGAGTTGACATTTAAATCGGTCCTGAAAGCCGCTGTGCAACTTCAACATATCAAAGATATCCGAGACGAACTCAATATGTTGAAATCAGTTGTAACTCAGCAGAAGAAAGCCTGGGACGACCTTCTGGGCGAAGAATCTGACAACGTCGACGCAAGAACCTCTGCCAACACTCGCAGCCCTGCAGACTATACGATTGCTAACATAGAGGAAATGGACAAGGCTGCTTCACGCATTCAGGTATCGGTATGTTGGGCCGCCCTTTTCAGATTCTGGCTGTTCTGTTTGTTCTAACCGTAAACTCTTGCCTAGATCCTCGATGTCATGGGCCTCGAACAGAATGAAGCGAGTATCAATGAGGCTGTGTCGTCGCGGAAGCAGGCACTAGAGACTATCGAACAAGGGAGGACTCTCATGGTCTTCACAGTCATCACAATCATCTTCGTAAGGCGCAAGAGCACCAGCGTTCATTGTGGTCGGTCCCAAAAATGTCCTGACATATGAGTGCCATAGCTTCCTCTATCATTTCTCGCCTCTCTCTTTGCCCTGAACATTACCGACTTTCCACGATCGTCGGGCTCAGTGCAATTTACCCCTGGCTGGGTATATCCGAAGCTATGTAAGGGATTGCTTCCCCTGATCCTCTCATGACAAAACTTTCCATCGATACTGACCACGTCTGCCACACAGTCGGTATTACGGGTGGTATCACAATGATTGCAATCTTGATCGCTTTCTCCCGGCCACTCGTTCGGTTCTGGTCGACTATCCGGAGAAGATTTTCTCGGCCCGTGGAAACTTCCAACGTTGCTGCTCAGTCGCCATGGATCCCTGCCAATTACCCGATGGAAACCAAGAGGATGCAACAGCGGAGCCAACGCGACAGGAAACGAGTTCTTGAGTCGGACGTCGAGAAGCGGGCTCAAGCATCTTACGAGGTCGTTGATGTTGTTATTGACGAGGGAGGTGAGGTTGGTCACAAACAACAACGTGGGCTGATTGACAGAGTGCGATCGAGCTATCACAGCTCCAAGGCCGCACTGCATGAGCTCGGAGTCAAAGCGGCTTTGAGAACGGTTGCTGATAACAATCTCGGACGACGACTGGGTATGACTGCTAAGGAAACGCCTTGATTAGGCCGGAATAAGCTCAAATCCCACAAGATCAGGTTCACTTGGGTATCTCGGCGTATTGTAATTCTGTCAAGGACACATACATAATGGAGGTGATAGTTCTCCTCATTTGGTATTGTTGTCGTCTCGCGACTAATAAAAAAGTCGGCTTGCTGGGAGTTATGTTTTGATGTACCTTTTTTCCGTAATCTTTGACCATTTTTGTTTTTTCAAAGATTTATGCCTCGAAAACTACGATTTCGACCTTGGTGTATCTTTCTGGTATCCCTTCTTTTTATTGCAAATCATCATAACCATTTTCGTAGCATAAACGCCCCCTGTTTCCCTGAGAGGGTTAACCAGAATTCCCTGTGTCGTCGCCGCCCCCGGTGCTAGTAATGTTCAGGTGAGTCCGGATGACGAAACTGTCTCTACCAATTCCTCCTTCCACCTTTACCCCGTCCACGTCCAAAGCCGCCGCCTCCGCCACCACCGACACCGATACCTTGATCGAAGCCTCCACCACCACCACCGCCGCCACCTCCTCCAAAGCCTCCCGGCCCTGTGGGTGGTCCGCCGCCTTGACCTCCCATCATGGCACCTCCACCACCGGCCATGAACTGCATGAACTGGTTGGGGTCCATCGTCGTCGGGTCGAGACCCTGCGAAGTCATGGTCGCGAACATTTGTTGCATCTGAGCTTCGCTTGGCATGGCCATGGCAGACATGTCTGACATACCAGCGCCTCCTCCTCCTCCTCCTGCGTTACCGGGAGGACCACCGGGCATGGGAGGCATGCCGGGCATACCACCACCAGCACCGCCCCCGCCTCCAGGGATCCCCTCTACGAACGCCTTCATCTGTTCGGCCTGTTGATTGATCTCCTTGATCTCCTTGGGCATGGTCTGTTGTTTCAGGCAGTACGAGGCCCACGTGAACTCGTCGAAGCCGTAGTTGAAATAATCCGTGATGTCGGAGCCGGGCTTGCGCCAGGGTTTGGAGGATTCCGAAGGAAAATCCACGTCAAAGTCGGTCGAGAGGATGGGCTTGTTCGTGGTAGGGTGCACCGGGTTGCCGTTGGGGTCGAGTCTGGAGGTGTGACGCGCGGGATAGTCGGTGCCGGGTCGGCCGTTGTTGTTGGGTGGTGGTTGGGAGTCGGGCCGTTGTTGAGAGTGGTCGGCAGGGGTGCCTGGTTTGTTGACAATCGGTTGAGGCGTCGTCGACGAGGCTTTTCGCGGGTCTACGGTGGTGGGAACGGGTGTGGTGAGGCCTGGTACTCCTCGTTTGGGTTGTCTACCGAACCAAAATGTTAGCGGGGGTGTGCCTTGGGTTGGGCGTCGCATGTACGGAGTACATGAATTAGAAAGCCCCGGGAGAGGTAGGGAGGTAGGACCGACGATGAAGGATCAGGTTTGACGTCTTCTTTTGCGTCTATGATGAAATCGACATCGTCCTGGAAGTAAGTAGTAGGTCAGTGAATGTACACAGAGTCTGCTGCGGGTGGTGACAGTTTGTCGCTGGGTCACATACGTCGCTGTCTTCGACTTCCTCGCCTTCTTCTTCTCCGTCCTCGACGTCTTCCATTTTCACCTCCGCTTGGTGCTGCTGCTGCTGCTGTTCGTCCGTGTCATTATGTTCAGGGTATATATCATCTTCGTCCGAGTCCATCATCTTGTCTCTGATGTATGTGGGTAGTGATCGAGGAGTGGGGGTGTCCGCAAGCAAGCGTCGCAAACGTCGAGGCCACTTCTCTCCGAAATGAGTTGGAATCGATGCCGCGGCGGGAGATATGCGTGAGCCAGTCGATATGTTTGTTATGTTTGTCGACAAGGCTGGCGCAAGTCGCAGATATTCAGCCTCGTCCCCAGATTCGTCGGTTTGTTTGGGAAACTTTGCCGATTGGATTCTTCCAGAAAAAAAGTTCCTCCCATTCATTTATAGGTAGTATTTACTCCCGAACTTCCTCCTGCGTATACCATTAGCTCGCTGTTTCCTCATTGTATCTAAGCTTCCTTGCTGCAGTCCTATAACCACTCTCGCTTCCATAACAACTTGTTTGTCACACATCATTCCGTCAAGATGGTGAGTCACCCACCTTCGAGGCTTCACTATGGAGCAAAACCTCTCTCTCTCTCTCTCTGTCTCTCTCTCTGCCTCTTTCTAGCGCGCGCACGCTCTCTCCGGATCTCGGAATGCTAACGGTTTGACCTTCTACCTATTTCACAGACCACTGCACTCAAGAGCATTCGATCACTAGCCCCATTGCTCGACCGAGTTTTGGTTCAGCGCATCAAGGCCGAGTCCAGAACCGCCGGCGGCATCTTCCTCCCCGAGAGCAGTGTCAAGGAGTTGAACGAAGCAAAGGTCCTAGCCGTCGGACCTGGTGCTTTCGACAAGGATGGAAAGAGAATATCCATGGGAGTCAAGGAGGGTGACAAGGTGTTGATTCCTCAGGTACGCAGACAAGACTTCTGGAGCTTCCCGTCACCCAAAAAAGCAGCCGGGCTAATGGCGTTTCTCATATAGTACGGAGGCAGCCCCGTCAAAGTCGGCGAGGAGGAATACCATCTGTTCCGGGATTCAGAGTGAGTTTTCTTCGTCTTCGGAAGCTCTTTCGATAGGCGTCGCGAAGGTCCCGTTTGCTAACCCAAGTTTAGAATCCTGGCCAAGATCAACGAATAGACCACCAATATATCCAGTATCTGATTTTTAAAAAGGTGCTGGCGTTTTCGGCAAAATCATGTACTATCATATCAGATGAAGTCGCCATCGAACATCATTCGGCCCCCCGAAAAAGAAGCCATCATATTAGCGAATTGTACACACCATGTATTACCAGTGTATCTCCTGCCCAGGGCTTGGATGATGTTCTACGACAAATTCAAATTACTGGCAAGAGGAAAGAGGGAAATATGTGATTGCAGCACGAGCATACCCATAGTAGATATTGCAGATTGCATTTCATCCTGTGTAGTTTTCACAAGAACAATTTCTCCACTCAATGCAGCTACCACCCATATATCTCGGAACATAATGATCAGGCGTCCACTCAAGTAGTACCTCTTCCTCGCGATTTCGAGCGGCTTTGATCGCGCGCATCCCCAGAACCGGATCCCATTTTCGCAGCTGACAGATCAAGTTCCAGTCCACGCCCGATGACTTCTCTGAAGTTCAACCCAAAATCACCTAGCATCTCCTTTTCATGAGTCCACACGACATCCATGCATTCGTTCCACAACTGGCCCTGTCGCTCTATGGCACTAAGCTGTCGCACGAGCAGCGTGTTGAACGTCTCGAGATGGCCGTTTGCCCACTTGATACAGGCGCTTATGCTGATTGGTGCGAACGACGCCTGGTAGATGAGTACCGTGTTCTTCACGACGGTGAAGTAGACGTATGAGATGGAGAAGACGTAGCGATGCAGGTCGCCGTCAAAGACGCATTGTCTGGCGCGCTTGGTCAATGTCTCACTGCGCGCGTTGAGGTAGATCTCTCGGGCCCGATCTTCGAAGCCCAGACGGATGAGGTAAGAGGTGGTGCGCTTGGTAGCCTCCATGAAAGAGGGCGTTTCAACGAGCTCTCGGCACAAGATGCTCGCAAGTTTAGCGGCACGCTCATCAACCTTGAGGCCTATCAGCTCCTGTGCGATCGAGTTACTCTTTAGGCCCTTTGCGATCTTCCGCAGTCTCTCCACCTTTTCTACCGCGTCGTCGAATCGCTGGAGAGAAATGTCAATGTCGAGGTCATCGATTTGTCCTTCGACCCAGCGGAAGTTCTGCTGTTTGCCGTCGACTTCGATGAGGATATCAGGCTTGTCTTTGGACGAATTTATACTGTCGAGAATCCCCGTGTTTGTTGCCGAAGCTGGATCTCGAGAAGCAAAGTAGTTCATGCTTTCACTTTGATTGCTTGGTTGTTCCTCTTGATTTTTAGTAGCCTTGCGTACATCTTCGGTGGCTTTCCTCAAGGCCATCAATAAGCCACTCTTCGCCTTCTCGTCTCGCTTCTCGTGCCTATATGTTAGTGACCGCCCGCCCGATCGGATGGTTAAAGCGGAGGCAATGGCTTTTTCTTCTGCTTGAGTTGCAGCTCCGTTGGCAGCCATGTCGATAATTTCAATATCTTGGAGAGGCCAGCACTCCTCGGCCACGAGTTTAGTTGGTGCAGGACCCTGCTGAGGGACATTGGGGTCGACACGTTTGCGTTTCTTAGACGCAACAAGCAGATGGTCATTGAGAAGGACGATGTGGACAGGACGCTTAGGCTTCCAAGTCGCACTATCAAGCTCGATCCAGCTCCCTGTCTCCGCCACAATGTGACGACCCGGGGCTGCGGGCAAGAACTTCTGAGATTTCTCCACATTCTTCCATAGCGCCTGTAGCTGTATGTTCCACATCTGTTCAAGATTGGCAACAGAGCTTCTGTTTGCTTGTTTTCTGGACTGCGAATTTGAGTGACTGAGATCAGGCGAAATGGCGTTGTTAGAGTTCCCCGAACTGCTTTGGCCAATTGTACTCGTGAGTTCCGACATGAGACTTTGCAAAATAGCCATCTCCGCCTTCAGTTTCTCAGCCTCTTTGCTTATCTTTATGAAAGACGTCCTATTCTGGTACACACTTTGCTGCAGATCTGCAGAATTTCTGTTCTTGAGGCGCTGCAAATTCGTCTGATATTCCTGAATGTCGGATTCGGAGGCATTTGAAAGGAGATCTGTGACATAGCGTTCAGCCTGAAGATTTGGATCACTCAGAGTGTCGCTGTCGACAAGGAGTGGTCGTGAAGAGGATGCCGTGCCAGGGCGTCGAGGAGAGGCAGCTCCAGACCGTCGCTTCAGGGCACCGGGCAGGTTTGGGACAGGGGGAGCTCCGATATTGCTGAAGTCGGGCAATTGATTATATCGCGTCGAATAACGACGTTTGACTAGATCGGAGGTCTCTGTAGGCGCATTACGATCGCGCGGGGGAGCGAGAGTGGCACCGCCCTTATTCTTCTGTTGCGGTGTTGCTGCTGCTGGTGCCGCCGGACGAGTGATGCCTGGACCAGACGCATTTTGAGGAGCGCTTATTGTAGGGCGGTCTTTGCGCTTCTTTCGTAGCGTCAGTCCACGCGGGTCCATTGTGGTTGCCAATGGACAAATGAGTCCAACGACAGTGTATGGCCGTGGTGGGAAGCCGTAACAAATGTTGTGGCATAATCAGGAACGCGGAAAGTCAGTCATACGGAGTTAGATGAGAGGTTGGAGTAAGGCTACGAATCACGTGCCATCTATCTCAGCCTTGTGCTGCCCCTTTAATGTGATGCTACTCCTACCATGATGTTGCTATATTTCATGATTTCAGTCAATCAATTGCTAAATGAGCATGCATGGCTTCATTACATCTATAGCATATATTCAAGATCTGCATTGGGTGTACTCAAATAATTAAAACTTCTGCTTGTTGTCTCCTGACCGAGGTCGGATGTCATTGCACGCTTTGATACATCGTTCTCGTTTGCCTGCCTTCACTGAGGTCTGTTACACAACTGGACGAGCCGGCGCGGAGTGTGCAACGAATGCAAAGGAGATCTCGTAACGATGGCTGCGAATAGTCGCCGAGTTACTCCGTACAAATTTGACCAATAAAAATAGTCCACACAAACCATATGTTTGGTCATACCGCCTCTCCTGACTCATCCAGAATCCAAGTCATTTCCCCAATCAGTAAAAAACCTCTGCCTAAAGCTCCGAAGGTACTTGAAAGCAGTTGTCCTTGATTGTACATTACAGTGGCAGAATTTTACCCTCATTATGTCTAACTCAGAGGCTGGTGTTGTGATAGGAGGTGCTGTCACCTGGAGTTGCCGTTTTATGCTTGAGCGCGGTCGCTTTTGCTTTGCTGTTCACCAACGAGTGCGGCCTCTAACCTCTTGATTTCTTTCTTCATGCTGGTCGCAACTGAAGAGGATTTCTCCATTGCTTGCTGAAGCAGCTCACACTCGGCTCGCAGCCGACAAATTTCACTCATCAAGCGCTGGCTCTCTTGTTGTATGTTGCACTTGACTCGAGTATCTTGTCCCTCAGACTCCTGATCAAGTGGAAATTAGTCTAGAGAGCCTTAAAACAGCGCGGGTGAGGGTTTTCGGACCATTTCTTTTCACTCGAATATGGTGCTTGCAAGCTGTATCTACGAGAGATAATTTTGGAGATCTCGAGGAGACGCGACCAGGTGCACAGGCAATAAACAATGTGTATATACTTGGTGCTGCTGGTTTGGATCGCACTGTTCGTTCAATGTCAAGGTGATAGCAGACAAGCTTGGGCGGGGTTTGTTTGTCTCAAATGTAGATCATGCTCGAGGATCGTCTGTACTTTTCCAATACGGTCAGTCCTACGGTCGCAAATGCTGATAAAGCGGAGCCCCAAATAACCATGATATTGAGCTAGGATTACTTCAGTTACCATAGCATCACGAGAGCTTAGATACTGCTTCCTTGCGATATGTAGGTCGTTATCTTATGTGCCGCTTGTTAGCCACCCCAGTGAAAAGCGAGAATGTATATCGATTGTCCAAAAGTTGAGTGAGCGGATTCAGACGTGACGCTGGTCTGATCGCTGCAAGGTGAGCATAGTGAGCGATGGGAGTACTCCCGGAAACTAGCTGTTGCAAGGCAGTGGAATTCCCAAACCAGAGAAGATGATGGAATCCTTTTTGGCTGTTATTCGTACTCACCGCAATAATGGACAACAAATCAGTGCCTGCCCATAGTGTCACTTATATAGTATTTTTGTGCCGTATGTTAAGCAGTTTAAAGCTTCAGCTGTCATGTGTATGTGTTTCATCCTTGATTCTAGAAAGCCACGAGACTTGTAGCAGAGCCCGTCGTTTGGAAGTATGTGTCGCATCAATCAGACACATAGTCTTGAGAAGATCTTCTAGGTGGTTATGTCTTTTGGCAGGCTGTATATTGGACAAAGATACTCAGATCTTGTTTTGGTCAAGACGTGATTTGTAGTCAGTCGGCACTTAGATGGTGTGAGTTGTGAAAAGGTTCTACAGTAATTAGAAGTGTTCGAAGGATTAACAAAGAGTGAGTGACGAGGCTGTCGGGCCATCGGAGTTTAGGTGCTTGGCAGGCGCTAAAGCAGCCTTGCGCTTGCCAGCGACTTTGGATGATTCGGGGTCAAAGCTGGGAAATTTCGCAAAGCTGCATCACCATTTCTTCAATCCATCATTGTGTATTCAGCCACATCCAGCCGACTTGTTTGTCAATCTTGTATTCTTCAAGCCGGAATTCCTCGTCATTGGCTTCGACTTCTGCTTGGCCCGACTTGAGCCACCTGGGTTCGACCTGGATTCATAATGAAGACTTCTACCATTGTCTCGATATCCGTTGGCACGGCAGTCACTGGACTGATCGGTAAATGACTTTACTCGTGAAATCACAAAGACGTTCATCCCAGCTAACAATCCGACAGCGTATGCAGCTTATTTCGACTACAAACGGAGAAATGACCCTGGGTTCCGGAAAGCCTTAAAACGAGAATCCCGCAGACAAGCTAGGATAGCCAAGGAGGAAGCCGAGATCCAGGGAAAGAGACAAAGAGAAGAGATCAAGCTGGCGGTGCAAGAAGCCATTGAGGAAGGCTTCCCTACAGATGTGGAAGAGAAGGAGGCGTTCTTTATGCAACAAATAGCCCAGGGAGAGGCATTGGCCGGAGATGGTACTGTTACCTTGACATTTTACGAAGGTTCAACAACTAATTGTTGCATAGGCTCTGACCCGGTTGGCGCGGCACTCTGCTTCTACAAAGGCCTCAAGGTGTATCCCGAACCTTCCTCGCTTATTCGCATTTACGATAACACCGTTCCGAAGGAGATCCTCGAAATTCTTGCCGTCATGGTCGCTCAAGACAAGAGTCTCAAGGTGGGCGACTTTGGCGCCAGCAGTGACAGGGGCTCGGAAAGCGGACACGGGGTTGAATGAGTTCCTACGCTTTGACATACAGCAACTTTTGTATCAACAAGAATTTCACCGTCCTCGTATGAGGGACGCCTTTTCAGTCCCTTGCCAAGAAAATCGCCTCTCTGTACGACTGTTGTATACCAGCGCTGGGCCGATGTTTGAGCTTGTCAGGATGATATACATTTTTGTTGGGACATAATTCAGTGGTCACTCGACTAGTGGCCTCTTCAATTAAAAGCTTTGCCCGATTCATGGCCGCTTTGCACTGTTATCAGACCAGTCGTTGTTTTTCTGTTCATTCATCTCATTGACTTCTCAAGCATTGTGAAAGCAGCCTCTCGGGCAAGATCGTGAGGCAACGTTGCCACTCGCTGGTATTTGAGATTGGCTCACGCCAACAGAAATGTTGCGAAATCTTGCCATATGATATGCCACAAATTTTGCAAGGTCATTAACATGGCCAAAGGCCACAATGACCACGTTTCGGCTTGTCCTTACCAACCTGCCTTGGTCGAAACGTCTGGTATATCGAATTGACCATTGACGATTAAAGCAAGACCGAGGTACCGGCAGTCAGCAAGGCATCACAAGCTCATTCACCAATCTCGATTTCGGGTCTCTTGCTAACCTCTAAGTCCCACAACTATCAGCAGAAAATATCGGACTCCCTGTCATCATTAAGAACTGAGTATTCGTGGACTGCATTGCAGACGTCGCGCATTTCCGGATCAAGTTATCATACAATAAAAGGATGCGGATACCTCCGACTATCCGTCGCTGAGAACTGCCTTTTGCAGATCTACTTGGCAGTTGAAGATATATACTTCATTCCTCGGTAATCACAACATGTTGAAAGGCGTACAGGTTTGAAGTTCTCTGTATTCTACAAATCCTCTGCCTTTGAATAAACCTTGCGGCCGGCTTGCTCACTAATCTGTAGCAACGAGATCCAGACTCGGACTCAGACATTACTTGAAAGTGCCATACCTCCAGACATATTGTGCAATCTTACCAATTTTACTATATGAAAGTCTTCACTGCCGCGTAAACATGTCGCAGACCACGCCTCATCCTCTGGACCCTTTGACACCCGAGGAAATTTCCCAGGTACCACATATCAAGTCATTGGGTCTTCGAAGCAAGAGCTGACCAGCAGACTGCAAATCATGTTCGAAAAGCGTGCCCAGGGAGGGATGTCTACTTCCGAGTCATTACCCTGTCAGAGCCACCGAAGGCGGACATGATAAGATACCTGGAGGCCGAACATGGCGGCCGACTCCATGGCCTTATTCTGCCCCGCTTGGCGATGGTGCAGGCTTTCCTGGGCCCAAGAGACAGCAATCATTATTACCTGCTGAAGGTGGATGTAACTACCGGCGATGTCGCGCAGCAGAAGCAGCTTGTCGGATGTCATCCTCATGTCGATGCCACTGACATGCAAAAGGCGGAGCGAGAATGTCTGAATGACCCTCGCGTCCAAGCGGCAATCAAAGACATGAAGCTCCCTGCGGGCGCCGAAGTCAAGATTGAGCCATGGACCTACGCTACGGATGGGATGAATGATATGAGCGAGAAGATCACAATGTGTTATTTCTACATGAAGCTAATTGACCACCCGGATGCCAATCACTATGCTTATCCTTTGGATCTCTGTGTCGAAATGTCTGGGGATGCTCGCGTTTTGAAGATTTTCTATTTGCCCTTCGGGACGTCAAACGATATCGGCACGTCCGCGCAAGCTTACGATCAGGAAAAAATTCACGGGGCCGAGATTGAATACCATCCTGACCTGCTTAAAAACCAGCGGACAACCACAAAGCCGTATCGAGTTTCCCAGCCAGAGGGTCCCTCGTTCAACGTCCAAGGGAACCTGCTGCAATGGGAGAAGTGGAGGTTCCGCGTCGGGTTCAACTACAGAGAAGGACTCACTCTGCACGACGTGAGGTACGATGGGCGTAGCGTTTTCTACAGACTGTCATTGGCGGAAATGTTTGTCCCCTACGGAGATCCTCGCATGCCGTACGCACGAAAAGCCGCATTTGATCTGGGGAACGATGGGGCGGGTTGCACGGCCAACAACTTACGGCTGGGCTGTGACTGTCTGGGACATATCAAGTACTTTGATGGCTGGCATACCACTTCCGCCGGGGATCCAATAAAGATTCCCAATGCTGTGTGCTGCCATGAAGTGGACGAGTAAGATGTCTCCTCCCCCAATCCGCCCGTACCTTGGGGCACTTTCCATATACTTTGTCATTCTAATTCTTCGCAGTGGGATCCTGTGGAAGCATACAAACTTTCGAACAGGGCATGCTGTCGTCACCCGGTCACGCATGCTGGTGCTGCAAACCATCATCACGGTCAGCAACTACGAGTATATATTTGCATTTCAATTCGGCCAGGATGCTTCGCTGAACTACGAGGTTCGAGCGACGGGTATCGTGTCGACGGTCCCGATTGGCATTGGCGAGAAAGTACCGTTTGGAACTACGGTAGCTCCCGGGGTACTGGCCCCGTACCATCAGCACCTCTTCTCGCTTCGAATAGACCCGGCGGTTGCAGGCTATAAGAACTCACTCGTTGTGGAGGAATCGCATGCCATGCCTATCCAGGATCCGCAGGTACACAATCCATTCGGGATCGGCTACACGACCGAGTCACGCGTCGTCGAGGACGAATGCGGTCTCGATCTCGATCATAGTGTCAACCGGGTGTTCAAGATCGTCAACGAAGAAGTCATCAACCCTGTGACTGGCGGTCCGGTCGGGTATAAGCTTGCACCATGCTACAGTCAGTTGCTCCTGGCGCACCCTTCGTCCTATCACGCGAAGAGGTCCGAGTATGGCGCCCATGCTGTCTGGGTGACGCGACACAGCGACGATGAACTGTTTCCGTCGGGTCACCACACCATGCAATCACTGGGCGGGCAAGGGATAGCCTCGTGGATCAAGGACCGGCAAGAAAAGAAACAGTCGACAAGCGTAAAGAACTCGGATATAGTGGTTTGGCACACTTTCGGCTCGACACACAATCCGCGGGTGGAGGATTGGCCGGTGATGCCTACCGAGAAGATGCTTGTGGGTATGAAGCCGGTCAACTTTTTCACGTCCAACCCGGCCATGGATGTACCTGTATCGACCCAGGAGAAGAATCAAAGTGTGCTTGTGGACGGAGTGGCTGCCATGCCGACCCAAGGACACTGCTCGAAGCTTTGAGAGGCGAAGGACCTTGGCGCAAGACTCAGGGTCTGTGGGAGACCTGAAGTGTACACGTAAAATTGAAGCCTAGATCATACCGAAGACGGAGGTAGAGGAACTCTCAATGTCCGAGCCGGCGGTAGCATTGGGCCAGGCGCAAAATATAGATGGTCCATGTATGGTTGGGTCCGAACAACAAAGCTGGTTGAGGCTATTCAAAGTCAAGACCGAGACCAAGACCATCCGCGGGTACATCAAGGTCGGACCGATTGAAGGCATCAAGATATATGATACTACAAGATAGACATTACTAAGTACCTAGATATGGAATATCCAAAGGTATTTTAGATACTCGTCCAGAGTAAGAAGAATCCAACTTCTTTCCGCTGGTGCAATTTGCATGGCTCTCCACTTTGAAAAAAAAATAACATCTGTGGAATGAATCAAAACAAAAAAAATAGCCCACACCGTGCGTGTATAGATTCATTTTGTACAGTGACCACCCAACCAAAAAAAAAACAAAAAAGTTGGTCGCGAGACAAGCCCGAAACTTCGCGTATCTTGTCACGGTGTATTCTCACGCCGCCAGCTCCGGGTGGAAATGTCTCTGCAGAATTGCTTCCCTCAAGTATCATCTCCATTGCTTAGCATCCCGTAGCGATCGTGGTTTACACACACGAGTACGATGGACGACCCGAAGCTCCGAGCAAGGCACACGTGAACAAGTGGAATGTGAAGCGACGCCCAAGGCTCAAAGGCAACCTCCTAAACTTATGACCACGACAGCCAAATGCCAAGACTGCTTTTGTAAAATATGTACCCTTTTTTTTCTTCTGACCCTTGGTGGAGACTTTGATGTCGTTGTAGTTAAGACGCTAAGCACGTAGATATTGAGGCTCAGCACTAGAAGCTTACTACTGTACGGAGTAGTACTAAGGTGTAATACCTCACTTACCACTTTATCCTGAACAAATGCCTAGAATCAGTCCCCAATCCCCCGGGAAACTACTCCGGACGCAGACATCGACCATGTTGCCCTGATCTAACGAGTACTCGTACAACACTGTGCATTCATTTGGCGAACTAAGCGACGATGCCGATATTGGATGGAATAATGCCAAAATTCCCCAACTTCTGCGAGTACTAGCTTGGGTATGTACAAGTAGACTCTTTCTCTTCCCCTTCCGCACTGCGCACTTTGTTCCGCCGGCTCCCAGATTCGCACGGGAGATGACGCTAGTAAGACGCCATTGCTAGCCTGCGGTAACCGGCCAATTGCCCCTCGTTGGCCTTCTACGATAACCTGCCTTGCCCCTCCATGTCCACCGTCCATCCCCGTGGGAATTCTATAGTACGAGGACAATGCTGACTGTTTTCACGCGAGGCCCATCATTTTTTTGGGGGTTCCAGTGCGAGTCTCAGTACAGCTGGCCCTCTCCGTGAGCATGACAACACGCGCCGAGGTGAATAGTGATCATCTCGATGTTGCTAGGCAGCACAGCGTGCGGAGTACATGTTCCTCCGGCTCACATTACTGTCGTCAGCGAAAACATGTCTTGCGGCCGAAAGGCATGATTGGGATGGAGACTGTGAAGTTCGGTGTCTATGCACTGAATCAACAAGGGGACAGCTATCTCAATCAGGTAACATCGGTAGCTTTCGGGGGCGAGAACATGTACCTATGTAAGATACGAGGTACCCCGGGTGCCCGTAATGCTTCAATTCCGCAGCAATCTAAGATCTCATACCACACACGCGCTAATCACAGGACGAGGTGGTCTGAAAAGTGAAACTCTGAATACTCGCACCGCTCGACCGCGTCCCGTAGCTTTTCCTCCTTTTGAGCCATCTCTACTTGCCCAATTTGTCCAGAAGCCGTGCCTAAGGTGTGTGACCCATTTCCGGCTGCGGTTCAGCGGCGATGGAGCAATTCATCCCGTAGTACGGGCTCTTCTGGATCTCCAGAAGTCGTTAAACGTGTGAGCATGGTCAATCCTTTTTTTCTCTTCGTAATCGCCGGCCACATACCCCTCTTTCGGGTGATTGCCACAGCATCAGAAGATCCATCGCTCCTTGTCCGTCAGCCAATCTGACCATGGCGCAGTCAACCCACCTGCCACTCGTGGTTTTGTCTGACCCTCCTACGAATAACAACCCCGCAGTTGGCGTAGGGTCTGACGCTATCTCGACGTCGTCGTTACTTCTCCTCCCTTCCCGCTGACCCTGGGATAGCTGCCGTTCGGCCACTGGGATATCGACCTAGTGGACCAAGGAATCCCTGTCCAGTGGTCCCGGCCCATAGGAGAATCAAGTCTCGCTGGTGGGTACGAATGTATCATTTCCAAATTCCGCAGAGGCGTCAGTGCTTGCTTGACCTTTCCCCGCGCTACCATCGTTTTTAAATAAAGAGTCGCCTCGTCCTCGGTTCATCGTTTTGTCCCTCTCTTGTTTCTTTCACTTGCCATCCCCCTCCAAAGGACTACTCTTTCTCCTTGTGATACCCCTCCCTCAAAAGGAACAAGTCGTTTGAAATTTCCATTAAAACCATATACCCTGCAATCATGTCTCTGTTTACCAAGGTCGAAACCCCCAGCATCACCTACGACCAGCCCATCGGTCTGTACATCGATGGCAAGTGGGTGAAGGGCACCGAGGGCAAGACCTTTGAGACCATCAACCCCACCAACGAGAAGCCCATCATCGCAGTCCACGAAGCTGGCCCAGAAGGTATGTGCTGCGCACGTAGACCGTCAACACAACAGGTACTGACATTCACTCTCTAGATGTTGACATTGCCGTCAAGGCTGCCCGAAAAGCCCTCAATGGCGTCTGGGCCCAGACCCTCCCCTCTGTCCGAGGTGCGATGCTGACCAAGCTCGCTGACCTCTTCGACGAATACTCCGACACCCTTGCCGCCATCGAATCCCTCGACAACGGCAAGGCTCTTTCCATGGCAAAAGTTGATGTCCAGCTCTCCTCGGGCTGCCTCAGATACTACGGTGGATGGGCAGATAAGATTCACGGAAAGACCATTGATACCGACCCAGAGACCTTCAACTACACCAGACACGAGCCCGTCGGTGTTTGCGGTCAAATCATCCCATGGAACTTCCCACTGCTCATGTGGGCGTGGAAGATTGGTCCCGCCGTTGCCACCGGTAACACCGTCATCATCAAGACCGCCGAGCAGACTCCTCTGTCTGGTCTGTTCGCCGCCACCCTCGTCGAGAAGGCTGGAATCCCCGGCGGTGTCGTCAACGTCATCTCCGGTTTCGGTAAGACCGCCGGCGCAGCCATCGCCTCTCACATGGACATTGACAAGGTCGCCTTCACTGGATCGACCGTTGTCGGCCGAACCATCCTCCAAGCTGCTGCCAAGTCCAACTTGAAGAAGGTCACCCTCGAGCTCGGTGGCAAGTCTCCCAACATTGTCTTCAACGACGCCAACATTGACGACGCCATCTCGTGGGTCAACTTCGGTATCTTCTTCAACCACGGCCAGTGCTGCTGCGCCGGTTCCCGTATCTACGTCCAGTCCGGCATCTACGACAAGTTCGTCGAGGCCTTCAAGCAGAGGACCGCCAAGAACGTCGTCGGCGACCCCTTCAAGCAGGACACCTTCCAGGGCCCCCAGGTCAGCAAGCTCCAGTTCGACCGCATCATGAGCTACATCCAGTCCGGCAAGGAGGCCGGTGCCACGGTCGAGACCGGCGGCGAGCGCCACGGCGACGAGGGTTACTTCATCAAGCCCACCATCTTCTCCGGCGTCAGCCCGGACATGAAGATCATGCAGGAGGAGATCTTCGGCCCCGTGTGCACCATCAGCAAGTTCGAGACCGAGGAGGAGGTCGTCAAGGCCGGAAACGAGACCACCTACGGTCTCGCCGCCGCCGTCCACACCACCAACCTCAATACCGCCCTCCGCGTTGCCAACTCGCTCAAGGCCGGTACCGTCTGGGTCAACAACTACAACATGCTCAGCTACCAGGTGCCGTTCGGTGGCTTCAAGGAGTCTGGTATTGGCCGTGAACTCGGCAAGTACGCCCTCTCCAACTACACCCAGGTCAAGTCCGTCCGTGTCCGACTTGGTGGTGCTCTCTTTGGTTAAGTTTGTCGTCGATGAGAAAAATAAAAACCAAAGGAGAGGAGAATTTCTTCAGAATGAAAATGACAAAAAGACAACAAATGAAACCAAAAAAAGAAAACTGGAACACATTGGAAACATTTTGGACACACAACAACCAAAGAAAGCAAAATGCGGCAGGATATTGGCCAGATGACAGTAGTGTGGACATGAGACGAGATGAAATGAACATGTTTTGGCCCACCTATCCAATTTACATAACATGCATTTGTATAGGGCGTGCTGAAGGGTTTGAGCGAGCAGGCTTTTGCAGTCCAAAGAAGCGGTAGCTTCGTATGTACAGATTAACGAGATATGAAAAAAGATAAAAAAAAAACCAAAACATTCCATGCCTGGATTCCTTGTGTCTTTTGCTTTTTGAGTACGAGCATGACTACGAATAGGGGTGCACCTCCTTGATGACTTGTATATTGTTGTTGTCGTTGTTGTTTTGGTCAGCACTGACACATGAAGATTCCGTCGTAAATGGATCTCGAGACAACGCACAGTGTGTTAGGCAAATGCGCCATCAGCGTTGACAAATGAATGAAGCATTTCCGCGTCAACTCGTTCTCGCCCGAGAAGTCGAGTCCACGTGACTTTTTTTTTGTTCCCTTCTCCGGGGGGCCGAAAGGGAAAAGGTACGTAGCCGACTCTTTCCAGCGTTAACTAGATAAAGGGTATTACTCTTATTGTGTACACTCATTTCATACATGTGATGTAAGTATTCGGTGCGTCTCTATATTCAAAGACATCTCTCTTCCCTGTCACATAACAATACTCTCCACGTCACTTAGTACTACATCTGGGTCGACTCTACAATACCACATCACCATCCGTCTGGGGCAACACCACTTCCTCTTTTTTTTTGTATGAGACGGTGGAGACAGTACCTTTGGATATCGTCGGCTCTGAGCTTTCTTATGGTGGCGATTGCCTTGTCGCCGAGTTTGCCGTCTTCCTCAGCCAGGACTGCAACGGTATTCGGTACAAGGGCCGTAGCGGTGGTCGGGTCGAAAAGAGGGTCGATACCTGGTCTCGCGCGGAGAATAGGGCGATCCACTCCCGATTTTCGTCGGTACCACCGCCATCCTTCTCGCACGACTTCGACGGCAAGAGATCTTCTGGTTGCATCGACATCGACTCATTTGTCACATACTCCACATCCTCCGACGACCCTTGGAGGGATCGACCAGAGAACACCACGTGACGGAAACAGACGAACCTCGACAAAACACCCCACAACTGCTGGAGCCGTGACAGGAACCGACGGTGCCATCGCCATGTCACCGCCGTCTTTCATGGAGAAGCTCAAATATGACGGCTCCAAGAAGGAGAAGAAGGCGGAGCCAGATCAGGAAGAAGACGGAAAGACCACGGAACCAAAGTTGCCTGAACTTTCCACCGACGATCTGCAGGCATATGATCGTATGGCCGTGTTGATGAACCGATACGTACGTTTGACCTTCTTTTTTTCCCCTTTTCTATTCTCCAGTTTCTCGATTTCAAGAGTCAATGTGCTGACATCAAGATGACTTTTTGGAATGATAGCATAATCACTTCAGACATACGTGGAACATGCTGTACCAGACTTGTACATCTGGGTCCCGTCCCGCGGGCATGTCGATACGCGCGTTCATAACTCAGGCGTTGCAACTATGCCGGGGTCTCACGATGCACCACACCATCGAGGAAACGTACGTGTTCCCCGACCTCGCGGAGCGGATGCCGCAGTTTCGCGAAAACGACCATCTCATCTCGCAGCACGAATCGATCCACGTGGGCCTGGTCAAGATGGAGCAATACCTCGACGCTTGTCGGATGGGGGAGCGTGAATTGAGATTGCCCGAATTGAAGGAGGTGATGGATAGTTTCGGCGAGGTGTTGTGGCAGCACCTTGACGACGAAGTGGAACAATTGGGCGCGGAGAATATGAGGAAGTTCTGGACCAAGGAGGAGATGTTGTCGATGAACTGGTAGTGGAACGATTGGTTTTGGGGATTCATAGCTTCTGGAGAGATGGATCGATGTTCTGTCGTTCGCTGGCGCCTGCGAGATAGAGTGTGTGATTATAGAGTGTTGTCCGGGGACTTCCCAAATACAACAACCTTTCAATCAGGACCTAGAGAGCCTCTCTCGTAGTCTCGGTACAATCTTAAACTTCGTCCCGTTCCAGAAAACCTGGATCATTTTGTACTTTCCTCTCGAATTTGGTCCACCAATCCTGGAAACTCTTCAATGGAACGACCTCTATACCATTGGCTGTGTTTCCGGCAAAGCTGGCCAGAAAATTGAAAGCGTTCTTGATGATCCGCTGAGCGAGAACCTTGGTGTCTAGTGGTCGTTTTGCAAGGGCCATGGAACCGGAGGACTCTTGCAGCTGTGCCATTTGAGCCTGTATGTTCTGGACCGGCTCGACGGAGATGCCGAGATTGATTTCTCCGGCGGCTAGAGAGTCCGGGATGTTCACCTTGAACAAGGCCGAGGGCTTCTCGTTGGCGATGGCGCCCAGGAACTTGAAGCCTTGCTCGCCGGGCAGTTGCATGTAGACTCCGGCTGCCGATCCCGGCGGCAGCACTTGATTCGGGTGCATGAAAACGCCTACATTGTGGAACTGTGGTGAGGCTGGGAATGAAACGGCGAATTGGGTTTGGGAGATTGTGCCCATCTCGGCAATCACCGGTCGAGATGGGATGAACACACCAAACATGTTGGAGGTCCGGGGTTGCGATAGCAAGATATTTGAATGCCCAGGTGTGTATGTGCGTGTCGAGTGTCAGGTCAATCCTCGGCGCTCGCGGGGATTCGACTGGTTTGATCTGACTTGGGTGTATTACCCGGAGAGTATATGAGCAGCACAAGCTCACTGCAAGAAGGGAGGACTAGCTCCTGATCAAGTCTTCGTAAATGTACAAGGCCATGATCAGGCTGGACCCGGAAGCACGGAGGAGTTGCGTTGGTAGTTAAGTGATGCAGCTGATGGGTCCGCGAAGAAACGTCGCTCAGCTTCTGGAAGAGACTAGCGTGGAAACTGGCTTGATCACGTGGCGAAAGAGCTGATTTGCACGTGACACGCGATTCTGTTATGACCGCGTACTCTGTACACGGTCAAGAGGACGAAAGTTTGACCACTTCATCACTTTAGGAATTTATGCCTTGGACACTCGGAATTCTGCGTGCAGGACTTTGACTTGTCAGTCATCACGGTTTTGACTCCTTTGCCTTTTGCCTGCTGGAGACAGTTCAGATCCCGCGTCAAAGTCTCTTCTTCTGATGGACGGTACTCGATTTGGCGCTTGAGCGATTCGATTGCTATCCAGAGACCGTCAGACTATCAATATTTCCTGAATACTTCAGCAAGTGGATCTTTGCTTACCTTCGTCTATCTTCTGTTTCGGAAGCTTCGGTTTTGACGAAGTGTTGCCCATGCTGGTCGAAGCGCCTCACAGTCTTCAGTCACGGCAGAGAGACGTTTTCTGTGACCCTGATACAATAGCGATGTGATAGTTTCCACCCACGAATGACCAATTGAATGGTGGTTATTCTAGCTGGGAAGGTACGGTACACACAAAGATGTTGATATTACTTGACATTAGTGATATAGGCATGCACAATGATGTCACATCCATTGAGGCCTCATCTCATACTCGAGTATTCTTCTGCAGTACTGTGAGTATAGATCAAGGTACGAGTCATACGTCCCCTCGATAATTTTCCACTACGAGGGTTGCGAAAATCTCAAACAAAGATCATCTACTCTTTGATTGGCATTTCGCCTACCAAGCCATTCAGCAGATCTCCAAGGCCATCCGCCATGCCACCCTCGGAAATATCTGCCATCCATTGCATAAAGTGATCAGACTCCAGAACATCCGGCTGTGAGACTGCTTCAGGAAATAAAGATCTTTCACGCTCTTTTTCCACCAACATCGTCATGGTTCGGCTCGCCAGCTCCTCAAAAATGTCTCGGTATGGCGCTGCAGACTCGTTCCATTGTGCTATGAGTACTAAGACGATCGTACAATCTGTACACGTACTACTTACCACATCCTGTCGTACTGTCTCACGAACAGTACTTGAAGACCAAAGACAGTGGAGATATGTCAGGCCCGCCACGAAGATGGTATGGAGTGCTCCCCAGGTGTAGGTTGTTGGTTTGCCAAGTATTTCTCGTCGATAGCCATGGCAGAGATTTTCTGCTGCCTGCATACATTCAAGAAAAGTCTCATCTGTTGCAGGATCCGATGAACTTGTCAAATGACCCCGATACAAATAGATAATGGTATGGTTATAGCAAAGATCGAACCATTCGACGGCACTGAATATCGATAGCATCTCTCCCTGGAGAGGTACCGTTGGAGGAAGCGACGCCCGCCATTCCTCGAGCTCATGGCGTAACTGATCGACTCTCGCCTGGTAGTCTGGGCCTGAAGACCGATGCTGATCGATGTCTGAATAGAGCAAGGTATGTATACGGCCCCAGAGACAGCGGATGCGAAAAGTGAAGAGGGCTTTGGTAATATTTGTTGGCAGATCGTGTGGACTCCGAGTTGTGCCAAGTATGCCGCAATCTGTTATATAAATGTCGTCTATGTCCAAGGGATACTAGGAAACATCAGCGTTTTAAATGACCCAAGCATCAAGAAAGATGCGCAAATCATCATACCTCGCAGTCGACCTCATGTTGCTGCAGGGCCAACGGCCGCCCTAGTATGGTTGCAGCCGTCATGTCGATAGTCCACGCGCACCAAAAAGCTCGCTTTCGTAGCTCGATGCGAAGTGGACTTGGTTGTGAAGTTATACCAATCACTGTCGCTCGACGATGATACCCGAACTCAACGCACTGGCGTAGTGCCAACCCGGAAAGTCTCCTTGTTCCTGTCAGTACGCTCTCCCGTGATCACACAAGCTGGCCTACCAGACAGATGTTCCAGCCGGGGATCGAAGCGAATAGACCGCATAGCACAAATATGCTTGAATGGCTTCGAGGTTCTCAAGTTGTAGGACATCATCCACATAAAGTTGCGCAGCTGCGTACAATCGCTTGACACCATTCAGCATATATATCCACAGGCTGGACGGAGGTTGGCCTTACCTCAGCTGAATACCCCAAACGTGGTAGTAGCAAGGCACCAATAGCGTACACCGAAAAGGTACAGTCAGTACCAGCGTCCATTCATATTGAGATAGACGGCTTACCATGTATAAGAAGAATAGGTGTGCTGGGTCAGGATGAGATAGATCTGTGGCATCGGAAGGCATGATCTTTGCCTCCCAATCCCGAAACGATGGCTCATGCAAGAATGGATATTGTGCATGCACCTCCCGAAAGTAAGCGTCACTGAGCCTGACGCAGTCATCGTAGTCCGGAAGGAGGCATGGCGTAGGCAAGGAGCTTTTGTCTTGCTGGTGCCGCGTGCTTCCTCCTGGTTTCCTGGAGATGGCCTGAAGCAAGGCCGAGTTGATGACACGCGAGAAGGCGAAAGTCGAAGAAGAGCCTAGATAATGAGGCTCAGCACCGGCTGCAAAACTGAGCATCCCGACTTTCGAGGCCAGATCGGACACTTCATCGTAATCCTCGTCCGGTTTGCCCAAAGTCGATGGATTTTCATGTTCCTCATCGAAATCGGGCAACTGGGTTGCTACGGTGTGATTTGAAGCAGAATCATGCCTCTGCAGGACACCTTGAGACTGCGTCAAGGGGTCGTCGTCTACGCGAGTGTGTTCTGCGATGAACCTTTCGAGGTAGACCACTCGCTCTTCCAACGTTTCGAGGTAGTTCCGAGGCTGATGGCGTTTCGTTGCCGGATCTTCTACCAGGCAAGCTAACAGGCATCAGCAAACAGATATCTTAGAGGGACAAAGTGACTATTCACCTAAGCCGAACCGTTGGCAATTCGCACAACATGGTACCTGATCATCACACTATCGGCCTCATCAGCAACACCACGTATTAGCGAGACATGAAGCAACCTTCAACTTTCTCTCCTTGCAATTGATGCAAGCAAGAAGTGTTCTTTTTCCCACACGCTTCCGTTGACGCTTTCTCGGAGATCTAGATTCTGAACAGTGCGTATCACGCAGCATTTTCCAGGTTCAGCGAAGTGAAAGAAGACGCATGTTATCAGTCTCCGGGCGACGTCCTTCTCGCTAAACTTATAGGTCACATTACACAGTGAGCAAGCCTGGAAGCCCCCCGCATCAAGATCACGAGCGTCAGCATGATTATTGGCTCCCAAGGGCCATGTTCATTGATCAGCACCGACCTATCGAGATACCGAGGCACCTAAAATGTCCTTATCTCAGGTGTTGTCCGCGCTACGAGAGTGAACCCCTTTCCCTTATCTCCAGTCGAAATGCCAGGGACCAACCATCCCTGGAGTGGGCTTCAAGGTCCCCATGCCTGCGTCTGACCCAAGCAAAGCCTCCCTCTTCATTCATAAGTATTAAACTACGTCTTATCGTCCTTGAATGCTAGCTACCAGAGTACTTTCATCATTCACACGCGATGATGCACGAGTATTGAACATAGGTCTCACGGGAATGACTCCGGAATCAAGTCCATGTGTCTTGCTGACAGCCGTCTTTCTCTTCCAAAATCATCTCTTCCTCTCCAGTGCCCCTTTACTCTGACGACTACTACAATCCTCTGATTAGACCAGGACAAACTGTAACCAGATGGAAGACTTACGCGATTTGTTCAAGATTCTCGGCCTCTATGGCGATGACTCTTGGTTTTCTCTTGGTTTTATACGCGTGAAACCACGAGCCTTGGAAGAGTTCGTCGATTTCTTCAACACTTAGACCAGACGTCTCCGGAACCAGCAGGAAAACGTAGCAGATGGCTATGAAGCACCATCCAGCGAAAAACAAGAAAGCTCCCCAATTGTGAGTAGAGGAAAGCAGAGACGGCACTGCAAAATTCATGGCGAAGAAGAAAAGCCAGTGGAAGCACTGGGATAGCGCACCACCGAACGACCGGATCCGATTCGGCCACAATTCTCCTCCAAAAAGATATGGAAGGACAAACAGACCTGACAAAAAGTGCATGTGTCAGTCTTTGGCTCCGTCTAGTACTTGCCACCGCGGGAGACTTACCAACAGCATATCCAAATGCGTGAAGAAATATCCAGGCCAGCGCACCTTGAGAAGACGCATCGCTCGCAGTCCCCTCCTGCTTGTATTTGAGATACACACCGAGGTATATGTCAGAAACCATCTGCAGCCCAGCTCCCACATATAAAGAACCACGCCGACCCAAGGCATCGACGAAGAAGAAGGAAGCTATTAGTGTGAAGAATAGCTTTGACAGGCTGTACATCCCGGTGAGGAATAGGCTGTGGGAAGTTCCTCCAGCTTTGCCCAGTAATCTGAGGACAGGGACGAAATATGATGTGACAGAGTTTGCTCCGGACAACTGGGCCAAGGCATACGAGACCAGTGTCTGCTGGACTCGGCGAAGGTTTGCAGGAACCGTGAAAGTTTCTCGCAGCACCCCAAGGAAATGTGAACGACTGCCGCCGAAGGCTTCGGTCTCCTTTTGAATGGCTTCGTGGATCTCCCCCAATTCTACTCGCACTCGGGGGTGGTCCTCAGGCAAACCGCGAATCTTGACCAAAGTCGCAATGGCTTCATCGTGTCGGCCAGCCAGCCACAGCCATCTCGGAGACTCGGTGAGGAAAAAGCTCCCGAATATCAGGATCGCAAAAAACACACAGGGTGAGAACCATACGATCTGATATTGCAGGCGACTCTCGCCAACGTGTATGTAGACTCCATACACGCAGAAGACTGCGCATACCGATGATACAGTCATAGCAACACTGAACCAGACGGCGAGCAACCCACGAATTTCCGCAGGAGCAATTTCGACAATCGACATGGTGCCCGTGACCGTGAGGGGGCCAATGCCCAGCCCTGATATCACTCGGGCGGCATATAGTCCTGTCAGCCCTGGCGCCGAGGTAGCCACAAGCTGGCCAATGATCCAGATCGTTATGTACAGACGCCACGACCATAGACGTCCGATGCGATCATTAATGAAGAATGACAGCAGGGCGCCAACACCGGCACCAAGGTAAACGATCGAAACGAAGTATCGCAATTGGTCTGCGTCGGAGTTGCTGAAACCAAATTGACGCTGAAATCCTGGAAGGGTGGGAACAACTGACGAAGAGCCTTGGTCCCAGGCTACAATTGACATCAGTGTTGACCAGATACCGGAGACTCGACTTACTGAGCGGCATAGAAGCTGTCGCATAGAGTGCCGTGGACAATAGCAAATGCTTGTTGAATATCACCTCTCGAGGTGTGGCTTTGATGACCCTGGCATACTTTGCCAAGGTCGAGTCAGTGATTATCTGCTTCAGAGCCATTGTAGTACGCATACAAGTGAGAATCACAGGCTGTATTGCTCTCGGGGGAGATTTCGAAGTTTATGCTTCTTCGCCTTCATGATAACAAGCTGTGTTATCTATCGACCAGCACCGGTACCCATCCACTGCCAGTCCCTACAGACCCCCGCAGTCTGCTATCTTCACAACTGATATCCGTCCAATTTGCCGTCAGGAAGATCCCGATCATGAACCAATCGAGAGCTGGCGCAAGACACGAAACGAGGAAATGTATCTAGGAACTGTCGTGCATTTGCACTTTCATTCACACGCTACCCGGAAGAATAAGAGCTGCCAATAAGCAATGAGCTGCTTCTGGGAGAGGCTGCCCCTCCCAGTCGGAAGAATACGAGCCACCAATAGGATGTCTTTGGTCGATAAAGATACCCCGGTCACCCTTGCTACGGCCTTGCATAGCGTTCCAGATAATCAGGCAATATATGTTGGCTCTCCCTGTTCAGAGCAATTCCGCATTGTGAGGTCGTCACATTGCTCTGTGCTTGATGTCCCGTCATGGCGACCGTCTCAAAAGATTCTCCTATCGTAATTATAGGAGCAGGTGTGTTTGGCTTGACCACGGCTATCCACCTTGCCAGACGAGGTTACAGCAAAGTACAAGTGTTGGACAAGCAGCCATACAGACAAACTCTCTACGCTTATGAATCAGGTTGTGATGCAGCATCAGCAGGTGGGATCAACCCCTGTGGTCAGGCCATTGCGATAAAACTGACCACAAGTAGATATAAACAAGATCTTACGAGCTCCGTACGGAGAGGAAACAGAATATCAGAATCTTGCTCTCGATTCAATTTCCCAGTTTAAGAAATGGAATGAAGAGATCAAAAGTGGACAGACACTTCCTCCTGGGTTCTCAAGAGCCGACGTAATATATCGCAACAATGGCAACCTGACCGTCAACGACACACCGGAACTCACACAGTTCGACATTGCTACGATGAAGAACTTCGCAGCGGTTGGACTCGGAGGAACGCAGATTGTTCTTACCAATCCAGACGATGTCAAACGAGCAGAGGCTGGAGGATTTGCATTTGCTGTCAACCCTTTCCGACGGAAGCCTGAGCAGAACTACGGCATCCTCGATACCTGGGGCGGCATGGTACACGCCGACCGTGCTTGTCGGGTTGCTCTCTACAAAGCAGAGCAGTTGGGAGTCGAGTTGGTGCTAGGAGGGCGCACAGGAACTTTCTCTAGATTTCTTCGCGATCCCCATACTCAAAAAGTCGTGGGAGTGCAAACAGACGATGGTGTTTCTCACCGAGCCGATCTGACAATCATGGCCTGCGGCGGATGGACACCATCCCTCATTCCCGAACTGGATGGATTATGCGAGACAACGAGCGGAAGTGTCAGTATCTTCCAGCTCCCGAAAGGAAACAAAACGCTGTGGGACCGGTTCGCACCTGAGAATTTCCCAACATGGAAGTGAGTTACCATGGACGATTAGGTGTTGAGCATGTGCGATCTCTGACTGTCAACCAGATACAAGATCCGAGATGGAGCGGCAGGGGGGCTCTACGGGTTCGCGCGAGACTCACAGGGCAGAGTCAAGATTGGCTATCGTGGAACAAAGTATACCAACCCGCAGATCCAGCCAGACGGCGGTGTGAGAAGTGTTCCAATCACTCGTTGGACACGAGAGTCGACTCGACAACTACCCGGGCAAGCCGCAAAGGTCATCCGGGGGTTTCTTGAGCAATATCTACCCGAGCTCTTGCCATGTCCAGTCATGACACGACTGTGCTGGTATACAGACTCCTTTGACAATCATTTTGTCATCGACTTTGTGCCGGGTATGGATGGAGTGATGGTTGCAACAGGAGGGAGTGGACATGGCTTCAAATTCCTGCCAAACCTGGGCAAGTACGTGGTTGACAGGATAGAAGGGAAGCAGGATGACAAGGGTTTTTTGGAACGTTGGAAATGGCGTAGTCTGAAGGCTGGAGAAAAGGCGTTTAACAATATCATGGAGGGAACCCGAAGCAACAGAGCCTTGCAAAGACAGCCTCTTACGATGGAGGATAGTCTGAAGATGCAAAGAAGCTCCTTGTGAGGCCTTGACATATCACCACACGGCGGGGTTCAGCTGCATTCCACGGCATAGAGAATATTTATTCACCGACGCCGATGCTACCAGAGCAACAGGCGATATTTCATGAATGTGGTCCATGATCCTTGGATGATTGTGATGGTGACTCATCGATGATCCGAATACGAGTGGTTTTCGTCTAAGATGAATCAGTGAATTAAATGATGATCTCCTGGGCGAGTGGGCACCTTCAAGGGGCTCCTCGTATATTGATGAACACAGTAAGTACTTATGTCCGTAGAGTGTTGGAAAGGCCCCCCCGGAGAAAAGAAATCCACGCCCCGAGTGAATTACGGGGGGGAGTTTGTTTGCTTTCTAAGCATCAATCCCCAGACTCGGCACCATCTTCTTCCCTACGCCGAGTTGCCCCGACCACACAAAAACACCAAAACCCAGACAAAGGCCCATTGGTTCGTATAGACAAGCCACCGCAACGAGGAGCACACGGTAGTGTTGACACGTTCTGTCCCCGTTCGCCAAACATTTCGCCTGATTTAGCCCCGAAGTTCATGAACCTTTCAAGGGTTCACGGAGCAACTTTCGTCCTCGCTCACTAGCTCGTTTTCGTATTTGCAGCAAAACTCAATCCGATCGCGCGAACAGGCTCCCGTTTCTCTTTTGTTTTCCTACCAATCTCATGACATCAAGATTATCATTAGGTGAATATATAAGACGGAGCTGAAAAAAACAGGGTCGGTCAGTCAGGCAGGCGGCTCGGCGAGTTGGGAACTTACTATATTGTTGTGTTCATTACTTTGTTTGGTGTGTGACATTTGGTTCTCCGTACAGCAGCAATAACAACAGTAGAAGTTACTCTGTGTAAACTTCTTTTGACAACAAGTGCAGGAACGTACTTATGGGCTCACCCGAGATTCGAGGCGGCGGGAAAGACTCGACGACAATGCAGCCCGAAAACATCTCGGCGGCGACGACGACGACGACTGATCCCAAGGACGAAACGCTTCCCAACGGCAAATCTTCAGCTGCTGCTGCCCACCGGTCATCGTCACCATCAACCTCTTCCTTGTCGTCGTCACTCAAAGGCGACGAAAAGGGTGTCCAGACTCTGTACGAAAAGGATGGGAATCTGGCCACGACAGACTCTTCCGAGAAGGACGAAGAAGGCCAACCCGTGCCAGTGTCTGGTGGCGGCGACGCCGAGGATGGAGAAAACTACCCGCACGGACTCAAGCTCATCACCCTCATCATCGCCCTGTGTTTGGCCGTCTTCCTCGTCGCCCTGGACCAGACCATCATCGCCACGGCCATTCCCAAAATCACCGACCGTTTCCACAGCGTCGACGACATAGGCTGGTACGGCAGTGCTTATTTCCTGACAAGCACCGCCCTGCAACCCAGTTTCGGTCGAATATACAAGGTCTTTCAGATCAAATGGGTTTTCCTTTCCGCCATTGGTGTCTTCGAGGTGGGATCGTTGATATGTGCCGTGGCCCCTTCGAGTACCGCCCTGATCGTCGGGAGGGCCGTCGCTGGCATCGGGGTCGGTGGTATCTTTTCCGGTTCCTTGGTCATTATCGCTCACTCAGGCAAGTTTGATTCAATATCCCGTCGCTTCGTGATTCAACATTGCTGACACATTACTCTCCTGAGTCTTACAGTCCCTCTGATACGTAGACCTTTGGTGTTTGGCACATTCGGTGCGATGTGGGGGCTCGCCAGTGTCGCTGGACCTTTGTTGGGAGGCGTCTTTACGGACAAGGTCTCATGGAGATGGTGCTTCTACATCAAGTGAGAGAGCCCTTGCGATTACTCACCAAGCGACACTTGTTTGTTCGCAACGCGTAACTGACAATTACGGATAGCCTCCCGATCGGTGCCTTTTCAGTCGTGGTCGTCCTCTTCGTCCTCCATGTCCCTCAAGATCCAAGACTCTCCGAGAAGCCCATCCTGAAACGAATCCTCGAGTTGGACCTCATGGGAGCCGCGATCCTCATCCCCGCCATCATCTGTCTGCTCCTGGCGGTCCAATGGGGCGGCTCGACGTACGCGTGGAACAATTCTCGCATCATCGGCCTTTTCGTCGGTGCGGGACTCTTGTTGATTCTGTTTTCCATCTCGCAGTGGTACCTGGGCGAGGCGGCCACCATCCCTCCGCGCCTGTTGAAACAGCGTACCTTGATGGCCGCGTGTGGGTTCGTCTTCTTTTTCGGCGCCGGCATCTTCGTCCTGATGTACTACCTGCCTCTCTACCTCCAGAGCGTCAAGGGGTCATCACCTACCAAGTCCGGCATCCAAATCCTACCTCTGATGTTGTCGACCGTCCTCACGTCGATCCTGGGCGGCATCATGGTGACGATCTTGGGGTATTACACACCGATCCTGATCGCCGCCAGTGCCCTCATGACCGTGGGGTACGGATTGATCTCCACTTGGACCGTCGACTCTCCCTTCCGAGAGTGGTTCGGCTACCAGATCTGTGCCGGTCTCGGTGCTGGATTCGGCTTCAACTTGCCTCTTGTCGCCGTCCAGACGGCCCTGCCGATGAAGGACATCCCTCAGGGTACGGTTCTACTAATGTTCTGTCAGTCGCTGGGTGGCGCGTTGTTCATCGCCGTCGGACAGTCGGTCTTTTCCAACGGTCTCGTCGAGGGCGTGGCGAAGTACGCTCCGGATCTCGACCCACAGCTGCTCATCAATACCGGAGCCACCGCGATCCGGGGCGTGCTGGCCAAGAACGGGATGGAGGGCCAACTTCACCAGGCCATCGAGGCTTACGTGTACGCGTTGAAGGATTGTTACCGGGTGTCCATCGCCGTGGCGGGCATGTCCTTTTTCGCCGCCTGTTTCTTGGAGTGGAAGAATGTGAAGAAGGCGAAACAGCCTGGTGTCGAGGCCATGCCGGCAATGGGATGACAGGCCTACCTGCAACGGGCTCAAAATCGGGGGTTTTTTTTTGGATGACTGAACTCCCAACTCTTCGCGTATTTGATGTCTAGATAGACTTGCTGTACAAAAAGACATTCTGATTCTCAATTCTCGTCCTGAATACCATGAACTTGCGGGGAGACACTATGGGGCCGCCGCGCCATTGTGTTGCGGTGTCAAGGAGTGTGTGCCTGGAATCCACGGGGTGAGCTCTCGCAGGTGTTCAGCAGGTCAGCAGATTTTTGTCTCGTGATCGCAGCCATTGCTTCTCCAAGGCTGCGTTCCCAGCAACACCTTTCCCCTCCACGCCTACCTCTCAGTCCCAGGTCCCTTCCCGGGCCTACCTCATAACCCAAGGTCATGGGAGAGCCCGTGAAAAGATCCCCCCCAATGGAGGTATCGATGTTCAACGATAAAAGTCTGAATCGGTGTGGGCGGACAAATGCAAGTCGAGCCGGAATTTGCAGATGCGGACGGGGATGTCGACAGCCTGGCACGCAGCGATGCTGAGCCTCTCAAATCACGTGGCCGGACCGTGAACAACGAAGGACTCCGGATGGTAAGAAATCCCCGTGCGTGGTCTGCCGGGAGAGTACCGACCCCGAAGCTCTCGCCCGTTCAGGGCTTCTACGCCTACGGCTTGTCGTGGTCGAGTGACCGATGAAGTCTCTCCCGCAGGAGACTCTGGGGCCCCGAGTTCCGGGTGACATCGTACTCGAGTGGCCCATCCCATCGGGATACCGGCTTGCCCATGGGAGCCGGACTCGGCAAAGTGTCGGCCACGGCGAGCGTGAGCTCACGGAAGCATGTGCGTGCCCACTGCAAACAGACAAGGGTACATTGGTACTTGATAAGACCCGACGGTTGGCCTTTGTCGTCGCTCTGAGACGGACATCCTCTCACCATTGACCACCCCCCTGCTCGTCATTCTTCTCAACCGACCCTGGGCGCTCTCTACATGTTACCAAACGTAAGTGACTGACACCGATGGAAGACTCTCCCCCGCCTCCCCCCCTCCTCTCCCTGGCGGTAAAGGATCAAGTCCATCTCTGACGGGGTCGGGCTCGACAGTTTTCGCTCAGAGGCCGGACGGCGGTCGTCACCGGAGGTGTGGGCGGGATGGGAACCAGCTTGACGAGGGCGCTGGTCGACCACGGCGCCAACGTGGCCGTGTTCGACCTGAGGATGCCCGAGGGGGAGTTGCTGGAGGCGGCAAAGGCCAAATCTGTCAAGGTCCGGGGTTACATGTGAGTGCGAATGCCGCGGGATGTGACGTTTTCCAACAAACCCCCGTTTCCAAACAGCGTCGATGTCACGTCCATGGAGTCCCTCACGAATGCGTACACCCGGGTGGAAAAGGACTTTGACGGCAAACTGGACATTTTTGTGGGCGCCGCCGGCATCAGTCATGTCGTCGATTTTCTCGACGTCGACTGGGAGTCACACCTCAAGGTCATCACGGTCAACCAGATGGGTCTGTACCACAGTGCTCAGCTGGCCGGCCGGCTGATGATCAAGAGCGGCACCAAGCACGGCAGTATGATTCTGATCGGCAGCGCCTCCGCGACCAACGCCCCGCGATCGGTCAACACGTCGGCGTACAACTCGACAAAGGGGGCCGTTGTGGCCATGACCATGGCCATCGCCAAGGAGATGGGGGTTCACGTATGTCCGAGTTACACAAAGTGTAGTCTACTTCTGATCCAGATCTAGGGCATTCGTGTCAATTCCGTGTCACCCGGCTATTGTATCACGCCTCTGACCCGAGATTACCACCAACTACATGAGGCTTGGGCTAAGGAGAGTATGTTGGGTTTCGTGCCGGACGGCGATGACATCGCTGGGACGTGTATCTTCCTCGCTGGTGACGCGAGCCGGGCCATCAACGCATTCGATCTCGTCATCGACGGCGGCGCGACCAAGTGGTAGCCGAGTTGTTATTAAATAATTTCAATCGACTATGTGGAAGCTATTCCTTGTCCTCTTGCAGTGCCGCGGCACGTCCGCAACTTCCTTCAATTTCTAAATGACTAGACTATTTCAAGTTTGTTCAGCACACTACCAAGCGTGGACGGTTGAATCGTTGTCGTCATGACACCGTGCCGGCCCCCAAACAGGCCAACTTGAACCGGAATCGCCCAGTCGAAGTGAACCCAGTCTGCATCTTTGAGCAAATTGGCACATGATAGGGCTGAGAATATTTTGGGTCAACCTGTCAAAGCTTGACAACGATGACTGTCGCTCAGGCGGTACGCAGAGAGGCATTAACGTACAGGCTGCCAGAGGTGAGGCAGATGCTGCATGATGCATTGGCCATCGGGTGAGGATTTCCAGTATCCTTACCTTCAGCTCGTCTTGGAGTGCTACCATGTCGTTTGTGTTGATGTGGTTGTCCCAGGCCGCATGTGGCCTGGTGGAAGGCGTGGCAAAAGCACAGGCGAGGACCAGATGCGCAAAAGTTGCCCAATTACTTTCCGCGACGGGTCTTTCCTTGACCGAGGAAAGGTGTGGTGGTAGGCGGATAAGAAGCTGCAAATACATCTTCTCATTCGTAAAGGTCCTCTCATCGTGGAGAGAGGTGTCACCAGAGAGGACGGCATCGTGCCCGAGAGATACAAGAAGCCTTGACACAAGGTACCAGGCGTATGAACTCTTATTTCCACACCCTTCCAGGGACTTCCATGGATCTTCGTTCTCCGAGGTGATCCGCACCGATGCGGCCCCCACCTCTGCAAACCAAAGATCGTCGGTCACTGGAAGCAGGACCGGGTTGAGACGTCTGTCGACTGCGAAAGGTCTGCAGGACATGGTGGACAAGACAGTGTCCAAGTCCCAGATCAGCCACCATGCTCGTCTTCTTTCCTCCATTTCCACCCAGTCCATGTTCTGCCTCCAGCGACGAGTAGGGTCAGCATCAATATCGCAGACCCCGAGCTCTTGGGCAAACCTCACGCAGAACCCGGTACGAATCCACGCACTTGCAAAGTCGCCCGACGTGAGCGAATAGTACGACAGCATGACACTGCCTTGTAGGGTCTCGAGGCTATACATACCACGGGCCTGAAGTTCAAAGTGCAGACGCTGTGCCTGCAGGGCGAAGTATCCCTCTTTGCCGACGAAGGATTGTCCACCAGTAAGCGCTGGCGGTGCGAACCTCACGGCCAACGCAAAGATACTGCACAAGAGGAACGCGCTATCCGAGTCGAGGGCAGATAAAGCGTGGTCGCCGTACATTAACCGCTCTTTGCATGTCTTTGTGAACCTTGGACGGTGCAAGATCGGCATCCAGGGTTGCACGTGGTCAAAGAAAATGTCGACGAGCTGGAGGGCCGAGGCATGCTCTATGAAAGTGGAGGCCTGGATTTTGGACAGACGCTCCAGGGCGGCATCTACACAACCAAGGTCGTCGGATGGAGGTTGCAGTGAAGCGACACTGAGCTCCAATGTCGAGCTGGGGACGTCTGCAAAGATGTCCTGCATGTACTCGGTCGAGGACAGTAGTTGCACATCGGGGATGCCCGAAAAGCCAGTGCTCGATGCGTTTTCGAGGACGATGCTTGGACTCGCAACCGCGCGGGTTAACTCGTTCTTCTTATCTGCATCATCCGCGGCGGCGGTGGAGGGCTTCTGGTCGAGCATCTCTATGAGGCGACTGATGTCCTGTACCACATGTTCGAGTTTGCGATGGTTGCTCGGGTTGCGTTGCAGCTTCTTCCGTTTGGTCGGGTACTCGCACGAAGATTGAGCACGACAGCAGCAACTGCAAGTCGGACGGGCTCGGTCACACTTTGTTTTGCGGCGATTGCAGGCGCTACACGCACGTGTATTTACTGCTGGCGTAGGAGTCGCTGGGGAGAAGGCGACTTCACCGACCTCGCTGGATTGCATTTCCGTCTCCATTTCTAGATCTGTTTGGGGCTCACAAAAGGTGCAGTTGCGAGATAAATGTCCCTCGACAGATTAATCACTCACTGAACAAACCATAAGTAAATTCGCCTGAAGTGTCAAGGCATCGTGACGAGAAAGAACCATGCACTATGGCAGGCCATGCTCTACTATGCGGAGTTCTTTGGAATAGTGTGTTTCGCCTAGTCTGGAAAGCCTGTGCACTGTGTACGTGGGCTTTGTGTTTATCCCACAAACGTCTGGTCGACAGAGCGTTAACGAGGCTGTGGAGGTTCAAGTCACAAGTCACAGCTTCCCCACAACGTCCGCAGCTCCACTCCACTCACACTGTTTGGGGGTAGTTCAAGGCTCGTCTAACCCGATGTGGCAAATTAGTTTGCTTGATTCATAAACTGTAGTTCGACCCCTAGACCGAAGCTATACTTGCTCTAACAATTGAGATGGCCCTGGTGACTGCGGCCATTACGGGGTCCGATCAATACCGGCCAGAGCTACGGCGCCGATCAACGCCGGGTCACCTGCGACGACCCTTATGGATCGGGTGTATAGGTCTACGTATAGCATGGCATCGTACATCAAGCATCCTTCCGCCACAGCCACAGCCACCGTGACTCAAACGTCGAGCATGCGAGTATAGCACCGAAACAATGTCACGACTAGCAACATTACCAGTGTCTTTGCCACAGCCATCCTCCCCAAAACCACCCAATGATTTGGCCGAAAGAATATTGACCAGTTTCGACAATCTGACCGAAGACTGCTTCGTCGAAGACGCAACATGGAGAGACAGCTATGCAGTCACTGGAACTCTGCGGACGTTCTACGGGACGGCGTCGATTTCTCGGGCGTGGAAGGACTGCCTCAAATTGAGCAAGGCGTCGATTTTCACAATTGCTCCAATTCCGCCCGAGGAGATGCGTCTCCCTGGAGGTTCGTTCTGGATGGAAATTGGATATGGCTTTGAGACGGACGACTCTTACTGCATCGCTCTGGTTTCGGTGGTCCCGGATCCCGCGGGCGGAAGTGGCTGGAAGATCTGGGTGCTGAGGACCATCTTGCAGCAGCTGAAGGGAGCGCCTCGGATCGACGTCTACGACCCGAGTGCGGCAGACGGTGGCGGAATGGTCAATGGGAATGGAACAACTACAAATGGCACCTCTCAGGAATCCAGTTACCAGTTCGATTGTGTCATTGTCGGTGCCGGTCAAGCTGGCTTGGACGCCGCCGCCCGCTGCGCAGCTCAGGAGATATCGTACGTCGTGATCGATAAGCAGGCCCGCATGGGAGACAACTGGAGAAACCGTTACGACTCGGCGCGGCTCCACACGGTCCGCGAATACGCCCATCTGCCTTACGAGCGCACCTTTGACGAATCTTATCCGGAATATCTGCACAAGGACGACCTCGCCCAGGCGTACGCTAGGTACGTTGAGAAGATGCACATCAACGTGTGGCTGTCGAGCCTGTTGCAATCGGGACAGTGGGACGAGAGCCGGCAAAAGTGGACCTTGCACGTCAAGACCGATGGTGTGTCCCGGGAAGTTGCGTCCCACTTTGTCATCCTGGCCGTGGGAGCTGGCGGGCAGGTTCCATCCCTCCCTATGCTCCCGGGGAGAGTAAGTTTGTTGACTTTCGACGGAGCCGCCAGTACTAATGACGTGCAGGAAAAGTTCAAAGGGGTGGTTTTGCATTCTGAAGAGTACAGATCCTCAAAGGGCTTCGCCGGACGACGCGGCGTCGTGGTTGGCTCCGCCAACACCGCACACGATGTGGCCGACGACATGCTGGACGCGGGCCTCGCTTCGGTCACCATGGTCCAAAGGTCAAAGACGTTCGTTCTGCCCCAAGAGTGGTACGTCCAGACACAGACCAAGTTGTACAACGCGGCTCTACCTACCGACACGGGCGACATGTTGAGCAACACTTACCCCAACGCGGTTTTCCGCTTGATCGGTTCGGCCACTTTCCACACGCTCGCACGAATGGACCCCGGCAGATTTGAGGCTCTGGAAAATGCAGGTTTCAGAGTGGACGTCTTCGGCGATCCGGCCTACCACCTATTTGAACGTCTTGGTGGTCACTATATGGATGTCGGCGTCAGTGCGAAGATCGCCGCGGGCCAGGTAGTTCCAATGTCTTTCTTCCCCCGGCTCGAGTCGGTGCTAATTGAAATTTCCAGATCAAGATGAAGTCAGACGCTGCACTCACGCACTACACCGCCAGCGGACTAGGATTCGCTGATGGAACAGAGCTGCCCGCCGACCTGATCGTTTTCGCCTCCGGTTTCGATCTCAACATGAAAAATCAAGTGAAGGAACTATTCGGAGAGGAGGTGGCCGGGAAGTTTGGGGACTTCACCACCATGAACGAAGAGGGTGAAGCCTCTGGAGCATACAAATTTTGCCGTTAGTTGTTGCCCAGACTCTCTAGACCCTACTAACGTGCTGACTGCTTGCAGATCCTGGTTTGGTTTGTGTAGGTGGAGCCATCGGTCCGGCGAGATGGTACACGAGACTCGTGGTTCTGAGCATCAAGGCGTCATTGATGGGCAAACCATTGAAACTTTACCTGGGAGAGAAGAGGTTGAAATGATTGGAAGTGAATTGACGGTGGCAGGAGAGGAAACAGACCTAGGCTTTTGTTCGCAGGAGGTGGCCGGAACAACCAGTTCGCAATAGATGGGGCCGAAGGAGTATCCTGGATAAAAATAGCCAATGTTGATAGCCATACTAACAAAGATGCCTCACTTTTCTATTGCCGTTGAGGCTGGACCAACGTCTGTCTTAGCTCTAGTCCTTCCTGACACATCGCTATTGGAGGCTGGAGTCCGGGGTTGTAGATGAACCCCGGGCTGACCACGCGACGTCCAGACCATCTCCAGAGTCCACACCTGCGTTTCAATGTGGATCCCCCCGATCCGTATCCTGGCCAAGGCAACAACTGCATCTGATCCTAAAGCGGTGGAAGGGGGAAGTGTACCACGGCGTCGGCAACAGGATTAACTGCCGCACTTGACCGTGCCTGTCGAAGGGGGGCCAAAGCTCGGACAGCTGCTGCGGTGGTCACAGTATTCCTCTACCGTACCAAAGACGGGTTCGAGGTCGGGTATCCACCTACACCCCGGGTTGAAACTACCCCGGGGTTCTGAAGCCATCTGGAGTAAACAGGGGCTACTGCACGGTTTGTAGTAGGTGGCAACATTAGGTGGTCTGTCGAAAAATCTATATCTTGGAGCCATGTCCTTCCGACTCCTCCTGCCATGCATCTTCCAGGAAGATCGTGAAAACAGAAAGACCGCGCTCTAGATATAACCAATCTTTACCATGGAACCTAGCGAGGAAAAACCTGAAGCACTCGACGTCCACGTCGAGGAGGCACAACCAAAGATTGGCAGAAATGGAGTCATTCTCATCCCTCGCCCTTCGGATGATCCCCGAGACCCCTTGGTACGTCCATACGAATTTCACCTTAATAAGGGCCCCTTTGTTGACGACTTGGACAGAACTGGCCCACCAGCAAGAAGATTTTGACTCTGGTCATCGTGTGCCTGGCAAGCTTTGCGGGCCTCATCGGTCCGCAAGCCAATCTGGCGGGCTACATGATCCAAGCCGAAGTATACGGCACGACACCACTTAGAGTGGCATATTCGGTACTTGCCCAATGCCTCTTCTTTGGGTGACCATGCTGATTTTTGACTGATAGCTTACCGGCGCCGGGGTTGCCCTGGCTGTCGGTCCGTTTCTCTGGTCGCCACTATCCAAGGTGATGGGGAGGAATGTCATGATCTTCTGGTCCATGACGATTCTGGCCATGTGCAACATCTGGGCCGCGTGCATGAATGGTCCCAATGACTATGCGCCGTACATGGCTTCCAAGGTCATTGGGTCTTGGTTCGCCTCAGCGTCTGCGAGTAGTGAGTTGGCCCCGTCTTGACAGCCAGGAGCTGTCTGTGGCTAACATTTGGGATTCCAGTCTCCGCTTCCATACTCGTGGAAATCTTCTTCTTGCATGATCGTGGCAAAGCTTTCGCCATCTGGCTCAACTGCGGGCTGATGGGCAGCTGCGCGGCCGGGACGGTGTCAGGATACATTGTGCAAAACACCACCTGGCAGGTCCAGTTCTGGTACAACGTGGGCCTTGAGTTTTTTGTCGCGCTGCTGTCCTTGTTCTTCCTCGACGAGACCAGGTTCGTGCGCGACGGCGACGCCCAAGAACAAACGCCGCGCTTGGGCACTTTGTCCAGACTCGCGGGCTTCCTCTTGCTCAAGCGGACAGTACCCAGGAAAACCTTCCGGGACTTTCTCGGGTATGCCGCCATGCCGTTCAAGGCGGCGTACTCGACCACGGCCGCTCTGGTCGGACTCGCCCTGATGATGAGCATCACCTGGGCGACGGCGGTGAACACCTCGCTGGCGCTCTTCCTCCAGGCCCCCGTGGAGCGGGGAGGCTACGGGTTCACACCGGCAGAGAACGCAGCCTTCACCTTCACCACCTGGGTCGCGGTCGCGGTCTCCCAGTTGTACAGCCAGCTCGTCAACGATCGCCTGCCTCTAGCCATCTGTAAGCGGAGGCGCGGCGTGTGGCACCCCGAATACCGACTGTACCCGTTGGTGCTCCCCATGGGCATCGCCAGCATTACGGGACTCGCCATATTCGGCGTGGCCCTGCGGCACCACTGGGATCGCATCGTGCTCGCCTTTGGCATGTTCCTCATCTATTTCGCCGACATCAGTACCATCTCCCCTAGCTCCACCTACGTCGTCGAGTCCATCGGGACCGAAGCCGCCACCGAGGTCATCACGGTGCTCAGCTTTTCCCGTCTCATCCTGGGCGTCCTGGTACCACTGTTTCTCTTTGACTGGATCGCAGCCGTCGGAGTCAACTGGGTCTTTGGAACCATGGCCTTCATGAACGCCGCAGCGTTTGGGATTGTCTTCATCCTGATGATCTTCGGGTCCAGGCTTCGCAACCTCGACAGAGTCGGAACCCAAGCGGAGGACGAAATAAAGGTCATGCTAGCCACCATCGTGGCACATTAGTGATCAGGAAGCCAGTTCATCTCCGAGGCCTCGACATCGGTTTGCGGCATGATTAATTTTGGGGCAATTGCTTTTCGGCACTGATCTATTCCGGGGAGGAAGTAAAGCTGTTCACTATGTAATTCATGCGAGACGCAGATCTGCGCCTCACTCGTAGCCGGTCCATGAATTTCAAAATAGAACGAGATAGGGGATGATTGAACTTCACATCACATCAAATTTGTCAGAGTCTTACTGAAGATAGTACAAGCAATTGAGTGGTGACGCACACTGAATACAGGACAATCCTATCCAACAACGATTCAATGCCTGAGAAGCTCCAGTAGTTCGTGACAAAATCCCTGTGGAAGGCCCCTGGCAGTGGATAATTTACTTTAAGAAAACAATTTATCCTGAAAAGCCGCTATTCAAACCACGCAGTAAATACTCAGGGAACATCTACCTCAGATATCAGTCCATTACTCAGATCTTGATAAAACCCTGTAACCTTAACACGCTCTTTCACCAGTGGGTGGCTCCTGAGAAACTCCACATCTTGCTTGATGCTATCGATGATGATCTCTTTCTCGTCTTTGTCACCTCGACGGATGAAAGGCAAAGTCCCCATGGACTGGCAGTGAGGGTACGCAGAGGGGCTGTATTGCCCGCTTCTTGACGGTGAATTCTTTTGAACCAAGTCATGGACCCATTGGTTGTTGTAGTATAGTGAACCACAATCTCAATTCTTGTCAGTCTGTGATTTTCGCCACAACCTATGTCTGTATTGGGAGGGCGTTCTGCGAGCTTACTTTTGTGGTGCAAGACCCTGATCTCTTTGACCTCGCTGGTCGCCTGGAGGATCATCAAGGATCGGAGGAGCCCGGGGTCGTTTGCGCGTCCACCACCATTTCTAAGTGACCAGACCTCATTCGGCCTCAAGTCGTACCAGTGCTCCGGGGTGGCACGGCTGTCGATGCAGGTGATCACCGCGGTGTATGAACGCGGACCGCGGGTCAGATCAGATGGCTCCGGCTTGTGGCCTTCATTGAGGTACTCTTCATTTGCCTTGACAAAGTCATAAGTGATAGCCACCTCTGCCGCGGAGCGTCCGAGCTCCTGCTTTGCCGGCATCGTTGTTGTTGGGCACGGGAAGGAAGAAACCGCGAATAGACTTTTGTGGACGTTCCAGATGAGGTGAATGGTCGGCCTTTTCTAGTATCTGCAATCACAAAAGCCAGAGCGCGTGGTATGTCAAGAGAGAGAAACAGAGAGTGAGAGATCGAGTAAAATCGACAATGCTTACCTGGATCTTCTGTATCTCCTTTGCCGAATCGGCCTTGTATGCATGACAACGGTAATCGGGGTCGGGAGAGAAGCAACCCCGGCTTTGTCTCCGCCGGAGGATCCGGTGACCGGTTTGTCCAGGGGTTTCCCAAGGTCACCCGCCAAAGAGGGGAGGGCCTAGTATCTAACAGAATTTTTACTGCTGACGCTGGGCACCATGAAATGGCTTTTTTTCATCTTTCCTGATTTCCAGGGCAGCAGTTCTGTTGTTGTAAAACATCACGAATAATGGCGGGCACATTCAACAAGACGGAACATGTCCCATTCGACTTTGCAGCAGCCAACAAACGTTTTTCTGATCACAAATATCCCGCCCCAAATCCGGTTGTTGGCGATCGCTCGAGGACCGGCATTGTCTGCTGTTCTGATCCACGCTGCACCCCAGAAGTATTCTTGAAACTGCGTTTCCAGGAAGCATTTTGTGTAAGAAATGAGGGGGGTCGTACAGCCGATCCTAGTGTTCTACGGACAATTTCCTTGATCGATGCCTTGGGGTCGACGGTGAATGAAAAAATTGAAGAGATCATGGTGGTGCACCACACAGGTGTGTCTCGAAGTACCTCCTGAAAAGGACAATCTATGTTCCTGGATGCTGACCGTGGCCGACAGATTGCAGCGCATTAGTCTACGACGACCAGACCCTCCTGGATATCATTGTCAAGAACGATCCAAATGCACCAGGTGGACCGTGGAAAAAGGGAGCAGAGAGCTACGCAGAGGCCATTGGGTCGTTGCCATTCCCGCCAGGAACAACTGAGAGGGAAAGGCTTGAGCAAAGTGTCAAGGACGACGTGGAGTTTCTGGTACACCATCCGATGTGGAAGCCTAAAGTCCGAGTGACTGGCTGGATCTATGACCTGGAAACCGGCAAGGTGGAACAGATCCAAGTGTAAAAGTGACTGCGAGCTAGCGAGCAGAGAAGATAGGCTAGCTTGGCTGTTGCGCGAAGGAGTCCGGCCAGACATTCGTGTCACGAGGCTTCGTAGTGGCTCTGCGGTGTAACAATCGTGTCAGAGGTGTGAGAGTGTAAAGAATCGTTGCGAGGTATACTCCGTATAGCGCGCTAGTGAATTCAATACACATCATACGGAGTACCAGAAATACTGACCATATGTGGAGCCCCTGTTTTGCCCGCCTGGGGTGTAAGAGGCTAAACCGTTTAAGGAAAATAGGATTGCTTGGCGTTGCTCCTCTAGAGGGACGTATTTTTTAAGCCCAGACCCCAACCTGAGCAACTCGCTGATCACGTTCAACCGTATGGTGAACTCGAGACACAAAACTCACGATTGCCTGCAGCTCGAATTGAAACCACAATGTCTGCTAATAACCTTGACTTTGCTCCGAAACTGACCTTTGTGTCTGTCACCGGGCCCACTCTGGACCCTGTTGGCGCGAGGGCAATGCGGGCTCACACCACCAGAGCCAACTTTGCACGACGCAGATTACGCCTGGAGCGAGAATACACCGACCAAAAAGAGAAGCGTACCGCTCGCAGGGAGCCTCTACCAGTCGAGGAAGATCGACAAAATCTGGAACACCACCGTGATATCCAGACCCATCTCCCAACCATCACGCATCCAGGTTTGGGCGGGAAGCTAAACGCAAAAGATGCATTTTACACCGACCACCGTGCGTGTCGCATGATTGTTCTCATACTTGCTCGGGACTGACTTGTAATGCATTTGTAGTGACGCAGGCAATGGTAAAGCTCCATTTAGTTACCAACGCTTCTCCGTCACACGCCGCCTCGGCCCTGGCTCAATCTGACTGGGCTCGCTTTCTTCCCGATCCCACCGTACTCGACGCCTCTCTGTTTTTTGCGAGGCATGTCTATGCGGCTCGACTGAGACACCACGCCGTTGACTTCGCCCTGGAAGCCTACAAAGGCAGGGCGATACGATCCGTGCGGGAGCGCCTGGACAATGGGAACAGCGGTGTTGGTGACAGCCTCATCGCGGCTATATTGATACTGACGGTTCTTGATGTACGCGTCTTGATCAATGAGACCCTCCAGGCTCCTATCATAGTGCCTTTTTTTCACTAATGGATCCGGTGTCGAATAGCAAGTCATGGGTAATGTCGAAGCGTGGAAAGTCCACATCGCCGGCCTCGTCCAGATCATCACGGTTCAATCTCGCAAGTCAAATGAGCCAACCAAACCTTGGATCTTATACTCGGTTCCACGGTTCGTATGTACTTCTCCGATACTTGAGGAAAGCTGACTGTTTATTTCCAGCACAATCTTTCAAGGGCTTCTTCTTTTTGCCCGGCATGACGCGACGGTACTGACGACGATCGAAAATACCGACGCCTTCAACACGATGTTGTCCGCTCCGGCGAAGAAAGCCGCTCATCTCATCCTCGCGAATGCGGAACAGGTGGTTGCGTTCCAGGAAACGTATTCTGGAAACCGGCCGCCCCTGACCAGTGAAAAAATACACCTTCGTCGCTTGGTCAAGTCTTTGGATACAGCCATCGAGCTCAACGGTAACGCGCGCACAGGAGAGGCATTTCTCACATCGACAGCACTGTCAATCAAGATATTCTTGGAAATCGTCTTGCGAGGCACCACTACAACGGCGGAAGGGCGTTCTGGAGACGCGACCGTCCGTTTGATGGAGGTTTTGGAGCTACCCGAAGAGCAATTATGTTCCTCCCTGGTGTTGTGTTCTTCTCTGGAATGGAGATTCTGGCTCACCATGATGGCTGTAATTGCCGCCCCCGACATCCGGGTCAAATCATTCTACACGTCGAGGCTCGAGCGAATACTTAGCGCTTTGGCTGTCACGTCGTGGCAACAGGCCTCGGTCACGTTGCAGCGATTCCTCTGGATTCCATCCGTCTTTGCTGGTCCGTGCTACCAGGCGTTGTCGGAAATCCTGCATTTGCAACCTCGCACGGGTGTGAGACTTGACAACCATTATGGTCCTACTTGTGACGTATGAACGGCGGAGTGAAATAGCTCCACCTAATGATGATGCCCCTTCCCTCCCTCCCCGGGGCTAAGCTTTCTTGTTTCCCTGTTTGGTCTTTGGTCCCTTCACAAATGGGGGCCGGCCTGAATGATTGTACATGCCTCGGAGCCCAAGCCACGGGTTTGATATAGAGACCCTAATGATAACCCCACGGGCGAGAAGGTGTCACGCATGAAAATTCGGACGACGTCGCCTACCAAACAGCGGACCATGTTCATCCCGTGGTAAGCCATCTTGATCCGTCTCAAAAACCTATTTTCCGTACTTGCCCGACCCAAGATGCCGACTCCGGGCACGGGACCGTGGGACGGGGGGACGGCGGAAGCCGATCCTTCGACATCTCTCTCGAACTTGGTAACCCACCACAACTCAGTGATTAGCCCCGAGCCCTGACCCTCACCAGTATCTTCGACGCCGACTACAACAAGCCTGGTTTCGGTTGAGCTTGTGAACCGAATCACCTTGAGACCTTCCCACCCAGTGGAAACCACGGACTAGACAATGTCGCACAGAAGCTCAAACATTGTCCTCTACACTGCACCAACTCCAAATGGACACAAGGTGTCCATCACCCTGGAGGAGCTGGGGCTGGAGTACGAGACGAAGATGGTCGACATGGGGAGTGCCGAGCAGAAGGAGCCGTGGTTTTTGGCCATTAACCCCAACGGACGGGTGCCGGCCCTGACGGACGTCCTCCCCGACGGGACGACGATCAGGCTCTTCGAGTCGGGGAGCATCCAACAGTACCTCGTCGACCGGTACGACGGGGAGCGACGAATCTCCTACGCCCCCGGGACGGGGGATTTCTACATGACCAACAGTTGGGTGTGTTGTGTGTCTCTGGCGTTTTCGCCTTCTCTTTTGTTTTTGTTTTTTTTTTCAAAAAAAGAGGGGGAGACTGACCGCCGACATGTGCGTCGGGCGCTGATCTAGCTCTTCTTCCAAAACGCCGGCATAGGCCCCATGCAGGGGCAGGCCACCCACTTTACCAACTACCACCACGCGACCGAGCCTCAGACCTACGCCCTCGAGCGGTACGTGAACGAAAGTCGGCGGCTCTGGCGCACCGTCGACACCCACCTCGGAAAAGAGGGCACAGAATACCTGGTGGGGTCTAAATGCACCGTTGCAGACATTGCAGCCTTCAGCTGGGCCAACATCGCGTGTGAGTGTGCTGCATGGTATACATTCCCCCTCTCTCAGGCGCTGATCAAGGGTGTCGCAGTTTTCTCCGGTATCGACCTTTCGGAATTCCCCCGAGTCCAACGGTGGTTCAACCGACTTTCCGAGAGGCCAGGCTTCCGAAAAGGACTCGCCGTCCCGGTCAAAGTCAGTCTGCAGGAGCTGTCCAAAGATAAGGCGTTCTTGGAACGAAACAAGGAGATGATCCGTCAAGGCATGCAGGAAGATAGGAAAAAGTAGGAGAGATGGTCGCACAGGGTCACGTTTCCAGAAAATGATGTTTAATCACAATACTTGGGGTTTGTCATTGAGAACTGGTGGTCGGTGTGACCTGAAGTCGTATCATTTATACTCAACTTCACACTTGACCCAACCTCAAAGTCCTTGTCCTCTTCGTGGTGAGGTTAGCAAGCAGAAACCCCCTATCCGCACCGAAGCCTCGTCCGGATCATTTGGACCGATCCCTTCATGCTGTGAATGCTGTGGTATCTGGAATTTATGCTGTCACCCCCCGTACGACTTTACGATCTACGATCTTGGGCTCGTCGTACCCGACCATGACGAGAACCTTTGCGGGATCGCCGAATCTCAATTCGTCCGGAGTGATGAATTCCGCATAGTAAGGATGTGCATGCATCTGGAAGGTCATGAATGATCCTCGGTCAGCATGGGCTCCGGGCGACCAGGATTGGGACAGGTCGAGTGCCGTGTCGACACCTACTTCATTGAAATCCTCAATTTTCTCCACCGTTATAGTGACCATACCATCCCATTCATCGCCAACGGCGGCAGCAGGGAGGCCTTGGATCTTGGCGAGTTCCGTCTTTTGGGTGTGATACTAGATCATCCTCGTTGGTCGTGAACAAATTCTGGAAGAGCGAAACAGTACCTGGCTGTACTCGATGATCTTCTCTTTCGCCAGAGGGTGTGCAAGGATCACGCGGGCATGTGGTCCTGACCAGCTGAAAGTATCCGTGAGCCCTCTTCGTAATACTTGAGCGATCGCATCATGTGTCACTCACTAGTGGTGGAATTCCTCCTCGCTGATGCCTTCTTTGCGGCGGATCAAAGTGGTCACTTTACAAACCATGATTGTTGTACCGCTTTTGTTTCAGACAACTGGAAAAAGCCTCTTGCAACAGAGCTCTGATTGATTTGGGGAAAGAGGCTTCTTGCTTTTATCCACGTCATGAGTCTTGTAGATAGTCGACGTAGCGGCCACGGTCGTGGAGTTTGCCGGGGACGGATTAAAACAAAACTGTAAGCCGGTAGGTCGATGCTTCGGTCGGGGCACGGTCCTAGGGGAACCCCGTACGCATCATTCTTCCCCAGGCTCAATGGATGAGTTACCTGGCGGCCTTGGGGACTGTACGTAGCCGCGTCAGGCACACTCTATCAGAGCATTTCAAGGGGAGTCCGAGAGACTCAGGGTCAATGGGGGGTTTCGCATGCCCATAGCATGCCTCAAGCAATGTATCGAGTATCGAAGTTGTCCGTTGTGATATGGATTACTCAAACTCTCCAGGTCTCTAACTTGCGGTCAGCTGCGGTTTGGGTGCTCTTACCCTGGGCGTTATTTAATCTTTTGGGATCGTGTCCTGACATTAACGAAGGGTCGCGTTTGATGAACTAAAGGGCCATAATGATCCGAGTCTCTTTTGGCAGCGTTTCCATTGCATAGTGAGACGAAGGCCAAGTCGAAAGATGGTTTTAAAAGCGGCGCCGAGCAGATTTATTCTTTCCTCTTAACGCTGCTTGAGCCCGCCAAGTCTCGATACTGGATGACGCTGGATCGTTTTCTCTTCAAATCTTCCACCAGCTCGTCGATGATCGTTGTATCGCGACAAGCAGTCTCAGAAACCCAAAGTCTGTACGTGACCCTTCAAAGTCGGTTGTTGATCCTTGTGTCTTTAGAAACGAGACTTCAACCACACACAGACAACTAGATCCATCATGCTCGTCCACCCTCATCGACAATATACGAGAGTGTAAGTCGGGAGTACCTTTGACTTGGTACACGACTTTTCTTACCGGTGGGTTACATCACCTCTGAAAATCTGTCTGCCTGCCTGCCTGTCCTTCCAACCTCTATCACCGCCTCGCTACGCCTCGCCACAACCATGACCTCCTCACCGAAACCGTCCACGACCACAACCGCGGCAGCCGCTGCACCCATCTCACATCCCGCACACAAACTCCTCTCCCGCGCCCACTCTCCAGACACGGCGACGCGAATTCTCACCGACAAGGTCCGGAACAAGCCACTGTTGTTGCAACCCACGTCCTCCGCCGACAGGGACAAACGTGCTTTACGTCGACACATTCGCCTCCGCAAGAAGGAATACTACCTGCGCAAACGGAAACCTCGACCGCTCGGCGCAAAGGAGAAGCGCGATATGGGAGTGTTCGAGCTTCACAAGGACGAGATCAAGTATGACGTCTACAAAAACTTGCACGACATGTGGAACGCATATATGCTCGAGGTTTTGGGTTACACCAAGGACGGGAAGGTGGTGGAAGGTAGGCTCGACAAGAAACTCACGGCGCAGAGTGCGGGCGGGCTCCTGGCCAGCGCGGATTTCCACGGCGCCACGCTCCAAGTCGTCAGCGCCACCGACGTGGGCAAGGTCGGGATCGAGGGAATCGTGGTCCGCGACACAAAGTACACTTTTGTCCTCGTCACCAAAAAGGACAAGGTGAAGACGATCCCGAAGAGGGATTGTGTTTTTCGATACCAGGTCGAGTTGCCTCCGCCGCGGGAGGGGCCAGGAGAGACCGCGGATTCACCGGACGATGTACAATCTCGGCTTCAAGAGAAATCAAAAAGTACCGGTCAAGTCGACGATCGGGAGACTGAGAATAAACCAAAAAGCTTGACTTTTGAAGTTCATGGGAATCAATTCGAATTCAGACCGGCCGATAGAGCCAGTAGGAAATTCAAGTGGAAGGTGACAGATTATTTATGATATCACACACACAAAGCATGGCAAGCCTTTTTTGTTACGAGTCTTCTCTCTGTCTATATTGAATGCGAAGCAATGGCGCTGGTTTTAGGGATAAGTAGGAAACGCAATGAACATGTGTCAATGAGGAAGCAAATTACAAAAAAACTACTGCTTAAGAATATGAACGCTCACGACTATTTAGCTACTCGAGGTTAAGAGAAAAGAGACATCGCCGTGGATACACATGCTTGAGATTTTCCAACTTGATTCATCAAATCTCAAGCAATGTTAAACTCGTCGGCACCCTTGCCCATCATGAGCGCCCTGTTTTTCCGGATCTTCTCACGCATCTTCCTGGCCGCGTCGTCCGTGTCGTCTACCTCGTCCATTTCAACGGCTTTCTTTCTTGTGTCTCCATCAACCTGTCCGGGTCCTGCAACGTTAGATGCACGTCCTCGCTTCTTGGAATTCGCGCTACCGCCACCACCACGCTGGCCCACGACGTTGACCCTTCCAGGCGGATCGCGCAACCCAAATGCCTTGGCCAGATGACCCAAGTGCAATTCTTTAATGTCAAAGTACTTCCTCTCCGCGGCGACGTGGGTCGCGTAAGCGCGAATGTGTGACTGGAACGCGCGTTTTGCGAGGTCTTTATTCGGTTGCGACGACAGAACCCAGCGTTCCACGTCGAGCTGAAAGGTGGTTGCGATGGCTTCCCAGTTGTTGTTCCCTGTCGTTACGCCGCCGTCTCTACCTGTCGAGGTGGTCTTCTTCGTCGGCACAACTCCGGACAGGGGGCTAAACCCCTTCTTCAGCACATCTTCCGCTGCCTGGTGGGTGACGTTTCGGCTCGTGTCGGCGTCAGAGGAAGGTTTGTACGATTTCCGTAGTACGTCGACGTACCCTTCCTCCTTTCCAGGCAGAAGAAACACGACAGCACGACCGTCCCGACCAAGACGGGCCGTTCGACCTATGCGGTGGAGGTGGTCGTCTGAACTGAACGCGGGGTCATATTCGATGACGAGGTCGAGGTTGGGAAGATCGAGACCACGAGATGCAACGTCCGTCGCGATGAGCAGAGATGGCGCCGTGGTTGTTCCAAAGTGGCGGACAATGGCTGTGCGGGTGGCCTGCGGTAGAGAGCCGTGTAGTTTGTATACGGTTATTGGATTGGCTGGTGTAGAAAGTATAGGGGATGGAGAGATTGCATCTGCGCTTGGGTCGATCGCTGGGAGTTTGGCTGTGGATTTTGAGGAACTAGACTTGTCTTTTTTCGGTGTTGTTTCAGCATCAGAGTCGCTATCTGGTTCGGGGTCAGAGGACGAGGCTGGAGGAGTAGGTGGTTTTGATGTTGTTGCGGAGGTGGGCTTGTCTGTTATGGACGAGTCCTCAGCTGAGGAACGCGTGAGAACTTTGTAATGGAACTCGACCGAGTCAGCACAAGAGACGAAGACAATGGCTTTCATGACGGAACCTCTGCGTGCAAAAGTTCGTTTGAGGAGAGCAGTCAGCGTGACAAGTCGTAGCTTTGAAGCTGTGACGAGATAAGACTGCTTGAGCTGTGCAGGAGCCAGGAAAGCAGACCCGGCACCGTCATCTTCTCGGTCAGCCTCATCGTCAGTTGACTCCCCCTTTATCAACACCGCGTCTTTCAGACTTATTTCGCCAAGCTTCTGAACATTCATTTTCAGAGTCGCAGAACAGAGAACTGTCGTTCGCTCATCAGGAAGACCTGGTCTGCTTGATTTGCGCTTCTTTTCATCAAGTGCCTTGACAATTTTGGTGATGTCCTCTTCAAACCCAAGGTCCATGAGCCGGTCACCTTCGTCAAGGACGAGCCAACGGACAGTGCTGATATCTAGAACTTTGGTGTTGTCAAGATGATCAACCAATCGACCGGGCGTGGCGACTAGAATATTCAGACCTTTGCGTAACCGTGCCTTTTCAGATTTCTTCTTCTCACCACCTATCACTGTGCCAGCAACAATGTAGTGAGCACAGCCGAGTAAGCGTTCAAGGACGACCGAAATCTGCTTGCACAGTTCTCGTGTTGGCGCGAGGATGATGGCAAAGAGGCCCGAATCTCGATGTAATGTTGGGTCACGGGTAGCATGGCTTGCTCCCTTTTCCGACTCAGCCATAGTGATGATCCGTTGGACAATTGGCAAGAGATATGCGAGGGTCTTGCCGGATCCAGTCTCGGATTGTATGAACGCGTCACTGTTTTCTTTCAACATCTGGGAAATGGCTGCTTTTTGAATGGCTGTGGGATTCTTGAGGTTCATCTTGGTCAAGAGGTGTGCAGCCACTGTAGGAGACAGGCCGAGTGAGGTAAAAGTGTCTATACCGTCCACGAGTGGTGCATTTGAAGGCACTGCCGCCTCCTCTTCTGTGACCTTCTCTTGTTCCCTTTCTGCGGTTGTAACTGACTTTGGGTTGTAAGTGAACAGGGACGAGATAACCTCGCGCGGGCCCTTTGAGGGTTTTTGATCGTGAGATTTATGGATATTTCCACCGGCCTGGACTGCTCCGGGTGTGTAGTTATCTTCACGCCTTCTCTTTGCAGGTCTCGAATCTCCAAAGTTTTCTGTCTGCTCCTTGGTCTGTCGTCGTGATTGCAAGGGTACTTTGTTTGGATCATTCGTGTCTCGAGGCCGGCCGCCTCGTTGAGCCCATCGTTTCGCTTTCAGGCGGTGTCGCCATGACCCACCAGTGAACTTCTGTGCCTGAGTAACGATGGGCTCCCCAACACTGAAGTTGAGAAACATGCCATCGTCTGCCATGATTGACGCTGATCGGATTCTCTGGTGGCCCGCACTGTAGTTGGGAAGAATGAACACCGAGAGAATCTGGAACTTTTTTCGAACCAGTCGATGCGGGGAGATTTTCGGCTCCGATTGGCTGACGATTCTGGCCCTGCATTTCTTACTCGTGCGATTGTCCGCTGCAGCTTCACCTCAGCCTTCTACATTCCACGCTGCACTTCTCATCATGAACACTTTGACTCATGCGCAAGAAGCGCTGAGTCCATAGTGTTGAAGATGAGGCAGATGCCTCTCTCCAATTGTAGTTCTGTCCCCGTTTCGAAACCTCCATCGAGTATATGAGGGCCATGGAACCACCCGTGCGGCGAGCCTTGAAACAAGCTATCCTAGCTGGACCAGCTGTGAGCCGCGTTCTCCCCTTCAACAGACAGCCATGCCTTCGCCTACATGTGCCTACAATGCGATGGGCCTCCACAAAGGCCGAAGTTCCAACCCCTTTCCCAGTCTTTCGAGATGTACCACCCCTACGAGAAGTGCGCAAGAAAATGTTTCGCGAGGGCAAGGAGGTGGGCTTTGTCGCTACAATGGGGGCACTACATGAGGGTCACCTTTCCCTGGTGAAGCATGCCCTGCAAGAAAACACAGATGTCTTTGTGTCTATCTTCGTCAACCCAACACAGTTCGCAGCGCACGAAGACCTGGACTCGTATCCGAAGACATGGGAGGAGGATCTGAAGAAACTCAAACAGGTTCAAGATGAGCATGCAGCCTCAGCAGGGCCAAATGCAAAATCTAAAATAAAAGGCATCTTCGCGCCCACCGTGAAGGTCATGTACCCAACTCTCCCACCATCGTCAGACATCGCAGGCAATGGATCCTTCGTGACCATCACACCATTGGGCAACCAACTTGAAGGCTCTTCTCGGCCCATCTTTTTCCGCGGCGTGGCAACTGTCTGTACCAAGTTGTTCAATATCATCCAAGCCGATCGTGTGTACTTTGGACAAAAGGATATTCAGCAATCAGTCGTGATCAAACGGATGGTAAAGGACTTTCACATTCCCACAGAAGTACGCGTCATACCGACCAGCCGGGAATCAGATGGTCTGGCAATGAGCAGCCGGAATGTATATCTTGGAGAACGAAGAAGAGAAGACGCCGTCGTACTTTCCAAAGCCCTCTTCGCCGCAAGAGATTTATACAATTCTGGCGAAGTCAGCGGCAAGAAGATCAGAGATGCTGCGTATAATGTCTTCGGCCAGGAGTCGCAGCTGAGAAGAAAAGACGGTAAATTAGGTGGAAGTTGTCAGATTGAGATCGACTATATCGCGTTGAGCGAACCGCAGAATATGGCCATGATCCCAGACTTTGCCAAAGTCGATCCCAGCCAAGGGGCCATTCTCAGTGCTGCAGTATATGTGCAGCCTGTTGACGAGCCCAGGACTGAGAAGGAAGTAGGCCAGAGGGTGGTGAGGTTGATCGATAATGTCATCCTTGAGCCACGAGAGAAGGCACTATGAAGTATGCAGGAGTCCTTGTTATCCTGATATTTTGAGCTTGATTTGTGCATTGCTGGAATTTTGACTTCAGATTTAGGCAAGAACTCGAAAATGTTCACGGACGCATGTTCAGTAGATGTTCCAAAGAGATATTTTGCCATCTTTGCCACCAGCAGCAAGCCAGTGTATCGAACGTGCCTTCTCTTCTCGCTTGCGCTTGATAATGTCCAGTGCTGTAGGTCGTGCCAGGATCTCATTAGACTGAGTACTTAGGTCTGAGCCTGTGTATTCGGTGGGAGCAGCCAAGTCATTGGCTTCAAGATCAAGGTCGGCGAAAGACGTTGCATAGCAACCCTGTTGGTGCCATTGCAGTACCGCCAATTCTTTCATCGTCCGCGTCGAGTAAACGCGAATTCGTGCATCCCAGCCTGCAGTCGCAAATATCTTGCCGTCGGAGCGAATGCTGAGGCCCTGTTGGCCGGCATGTTTTGTCTTGATAGAACTGCTACGGTCGGTCTCCCGCGACTCTCCCGCCATGCCATCTGGAAGATCGAGTGGATATTTGGCGATCCACGAGTCGACACCCGAAGTTATGAAATAGTCCCTTGAAGGCGAAATTTCGAGAGACAGTATAGGTTGTGAACCAGGGCGTAACTTGCTTGATGTAACCTTCTGCCAACCACCTTCTTTGTCGAAGTTCCCGGTACGGACATGAACCATTACTCTTCCATCTTCGTATCCGGATACCACAAGTAGTCTGGATTTTGCATTATCGTGAAATATGGAGACGGCCATGACCATGCCTGTGGGAGAGTCCTGGGCCGATGCTATCTGCGATACTCGTCGCTCGGACGGAAGCTGGAAAATATCTATACCTCCGGAGTCTAGACCGTTGGGAGAGGCCACCAGTTGCGCCTCGGTCTCCGGCCGTGAGGTCCGCCCGGGCAACTCACTGCACATGGAAAAGGCACAAAAATTGAGGGCATTGACAGAGATTGAGTGCAGAAGCCATGGCTCGCGTCGGTCAACCGAGCTTTTATCACCAGGGAGATTCGTAGTCAGATCAGCCAGGTCCTCATCTTGAACCTGCCACACTCGTAATTTGTGATCTCTTCCATGACTGCCCCGACGGTCAGGCCAAATAGAGATTCAAGATACACTCAGCAAAGACTCACCTAACGAGCCTCTTGTGTGTCCAGTGTCGTATACACATGACCGCGCCTTCGTGCCCTTTCCAGACAGCGACGGGGCGCTTCGTGGCCAGACTCCAAATGATCAACCATCCTTCACTGTCGCCCGAGGCGAGGTAAGCGTTCCGGGAATAGAAGCGAAGGGCATGAATGGGAGCATCATGACCACGAAGGATGTAAGTAGGCACTGCTGGTCGGTCCATGGTTCATCACTGTGCCGTGGATTTATGATAGAAGTTGGGCCAGAAAAGGATCGCGATGTCTTATTCTCTTCGATTCACTAGGCCATCACTCACATACATGGGCGTCGTCGCGCATCATCTCCGTTGACCAAGACAAACGATGAGCCTCGAAACGATACCACTAGCAGTACTGAGTTCTTACCTATGCAATGCAGATTGAACGTCAGAACTGAATCGCATCCGCAAGGCACTTGTTGGAGTTTAAAAATGACAAGGAATAATATCAAATGACTGGCTCACTCTCTCTGCCATGACAGTGAAGAAAAAACAGGCGTTTTCTCCACGCACACTTTCACAACATCGTTTTGACTGTCTCTCTGTATTCCACACTATCCAAAAAAAGGGAGGGCGAACTACAAATGTCTGGAGAAGCAAAAACAAAAATGCCCATTATCGGATTCGAACCGATGATCTTGTCATTTATTCGCTCGGCTTAACATACGAGTGACACGCCTTACCCCTGGGCCAAACGGGCATCAAATTTGTGACAAAATTTACGGTGCAAAATTGCTTGCTTTAAATTATATACTTGACACATTCTCCGCACCTTTTACTTCCCCACTTGATACCTACCCTTCTTCCCTTCGGTAAATAACATATCGCACTACGGGTATCTTGCTCTTTAGGTACGTGACTCGTCCTACTGCAATCAACTCATCTACTATACTTGAATATTGTAGCTGATACACGAACTCATGCCTTAACTATCACTTACTCTCCTGTACTCAATGTTCTCCTCAACACTCACATACTATTTGATCCTTGCCTATTCACGTAGTTGTTAGGAATCTCCCTCCAGCCGCGTGAAAGAAGTTCCCCTACTTCGCACTACGGCTAATAGCCTGCGTCCCATATTGCTTGCCAAGTCGTCTCTCAATGCTAGCATGCCAATCTACCTAGGCGCTCATCCTCCACCTCTCTCATCAATCGACTCTAGGCGCGCTGGCTTTTTCGGTACGTGCGTGGACCATGATGCCAAACTCACAGTACAGCGACAATGATCATCGTATACATAGGTAAGAGAAAAGGGTCGTAGAGTGGTCCAGTACGACGTCACTCTCTACCGATAGCCAGGGCCTCGACTGTTCGCTAGGTAATATACCCAAGGTGAAACAACATGTCATGGTTGTTTACCATTATTCTGTCCGTGGCAAGTCAGCTAAAAAAAAAAGAGACGGGTTGGTGAGCCGACTCCATCATGCGACTTTACTCAAATTCACGGTTGACCATGGGTTGACGTACATGACAAATTGGTTGAGGGTACTAGACCGGTCTACGGCAACGCCCACATTGCCTCGTGGTCAAGGGAGGTCCCGTCCCTACTCACTTTTTGACTAAAACATTAGGTATTGTACCTACTGCAAGTCGATGCCACTTTTTGTTATTCTCCCTACCTGCCGCTAACTACCTAGTAGATACCTATTGTATTGTATCTATCTAGCGTACTTCGTAGTTCTACCCGCGATGTTATTTCGGTGGCCTATGTATATCAGAAAAAAAAAACCGTTGTGTGCGGGGCCGGAAGTTTGAGCCCATTCCAAAAAGAAAGAAAAAATGGTGGGGATTACTTTTGCAAGTCTATCAACAAGAACAATATGCCCTTCCCTCGTACTGTGTCTCACTCAATAATAATAATCCAAGCTATTCTACAGGGATGTCTTGTAGACACAGGCCAGGACGTATCTCGGGCATAACTCGCATCGAGATCATGATCAAGTTCACGGTTACTTATTCCGTGGAGGAAGCTGGCGATGATCCTGGTCCTGGTTGCGATGGACGAGAAAAGCACCGTGTGACGATAATGAAAAACGTTGGTCTAACTTTCTCTGCGCGCATCAGACAACCGAATTCCTGAACATGATTAGACGCTGCACAAGCGAAGTGGTGCGATAGACTTGGGCGCTAGAAGGCTAGAGAATTGGATTCCTCCTTCAGCTGAGATATGCCGTGCAGGGATACGTCAATATCCTTACCCCGGGTGACGGTCTCAATATTTGCACAAATTCCAACTAAAAACCTCGTGCTTGATAGTTTCAGCCACAACAATCACTCGCATATGGGTGGCGAATACGAGACTAAATGCCACGTGGAAAAGGCCACGAGCTGACCGATGCGAAAGTCGTGTGTGAAACGAAGGGCTATGCCGTTCAGAGACGATGGCGCCGCGGGAAAAAGTCCAGAAGGGTGCAGGTTCGGGCACGCCGAGCGCTGCGGCAAGCAGGGGGAGCCGGGGGTGTTGCCCAGAGAGGAAGACGCATGCAGACGCACGCACCAAAGGGGAAATGATATTTCGTTTTGACAAGCAGCGCCAATGCAGTTCTAAATGCGAACCGGAATAATCGGACTTGTCCTGATCGTCAGAAACCGTGGTGTGTACTCCGTAGAAGTGTGTGTGGAAAAGTAATACCACCCACACCCCTGGCGAGACCCGAGCTGAAAAACAGCAAGCGAAGACGAAGAAGGATAACGGTTTCAGGTGGATCGAGTCACCTTTAGCGAGTTGGCTACGCCTTCTGCCGGACCATTCCGCTTTGGAATTCTCGGAATGACAAGGGTGTGCCCGCCAACACCGGCTGGATCGTCACCACAAGCGAAGATGCTGTCATGGAAGACCTGAAAGGAGAAGCATTGAGCGCACATCAACCTGGTATCCTGATAGCATGAAATGAAATCAGCGAGCGACAGGCCGACCGGGATCCCAAACCAGTCCTCAGCCCTGAATCTGTCCGTCCACGAAGGGAAGAGATAGTCAATCGTGGTGTTTGTACTCCGTAACTTGCTTAGATGACTGCTTGTGTGTATTCGCTCTTTCTAGGCCGAGTGTGAGAGAACCCTCGAGAGTCATGTGGCCCAGGCAAAGAATCCCTCCGTTTCAGTGTTCCAGTGAGAACCCGCCCTTCTAGACTCGCCCCAGTTATGGTGACAAGCGAAGTGTTTACTGCAAGTCCAAGTGCATGTAAAGGATTCACCGGCTGGATGTTGACAGGAGCGTCAGAAGGAGGGTCGTCTGATTGTTGTTCAGTAGACCGGGACTCCGTACAGTAATTGCTTTGTTGTGGTGAGTGGTGTGGTTCTCTTCTTTTCCCCTTTTCACCTTGATCAGATCAATAGTCTGCCATTTCTCAGAGGCGTATCCTTGCTTGTGTGGGTGAGAGTTTGATGAGCATCAGGCTGGCAGGTGTCCAGTCACAGCCTGGGTACCGCCCAAGAAGCGTCTGGCGAGTTTCTGTAAGTAGCGTGAGTAGCGTGTGTAGTGGTTCAGCCCAACTGCGCGGCCCCGTAGTTTCGACCCCGGCTGCAGCGAAAACCCACCGTCAATCTTTTCGGCTTCTCCTTGATGCCCCCCTGTCCGTCCTCTGATGTTTGGCGACCGCCGGTGCTAGGGACCAGGTCCTCTGCCAATCACCCGCTGCATCTGGCTTTCGTCGACTCCGAATCTCTAGGGTGCTGTCAAACCTGAAGCCAGTCACACCTCATAGTCGAAAGCCACACCCTAAATCCCAGCAGTGAGCCAGAGCGCTGGAACTGCGGATCGACCCTCGATCATGCCGCAGAAGCCAAAGCCTGGGCCTCGAGGTACAGTCAAGAGGTTGTCGCTTCATAAACATTCATATCTATGCGACCTGTCCGCCGTCTGAACCTTCCCTCGGTCGAACCTTCATATTCTTCTGTCGATCCAGTCCCTACCACAAGTCGGATAGGGTGCTCGTGAACAGGTCGCCTTCAACTGGTATGTCCATGTGTTTCATATCCTCTCAGATCTATCCGTATGCTATCCAGCCCTGTCAAAAAAAATTGCGGGCGGTGGATGCCGTCATTGGTGCCCCCAAGAGGGCCCTGGTTCGGCCCTCGTGCAACAAAGTCCTGCGAATCCTTTCCACCATGAAATATGAAACCCTCCCTTGCACCTGCGACACTTTGGGCTTTGCATTGCTACCGACGCTTTTCTTTTTCCTTGAACAATTCAACTTTCAATATCTGTTGCTCAGATGTATCTTACTCACTGGATACTGACATCCCCCTGCCAGCACATATTCTTGCGACGACCTCGACAGCCCCGGCTGCCGCATCTTACCACTCACAATATTGTCCCCAAAGCCCTGGCCTCTTGTCTACAGGCTCTGTACAGTCGCACAGTTGCAGATTCATCTCCTGAATTTGGCAGAAAAGTTACAAGTACGCCAACAAGGCCAATGGCCCTGAAACCACAGTAAATATTTCAAGCTGGCGCATCATTATTCCTCAGCATACTTGCCCACGGCGGCCTTCCCTCTCTCCGGCACCTATCCAGCCTCGATCGCTCCTATCGCCTACCACAACGATCCCTACTACTCGCGGCAGTTGCAGCTACCACAAGAGCAGGAAGGTGACAGGCGCTACAGACCCTCAAGGCCTACACTCTTGACACCACCCTACGCTGGCGCAGATGCAACGGGCCATGACCAGATTTCTATGACAAGGGCTTCGTCGACCAAATCGACACCCACTTCTCAGACCTTGCAACATAGTCCTATTTCGATGACTGAGCCTGAGGCTCCTCTCCAGGCAAAACCTGAGACTCCACCCACCACCAAACCCAAACGTGTCAGAACCGGTTGTCTTACATGCCGTGAGCGTCACCTCAAGTGTGACGAAGGACTACCCAATTGCCAAAACTGTAAAAAGTCCAACCGAAAGTGCAAACGAGGTGTCAGGCTCAACTTCATTGACACTCAGTGTGAGCGGCCACCACATCTACTCCCACCGACTCATGACTGGGAGGTGACCTTCCAGGATGACTCGCGCGATATTGCTTCAGAATATCAAGGCGGGATCGAGAAGTACCATCCTCTCGAGCCCGAACCGAAGCGACAGAAACTGAGTGTTGCGCCAAATATCAACTACGATTATGGTCAGATCACCGCCCCGATCATTCCTCATCAACAGCTCCCTACCTCACAGTCTTACTCGCATCCATACGTTGAGCAACCTCAGCCAACCTTTGCTGCTGCTTCAGGCCCATCATACGAGAGTGCAGCAAATCATATGGGTTCATATTCCGAACCGCCGCATCCTGTACAACAGTCATATGAGACGCCAATTATGCTGCCCCCGGAGACGCCACCTGCACCTCCGCTAAACAGCCGTGATGAAGTCTTGTACATGCAAGTCTTCGTCGAAGAGGTCGGCTTATGGATGGATTCGATGGATGCCGAAAAGCATTTCTCCCGCCTTATTCCGTTTCAGGCCTTGGGAGAACCCATGCTCAAGTATGCCCTCCTGGCATGCGGAGTGCGACACCTGACCCTGGTAAACACTGCCTATCCTGAAGAACACGCCTTGAATTACTACAACAATGCAACGCAACTCCTTTTGAAATCGCTCCAGAACCCTGATCGTAATAGCGCTCTTTGTGCCACCACAGCCACCATTCTCAATGTCTACGAGGTCATGTCCGAAAAGGCTTTGCAGCGTATGAACCACATTGCCGGTTCCCGAGCGCTCATTAAGGAATGCCGCTGGGACGCTCAAGCTACTGGGATAGGATCCGCCTGCTTCTGGCTCAATGTCGGACTCGAGTTGTTCAGTTGCCTCCATTTCAATTGGGGCACTGCTTGGGATCCCGACACGTGGGGCATCGACATGAACATGTCGCCTCAACACGTAGGTGGAAATGAGGACGATTGGACTCACAAAATGTTATGGATATTATCCAAGATCGCCAATTTCCGATCTACAGCACAGCAAAGATATCAGGACGCCTCAGTTCACGCGGAGCAGGCACGTTTGCATCAGCGACATCAACAGTGGCTAGGCCTGAAACAGTTCTGTGACCGTTGGAACGATTGTGTCCCACCAACAATGCACGCCATGGCATACATCTCACCATTCATGACGAATTCGAAGAGCGCCTTTCCCGAAGTGTGGTTCATCAAGAGAACGACAATCGTAGCGAGACTGTTCTATCATACTGCCATGGCACTTCTCGGATCTCTTCACCCTTACGCCCACATGCAGCCCCAGACAGCTGAGGAGATGCAAGGTATGAGTCTCTACCACTCGAGGCAAATCTGTGGCATTGTGGCTCATGTCAAGGATCGAGGAGTTGCTTCTGCCTCGATTCGCTGTCTCGCCGTGGCTGGTGAGCAACTTACTGTTCAACGAGAACAAGAAGAAGTCTTGCAGATTTTTGACAGAATCAAAAAGGAAACGGGCTGGCGAGTGACATTCATTCACGACGATCTCAAGGAGAAATGGGGGTGGAACAACAACCCTCCAGACTATGGCAGCATGGGTTCTGCAGCTTCGTACTATTCTGGACCGAGCACAAATCCTTCCACCACACCAACAGCGACGCCACCCCGACCAAAGTATCCGAGCGGCATTATCAATCCTCTTTACAAGAATGCCGACTTCTCTGCCCAAAACCCACCCTACCAGGGTAGCTACGTCCCGCCAACTCCCGGACACATCATGCACAATGCACAAATGTATGGCTACTCTAGCATACCTACAATGATGCAGTCTTAACGATGATATGGTCACCCCTCGATCTTGACTGCGGCGCTAAAGCAAACATCGATCGGTGGTTTCTTTATTTTTCTGAGTACGACTTCCGGAGCGCGGCGCGTAAAAGTACGCTTCTCAATTTAGCGTTCAACGTTCAACATGGACTTGCATTGATTTGAGTCATTGGCAAAAACAGCCATTATGGTAAGACAACAGACTTGGGAGTTGGATTCTTCGTTTTTGTAAGCGAATACGAGATACCTTGTCGAGCGTGTTACGTGTTTATATACAGGATTAGCGAACGCAATTGTTGCATCATCATCATGTGTGAGAGATGGATCTCCTCTTTGAAGTGCTTATGCGCATTTCTTCTAATACTAACGATGTCAATATGAAACGAACACATGTACATGTCTATCATTTTGTGGGTTACACCACTGTACACAGACAGTTATATATCTACCTGTACCACACTGCAATTGCATTGGTCAATTTTGAAGGCTACTGAATGTAGTTTATTGTATAACACTTGAAAGAATCACAACACGTCAGAACTCTACGTATAGACGGAGTATGTTTATCACAAATTTCACGAGGCATGTATCGATTGTGATGTAATTAAGATTCCCTCTCCTGCAACAAGCTAGACACGACTGCCAAAAAGCAATCTCGATTCATTTTCCACGTCACGGTCCACGTGAGCCGTCCGTTGGAATCATCTCGCCGGACGGACCGGCCCACACCTGTGGCCCCTGAGGAGAGTGGGTTGAACCTTTTTGACGGCCGTAAGATTAGTTGCGGGCGGAAGCAGCCTCGACCGCGAGGATCCGGGCCGCCGTGTCGACGGCGGTCTCGCGCAGTGAGTGGTACCGGAAAGCCTCAAACGCCACATCGGCGTCGTGGGTGTAGAACCTCGCGGGGGCCAGGGTCTGAGGGTCGTCATTGTTGGCGCCGACGCGGCTGTGGCCGTCGCGTAAAGCGTCGGCGAAGTCGTTGAACCACATGGGAAACCCGACGACGAAGCGTTTGTTGGCGGCTCCGGGGTTGGTGAGGGCCCGGATCTGTAACTCTGCAAGGTCGCGGACGTCGATCTGTACAGGTTGGAGAGTCAACCCGTGGCAACCCGTGCAGAGAAGAGATCTTGGAACGCGATGGTCATTTGGAAAGAATGATGGTTTGGAAAAAGGGAGTGACTGTGGCCGTTGCCACTGGCTTCTTATTCGGGATGGTTTGGGGGGTAAGAAAAGCAAAATGGCACGTACATATGCTGGAAACATGGTCGTGGGAACCTTTTTGGTCTCGGACACGGCACTGTTCATGATACTTTGAACCTGTGAGTTGCTAAAGTTGATCTTGTCGACGGACGTGACGATTTGCTCCATGGGCCCAAAGATCAGAGGGGGCATGAAGTTGGTCACGGTGAACGATGGCTTTTCGTGTTTGACAAACCGCCACAAGGCTTCTTCCGCCAACTTCTTGCCCACGCAGTATGAGATCTGGCACACACATACACACACACCCCACATTGTCAATAAGACCGAGGGAGAACAGAAGGTGAACGCAAGACGTCCTCGTCAGACTTACATAATTGTCCTGAGCTTTGATGGCATCTTCGCGCCCCAATGGCAGCCACGAATCGTTGCCAAATATTCTCGCCCTCAGGTCGTCTTGATCGCCCAGGGTGATGGCGTTGATGCTACCCGTCACGCTGATGGCCCTGACGTTCCTACCGTGCCGGTTCGCGCCGGTCAAGAGGCCGATGTTGCCCAGGACGCTGGGCCTCTCAAAGTGTCGGACAAAGTCGGTGTTGCGTGGGTCGTCCAGCAGCGGCGCCGCCACGTGGATGACGTACTCAATCTCCTCGTGCTCCTGGAAGACCTCGTCGAACGCCCCTTCGACGGTGAAGTCGGGCACGGCGTAGACGGTGACGGCCTCCTCGGGCCACTCGGGGTGGGCGGCGATCAGTGCCTCTGCGGAGGAAGTGTTGCGGACGGCCATGATGACCTTGTGGTTGTGCCGTGCAGACACCAAGGCTGAGACCATCGTGGCACCGACGAAGCCGTTGGCACCGGTGACGAGAGTGACGGGTTGCCGTGCCACATTTCCTTCCTCCTCGGGAGTCTGTGTGGGGTTTACAGGTCGAAACATGCTGAATCGGACACTGTCCTGTTGTACTGTTGATATTGGGGGTGTCAAGCCAACTGAAGGGTCATCACGAGAAGGGGGCCGCTTGAAAAGAGAGGTCGGGGGCGTCGATATTTATACCCAGCTTCATCCTACTTACATGTCCCAAACACGAAGAAACAAGGGTCTCTCACTGGGGAGTCACATGCAATGTACACTACAAGCCTCAGGGCTGCAAAGGTGGGTAGGACTCGAATCTGTGCCAAGCATGATGTTTGTAGCAAGTCGAACCGTCTTGTTGACGTTGCTTTTGGTGGCGCACGCGATCCCGGAGTTGGTAGAGAATGAAAGAAAAGGGCAAATGACTAATACGATCCGCTTGGTAAGTCAAGTGGTCCAGGGGGGCATGATTGGATCAGTTCGCCTATTTGATGTGTTAGTTGGACAGGGGTTGGTGAGTGGCGTTTTCCTTTGTCCACCTGGAATACGAGAAAAAAACACTGCGGACGCCCCTCGTATCCATTCATCAATCAGCAACAAAGAGAGGCGTCCGAGCGGATCAATCAATCCTGCTAAGTGAGTCTGGAATGGGTTCCGCTCGTATTTTGCTTTATTATCTCTCAGCTTTTGAAAGAATTGTTCTAAATTGAGTCGAAGCGAGGACAATTGCAAGAAGCGAGATATTTTCAAGCCTTACTTCAGCACGGCAGAATAGTAGTGCTTCTTGGCTGCATCCATGATTGCTTTGACCTTTGTCGCAGGTACCTTTTCTTGACGATCGTATGAGTAGAGACCATTGACTTCCTGCTCGATATCATACCTGTAACAGCATCAGAAAAGATTTGTCAAAAGTGGTGTGTACAATCTTCAAGTCACGGCGAGGGAATGATATATAGAGGAAAGAAGGCAGCTGGGGCAGGACCAAAAAAAACCTACAACTGGGTGTACACGAAGCCACATGAGTGTCCGCCCTTTACCACCGCCATGACAAGCTGTTCGAGTCTGTTGAGAAGATCTTGAGGGTCAGTGGCAGTTGTATAACCCCAATCTCTCTCATTGACAGAAGCCCCTTTCGCCGGAGCAATATTGACACCTCCAAACTCTGTACAGATGATTGGAGCACCTTGCTTGTGTTGTGCACCTGGATCGACACATACAGAACCGGCGTGGATCGGTTTGGTGAACATTTCACGCTCAGACTTCTTGTCTAGAATGCCACTTTCCAGTTTCGAACAAGATGTGGCCAACTCAGGCGAATCAGCGTAGTCATGGTAAGTCGTCAGGTCGGTGAGGACGTGCTCCCAACCACAATTGTCGTTTATGGGACGAGTAGGGTCGAGTGTTCTGCTGTACAGTTAGCCGTGGTGCCCTTGCTAACATCTATCGGACTTGAGACATACTTGGTCATATAGTAGAGGGACCGAATATGATTGCGCTGTTCAATATTGTCTTGTAGCGAAGGGTACCCCCAACTCTCGTTGTTCGGCGTCCACGTCACGATGCAGGGGTGGTTGATGTCTCGCTTCACACTCTCAATCCACTCGTCATTGAATCGATCGGCATAGTCGTTGCTGAACTCGTAAGCGTTGGCCATTTCACCCCAAACCAGGTATCCCAATCTATCCGCCCAGTAGAGAAAAATGGGATCTTCGACCTTTTGATGCTTGCGGCATCCATTGAAGCCCATATCCATGGACATTTGTATGTCGGCTTTCAGTGCATCTGGAGATGGAGGCGTCATGCCCGTGTCTTTCCAATATCCTTGATCAAGCACCAGAGCTTGAAAATATGGCTTTCCATTCAATCGGAAGGTTCCATCACTAGTATTCCATGTTATCCTTCGCATTCCAGCCGTCGTTTGGACCTCATCCACTAATGCACCCGAAGCGTCGTAAAGACGCAGGGTCACGTCATACAAGTTTGGATGCTCAGGCTGCCACAGCGCAGTCCCATTTGACCAACTACCCTCGATATCGAAAGGAGGTCTCTTTCTCAATTCCGAAGCCTTTGGTACTTCCATTGCAAGGTCAAGAGACACAATATTCTGATCCCTCGGAAGATCCTTCTTGATATTACCGACATGATTCTCTCCAAGACTGACCTCGATTTCAGCTGCACATTTTGTCCCCGCTTGTCGGCCGACTACAGCAACACAAGCGTGCAATGTACCGGTTTCAATATCATCTGACCGAAGAATCGTACCATCACTACCACTTGCGAGGCGCATGGAAGGTACACTCTCAAGCCAGACAGATAGCCAGATGCCGCTCGTTGGGGAGTAGAAGATATTTTCAGAGACTGGACCCCAATACTGTTTACCGCGGGGTTGGGTGAGATCGTATGGAGAATCTCGAACTCGCACCGTCAGCCGAACAGACTTTGAAGGATCATTCCCCGCGAAAGCGTCTGTGACATCCAGGTCGAAAGGCACATGGCCCCCACGATGGCCTCCGACATACTGTCCGTCCGCCCAGACCGAGCATTCGTAGTCTACAGCACCAAAACGGACCAAGAGTCGATCGCCTCTGGTCTTTCCGTTTCCGCCACGGATATCGCTGATGTTGCGCTCATACCAGATCACTTCATGGGCTTCGTGAAGGCCAATACCTGATGCCGGTGTCTGAAACGCGTATGGTACTGTGATCGTATGCTTCTTTTGTCCTTGGCTTTCGACCGGCAAACCCTCTTGTGGCCACCGTTGCGTCAGACCGGAATCGGTATTGTCGAAGATGAAGTCCCAGGGTCCGTCCAAACTCGACCATGTGACGGTGGTTCGCTGAAAGTCAGGCCGTGGGTATGTGGTTGACGCAGTCATCTCGCTAATGTTCTGCTTCCGACAGATGTGTAACTCCAAGTAAGAAGATATGGCAAGCTTGAGTTTCTGAGCAAGTGTTCAACATCAAAGTCAGCATTGGTGGAACGACGTGTGTTGGCTATATATATGCAACCCTGGTATTGTGGAACGCATGTTCTATCACGAACTCCGTATAAATCGGTCATTGGACTTCTTCACGGCCCGACTTGAGGCGTATGATCTCACACTGGAGCCAGCGTCTATCCTTGCTCCATGCCGGCAATTGACACGCTAGACAGGGGTTTTGTCCTGTCACGCCAGTGGAGGAGTACTCCGTATCTAGCCAACACTTCTACAACAGTGCGCCATGCATCCTCCATGCGGGTGAATAAGGTCGTAGATCGTAGACATGCCCATGCGATGCTAAGCTAAGGCAGGCACCGAGTACGATTAGACACATCAGTCTCTTGTAAAGTTCCTGGACCGGAAATGCTTTGATCCGAGCATAGTGCATTCGCACATCATCAGCTCCGCCCTAGATGTCCTGCGCACCATTGAGACCTCAGGTGCTTGACTCCATCTCCATTGCTTCTGATGTTTTGCACACTTGCTTCCCTTTGCGTTGGTATCCAACTTCAATTCGTGGTGCATTTGGCATCGCCTCAGTTTCAAGGTCTTTTCTGAAAGCTTCAATTCCTCATGGGTATCTTCTGGCTTCTAGGCTTGCTTTTTTTCGTCCCCTTGCTGTGTTTCCTAGGTATAATCGATGCACGTCTTCCTTCAAGGGTGAAAGCTAATGTGGGTATAGTCTTCCTAGCGCTGTCTTCATGTCTAGGGGATGCTTTCAGGGCGAGAGTGTCAGGCTTCAGCATCAATCCCAGGCATGGATCGTATGACCACAACTATTTCCGAACTATGACCAATCCTGGGCCGAGTTCTTCGGAGCACATCGAGTTGGAAAGTATGCTCAATGAGCGACATATGGTTCATGACGACGAGAGAGATTGAGCCCACGGTTGAGAGTTCAGAATTCGACATCTGCCTTCTTACCCTTCTGCTCGGCTGCAGAGGCAGGCTGAGCTTCTGTACCACTATCGATCGGAGGTAGGTTGAATGGCTTGATGGTAAATTTCCTTCGGCTTAAAGTGAATGTCCAGTCGTTTTCAGCAGGGACGGTACCACTCCCTCGATCGTGCAGCATTGGCAAACGATGAACCTGCAACAATCCTTGAGGGGACTCTTCTGTCGTCCCTGACGGCCCACGAGGAGCCGGTGCATCAGCGTCAGCGGAGTGAGGAAAAGGAGAAAGCTCGAAGACGCCATCATTCAACAGCTCGATCCATCTTACTACCCCCGACGATCGAGGATAGAGGGACAGAGGGAGTGACATCATGGCGCTCATTCGGTTTGGATACTCAGCAAAGAGCGCACGAAGCCCATGCAGAAACTGTAGGACATACTCAGGCTGGCTGCAGTTTTGTGGATATACGGCAGGGGAGAGCAGTGAGGGAATAACGACACGGTGGACCGTGTTGGGTGCAGAGCTTGAAACGGCGTTGCTGAGCTGCTTCAACACAGGGCCAAAAGGAGACAGGGCTGGATTGAAGTCGAGTTGCAAAAAGTCCAACTTCGAGGAAGCAGGGTGAACGAGTCTCTTTGTCAGATCGAAAGTGTGACAGAATGATGGAGGAGCTGTGTCATCTCCTTGGGCTTTTGAGGCTGTCAGTGGTTGCGACCGCTCTGGTAAAGCACAAAGATGTCAGCCCAAGATGAAGAGCATATTTGCAACCTTTCATGGATGATATAGCATTGAATCTGGCTGTGCTACAAGGAAGAGTGTGCCCACCTCTTGCATTTGTACTGGCTCCGAACTGTCCCAGACTCTCATATCTCCAAGCGATCTTCATCTTTTCCGTGTTCTCGACATGCTTCTCTTTCTTATCCGCCGTCTGCGCAACAGCTCCCGGAAGTTCTCGTCCCCAGTGCTCGGGCATTCCAACGACGTGTACATGGTGACCTTGCAGTAAGCCTTCTGCGGCAAAGAACCGTAGAAGTGCGCCGGCGTAGTCAGTCGTACCATTCTCTTCGATGAGTACTGAGCTTCCCAGGACCAGGGCAGAATGTCCAGCAAGCAGCGAGTCAAGGCTGGCAGTGCCAGTCGAGGTTGTCAACCGTCCGTCAACCGGTGAAGGCCGAGTACCAGGGAATTGAACGTGTTTTTCCAGCGACGACGGTGTACTTTCGGAGCGCGAAGAGCCTGAAAGGCCTACATTGCGCTTGCGGAAGGACATCGACGTTTCATACGCGACCGCAATACAAAGCAAAGGTGAAAAGTTTTGCAGGTGGGAAGCATTTGGGCTGGAATTTGGGATTCGGTCTGAAAATGCCCTTCTTTGTACCCGCCCGCAAAATTTTGGGTGCTCGGACTGATTTACGCGACTGCGCCCAAAAATTATTTCTGCACTCTGCCACCACTTCAACAACCAAGTGATCAAACCCACCACACCCGCGCGCTTCCTACAAGTCCTCTCTCTGTTGCCCCGTTTGCCAACCCATTAAGATGTCGGAAAACATCCTCTTCGAAAACAGCTTCAAGATTACTGAGCTCAATAACGCCAAGTATGACAAGGTCTCCCGCATCAAAGCTTTCAGCGAGGGTGGAAGCGAAGTGCTCCTCACCCTCGATGTCAACACTGAGCTGTACTCTCTGAATGTCGATGATCGCATGACCGTTGCGCTGGCTCTTTCCCTCAACTTGGACGGCAGTAAGGATGACGGAAAGGGCTGGAGAGACGTTGGAAGAGGAGAACAGACACTGGCCGATGAGTTTGACTACGTGTGCCACGGCAAAATCTACAGATTTGAGGAAGGTGAAAAAGACAATATGTGAGTTGGTCCCGAAAGTTCTGTTTGGCATTTACTGATCTTGCCATAACAGAAAGGTCTATGTATCTTTTGGTGGCCTCCTTCTCTACATGGACGGTCCCTACGCCTTGCTCAACGCGTTAAGAATCGACTATGTCTATCTGCTCATCAAGAAATAAAGCCACAAACAATCTGTCTGGGGCCCAGGTCCAGCATTTCCTATTCAAAGAAAATGGTGGTTGCAAATGCCTGGTGCCGATATCATGGTGTCGGAAACCCTAGCTTCCTGTGACACCTGGACACGATCTCGATATAATCAGGCTCGTTCTCTGGAGTCAGTATTCCGTGCCTCACAAAAAACTCCACCAGCACTTGAGCGCAGTTTGGTTTGAACTTGCCCTCGGCCATCGCATCCTTGACCTCTTTTATTGTCAGAAGCTGGAAGTCGATGGCTTCATCGTCGCCAGGCTTCGGGATGACATTCGATGGAAGCTCGAGGTCATAGATGTACTGGCATTCAGGTTGACACAGGCCTATTTCGCCGCCAGCTCTCGAATCTCGGACGTGGAAATAAGTCAGCGTACCACAAGCTTTGGCGGACTGTACGACATCTGCCGGCAACGAGGCTTCTTCGTCACATTCCCTCACCAGACATTCGAAAGGCTTTTCTCCCGTGCTTAACCCTCCGGCAACGGTGTTATCCATCATGCCAGGATACGTCGGTTTGGTCAAAGCTCTGCGAGGCGCCCAGATCTTCATACCTTCTTCGGTCTGGACGTAGCCCGTCATATGCACTCCATATGTGACAACGCCGAAGAGGGGGGTTGCAGAGCGTTCCATGCTGAGAATGAGCTCTTTGCCAGGTCCGTAGATGGGGTACAGCTCACTGCGCCAACCATCCAGCACGCGAAAGATTTTCTGTTCTCTCACGCTCTGTAAATATTGCGCCAAGATCTTGTTGCGGCCTTCTAATGCTTTCACATGCTGTCCCTCCTCATCCCGAGGTTGGAATGCCAGTATTCGATTGCCTTGATCAAGGCTCCAATGCTTGGAGGACGGCAGTTTGGTTGCAACATCAGCAGACACATAGCCTAGAGATACCTGGCATCCTTCTACTTTGAATTGATAGTAGTCCTTGAACGCAGAATCGTACGCCGTGGGATTCTCTAAGTGATATGGAAAGCTTCTCAATTAGTTTGTAATCCACGGGAATTTTTATTCTCACGCACTTGTCACACTCGTGTATGATATCCAGGTTCGATTTCCCGACCATCCTCGTAAATGCTCAAGGATATCGATGGGTACCTTGACTTGATCAAGGAGAACGGTAGTACGGTGTTTGCAATGTGTCGTGTGCTTTATGCAAATACATACCTCGTACTCCGTACTTGTCCCTGTCACGGACCTCATCGTACTGTCCTTGGCAGCTTATGTAAGGCAACGAGGAAAGGAACCAGTAGACGCCAAGGAAATCCTCGACTCAGAATATTTCTCTAATTAGATAAAATGCTGTTGTACTCTCTCCTCGACCTTGTTGTCTGATGACTCTAGCACACAAAGTCATGTAGTGTCTCGTCTTCTGCTTGAAGACCTTTTCTTCAAGCCAGACCACCAATCCATTCTACCTCCGAGGTTGCTCCTTGCAAAGATCGAGTACTGCATCCGTGGGAATTTCCGTCCGTCCTGTACAGCTTTGGTAAGTAAGGTAACCTACCTGTTCACACAGTCTTTCTACATATTTGCATGATTATACAATTTTTTATAATCTGTCAATCCACTGATAAAAAGCCCTTTGGGTTTATGTGATTGAAACGAAAAAAATCGTTGTTGAAATATGATCTCCTAGTGAGAACAACTTCTTGTTTTTATTCTATTCTCCAGGCGGGCGTATCACAGAGAAACTAACAATGGGTCATGTTTTTGCAGGTTACACGTACCGAAAATGGATGACCCAGCAGATCTCGGCTTCGACTATAAGCCAGACCTCCCGGTCCCGATCTCGCAGGTCGGTGGAAGATATCTGCTCTTCGATATCAAGGTCGCCAGCTTTCTCCGAAGGGAGTATCGAATATGCGGCACGCAGACCGGAACCTTACCTCTGGCGCCGTCGCAGAATTTGTTCCTCGGCTTACCGATAGAGATCATGCCCGAGGAAGCTCAACTGCTCGTCGAAAAGGGCGTGGCCGTCGTCGTCGACGATGCGCGAGCCCACGATCAGGCCGTCCTGCGTTCTCCCGACAGCATCAGACGTGCGGACTACCTTGCAAACGTCGAAAAGCAAGCCCGGCGATTCGAGCTACTCAGTACCCAGGAAAAGGAGCAGAGTCGACGGCGGGCATTGGAGAAACGAGCCAGAGCAACCACCGCCTGCCTGGCCTCGACGGAGCCGCCTTCGACTCCACGCCAAGGTGAAGCTGCTGCTCCCGGTTTGTTGGATTTCGCCGAAGGGGAAAAAGAGGAAGCGGCCTCTGACACACCAGCAAGGGAGAGCTCTGTGCGTGACGAACCAGTCTCATCGCAGATGGAGCCAGCGGTGAACTCCTCAACAAGTCACTACCACATCACCCCCGCCACGTCTCAACACCTGGTCCCCGGGTCCGTGGGTGCGACACCCAAGTCGACGGTCCAAGGCCTGCCGGCTTCGTATCCCATGTATAGACATTTGCACGAAAAGGGCTACTTCATGACCCCCGGGCTCCGGTTCGGATGTCAGTACAACGTCTACCCGGGCGACCAGCTGCGGTTCCATTCTCACTTCCTGGCGTCCGGCTTCGAATGGGACAGGCGGATCGACCTCATGGATGTCGTTGGCGGAGGCCGACTGGGGACGGGTGTTAAAAAGGGCTTCCTGATCGGCGGTGCAGACCCTGCGGGTCAGGTCAGGACGTTCAGCGTCGAATGGGCTGCCATGTGATTTTTGCAAGCTACTTTCATATCAGATAATGATTCTTGACTGCCAGTCTTATGCTGGCTGACGCAATCTTAACATGGTCGTCATCTTCATCATCATCATTGCCATTCTCATTGACTACCCACGTATTCAGTCGATCCGCACTTTTGTTTGCCTACCTACCTACATTAGGTGGGTATTAGTAGGTATTCCAGACTGGGGACTTTTTCGCAACTTTGCGCCTAAGACGTGTCTATGAGCATCTCCCTGCCAAGTAGGATTGACATCGCGAATTATTTATATCTTGAAAATGGCGCTCTTGCTCCTTACACCATCAAATACGCAAGTCCCGTCGACCGGCACGTACTGTCTCGTGAGCAACTTGATGGCCTCTTGCGCCACCATGCCACCCAACACGCTCGAGATGTTGTGTAGTTCACCGCCCTTGGCCCGTTCCACCTCCTTTACCGCATTGGCATAATTCGCTTGTACTTCCTCGTCGGATGACATAGCACTGACATCCACATTCGCCGCATTCAAGCCCACAAAGACAGGCAACATGCCTTCCCAGTCATTATCCACCATGGTGGGCAATCGCGCAAGGGTCTTTGCGTCGCCCAGGGCTAATCGTAATGACGGAACAGGGTCGTTATTTGTATTCGTCAGGACGCGGACGTGGGAGGCGTTTTTGCAAAATGCTTCAATTTCCGAGTCTTCAATATGACTTGTCGTCCGAGACAGGTCTTTTTCCAACATTCGGACCACTCGAGTGACTTCAGCAACGTCAGCACGTGCTTTGGTTTTGTATGTGCTCTGGAGCTTGATGTATTCTGAGCTGGTTGCTTTCATGTCAGGAAGAGATCCCGGGAGAGGAAGGACGCCGTGAGTTTCATAGAACTGTCTGATGGCTCTGGCTATTACCCAGAAGTTTGCCGAGTCCTTTGTGACATCTGTGCATGATGCCATGTTCATCATTTCTTTGCAACCGCTACCTATCGGCGGCGGCGTGATACTTTTCAGAACGGCCGCACATGCTTCATCGTAGTTTTCCTCGCTACCTTCTGGGTTGTTTGTTCTTGCGCCGGAGCGGACCAGGTCTCGGAATTCCGTCTTTTCCTTGAAGGTCGACGGATAGGAGCCATTGTGTGACTTCCTCCATTCTCTCAAATAGTGCAGAAGCAGGATGATGTAAGGGATGTGGCCGTGTTCGTGGTCCGGCAATGAGGTGATGTCGCCCAGGGAGTCTACCACGGCTTCAAGCTCCGGCCACGGTGCCAGCAGCCGTAGGTCTTGGGTGCTCTCTGGGTCGGGATGGGTGTCAACAATGGGGAATTCGTGAGGAAGCTGGATGGAAAAGGATGCGAGGAAGCCTGCAGACTGAATGTAGATCACGGGTATCGATCGTTCCGTTGCATAGTTGCATATCCGTTGTAAGTATTGCAGGGGTACCGGGGCACATAGTAGGATGAGATTGTACGGTTGCAGGGAGGTTTCGGTCGGTAACCATTCCGAGAGAGGAGTCGTGATGGCATGGCCTGTAACATCGGGATTTAGCTCGGAGAGGAGCCGTCTCGTCTCTTGTGCTCTTGACTTGTGTAGACTGTCTGTCTCGAGGAAGAAGTTGACACCTAGATCGGCATCTGTGACCGTCGCAGGGTCGGCGATGGTGAAGTTACCAATGCTGGGGAGGATGAGGTTCTTGAGTGTCTCGGCACCAGCGACGCTGCTGTTGGACCCGTGGTTCTCGTCGCCAATGACCAGGAGAACATGTGACTCTTCAAGTGCCCTCTGACCGGAAGCTGCCCATAGTCGTAACTGTCTGTCGTATTTCTTCTCTTTGGCTGTGGGTGCTTGAAGCGGAGGCGGAGTGACTTCTCTAGGTGCGATTTCGGCCATGTTCGTGAACTGGGGGATCAGGTAGCGAGGACAATAGAGGACAGCAGATATTCTCACTGGGAGTCAGTTTCGTACTTTCTGAACGACTCCTTCATCTCCAAGCAGGTTCTGGGTCGCGGTAGCAAGCCTGGTCAGAGGAGCAGAAAGCGCAGGCAATTGATGAACGAGTTGTACTCCGTACAGATACAGTCAACGAACATTTGTCAGATTTGGAAAGTCGAGCGGCGGGGATCAAGCGACGTCACTGGTGCCGAGTCACTTAATTAGCTCTAGTACGGATACTTATTAGCAGCAATTGTTAGGGGACTTCTTAGGCGCTGTGGCAGCCCACCATAGACGACGGCGCCCAATGCTCGTCTTTCTGGCCTCACCCCACGTTTTCTTGCGATAGACTCATTTTTCCCGCTCGAGATACACAGCCTCTTTAGCCTGAGTTGAAGGCAGTACATATTCCTCAGACATACGCTGTATCTTCTGTTTCTCCTGTCGCTGTTGCTCTGGGTACTTCTGCATCTGCAAGCCGTACAGTCATCAGCAACCGGCCTACGTAATCTTGGGTGTCACATTCCCATAGAGGTTCATGCATGTTTCTAGCGACTTTGTGTAGCCGCACACGTAAGTCGACCGACAACACCTCTCTCTTTACAATCAGCTCATTTCTGGTAGTCAGACAGACCAGACTCTCGCCGGGTACTTCTCGAATACCGGTCAACAAGTTCCTCGTTGTTTACAATCCAGCTATACCTTTCCGCGGCCTCAAGAGCTCCTCCTTTCCGACCAGACCCAACTCCTTCGACAACATGGCGGCAGACATAGAAGCTGCGAAGAAAGCGGCAGCGATAGAAGCAGTGCGCAATCACTTCCCCGAGAACCCGCGCTTTGTCGGCATTGGTTCAGGCACGACGATTGTCTACGTGGTGGAAGCAATCAAGAACAGCGGAATCGATGTTTCAAGAGTAGGCTTTGTGCCGACGGGGTACCAATCCAAGCAGCTTATTATAAACGCTGGCCTTGTGCCCATCGAGTTCGATGCCTTACCCGACAGTGCTATGCTCGACGTGGCGTTCGATGGAGCCGATGAAGTGGACGAAGATCTCAATTGCATCAAAGGAGGAGGTGCATGTCTATACCAGGAGAAGCTCGTCGCGATGCGTGCAAAATCATTCATTTGCGTTGCAGGTACGTATCGCTCCCATATCTGCGTAGCTTTTCACTGACCTCCCCACCGACTATCGCAAACTTCAAACTCGTTTGGTGACGAAGTGGCCCACGATTCCCATTGAAGTGGAGCCAAAAGCAGCCCGACAAGTCATTCAACGACTGCGTATGCTTGGGAGTCGAAGCCCGACCGGTGCCACCCCCGTGATCCGGGAAGGTCATATGGCCAAGGCTGGTCCCATCAAGACCGATCAAGATTTCTTCATTGTCGATGCACCATTCCCTCATCCTCTCTTGCTTTCGTCAGACTGCACACCAGAGAGGCTAGGAAATGGCGAGCACGGCTATTGGGAGGTTGAGCAACTCGCCAAAGCCATCAAAGAGATCAACGGCGTGCTGGCTGTTGGTCTTTTTTGCGGTCCGACAGGTCCCGAGGCCTTGGCAGCCCAGGTGATAGGAGGACAAAGACCAGTCGCCTGCTACTTTGGCATGGCTGATGGCACTGTTGCTTTGCGCCGAGCTCGGGAGAAGCGACCGTCTATTGTCGCCAAATATCCCCCATTGATACCCGTCCGTACAACCGAAGACTAGTCGTAGATCCCGCCCCCAACAGACATCTCTGTGGCTTCAATGTGACCGAAAGGGGTCGTAGATGCATTAGAACAGAACAAAGTCCTGCTCACTTCGCCTTCCTCTTGACCTCGTTCTCGCCCAGTTCTCTGATGTAGATACTAACGGACCCTTCAGCAACTTCGTCTTTGCCATCCTCAAACCCAGGGCTAATCGCTGTCGCAAGATACTTTCCATTCGAGCTGAATGATATGGCCGCGACGCTCGATGCCAGTTTAGGGTAGATACGAATTCGGCGTTTTGCGATAGCATCCCAGATCGCCACAACGCCGTCACCCCCACCAGTCGCAAACGTACCGTGGACGGGATGGAAAGCAATGGCATTGACAGGATAGACGACGTCTACGTCGTCGACGGGTTGGCGGTGGCACTTGAAGGCGTACTTCCTCGCCTGTGACTCGTTCGACGGGTCGAACCACTCGACGGCGACGCGGCCCTCGATGCTCGACGAAGCGTACCCTTCATCGTTGGGCATGCAGTCGACGGCCCTGGTCATGAATTTCAGACTGCTCTCTCGCCGCTGCCACGGCTCGATGTCCAGCCGATTCTGCAACGAGTTCGCCGAGCTCTTGCATTCGTTCGCCAGCGCCTTCAGCTCGTAGATGTGCAACGCTCGGTTGGCCATGGCCACGACCAGCTTCGACGACGAAACCGCCAGGGAAAACGGCTTCGAGGGCAGGTTGATCGTGGCGGTGCTCCAGGCCGCATCACCGCCTCCGGGGTGAATGTGCAGCGTCGAGTCCCACGCCGCCGAGATGACGAGAGAGTGTTCTTTACTGTACACCACGGAGCGGACTCCGTTGTCGTGGGTGCTGAGGACCGTCTGCGTCCCTGACGTCAAGTCTATCCTATACATGGAGAGAGATTGGTCAGCCAAGGACCTTCACTGCTTGTGCGCAAAAGGAACAAATAAAACTCGTCCGACCAACCTTCTCACATCCCAGTCCAAGCAAGCCGTGTATATTTCATTGTCGTCCTTGCCGAAGCAGACGTCGAGTACCGGCGCCCTGTGCTCAAACTTGGCCGTCTGCGTGCACGACTTCCCGTCCGTGAGCTCGTAAATGTACACGTTCTTGTCCCAAGAGGCCACGGCGAAGCGAAACGAGTCTGGGTGCGGTGAAAATCTTAGGGCCGAGATGGCATCTGCAGGAGGATCGGGCACAGGAGATTGGTCTGTTCAAGCGGTCAGTGGTGAGCACGGTACGAACATGGAATGTACTAACTTGACATATTGACGACGGTGACAGAGACTTGGGAAAAGCTTTCGTGATCATGCGCGGCGCATTTCTAGTGCGAGTCTCATGTTGGAGTGCGAAAACAACACAAATGATTCTGCCGCCAGTCACCGCCTGTAGGGAACAACCCCACCTCAGCCTTGCAGCAGCTTCACGGTCGTAGGTATTGACCGACACTTGGCTCACGATTGATTGTACAGTGCTAAATAGAATTTTGTCCTATACTCCCTACAGAGTGCCTGATATCTAAATCGCCCTAGTATCTACAGTCGAAGGCTAGTTAATACATTAATCATGCTGGGAGCACATGCCACCTATACAATCAGAAAACGCTATCCAAAATACCAAGCGTCGCTCACGCCAATCTCAAAATTTTATGCCGATTCTGCCCGTCACAGCGTCTTGAAAAACAGGTTCTGCGACAAGGACGGAGTGAAGTGAAGATGCTGTGAATAAAATGATGTGAAGTGAAGAATGCCGCTTGCTAAAGAAGTCCTTCAGATTTGAAAGAAAATATCGTGTCGAACAAAAATTGACTGACCGTTTGGTAAGAATTGAATCGTGGAAATGCAATATCAAACAAATTCTTGCCACCCCTCAGGAATTTCGTCTAAAGTGATCATTCGTCTCAAATCTTTCAAGACAGCCTCGGTGCCCTTTTCAATGATAGCCAGTCTTGGAACACGGAATTTGTTGCCACTGGCTTCGAGTGAACGTAGCTTTCCAGCTTCTCTCGCACTGCCTGGCTTGTTGCCTAAAAGGCCAATCTTGGGTGGAAGGGTCTCGATCTCATTGTTACGGATGTCGAGTACTTCCAACCCACGCACGCCTTCGACGTCGACACTTGAGAACCAGTTGTCAGTGGCGAGTAGTGTTGTGCAAGTTGGCCACCAAGCTCGTACCCAAGGGACACGTCCGGCCAAGCGGTGGCAAGAGATGTTCAATTCGATCAAGCACGGTGCTTTGAGATACGTCGTCAATGCGTCAAGTGACGTTAAACCAGTACTGACGATATACAAAGACTTGAGGTTTGGCAAGAAAAGCTCTGAAGTGAGGTATTCTGTCGAATGAAGACACGGATTGTGGCCGAGATCCAACACCTGCAGCGAGTACTTCAGCATTGGGTGATTGAGAAGGTCAACAGGAAAAGTGGTGAGGTCGTTATTCGAGAGGTTCAGAGTTCTTATCGGTCCATTTGAGTCGTCGAGATGGATTTCAGACAAGTCGACACCCGATAACGATTGCGAAGACATGTCCAGAATACCACTAGCAGCCTTGAACCGATATTCTGGTGTGGGCTTCAATGTGTCGTCAAGTGGTCCCGTTGCAAGACTAGGATCCTCCAGTTTCTTTTCCAAGTCCAATTTCAACTCAGTCGTACTCATAGTTAGATACTTTTTTTCTCGTAATGGGTTGCCAACAAGATTCAAGCTGGACAGCTTTGTCATCTTAGAGACCTCCGGGTCAACCAGTCTGATGTTATTGTGCCCAAAGTGGGCCGATGCTAGTTGGTCGAGATGCAAAAACTCAGAGGGTATTTCATCCAGCTGGTTTTCGGCGATCGTGAGCATCTGAAGCTGCTTACATTTGGCTAGTGAAGGCAGCTTAGCCACTCGATTACCATCCAAAATGAGGGTTCGCAGACTAGGTAGGTCAAGATCATCGTCACAGACCCCTTCCAAATCATTGTACGAAGCATTTAAGCTGCGCAGTTCAGGCGAGTGAGATGCAGAACGGAAAAGCATTCCCTTGAGACGGTTCTTGGAAACATTCAGTTCAGTCAGCGGCAGACTTCCAAGAGTCTCCCACGGCAAGCTCGAAAGCTTGTTGGCACTGACATCTAATTTCTTGAGACTCTTCATGCGCAACAACGTCTGTTCCCCGAGGTTGTCAATATTGTTACCGTGCAGGTCGAGCACTTGCAGATCATGGAACTCGAACTGATCGAGAACTAGACTTCCGCTGATGAGGTTCTCGCCCAAAAAAAGTTCTTTCAGCTGTGAGATTTGGTGAAGGATATGGAAAGCATCAATCTCAAGCTTGTTGGCTGTTAGATTCAATGATTGTAGCCTAGCCAGTCTTCGAAACCCAATAGGAAGTCGTTGAATATTGTTTCGTTGGAGGTCGATGGATTCTAGGCCTCCAAATTGATTGCTCTTCTCGTCGTCGTTTTGAAGCTCATACTCAGAAAAGTCGGGAAAGACTTCACCTTCAAGCTCCTCAATTTCATTATCTGCTGCGTTCATTCTCGTGAGGTCTACCATTTCGGACCAGTCTATTTTGTTGTCTTCTGGATCGTACATTTTCATTATCTCTGGGGGTATTCGTTTCAAATTCATTCCGGCAATGTTCAATTGCCCTGTCGTTACTGCTTGTTGGATACGCTTCTTCAATAAAACCTTTTTATCTCCGGTATTTGGCAGGTCATCGAGCTGTCCGAAACCGGTCGAAAAGTCGTCGGATTGCCGTGTAGGTTCGCCTCCTGATTTCTTCAACATGTCCCTCCTGGCTGCTTTTGCTTTGGCGATCGTCTCACGCAGGGCAGCCGACGACTTCGGGGAGCTCGTGGCGGGTGTTTCCTGTGCAGTCCCGGTATGGCGTTGCTGCTCTGACTTCGAGTTGGTCTTGCTCTCTGGCTTGGCCTTGGCTTTCGAAACAGTTGGCTTTGAACCGCCCACAGATGGCAAGGGATTGGTCTCTCGTGACGGCAGTGCTGGATTCTTGAAGATTGATGAGATGGAGGGCCTCTGCGCTGTTGTATGAGACCCAATGGTTTTGCTGCCGTATACTGATTTGCCCTTCATGGGCTGGGAGGAAGTTTTCACCGAGGACGAAGAGTTTTGATGCGTAGCAGGGTTTTCGAAGGCAGAACTCATTGATCGGCGTGGGTCTCGTAAAGGTTTCGCAATTCTTGACCGCTGGTCTCTAACAAAAGCTCTAGGTGGTGTATAGATATCACCTGGCGACATGACCGTGGGTAAGGGTGCAACATCTTTGGTAGGCGAAGCTCTTCCCGGTGGTCGAAAGGCTCGCTTCGACGGCGATTCTGCACGAGTCGTTGCTGGAGTTGTAGGACGCGATGTTCTCGATGTCGGTCGCATTGGGGGTGGCATAGAGTTGTCGCTGTTGACAAAGCTTGTCCTTCTAGGCATTGGCGATGGACACGGCGATACTTGCGATAATGTCTCCGTCGTTCGTTCGGACAATGACGGTCGAGGTTTGCGTTTCTCTGGGACTCCATGATCGGCTCTGGCAGTGGTTGGATTTTCCGAGCCATCTTCAAATACTGCCGGATCGTCTTTTACATTGGGAGGTGTTGTCTCTAAGGTGGCGGTGTACGCGTCGCGAAGAGCATCCCTCACTGGCGACGCGCTTCTCGGATTTCTGGGCTTCTCGCCCCATGCAAAGCGGGAACGAAGCGACTGATTTAGATTTTCTCCCAATGGCCCTGCCAGGCCTGATGGACGTGGTAAGCCGGATTTCTTACGCAAGTCATCCTGTTGACCTCTGGCACTGAGTTTCAGGTTGTCCATGGACGCGCTTGCACGTGGCATGGGTAGCCTGGACAGGCGTGGAATGCCACCACGCAGCGGCACATTGGACCCGTAATCTTGGTCCATGCTGCAATATGGGACGACGATATCCGTTAAAAAGAATGCTCCTGCATTTGAATCGTGGACATTCAATATATTGAAGTACCAGATATCAGACAGCCCAGGATATTGGAACTACCGAGCAGTAGGACAAGGAAGTCCAAGCTCCTGTGAAAAACAGATCCGTTGTTGACAGGAAAAAGGGGGCCGGGAAGGAACAGCGATCGACCTCGTTGTTGTGGCAATCGCCCTAATTGGGCCTAAGTGAACCGCCTAATTGTAATTGAGCCTAGTGTGTCTAGTGCCTTGGGATCACGCCCCGAATGGCCCCCCATAAGCATTGACGGGGGTTGTGCCTACAGTCCTCCGTAGTGTCATTAAATGCCTCCCTCGTGTCGGGGGCTCCAATTCGCGACGCGTGTTTTAATGGCAGCGTCGCGCTTCTCGTACCCAGTAAATACCCAACGACCCGCTAGTGGGTGGTTTTCTTCAAGTCTCTTTAACGGCTCCGCTCCACCTCGACCACCACCACCTCTCGGTTCCCGCTCTCCCAGCCTCTTCGCCTATGGTCAAAATCCCAACCTGTCAAATATCGTCCTCGCTTCATCCTCATGTGGTCCATCTTCAACCTTTCAATCAACCTCCTCCCGCTGTCTGTCACGCATCGCACTCACAGCACAGCTATCCCAATGTGCCACCTTGCGGCCCGATCATAAAAAGGCATTGCGCACTTCCGTAACTCTACTTGTATCATCTTCTCACAGTTACCACACTTGCGACTCCACCACTATCGATAGCAAGCAAGGCCAGAGTGACAGCACATTCTCGCCTCGATCTTCTGACAGCGATCGCTCACCCCTCACTCATTTCTTGCGCAAACGCCCGGCAATCCTTCTTACTCTACTTCTTCCAAGATGGCCAACGTCGAGATGCCAACAATTGAATCGCTTGTGCCATCAACACCTCCGCCGGCTCCTCGTTCTCACTCCGCGGACAGCATGAGCAAGTCGGCCTATGCTTCACCACCAGCAATGTCCGCAAGCTTGACCCCTCCTCCATCTACACAGCCTCCTCGCTTTCATTCACCCGTCAATCGCGCAAGCATCGGACCTAGCGATCCTCTACTTGCATCACCTCCCAGCACGTTAAAAGGCAATGTTCTGCGTGCACTTCCTACACCGGATGCGATCGCTCAAGCCGGCATCGAAGAACTGCGCGACATGGCCAAAGAATTGGTCGCCGCCGTTCAAGAAGCTCGAACCTCTGCCGCGCACTTCAAGTTGCAACACAGCTTGCTCGCGATGGAGTCAGAAGAGGCCGCACAAAGGGCTGAAGTCGAACGTCAGATGACTCGACGAGAAATGGAAGTCCTCCAAGCTGTCGAACACAAGAATCGTGCTTCAGGGTCCTTGCGCAGCTCGCTGCCTCCAGCGCAACCACAAATCGATGCATTGACCAGAACATGCAGAATGCTCGAGGATGAGCGTGACGACGCGGAACATGAACTCCTTCGTGCCAGAAAACAACTCGAAGCAGAAAAGGACAAGGTTGATCTCTTGATGGAGCAGAACGAGAGGCTTAAGAAACGTATTCGCGACAACAGAGAACACTTCAGTCGACTCAAGAGCCTTTCTCCCTCGTACGCGACACCTCGTGATGCATACACAACGCCCCAGCGCAGGGCAATCCCCAAATTTGAATCGGCCCCTAGCCATGGCACTATCGCCGCACTTCTAGCAGCAGATCAGGTCTTGAGCAGAGAAAGCCTCAGTGTCCCGTCGACCCCCACCAAAACGCATACGTCAAAGTTGAAGCACGGCCATACTCGAGGCGCCCACTCAATGTCGTCGTTGCACACCGCGCCTGCTCATCATCGTCCGTCGCAGAATGAGGGTTATTCAGAATCTATGGTACCCCTCTCAGCGCCAGCCTCCCAGTTGGTGATCGAGTCTGCCGAGAGAGGACGTCACGATCGAGATAGTACTATCTCGATCTCCGATGCTGAAGAAGGCAGCAATGACGATGTCCCACAGTCACAGGCTAGTTCGCTGGCTACTAACATGCTACGCCGAAATCCTGGACCTCAAGAGAGTTTACGGCTGTCGCAAGGTGCAGAGAAGTCCAGCAATGTATTGCAGAGAAAGCTTTTTGGCCCGGTCCAAAAGTCAGCTCACACGAAAAAGAGATCTGGTAGCTTTGGAGAATCAGATATGAAAGCGAAGAAGGCGAGAATATCTCAAGGTGTTGGTCTGGGTATTGAATCTTGGAGTCAGTGATCTCGAGGCAATCAGTGCCATTTTGGGGGAGTTTTTCTGGGTTTGATTTAAAGGATACCCACTCAATCCCAGTGTTACACACGTCGGAAAGGAAGGTGATTAGTATCATAGCTCATGCTCAATCTTATCACAATGTAGTCTGTATATTTTTTCTCGCTTATTGTGAATACTCTGAACAACCTCGTCGACTCTGTTTGTGGGTGAGCTTAGCATAACAAGAAGAGAATGAGCATGCATCGATCTATGGCCGGGGACAGACCATATGCCTCAGAGGACGAAGGAAAACATTTGCAGACTTCACCGTATGAAGCTCTACCTACGAAGCATCTAGTTCGTATTTGATAGGACATCTATCCCTCCGTATGGCAGCCCATGAAAACCATGTCATTTAAAACGGAAGAGGCTCTTTTTGGTGAAGTGCTGATAAAGTACGGATATCGGTGAACAAATATGTCAGACAAAGAACTGGCCGTATCTCGCCTACTTACCATTTCCTCCGGTAGTGCATGAGAAAATCACACGACCAAGCCACCCTTCTCCTTGGCGCACACAAATCGCCGCCAAGAAAAATCAACCGGATTGGGAGACCCTCACTGGCTCACGGCACCAATCTGTGTGTGGGCGGCAGAAATTCAACAATCTCTTGGATTTTGGACTCCAGCGACTTACCACCACCACCAACTTCTTTCTCAGTTCAAGGTTGTGTCCTTTTTTTTCTCCCCCTTTAAGAAGCACACGGCGTCGTCAAAGGCACAATGGCGATCAAGCACAACCAACAACTGCCGAACAACCACTTCCACAAGGACTGGCAACGCCGGGTCCGCGTGCACTTCGACCAGCCGGGCCGCAAGTCCTCGAGACGGGCTGCTCGTCTGTCCAAGGCCGCCGCTGTCGCCCCCCGACCCGTCGACAAGCTGAAGCCCGTCGTCCGATGCCCTACGATCAAGTACAACCGCCGCGCCAGGGCCGGTAGAGGTTTCACCCTGGTCGAATTGAAGGTACGGGAAAACTCCTCGCACGCAAATTTTTGTTTGGTTTTTCGCATGTCAAGGAGAAGAGAGAGAAAGAGAGAAGGGCACCCCGGAAATCGACATCACGTCCGATTTCTTGAAGAGTAGGAAAAGGACAAGAAACATAGGCTACATGATTTTCGCCGACGTCGACTCTCTACCCTGTCTCTTTCTTCTCCCCCCTCCCCCCTTCGACGCACAAACTTCTGCGGAAGAACGTGGCGTACCATTCTAAAAACCGAGAGAGAAAAGAAAGAGCTGAAGGGGAAAAAAAACTGACACAATCTCAAAAACAACAGGAAGCCGGTATCCCCCGCAAACTCGCCCCTACCATCGGTATCTCCGTCGACGCCCGCCGCCAGACCACCAACCAAGAGACCCTCTCGACCAACGTCGCCCGCCTCAAGGCCTACAAGGCCCGCCTGATCCTCTTCCCCCGCAAGTCCGGCCAGCACAAGAAGCTCGACAGCTCCGCCGAGGACGTCAAGATGGCCGAGGACGACAGCAAGATCGCCAAGAAGGTCGCCGCCTCGATCCCCATCGACACCGGTGTCGGCATCGCCCACGCCTTCAAGGAGGTCAAGAAGGGCGACATGCCCAAGGGAGAGGAGGCCGCCTTCCGCAAACTCAGACTCGCCCGCGCCGACGCCAGGAACCAGGGCGCCCGGGAGAAGAGGGCCAAGGCCAAGGCCGAGGCGGAGGATGCCAAGAAGAAATAGAGAGAGGACCTACGTTGTTCAATGCGATCCGAACACAAATGACAAACACAAACCCAAAACCACGAAGGGCGGGGGCGTCGGTCGTTTCCATGTCTGCCTGGGTGGGTGTGTGTGTGTGTGGTGCATGGGATGGTGGGCTCGCTCCGAGCGTGGACGTGGAAGCATTGTCTAGCCATGTGGTTGTCTTTTTGCTTCCATTGATCGCGTCGGAGCAAGGAAAGAAAGGAGATGCTTTTTATGTTTTTTCAAAATTGGCGTCGACAAGCAACGTTCAAGAAGAAGAAAAAAGATCATCATACGAAAAGGAATTAGCAAAGAATGAGTGAGGGGGCGTGTGTATTGCATTCTCCTTCTTTGTGTCGTGTTATCCAAATTCGAGAGCGACATAGCATGGAACCCAGAAGGAAATACCAATGAGAAAAAAAACCAAACGAAATTTCTTTTATTCAGCTGTAGTCGTCTCCAACCCCCAGCAAAAGGTCCGAAACCCCCGATCAGTAGAAGAACTGTTGTATTTCTCTAGCCGTGATATAAATCTCGGCATCGTGACCGTATGGTATGTACAACTCTCGGTAGCAACTCCTGGTATCTGGATCTAAGGTAGTCATAAGCTCATACATCATAGCACATCTGTACTGATTCTGGCCAACAATTCAGACCCGTTTCCGCTTGCCTTTGGTTTTCCCTTCAGGGTTTCCTTCATCATCTCCATCCGCATGAATCAGTTCCCAGACACTTTCAAAAGCATTCAGGACACCTTTGGAAGGGTACAAAGTAGCAAACACATCTTTGAAACCTTTCTCCGCCTTGGTCGACACACCGCTGAATGTCAGCGAGACGTCAGAGATGGCCTCTCCGGTCCAGTCAAGGTCGAGTTGCCACACCAACATGATTTTCACCGCAGACGATACGTCGCTCTTCTTGGAAGTCGGGATCTGAGCAGACATCTCGAGCTGTGTGAGTTCGAGGTACGGAGAGAGCTCGACCGCCATTTCTGGTTTCAAAGGCTCGTCCCCATCTGAGAGATTGTCATCTTTGGCTGTAGAAAGCTTGACGTATTGTAAATCCAGTTGACGAAAGATTTTTGCACGTTCAATCGTGGCAGAGAACCATTTGCCCATTCCCCAGATTATACCTGCTAGATCAAGCCGGTGTATGCTGAGACGATCAGGTCCGGGTTGTAAGCGTTGCTCGGCCCACTTGAAGACTCCACGTCTGGGGGCTTTTGAAGCTTGATTATGGTCTCGCAAGACATCCTCCATGCGCACATTTTCTACGTGACCCATCTCAGCATCCACAACCACATTGAACGTGCAAGCAAAGGTGTTGGGAAGCCAAGGAGGCGGCACCGAAGCAGTCAAGTTGTGAAGGAGCTTTGGTCGGCCATCACGACTGAATACCTCCGTGGTGTTCTTGAGCTGTAGATTGCCCGGTGCAAACAAGGTCAGATGATACGGAGTCGGCCAAGCCTCAGTATTTGTTGGGAGAGTTTTGCCGTTGTCTGAAGTAAGGCTCTGTAAAAGCGTCAGGCAGTCATCGCCAGGCTGCTCGCGGCCAATGACATTTTCCAATTTTCCAACCTCCTTCTTCACTCTGTTCAATTCATCTTTCAAGGAGCGGAGAGACGACTTCTTCTCTTGCAGCTCTGGTGGTACCTCTTCGGTGGCTTCATCTGCTGAGGGCTCAAGCTCGCTCTCAGAAGCCTCATCGCCCTCATCCCTCAAGCTTGCCAAAGGTTCCATAGCTTTTGGCGGTGGTGCACGTGCTTTCGGTTTCAAAGGGCTACTAGTGGATAGGTGCTGAGATCGTGTTGTCCTACTAAACCTCCCACTGCCGGACTTTGAACTTCTCGGACTGCTAGACGATAGACCTCGAGGTCTGTCGGGTGCAGGGTCTAATCCCAACTGCACTGGGGTCGGAGGCAGTTCTGGCTCATTGCTTGCGGGGCGACTTGCCGACTGGGAATTGGAACTTGTTCGGCGTACAAGAGAGGGCATTATAATAGGCGGAGGGAGACCGTCCTGGCCGAAGTGACTTGCTCTCTGGGATCCATTCACTCTCGAAGGTCGTTGCTTTGTTGATCGTGATTGAGGACTTTTGTACGGTGATGGGGGCTTTGGACTGGGCCTTGTGCCCGAGTCTGTCCTCTCTGCCTCCTTTCCAGCAGCCTCTGCAACTTGATCTTGGACTGTCCCTTCCACAGGGCGACCCACGGAGTCGATGGGTCGAGGGACCTTCTCAGACTCAGGCACGTCGGTGTTGGTTTGTTTGTTTTGTAGAATCTCATCCCTTAAACTTCTCCCCTTTAGTCCTGTTAGGGCACGACGAGGAGACCGTTCGATGAGGTGTGGATATGATCGTGACAGGGAGCTTTTCGTGGGAGACAAGTATGATGGTCGGGTCGGACTTGCTGTTTTCAGGCCGTTATTGTTTGTGATGGTATCAGCTGCTCTTTCATAATCTTCATCATCGGACAACCTCCTCCTCTTTGCAGGCGACTGGAACATTGTTGTACGTAGATTGGGCTGTTGATGTTTTCGTCGCCTGCCGTCCACATGCTTGGGTGGTGCGGTATTGGGTACGAGTACGAGAAAAGCGCGTCTCGAGGCTCAAAAGACGCGACGGAGCAGATTAAAACAGTGGCGCATTTCCGATTCACATGAAGGTCATGTGATCATATCCGAGCTTGTACGGAGTACTGGGTTTACCAATGGCAGTTTCGCCAATTCGCATCAAGCCGCGGAAATAAAAGCCGGAGAGATCATCTTTTCTTCTCCTTGGCCTCACTCCGAACGTGGGGCAATAATAAGAAACAATGACGGCAGGTCACGTTGATTCACGACGTCATGAACGAGAGAATCGAAGCTCGTTATTGATTGATCCTCGGCATGCGTAGGTAAGAGAAAAGAGGATTCAGGAACGTTTTCTCCGAGAACTGAAGAAAGCCTTCGCCTAAAGCTCTTCCACCTGCATCATACAACTTTGTAACTCCCCAGGCCATTTCTTTTTCCTTGCATCAAGTACCAAAAACAACATCCAGCACTCACTTGCAGGACCAATATACCTTTCAGACCTTGCAACCTCGAGACGACCCCTGCTCTCATCCTCGCACCATGTCCTTCCTCAGCCGAAGCTTGACCCCTCTGCGGGCATCTGGAAAAGCACTTCGACCTCAATCCGTTGCAGCACTGCACACTTCTTCAGCACGTCAAGGTTTGAACGAGGAGAATATCCGTACGTGTCGAGTCTCCGAGTCTCCCCCAAACTTACTCTGACCGTGCACCCAAATCCACTGTCTCGCGGCACATCTCTCTAGACCGTAACGCAACCTTGATGCTAACACTTTACGGTACAATATAGACCGCGACGACAGAGACAAGGAGATCGACCATCACAAGGCGGACAGTGTGGAAAAGGCAAAGACTGGCCGAGGAGAGTGGAAGCCCGAGTTGGGAAGCAACAGTGAACAAAACGTCAGGGGGGACAAGCACAACATGACCATGGAACAGATGCAAAAGTTGGGTCAGGAGAAGGCCAACGAGGGCAAAAACCCCGCCGGAAGTGATAGCTCCAAGGGTTCAAAGGTATAGTTATAGTTGGACCAGAAAAAGGACGAGGCATTATTCCCTCAGACCCCAGTGAGACTTCACGGTTTTTGTTATGATTACCTGAATTGCGGTCACGGATCCAGGGAGCTCAACACGATCTTCAACAACGGCGCCAGACGTGATTGTTTGCGCCCTGTATATAAGTGCATAGCAAGAACAAAAGAGAATCCAAAATTTGGACAAGAAAATTGCACATGATAGCACTCTGTATTCTGCTATTCTGCGTTCTGTATATTCGATAAGTACTCTGATATAACAAAAAGATCAAAGCATATATCGAAAACCGGCCTTGTCACCACCAAAGACCTTTCTAGCGCCTCCAATGAGTGTCTCTTCGACATCCGAATCATCATGATCACCCCCTCTTCCGTCTCGACGGGCCTCCTTGGGTCCAAAGCTTTCCGTCAGCTCATACTCTCCTGCTTTGGTGAGGTCGTTTTCAAGACCGCGTCGTCTGTTGGCATTGTCGAGTACCAACCTCAGGACGAAAGCCACGCCCGCGACTCCGAAGGCCATGAACCCCGCACAGACGGCCATACCCTGCACGTACAGTGGGCCCTGGCTCTTGGGAAAGACGTGCACGCCGATCAGGGGGCCACACTGGCCCACGACGTTGAGGATGGTCAGGCCGGTGCCCTTGCCGGCGGACGTGGCCTGGTTGTTCAGGGTCCACGTGATGATCAGGGTGACGGAGGAAAACAGCCCCATGGCGGCGCCGAACACGGCGACGTAGCGGATCGTGATGCTCCCGGCCTCGCCCAGCGACTCGTGCAGGTACCCGGCGACGGCTATCCCGGCGTAGGAAAAGGCGCTCAGCAAGGCCACCCCGATCAAGAACAGCGACCTCGAGTCGGCGACCTTGTCGCTGTACCGTCCCACGACGAGGACGAAAAAGAAGGCGAACAGGTAAGGCGGGGCGGCCAGCGCTTGAGACGCCAGCGGCGAAAAGGACATGCTGTTGATGATGGTCGGGAGGAACACGGGCAGGGAGCTGAATGACACGTTGACGCTCAAAAACATCAACGCCGAGAGGTACGATTTTGGATCCAGGACGGTCGATCGGATCTCGTGCAGATCAAGTCGCTGAGACCATGTCGCTCCGTGATCCGACCTGTAGGAGGACGACGTCGTCGTCGTCTGATGTTGTTGTTGCTCGGACCCGAGTCTGAGAACGGCCACCTTTCGTTCTCGAGGTGTGAGGTATCGAGCCTTTCCCGGTGAGTCCGGGATGTAGTACCAAGCCGCCACGGCCGCGAGGACGGACGGGAAGCCCTCGACGAGGAACAAGGCCCTCCAGGGCGCGATGGGCCCATTCTGACTCGTCGCGACGATCAGGTACGCCAACGAGCTCGCGAAACTCGTCGCCAGGGGAGCCGCGGCGATCTGAAGTCCGACCCGGTACGCCAGTTCGGACCTCTTGAAGAAGTGGGTCATGAAAAACGGCACCCCGGGGCCGAACGCAGCCTCGGTGACCCCCAGGAGGCCACGCAGGATCAAGAGCTGGCCGAACGAGGTCGTCAAACTCTGTAGACTGGCGACCACGCCCCACGAAAGGACGCAGAGGGCAATGTACACGTGGGCGGGGACGTGTCGGTAGAGGAGGATCATCCACTCGAACGCGATGTACGTGATGTAGAACGCCGTGAGCAACCAGTCGTACTGGGACGATGAGAGGGAGAGGTCCTTTTCCAACCCGGCGATGCGTGCGTTACCTGTATACACACGAAAACAAAAAAAACGTCAGTCGGTTCGGTCAGTTCGGTCAAGTACCTCGACGTTCGGCCCCCCTGCGCGCTCCGCCAACAACCGTCTCCGTCCTCAAAACTGACGTGCGATTGCGTGACATGTGAAATCAATGGACAAAGGGGACGGTGATGGGGACGGGGAGGACTACTCGCCTATATTCGACCGGTCTAGAAAACTCAACATGTACAAAAAGCCCAGAAACAGGACCAGTTTACGATCGAGCTTGCGCAAAACGGCCCTTTCTTCCTCGTCCGTATATTCTTTCGAAAGCGTTCCTACTCTTCTGATGCGCCTCCTCGTCGGTCTGGTCTCGTCTTCACTCTCGCCACCACTGACATCCTCTTTGTCTTCTGCGGGTGCAGGATCATCGTGATGATGGTGATGTAGTCTTCTCAACTCGACCGAGTCCTGACGGAAGTCGAGGCTCGTCTTTGACGTTCTCGTTGCACCACCACCGCCGCCGCCGCCGACCGGTGAGTCTTCGCTACTAGATTGCGGGGTGAGGATTGTGGGTGGAGGGACGGCCTCCCCTCTAGGAGTGGATGCCGACACCGACGTCGACATGTCGGAGCTTTGTCACAGCGTCGGCGAAGGTCGTGCGCAGCCTCGAAGCAAACGTCGCAGCTTCGGTGGCTTATCCTTCTAGATGTTATCTCTGGTGCCGTTCCAACCGCCGACCACGTAGACCAAGCATGATTTGAATATCTCAGCTTGATGAGCTTGACATGGGGAACCGACCCTATTTTTTCGAGTGTCCAAAAAAGTGAGAATGTGGACGATGTTGCTTAAAGGATTCTCACGCAGTTTCTGTCCGTGGGCAGTCCCGACATAAGTTGGATGTACAGCACAGTACATGGCTAAATTAGCCGCCAATCACAGCGTGAATTGGGACCATATGGTCGGACTGTATTTACCTGAGGTAGTCAAGTCAACCCCCGGGCCAAAATTGCGGAGAAGCCTATACCAGGGCTCACCGAGGATTTCTCTGGTACAAGTTATCAAATACGGATACACAAATAAGTATTGTGCTTTGCAAAATTCCGTAAAAACCTTATTTTTTTGCAAGTTGTATGAAATCTGCACACCGCCATATGGCCTGTATCAACAAACTCATCCTGCAGCCGCAATAGCCCTAAATAGCACTATAATTTACTGCAATATATCGTAACTACATACAAACATAATGTTAAATTGTACAAGGCGCATAATAACTTTATCTCGTTAACTCCAGGAGTCATTAGCCTCTTAATCACTCCGCGAGACCCTTATTACTTATAACGCTCGTATAAAGCGCAAAAGCGACGGCGATAGCCTTGTAATAAGAGCTAATAGGGTAAGTTTAAAGCGTCGCGCTATGTCTCTAAGCTCTTATCTCTCTTAAATAGCTAGTCCTAACCTACTAAAGTTATTAGAGTTACTAAAGTTATTACCGAGACTAAGTATTAAGGAGAACATTATATTATAAGTATAGAAAGCGTTAAATCTTCTTAATGAGGATAATAAAGTCTTATCTATATCTAGTAATGCTAAAGAAGATAATAAAGAGAAAGAGAAAACATTAATATAAGTCTCTCTATTAGCGTAACCTAGTTATTAATTAAATACTTTATTATATACTATAGAGAATAACTTAAGCCTAATTAATATAAACTCTATTAAATTAGTATTTAAGATTAATAAACTTTTCTATAATATCACTATAGAAATCTTTATTAAGAAGGTTAAGATTTTTAGTATAGAAGTATTATATTAGGGTTTTAATATTATTAACACACTTCTTAAGTATAAAGATTAACTTAAGTATTAATATAATAACTATAATTAAAAGACTTATAAATTATGCCCCCCTATCTTTAGGGGCGAGTTCATAATTAAATAAGGTAATAAAAAGCTTTATTTCTTAACTATAAAGACTTAAAAACACTTTAAGAAGGCCTATTAAAAGTGGTAAGAGTTTCATTATACTCAAAAAGATAGCTATAAGAGTAAAACTAAACTTAGTGCGTATTTAGCACTAGTATACTTAATTATTAAGAAGCTAAAATAATATTAACTAATTAGTTAATATAGCTTATTTAGTAAGGACATTTTAATATTATTATTATCTTATAATAATATCTTCTTAAGCTATTATCTTAACTTAACCTAAATATGTCACTATTATAAGGAAAAGACTAGAAATAAAAGGTTAAAGAGTAAGATAATCTCTATAACATAATAATAGCGAGAAGAAAAATAACTTTAGGCATAAAAAGAGACTGCCACTAAAGTAAGCTTCCTTAATATCTTAAAGAGACATTATTATAAGTTAAAGAATTATAAGAATTACTCTTATCTATACGTTAATTATAAAGAATAGTATTTTTCTCTATTTATATTATTAGTTTAGTATTAAAGTGATATAATTATAAAGAAGGCTTTTAGTGTAATAGCTAACTAGGTACTAAATATAATTATAGTGACCCTTCTCTTAGAATAGAATAAAAACGAAAAACGTTATAATACTATGTATTAATCTTTACCTATTTACTCGCTAAACTATATATATTCATTTATACTTAATATTAGAGAAATCCTATTAATAAGTTACTTAGCATAACCTCCCATATATATTTATTAATCTCCGCCGTTAATAGCTATTACTACTATCACTATCACTAGGCCTTAATTAAGCCCTTTATAACGAGAGAATAATAATAATTAGAATATATAAAAGTACTTTAATTAGTTAGTGACTAAATATTCTATTTATATATTTAAGTTACTAAAGATTAAGCTCTTTATTACGAATTATAGATAAGACTTCTCTAATCTATAAATATATATAGATAAACATTAAAAGGCTATAACTATTTTAACTAGTTTTATAATTAAAATCTATAATAATCTTAAGGAATTTACGCGTTTAGCTATAATAAGTAAAGATAGTTTTAATAATAATATAAATAAATATTTAGTAAGTATTATATTATTAGAAAATAGTAGTTAATAAGGGCTTATTATATAACTTAGTATAATATTAAAATTATTTTATGTGTTACTATTTTACACTATACTTATTATAGTATATAGCTTAGCTAATTATAGTTAGCGTAATTACGTAATAGCTATATTTATATAACCTTAAGAATAAATAGATTAAGGTATATAGACTAGACTTATTATTATAGAATAAGATACCTATAGCCTCTTCTTTTTTTATTTATTCTTTACTAGTTACTATATCTTATTAAATATAGCCATATCTATAGAAGTAATTATGAGCTATCTTAGCCTTATAGACACTAGTCATTACTAAATAAATAAAGGTATTAAAGCTATTCTCATAATAATAACCTAGTTCTCTATTCTTTCATATTCACTCCTTTAACTTATGAAATAATATCTTAATTAGATTAAGCTCTAAAGTATATAGAGATAAGTACTTAAGAATAACACTCTACTCCTCGCATATTCACTTAACTCTATTAGATTAGTGAATAGTTATATTATCTATAATCAGAATAGAATAATCTTCTAAGAAGGGATTTATCTTATTAAGCACTTCTTAAAGAAATGTTTTAAATTATTCAGCGTTAAAAGAGCCTTAATAGACCTCATAAGTGAGTTATCTATTTATTATTATTATAGGTAAAATGCTTTAACTAGTAAATTAGTTACTTAGTAGTTATACTTAGTATAAAGTATTACGAGCTAACTAGCTAAACTTTCTATCTATAGTTTTATTATTTATAGCGCTTTTATTAAGTATTACTAGCTAGTTACTAATGTAATTAGCTATTTATACTATATAGAAAGTAATAAGTTTATTATCTTACCTAGTGTTAACTCTAGTTATTTATTTATACGTAATATTTATAGAGTTAAGTGCCTAGAAAACTATTAATATATAAGTGTTAATACTAAACTCATTATGGAGAAAATTATAGTACTTATCTAGCCACACTATTAACTAATCTAGCATAAAATTATGAAGTCCTTTTATTACGGCATAATAAATTAACTTTAGATAACCTTTAATAGGTACTATATCATTTATTTTAATATCTTAATAGTATAGATCCCATTAAACTTTAGAAATATAGGCATTAAAAACCCCTTAAGCCTTTATAATGACTATACCTTTCACTCCTACCTAAAGTGTAATTAATACAGCCACTTTTACCGCAGGATTAAACTTTAACTATAATAGTATTATAATCACATCTTTTTATATAGTAAAATTTAGATACTTAGATAGAGAATTTACTCCGGAGTAAGATTATTATATAATATTTATGAAATTATAGGGTGGTTATTAAGAAATATGGCGTTATGTTCTCACCGCTTTTATGATTGTTAAATGTTTTGCATGTTGCAAAAAAATAAGGTTTTTACGGAATTTTGCAAAGCACAATATTCGATGTTTTGCTTCTTAAAAGCTTCAACCTTGTTTGTTATGTACGCCACCCGATCCTCTCCAGCCTCGATAACACAGCTTTACCTTTAATGATGATGATGATGATATCGGTTCGTACGTATCAGCAATACAGAGTACAAGCAAATCACTCGAATTTGATTTTCTCTTAACGAGCAGCAAAACTTCGTCTCACCATCATCCCTTTATTTTACTAGGGGAGGATTATGAGATTAGGAAACTAGGTACAGAGTACTCCGTCGGACAACCTGTGATTTTAGAATTGGCAACAAGCGATGAGACTCGAAACCTACCCGTGCATCGTGACTCTGTCCTGTCCCGTAAAATGGGTACTGTGGATTATAGGTTGGTTGCCAGTGAGGTGTTGGTGTTTTTGTCCAAAGAGCGCAGGATCTGGACTTCACTTTTGACCAAGACTCAGTATGGGGAAATCTATCCGAGTATTTCTAGAAAGTAGATATAATCATATCATCGTGACGTGAACTGTTGTACGCATCTGGGCAAGCCATATATCAAGGCCCACGTCGAGCATACCTATCCCGATCCTCCTTTCCCCCTTGAGATGCTCCCCCTTTTACAGTTCATCGTGGCGCAAATACATCTTTTCCACCTTGGCCTTCACATCCGTCGGCCAGTACACATGCTGACCGCCACCACCCCACTTCAGAGATGGCAGGTCGGTTCTCTTCTCCCAGATGGCAGATGACGGTAGTCGATCTTTCAGTTTCTCGCTAACCTCGTCCACCTTGTCCATGATTCTCATCAGATTGCCACCCAGCGCACCACGTACCTCGTCGTCCGTCCAGCCTCGAGACAGAAGCTCTGCGACCTGTTCCCTTCTCGTTAGCCAGCTAGGATCACTTGCTTTCCCTCTTGAGAGAAAGGGAAACGTACAATGTTGGGGTATTTGCTAGCATCTTCTAGCCCTTCCGGCACGAGGTACATCCCGTCGTAATCGGAGGCGATCCCAACACGACTCTTGCCGACGATACCAGCAATGTGCTCGATGTGATTGGCGACGTGTGACACGTTGACTCCCGGATGGGGTCCGAGGAAAGCCGGAAAGAATATAGACTGGATCACGCCGTCTTTCTGTCCGGGGCCGTCCCCGATCATTTTGAGGATTTCGTCAGGCACGTTCCGTGGGTGATCCCATAGTGCTCGTGCGCCTGCGTGGGTCCAGACCACGGGAGCCTCGGAGAGCTCGATCGCTTGCCTCATTGTCGCGACGGTGGTGTGGGCCAGGTCGACCATGATACCGACACGGTTCAACTCTTTGATGAGTTCTTTGCCCAGGTCCGACAAGCCATCACCTTCGTGTACGACGTCCATCGGCGTACCAGGTCCACACGACGAGGCGAATGCGCTATGGCAGGTGTGGGTCAGAGTGAGGTAGCGGACACCCAGTTGTGCAAAGATTCGAAGTGCACCGAGGGAGTTGCCCAACACATGGGTCCCTTCCATGCCGATCAGACTTGCGATCTTGCCGGCGTTGAAGGCATCCCAAACCTCGGCGGATGTCCTGGCGTATTGGAAATCATCGGGATGTCGTGCGATCATGTTCTGGATGATGTCGAGCATCTCCAGAGCATCTCGCACATGGCTCGTCGGAGTGTTGAAGTCTGCACCAGGATCCTCTCCGACTACGTCGTAACACGGAGCCCAAACGGTCCAGAAGGCTCCTCCCAAGCGTCCCTCCCTCATCCTCGGGATGTCAACATGGCCTGGGAAAGAGCCATTTAGGAGAGGAATGGCGTCGAGTGGTTTTCGATCTAGAGTAACAGTCAGGCAATAGTCCAAAACGTCGGAGACCAAATACTAGTACGTAGACTGCGGATGATTTGTGGCAGGTCAATATGGGTGTCCAAAAGGGGAGTCTCCTCCATCAATTGTATTGCCTTGTCGACAAAATCAGTGGCAATGCCTCGCACGGAGGATATCAACAACAGGGTTTGCAATAGAGCGGTTAACCTCATCTTGAAATACTTTGATGTGTAAGCTTTTTGTGATATCAAATTTAGTTATAGGCGACTGGCGAGAGTCTTGCAGACATGGAACAAATATAATGAGAAAATCAGTTGAGATACCAAAGCCAAAACCGACCTTCTCCGCAATTGCTTGATCCTCGCTCTTGTTGCCGACGATCTGGACGCTGTTGTCCTTGAACTTCCAGAGGGAGCAATTCGTGACGGTGTTATGCAAGGTCATCACTGGTCTGGCATGGAGCCGTGGGTCTTGACGGATCAGCCGCGGAACATAGGGGTCTGGGTCCTCATCTGCGGGAAGCCACCCATGCCTGATATATCGGGCCATCCGACATTTCTTCCTGCTTTTGACCGTTTCGCCGAATGCAAGACTCGATGGACGTACCGCGGGAAGACCAACATGCATCTACCACAAGTCTGCGCAGCATCGCAGAGGTCTGAGTCTGCTGATAGTGCGAAGCTATCACATCTGGTCTTCTCCCTGCCCAGTAATCGTACAAGGTGCCGCGGCGATAAGGATCTGTGGATGCACGTATATAAATATACCGTTCACCAATATTGTTCGAAGTCGAGATGGATTGACAAGGTCACGACAACCACTACCGGTCGCCCCAGTCCTCCCTGAACACTTAGCGTGATGGCGAGCGAAAAGTTCCAACAAGAAACAGGAGTACTTGCCCAGGATAAATCCAATGAAGTCGCTACGAATGACGGCAACATCCAGTCATTGGATGCTCGAGCAATCCGCAAGCTACGATGGAAGATCGATATGATCATTCTTCCTACATTGGCCATCATGTACACTTTCAACAGTCTCGACAGATCAAATCTAGGAAACGCTGCTACAGCGGGGCTGAAGAAAGATACCCACTTGACAGGAGACCAGTACAATCTGCTCCTGACCATCTACTATGTCATGTTTGTTCTCTTTGGACCTGTCATGACTGTTTTCACCAAGATTTGCTCGGCAAAGATCAGCTTGCCTTGTATGATGGTAGCCTTTGGGATCGCATCAGCTTGTACAGCCGTGGCCAAAAACCTGGGACATCTTATGGTGTGTCGTATTTTCGTCGGCATTTTCGAGTCTGGCTTCCTGGCATCGTAAGTTGTCTTTCCTTGCCTCACGAGATCCTTCTGATATAGTGAACAGTGTTGTCTTTTATCTCAGCAAATGGTATACCAGAAGCGAGATCGCCTCGCGGATTGCCATCTTTTATGCGGGAGCTGTGGTTGCGTCGGCCTTTGGAGGATTGATCGCATTTGGCATGTTTCATATCAAATCCTCGGGCAATCTTTTCGATTGGTCATATCTCTTCATCCTCGAAGGGTGCCTTACCTGCCTTGTCGCCATTATTTCTTACTTTGTTCTTCCGAGAGACATCGCGAATGCATGGTTTTTAACTCAGAGTGAGGAAGAGGTAGCAGAGGCTCGAATACAACTCGAGTCTATGCAAAATCGTTCGGGCAAATGGGTATGGTCTGAGGCCATTTCGGAGTTCAAGACTGTCCATGGCTGGGCACGTGTCGTGATTGCGTTCTCGGTTGGAATCTTGCCAAATGCAAGCGCCAACTTTTTGGCCATCATGACTGTTCGTTTGGGATATTCGGTTACGAAGACAAACCTAGTAAGTGCCTTCCTCCTGACTGAGTCGCTGGCGTTCCCGAATTTTGGAAGGCGCATACTGACTCGAGGAAACCGAAAGTATACTGTGGCACCGGCCATGACAGCAGCTGTTTTCCTGTTGATATTTGCGTATTCTTCTGATTACTTTCGAGAACGCGGATTCCACATGACAGTCCCTCTTGTGCTCAGTCTCGTCGGATATGCCATTTTGCTCGGGGCGGATATTGAAAAACAGAAAGGCACTGGATATCTGGCCATTTTCTTCTGCACCATCGGAGTAAGTGGGAGCATTTCGGCTGCTGTTAGCCTTCCCAAGCTGACACTGCTTGCATAGGCATATCCCATGAGCGTCATCTTCTCGGCTTGGACGGTCGCTAACATTCCGAATTTGAATGCCCGCGCCTTCACTACTGGCGTGTTACTGGCGTGTCTTAACTCAATGGGGCTTGTCGCATCCAACATCTTCTTTGCGAGGGAAGCGCCTCGGTACAAGACTGCTTTAATTGTAAACATGGCATTCCCCTGTGCTGGTATTGTCTTTACGGTGACATACTCTCTGTATTTGAGATTCTTGAATCGTAAGCTGGAAAAGGAGCACCACACATCGGAAGGGCTAGGGGCGGTGGATGGAGGAGCTCCGTTCAGATATCAGACCTAGATGACAGTTGGTGGGTCAATCTCTCGGGACATGTTGCCCAAGACCAAGCCCCTGAATTGTGTCAGTACCGACGGCAGCATCTCCAATCAAGCCAGACCATGGATCGTTTCCGTAGAAATCAGGAAGTGGAAAATCTAAATCTTCTGGAAATCCTTCGTACTCCCACAGGTGCGGCCCAAGTGTTGACATGGAGGAATTGACGACCCTGTCTCTGGCCTCAGCATCTTCGAGCCATGCCAGCAAGACGAATCTGATTTTATCACTCATGTGTCCATTGAGCAGGGGAAGCCCATTACCCTCAGTAAGGTTGGGATAAGGAGTGTCGTGGATATCACTCTCGTCGAGAATTGGCGGAATGGGGGCGCCAGCCTCAACAATAACACCTTGACGGCTGCTTTCAGGGCTGATTACTGGGCAGTACGTCGCCTGATACAGCCGGCGAAGGGTTGCCAGGGTACTCAGCCAAGCGTCAGCAACAGGCCAGTGAGTTGTCCACAGCTCGAGCACTGCCGTTATCTTGTCCACGCTTGCCGCCGCTTTCCTGCACGCTTCTTCGTCTTGCGCAACCACATACTGAAGCCACAACTGAGTATTTGCGGCCGATAAAAAGGCGGGAGCAGCGAAGAGTGACTGTAGGGTTGGGAAGCCACCATCGTTGGTGAGAAATGTTTCCATGACATCAAGTATTGCTTCTGAGCTTGAGATACAAATCGATGTTGTTCTTTCGTCTTGCTTGTCAGCGCTAGGGTGAGTACCATCGTAACGGTCGTATTGTCCACCTTCATGTAACGGCGAGTCCATCTCGTCCTCGTACGGCAGATATTCTTCTCGCAGTGCACACCTGGCATGATTCAGCACCAAGTGAAAAGTCACAAATAGTGCCTCTTGACCGGTGTGTCGGAATAGCTTTCTGTTTTGAGTGGACCATCGTATTGTGGCAGGAAGGGAGTCATGGATATCGTTGATTTCCTTCTCAAGTGGACTGAACGGATATGTCGAGCTGTCAAATTGATGTTTGTTGTAACGACGACCACCTTTCACCTGTATATAAGTCGCCTGCGACCACAAATTTACGATAGCAATATAATATGGCAGTAGCCCAAGACGGGATACCTCACATGGAAATGATAGCGTATCCAAGGTTGGTGCGTCGAATGATTCTTCGAATGTGAAGATTGTCTCTGGACAGGGAAGGTTGAGAGAAACGCAGTCCAGGCCTATCATCTGTGGTCGCCAGCAGCAATACGCCACAAGACGGTCCATGACAAAACATGCCCAATATGTCCGTCTTTGAACTTCTTTCTGACGAGGAGAGAGTCTGTTGTGGTATTCGCGACCTAATCTCAACGCCTGCGCCTGTCGAACGGCAATACCAGTGAAAATCCAAGCTTTGTATGATGTACGAGTGAGCAACTCTTTCAAGGCTAGGATGAGATTGCCCTGGATGGATCGCACTAGAGGGCCTCGTTAGTTCTACTGTGATTTGACAAAGGTCGGTAGGATACAAAGGGCCATACCAGAAGGCACGTCAACCGTCTGACGAGAATATTCTCTTGCTACGAGTGTGTGCCAGTCAGACAGTAAGGTCGGTGTTGCAAATCCTTCCTTGACCGCTTCTTCTTTGCTCATATAGATTGCGGAGAGCGCTACAAGAGCATGTGCGAAGAAGGGAGATCGCCTTCGGACCACGTCGACTTCGAGGGATGGAACGTGCAGGAAAGAACAACATTCGACACTGAGATGCCGGCTGTAGAAGATGTCCAGTGCGCGCTGAAGGAGACTGTTCGAAAGCCGACTATTGCTCTCATCTCGGCCTCGAGAAAGTCGTGGTCTTTTGGCACGATTGTCCTCACTCCCATTGGCATCTTCATTGATGGGCTGTGTCGGAATTGAATCATTCTCCTGGGACGCGGAATGTTGATGCGAGGTGGGCCAGGAGCAGGGCAGACGCCGTAAGACGCAGCTGCCACAGGTTGGTCGAAGACCGTTGCATTTCGTCTTTCGTCGACGGCTTCATAGCACCATCATCGTGTTAGCAGCCTCTCCTGTTGTGGAGCACGCAGTCTTCTACACGCGATGTTTGCCATTTGGGATCTTGTACTAACCATGAGTTACAGGCTTGGAAAACTCGGAAACCTGTAGAGGTAGGCAGTCCACCTGGATTAGGAGCACTCATACCGTACTCCACGCTGTTGTTGTTGTTGTTGAAGTGTCCAATGAAATCTCACACGACTGCATCTCCAGACACAGGTGTTGGTGTATTGCTGTGGAGGCGTCCAATGACATGTAACACGTACAGTTATGGAACCCAGTATAATGCTAAAATCCTCCGTATGCGACGAGAAATAATGAGACGTCGATGCCCCTGCCTCGAGTCACACCGGTTAGAGAAGGAAGAAATTCGTGTGGATTTCCGGAGATGGAGTTTCAGGCACTGATGCTGCCTCCCATCCCGAGCATACTGTAGAAAGCTTGGCTGGGTTTGTGGGCTTCGATCTTGCCAATGGCTTGAGAGCGGTGGCTTCTCGTTAGGGGCGGAGGATGATGTTAGGTGGCAGTCTAGGCGCCCATAAAACCTCCGGTAGGTAGCAATTGGCCTAAGGATGCCACTACGACGCCTACAATACAGGATTCACTGCATCCGTACTCCGTACTTGGGATCAGCCCTTTAAGTTGTTTACTAAATAGTGATCCTGTCCACTCTTGTAAAGCGACGAGCCTTACCAGGCTAATTTAGATATAATACAATTTCGATTTGTTTCCGATCACTCTAACGAGATGACCCTGTTGATCATGATGGTTGTGGCTTCACGACCTCCGACATGGATCATCCAACACAGATTCGCCAGAGCCTGTGAACACAAGGCTGTCTCTGATGACATCGAACTTCGCCAATCTGACTGTGCGCGGAGGTTCTCGAATCAAGCCACATTGACCTCCCTGGTCTCAGCTCGACCTCCTTAGCTTCTACTCCGTATCCGGTGTCCCAAAGCTTACCAGTCCATGCGAGAAAAGGCTGTCTGGAAACTCCCATGTCCATATGCAGGAACGTTCGATGACACCCTAGATGCTCTATTTTGGGGGGGGCTAGCCAGTCCCCTAGCCATCTCGTTGGTTCTCAGCCAAATCATCCTGACGGCTCGGGGGGATAGCAGCGTCTCGGTAAGGGTGTAATTTCCCAAGAAGTTGAAACAAGTGGAGGCGGAGCTGCCACTCCGTCGAGTACCCGAGTTACCAGTACCACCCCCCAACTTGAATTTTTATAATCTGCCAGAATCCCAGTCCAGTCCAGCCTTTTGGTGCTTGATCTCTACTTATTGTTTTGCAGCTTCGTATCTCTCAGCTGGTCTGTTCGCCTTCATAGTCAGTCATTCTTTTGACCCTCAGTCGTTCATTACAAAAGCACGGTCACTACCACAACTTTTTACCACCTTTCACAAAATCCTTCGAGGCTCTCGAAAGACAGACACATACTCGGTCCCTCTAATCGCACAAAGATGCATTCCTTCATTGCTCCCCTTATGGTTGTCGGCCTCGCCAGCCTCGCGCAAGCCTTCACCAAACCCACCAACGCCACCTGGGGCCCACTGCTTTTGCCTGACACGACTCACGTATGCATCTTTCCTCTCCATGAATCTCTAGACCTTCGGGATGCTAACACTCCCCTCAGCCCGTTACCCAAGGGGAGACCTTCAAAGTAACTTGGGACCCAGAGAGCCACCCCACCGACGATGTGACAGTCTCTCTCGTCCTCTGCCACGGTCCGTCGACAAACTGCGTGCAGTCAGACAGCGCCCTTGCGTCCGGCATTCCAGCCAGCTCAAAGTCCTTCTCTTGGGATGTCCCTTGCGACCTGGCTCCCGGCACTCAGAGCACCTCGACAGGTTACGGCATGCTGATCATCGTCGACGGCACCGGTGAATTCCAGTACTCAACCCAATTCTCCGTCCTCGAGGGCAAGACATGTTCGAAATCTAGCTCTGGCTCCTCCAACAGCACCAGCCCAAGCAGCACCGTTACCAACAGCGGCGGATCCGTGGTCATCTTGCCACCTACCCAGCAAACTGGTTCGGCGCACTCAGGCTCCAACGGCACCACCACCGGCTCCGGCCCGAACTGGGGTGGTTCAGCCATCTCGATGCCAACCACCACTGCGACTGACATGACCAGCATGGTCTCCGTAACCTTCAGCAGCGGCTACATTGTCAGCGAGACAGCCACCATCACATCCGCACCTACAGGCGCCACTGCTGCAAGCGCCACCACAGGAAGTGCACCGGCCTCCACCTTCACTGGTGCCGCGGCACAACTCGCACTCAATGGCGCCGGTATGGCTTTGGCCGGTGCCGCCGCCTTCTTCGTCTTGTAAACGCTTCCACACCTTGGGACAGTTCGCCCATCATGGAAATAACAGTGGGGTGGTGTTTTAGTATGTGTGCATGTCAAGCCTTGAGGTGTTGGATGAGTAGCAAGGAGAGAGTGTGATTTAGTATTCAATATCATCATTTGACAATGTGATCCTGCGATCTGTTATAAGGCCTAGGCACCCATAGCGTGCGCTGCTCCCATGCAAGGTGAAGCTAAGGCCCTTGAGCCCGGGTGTCTCATGAGCGTGAAACATGGACCTCCTTGAAACCTTGAAAGACGGGCCGTTGTCATTCCAACGTTTTCTCTCGGGAGTAATGTACACTTCGATTAAGAATCGTTCACTGAGAAGGGGTTCCGTAGAGTAGTAAGCTGAAAAAATACTGTGCTTGACATGACTCTCGGCGCCCAGAAGAGACGCAAAAGGGGCGGACTGCAGGACAGATTAACAGACATGATCAACGGGCACAACGTGTTCAAGTCGTACAGCAATGCATTCCCATTATTATAGACGACTACACTGAGATAGCCATGACCACAATTTGGACGACGTTAAGGAGCGACAACGCCCACGATGCCAACGCGTGGAAATCACGAGCCTATGACCTCCTGATCTAATCTAATCTGGGGAGGGCAAACGCACGTGACACTTCGTGTTTATGGCAAACTCTCTCGACATTCTCTCTGTCTACTTGACTCACTTCTGAAAAGAAAGACTAATAACAACAAGCAACATTGATGACACCGCATCCTCTTTTGCTGATGACACGTCAACAGAAACAACGCCAGCCCATTCATTTGCGCGAAGGCTTGTACGAATCGACCTCTCTCTTGTTGTGGTATGGTCCTGCCCTCTCTCTGCTCCGGTGCCTATCGTATGGCGGGGTCTCGGCTCGTCGCCAGTACTTGTCCTCCTCCTCACTGCGTGAGCGGCGGTGGCTGTGGTGACGATGATGTTGATGATGAGAGTGGTGATAGTGATCACGCTCACGCTCACGCTCACGACCTCCTTCCCATACGGCATGATCCTTGTGTCTGCGACTGCGAGATCTCTCTCTTTCTCCATGACCATGTCCATGTCGGTGTGATCTGTGCCTATCTCTTCCTGTCTCCCACTCGCCGCCGTACGAGGGGTATCTTCCACCACCAGCAGCGCCACACTCGCTGTCCGGGCTTTTTTGGAAGTGATGATAATGCTGACCCGCCGCGATCTCACTCATCTCTCTATTATCGAGGTTGACAACTTCCCTACGAGGGTCGAAACGACGACGACGGTATGACGGTGCATATTCTGCTGGGGCTGCCGGTGGTGGTGGCAGCGCCTCAAATGTGTCGAATCCGTAAGGTCCGGTAGGCACCATTTCAATGTCCGCCTCGGGTCCACGCGGCGCAGGTTGAAGCTGATCCACAATGTCAAACTTGCGCTTCCGACCACCGGTCAACGACACGACCGTCGCTTTTGCCATGTTGAAAGTGGACTGCAGTTCCGCCATTGCGTCCGGATCGACGCCCTTGTCCGCGAGGTATTGGAGTGCGTTCTCGGCCGTGTCACGGAGGAATTTGGCCGCGTCGGTAAGTTCTTGACCTTCTCTGTTCGGCACAGCATAGAAATCCGCCTTGGCTTGCTCATACACCTGCCAGAGACGCGTGACTTGTGCATCGACCACTTGCATATGAGGTTGTCTTTCGTCGAGCATCGCTGGTTGTTCTGGCTCGGGAGCAGGGCTTCGCTGGTAGGACGTCGCGCGATCGGGTGCATCTGTACCGACACCCCAAAAAGGTAAGCCCATGTTACGTTGCCAACCAAAAAGAAAGACCCAGGTGAGACGACGAAACGCAGACGGGGGACGAGAGAGGTGAGTAAGCGACCAACCGTTTGAACAGCAAGGCATTGTGCTGGGGACGTACCTCTGATCACGGCGCTTCGAAGCTCGATGGCCCGACCGAGAGCGTTGGTGACATCTGCAGCAGGCTCGTGTGCGGCCCCGATACTGATTCCGAGGTACTCTTCGCAGAAGACGACGATGGCCGCGGGTTCGTCCAAATCACGGCCGCTGCGGGTGAGGTTGAGAAGGGCCTTGTCGTAGATGGTGATTCGGTTGTGTTTGAGGACGGGCGAGCGAGTCTTGATCAGGTTGACCTGTCTCTCCAACAGCTCGAGGAAGTCTTGCTTGTGGTACTCCAAAAAGTAATGGACGCTGCGGTTGACGGCGTGGGTCTGACGTGCCTTGTCGATGACGTCGAGCACCTCGTCGTCCCAGGCGTCGGTGTCAAAGTTATCTTCATTTCCTTCGCGGCTCAGACGATGCGTATCGGGGAAGAAGAGAGCGTCATCCAAGAGAGTGTCGCCCGACATGGTGTCACTGCCGGCCGCGCTGACAAAGCCGATGGATGGTAAGCAAGAGAGAACAACAAAAGGTGTTTTACTCACAAGTCGCGAGGTAGGTGTGTGTGTGTGTGTGTGTGTGTGTGTGTGTGTGTGTGTGTGTGTGTGTGTGATGGAGAGACAGGTAAAGTGAGGGACGGTTTGAGGCCCTTGTTTTGCAGAATGATCTCCAACGCGTCGCGAAATATATCGCCAGACCCTGTCCTACGAGCCAACAAGCGCGAGCAAGGCACCGACTGCCTTTTCATTGTTTACGCTGAGCAACACCAAAAGGGGGGGAAAGCCGGTGAATGTCGTGAATATCAGACGAACGGGCGGTCAGGAACACCCGATATTGCTCGTGTGTCGCGATGGCAATCGGGGAGGGCTACGTCTGCTGTATCTTTGGTGAATGTGAACAAAAGGCATTCACTGACCTTCAGCCCCCCAAACAAGGAGGCTCTGGTCCCAACCCTTGAAAATGCTTCTTGGCCCTCGCAAACATTGGACGAGACAGCTACACAGCTACACAGCGAAGAAGGACTGTGAGTTGGGGAAGGAATTCAAAAGAATATCGTTTGTGTGCTCTTCTCCCCGGACGAGATGCAAAGCTTGTATCAAACTACACAAAGCTCCATTCAATTACACCTCTGAACAACCTCTTTTTGGCTACATGCAAAGCGGTGCTGTTTGCTGTTGACAATACCATATCACACCCACACACGTATTGTAGGTGTATATGGTGACAGGACAAGCATGGAACAAAGTCACATTGACATATCCGTGGATGGCAGAAAGACTCCAACAAGTAAATCCTTTGTAGAGCGAGGCAGGAATCCAAACAGAGCGCAAATTGGAATTGAATTGACATTTTTGCATTAAGGGGATCTATCTGGTGCGGTTATTGCAAGATGCAAACCTATCTCGAGTTTCATAGCTGAAGCCTCGGACGACAAGGCAGCTAGCTAGCTACATCCCTGCGGGAACTGGCAGTTTGCTTGCTTTGATATCAAAGCTCGGAGCCATATCGCCAGTCTATCATACACACAATAAAGAAAATAACTTGATCGTCACCCAGCCACCGCAGAATAATGAATGAGCTTGGAGCTCTCAAGAGAAGGACGCCGTTCGCCTGCCAACACCGGCTCAGTCCAGCCTAGCCTTGTGTGAATCGAATCCCACTTGCATAGTACTTTGAGTCGATAAGAAAACTTTTGAGTAGTGGCATACTTGCCTAACATGAATACAATTGATCATGCAATCTGAGAGAATGCTTTGTTGAGACAAGTGAGATTCGACGGGAAACGGACAACCTAGGCGGTGGTCTCTGCACCCTCGGCCTTGGATCCATCCTCCTCTTTTGTGCCATTGGGGCCAGCTTCGCCGCCACGGGTCTTCATGTAGTCGTCGTAAACACTGAGAGCCTCGTCGACCTTTGATTGCAGAGCGGCTTCGTCATCGACCCTGTCAAATTTGTTAGTCCAATATGCTTTATTCGAAACCTCGGCGTAACTTACAAAGCAAGAAGTTCAGAGTTGTCCATCTCAAGAAGCATACCAGTGATCTTGCCGGCAAGCTCTGGTTGCATCTGTTGAATCTTTGGGTAAATAGCTTCACCAAGCATCTGCTTCTGCTGGCTTGGCGGCAAAGATGCAAGGTTGCTGAGAGTGCTTGGGGCACCGATTTCCTCGCGGTTGGGCATCATCTGTCCACGGCCCTGTGGAGGCAAACGGTTGGCACCTTGGCCACCAGGCACGTTTTGCATGCCACCTCGACCACCACCTTGGGAGAAATTTGGTCCACCACGGACACCGCCCATACCTTGCATGTTAGGAGGCATTCCCTGCATGCCCTGCATCTGGCCACGACCTCCAGCACCTCGGCCCCCCATTTGAGCTTGCATCTGGGCGAGAGCCTGAGGGTTGTTGTACATGCCGTTTACAAGGGCAGGGTTCTGGATGAATGGCATCTGGCCAGGCATACCGAAGTTGGGCGGGAGTTGTTGACCTTGAGGCATACCACGACCTTGTTGGGGAAATCCTCCTGGGAACTGCCCACGGCCGCCCTGCATGCCAGGAATAACCATACCAGGTTGACCAGTGAATGGCATTCCTCTCTGGGCACCTGGTGGCAAGAATTGCTGGCCAGGACCGTAGAAGACGGACGGCTGGATGTAGCCTTGCGGCATGCCGGCGGCAGCGGCCTGTTGCTGCTGGCGAAGGGTGTTGCGTGCCTGGATACTAGCCTCAAGCTGACTCTTGCGAACATCCTTGCGCTGAGCGAGAGCAACATACAATGGCTTGCCGTTAACCATTTTCTGATTCATTTCCGATACGGCCTTGGAAGCTTCATCTGGGTTGCTAAAGCAAACGAAACCGAAGCCTTTGCTCTTGCCGAACTTGGAGCCAGACTTCTTTGACTCCTTGCCATCTTCGTTGTCTTCGTCCTTAGACTCTTCGGTCTTCTCATCCTCTTCGGGCTTAGGCTCTTCCTTGACTTCGGCAGCTTCGGCAGCTTCGGCAGTCTCTTCCTTCTTGTTCTCCTTGTCTTTGTCGGCGGAGGGCGAAGAGCTACGGTCAGAGGTATCGCGCATGACCTTGGCAGAGGTAATAGTACCGAAGCTGCTGAACAGGTCGCGAAGCTTGTCGTCATCGACGTCGTCGGTCAAATTCTTGACGTAGAGGTTTACACCCTGGTACTTGGAAGCCTTCTCCATACGGGCGGCCTCGTATTGCTTACGGAGCTCTTCCTCACGTTCATGCTTCTTCTGTGCACGGCCGACGTAGAGGTTCTTGCCATGGAAATCCTTGTCGTTGAGCTCGTCGACGGCCTTGGAAGCTGCCTCGTGGGTGACAAAGTTGACGAAGCCGAAGCCACGGCTCTTGCCGGTCTCGTCACGAGTGATAGTCGCGGAGACGACGTCGCCGTAACGCTCGAAGAGCTTGGTGAACTCCTCATCGGTGACGGATTCTTCGATGTTCTTGATGTAAACATTGGTGAAGTTGGCCTTCATCTCTTCGAATTTGCTCTGACGGTCTCTCTTGGCAATGTGATGACCGACAAAGACCTTCTTATCGTTCAACAACATGCCGTTGACGGACTTGATGGCGGAGTTGGCGGCCTCGGCAGTCTCATAATGAACAAAACCGTACCCCTTAGAGTTGCCCATCTCGTCTTGAGCAACCTTACAGCTAAGGATGTTGCCGAATTGGGTAAAGGTATCATGGAGCGCTTTGTTGTCAATTGCCGCGTCCAAGTTCTTGATGAAGACGTTGCCTTGACCGGTGCGGCGGAGAGCAGGATCGCGTTGAGACCACATGATACGGCAAGGACGGCCCTTGATGCTCGTGTAGTTCAGATCTTCCAAGGCACGTTCTCCATCAGCAGTGTTATTGTAGTTGACATAAGCGTAGCCCAGGGAGCGGCGGGTGACGGCATCGCGACAGACTCGGATGGAGGCAACCTGACCGATGGAGGAGAACAGTTCGAAGAGCATGGCTTCGGTGACAGATGGGTCCAACTCGCCGACATAGAGAGAGGCAGAGTGTTGCGCCGCATTGGGATTGGCCGAGTAAGGAGTCTGATCGTCATTGCCACCCTCAGAAGGCTCAACGTTGGTGTTGATCGCAGGTGTGCCATTCTGGGCCTCGGAGGCTCCATTCTGGCCAGCGGCCGGAGTGCTGTTGGTAACTTCAGCGGCAGACATGATTGCTGTGATGTTGTCAGTCTCTGGATCTACCGTCAGAGAAAGTTGCGCTTTTTGGAGGGCGTGCCTTCTTTGTTCGGCCATTGTGCGCAACTGCCCCGGACAATGGAAGTGCTCACCTGTTTGTGGATTTTTTGTATGAGTTATCGAGATGGATAGTTTTGATAGGGAACGTGGATGGTAAGGTAGAGGTAATGGTAATTGGTATGGAGATAAACGTCGGACACTGTTCGTTCAGTCAGATCGATGTCTTTTTTCGGGGGCTCTTCACACTGAGATGAAAAAGGGTGCCCAGGCAAAACTTACGAGGACGACTGGTGGTTTTTCAAGGGTTATTTTCACGTTTTTTTGGGGCACGAGTAGTTTTCGAGAGGGAAGGGGCAGGACGGCAAGCGACTGCAAGGGAAAGCAGGCAGACGATGCTCAGAAATGTCGAAGGTGAGGATTGTAGGATGTGGTGGTGGTGAAAGAGGGTAAAAAGGCTGTGCCAAAAAAGTGTCATGCAATCAAAAGAATTTCGAATCCGGCGCTATACCATTCAAGGTAAGCGCGACTGTCTTACAGCAGCCATGGCAGCTGCGGCCACTTTGAGCGCGGCCAAACAACACGCGTCTCTACAGTTTGCTCAACGATACGAGTATTCACAATCATCAGCCTTGTTACACTTTTATCTCTTCTAACACTGACCACATGTTCTGACCCCATTTTGAATGATACCAAGTACGCTTGTCACATGAACCACAAATGCGAATGTTGGGCGCTCGACGAGTACTCGTATTTCCTACAGTCAATCTTTGCCGACGGTGGCAAGGTCTGTCAAGTCGGCACTCATATAGCTGCAAATATCTTCTTTAGATTTCCAAGAGACTCGGCCAACCAAGAACCTTCACCAGGGATACTCCTGATCAATTTGTCAGCCACGGGCATATTCCACACTCACATATCGGATACATACTCTTCCATCCCAACACCAGAATGTCCCGGTGTGAGTCTTGTCCTTCTCGCCAATGACTTTCAACATCTTTGAAACACTCTCATCTGCATTTATAATGCCTTCTACGTCCCATTCGACCTCGATGTTCGCCATGTCGCTGCCAGAGCTCAGTACCATCGTTCTGCCAAGTCATGATGATGAAAGATCAACTTACGTCTTTACTTCTCCCGGGTGAAATGCCAGGACACAGACTTCCTCCCACTTACCTCCCTTCCTCTTCAGCTCTGCGGCCATGTGTCTCAGCATCTGGTTCAGCGCCGCCTTGCTGGCTGCGTATGCACCAAACCCGTCCTCATGTTCTCGAAATTCTGTCGTAGATCCCGAGTCCGAGGAGATGAAGATCACCTTGGAAGGCGGAGCCTCGTCGCTAATCTTCAGCAACCTTTGAGCCGCAATAATGGGACCTATCGTGTTCGTATGAAGATGCAATGCAAAGTCGCTGAATGATCTATCGAGGGAGTTAAATCACCTTCGTCATGGATCGACCTTTCTCCCGAATCATTGTAAGAGAGAGCAGGTGTCTTGACACTTACATTTCCGTTGCCCTCTTTCGATCGTGCCACATCAGTATTGTGAAGAGATCATGGTGAGGGCTTCGTAGAGCTTACGTTAGGATACTTCAAGACTCCCGCGTTCAAGACGATGTTGTCGATCTTCATTCCTTTCGATACCAGCGCCGACATGCGTGTGGCAAACGCCTACACCAAAATGATCAGTTGTGCTATCCTCGAGCTTGCATCCATGTTTTCTCATCAAGGACTGACATCAATACTGCTTTCGTCCGTGACATCACACTGCTCGATCACACACGCCCCGGGTCTCTGTTGTTTGGCAGATAGCTGCCAAATCCCACTGGCCGTCTCCGGGTTCCGGACCGCAGCGATCACCTGATTGCCCTCGTCCAGCAACTGACGCACAAATTCGAGACCGATTCCACGGCTGGCTCCCACAACGAGCCAAGTAGATGGTGGCATTGGGTGCGAGATTGGGCTGCCGATTGGAATGAATCCTGATGCCGTCCGGTGGTGGTTGGCACACAATGTTCCGAGTACAATTCTACTCTAAGATCAAGGCCGTGCAGGTTACCGACTTGCCGGGAATGTATCGTTACAAGAAGGTTTGAGAGGTCATGGCAAGGATCTCAAAAAGACGATTGTGACCAGACCTTCTCAACCTATATAGCTTTCAGGGGCCTCAATGGTCATGTCCGCACAATACGAGAGGGACTGGACAGATTAAGGAAGGTCGAAGCGAGCTTCGCATCTCAGTCTCCGGCTCTAATATGTACACTGCAGGCAGTATACTTTCAATCAGAGCTTTGGTGAGAGAAAAACGCAGCGTTCTATGCACAAACGAGAATACATCATTAGTAAGGCGGATCTTGCAATCGTTGTACGTTCCTCATGTCATTTTTCGATTTAATCTCTATATGTGGTAAATCTCGTACAATGCATCTCCAAATGCATGCCCTCCTATTCTGCCAGTCTACTCGAGTTTATCGATCGCATAGACTCCCGACACGACTAGTTACGACTTGCCATGAAACCATGTCCTCTAAATGAGTTGTTGGAAAGCACGGTTGATTGGCGATCTAGGCTTCAAGCCCTTGTAGAAATCAACCGTCGCGGAGGCACGCTTGGCAATTCCTTCTGGGGTGAAGTCGAATTTCTGGCTCAAGGTTAGCAAATGCGTCCTCTCGGGAAAGGAGTAGGAAGACATACCTTATACACCTCCTTGTAGGGTCCGGATGCACCGAAACGGTTAAGACCAAATTGCTCGTGTGAGTATTTCTCCCAACCAAGAGTAGACATGACCTCAACGGACATGGTAGGGATACCGTCTGGGAGAACCTTGAGTTGGTACTCCTTTGGCTGTGCGTCAAAGACCTCGGTACAAGGCATGGAGACGACACGGCAAGTGAGTTTGTACTGATCCTTGAGCACCTTGATGGCTTCAATGCAGATGGACACTTCAGAGCCAGTGGAGACAAGGGTGACGTCAGCGTTCTCTGCTTCAACAGCGACGTAACCACCCTTGATGCCGTTCTCTATCGTCGAGTTCTCAAGCTGAGGTAGGTTCTGTCGTGTCAATGCAAGGATAGATGGGGTGCCTGTGGAGGTGAGAGCCATGTAGTAGGCGGCCGAAGTCTCGTTGCCGTCGGCTGGTCGCCACACCATCATGTTGGGAAGAGCTCGGAAGTGAACAAGAGTCTCAATAGGCTGGTGGGTAGGGCCATCTTCACCAAGACCGATGGAGTCGTGAGTGGCAACGTAGATGACACGTTGGTGTGACAGAGAAGACAGGCGAACAGCACCAGCTGCGTACGAGACGAAGTTCAAGAATGTACCTCCGGCAGGGATCAAAGTGCCGTAGGCAGAGATACCGTTCATAATCGCTGCCATACCGTGCTCTCGTACACCATATCGAAGATATCTGCCAGTCCAGTCACCGATGCCGAGAGATGGAGGCTGGAAATCAACAGCATTCTTCCATCGGGTATTGTTGCTGCCAGTCAAATCGGCTGAACCAGAGAGAAGCTCGGGAACAGCACTGTGAATATGCTCCAAGACGGTCTCTGAGGTCTTACGGGTAGCAGTAGCGGCATCCGTAGGCTTCCAGACTGGCAGGCTCTTGACCCATCCTTCTGGGAGCTTCTTGGACAGACGCCGGCTGAAGTCATCTGCCAAATCCTTGTGTTCACCAGCATACTTCTTAAACAAGTCATTCCAGGCTTGTTCAGCAGCCGCTCCTTCGGCAGCGTGCTTGTGGTACATGTCGTAGACCTCTTGGGGGACGACGAATGATTCTTCTGGATTGAATCCAAACTTGGTCTTGACCTGTTTGGCATCATCGGCCTTGAGCGGGTTGCCGTGAACGCCACCAGTGCCTTGGAGCTTCGAACCGAAGCCAATGGTGGTTGTCAGCTTGATCATAGATGGCTTGTCCTTGACTTCCTTTGCTTTCTTGATGGCGGCTTCAATGCCTGCAAGGTCGTGATCGGCATCAGGAACGTGCAGCACATGCCAGCCGTAGGCCTCGAATCGCTTGTCAACGTCCTCAGTGAAGGCGCACTTGGTGTCACCATCTATGTTTGTCAATCTCTTTCCCCATACCTCGGACCACGGCTAGAACTTACCGATGGAAATGTGGTTATCGTCGTAAAGGCAGATCAAGTTTCCGAGTTGGAGATGACCGGCCGCTGAGGCGGCTTCGCTGGCAACACCTTCCATGGCACAGCCATCGCCAAAAAAGCAGAAGGTGTGGTTGTTGATCAGTTCGTATCCGGGCTTGTTGAACACGGCAGCGGTGTGGGCTTGGGCAATAGCTAAACCCACAGCGTTGGAGAAGCCCTGACCAAGAGGACCGGTGGTCACCTCGATTCCGGGGGTATCGTGGGCCTCGGGATGGCCGGGAGTGATACTGTCGACTTGCTAGAAAATGGTCAGACTTATCAAAATGCCAGAAGATGCCAGATGCCTACGCGGAAGTTCTTGAGGTCGTCCATTGACACACCGTAGCCAAACAGGTGGAGGAGGGCATATTGCAGCATGCAACCGTGTCCGTTCCTGTATTACACATCAGTTTTGTGCCTTGAGTAGACTGTACAGTAATCTATCAAAACTCAGGATCCACCGGATGGTGACTATCCAGCACGAAAGCCTGGCAGTCGACCAGCAACAGGCCCAAGAAGATCCCACCGAACCCTCCTTCTTATAGATGTACAATAGCAATAGACACATAGGGGTGAACTCACGAGAGAACGAAACGATCGCGGTTGATATAGTTAGGATTCTTCGGGTTGAAGGTCATGAACTTGTTGAACAGGACATGGGCGGCAGGGGCCAGGCCTACGAACAAATGCGTCAGTACTGTATGCTTCCCATGTGTTACCAACGGATGACGACTTACCCATGGGCGCACCCGGGTGGCCGCTGTTTGCCTTGAGGGTGGCATCGACCTGAAGAATGTCGGTCAGTTTTGGGGGGACATCATTTGGTTGAGACGGCGGGGTAGAAAGCATACCGCAAGCAGCCGGATGGTGTTGATGGCCTTCCAATCGAGGTCTGAATATCCCATTTTCGCAGATTTGATAGACGACAAAGGATGAAAACAGGATGACAGAGTGAGGGTGAGGTGTTTGGGAGGAACTGAAAGGCTGTTTTTTTAAATTTTTACAAGTCGAGTCCGGCGAGCCTGAGAAAGCTGTTGAACCACCGGGATTGCTCAATTGAGGCTAATTCTGCCGCGCAAAGACTGCAATCGGATGGCGGGGCAGTCGAAGCAGACACTGCGCAATAATATGGAGCGCTGAAGTCACGGGCGACAAAATTGGCCCGACAATGCCGCCTCCGCAGGTGGGATGGGTTTGCTGATGCCACCAATGATTCCGCCTCGAGATCGGTTTCGGTGCCTTGTGGCACCGTTGCTGGGCACTTGGTGTCTCAACAAATGGTTTCAGGTAGACGAGCAGAGAACGTCGAGGGAGCGTTAGAGTCACAATACTCGTGTACTGTACTGGTACTGGTACAAGCCAAGTCAGATAAATTCATGTTCAGGGTAGATCAATGCTATTTGAATATATATACCTTGACGATAGTCCTCTGAACCCCTACACATCAACCTGCATGTGCATCGCTTACGGAAGCAATTCTGTAGGCGTGATGCTGACTACAAGTTGGCAAACCCAGTCAGGAGAGCACCTCCTGCTTTCCGGTTTAAGCTGCGTCTTGAAGGATGCCAATAGTCTCATAACTTTATGATACAGTATCTGCTGCGATGAGAGATCCATCAAGCTGATTATTACTGTCTCCGTAGATGACTACCTCCACTTTTGCAGAAACCAGCTTCTCCGTTTCGGATATTCAGAGGTTGCTCAACAGCAGTTGTATATGCTTGAACGCCTCTCGATAACCAATTGCCAAAGAAGGGTGTTGGAGAAAAGTTGAGCCACTGCAACAAGACCAACGTGGCCTTTTGATGTCTCCTGGTCACTTTCTTGCATCAAACCAATTCCGCATCGTATTGCACGACTTTTGAAAATCCCAAGATCCCGCCCGAGAGCCTTGTGCGCCTCGCTATGCATCAAACAATAGGCATTGCATCATTTAATATGATCCGTAGCCCCCGTATGAACCTGCACCATAAGGAGTTGTCCCTCCCGGAACGCCATAAGCGCCGTAGACTCCGTTTGCCGGTGCAGGTTCGTAGCCATCAGGGCTTTGAATGCCATTCATGCCGTTGGCCTCGTCATCCGCACCTCCCAATACCTTCAGTGTCTCCGCGAGCTTCTTCTGGAGTACTTCGATTCCTTCTGTGACTATGTCATCCGGTTCAAGCGTTCCGATGCCCTCGACATCAAGGAAGAATGCGCTTGGGACCGCGTCAGGATCAAAAGAAGCATCAGCAGCTGTGTCATCGCCTTCCCATGTGGCATTCCGTTCATCCACCGGCCATTCTTCCTTTGCATCGGTCTCATACCAGTAATCCACATGCCGTAGCTTATTGTTTGGGTCGTACTCGAACCCCATGGCAGATGTCGGTGCCCATTTTGCGTGCTCTTTGGCAATGCCCTTCTTGGCTATGCATTTCAGGTCGATCTCTTGACCTTGTCTCAGTTTGGCGATCAGCGGACCAGTGCCATTGGCGTCTCGAATGACAGGTGAGCCAACCCCGGCCTGAACAAGAGGAGGTGCCACACCCGTTGGACCAAAGATGACGGTGAGATCGCGGGCGTACACCATCATCGTGCCTGGTCGTGTACACTTGACGTGTAATCTGAGCTCAACAGAACAATATTCGCAATGATCGTCGCAATCGCAGTCTCGGGTGTATTTCATTGAGGAAACCCCTTTGCTGTACAAGGGAATCAACCCAAGTCTGTGTGCGAGGTACTCATCTGGCAAGACTGAGGAGTTTGTAGTAATGTCAACAAGATCGATGGCGATGGTGGGAATTTCGGCGAGCATAGCGCGGCGTAAGGAATTAGCTAGTGATAAGGAACATGACTGGAGAACAAAGTCGCATCGATCTTGCTCGACCTGACCTTGTTAGATCGACATAAAACGAGGGAACAAAGGATGAATGACTGACTTCTCTCACAGTGACCTTGGGCCCCGAAGTCTCGATCCCATCCATATCTTGGGCGTACCCATTATAAGCCATCTTTACCGGCAGTCCGCTCGCAAGCAGAACAATACCTCATTCAACAAAAGGCGAAAACAGCCAAAGATGAGGGCCCGGTAGTGTGAAGTGGCAGTAAGAGGAAAGGGAGATTGTAGAGGGCGCGACAGTGATTCTTTTGCCTGCGCCAGAGAACTGGTTTGGTACAGCCTTGCCGATGCGCTTGGCATTCATGTCACATGCGAGGCTGAATTTCTGTCATCGAGTTTGCCATGCGCAGTTGCACATGGGAGATAAACAGTCACAGTTTTGTTCCGTAAACATGATTGCCGTGTACTGCATCGTGCTGAGGTAGAACTGAATTATGAACACAAACATTACTTGCACGATTCTGATGGCGGAGTCAATTGTCTTGAATCGACATCACTGTTCTCTGACGGCCAAGTGTACTATTGTGGAGGCTGTCGAGTACGGCTACATAGCTTGTTACCTACGGAATCAGAATAATCGACAAATAACGAAGCCGACAAAAGTTGCGTAGAGACTAAGAGGCATTCTGTACTCGTACTATCTAGCCAGTCTATGCTCTGAAGTGCAAGTCGATCGGTCTCGGGTACCTGACAGTCATACTTCGACTCCGTAAACGTGCCTGAAAATCCGTGCCCTGGGGACCGTAGTTTTGGGGCTAAGGAAACGAGGCCTGGCTGGCTGCGTCACCAGCGTCGACGCCCCAGTCGCTGGCGTTGTTTTGCGAATGCGGAGTTGAGAACGCTCCTACTGAAATCTGCATGCATGCTTCTTTTCCTGTTCATGCCTACACTCGTTGAGATATTCTCTACCCTCAAACACCTCGCATTCTGCGTGGTTATGGCTCTCCTTTCCCCGGTCTAGGCTCACAAGGAACTCTCATGTCCTACCTGATGCCTCTGCTTTCAGTGGAGAAACTGCCATTTCAACTCTGAATACTTGCACTCACGGCCTAGTTGTGTTCCTCACGCTTCCTCAGACCCCCACACCACCCTCAACAATCGAGTGATCATACCTGGATCAATTCTCGCGAAGGCCAAACAAATAGCATGGTCCCTGGCCGGAAAAAAGAGTCAGCGAAGCATCAGAATCCGTTCGATGTGACACCATTCTAGCAAGATCTACTTCGGAGGCTGTGCTTAAGGTCGACTGAAGCGCATGGCCTTACAAAGACAATGGCACAACTACATCTTTGTTGGCCTATATTTTCTCTTCTCGGCGTCGTTCTCGCAATATCCTCCACCTATAAATGAATCTCAGGCTAGCATTCCTTCTCCAATCAATCCGGACATCACTATTAGATTCAAAAGTCCATCTGTTGGCACATGCACGACCGTCTTTGCCACCCAAAGACAGTTTACTGGGTACATCAGTCTGCCGCCAAACGTACTGGACCCCAGCCAGGGAAATTACAGCATTAATACCTTTTTCTGGTTCATCGAAGCAAGACAGGTACCAGAAGCAGCACCATTGACTATCTACATCAATGGCGGCCCAGGCTCGAGCAGTATGGTTGGTCTTTTCCAGGAAGTGGGCCCTTGTCAAGTTGTTGAGATTGCGGAGGAAAAGTTGGGTACCATCGCCCGTGATTGGGGCTGGGATCGAGGCAGTAACATTCTCTTCATCGATCAACCTGTACAAGTTGGCTTCTCTTATGATACGTTAACGAACCTATCCCTGAACCTGCTGGATGAGGTGTTTGTCGACCATCCCGCGCCAGTGCCCCTGACGCAACCAGAATATACATTCCTCAATGGCACATTTGCCTCGGGCGATCCGTCTTCCACAGCAAACACTTCACAGATTGCCGCTCAGTCACTATGGCATTTCCTTCAGACATTCCTGCCCTCATTCCCGGAGTACAATACAGCTATGGGTTCGGATAAGAATAAATCCAGCGCAGAAATCCATCTATTTACCGAGTCATTTGGTGGCAGATATGGACCTGCTTTCGGAGATTTTCTTCAAGCGCAGAACGCTCGTAGGTTGACGGACGCCAACTTCGCAAATAGCACGATTGACATCAGCCTTGTTTCTTTGGGCATTATCAATGGTTGGATCGACTTACTCGTCCAGACACCGTTTCACCCCAAGTATGCTTATGAGAATACATACGGCATTGAAGCCATAAGCCAACTAGAAGAACTCAACGCTCTGAGTGCTTACAACGGTGCCGACGGATGCCAGCAGCGGACTTTAACATGCAGGGCTCAGCAAGCGGCGCTTGATCCTTCCAACCAAGGGAATGTTGCTTCGGTGAACGACGCGTGTTCAGAAGCACAATTGTACTGCGAGACCTATGTCGTGGGCGCATATACCGTCTCAAACAGATCGATTTACGATATCTCACAGGATAGGTTGGACCCATTTCCAGACTCGTTCTACCTTGAGTATCTCAATCAGCTCTCCTTGCAACAGGCTATCAATGTCCCCGTCAACTATACTCAAGACTCGCTGGCCGTATTCTCGGCATTCGCTTCAACAGGAGATTATGCGCGCAATGGCATCGTGCAGGATCTGGTGAACCTTCTTGACTCTGGGGTCAGAATTGCTTTGATATATGGTGACAGAGACTACATTTGCAACTGGTTAGGTGGTGAGGCTGCCTCTTTTGCCATTGCCGGCGCTGCTGGATCATCGTACCTGCCCTGGTTCGCAGCTGGCTATGCCCCTATTGTGACAAATGGCTCTTATGTCGGCGGTGTAGTCCGACAGTATGGGAACCTGAGCTTCAGCCGCATCTATGATGCTGGACACTTGGTGCCAGCGTATCAACCCGAAACGGCATTTACTGTCTTTTCAAGAATTATTAACGGCGATGATATCAGTATGGGTAACCCAGCTGATCTGTCCACATATCAGTCGACGGGGGACAGTAATGCGACTTTCCAGAATTCACCACCACCTATGGCTGCTCCGACATGCTTCAGGCGCGCTGTCAATGAAACCTGCAACACTGATCAGAAAAATATGCTGGCCAACAAGGCAGGTGTGCTCATCAATGGCGTTCTCTACGATCAAGAATCAGACTGGCAATCGCCACCTCCGGATGTGACCAGTGTTGCTGGAGTTCCCGGAACTGCGCCCATCAGCATCATCACAGCTGTGCCCTCTTCTAGTTCTTCCTCCAGGCCCATAGCGTCGAAGGCATCTATGTCGGATCATATTGATTCTAAGACTACAAAAGGGAAAACGACGACTACTCTACCGACCGGAGTGTATACAGCCACAAATGTCCCACCTACGTCCACCGCGGCCAGAAGCAGTGCTAGCTCTACCAGCGCTGCATCGACACAAAGGCGGAAGGATGCTTCTACTCCATTCTCACTCCTAAGGACTAATTCTCTTGGAGCAGTTGCTCTAGTGTATATTTCGGTTCTTGGAGTCTTGAGTGATGGAATCTTAGGTTAATGCGTTGTACTCTGCAAATACTGCTTACCGCTAGCTTCGTGAGTCGAGTGGATTAGCTGGTCCAAGGAGCACTCATGTAGGATCGGTATGCGACGGTGGGATCTAGATACAATCCAACTGCAGGACATCCTCGAAAAATGTTACAATAATAAGCCTTCTCGAGTCAACAATGTGACTTATAAGTGCCATGTAGCAGGCCCGAGCGATGCTTCTCAGTATTCGACGAGGCTGCGCTAAGTACAGATTATCCGTACTTTCTCCGCAGCCGTGAATGATCCAGTCCTGCGAAATAAAATAAACCTGTGCAGTTTGACACAAATGCGACATAACCTCACTTGGTACCAACAGAATCCCATCAATCGATCACTCGTACCACTCGTGTCTACCAACAGTGTCAATCAAGACTTCGAGAGGTAGAGAAGCGCACGGGCGCATCTCTAGAATGCAGCTGGCATCATGACAATAACATCTATATCCCGAATCACGACTGAACGTCGCCTGCCCACGCCTCCTGAGAATGGCCAGTCAGATTCGCAACCAAGAATTTACGCTGCCCCCGACTTTCCTTTCAGAGGCTGGCAACCTCCCCAGCCAGATGGCTACCGCCAAAGCGCCGCAAATCCATCCGAGAACGCGATAGTGATCGACAATGGTAAGGCTGTCTCACCTCTTTCTGAAGTGTGGCAGATACTAAGCAACCGTAGGGGCAAGCACCATCAAGGCCGGTTTCTCTTTTGACAAAAACCCTCGATTTCTCATCCCACCTCTCGTTGCGAAGTACAAAGACAGGAAGTTCAACAAATATTGCATGTTTGTTGGCCATGATGCCTACGCCGACGCGACGACTAGAGGACAGATCAGAACCGCCTTCGAGCAGAACACCAGTATCCCAACCAACTGGGACATAATGGAGAACATATATGATTACATCTTTCTGAAGTTGGGCGTGAACAATGAAGGAAGTGTGGATAGGCCCCTGGTCTTGACAGAACCGGTTGGCAACCTGGGCCACAGCAGAAGGATGATGAATGAGATGCTATTTGAGTGCTATGGCGTTCCGAGCGTGACATACGGCATCGACAGTTTGTTTTCTTTCCGCCAAAACAAAGGGACCTCGGGACTGGTCGTGTCCTCGTCACACACGTCAACCCATATCATCCCTGTCCTCGATCGAAACCCACAGATGCAGTCCTGCGCACGGTTGAATTGGGGAGGGTCACAGGCGCAGGAGTTCCTTTTCAAGCTGATCCGTCTGAAGTATCCCAACTTCACCGGAAAAATGACTACTGAGCAGATGGAATCCTACATCAAACAATATTGCTATCTGTCAAATGATTACTCTTCCGAGCTCTCCACATACCTCGACTGGAGTGGACTGGAAGAAGAGCGAGACATTATTATACAGTATCCTTTCACCGAGCAGGTTGTGGTGGAGAAATCGGCCGAAGAATTGGCGAGAATCGCCGAGCGGAAGAAAGAGTCTGGCCGACGACTACAGGAACAAGCTGCTAAGATGAGGCTCGAAAAGCTCATCAGGAAGGAGCAACAATTGGAGTACTACCAGCAATTGCACGAGTCTTTCGTCAATGCACCTACCAAGAAGGAACAAAGAAGAATTCTAGATGACGAAGAACTCAAAGATGAAGCAGCCTTGGAAAGAATCATCAGAGATCTTGATAAATCCATCAAGAAATCGAGAAATAAAGACTTGGGCGGGGCGGAAGAAGAGGAAACACTCGAAGAACAACTGAACAAATTTCCTCTTCTGGATGTGCCGGATGATCAATTAGATGAAGATGGTATCAAAGAAAAGAGACATCAAAGGCTAATGAAGTCCGGTGTCGAGGCAAGGATCAGAGCCAAAGCGGAAAAAGAACGAGAACGGGCTAGGATCGCGGAAGAGGAGAGGCAAGATATTGAGATGCGTGAAAATAAATTCGATCAATGGCTCGCAGGCCGTCGCGAACAGCGCGAGTCCCTCTTGGCTAGGATCAAAGAGCAGGCACGGCTCAAAGCAGATTCGGGTAATCGAAAAGGTATTGCTTCCCAGATGCGCATGAAGACTCTGGCAAATCTTGCTGCGGATGGACCCAAGCGGAAACGTCGAGGCGGCGGAGAATACGACGATGACTTTGGGGCCAACGACGAGGACTGGGGTGTTTACCGTACAGTGGCTACTGAACCCGCCAGTGACGACGAAGAGCCCGAGGAAGATCCCCTGGCAGCCTTGAAAGCGGTGGAAAGCGAACTTTTGCAATTCGACCCCGACTTCCAGGAGAAGGATACTCTGGAGGCCCAGAATGACTGGACCAAGAGCGTCCTGCACGCTTTCCTTCGTGGAGCGAGGCCTGCAGACCCCGAGAGTCAACGAGAAGCCAATCAGATCCATCTCAATGTAGAAAGAATTCGAGTTCCTGAGGTGGTCTTTCAGCCAGGCATTGCCGGAGTTGATCAGGCAGGTCTGGTGGAGATTATCGAAGGCATTGTGACGGGGCGCTTTTCCGATCCAACACAGCAACAGGCACTTCTGAGAGACGTTTTCTTGACGGGTGGGAACACCATGTTCACCTCGTTCGAGGATCGACTGAAGCGCGAGCTCATTGCTAGCTTGCCCGATACCTTGACGATAGGCGTGCGAAAAGCCAAGGATCCTATTCTTGATGCCTGGAAAGGGGCAGCGGGTTGGTGGAGTACTGGGGATAAAGCAGAGAGAGAAGCGGCCACTGTCACACGGTCAGAATACGCAGAGAAAGGAAGCGAGTACATCAAGGTATTTTCCAGTTGCCAACTAACAATGTGTTAACGCATGACTGACTCTTCTTAGGAGCATGATCTGGGAAATTTTGTGTCACCAGCTTACAGCTTTGGTTAATCTCTACAACAACTTGGAAGGTTCGACAAATTTTGGCGAGACTTCACCTGTCCGAAAGACGGCGGCAACCATGGAGACAGACACACACACACCATTCCTCGAGCTCCGGGCTTTTTTTCTCCGTGAAGCTCTCCTTCAAAATCTGTCGGCCCCGTTGCCTTGACCTGAATGCATGCAATACATGAACTGTGCTAAGCTTCAGCGACGCAAGAGCGGGCAGGTCAAAATTGGCCATGCGGTACATTGGGTACACAGTTCTACCACCCGCATGTTGGTAGGGTCCCGATCCGTGTACTATCGATTCTCTCTGGCCTAATCCATGAGCTGCTGGGGATTTTAAAAAACGACGAGGTAGAGCCGGGTGTGGTATTTGGAATGTCTGCATTAGCTGCTGCTGCCGCCGCTTCATTAAAACAGACGATGCTTGTTTGCCTTTCGCAAAACAGAACTCAGTCTCTCTCCTCATCAAGAAGTCCTCGTGGTGGGCGATCAAATCCTTCGGCACACCATGCTGTTGGTCCGTCATTTACAGGCTCAGCGCAAAGAGAAAATGGTCGCACAAGGTGGCCTGAAGTGAAGGAGGGGACGAAGGGGATGAAGTGGTTGAGAGTTTCGTGTAACACATAGCTACGGCTTATGCAGTTCCGGGTACTTGCCTACAAGTAGGTAACCTTTACCGACTCAGATCTACAGTACAAGTTCACAAGAATGGCTTCGATCGGCTTGTGGTTTCTTCTCACCATGTCTTTTTTTCTGGCCATTTTACCAAAAAAACCCTTGCATCTACTCCGTACCAGTAGAGACTCAACAATGACGCCCCTGTCCCTTAAGGACCTAGGGAACTTTCATCGGGCCTCACGGACGAGAAGATGGCTCCGTGGCGCCGCCATACTTTAGGTAGGTATGTCAGCATCGCCGGAGACAACTGCAAAAGCAAGAAGCCGCGGTCCGAAGGGCAAACAGGAGGGCGGTAGGGAGGAGCCCTTTTCCCGCCGTCGCCATCAAAATCCGTCGACATCCGCGCTCAACAATACTCGTACCCATATTAAATGCTCTCTGGCTGAGGTACCGGAAACTACTTATTACCAGTGATTTACGACAAGGTTAAGCACTAATACGGGCTGACTCAGTCCTTGGGTAAGCGAAAGAGGTGCTCCACTACTACTCCGTACGTACGACGACGACGACGAAGACGACGACGATTCGTCTGTGCAATTATTAATAACTCTTCCCAACCCTTGCGAACAAAAAGTGGGCGTGCTGATGGAACCGAAGCTGCCAGAAAAAGAAAAAGAGCTTCGCAAGCATTGGGGTCGGCCCTGAGATCTCTTCCGCCCCTCTTCTTTTTCGCCGCCCCGACGTTTCGCATTGTACAATCTCACCGAGTCACCGGCTGACAAGGTGGCGACGGTCCCGAAAAGGTGTACACGGAGTACACAACAAGGCTCTCTCCGTGAAAATGCCGAAGCTTTATCTGATACTCGTACAGAGAAACACTTTGTTGTATGGTCATGTATATACATGACAAAGTCACGGATACAGTCTATCCCTACCTAATTATATGCTCCAGTACCCAATGAGTTAATGATACCGGCCTTGTTCGCGTTTTCATAGAAGCCTGTTTTACCCCCCTGCTTACCTACCTATACAATCATTAGACTCCGTCTTTGACCTTGACCCAACCAGGCTCCGAAAGAGGGAGACCTAAGAGGAGAGTTTTGCTCATACATCGTGAACAAGCCCACCCGACGAAACATCCCATCGTCGCCTATCGGGTCAAGGATTAGCCCATAGCAGTTTGTCATGGCGAGGCAAGTCATTGTACCGATACGGCTTGCTCATGGTTCCAACGCATCGGGATATACATCGCTGGTGAGGTTGTCGAAGCTTTCATCGCCGAGAAATTCGAAGGTAGTGTATGTCAGACATCTTGGGGACAAGAGTCTCTCTAGCAGTGTCCAAGCCCTGTCGGTGGTAGGCTCTGTTCCCCGTGCATAAGGTACCAACAATAGCAGTCTTAGCTTTTGCTATTTGACCATCGGGACATCGACAAGGTAGGATAACATATGTGCAATGATTGGTTTCATCTGAAGAAACAACAGGTATTCCGTATGTAACAACTTTCTTGGCGCACGTGATGCCTACATCGGAAGGAACTTTTGACAAGACAAAATTAAACCAATGTTCCCGCGAAAGACCAATCTGTCCCGTCGTTTTCGATATGAGGAGAGGCTCTCTGTTTGCGAGCACTCCATACAAGTTCCGACTAACACCGGGATTGGTGGAATCACCTTTGGAGTAACATCACGCCCAAAGTTTTCCGTTGGCCCTTCCCACGAGTATTGGTAAGTCCTGGCAGGCATCGAGCAGCAGCGATATCTGTAAGCGTTGCATCAGTGTATTGGCATTCCGACAACAAGAGACACCGCCCTTGTTTTCGCCATTCCATCCAACCCGACCAGAACGAGTTCCACGGCTTAGTAGCCTGCGGAGAGCTACGATTCAAATCGAAGCACTACTGCATCACGGTGGATCGCGCCGGACTCATAGCCTAGTAGAGATGTACTGGCCTTTGTTCTGGAATGAACGGCGGAAGGGCCATTTCGAGTCAAGAGGCAATCGTTCCTGGCGGACAGATGATGGCCTGGCCAAGTCATTCCGAAGTATGCAGATTACTTTCGTATTCATCGACTGGCTCGCTGCTCACTGGCTACTCCTGCTTCCTACGGAAGCTAGGACTCATGGGGGTTGTTTATGGTGCTCGATGAACTCGATCAGGCCAACGACCCTCCTGCTCCTAGAACACCCCGGATGGCCAGTCCGACATAGCAACAATCATTAATCGATGAAGGAGCTACGGGTATATGGCAACCACGGCAGCCACCGTATCGTCATCCTGTGGTCCAGATAGCAGCCTCTTTCCAGATAGAGGCATCGTGGGTGAATTATTGACCTCGAGTTCTAGAAATTCGGACGGGTGGGCTTCTCATCAATTGTCGATCTCGGCCGGTTCTATTAGTTGTCCTGCTTGACTTGCCCCGGTCCTTCTGCCCTCGGAAAAACGGGTGAAGATCTTGGTCCTAAACTCCTAGGACCTGGCAACCTGGTTCTGTTCCTGCGTCAAGATGACCACCAGGCTCTCCAGTACATCTACGCGTACGATTAAGAGATTCAACTTGGAGTGGACAACTACAACACCCCTGGATGACTCTGGATCATGCAATCACGTCCGCCCCTCTTGCAATAGGAAGAGATGATGATGAAAATCAGTAATCAGGTTCTGTGCTCCACTTCTGCCATTGGTCATTTGGGACTTCCGTAACAGGATTGTGGAAAGATTGAGAGAAAAACGATGATTACTCCGGGCGAGTACTTGGGTCGCCAATGAAGACACTCCTTGTACTCCATATCCGGAACAAGGCACGGCCACTTTCTTTGTCTCCTCCGGAGTACATCCTGGTCAGCAACGCCCATCGAAAGCGTCAAGTTTTCCTCCAAAACCATGGATCGTCCCTCGTTCAAAAAGATGTGCACTTCCGTCGTCACGTTCGCCAAAACCGATGACAGTACTGCCTTTTGTAGAAAAAGGTCCGTTCGGGGTTGCTCTTGTCTGATGACACCATGTTTCGGGTCAAGTCACAAGTCTCCACATTCTCAAGCCTGATACGGGGTATGACCGGGGTGGCCGAGATAGGGGCAGGTTTTGGCTTGTCGCCACGCACGAATCTTCAGCCTTATCTGATCGACGTCGAAAAGCACAGAGTACATGATTGGAAATCAATCTTCGTGTCGGTCTCGAGTTGTAATGACCGAACTGACAGTATAACAGTCAGAGAGGCAACCCATGTCCCCCTCCCCCATCTCTACTAAGTGGTGGATATGAGGATCGGGGGTTGCATCAGGAACCCACAACCTCATAGTCAGGAGAGTCAAATTGGTCGAATGCGACTGTCTCTGGTCCTACTGGGTGAATGAGGCACTGAAAGGTCCTGCTTACCAAAGAAATGAGAGCAGATGCCATATTTGGGATGGGGGCCGTGCTTACGTACCCAGGTAACGGGCACGTCTTGTCACGCGAACTGGCCTGACAAGTCTTGGTTGCCTCTTGGTGTGCAAATCAGTGGTATTGGGTTGTACGAGTACTGGCTACGAGGGCTCCGTACAAGCTCAACACCCATGCCTCACAGGGTAGTGGTGGGTTGTTGGCTTGTTCTGGCCAGGACTATGCGCGACTTATGTCAGCAGCGATTTACCTACACCTGTTGCTTCTTGCCATAATAGGCAACACCAGAATCTGCAACTTACTTAAGCCAACAACTCCGATGTGTTACGTTATGTTCGAGCGCCAAACAACGCCACCAGACGTCTTGGAGGGGAGGGTTGTGGTCAATTGCTTTCTGTGACAGGAATCGATGTTCGGCTATCTCGCTCAACGAGCTCTCTGGTAAGGACGATCTTGACAAAGCAGATAATGTGTGGAGATGACGCTTTGAGAGATTTTTGATTCTATGGTACAGACAGCCGTTGCGAGTACGAAGGCGAAACGGTCCACATTGACAAACGATCGACCTGGAGATATCTCGGGCGCGCAATATGCTACCTTAATCGACATCAAGTATCTCCAGAAACCGATGATATGATGCTTACCTTTTTCGCAACAGTTTTCCGGTGCTTGGTTTCCTCTTTGAGAACCAGTCCAATCACAACAACTAGGACAGGTTTGACGAGGATGGTTTGGTTTAGTCATGTTTGATACAAGCCTACAAGTGTGTGTGTGTGTGTGTCCATGAAAAACCTCACGCCACCCAAGTAAGAAAGTCCCTGCATTTTCCCAAAGGCTTGTTTCTTGTTTCTTGTTTTTATCTTCTCCGAGGACCTGATCAGAAAAGGTCGACTCTGTTGGTGGTTTCCCTTCCTCCTTCTCGGTCCCGCGGAGTCATGCCAGTTTGTCAATAGCTGCATTTGAAAGAAAACGTGGCAGTCAGCCGGGAAATGCATGAGCGTCTGCTTTAGTCCCGACAGCGCGAAATTACTGTGCAGATTGAAGCCTTTCGTTCATGGTGGGATGATCAACGATCGAGTCATTCTCTCTAGGCATGTCTCCTAGGGTTGCATATGGTCCGGGGAACGAGAACAGACTCTTCTCTTGGTTTTGAGAGACGTGAATCGAGGCAAGGACTTTAGGGTACTTGCTATTCACATTGTCATGCACTCCTCTGGCAGGGTTTGGGGTTGTTGGTACAATAAAACCAAGAGGCCAAGTCACAGTACACAGAGGACGGCAATCCGGTACAGGGTCAGGTAAGATATTGGGGTAGTTCTTTAGGTAGTAGGTACAGAGTACGAAATAGGTATCAGGTAGATAATCTATTTGACTGAGATAGGTATCTATCTAGTTACAAAATAAGAGGTCATTTACGTACCTTGGTAAGATATGTAGTACTTGGTAACTTGTCGTACTCCATATTCTATCCCGATAGTTGGCACGCCTTGTACTCGTAAGAAGTTAGATACATTGTACTCCGTAATTTTGTTCCTGTTGCGAACACGCGTGTATCGTCAGTTCTGTGTCTGGGTTGGTTTATTTCTCATGGTACGGTGTACAGTAGAGTCCACCCCTACTGGATACTACTCACTACCACATGTAGGTACCCACCAGTATCTCCATCTCGTTCCCTGCCCGCTCCAAAGACCCTTGTATACCTGAGTCGGGAGGTATGTTCACGGAGTGAGATCGGGGGCTTGGGATGTACCGTGCCTGACCAAGACGAGTACCCAAAAGAAAACCACAGTCAGCAAAGAAAGCCTCATCGACCCATCAAAACAAGCAAAAAAGAAAACTTCACAGTGGCGTCCTGGTCCTCCCTCGTTTCTGGCCCCCGTCTCTCCGTATGATTTACAAGTCTTTTGGTGTCAACTTTACAAGTCACATCTTCCACCTTGACCGAGATGAGCGACCCCGACACGAGAACACACCAGTAGTACTTGCATTCTGTCCTTTCTTCGGCACGATTCAAGAGTTGGTAACGTCAACGTGAAGAGCCGGGCCCCATTCCCGTTCGACAATAATGTCCCCAAGTCCCCAAAACCTTTCGAGCAATCGCCTCGTTCGGTCCAGTCGGGGCAGAAGTAGACAAGGGTAGGTGGTGTGTAGGTACATTTTGTAACCATCACGACGAACCACATGACTACTCCTCCTTACATGTACCCATCATTCCCGAATCGACAAGATGGAAAAAAAAACCTTCTCCACACCCTAGGTGGGTAGGTAGGTGGCTTGGCCATTATTGGCTCTCATGACGGAGTGACACCAACTGTACACGAGGGGTTCCTTCGAGCCTCATGGAATAGTTGGTGAAGTTGGGGTTGAACGCCCCGAGACTGATATTGTCACACTCTCGCATCCCGGGTCGTTTTCCCGCGGTGTGTTTCCAAGATCGGAATGATTGGTTGGTTAGGAAGCATTTGGTCGTTGATCGAGAGGGAAACGACCTACCTCGGTAGCGGGACACTGAACGAGACAAGTCACAATGTCAAGGGGGGTATGAGCAAGGATAATGGTGACCTCCTCCGGTAAAATTCCTCGACGGCGGTGGGCAACATCTCTCGGCATTCACAACCAATCACTACTTCCGATTCCCTGCGAGACACATGATGAGGCTCATCTTCACGTGGGGTCCTTGTCTTGAAGACCAGTCCAAGATTTCCCCCGGCGGGGGAAGAGAGAGGTATGAAATTAAGAAGGATAGGCCACTTTCCCACCGAGATGGCCAACGCCTCGAGAGAGTTTTGGACTTTTGGAAATCCACAGTGCTTTGCAGCTGACCTTGGTGGCAGGTCGATGGTCGACCAGTACTCGTACTGGTTACTTGCGAACGGCAGGCGTGTTTGCACCATGTAAAGATCGTTCCCCCATAGATTCGTGAAAACCGGGAGAGAAACTCGGTAACCCTGAAGTCAACAAACGCATATCCATGTCAATCATGTTTCTGTCCGATCTTGGAATGCAAGGACCCCAACCTGGAAGAGCTCCCCTTTGGCCGCGTCATCTCAATGCAGTGGTGACGATTTTGTCCCTCAGTGCTTTGAGCAAGTTTGTGGTGCTACGGTACTCGTTCCGTGATATCTCAACCGAATGAGGAGTCGACGTTTCCCCAAACAAGGAGAATAACCAAGTCTTGTGATTTGGCAAAAACGGTTGACATGAGCTCGACAAGTGGTGGTCTCAAAGCCTTGAATGATCCCTCCTCCCATGACCTTGGTGGAGTTGTATCTGCGTATATGCACATGTCGCATTTCTTTGTCAGCGTTGGCGGCATTCGTTCCCGCGACGCAAGAGGCAAGAACGTCCCCAAATGTATTTCAAGATTCTGGAGCATCTGTAACCCCCGTCGAGTACCCGGAGGGGACCTTGGATGCACACAAACATCAAGTGATATGGATCCTCGTGTCCACCCGACTGAGAATGAACAAGGTCGGTATTTTGGCGACCCACCTCACCCCCAGGTTTTATCATGCGTGGGTACATGCACGGGTCATTTGACCAAAACCCGCCGGCAAGGGAGCGTTGGCGAAGGTGCAGAAACACAAACATGTTCTGCCCAGGGAGATTCAGGCGTCAGAACGGAACAGGGAGTGAGTGTTCGCTTCCCACAATGCCTCAGGAGCCGAGAATACAGATACCGTTCACGCCCGGACACTTACTTCCGCAGTGAGATGTTTGTTACTGTACGGAGTCGACCACCCTGGAACTGAGTACCTTGGCAGAAAATAAAAGTTGCCCTGTACTCCGTTTGCTAGTAGAATCGATTATCCGTATGACCAGCTCTTGAAACCACGAGTGTCCCGGGAGTGTTGAGACATCGAGGGAAATAATGGCGGTATGTCCCCAGTTTTGGCTTATGCAAACAAGCGGGTACGAAAGTGATACGGAGTACGATTTTTTTTACACATAGCGATAGGGTCCCAAGTTCAATCTTGCTTGCCAAACCATGCTTGCGGCGAAAGGCCACAAAAAGAAAAGATGATGTGAAGCAAGGATCATTCATGTAGGATCGTTGAGGAGGTACTCCGTAAGAGCAGAGGCTTTGTTTCACTGGCCCTTGACCCTCTCTGGGATGGCCAAGTGTTTGGTGGGCGCAATCGGTGACAATTGGTTGGTGAGAAACACAAGGAACAAGGTGGTAAGTTGTGGCGATGGTCCGATCCGGGTGGTGCAGTAGGATCAAAGCGGAAAGCCCTTGTCGAACAATTGGACGAAAGTGGGCTGGGATGATGGTGGTGGTGGTGGTATCTTTTTTTATGTATTCTGTTCCGTCCACGGAGTACTTCCGTACACTTTCTTCACCATCGGACGGGTTAAGGGTACCTAGCTGATCCCCCTGTTGATTGCCCGGCGCAAAGGGCCTTTTTTGTTTGGGAACGAGGACGCGAGGTGTGACACAATTGCATGCCGGCCACGAAAAGTGGGAAAAAGGAAAGGGGGTTTGCAAGTTGCCCTCCCCGATCATGGGTGACTAATGCGAGACAGGATACTATCTCAGCCTTTGCGATTGGCCCATGAAGAAGAACGAAGACGATTGGCCAGCCTTGCGGAGTGGCGTTTACATGATTTTGTAGCTCGTACTGTACTGTACTGTAATGACCTGTGATACCCTTACCTTGAGGTATGTACGGAGTCCCTTACCTGAGGTTCACCCCTAAACCCACTCAGGTAGCTTTGCGTGTCTCGGTGACCCCCTTCCCTTGATTGTCACAAAAGGTTCCGGTAATGCCCTGTTCACTGCGCGTACCTACAGTACGGGTTCTGTAACAGTACAGAAACCCACCTGTAACTCGTACTGTACATACTCGGTACGGAAGTACATACTACTATCTGTGTCTTGTCATTATTCGGTCGCCGTCAAGACGTTTACTCCGTACCAAAATCTCCCCCTCCCGTCGTGTCCGGAAAGCAATGCTTACCCAAAACGGAAATTGTCCCAAAGGTCCATTTCCCTTTTCCCTCGACGAAGCCTTCACCCGACTTCACCATGTCTTTGTGAGACAGCACGTCCTCTTGCTTTGGTCGAAGGGGCTGATGCGAGCAGTAACTCACGTTCGCCTTCTTCCTTCCGGGGTGCAATGCATGACCGTGTGTCCTTCCCAACAAAGCAAACAGTCGCTTGCATCTCCCCCTCCGGCTTAGACCGGCAGGGCGTCGGCGTGTTGTTTGTGTTTTACCAAGAGGCAGACTTGCCTCAGCATGAAGGCCTCATTGCCGTATCGTGAGAACACTAGTGCAGGTTACATGCAAAGGCCCGCGCGTGCCAGCCCTTTCGCGATCCGCCTCAGTCAGTGTGATTGGGCTGGTTGGAGTCAGGATCACTAATACTCCCTGCATTCGGGTCGGAGTTAGGGAGCCTAAAACGTTTCCGCTCGACTTCTCGAGGTGGTTTCGATGGGCATCGTCTATCTCGCTTACTCCCTCGTCATAGCGGCTCGTAAAGAACGTTCCATGCCGATTGATGCTCTCATCTACCCATGCCTAGGTTAGAATAGGCGTCATTGAAAAGACAAGGGACCCGAGAAGGATTGGTCACGCATTACGTGCCCCGCGCGAAACCGCTGGCTTCAATGGCCTTGCTCACTCTTGTACATTTGCTAGATACAGTAATGCAGTGGTACCTTCAGGGTCGCCAGCTATGGTGGATGATGTTCTCTGCTCGGTAGAGGATCTAAATTCATGCTTCACACACCCCAGTTCGTCCGGGTCGTCCGGGTCGATCCCGGACACCACACACCCTGCCCATTAACCCGAGCACACTCCAGACGCCATAACGTTCGTTATTCAACACTACAACACCAGAAACCCCACAATATGAAAGCCCGAAAGAGGTGCCTCATGATATCATCATGCCGAACCAACGCCGGAGTTGTCGAAATTTGAATAAAAGAAATAGAGGCAACACGACGCGTATTACCGGGCGCCGGTTGATGACTGCGCTAGAATTGCTGGACCTTGCAACGCTGCCTGCGAGGAAGTTAATTCAGTAGAGTTTGTCCGGGCACGCTTGTTGGCTTGAGACTCGGAATAGGTTGGGTCCGGGTAGCGGTGAGCCTCGTGATGGAGCTGACTGATAGGGTCTTGTGGTTGACCGACAACGGCATTCAGTTCAGATAGTCGTGGCAGAGTGCCGGCCTGATGAGTAGGTCCGGCCTTGCCAGGCTGAAGGCCATCGACATTGCTTGGTGGAGGTGGTACCTCACCCTGTGACTCGAGGAGGCGTGACTGAAGATTGATAATGTAATCTCGCAGTTGGTAGTTCTCGGCCTGAACAGCTTTGAAGTTGTCGCTGAGAGCCTGGTAGTCGCGAACCTGCTCTTCAAGCTTCTTGATGTATCCTTCCTTGCGCTGGCGGAATGCTCTCTGGAAAACGATGTCAATGCGACGGTTCCAAAGGTCGACACATATGAGATACATACCTGGGCAGCCCGGTTCTGAGCTGCTCTCTTGCTGGTGCTCAGCTCCCGTTTGCCATAGCCTTTTCGACCGTCGCCAGTATTCTCTCCTTGGTCGCTCTCCGCACTACCGGTCACGGCATCATTGTGGGCAGCATCCATTGGCGGTGATGGTTGGTGTTGGTGCATGACATCGAGCGATTCTGGTAGCATTGACGAGTGTGGTGGAGGGTAGTGCGGTTGATCGCGCAGAACTATTGAATGCTTAGACACAGGCCAGGGTGAAAGCAATTGAGTGATTGAAGTCATGATGATGGTAACGACAATAGAGCAAGGTGTGGGCGACAACAAGTGTGCTTAAGAGGCAAGTCTTGTTTGTGATACCAAGTCAAGGAGACAGGTAAATGACTCCAAGCAGCCGAGGTGGATAAAACAAGACAAGCATCAAAAAGACAAGTAGACGAGGCTGGGTGCGGGAAGGAGATGACGGGGAGGTATATGTAGGCCACGGTCGACAAATGGACCGGGGGAGGGGAATGCAGTACCCTGATCGTTAGGTACGCGAGTGTTTGCAGATGGTGGTAATAAAAGAAACCCAAGGCCCGAGTAATGCAAGCTGCATTACAGTATTTTTCCGATAAGCCATGGATCGGCGATAGCGTAATGCAGACCCACCAGGGGCCCAAGTGAAATGACAAAGAAAAAGAAGAAACAAGAGATGCAGAAGACGAGGGAGGGTCGGAGGGAAGCCAGGGTCAGGGTATCGATCAGGCCTGGGGGGGTGGGGCAGGGATTACTATACATACGTGATTCGGATTTGACTTGGTCCTGTAGCTCCATCAGGTCAGAAATCTAGAAGGCAACATTAATCGAGAGGAACAGAACCGGATGTGATGGGGTAAATGTGATTGCGACCAGGTACACAATACGCGCACCAGTGAGACGATTGGTGATAAAAGACACAGAACGGTGAAAGACAGTCATGCGACGGGATGAGGGAGGATGAGAGGTGGATGTAGGAGGTCATGATCGGGGGAAGGATTCTGGAATACGAAGGTGCCAAATTGGAAATACCCAGTGATTGCAAGAGAAAGCCTGAGTAAGGGCTTGCTAGGCCAGGGTGGAATGGGCTTGCTTACCTGAGGCATGGCTGAAGGAGAATTAGCCGTGCGAGGGGCGAGGGCCGGCTGCATAACGGGGAGAGACCGAGTCGCGAAAGAGGCAAAAGGTTCGAATGCTGGGAGAGCAGCAGGCGTCGCGAATGCCGAGGAGAGTTTGGAAACAGGGCGGTCGTAGGATGGCAAGATAATAATGAGCTCAGCGAAAAAAAAAGGAGCGAGACAGAGAGGGAGAATGGAAAGCTCAATTAAGACGCGAAGTCGGTGGTGGAAGACAATGGCTGAGTAATAACAACAATTGCGCGGACGACGAGATGGAAAGGGAAGAAAAGGGAAAGGAAGAAGGCAGGGAAAAGATTAGCAATTCCTTACCTAATAAACCTGTCGCTGTGAAGCAGCACAAATTTAACCTGCCCAGAATGGACCAGCCGCGCGGCGTCGTCATTCGTCGGCTCAGACCCAGTCCCCGCGTCACTCGGCTTCTTGGCAGCCCATTCCCGTTGAGGACATGACTGCCACCCGTTTTTGTCTCCACGATCATCCCGTACAAAGGCAAGTCACTCTTGTTTTATCCGGCCGAGTACGAGTCATTGATCTTGTCACTTCTGCCTTAACGTGGTGAGTGGGAGACCCTTACACAGTGACACCTGAACGACACGTAGAGAGCGACCTGAGAGATCAGAAGATCCAACTGGCGATCGGCTTCTACTCCTCCTTGTTCACCATACTCGTACATTGCTCAGGTTGCTGTACTCGTACCGAGGACGGGAGTGTGATGGGAACAAATACGTCAAGCGTTGCGCCGACCAATGACGCTACCACATTTGTGGTGGCTTGTTGCTTACCACATATTCCGATTTCAGCAGGTCTCCAATCCCGACCATTCCGAAGTCGTTTGCCCATCGCTGCGAAATAGAGTACAAACGAATATCCGTCCGTGCTGACTGTTCTCTGACTATTCCGAGGGCCCCTGTTTCGATGTCCGTATCCTGTTTAGCACAAGTCCTTCCTACAAAATACTGCACAAAGACACCACACTTCTCGGCCGCCGCCACTGCCCATCCCTCTGACAGCTACCTGGCTTTCGCTGACCGAACGAGCCATTGCCCCCACAACTTTTCACACAATACTGTCACCCTCGTACAATGGGTTTAGTGTACTGTACCTCTTAGAAAGATCCCTTGCCGGTTCTATTTGTTCGCCGTGGCGGCGCCGCAGTTGCGACATGTTTCGCATGTACCCCAAATCGTTCTGCCTACCTCGACACAAATCCTCGGAACGAGTTAGACGTGATACGCATGTAGACCATGACAATACGCCTTCCGCCCACCCGCTCTTTGCGCCATCCCCATTCCGTAAATTCTTTTGGAGAGTCGCGAGCGTAAGGTCAAGCTTGTCCACTGAAGCTTGTTATGGAATCCTCGCTCCAGGAATTTGGGCCGAGGGCGCCGTGCCCCCAACCTAAAGCCGTGAGATCTTAAAAGGACTCCCAGTCTACAATTTTAGCTCGACTTGATGTCACAAGCGAGAATACCCAAGGCACGTGCGGATGCTGTACGTACGTGGAGGCGAATCTCCGGGCCTTGTGTGGAAGGTCATTTCTTCCGACCCGCGGTCTACTGGTCAAATCTACGGATCGCAGCACCTTCGTCATTCTATGGTACCTAGGGAGGTATAACGAGGGTGAATACATTACTGTCCAGCAACCTCATTTCCCAACTATGGCTTTGACTCTTTGTTTTCGGGAAGCGTATCGATGGGATGGGGGAGACCCGCTCGTGTTCGCCCATTTTTTTCAAGGTCAGCCTCCGAAGTGTAATCGATATAATCCGTAATCAACAGAGGCCAAGTCTGCCTGTTCAACTTCACGGAGGCTGGAAAAGACATGATGCAATAATGTGCTCTGTCACGGCAATACATTGACACGGCAAGGTTCCGGTACCGCATATTTGAGTTGATCAAATTTTGTGGGCGTTGCGATTCAGTGGTGAGAAAACCGGATGTCTATGCTTCAGCCAGCACTCCATCGAGCTTATTGCCTATTTGGGTTGGAAGCCTTGAGACCAGACAACCAGTGTCCGGCAAGCTCGCTGACATGGCGAACTCACACCATTGTGACTATCGGGCTGGCCAAGGTCGGGAATGGCGACCAACTGCTCGTACCAGTGACCTCCATGTTCCTGTGTAAGGAAAGAGTGTGACAGGCAGCGTCGACTCCAGCAAACTGTGGCAAAGTCTGCGGCAACATGGACGATTCCAGTTATTCTTGTCAAGCACCGGCGTCTGTTCAATATACACACTGGCTTGGTAATTGCACAGAGTTTGCTACGGCCTTCCTAAAGGCAGCCATCGCCACCAGAATTTTATGGCTTGACACCCAATATGACCTTCACATCACATCAGGCGCTGCTGCCAAAGGCTTTCGCGTCACTAGTCAAGTCTGGGACTCTCAAGACAGCCGCCATTCTACCTAATTGAGGTATCCATCCATCCCAAGTGGGCAGGTGTTTAGTTATCATGGACCAACTCAAGCACACACCCATTGTCCTTTTGCGAAAGCCACACAGACTGGAACGCATACTTCGCATGGCGCATTACAGTTCCTGCGTAAGTAGCAAACATGGGTAGAGGCTTTGAATTCTAGCCGACTGATTACTCCTACTCTCGTTGATCGCCGAGTCATAGCCTCCCACAATCTCCGCGGCGTTCTACCGGCTGACCGAGACGCTTGTTCCAGATGAGCAAAACACCTCGTGCAGCCCTACACAACATGCCAGGAGTTCACCGTGGGTTGTGCGCCTGTAATCGGGGAACATGACAAATGAGCTATACAGCAGATTTTTCGAGACCAGAATTTTAGTTATAGGACGTGCCTCAGCAGCGACTCGTATCATTTCGTAGTTTACCGTGGGGTTGTTGAGACGAACATTTGTGGTGTAATGACATTCCTCGATGACGCCTTTCTTTCGCTGCCCGATGTACATGCTCCGAGTCTTCTTGTCACCCACCTCAACTTATTTAGTATCTGGCCGATGCGACAGCCTAACTGTGCATGCATTTGTCGGTGTCATCAACCTCCTCCCCCCCACCCCGCCTCCCGGAGCAGAACCTCATGTTGATCTTCTAATAATGCATAGAAGCAAAGTCGATGCGACCATGAGATCGAGACGTCGCTTAGGATGACAGCCAGCTAATACCAACATTTGTATGATGTATCAACATGACTTGCATTATCCCAATATCTTTTGGCTTTATAGTTTGCCCCGCCACCACTGCTCCCTGTTATGGAACTGGATCTTCCTTCTGCTCTCGGGGACTTCTCCGGTTCAAGTTGCTCCCTTTTAGAAATTGCTGTGGGCGCATTCGGCGCGCATGTGCGGCCTCTTGTCAGATAGCACGCATGAACATTGCACAAACGAAGGGTGCTGTAAAGTAAAGACAGTGTCGTGACGCGTCCTGCAGAGTCGCAATAGTATATCGACCATTGATTGATGCGTGTGCAGCTTCTCCTCACAGGACTGTCAATGTTGGTCGTTTTCAGATCAATTGCGTATTCAAATGGGATCCTTCAAGGTCTCCGTGGCTGGCGCTATTTGTAAGCACTTGCTGCACGACTCACACCAAGTAGGCGAACAATGACTTACCCTCCAGATGAAACAGCACGTTAGACTGGTAATTTTTGAACATTTGCGCAACGAGCTCAACGTTCATGTTCTGTACATTGACTTCCTAGAAAAAGGTTCTCAGTATGCGCCTCCAACTCAAGTGCTCCGGAAGTTTTCCTACCTGTAAATTTCGGTTCATCATTGCGACTGCCTCGTTCAGTTTCTCCTAGAGTATTTGTTAACCACCGTTCGTAATGTCGGCTACGGGGACAGACAATATTCGTGATAATTCGCGAGAGAAGGAGGCTTTGCTGTTGTTCGTGAGGACTTTCCTGCAGCCACATGTTAGCCACTGTACCTTCAGACGATACTTGGATACTTGCCATGGCGGCTATGTTCTCGTGTTAGCGATACGTATGCGCAAAGCTTCGACGTGACTTGTAACTGGGGTCAATGGACATTTGCGAAAGGTGGTCACCGGTCGTCACTTGTGAGCGAGCGCGTGCGTGTCCTGCTGCTTTGACAAACACAAGCCGCAGTCACATATTTACATCGACAATTTTGGTTAGTCCCAGATAGTGATGAGGTTCAACTATCTATTTCAAGGAGGAAAATTATGCCGCCCTGTTACCGCTAATCGGTCAACCAGTTGTTCATTCGGGCGAGCACATCCATCCTCTACTTCATCACTACAGCTTTCAGCGCACCCGTCTACTTCTCCAGACTTGCCGGGCCCTTATTCGATCAAGAAATCGTAAGTATGCTGGAGGTGTGATTCTCCTCGTACTCGATCTCGTATTCGCCTCAGCTGCCTTGGCGAACCCGTATTTGCACCATGTGAAGGTCTGTGATTGTTCCAGACACGAAAACCTCGCTCCACACGGTCAAGCTGGCGACATTTGGCTTCTGGTCTTTTGCGCTATCGAGATGTAAGGCACCTTGAACATACCGATCTGTTCGAGCATATAAGGTTTTCAGCTCGAGTCCAGGAAATGGCAAAAGCAACAAGTCCATTCTACCAACACGAGATTTTCGGTTCTTAATTCGAGGCTGAAGACTTGTCTAGATCCGCCTCCATCACAAGACGCAACCGGAATCAAGTCCACGAATCACACAATTGAACTCAAGCATTACGAGAAGCCCAGGATTGCTTGGGCGAGTTATGGTAGTTTCTAGCGACGCCTTCCTCCTTTCAAAAGGTAGGTCGTCCCCCTTTCGAGGGCTTTGCATTTCAGAGATGTAATTTCGTCCGTTGAATTCCTACACACTCTGTTCGTTATCGAAATAACTTCAAGAAGAGGTTCAAACAATTGTACTGTACGCAAACGCAACTTAAAATGCCAGAAGTCAAAGGGCGTTGGGTCTATCTATTGGGCCTTGCGCTCCTGCTTCTTACGCCGCTTCTACATGCAAAAGCTATACCTACCACGCCAGGCTGGAATGACTGGCAGGATGCGTCTTTGCACGTCGCCTCTGGACAGTCAATCCAAGCTGCCATTGATTCAGCACACCCTGGACAAGCTATCATCGTGGAAGCTGGCACGTACGCAGAACAAGTGACCATCACAACAAGTGGGATCAAGCTCATTGGCAAGGGGGCCAGCATTGTGCCTCCAGGTTCGCCCGTCCAGAACACATGCTCTGGCTTGGCAGGCCCGGGCACTGAAGCTGGCATCTGTATCCAAGGACAAGACATTGTTTTGGCAGATTATGTGCAGGAACACAGAAAAGTGCTCTCTGTAGGTCAAGCTGTTCGTGGAGTCCTGGTCACCGGCTTCGAAATCAGTGGCTTCTCTGGCCTGGATATAGCCGTGGTTGGAGGACAAGACTGCAGGGTGGCGAATAACATCCTCTATGATGGTGCTCAATACGGCTGCCTTACCGTCGGCTCCGAGAACACGGTGGTCGATACCAACACTGTTGCCGCGACAGCTGATATGTTGTTCATTGGCATCTGCATGGACGACATGTCCAATGTGCGTACGACCAATAACGATATCAGCAACTATGCCATTGGCCTCTGTGTCCAGACCAATGGTGCTTTCGTCCATGGTAACAGTGTCACGAACAGCTGTATCGGAGCCTATGTCGATCCCGGCGTGACCGGCGCTCAGGTCATCGACAACCACATCAGTAACGCAAACCCCATTTGTCCCTCGATCCCGGATCTGGGTGTACTTGGAGTTGCCATGATCGGGGCGTCGAATACACTCGTCAAGCAGAACACAATCGAAGGGCTGACGGCTAACGGTGTCAACGACGCAACGGCTGTGGGCGTGATTATAATCGATGACCCAGGCACGGGAACCCCTGCGTCTGGCAACTTGGTCGTTGGTAACGTCTTACGAAACAATGATTTCGACATCTTTGTCAATACGACTGGTACAAACAACGTGATCGAGGACAATCAATGCTCGACGCCGGCCGAGTTGTGTACCTGAGTCAGAAATTGAAAATTGACAGTCGTGTCATGGTTTGTAAAACCTTCTGGGTATTACTATTTCAATCAATCATCACTTACGAAGACACCGTCAGTGCTCGTCCGAGTAAGTTTGTTTATCTTGCCGTGAATAAGCGTAAATAATGTATGTCCTATGGTGATTCTCTAAGGATATACTGACTACTCGTAGAAGATCACCCTGCGACTGCTAGTTTGGGATAAGGGACATCTACCATCCGTACCTGGGACTTGCCGGGACGGTCAGCCTCGGCTATAAATGCGGCCGTAGGGGTAATACTAGTTTAAACACACCAAAGCCGCTCAAGTTGATTACAACCTTTTCCTTATCGGTTTGAAGGTGTACCACCTTGCCACCGACTCAACGACAGGTTTGCATCCAGTCTTTCGTCCGCCTAGGCGTCAACGGGAACACCTGGAATAGCTGTGCATCGTCACGAGTAGATAGTTGAGGTATATATAAAAGACCCTCGAGCCCCGAATTGGAGAAGAGGGGTTCGTTGTATCGTAATACCTGAGGTAATCGGACGACATCGAGTTGCTTGATATCCAGCCCTTGGGCGATCTGGCATACCCGGTGAAAAAGCAAGTGAGCAACCCAGCAGCAAAATGTCTCCAGAAAATTCGGACGTTTGCAAGAAACTGTTGATGTTTGGAGCGACGGGGTTGATAGGGACATACATTGTTCAGGCGATTGTTCAGAACAAGGCACAGTTTGATCGCATAGCCATCTTCACCTCACCATCGACGGTGGAGTCCAAGGCAGATCAGATTGATTCTCTGAAGAAAGAGGGAGTAGAAGTCATCGTTGGCGACATCAACAACCCAGACGACGTAGTCAAGGCGTATAAAGGTGTGTGTGCACGTTGTTATGCTTTGTTCGTGAGGGTACATCTGACTTGTGGCAAACCAGACATCGATACCGTCATTTCAGCTGTCGGCAGGAACGTGATCGGGCATCAAGTCGAGCTCGTCAAGCTCGCAGATCAAAGTACTTCGGTTAAGAGGTTGTTCCCGTCCGAGTACGGAACAGACATCGAATACGGACCACAGTCTGCCACTGAGAAGCCGCATCAGCTCAAACTCAAGGTCCGGGCTGCATTGCGAGAATGCAAGAATCTGGACCACACCTACGTCGTCACAGGACCGTACGCGGAATTCTTCCTTGCCCACAACGCCAACTTCACCGAAGCTGGAACATTCGACGTCAAGAATAAGACGGCCAAACTGATTGGTGATGAAAATGTCAAAATCAGCTTCACCACCATGCGCGAGTAAGTATCCCCTCGAGCTCGGCCACTGATGGTGTTTCCCCCCCTTTTTGTGGTCTGACCATTTGAAAATAGTGTTGGTAAGCTGGTGGTACATGCTCTGCTGAAACCGGAAGCAAGCCGCAACCAGGCGTTGAGGGTGAATTCTTTCACCGCCACGAATGCTGATATACTTCACGAGTTTGAGAAGCAGACAGGTGGTCAGCCTTGGGAGGTTTCGTACATTGGCCTGGAGGATTTGAAGAAAAAGGAGCAGGCAGCGTGGGAGTCAGGAGTTCCATTCGCGACGGCCTTTACTCTAAAGAGGATTTGGGCAGAGGGCGGTACCTTGTATGACAAGCGTGACAACCATCTCATTGACGCTGGGAACGATATGGATTCGCTGGAAATAGCCGTAGCCAACGCTGTCAAGGCGCAAACGAGCCCAAGTAAAATGTAGAAGAGAATCCAGTGTCGGATGAATCACGAGGAGTGTATACGTTACACCGAAGCATTTTGTTGCTCGGTATGGAACAGCAATTACCAAAGCCGGGCGAGATAGGAATGTCAAGATATGTCTGCAACATCATCCATGTTCAATATTGACGGTGATCTCTGTGTGTGACGAAACAGAAGTACATGAGGATTTGTTGTTTCCTGAGATTTGCTTGTATTTGTGAAATTCCCAGTCACGGCTTCAACCGTTGCGGAGCCGCGTCTTTGACTGCCACTCACTTCTTCTGTCACTCTCAACAATCTTTGATCTCTACACGTATTTGCTCGACATCTGTACCATCGGCGAAGCGCTTCGGCATAATTGGATTCCTCATCCCTGTCCTTCCGACCTTCACGTCCTTCTCGCCGCGACAATGGCTCCCTCGACACCCCAACCCGCAGATGACTCCCACCAACAACTCCTCGATCAGATGGACATATACTACGCCGCGAAACCATTCCGGAATCAAGCGTGGAAGCCTAGTGGTCGCAGAAACAAAAACACAAAACAAATGATTTCGGAGTCACAACGAAGAGAGGCTTCTGTTCTCGCAACGCAAAACAACTCGGGCGCATCGACGCCTGCTCTCGCGACAGGTGCAACCACAGATGGCGCTGCAACACCTTCATACTCCGGCACTCCCTCCCGGCCGGTAAACATGGCACAAGCGACGCAAAGTCTCAGTACGTTGGTTCTGGAGAGGAATTTGCAAAAGGCCGCGACGAACGGTTTCGGCGGAGGAATGGGACCACCAGCCGTGACATACACCAACATCGAGAGCGCACCAAGTTTACATCCTGCAAATCACAAGCACTATTGCGACATCACGGGCCTCCCTTCGAAGTACATCGATCCGAAGACAAAGCTGAGATATTACGACAAAGAGATATTTGCCGTCGTGAGAAGTCTGCCACAAGGTGCTCCGGACCAGTATCTGGCTGCAAGAGGTGCCAATGTGGTTTTGAAGTAAATGTGGAATGATACGAGACATACGAGAAAAGGAAAAACCAACAGCTATATTCTCAGCTATCAAAAGCAGCAGCAGCAGCAGCCCCAGAAGAATAATGTCAGACCAGCTAAGTCAAGCCCGTTCCACCCACTGGTGTCTTTCAACGACCAGTTCAAGGAAGCGCTCCGGCTTAATTGTGGACTTTAAAATGTTGTTCTTCGCCGATATTGACAACACTACCGAATCTTCATGAGGCAAGGAGAATCAGTTACAGCAATGTGAAAGAGCTGCGGTCAAGGCGAGTGCTGGATGAGGATTCTTGTAGAGAAAGACGATCGACGCCAAAGAGAGGTTTGGCAAGGAAAGGGAGTAGCACCACATCCCAGCGACTTAGTAGGCGAAGCTCACGCGAGCATTCGCGACACGATATTGTGTAAGGGGACTTGGGATGATGAAGGATTGCCAATTCTGCTGGTGTTTCCAGGGCGCGTTTGAATGATCACTAAAAGTACTTCCTAGCTGTCGTTTTGTGCCGTAATGAGGCCCAGCTTATATCTAGGAAGCTTCATGATCTAGGCCTAAGCGAGACAATGCAAGTCGAAGTCGAGCCCAAGTTCAAGTGTTAGATTAGTCGCACATAGAAAGGCGAGAGAATAACAAAGAAAATTACGGAGAACGAGTTCAGTGTTGGATTTTCTGCGCCCCGAATCTTCCTCCGCTGTGGCTCCAAAAAAGTGTCACCGGCGAGCAACAACGTCCATTTGCGGAGAAACACCATTTCCTGAACGTGCTGCGACTACATTTCCAGGTGAATCTCGACGACGCTGCTGGGCTGGACATAGCCCATCTACTGCAAAGCTGGAGATGTTTCAGGTAGGATGATCTTGTCAGGCTAAGTGCGATGTATCTAATCGTTGTTTCCAGCGCCTTAAAGGCGCAATAGACAGAGGAATCGCCGAAGAACAGGCTCGACAGCGCCAGGTTGCCACCGGCGTCCAACCCACCAGAAACTCCCAGAGACGACGCCCGCAAGCCCAGAACGGCACTGCTCAGAGATCTGGCTCGAAGCAAAGGAACCCGAACGATGGCCCACCCGAGAAAGGCCCAGATCCTTCACAGTTCGAGGCCGACTTCACAATCGGAGATGACGAGAGTGCAGAGCCCAGTAGGGTAGGGACCCCGAAGCCGGAGATGCGGAAAGAGGAGGTTCAACAAGCAGAGGGAGAGGCAGTGGCAGCAGCCACACGCGATGATGAACCGCAGGCGGAGCAAGGGGCTGGAGAGCTGGCGACTGAGCACAGTGAGGGACCACAGCCAGACACAAACGGCCGGGCACCCAGCCCCTTGCGCCCTCAAGATCTTCCCACTGAGGTGCGTGTCAAACTGCGAAAGCTCGATCGCATGGAGGCAAAGTACACCGAATTGTTGAAAGCCTATAAGATGGCGCATTCAAGGATTCAAGCAGTCGACTCTTTCGAGGCCTCTTTACGGGAGAATACACCCCTGACAAGTATCAATGATCCCGGCGCGCTGGTCGAATATCTGAATCAGATCAACTTGAAAAGCGACATGGTACTGGACGAATTGAAACGGGTCACCACTGACCGAGACGAATATAAGAAGAAATTTCAGGCTTCAGAAAAAGGGACGGCCAAGATGCACACAGAAATCACCGAGTTGAAGACCACTGCCACAGCCGAGTCACATCGACAAGAAGGTTCTACAGAGTCAGAGAAGCCGGTGCCTATTACTACTCTATCAACGATTGACACTGCATCGTCGAAAGCAAACGCGGAATCGGATCATGGTGCAAAATCGCCTGCGTCGACTTCTTCCCGGATTGCAAGTTTCTCCCTCTTCTCGCCCCGCTCGAAAGCTGCATCACCACCACCTAGGGATACGTCGGAAGACATGTTTTCGTACGAGTCTGAACACTCTAGGTTGGAGTCTGAGTTACAAGACCGCCAAGGGGAGGTAGCAGATCTTAAAAAGCAAGTTACCAATTTGCAGAACGACTTGAAAGTCGCACGTGAATCAACAGAGAGCATGGTGCAAAGTTTAGAGACCGCCACCAGAGAACTGCACATCCTCCGGGAAGCCAAAGACAAGTTTGATGAGACCAAATCCGAATTGCAGAAGAAGCTTGATGAATTCGAGTCTAAGGCTGCATCTGAAACTGGTACGTCAGAGAGTCTACAGGCCGAGATCAATCAACTACAGGCTCAGAAAGATGAAGCTTCCAGACGAATCGAACAAGTAGAAGCTCAGATTCGCGATCTGGAAACGACAAATGCCGCGCTAAATGAGCAGATCGAGTCGAGTAAGAAAGATGTCAACATATTGAATGAGAAGCTGGCCCAAAAGGATGCTGTCGTGAAGGATCTTGAAGATACCTTAGCAACATACAAGTCAGCAGAACGACAAGAAGCATCGCAAAATAAAAATACCAAAGCGGCTGAAAAGAAATTGGCTACCATGCAGGGCATCATGGACTCGCTGCGAAGCCAATTGGGCAATGCCGAGACTACCGTTGCTGAATTGAAGTCAGAACTTCAGAAGAATCAAGAAGACTTCTCAAAACGACCGTCGACGAAAGTGTTTGGATTTCTAGATGACAGTTCAAAGTCGAAACTCGACATGTTGCAAACACGGGAAGATGTGGTTGATTATCTGGCCGAGAATTTCGATCTACAAAAGCCTCCTACCAAGCAGGCTTCTGCAGAGGTGGCCGCCCCGTCGCCTGCTCCTTCAGAACCCACGACAAATGCATCGAAGAAGAAGAACAAGAAAAAGAAGAAGGGTAAAGCTCAAGCAGCAGTAGGTGAAGACGCAGAGCCTGATGTGCCGGTAAAGGTCTCGGAAAATCTCGCGGAAGTGGAGGACAATACGATCGAAAGCCGCAGAGCAGCTCAAATCGAGATCCCTAAGCTTGAAGAAGAGATTACGAATCTGAAGTCGGAGCTGTCTGCGAAATCGCAAACAATCGAACGTCTTTCTAAGCAGTTGAAGGACCAGGAAACTCTACAAGAAGAGATTGAAACCTTGCGCGATGATCTGCTGCACCAAGGAGAAGAGCACGTTGAGGCGCGCGACTCCCTGAAAGAAGCACAAAAACACAAGCAAGAGCTTCAAGAATCTATGGATAAGCTTGAAAAGGAACTCCTCGAGGCTCGTAAAGCGGCTGCAACTGGCGTCGACTCTGAAAAAGCACACAAGGAAATTTCACAACAGTTTGATGAGCTCAAGGGTCGATGTTCGAGTTTGGAAAAGGACCTTGCCGCCTCTGAACAACTTGCCGCGGCTCGATTTAAAGACATAACCGATCTGAAGGATCTGCTTTCGAAGGCCCAGCCAGAGTTGAGGGGCCTGAGGAATGAAGTAGCTGAGCTGCGATCGGTCAAGGATGATCTCAAGAACAAGGCTGGAGAGCTCAAGAGACTTGAAGCCCGCCATGAAGACATCAAGGCTGAGCTTAAAGGCCTCAGCAAGAGACTTGGTGACAAAGACTCTGAGATCAGGGAGCTGCAACAGAAGGTCGAACAGGAGACGAATGGGAGGACTAAACTCGAGAAGGAAATGGAAAAGACAGAAGCTGAACTTCGTTCAGCCGAACATCAGCGCCAGGAAGCCGCCGCTTTGTCTGATGGCTTGAATAAAGACCTGAGCAAAGCAAAGGAGGAATCGACAACACTCAGGGCGAAACTCCGTGTTCTTGAAGAACAATTATCAGACCACGGCCGGGAGGTAACAGGACTGAAGGAAGAGCTGTCGTTGAAAACCGCTTTACACTCGTCTGCGCAGTCTCTTGTCCAGTCACTGCGGGATCAGACACACGAGCTGAACATGCAGGCGCGCGAGGCGTCCACTCGGGCAGACAATCTGGAAGAAGAGCTGGCAGAGGCGCAACGGATGCTATCAGAGCGCACGAGAGAGGGCCAAACCATGCGGATGCTCCTAGACCAAGCAGAGAGCGGCACCGAGTCCAGAATCCGCGAAATGAAGGAACGCATGGACGCGGCCATTGAAGAACGTGACCGCGTCGAAGACGAAGCGAGCGTGAGCAGTCGACGCATGATGCGCGAAGTTGAGGACGCCCGAAGCAAAGTCCGAGACGCTCAGCGAGCCCTGAAGGTCGTGGAGAACGAGAAAGAAGAGCTCGAAATCCGACAGCGAGATTGGAAGAGAAGAATAGACGAGCTTGAACAGACGTCCAATCGTGCATCCAAAGAAGTCGAAGAGCTCCGCGCCGCCATGACCGGTCTACGCGAAGCCTTGGACGAGAGCGAGAGACAAGTTCGCGAGCTTGACGGACAAAAGCTCGACCTCCGAAAGATGGTCGACGAGTCTCGGGAACGGGTCGAGAAGCTCACAAAGGCCAACAAGAATCTCACGGAAGAGCTGAAGGCGGCGCAACAACAGACTGGCGGTGGTGCCAAGGGCCTCCGAGCTTCCAATCGGGTCGGGACGGGCCTCGAATCAGGGGTCCAGAGTTCCAGGACCTCGATCGACTCCTCGAGCGCGAGGTCGCCGGCTCCCAAGGAGAGAATGCTCTCCACGAGCACGAGTCGAAGCGAGACACCCAGTGGCGGCGGCGGCGGTATGAGCCAGGGGACGGTGGATTATGTCTATTTGAAGAATGTATTATTACAATTTTTGGAGCAAAAGGACAAGGGCCATCAGCGACAATTGATACCGGTCTTGGGAATGTTGTTGCATTTTGATCGGTAAGTTTTTGATTCCCTGTTCTTGGCTGCGAGTGGGTGAAAACGTGTATGACTGACTTTTTGATTCCGTCAACAGAAAGGACGAACAGAAATGGGTTGCAGCGATTTCAGCACGATAAATTTCTTTTCAACGCTGTCTATGGTCATGGGAGGTTGGCTTGAGTGATGATGCCACATAACGTATGCTAGTGCTAGGCTTGCCACTGTGTCAGCTTGAGGGATTGGGATAGATCTTGATTTTCCTTGCAGTCAAATCGTAGAGGGGGGGCAAGGGGTTGTGTCTGATACGAGAGGAAATGAAAAAGAGGAAAAAAAGAACATTTACGAAATACCAATGTCGTGCGATGTGAACTGAAAGAACCAAATATCAATTTTGACTTGCTGTACTCCGGACTCCTCTATAATAAATCTATCCCAAAATCAAATCAAATCAAACCTTACCGCGTGCTACACGCCAGACTCGAGTTCAAGGGCTCACCGACGCTCGGAAATGTCACGACCACAACAACGCAGCAGAATGGACAGACTTACCGTAAAACTAGCCGAACATGCAAAGACGACTTGCAGGTCATGTTCAAGCCAGCCCAACGTACGTCGGTGTATTTGCCTGTTTATCCAATGACCAAGTCGTGGAATTTGGGACCGAAACTCACTCACCTGTGTCTGTATTTTGTAGGACCAATCCATCCAGGCTCCGAGTATTCAACACTCGACACTGTTCTTGTCTTGTCGTGTCACAACCTCCCCCGGCCCCGATGTACAAACCGTTGTAATGTAGTCGTTGACAATTCGCACGAACCCACACACGTGAATAGGGGTCGAAGCAGACTCGTCTGCAAGGGCGGCCAGAAACTGGACATGGTTGTTCGTCTCCTGTCGGCGGCGGTGGTGGTGGTGTGAGGGCGGGTGTGGCGAGCTGTAGTTGACCTTGACCTCGAACCCAGTCTTGTTCCTGTCCGGGGGCCAAGTCCAGAGGCGAAATCTCATCATCTGGACCGTCGACACCTTCGAGACGAGGAGCGACGGGCTGCTGTTGTTGTCGTAGTCTGGTCTCCACCACCAAAGTCTGGTTCGATCTATCTGGACAGTCCGTTAGGTCTGCTTGTCGTCGTCTCGTTCGCGTTTGAGCACGAGTGTCGAGTTGGACGTTGGCAGGCAGATGTGCGCTCTCGGGGGTGACACGTCCCCAGGGTGTCATGATTGATTGTCTGCCGGAGGCGGAGGTGCCACCGCGTCTGTAGGGACGGGTGAGATTGGTGTCAGTAGTGGTAGTAGAAGAGACGACGCCGTTGGCCGACGAAACCCTGTACTCTTCTTCTAGGGCCGAAGCCGAGCGAGACTCGGTAGCGGTGGTCATAAATTCAACCGGACTTTGCGTTTCACGAGTCGAATCGTGTCCAACACCGATGCTGTCCAGGTCTCGACCACCCCAAGCCGTCACCCAAAACGTACAAAGAGCGTACAATTTGATCAAGCTGTGGAAGTAAGCGAACCCCAAAGTACCCGGCAAGTAAACGAGGTCCCAGGGATGTCGAAGAAAGTAACTGACCAACTTGACCATTTTGGTGGCCAGGATCCACCCACCCAGCACCGCGTACGCCGCATTGTTGTGTCGTCCTCCACTTCCGACGACAAAGTCACTCCGAGAGAGCGTCCAGAACAGCGCGGCGTCGTAAAACAGGGCGAAATTGACCATGCTCGTCAGGTATACGGCGTACACGCACCAAGGCTGGGTCCGCCAGACGGTCCAACTTCGCAGGCTTGCCGGGTTGCTGCGCCAGGTGGTGCGAGCCCACCGAAGACACTGCGAGAGAAATTTTGGGTACGTGCCGACCGTGGTCTCGATCATGGCTTCGGCGTTGTACTGGATCTTGATCTTCCACCCGGCCTTCACGACCGCGCGCGTGATGTAATTGTCGTCGTCGGCGTTGAGGGGCCCGAACCGACCGAAAAAGAAGGTCTCGTGTAGGTACCCACGGAGGAATTCTGGCGATTGCAAAATCTGCGTCCGGTAAGCGCACGTGCGGCCGGAGATGACGAACACGCCGCCGTCGAGGGCGTTGGTCGCGCGGATCTCGAAATTGTGTCGCTCGAGGTACAGTGCGCCGAGCACGTTGAAGAAGGAGGCCAACCCGAAAGGCAGGTCGTGTCGTCGGACGCGTTTGTTAGTACCCACGGCCCCGACGGCCGGGTTTTCAAAAGGGGCTACCGTCGTCGAGAGGAAATGTCCCGAAGGCCAGAAGACGTGGTCGTCGACGAGCACCGTCAGGGCAGTCTGGACGTGCGGAAGCACATGGGCTATCTGTTTGCGTTTGTTAGCTTGCATCGTGCACGAGACTTTGATGTTAGTGCTGGGGTATCTGGGGACAAAGGGGCGAACGATCCCACACGTCTGACGGTGAAGCTCCGAGCCAACAGTGACGATGTGGACCGTCGCTGGGCCGTTCATGAGCACCGAAGAGAGACATTCCTGGAAATCGTAGTTTGTCGGCTCAACTGTGGGGATAATGACAGTCACGTCGCGCTCAGTGATTGTCCGGATGGCTGGGATCGGCGAGTGCTTGTAACACCAGAACGAAACAATGTGGACGATCAAGCGGAGGTATCGAAAGATGAAGAGGGCAATGAAGGGGCTGTTGGAATGGCAGAGGATTGTTGCAGTGGAGCTGACAAGCAGCGAAGCCAAATATTGATCCATGTTGACGGGCGGTAGGACTGGCCTTGTGTACCCAAGGTCGACTGACGGATTGTTCGAGGTTGGAAGTTCAAGTTCATCGAAAAATTGCGATCGCTTGGGCTTTTAAGGGGCAGTCTTCATGGCGCGACAAAGCAGACAATGCATTACAATGGCATTGTCCGAATTGTGGTCGAGTGCCAAAGGACGCATTCAATGGCCGAGAAAGAGGAGCCTTCATGCTACCTACTCGGTCTTTGTGCTTCCGAGATCTCGACAAAGAGAGTCATCTCAAAGATTTAGCTTGGGTGAAGACATACCTGTGAGAACCTTTTAGAGGATGTTAGAACACAGCGCCTCTATCGTCGAGATTGAAGGGTGTGGACGAGAGGGAGCACGGCAGCACCATTGAGATCTGGTCATGGACGAATTCTTGGGATTGGTTGAATTGATATACAATGTGAACGGCATCCATAGTATGGGAGTATATTAGTATAGAAGGGATGTTTCCAAAACGCCGCGCTATGCACATCGAACTATCGGCGACATCATTCGAAGGTCATACTGATTCCCCCACGATCGTGATCAGATGGATCCTTGTCGTCGGCCCAAGCATTTCGCTCGAGATCCAGGTCGATCGTGGGCGAGCTCAAGCCCTCTGTTGAAGGATTTGAGAAACGATTCCACTCTGAGGTTGAAGGCTCGGTTGCATGCTGTTTCGACTCTGGCCGCGTAATTGACGGTGCACTGTGGCTTTCGGGCCTGTTTAAGCTAGGGGAGAGCGTTAATGGTGGCAGAGTGCTGACCAGTTCTCTGGGCTCCGAATACGCGAAGGACGTCCTCCCATCTAGGCCCGGAGAGGGCTGGGGAGAACGCTGAGGAGAACGCTGGGGGCTGGACCATGGAGACCTTTGAGGGCTGGATTGTGCCGATGGGCGAAGTGACGAGACGCGAGCTGGTCTCACTGGCAGAGGCTGAGGGAAATGCACATCAATTTCGTCTGGTCGAGGTGGCAAGTTCATTCGAGCGACTTCTTCCGGTTTCATGTTAGGGGGCAGCCGGAGATACTCGACATGTTTCTCTCCGTTCTGAATGGTCGTAATCTGCATGGGAGGCAACGTGCTGTCTAGCTCTCGCACTTCGATCATTTCACTTTCTAGCTCTTTCCGAATAGCGTCGATATCGAACAGAATGTTTCCATCGCCTTCATTGCCAGGCTGTTGGGACGTATCTGTACTGCGCCGATGATGGGTCGCGTTGGCGTCATACGTTTCCCAGCCTTTCTTCTCTGCCAACTTGCCACGCTTGAAAAAACCAAACCTTGTCTTGTCGGGCTTCTCTTCGGCCTTTCTACGTGCCTCGTCGATTTCTTGAATGAGCTCTCGCTGTCGCTTTGCGTGGTTTTCTGGATCTGGATCCTCAATTTCGGTGAATTCGTCGCTCTCCACTTCCCAACCGACCTCGCGCATTAGACGAGGCATAGCAGCACGATAAGCCATATGGCCATTTACCATGCTGCTAACATCGACGTTTTCAATGCCTGGAACGTCTTCAACAGCAGCAAGCCCTGCAACACGCATGATCCCACCAGCGGTTGCGCGAAATAGATAACCTAGGATCCAATCATTGGACGCATAGCCATTGAGAAACCTGCCCGATACCACAGACCGAGCTCTGAGATACTCTTCCTTTTTGGCCACGATCGGCGAACCAAATAGATATACATTCTGGACTATGCCGTAAGCTCCTCGTCTCGACAATTCCTTCAAGCAGGAAAAGATGACTCGGGAACCCAGAGAGAATCCCACCAGGGTAATCGGCCTCTGTCCCAAATGCCTGTCAATCAGAGAGTCTGCAAGGATGAGACCTGCCGCATTCGCCCTGTCCAAGGAGACACTCCAAGGATTGTCGATCAGGTAGGCTAATTTGGAGAGTATGATAGGAAGTTGTATCGAGGCCATCAGAGTGATTAGGATGGTGCTTCCTAGTACTTGTTGAATTGTCTGCGTCAGTGCCTCAGTTGCCAGGATGTTGATAGTCTCTCCCATCGACCGAAGCATTTCAGGTTCCCAAAGCAAGGAGTATATGTCGCCCATGACTGGGTCAATGGTGCTGTACGGTAATCGTACATCATCGACCTTACCATTCATCCATCCGGCAACCGTCAAAATCAGGTTTAGCCGTTTGTTATTGTGAAGAGGTCGATATTCAAAAGTTTTGACGTGGCCTGTACGTCGATCTGATGCTCTCACAGCGATCGTGCCGCCAGCTGCAGTGGCGGCAGAAGTGATCAGAGCCGCACCACCAACGCCTCCCAAGAAACCCGCGGTCCCTGTCACACCAATTGTCGTAAAACCGGCAGCAAGGCCCGCGCCGATCACAGGAGCAAGGAGTCCTGCGGACAATCCTATGACGAGCCCGCCCCCCACAGTAGCGAGTCCCATATACATGTATTTTCGTTTCAGGCCCAATTTGCGTCTCTTTTCTAGATTTTCGGACTCATCCCAATTCTCCTTGTGTTCGTCTTCTTGCATTTCCAAAGCATCAATGACCCTTTTCTCGAACCGACAGATTTGTACCCAAGTGATCTGCATAGCCGAGCCAACTCTCTCGAGAAGTCGCCGAGATCGAGCGTCATAGTCGCTACCTGATATAAGCACGAGGAAGAGATCGCAGAGAACAGTCCAGCGTAAATCAAGCTCTATTTGTTTCGAATGGGGCATGTCCTCAGGCCCATGTACCTCTGGCACTTCTTCACCTTTGTCAGCCTCTTCCGTTTGTTTGCTGTCGCCGCTTGTAATTGATGTTCTTGAAGTCGTCGAGTTTCTGGTTTGTATCGAAGCTGGTTTCAAGTCTCCAGATTTCCGATCGTCTGCCATAGGATTGGCTATTTTCGCATTAATCATCAAGGGGGTAACCAGGTCAGAGGGCTCGACACCATGTTCCGCAAGTTGTTCAATCATGATCTGCTCAGCTGGGTCAATGTCCATATGAGCGTACAACCGAAGCATTATGGTCTGGCCCCACATATCCATGCTTTCGATAGACTTCATTATTTCGCTCCTTATGCTCCTGGTTCTCTCCAGATTGCCCAAGGCGTTGAACATCTTGTGAATGGTCAGACGAACCACACCCACGTAAGCGATCCGTTGTCCTTCAGTCAAGAGGTCCTTGGTAGCCTGCAACTGTGTAAGGGCATCTCGTTGTTCGTCCTCGTCCTCGTCTTCGTCGCCGATCTGCTTTGGTTTCTCTCCATTTTGAAATAGATAATTGGTATCTTCATCCATGCTCGTGGCAGATTGTGCATCTTCGTCAAGCTGTAACTTTGTATACCCTTTGCCTGCGCCCCCTAATCCACTATAGGCATTACTCTCTTGCTCAGTCTGTCTGTTGCCTTTTGCAACGATTCTCCCATTATCATCGTAGATATCGAACTCGTCAAGAGCCGGCATGGCCTGCCACTCCTCCTCCTCTTCCTCCTCCTCCTCATCCTCAGCAGTTGGAGATGTTGCCGTAGCTAGCTGTCTTTGGTGGGACCATGAAGATACTGCTGGCTCTTCTGGTTTGATTTCACGCTTGGGAACGGGGATTGACGGAGCGGTGCCTGGCTTGTTCGGGGATGCAGCAGTATCCCCTTCTGCAGCGTTCTGTGAGCCTATGCCGATTTCACTAGTGGCTAGGTTGGGTGCCACAGGAAGCGCGCCGTTCTCATGCTGAAAAGACTTGTCTTCCATACTGGTTACTTGTGTAGGCACCGATTCTTCCGCTCTTGACCCCTCGTCTTCATCGGGTGCAGACTTGGCTGCCTGACTGGTATCACCTTCAACAACCCCTGCCCTTTCTTCCTCACCCGTGACGCCATTGCCATTTTCCGGGTGACTCTTCTCCAAGCCAGGGTTTCGGTCTTCGGTGGTGGGTTCAGCATCGTGAAAGGCATCGCTGTCATCATCGCTGTCATCCGGATCAAGAGGTGATGCTGCGCTCACGGGCTTTTTGGGCAGTCCGAAATCGTCAAGTTCGGGTTCTCCGGGGGAAGTGGAGGGTCCATCCCTTCGAGGGGGTTCAATCCGAGAGTCTTCAGCGGTCGAATCCCGCTGAAGAGTAATATCCCCGTTCATTGTGCCATTGAGACATTGGTCTCGAGGATCAACTCCTAGAAGGCACAATACTTTGGGCGCCGTACGTCCGCTTAAACAAAGAACAACTCAACACAAATAAAACGACTCGAATCCGCCAAACTGTTCTTTGTTATGTCTAAGGGGGTTCTGGCTTGCAGTTGTCAATGTCAATGAAACATCGCGTCCGCAAGTCGAATCGGCCTTACGAAGTGGAGCGCAAGATCGCTTCAATTTCCCAATAGAGGCGACATGCCGCTTTACGATGAATGAACCCAGAAGGTGACCAAGTGACCATGGAAGGCCTATATTTTAGATGAATAGATAATGCCTTGGTTTTGTCGCTTTAATTGAGGGATATCTCGTATAAATCTAACGAATATGCAGAAAAAGCCCATAAGAGAAGAGTCGTGATATTTTGAGATATTTACAAAGGCCACCGCCTCAGGTGACCAAGAGCAGACTTTTGGAACATTCCGCAATCGACAGTATATGTGGTTGTAGGTGTTTAGTGACAATATCCTCCTCCTTATTATGAATACAAGGCATCGTTCGGTCATTTTCGTTTCGTAAATGCCTCAAGCGCAGAGTAGTCTCCTTCATCCATCTTGTCCCAAATCGCCTCTATTCTTTTCCTCCGCTCCAGAGCGGTCTCTCTGTTCTTGCTGCTCTTCTTCGTCCTTTCGCCAGACAAGCACTTGTTCACTTCTCGTTTTATATCGTTGCAACCGCCTATCGCTTTGTAGAGGAAGCCGCGGGCGTGACACTCATCGAGAGCGTTCATGATCTCTTCGCAATCTGATCTCTGGTCAGTGACTGGCCTATAGTACACCTTCTTGACTGTTCAGGCGTTATAGGACGCCATTGCACACGCAACCAGGCATACAATGCCAATAATGAGTCGTGCGCATTTCCATGTATAGGATCATGAGACCGGAAGCTCTTGGTTTGCCACATACCGACATTGTCCTTTGTGTGCAGATGGGAATGCATTTTCGTGGAGACTCGCCTCCAATACTGATCGTGCGGCTCGAGCCACGCCCACATGGGTCAAGAGAAGTGCGTTGTTGTAAGGATGTTGGCGATGGATGGGATGGTAGCGGAAGGCATCTTCAGCGTTGAAAGCCGCATGCTGTGGAACCAATGAATGAAGCCAAGAGCTAGCCTCGTGCCGATCATGCGCAGCCTTGCAGGTGCCCCTCACCGCCCGCGCCATAAAATAGATTCTGCCGCTTTTTTTCTGGAGGCCCTTCGAAAAGGCCTCGCCTCATTGTTTGGGGCTAGATTGAAATCAACTACCAACTCGCAAAGATGTCGATGACTTTGGCCACTACTTGGGTCCGAAGGGGAGTCGCGGCTCAATTCCCTACGAGATATCAGGTAGACGAGGCAGAGCTGGATCGCATCTCCAGGCTAGCCCGCCTGCAACTCCAAGATGCACAAGAAGATCTAGAGAGGGCTCAAAACTCGAAAGAGGAGGATGAGGAGTCCCAAGATACGGATTCAAATAACGGCGTGTCCACAATGGAAGTCTCAAAGACTACAGAGGCCAATGCAGACGACGACGACGATCTAAAAGAGTACAATCTCGAAGATTACGATAACGACGAACCGGATGAACAAAATCAGAAATTTGCCATGTTTGGAAATGTTGGTTCGTTAGCATATCATGCGCCCGAAGAGGAAGATCCGTATCTGGTGCTACCAGAAGGCGAGCAAGAATCAGAGGACGAGAGAGAAGAGCTGCAGATCCTGCCGTCAGACAATCTCATTCTGGCTGCTAAAGTCGAAGATGAGGTAGCCCACCTCGAAGTGTCTGTATATGAAGATGATGCAGATAATCTGTATGTTCACCACGACATCATGCTTCCTGCCATTCCCTTATGCGTGGAATGGATCAACGTACCCGTAGGGAAGGAGGCCGAGAAGCGGAGAGATGGAAACTTTGTGGCTGTCGGTACCATGAGTCCCGAGATAGAGGTCTGGGACTTGGACGTCGTAGACAGCATGTATCCCAACGCCATTCTCGGTCAGGAACCACAGACAGCAGCTGAGGGAGATACAACCGCCAAGGACTTGAAGAAAAAGAAGTCGTCCAAGAAAAAGAAGAAGCCGAAGGCCAATGACGAATATCATGTGGACGCCGTCCTTGCTCTCGCCGCAAATCGACAACACCGGAATTTACTTGCCTCGGCGTCAGCAGACAAAACAGTCAAACTATGGGACTTGAACACCGGAAAATGTGCCAAGTCGTATCCAATGCATACTGACAAGGTATGTGCTTTGGACTGGCACCCAACAGAGTCTACGGTGCTTTTGAGTGGCAGCTATGATCGTACAGTAGTTGCCACCGACATGCGAGCACCTGATGCGGTCGCCCCAAGGTGGGTGGTAGAAGCTGATGTTGAGAAAGTCAAGTGGGATGTCCATGATTCCAACTTTTTCTTCGTCACCACCGATGCCGGGACGGTACATTACTTTGACGCCCGGGTGATACCAGAGACGCATGACAAGCCAAGCAAGGCGAAGTGGACATTGCAAGCCCATGATGGAGCAGTGAGTGCATTCGACATAAATCCGGCTGTACCTGGCTTGATTGCGACAGGGTCAGAGGACAAGAAAGTCAAGTTATGGAATATCGACAACAACATTCCTAGTATGATTGTGGCGAGAAATCTAGATGTTGGCCGAATATTTTCTGTACAATTCGCACCTGATCCAGAAGTTGCCTTCAGACTTTCAGTAGCTGGTAGTAGAGGCCAGTTGCAGGTGTGGGATATCAGTACGAACCCAGGTGTGCGCAAAGCTCTCTCTGGAAAAGTCAAGTTGCCCGAAACTGAGGGCAAGGAGAGGTTCATTGCCATCAATGATAGTAGCGATGAGAGCGATGACGATGAGACAGGAGCAGAGGGACAAGATGGTTGGGAGTCTATGGATGAAGACTGAGCACCTTGTGGTCAGACGGGTCCATCATGACCAACAAGGGACTTTTAGCTTCTTTCCACGTTCATGAGCTCTTCACATAGACAATTTACACGAGGTTGGTAGCGGTCAAGGCACAGAATAGCATGAGCGGCGAGTCAAAACACCCCAAATTTGTCCCACTCACATTCTATGTTTTGGACATGCCGGAAAAGGGACACAAAGAGCAGCACCCTTCTCAAGCCAAGACACACAGAGACAATGCGGCAAAAACCAGTTCCTTTTCAACTTATGAGTTGTGTAGGTGGCATACGCTGTAGTCTGTTAACTATGGGACCCAAGTCGGGATCTGTGTACGAAATACGGAGTAGGTCCTCTGGTGGAGGCAGCCGGTGACCTGTTATTATAGCATTGTATCAAAGTGCCACTTCTCACCTTCCAAAGTTGTATGAAAAGCGAAGTGATACTCACAGTCAAGCAATTCCCAAAAGAGTTGTTAAACCCTGCAGAACCATGTGTTTCTTTTCGTGTGCATTAAGACGAGGCTGAACACCCCCATGCGACGGCAGTTCGGCGTATAGGCGTATAGTTTTTCCGAGCTATGTTCGCCTAACCTACCTACTTCAGGCTCACATGTTGTTGTCACCAGCCTCAAAAAAGCCCTTGTGTGTTGCGACGTGATGAGCGTGATCGCATCTTGTCATGCCGGGCAATGATATGGCAGTGGACCCTATGGCCCAGCACTCTTTTATGTTTGTTCTGCACTCATAAGCTCGCGAGAGATATTGAAATATCCCTGGACGATAGATACGCTGAGCCGTTGAAGTGCTCGGGATAAGGATACGCTCCTCGAGAATTGAAGGATCTTGCTCATCGCGTGGGAGCTGGATGGTTTCTGGTAAGTCTGCTGAAAGGACTATCTGTCTGTTGAGAAAAGCTGACATCGCCTATGCCCTCTTGTAAAGAAGGAGCGTCGATGCCAATTAGCGTCGCAGAAAGGGACAAAATAGAGTAAACATGTCCAAGAATGACAGATTCAAATACCAACGTGCCGTCCTGCCGAATCCTGGCTCTTCCCTTCGAGATTCGGAAAGAGACATATCGATGCTTGTTTGACCCTGTCAGCCGTTCCATATCTTTCTTGTATTGCACATCTGTCGACGAATTCGATACGATGTCATGATTCAGTTCTTCCCTGCCAATATCGGCCACGACTCCCGGGCCACGCCGTCTAACCCAGCAGTATATGTCGAAAATTCCATGACTGATTGTACAAGACCCTGGATTGTGCCCAGAAGCGCTGATCGGTGTCGACCAGTTGTACAAATTGGAAAGGTCTGAACTCCGTAACATAATAAGCTGGTGTATATACCTTGATAAGATATTTCCGGAGAGTTCTGCTGCAGATGAGACCATGGTCGAGCTCGCATTAATGGCCCTCTCGTGAGATCATACTCTGATAAGGAAACCATTCCCATTGCTTCTGTGCTACCAGGATGAGTTCTCCTCATCAGCTGACAGAGCTGTTACTTACGAAAATATTACTCTTGTGGATGGGGTAGCTAACATTGTTCGCAGCATGCCATCATTGATCTCAACAAGGGAACTTTGCTGCACAAGTCGAGAGGCCCTGCTATCCGCTATCAAGATCCGTGGACAGGTTTTTCTTGAATGCCTCTGCTGGCTGCAGGTGATCACCCTTCAAATTCACATCAAGTTTTGATCCTTCTCTTCTGACTCTTGTCCCGCCTCCACATCGGTCGATCGTGGATTGAGATAAGGATAGATGGTCTCCCGGTCGACAAGGTCTTCCAAGGCTATGCAAGGTGAGCCTGGACAGGCAATATCAGCCGTTAGTATCATCCAAGACGAGTAGGTCACAAACCTAGTTTGGTCTGGCTCCTCTTCGTTGCAAGAACATGGTACTTGACAAGTACATGGTGCCCAGAGACAACAACAACACTATTCATCTCCTGCCAATGACAAAGGTACAATGGTTCAAATCAGACAAGCACGCAAAATCATTCAAAAGCAGAGAGTAGCAAGTATTTTCGAGAAGTGAGTTGAGTTGTCGTATGTGTTGGTGCGGGCGAGCTTCCATTTTGTGGACTCACTTTACTGACCGGTATTTCTCACTGCTACTCCTCTTCTCTCACTCTGCATCCTTCATACCTGAACACACATTCTTATTTTTGCATTCCTGTTGCATCAGAACCTTGTTGAGTACGTTGCCTGGCGTGTGACACAGTTCTACATCCATCAAACGCTCTACTTCTCTCGTTATACCTTTCCGAGTCGAGCAAACTCACCTTCACAGTGAGGTCAAGCCCCAAAATGTCAGAGAATATGAATCAACCCAGCCCTTTCAGGATCTATGCATTCTTTGCTCCTTCCAGATCTGATCACCGAGCTCTCCCTGCTACAGACGACCTCTACGACAACATCGATGACAGACCACAAACCATCAACCCTTATGAGATGCATCTAACGCCACCAGCTGTGTCTAGCGATGACATACTTCACTCAGTCCCATCGATAGCTCAACGTCCGCCTGTGCAAGCAAATGGCATCAACACTCAGACTGTCTTTCTCCATCATCCTCCTATCTATTACCAAAACATTATCGCCCCCCCATGGATGCCTGACGTGCAGTACTTTCCTCAGGGATTCATGCAACAACAAATTCTCAACGAGGCGCTTGTAGGCACCCACGCAGGCATTGTTCCTACATTGGGCCACCTGATGCCTCTTCAACCTCCTGCATTGCCTATGCATGCAACTCCAAACTACCTTCCTCCGAGAATGCTTCTTCCTAGGCCTCCTGCACAATTACTTCAGGGTCTAGGTCAGGGTCTAGGTCAATTCCAATACACTGGGATGGCTTGTCATCGTTTTGATACTCTGCCACCTGAGGTCAGATTGAAGATCTATGGCTATCTATTCGATGGAGCAATAATTGAAGTTATTCCAAGAAACATGATGAATGGGGGGTGTCAACCTGAAGCATGGTTCTCACCGTACAAGCTCATTGAAAACGCACACACAGACATCATTCGAACATCGAAATTTTTCCTTCGTGAAGCTGTTCCCTCGCTTGCAAGAGCAACGACTCTCAAGATCTGGCAAGCACATCACCCGCAGGAAGCCAATCAAGATCCTCTTCGCCATTTTCCCGAAAGTTTCCTAGACGAGGTTGAGACCATCACCGTCGAGTTCAATACATTCGTCCACATTGATCGCTCCTGGCTTCCAAAGCTGAAGCAAGTTAATCTCTTTCACGACGTCGATTCTCCTGGCGGTTTTGTCGACACTGTGCACGTCATCAATTGCCAGAACTGTGGAGGAGCCAATGCAGTCGTCGACGAGGCGTTCGACGGGGCTGTCCACAGCTGGCGTTGGTTTCAGAGGCAATTTGCCTACCTTGGCCGCCGTGAGGGCTTCACGGTCGACATGACCGTCACCTGGGAGGTGTACTGCGAGGCGCCAGGAATGGCCAAATTTGTACCCACACCCTCCCCGATTACATATCGATGTATACTAATGGAGCCTTCCAGGTTTTCAAGATGGACTGCGCCAGAAATGCGGTAGTCAGGACCCAGGCTTTCATCGGAAGCCAAGAGGTCGGTACCAACAGCGAGGCCCAGGCGGCCCAAGACTGGATTGCCTACAGTGGCATCTGAGAGCCTGGGCTCGTTGGAGGTGCCGGTCTCCCGGTGGAAGATGTGTGAGTATACATGTTGCTTTTCAGTCGGTGGCCATAATCAATGAGAATGTTAGAACATGGAGCCTTTTCGGACTTTAAAGCGCTGTCCATGATGTTTGTACTGATGTTCTCGCTCCGCTCACGACGACCCCTGCCCTGATGCCCTGACTCTTTAGTCTTCCTAACGTGATGACCACAGCGGTATATCCTTTTGGTAACATCTTCTCTACACTGTGATAGCTGGGACAGCGCACCTCTGATCTCAATGCCCTTGTGCATCGCATACCATAGCAACCAATCTCCATGATGTCACCCCTGCTGCTATCAAACCCCTTTTTGAACAGCATAGTATCAGCTTGATGAGTAACCAATCATATCCAAGCTTGGCAGTTTCAACGCGCCGCGAATCACGTGAGCGCATTGAGCGCGACTTCGAACATCCGCCTTCAAACCACCTACATCCATCTCTAGCGAAAAGTAAACAGTTTCATCTTCATGATTTCGTGCCTTGTGAGCGTTTATCGTTGCCTGTCCACCAAATGATGCTACTCTGCACCCTGTGATGGTGTAGCCGATATTTGCGAGAACTCATTGTCCACTCGAAAATTGACCTGTGCTCATCAGGTCTAGTCTCACGCTTGGATCCCAGTCGAGCCAGCCTTGCGAACCGCATGCCTTTCAAGATGGAGCAGCAAGTTCTTGAATTACTCCAAGCGACAACGCGGCCAGACACTGCCGTCATTAGGGATGCTGAGCAAGGTCTGTTGCGTCTCCATGGCCAGCCAGAGTTTCCCTTTGCGCTTCTCACGATAGCGTCACACAATGACATCGATACGGGGTCACGAAAGTCCGCACTCACGGCGCTGAAGGGTTACGTCCAAGCCACTTGGTCTCCACAGTTCGACGAAACGTTCAAAGGAACTACGTACCTCGACGACGCGGCCAAAGGCCGTGTGCGCGATCAAATCTTTGCCCTCTGTACTGTTGAAGGCGACCAGGTTCCCAAGGACTCTGCAATCCAAGCGCTAGCCGCTGGAGTCGTGAGCAGAATCGCCAGTGTTGACTTTCCAGACGCCTGGCCGACGTTGTTCCCTTCACTTCTGACGATATTGAGCACATCCACTAATGATGCCCCCGTCCATGGTGCTTTGCGCGTTCTCGCAGAGTTGATTGACTCAGGCTTGACGGAAGAACAATTCTTCATGGTCGCTCGTGACTTGGTCAACGGCCTACAACATGTGGCCACCGATAACAACCGCGGACTTATTGTTCGAGCGATGACGCTCAATGTATTCCGCTCGTGTTTTGAAATGCTGGAGATGGTCATGGGAGACCACGGAGCCGCGGTCAAGGCCTTTTTGGACGAATCAATGAGATCATGGATGCCCTTCTTCATGGAAATCCTGAAAGCGCCTCTCCCGATCTCCGACTCATCGGCTGTTGCCATCGACCAGACCGAGACTAATCTCCGTGGACTTGTGGCCTTGAAGGTGCAAGTTGTAAAGGTATGTTGGATCATCAACTGTGAAGGTGGCATGAATTGACATATCGTTAGACTCTTGACAAATTAAGATCAGTCTATGTCCACGCCATTTCACCTCACGCCGTTAGTCTGTTCCAAATTGTCTGGGAAGAGTTGTCAAGGGTGGCGTCTCCATATGCGGAACTTTTCATCGAAGGCACGGCTGAAGGTAAACTGGTTGATAGCGACAACCTACCGTGCAGCTTAGATGCTTTGATACTTGAAGAGATTGATTTCTTGCAAGTCACAATGAAAGCACCACCTGTTCGAGCAGAGCTATCTTCACAGATGAAACAACTAGGCGACGCTCAACACACAGTTCAGTGGCTCCAAGAGCTCATTCGAGTCTTGGTCCTCTACGCGAGAATCCCCGCAGAAGAAGAGGGATTGTGGGAGTACGATGCAAACCTGTACCTCTCTGAAGCGACTTCCCTCACGGCAAACTACACTCCTCGAGCGGCTTGTGGTGAACTAGTTGTCCGCAGCCTCGGTGAATGGCTGAAACAAATGCCAATTGTCGCCATGCTTCATTTCAACCAGCATGCCTTCTCCAGCCCTTCAACAAGCTGGAAAGAACGGGAAGCCTTACTCTACCTCCTCAATCAATGCATAATAGACGTTAGTGAGGTCTCTGGGAACCTTGACTCTACCATTGCATCAGCACTTCTGGAGCAGGTCTCCGCGTTTCTACAGGATTCTCACGCCTTCATGCGTGCGGCAGCGCAGCTTCTGCTAGGCGCGTTATTCAAAGTCGCCGGAAATGATTATGCTCCTGCAGGTGCCGCTTCATTCACCAATGCTGTTAATGCGGCCGTGAGCGATCCTTCCGAAGTCGTCAAAGTCGCTTGCTTGAATGTCATACCGACCTACCTGGAAGCACTGCCATCGAACGTCACGCTGCCAATGCAGGGTGCAATCGTAAACGCAGTAGCCGAGTACGTCTCTTCGCACGATTTGAAGGATGAGCTCGAAGATGCAGACGACGTCAAGGCTACCTTGATTCAAGCACTTCGTGACGCCATTATGCTTGATACCACGAACATCACCGAGACGAGTGCGATTGACCTCTTCTTCACGCTCGCATCCGACAGCGCAGGAAATTTCCAATTATTCCTCCTCCTCACGGAAGCCTTTGAGGGCATCGTATCATCGGTATCCTCTCATGGTCAGGAGAACTACGTCCGCCTCTGCTCCAAGACCATTCCTTCCCTTACTGGCGCGTTCGAAGTAGCCAGCATGACCCAGATGTCGGAGTTGACCAATCTCGCCGCCGAACTCGTCTCTGCTCTGGCCGAGTTCGGCTCCGAACCGCTTCCAGCAGGCTTTGTATCTGCCGTGATGCCAAAACTCCAGCGTGTTCTCATGGAAGCGACCGATGCCGAGCTCGTGCGCCCCGCGACTCTCGCCGTCGAACACATGCTTGAGAAAGGTTCGGCGCAATTCCTCACCTGGACCGATTCACAAGGCAAATCTGCCATTGAAGTTCTCTTGGCCATTGTCAACCGTCTGCTCAACTCACCTGATGTCGACGAGAACGCGGGCCAAGAAGTCGGCGGGCTCGCCAGCACGCTCGTGAACAAATTTGGCGCCGACAAGTTGGGCCCCTACCTGATGGAGTTGCTGCGAGCCGTGGCCATCCGTCTCGCCACGGCAGACAGGATTCAATTCATTCAGAACCTGTGCATGGTCTTTGTGGGTCTCAGTCTGGCTGCGCCCAAGGAGGTTGTCGATTTTCTGTCGGAGGTGAACATCAACGGCGTCAACGGTCTGTCAGTCGTCCTGACCAAGTGGTTGGAAAACTCGGTCCATTTTGCCGGGTTCGACGAGGTCCGTCAGAACGTCGTGGCACTGTCGAAGATTTTCAGTCTGCAGGACGAACGCGTCAAGAGTGTCCGCGTCAAGGGAGACTTGATCATCGAGGCGAACCCCAGCGGACGGATCAAGACTCGGTCCCAGGCCAGACTCAACCCGGATCAGTGGACCAGCGTGTCTGCGGACGTGAAGATTCTCAAGATCATGGTCGACGAGCTCGCGAGTGCCGCCACGAGCCAGTTCCCCAACCTCGCGGCGGCGCAGGCGGCGGCTGAGGCTGCGCTCGACGAGGAGGACGCAGAGGGTGGTGACGACGATGGCGAGTGGGAGGACGTCGGGTCCGGCGGGGCCATCGACCTGGCCAGCGCGAGCGTGAGGAACGACTTGATGGCCATGGTCGGCGAGGACGGTGCCGCCAGTCCCACGGGCAGCAGGGCTCGGGACGAAGAGACGGCCGAGTACCTGATGAGCTGGTTCAAGGCCGAGGCCGGCAAACCTGGCTTCGAGCCCCTCTTCGAACAGTTGACCGAGGAGGAGAAGGGCAAGTTGAGACAACTGGCAGCTTAGCTAGTAGGTCAAGATAGAAACTTCCGTCACACAATTATGAGTACTCCAAGAGACCAGAAAGGATACGGTAGAATGCACAAAGAGCAACACACAATCATTGAGTGATATTAGGAAAAGCTGTGTTACATTGCAAGTCCACGCTGGGTCATAACCACATGAGTACCTTACATGAACACTCTAGTTCTATCACAAGATTTCCGTTTGTCTTCTTTATTTCTTCATGGCAGGATTTCTCTGCGCGCCAAATTTCTCATGCCACTTTCTCTTCTTCTGTGCTTTGGCATCGTTTACAGCGGCGGTGGCGGTAGTGCCAGCGGCGCCAGCAATACCTGCACTTTTGTTGACCGCCGTCACGCGGCCAAGGTCACCATGTGCTGTGATTGTCGGGAACTTCAACACCTCCGTTCCCTGGCCGTCTGTTACGACCTCCACCTCGACACTACTGGACTTGATCAGAGAGACCACGTCACAATCTTTGGCCCAAGAGTCGGGCAAAATCTGCTCCCATTGTTGCTTGAATTCTTCCACCGACAACGCTGCTGCCGCCGCCGCCGTGTTTGATTTGTTATTGTTGTAAAGACTCTCGAGAAGCCACTTTCCCACGACCGCGCAACCCCCACTGCCGTCCCAGCCTACAGTTTCCGGGGGCATCGTGGTAAACGTATCGTGGGGGGACTGACGGCAATTCAGATCCCTTTCTTGAAAGATAGCAAATCGTCTTAAACTCGCCATGGCAACCGAAGTGAGGAGAGCGCTTTCGGTTTCGTCATCAATGTTGCGCTTCATGTCAGCCAGAACCGGGCCGAGCCAGCCTTTCACATCGTTCCAGTCCTCCGACTTGAATGATGAAAGGGTGTAAGTCTGCATGAGCGATTTCCACGCCCGAAGCAGTAATGATGAAGTGGGCATACAGAGTGCGACTCGTTCATGGTCGTCGCCCTTTATCGACAGACCAAACACGAACAACTTGCGCGCGGCATCGAGAATGACCTTGTCCGGCGCGGGGATGTCATGGAGCATGTCTTCAATCCTGATGTATCTGTCACCTTTCGAGTACCTTTCCACGTCGGCGTCATCGTCGTCATCGTCATTGTGATATAGAGGTAGCATATCCCTGACCATGGCCTCGAGCTGGATGGCGTCCGTGTCGACATGGATCAATTCGAGTATGTTCTTGACTTGAGAGATTGCCGTCACCTCTCCATTGTCGTCTTGTTTTTGGTCTTGTTGTTGGTCCACATCCATCTCCTCCTCGTCCTTTTCATGTTCGATTTTCCTCCTCTTACTACTACGTGGTTCACCACCAGCTCCAGTGCTCTCCGTGACGTAAACGCTGTTACTGGTACTGACTTGCTTGACAGCCCACATTTTGTCATTGGTGCAGAGGTGTAGATAACCTTGGCTCGTCGAAGATGACTTGAGTTGCATCCTAGCATCGGAGATTCCCAAGTTAGTGCATATGATCTGATTTTTTCCTTCTTTCAGATCGATTGCTGACAACCATATCCGGCCAGACGCACCTCGTAGCAGAACCGATTTTCCTCCCTTCTTCTATCGTAGCCACCAACTCATGTGGCAATTCTAGTAACCGAAGACTCTTCTGGGGGTATCTTGCAGAGAAGGAGACTGGTGGAAAGTCGGTACGTTGAGAAGACATTTTTTTTGGACGTGGCGTTCTTTTGAGGATGTGATTCTGATGTAGATGAAAATGATACAGGGACGTAATCGCTCGATCCTCCAAAGGTATAAAAAGCCCCTCCTTATATCATGGTGCTTTAATCCGATCAAGGATTTCAATGCAGACTTTTGACAGCCTCGTCGAACACAAATCAATGCGATAATAGCGGGGGACGCGTCTCGGTCACATTTCCCGCAGTTTAAACGCGTCGAGGCTCTCTATCTACTTTACGTCATGGAGGAATAATTTTGTGAGTGCAGATAACTCGGTTGCGAAGGGTACAACTGCCATGTTCGCAGCAAGCAACGTACTCATGTTGAAATACAGTACGTGTGATATCAGCTTTGAATGTCTAGGTAGATAATAGCGGAACAAAGTGTCATGTCTCTGGTATAATAGACCCGTACCAAAAGTAAATCTACAAGTATTAAAACTCTCGCTTTTTATCAGATTCCGCAAGAGTCGCCCTAATGAACAACTTTGAGAAAATTCCTCCATCTTCATTCTGTACAGTTGTGCAGTCGCTAAGAAGCCCAAATCTTTCGCTCATCGCTTCACCATTTCCGGGAAAAATAAAACCAGGACAGAATTAGTCTTGGTGCATCAAAAATATTGTCGAGATCGTGTCCGATGTGAGAGGTATTTGGTGCTCCGAAAAAGTATTGCATTTAGCAACCTGGGAACAGGAAGTAATTAGGCAGCCTAATAAAAACTGAAAAACCCCCTTTATGGTGGTTCATGTATTGCAAGTCTAGACTTCCTTTCGCAATCGACCACAGGTTGTGGAAAACAGGGCTTCCCGTTCGCTCAGCCGTACTTAAGCCACAAGCCGATTAGTTAGTAGTTGCGTCGGTGACGAGCAGCGAATCCTAATTGTTGATTGTTTTTGCCATTTAATTTTTTTTTCTTGCTAATATCTGTTGAGGTTGATATCTTGAGTGGAAGGGAGAAGATACGGAGTACAGAAGGGGTTATATAGAATTATCCGGACAGACAACCGTGAAGTGTGACTGCGATGGAACTAGTAATATGCGGCCAGGTGGTCGCCTCAATCCCACAAACGTTTCAAGACCCCTGTAGCATTCCACCCACCACTCTCAGGCGGGATTTTGTTTCTTATCGTCAAGAGGATGCGCAGTTTCCGTACACCACAATCTAGTACTGCCGAGCAAAAGCAATATAATATTGATAATACAAACGATTACATTCAAAGTTCTGATCAATATTTGAAGAGCAGAAGTTTCAGACTTTTTTTCCCCAGCCAGGACACGCCATCAACATTCCCTAGTATCGTCCGTGGACTTATGATCCTCAAACTCATCATGCAAACGAAATTCTCCATACTCATGTGCACCACGTAAAGCTCCGATCGTATTCACTTGTCGATGCCGACACCGAAACGAAAACTCCTCTCCATCCATCCGAACCCCACCCAAAAGTCCTTTCCAGTGTCAACCTTTGCAGTCATATGAATCCGTTCCACAAGATTGCGCCAGGCCCATTATAAGGAAACCAGCCGCGTACGTGTTGATCAGGCTAACTAGAGCGACCACATGTTGGCGGATTTCGGGGTCTCTGCTCATGTCCTCATGATCAAAAATCCTCACCAGACCAGCGTTTCCATTCCAGAGCATAAAGCATCCAATTATGACGGCTCCCGTGGCCTTTTCTCTGGGGTATTGACATATACTGCCGCTATAGAAGAGTGCCCGGACTCCCATGCCGAAAAATGGCATGACGTTCATTGCGGCGAGAATATATTCGAGGACCAGGATTGTAGTGCGGTTGGTCGGTGACGGGCTCGCATCGTTCTGCTGGTCCTTGATAAATAATATCAGAATGTGGACGTTTGACCCATGAGGATAGAAGAGAGAGAGAGAGAGATACTCACCTGCCCAGGAAGAGCATCGTTTGTGTTGCTTTCGTCCGCAGAAGACGAAGCTGCAGACTTGGAGACATCTCCCGTAGTCGAGGCCGAGCCCGTATCAGTCTCTGATAGGAGAAATCCCTTTTCGATATCAATTGAACAATCGACGTGTGCGTCTGGATTGATGAATTTGGGGTTGTTATTCATTGTAGCGATTTTGAAGGAATTCGGTTGAATAATAGGATATATGAGGTCGAATGCCACCAAGGAAGGGAGGAAACAATGAAATAGAAGTGAGAGAAAGAGAAAGAATTAGGCTGCAGGCCCTCGAAAAGTTTCTTTTCAAAGAGTTTGTTGATTTATTGGTAGTACCGATCCTGAGTTGAAGTGTATTCGTCAAAAGCTTCGATCGTCAGGAATCCAGGCAGTAAATATTTCGACTTGAGCATCGGAGCAGGTCGAGAGTAATTGCTCCCAAACGACAGCTGATTGTTGGTGGTCCGGTCTAATCGAGCGTGTGAAGACGGTGGAGGTCTGCTGTAGCAAGCAGTACACACAGCCCTCAACAGTCGTCAGTGATTTGTTTCATCCTCCTTTCAAAGCCCACGAGGTGTCTCGAGCGGCCCACAGCTGTTCGAGCTCCGCCAGGATCCGGTCGAGAAGTCCGTACCCTGTACGCTGACGCATGCAGAGCAATACATGCTTGACCAAGGCAATGTCTTCGTCACAGTTTACTGCGTACCCGAATATCATCATGGGCCACCAACCCAGATGACACAAGGTCCAGCTTTCGTGGATTTCGGGGCGCCGAAGTATGGCAAGCGCACGAGAAAGTTGCCAGCTGGTCTTGAGCGATGACGGGGGTGATGGACTAGATACCGTGTTCGACATCAACAGAGGTTCGGTCCTGGGCTTGCCAGGAGGACTCCAGGCTGGCTCCTCCAGATCCTCTGATTGCCCTTGAATCAACTCGACTACCCAATCAAGTAGTAGCGATCCTGCAAAGATGTACAGCAACATGGCATTCGTATGTGGATATTCGTGTTTAATATCGCATCTGAGATGTTCTTGCACTGGCGTTGGATCGGTGGGTGAGAGTGCTGCTCTTTCAATGGTGTTGGCCACGTGCTCCCAGTGAACCATTTCCCGCTTGATCCTGGTAAAATTGTCGGCGCTGATTAGTTCCGGTGACTTGTATAGCTGCATCACATCTGATATGAGACAGAAAAGCTGTAAAGGAACACCGAGAACAGGACTGTTTGCAGCCGCTGAGGAATCCGAGAACGTCGGAGGGCTGAGAACATTCTGCGTCTGAGCTAGAAAGGCCGTGTCCACCTCAAATGGTGCATGAAGAGGATGCTCCATCGATAAGAGGAATGATTGGTAAATGACACTTTCGGCGTTGATTCGATGCATCGGTTGCTCCATGCACAGCGGTGATTTCGCATATCGAAGCTTGAGCAACTGTACAGCTCCCACGACGTGGTTTGCCGCATCGTCATGGAGGTCAGGACCCCAAAGCTACAAAGGACACTGTTCAGCTGATGCCCGAATTCTATTGTGACTGGAAGAAAAGGTCTGTCTCCCACGACTTACCGCATTGATGTACATGTGCACCACTGCGGTCACCAGCGCATCGTTCGGACCGCTGCGAGAATTTTCCAGCTCCGTCAAAGCCACATTGATTTCCTTCACGGCCTGACAATAGTACTTCAAGGAAAGCTTTCGGAACTGCTCCTCCTTTGTGAGCTGGTATTTATTCGATGCGCAACATGCCAGGATGGCGCATTTGGCAGGAGCGTAGGTCAGTGTGAACCTTGCTATGCACACGAGATACTCTGGACGGAACGCAGCATGTGCTGTTCCGAGAAGCACAAATGTCCCAAAGGCGTCGAGGTAATGTTGAAGGAGTGCAATCTCGTCGTTGGAGCATATTGCAGAGTGCATTTTCGGATTTTGTCTCATCGGCGTAGAGAAGTCTCCAGGTGATCTTGTTCGACAATAGGCCTCGTCGACGTCGTGCGTTACAAACGTGATGCCGTCCTGACCTTGAGCATCTGTGCACTGTCGTGATTGATGAGCTCGATATCGACGATCATAAAGCTCACTTGACACTGGCCACCTGCATTCGCGCGATGCGATGGTGCAGTTTCCACAGAAAGGCTTTGCTTCATTGCACTTTGTTCTCCGCTGCCGGCCTGAGTTTGTAACGGCTTTAGTGCCGAGTATTGGAGATTTGTCGTGGATTCGACTTACATGTCAAACAACCAGTTTTGGTCCTGAGACGAGCCTTGGACATTGTGATGGTTGGGCTAGTATTACAGCGACACACCAGGCCATGGAGAATGCCTGCCAGGCAAGGCGATCTCCAGGTCGCGAAAGTTTGAGTTGTCACGTCGTCGTCTTTGGTGGGGGGTGGTTTGTGGTAATGAGGAGAGAATGTAGAGATACGGAGGGTGCGTGGACCTCGGGGAAGGACATGTTCTAGGCACAGGATACGGAGACGGTAAGCGAGACAAGATGGTCTACAATAGGACCCCTCGACTATATGGTGGGCCCCACTTTTAATTGGGATGAATTCCTCCTGCCCGTACTCCGTACATACTGCTCGTTGCGCCTATTGTATATTATGCTTTCTAGGGCTCTTCATCAACACACCATTTCAAAAAGCTCTCGTCTCGTCACTAGTGTGCCTGGTGGGTCAATCAATCGAAAGAAATGGTGTTCTCCGCTTGATCAATCTCATTGTTAAGAAACTTACTTTACATTATCTTACAACAGACAGTCAAACCCCATTGCTATATAAAAGCTCTCCAAGAAGAACTAGATACTATTGGAAGCTAATGTGATTCATCCCTGCACAATCTTGGAAACTAAATCCGCAGCAGCAACAGTGTCTTCGTCGCGGAAGTGTTTCCCCACGAGCTGCAACGAAATTGGAGCATCAGTAAATTTGCTGGGAACATCTACAGCTCCCTGTCAGTATAGTCCAAATGAAAATGATGGCGTTGCACATACATTTCTTATACTCTCGCTCATCATCAGTCGACCGTGGCTGGTAATCAGCTTCAACGACATCAATGCTCGGCTCGGCTTTCAAGCCAGTTGGGAACGCCACGCAGGGTTGGTCAAGAATGTTCCATATCGCGGTATATAGCCAGTACTGGCCAGTTGCAAGCTCTGATGCTACACCCAAATAAGCAGGGCAAAGAATGAAGTCTACTCCACGCTCTTTCATGACTCGATGATAACTACACAAGTTAGTAGAGATTCATGGCAGATCTTATCGCAGGCACACAAACTCACTCTGCTCGGTATGCTTCGCGCCGGACATTTAGCTCCCAGTTTTCGGCCACAGTGAGCGGCTCAGGCCTAGCATAGTTGAAAGCCCAGGTAGTCAACGGTGCAACAGGCTCTCCGCCTTCTGCGAGAATGTCCTTCTGTAATTTTGCAGCATCAGGGAAGTAAAGCGCAGCGAGGATGTCCCAGCCTCTAGCATGTTCATAAGGCTCAAAGTCAACTACTTTCACTCCTGCTGCCTTGAGCTTTTCAACTGCACGGCGAAGGCCACGGGAGACTGGGGGGTGTGGGTGAACGACACTGATAACGAAGTTAGCAAGATACTTGAATGGCCACACGATATAAATCGCTTCCTCACCCATCATCCCAGATGACCCCAACGGTGATTCCGTCTACCTTTGCTGGGGGTGCCTGCTTCCATGGCAATGGCACCAGCGATGTCTCTTCTTCCCATGGCTCCTGGTCGAGTATTGCCTTTTGGAACAAATTGATATCGGCTATACTATTCGCTAGAGGGGAAATCACACAGCGAATACTTTCTTGGCCGTCTCCAGCCAATACAACACCTTTGTAGGGATTTCTGAGTGCTGTTGTTCTGAGTCCGTACGCCCCGCAGAACGCAGCTGGAACTCTCACAGAGCCTCCAATGTCAGTTCCTACACCAAGCACAGCGCAGCGGAAGCCGAGAGATGCACCCTCGCCACCACTGGAACCACCTGGAGTTAGTTTACGATTGTGAGGGTTGACAGTAGGACCGTAGATGACGTTATCGCAATCGATATGCTAAGAAGGAGCGTGAGAAAGTGGTCGCATCTCATGACTGGAGAAAGTTGAACTCACCATGAGACTTTGCGGTGCATTGGTCCTCACATGAATCACTGCCCCGGCGTTCCTCAAAAGTTTGACAAGCAAGGCATCTTCTGTGGCCACATTGTCGGTCCATGCAATATAGCAAGAATGACAAATGTGGTCTTTGATGGCTACATGCTCCTTCACAGAGATCGGAAGACCATGCAAAGGGCCAACAAGACGACCAGTAGACTTGTAGTATGCATCCAACTCGACAGCGCGAGCAAGAGCATCTTCCACCAGGAACTCGGTGGCAAAGTTCAACAATTGATGTCCAATATGGGCACGTTTGAGAAACGCAGTGGTCGTCTCAACGGCTGTCAAAGTACCCGCGGCCATTTCTGCCAAAAGATCAACCCCGTTTTTCTTGGTGATTTCGAGCTCCCTGGGCTCCAGGAGAGTACATTTGTCCGGAAAATCTGCAACGTTCAAATGGTCAGGCGGTGGTAGCTCACTGGCAGGCAAAAGCCAGGCAGGATTCAACGAGTCTTGCAAGACCTTCCTGCATTTCTCGGCTTTCAGTTGCCATGCTGCTTGAACCATGGTTGGCTATATGTGGCCCGATCTGCCGTGCTAGAATTTGAAGGTTGGAAAATCAAGAAAGACCAGAAGATGTAGTCAGAAAATAGTATATCCTGAAGATAAACGGGTCACGTTTCGCTCGAGTAAGCGATTTTTGATATACTTCGATGTTGAGAACGAGACTGAAAGTTGTGTGACAATGATCCACGACTTCCTTTTGTACCTCCGACTCAGACATTCAAGACAACGAGTTCATCTCGCTGTCAACGTGACCAATCGAGTATATTTGCGAGTCAACGGACACCTGGTCATGTTTCGAGGAGAAAAGACGGGGGTTCACGCACGCTGATCTGGCCAATGTGGTATCTCCAGCTTCTTCCCCGAACAGGATACAGATCAATTTTCTTATCAAAACCTTGCCCGCGCCACTGGGACAGTGCGGAGCCAAGATAGGACATGATATCTCCGAAGTGACAAGCTTGCAGAGAGTCCGGCAGGATTTCTGTGACGATATGGCGACTCGACAAGGGTCAAGATATGGGATTAATCCACTGGATCGAATCCATGATGGGACCATATCATACCCGCCTTTATTCCGGAATGTCAACAAGAAGATCCACTTCTCGTAATTATCTTCAATTGGTCAGTTTGTAGAAAACCACATGGGACCATGACCTTATACCCAGCTATTCTGGTTTGAGCGTGAGTTGTAGGTGCGACCCAGAAGAGCGATAGACTCGCAAAAATGGATCATTGGGCTAGCAGTTATCGAACCCCGTCTGTCGAGATGTGCATCTGATTGTTTGGATCAGCGATCGTCTTATTAGTTTCACTCGCGTAGTGTAGCTCATGCAGATAGATTTCGACCGAAAGATGGTACCGTGTGCTTATAAAAAGAGAGGGTGAATCCTCTTGATCAACACTCAAATAGTTGATGTGGTCGTAACTGCTCTGAAAGTCTTCCATAAGTTTGTGTTTCGCTCATACTGGACCACAGCAAGCCGATGACCATGACTGCGTCGGCAGATGACTACGTACCAGGAACGGTACACCTGGTGGATTTGCAAGGAACAGTCCAAGCTCGCCACGCTGGTGGTGGCAAGGACGATATCGTCCTCGTACCTCCTCCATCTGACAATCCTGATGACCCGTTGAACTGGTCACCAAGACGCAAACAACTTGCTTTGTTTTGTCAGTGCGTGTACGTGGCGGAAATCGAGAAGTGTTCTGCTGTGTGAGTGCTGATGAGATACTGCAGCTATATCCTGGCTATCGGATATGCTTCAGCGGCCATATACTCAGTCATCGTGCCCATTTCGGAAGCCACGAGTCTATCTGTAGGAGACTTGAACGCCGGCACTGGTTACATGTTTCTTGCTTTCGGGTGTGTTGCATGTCCTCGATCTATCCTTCAGTGCCTTGTGTCTTTGGGGAGAATACTGTCTGACTTTCTGACTCTTTAGTTGGGGCTGCTTGTTCTGGCAACCTATTGCCCAGCAGTATGGCAAGCGTCCAGTATATCTGCTGGGTCTTCTGACCACGACTGTGAGTGATGCTTTTGGAATCTGTACCTCTGCGACATAACGCTAACAGACCACCCTGAAGGGTATCATGATGTGGGCTCCATATACAACGACCAACGGTCAGTGGATCGCCAACAAGATCTTACAGGGCTTCTTTGGGGCACCAATTGAATCTCTGTGTGAAATTTCGATTTCGGACGTTGTAAGTAGATCCCAGTCCAATGTATGTGTGGAAGCAAATATGAGCTCTGACAAATGGGAAAGTATTTCACCCACGAACGTGGGACTTACATGGGAGTATACGCACTCTTCTTGACCGGTAGTAACTTCGTGGCACCTCTCTGCTCGGGTTTCATCAATTACGGCCAAAACTGGCAATGGGTCCTGGTGAGTGTGTCTCATGAAGATGATGTCAATTATGCTGACAACTCGGCAGTATTGGTGTGCAATATTCAACGGGGTAGCTTTCATCATCTGCTTCTTTCTCATGGAGGAGACCAACTTTCATCGAAAACCTCTCCTTGGAATTGAACCAGACGCACAAGGCACGGAAGACGAAGCCACTGATTCAAGGGTCACGGATTCTGGAGACCCGGAAAAGCAGCCCACTGTGCAGAACTCCGTGAGCCCAACCACTTCCACACCGTATACCAGGAAGACCTACTGGCAGAAACTCGGCTTGATTCGAAAAGAAGACCTGAAGAAGAAAAATCAGCTGAAAAGCATGTTTATTCGGCCATTGCTCTTTCTCTCATTGCCTGGCGTCTCCTTTGCGGGTTTCATGTATGGCGCTATTGTGTGCTATTTCAATGTCCTGAACGGAACCACCTCGCTCATTTTATCGAGTCCTCCGTACAACTTCCCCTCTAGCATGGTTGGATTATCTTATGTTGCTTGTCTGATCGGCGTGTTTTTGGGGTAAGTGACAACATTAACGCATCATCATAATCCCGTTACTGAGGGAAAATTCTAGGTCTTACTATTCTGGCATCCTGGGCGACAAGCTGGTCATCTGGAAAGCCCGAAGAAATAACGGTGTCATGGAACCAGAGCATCGGTTATGGCTATACTGTGCCTTGGTGGTTCTGATTCCTGGCGGCTTTCTCATCTGGGGCGTCGGTGCAGCTCACAAGGTCCACTGGTTTGGTCTCGTCTTCGCCATGGGTATGCTGGCCGGTTCGATTTCCATCGGCTGTCAGGTGCCATGTGCCTACTGCATTGATTCCTACAAGGACATCAGTGGCGACGCTATGGTGACCGTCATCCTCATTCGGAACACAATGAGTTTTGCCGTGAGCTATGGGTAAGTCCTGCAAGGTTTCTCCCCTTTATCTCTCATACGGACATGATGCTGAGATATATATACGCAGAATCACTCCATGGGTAACAAACATGGGATATCAGAACGCTTTCCTGGTCGGCGCCTTCGTGTCCATGGCACAGATATTGGTGTTCTTGATCTTCATCAAATGGGGCCGTTCGATGCGTAAAGGCACAGCAACACGGTATAAAAGATATGTGATGGAATTGGAGGCAGACGGTCTGAAGCATTAAGCTCGACGGATCAATGTTACACACCGACTTTCGGACGGACCAAGCACTGAATCTGGTGCAGCAGAAAGGAACAGAGCATATCTTACGATCGACCTTATTACTCGCAAAGGAAATCCGAAAAAAGATATCCTATACATCGTCAACCATTACTTCATGTCCGACATAATAACATTGGCGTGATAACCCCTCAGGATGCTTGCTGTGACATCCATCTCATTTCATCATCAAGGCATTTCTTTCGTACATGAATTTGAACAAACGCAAGGTCCAAGAGCGCTTCAGTGGTGTAATCATACATTTCTTTCTCGACGAACTCCAAACAGCCGTCTTCATGCCGCATCTGCACTTTTTGTCCGTGCATTTCGGAATTGAGCAGAGGCCGTCTGTCCTAAAACAGATAGTCTAACCCATCACCAACGTCCTCCTGATGGTCAGCCGGCTCTTGATAGTCTGGGAGAGGCCTTCCATCGCCATCCTCAATCGCCAGTGGTGAGATCGAGTGGATAGAGCAACCGCCTTCCTCATTGTCTTCGACGTCCGCAGCATCTTCGTCTCGGAAATACTCCTCGAAGCATGCTTCCAGATCGCTCGAGTCCTCGTCAGCTTTGGAGCTAGCCTCGTCTATTGGTTGAGGGAGAGCAGAGGTTAGACCAGAAGTCTTCTTCGGTGCAACCTTTTCTCGCGATTTGCCCTTGACTGCTGCACCTTCTTTGACGCTTGGCTTCGCGATGGCTCCCTTCTGAGCAGCAGAGGATCTCTTACTTGCTGCTGTGTCCCAGCCAGATTCCTTCTTCTTTCTCTCTGACATGCGGATGTTGAGATCCAAGCTATCTCTATCCCGTCGATTGGAGATCTCTCTCGCATATTCAGGGCTAGGCTTCATTCCCAGGGCTTTGGCAAGATGTAAATTGGCCAAAGGTCCTTGCCACCGCTCAGTCTTGGCCCAGAACTCGGCCGCAGTGGCGCGCTTCTTGGGGGGCGGTGGGGAGGTGCCTGCGTCGGGCACCTGTGGTGGAGAGAACTCTGGAGTAGACGAAACGAGAGGCGACGTTGTGGGATTCGTCGAGCTTGTTGCCGGCGAAGTCTCGGTCTGTTCTGCAGATTCACTGCGAGAACGACGGCGCTGGCAGCGAGTATTGTTGGCCTGTTGGAGTGCTGCGGCTGGTGCTGAGACTGGTGCTGCTTGGCCGACGATTTGCCCTGTAGGCACATGGCCTCCTTCAAGGCATGTGACATTCTTGAAGTGATCTTGAGCAACCACGTCGTCGTCGACACTTGTAAGATCAACAATTTCAGTTGGCTGTTGTTGTCTTTGGATATTTGGGTGTCGTAAACCGACTTCGAAGTACTGACTAGGACTATTGTCGGGAATGGTGCTGTTTCTATTGTTGTCTCCATTTATCCTAGCCTTGAGACCCTGGTAGTATGCGATCAGATAGTCACATCGTCTCAGAATCCCAGCGCTCTGCTGGTATTGGGGGTTGTGAGGGTTTATTGGCTGAATTCCGCCGTTTGTGACCTCAAAGGCAAAGAAGTTCCTCATTTGGGCATACCTATGTGATATGGTCCGGCCTTCTCTCAGTAATCGGTCGTTGAGAGCCCGAAGGTGGTTGTTGTCTTGTTCTAAAGTCGCTATACGCTGTTGAAGAGCTGTCATGGCGTCTCCCTGAACAGAATCATTCTTATATTGGCAGAAGGCTCCTTGAAATCCATCGTAGTCGCTGTCTGAAAGAGGTGCCGTAGGCAAATGTGGGTTGCAAATGTATCCAGGTGCCACATTGTTTGTCATGGTTGGAGGAAACGGGTTGGTAGGCTCATGATAAACGTCAGCCATACCGTTCGAGGGCAGCATGTTAAACGCATGGTGGCTGCTGGTAGCAGGGAATGACTGGGAATTGTCTGGGTTGTAGGTGTTCGCCATTCGGGAGGGTCGACCAACCTGGTGGTTGAAACGGTTGTAATCCATACTGGCAAAGAAAGAAGAACGATTACCAGTGGGTGGATGAGTTATCACTTGAGGTGTTCGAGGAATGAGCGGCACAGGCTTCGCAGCTTCGAGGACTTGCTAAAAGATCGAAAGTACCCAGGAGGCTGTAGAGGAGAGCAAGGTCAGCGAAAATTTTTCAGGAAGATGGCAGTTGAAAGACTCACTGAACCACTATTGCTGTATAAGGCGTTCAAGAAGGCCCACAAGCATTTCCTACCACCAAACTCGGAAGTTTCTACCTTGAACCAGTCTATGGTGCTCTGAGGTGGACTCGATTTCAAACTTTGATGCGACACACACGCCTTGGTAAGAACTCTGCGGACTCACAGGCATGTTCTCCGGGGGTGTTGTCACGATCACTCCAGGCAGCGCAAGACTGGACTTCTTTCAGTGGCGGTCCAGCGCTTTGCTCACCTGGCCTTGTACGGGCGACAGGCTGATTGTCCATGGTGAGGACCGTGGGAGTGGGTACAATGGGCTGATTGGCCATCTCGGTGAGTGATTGTGAATCCTCAGTAGGGTCAGTCTGTCTTCAATAATATATGATATTCATTAAATAGTAAACCTGTATGACACTTCACCTACTGCTAATATACACCAACAGTGTCAAACGTTGGTGTTTGTCCAAACGAAACAACATCAACCCGATAACGATCCTTATCGATAGCACAACATTTATTGGACAACCGGAACAAAATATCCGACGATGGCCGAAGATCAGCCGATCGAAAGAGTGACAGCCTTGATGGCTTTGATGGCCATGATAGCATATTCCTCCCCCCAGTCTTCCACCGACGATTCTCGCCCATTTCCTCCGCTCCCAGGAAGAATTCCGGTCGCTCACAAGAAGCTCAGCACGTTCTTCGAGGACTTGGAGGATGAGCAAAAAGTCAACATGAGTGTCATTCTCTGTACTGGTATGCTGAACTGAAAATCAGCCCTACTACTCGTATCTGCTAACGATGGTTGTCTGTAGCTGGCTATGACCACACAATCCGGTGCGCATGAAGAGACATCACATCCTTCGTGTGTGTATGCTGATTCCGTCTGACTCTAGGTTCTGGGAGGCTCTCTCTGGCATCTGCTCGCGAACGATCCAGCATCCCGAATCCCAAGTCAACCGACTATGCATCACCCCAGACAAGAAATACCTAGCTGCAGCCGGTCGGCATATGGTGCGCCTCTACGACATCAAGTCGAGCAATCCAAATCCTATCATGCAGTTTGAGGGACACACAAACAACATCACAGGAGTCGCGTTTCACTGTGAGGGCAAGTGGATGGTGACCAGTTCTGAGGACTCCACCGTAAGAGTTTGGGATACACGTTCAGGCCAGATCCAACGCAACTATCAACACACTCACCCGGTCAATGATGTTGTCATTCATCCAAATCAAGGTGAATTGGTCAGCTGCGATCGCGGCGGAAACATTCGCATCTGGGATCTGGGTGAGAGTAAATGCACACACCAACTCGTTCCTGTCGAGGATGTCTCCATGGCCAGCGTGAGTGTTGCGAGTGATGGATCTCTCCTTGCCGCAGGCAACAATCTAGTGAGTCCACTGGCTTCGCATGCCTTGTCCGGAGCAGGCTAACTGTGACCTTAGGGCGATGTCTACATCTGGCGCATGTATCAGAATCATGACTCGACAACTCTCTTGCCATGCCGCGTCTTCAAGGCTCACAAGGACTATCTGACTCGCTTGTTACTGTCCCCAGACATCAAGTTGCTGGCGACATGCAGTGCCGACCACACAGTCCGAATCTGGAAAATTGACATGAACGAAGAACACCTCGAGGTCATTCCCGAGTCAGAGACTCAAGCCGACGGTGCGAACCCAGCCATGTCTCAGAGTCAGCCAATCCTCAACGGCAGCTCAGGTGAAGCACAGCCACCAGCAAACCCTGTTGTCCCAGGCGACCCATCGACCTACTTTCAATCACGATCGACCGGTAGCTTGACTTCTGTCTCACAGTCGATGTCGGCATCCTCATTCCGTGCATTGAGCGACTTGATAGCCACTCGTCGTCCTCTGCCTTGCAATGCGAGTTTAGACAACCATCAGCGCTGGGTCTGGGATTGTGCATTCAGTGCAGACTCGGCCTACTTGGTGACTGTCTGTAGCGACCACTACGCTCGTCTTTGGGAGTTGGCTACTGCAAGTATCATTCGACAGTACAATGGCCATCACCGTGGTGCTGTTTGCGTGGCTCTCAATGACTACTCCAACCCACCCTAGGAAGGTGAGGAAGAGGAGATGAAATGATTTCCATCTGCAGCGATGGCGTAAGGCGTTCATCAGGGTTACCACAAAAACATTGCGTTATGATTTGGCATGGACAATGTCTTGGCTTATTGGGCATAGCATACTGGGGGTTGACATGGACATGAATCACAGGTACACAACTGTACTTGGCGGTTGAGCTTTCGGCTTCCGCTTGCCACGGCCTAAGAACGATCAGGTTGGCGAAGGGCACAACGTTGGGAGACCCTCCAAAAGGTCAATGGGCTGGATTTGTCGAGATTCTTATTATGTAGTATTACGGATTGATACCCAGAAGAGCACTTGGGATGAGCCTAGCCGTCCTTACAGCGGATTTCGCCAGGATGTCCTAATACAGCTTGAAGCTTACACAGGGTGCCGCCCATGATTTTCCCTTGCTCCAGATTTTTCAACTTGTGCTGTTGTAATTCGCCTTTCCCAGATCGAGATGTCCATATTTTTAGAAACATACAAGCATGAGCCTCATGCCTCAACCAGTCGGAGCACGAAATTAACCACAACTGCTGCCAGCAGCGCCAATGCCAGTACTGTCGGTCCGATCCTGTCATCGAATCCTCCTTGTCCTCGAACCCGAATGGACTTTGCCCGCCAGTGGAAGGTGAACAGGGCGTAGATCATAGCCGCCATGGCGACCAGGGTGAATAGACCTGCAGAGATGCGGCCTACCTTGTCACCAAAGTTGAGAAGGCCGACAGCTAAGCCGCCTAGGATAACGGTGAAGTTGAGCCATGAGAGGAATGTTCGCTCGTTTGCGAAAAAGACCTTGGGTTCGACACGGGTGGGGAGTGCAATACGTTTGCCTAATCACAATGATAGCGTCAGCATGGTATCGCATTGAAACCACACCCAGAAAATAGAGGCTTGCTTCTTACCTGGGGCACTTTGCAGGAGGGGTTGTTCGGACATAGTGTTTGTTTGCTTGTTTGTTACACAGACGGATCGGTGCCCAGAATTGCTAAACCAATTGCTGCGGATTCGGCGAGTGATGGCACCAAGTATCTGGATATAGGTCTCGGTGACGGGACTTTTTCTCTCTGTTCTCTTGGGTCTAAGCCGCGTTCAAAGATAAAACCTGGAATCTTAGATGACTGTAACTCCTCCCGGGTATCTGGTGTGTTCGACGAAGTCCTTGTGTATGATTGACCAAGGTACCCAACTCTTGCAGACCTTGGTACCAACCAAGTCTCGATGCCAAACCCCAATCTGAGAGGGAGGGACAAGCAGCAGACAACACAACGAGATTTCCGCCCGGTCGACTGCAGGTGGTGAAGATGAGTCGGGCAAGTGCAGATAGTGCCGTTTCAATTGGTTTGCTTTCTCTCTGATTTCGTCCTGCCGTTCAGAACTCGCACCCTGAATTTTCGTGCAGATAAAATTCGCAAAGAATACAGATCCAGCGTCGGACCTTTTCAAAGCTATACACAAAATACTTTCAAGAAGCTAGGAAAAAAAAGAAAACCCCTCTCAGGCTTGAGCTTCTTGTCGGTCGCTTGCACAACGAGGTCATTGGTGGGGCTATTGATTCGCGACTGCACCATTCGCAGCGACAGGGACCGACACGTGCCATTCGAGGTTGGAATTGCGCTCGAGTGAGTAAAATGCCGGCCCTACCGTTTGTACGGAAGATCAAATCAACGCTGGATGCTGGACATTTGATTTCTAGTTCCCCACGTCGAAATACACATGCCACACAGCCGTCAACAAACGACGAGCAAGCACCAAGCACTCCCACACGGCTTGAGAAATCCCAGCACAACCGTCTACATACTAGGGTATCATCGCTAGGAAGCCAGAGTTTCAGCACACTCCGGTCCCAGCCAGAACGTACCTTTGTCGACCTCCGCAGACGACTTGCACGCAAAGCATCTGTGTTTAGTTTGCGAGCAAAGAGGTGGAAAGCAGAAGTTCGAGGTCGAGAGCGAGAACGAGGGCAAGAGCAAGGGCAAGAGAATTATCCAGAGAGTGGTGCCAAAGGGACTGAACAATTCGTCCAGCAAGAGAAGGTTTTGGCCCGCGAAGCGAAAGATTGTTCAGATCTCGAGGTTCGGTCGGACGTCTACGACAAGGCAAACGAAGGAGATCCTGCTCCTCCAGGAAAAGGCCTCGACACCCCTTCAGCTTCTTCCATAGCGACCATCCCTTCTCCACATATACAGTCCTACTCTGTACCAGCAAAGCCCACACTTTCAGCTGTGTATCCTGGTCGGCCGCTCGACCAAATCGATTCGGTTCAAGCACAGATTCTTGGTCAACAGGAAAATTACGTCTGCAGAGAAATAGCAGGCGGAGTAATCTGCGTCAACATGTCTTCCGAACAAGCACCTCCTCCTGTCCCTTATACCCGTCTGAAGGAGATTACAGAAAATGTACCATTTCCCCTACAATGGCTCTCTCAGATTGCCTGACGTGAAGGCTATACGCTGATCTTATCGCTGACTCTGAAAACTACCTAGGCCTGCTCTACCGCCCTCTCGAATGTGACTGCATACTCTCATACTGATACCGAGTCTTGGAACACGACAATAATAAACAGCATTCTTGGCGCTCTGGTGGAGGATACTTCGAAATCTGGTTCGGCTTCCTCACAGCCACAGTTCAAATACGTCGTCAACAGCACCATCATCCAACACGCGTCCTCGTCGTCGGAAAGTCCCAAGACTGCAGGTCGTCGAGGCATGCACGCCGCCAGTGGTGCGTACTGGAACAACGAAAAGGATGGGATGTGGAGCTACAAGTACCCTGGGGCCGAGAGCAAGGGGCTTGACGTGGTGGTGGGCATCATTTGGATCTGGGTTGGAACAGTATAAAAAGTGTCAACTGTACGATTGTCATTCCCAGTCACGTCGGTATAGCACAGATTGTAGAATGCTTATTGGTCACCCTCGCGACTTAAGAGGAAGGGGAGAGAGTCGTATGTGTATATGAAGTAAAAACCTTTCTTGAGTTACTAGCCGTGAACCCCTTTACGGCGTAGAGGTATGTGTCTCTCTGGTGTTGCTTCTCGATTCCGCTCAATTATCGACAGGCTGGCGTCGTACAAGGCCATCGCAGTATGATTTCACCATCTGGGTATTGTACAATACTCCTTGTGCCTCGTTCCGTTCCGAGAAAGTTTGCATACCCGTACAGCAAGCCCAGATGACAACGCGTCTCGGTCCAGGACGGAATTGTAAATGCCTTACGGAGTATTCATACGGATAGGCTCATTCCGACTCACGACACGAGGCTGCGAGGTTAGGTAGACATCTACCTAGATCCCTGCACGACGGTTGGGCATTGTTGATCCTATACCCTTACCACATAGCGACTTAGTTATTTTCGTCATCAAACAGGCCCAGGTATCAGACATCAAATATCACTCTAGAGCACTTGTACCGAAGCAGAAAAAGACACGACAAAATGTCTCGACCACAACATAGCCAAGCTTGTTGCACGTTGGTCTACCCCCCGTCATCATGATAATCCAGGTGATCCTGGTAATTCCAGACATGGTCTACTGACCCCTTGATAGAACCCCTCCAGTCATATCAGAAGGGTACGAACCCAAGGGTCAATGGATAGAACTTGATGGCACAAAGACCTGTAAGTCTTATCTCTGTTCGTTCTCTTACACCATGGACGGGTTTTACTCCTCCATCTCCAGAGGCTGAGATTATATGACCTATCTCTCTTTTCCCGCTTGTGTCTCCTGCTCAAGTCCCGCCGACCGGCCCAAGAAAAAGTCGAGACCACGACATACATGCGTTGTTCTAACCTCTCTGTCTGCCTGGCACAAAAACAGACGCGACGGGGCCTTCGACAGCCACGCGTGCCATCTTGACACTGTACGACGCCTTTGGATACTTCCCATAGACGATACAGGGAGCGGACATTCTTTCGTCCATGCTCCCCGACGCCATTTTGTTGATGCCGGATTTCTTCGGTCCCAACCCTGCCGACGTGAAGCTGTTCCCGCCACGCAACCCGGAAGAAACCGCCGCCGTGTGGGAGTGGTTCAAGACGTACGCGACGCCCGACATGCATCTGCCCAAGATCCCGGGCCTTTTGGCCTCGGCAAAAGACAAGTACCCTTCCGTCGACGGTGACAGGTGGGGGATCATGGGGTACTGCTGGGGAGGCAAGATGAGTTCGTTACTCGCCGTCCAGCAAGCCCAAGCCCAGGCCTCGACGACTGGCGATCATGCCACCCAGGGACAGAAACCGCCCCAATTCAAAATCAGTGTCATCGTCCAGGCTCATCCAGGTTTGATCGACCCCAGCGAAGCCGCCGAGATAGGCATCCCCGTGTGCATGCTGCCCAGTATGGATGAGAACGCCGACGAAGTTGCCAGGTATGATGCGAATTTGACCAAGGCTCCCAAACATGTCGAAATCTTCCCCGACCAGATCCATGGTTGGATGAGTGCGCGAGCGGACCTGAGCGACCAGAGAGTCAAGGACGAATATCAGAGAGCATATGGGATCGCGGGCGAATGGTTCAAGAAGTATCTGTGAGGGAAGCGCACAATCTTGGGACTGAGTTAATCCAAAACACCATGTTCTTCATTGCTGGCAACCACCGTGAAAACTAGACCTAAAACTCCACCATCGGGGTATCTCATGCTAGGGCATCATTCAACATTTTGTTGCGTTCCTCTGGACCCGTCTATTGAACGGCTCGTTTCGTCGCTGCTATCATCTGTGCAACGGCAGGGTCGTCGTCATCAACCACGATACCTTGCTCACGTAGAGTATTGGTGTATCTTCGTTTCAACCCTTCGTCATCTTCGTCTTCTCGTTCGGCGTCTGGGTATTCATCTCCGTCAACCGCCTCTTCTTCTTCCACTTCCTCGTCCGAAGTTCCTTCTTTTGCCGCTCGTGATTCTGATGCTTTCGGTCGGGGGTTGACATTCATGTCTCTCATAACTTTGGTCAAGTCGTGCTCACGTTTGGCAGCACTTTCGGCTTCTCGCTCTTTGCGTCGCTTCTCTAATTCGGGTCTGTAATCACGCTCGAACTCTTGCTTCTTCTCCTCGACCGCCTCGAAAAAGTCGTCAATACCGTCACCGGTCATACTCGACACGGCAACCATGTTCAGATGGGAATAGAACTCTTCAAGCATCAGGCTCATACTGTTGAGCAGGCTCCCCATGTAGCCGCTACCGCCAAACCCTTCGCCTCCAAATACGCCCTTGCTCTCTTCTTCTCGTAGGGCTTCCTGAAACTTCTCAAAGTCTGTCATCCACTCTCTCGCAAATTCCGCATCCTGAACGTCGGTCTTGTTGAACACTAGGATCATCGGTAGTTTGGTCTTGTACAATATCGAGCATGCGTACAGCATATTTGACATGAATGTCGAGGTTGAAGATGTCCGCGGCGTATCGATAATGTATGCGATGACCGTGGGGAAACTAGAGGCAAGGGATTCAAGTAGGATGCTGCCGGAAGCAGACCAGACGAACACTTCGATTTGCCCGGGTGTGTCGACGAGGAAGTGCTGCGGAGGAACGATCTTGCTATCCGCGGGAGGGTTTGCGCGCTTCTCGAGTAACGTAATGATCTGGTCGATCTTGGTTGCAAAGAGGTTGAGCGAAGTAAGAATGCCACCATTTGGACCCAGGTTATATTGTTTCATAACTTCCTTGTAATTGATACTGTCTCTGATATCGATGTTCGGTTGGAATGGGACATTGAGAACCGCGGGATCCAGGTTCAAAACGTAGGGTTTCTTCTTGTTAACGTGAAGGTAGTTGTTGATGCGCTGCATGAACGTCGTCTTGCCGGAGCCTGTACAACATCAGTCTTTCGCCTAATCGCTGTATTTCGATGGACCTACCGGCCATACCGACGCACACGACGGCAACTGGTGAAGTCGCCATTTTAACTAGTTATCGCTATATAGGTAGCGAAGGTAGAATTGTCAGCGAGACTCGAAGTGGTGGAAAGTGAAATGGAAATTCCGCGGTTTTCGCTCTTGGAGAAATTTTGGTGAATGACGCAGCTGCTTTTTTCCCCAGCGACAACATCATCCCACTACCAACACCGCACCAAGTCTAACAGCTGCACACCCCTCAAACATGACTCTAGACGACTTTGAACGGGAGTTGGCGGAGCAGAAGGAGACAGAGAGAAGAAGAGAAAAGCGAAGAGAACACGAAAAATCCTCCGACCGTCACCACAAACATCATCACCACCATTCCCATCGGAGCTCGAGGCACCACGATTCGCATTACGATGAGGGTCACCGGTCGAAAAAGTCAAGACACTCAAGAGAAGATGATACTTCAGAAAGCAGGCATAGACACAAACACCGTCGACACAGCAAAGGTGAAGAAGACCGGGAAGAGGAAGAACCTACTCAGCCTGAATCGAGTGGCCTGAAGCGCGATTCCTGGATGGAAGCACCTTCGGCATTGGATGTCGACTACGTACAAAGTAAGAAGCCCGAGCCATCTCCGCCTAAAGGTACGAGCCTCGGGGCCAACTTTGAATTGAAAATCCACGAGAAAGAACTCAATCATCACCTACGGGATTTGCAGGATGGAAAGCTGGTCGACGAGCTGGAAGACCAGCCTGCTGCGCATGAAGTTGACTATGTGTTTGGGGATGCTGGCTCACAATGGCGCATGACTAAACTTAAAGCCGTATACCGACAGGCGGAACAATCAGGACGCCGTGTAGAAGATGTCGCTTTGGAACGATTCGATTCTCTGCGGGAATTCGATGATGCAAGAGAAGAAGAAATAGAGTTGGACAGGCGCAAGACATATGGAAAAGGATATGTTGGAAAAGAGAAACCCAGTGGCGAACTTTTCCAAGAACGCAAGTTGGACGCAGGAATACGACGTCCTCATCCACGCGACGACCAAGGCGAGCCTGATGAAGTCGTTGAGCAAATGGCTGTCCCAGCGTCCGAAGGGGCAGCATCAGGCCCGAAGGTCGATCAAACAACGTTGAATAAACTCAAAGCTCAGCTCATGCGAGCCCAGCTACGTAAGGATCCCAAGGCAGCCGATCTCGAGCGCGAATACAACGAAGCCGTCGCAGCATTTTCCGCCCAAGATCCCACGATAGTTACGCTGTCTGCAATGGACAACCGCATGCTCTCTTCCGCTCCGCGCAACGAAGTTAAAGCGGTGACAAACCGGCGTGGTGCTGAACGGGGCAACGTCGAGGAGAACGAAGATATGAGCATCGAGGACATGGTTCGCGAAGAGCGCCGCACAAAAGGTCAAGCAGGCGGCGAAGGTCAACGCATGGCCGATCGGATCGCCAAAGACGTCAAATTTGACAACGATCTGGACTACATGGACGAAAACGCAAACAAGCTGGCGAAGCGAGTTCACAAGTCGGAGACGAATCTCAGGAACATCGCCATCAACGACTATCAGAAGATGCAAAGAGTTTTGGAAAACTGTCCACTGTGCTTTCACGAAGATACAGACACTCCTCCGGTGGCGCCGGTCGTGAGTCTGGGCACTCGAACATTCCTTACGCTTCCCACAGAACCTGAACTTTCTCCGCAAAGCGCCGTGATCGTGCCAATGCAACACCACACCAACCTCCTAGAGTGCGACGACGACGAGTGGGAAGAGATTCGGAACTTCATGAAATCCCTGACGAGGTTGTATCACGAACAAGGGCGAGACGTCATCTTCTACGAAAACGCAGCCTACCCTTCTCGCAAGCCGCATGCCGCTTTGACCGTCGTGCCGCTGCCGTATGAACTCGGAGAGACGGCGCCGGCTTTTTTCAAAGAAGCTTTCCTGACCACCGAAGACGAGTGGAGCCAGCACAAGAAGATTATCGATACGCTGGCGAAGTCGAAGCAAGCTGGGTTCGGGCGGCTCGCGTTCCGCCGCAGTCTGACCAAAGAGATGCCGTACTTCCATGTCTGGTTCGAACTGGACGGTGGCATTGGGCACGTCGTGGAAGATCCGGACCGGTGGCCCCGTGGGGATCTGTTTGCGCGCGAGATCATAGGGGGTATGCTCAGTCTGGAGCCGGATGTCATCAAGAGGCAGGGAAAGTGGCATCGCGGGCATGATAAGCGTGTCGATACTTTCAAGAAGCGATGGAGGAAATTTGATTGGACTAGGATCTTGACCGAGGGTAATTGAATGGGACGTATAGTGGACTGTGCGAGGGGCTGAACCGAGTTGGCCAACTATAAAGCTGCGCGGCATTGGGGTGGTTTGACATTGGCGTCTACTCCTACTGGATGGTAAAACTGATTATACGTTTCAAAGCCATCTCGAGGTCTTGCGCGAGATAACCCCGTCGTAACAATTCGAGTAGAGGAAAAACCGTGTGATGTAGGCCAGACGACAATCAAAGCCGTGACCTTTTTGATGGATTCGTATACGATGATACACTTCAGATGCTACCATCTAACACATTATAACTTTGAACCCAACCAAAAGTACAATGATCCCCTCCGCATTCGCGTTACCAGTGCTGGGAAAAAACCCAATCCCACGTGGACGGGACCAAAAAAACCAGCACCGAGGGAACAAATGAAACAGAACAAAAAGCACAAACTCAATAAACCATGCTGGCAAAAAACCAATTCTGAACGCAAAAATTTCCTCGCCATCTTGAGATGTCTAGGGTGGTCCTCCGTAGATATTTCAGCAATCAGGAAGAGAGCCAAAGCATATCTTGCAGGGCACCCAAGACGCAGGTCACGCATGTGTCGAGGTCTCCGTCAGTAGTCGTCTCCACGACTGAGAATCTCCTTGTGCGTTTCGTGCAAGATGAGAGTCTGTTGCGACAAGATCAGTCACAGAGTTAAATCGCGATGCAGATTGAAGTCGCCAGTCTAGCCGAGTTCGCGAGGAGTGATGCAAAAAAAAAGGACAAGAAGATATCAGGGACAAAAGACTTACATGTTCAAACTGAGCCGAGTATGAACCCGGAATGTCACAAAGAGGTTCATATGCTTCGACGATCCCATGTGATATGAGACTATTCATCTGTTGTACCCATATGTATCGTCAGTCATGACCATGAAACCTTTTTTTCCCCCAAAACTCCTTTCTTGATTCGAGGGTGATCACTCACACCGGCCAGGTATCGATCGACACCTAGTCTTTCAATATACCGACGACAAAAGACTATGGTCCCGAAATTCTCACGGATGGTCTTGTGGAGACGTCTGGCCGAGGCCAGGGGCAGAGACACTTTCAGTGGTGCATCTTCTTTGAGTCCGTAACCGTATATTCCGGCCTAGAGGTTTCAAACACGTCAGCCACCGAGTCGGAGTAGGGGTAGCGTCGTGGGCATAGTATGAAATAGGTAGTGAACAGATATAGAACCAAAAAGAAAAAGACTCACGTCGTCATATATGTATCCACGACCCGTGGTACCAAAGGTCTCGATGGCAAAGACTTCACCCTCTTCCATCTTTGTGGTGTCGGAATTTTTGACGAACGGAATCGACTTTCCTCCATGGATGTGGTAAGACGTGATGTTGTGCGCGGAGAGGTTGCGGATCGGCTTGACCGGGTACGTTTTACCTCCGAGCTCGACCTCGTAGCTCTCCATCGCTTCTTGGATCGCGGCACTGACATCACATATGCGAACGTCGATTCCGGCGGCCTAACATACAATTGTATCAGAATCAGGAGGTCCTGGTTCATTTTGTCGTCAACGTGAGGGGGCTCCCTCTTACCTTGACACCCGTGTTTGTGGCGTCTTTGACTGCGGCCAAGAGATTGTCATAAACCGGATCGAACGACATGGTGAATGCACTGTCGACGATCCAACCATTTATGTGGACGCCGAAGTCGACCGTCATGAGATCCTTCTTCTGGAGCACGACGTCCTTCTGGCCCGGGTTGGGCGTGTAATGGGCAACCTGGTTGTTGAGGCAGATCCCGGTGGGGAACCCCATGCCGGCCTTGAGACTGTCGCCGGGTTCCAGACCGTCGTGGCCCAGGAGCGCTCTCACGCTGTCTTCGAGCCCGTTCGCGATGTCCATCAATTTGTCGCCGGGCTTGACGGTCCGTTGGACCCATTGCCGGGTTTGGCGATGCACCTCGGCGGCCTTGCGGTAATTCTGAAGAAACACACCGTCGTGCGAGTGTCGAAGAGCGTCGTAGCGTGCTTCACCCGCCGCCGCCGCCCTGGGTCCCTTGGTGTACAGCTGGACTTCGCCCTCGAAGTAGTCGCCGTTGGGGAAGAGGTCGCTGAGTGGGATTCGTGGAGGCGAAGATTGTTTCGAAGGAGGCGAGGATGCCGCGCCGTCCTTGTTGTTCTTCTTCCTTTTCCTGGGCTTGGACTTCTTTCGTTTCTTGGGTGCATCGGTTGGGGCACCTTCAGTCGACAGTGGCGTTTCTAGCGTGGCCAGGCTCGCTTCCTTGTCGTCGTCGTCGTCGTCGCCGTCACCATCATCGTCGCCCCCAGCGTCCCCGAGACAGCCATCTCCGTCTCGCGATGTGTGCGCACCACGGGGCTCGCCACCAGCGCGATTGATCTCAATGGGACCGTTTGCTTCGCCTGGGCAAAAATTAGGCCGCGAAACTCAGGCCACAGACAGTGTGATACGTACCATGACCTCCGTGATCACCGTTTTGAGGAGTTTTTGATCCCATGGTGACATTGACGATTCCGGCAAGCTAAACGATCAATTTTCGCTAGATTCTCTCAACAATTCGTAGGAAGTGGAAAAGGAAAGATGGATGTAAGACGAGGATCAAACGTGGTGTGTGAGATCCCCGCAAATTCCTTTTGGCAAGCTTACTAATCGTATTCGTACTTGTACAGCCTTGTTCTCATTTCTCTCTTCCTTCGTCGTCAAGATCCTTTAATATCATTCCTAGGGCCTTGACTAATTCTCCCATCTCCTTTATTTGTGAATCACGTTGTGGAATTTACTAATCGCTCTTGACTTTCCTTTTGCCTGTAAACAATGTGTTTTAAGATTCAACAACCCAGGGCGCTGCTCTGGTACAGTAGCCGAAAGCCAGACTAAATCACAGCGAAGGCAGTCCAGTGGAAGCTCTTCTCATTCGAGTCTACCCTGCTATGCTCTGATATCATCATTCTCAGCCATCTACCAGGTAGGTCCTCAACAGGTCTGTAGCAGTATTTCGGGGCCATAGTTTTCTATTCCAGCTAGTCACTCTATACGATCCAGCTCAATTCTTCCTTGACTGTCACCTCCCAGATCTGATCGATGGCCAACACGATGATCTTGTTCCCTGCGAGAGCGAAATTCGCAATCGGCACATCTGTCTTGTCGAGCGTCTTTGCATTGATGAGACCGAGCACCCGTCCATTTGCATCCCGACACACGATACCTTCAGTTTCAGCTGTCCACACTCTTCCTTTAGCATCAACCTTGATACCATCTGGCACGCCGGTCCTCGCGATCGAGAAGAGACGTTTGTTCACAGGAGTGATCGTCTCGTCAAGGTCCCAGACAAACACCGCAGCCGACCCAGTGGTATTTCCAGGTCCATGGCCCTGGAGGTTCGAGACAGGTGAGTCTGTCACGTAGAGTTTCTTCCCGTCAGGAGACACGGCCACACCATTGGGTGAGTTGATCTCTGCGCGTGAGATAACCGGCTGAAGGGAGTTGTATGTCGGATCGAAGCGCCAGATTGCGTTGGGAAGCTGAGCTGGGCCGGTAAAGTTGAGCTGGGCGCTATAGTCGACGTCGGTGAAGAACATGACGGGGTCGGACGAGTTGTCTGGTCCGGTGGTCCACGCTATATCATCTGGGCCGTTCAAGCGCAGACCGAAGAAGGAGTTGACGACTGTTGTGGTCTTGCCAGTCTTGGGATCGATGGCCAAGATACCGCCGGCGTAGGTGTAATTTCCCCAGTGGCAAATGTACACTTTGCCGTTATGGTATGTCCCGCCGTTGGCAACAAGCACTGGTTCTGTCAGATTCGGCACGGTGACTTCATTGCTGGTCAAGTTGATGTTGAGCACAATACGGGGGGACTGAAAGGAAGTCAGGCCGGTCTCTTTGGGGTCAGACCCGGTGAACCACACGCTGTTCAGGTCTGGAACATAGACACCCGCTTCGTAGGCAAATTCTGCCTCGAGTGGTCCGGCGATAAGGCGGACAGAAGGAGAGTCGCCGACCAGGTTCAGGAACGCCTTAGAGTATGAGATGAAGGTCGCATTTTCGGCCTGGGCAAGTGAAGCGTGGACCCCAGATGAAGGGGGGAGGACGGTGTCGACGAATGAGAGCGAGTAGTTGCTCGAGAACGTCGCCGGCAAGAGAACAGTGTCGCTTGGTGGGATAGAGACGATGGAATTGTTGGCAGTACCATTCGAGGCTTGGGAGAAAGCGGAATTTGCCAGGAAGCTTGAGAGCACAAGATGCTGGAATACGTGGTATTTCATTTTGACGGACAACAGCATGAGATCTTGCGATTAAGAGTTCTCATCCGCAACCACAAGCTTCCATGGCCCTGCTTTTAAGCATCGCTTCTCTCTTACCGTGTTTGGTCATACTGTTCTGTACTCCAGCCGTTACGCCTTGGTGAAGCTTCCCCAACGTACGGAGGACAGTATTGACCCCACATACAAGGTAGAGTATGACTTCCCCAGAGGCCACCCGATGCGCATAAAAGGCGTCCTATACGAGGATTGCGGCGCCGTGGCTGGCAACCTACTCCCATCCGCTCCTTGGCTCGTCATAGATGTTGAACGTGTGACGTTAATAGACTGGGAATTCAAACATTTGCCCCAATGTTTGCTCAACCGTCCCATGGGGGCTCAACTTGGGGTCGTGTTGGTCTCCCATTTTCCGCTATGATTGCACCCAGACCGGCTTATGATGGCTCAAAAGAGGTTGAGGCCTGCAAGAGCTTTGGCCTGAAATCAGAAAGATTCGACAGCAAATATTTGGTGCCTAGATCTGAGTAGCTGGGTGAGACAGATCTGTCGTTACGCTGCCCACTCCGTCCCGGTCTGTGCTATCACATTCCTCAGCTACTCAACTTCTCTTCAACATCTATAACAGCCAAGGAATGCTGTCCCGCATTTCCCAACATAGGAAGCTTGAAGTGAGCATCAAGACATCACTACCAATACTCGATATACCCCAACTGGGAGGTTAGTAAGTGGACGCTACGGGTGAAAGAGGATAATAGCTTGTATCTGGTGCGGCTTGGCTGATGGGACAGTGCCACCAGCGTCTTTTTGTGTCGATGGGGCTCGGTGGAGGTGGACGAGAATCAGAATGCAAGTATCAGTCCTCCAGCAGAGCCTCATGTCTCTGGGGTTCACGGATCCTCCCAACCTCCGGGACGATAGACTCTACGGCAGACGGGAGCTCTCGACACTTAGCGGAAGGAAACTGGACAGAAATAGCTACCATCCGAAATCTCTCTTTACCCAAATGTTCATACCAACTTTCTGGCCGTCTTGAACCGGAAGACCAGCATGTCTGAGTCGCTCATCGCCATAGCCGATAGGTAACAAGTTGACCCAGAATACTCCCGATCCTTTCCTCGGCTTGAATGATATGCCAGAAACGCTCTTGTTGTCTCCAACGTGAGCAAAATCAATCCTCTCGTTCCAAAACTCTTCCGGCTTCAGTCTGCCTTGCTGGGCCGCGGACTCGATCGAAAAGTCTAGGTCTGGAAACTCCGTTCCTCCGCCTGTGCATTCGTCTTCTAGGTAGATAAAGAAGCTTGCGACTCGGTTGTAGTATCGACCTTGGCCTCTCCCTGCTTTTCCCTTTCCCGGAAGGTCATCCCGGAGTAACGTGTCGAACCAGTCCATGTGGTGGTGATAGTACTGGCTAGGCAGGTATTTCACCAGTTGGATCTTCTCGAGTCCATAGTAAGAAAGAGGCTCGGGCATGCGAGGTGCGGTCGGAGGGGCAGTCTTGGTCACATTCGAGAGGAATTGGAGAGCTCGGGTGGCGATGACAGACGCAAGAGGACTGTCGTCAGGAAGGAGACAGGAGGATGAGGTGCGGTGCTTCGGAGCTTTGTCGTCTGGGCTGTAGACTTGTGAAGGGACGAAAAGAGGCGAACTAATATGCACACAGATCAGCACGTTCAAATGAGAAAAAGAGTTCCAAACCGCACCTGGTGTTCAAGATCTCGGCGATCTCTGCTTCTGAAAGAAAGTCGTCCAGGTAGATCACGGGAGGGTCATCAAGAACAGTTGTATAAGAATAATTCTGCGCCACGGCCAGTGCCTCGATACGTAGCTGCTCCTCAGACACCTCGTCCGGGCCTAGAAATGGAAGAGAGGACCGCAGTGAAGGGACAAGCATGAAAAGAGCCGCCACGAGGGCGACGAGAATGGAGAGGACACTCCATGTCTTTACCATTTCGGATCCAGAAGAAAGACTTACATTGTTGTTGCAAAGCAAGTATGGAAAACATGGAATCTCTGCGGAGTATCGAGTACTGGACCGCCATGAACCTCTGGGGGGCCCACTCGATAGCGGAATGGCGAAATGTGTTGCGTGGACGAGGCCTTCCGTACCCAAGCAAGACGCAACGTTCGATGAGTGTCTTGGACGGAGAAATGATTGTTCCCCTCCACCTACGGACTTTCATTTCTCCGTGGTCCGTGATGTGCAATGCGTCTCCCTACATACAAGGCTTCCAATATTCGTAGTGCGAGTACCTTCATTCGTTCGATCTTATCTATACTGCTACCGCGTCCGAGTGCCCCTGGCATGATCTTATGGTGGACTTTCAGAATGTCCGGATTGTTTCGATCGGTCCACTCCGAAAGAGTACTAGCTGTCAACCAGAAGTATTCGGTTAAAAAAGGTACAGTTGGGAATCGTGACGGAGTATCTAATTCTCCAGGGTTTCCCAAAACACAAAGTCCGATTCAATGAAAGAAATAAATCAATCGATCCAGATGGAGATTGGATGTGAAGCTGATCAATACAGAGTATCATTGTCAACATCATGGGTACCCATAGAAGTTATTCGAGAAGGGATGGCTATAAAGTCGAAGTCGTCCAGGCGCTGCCTACGTTTCCAACTCGTCTTTCATTCGAACCCACCAATTCACCGGCAATCGGCGTCTGATAAAATACAAACAAACACAGCTGAAGTGACGGTCTTTGCTCGATAAAGGACCATGGACTTGTTAGCTCGAGGAAACGACGCCCTCAATACCAACCCTCCCATTGGGGTGGACTTGAGCCTCTCCGTCAACGGTTCCGACTGGCTCTGGGCTGTCACGGCCGTCCATCTATTGTTTTTCGTAAGTTTTGTCCACACTTCACCTTTCTCAAGTTCAAACCCCTCCTAACTCCTCCTGCTCGTCAACACACTTTGCATCTGAGCCCGGTTTCTGGACTGACTGACTGCCTTAGTTCATCGTCCTGGTTCCATCCTTCACTTCTCCCGAAAGCAAGAGAGTTTTCAACTATACTCTGTCCATTGCCTTGTTGATCGGCTCCGCCTGCTACTATGCCCAGGCGTCCGACCTCGGGTGGGACGCTGTTCAGCAAGAGAACGGCCTTACGCGACAGATCTTTTACGCCCGGTACATCAACTGGACCGTTTCCTTTCCGGCCATCGCCCTGTCCCTTGGCTTGATGTCGGGCGTTTCGTGGACCACGATAATCCTCAATATTGTCCTCTCGTGGACTTGGGTACTGACCTACCTCGTCGGGGCGTACACCACCACCGCCTACAAATGGGGCTTCTTCGCTTTCGGCACCTTTGCTTACGTCATTCTCGCCATGAGCACGCTCAACGAGAGCCGTGAATCGGCAGAGGTTCTGGGCTACTCTCGCCATTACATGATCCTCTCCGGCTGGGTCAATCTTTTGTGGCTCTTGTATCCTGTTGCCTGGGGCTTGAGTGAAGGTGCAAACGTCATTGGCGTCACCGGAGGCTTCATCTTTTTCGGTGCACTCGACGTGCTTCTGTTGCCGGTTTTGAGTGTTGGCTTCCTGGTTCTGTCTCCCGGCTGGGATTGGGCAAAGCTCCAACTCGACTTTAGCGAATATCGCGGCGTCCGATCGATCGACAACCAACCTACCAAGGAGACTGTCCCTTCAACGGAGGATAATAATTCGACGGCCATCTAATGTCTCGCGGCTAGGCTAACGGAAGAACGGATTGTAAGGTGGGAAAGGTCAAGAGCCTGTTGGTCACAGGAGCATTTGTGTCAAGTGGATTTTTCTTGTGATGTTCAAAGTCGTTCATTTCCAAAACGAAAAAGCACTGCTTGCATCCCGGCGCTCGCTGTTCTCGAGTTGCATCTTTGCTGGCTCTGAACGACTCTTTCATATTTTACATTTGGATTTGGGCTTGACTTGAAAGTCTGCAATAGAGTTATTGGTACGGATAGAAACAATTAAATGGGACGCCTTGTTGTGAGTACGTGCCTCAATTCAGGTAATCACATTGGATTTTGGAACGTTTAGACACAAACAAGGCGGCAATTCTCGGCCACAACGCATCGGACCGACCAGAAAGAGACGATAATTTTTAAGGCAGCAGCATTGCAAATACTTGCAAGAATCTTTCTGTAACTTTCACCGGCACGAGACTAACAACCCTCACGGCACTCGTAGGGACAAAGCTCTCGATCTTATTTAGCAGAGCTACGGAGTGATTTCTCTCCGTCCCCACTTGAGGGAAAAGGGCGAAAAGTAGAAGCAGTGGCTCTCCCATGAGTAACAAAAGGCCCAGGTAAGTACTGTACACGCTTATCGTGGTCGGTCCACAGCTGTAGTTCCATTACTTCTCACCACAATTTCTTTACTTCTTTGTTAGGCAACATCATGGTCCCCAGTGCGGTCCAAGGTGATGGGTCGGTAACCCGTGGTCGACAGTTGCCTGGAGCCGCATGTGACGAGTGTCGGCGGCGCAAGTTACAATGCGACCGCCAAAAGCCGCGATGTGGTGTTTGCCATGAGTCGCGGACCATGTGTGAAGTCACCCAGCGTGGTGTTCGGGGGCCCAAGAGAGGACATCTCAGGGCATTGAAGGACCGAATTCTGCATTTGGAAACCATGTTGGCGACTCGGCAGGGCGGACAGCAGCAGCAGTTGGATGATGCTCCTGTGTATTCACCGGAATTTTCACGGTCGGAACCAGGGATGGAGGAAGACATGGCTGAAAGGGGCAGCGAAGTTGACGATATCTCTGCTCCATTTTCGCTGCCCGGGGGCGTAGCATCGGCTTATGACCCAAGTGCCTTTCTTGCACCGCCTTCTCTGACGGGGTCGAGCCGGGAGCAGGACAAATCCATGTCGCCAGAGATAGGCGGGCTGTCCGGCAATCATCTGCATATCCCGGAAGTCATGCGGGATGAATTGTATGTTGACCACCAAGACGGCTACCTGGTAAAGCCGTGTGCTTCTGGCCTACTAATCCGTTGGATACAGAGACCAGCTCTACTGGGACCGTGTGCACCCATCAATACCCATACTCCAACAACGGCGGTATTTGTCGTGGACCAAGTTCGGCCTCAAGTCGTCCGCTCAAATGTGTCTGCAATCTGCAATGTGGATGCTGGCGACCTTGTTATCAGTTCAGATACGTAATTTGACCGACGCTCTCTACCGCCAGACAAAGCAGATGCTAGTCTCTCAAAATTTCGAAACCGACCACAAGGATGACGGATGTGACACCGAGATAGTGCAAGCTTGGTTGCTTGTTGCAATTTACGAATCCATGCGCGCGTCTCATAAACAGGCGTGGATGAGCGCTGGTCGTGTATACCGCCTCGTCCAAGGGTTTCGCTTCCACGAACTCGACAAGACAGGTACAATCATTGAACATGAGGATAGCAATGACATAGTCAAGATAGAAGAACAACGTCGCCTCTTCTGGATGGCCTATCTGCTCGACCATCTGATGAGCCTGCGGAACGATTGGCCGATCACTTTGAATGAGCACATGGTAAGAAGGGACCGTTGTGATTTGTGACAGAATGCGGAGAGACACTGACTTGTGCAATCCTTATCGTCTCCATAGATCTGTACCCGCCTGCCAGGACCGGACGCTGACTTTCAGAGTGGGCGACCGGTATCTGGATCTTTCCTCTCTGAAGCAATCACGGAATCGAGTCCAAGATTCACGTCTCCGTTTACCGAAAGCATTGTCCTCACCACTCTTTACGGACGGAGCCTGCTGCGGAGCCAACAACATAGCATCCTGAGCGTCTATGGAGATGGTGGCGACTCGGACTGGCTAGCCTGGCATCGGTGGCTTGACAATACTCTCAAAATCAGACTTCAAGTCGTGGCGCGCCTCTGTGCATTATCACAAACCGCAGCATCGGATCCGTTTTTGTTGTTTACGAATATCTTGGGCCATGGAGCAGTTGTATATCTCTGCAAATGCGCAATGCAGTCCGCGGCAAGCCTAGCGAGACAACCAGATGTTTACGCTGAGGTCCTTCAATGTCAGGCTCGGGCCCTGGCCGCCGCCACTGCTGTCGTTCGTCTCGCCAGCGAATTGCGTGAACTCCATTTCTCAAAGGTGAGTTGAATCCGATGGCACATGGCAGGTATAAGCACAATCCGCTGACACAATGGAAATGACAAAGATATATCCCCTCATGCCCATACCCTTATTTGTTGTTGCCGAGTTCCTTTACGAGAATCTTACCGATGTTGGGCCTAACCAACAATTGATTGGTGAACTGCTCAATGTATTTCGTGATCTGAAAAACATTAACAATCTCGAACAATGTTACCTGGATTTGCTGCCGCGATCATGTGTTTCCAGGACGACTGCGCTGCTTAGCTACACCAGCAGCAGTGCCGATTGAAGCCTCAGCAGAATGTGGAAGGCACTAGCTAGAGAAAGCTGGAGCAGACCAGAGACAGCTGAAGACTATGTGGAGGAAGCTCTGTTCATTGCCAAAGGGGCGTGTCTCCAAGGGAAAGTAATGGAAGACAAGAAATGAGAGAAGGGGCCCTGCTCAGCGCAGCTATACGCTTGGCCTTTTCGATGCGGGCTCGTCGAAATAATCCGCGTACACGTTTCCAAAACTGTGATGTGTGTGTGCGACTCGCCGTGCAAGCAGACGCGACGCAAGGCAAAGCAGATGTCGGTAGGAAATATTGCAGAGGGAAAAGCAAGGGAATTCCCCAGACTATCCTGACTTTCCAAATGCTGCTGCATACAAAGGCTGAAACAGGCATATGAAGGTACCTTTTCAGGAGCGATGATGTCGGCGACGCGTTCCTCGGCACGACGCGACGTGAAGTACAGGTGTCGCCTTAAGAGTGAATTTCCATCACTGCCATAAATATTGTACTATATAGAAGGCCCCGAAGTCAGAATATTTCCTTGTGCTGGACTAGGAGTCATAAGGCGGCGTCACATAACTCCCGATAGAGACTAGTTGGCATATCTGCTTGGCATCAAAGCGGAATGTCGGAGTTTTATGAAGTTGAAGTCTCCTCGATGCAAATTTCTCGAGTATCGAGAACCGAGAATACACATGTGGTGAATATTTTTTGATCCTTTATACCGACTATACACATTCTGCCTGGTCGACTTCGATCTGCCGCTCTGCTTTTGCAGATCAAAGGCCTGAACCACCTTGAAAATGTCTTTGAATAACACACGCCAGTGTTCCGAAATACATATGAACTATAGTTCAAATGGCTGATCGCGGTCGCGAATGGCGCTTGCGACATTCTCATGAAACCAAAGCATTAAGCTACGGTCACTTTGGGACCGCGACATACGACAGTCGCACTCAGACTTGGTCTTTTCTGCGCCAGAATTATTTGCGACAGGACAACAAAGGTGACGGCTTCTGTCCAAACGCGACCGGATTCTACCTTGTGGACGAACGAGTAGCAATCGCGCAAGAAAGCACAAGCACTCGACTTACCGATACACTCAACCTATCGCGGCCTGTCGGAAGGACGGCCTTACTCAAGCAGATCCCGGACGCAGCCTTTTTGCCGAGATCCCTGTTTACCTCTCAAGTACTTCACGACGTTGATTTTGACCGAACAGTCCTTGGTGATACCCTGGCATTAGGAACAGCCAGAGTCTCCTTACGGAAATCGCTGCAGCATGATTCTCCCAGTTGCATGGCCCTCGTTTTTCGAGCAGGACCAAGCGGTGACATATGTCTAACCGAAGTCGGTGGAGAGGATATTACTCTGTCTGTTGAACCTAACTCCGAAATCAGCTGCAAGATTCCAAGTGTTGCTTTAGACCGTGGAAGTCGCATGATTTCAACAGAACCTGTCCGGCACATATCCTCCGCTGGCACATTGAGTGGCCGATTTCTTGTTGTGAGGGACAGTGGAACCAGTGTTTTCGAGCTGCTCTGGAGACAAGGCCGTTTTGCTCAGGCAGAAACAGATAATTCTTCCCACATAAATGCCGCCTTCGTGGACCATAGCCTACTGTTTTCCATACCCTCGACGAGGACTGGTCAGGCCGCCCACGCCCACGCCTCGTTCCAAGCCAGTAGCCAAGATATACTCGCAATTGTGGACGTCCGTGGTCAATGGAGTATTTGGGAGATCCGCCGCAAAAGGTCAACATCAGCTCCTGTACCGTACCACGCAATTCTGAAATGTTCAAAAAACATCTCTGACGCCCTGTCTGAGCACAGTCTATTCTTGGCGGACAATTGGCATAGGATATCCTGGTTGCCAGACGCTGGAGGAACTGGTCAGCGGATTATGGTCTGCAATCGAAGATCTGCGGTGGTCTTTGATAGCGATGGGACGTTTGAAGGTCAAGTGGACATGCGACTTGGCCCGCAGTCGAATGAGACCCAGATCCTTGATGTGAGGACAAGCATTATTCGGCCATATTTGGTTTTGGCTTTGACAAGCTCGCGAATTTTGGTGTTCACATCTCAGGGACTGGGACAGCAACAGTCTTCCAAATATGAACCTCTCAAACTGGTGTGTTCTTGGGCTCACTTCCGGCATGGAAGCGATCTTAATCTGAGAATGAGTGTTGTCGAGTTCGAGCAAGGTAAAGAATCTATCGACTTGCATCTTCTGCATTCTGACTGTCGATAGATATTTGTATGCTGCTCTACTCACCGAGGAGTGAAATTGCAGTAACGTACCATTTCAGGCACGAACCTTTAGACCCAGAAACTGTGGCATTTCAGGCTCCGGCGATTTTCAACCTGCCAACCGAAATTCGGAAGCGAATGGGCAGCATCACCGACATATCTCTCCAACCGATTAAGTTAGACACTGACTTGGCCACGCCAAAGCCTTCATATCATCTTATGAAACTGGTTGCATCAACCTATCAGGGGACTATTATTGAGGCTGTGTATAAACATCAGTTTGCCCAGAGCGAGGGTGGACAAGCTAGGACTGAAATTCCTAGAATGTCATTGCCTCATAAATCTGTTGTGAGCACAGCGCTCGTCGCTGTGTCGGACCTAGCAGACCTAGGAGATTTCATTGTTGGCGACGACGAGGAGGAACGACAGAGGCCCGAGATAGAGGACACAGAGCAGAGCCTTACTCTATCCGTCTCTCAGCCACCTTCTCATACTCGTGATTGGAGAGCAATCTTCGAGTATAGCCGGTTTCTTCCCCCAGACCATGCTACCCTGCCATTCGTGGATACTTTGGGTATGGCAATTCGCCACTTTGAACGCTTGCAGCTACAGGAACGTCGTCGGCCGCTTCAAGTTCTTTCACAACTCGTCAGCCAGCATCAGATCAGTGACGTCGAGCATGATTCGGAAGCTACCACAATGTGGACAGAAGAATTAGCACGACGAGATGATTTGCGACTCGATTCGGTAGGCCTAGATGGCCTCTCCGCCTTGTCTTCTGAACAGAACTTGCTTTATTTGTATCAGCTGGGTTTGTTAACTTATGTGGCATCTCTTGGCGAGAATGTTACCGACCGCAATCGCGTCAACCGGGAAAGGCTTGTCCGTCACATCGTAGGGGATGTCTTTCTGGGAAACATTGTCGTCAGATCCATCAACACTACGAACCAATTTCTGGAGCCCGCCTTGCCATCTTCTCCCCCTGAGCCGCTATCTGACGACACACGAACCACGACTCCTCTGCCAGCGGCAACTCCGAGTCTAGCTGCCGAAGAGGAACCTACGGTGACCCGCCTTCGAAGCTACGTGTCGTTTCGGGAAAAGGTTTCTCCCTTTCAAGCTTCTGACCAGGAGAATATTTCCAACATTCTAGCTCATCTGCCGGACTCTATCGATGAAGCCCCTGCGAATTACTCGTACCAGAACACAAATCAAAGGTTGAAATTGGTTCAAGAGGAAGCCGCAGCACAGTCGTTGGACCCAACAGAAAGGCGGAAGGCAGAGAGGCAAGCAGCTCGTTTGCAGAAAAAGCTAGAGAAGTCAATACGACTTGGTCAGGAAATTTTGTCACAGAGAAATGTGCTCCCGGGCATCAATAGTATTGGAAGAGGCGTCGGTATGCCAGGCAGAGAGGTACAAAGTAGTCAGCCAGCCGTGGGTGGATTCAGTCAAGGCCCTAGTCAGAGTCAAGGCATCCCTGGGTTGACCATGACACAACCAGAGCGAGGGGCTTTCGGTACGCGACCGTCCAAGTCGAAGAGTAAGGGGAAAGATAAGGGATCGAAGCGAAAAGCAGGCTTCTAGAAATTCTCACAATTACAGACAAGTATGAGCTTTGTGCTTCCAATGCATGCCAAGATGATGCTTTCCTACCCCGGATTTTGGATTCTCCATATTCCGAGAGTGCCGGGCGCAGGCAGAATCGGCTAGTCCTCTCTGGGCGGGTATGAGTGCGGGGAAAGCACCTGAGGAGTTCAACTAGCGCAGGGATGCGGTCATAGTCGCGTGAGGCCGCCTCGTCACCTGTTTACTGAGCGATTTCCCTTCATCAGCTTAGTGGTCAGTTGTGGTACCTGACACCTTACCCCTCAATTGCTGCCTCCCTCTGCTCTTCATCCTCTGACCTTCCCTCTCATCTCTACCTTTCCTTGCTACTCTTGGTTCGTTCACACACAACACACCAAACTACCAATCTATTTCCCGTGACTATCACAGCCATTGGTTCTGGTGAGCTTCCTATCCAGCCTCATCTCGAAAGACTCTATTTCGACTCTGGCCTACTTGAAGCTGTATCTGACTTCTCCTTTCTAGACCTGACTTGACTCAACTACACTCACACCCCTCCATCAATTCAATCCATCCTCTCAGCATCATGTCTGCCGACACATCGGATCTTACAAAGGTCGATTCCGCCATTGGCGGTATGGCCGGCTCTCCCCCAAAAGAGACCAAGCGAAGACACACCTCTTCTGCCCCTGGAGTCATGAACCTCAATGATCTCGGTAAGCATTGACCATCCTCTCGGCCTTATCCTGCTAACACTCGTACCTAGAGAAAGAAGGTACAAAGATTGCTGTTGCACCCGAAACGCAAAAGACAGGATGGTAAGTTACAGACTATTCACAGCACTGTGCAAGGTTAACATGACACCCTTCAGGAAACTCAATACGTCAACCAGCACTGTCGAAGATCCTTCAATCCTCAAGAAGATGCTCACCGAGCCCCCAGTCAAGAAGATTGACCTGCACTTCCCCCTAGGTCTGGAGGTTACAGCACGAAATCTCAAGGGCGTAACGATAAAGGATGCAATGGATGCCATTCACAAGCAATTCAAAAAGAAGGTAAGCAGACTACAAAACCAAAGGCTCTGCTCGCATGCTGACACTTTGCTCTCAGGCCGATGACGAATTGGAAGAGCCATACCTGAAAGGCTTCGAGTGGGATCCCGAGGAGTCATGGACAAGACTGAAGGTGCACACCCAGAAAGAAGGCATGCCTGTAGGCAAGAAGTCCAAGAAGAAGGGCGGTGATGATTAGACATGTCGTCTACTTGTAACGGACAGACGTATGTCAGCGTCTGGCCGACTAGTACTGCTACAACATGACACAACTTGATCCAGACGGATCGTATCTGCCACTCAAGCAATTGTGGTATGAATTACATAGTGCTCTTGGGGCTTTTTCTTCACGTCTGGCCAAGGCGGCATTTCCTGGCCACCGCGCGCATACCGCGATCAAGCTGAAAGTGTTTGTCTAGTCCTGCAATGAAATTACCTTTGAGCTGAGCATTCTACTACTACGTGTTCCACTTTCTCCCAGGGCAATCTGTGGTATTCGAGGTGGATAGTGAGGGGGGCCTAATCGATATCTTATCAGATCAACAGCGGTGCCACTCGAAGCCTTGGGTAGTCTTGGTACAGGCCTGTATTGTGGACGGGAGATAGGCTGACTATCATTAGTGGTATGTGGTGATAGTTTTGAGCCTTGCTGCAACCGTCCATTGGGTTTTGGTCAACAGAAACCTGTGCTCCATACAGACGGCGTGAACAGCAATGTGTCTGGCCTGAAACTGAAGTGCGAGCCTGACTCAATAGGATGGATGCAGTTTGTACGCAGATCCCCGTCAGATCGTCTTATCAGTGACAAAGACAACCCCATCAACCGTTCAACATGTCTCATATCTGAATCTAAGTATGTGAATCTATCTTTGTCGAAGATCAAGTAGCAAAGATGGGCTCCATATCAGGAACAGATGTCGCTCAGGCCTCTGTGGTCAACATACCCATCGTGGATCTCGGGCCATTTTCGTCACCGTCCAGCACCGCCGAAGAAAGGCGTGTCGCTGCAGAAGCGCTGGTCAGGGCATGCAGGGACGTGGAGTTTGTTTACATCCAAAACCACGGCGTCTCACAAGAGGAACTCGACGAGGCTTTTCGAGTGTCGAAAAACTTTTACGATCTCCCGCGCGAGGAAAAGATGAAGGCGCCTCACCCTCCAGGATGGGCAGTCCACCGAGGGTATTCGTGGCCGGGGTTGGAAAAGGTGTCAAACATCCTCAGCAAGACCGACGACGAAGAGTCGGTCAAGCAGTTGAGGGAGGTCCAAGATTTCAAGGTCCGCAATCTCAATAAACACTCCCGCGCCATCGGGGAATGACATCCCAGAAACTGATCGTTGACTGTTGGTGTGGACAATCACAGGAAAGCTACGAGGTCGGATCAGACAACAACCCGAACCAGCCCAACGTGTGGCCTCCGGGCGACGTCATGCCCGAATGGAGACCGTCCATGACCTCCTTCTACTGGACTTGCTTCGAGGCCGGAAAGAGGATTCTACGTGCGTTGGCCCTGGGGATCGGACTCGACGAAGACCACCTCCTGGGTTACCACAGCGGCGACTACAACCAGCTTCGTCTCCTGCACTACCCGCCGATCCCAGCAGAGGCCGTCGAGGGGGGCAAATTCGCCAGAATGCCCGCTCACACGGACTGGTCCACGATGACCATGTTGTTCCAAGACGACTGTGGGGGTTTGCAGGTGGAAGATCCCAGGAGGCCTGGAGAATTTATCGACGCCCCTCCCATCCCCGGCACTCTCGTCATGAACGTAGGCGACTTGTTGATGCGATGGAGCAATGGTGAGTGAATGTCCATCTGGCCGTGGTTTTTTGTTTTGCCCCGTGGCGTGTGTTTTTGGGGGTTTGCTGATTGCGAATGGGATTGTTCGTCTCCATGACAAAAGATTACCTCAAATCTACGCTGCATCGAGTACAGTTACCATCCCGGCAGGACCGGTTTTCAGGCGACGAGAGAATGACGAGAGCACGATACTCGATACCCTATTTCATCACGACCGATCCGGACAGGCTGATCGAGTGTCTTCGCTTCGACGAGGAGCATCCGCCAAAGTATGAGCCGATCACGCAGCGCGAGTATTCTGCAATGAGGGCCAGGATGCAATATTGAACCGCAAAGTGTGACGGACGATCATGTATTTCTGGTTGTAATGCTGTTTCGTCCGGGGAGAATGATTTCTCTCCGGCAATGATCATCTTGCGGTATTAGTGAGTACGATACGGAGTCTTTCAATATATAAATAGTTCCAAGTGCCGAGTTTTCTAAGAGCCGAGATTGACGACCTTTCTCCTCGGTTGTAAACGATTTTGTTCTGTGATGTTCTGTGAGTCATCTTAACATAGAAAAAATTGATGCGGCAGTTTATACGGTAGAGAGAAAAACACAAGAAATACGTTGGGCACAGGAAAGAGTTTACGCTATGACACATTAAATGATCCCAGTGTGCATATATAAGTAACAAATCCTCGAAACACTCACCAAACTTCTTCGGAGACTCGAGTACATAGTATATACTCGCAGTGTAGTACCTCACTTCTCGCAGTCATGGCGTCTTCTCAATCACCGGTCCACGCGCCACCTCATGTCCTCGAGCTTCTTTCCGAATTACACCAGAGATCCATCGATCAAGAGGCGGCGATTGCGGGTGATCGCAAAAACATCACGTCCGAGACCGAGGACCAGTATGAAGCCAGAGGCACCACGACCGGTGGTGGTGGTGATGAATCAAGGACCAAATTCGACCAACTCATGCTCGACAAGTTCATCGCCCTGGACCAGGACAAGTGCGAGTTTATGTACCAGTTGATCAACGCCATGGGGGCCACCAACGTGGTCGAGGCCGGGACCAGTTTCGGGGTCAGTACCATCTACCTGGCCCTCGCCGTCGCTCAAACAAAAGCCGCCACGGGCAAACCTGGCACGGTCATCGCCACGGAAAAGGAGACTTCAAAGGCGGAAGTGGCACGACGGTACTGGGCTCGGTGTGGTGCCCAAGTAGAGGAGCAGATTGATTTGAGAGTGGGGGATCTGAGGGAGACTTTGAAGGTTGATTTGCCGGTGATTGATCTCCTCCTCCTCGACAGTAAGTATCCATACCTTGTATACCTACTACTCCCCTTCTCTACCTGCCTTGTTTTGTCTAGCCTTGTCTACACGGAGATTCCTCCATTCAATGATGGCCGACTGACGCCACTAAAATTGCCAGTCTGGACACCAATGGTCCTCCCGACTTTGAAAACGGTCTTGCCACGTCTTCGACATGGTGCTGTGGTATTGGCGGACAACACCATATCGAGTGCGAAAGGGTACGAAGAATTCTTGACCTTTGTACGAAATCCTGAGAATGGGTTTCGCAACATGACATTGCCGTTCAACAATGGCTTTGAGATGAGTGTTTACTTGCCAAAGTCGGGATGAGACGAGCATTCAAAGACTAGAAGACTTTATTCTATTCGGTATATATATATATCTACTACTCAGTACTGCTCCTACTTCTTCGCAATGGCAACATACGCGATGTGACGTAAGCCTTCCGCAGGGCCAGCTTCGCGGGCTTGCAGGAGCTTCAACATCTCAGGGCCCAACCTCTCCTTCTCTTCCTCGCTCCAATCTTTGACCGCGGCCGGGTAGGTTTTGGCCACCATATGGACATCACGCAGAAATGGATCGACGAGAGCATCGGTCCATCTCTCGACAATCTGGATTTTGTTGCCCTTGAAGCCGGCGTTTTCGAGGACAGAGCGTAGAGTCTCTTCCTTGCTCCATTCCTCTTCCCACGGCGCCCCCAGTGGCTTCAGGTCGGGCCGGATCAGTTTTTGGGCTTGCTTGACGGTTTCCATCATCCGCCGTTCCTTCCACGTCGTCACGACGGCGGTCCCGCCGGGCTTGAGCGTGCGGTATATGTGATCCGCGCCCTTTTGTGGCTCGGGCAGGAAGAAAATGCCAAAATTGGTGATGCTCAGGTCGAAACTTTCGTCGGGGAACGTGAGGGCCTGAGAATCCATCACCGAGGCTTCCACATTCTTCCACTTCAGCGTCTCGCCTTTTTTTCTCGTAACTTCAACGACCGACGGGACAAAGTCGGTGGCGTGGATGGTGGGAAACGATCCCGTCTTCGCGGCCTTATCTTCCAGGAATTGGGTGACGAGACCGGTGCCACAGGCGTTGTCGTGAATCACGGCGGTGGAATCCGGAGCTGGCAACATTTCGTCCAGGACCTGGTGGGCTATGTCGCCGGTGATGAGGCCAATAAGACCTTCATATGTACTTGCCAGTTCATTGAAATGGCTTGCAGGGTTGTCAGTCATCGTGATTTTTTGGGGGGGCGACAGTATAAGCACAAGCGCTACTGATAACAGGGGAAGGACAATTGAGGTCTGGGGAGAATCGTTAACTGGAAACGTATCTTGTAGTCAGTTGTCAGCGTTCGGAGATAAATTTTTAAATGGTGGACGGGGAAACTCCGTATGAGTATTCCATAATTCAAGACTTCAAGTTACCTAGGCATCTACCTAGGTGCCGTAGGTGGGCAGTCAGAAATTGTTCTAAGGGAAACTTGTAGGCGTTGGCCTCTAACCTTATAGGTGTCGGGTACCTAGGCAAGTACTAATACTATACCTACGGAGTACCTATATTATACTTACCTCTGTCAGGGTAGAAGAACAAAGTAGGTCTATTGTTCCTTGTTTTCTCTTTTCCCCTTCTTCATTCCCCTTCCAATTCTGTCTCCATGCATGATCATCGTCATCAAGATATTGAACAGCTGCATTTTCGTGACCGCCTCTGCAAAACACTCCTACCTCATTTCTTGTTCTGGTGGCACAAGACATGCATGAAAAGTCATAGACTTCCTCTCAAAACATTGCTTTGAATCCTCGTCTTTCCCCTGCTTGGTCTTTCCCATCCTCGTGTCAATCACCATGATACTACTACAATCCATCCTCGCAGCCATCCCTCTACATGCAACTCTCGCAAGTCCAAACCTCCAAAGCCGGCAAGATGGTCTCGAAACATTCATCGCTCGAGAACAACCCATCGCCCTCGCCGGTGCCCTTGCCAACATTGGCGGTCTCAATTCATCTTGGGTTCAAGGTGCAAGCCCCGGCATCGTAGTCGCATCGCCATCGACAGTGAACCCGGACTATTTCTTCACATGGACTCGTGACTCAGCACTGACATATACAATGCTCATCGACGAACTAATCTTTGGCAACACCAGTCTCCGAAAGACCATTGAAGACTACGCGACCGCGCAGGCGATCTTACAAACCATCGACAACCCGTCGGGCTCCCTGTGGCCGGTCGGTGACGGTCTCGGAGAACCCAAGTTCTACACCAACATTACACCCTTTGATGGCCCATGGGGACGACCACAGCGTGATGGTCCAGCATTGCGAGCAACCACATTCATGAACTTGGCTCCGGTTCTATTCAATCTCAATGAAACCGATATCTTTTTGAAAATCTATTGGCCGTTGATTTTGAATGATCTCAACTATGTCGGGCAATATTGGAATCAGGCAAGTTCTTATCCTCTCTTGACACACAACTACTTTGTCCCTTTATCGACGCTAAGAATCTCGTCCAGACCGGCTTCGATCTATGGGAAGAAGTCCGCGGCTCTTCATTCTTCACCATATCAGCTCAACATCGGGCACTCGCTCAGGGCGCAATACTTGCCCAAAAACTCAACACGACATGTGGCCCATGCAAGCAAGCGTCTCAAGTACTGTGTTTCTTGCAAAGTAATTTCTGGAATGAGTCGGGCAAGTACCTGGTTGCCGACATTAACGTCAACGAATTGTCACGTAGCGGTATCAACAGCGACCCAATCCTGGCGAGTATACATGTCTTTGATGCTAATGCGACATGTGACGCTGGAAGTATGTTCGCTTTTACATCCCATCTTATTCAATGTTGTCAGCTCATACTAACTTTGATGATGGCTCAGCTTTCCAACCATGCAACTCGAAAATGCTAGCAACCCACAAGAAATTGGTCGACAGTTTCCGCAACCTGTCCTGGCCCGTGAACAAAAACGCAGGTCCGCGTGATGCTATCCTAATAGGTAGATACCCTGAAGATACGTACTACGATGGAGGGGCGTGGCCGTTATGCACCTTTGCGTGTGCGGAGATGCTCTATGACGCTGTCGCTCAATTCAAACGATCCGGCACACTCAATGTGGACAGCATTAGTCTGTCGTTTTTCCAGGATTTGAGCCCAAACATCAAGTTGGGGGAGTACAAAGGCACACAGATGGATGGTATTCTGACGAATGTGACGAATTATGCTGATGGATTTGTCAGGGCCGTTCAGGTATGTACTCGCCAAACCTCTGTCCCTTGTTTTGTTTTGCATTCCTTTGCTCTGTGCCCACGCTCACCCTCTTCGTGGGTGTAAAGGCCCACCTCCCCACCAACGGCAGTATAAGTGAACAATTCAATCACACGACCGGCATGTCGACATCAGCATCTAAACTTACCTGGTCCTTTGCTTCATTCATCACCATGGCTAGACGCCGCGCTTCACACTTCCCACCACCATGGGGTGCCACCTCGAAAGTTGCAAATACCAACCTCACATCCTCTCAATGTCGACCGTCTTCGTACAATGGCACGGGCAAGTACGCTCCCGCCGCGGCTGCGGGAGCACCAAACATCACCCTCCCGTGCATGGTCGAGGTCTTGTTCGAAGTCAACGCGACGACGCAGTTTGGACAGAACATCTACGTCGTGGGTAACGTGACGAGACTGGGTGGGAAGTTGAACGATCCAAAAAGAGTGACCGTACCTCTTAGTGCGGCGAACTACACCTCGCAGAGACCAGAGTGGTACGTCGACAAGTGGCTGGTAGCTGGACAGACGGTGGCGTATCAGTATGTTTTGCAGAATGGGGACGGTGGTGAATTTGTGTTTGAGAACGGTCATGATGGTTCTCGAACATTGGTTTTGCCAAAGTGTGGAGGAGGGAGGATGACGACGAATGATGTAGCTACATTTGGATCTTGATTAGCGTTGTCTACTATGGAGTAAGTATCATGGAGTATGAAAGATAGATATGAGTATGATGGTCTATCAGAAACATTGATGGTCTATCTCGGTCATCACAACACGGTGGCCAAAATGAATCCATTGAACACCGGGTTGGCAGACATGGCCGGGTGGCAGACCACGGTCGGCACGAGAGTCGCCTTGACTCTGTCGTCCTTTCCGACCTTGGTCAGGACAGATTCGGTCGTCGGATCTTGTTCTTCCCTACCGACCTGTCCATTCTTGAACATGGAAGCCACCACGTCGTCGAGCCAGACACACCCTCCCCGTCTCGTCAGCTTCACGGCCAGGTCGAATTCTTCCCACTGTCGATCCAGGTCGGCGTCGATGAAGACGAGGTCGAACCTTCTGCCCTCCCGCACGAACCGAGCCATGACCTCTTCGGCGTCGCCCAAGACGACTTCGACGTTGCCCAGACCCTCGACGTTCTCCAGCGCCACGTCTCGGTGTTTCGGGTCGGCCTCTACGCTCGTCACGCGCACGTCCGCCCCCGCCCCGGCGAAACATATCGCGGAGTAACCTCCCAACGTGCCTATCTCGAGGACCGACTGTGCCCCCATCAGTCGTGCGACGATGGACAAGTGTTGTCCCGCGAGGGGTAGGACGCTGATGGCTGGAATTCCCTTGGCGGCGGAGTTGGTCAGGGCACGTTCGAGTCGGGGGTTCGGTCGGAGCAAGGCAGATTTGGCTCGGTCTTCGACGGTGGCGGCGGAATGAAAATTGTTGAAATCCAAAACAGATTCCATGGTGGTTGTCGGAATGTGGAAACTTTTGTGTCTGGATGGAATTTCGTACGCTTGGGTGAAGTTGACCCGAGGCCGGAGATGTTTACTGGTGATGTATATCTAACTACTTGGTAACAAGGTAGCGAAGATCAAGAAAAGTAGACTCCGAGTAAAGGACAATATTTCACGGGACGGTTACTTGGGAAGATACTGTAAGTATATATATCTATATATATATATCTGACACACCTGCGTAGAGGTAATAATGATACCTCCATGTGACATTTCCAGCCCATGTGAAAATTGTCACACCTCTCAATTGTCAGAGTGTGTTGTTTGCTCATCGTATTTCGTGATGAAATGAGATGGTCGAGAGTATCCGACGTGAAGAAAGATCCTTTGTCAAGAGGCCCACCTCGCATCGCCGAAAGGGGATAAACGAAGCACTACTCAACCACCTCCACCTCGCTCCCTCCCAAAAAAAAAGAAAAGAACGAAGCAAGCGTCTATTCGAATAACCATCACTCTGGTCCACCCAGAAAAAAGGATTCCTTCCTGTGGAGCACTAATTACTGACGAGACGCATCGATATGACATGTGAAGAGTGACGAGTGAGTGTTATGAGGCATATCCCGATGTCGCTCTGGTAATCTCCCTCTTTTCGGACTTCGTTCCCATCACTTCGTATCGCTCGATTTGGTCGTCTAGAGCCTTTTGAAAATCCTCTCCTGTTTCTTGGTCCTACTTCATGGTCCGAGCCCAACTCGAAGTCAGTATGCACAACAGATCAAACTCTCCGAGGCAACAATCACCCACACGTCCGGCCACTATTCCTGGCCTCAACACCTTCTTGCTGGCCGGGCATGACGGGGTATTAGTGCCCGTGCGAAATCCCATTTGGACCGACCCGAACCGGCCTGATGAGAGCACCGAGGGTGGTGTCATCGTTCTTGACCCTTCGAGGTCAAAGAGACCTCATCACAAGTCGAGACGAGGATGTAGGAATTGTCGAAGACGGCACGTCAAGGTAGGTGCTACATTTTATTTCTCTCAGACATCCATGCATCTTGGTCGTACACGTCATAGACTCTGAAAAACATTCAACGTTTGTGGTATATGTACTGAGTGTGAGAGAAAAAACAGTGCGACGAAAAGTTTCCAACATGTTCACACTGTTTACGTCGTAGAGAGGAATGCAAGAGACAATCGACACCCACCGCCGATGACAAACATGTACCGTCAGTGGCAAAGCCCAAGAGTACTCATGCTTGTCCTCGTCCTCGGTCTCACACTCACACTCGAACATCACGACGAATTCACCATCACTCTCCACCTCTCCTGGACAGTACCGGTATCGGTGGCGGCGGCGGCGGCAGCAGCAGCAGCAGCAGCAACACCACCACGGTCAACACGTTACACGTCAAGTTGTTCCACCATTTTGAAACCACCACTCGACACACTCTCTGTTTTGGGTCGGTGTGGGAAGGAGCCATCAGGTGGTCATTGGAGAATGAAACCCTCATGCACGCCATGCTCTGCGTCTCGGCGAGACATCTGGCGTACCTGTTTCCAGACGACCCAACGTACAGTCTCGCGGCAAGAGCCCACCTAGTTCAGAGCCTCGGTATGTTTCGTCGAGACATCGACAACAACAAGACCCTGACGGCTTCAGATGCCGACGCATTCATGGCGACATCTATACTCATTTATTTTGAGCTCTGGACCGAGACGGAGTTTGTCATACAAAAGGGTTCCACCCGAGACGGACGCGAAGCACGAGACGCGTTGGATTTGTCGAGGGACAACATGATCCCTCTCGCTCGGGGATTGGTCGAATTGTTTCTTCGCTCGGGGCCTGTCTTGTTCGACCGCGGAAACGGAAACGAGGATCCAGGAAACCCAAAACCGTCCGTCTTTGTCGCCGAGATCCAACACAGTCCTCGTCGCAATTTGGAAAATGCTGCTGCGATCCATCAGGGTAGTGGACTGAGAAAGGACGTGGCTGTCGACTCTATTCGTTCGTGGTCGGTACCGGCAACAGCATCTGGACCAGAACAAGTCTCTGATGACAGTGACAGGAAGAGTCAAGATGAAATGGACAATGAGAATGACACTGTACCTTTGCCGCCACCACCAAATCCAGCACAGACTCCGGCCCCCTCAGCCCATGAGAAGGGATATGGACACGAAAAACTAGGCGAAGATGAAGACGCAGTCGCAGAGTCTTGTACCTTTCAATCTCTACACGAAGACGCCACCTCTCGCCTTGCCACACTGTGCATGTTCCTCCCCGAGATGCGATCAGGGCCACACCGAGACCGAGATGAAGAGCGACTGTCAAATCACGAGACCGAACGTGACCACGACGGGTTTCCTCTTCTCCCTCCTCGACAGCTCCGTGCCGACCTGATCCGGTACGCGTTCACGTTTCCGATCTTGACCCACGAGTACCTTTCGAGACTCGTCTCCAGGCGACGGGACGACACACTCACAGAGCCGGGTCTCGTGGTGCTGTACCACTTTTACAGGTGCGTCCGGATCTTGTTGGGCGACGACTCCCACGCGTGGTGGACACATCGAAGGGCCAGGTCGATGGAATCTCTACTCGAGCAACAACTACGAGAGACACTCAACGTCGATCGGTGAAGATACCCCCTTTCTGCACTACTCACAGAAGCCATGACCACGGAGCCACTGACCCGTTATAATGTTGTAAACTGTGAAATGTATTTTGTGCTTTGCAGTGTGTACTTTTTTTTTTGATCTTGATACTACCATGACGCCAGAGTCATCCGACATTGACATTGACAATTCTCGTGCATGTACATGTACCTAGGAAAATATATATCTAGGAATGTCCAACGATGGCCTTTGGAAGGTAAGGTTCCTCGAGGTACTTCATCTCGTCTTCGGTCAAGGTCTTGCCGCGGACGTCGGCCGCCTCGTCCAACCGACTCAGATTGCTGAACCCTACGATCGGGATGGTCCCCTTTTGGATGATCCAGGCCAGGGCGACCTGACTCATCTTCCAACCCTTCTTGTCGGCGACCTCCATGACTCGTTTGATGATGGCGTCGTCCCCGTCGACCTTGGGGAAGAAGGCACTCTGTTTGGAACTTTCCTCGCGAGCCGTGCTCGCCGACCCCAGAGGCCGGGCCAGGAGACCCCTGTACAAGGGGGCCCACGGGATCAAGCCCACACCGGTCTCGTGACAGAAGGGGATCATCTCTCTCTCTTCCTCTCGGTAACACAGACTGTAGTGGTTCTGCATGGAAACGAACTTCGTCCAGCCATGAATCTCGGCGGCGTGTTGCATCTTGGCGAATTGGTAAGCCCACATCGAACTCGCCCCTAAAAATCCCCGGGAAGAGGAAGAAAATGTCAGTCATCGTCGTTATTGAACGTCAAGAGGATCCATGAGTGTCGTGAGAGACCCCCAAAAGGAGGAGAAAGGTCGACAGAAAAAAAAGAACTCACCAATATATCTAACTTTACCAGCTTGGATGAGATCGTGCAAAGCCTTCATGGTTTCCTCGACCGGGACGGTGGCATCGAATCGGTGGATCTGAAGGAGATCGAGGTACGATGTACCGAGACGTTCAAGACTGGCCTCGACGGCGTTGAAGATGGCCGCTCGGCTCAACCCTCCCTGGTTGATGTAATCTTTACTCTTCTTGAGGTGTTGAGGGTACCTGATGTGTACCACGTTCGGTTCTTCCCCGACCGTCCCGAAACACTTGGACAACAAGACCAGTTTGTGACGTGGGATGTTGTGCTTCTTGATGGTGGCGCCGATCATCTTTTCCGAGATTCCGTTCGAATAGACGTTGGCCGTGTCCCACGTGTTGAGGCCACGATCGTACGCCCCCTTGAGTAGTTTGTCGACTTGTTCAGGGTCATCGACGACCCACGGTTGCCATTCTTTGGAACCTGAGAGACAAAACAAAGAGAGGGAGACGTTGTCAGCTCAGCCTTGGTTGATGGAAGAGACCGGGAAGGAGAATAACGACAACATTGATTGGATACACAAAAAAAAAACCAGATCAAGCCGAGACATACCAAAAGACATTGCACCCAAGATGGGAACCGACACCCTCAAACCGGATTTACCCAATTGAGCGTAAGAGACTTTGGTATTGTCCAAACTCTCTTGGAGGGACCTAGGGAGACCGGAATCACCCATTGTGTCGTTGGTTCTTTGGTTACGCTTCGATACTACTGTCTCGGTGATGGAGAGTGTTAGCACACCAGAGACTTGCACACGTCACCGCCCTCTTTCAAAGCTACTCAACCAGTAACGAGTCCAGATCGGTATTGTTTTCTTTCGTCGTGGGGAGACTTACATTTGCTGAGTTAGGAAGGGGTTGGCTTTTTGCGAGTCGGCTTCTTCTCAGATTCTCGAACAAATCGTTATTATCCCCGAGGGTTGTGAAAGAGTCGTAGGGAAAAACGACAGAAAGTCGGCAACGAGCTACCTCATCGACGGGGTTTATATACCTTTCAGGCCTGAGGAATCGAGAACCAGATAAAAAAACAAAACCCCCCCACCTACCTCGAGGCACCGATGGCTTTGACCGGCAATGTGCCGACCACCCTTTCAACGAGAAGAAATCCAAAAGGCTACAGGGTTCTCTGATATGCCGGAATCGTCACCAAACAAGTTCCCAGTTCCCATAAATCTCGTGTTGTTCTCGGAATCTCATTCGCCGACACGAAGCTTTGGTCGTCGATGGCTTCCACACCCCGCAGCAGGCAAAGCCGATGATGGGATGATTCCACCCCGCCCACTGAGCTGCCGTTATTGCCATCGATGAGCCCGGATAAAAGAAGAGGACACCAGAGATGCGAGAGATTCTGGTCGGTATCGGGTGTCGTTTGCTCGGACTTAGCGGACTTTGGACGATATAAAATCCACCACCTTCGCTTCGTTTGCTGACTAAACACAGCTTTCTCATACTTTTTGTACCGTAGTTACGAGGCCGTCAATACTTCCACTACTCTTCTTGAGGCTACCAAATGGACAAGTACCACATCTCAGAACAAAGTACTTTGCAGAGTCGATCTAAAAGTCATGAAAAATTCAAATGCATCATCATCTTCACTGTTGTAATATTGTACACAATAGTACAAGTCATAAGGATGTAAAATCCCCCTTTCACCCATTCCTTATTGTTCCAAAAGCCCCAATACGCCCATTGTGTGCTATCACATGTATGAAAAAACAAGGGAAAAAAGACCACAGGTCATCCTCAATCATAATCACTTCTTCGTATCAAGCTCAACCATACTCCGTACAAAGCCTAAGCCTTGCATGACTTTTTTGCGGGTCTTATGGTCATGATCCATCCGGTACACTCACCACACAACCATCACCTGTGCCCGATTAGATCCATAGCATCCTCTTCCTCATCCTCATCATCGTCCATGGCGTTGTCGCTACTACTCTCACTCTCGGACTCGGAGACAACCTCTATCTCCTCGTGCTGACGAGGAGAATTCGGTCGTCCCCAGAAATCCAGGTCATCATCATCTTCCAACGGGGTTGCGCCACGTCTCGGTGGTTCGGCTGGTTCCATTGTCCGTTGTCCGGTTCCGAAGTAGCTCCCAATCACCGGCGACTGAGATCGGACAGATCGTGCCGTTGGAGAGTGCGGCGAAAGCCAGGAAGTCCGGCTCCCTGGAGATCGAGTATTGAGTGCAGTATCAATAGGTCGAGGTGGAGTGCCATCAGCAGGCCGAGTGGTCGCAGGCTGGGTCAACTCTCCTGTCGGAGTGTGGCTTTGACTGGCCGTGATGGCAGCCTCGCTAATGCCGGCTTGCTGAGCTCGCTCCTGCTCCCGCTCGAGTTGGGGCGTATGCTCGGCGCCCAACAATTCGAGCTGCGTAGTGTTGTATGATTCACAAAGAGAACATTTTAACCCCAGCCAGTGGTATCTGGTCACACTGCGACTGTTGCAATCGTTGCAAAAGATATAAGCCCGATTGTCTCGATATTCTTCGGGCATAGGCTGCTCTTCAATATGTCGGTCCAATCTGCGAAATTGACTTTCCATGTTGGCAATACTCTTCGAGCATATCGGACATTTGTAACTAGCATTGCACCATTCGGCAAAACAGTCCTCATGAATGCTATGTCCACACCGCATAAACACCACCGACTTGTTGGAAGTAAACATGTACTCTCCACAGATGGGACAATCGCATTTCGTACTCCTCTCAATGCATTTGTGCACACTCTCTGCCTGGATTGACATACAAGCCCCACACGTTCTGCAATGGAAGAAGTCTTTCCCCAGACCTTGGCCAATTCGGCATATGCCACAGTCATCACAATGATAGATGGGCTTGTTCGGATCATCACTCCAGAGTCTGCAGATCCGACAGTAATAGCTGGCTGTCATGGTCCGGCATTCTCGGCAAAATTGTCCAACGGGCTGAGGAGTTTTACACAACATACACAACATATGTTTGGTCTCTCGTCGCGGCAGAGTATGATCTTCCACTTCATCATGGCACAACCGGCAAGGATACCATTTCTGACAGGTGTTGCATTGCATCTTGACATTTCGTTTATAGTGAACACAGCCCAAGTCTGGTGCAGCTGGCTCAGGCGGTTCTCCGCCCAGATTCATTTCGTCCTGCACAGGCTCTGGATCTAGTGGCGCATAAGTCGGGATCAAGTCTTCTGCAGTGACATTGTAGACTACATCATGGCTGACTCCAGAGGTTATTGAGACTGGGGATCCAGGGCTCCGAGAAATGTCGCGTGCTTTACTTGAGGCCAGGATTGGGGACCGTAACGCTTGAATGGTCAGATGACGTTCCATCATCAATGCATGTACCAGTCGGGACTTTTCAGCTTGTGTCCCTGGTCCATTCCGCACAGCATTAATCTTTTGTCTTAATACTCCCATGCCGTCGTCTTCTGGTAGTGTGCCTGATCCATTTCTTCTGCGCCGCTCATGCTCCTGGTAAGCCTCTCGCCTTGCGTCAATATCTTCGGTTTCGTCGAACGAACCGACATGAACAACTGCCAGCGGATCAGACATGGAATGTGGTCGCGCGCTGTCTTGATGCGCTCGTGATCTGTAGGATAATTCCTGGGCAGGATTCAGAGACCTGTCGCTACTGGTTCGATGTTCTTCGCCCAGGACAGGCCGCGAGGAAGATTCAGGCTCGGTGTCCAAGCGGGGAAACTCTGCTATAGCCGTGTCGTGGCTTGAAACCGTTCGTGCCAAATGGCCATCCATTGGCTCCAGCGGAGGTGAAGGGATCTGATCGTCGAACGCATTCAGCTGATTCACCCATAACTGTATCGTTCTTGTAATGGACTGCACCGTGGTCTCTTTATTCTCTGGTTCAGGCTCTTCGAGCGAAGGGGGCGGAGACGTCGTCCATAGACGGGATGGGTTCCAGCGTTGGAAGTCGGGAACAGTAGGGAGGAATCCGGACGAGGGCGGTTCTTCGGCAGTGCTGAGTCTGGAAAACCGTCGCGCTTGGCGAAGGACAGGTTCGACAATGAACGAAGGCAAATACTCACTCATTGAAGCCGTAGAGTATGCATAGTATGAAGAAATATTGTAGAGGGCGAAAGGTCAGTGCTAAGAGTTCGATCGGGTTAAGAGTCTAGACTGGATGGGAAGCGGGAAGGAGCGAGAACCAAGAACGGACAGTAGTACTGTAAGTAATACGAGAGAGTCAGTCGTATCTCGTATGGGGAAAGGAGAAAGCGGCGTAGATCTGACTGACGTCGATGGTGTGACGGCGACAATGTGAAATCCACCACTTGTCCATTTTAGGAATCATCTGTTTTGTATCTGTTATACACTACACCATTGTCTACATGAGTATCAATTCCTCGCTTGCTACTCTGTACTCTGTACAAAAAAAAATACACAGTAGGATTCTGCAAAAATGGCAAAAACTTAACTAGGATTTATCTCCCATAGGAGCCTAGTCAAGAAAACCCCAGTCGTGTAAGGATTTTTTTCCCCCAGATGCCTCCCAACTCGGGACCAGTGAAGGTCTTAAACCGATCTATGGTACTCGCTCTGGAATCTCCCCTGTCGCAGCGCTTACAACTTTTTCTAACCCTCTCCAGGGACGCTTGTTCCTCCTATGTTGTCCTCCCACTTAGTTGTCGTTGCCCCCAATTTGCCCCAGAATTAATATCCCACTGTTGTGCCCACTGTTGTGTGTGTTGAACCCTCGGATTGATATCTCACTGTGGTTGACCAAGTTGATTTGTTTGTTGATTGACTCAGTGAATTTATCCTCGTTGAAGTAAAGTCGTAATTGAATAATTGTTGACTGAACCGCGATTCGAACCCTGTGCCCATCTCGCCTAGAAGGAAACCGCTGACCACATGGCCATGTGGCCGTGACCTGAGCTCCTTCTAGGGGTCTTGGTGTGTTGAGGGTAAAATTGAACTTTCAATATGATAACCATCGATTTTTCGCCAGGTCTTCACTGTGGATAGCTCCAACTGATCAAGGTGCCCCCTTCAGCCTGCTCAACGCGCTCCTGGCCTTCCTCTCAGCCCATCCCAGTTCACTCCATCCCAAAGTCATCTTCCCACTTGAGTCAATTTGAAGAACAACACGTTCCACTGACACGACGCGATAGTAGTCTGATCCGTCCACATCCACGCTTTGTTGTTTCTTGTCAACCCACGTGTTCACTCGATGTCTTCTTTTGCCGTCGCCTCCAACTCTCGAAGCGTTACTTCAATTTCTGATGGCTCTGTGATAGACCAAACCCCACCCCCTTTGGTAGATGATCGGCCGACCTCTTTCGATACCAGATTGCGTCCGACTTTTCCAGGACCAAGACCAAGCCAACGACGAGTCCCAGCTTGTTTGTGCAAGTATTTAATCGAGTCCCACCACATGATTGTTCCCACGGCTTGGTGCGACAGGTTTTGGATCAGGTCTTCTTTGGATTGGAATGGGCGCGCGGTCACATTGCTGATACAGGGACATCGTCCAGGAAATGTTACCTTGTCGGCGGTCAGAGCCTTCCTCATAAATTCATATGCAGGCATCATGATAGGACTGTGGAAGGCCGATCGAGACTTCAACTCCACAGCCCGAGGGTCATGTCCTCCAAACTCGCGGATATGGACGAGAAGATTCCGAATCCGTTGAAAGCTTCCGCTGAGGACGATTTGGTTTTTGGAGTTGATGTTGGCGATCGAGACTTGTCGTATGGCAGGACGGGCACTGGAATCGTCCTTTGTACCTTCAGTCCCATGGCTCAAGAACTCTCTGACGCTGGCAACCAAGGACTCCATCTGCTCGGGTTCACAGACCAAGGCTATCATGCCGAAATCTTCTCCCGATTCCTCTTTGGCTTTCCTTGTGCATTCGCCCATGACCTCTCCTCGTCTTCGGACAAGGTCCAGGGCGTACGCGTATTCCAGGTTACCAGCTGCAACAAGTGCTGCATATTCTCCCAAGCTGTGGCCCAGAGTGACATCGATCACTTCTTCGGGCTTGAAGCCAAACTCTTTTTCCAAGACCTTCAAGATCATGATGGAACAGGCCATGATGGCGGGCTGCGCATTTTCGGTCCTGTCTATATCGATGATTGGCCCTTCCTCAATCAGTCTTGACAGCTTGCACTTGAGTATCTCATCCATCTCTTCCAAGATTGGTTTGCATGTCTGAGGAAATGCTTCGAGCCATGGCCTTGTCATGCCTTTTCTCTGAACTCCATGGCCAGGAAAGAAGAGGGCGGTTCGGAGAGTGGGCTCTGCTGGCGTACTATACGGCCTGGAGGTTCGAACGATGCATCTTGCGAGGCCGTGCAGGCCTGCATGAGAAGGACGATACATGGGAGAAGTGGAAGGGTTGAGGGGGTTCCTACGGCATCGTATTGAGCTGCCACGTTCGAGACATGTAAAGGAGGTAGTGTATGTGAGCAAGGCTCATCAAACCACTACACTTGGTCTGATGCGATGAAAACCAACAAAGGATGTCGAAGCATAAGACCCATTCATTCCCTTGCACCCGAGATGGGAATACGTGGGGAGCTTGGGATGCGGAGAGAATCCTCGTACTCCGTACTACAAACTCGGAACGAATCCTGCCGAGATTGTTCCAGCTGATGTTTATCCCTCCTATATCCAGTTGTCTGGTAGACCCAGTCAAAGGATAGTAATCAGAATGGTTCTTGCTCTTGTATTGTATCCAATGCCTTCGTCTCGAAGGGTCCGCAATAGTATTGCAGTATGAATCAGTATTCTCCTCCCTGAACATGTTCATCCGCCTGGAAGATGATACCACAAACAGAAAACAGTAGAACTTTTGAAGATATGCCTACAGACGTTTTGACACGACGGTGGTGATATGTATTCGTTTCTGCCGCACTCATGGCGACACCGCCCTCACGAATGACCGCGTGGAAGATGGCACCAAAATCCATTTTGTCCTTCGTGAATTATTAGATTGAATTTTCGATTTGCTGACCATGAAGAAAATGACACAACCTCTAACAAGATGAACACATAAACAGGGCAACTTCTGACCAAGTCCTTGCTTTCGAGCAGGTCACTACTATCCCAATGCCAGGGAAATCGCGTCAACAACGTCCAGAGACTGATCATGTCTCGACCGAAACCCCTCGAGTCGTGACACCAACGTCTCTGAATATCTCACTCACCGAGCCCGAAAGAAGCAATGCCTTCCTCAAACATCAGTCACTAGATGCGTACGTAAATCGCATCATTTGTTCAGAGTGGTGTATTTTACATCATGATCCAGCGCATGATACCGATGACAGGGTCTGTGAAGTGTTGAAGACGGGAAGATACCAACTCGGATCCACACAAGATCTCATGGAGCGTCCGGGGCTCATATGGCGTGAACTCGTCACTGACAAGGAAGTCCACCAACTACTCAGACCTGGCCCTCAATTCTTGGACACTAGAATCGTGATGGCACACATTTTGAAACTCGACGAGATCGTTCAGGCCTATAGACGATTTATCGACAAACGAGACCAGCTTGGGTTACTGGCGCGCCAAGTGGTGAAAGATGAACTCAAGGACGGCGGTCTAGCCAGATGGGATATTCTTATGAGGACTTGCGCGAGCCATTCTCATTCCATCTTCGAGTACCTCACGAGACACGTCGAGCGACTGGAAGACGATTGGATCGTAAAACCATTGACAGCTCGGATGCAACTACATTATTCTCACCCGGGAGGCACATTTTACACCCGTCGAGAAATGGTGGCTTTTGCGAGAGTGGTCAATGAAAAATGGATGATGATAGACCAGGCCCGGCTATCGCACGATCTGAAGAACGCAGAGTACTTGGCCCAACTGAACGCCGATGTTCGTGAACGTCTATCTCACGCCACGACCAAGTTCCTCAAACATCGTCCCGAGGTTCTCCGTTCGGAGTTGCTGACATCATGTTTCCGACTCCCGTACAACTGCGTTATCAAGTCTTCACTTTCAGTTGCTTCGTCCAAGGGGGCCATTCCAGTATTCACGTGGCCAGACGTCGAGGAACAACGGAGAAAGTTGAGTCTCGCTTGGCGGCAAGAAAATTTGTGAGACGAGGAATCGGATTCCTTGAGGGTAGATGGAAATGTTGAGACACGGATGCGATTTGGCAGGGGCGCAGGAAGCCAGAAACTGGCTACTGAGGTGATCTTCTAGGCTGGCGGTTTGCGGCGTTGATTCTGGTTCAAGTAAGAACTATGGCAAAGGGTCAATACGTGGCTCGGTTGGACAAAGGACGAGATCAGACATTGTCGAGACTTCGATCAATTTCATGCTTCTGCTACGCTCAATGTCAATCGAACATGCTTCTGCGAGACAGACCACAATCGGGTACTCGTAGATAGTTGATCTCATCGGCTCGGTGTCTCTGGCCTGGATCGATTACCTAATACCAGGCTATACCTAATCGGGTAGGTCTCTCTGTACTGTAATATTTTCCGTTGCAGTAGAGCATCTTCGCCGTCGAAGCTGCGCTGTAGCAAAGTCGCACCTCGAAACCATCCCAAGCTTCCAAGCCGTTGACGGACGTTGTGTGCGTCGTCATCGTTCAGTATGCCTCCGAAAACCTCGCGGCGCATTGCCGTTCCTCTACCTCCATCGTTTCTCCTCCCTCGACCGGTGCTCCGACAATCCATCACATCCTCACAAAAGCGAAACTTTGGCATCAAATCGATAGACCCTCCCAAACACAGCAGATACAATGTCGTGCCGGGCATCCAACCTCTCCTCTCTACGCCCGCCGCGGCTTTCGAGCGCAGGCTGGCGTCCGACACACTTCCCCTCCGGACCGGAGCTCTGGCCATCAAGAAGGGCATGACCGCCGTGTACGACGTCGAGTCCGGGAGACGCCTCCCCTGCACGGTCTTGCAGCTGGACCAGAACCAAGTGGTCAGCCACAAGACGCGGAGGCGTCACGGATACTATGCGGTGTGCGTGGGCTGCGGATCACAAAACACAAAGAACGTCACGAAGCCGATGCTGGGTCACTTCTCCGTCCAGGGTGTGAGCCCCAAGCGTCACCAGCGAGAATTTCGAGTCCGCGGCCCGGAAGGGCTGTTGCCTGTCGGTCAAGAGATCCGCGCAAACTGGTTCATCGAGGGGCAATTCGTCGACACGCGGTCAAACTGCAAGGGGAAAGGTTTCGCTGGTCCGATGAAGAGGTGGGGTTTCAAAGGTCAACCTCGAAGTCACGGTCACTCCAAGAGTCACAGATCACACGGTACGCTGGGTCAGGGCCAGGGTGGTGGTAGCAGAGTGTATCCCGGCAAGAAGATGGCTGGCAACATGGGCGGGCAGAGAAACACGGTGCAGAGTCTGCGAGTGTTGCAGTCAGACCCGGAGAATGGTTTGGTCGTTGTGAAAGGTGAGTTTCGGCAGACACGCATGCTTCAAAGCTCTTTTTGAATACTAATCTGTTGCTATTTGCAGGCGCCGTCAGCGGACCGAAAGGAACGTTGGTCATGATTCAAGATGCGTTGAAGAAGAATTGGCCTACCGTTCCCGAACCTCCGAGTCCAGCAGAGATCACTGAGAAGTTGCAAGAGGCTGCCAAGGTTGAATCATAATGTCCCGCCATATGCTGCTGCTACTTCTTAGCGCCAAAGCTCTGTACCAGTATCATACATTCCGTGAGTTTCATTTCTGGATTTGTGGCTATGAGGCATGTATAGGACTACAAATAGCAGAATTCAAAATTCGAATTCGTGAGATATCTATCTACGGGCGTGATTCTGTACTGTGATGGTTTCGTCAGTGTTTTCCAATGAGTCGCGTGGCTAGGAGTCTCGTCTATATTTTATTCAACGGTGCCAAGAATAAATCAATGGATTCCAGCAAACATACAATATTCATCGAGGAATGATTTAGATGCTAGCTTAGATGTGACATGAAACGACCACAATTTCGACCACTCTGTGAGGTACGTAAAGACATGACATAATATCTCCCATGACGACAATCTCAGATACGCCGTGAGTGCTCCGTGGAGAAGAGGCACCATATTACAAAAAGAGCATATGGTAGGGTAGGGCACGGTGGGGGGATCATGCACCCTTGTACTCGTACCTCATGCCCTGCAGCTCCCTCAAACCCATCTGGATCTCCCCGATGCTCCGTCTCGCCATGACGACCATGCCGAATATCACGGCCGGCAGGACCAGAAACAGCCACAACCCCTCCGGGACGTCCGCCCGCGCCCTGTATCCCACGGCGGCCAGGAGGAGAATCCCACATATGGCCACGTTCATATAGGGCAGGTATTGCTTGACGGGACCGTCTTCGGCGCTGGTCGCGAAGAAGGACAAGAAATTCTTTCCGGAACCTGAAGCGGTGCTCATGCCAGTCCCAAACACCACACTCGGTGGTGGCGGCCGTCCCGATGTTGATTTTGAGCCTGTCGAGGGTGATGTAGGAGCAGAAGAGACGGGCATGAATGACATCATGTAAGCGCTCGAGCCGAGGGACGTGACGCTCAACAAACACAACAACGCCATGATGCGCGAAGTGGCGATGAAGAGGTACCAAATAAAGGGGAGCGTGACGACCAGCGGAAGCGCCGTGAAGATGAGCCTGTATTGTGCGTTTGTGGAGGATTCCGAGGCTCGTAGTTTTGTGAGGAGGGTTTCTTGTTCTGTAAATTTTGTTTTCGGGGGAAATCATCAGTCAATCTGCTTTTTGTGCCCTGGTATATCTAGATATACATGGTATAAAATCGAGATCATAAGAAAGGGAGGGAGGGCAAACGTGGAGGGACCACAAAACAGTGCTCTGTTGGTTTGACTCACCTTGTTCATCCATTTCGTCGTGCGATACATCAGTCCCATCATCATCGGACGGGTATTTGAACGCTTTGCGCAGTCTGGTTGCGTTCATGGCTGGAAGGTGGTATGAGATAGGCCACCGAACCACAAATTGATTTGAAAAAGGCTCATGTGCTTTTCATTCGTCTTTTGGCTTAGAATGTCGTATACACCCACAGAAAGAGAGAGGGGGGGAGTCTCTATCGGTGCCTACACGCTAGCCAAGGCGCGTGATTTGGGAAATCTGACTGTATAAGCCTGGTACTCTCGAGTTGAGTTGTTGGGCTTTGAAAGAGGGACGTCGACTTGTCAATCTCAAGTTTGACGGGAGACGATCATGGACTTTTGATGAACAAACTCGATTCGATCCGGATTATTTCGACAGAGGTGTTTTGTCAACTAGGTGAGTACGTTGGCGCCGTGGAATATATATGAATCAAGATCCAGATGATGACAAGCCAGCAATGAAATGAACCGAAGTCAGGAATTCGCTTTGTCAGCATTTACCTAATCATCATCCCTTAACAAGGGGGACGACTACGACGACTACTACTACGAAAGAGCACTCCGCCTGACTTCTCAGGATGCTCACCGTCTGGAACCTGAGGCCTCCTTGCTTCGTCTCCCCTTTTTAGGATCTGTTCTTTATTCTGAGAAACTCATCTTTCCTCTTCCCGAGAAACAAAAGACATAATACAGAAGTATACTCTGCTCCTCCGACGACCAACAACGATGTCCAACGCGAATACCACCACCACCACCGGCATCAAAACCCCATACTGCTTCCGCTGTCAACAGCACCCTGACCTCGACGACCCACCCCTCAAGCGCTGTGGGAGTTGCCACTCACGAAGATACTGCTCGCGGGAATGCCAGCGGAACGACTGGCCACGGCACAGGGACGAATGTTGTCTCCTGGCTCAGGGCAAACCGGTCCCCAACCGTCAACGCACGACGATGCGCCTCAACTGGCATCCCTGGGGCGGGCCGGGCCCAGACACAATCTGCTACCTCAAGACCAGCCGTCCTCACCTCAAAGACGTGTCTCTCTCGGGCCCCTATTACCCATTCGACAGGGTCTTTGGTCAAATGTTCCACCACATGGCGGCGAACCACAGTCCTGACGGCCACAACACCCTCACGGAGATGCTCATGGCCGGGACCGCAAACTCCCTCCAACGCCTCAACGCTCCCTTGGAGGACGGAAACGTGATGCACTTCGAGCTGATCCGTGAGGAGAACCCAGAAGTCGCCAGACGCCTTCCCGGTGAGGTATGGTGTGTCTTTGTGGCCACCCCTCATCCCGACATGTATTCACGCACCGAACGCCGCCCAGAGGGGTTCATAGAGGCGAGCGACATGGAAGTGCGAGGCACGTTCACGACCGGCGAAGCAGCCAATGTCGCGGCCATCGAGATCCTGGAAAAATTGAAAGCTGAAGCTGGACCTCAGGCAGGAATCGCGAGACAGGACGCGGACGGGTTGGTCAAAGGTGGTGTTTACACTCGTCAAGGGGGTACCCTATCAATCAAACTGGTCGAAGCCAGACACGAGACTGGAAGCGTAACGAATGTGAGAGCAGGTTGAGATCGGCGAGCCTTGTATCAAAACAGGTCAAATACCCCAGGTGCCAAGAAAAGGGAAGTAACAACAGGGAACACAGACGGCCTGGCTGTCTTCATCTCTGCGATGGATCGAGAAAGATATAGAATCTTCGGACCCCTATGATCTTCGATGAATTCCTATTCCCCCTTTAGCTATTTGCAATATCGAATAGGATAGAAGCCACCGTTTCATCAAACCTGGGATGGACTGTTAAGTCTATTTACTCGTCGCATATCGGCGTCTGATTTGCACAAAGTACTGGAAGTGCCATAACCCAACTACATGTCAATGCTCTCATTAAATCTCAAGACGCCGTTGGGTTTCAGCATGCCATCGACGCCCTCGGGCATTACGAAAAGGCCACTCTGGGCGGCCCCTGTGGTTTGTGTAGACTCCTCTTCTGTGGCATTCGAAACGAGGACCAAGCCTGCATGCTTGATGGTTTCGATCAGTGCCGGAACCATGCGTAGAAGTTGTGCCGAGCATGTCAACCCCATGAAATTGTTCATTTGTGCAAGTCGTGCAGATTCTTTGATCGAGGTGCCGTGGCCCCTTAGGGAGCCAAGAGAGTTACACAGCAGGACTGGAAAATTTGGTTGTTTCCAATTCAAAGCCGTACAAACATTCGGATTGAAAGAGGAGAAGACGATCGAATGCGACAAGTCCGGAGAAGCATTTCGTAATGCTCGTGCATGATTGAAGACTTCAGTCAACAATGCATCGATGAACGTGTTGATATCGATGGTAGAGCATACTCCATGATTTAAATCTTCCGAGGAAGACGGATACAGGATATGTAGGTTGAGGTTGATATGCGGTGGTATAGAGCTCAAGACGTCGCGCAGAAGGAAGATAGGCCCTGACAGGCGACGTTGCCACGCGAGAATATCTGTTCTGTCGAAATCTGACTCGTCATCGATGTGAGCAAGGGAGCCAGCCAAACCTAATCCAGCCAGAATGTCGAACTCGAATTGAAACAATGGAACCTGGAGCTTGTCGTAAGGAACGAAATAAGAAGGGTAGACGACCGGAATTCCGTCTCGCGTAAGCTGCACAGTGAGCCTCAGGTAATCGCCTGACAGGCTGGAGCCAGTCACCAAGCCAGAATGATCGTCAAGGGCGCTGGTAGCCTTCCAATATGTTGCAAACTGTGTGATCTCCAAGGGCGTTCCTCTATAAGGCTTGATGACCTGAAAATGGAATTGTATCTGACCGACTGCTCGTAGCCTGGGGTCAAATAATGGAAGACAGCAGGTGCCGCTGCTGCTTTCATTCGCGCGGAAAACATCTGGAAGGGCAACAGATTTTGCGATCACCTTCGAGCCGAATGTCGGGAAGATCTCAAAATCCACCGCAAACGTGCTTAGATTGTCGACCTGGAAATAAATTGACCTAGAATCCTCTTGGATGGGCAACATCAAATTACGAGGTATAAGATCCGAAGTCTTCGATGAAATGGTCAATCGAGCAGCTGGATACCTTGCCTCGTTGAAAAATTGTATCGCCCGAGCGCGACTATCAAAGCTGATGGCGATAAAGGTTTTGGTGTCAAGGAAATTGTGTCCATATCGTCGCAGCGGTATTATCGGTGGAGGCAGTGAAAGGTCGGGTATTCCGTCACCCTCGGTCGCGGACGGTTCTTCAGGTGTGATTTCCATAGCGTTCATCTGGTTGTGAGGAGGGACGACAGCTCCCAGGCGTGAAATTTTCCTTTCAGCTCGACGGTAACTCGTCCGTTCCCATAGCAGATCCATGCACTGAAGATGACCTTCCCATGTGGCATAGTACATTGCTGTGAGGCCCTTCTCGTCCAAAGCTTCTGGATCCGCTCCGCTTTCCAACAAAGCACGCAAACACTCCACCCGGCCTTCACTAGCTGCATGAAAGAGTGGCGTCCATTGGTACAACTTGTCTCGTTGATTGAGATCCGCTCCGTGCTGTCTGAGAAGCAACAGCAGATCAGCTTTGTGGCTCGAACGGGCGACAAGATGTTGGGGAAACAGCCCTTCTGCGTCTGGTAAAAGCCTGGCATTCCTTTCGAGCAGCATGGTGGCGACCTCTATTGACTCATGCTGGCATGCCAGGTTCAATGGTATATGATCGGCCTCGGACTGCGGGTCGATCCTGACATTGCTTGCCAGCAACAAACGAACGCATTCAACACGATGACGAACGATGCTGTGAATCAGCGGGGTGAAGTTGTCATGATCTTTCAGATCGATGGTGCTTGGACCGGCTGCGAGTAACCTTTCGACCATTGCCAAACGGCCTCTGAGACAAGCATAATGCAGTGGAACTCGGCCGTAGACGTCAACTCTTGTAAGATCAACACCGTGCGCGAGACCATAATCCAGTACGCTGTCCTTGCCATAGATCGCAGCCTCGTGTAAGCAATTCCTTTCGTTGATGTCATCCTCGGCATGAATGTCGACCAGGCCAGAGTCGAGGAATGTGTGCAAAGATTCATCAGGGGCCTCACTGATTGTCGCCAGAAATATTCTCGTGAACCGCTCACTTGCATCGGGTGCAGCGCTTAGTCGAGAGATCCACTCACGAAGAGCAGCAACGTTGCCAGCAGCAGAGGCCTGCAATATTTGCAAATCGACGTCGCTTTCCTCTGTACCCACACGCTGGCCTATCATGCGGTCTTGAGGCTTCGATACTTCATATTGGATGTTCTCGCCTTCGGCCCAGGCCTCGAGATCAAGTCTTGCCGTGGTTGCTTTGTCCGCAAGATCTCGAAGTACATCTCGATTGAAGCATGGTTGGATCTCGACGGCCCTTTGAAGGTAGATTTCTTTCGTCCGCGACTATGTTCGTTAGCATTGGGTGCGAATACAGCACTGGATTTGAGTGATACCTTAGATGTCTTGTCCCACTACCAAATCAACGTCAGCATGACTCGACGATCTATTTCAGAACAACCAACAAACCTTTTTGAGAATTTTCGAAATTGCCGTTTCATTCACCTCTACAAATTGCTGCCTTCAATCAGTAATTGATCCTGAGCCACTCTGTGGGCCCATACCTGGAGCTTGTTAAGGTCATTGTCAAATTGTTGGAAACCTTCGACTAGCGTTGCAAAGCTGGCGGACAGTCTCGAATTTGCTGCGATTCGAGCCTGAATGACACGCTTTTTGGCGAGTAATGTTTTCAGGCGAAGTGAAAACTGGAACAACTTAGACATGAAATTGCCTGTTGACAAGTATACCATACCTCTGCTTCTTTCTGCAAGTAAAACACATTTACTTTTTCTATTTCACGCTCCTGGAATCCCCAATGAGCACAAACATGTCAGAGGATATGTGAGGCGCGATCATACCAATCGAAAGAAGAAAACCTCTTTATTTGCTCGTAGGGCTGCTTGAATGTCTTCAGTGGCGGATCCGCCTTGTGCCTCTATAGTCGGTGTTGCACTGAGCTGCTTGATGAGCTGCGAGGACAGGGTCAGCACTTGCAAGATAACCAAACCAAATAGACCTTCAGTCTCACCTTCTTGAGAGCTTTGTAATTGAGGAAGCTGGCCGCATATTCTGGGAGATCTAGTTGTTGGCGCTGTATCTGCTTTCCGAATTTCCTAATAGAGTTAGATACACCGCACAACGATACAAGATAAGGGAGGTGTACATGGTGTTGGTGGTACGTCAGAAGGTTTGTCGAATTTCGGCAGTCCGGTTATCGATCGGATGCACCAGATCCTACGCACTTCCCAGAGTCGTTCGCTCTGAAGGGGGCTGAGGCCGACACCACAGACTAAAGAATCAGTACAAGGTGGTTGGTCCTGACAGGCTGAGCATCGATGCTTGAGCAGCGGTGTGGCAGAGAATCAGAGTTACAGTCGCAGCGTTTGCCGTGGGTGATAATGAGCAGACCGCTGCTACTTAGATGCAGGTCATTTCCTTGTTGAAATTTTCCATATTCGGATTCAGCTAAGCTCTCGGTGGAATTTAGGATCATGCGAACGTTCGAAGCGAGAAAATCCTCAACAGTGGACGAAAAGTCATACGCCTGGCTGGGATTGAGATGTGTTGAACCGACGAATCACAGCATTGAGATCCAGCACGCGGGCGTGTTGGGGAAGAGATGGGACCCTTCGGTTGGTTGGACAGTGTCTGAAGGTAATCGAGAGTGAATGTCCAATATATGAAGGATTTAGGTCATGTTTCTGGAATGTGAGGTCGTAAAGCTGCTCTGAGTGTTTGTTATTCTGATGGGGATGGCGGACGGCAGCCAACAATTCCATGACAGCATCTTCCCAATATTATTTCCTCGCGCCTTCCGCGTTCCTGAAAAAGAGTGCAGTGCACCTTCAGCCAATGGGAAATTGTAGTCACGTGATTGTACTTCCAAGGCAGGCTTGGCGCACGTCACGGACAATCAGTCGAGACTGGCGAGGCCACCTTACCATAGTGAGGTTAGCCCCCTAGATCTCGAAAGGCATCAACGCCAAGTTACTGCATATCATCCGCATGCAGCAGAGCCTCAACAGATCTCAATTCTCTCAACCTAGGTGTTCCTCTACGCATGCATGGTGTCAAAAACATAAACAAAGAACCCATTGTCGTCGGCTCCTCTTGCATACTTGCACACAGCGTCCTAGCGGTGTCACATACCTCAGATGCTCGACGTCCGCGCTCACTTGATATCCGCTGTCATGACGTGCGCCTCGTGCAGGCACATCCCTTGATCAAAACGCAACGATCACTTCGCCGTGTTTCCTTTTTCTTCCCCCTTGGACAGAGACCTGGTATACTGATTTCCTTTTCTATTCTCAACACACCTCACCTACGTATAACAATACTAGTATCACAGTTGCAAGACTTGTTTCAGTTGCCCGGTACCACTAACAGCAACCATGCCTCCGATCCCTGTTCACACTGCATCGCCCATCAACAACAACACCCCTTCAGATCTATTCGGGACCTCTCCAAGCACGGCAGCAGCGCGCTATACACCTCCTAGTGCTGAAGCCAGCCCAACGGCGACACAACCGACCAGCACCTACCCTGCAGCTCGACCAGGCGCGCCGGCGGTTCCACAGCCCACCAACGCTGCCTCCGCCACATACAACAACAGACTGCAGCCAACTGCGACAGCCACACTGCCTACTCCCACAGCGACATCGAATGCGCCCCTAAGTGACAGTCCTCCCCCTCCTCAACCAGGCGCGGTTCCCTCTCCGTATCCAACGGCCTACAATACACCCGCGCTTTCGATCCCTCAACCGCCCATACCTGGGCCACATCCACAGCACACACCAACGTCTTCCGTAACATCCCCAGTTCGACACGCTTTGCCCTCGCCCACACCGACCCGTCCTTACCCCGTACCTTTCACTCCACAGCGGCAATTCCAGGATCTTTCCCATCCGCCAGGCTATATGCAAGATTCGCGTGCCTCATTCGACGACAAACCCGTCGAAGACTGTCAGCCGTACGAAAATCGTGCGAGCCCTTCATCTACGAGTCGGCGTGGCATTCTTGACAGCGAGCCCGTCTTTGACAATCGAGGGGACAATGACTCCATCTTGAATACCGCCATGTCTTGGGCAAAAGCTGCTGGTAAAAGCTTGTCAAAGACAGAGCAGGAGATCTGGAAGCATATGAATGGGGAAGATTAGATCTTGATAGCCAATACATGGATGCAAGAAATCAGACTTGTGTATCCTAGGACATGATAATGTGGTTGATCAGACCTCTTTCTGACACACTTGCAAGCACTCGACCAGATAGAACTATGATAACAATGCAAGGCAATCTAGTGATTTGAAAAAATTCTAATATGCACTTCAAGGGACTTTTTTAGTTTAGAAGGATGAGCTGCAAGATCAGGCAGTAAAGTACAATTGGGATTTGAGGAACGACGCAATCGAAAAAGTAGATCAAGTAAAACCCCGTGTCAATGAAGCCCGCCTTCAGGAATGGTGGCCATTCATCTCCATGCGTTGTACATCTCGATCCCATATCGCTTGCATTGCATGAGACGTCTATTTGCAACCAAAGTGTCTTGTGCACCTCCCTCACCACCATACCCCCAAAGCATCATACAGAACCCCTCTGCCTTCCAACTGAAGGCCCTCCATTACCCGCGCACCTTTTGTGTTGGTTTTGCGCAAGATCAGAACTAGCAAACGAATGCCAAAAACGGTCTTGCTGATCTTGCCATCGCAGTCGAATTGCGAGACGTTTAGCCGGAGCCACCCTTGAAGGCCTTGCCGAACATGAGGAGTTGGACTTGGTCGTAGATGGACAAGACACCAGCACCAGCGACACCACGGAGGATGTTGGCACCGGCACCCTTGAAGAAGGATCGGATACCCTCAGCAGCCATGATCTTCTGGGCAGCGTCGAGAGAGCTCTTGTACTTGACGGCCTGAAATGTGGTCAGCAAAGTATTAAGTGTGGTTTCAAACAGATACATACCTCGCCAGAGGTCATCATCATACGACGACGGATAGTGTCAAGAGGGTAAGAAGCGATACCAGCACCAGTGGTGACACCCCAGCCGAGCATGAAAGAGGCCAAGAAGTTACCCTCAAGAGGACCAACCAGGAGAACAGGCTTGATGGAGTCGTACATGCCGAAGTACAGACCACGGTAGACCACGATACCAAGAACGGAAGGACCGAAACCACGGTACAGACCAGCAACACCATCAGAAGCCAAGGTCTTGCGGTAGACATCAACCAGACCGTTGAATTGACGGTCACCACCACCCTTGGCAGCAGACTTAGCGTCGTTGGCAAGACGGGTACTATATCAATCAGTCACGGGAGCAATGTCAAAAAAGGTGAATGAAACATACCGGGCATAGTCGAGAGAGTAGACGAAAAGGAGGGAAGTAGCACCGGCAGCACCACCAGAGGCCAAGTTACCGGCCATCCACTTCCAGTATCCATCACGCTCCTTCTTGAAAGCGAACATCGACTTGTAGGTATCGCGGAAAGCGAAATTCAAAGCCTGGGTAGGGAAGTATCGGATAACGTTGGCAGTGTTACCTCTCCACAGAGACATGACACCTTCGTTCTTTGCGGTACGGCTGAAGCAGTCGATGATACCGTTGTATTTACGGTCAAGACGACCGGCCTTGAGCATTTCATCCTTCAAAAAAATGAGCTTGTGTCCAAAAAATCTCTCCTCCTCCTCGGCAGAAATTGTGCTTTTTTTGGTAGCCCAGAGAAAGCTAGGATGCGCCGGGAAAAGGACGAGAGATGGTAACGAGGGTGCATACCTGATTTTGGATCAAGAGCTTGACACGCTCAATGGGGGCAGCAGCGGTTTTCTGTGATTGGGGTCAGCTCAAAATCCTCGATTGAGAGATAGCAGTCGAAACATACCGAGACAGCGGCAGAAACACCACCCATCAAGAAATCGACAACGAAGCCGGGCTAGAGAGAGGATTGATTGTCAGTGATAGTTCTTTTGATGAGCTAGAAGAGTGCTGCTGTTGTGATCGAGCTCGAGGAGGTTGCCGAAACAGCACGGGATAAGGAAGCTGGGAGTTCATCACGCACCATGCCCATGAAGGACTTCTTCGCCTGGTTAACCTCACCTTCAACCATCTTGACGGTTCAAGAGATCAGTGATGACTATGATTGAGTGGAGAGAAGAAAAAGGATGATGAATCGAAGATGGAATGAAAGATGCGAAAAGAGAAGGGTTGATAAAGATCAACTTTTTCTGAGCTCCGGCACGAGCTAAGTCAAATCGGCTTGGCGGCTGGCCGCGCATTGATCTGGGAAGGAGCGACCGACAGTAGGAACGGGGCTCAGGTTTTTCCTCTCCGGCGCCCGCCCGGCTTATTTTCGCCCTCAATCAAAATTTGTCTCGCGAGAAAAGGAGGCCATCCACACATCCAGTTGCCATCACATACACTTGTCGTCCGCCTCGCCCAGGGCAACCGTTGCCCCCGTTGCCTAAGCTGTCCCATCGCTCTCCAACTGCCATGGCCATCCCTTGTTTTATCCTATCGCAGCACAGCTAATGGCCTTTGCTCGGCGTCTCCGGCCCATGGGCAACTTCAACTGCGCTTCCTTCCGTCCAATTGCTCCAATTGCCGCACCTTTGTACTACATAGTACGGAGTACGAGTATGCCTTTCCCACACGATCCATGCGCTTTTTCACGATCAAGAAGCCACGATCCACCTTGATGCGGCTCTTGTCACTACGGAGCATGTACCGAACGCTAGCAGATATATTCATTGGATAGTAAATGCTTCTAGAAGAGAGAAGCCTCGGGACACTGGCGATCATGCAAAATATTTCTCGAATCGATGGACAGGGGTCTTAATGAAGATTGTTCTCAATTTCTGCTATCATAGGAGCACATCAGGCGCGAGGCTGAATGTTGACCCTCGGTGTACACTTAATACCGCAGACAGTCACCATGTAAGCATCAGTCATCTTCCAAGATACCCGAGGCATTCTACAGCCAGGATGTCCGGTCATGAAAGCAACGGGTCATGCTGGAGGGCATCGAACAAGTTGACGCAAATACGAGTACGATTTTTATGCTCGTAGCGTACGGAGTACAGTACGGAGTATTTGTGACAATTATCCACCTGTCTGGAACCTCAAACGGTCTCATCAACCTCCACCTTGTTCTTCTTGTTGTTCCTTCTCCGTTTCTTTTTCCTCGTGCCCTCCTTGATGTTGTCGTCGTTACCATCCTCAGCTTCAAGCTTGTCTTCTTCCCCAGACTCTTTCGGAATAAGCTCAGAGGCTTCTAACCCATCTTCTTTTCCGAAAGTGTCTAGCCGCCATTTCCTCAAGCGTGCTTTCTTTCCCAGATGTCTTGCATCCTTTCGCTTCTTTTCGGGGTCCCTGAACGCTGCGAGCCTTTTTAGCCCTGCAAACTCGTTCAATTGCTTGTCATCTGCCAACAGAATATCCCTAGGTGTCAAGCCGAAACTCTTCGGGGACGTCTCGCGATACCTGAAGCCAGCCTTCTGGGGCACTGAGCTTTCCAATTCCAATCGTAACTGATCCTCCACCAACTGCTCTATGATTCTTCGCTCCTTCCGTGCATCTCTTTTCTCATCGTGTTTTGACTTCTTTCCCTTCTTCTTCTTGTGTTCGCCCGACTCTTCGTCAGACAAGCTGAATTGTGCCCTGTCGTCATCTTGGAATTCTGGAACGATATCTTTGATGTCAATGTCATCGTCAAACTTTGGTTTGCGGACTTTTTTCTTCTTCTCCGCCATCTCATCATCGCTGCCGACTTCCTCTTGTGCATAATATTCATCCCCAAACCGTTTTTGCATTTCTTCTTCCCATTGGGCATCGTCCCAATCATCATCAACAAGACGAGACCAATCTTCGGGTTGTAAATCGTTCGTACTAAATCCTGCTGCCTTTTTGATCCTCTTTAACTTCTCCTCCAGCTCTTCAATCTTCAGCTTTCGCAGACGAGCTTTTTCTTCTTTGCGCTGCTGTTTCTCTGCTTCCTTCCTCGCCTTCTCTGCTTCTCTCTTCTTTTGTCGTGGATTCGTCTCGTCTCGCCTTACGGAATACTTCGCGGCCGCGTCTCTGGCATGCGAACGTAACTTCTCATTGGATTTTGCGGGATCCTCAAATCTCAGGTTGTAAGCCTCTTCATATTCCTCGGCTCTCTGCTCTTCTTCCTCATCATCAGATTCGAAGGGATGTAGTTTCGAATCAGGTGCAGCCCAGGCTCTGGAGACCATGAAATTGGACAGAAAGGTTTCGGGATCCTTTTCAGCATTGTCGACATCAAGTGTAATCTGTTCCCGAGATGGACTCTGCTGTTCTTTAGCGACTAGAAATTCATCTTCCTCATCCTTGCCCCTATCTTCATCCTCTGAGCCTGATGCAGCGGCTGCAGCAGCATTTATCTCCCCAACGACAGACTTTTTGAGTTGTTCTTGTTCTTCAGTATACGTCAAAGGGGTAGGCTCATCTTCTTCTGCGAGACCACCATTCAGCAGGTTCTGTCGGTGATAGTCTTGAAGATGCATTGGTTTGTCCTTCTTTGTTCTTGATTCCGCTGGTGTAGTCTCCTCATTCTGTGTGTAGAAAACCACAGACTGATCGTAGACTCGAGGATCTTTGGAGCGAATAGCCTTTATGGTTGCCATGATCTCTGAGTCGAGGGCCGCTGTAGCAAGATCTCCTTCATCTTCAGACTCACTTGTAGATTCGTCGGAGGAGTCATCGTCGGATGCAGAATTTTCGGTTCGTTTGCGTTTGCGGGACGCTTCGCCATGTATTTCTGATACTAATTTGGTTAGCATATTCTGATTTAACTGCCCACAATGTTCTCACATCTCTGCAATTCTTCTCGCTTTTTATTGTATTCGAACCGGCGAGCGAAGGATTCGTTGACTTTGAGATCCACAGACTGGACTTCTGCGCCTCCATCTTCGCTGTCAGAAGAGTTGTCACTCAATAGATGTCGAGCCATTGCGAGGGCTGTGGGGTGGTACTGCTATTGTAAGTCACTTGGTGTGTATGCACATCGTACTGTAGACCTGCGGCGTCTTGCGTCTGCGAAGAGAAAAAGTTGTACAGCCTTGCGTTGCTTGGCAGGGTCTCCATTCTCTCCATCGCCACGGGCCCGCAAGGCTGCCATTGACGTCGACGCTTGTCTGCGGCCCCAATTCATGCGTGTTATTCTAGTCTATGGTCATACTACAACATCCCATTTCATACACCTTGATGTTTGCAGCAATAGAAGTAAAGACTTCTATACTTTAAACTCCCTGAAGATGTCGTCAAACACATATGTAAATTCAGTATCCCAATAGAAGGTTCAGATGTAACCACCTCAAAGACCCCCTACAATGTCTCAAGCACTGCAACCTGCTCAGGACGTTGGTCGACTGATCAACCTGGTGCCCGTGGGTCTTAAAGAGGCAGCGATTGACTCCCCTACGGCACGAGCGACAGTTATCCATTATGGGGAGCAATTGGATTTGCTGGAACGCTGGCTCGATGACTACATGAAGGCATCAAATCGACTTGTTGCTGAGTCTCTGACCCTCGAAAATGTTGTCAATAGCTTCATCTCCCACTCTGTCCTTCCGACCACGATATCCGAATCAATGTTGGATCATGACTACTGCGTGTTGGCTATGAAAAGATATGGAGAGGGGGCGAAAGACTACTGGATGAGTATGGTGGGTGTGGTTAAGAGATTGAACACAATGGTTGCGGATCCAATAAGACAATTCCTGGCGAATGATCTGAAATCGTTCAAAGAAGCTCGGCGGACAGTAGAAGCTTCACAAAAGACATTTGAACATCTACAATCCAAGTATGCAGGGCTTGCAAAGACCAAAGAGCCGTCGTCGATAAGAGAGGATGCTTTTCAACTACACGAGGCACGAAAGTTGTACCTCAAAGCCATAATGGACTTTTTCAGTCTAGCGCCACAATTCAGATTCTCTTTGGACAAGTTGTTGGTCAAGGTATTCTTCGAGCAGTGGCGTGAAATGAGAGTGTCCAGGGACAATACCGTTGCTACACTTCAGCGGAGTGCAGACGAAATGCAGAGAGTAAAAGGATGGCTGAACGAGATGGAAGCAAGCGAGAAAACATTTCGAAAAGAGCTGCTGACTGTCAAAAAGCAGTTGGAAGACACAGCAGAGCTGAGCGCTCGACCCTCGCGAGAGCTAGATGATTATAGCCTGTCAACCATCCCACAATTCTCCGCCCACACTCATTCAGCAAGCAGTTCAACTTTACAGCAATCACCTAAGAAGGTGACTGTACAGGCTGGCGAAAAACAAGGCTGGCTATTTCTTCGAACCTACAGTGGCAAGCCTACAAGGACGATTTGGATTCGAAGATGGGCATTCATCCGCAATGGTGTCTTTGGTTGGCTTTTACAGAGCACCCGGGCTGGTGGCGTCGATGAGAGTGAACGCATTGGCGTCTTGCTCTGTAATGTTCGGCCAGCTCCGAACGAAGAACGTCGTTTCTGCTTCGAACTCAAGACCAATAAGAACACTATCTTGTTACAAGCCGAGACTCAAGCAGAATTGGTTGACTGGATTGGAGCGTTCGAAGCTGCGAAATCGAAGGCCGTCGAAGATCCTGATTCGACACAGAATCTCAACGGCGGCGGAAATGTACAAACTGGAGCGGCCTTTGCAATCTCCGCACCTCCCATCCCCGAATTTGGGACATATATATTAGGTTCGACTGAGCCAGGTGCTGGTGGAGATGATCTTGCAGCTCTCGAGAAGACCAACACATTGCCGCTTCCCGGAATCGATGGGCGAGAGACAAGTATGGATTTGCCTCGACGATCCACTGCAATGGAAGAAGGTGGTCACCGGGAAACTGCGTCACGCATTATCTCGAAACTTGATCTCCATCGGAAAAGTGCCGCTTCGCCTCAAGTGTCGGCAAGTCCGTCTACGCCGAACTTGGCTGCTGGAGGAGGCATAGCAAGCCTGATAGCAGCAAGCCACGGTTCAATGCCTGTTGGACCCAGTATTCCTATGGTACACAATCCGGAGATAGAGTCGAAACCGCGAAATCCATTTATATTGGCGCTCCGAGATATGCCTGCGAGTACGTTGGCCCCTTCTACATTAGCTGCAGTACCATCACCTACAAATTTCAGCAAATCGGCTGTGATTATCACAGGGGAACGCGGACTCAGTCCCGCCCCAGAGAAGAGCGGCATTCCGACAAGCCTACTAGCGAACATGTGGGGGACGTCAAACACTGCTGTCATTAATCGACTCGAACGAAGCGAACCGAGAACGGGGTCTGAGGTGAAGCTTCCCTCCCAGCCGACACCCGTTCTTCAGTCGAGTTCTTCACCACCAAAGTCATCTGCATCTCCACCACGTCTTATCCCACAGCAAGCCATCGCGCACCTCGACCTGGGTATTCCTCAATCTACGACCCCGACTTCGACTAGAAGCCGTACCCCATCACCAAGCAAGAGAGGTCACAGGAGTACAATAAGTGTGGATCGAGACACGTTCAGGTTGCTGAGGAGCGAGCTTCTCGTCCCTGATTTCCCCAACTATTACCCTCTTCAGCTCAAATCTCAGGACGCGCAATTTAGACTTCTCTTCCCCAATGTGCGACGGGATGAACGCCTTGTCATGGTGTTCAGGGCTACGTGGAATCCAAGTGAGCAACAGGAGTTTCCTGGTCGCGTCTATGTCACTTCGAAAGATTTATACTTCTACAGCAATCATATGGGTCTTACTTTGACTACCAGCCTGCCTCTTGCCTCGATTGAAGAAGCAACGGCGGCCCCAGGCAGGGACTGTGATTTCGTCTTTCTGCATTTGAAGGATGCAGGGACTGATGGGGGACCCCGGAGAGTGACCATGAAGACCTTCTTGGAGCCACTGAAAATCCTTCAGCGACGACTAAACTATTTGATCAGGAACAGCGTATCTGAAGAGCCTGCCGAGCTGGAAGAAGTCATCAAGGCGCTCCTCAAACTTGAAACTGACGCACCAGATCGAAGTCCAAGTCTGGAGAGTTGGGAGGACGTGTCACCGAATACGCCCGTAGACACAGGCGGCACGAGTTATCGTGGCCGTGCATCTACTGTTGGTAATGAATTCCGGTCCCCCATACGCGTTGACAGAGCTCTCCACGAGACACAGCTGGGGCGAAGAGAGTCCAAATTCAAACTGCCTGCTCAGCCAGTCAAATACGTCCCTCCCGGAGACCTTAAGCTTGCGGTTGAGAAAGAGTTTGACATCAGCGCCAAATCATTGTTCCATGTTATGTTCGGAGACAAGAGTGCCCTATGGCAATTGTTACAACATGAACGTAGAGCCAAAAATCTCAATCAGGGACCGTGGTTGAGTTTGGGTGAAGGCCGGCTGCGTCGAGAATTTGCCTTCGATATTCCCACGACGAACTTCATCGGTCAGGAAACCTGGTCAAACGTCAGAGACTATCAGGTCGTCGATGTCAACAGTGACCATTTGTGCTATGTGGTGACTGACAAGCGAACGCCATGGCATTTGCCTTTTCGGAGCAGGCACCGCCTCGTAAGCAAGATTGTCATCACCCACGTCGCCAAGGCAAGATGTAAGCTTGCTGTGTTCATCAGAGTCGAATGGTTGAGCAACCCATGGTTCCTGGGAGATATGATACAACGACAAGCCATGTCCGACTTGCAACTTGATTCTCACGATCTTGCAGATCTTGTCGCCGACCAGGTGCGCAAACTTGGACCACATAGTCGCACGAAGAAAGCCGTCCACATTTTCGGCCAGGTGGGTCATGCCACTGAGACTACGCAGTTGCTTGTCAATGACTTGGCCCTGAATATCGAGCTCAGACGACAGACTGCCCCCAGGACGATCACAAGCCTGTTGACGCAATCTGCGAGATCGGTCGCCCAAAGTGCGGCCGGAACGATACTGGAAGCTTTCCTCGATATTTTGAGGTGGCTAGCGAAGACGTTCTCAGCTAACAAGTTCATATTGGCGGCTCTCGCCTTCAGCGCTCTCTACAATAGCTGGCACACCTATCGCGACACGATGGGCTGGTGGCATGAACGCCGTGCAACCAACTTCATGGCTCGACTCGGCGTCGCTCCGGACGTCGTCATGAGCCGGACTGTTTATCTGAGTGATCTGGATGAGATTTCGCGCGGTGAAGCGCATTCGCCATCGAGCGGGGACAGCGTCTGCTACAGCGTATTCCACGACGAGCACGATCCTGAGCACGCCCACGCGTCTGTCAGCGAGCCGGCAACTCTCCAGGTTTTGCAGGCCCGGCAGCGTTTAGGCACTTACAGACATGACCTGGCCGTCGGGATGCGCGTTGTCAATGTGATCGAGAAGGAACTCATGCAAGCTGCGTGGGAGCAGTGGGTGGTCGCCGAGAACCGACGGTGCCGCGTCGTCGAGGGGCTAGTGCTGGATGATTCGAAGGGGAATGCAACGGATGTTGATGAGGACGTGAGGAAGTGGTATGACGAGTATTGCGCGAGTTGTCGAGACGAATATGCAAAGATACGTGTCTGATTTTTGAGTTTGGCGGTTGGCATTGTGATAAGCGTTTCTTGTACGTTGAAGTTTGGCTGGCTTCCAGTCTCACACAAAAGCGCCACACAAGAGATACCCTGGTGAGCGTTTATTGATATCGTTGGTTCTGATGACGTTGGAATGAAGCTGGGTTGGTGGAAGGTTGGAGGGTGGTTGGGGGTCTGTATGATTGACCGAGGTATACCGAAGGGTACCCTGTTGGATTGGTACACTTTTAAAGCTTGTATAGTACATTATTCATACAGTCGCTCACTCATACACTTCCGATGCCGTGCGTTCCGACTGATCGCTGGTTATACTTGGACCGGCCTTTTTTGTTATTCTGGATCGAAACCGGTACGGCGGGTGACTCAAGTCAGACTGTCGACGTGTTCGACACATATATATCTCCGAAATCCAGGGCGTGTCCTCACGGCGTCCTTGTCGGTAGTAGAAGTGTCATCGACCATTTGCACATCGCCTTGCGTGGCATCATCTAGCTGACCTTGGGGCCTGGTTTCAAGTGTGTCACAGCCATCGGTGCTGTCCTTCATATGTACATCATCAACGGCGTCGGTTTGGGACAAGGCAGCAACGGGAACGTCACCCTCGTTGGCACCTAATGCATGATCCGTCCCCGCTTCAGGTTGTAGGAGAACGGTGTATCCTTCAATCTGACCCATGGGCTGAACTTTGTGGGCTGTGACGCAAAGGCCGAGCCATTTGGATGCCCGATCGAGGCGTGACAAGTCTTGGACGCGTGATTGTTTTCTGGTCCCATCGTCAGTTATTTAGGCTCGACGTCGTCCCGTTCGTGAAGAGCCCAGAGCGGTGCATGTTTGTGCTTAAGCATGTACATGTACGGGGCTCAGATAGAAATGAGATTTCGAATCTGGCGGAAATCAGGACTCGTTACTTACATGATCGCACATAGCAGTTCCAGTGTCCACTGTGCCGGAACCAAACCCGTCCACGTTACCACTTTGACGGATGCGCCGCGGGAGTCTGTCGTCGATTCTGACAAATCGGGAACCTGATAGCGGCTTAGGAACGGGTCGACGTTGTCCGTCGTCTGAACGCGGGGCGATGCGAGTGCGAGCATATCTACGAACTCGAAAAGGTCATGGATCGACTCTTGCGTTTCCTCAGCCGGTTTTAATCCTGGAAGCGTGGGCAACGAGGTGGTGAGCGTCGACGGGAATCGGACGCCTCGCAAGGTTTGTATCGTGGGCGAGAAGGACTGGATTGTCGGATGATGGGCGCTGATGGGTCGTTGGAGCCTTTCAGAGCCTATCAAGTGAAGTGAGCCTGCGGCCACTTTGGAGAGAGGTGTGTAGTGTGTGATATGTGTGTGTAGGTCAGCTTATGGCATACCTTCTTTGAAGTTGAAGTCCGCAAAAAGCCAACAGAGGCTCCGATTCAACACATTCTTCGCGGCCCACACGAGTTTGTCGAAGCCCTTTTTCCCTCGGAGCATCGAGGGAAGTCTCAGGTTGTATTCGACGACTAACATCGTACGTCAGCAAGCAGTACAACTCTAAGAGTCTGGGTATGCCTGTTCGAAGGGATTTCATAATCGCCCTTAAAGATTACGTCTGGCAAGTCGGCGGGTATAGTTCCAACGGACACACTCACCATATCTTGATTTGACGTGCTTGCGACCTCCGGATCGTATTGGAACTCCTTGGAGACCGGCACGCTTGTAAACTTCTTGAGACAAGTCCAAGCGTAGTACCCCTGTATTCTGATGTTAATGGTTTTTCCTGCTTTGCCGGTTTGGGGGGAAGCCAGTCGTTAATTTCCGCTTACCTTGTCTCAGGGAAAAAACCTCATCCACTCCAGGCTGCCCTTCAGATAGCATGAGAATATTTCCTAGCGTGGCACCTCACGTCAGCTGAACCGATATAATTGGAAGCCACCAAGGTCGTTGAGCTAAAGCCAGGCTCACGGCTTACCTATCTTAATGTACTCGTTGAAAAAATCTCCTTGGAGCACATCCTCGAGTTTCATGATGACTTTTGCATACTCGGCATTGGCTATGGAATCGTCAACCTCGCGCCATATGACATCATATAGCTCTTCTGGTAAGGTTGCCGTGACTGTTTGGACGAATTCGACATTGCGAACAGTCCGCCATGGAGCCCTTTTCGCGGGGGCTTCCGAAGGTGAGATATACGGTGGGAGAGATCCAGATGTGACGTAGACCTTGGGAGAGGGTCCCTCGGGCTCTGGCAGGATTCCTGGCATTTTCTTATTGATGGTGTTTCTGGATTTCCAAAAATAAGGGTGGGTGATTGAGGATCACATAGGGAGTAGTCAAACGGAGGACATGCAAGTAGGTTAATCGAAACAAGAACAAGGCTGCGCAGGTATAATGTGATCTTCACAGCCTTGTCTTGGCAAAAAAATATATCCGGTCATTAGAAATCCACACGAGGGTAATTCTCGCGGGAAATCCCCTCCACCTCCCCTGCTACTGCCATACTGATTGGACACAGATGGATCTACCTCGTTTGTTGGCGTCGTACGAATACACTTGGTGACGCTGTTTCTTCCATGACGAGTCCTTGCTCCTCCGAGTCTCCCTTGATCAGCTTGTCTGGCAGATCCTCTGGCTGTTGGTAGGTGGACAATAGTGGAGGAAGTTGAAGTCGATCTGCGAGTTGTACTCACCATCATGACCCAGAAGTGACCATGGCGTGGAGACTTCTTGACAAGGTGTCTCGCAACCGGGTTTTGAGCTTTATTCACCCCGAGGCCCGAACAAGGGTTTCACGCCCACAGGTATAAGACTGCGAAGATGTGAACGACCCAAGGCCAATGGCAAAGTGCCGGTCTTACCTTGCCCAAACCTTGCAACGACAAAGACAACAATGGCTTCCGAAGATCGATTCGATGTTTTGATCGCTGGCGGGGGGCCAGCAGGTCTGCTCATCGGTTTGGGCCTGGAACGGATGGGAATCCATGTATGCATTATTGGTCGGTGGACATCCCTCTCTCTTTTGCAGACTGATGTTCTAATAACAACATGGGTAGAGCGTCTTGTCAAATCGGAAATTCCAATGTACGGTCGTGCGTGCACACTATATTCACGAAGTCTAGAATATCTCGATCAGTTCGAGCTTCTCGACGATATGACTCAAGAGGGCTTCATTGGGCGCGGATCCGTCAACTTCGACAAGAATGGAGTACGAAATGTGGACAGAGGATGGCACAAAATTTTCCATCATTCAAAGGACTCATACTTTTCTTGGCTGCTGAACTTGCGGTTGAAGTATTCCGAAGACATTATTCGCGACCATTTTATCAGGCAGGGTGGTACGTATCGCGATGGCCTAGAACTTACCAGTTTTGATCACGATGGGGAAACGACAAATGAGTACCGTCAAGCTCATATCAAGGATATGCGCACGAACCAGAGTCATATCTACGAAAGGTGGGTACCTATGTTCAGATCATGATCTAGCACGCTGAGTTATCTGGCCATGAATAGCCGTTTCCTAGTCGGTGCAGACGGTGCCCGTTCTACCACACGCCGCTTGGCCAAGATCTCAACTCAGTCATATGGCTCGCCCACTCCCATCAAATGGGTCCGGATGGACGGCGTGGTCAAAACAGACATGCCGGACCACAGCCTCGGGTTCGCATCGCTCGAATCACCAACGCATGGCAATGTCCTGTGGGTGGCTCTGGATCACGGCCGGTCACGTATCGGCTTCGCTCTGAACCCCGAGCTGCAGAAGAAGTATGGTGATTCGATGACTGAAGAGCAGGTTATGGCGGAAGCACGTGTAGCCATGAAGCCTTTCAAGGTGGAGTTCTCTCGTCTCGACTGGCACACCGTCTACGGGTGAGAGTTGCCCCTTCCCCCCCGTCTCAGGCGTGACGCCAGCTGACCATACACAACGCCACAGGATACGGCAAGAATTGACAGATCAGTACATCAAGAACCGTGTCGTCTTGGCTGGCGATGCATGCCATATCCACTCTTCTGGCCTCGCACAGGGCATGAACACTGGCATCCACGATTCGCTCAACCTGTGCTGGAAACTTGCTGGCTACCTCAAGGGCTATCTCAAGGCAGAGGTGCTGCAGACGTACGAAACCGAGAGACGCGCTGCGGCCAACACCTTGATCAATATCGATCGCATTGTGTCCGAATTGATAACAGGCAGAGTTCCGCCAGAGCTCGTGGTCAATGGTGGTGCGGCGGACCCTAATGCTCTCCTGACACGCTACTTTGAAGAGTCGATCCAGTTCAATATTGGCCTTGGAGTCGATTACGCTGCCAACATTCTAAACATGTACCCTACCGCTGGCACTGTCCAAGCGGGTCATCGGCTTCCGGACGTCCTGTTACACCAGCCCGGGCACAGTGTCCCGACGCGGCTTTACGAAATGCTTCGTTCTCGCGCCGAATTTTCGGTGTTGGTCTTCACGGGTAGGCCTTGGGTGACGAAAATGAAACCCACGGACAACCTTGACTGTGTTCACCACGCCTTCGGAGATGCAGGGTCGAAATTGGTCAATTCTACTTTGATCCCGCTGAAGCAGATTACCATCGTGGCCGGTAGCGGCTCATCGGTCTTTGACCTACTAGGCAGACCGGCGTATGGACAGGCGTGTTACGATCAAAGCGAAGCCGCCTACAGCCGGTACGGGATCTCTGCGGAAGACGGAGCTATCGTCGTTGGTAGGCCCGACAGCCTCGTTGGCTTTGCGTGTCGATTTTCCGAGGCAGAGAAAGTTCTGCAGTATTTCAAAGCGCTAGAGCCTCAGACGCGTATCGTGTAAACTCTAGAAAGTACACTACACCCATAGTATTGCATCAAACCGGTATGCTTCCAGAATCCTCGCTCTCGCCGAATTCTCTACCTGCACTATAACCTCGACCTTGTTAAGGTATATGAGACTGACCACATAGAAGTCGTGACCATGGGAACACCACTCTAGGAAAGCCCCGCATCCAGGAGAACACGGCCTGCGATACTCCGCTGCTGTTGGTTCCAGGCACTCACAGTCGCTCCACCTTAGGCGAGAGGATCTGGAAACTCCATGTCAGCCACAACGTGTCGGCTTCGTTGAGCTCGTCCACTATTGCCGAGAATGTTGCAGGAGACTTGCTTTCTTTCTAGACGAAACAGGAAAAACAATGTCGAAGAGGGACCTGAGACGACCAAACATTATCAGATCTTGTTCTACCCGATCATAAGATATTACCCAAACGATTATAGATAAGACAAATACCCCGTTTCGTTTCCAAAAGACACAGAATCACTGGTACGGAGTGAAAGGGCTCATCCTCTGTAACTCGGTCTAGTCACTTTTATCACCTCGCTCGATTCAAAGTTCCCACTCTTGAGATTGTTCCTTGTCATCGCCATCGTCGTTGTTGTTTGTCTGCAGGTAAAATCTGAGAAAACCCGGCCCAAGGACCCCCCCCAAAAAATGTCGGAAAGACAAAATCCCCTAAGGATGACGCCCAAAAGCGTCCGCGCCGCTGGACATCGAGGCCACAGTGCCGGAGCGCCCGAGAACACACTGGCGGCGTTCCGCATGGCTCACGAAATCATCAAAGGCGGCGGTCGGGGTGGTGCCGGTGAGAACGACCCGAACAACCTTGTGGTGACTTGCGAGACGGACCTGGCTTTGACACTGGACCACGAACTGATCCTCATTCACGACGAGACGGTCGACCGCACCACCGACGGGCACGGTCTCGTCCGGAACATGACGTACGCGGAAATCGCCTCCCTCGACGCAGGCAGCTGGTTCGACCCGTCGAGAAGGTTCAAGGGTGAACGAGTACCTCTACTACGAGAAGCGTTGCAACTCGCTCGCGAATTAGGAGGCAGCCTCGTCTTCCAGCTCGAGCTGAAAGTCTACGGACGGGACGACATCATTCTCCCCAAACTGAAAGCCCTGATCGACGAACTACAATGCGCCGACCTCTTGCAGTTTTCTTCGTTTGATTTTGTCCAACTCCGCGCCGTCAAGAAGCTCATCCCGGACGTCCCGACCGTCGGCCTCTGTCATTCGAGACTGATTGACCCTGTGGCCGCGGCGAGGGATGCCGACCTGGACGCCTTCAACATCGAAATCTACCATTTCCCCACCAGCGGTGAACAAGTCCAGAAGCTCCACGAAGCAGGCTTCGCCGTCTTCTTGGCCGTCCTGCCTCTCGATCCGCTGGAGACCCTCAAGTCCTACGGATCCGACGTCGAGGCTCAGGTGGTTGAATGGGTCCGTCAGGGTCTCGTGGATCAGATTGTGAGCAATGACGTTTCCGAGATGATCAGGATACGAAACAAAAGTTTACTGAACTAGTCGTCTGGAATTCATGACTACTTCCACCTGTGGGCTTACGATGCCCCCAATAGTGCTGGAATTTTCCGAAGTATTTATTACAGTTCGTGTATGTTCCCGACAAAACCTTGACAACTACATATGAGATATTGATCCAGGTTCTTCCCAAGACGATCCCAATTGATATAGATACCTGATTTTGTACTGGACAGTCAACACCAAAGCTTTAAAAGCCAGTGTTCACTTGGACCAAACCTATTTAGATGAGTGCCGGTGGAACGTTGAAAAATCGACAACAAAAGTACTTTGTCGTCACCCTCCTCTGTTCTGTCCTTTGCGCTTCGCTCAGAGCTTCCGCCAGGGACGCTACAAAATCGCTTCTACTCAATGGACTGCTCGTGGTCTCTCTGAGACGAGCCACGGCCCACCCCGTCTCTTCGGGCTGGGTATTTTCAATGGCAAACAGGAACAACGGACGAACATATCCCGGGTTCAAAGCTCCGTTTTTGTTTCTCACATTCCAGTCACCTTCGATGACTTCTCGGATCTGGCGTAGAGCTGGGCCAGATTCCGGCGACGGAAAGGGGGGATCTCCGAGTATACGCCTGAGAGCGACTGTCTCGATGGCATACGCGGCAGTACAAAGGCCAGCCACGGTGATGAGGGGTTCGGCTATGGTACTGCGCAGGTCCTCTCGAAGCTGGCTCGGTTGGAAACGCAAGGGTCCCGGACGAGCGTCCCACAGCGTCGTCATGTCGTTCTTGAGGCGGACCGCAATGTCGGCAACTTCGGCCTGGTCTGACGGGGCGATTCGCGATCGGCGGTAGTGGCTCAGACCTTGGATCTGGTTCGAGATCCTCTGCAGTTCGAGGTAAAACGCAAACACCGGGGCGCTGATGATGTCGTACATGGCGTCTGCCGAATCCGCGTAGCGGTCTAGGATTGAAAGGCTCGGGACCAGAATGATGTTGTTGCTGAGGAGACTGAACATGGTCTCGGACATGATGCCGCAACTCCCAACACGTTTCGTGGCGACGTGCAGGAATTGCAACCAGGTACAGATTCGCAAAGAGATCGGCGATATCTGTAGACTCCGCAACCACGCCCTCAGCCTCGTTTCGAATGCCTGGTTGAATCCGCAAAAGGCAGGCCCATCCTCGTTCGGCAAAATGACCTCGCATAGGCAGAGGAGGAAAGCGACGGCAAGGATGATGTCAAAATTGGTTTCGTCGTCGCCTACCATGGTCTGAAAATTCGCCACAGCTGCTTGATACTCTGATGTCGCGTTGGAGATGGGCAATCCGTTGATCAGGACTCGGTACAGATTTTGAGTGACGAGAATGGCCGTCGCTACCGTCAAGTCCTGAACCGCCAATTGCGTGATGTGGATCTTGAGTCTTGTCCAATTGAGACGGTCAAAAGGTGAAATAAATGGGCAGTCGACTTCATCAATAAAGTACGAAAACGAGCGAGGTGGCTGCACGGATGCCCCGAGCCAGTCCAGGGTTGTGACCAAGTATATATCTAGCGAAGTATTGTAAAATCGAGCATAAGGCGAGTCGGCATTGTTTAGATCAGTATCTTGGCGATGGCTGACAGTTTGATGATGAGGGTTGTTTGTCGGCGCTGGAAGCACAACAGACGCTGGATCTGCAGCTGTTGCTGCCTCTTCTGGGGTCTGAGCTGGTAGGAATGGTCCTGCGGAAGCACTTTCGGTAGACAGAAGCTGCTCGTTGCTTAAGAGGTCCGTGTGCTGAGCGGCCGGCGAAAGATTGGCGAGCGGTGGAGGAGAAGAATGAATCTGAGGTGGTTGATGAAATTCAGCTCCGTCTGATCCCGAATGAAGAGGCACAGGGGGAGGTGGTCCTCGCTTGTAAACGCATGATCTTTTCGATTTCGTGCATTTCTGACAACGTGGGCGCTGTTCGTCACATTTGATCTTCCGGGCTCTACACACTAAACATCCAGTCCGCACGCGACCTTGATTGCTGGGATTCGAGGTGAAGGCGCTTCCCGGGCGTTGAAGGCATGTGGTAGTAGCTTCGCTCCCATCGGTGTTTGAAGTCGGGGACTTTGAAAATACCGCATCATCTGGTGACAAGTCCAACGGCGTAGTAGTGTCGCCAACGGCTGAAAAGGACGGGGCTTGATCGATTGTGGTCTCTGACATCCTAGCTGGTGGGATAAGAGAGCATCATGGTTCAACGCAGCCCAACAGAAACTAGCACGAGAAGTCCCGCGGTTAATGTCCTTCAGACAAACATGAAACCGTCCACTTCCGGTAGCCGGACTGTGCAGGCAAAGATCATGATCCAAAGGCAGATTGCATGGTCAACGTCTTCTGTGGGCTTGAAGTTGCACTTGATCCCAAAGAATGGAACGTGGGTGGAAGGAGGCAGGTCCCAGTGTTGCGAGATCGAAACCAAGAACGACGGCCATTCGGGTCGACGAGAAATAACGTCAAAGATGGACGAGACAAAAGCCCGGAGACCAGTCAATCACTTACCACAATCATGCGATTACAAGTACCAGGAGACGTGAAGATGTTTGGCTCGTTTCTAAGCCGATCCCGCCCTTCTGGGGAGCTAGCTGCCGACAACCACGAGTAGTGTTGACCTCGGGTTCCAGGATCATGGCTGGTTCGGCAAAAGTGGGAACATCAGGGTCTTTTCGCTTATTGTGGATACTTCGCTCTGTACAGATTGAAGATGGAAGATCTTTCTGGCGACTCTCTTCCTTTGATACCGCGATTATGAATTGACCAATTATTGATAGAAGTTACAACACGCCTCATTCCAGAGTTGGCATATACCAAGAAGGATGAGAAGATGAAGAAAAGGTATAACTTCAGGTCGTTTCGCACGGGATTGACCCGTTGGAATGTCGAGATAATCACAACATCTTTTCTCAGCAAAGAACGGCCATTTCCAAAAGATAAAGTGTATCAAATCATAGCAGTCTGGAAGCCATGGATTCCAAAGACATTGTGACACAAAAGGACCCTCCTCATTTAGAGCTCGTGGCCGACGCCGAGGATGCAATCAGAGATGACCACCAGTTGAGTCTCCTCCAATCCGTCAAGCTTTATCCCAAAGCAATCGCCTGGAGCGCAGGACTGTCGGCCGCATCGATCATGGACGGCTATGATCTTCACGTCCCAGGCTTATTGTACGCCGTACCGGCTTTCCAAAAGGCATACGGTCAACGGCGGTCGGACGGTAGCTACCAGATATCTGCTGCGTGGCAGTCTGGTCTGAACAACGGCTCAACCGTCGGACAACTCGGAGGTCTCTTCTTGGCTGGATACCTGACCGAAAGATTGGGCTTCCGAAAGACGCTCATGATCGCCTTGCTGGTGGCACCGTGTGTGATTTTGATTCAATTCTTTGCACCCAGCCTGGCGGTTCTTGAAGTCGGGCAGATTCTACTAGGTGAGCGGCCACCAAGTTCGGCCTCATTATCAGAAACGAACCTTTTCGACTGATGTTGTTCTCAGGAGTACCTATGGGCATATTTCAGACCTCCACCATTGTGTACGCGGCGGAAGTCGCTCCCACATCGGTGAGGCCCATGCTCACCAGCTGGGCAAGCCAGATGTGGGTTGTCGGTCAAACACTGTGTGCGGTCGTAGTCCGCAGCGTTCTCAGTGTGCAAGGCTCCTGGGCTTATCGCATTCCCTTTGCCGTTCAGTGAGTGTAGCTGGTCCCTTTTTCCGTCAGACCCTCGTATCTCCATACTCATACAATGTACTTTACAAAGATGGTTCTGGCCGATCCCTGTCTTCATCGCTGTTTTCTTGGCTCCAGAGTCTCCCTGGTGGCTGGTCCGCCAACATCGCCTTGAAGATGCAAAAAGGTCTCTCGCGCGATTGACATCGAGAAGAGCCATAAACTTTGACATCGACAAGACTGTGAACTTGATGGTGCTTACAACAGAGCACGAACGTGAGGTGAATTCCGGTACTAGTTACGCAGCCTGTTTCAAAGGCACCGATTTGCGCAGGACCAGCATTGTCGTCGCCCTGTACACCATGCAGATCGCCGCAGGATCAACTTTGCGTGCTTACGCCACCTACTTTTTCGAGCAAGCTGGTTTGGCCTCGGATTGGTCTTTCAACATGTCCATCATTACATACAGCTTGAGTTTCATCGGAACTTGTCTCTCGGTACGTCTGCATGTTCATTTTGTTCAAGTCATGACCATCAACTCTGGTATACTGACGAATAAATTCGCATGCGAAAGTGGCTCCTAATGCCTCATGTTGGCCGGCGGACCTTGTTCTTGTGGGGATTGACGATACTCAACATCATCTACTTCATCATTGGCGGGCTCGCGATCCCGTCAGGAAAATCTTCCTCCCTATCTTGGGGAATTGCTTCTTTGCTCGTCATCAATGGGTTCGTTGCATACGTTTGTATAGAGCCCATTGTTTTCGCGCTGGGGTCTGAAGTCCCATCTGTTCTGCTCCGAAGTAAGTCAGTCGCCTCGGGCCGGTTGATATACGCAGTCATCAACATTGCTGCCAATGTTGTGATGCCTTACATGATCAACCCCACGGCATGGAACTGGGGCGCAAAAAGCGCCTTCTTTTGGGGCGGCTTCGGGGTGTTGGCATTGGTATACTCGTACTTTTGCCTACCTGAAACAAAAGACAAGACATTTGCAGAACTTGATGTACTGTTTGAGAAGAAGGTGTCCGCCAGAAAATTTGCAAAAACTCAGGTCCAACCATCTGAGGTTGCTGCGTGGGTACACTGAAATACAAAACACAGGAGACACGAGGAACATTTCGGTTGACGGTTTTGTTGATATTTTACATAGCCACGGCAACATACCATGGAGACAAAGGCTTGATCTATAATGGCATTAGGCAACGACCTATCGCGCCGGAAAGTGGACCTACGCAGGGAACGGTCAAAGGGCAGAGGGTTTACACGTATTCATTCTCCTCATCCTCCTACCCATCCTTGAGCAAAATCCTTCTTATCGCGGCAAGAATGGCCTTGTGAATCCCTCTTCTAGAGACAACCATTCCTCGGTTCCGATTGAGATCTCTGCCGGCACCAAAATCGATTTGGTTGCCATCCAAATCTGTCACAGCACCACCCACTTCCGTGAATATCAGCTGCGACCCTGCATGATCCCAGACATGCATTCTGGACGATGAATTTGGTGGTACACACACATGTACGTCGCCATCGCCAACGATAAGTGCAGCGTAGCGAACGTGCAATGACCAAATCTCCGTGCTGGGTAAACTTGTCTTGAACTCACTCGCAACTTTTGCCACAATATCGTGGCGCGAGTCGGTGCTGGCGCTGCAGTCGACGATGTGCAGCATTGGCGAACTCATCATCTCACCACGGCGGTCCAAGGTTTTTGCGTCTCCCAGACCGCTCGAGGCCATGGCGCGAACGGTCGAACCCTGTCCACGAACAGCACTGAGCATGAGACCGAGGCCGTTGGTGTCGACTTCGGCTTCTGACACCGCGTTCACGTCGATACAGATATTTGGGCACCCCAAAACGCCAACAACTTCCTTTCCATCTTCGATAAGGGCAAGAGAAACGCCGTATTGCTGACCTCTCAAGAAGGCAGCGGTTCCGTCAATGGGATCCATGATCCAGATCCGGCCTGTATCACCGCCTTGTCCTCGCCCGCCGAGATCAATACATTGCAACATTTCGTCCACAGATGATGGCTTAGGAAGCGGTCGTCCACTTAACTGGCCCACAGGGTCCTCCACGTCCGGTGCCGATAAAATCAGTTGATAAACCTCGTCTCGGAGTGATTCGTCGTTCCTTAGGACAGACGAGTCTTCCTCTCCCAAAAAGCTGTCTTCAGGAAAGGCGTCACGAAGAGCGTGGATGATGAGAGCTTGTGCCGCAAAGTCCGCAACTGTAACGGGTGAGGCGTCTTCTTTCGAGATTTCTCGGACGGCCGACTGGACTTGCTTGGTCATAATCGAAGCACGCAGGACAGCTGCTTCTGCAACCTGTCGTTCTCTAAGGTAAGGAGTCTTCATGATTATTTTGCAGCGGATAACAAAAACAGCTGAGAATGCCCGAGAGTGTTCTTATATGCGAATCATTTTGCATCACATTAGACAATGATGAGTAGAAATAATGTTTCCCTGGTTGTAGACCTCATTTGGTTGAAGACTTGCTTCTCGCTAAAAGTGGAGGCATTGTTCGTCCTATTCGGACCCAGCATCTCAGAATCGTCCAGTTGACATGAGAAGCGAAATGGCTGGGAACACAATGTTGTCCCTCCTGTAACACACACCCGAGATGAGGGAACCATGGCCAATAGAAAAGATACAGTCTGAGTCTGCAGATTTCGTTGCTGGCTTCGTAATTCCATCGAAGAACAGCGACTATGTCGGCAACGCCTGTGTTTCCCGATCGGGAATGAGGCGAGCGAGCAGTTCGACCATATTATACGGACACCTTGCCAGATATATTGAACACTGGTCGAAAACGACCAGCTACTCCGTCATTTATTATCTAGCAGGCGAGACTACCCAGTTAGGAACAGAATCCACAAGCCAATGTCTTCGTTGTTACTACCGCTTCCACGTTCTCATGGCGAATGAACCCGACTTCCCAGCATTCCTCTTGTCTCCACAAGTTCCTCCCATGCTGTCGATCTGACGTCTACGGGATGGCGTTGGCATCCATAATTTCACCGCCCATTTCGCCGTACCTTCGGCCACCTCGCTGTCTGTGGGAGGAACAGCATTAGAGCAACAAATATAACCATGCCTGTAACTGGAAAGCCACATTTCGTTCAAAGTCGTTGGAAAAGGCCTTGAACGTATCCCTGCAAGACCAACCGGACTATACACCATCCTTCTCACCGACATCACGATTTCCGATGACCCAACGGCCTTCTGTTGAGTCCGGAACGAACCTTGACTCTCGCCTACAAGGGAGAAAATGGTGGAAAGAATCCGTCATCTACCAGGTCTATCCTCGCAGTTTCCAGGACACCAACGGCGATGGAATAGGAGACCTTGATGGGATCACGGCCAGACTGGATTATATCAAGGGCCTTGGTGCCAACCTGATATGGATCTGCCCGATGTACAAGTCCCCTCGTTCGGATTACGGATATGACATCTCGGATTATTACACAGTCGCGGAAGAGTATGGAACGAACAATGACCTTTACAACCTCATCGCGACGGCCAAGAGTAAAGGTATCGGAATCCTTTTGGATCTTGTCATCAATCACACGTCCGATGAGCATGAATGGTTCCAAAAGGCTCTTCGGGACCCCGACAGCAAGTACAGAGGCTACTACTTTTTCAAGCGAGGGATCGATGGGCGACCACCGAACAATTGGAGGTCTTACTTTGGAGGATCGGCGTGGGAAGCCGTTCCAAACGAACCAGACATGTTCTACCTCCACGCTTTCAGCAAGAAGATGCCCGACCTCAACTGGGAAAATGCCGAAATGAGAGAGGAACTCTACAGCATGATCAACTGGTGGGTCGAAAAGGGCATTGCCGGTTTCCGAATCGACGCCATCATGAACATCAAAAAGACCATGATTGAAGGTGTCGTCCAACCCGACGGTGACGACGGTCTGGTTTCGATCAACAAATACATCATCAACCAACCTGGCATCAAGGACCTTCTTCGCGGGTTGAAGGACAACACGTTCGCGAAACATCAGAACATCATGACCCTGGCCGAAGCTGCCGTGCCGGACGATCAACTCGAAGACTTTGTCGGACCCGACGGGTTTTTCGACATGTCTTTCGACTTCAGGGCCGCCGACATCGACATCCCCGAGTCCGGAGAGTGGTACCGCCCGACCGACTGGACGGTCAACGAACTGCGGGACACCCTCCTCGACGTGCAGACCGGCGTCCAACGGAGGGGTTGCTGGGGCGCGACGTACTTCGAGAACCACGACCAGAACCGTTCCATCAACAAGTACTTCCGTCGCCGGCAGGAAGACATTTCGGCTGTCACCAAGAAACTTCTGGCCACCGTCCTGCTCGGGTTCAGGGGCACTCCGGTCGTCTACCAAGGCGAGGAGATTGGCATGGAAAACATCCAACTCTCCTCGATCGATCGGTACGAGGACGTCAACACCCACAGTCAATACGACGCCGGAATCGCGGCCGGGATGGACCCCCGAGACGTCTTTCGGCTGGTATCCTACAGGAGCAGGGACAACTCTCGTACCCCCATGCAATGGGACGGCGACTCGGAAAACGCGGGTTTCACGACGCCCCGAGGAAGGCCTTGGTTGCCGGTCAACCCGAATTACCGGGTCATCAACGTCGACGACGCGGTCGACGACAAAAACTCCGTCTACCATCACTATCGACGCCTCATAGAACTGAGGACCGGCAACCACAAGTACAAGCACGTGTTTGTCTACGGCGAGACGGTCCCAAAATTTGTTCACGTTGACAATGTCATTGCCTATGAACGTGTTTTGGGTGACCAAAGTATTCTGATCCTGGCCAACTTTCAAAAGAAACCCGTGGATTTGCCACTCGACGATTCTCAACATCTCCGAGGCAAGAAGATATTGATCAGCAACTATGATGATGACGACGGTGTGGATGACGATGTGGTGGTGGCAGCAGCAGCAAACAAGATGACCATCCTACCATACCAGGCCTTGATAGTCGACTTGACGACTCAACACCCGAACTAGTCGAATCATATACGTGAGGATTGGGCACTTGTAATACTGACAATGTGTGGTTGGACTTTTTTGGGAGCCGTACTAAACGTTCAGGTCCTCTCGTACAGAATGGTATGTTTGTAACAAGGGAGCTGTTAGTTTGTAAACATGTAATATAAAATGTAGCCTTTTCCACTCCCTCATCGAGCAACATCTCTCCCATCTTCTCTGACCTAAATAAATGATATCAGTTCCGGATGGGACTTGAGAACTGCCACACCACAGGCCAGGAGTGTGGAATCCGTCTAATTTCACCACACGAAAGCAAAGTGTTGATACGGAAAAAGGAGAGTTGAGTCAGTGGTGGCGCGGAGGAAGTCAATTCACACAAAGATATCAACGATAAATGTGGATTTAAAATCGAAACCGAGACAATACTTTAGAGACCGGCATCCACTCGATAGGTCTATGTTCAAACTCTGTGGAATATCGATAATACGACACAGAATCATCTACCGGGTTTAACTCTCGAATGTTTAGATAGCAGGTGGCGGAGAGTACTCCGTACTGAGTACGGACAAGATGAAAGAAGAGAGTGGAGAAGAACACAGACAAGATGGGAGTGACTGAAGTTGCATTTTTGGACCTCTAAAATCTAGCTAGCTAGTGAGGCTACGGCAAAGACACTCAAAAGGTGTTTTGCGCGTTGTGTGCTCTGAACGATAAAAAGAATGTATGGATGTTATCTGGTGACTCTCAGCGAGACACATTCCACATCGTTGGATGGAGCGGAAAGCGATCGCAACTGAAAACAAAGGCCACGAGTCAATCCTCTCGGAGACAGTCAGAACCGGCCGTTTCCTTATGACGTGAAATAACGGAAAGTAGCAGGAAAAAAAAAGATCCATCGACCCCAATACTCGGTACTTCCCCCAACTATCCCGCAGTTCTGCGTTCCGTCAAGTAGTTGTCGAGTCATTGCGGGCATGGCGCAAGAAAGCAAAAATTGAGGCAAAACAATCGGAGGTGTAGCCATGTGATAGAAGCGAGGAGAAGCCTGTGTACCTCTCAGGCGATTAGAAAGATACACATCAACTCCGATGATGGCTTTTTTTGGGTCGAAAATCACAATGTACAAGGATGAAATTGTGTTGACGTGGCGGTTGAAAAGGGCAGCCCTCCTGGCTCTCAGCCCGATAAGAATATTCAACCCCAAGCGCCATGGAGCTGCATGGTCCATCATGTCGAGATAGACACAGCGTTCAAGTGTTGATCCAAGGATGCATAAAGAGGATCTGCAAATGGAATTGCTCCAATTGCATTGCAATCAAATGAGACGAGGAACGGGGTGTCCGACGTCAAAAGAGGCAGTTGCACAAGATTGCCTCTGGAGTCCATATTCATTCAATCAGCGTCAGGATCTCCACCAAGTCGGAGAACCATTGCCCGCAGGCGTTGGATCTCAGTGGTGAGAAGTTCAGTATGCTCTTGCTTCCTCTGCCGAGACTTTCGGGCGGCAGCAGTGTTCTTCTTCCGCTTGGCAGTTTCCTTGTCGTCCTCACTGTCAATGGTGATTTCGGGCAAGGTTTTGCGCATCTTCGACTTGTTGATACCAACGGTATCGGACAACTTCCGGCCATGAATCAATGGCTGAGACGGTGGTCGACCGGGAGAAGACTTCTGTCGAACCATGGGCGCAACCGGCTCGGCTTGCTTAGCTGGCTTGGAGTTGACCGACGCAAAACTTGCGTTCAGTTGCTCGGCGGTGGGAACAGGTTGCTGGGCAAATTGATCAAACTCATCCTGGGGGAAGAGTGGAGCCATGCCTTCAAGCTCGGAGTAGTTGAGCTGGCTGTCAAGAAGACCATCCTCAAGAGGGGAGGTGTTCAATCCACTGCTAGGCATAGCAGGAGACTCGAGATAGCCAGATTCCGGAGTGCTGAAGTTGGGGAAAGCGGTAGAAGGTGGAGCAGACATTGTGTAGTCATCCCTGAACAATTCAGACGGGGAGACGGTGCCACTCGCAGTGGCGGTGCTGGACGCATTGAAATCCGTGTTGGCCGAGTAGCTGGCGCCAATGTTGAAGAAGTCGTCCTGGGAGGCGAGCAAATCACCTCCCGGGAGATACATCTGGTCAAAAGCACTAGACATGAAGCCTTGGGAGGTCAGTCTCTGCACGGCGCGCGACAATAGATCAGGAGGGTCAGTACCTTGTGGGATGGTCACAGTAGGTCGAGACTGACGTTGATTGGGCGCGGGTGCGTTGAATAGTGGAACAGGTGGGCGCGAGTGCGAGAGAGATTGCGAATGAGCAAGCTGACGCAAATGCTGTGCAGATAGTCGTTTATGCAAAGATGGACTGGAAAAGGACCGATGATTGGTATTGCCTGAGAACTGGGACAGAGAAGACTGGGTTGTTGGAGACACTCGGTTGGAAAGGGAGAGATGCCTGGTCTGCAGTGGTCTCGAGTGATTAGGGGCTATACTCAATGTCGCCTGCGCACGCGAGGCTGTCGGAGGGACTTGCGAAGTCTCGGGGACGTCGAATAGCTGAAAGTCCTGGTTGAAGCTGTGTTGGATATTGTTCTGCGACGATGCAGTCGATGGTGCTTGGGTTGAAAGACGCCATGGTTGCTGGTGAGCCGTGGTGAAGGATGTGAAATCCAACGCGTTAATGGTTGCGGTGGGTGAAGAGTCCGGGGCGCTGGGGGCGACGACGAAGTCTCGTTTGTTCACAGGTCCGGGTGGACGAGTGGACTGGGAGGGGTGAGTTGAGAGTTGAGAGTTGAGTAACCGTGGGGTGGTGACAGACTCTATCTTGCCTAGGCTTGATAGAAGTGGCGACGAGCGAGGTCAGAAGGACTCCATTACTGATGAATTCCTTGTCGTTGTTCTTGATGTTGGTGATGGTTGAGGTAGAGGGGGGGAAGAAGAAAAACGCAGGCAGAAGCGGGAGAGAGGGAGATTAAGTGCGTGAGCCGGAGGTGAGCCTTGGCGACGCTAACCTGGAATGGGCGGTAGCCGCACTAGGCCGGGCTGAGGATGTTTCGGCTCCACCAGGTTCCAGTGAAGTGAATGGAGTTGCCGGGGTGTGATGTCGAACTTGTCGACAGGCACAAGACAGCAACTCGGTAATATCAGAGTAGAAGGTAATTCTGCCTTGGTTACACGGGCTACCAAAAGTCCCCTGCAAGGCCACAATTATCCCCTGTCCACTCGAGTCATTCTACGATGGTGAGTGGAGGAAATCCTTCACTGGTTTTGCCTTGGACATCCGGCGTAAAGCGAAGGTGATACCACCAGGTATTTCTTTGTCAAACGGAGCGAAGCAACAAATGTGAGTTTATGTTTGAACCGCAGGATTCACGATTGCCAATTCATACACCCCTCCATACACAAACAACTCTTCCGGTACGAACACGAATGTGTGAGTTACAGATTCAAACAAGAGGACACAGACAACACTACATACATACTCAGATTCGGCATATTTCTTTTTATTTTCTTAGTTCTTTCCTTATAGAATACTCCATACACTGTCCATCATTTCTCTGTTTGTGTGAACGAGACAATCAATGCAATTTCCACAATGTCCGTAACGCGCATGTTGATGGCCTGATGGGCAGGTCGCTGCGACACACACTTCATCCATGGCTCCAAACTTCAAGGTCGGATCAGGAAATATGAGTCACAATTCATCGACGAACGAACATGACAAGCGAACCAGTCAGCGACGAGGTGACCAAAGTTCCCCCGAATGTTAGCGGCTTCGTTTCGAGGACCAAACACCAAATCAGAAGCACGCGGCACGTTCCACCCATGCACGCCTTTTACCACAAGATTTCGCACGGGACACCACGGACGCGACGCCTTGCAACATGATCTCCAGTTTCCATTATTTCCGAAAGGATGGAGAACCGGAGCACGAGGGTTCATCCAGTTTCTTTACAAAACGTTTATTACCACCTGGTGGGAATTAATGGAGTTGTTTTCTTGAAGGTTCTTTCTACCTATCCATCCAGAACCTCAAGTTTGCAGCCTGGGAGTACAATGTATCGCCATGGGAATGCCCCCGATAATAATAGTACTGTACTCTTGACAGGTCCATCTCGGGGAACGGCAACCACATCTAATTCAGCAATATGACTCACATTCCTTTCGCGGACTTTACTCCATAAAAAGGCTCCAAACTTGAAAAAAGAATGAACCCTGCATAGTTCTTCAGGTCTGAAGAATGCGCATTTTCCCCTTTCCAGTACTCGGTAAGGAGTATCACTTTCCCCCCTGTCACTCTCGGGAGACCATCCTTCATCTAGTCGACCTACCTAAACTATAACTGGTTTCCTCAGTACCCTCGCCAAACTCGTTACTTCTTTCAGTATGCACCATCCGCGTTGCCGACGTGTTGTACGGGGTCACGTACGCGTTTACATGTCATCAGATCAGCTTTCACAGGAGACCGTGAAATTCACTTCGATACAAAGGTACAACCCACCCCGCGGGGGCCGAATTGCATATGTATCAACCACACAGAATCTACGGAGTACATACTAGTACCTCGTAATAATGAGGCTGTGTTTTGCGATCTTGCATCTTCTATCCGCACATCCTTGCAGTGCGTACAGTAGTGCATCCGACCTGCTTGCTGACCGGTCGACCGGCTCCATTTTTATTTTCATGCACTGCAACACCGTAAAACCACAAGTCGCGCACTTTTTTTTTCGGCCACTATTTATCGAGATCCTATCACATTTGTTCAATCGACCGTTGACTGCTGACACTGTTCATTAACGTTTCTTGATCATCAATGATCCAACGAGCCAGACCCATTCACACACGCGTCATTGTGCATGGCCGGTTCGAAATGGTCTGAAACCTTTTCTTTTCCCAAAGAGCGTGTGATCGCCCCGGGTTTGTGCGAAGAGTTCCCCTGGCACGAGTACGAAGTACATACAGTACGAGTTAAAAAGGACCAAAGTGGTACACTCCATGGTTTCGCTTCTATCTCAGAGTGTGAATGACCCCATTCATCGGTTTCTTTTACAGTTCCAGTACGAGTACTACCAAAGCTCAGGTTCTGTGAACAACTTGTTTGATACCTCGTGTTAGTACTCCGTACTCCGTCCTCTTTACTGTACCTCGGTTCCGCTCCCTTCCCAACTCGTTCTTTTAACCATCCGTCGAGTAACTTGTACGAATGCACACTTTGTACAAGCCCACATTGAAACGGTTTACGGAAGTACCTACTCCATCTGCTCCCATGGGAACCTTCGTGTTCTCGTCCAATGATGTGTCACTACCCGATCCTTCGATACGTCGGAGCAACTTTTCTCACTCCGTTCCACATTGTTCCTTGCGGAGTTTTGCATGGGCGTTTCCGGGCCTTCATGATCGACTTCCCCAATACGGAAGGCGAATTGCTTCTTTCGGCAACGAACTTCATATGTTCATCGCTCAACACGCGCCAAGAGGCAGTGATTCTCTCCAGATGCAGAAATGATTTGCTATTATTATTTCGTCCAGTCCACAGTACGCGCAGGGCGCCTTATACTATCCGCACAGAATGGCAATACTCACTCTCCGCTCATGCCTTTAACAGCAACAAACAATCCAAAGAGACGCGGGAAACACCGTTCTAGGTACTATTGCGTTGTGGGAAAAATTCGTTGTAATACAAATCATCGTTATGCCCTTTCGCGCCGCATCTTTGCAAACGGGAAAAAAAAGAAGTCTTGAGACACCCAATAGGTATCTAGTACCGACCACATTTCAACCACCGCTCATCATAGCACCATTCACCCCTCTACGGGATTCATGCTCGAGACTGTCTTGAGAGCTTCAAGAATGATCCATGGATCTTGGTCATCTGCCATTTTATCTCCTCCAAACATTTCCCAGGTCTTGCTGGTTTCGGCGCGTAGAACAGAGTCCAATATCCTCTCCGTGTGCTGCCACTCGGCGCGGCGGTTTTCATCTGCGCCATTCTCATCACCGGTCCCACGTCTAATCACGTTGCCACTCGCGTCCTCAGTCGTCGCTCGCATATCTTCCAAGTCGTGTTGCAACTCCTTTCCCTCCTCCTCGGCCCACTGGATTTGACGGCGCAAAAGACGGTAGTATTGAGAAGGTGGCAAGCTTCGCTCGTACTCATCCATCATCTCGTATACGTCGGTCGGGTAGTACTCGGGAGGTACTGGGAGAACAAAGGGGAAATTGTCCATGTCAATTGCACCGGCGAGTTCTCCATTTCCATCAGCATCGGCCATGTCCACGTCTTCCATATCAGCGCCCGCCCTCGACATGATCGGCAATGGCGGGAGGTCGCCAATGAGCAACGCCTTTTTGTCTCCGTTTGATTTGCCGCCCATGGTCAGCTTGATCCTTTTCAGTGGCAGTGAGGATGCGCCGCCGTTGGATATTCCTCCGGTGTGGCCTCGAGGAACCGGATCACTAGGTCGAAGAGCCTCGGTTTCATGCACAGTTCGCATGTGCTTGGCCAACGCGTCAGATCTCGTGAAACTGCGGTCGCATTCTGGCAAGGCGCACATGAATGGCTTCTCCTTTGTGTGGCTTCTCATGTGAGCTTTCAACGCGTAGGCACTGGTGTGTGGTTGACCCTTTCTCGCACAGCCGTCCCATTCACAGTAGTACTTTTTCTGACGAGGAATGATGTGGACGTCATTGATGTGCGCCACTAGATTGTCCATGTTTCCTTGTTCACGATCTTCACAATTGTCCCACAGACACCTGGTGACTTGAACGTAGTCGGCCAATTCGGGGTTCTCAGGATTGGCTTGTGCAGCGGCGTAGGCGGTGGAGAGAGGATGGGTTGGACCGAGGTGCGCAAAGGAGGGTGAGGTTGGCACAGAGCCTGACGAGTCGCTCGATATTGAGCCCGTTGGCGATCGCGGCGGGTTGGCAGTAGAGCCAGATTGAGGCGTTGCATGATCATAGCTCGCGGTGCCAGTCTTGCGACGTTTGTTCGGAGGCATCTCCGCCGGTCTGCCGGTGGTACTCAACATAGAAACAGAACCGTCGTCTGAGGCCGAGAGAATGGATTCTTGTGAGTGTGAACGTGACCGCTGGTTGAACTTGACATCTTCAGGGAATTCGTCAGAGTCGATGTCCGACAAGGGCGACCCCGAAGCCGGGGTTCCAGCATCCTGATCCATCGCAACAAGTGAATTCTCAATGACAACAGTATGAATCAAGTCATAACAGTGAGACAAAAGTAAAGTCAATATTTGCGACGAAGTGAGTGCAAACGCGCGACTCAAGATATCTGTCCATGATTCTGTATTGTTGCGTTTGACAGGGGAATTGTAGACACCTTCGGCCAACCTGCTATGTTTGTCTTACACCAGACACTTAACAGTTTTACGCCTGTTATCGGTATTGAGAACAGAGTATTCAACTGGCAACTTTTACTCTTCCACAAATTAGAGGACAAGAGTCCTGCATCTTCTCACATGGAGACCTCTCGGTTGCCCTTGGAACCAGCTATCAAAGGTTCCCCAGGTCCAGCTTCGCGTCGAGTTCAAGATTTCATGGTAGCATTAAGGAATCATTTCTTGCCAAATCCGGAAGGTCGTGTCCGAACATCGCAACGCCCTTCGATATGATCATTAGAAATTCCATTTGTCTCTTCTCTCTTCTCTCTTCTCTCTTCTGTGCCTGTAATTTTCCATTCTCTAGGCGCTTGATAATCAAAGAATATTCACAATCACTGTATAGAGAGTAGGGCGCTATAAATCTCGCCTGCAGACAAAAAGAAGACAACACCTTTGATGCGACCATGACATTCTAGATATAAAACATCCGGCTGCTCGACGCAACACCACCTCCACCTCCTTGATCGCGAAGCATAACACTCAACACAATGTCCAATTCAATAGGGCGCACGATACTCTCGTACCAGCACAATGCCAAACTCTACACGCTCCCAACTTCAGTCTCAGCAATCACTCCTTTCCCTTCTCTGGCCGAAAGCAATCGCCAACTTTTCAAGTCGGCGACAGACGATGATTCGGTCGTCGTGACGAAGGAGACAATCTTCCACCCCCAAGGCGGCGGACAACCGTCCGATACAGGATCCATGACATCTGCGTCCGGTTCCTCATTCTCTGTGTCCGCGGTGCGCATGTCCGCGACCGACGAAGGCCAAGTTCTCCATCTAGGCCGGTTCGCCGACCCGTCGAAGCCGTTCACGCCAGGCGAGACGGCCACGCAGCATCTCGACGTCGACAAGCGTCTTTTGTACTCGCGTCTACACACGGCGGGACACGTGCTCGGTGCCGCAGTGAGGCACCTCCTCGAGAAACAGGTGGCGGGCTTCGACGAGCTCAAGGCCAGTCATTTTCCCGACAGTGCGGCGTGCGAGTTTGCCGGCCTGATCGAGGGGAAATGGAAAGACGGCATTCAGGCCAAAGTGGACGAGTACGTCGCAGCGTCGATGCCGGTCGAGGTCGATTTCTGGACCGAGGAGGACTTCAAGACCAACGGAGTCGAGCGGCTGATCCCAAACGGAGACGGAGTCAAGCTCGCGCCGGGCGAAAAGTATCGTGTCGTCAAGATTGTAGGTGCAGAGGTCTACCCATGCGGTGGCACTCATGTCGACACGACCGATCAATGTGGGAAAGTCGGTGTGAGGAAGATTAGTAGGAGCAAAGGCACAAGTCGGGTTTCTTATAATGTCAATTGAGAATTGGGAGTCCAGGAAGATATCAATTCCCAAACCATAAATCTCACCAGAGAAAGAAAGGCCGGATATAGGGTTGCCGTCATTCGACAGACTAGATTGTGCCATGTTGAGTACGAAGATTATCTAGACTAAGATCTATGCAATGTAACATGTATCTATGAAACGTCTCTAACCTCGAGATGGTAAATCACCCTTTACTGTCCTTTCTTCTCATCGACAAGCCCAGTCGCCCTCTTCCACTCAAAGTGATGTGGACCCTTGACCGGTTTTCCGGGCCCCTCGTCCCATGTCTCGTAATTATGCTCGCCAAAGTAATCGAGTTCGGCCTCCATGAACTGTGTAGGCAGCATCGTCGAGCTAGAGTACTTGCAATACTCCAGCGTCGCACTCAAGGAGGGCACGTAGGTATCGACCTCGACACTCTTGAGCACGACCTTTTTGAGCGAGGGTAGAGACTTGGTCAACTCCTCCACGATCTCGCGATTGGCGAGCAGGTTCTCACCGTCGTGATCTTCACGTGTGTGCACGCTATCCAGCACGTCAGAGATGTGGTCGGACTGGATGATACAGCCGCCACGCCAGATCTGCAGGATCTTCCGGTAGTTGAGGTGCCAGTCTTCCTGGCGATCCATCTTCTTGAGGACATGCAGACCTTGGATGAACGAGCACAACAATGCTGCGTAGAGGGCAAGTTTGAGGTCTTCGATGAAGGCGGGTAGAGACGATCGGAGCTCGATCGAGCTAGGACCGGCGACGCCGCCACCAAATGTTTTGTTGACGGCGAGGCGACTGGCGGCATCGGCAGATGCACAACGGAACAGGTGTGCGGTGGTAATGGTTGGAGTGGGCACATGGAGTCGTATGGCTTCTTCGTTTGTCCAGATTCCTGTGCCTTCCGATCCGTCGGCATCTTGGACGACTTTGTCGAGTACCTCGGAGAGGACAAAAGTACCGTCATCTTTCTTCGTGCGACTGATATCGGCGCCAATCGAGACAAGGAAATTGTCCCGCAAAGGGCCATCTTTGTTCCATGACTCAAAGACATCAGCAATCTCCTCGTATTTCATGTGGAGACACTTGTTCATGATAAACCAAACTTCTGCGATGGCCGACATCATGCCCTGCTCGATGCCGTTATGGATCATCTTGACATAGTGGCCACTGCCTCGGGGTCCAATGGGGGTGGTACATGCACGGCCTTGCTTATCCTTTGCCGCCACACGTTGTAGAAACGGTATGACTTTCTTCAGGACTTCGGCATTACCGCCTGGAGACAATGACGGCCCGTGGCGTGCGCTCTGATAGCCACCGCTCACACCGCAGCCGATGTAGTGAATGCCATGAGGCTCTAATTCTCGCTGTCGTCGCTCTGTGAACTTCCAGTACTCGTTCGAGCAGTCAAGAATGATGTCGCCCCGTTCTAAGTGCGGTCGGAGGTCTTTCAGTACCGCGTCACCTGCTCCGCCATGAGGTATACTGAAGACGAAAAGCTTGGGATCCTGACCAGACTTCAAGCTGTGGCACATCTCCTGGTAGTCTTTTTGAGCGTGGATATGTTTATCGAGGCCAGTATCAATTGCTTCTTGCTCGAGTTTCTTGACATTATCTCCGTCTAATGCTATATGATTAGCCTTGGGCCGACGATTTGAACAAGGGAAAACGTGCTTGGATCATAGTAGAATACCTCGACACCGTGCTCAGCGTATAGGAGAGACATCATCCCGCCCATGCTGCCCGTGCCACACATGCCAAGCTATAACAAGCATTAGTGATGTGTCGTTCTTGGCTCCACATGTATACCATTCTGAGATCTGCCTCTGATATAAAGAGTAGTTCCCAGGAACAACATACCTTCTTGAACTCGGGTCCATCATCTTGTCCCATCTTATAATTGTTGGATATGGTCTTCAGGTCGTTGAGTATCTCGAACTTCGCGGCTAGTCGAAGGTGCGGTTCCTGTGATCGACTTGCGGAAATCTGGCCGTAGCGAAGTTGCCAGCTTTCAGCAGAACATGAAGATGATCACCTTGAGAGGTAATGAGACTTGTTGATTTCTTTCGCATCCGCAGTTCCCGCATCCATGTGAAAGTGTGAAGCATTTTGCGCATGTTTCACTGATTCTGACGTGCATCTGACGTCACGTCGAAGCAGGCCGAATAGACAGTAATCTCGACATTGATAGATTGCACCGGATATTCTGTGATTTTGTTGATCTACCGGGGAGACAACAGAATACTCGCGTTCACCACATCGTTGACGCAGTCATTGCATTCAGAGGACACCGTCGCTGAGCCGAAGTTTGGTAAAAGGGCTCCGAACAGAACTCACCATGGCCACTTTCAAAGGCGACAAGATCCCAACTTGCTATGCCTCCTGTTCGATAGGACATAATGATAAGCACACACTGCCAGAGAAGTTGAAGGCTATTGCCGGTGCAGGTTTCGACGCTATTGAGCTTTCCATGCCCGATATTTTGGCGTATGGCCAACAGATTTCGGAGAACAGATCCGAACTAGATCCGAATGATTTTGCAACAATACGAACTGTTGGACAGAAGATAAGAGACTTATGTAAAGAGCATGGCCTGAAAATCCTGATTCTGCAACCATTTGCCAACTTTGAGGGGTGGCCCAAAGATGGAAAGGAGCGCAAGGATGCCTGGGAGAGGGCTATGGGCTGGATGAGTATCATGGAAACAATTGGAACAGATATGATGCAGGTAGGTCGAACCAGTGTCGGCCAGACAGAATAGTGAACATTACTCACGGGACCCATAGATTGGTTCGTCAGACGCCGAAGGGATCAGTTCAAATTTTGACGACCTTGCCTCCGACTTGGCCGAGCTTGCCGATGTTTTCGCGAAGAAGGGATTCCGAATTGCTTACGAGAACTGGTGCTGGGCAACTCATGCACCAACATGGAAAAGTGTATGGGAAGTTGTCAAAAGGGCAGACCGACCGAATCTTGGGCTATGTCTTGATACCTTCCAAAGCGCTGGCGGTGAATGGGGCAGCCCGGTTACCAGATCAGGACTGATTGAAGACGTGGGCAAGTATGACCTCGATAGAAGATGGAAGGCGAGTTGTGAAGAACTCTCACAGTCGGTGCCTCCTGAGAAAATCTTCTTCTTGCAGATTTCCGACGCGTACAAGATGGACCCGCCACTGGAAAATAAGTCCGACAGGAGCGGATTGCGCCCTCGGGGTCAATGGAGCCATGACTACCGCCCCTTGCCATACGACGGCGGTTATCTGCCCATTGAAGACTTCACGAGAGCAGTACTCAAGACTGGCTTCCGTGGCTGGCTTTCGATGGAGGTCTTTGATGGTAGAGGACCGGATAAATATGGTGACAATATGCACCCCTATGCACAGCAAGCCTTCAGCTCTTTGCAGAAGTTGCTCGATAAAGCTGGAGCCAAGGCCTGAGTGGTGTCGTATGAGGATGGGTGCCAAGAAGGCCCCCCTTGGACGGCATGAAAGAAAGCAGCACATCAAAAGTTCTCGATGTATTTGCACGTCCGCCTATTCAGTGCAGTCAGGAGTACGATGGTACAAGAAGCAGCTTGAGGTCAAATAATGACGTGGCATCACATCCAGCCATGCAGCTGAAAAAGGGTTGTTACTCAACTGCAAACCAAACCAAGAGATGGATGGGTTGAAGGATTCTGTACGCCAGTTGGTGGAACGATCCGACAATGCTTCGAGAGGCTGGAGTATGTTGCACAATGAAGTGTCTCTGTCGTAAATGTAATTCCAAGACATGTAGTCCAACAGCCAAGCCTTTGACCTGTCACAATCTGTCATACTTGTCAACAGTGTTTGTGGTATTGTAGATAGCCCTCATGCTTTCCGAAGGAGATCCGTCACAGTTCAAGGGAAAATATTGCCGGCGCACGGAGGATTTAGCCCGCCTCATCTTGATAAGTTGGTTAGATAAAGCTTAGTACATCGATCTATTGAATGCGTCAGTGCAAGCAACAATAGGGCACTGAGCCCAAGTGGAAGACTCTTCTGACTGTAGCAGACATCGACCTGACAAGATGGTGCAGAGGAAGGAAATTAATTGCTGCGTTTCTGAGAATCATGTTTAGCAGTAACAACAATCCTTGAAAACCAGTTGTCTCTCTGTACCAGGATTGTAATAACTGGTGGGTTTAATTCTGGACCTAAACATCCATGACACTCGTGCATTGTACTCCGTACTCCGTACCTCGGTATGCGACCCTGCTGGTACAATATGTAGGCTGGATTTGATCCAAACAAGTCTCTTGGTTTGACATAGAGCCAAGGAGACTACTGCAAGTGGTACTGTGTGTATTCGAAGGTATACCGTTCACGACACGGTGGAGGGTATTGTACTGTAATTCGATGCGGACGAACAGGGTCCGTGCAAAGGAAGCTTTTTGCTGGAAAAGATAGAGGTCCCAACAGGAGAGAATACGGACACGGAGTACTGAGTGTGATTGCCCGTGCGATTTTCCTGAAGAATTGCATGGGTCCCTCCGTACTGAGGGCGCGACTCGGGACGCGTGAAGATATAACAGGCTTAGCTGATCTCAAAGATACATATGCAAGAGCAGGGCTGATGCCAATTCAACATTGGGTTCAGGGCTGAGACAAGCCCGAAGTACTCCGTACTCCTTAGTGAGCTATTGTACTCCGTGATCAAGGAACAATTGCTGATGGCTGAGAATTCTCGACAAGCTTCTGCTCTTCGTGAAGAAAAAAAGCTGTGGCTGTTTTTGGTGCCTTGCCATTTTGTCCGCGATCGACCACTAGTCCTGATCGGGTTTGGTGCCTTAATTTCCGGACTGCATAGTGGCTTCTTTTGGTTCAACCTCAATTTCCTCCTCAACCACCGACTCTCCGACTTCTTCACTTCGTTTTTCTCCCTATCCATCCCTATCATCGCTATCGCCATGTCAGCTTGCCCCCTGCTCTTGCACGGCCCGTCTTTGCTATTGTTTCAGCCTGCCCTCGAGGTACACTAGTCGCGAACCTAGTGGTACCTTTTGTGAACAAATGCCCTGTCGGTTGGCTTCCGACTTTGTGCTCATCGTCATTTCTCCTGATCGCGTCTCGCTCGCTTAGCGGAGGCAAAATCCTTCGACGCGAGCTCTACTCCGTACTTTCAACACTGTCCCCGGTCACCTTTGTGTGTAGAAACAGAAAACGAGCTCCATCATGCATGGGTTCCCTGGTTGCCTGAACAAACGAACAAGGACCTCAGATTACTACTGTACTGTATGTAAATTCCAAGGCTGATCTATCTGCAAGGCGTTTGCGTCCGAGCTTTCTGCCCTTTGTCTATCACTTTCTCAACGTCTTCCGCTCATCAGCCTCCGCCAATGGAACCCTTCTATTGAAGTTTAAGCGTTCATTTGTGGCTTTTCCTGGCTTCTGTCAACCGTGCTTGGTCTATTCATATTTTTTGCGATTTCCGTCAGAGTTCTCAGAAACTCCACCTGCCCTGCCAATGGCCCCGATGTGTGACAACATGCTTCCTGCAAAGACGGTCTTCCATTGCTACAAGGGACCCAAATCCTTCACGCACGGCAAGATGGCGCCGGAACCAACCTGGCTCATGATGCCATGGAAGGATTGGTGATCCATTCTTGCGCGACGCGGTCATTCTGTAAGTGCCTGACTCTGACATGTGTCTTGTATATCTTTGTGCCATGTCCATCCCTCGCGTAGCCACTTCCCCAGACTCTTATCAATTGTGTGCTGTCGACATCTCTAGTCGATCCATCTTCTGTCGATCGACCTCATGCTGTGACTCCAGCTCTTCTTCGCCTCCATGGATGCCAAACCATCGCATGGCCTCACGGTGGCCATCCCTCCGGGACCTTCTCAAGAAGCCACTCGTAGCCATTCTCACGACATGGAGAAGGGAATCCAGAACGAAGGAAAGCCTTCTGGGCCCCCGCCAGGGATTCCTCCGGGGCCTCCAGGAGGATGGCTCTGTCAGAGAATGTCGAGATCTCAGGAAATTCTCTTCAACATAATGGTGGCCTTCCTTCAGCTCATTCCACAGTCAACCTTGACCACCGTCTTCCCAGTCAGCAGAGACATTGCCATATCCTTCAGGATAGCCAATCCATCGGTTCTACCGTGGCTCGTCGCCGCCTATGCATCAACTTTTGGCACTTTTATACTCATCGGAGGGAGGCTTGGTGATATTTTTGGGCACAAGACCATGGTTCTGATCGGCTATTCCTGGCTCGCCACCTGGAGTGTGATTGCAGGTCTCAGTCACTACGTTGGCTATGAACTGTTCTTCGTTGCAAGGGCTTTTCAAGGCTTAGGCTCCAGTCTGATGGTACCAAACGGGCTCGCTCTGTTGGGACGAACATATCCACCTGGATCGAAACAAAAGGTCATTTCCTTTACTATCTTCGGTCTGTGTGCCCCTATTGGTGCTTACATGGGCATGATCTTCGGCGCCCTCTTCACCAAATTTGTATCGTGGCATTGGTCCTTCTACACTTTGGCCATAGTCTGTGTGGCCTTGGCTTTGGCCGCACAATTGGTATTGATCTCTCCTCCGCCAACTCCAAAGCAGATGAAACCGAACAGGGACAAACTTCGCGACATGGACTGGCTCGGTGCCATCACGGGCGTGGGTGGATTGATTTGTGTTCAAGTCGCCCTTGTCTCAGCCCCGGCATCAGGGTGGAGCACTCAGTACATCTTCATGCTTCTTATCATCGGTGTTCTACTGATCGCTTTCTTTCTCATCACTGAGCTCAGGATTGCAGAGCAACCACTTGTCCCATTCAAGATGTTGAAAGCAGATGTTGGCTTTGTGATTGGAGCAGTGGCATGCGGTTGGGCGAGCTTTGGTATCTGGACCTGGTATTTGTGGAAATTTTTCTTGAGTATCAAACACGACAGTCCATTGGATGCCGCTGTCCATGTCTTACCCATTGTACCTGTTGCACTTGCCGCGTCGATACTGACTGCATGGATGATGCGAAATTGCATGCCCTCCTGGACTCTCTTCTGGGCTCTCGTGGCGTTCATGTTTGGCCCACTCCTCCTAGCTATTGATGCCAACCTTCAGGGAACGACATATTGGAGTTGGACGTTTTGCTCCTTGCTCATCATGCCTTTGGGAATGGACATGAGTATGCCGGCGGCCACCTTCATCATGTCTAACTTCTTTCCTCCTCACCAACAGGGTCTAGCTGGAAGTCTCATCAGCACCACCATTAATTATTCCATATCCCTTGGTCTCGGACTGGCCTCAACGGTTGAAGTACACGTCAACAATCATGGTCGAGACCCTGTGGCTGGCGTTCGAGGTGGGTGGTTCATGGGTGTTGGACTAGGTGGTTTGGGTGTCATTATCTGTGTGGCCTTTGTCGTCAAGTCAATCTGGTATCCCCCGCCCCAGCCTCAGAGAGGACCGCCGGGCCCTCAGAACGCACCGCCCACGGGAGGTTCCTTGCCAACACAGATTCCTCCGCCAGAAAAGTCGAATCGACCAACGCGCACCAATACAGTCTCAAGCTTGGCAACCACCATGGTCGGAGAGGGCCCTTTCAGCCCCAAGAGCAGCGACGCGGAAGCGTTCAAATCTTTCAATTTTGACACACCGCCACTGAGATCTCCTGTTACTCCGAGAGCGGTATCACCGACGAAAACGACACCAAACCACACGTCTTCTGACTTGTTGCAATTTTCTCCGACGTGGCCGATGAATCCATCTCACATGGACGCATCCCATCCGAACAGGTCATCGTCAAAAGCGCAAAGCCCGACTCACCTGCACCGTTATCATCTCAGTGAGAGCACGACGGCCTCGAGATCCCGAACGAACTCGCAGAGTCAGCTGGCGTCACATCCCGCACAAACACCCACATCTCGACCGTCACAATTCATACCTCTACCGACTGAACTCGAAGCCGCCTACCGTGGTCGCGGCAGTTGGGAATCTGGTGAAGATGATGATAACGGTCGTGACAGAGAGGATTCATGGGTCCTCGGAAGACATCAGCCGCTTCCACAGCAGCAAAGGACCATTCACATGCGGGCCGCGTCGACATCCCACGGAAAGGACGTGGATGGTTTTGATCTTAACAAGAAACACATGATGTTGAGAACCATAATAGACGGTAAGCTTGGAGATCTCCAGAAGAAATTTGACTTTTTTTGAAAAGGGTAAAAGCTGACCTGTCTCAGGGGACTCTCGACGGACGACAATGTGCGGTCTTGATCAATACATGCACGACCGAGGAATCCCTATATGATGGGAGTATTTGGTTGGGGGGGGGAGGGGGGGGAACCACGATGAACATGGCTTAGCATGGTTATGGAAACGATTACATGACAGGTAGATACGGAATAGAAAGGGTTTAGGATATCCAGGGAAAGGAAGAACAGGACAACATGACTTGGTCAATTAATTTGTTTTTGTTTTTCCTTTTGGTGCGGTGTTTGGGTTTTCGGGTTCTGATGTTTTTTTTTGGGGGCGTCATGAAGAATGAATGATTGCACTTTTACGACCCTTCCTTACCTATGGAACACGAAGGACTCATGTTGTTTTCTTTAACAATAATGCTATGAGTGTGGGTGTGAGTTGACATATATACCCGTTTGGACTGCAAAGAAGTACCGTACCTAAAGGATATGGCGGGATTGGCCGGAGTTTCGATCCAAAGTACTTTTTCATGGGATCTTTTGGCTGCTTCTTCTGGAGGACAATGTCGAAAGATGAAAACTTGTAAACAAATATTCTTCGGTCCGCCTTCTCGCAATTTCAGGTACTTCTACTTAGTAACCTTGGAAATGTTGTCACCTCGACTTCTGAATTTTCCATGTTTCGATAAATCAAATGCTTTTCACCACTCCAGTCTCTCTCTCTATTGTCTATTGTCTATCATGTCATGTCAACAACTCGGTACAGCAACAAGAAAAAACAACAAAAGTACTTTTTTGCTTCTCCCAACGTCACCTCCATCTTTTTGTCCTTTTTTTTGGTTCTTTTCTGATTTTTGCTTTCTTCTTTCCTCTCTATTTTTCTTTTTGTTTTCACCCCCCACTCTCTTGAAAAAGAAAAAGCACGAAAACGAAAACGAAAACGAAAACCTCACTTGGAGGAGAAATCCATAGAGGTGGTAGACCAAATCACCTCAATGAAAGAAGTATCCTCATGCTTCGATCACCCCTGACACACAAATCATCAGACAAGAATCATTTCATTTGGTCACCACCAAATCACAACCACAACATCCCCCTGGACCTCGCTTTTCGAATCCAGAATTTCTAGAGCTCGGTATCAAGTAAAAAACACCTGAACAATTCTCCTGGCCTGTTTTTTCGCACGTTCTCGTTCCCACCGTTCCCGCTGATCACGATCTCGTTCCTGTTGCTGCCGTTGGTGCTGTTGTCTCTTCTTTTCCTTTTCCTTTTCCCATTCACATTCACACTCCCACTCGGCAAGTTTCACGTCCCTGTCTCTCCTCGCCCTGGCCACTTCCTCTTCCGCACTCTTGACTTGTTGTTTGAGACGGTCCAATTCGGTCATTTTGACGGCGAATTTCGCTTGGAGGGTCGCCACCACCCGCTTGGCCCTGTCCAGGCGAGCCCGGGCTCGACCCAGGGAAGTTTCCGTTGCTCCCTTGCCGTTGTTGTTGTCGTCGTCGGCGTCGGAAGGGTAGTGCAGTTGAACTCGTACGTGTTTGTTTGCATTTGTGTTGCCCGCCGCACGGTGTCCACGACCACCATCGTCTTCAGCGTAAGTGTAGTTGTGAGAGCTGGGGACGACCCGGAACCATTGTGTCTCGAAAGGCATTTTTGATTTCTGGATCTTTTTTGGTTTGGAAAGGTTGTGCCGGTACGTAACTCGGATTTCAAGAAGGACAGATGACCAAAGAAAACTGGTCCGATTCGAACAGCAAGACAAATGTTGGTTCAGATTCAAGAGCTTGACTTGTCGAGCAGGATAGAGAGACAAATCACAAGAGGGGTACCGATGTGTGACGATGTGATCCGGTAAGATGGAATAAACGACCCGTTCTATCAAGAAAGCTTGAAACTTGAAACTCGAAGGAGATTGAGAGGCAGAGAGATATCAACTGAAGAAAAATTTCCCTTTTTCTGCTTCTTCTTCTTGAGACAAGGACCACAAGACTGAACAGAGGAACCCTCAAAATATTTATACCTCAAAACACAGTACCATGGTCCACAAATGATAGAATGGTAGACAAGGGGATGATTGTAAATGCCACGTTCCGACATGACGACGGTTGATTGCTGTTGTTGCCCACCTAGACAAAGGAAGACAGCGAAGCAGTAAATCAAGAAGTTCAAGGCAAAGCATAGAAGACAACAATGTGAGAAAAGCGTTCATTGTAATGATGATGCATGGTTAGACCAGGGAAAAGCAATGCCGATTTGTATCGATATCTGCCTACAGAGAGGACTGCATGACGGTAAATCTAACGGGATGGGTACAGGGTCAAATCACCCTTCTTTGTCTTGACCGTTTGCTTGAACTCTCGCCACCCGCTTTCCTGCAAGGACACAGACGACAGAGGTAGAACCATACGGCTTGGGCAATCGTGGAACAGATGAATGTATTTGTTGTACACTGTAACATCAAAGAGTTATTTCTCACGGTAATCATAGGTGCTGCTTCGATGTTGCTTCGGCGAACTTCCGAGCTCTTGAGAAAGCAGAGTCATCCCCGTGCTGGACTTAAGCATCATGTACAAAGGCCGGCGGCCGCAGCCTTGCAGATATTTTCTCCTCGGTAAATGGCCGTAAGACAACTAAAAGAATGGCGGATGCCTCTGGCTTACTCCTGTTCAGCCAATAACACCCGTGATGTAAATCCGTAAAGTCCGCATCCAGCTCCTGATCATGCATATTGTGGATCAATCACAGCCTGATGGACAGGAGAAGAATGATATATAGTTGCAAGAATGAGGGTACCAAAGAAGTCTTGCAACAACGGCCAGTCCAACGTTTGAACTTTTTCAATTCTCGACCAGGTTGATACGCGTACTCTATGATGGCATTCGGATTCGAAACAACCGGTGATGAGGTCGTGGCCGCGTTTTCTGACAGAATCAAGAACAAAACATGCAAGTCGATAACTCGAGTAGTTCGGAAGCTTTGCTGACAGATATAGTCGTCATCACGGGTCCAAGCTGGGAGAGTATTGGCTCTGAAACTGCTATTGCCTTGGCCAAAGGAGGTCCAAGCATGATGGCCTTATTGGGTCGAGATATCGAAAAAATCAAACCTGTCATGGATAAAATCCACAACATCAACCCTGAGATAGTCACAAAGTTTGTCCAGATTCACCTGGATTCCTTGAACAGTGTGCGCCATGCAGCTCAGCAGATTCTCAACGACACCAGCATTCCCAAGATCCACGTCTTGATCAACAACGCTGGGATTATGGCTTGTCCATATTCCAAAACTGAGGATGGGATTGAGAGACAGTTCGCCACAAATCACGTTGGGCACTTTCTGCTGACGAATCTGCTCATGCCGAAAATCCTGGCTGCAAGTCCTGACGCCAGAGTGGTCAACGTTGCCAGCTACGGCAATGTTCTCTCCAATGTCTTGGACGACCCAAGCTTCAACGATGGAAAGGATTACGTCCCTTTCCTCTCATATGGTCAGAGCAAGGCTGCAAATGTCTTGATGGCGGTGGCATTGAACAAAATGTTACGAGGCAAAGGCTTGAAGGCATTTGCGCTATGTCCCGGAAGTCAGTAAACGTGCCCTTGAATACGCTGAGACAACACTCACACATTACAGGTGTACCAAGTAATCTCCGTCGTTTTCTGGATCCAATCACGATGAAAGAAGGGATCGAGGTCATATCAAAGAGTCCTGCCGTGATGCCACCACGCAAAACTCCGCAGCAGGGTTGTGCGACCACTCTTCGCGCGGCCATAGATCCGAACCTGACAGGTAAAGATCCACAACCATAATGTGATGGAATTTTTGTTGACAGAAATGCAGTTGACCGGAGTAGTTTCCTCTCCGACACCCAGGTAACGTCCGATCCAAAGGTGGTGGCTTCATATTCCTTGGATCAGTCAAATGCCGATCGGGTTTGGAATCTGAGCGAGACTCTGGTTGGCGAGAAGTTTAGATACTGAGGAGGTGCATTTATCCAAAATGGGAGGTCCTGTATCAATCAAGGGCTGGCAGACTTGAGGTCAGCAACCCAGCCAAGAGTGTCTCTTTTGTTGTCGGTCAGGCGACCATACTCCAACAAAAGTCTGGCGACGTAAATCTGCATATCAACTTTTCTGAGAACCTTTGCTGCCCACTCATTTCCGGCCTTCGCAATGCGTTCTGCTTGGGAATCATGCCCCTCATACTTCCCAGCCGCACCGCACGTGTCCTCATCGCAACCGACAAAGTAGGCCAATATAGCATAATAATCAGTAAAGCGGTTGTTCATGGGCACAAAATGCTTCCAAGCGACAAGCCGAGCATCGTGCCACTCGCGATACAGGGTAGACTTGATGGGAACAGAGTTACTCATGAGAAACGAGCGATACCGTCCGGAGAAGGAGTTACCATCGATATCGGGTAGGAATTTGGAAGCATATTGATCTGGCAGGCTCATGGTGGCACCGACCTCAAATTCGTCCGACAAGTACCAGCATTGGCTCTCCTTGGTAGGTATATCACAGAACAAATCGGTGAAGCAGACGTCGTTGTATTTACTAAGCCATTTGCTCAGATTCTTCTGGATATCACTGGACAGACCAGAGAGTGAAGATTGTTGCTGCAGAGGGGTAAAGATGCGGTCGGTGGTTTCATCGGCAAGGGAATATTTGGTGCCATTTGTCAAGGCAACGAACCTGTGGCGATGGAAATTAGGCCAATTCAGTGCATTGTGCCGTCCACCAGTGGCAGTTCCTCGCCAAATTGCTTTGGCACTCTTGGAATACCAAGGATGAGGGTCTTCGGAATCAAAATTCTCATTTCCATTCCAGGGCATGGGTGCAGGAATTAGGATATCGTTGTTGACGGTAAATTTGGAACCACCGAACATTGGCAGCAATTCTTGACTCGTTGATTTGGTAAGAGGGCTGGTCAGAGCTCCGTGGTATGCACCGATGCTGGGATCCTGGCACAAATCCGAAGCAAGGGTCCAATTGCCAACAAAGCCTCCAACCATGAAACTTTGAGGATTGGGGTGATCATTCTTAGATACCATGGCTCGATGAAGCATGTTGGGCTCTGTTCGCAATGGGCTATTTGAATCACAAGCGGCGCGTGCGAATGACAAGGGTGCGGATTGGAACCATTCAATTTCTGGTTGCGCCTGGCCGGGCTCTGCGGTCTCTGTCCAACCCTGGACGACATCAGAGATTTTTTCATGCTGAGGCAACGCCCGGGATTCTCTTGCTTTCTCTAACCGAGTGCTAATTTCTTCGAAAGGAACCATGATCCTAGGTTCGTCCATGGCGTTGAGCGGGATCACCATATCGGGAAGCAGATGAGCAACTTCGTTGATCATGTTGGCCCATATGACATGCCAGAACCAGTCGGTGTCAGCTTCCGCTTTGTGCTCATGCACACGCACATGCATACCGAGGTTGCGGGCTCTCGCACGTATATCGTGAGGCGACAAGCTCCAAAACGGTTCCAAGTCATGATAAATTTGATCGAAAAATTCTTCAACAATGACGGCATCATTTGCATTTGCATATTCGAACCATTTGTCAAAGCCTGGAGGTGGATGCCTCCCACGGCGCTGGCGATATGCCTTTGCGGCATTGTCAAGCTTTTTCGATTGCTTCGCTACTAGGTCCTCGAAAAACTTGTTCGCATCTGCGATCAACCGAGATATCGTGTCTGCATTAGTTGAAGAGCTGCCAGGTCGAGATGGATACCACGATGGTTTGGTTGTGTTTACAGATTGATGTGGTTCGGGAAAGGTTTGGTCGCTGAGAGGAGCTGTCACATCGTTGGGCCGAAAATACGACAGCGACTCGTATAGCAGGACGAGAATGATAGCTCCGACGATAAAGTATAGGCGGTTGAGTCGGAGCATGTTGAACCCAGGCAGTGAGCGTGAGGTCGCTGCCAGACCACAGCAAGGACTGTCACCGGCATAAAGGTCGTGAAGTCGATGAGCCATGGTGGTCAGCGAGTGACGACAAGTCCATGCGTGGTAATAGTTCTGGCTAACTATCTTAGTATTGGTGTGCTTAGACCATGTTCTAAATATGAGAAAAGCCACCGTCGTAGTTGTTCAGAGTTTGAGAGGGAGCGGGTGGTCCGTGATGGGGGTAGCTGAAACTGACAGCCCCTTGAAGTTTGGATTATTGCTATTCCTGTCCCTGTCCCTGTGGCTGTACGCAGTCTTCGTCTTATCAAAATTATTCGGTGGTGATCAGGAGGTAGAGGTCAGTCTCCTGACAGGGTTGGTTCGATACGAGGATGATAGTTAACCGGGGATGAGATTTCCGCCACGATAAGAAGATGGGCTTCGTAGATGAAATACAGGGATGCAGCCACCAGCGTTTTATGAGTATAGCTTGATGGAGTCGATCGATAAGCGTATTTTAGTGACCGCAGTACTTTTCGCAGGTCGACGAGGTGTACCGCGTAGGGGGTGTAGGGTCTCGATTGATCTGTAGCCAGGGTACGGAGTAGTACAAAGTCGTTGTTCTGTGCGAGATCAGATCCGTGGCTTACTGGGGCTCGTTTTCCGATTGCAAAAAATTCTCCGGAACATCCGAAAGTGTGGGTGGCAGGAACAACTGGAATTGGGTGGTTAGTTAGTTGCCTTAGGCACCTAGGCAAGTACCAGGTACTGAGTCCCGTACCTGAAGTATGTAAATAGCACTCTGTACTGACCTGACACCAATAGTGCTAATGGGCTGGGGAGCTACAAGGGCCTTGTCAAATTAATTGGGAGGCTCATCCCGCCTAAGCAGATTTATGTCATAAGCCTCACGAGGAGCCTAAACCGCTCCCACCACGCCTAGAAGCCTTACTAAAGAGTAACCTCCGTACCGAGTTCCACCAGCAGACGCCTCATCGACCCTCTCATTCTCCATTCTCCATACTGACTACTCTATCGCAGCTCCTCAGGGGGCGACAGACGAATCTCTGAATCTTTTTTTTCATGCTCATTTACGACGTGATCTCCGCAACCACACATCTCTCCTCCTCGTACGCGCGTCTCATTCTCATCTAATATCGGACTGATGATTGCATGTGGCACAGAAGAGACTTGTCCAGAAATGCACTGACACTCCCAGCCCATCCCATCCTCCGTCCACTTCAGCTCGGCATTTCACCAGCGTTAGATCTGCATTGTTGGGCGTTTGAGAAGATTCGAGCAGTGGATACGTTCTCCCTGAGCGACTTCTCAAACAATTCTACACTGGGCAAATGAATCACTACGAGTACTCTGGAGCTTCTCTATCCACATCAAGAAACGTCACGCTTGTCAAATGTCGCTTCTCTCCCTCGGCTCGCGCCTGAATGTGCATTGGCGGATACTGGTCCTGATCTTCGTGGCCGTCATTTCCTCCTACACCATCCTCCATACTTTGGCGCCAACACATCTCAAAGGTGGCTGGAACCGAATCATCCCATCATCCTCAGTCTCAACATCATGCCCGTCCGGCCATGCGAATCAACACCTCACCAAGCCCGATGGAGTCAAAGTCATCGGTATGGTCTTTTACGGCCGTCGCGACCGAAGCCAGATCCTTCACTGCTTCTTGATGCGGAATTTGGTCGACAACGGAGGATGGCTCGATGAAGTCCAATGGATTCGCAACACCGACAACGAAGCCGACCTGCAATATCTCGATGAAATTTTAATCCAGACCCCTCGATACAAACAAGTCCATCAAGAAAGGACCAAAGACCAAGGCTACAGCGATGCATGGTCCAAACTCGACCCGGGCCAAATCTACGTCAAAATTGACGATGACTTGGTCTGGATGGCCGACGACGCCATTCCACGTCTTGTAACCACCAAACTCGAACATCCCGAATACCTCGTCGTCTCGGCCAACATGATCAATTCACCCCTCTTGGGTTGGCTACACTACCGCATGGGCGCCGTACACCCCTACCTTCCAGCCTATAACTCGTTCACTGATTCTCCATCATCGTTCGAAGAGATCTCTGCTGGGACTACGGAGCAAACCCAGGGCGTGACTCGTGTCTCGTGGAAACACATCGACCATCCCGCCTGGACAGGCCCGGATAGTTTTTCCTTCCCACACGAAGAACCACCACCTCTCGAGGGTCATGCGTGGCTCCGATTGCTCGAAACCCAGGAATCCAGAACCCACCAACTCCGTCGCACGCCCGTCATCAACACGACCTACGAAACCTGGGGTCCCGGTCTCAAATCCTGGTCCATCGCCGCCCAACACCATTACTCCTTTCTCGAGAACCTGCACGACGATAACCTCCACCTCTACAAATTCGCCCCTGACGCCAAACCGTGGATCACCGACTACGACCGGCTCAGCATCAACTTCATCGCCATCAACTCCACCGAGATCCTCACCCATCTCCCCATCCCCGACGACGTCGTCGACGAAGAATGGTTGACCGTCACGCTGCCGAGACAGATTGGCAAAAGTGTCGCCGTCGACACCCAAGCCCTCGGTGTCCATTTCAGCTTCTTCTTCCAGGGACAGCTCACTTCGACGGATCTACTGGGTCGGTACCTCGATTATGCCAAGGAAAATGTCTGTCTGAAATCATGAGCTCTGCTCTCCGACGACCGCGGCCGAGGAATGAATAAAGTGCCTTCAAGGAGCCTCGTGCATCCTGAAACGAATCTTTTTGGACGTCCTAGAATAAACATCCTGGGCTTTACGAGCCTCTACGAACATGCTAACGCTACTGTAAGCCTTCTCGCAAAATGGGAGTGTACAGGTCATTTCATGTCAGGTCGTGTCGGGTCAGTCGAGACCGAGCAACACTCTGCGTCCAGTTCGTTTCCCAATATTTCCAGCATTGCGCAGCACGAATAGGCAAACGGGACGGATTCATGTTTGGCATTCAGAAAATATCATGTATATGTGTACCGATAAATTATAATAACCTACCCAAGGAGCCGAGAGCGACGACGGTGCGCAAGTCAACGGACTATGTGATGGTTGCGTGACGCGGAAAAGCATGTATCGTGGCACCAACACTTCTCATAAGTGATGGTAGAAACGGGTCACGATAGGTTCAGAGTACTTATACAACCATAGCATACCCTATATACTCCATACATGAGTATACATATCTAATGACGACTGGAATGCCGAATGCAAGTATATGTAATCTAAAAAAACATAAATCTTTCGAATCTGGGAAATGTCTCTGCGTTGAACAAGCATACATATCTCTGTGAACCCATACTATAACTCCGATTGGAAATGTGTACATAGAAAAACCCCATGGATATCTCATCATAAATCATCGTTCGTTTACAAAAAAAGACCCATCCACCATTCCGCAACGAAATCTCGGGGTCTAGAGCTTCAATTTCTTCCACATACTCTTCGCCGCGGCCCAACCATCTCCTGACTTCGACGAGACACTCACACTGGACTGTGCATTCGAGCTGGTCCTGGTGTTCCTCCGGTCTGGATTCGTAAAACCAGTCTGCGCCGTGTTGGCCCGCGGTGACGGATCGAGAGGACGTGTTCCGAGCTCTTTGTCGATGGTAGATTGCCTTTTCGTGTTTCTCCTCGGTGTCGCCGTGCTGGGAGAGTGTTCCGATTCCGCGCCATTCAAAGAGACCTCGAAACCCCAGTCGTGGTCGAGATCGATCCGTGGGGCAGACGTTTGGCTGAAAGTGGTACTGGTGGTGGACCTTCGAGGGCCCAGAGAGGCTCCAGGATCCGAGGTGAATGCCCTCACCGGTCTGTCCTGGCGGTGGGCGATCTCCCTGAGTGCATTGTGTTGGTCGGTCACCTGCTTGGCTCGTATGTAGAACCTAATCCGAAGCTCGTGGTGGAACCTGTCCTTCTCGGCCAGGGTTTTGAACCTGAGGAGGATGTGTTGTGTTTCCTTGACCTCGAGCTTCCGGAACTGTTCGCCTCGGGGCAGTCGGAACGGCAACAGGTTAAAGGTGGTGGGATCGGGAAGTCCTCTTTCGTTACACTCGGTGAATAGGATCCGGATGGGAATCGGCTTGTTGCCCCGTCGGCGGAGGCAAATGTAAGAACAGTTGTCGTAGTTGGAGTGACACTTGCACATGCTCGTGTCGATGTTGATGGACGTCTCCAGGTCTACGAACATGATGGCAAATCTCTGGCCATGCTTTTCGTCCGTGAACTGGGTCGTCATCAACAACGCCGGGTGCCTGATGCTTTCTGCCTCCAACCCGTCACCGACTTGGCTGATGCTGGCAGAAGCCCCAATCGACTCGATATAGCTGCTCTGCCGCGAACGGGCACTCTGATTACTGAACGACTCTGTCGGTGATCCGACCGACGACGCATCAGGGGCTTGCGGAGTTGGGATGGGATCCTGCCAGAGTTGTACCCGCGCTTTACAATCGAGAGCAGCAGCAGCCTTGTTGAATTCGCAGGTGATGTTTGACTGGTCATGTGAGACATCGTACCCCGTCAATGCCGTCTGGGTCGCGAGGGCGTCCTCCAGACACTTGAACTTGAAGAGATACTCTAATTTTCGATAGTAGACCGCCAGCTCGAAGCATGGGTCTTTCAAGGTCGGCATGGCATAACGTGGGATCAATTGGTCTTGTTCGGTGTAGATCATGAGAGGGTAAACAACCTCGCGCCCTTCGGCCGTGATCTTCTCATGTACAAGGCGGAAGTCGGTTGTTGACCGCCGAAAAAGCATCAGCGACTCCGACGGCTGGTCGTTCCTGGAGGCGAGCTGCAAGCGAAGAAGCTCCTGTTCGTTCGCCTGGGCCGCGGTAAGATCAAGCTCAGGCGCGACTTCCTCCTCTTCCGGCGGAGTCCAAATTAAGAACATCGACTCGGGAAGGGCCATCAGTATCTCATCGCTGTATGACATGATGTCTTGATCCCGGAGACGGATCTCAATTGCCTGCTCGACCTGGTGCACGGCACGTTTGTAGTAATAGGCTGCGCAAGCACGAGTATAACCCTTGCTCTTCTTGAGGCGAGCAAGCAACCACCGTGTCTTCAGCAGCGACAAGTACATCTCCGGGGTTTGTTCTCTGCCTTCGAAACTCTGCTCGAAGTGTAGGAGTAGGGCGTCAAACCCTTCGCTTAATGGAAATTCACCGCTGGTCGCCAGGGCAGGAGGAGCGAACACTCTCATTGATTCTTCGAATCTGGCTTCGATCGCTGGGCTCGCATGACATGTATCCTCGGGCCCAAGTGAGGCCGCTGGTTCAAGACCGGCAAGGACACCAACCAAGCTTGCATGGAACTTTCTCATTTCTTGCTGCATGTCTTTCTGCAGATTCACTGTCCTCAGAGAGATGTCGAACAGGTCGTCGATCCTAGCATCGAAGTTGGTCAAGAGGTCGATGCTGAGTCGGTCAATCACGAGCTTGATCTTCGTCGAGTGCATGTGGATGCGACTGCGCAACGAATCGATCTTTTGATCTTGCTGGGTCGCATGCCACAGCATGTTGTCACCAAAGTTGCTCCTTTTCCCGAGCAGCCCTCGATGCTTTAGGAGGAAGACTTGACATTCTTTCAGAGTCTCCTCAAAATCTCCGGTCATGCGTTGACGCTCCCTCTCGAACTCTTGCTCGCCAGGGTGATGGGCACCCTTTTGAGCGGCGAGGGCGCCATTCTGGTAACGCCTAGCCGCCTCTGCCAACGAGGTGTCGAGCTGTTTGAGAAGCTTTTCAAAATCCTTGATTTCTTTACGGAAGTTCTGGAATCGGTAGTCTGTAACAGTCAGAACGAGCTCTACCTGGGACCAGTCTTCACACTTACCGGCTCTATTGTCTTCTACGAAGTTGATTTCATAGATCTTCTTTGCTAAGGCGACACCAGCAATTATGTCGTTCGCGCCAAAGTCAAGCGCCATCACAGCCGATTACTAAGCGAAAAGACAGGGCCCAGGCTGATCTCGGAATTGGCCCGAGGCTGAGCACCTCAAGGTCGATGCAGAGAAGACGTGAGTTGAATTGGTCGTGATCGCAGCGTTCGAGGGTTCAAGTTATTGTTACAAAGAGTCGAAAAACAATCAACCTGCACAATGGTAATACAAATAGGAAAGCAGAACAGCTGCCATGTCGACCATTTCGTGACCCATCCCTCCCTTCCGATCTTGCAAGTCTCGCTGGTCGTCTAACTTATCATCGGACGAAAAGCCAAGGATGGCTTTGGCCTCCTGGAGGGCACCAGTTGTCCCGACGCGTCTTGGAAATGCAGTCCAACATCAACTTCAGTCGGGATGCGAACCATCATCCATCCGTTGTTCCGCTGCTCTGCCTCCACAAAGTTCGGTTGCCTTTTCTTTAGCCTCGCTACACGATGCCAGATTAGCGGTACGCAGATTATAGTACATTTCTCGGCAAGCGAAGTGGTAGCTGTATGCGGGTCGACATCGCCTCACTCGCCTGCTAGCCTCTAGGCATGGCGCTCTCTGCCATGTCACTTTCCTGATCGCGGCCAGTCACGACGAGGCTGGGCAAGACGATATCTGCCTTGTGGTAGCCATGTGACGACGGTATGGCGAACAGTATGGCTCTGGCTAGGTAGCAAAGCAGCCATTTCAAACAGTTAAAAGCCCAGGTTCACTTGACTCTCCCCCTTGGACTCACGCGCATCAAACATACCCTGAACAGAGACATACACAATGGTATTGACTGCTAACGAGGCAGCGCTCCTGGGAATCGCGGGAGTAGAAGACTTCGACTTTCGGCACCAGAGGCTCGAAGTGTCGCCCCCAAGCAAGATCGGGAAATGGACGATTGTTGCTCTGATCTTGAACAGAACGATTGGCTCGGGGATCTTCCTAACGCCGCATAGAGTCCTTGCAGGGACCGGGTGCGTTGGTGGCGCCCTATTTCTATGGCTGCTAGGAGCACTGATCTCTATCTGTGGGCTCTACGTGTGGTTGGAATGCGGTCTATCAATACCGCAAGGAACACCCCAAGGAGAAACAGAGCCTCGTGGGATGACTAGGTCAGGGGGTGAGAAGAACTATGTGAGCCCGAACTCCTGAAGCAGCATGTTCCGATTCTAACTCAATATTCCAGCTCGAGTTCATGTTTCCAAATGCCAGAGCACGATTGCCACACATAAGAACCACATGCATTTTCAGTATCATGTTCATTCTCATGTATAACCTGAGCGGGTTCGTTGCAACAGGCACGCAACGCTTTTTCTATTCAAGCTAACGTACTCAGAAACGCCATTTCCTTTGGGATACAGGTATTGATCGCTTCTGGGGTGTATGAGCCGAGTAGCGGCGAGGCTCCAGACAGAGGTCAAGTTGTTGGTATTGCAATTGGTACCCTATCGTTCGTTATTATTGTCCACATGTTCTCGCGACGAGGTGGTATATTGATCAACAATATCTTCGCAATCATCAAGGTTATGCTACTTGTCAGCATTATCGCCTTAGGAATTGCCAAAGCCGGTGGTGCTTTTCCGGCCACGGGGAAAGCGCCATTGGACAATTTCACAGCCAATGTCTTTGTCACGAACAGGAAAGATCCCGCAAGCTGGTCAAATTCCCTCATACTTTGCATGTACTCTTTCTCCGGATTCGACCAACCCTTCTACGTCAGTATCTCAGACTTCCCTAGACGGTCCGCCGCTTGCTGACACCATTGCAGATCATGGCTGAGACAAAAAGCCCCCGAAGATACTTTCCGAAGTATACCGTCCTGGCTCTGTGCATTACAGCTGTTCTCTTCATGCTTGTGAACGTCGCATATGTGGGTCGAGTGTCCTTGAGAGTCGTCTTCGGCTAACTGACCTGATAGCTCTTTGCTGTACCGAAGAGTGCAGTCATACCTTCCACGGCCAGGGAGCTCCCCACTAGCATTGACATGGCCACGTTGTTCTTCGAGCACTTGTTTCAGGATCAGAATCAGGCGAGACGAGCGATGGCTGGTCTGATCGCTACGTCTATCTTTGGCAATTTGGTCGTCATGACATTTACAGCTGCCAGAGTCAAACAAGAAATCGCCAAAGAAGGAATTCTGCCCAAATCTCTCATCTTTGCTTCCTCATACTCCACTCCATGGGGCATGTGGAAAAAATACCTTCACGGCGATGATGTTCGCGTTGAGGACCTGGAACAGGCACCAACTGCAGCATTCGTACTCCACTGGTTCACCTCGGTGCTACTCATTCTGGTCACAATCCCGGTCGGTGATCCTCGGAAGGCATATTCGGCACTGGTTTCGCTGTATTCGTATACCATGGTCACGCTGATTGGCCTTTGGGTGTCCTACGGTCTTCTTCTCATCAAGATCAAAAAGGAGCCATGGCGCTGGCAAGATCGTCGACGATATCGTCCTTGGCTGAGTCCTGCACACGCCATCATATATGCCGTGGCCAGCCTCTTCATGATGGTCACAGCCTTTGTCCCTCCTCCCAAGGGCTCTCCATTCCACGACAGTGTTACAGGGTTCCAATGGTACATCGTTCCCGCAATAGGAATCACAGCCCCATTTTGGGGTATCCTGTGGTACTGGGGTCTTCGACTCTATGAGAGATGCAAAAAGTGTCAACTCGTAGTTGAACGTAAACCTACCTGGATGAGAGACCCAGACTGTCCATCGGAATATGTGCAAAAGGCAGAGTTCGTCGATCACAATTGGGAGATCAGACCAAAAGCCGGCAAAGATTTCAGTTTTGGGAGAGAAAAGAACCGCGCGGTGACAAGAGAACGCGAGACATCTCCTTTTGGGAGCGATGTTGAAACCGACGAAGGAGGGTTATTCGGAAGGAGGCAAAGACGTGACAGGCGAACAATGAGCGAGGGCAGGAGAGTGTCTTTTGGCTTTGAAGAATAGGCGCGAGCTCCGAGAGTATGTGTGGTAGCAGATATTTTAGTGAATGTCAAAGTGCGTTGAGTATTGTATCTTGTGTTCTCAATCCTCTGTTCTGTGTCTTCTGTTTTTGTCTAACATATAACAACTCTGCAAGGCTGTGGAACTGCAGCCGATATCGCAGATAACGACGGGTAAGCGAGCCAATCGATTGGCTGTCGCAGACTCTCAGCCTCGTCTCCCCCACCAACCACAAGTACGAGAACGAAATACGTGATTCTCCGAGAAAAAAACAATTAAAAAAAATAAAAGCGCAAATCCACCATTGACCCCTCATTGCATTGATTGATTGAGGGAAAACTAAAGTCGAATCGTGGAGTCTGCGCCAGTCCACTGCCTGCTATTCGCAATTGGTCTTGGTCTCTTGTTGAATTATGACTTGCAACAGTCAATGTTTGTTGAACTGCGCATTGTGATTGTCACTTGAAGGACCTGCACTTGTATGCGAAGTTTGGCGATCACATTGGAAGCTCTCGCTGCCTCATTCTCTCTCTCATACCTATCTACCTGACACGTCCATCTCCCTTCCTACACTCATACCTACCTAACCTCAGTCCACGCATTACTTTCCCGTTCCCTTAAACCTCCGCCGACCGTCCGACCCAGCTGATCACCATGCCGGTCACCGTCGTTCTGGGCGCCCAGTGGGGCGATGAAGGCAAGGGCAAGCTGATTGACATCCTCTCCCAGTCGGCCAACATGGTCTGCCGAGCTGCCGGCGGCAACAACGCAGGGCACACCATCGTCGCCAACGGCGTCACCTACGACTTCCACATCCTCCCGTCCGGCTTGATCAACCCCTCCTGCGAGACCAACCTCATCGGCGCGGGCTGTGTCGTCCACATCCCCAGCTTCTTCAAGGAACTGAAGGCGCTGGAGGAAAAGGGCCTGCAGGGGGTGCGCGACCGCATCAAGATCAGCCACCGAGCCACGATCTGCTTCGACCTCCACGCCGTCATCGACGGCGTCGTGGAGGACCACCACAAGAAGGTCGAGGAGGGCAAGGGCATGATCGGCACCACCCGCAAAGGCATCGGCCCCAGCTACGGCGGCAAGGTCACCAGGAAAGGCGTGAGCATGTGGATGCTGGTCAACGAAGAGCAACAGTGGGAGAAGAAGCTCCGGGAGTTTGACGCCGAGTGCCGGAAACTCTACGGCGACGCCGCGCTGCAAGGCTACGACGTCGAGGACGAGGTCTCCAGGCTGCGTGGCTACCGCGAGGAACTGCGCAAGTACGTCGTGCACCAGGTCCCGCTGCTCGCGCAGGGTCTGGGCCGCATGGGTGTCGCCGAGAAATTGCCCGAGGGCGAGGCTGCCCGACAGGCCAACGTCTTGATCGAAGGCGCCAACGGCGCCCTCCTCGACATCGACCACGGGACCTACCCTTACGTGACCTCCAGCAACACCGGCCTCGGTGGTGTCCTCACGGGCCTCGCGGGCGTGGGTCCTCGGACTCTCACGTCCCCCGGGAGCAACGTCGTCGGTGTGGTCAAGGCGTACACGACGCGAGTCGGTTCCGGCCCTTTCCCTACAGAGCTTTCCGCCGCCATCTCCCCCGTCGACGCGGACTACGGCGTCAAACTGCAGGAGATCGGACGAGAGTTTGGCGTGACGACGGGCCGGAGACGGCGGTGCGGCTGGCTCGACCTGGTCTGCCTCAAGTACTCGGCGTTTTTGAACGAATACACGCAGTTGAACCTGACGAAGCTCGACGTGCTCGACTCGTTCGACGAGATCAGGGTGGCGACGAGCTACAAGCTGGGCGGTGTCGTCATGGACGACTTCCCCGTCGCCCCGGAGGAGTTTGAGAAGCTGGAAATCACATACAAGACCTTCCCCGGCTGGAAGACGAGTACCACGGGGTGCAAGTCCTTCGAGAGTTTACCGGCCAAGGCCAAGGAGTACGTCGAGTATGTTGAGCGCGAGGTTGGCATCCCGATCAAGTGGATCGGTACAGGTACGTTGATACCCTCAAGCCCGTCCTTCGAGCCATGTTTCTCGATACTGACCGTCACGCGTGTATAGGACCCCGCCGAGAAGATATGATTGTCAGGTAGTTCTCGCCCCATAGAAGCAACAAGATTTTTGAGGATATGGAGCAGTCTGCGGATGTTTCATTGAAGAATTGCATTTGTACATATGCGGTCTTTTTGGGCGGCCAACTGCCACGCCAAAAAGTTTTCAAGAATGCTGGAAGCATGGGTATCTTACTCCTCCGCCGCGCGCTAGAATAGACTAAAACTGGGAATTTGTCTGGTCTGTTTTATTTTTACAGGACCGCCACTACACCTGCAATGGCAATGACCGCCGCCGCAAAGCTTCCTACTTGACGCGGATCAGACGCCGCGTTGCCCGTGGCCGAAGCGCCTTCTGCATTCGTCGAGGATGCCGAACCGCCTGTAGCAGTTGCCGATGAGCCTGTCGGGGCCGAGTTGCCAGTTGTGACGATCGTACTGCCGGATACGACGGTGGTGTAGACAAAGGTACCGGAAGATGAAGAGGGGCCTTTGGTAGTAGTTGCAGTGGCCGTGAAGGGGGCTGCTCAGATGATAAAAAAAAAGAGGTTCGTTAGCCATCGTTACACCTGACACAAGGGGAAGAAAGAGTGTGAAGGGGGTTCTGCAAAGTTGTGTACGTGACAAACAGGTACATGCGTAGAGCAGAGCAGAGCAGAGCACAGGGAGACGAGAAGACGTACCAACGCTGGAACCTGCCGACGAGCATGTTGCGATGAAGGCAGATTGAGCCGCGGATTTGTTGGAGGAGCCACTGCACAAGCTGTTGATGGCGGATTGGACTTTTGTGGCTTCGTCACCGCAGATGGAAGAGAGGTCTGTCGGGTTGTCTTGAGTGTTGACGGCACCGAGGAGACAACCTGGAGGCGTGGCTGCCAGGCCGCGGGTGCCGAAGAGGGCCAGAACTGTCGGTAGGACGAGTGTGGCCTTCATTTTGTTTTGAGGGGGGGTTTGGATGTGATGGTGGTATTAAATCTGTGGTGTTTCCTTGCTCTTTTCTTTCCTTCTCTTCGAGACGTCTAGCGTGTGTATTCGAAGGAATTCTAGGTGTTTTTGATCTTGTGAGAGTAACTCGAATGACGCTGGATATCGGATATGTTGACTTGACGCGTGGGTCAGGTTTGGTGCAGCAAGTGAAAGAGTGCGCAAAAGGAAGGACGAGAAAATAGTGGGGGGTTTGGTTCCGTCAAGGAATGACTTGGTCTGGTCTCTGAGTTCAGCAAAGGAGTGTGTGTGTACAAGAAAATTGAAAGAAAAGCAAATTCCTGGTCCTTTTGGTGGTGGTGGTTGGGAAAAAAACAGAAAACGCAATGAGTGTTGGGCTTGTGAGACTCTGGAAGACGATTGTAGAGCTGCCAATTCCATGTATCCATACGAGTATCAGTTGAAGCCCCCTGGATTCTGGGTCCGGGGCAAAGTAGCCCCGACACGTGATCGAGCTAGACCATATCAGGACCCATCTGACGTCGCCGCTCTTGGTACCCCGAAATTGAGAGATTCAAGGAAGCGCGGGGGAAGAGGAGGATGTTGGCGAGATCTACATGCGACGAACCCTCAACGAAGGGTAATGATATGCTTGACGATTGGCGTAATTGTGCATCTGGATCTATTACTGCACAATCCATCTACAGGGGTATAATCTTTGTGTGCAGGTACAAACACCCTGACCCGTAAGGGAAGACACCAAGTATTGCTTCCCTTCAAGTAATCTCAGGCGATAACACCACCGACCTTGTTTCTGGCACTGAAAACAGAGAGTTATGACGATATAGCAAACACCACAAGGATCTCGCTTCGAGATGAGTTCGACGTGATATATACGACCCATCGCTACGAGTCCTGCGATTTCACAAACACATCCACCGAGAGCAAAGGCGCAGCTCTTGATTCCGACGCTTTATGATACGTCCTCGTTGGAACCACCAGTCCAGCACTTTACGCGGCTCTGCTTTTGTCAAAAGGACCCTACATCAGGAGGGCAATCTATATCTATTTCGATTCACTTTTTCCTTGACGAGACAACAACACCGACCATCTACCTAATCTACCATGGAGACACACGTCCAACGTCTCGTCGACAAGACATGGGGTAAGCATACACTCGTAACCCATACATCTTGGGATGATGTTCCTTCCTTGCTCTCTACCACATTCCCCTTTCTTGGCTCTCCGACATCTTTTGGTCGGTACCCATCTAATCCGTACCTGTGACAGAAAAATTCTCCGACTGTGACCTTTCGCAGCGTCTCCTCATCGCCATCGCCGGGATCCCGGGGAGCGGCAAGACCACACTGGCCGCGTCGGTCGCCCACGGCCTGAACAAGGCCCACCGGCGCTCCCGGCACACGCAGTTCCCCAACAGCCCCGAGTCCGACACGTCGTGCCCGGACATTGCGTTCGTGGTCCCCCTGGACGGCTACCACCTGACGCGCAAACAGCTGTCCGAGATGCCCGACGCCGAGGAGGCCATCTTCCGGCGGGGCGCGGCCTTCACCTTCGACGCCCGCGGCTACCTGGAGCTGGTGACGCAGGTGAGGGAACCCATCACCCCCGAGACGCCCACCATCTACGCGCCCAGCTTCGACCACGCGGTCAAGGACCCCGTGGCCAACGACATCTCGATCCCCCCCACGGCCCGCGTCGTCATCTTCGAGGGCCTCTACACCGCCCTCGACGCCGGCGGGTGGCGGGACGCCTACGAGCTCATGGACCAGGTCTGGTTCGTCGAGACCGACGTGGAAACGGCGACGCGGCGGGTGGCCAAGCGCAACTTCGCCGCCGGCATCGCCGACACGTTCGAACGGAGCCTCGAGCGGACCAGGGCGAGCGACATGCGCAACGCCCGGGACATCCTGGGGTCGAGGCTGCCCGTCCAAGAGGTCGTCCCCAGCGTCGAGGACGAGACCTGGCGGAGCGAGGAGATTGTTCGCGTCGACGGTCAACTTCAGGATCAACAGGACGAAGAAGAAGAAGAAGCCAAATTGGAAGAGTTGAAGAGACAAAAAATGATGAGGATGGATAGTATCGCCGCTTTGGCGGCCGATGGCGTCGGCATGTGAAGCAACGAAGGCACTTGGGATGTGCTTGGAACAAGCTACCTCGAATACAAAGTACATACTTATTGCCTACCTAATGTTAACCTCGACGTGATGATGATTTGTTTTCTTTTTGCGTCCAAAGACTTCGAGGACCCCGACTTTTAGGTCAGTGGACCGTCTACTTTACCTCATCTTTTCTCTCTCTCGAGAGAAAGTGATCTAGTACTCCGTACTCGTTCTCAGAGTAGGTCGACCCAAAAAACAGAAAACGAAAACGAAAACGAAAACAAAAACGAAAACGAATTTGGGAAACAAATATAGAAATCGACAAAATCCTGGATCCAGTCCATTTTCATTCATCCAATGCGAGAACCTCAGGTAGGTAGCAGCCATCTTTTGTAATCGTAAACACATGAGCACCCTTATATATAACACTCAAGCTGGACCCTTGCAAGATGCGACTCAAACACCTCAATCTCCATACCGCTTGAATATGAAAGACTTTTCTTGCGCCGGAAAACTGTAAAGGAAAATGAAGTCCCCACATTAGACGAATCGTCGCGTCGATAGGGAATGTTACAATTCAACAAAACAAAACACAACAAGCAAATACTTGTTCCGAAGCACCTCTTTCTTTCTTCTGGGTCCTCGAAACTTCCGACGCTCCCGAGATACGATATCATTGTAGCTCAATCATGCAGCTAAGCAGTCAAGCTCTTTTCTCCGTTCTCTTCTCGTCGCCCCAAGGTCGGTGGGTACCTGATCAAGACATTATACGCCATCAGGAGCTGTCCCTGATGCCCTTGCTCGAATCACGTCAGCTGAAATGCCGACGGCCGCCCACATATCATCAGGGATTTCCTCTCTTCTTTGCATTCGGTCCAGTATCAAGCCGAACAACTCCAGCTCCAGCAAACGCTCACTCTCCCTGCTGGGTCGTTCGGGCTCTTCAGAGGTCGGACCGTCGGGTCTGATAGCAGGAAGTCTCCTTCCCAATCTTCCATGGCGCAACCTTCCATGGCGTGCTCGGATTTCTCGGGCGTCCTCTTCGGTGATGCCGGAGGGTAAATCCAGATCACACGAATCGTCACCACCAATTTCGCCGAAACTTGTCGCAACGGTCTGAGACGATCGATTAGATCCAGATCGCGAGTCTGAGCGTGACATGAACGAGGTCGCCGTACTCGATGGGCCAGTCGCAATGGTGTTCAAGATATTCGACCAGGGTTCCTCCTGGGGCGAGCTGGGACTAGGACTTCGCACACGATCACCCAGACCATCCATTCTCGAGGTTGACATTCCCAACGGTCGTGTTGACAGGTGGTTAACATCCCACAGAGGCGGGTACGATGGATGTAACCCTCCGGGAGGTGGTGTATCTAGCAGGCCATCGACGTTGCTGCCACGCATCGCCGATGGTGCATTTCGTAATCCAGGTGGGAAGATCGATGGTGGAGGGGGGTTCTCACTGTCGTTGTCGTCACCGGCGTCGCTTCCTAAGTGGCCATTCAGCTCAGCACGTCGCCCACCCGAGGTCGAGCTTGGGATTCTGCGGGTGTGAGTATGAAATCTGGCGCGGCGTGAATGCTCCGAATCTGATGAAGGTGTGGCTGCGACTTCGAATCTGAGACCCGATTCCCTGGAGGGACGGGGTAGGTGTTGGGTGAGGTTTCCTTCTGCGTCCGACAGGAAGACTTCCATTCCAGCTTCGGCCAGCGCATCAAGGTCAATGTCTCCTCGAAGATCCACCTCCGGTTCAATGGGGTCGATGAAGGGTCCTCCTGGCAATTCGTGCCCCAGTTGTGAGGCAATCGCGCGGCGCCTTCGACGCATGGAACGTAACCGTTCAAGCTCGTCATCCAAGTCGTTGATTTCGCGCGCCGGTATCCGTGAAGGCAAATCCGAGGGTCTATTGTGTTCTGGCTCTTGCGACGCCTGGGCGTCTGCTCTTAGAAGGTGTAAGACTGAGCGCGATGTGGTGCGTCGTCCAGGACGCAGAGTGGATTCGCGCCTGATCGAAGAGCGACGGGTTGCTGCATTTCGATCGAGCTTGATTGCAGCCTGACCTGCGGCATCTTCTCCGGGCTCACGGAACATACTAGATTGGCCATTACTGTTAGCAGGGGCGATGCGACTCGGAATGGAACAATGTTGTTGCTGAAAGGCGCAACCGCAGCATCGGAAAAAAATTGGCTGCTAAAGGCACACTTACGGCAAACCCATGGTGTCGCAGAGCGCGCGAGATGCGCGTCACAGTCGAGTGGCAAAAGAGGTGAGCGGAGAGTCGAGCGAGGTCGTAATCAAAAACAACGAAGGAACACGACAAAGAAAGGACAATGAAGAATGAGTGGAGGGGAGGATGGAAATGACTTGAGATGAGATTGTAGAAGGATTGATTGATGGTTGTTTGGGGCTGATGGGCGGCTGGAGAGGAGAAAGTCACTGGATCAGAAGCGAGTTTTGAGATTTCTGGGGAGTTTGCAAAGAAGCGGGAGGCGGGAGAAGGCGAGGCGCAACAAGGCTGACGGAGACCCCAATTGCCGCGGAGGACTGACAGGTGGTCTATTGTGGCTAGGCAAGAGTCAGCTTTGGTCCACGTTGTGTAGACGTGCTCTTTGAATTCTATTCTACAGTACTCCGTATGTATATCTCACTATGCAATTAATCCCAATTGCATTCTGATGAAGAACTTGACTCTATTGTTATCTTGAATATGATACAAGAATACTAGGGTGGATCAACGTATCAGCGACGGTGGAGCACAAGGCCAAATAGCGTATCTACCAATAACCACCATGGGGCAGGGTCGTACTCGTATTCGTATTCGTACAGGGGATTCGTGCCAGCACCTTCTCACGGCCCGCTCTCGACTATCATTTCCTCCCCCTTTTTCTATCTAGCAGCTTTGTACTCGTAGAAGGTGTAGCTCCGTCAAAGACCCCAGAATAAAGGCCGCGTTATGATCATTCAAGCCATCAATGGTATCAGAACACATGGAAGTGATAATTGTCAAGGCAAGGTGAACAGAAGGCTCGGAGCCGACTCAGCCCTTCGTTCACCGGAACAAACTCTCCATCGAGGACAATTGAGAGTGAAACATCCTCTGAGGGGGCAGAGAGGGGGAGGACAAGCCGGAATCGTCCCGCTGATAGCCTAGAGGCGACTTCACGTCATCGCTTGCTTAGATATTTGCTTTTATCCTTGCGCTTTGTCGTCTTCTTCTCCCTCTCTCCATGCCATGCTTGAGAGGCAAGTAATTCTGCCATATGGCCGACGGTCAATGTGGAGAGCGGCCCGGTCGTACAGCTCGAGGTAGATATGATCCGAGGATCTTCCACAATTTTTGTTATTCTTTTTTTGGAAACCAATCCGATGTCAACCAGTGGAGCTGGTAGAAGCAGGTGGTGTCGGCGGGAGCTGCACAAGGAAGAATAGACCATCCCTGGGTTCGAATCGCATGACAGGTTTTCCTCGATTCTGCACCGTGAGTGATCCGTCCGCTTCTTCTTGAAGGGTGAGATTGGCGCCTTTGGCTCTCTTCAGCTGTGACCAGCTAATGAGGTTGACACCGGCCTGCGGAATGTGGCTGACATGCCTGATAGTCATGCGGTTGACCACAAGGCCTCGGGAATCCGTCGAACCACTCGCAACACGCCCGATGCCTGAGGGCAAGTCTATTGTGACGTCGCCAACTCCAACAATTGGAACTGGATTGGGCCCAAAATAACCCACAGCTCGTGGATCAAGTTTGTTGTTGTAGGGGTTCAATGTGTCGTAAGTGTGTAAGAGGTTGCGGTTACTGCAAACATGTGTGGTGGCGCCGGTATCGAAGATCCAGTCGTTCTCCGAGAATGGCTTGCCTCGACGTGGTCCTGATGAGGTTTGAGGTTTTGGTCCGGATGATATCACCATGCCCGGATCGGCCGGAGCTGGAACGTGGACCTTGGGCTACGATTCGAGTCGGTCAGAAAACGAATGAAGTATTGAAATGCTGAAGAGAATGTCGAGATAGGCCGACGGGGATAGAGGAACAACGACGAATAATCGTACCTTGATATGATCATACTTGATGATAGTCGAGTCATCGTTCCGCGCAATTGACAGTCGCGGTATTGCAGACTACTGTCCTGTCAGTACATGAAACTCCTTTCGCGGTGTTCCATGTCAGTAATGGAATTGAGGGCAAGATAAACGATGCAACCTGTAGCATTTCCGCTCTCAGGGTTGAGACATCAATCCTCCATCATCACCGCAGGCACTCAAAAACACCCATGTCCGAGATATCGCACAAACCAAAGGTAACAACTCACATAAGCTCCAATGAATGCAAAAGTCCCAGCAACCGTCACCAAGGCTTGAAGTCGTGTTCCACCTCTTTTCGCCATAGTTCTTCGACCTCCGCCAGAACACAGAAAGACAGCAGTATCGTCGCGGTGATACCGCCCCAAAAGTCTCACCCAGCTACCACCGCCAGATCGAAAGTCTATGTGTAAGTCAACTCAAAGAATGTGCTGTGCTGGTGAGCCTGACCATGCCTAGAATCGTTCGAGCCTGGGGTTGATGAAAATACATGTGTCATTTGAAGATCCTGACAAATCATGCCATGTAAGACGAATCCATCGCGATTTTCCCTCTCGGTGGCTGTTGCACCGAAGTGAAGCGTCAAATACCAGAACCAAAGCTCGCACGAACAACAGCGTTCTGTAGAATTCATCATAGGCGACGAGAAACATCTCGTGTGTCGATATATTTGTATACCTAAACATCCTGTCCATTTCCGCTGGCCTCTTAAGAATCTTTCAAGAAAGACCTCTGAACTCATCCTAACATAATCTATTGGCAAGCCATCCTTGAAGAGAGAAAGCCATGGCGCTGCCACCTCTTCTTCAGGGACATGTCTGTGCCGTGACGGGCGGTCTGACAGGAATCGGAAGAGCAATTGCTATCCTTTTCCTTTCACATGGTGCTAAAGTTGTCATAAACTACCTCCCATCTCACAACAAGGATGAAGAAATACTCCTCTCGTCTCTCCGGACCGAAGCCTTCGATGCCATCAGGAATCGTTCTCATTCTTCCTCTCCACAAGACCTCCAAGATGTACCAATTCTTGCTATTGCCGGCGATATCTCCCAACCCGAGGCAGGCAAAGATCTCGTTGCACAGACGGTTGCAAAGTTCAACAGACTCGACACACTGGTCTCGAATGCGGGTATCTGCAAGTTTGAGGAGTTCCTCGAAATCTCACCTGACTCCTGGCAGAGGCATCTCAACACCAACCTATCAGGAGCCTTCTATGTTGTACAAGCAGCGGCACAACAGATGGCGAAGCAGGAGCCCCAAGGAGGTTCGATTATTGGCATTTCAAGCATTTCGGCTCTTGTGGGTGGCGCTCAACAGTGTCATTACACGCCGACAAAGGCCGGGATATTGTCCCTCATGCAGTCCACCGCCACAGCGCTAGGTAAATACAACATCAGATGCAATGCCCTCCTGCCTGGCACCATTCGCACTCAGCTCAATGATGAAGATCTGGCAGAGGGAAGTGAGAAGAAAAGATATATGGAGGGTCGCATACCCCTCGGACGGCTGGGAAGGCCTGATGACATGGCAGGGCCGGCCTTGTTCTTAGCATGCGGTGAGTTGTCATCCTATGTCACAGGAGCAGCAATCTTGGTCGATGGAGGGGCGTTTGTGAACTTTCAGTAGCGCGTAATGAAAAGCCAGTTATTCATGTGGACTAAAGTCCTGACAAAGTGGGCCGAATGCCGTAGGCTTCTGTAGCTGTGCCTGACCAAATCATCGCCTTTTCTTCAACATCTAGACCTTCGGATTCTAGTATAGCCTCGACAACAGCTCGCCAGTGTGGCCAGGAGGACTTGATACTGGGACCACCAACGTTGCACACTGGCCAATCTGATCCGAACATGATTCTGCGGGGGGTGAATGCTGCGAAGACGACGTCGACCCATGGCTTCATATGCTCCGCGATGATGGAGATATTTGAGGGCATGTCTGAAGTCTGCGGAGGCAGCTCAGAAAAAAACCCGGATAACTTCATGTAAGCTGATCTGTGTCTGGCCATTCTTTCGATGCACTGTTTCCATTTGATGAATTCACTGTGTCCGGCAAAAGCTTCATCAGGTGACAGCCTCAGATTTGGTTTGCAGAAGTGATTGATGATGATTTTGAGTCCGCTATCTTCTTCGTAGACTCTATCCATCATTTCACATGCCTCTTCCAATTGGTGAAGTCCACCAGACCTGGCATCAACCCCGAGGTCAAATGTAAAGTCATTCTTGCCCAACCACTGTAAGCCTTCAATGAGGTGATGTTGTAGCATTGTACCGGATGGTTTGTCTTGAAGTAGGTACCGAAAGCCTTTGACCAGGTCAAATTCCTCTCCACATTGCTGGCGCACTCGGTCGACATAGGTAGCTAGTAATCTCTCGCCAGCTGCAACTGGAGCCCATGGAATGATAGCCAGGACGAGCTTAGCATCGACAGATTGATGACCCTCTCCGTCTCGAGGAGTACCTTTTGCAACTCTCACCAGGAAATCGACCTCATCTAACGCGTTCTGCCAGTGATCCTGCCCCAGATCAGATTTACGATCTGTTTCTAGAAAAACAAATCCCTGCACAGTATTGTCATGCTGTGTGGCTAATTTGTACTCTTCGACTGAACACTGCCGGTTGAGAACGTGCTGTTCATCCAGGCCACCCGTCCAACGCAAAGATGGGATATGTGATGCAGCATACAGGTGGATGTGAGAATCGATCTTTGGAAAGTCATTGGCGGCAGCCTTCTGAGAAGTCATCCTTGCGTTACTTGGGACTACGAGATTGAGACGCAAGAGCCCTTCCGTCTGTGAGAGGAAAGGACGTCGTAGATCAAGAGACCAAATGTTTTCCGTCGGTCTCGACAACTGCTCGTGTTGCCCATATTTATTCCTGTAATATTTCGGGGTTCGGTGCAATGTCGTTGCTAGAAGTACTCCGTACTCGTAGAATGTTCATCCTCATATGGCCTTGAGTCGCTTGTACCCTTGAATGGGTATTTCTTATTTTCCTTTGTTGAATGTTTATTTACTTCGCTAGTTGATTGGACAAATACGGTTCCCTAGGTACATTATATGTAAAAAAGAGATTCAGGGCAAGGAGTATGTACACGTCGTCCTTGGGGAGGTTTGGAAAGACCGTACTAAGTTCTTCCACCTGCGTCATTTTAAGATTCTACATCAACAATTCCAAACAATTTCAATAATCATGAGATACCTTTGTCTAGTCCCTTGTCTTTGGCAGCATGTCGATGTATCCCTGATACTTGTACGTGCCTACTGATTCAACAGATGCTAATAGCTATCGCGATCAGACGAGCATCGTTCTGCTAACACATCACGTCTTTTCTCTGCCGCTGCGGGTTGACTACCAATATATCCCACTGCAACAGCCATCTGCCTTACAACGCCAAATGGATCTTCCAAGAAATCATTTTCCTCTTTCCCCTCCGGCGTCAGCTGCTTCTCCTACACCAACCACTACCTCGTTCACAAGCAAAAATCCAGATTTGCCTGCGCCACGTTCTCACCCTTTGAAGCCGGGCTCTCCTAAAGAGAGTGCCCTCATAAACTACCTTGATGATAAAATTCTTAGGATTACACGGAGATATGCCAAAAAATTCAGTGAAGAGATGGCATCGAAAGATGATGCTCCAGGTTACACAACATATGAAGAGTTCGTCGCGGATGCAGACCCTCTCTTGGATGTTGCCTGGATCAGTGGAACACGTAAGTCATAGTCTTCGGCGAGTATTTCCCCTGCGTTGTCGTTTCTCTCCCATAAGCATTGAGTCTGGGACGATCGGTAGCAGTTCTGACGTTTTGTACTTCGCATTTGATGCGACAATGGCCTAACTGCTCTACCCGTTTAGCAACTCTACAAATCCCATACCTATTGTCACTTGCTGGCCTCGTCTGCTCTTACATGCCAGCTTTCCCATTCTCAACATCTGTCTTCTACATCACGGGGAAAATTGACCGAGGCTTCACTTCTCTTTTGCTGTCCTCGTCCGCCGGCAGCTCCGATTCAGCCACTACTTACCATGTCTCAATGACGGAGAAGGTTCGAATCAAATCACTGGTCGAAGAAACCCGCATCACAGCTGTGAATGTTGCATCCTCAAGCGGGCTCTCAACCAATATCGGGGATGTTTCTGAGCTTGAGACAGAAGAGGAAGAGGAAGAGGAAGAGGAAGAAAAGACCGATGATACGAACACGGGGCAAGACACTCAAGCAAACGACATGTCAAGGTCTCTTGCAATCTCGAAGATTTACAAGCGGACCATGGAGATTTTGGGAGATTCTCTGGACAGCAGCACCCTTCCTAGAGGTCAAGAAACGAAAGATGTCCCAATGACCGACAACACACAAACAGAATGACGAAATTGCTCCTACAACTGCCGTAGGACTGCGCTATTATGACCAAATCTTGCCCACGAGGCATCTTTTCATGCGACTACCAATCGCTCTACATGGCGCGCAGTGAGTGTGATCGAGGAGTCCTCTGACTTCATCTATCTCTGAAGTGTCTCATTACGCTGGCACTCGACCCAGAACCAAACGAGACGCTTCGTTGAAGGATCTATCAACCCAACAATCTTTCTTCACCCACCCTCGTACAGAACCGAACTTCTCGACGCCAGTCGCACATGGCATCTGGGCCGCTACCGATTCTTGCGGTCTGTGAAAACGGATTCGAGGCAACCAATCAGAAGCCGCCACGCCGGACCGCCTTACAATTTCACCGACAACATGCATGAAGCGGATCCTATTGTGCATCTGGAAGACTGAATTGATGCCCGAGAAGCTTGGTGTCACGCAACTCAATTCACTGAGTGTCACTCTCGGCGCACTGAAAAATTCAATGGGATTCGAATGTAAAGTAGCGGTTTCCTAGTTCTGACATAAAGTCGAGTTGGGTTCTGTTCGAAATGGGTTTCTCCTCATTCAGTCTCCAGCCTTCAAGATGAAGTGCCTAACAGTTTTTCTGTTCATACAAACAGTTCTCAGTCTTGCAATCACATCAACACCGACGCCAAGCGATCTCATCCAGGTTACTGCGACTCCTGCCTTGTCACCAGTTCAACATGTCACTTGGCCAACATTGACACCCAGCATCACCGAAGTGCAGCTACCAATTATCCCTTCAGCTGTCATTACCTTAGCACCGTTAATAGCCAATCCACTCGAGAGACGCCAACGATGTTGGGATGACCGCGGATTCAGCGTTGACTGCGCTACATGGACGGGCTACTACTACACTTGGGGCCCTCCCGGAAATCCATATGAGGGTGGTCCTGGAGAAGGAGGCGGCGGTTCCGGCGGCGGCAGCAATGGCGGGGGCAATGTTGTGGTTTATCAGAGCGATACCGGCAGACTGGATATGGCAATCTGGTCTCTCATTCTTGGTGTCCTTTGTCTCGGGGTCGCCTTTTTGCTCTGACTGCAATCCATGCTCTCAAGGCAAATTTTCTACTTTTCCGAACGACGACAGTATTGAGTGAAGCAATCATCTACTCGAGGCTACAGAGGCGGTAAAAGGTGGCCATTCGGTAGTCTCGGAATGGGGAGTATCACTCCTGGTGCCACAGTCACCTCTGGTACCTTGGCTTTTGCGTGAGGCTGTCGTTTGACACAGATATCTTTTCTGAAATGGCATCCTTCAACAAACAATGAAATTTCTCCTAATCTACCGATATGCATGGCTTGTCTCTGCTACTTTACTATCAGCCATTTTCGTCTTTGACCAATCTCGAACCATCTCTGACCCAAACTTTGGAGCCGATCTCGGTTCGGATATTCGCATTCAGAATTCTGAGCAACTAATACTTGATGAAGTCAGGTAGCTGGCAAAAGGTGCATCGACGAGACACAGGATTGCGAGGATATATCTCGGGCTGTTCACGGTTGTTTTGCATCGTTGGCATTGTGTTCTCTCCGGTTCGTGGTCATCCAGGTCCACCAGGCGGCCTGCACAAAGGTAAGAGTGCATCCTATCTCAAGACACTCTTGTACTTGAAATCCAGAGTCTTATATGTTTTTCCAGAGAACACCTTCGATCCCCCAACCGCAATCATGACAGACGGTATTGCGAGCGTCATGCCCACGACTCTGACACCCGTTGCAACCTCGTGGGACACCTTTTCGCTCAGCATGACTCTCGTCGGGACTGGATGGTCGACATCGTATACGCCTACGACGACATCGTCTGACTCGGACCATGGTTCAATTTCATTCCTGATCGGCGATATGAGCACATCGTCATCTCTAGTGTCCACTGCCAGTGCGACGGCGATAATTTCAGGTTCGAATAACACATTTACTTCAACAGCACAAGAGGTATCGGTTCTGATGATTCTGAATTCGACTACGACTACACCTCTACCAGCCATTCCAGCGCACGTCATGAACGCAACAGTGACAACGACGATGACGGAGGCACCTGTACCTCCAGACATTGTCGCGCCTACCATTGGCAGTTCCAATGGATCTTCTTCTGGCGAAATCCCCTTTCCACCGGTACCGAGCTCGATCTGGATCACCGCAACACGAACACAGACGGCGTACATGAACACCACTGTAATCGTCGAAGCGCCCTCGAGTGCTATGACTGAGTCGTCCTTGGTCGTGAACAGTGCAATAAGCCACCTCGGAGCGTTGCCAAAGATTACAGATCCGTCGGTCTTGTCGTCACTATCGTCGCGGGAGTTTTCGATCTTGCCCATCACGGCCGTGAACAACGAGACATCATCGACCACGACGCCGTGTAGTACGAGGGTAGCTACAGTGACGGTGACGGTGATAGTTTCGGTCAATTCGACAATGCCGTCTGTAATGATGCATACGCGAACAGTGACTGCTTCGATGCTGACATCGCCAGATACAACGATGACGACTGTTGGTCCAAAGTCATCTGCATTGACGACGAATATGACATCCAGCATGGTCGCCGTGACGGGTGCAACGGAAGGCCCCCCCGATATGAGTATGAGTGTGACAATGCCTTTTACGGGCGGGTCGAATGTGACTACCTCCTTCATGACGAGTCCTAGTCCGACCACAATTCCATCTTCTGCTTACCCGACACTGTGGTCGTATGACTTTTGGGCAACGGTCGCGAGTTACAGATCGAAAACTCTCGCAAGTGATTCCAAGGGTATCGATTCGCGAATCCAGACTGTCGCACGACTACGCCACGAGCGCTCATTCGTAACGTCTACGGCGCCCACAACAAAAACCACGGATGGCAATGAGCGGATCCCGAAAGTGACCAACGTCAAATCATTCAGTCTCGCGCCATCAAAACCCACCACCTTTGTCACTGTACCGAAGGGATGTCGAGAACGATAGCTGGATGCTCCTGAGACCTGAAAGAGGTAACCTACCTGCATTTACGTGGGCTTGCGTGATTGAAAGATCTGCCCACCACCAAGGGGGTTTTATAGGATTTATCCAGCGACACGTCCACGAGACACAAAGGGAGAAGCTGCAAGGTTGTGTAAGGGTACGCGGAGTATATGACCGGGTGGCTTCTTTTTTTAAATCACAAAAATCAATCTTGGGGGAAAGCTGAGAAATGGTTGTGTGCTTGTGTCCGTAATGAAATTTCAGCAGACAGAGACAGAGCATGTCTAGAATGCACAGGTCTTGAGCGTTTTGAAACGCGCAATTTTTTCTAATCATGAAATGTTGTTGCACTGTGAGCATTCGGTGAACGATCGCCGTACGCATTCGCTCTATGAGCCGGGGCGCAGTCCTCTCTATGTTGAAAGCACGCAGCTCACTAATCTTTCTTGTCATCGTCCTTTTTGGGCTCAAAGTTCAACTGGTTTCCATTGTAAAACTGTTGATCGCGCCTCGCACTTTCCGCACGCTGATCGGCCAGCGTTCGCACACGAACATTCCTCACGGCATTCTGTGGTGTCGACGTCGACGCTTGTCCTCCACCAGTGGCATTGGCCTCGGCAGATCCCTGCTGGGTGGTGTTGTAACCCAGGAGGCTCTTGACACCGCCAAAAACCGCACCGGCCGTGCCGCTGACGAGATTGTAGCCTCCGCTCACGGCGGTGCTGAGCAATCCACCCGTGGAAGAACCGGTGTACGACTCGACGTAGCCCTTGACGGGGACCATGACGAGCGTGCAGCTTCCTACGATCCCAAGATTGCGGAGCTCTTGTTCCTCCTCGGCGGCCTCGATGTTTCGGTTTGGTAGAGGGGTCAGGATGAGTTTGAGATTGTACGGGGCAGAGATGTTTGTTTCCGTGTCGATCCATGGCCGGACGTCGTTGGATAAGGTGGAAGTCGGTTGGAACGTCGAGCGGAGTGTGCTGCCGTCGAATGTGCGCACTTGAACCCTGACCTGTGTAGATCTTTGTTTTGATCCGGACGAGGATTCGGATGCCGAGCTGGCAATGTCGCCTTGTTTGCGCAGTTCGTCGAGTCGTCGGCGTTCTTCGCGGTCCGCTTTAATTTGAGCCTTGATGCGGTCGCGCTCGTCTCGTTGGTGTTGTTCTCGCTCGCGCTGCATCTTGATGTATTCTGATCGCTGTGCTCGTTGTCGTTCACTGGAAGGTTGATCATTGGAAGGCGTCGCGGCGTCGATCCCTTGTACGGGAGGCGATCTATTGCTTGCTCCGGTCGATGTCTGAGGCGACGTGTTATTCTGGGTGGATTCTTGGGGTTGCGATGGTGTCGCAGTTGCCGAGGATCGTGTCTGGCCAGGTATTCGAAGTCCAACTGCTGGAAAACGTAACAATCTAGATCGTACATGTTCGGACAGTGCCCGTCGTCCTCCTCCGCGTAATCGTTTCACCTCGTCTCGAAATATTGGTATGTTGTTTATCAAGTGTAACTGAGTCTCGAAGATTTCGGAAGGAGACTTGCCATCGTCGAGCAGTTTCTGAGTATGATTCCGTAGAGCATCGTAGGCGTTGTTCGATATACGTGTACCCTCCGTGACAGGTTGGAGATCGAGATATCCTGTTTCTTCTCCTGAAGATGCTTGATCTGGTTGTGAAGTGCTGCACATAGTTAGCACTTTATACTCTTCATGTAGTTGATATACCTACTCCTCGGCCAAGGCCAACTCCTGCTCAGTTTCTTCAACACCAAACGCCTTCCTTAGACGGGTTGGAAGGTCATCGGTCGAAATCTGACCAGACTGAATGTTCTCTTGTAGTTGGGCATTCCTTCAGCTGTCAGTGTTAACCCGACTGTCCACGACACAATTCCTCTTACTTGATGACAATAATCGCGGGGATACTGTCGATTGAACATATCGGCGAGAGAAAGCCAGCTTCCTGTGAGCCTGCCTCGATGCGCAGAGCAACAGCTTGTGAGGTTATTGCGGTCTTAATCTGTATGAGGTCAGACTCTGTTCTGATCGTTCCAACCTTTCAATCTTACTGATTCCCCGTTCAGGATAGACTCCCATCGCCGACTCGCCTCGGACTGATCTATTCCAAGTTAGGCATGCGTTCAACGAGGTGGCGTAGAAGTTGTACCTTGGACGAAGCATAGGACTGCTTTTGACTGTTGAAGTGCCAGACCAATGCCGCTCTGTAGGTCGCCCTCGTGAAACATCTCGGTCGAACGTGTGCTGGCTGAATGCAGTCTTATGAACGGTGGTGTCGCGTGAACCTCGTACAATGGCAGCAGGTGGAGGGCCGCAGGATGACATATGCATACATTACGGTAGACGATCGAGCAATTTGGTGGAGAGATCAACGACTCCAAAATCGGGTCGGGGAATTTCCATGTATGCAGTATGAGGCACTCGTTTGCAGTTTATCATTTTAACTAACAACACCTTCTGTATCGCATTCAGGCAGCAGGCATGGCCAAGCATGACTTGAATATTCTACGTGCGATACTGTTCAGGTGCCGGAGACCTTTCAGTGGCCGCCCAAAGTCCTCTTTTCGCAATGTCATGACAAGAAAGCCGCCGCCCGGCCATGACAATCCTGATTTCGTCTCGATAGTGGATGCGCCTGCTAAGATTGTTTCGGTCAGTCAGAAGCATTCAAAGATAGGTCTGGCGGTCCTGGCGGTCATTCCAATCACAGCTTTCTGTCTGGGAACATGGCAGATCCAGCGACTGGACTGGAAAACGAAGCTCATTGCAAAATTCGAGGACCGACTGGTCCGACCACCACTCCCACTTCCTCCGAGGATTGACCCGGATGCAATCCATGAGTTTGATTATAGAAGGGTCTATGCTACAGGGAAATTCAGACATGACAAAGAGATGTTGATCGGGCCGCGCATGCAAGATGGAAAAGACGGATTCATGGTTATAACGCCGTTTGAACGCGAAGGAGGAAGCACGATTCTCATAAATCGAGGCTGGATTAGCAAGGACAAGAAGTATCAACAGGACCGAGATCCTTCGTCACTCCCACAGGGTCAAGTGATGGTGCAAGGCCTGCTTCGAGAACCGTGGAAGAAGAACATGTTTACACCTCCAAATGCCCCAGAGAAGGGCAAGTTCTATTTCCCCGATGTTGCCCAGATGGCGCAGGTCTCTGGTGCTCAGCCGATATGGATCGAGGAGACTATGACCCCAGATCTGTTGGTAAGCTGGGATCGAGAAGCAAAAGGAATTCCCATTGGGAGAGCAGCGGAAGTCAATCTCAGAAACAATCATTTCCAGTATATATTCACATGGTAAGTCTGCCATGTTTGGTATCCAGTGGTTTCATCTCTCATCAAGTCATTAGGTACTCATTATCTGCCGCCACCACACTGATGATGTGGATGCTTCTCAAAAAGAAACCTGTGGACAGAGCCCGACGAGTCCGGCATGTCACCAATTGGTGACAACCCCATCAAAACCCGTTCATCAAATTACTCTCCATTCTCCTCAAACTCGGCCAGCGCCTCTTTTGGGAGCAGTTCGCGAGCAGCTTTATGAAGCTCACCCTCGCCCTGAAGCACCCTCTGTCGCTGCATCAGCATGAGAACGTCACTGCGATCGACTCGCTTTTTGCGCCGACCGTGGTTCGAATAGGCGGCAAGGTCTTCGCCGATCTGTTCAAAGAACCATTCTGTCGCTTGCTCTAGGGCTTTCATATGGTCTTTTCCGAGCTTAGGTTTACGGTTGCCAAGCCGTGACTGGGAATCAATGGCCACCCTTTTGATCAGGCTTGATGGGACTGCAGGGACCATCTCTCCATGCCGTGTCATCTTCACTCTTTTCCGACGAGTTTGTGGCGCCAGTGCTACTTCTATGTCCGGATCCGGATGTGGAGACGCTTCTTCTAGGCCAGATGATGCTCCCGTCGACATATTATCGCCCGGCGACTGTATAGATGGTGTGCCCCCCACCAATATTGTCGGATCCCGGTGGGCATGGCTGGCAGCCGCTTCTGTGTCGACCAGCTCGAATTGGAAGCTCTGGTCCAAACCTGGAATATTCATAGTGCTCTCATCGATTGCAGGCGGGGTTGGGGACTTCTGCAATTGATTCAAATGTTCTGTCTCTCCGCCAACATCATATGATTCATCTTCAAAAGCTAACTCGCCGTGTGGTTGCAACAATTTGCCGGTGTTTGTGTGGTCGTGAAAGCCTGATTCTCTGCGGATCTCTAGTTCAGAGCCGAAGTCGCTCATCCTAATGCTGCCAAAACTGTAACGTGAGAGTCGACCGGTAGGCTCCTCGCTGATTGCTCTTCTCCCGATTTCAGTCAAAATTGTAGCGTCGTCGTCGTCGTCTCCCACCTCTTGTTGATGGGAACTGAAAATGGACATTCTGGACCTGCGACGATCAACATCTGCAAGAGATTTGCTAGCGGCCGCGAAGTCAATAGACTTGAATGTGATCGTTGGGTCATGATGGGTTTCGGAATTGTGGTCAACATCATCGCCCGGAAGTATTGATGGTGTTGGTGGAACAGGAAGCTCGCTGTCCTCCTCTTCCTCGTGGACGGGCAGCGGAATATCGTCCAGACTGTCATCCACGTCCAAGAATAATTGTGACCTCCTCAGTCCATCCTTGACGGTCCCGTCTGGATCAGGTCCCTGGTTTTCTTTACCCCGCGCAGTTACAGGAGTGGGTACAGTCTTCTTCGTTACAGGTGCTGTGATCTTTGCGAGGCGCCGCAGAATTCCTCTCACAGAGTCCGGTCGTAAGTCCTCGCTCAAGGCCCTTCTTTTCCGATGCGACCGTGTCTTTGCGCCGCTTCGTTGTTGTAGGGCATGGAGGGCATGCGGTGTCGAGGGAGCATGTCGCGCTGGTGTCTGGGAATTGTACAGTTCGGCCAGCGATCGCTTTCGCGAAGACATGATGATATGGTGGCGCGTTGTCGTGATCAAGTGGTTGTGTTGAGACAGGACAACGTCGTTGTTATTGATGACACTCGCCGTCGGGTGGTGCAAAGATACGCGTCCGGCTTCAGGCTTCGGGGCGCGCAGTCACGTGCTGGTAATTGCTGGCCTCGGTACCCAGTTCTCCATGTCCAACGTACTGTAGAGGTGTCCGACGCTTTTCAAGACGAACTTGTGATTCTTGTCGAAGAACTTCTCATGTTATAAGATTAATGCTATTTTTCATTCGTATGCACCGTCTATATGTAGGACGCGGGCTACAACCGCCCTCGTCGTCGTTGCCTGCCACCACGGTATTACCTGGGTCTCCGATATCAGTTGTGTACGACTCGTTGAGTCTCGGGAAATCTACCAGCCTATGTCCTACCGTCTATACCTTCACCGTCTCGTCGCTCCGCGCCGCTTCCTGACTATCTTCACTGCGGGTTCCAGCGTCTTCATCGCCTGTGGCAGGAAGCCCAAACACTCCCGTTGATGATCTGCGTCCATCTACCTGCGCCGAGGCTCCAAAATCCTTTATAACCAACCAAGCTGGGACCAATGCCAACGCCCACAGGCTGAAATTGAGGTAAACGCCGCCAACTTCTCCGAAAACTGCGACTGAATTCAAGCCATAACTCAATGCTTGCCATGCCGACTCTGTCCCTCTCAGCAGCGCAGCCAATCGTACAGTTTCCGGCGGTGACAGCGTCATCTGCCCGATCACAAAGTAAAGGTACAAATAATTCACCTGGAATCCAATGACAAGGAACAAGAACAGAGCAAATGGACTTGCAAATCCATTGGTGCCATCTGACCAGTCATAAGTGGGCTTTGTCCGCCGAAACCGAGTTACGAGGACCGTAGACCATATCCATAGTCCAAGCTGAAGCGTGCTGAGGAAAAAGAACGACCCTCGTGCGCGGGTCTTGAGAGCGATGCGCGTGCGATCGAGGAATAATCCGAGGAGGTTCCCACCAATGACAGCGACGATTCCTGATAAGAACGACCCTAGTGCTCGAGCACGGACCGAAAACCACAAGGCTGAGAATGTGAACATGACTGCTTCAGTGTACACGGCTTGACCGATGAAAGGGACTATTAAGAGGAATTGCTTGCTGAAGAAGCGCTTTGTGGTCGCTTTGATCTCGACCCAGGGGTGGTCCACCACAGACAGATCGACCTTTCGCCCATCCGTCCGCTGCACCTGAGAAGGCTTATTCAATAACAACGCCACAAACGGTCCAATCGATTGAAGCGCAATGAAGACAAGGTATACTGTGTACGACACCTTGCCAGCCTTGGAATTGTGCGCATTGATGCCGACATTGATTGCGCCGCCGAGGATTTGGCCGGCGAGTCGGAAACTTAGCCAGAACCCCAGAAATTTACCCTGGTTATATGGTTCCGGATACGCCAAGGCGATCGCTGCCTCAGCCATCCAGAAGATACCAGCTGAAATTCCGCACAACGCAGCACCTAAAAGAGTAAGCCATTCTATGCCGAAGCGGTTGTTGGTGTACAAGCCGGCGGCATAGGGTGCATAGCCCATGGTCCCGATGACAAGCGCCCATTTGATACCTATCAGGTGCACGATAGCACTGGAGAAGTAGCATGAGACCACCATGAGACAGAAGGTGAGTGCGTTGGCAGCATTCACGAGGTGTGGGCTCGCTTGGCCTCCGGCACCCAGCGAGTTCATGGCACCCCATATCCCTGGTGCCGAGAAGTTTGCGAGACCGAGAATCAGGGCATTGTAAAACGTTGAACGGTACCATTTGACGTCTGTGCCAGGCTTGTCAGTGGTGACATGTTTAGGAGTACTGACTGAGGGGTCACCCACGAATATTCTGTTTAGTGGTTGAAAGGCTTTCGTCAACAAAGTAGTCGCCTTTTGCTTCCGCCATTGTGGGGTGATGTCTCCGTCGTGGCAGCACGATTCAAGGTGTTCGACAAGTCGCGCAGTTGATCAGAGATGAATTTGGTGAAAAGGAAAAACCCTCAAAGAGTCCTTTGAAGGAGAACCACGGCTTTTGTACTCCGGTCTATCATATGATATTTCCCTCCTACGACCCACTGCCACGACGTATACCAACGAGTATATATGCACCTCAGCAAGCCAAGCACGTTTCAGACGGATGAGAGTGCTGCCGACGAATGAGAGAAGATCACGCCGGATTTGTTGCTTTGGATCATGAATGATGCCATGTTGGAACTGTTGCCGACGAAGGGTAACGGGGGTCTCACTGGCGTGAACCTACACGTCAATCATGACCGTGTTTGTATATGGGTGAGCGGGTACCTAACTAGGCACTGGTGGTACAGTATCACGGGGCAGTATGCATTGAGGAGTCTACACGATTTCGTTGTTCCAATGTCGAAATCGCATCTCAGCTATTCTTTTACTGTGCGCAGACCAGGCTGATGTGTCGAAGCATTGTGATCTACGAGGTACTCCGTATAGAATATGTACATTCATAGTACCAAGTGGTACATTACTCAACTTGCATCAATCTGTACAAACTATGCCGAAATGATGATACTGCCTGGATTTATGACGGCCAGAGAACCCGAGAAAACAAGCCCCAAGACGATGATAATTGTTGGTGGTGGTGCGTCGGCCTATGCTCTTGTTTGTCGGGTGTGGGAAGGATTGCGTGCTCATGGTACAATCTGGCGAATTTGCAAGGGGTACGAGTACTTTTTTTTTCCCAGGACCTTGCCAGAATTAAGTAAACTGCCCAGTATACCGAAGTGAGCACTAGACCTTGGCTTGCAAATTAGGTACATAGGTACTGTACAAAGGACTACATGTTGATAAGGAGAACAGAAGGTTTCCCTACTGTATTAGTACTTACGCTGCCAAAGTTACCCAGCGAAGGCCCGCAACAAGATTCCATCTCATATCCATAACAGGAATGTAGATGAGATGTCGACGAGCAAAACACTTCGATCTCTTAGAGGAGAGAACAACTGCCTTATCATCACTAGGTTCCCCTTGTTGGTAAATGAGAGTAGACCTTCGAGATGTACTCCGTAATAGCGCGATACATCTCGACGGGGTCATTCTAAGTCTTGGCGCGTAAAATGTCACAGACTCCGATTTCTTTGTAATGTGGTACTCGGTATTTGGTTCGTGATTGTCAATTGCGTTTGAGCGACCATGTACAAAGCTTTCGGAGGCCACCCATGCATCCCATTCAGAGCATGCCGACTTCGCGTGAGGTGCATCAGAGCCAACAGCTATACGTACACGAAACCACCGGCCGACCGTGCAGAAGCAAAGCATGATGGCCCGACATTCGAAGGCGAGGCCGCGGCTCCTCCGGAGCCAGACCCCTTCGACCACCTCAGAGGTCGCAAGTTGAAGACGCGCGACGGGCCTTGGAACGCGTCCAACATGCACATGCTCTACCGGGCTCTGTGTGACCATCTGAACGTGTCACCCGGGATGCCCAAGAGGGTCCTGCCCGGATTCCAGCAAGTCTCGGGCAACGACGTCATCCCCGAGGGCCTCCTCTGCGACGACGGGGCGGACGCGCGTTACTCCCCCGGGCCGGACTGGAGGTTCCGGCTCTGGGCCGGTGGGCAGATGGCGTTCAACGTGCCGTGGACGAGGCTCGACGTGGGGGGTCCCGTGCTCCCCAACGAACTGGTGCTGGGCACCCGGACGATCGGGGACCTCGACTCGGGCCACCCCAAGGTCAAGGTCACGATAGGCAGGACCTACTTCTCGGACCTGCACGGCGGCAGCTTCCCGTCCGTCGTCGAGAAGAAGTACCTCTTCTTCATGCGGAGCATCCCGCCGTCGCTGCGGTCCGCGGACATCCAGCGCAGGCTGCAGCCGCCCGCCCATCCGTTCCACGCCGAGACGATGGTGCCCTCGCCGGCCCTGCTCTTCCGGTTCAGCGCGCTCACCATGAACGACCACAAGATCCACCTCGACCCCGAATACACGCGGCGGGTCTACGGGATACCCAAGCTGCTGGTCCAGGGTCCGCTCACGGCCGTGCTGATGCTGGAGGTCTTGAGGAAAGCCCTCGACAACTACAGGCGGCAACAGACCGGCCTGGGGGAACGTTCCTTTGTCGTCACCTTCTTCAACTACAAGAATCTCATGCCGCTCTTTGTCGACGAGAAAATCACCATCGCCTGCCGCAAGAACGACGGCCGGGGGCCCACAGGCTCCAGGGACAGTAACCCGACGGAGTCGTGGCGGGTCTGGATTCAAAAAGGAGAAGGGGACAACGCTACCGTGGCAGTGAAGGGAGAGGCTATTGTGTCATTAGATTGAGGAACGTGACGCCTGAAAAGTGAACGAGACATATGTTAATGCTCGGCCGATGAAGGTTTTCTTATTGCACTGAGATTACGCCCAGGCTACATCCTGATGTGGTGGCATCTCAAATGCATGTCTTGGTCATTGTCCACTTAGCGACATGAGACAAGCCTCCACTGCGTCTTCATCCCAAGACTTGACTTCTCTCTATCAAGATCATGCGCTGATTCCCTCGGTTCAACTTGTCTTCTCTCCGACAACAATCATGTCATGACTTTAAAAGGACGTCTGGGATGATCAAAGCGCTTGCAATCTTCCAATAATATCTTGAAAGTACTCCATCCAATCACGGGTCCTTGCAGCTGTGGCACCAGCTTCCAGACTCTTCGAGTTTCACGCCACAATACTCTGGAGCAAACTGGAATGCGTCGCTCGGCGAGAACGGCCTTTCGACTTCAGCAACCGAACCAGCTCCTATTCTCTGGTTGCATCAGGTCAACTGTGATTCCAGATGCCTCCAAGATATCCAGGCGCTGCTGGGCTATTCGGGCCTTTTCGTTGGGGTCCTTTGCTTTGAGCAAGCGAGGAAACAGAGCACAACACTCGGCGGATTCCTTGGCTGTAGCTTGCAAGCCTCTGGTGGCATATTCTCTGAGAACTGCAAGCTTGGTTTGAAAAGATGCCTTGTCAAGAGCCACTAGGCCGCTGAGGGTGAGATTGTTCTCCGCCAGCCAAGTTCGCAGTAATCTGTGCATCCTCAAAGCGCCGAATTGCACTCTTTCGAAATACATAGAGTTTTGCTCGTCGACAGAACCGATTGTCTCGTCATGAGTCCCGAAGGGGTTCTTGGAGATGACATTGCTCACTCGCTCTGCAAGGTACTTGTTGACTGGTATGATGTTGTCGCTGTGGCCATATTGTCGACTTGCTAGGTCGATCACAAAGCCTTCACCATCTCCCTTCAGAGCAGTGACAAATACGCTGTGGCTGAAGACTCTTTCATCGCTGAAGTCACCCCCTGCAGGTGATCCGCCCGTCACGAACCAAAATTGACTGCCGACAATTGCATACTCGCTTCGACCCCGGTGCCGATTGTAGCACTTCACACTCAATCTTCGTTCTTTCACTCGGTAATTCACTTCCGTGGTTTCCGAAGAGATTGCTGATGATTTTCAGCCAAGTTTCGATGCATTTGAGAAAAAGTCACCACTTACCAGAGAAAAGCTCTTGGACCAGTTTCCTCATGTGGAATAGGGCATCGCTACAAGCTCCGTAATCCAGAACCGCTTGCTTGACCTTGTCGTCTTGGAATAGGTGATGCGGAAATGGAGGTGCTGTGCCATTGCATGTCTCCCAGAAGGTGATGGTGTCACCATCGACCTCGACTCGGTCAATGGTGGTTGGGAATGTTTCGGTGCGCAGAACGGTCCAAAGCGCCTGAAGCAGATCTCCACCCTGGTACATGGTTTGGTGTCTTCTGGCTCTCTCACAGGTGGCTTTGTGAGTTGTCCAATGTGCCTGCTGGCACTCCTTGGAACAGTAATACGTCTTGTCGGCTCCTTGGAGGAATTCGTTGGCGGACCTACATCCTGCGCATGTCTTGCTGGTCGAAGCACCGCATTGCGCACAGCTGCTGCCGCTGCTACTGCCACTAGGCGCAGCAGCAGTCGAATCTTCGGTGGCTTCCATTCTGGACTGGAGATTCAATCAGATTCTCATCATTCCAACAGAGAGAAGTTGGAGCTTATCTGACTTGAGAGTATGGAGATTTGTTTCCGCCTGGTCTTTGAAGGACGCAGCTCGCTTTGAGTTTTGTTCACGCGGAGTGGTACTGCCTATCTGTGATCTAGGCCCGGCTGGAAAACGAGAGACGAGTGTGATAAAGGGAAACCATGGAGGGTGTGAGTGTGGTGGAGGGTAGCAGTGGAAGTGAGTGTGAGAGATGGGATGAGGAGGTAAGAGCCAAAGATGGGAAGCAAGAGGCAATCGGGAAGGCGGTAAAGAGACGAAGGAAAATACAAGTGAAGTCGGAAGAAAGTGAAAGGCCTCAGTGAACACAAAAAACATTGAGACATCAAAAAGTCGTCACCCCAAGGATGGCTATCTAAGGACCTTCTCGTCCTCTTCACTCCCACCTCGCTGCCATAATGGGCTTCTTCCACTGTCAACTCCATCCTGCTCAAAACGACACTACTGTATCTCTACGAATGGATATACAAGTGTACAACAGTTCGGCCTCGGAGCGCATCGTCAGCTTGTGCCTCAATCCCATCGGCGACTCTTTGCCAGGTGTTGTGGTCCTACATGAGCGCGTCGACACTTGACTCCCTTGAGTCTATTTCTCGACAAGACAAAACCACATGTGAACTACACTCATCATCATGGATGAAGTACTAGAAGCATCCGCAGACTGGAAGTGAACTATCGCTCATCACGTTCGATGTTTTATTGATAGATTTTCTCGTTTTTCCATTTCCTTTTTTTCCTCGCTCCTTCTATATATGCAACCTTTGCCCGATGGGATGACCGACCTATAGATACCTAAAAGTATACAAAAAGTTTGTCTATATATTCATCCTTGATAAAAATTCATGCCTCGCCGCAAGAGAAAACGAAAAAAAATAGGAAAAAGGTATAGTGACGAAACAGGCAGGGCCGCGATCAAGAGAACCCATCGCCAAAGAAATGTTAAACACCTCGCTGATGGGCCGTTTTTTCAGACATGCTTCCACCCATTCGAAATCAAAATGTGAGTTTCGTCGATGATACAAAGCTCGCCGGACTCTTCCCTCTTTTCGAGCGAGTTCTCCCCTTCCTTCTTCCAGCGCTGGAGTTTCCGGTCGACCTCCTTCATCATCTGGGTCGCGGCTGGGAGGAGGTTTCGCAGCGCCCGGTTCGCCCAGACGCCCTTTACGTACTGCGTGGCGGAGACGAACGTCCGCTCCGGCCCGTCGTGCGTCATGTTGTACGCGCGGATCGTGTACCCCACGCGCACCGCCGGGTTCACGTAAACCCCCCTCTCGCCCAGGTGTCGGGTCGTCATGTCGGTGTGGATGAGGCAGCACTCGCTGGCCTCGAGGTGCTTGCTGGCCAGGCTGTCGCTCAGGGCGCGGAAGCGCAGACCCTCGTAGAACGGGGCGGCGTCCATGGCGATCATGCCGTTCCAGCAGGATTGGACCTTTGCGGCGCGCCCGGCCAGGAGGGCCTCGCGGGAATCCTGGGACCGGAAGTAGGGGAACTTGGTGTGGATGGTGCCGTAGCCGTCTGCGTCGCGCAGGGCGAACGTGTCGTAGTAGTCCGGGGGGTAGTGGAAGTCCATGGCGCACGCGGCCGAGTAGGACCCTTGGTTCGTGGCGAGGAGGGAGAGGACGTCCGAGGGGCGAAAGACGACGTCGTTCAGGAACAAAACCTTGTCAAAGGTCTGGGACTGTAGCGCCGACGATTTCAGGGCGAAGAGAGGCTCGAGCGATTTGTTGCGCAAGCGGGCGAGGTAGGGGATGCGGCGCATCTCTTTCCCTGCACCGACGGTCGTGGTCTGAATCCAACCCGGCCGCGGGTGACCCTGGTCGTCAAGAGGTCCCGCGTTGATCTCGTCGGCATGGGTGGTGTCGTCGAGAACGATGGTGCGTGGGATGTTGCTCTCTCCCAGCACCGAGTCAAGGATTCTCAAAATCTCCTTGGTGTTGTCGAGACTGCCCGACTCATAGATTGATATGTAGACGTTCTCTTTGCCCAATACACCGACCAGGTCGAGCAGGGCCTGGCCCCATCGGTCATGTATCACGGCGGCATTAGTCCAGAATTGTGCGACGATGAAGATCTTTTGGTTTTGGACCGGCGAGGGGAGGGTCGAGAATTCGCTGTAGGTGTGGGAGAGGAGGCTTCTGGAGAACTCGCGGTAGTGTTTGAGGATCGTGAGGAGGTCGTAGGTGAAGAAGCCCAGGAGGATGTATAGTATTGCATAGAGGATGCGGCGCTTCCGTGAGCGGCGGCCCCGGTAGGTCCTCAGGAGCATGGCGAGGGAGTATAGGAAGGATGAGCGTGTCTTCTTTTGGTCGCGCTCTCCATTGATATAGACACCACTCGCGACCACAGGGGCATGGCGAAGAGAAGAAGTCTGAGGAGGACGACGGCAAGTTTTGAGAGCCGCAAGGTTGACGTGTCTTGGACCGCAAGTCAGTGGTTTTTTAGCGGCCCGTCTGTGGGAATAGGAGGCGCATCATTGAGGCTTAAATCAGTCGAAAGAGATGACACTTCGTCCATGTCCCTGGGTACATGTACGTATATTAATGTATATCACAGTCATACTAGTCGTGCTCAAGTACGTCTACTACTGTCACTACAGAGCGATCATGGTCTGAGTTCCTTTGAATGATCTGCTTGTCTCTAAGATTGTTTTTCAGAAAAAAAAAGGTCTCGGCCAACTACTCCGTATCTGCGACAAGGCACGCGACCAGATGCTCCATCGGGAGTGCAAAACTCAGCACGAGATAGCAACCAGTTACTCTGTGGAAGAGAAGTGTGGTATGGACGGCTACACACGTCCTGGACTGGTAGGTCTGGGCTAGCCGCAGTGTGTGGTATGGTAGCAAACTATTGCACTGGAAGCAGGGGGAGCCAATGGTCGCCTTATTGGCTGGTCAGTCAGAGTCGTCGTAAGCAACACAAGATCTGGATTTGAAGTAAAATGTGCCTCTCGTTCTCTTGATTTTGGTCGTATCGATAGCTGGGTAAGGAACACAGACTAAGAAGCCGTCTGACGATACCAAACATTGGGAGATGCCAGAGCTGACGATCAGGGCACGGAGGATGTGAGCTTGATAGAGAGGTAACTGTGAACTCATGAGACACTCAAGATTCAATTTTGGTGGCACCATGATACAGCAGAATTGGCTCGAATGCGATTGACTGCAGGAGAAACAGGACGAGGTAGGGACGAAGTGGACAACGACTTCCTTCAACACCTCAATATCCTTCAGCTGCTACAATTCTACCTTGACCCAGAGCAACGGCATTGACAGACGAAGGGAAGCACCAAATCCTGCAGGCAGCCTACATGCTCAACACTCTCATCGTCATCAAACTAGGCCCTGATTCAGACCTCATATCCAGTTGCTCCTTTCTAATCTCACAATTCTGCATTCAGACGTCGATCCATCAAGCTTGTCGTTCCTCCTAATCGTACCCAGAACAACTGATCCAAAGCCTCCTACGTCGACCTTGCTTAAATTGCACCGGCCTGAGCCTTTGACCATGAAACCCATCATCATAATACTTGTGCTCTTGGCTTTTGCCATGTTCACAGAGGCGTATGTTGTGTCAACCGGTACCAAGAACCTCGACTTGGATAAAGATCAGACAGCACAGAACGCCTCGGCTTCCACAGCACAACTCCAGCTCAATATCGACCCTGACATAACCAATCCAAATTGCAGTGGAATATATCCTGCCAACCTCAATGTCAAATACGCACCTGATCCATTCTACCTGTCGGACGCATGCCGGGACGTGCTGACTTGGCTTGGGGGAAACGATGGCAAACAGAATGTCGATATCGTTTGGACATGCCCGGGTCAAAAGACAGCTGGTACGGGTGACCGCAACACCTATGTCATCCTGAATACTGCATCCAACATCGTTTTCTCAGGAAGTGGTGGTAATCAACAGGTCGGCGCATACATGGAGATACACAGGTTGTCCGATGGATTCTTTGCCACTGCAGCTGTTTATCTCCAGGCCAAAACAGACCCTGCCGATAACAGAGCCACGTTTCAGTTCATCTTCTGCTGAGGATAGCAAGCCAAAGACCTGAAAGATTGTGCTGTTGTGAGAAGGATCAGCGGTAAGCGGCGGAGGGCTGAATAGTAGTAATAGAAGTTCTGAAGAGAGAAGCAGGAGAAATCGAAGAAGACTGATGGCCGAAAGCCAAATCGGAATTGAAATGCATGTTCTTGAACAAACGCTCTCTTCTTTGCTCCCTTCGTCGTGCGATTTTCATCTTCGTTGTGCTGGCCTCCCGAGCTCACTTTATACGAGGTTGTCCAGGAGCTGCCGTCTTCTTCGATCTACAAGTTCCTCTTGTACTTCCTCGAGCGTCGGCAGTCGCCAGGGCACTCCATCACCTGTATCACCAGGTAAAGGTTCCCATTCGTCCTCTGCTTCCTCCTCACCATCCGCGAGCTTCGATATTCTCTCCATGGCCTCTTTCTCCTTTCTGCGTTCATATTTGAGGAGACTCCCATCTTCCTCATCCAGCCCGAAGCCAAAATACCTTGCATCGAGATTCCTTCGATTGATGTCCTGTTGTCCTGCTCGGGTTTTACCTGCCTCTTCATCTTCGTCGCCGCCGTGAACTCGCCTCTTTGCGGCTCGTTCAAACATTTCCTTGACACCCGGTAATTCCCTCGCCCGACCAAAGTACCTATACCCTTTGCCGCCGCCGGGGACTTCTCTCCCTTGATCGTCGAACACCGTCCCCCCGCCTCGCATGTAGTTTGGCCCGCCCAGTTCTCTGATTCTCCGCTCCCAACCCCATTTCTCCTTCATGAGTTTGTTAATCTCGTCATTCAGATCCCGGATCTGGAAATCCGAGAGGCTGTCGTCCTGGATCTTTGTGACCTTGCGTGAAATTTCTTTGAGGATTTGACCCCGCCACTTTTCGCACACGGGGATGGTGCTGATGGTGCTGGGAGCTTTGGGTCGGCGTTGGCCTGCGGTCGGGAGAAGTCCTGATTCTGCGGCTTGAGCGGCGCGGAAGCGGAAGAGCATGGACTGCGCCTTTTCCGAATTGCGCGCCATGATGAGAGGAGGCTAGGATAATCAGTCTCCTGGAAGATATCTGCTGATTTGAGGCAGCGGATTGGGGAACTTCGAGAGAGGGGATTTGTCGCGCGAACACGGTGGACTCCGCGGGCGGTTCGCGAGGTTGTTGGCGGCTGTTGGAAGTGAGGCTGAGGAAATCCAAGGGTATTGCCCGAGCTAGCGATTTGGGACGATGTAGTAAGAAGACTTAGGACAGAAAAGAAGGCGGATGCTGCTGGTAATCAGATTTGAGGTTGATGTCGCTCAGGCCAACACGGGAAAAAAATAATGCGGAGATTTCAGAATTTGGGACTTTGGAGGCGGGTGCGGATTTTTGTGTAATAGACTTGACAACAACAAAATAGTATCTTTTGAGTTACTCTAGACACATAGAGAGCTTTATCGGCTTCGAGTGTACACTATATACCAAGGTATGCAACGTGCTGTAGGGTAGAGCGGCTTTGGGTGTCGCTCTATGAGAGGGAGAAGAGTGTACAAGCCTTAATCTGTTTGTATTTGGGCAGTGACAAAAAGCCCACCGACTGGACGGCGCAGGCTTTCCCAAGTGCGAGATTCGCAATGTCACAGTGGGTACAGCGACATGGATCTACGACGGTGCAGCTGAGCGTCGCTGCGGCCCTAGGAGCCATTGCGGCGACCTCCATCATCTTTACGGCGACGTCGATCCGACGGCGGCGGATCACTGAAGAACTCAAAGCCTCGATCCCCGAGCTATCCCGCGAGCACCACGCGACGCAGCTGACCGAGTACGGCGGCGCCTTGCGGCCGAGCATCACGAACAAGGAGGACGAGCGGGCGGCCAAGATTGCCGCGCGGGCACGCAAGGGTGAATACGACGAGGAGCTCATTCTGGAACAACTGGCGCGGAACAGGGTATTCTTGAAGGACGATGGCCTGGCCAAGCTACGGGACGCGTTCGTCGTGGTCGTCGGGTTAGGAGGCGTGGGTAGCCACTGCGTCGCGGCGCTGGCGAGGAGTGGCGTCTCGCGCATCCGAATCGTCGACTTTGACCAGGTCACTCTGAGCAGTCTGAACAGGCACGCGCTGGCGACCTTGGCGGACGTGGGCACCCCCAAAGTCCACTGCGTCAGGAAGAGGTTGGAACAGATTTGCCCGTGGGCCCGGATCGACTGCCGGAACGAACTTCTCGGGTCCAACACCACGGAGGGCCTGCTGGCGAAGTGGGACTACGAAGTCGGGGACGACGAGGACTGTCGGGAGCCCGATTGGGTGGTGGACGCCATCGACAACATCGACTCCAAGGTCGGACTGTTGCACCACTGCGCCATCAAGGGGGTCCGAGTCATCAGCTCCATGGGCGCGGGTTGCAAGAGCGACCCGACGAGGGTCCGGGTCGGGGACATCTCGATGAGCACCGACGACCCCCTGTCCAAGTCCACGCGGCGGCGACTGAGGGCGAAGGGCGTCAAGGACGGCATCCCCGTGGTCTTCTCCACGGAGAAGCCTGGGGACGGCAAGGCTGAACTCCTGCCCATCGCGGAGGAAGAGTACGACAGGGGGGACGTGGACAAGCTCGGCGTCCTGCCCGAGTTCCGCGTCAGGATCCTGCCCGTCCTCGGGACGATGCCGGCCGTGTTTGGGTACACGGTCGCCAACCACGTCATCTGCAGCGTCGCGGGCTACCCCATGGACTACCGGGTGGGGGACCGAGGCCGCGACAAGATGTACGACGGCCTGTTGTCCGGCCTGCAGGGCCTGGAGGAGCGCCTCGTCAGGACCACCGACGGGCAGGACGCCGTGGGTCTACGGATACCCGTCAGCCGCGACGACGTGTCGTACCTCGTCGAGGAAGTCTTTCGGGGCAAGAGCGTCGTCTCGGGCCTCATCAGCCGTCTCGCGCTGATCAGGTGGAGGAAACCCGAGGGAGGCTTCCGCATCGACGAGTCCTACCTGAAGGAGGGCCAAAAGATGGTCAAGCTGCCCATTGCCGCTCTCGTCCTAATGACCAAAGAGGAGGCACAGAGACACGAAAGGGAAGTCCTCCGCGGGGACACGGCCCCGGAAGACCTCTACGAACCGGAAGTGATAAACACGGTCCGACGAAGACATCGCGAAGAACTCTCATACGAGAGATATAGATAACCACATGTTTTGTTTTTGGACCTTGGATACGAACAGGGACATTTTTTAGATTCCCTATTTGGCAGCCATCAAAAAAAAGGATCGGTCTCCCTGGCATGAAACGATACATAGAAACCACGAGCTACGCAGCCGGTTTTCTGGACCAGACAACCTGATATGATAGAAGGGTACTTTGGGCCCCCCAATGCCTACCCCCTACTCCCGCTTATTACAATCAAAATGATCATTCACGAAGATCTGTTCCTGGTTCTCCTTTTTCCACTCTCTGTAACTCAGGCACCACCTGAGAATGCCGGCCATTTTGGATGTCATAACCCCAAAAGGCCGGGTTTGACCGGTGTCTGGCCTTTGCCCCAGAGAAGGCCATTGCGTGTTCTGCTGAGCTCAGCCTATGTTTTGCAATCACTATACGACATGAATCAGTCAAGGATCTACCGAGGACACGTCCGCACTGTACAGTCCGGGTACTGTGCGATGAGGCTCGGTCGGATGTTCCCACCCTAAATAGTTGCAAATGACAAAACGCCCACCGTCTGGGTCGAAAATAGCACGCTATTCCAAGTACTAACTCGATTTGTACATTGATATGGCTTGGCATCCTGGGGGATAGTCCCTCGTATTTCGCTCAGTTCTAGATTTCAGGGAGGAAAAGCATTTATAATATACAAGGATCCATTGAACAGATGAAGACCTTCAATTCGGACGAGAGTCGACCGGAATTTGAGCCATGGGCCATATGACGGGTCTAGACATTGGTCCGCGTCTATGGAAGATATATAAGTCCCAAATGATGGTTTAGATGGCCGTCTCTTGAACCACACATCTCAACTGAATAGTTACATTCACATTCTCAGACACAAAGATCCCTTCCTGTACTCAGGTTTCTTGTTCTTTTTAAAAAGAAAATCAGATCAGCATGTCTTCGTACGCCGTCACTGGAGCCTCACGAGGCATCGGGGTAAGTCTGCCTGTCCTGGCTCCTCCCACCTTTCGCCTTCTATTACCCATCTCACACACACACGAGTACCTTCTGACTTGAATTAATGTCCCTTATAGTTTGAATTCATAAAACAATTCTCAAACGATCCGGCAAACACTGTCATCGGTCTGGTTCGAGACGTCAAAGCCACCGAAGCCAAGGTCCAAGCGGAGCTCGGGGGAAGAAGCAATGTCCATATTCTGCACGGGGACTTGGACAGTTACGACTCGTTGAAAGTAGGTCCTCGAGACGTCCGCCGACGTCCTTGCTGAGGTTTACCTCGATACTGACTGCATCCTTTTCACAGAAAGCAAGTGAAGAGACTGCCAAAATCACCGGCGGAGGACTCGACTATCTCATCCACAACGGCGCTCGTCTCGTCGACAGTTCTTCTTACTTCACCTTTACTCAGCTGTAAGTAATTTCTGTGCCCACTATTCCGTCAACTTTCGTGACTTTCATAACCCCATAATCCGAAGCATTTCCTGATATCTTGCTAATGGTAAAATTGATCGTAGCGGCGAGAATCCCGTGGCTCTGGAGCAAGAAATCCTCGCCGGTTGCAAGTCCAACATTGTCGGATCCATCCATTTGTTCAACTTGTTTGTCCCGCTCATTCTCAAGGGCCAAAAGAAAAAGGTCATTGCCATCTCCTCTGGCCACGCCGACCCGGACCTGATCACCAAATACGATCTCGACACTGTTCCCACTTACGTCATCGACAAGAGCGCACTCAACATCATCGTGGCCAAATACAGTGCCCAGTTCAGAAAGGACGGTGTGCTCTTCCTGAGCATTAGCCCTGGAGTTGTCAATACTGGACATTTTGATCCTTCCAATTGTAAGTCACCATTTTGGTTCTCTTGCCGTGTCTTCGTTGCCTTCTTGACGCCTCACATGAGTGATGGTAGACAAAGATCTAACGTCCGATGACAGTGAGCGAGAAAGAATTGCCAGGGTTTGCTGCGACGGTAGCAAAGTTCCAGGCATATGCGCCGCATTTCAAGGAGCAGCTCACCACAGAGCAGTCTGTCAAAGCCATGGTCTCGGTTTTTGAGAAGGCGAGTGTCGAAAATGGGGACGGTGGAGCCTTTATCTCTCACCTGGGATCCAAGCAATGGATTTGAGGTGTCGTTTAGAAAGTGCTACACTTGCAGCTTTTTGTGGTGTTGGAAAGCGATCACGCCTGGCCATCTCGCCGCAGCATCTGCAACAATGGGAGCCAAGTGCAGAGAGCACGTAAGATTTGCAAGTATAGACGAGGTGTATAGTTATGAATCAGCACACTCTTTCCAATCCATGACTTCCGACATTGCTTGGCGGCACGGAGCGGAGAAGATGGACGGTACCCAGAAGAATGTTCCCAAAGTACTCTCGACGTCGCGCCATGATTTGAACGCTAAGGCGACAGATATACGCTTGAGCCTTGATGTGTAGAATGATTTAATGCCGGATTCGGAAGCTGCGATTGCACCCATGATCGTGTACCAGAATCTCGTCTCCAAGGTAGCGCATAACGCCAGCGAAGAAGGCACTTGCTGCTCAGGTTTCTGCAATACCTCCATCAGTTGAACGACCGAGTCGCCGAGTTCTTCTTTCGTGTCCATGGTGTGTTGTAAGGTCATTTGAAGGAATATCTTGATCGACAAGGCTATTGCCGTGAGGAATGACTCGCGTGAAGCTGAGCTACTGTTAATCTCGATTGCTGTCTCCAGAGATTTGATTTTCCGGCGAAGGCGTGTCTGCTCTTCACGAGCGAGAGGTTTTTTGTTGTGGATATACGTGGTCAACCTGGCCACTTGATCCGCTTCCGCAAGGATTATGTACGCTGCTCTTTTGGCATTGGTGGAAAACCAGGTATCGAATATACCAGTGTGCTCGATACTTGAAAATAGCGTCACATCGTGCCGCGAGAGGAGAATAAGTCCCTGCATAGTCGTGCTTCAAGGAAACACTATCATTAGCTTTTCGTCGAACTTATTCAGCCTACAGGGGTGTGTATACCGTGGGATTATTAGTGATGTTAGATGGGATGGCGGGACATTCAACTTCCGAGAGCGAAGTCTGATAATATTGACAAGGCCAGTGATGTGGATTTTCCACGCTTCAATATTGCCTAGAGCTTGCTGTTCGAGATGATAGTATTAGCAGGGATTCAAGGGGTGAGAAGCAATCAAGGTGCGAGTTTTCACTCAAGGTAAGCGGGACGGACATCGAGAACCGTAAGTATGAGTATGGCGGCGATGAGACTGTCACTGAGCCCGTCGAGACCCTCATTGAGCCGTTGCCTTACAGCTCGAATGGCCCCGCCCTTGTAGGCATCAACCATGGATCGGTGTGTATGTTGTTGTCTCCGCGCTGCGTAGAACTGCCTCGCAAAGTATAGAGAAACTTCGAACATGGTAGGGTCAGGAAGAAAGCCGGCCCAGTCGGACTGCATCATGGCCAAGACGGCGTCCGAGGCTGGAACGTCAGTATCCAAGTGAAGCTTCCCCATTGCGTGTGACACTATGCAAGGATCATCAGTTGGTTGTGAACGGCATGGGAATTGAAAAACAAGCGAAGCATGTCGCCCACGCACAATGATTAATGAAAAAGGCATCGTTCCCCCTCAATATTCGATCCAGGCCAGGATGACTAAGGAAGGGGAGTTGAGAACAGCGTACAGCCTGAACGGCATGTTCATCGGCTTGCAGAGGCGTAAGGGAGGTGTGGTGCTCCTTCTGTTTCTGCGCAGCATACTCACTAACCAGGCGCTGTCGTCGTCTTGCAAAGTTGGCTCTCGTGGTGTGTGCCCGCCTTGCCTTTGCGCTGTCATGGTCAAGTGTGGGCCCCGTTGTCGACACGAAGGTCAAACGAGGAGCAAAAGCCACCTGGTTGGCAGACATGATGCATGTCGCTCTGATGATAGAGGAGATACGTCAGGAATGAGATTAGGGACTGAGAAGCTGCATGAATTGAACCTCGCATCATTTCGCCTCCCAGTCGTCAAAGATGGTGGTCCAAGCATTCTGGTTTCTGGTCCACGATAGTAGGGAGAAAGAATGCCAAGCAATCTGATTTTCTTGAGTTGGTTTAGCTCGATCATGACACTTCGGAGGGAATCGTATCCGGGACTCGCAGGAGAAGAAGTATCAGAGTCAAAGTAACCCGAGAGCTTCTGGGGTATGAGAAGACTACATCAACCTTCATTGTTTTCTACCTAGTTAGGACGGTAAAATTCAATACTAATCATGAAAAGTTGGCCCTCGCGGTAATATCTGCCCATATCTGGCTGTATAGCGTGAGGCGCTAGTATCCGAGGCGTAATTCTATCATTTGAGGCTATACACCATCATATGATGAGGGACCTGAGGGATAGTCCTCGGAGCTTTATTGCACTGTACCCATAGATGTCACTTAAAATTGTATTGGAGATCTGTACCGACATATAGCATTTTGAAAGATCCAGGGGGTTTCTGATGTGAAGTAGGCACAGTCGTGGACGGCACTTTCTATAACTCGGGATACGAAGCTCGAATCGGAGAGTGGTCGGTAAGTGCAAAATGGCACCGGAAGCAAAGGGTCGATCACCAGCATCCGGAGCTAAAATCTCCAGTATTTGTCGATAATATGACCTATGTGAGGAAGAGGCGTGCAATGGATTCGCGGCAAATATTAAATCGCTGATGCGCGAGAGATCTGAGGCATAAGTCGATCTCATGATCTTCGAATGGTTTGGCTTGATTGAAGGATCAGTACTTAAAACCGCACATCTTCCTCCTTTGGATATACGTTACGCGATTTCCATACACGGCCGAGGACCAAGAAACAAAACCCTACCTGTTACTGAAAATGGCATTTGCATGTGTAACATCTGGGCATCTCACCGTATGATTTCTAGCTTTGGGAGATTGAGACGTTCATCAGCCACCAGAGACAACACGTTGAACGGCGGTAAACTGTGAAGAAATATCGATATGGTGATTGACTTTGTAAGGTTCGATATCAAAGGCTGGGCATCCGACATGGCGGTCAGCTTGACAACAGAGCAGTTTTCTGAAGAATCCACACACTCTTGGACATATAGTTGGTCCTCGAATCCGACTTGCGAAACTGTGTACTGCTATGAAGGCAACAGCAAGCAGTATGGGAGGACATTGAGCCGAGGAGAAGCTTTTGATGTTGCAGATTTTGTCCCGTACGCCGGCAAGCAGATCAAACGCCCGGGGATATTCTTTTTTGAGGCAGCGTGGGTTCTGATAGCGTCGAAGATGACGCCATCGTTCACACAGATCTATATTTTCAAATCATCGGTCTATACTTCGACTGGCATCTCTGGTCCTTAGCTGATGCCGACAGCTCATGGTAATGATGGACACGGTCGTTGGCTCAGGTGAAATTAGGTGGAAGCTCTGAAAAGTGATCGAGAATGCAAAAGCGGCGACAAGCTGGAACAAGATTGTTCCGGTGCTTCAGCCTGAGTGCCAAGCCTCGATGGTCTCCGGAAAACTACTTAAGTTCCTCTTCCCTCCCGCTCCGTCCTCGATCTTTTTTCTTTTCTTCATCTCAGTGCACGGGCTTTACGCGTTACAGTGAGGATTCGTCCGAGTACGTGTTATTGCTAGTTGAAAACTATACAACTGACCGCTCCTTGAGGTCCTCACGGATCTCATGGGAATTTTTGAATAACCTACTATGACCTTTTCATTATCATCAGCGCCTTGAGCGAAGAGATAGAGAAGAGGGTTACAGGCCTGAAAGGAACGGGCTGGTCAAATAGCGTGGGGGTTTAAGAAGCTCTCCAAGTCAAGATATGTTATCAAGCGATGTCTTATCTTTCTCCTGGTTGTTTGAAAATGACTGAGTAGAATGAAGCATGTAGATTCAAAGCGCAGGCTACAAGTGCTTGTCACAACAAGACGGTCAAATTTCATCAGTTGAGATAGAGTCAGATAGGCACAGCAACGTGTGCAGATCCAGATGAACTTTAGTACTGCTGAGACATCTTTCCACTGCCAACGATTCTACGCAGTGTCCTTTTCTGCCCATCGCTTCCAGTCCGACATTGATTTCATTCCATTGTTCATCGTGATGCCTCCCTATACTTAGGTTTCAGGCGCGATTTGGAGAAGACAAAATCCATCATTGCAGCCTCAATGTTATTCTCCAACTTCCACAAGTTCATCACTTTTGATCACTTTCCACAATGCCTACTGCTCTTATCACAGGTGCGACAGGCTTGCTAGGTAGACAGGTGTTGAAGGCCTTTGAAGATGCCGACTGGCAAACGGTTGGGATGGGATTCCATCGAGCCACTGGCCCAATCCGCAAAGTTGACATCACCGACTCTGGAAGCGTGGCTGCGCTCTTCGATGAGGTCAAGTACGAACACAGCTAACACAACTCTGCTGAAGGAGTACAAGCACTAACCACCTCAGACCGGACGTTGTCGTACATTGTACGGACCACCACCACTGCTGCTGCTTCTTCTCCCTCCTACGCATGACCAAAACTAAACCTCTTCTTTAGGCGCCGCCGACCGTCAACCAGACTCCTGCACAAAGAACCCCGCCGCAGCCCGCGCTCTCAACGTAACGGCAACTCAGACGCTCGTCGAAGCCTTCCACGGTTCGCTCTTCATCTACATCTCGACGGACTATGTCTTCCCCGGGGCGGTAGGTGACGCCCCCTACAAATCCACCGATACGCCCAATCCGACGAACGTCTATGGCCAGACAAAACTGGACGGCGAGAATGTCGTCCTCCAACACGCCCAGAACAATGCAGTCGTCCTCCGCGTCCCCGTCCTCTACGGATCAGGTGCGCACAGCGAATCCGCCGTCAACACACTGATCGATTCACTGTACGGCCAAAATCGCACCGTCAAAATGGACGACTGGGCCCTACGATACCCGACGAACACAGAGGACGTGGCGAGGGTGTGTCTCGACCTTGCAAAGAAGAGGACAACTCAACAAAAAGAAGGAGAAGGAGGAGAAGGAAAACCAATGCCCAATATTCTGCAGTTCAGCAGCGAAGACAAAATGACAAAGTATGAAATATGTCAAAAGTTCAGTGAGATCATGGGTTTGCCCATAGATCACCTTGTGCCGGACAAGGATGGTGGGAAACCCAAAGATGGGACGATGAGGCCGTACGACTGTCACTTGGACACGAGTGGGCTTAAAGATCTTGGGGTTGATGTCTCCACGGTTGATTTCGTGGCGTGGTGGAGGAGATATGTCGGTGCGTTTAGGCATTGAGATAGGTATGCCTCGAGCTTGAAAAGAATGCGTCATGGGGGACTCTGGGACGAAATGGACACTCTCTGCATTTGTGCAAGCAGGAACAAACGGCGGAATCAAAAGGACTGCAAGGAATGACCATCACGAATATCATCAACTTGAAAGTAAACGAGTTGGCCCTTTCATTACGAAGTAGCGACTAGACTATCAAATACGAATCAGTGCAAAGCCCGCTTAATCGCTCTGTCAAGATTCCCACGATCACTGTTCTGTCGTTCCATCTGCAGAGACTGCCATTTCTGACCACTCCAGGCGAGAATCAAGTTGAAGACTCGATCTCGATCGGCGGGATGAAGGAGAAGAGTGATTTCGTCGTCGTCGTCGTCTTGTAAAAACACAATCTGCAACACCGCCGACGAGCGAGAATGGAGGTTCTTCAAATTCTTCCACATGGGATCGCTCTCGTCGGGATCGATCTTTCGGAGCTCGTGAAGCTCTAAAAATGACCATTGACGACGAAGTCCATCGCCACTTGCCTCTAGGGCGAAACTCACGCCCGTTCTTCCCACGACGAGTCGACCCCGGCCTGATCTTTTTTCCACGGCGGCGAATGCATGCGACTCTTCTCCCACCATCGGCCAACGCCGAGGCCCATCCCCATCATCACTATTGTCATCGCTCCGTGGTAGGTCGAACTCGGCCAGGTTTGCGTCCCTCACGACCGCCTTCTCCTGCAACCTGAGGATGGCCAACTCGGCATGGGTCGGGATGCCCCAAAAGATCCACCGGAACTGAGACACCAGGAGCCGATACTTGGGGAGGTTGGTCGCGACGGGGTACGAGAAGAAGAAGCCACCGCCGACGACGAACCACACCACCTTCATGCAGAATTCCATGTCCGCGCAGAGGCACACGGCCAGGCAGGAGGAAAAGAAAAACACCGACGCAATGGTCAGCCGCGGCTTTTCGTGTCGGTGAAAGTTGACCATGATCTCGAGGAGGTCGGCAAAGTCGCCCAATTGTCGTTGAATCATGGGGCCAATCTCGTCGAGAAACGGTTCGAGCCAATCGTGCTTTCCGTGCCGTTGGATGAGATCTCCCCAAGCTTGAACCCGTGCTTCTCGATCGAGTGCTCTGCTGACGTTGGCACGGACAGTTTGAACCGAACTCGGCTGGAACTTGTTTTTTATGGTAGAGTAGACGATGTAAAAGTAGAAATATGCCATGATGTACTGGAAGTACCACAGCACCAGGAAGAGTGCGAACCAACGTCCGGTCCGGCGGGGATCTTGCCACATGTAAACTTCTCGTACACTCACCAAGAATGCCTGCCATGGCGCACTGGTGATGGCGATTCTTTCGATGATGCGCGCGAGATCTTCGAGATCAAAAGGCGGAGAGTCGAAGTCGTCGATATACTGAGAGGTGAATCCTCGCGTGTAGTAGAGTGCGAGGTGAGCCAGATATCGTTCCCACTGAAATCGCGACTCGGTAGTGAAGTGCGATCTCGGTAGACGAGGAATGGGTCGAACCACCTTGACTCGAGTAACGTGGCGGCCCAGGATCCAAGCAGTCTGCAAGCTCTCGCGTTGCTCCTCCACTCTGTGAACCCGATTACTTGCTTCGTCGATCTCTCCTCGAAGTTCTTGGGGGTCTGATGTTGATGCGGTGGAAGAAACGGCATGGTCAAGTGCGTCATGAGCGTCGAGTAGTTCTTGATCTCGGTCGACAGTCAATGTGGGATGTCGAGCGTTACCGATTCTTGCCGCGGCCTTCTTCGTGACCTTGCTGCGAATGAGACGCCGTGGGTGCGCGGCTATGTGCGTGGCATCCTTGACCCCGTCGGCGATGGTATTTCGAGCGGACTTTTTAGATTTGGGAGAGGTCTGGTGACTCTGGTCAAGCACCCGGCTTGGGTCGAATGCAGCGTCAGCAAAGATGTCGTCCTCATCGGACGGGTCGTCATGGTCTGGGTCATTGAGTATCTTCTTGACTTTGGACTTTGCCTTGGCCTTTAGGTGTAGCGCGCCTTCGACAAGATCGTTTGCATGTCGTTCGGTTTCCACTATGCTGTCTCGAGGGGCTGCGGCCATGCTTGACACGGGAATTGTGAACCGCGACACATTTTAATACGGTATGGCTTTCACGACATGTGAGACTAGATGAGAATGAGGAAGCATGCAGTGCGAAAGAAGAAGGGGAGGTCCATGTTAGCGAAGCAAGTCCTCCTCTTACCTCTAGAAAGCGGCATTGTGAGCATCATGGAGAGTGACGATTCAAGCTGAAAGGACGGTCCAGCCCACAATTGGCACCTTTCTAGACTGCCTTGATCCGTCGATGATCCAGGCTTGTCCCTGCCAGGGTTTGACCCGATGATGTTCGATCCGACATGATTTGATTGGCAGACGGGATCGCGACAAATGCACTCGAAGCGACAATTCGTGGCGGAAGCGAAACGAGATTCAGAGATTTGAGGCGAGAAGATCCGATCCAGCTGGAACACGCCACAGGGAGCCACTTGATGACGAAGAATATCGAGTACAACACAACAATCAATCAAACAAAAACCTGGAAATTCAGGGTACAACAAGTACCATGTACGCAGCTCCAAGGGATCAACCACTAAGTAGAGCTTTGACGGGTCCATGGCTGATGATGTGGTGGAGTTTATAGCGGACAACACACCATCATTTACTCGGTAGATTGACGCCACTAACTTATAACGCAGAACAATTCCGTTTCTTGCTTTTGATACTTCCATACCTAGGTATGTATGGAGTACGGAGTACAGAGTACTGTTATGGGTATTGAAACACTTCGTCACGAGGAAGAGGATGATGCGCCATACCTAGTCAAAGACCATCATGGTTGTCTTCCCCGACTTACACAGTGACCCTTCAAGATAGATGAGAAGAAAACCTCAGCGCAATTTCCAATGCACGAATAACACGTTTCTACACTCTCAAAATCAAAGTCGAATTTTGGTAAGATCGAATAAAAGTCATATCAAAGACTCCTTCGCACAATGGCGGCGACGTGGTTGGTGTGCTTTGTTGCGGTGTTAATCTTCACCCTCGGCGGTGAGCTCGAAAGATTTGTTAGGATTCTGCTTCACTCATCTACATGGTATTGTTTGCTCGACTTCACTGTTGTTATTGTTGTCGTTTACATCCCGAATTGTCTTTCAATGGCTTTCCTCGATTTCCTTCTCTCTTCCGTCACTGTGCTCAGTCTCACATTACCCTCCAACGTTGCAGCTTGATATTAATCTCAATTTTTCTCACTCTGTCCTCTTTGTTGGATTTCTCGTTCAAGAAGTATCTCATTATGGATGACGACAATCCACCTCCGAGAAAGCGATCACGCTTCTTCGAGAATGGCAAAAGCAAGATTGGTAGCATTCTTCGTCCATCCAAAAAGGCCTCGAATCGCCAACCCACTGTGCCCAACCAAAATTCCTCCTCTTCTCATTCGGATTCTGGAAATAATAGTCCACTACTTGACGATCCCGCCTTCACAGAGCCTAGTCATCCATTGTCCTTTCGGTCGGATTTCAATTCTACTTCAGCCACGGCTGGACCATCCCAACCGCGACAACGAAATAGCGGTGGCAGTCAAGAACATCAAGACCTTGTCTCTGGTGACAATGGTTCATCATCAAGGACCCCTATCTTGCAGGAAGATGGACTCGACGAGATTGCGAAGAAGCAACAACGTCGAAAGGGCATTTATGGCCTTGAGTCACTTCGGGCACAAAGTAGACAACACGCCGATGATCAACAAGAAGATGATGAAGAAGAAGAGGAGGAGGAGGAGGAAGACTTTCCAAGACAACCCTCTACTGCTGGTGCGGGACGACACCCATTCGGGTCTATTCCACGCCAATATACATTTACAGGGGCTGCACCATTGCCTAGATTGACGGCACCGACCGTTGACGAGCGTATGCGTCAGTATCGTTCAAGGACACCACAACGTATCGTTCCAATGACAACCCCCATGACACCCAACGTGGTCCATGGCAAGACAGGCGAAACTCACGCGACACCTCCTCCTCCAGATATTCATCCGCCACCTCCTCCAAGACCATATGTTGACATGGATCGTGATCCTCGTGGTCATCGAATTCAATATCCAATCTACCACCCGGGCATAGCGCCTCACCCATCTCAGTCCCTCTATGCCAACTCTTCAGGCCGCCCAGCCTACCGTTTTGCACAGTTTCCCCGGCTCTCGCATCAACTGGACGGGCCTTCATCAGATACCCTTCTCACCTCACCCAAGCGGCTAGAGCGTGCTCAAGAGCAAGCGAGGATCAATCTCAAACGTAAACGTGTCGATCCGATTCTCCCACCTCCTGCGTACATCTACACCCACACGGACAATCCTAATTTTAACGTCTTTCACGGCATTATCTTGTACCCGGAACTCGTCTTTGCACTCGCTTCACACCTCCCAGTGAGGGACCTCGTGAATCTCTACACGATATCCAAGGACTTTCACACCATCCTCGACACCCGATTCACGACAGTGATACTTAGTCAGGCACTCACCAAGGCACCCGAGTCGGCGCGCGTCTTTGGCTTCCGCACTTACGCATCTCTTTGCAGAAACGATCCCGCTGCACGTATTCCGCACCCCGATGCGGACAAAGCAGCGCAGAACATCCCTCGACGGATCCCCTCATTTCGCTGGCTCAAGATGGTCCTTCACCGTGAGAAAGTCGTACATGAACTAGTGACAATCTTTGCCGAGGATGGTATTCCGTTGCCCTTCCGTTGCCGTCTGGCCATGAAGAGAGTGTGGTTCATGCTCGATATCCCCGACAACGCTCGACGTATTGGCTATGTGCACAATACACGTCTCTTGACGAATCTGGACATCTATTTCGCCGCGTGCTTCTTCTTGAAGCTGGACATGCGCCTCAACGACCCTGTGGCCGGCGAGAAGAGAGATGGCCTGCGCAAGATGCTTTTGCAACAGAAATATTTCACCACCATCCTCAGGGTTATCAAGCGCGAAATCTGGAAGACAAAGTACGAGGTGATGCAAGAGTGGGTGCGTCAGCGATGTGTCCCTCAGCCCAACGAACTCGGAGTTCCCATCTTTGGTGTCCCACCAGAAAAGATCGGAAAGGGGAAGTTGGAGTATTGGGGTGAGCGAAGCGAAGCGGTGCTCGGTCGTACGCCGAAGGACTTGCTTCGTCCAGATCAGTTGATCATCCGCGAGGCGTTGAGAAGATGCTTGCCAATGGGTAAGGAATACCTTCGGTTCATGGTCTCTGGCTACGTCAGGCCCGATACGCTGAACAACTATGCGCCTAGGACATATGGAAGACGAATCGACGAACTGGAAGATGAGGAGTACGAGGTCGATGATATTGTGGGTGGAGTGGCAGCGCTCGGTGTCGATGACGAAGGGTTCGATCCTCTCCTAGATCTCGGACCACCGGTACGAGGAAGTGTGTACACGATCGAGAAGGACAAAATCCATCGCAACGAGATGGAATTGAGAAAAGCAGACGAAAATTTTGCAAAGATGTGTTTCACATGGTGGAAAGAGGAGACAAAGAGTGTCACCGGTGTTGAGATTGAAGATGATTGAGGAGACAGCCGGTCCTCGAAACTCGATGGCCCAAGGTTGGGTTAAACAAAGGTCAAGAATGATAGACATTGAATTGAATGTATGAGTTGACTAGGTGGCATTGTGCTTGATATTTTGCACACGCTTCACAGTTGAACGATACTTGAGATCAGGGCAGCAAGCAGAGAGATATCACTCGATCCCAACAACATGGCATTCAAGCAATTTCCTTACTTTACGGATAAGTATTTATTTTGGGAGTCAAAGCCAGACAGTCTTGAAGCTATGATTTTCCATTGTTTGTATGATTTGACACAAGGTTAGAAAATGACAAGAGCTCTTTTCGAATTTCTTTTTTCAACACATCATCCCTCCATCGCAAACTAGGATGCTGCCCGTGATGTTGGAAGCAGTATCACCCAGGAGAAATACCACACTATCAGCCATCTCGTTTGGCTTCCCCATTCTCCCGAGTGGTACGGTATCCATCATGGTCTTTGCCACATCTCCATGATGATCAAGTAGATCCCTTGTGATTGCCGACTCGGTGAGACCTGGAGTACACAAATTGAGATCAGCTACCATAGGATGTATCAATCCCACCGGGGTCTTGGTTTCCCTTTTTCTTTTCTTTCTTTGACCCATACATGGTGGAAGTAAGTTCTGCATGGATTCTTACCTGGAGCAAGAGCATTGACTCTCACACCGACCTTTGCCCAATCCAAAGCCCAACTCCTCGTCATGCCCACGACGGCATGCTTCGCCGTACAATAGGCGGCCATGTTCCTCACACCTCTCAGGCCCGCGGCACTCGCGGTGTTCACGATCACGCCTTTGTTGCCCTCGTCCCCCTGCCTCTGGAACTGCCAGTACGCCTCGGTGCCGCAGTGCCACACGCCCGTGACGCACACGTCCATGATCGAGCGGTAGACGGAGTCACTCGCGACGTCAACTTCGATGGGACATATCCCCGCGTTGGAGCACATGCCGTCCAACCTCCCGAAGCGCTGGACTATCTCTTGGATCCAGTCGTGGACTTGCTGCCGACACGTCACGTTGACCTTGGTGAACATGATGTTGTCGTGCTCGGCCGTCGACGGCAGTTCCTCTGGGGCGGCAGACACGTCCGCGACGGCGACTTTGGCCTTGAGTGACACGAGTTTCTTCACGATGCCTAGGCCGATACCTGAGGCGCCGCCCGTCACGGCGATGACTTTGCCATGTAACGAGTTGTGTTCCATTTGCGTTGCAGTACTCTTTGTAGGTAAGTCAGAGAGAAAGATGAGAGTTTGATGTACACAATGCCTGGACTTTATTTGCGGAGCAGTGGGAGCGTGGAGTGGAGGCGGCTGGTTATCCTGGAGTATTGAAGATTCTGCAACAAAAGAAGCCAGTCATATTTTCATGACTGGACGAGACATGGCCAGTCTCCCACAATTGCCACCTTCTTATGAATGCTCCGCGATGCTCTGCCTCTCGGGAGATTTTGCTTTGATCTGAGCCATCGGAGAGCCATCGGGGGATGCATTTCGAGCCTGCCTTTGGTCTGTTCGATCATATAGGATCCGGGCTGGGGCCGTGACATTGCACGCCAGGCAATTGATCGGAAGCGAGGTCCTTGTCATGTTCGTAACCAGAAGAGTTTGGCATGTAATCGGTTCCACTCGCTCGGCTCTGTGCAGTCAATGTGGTTGGGCCAACACTCTGCAACGTAAACACTTTCGTTTCTCCAGCTTTCAGCAGCTGGCGATCCGAATGTGACTGCAAATGGCCTGCTCAGGGTGTACCCTCCGCGGTATCCACAGTTCACAAGTCCTTTTCAGGCACCAATATATCAGACCTCAGAAGGGCTTAGCCATGATTCACATCGAATGGAGAAGACACTCAGGCCTAGCAACAGTGGCTTTGGAAGGGCCAAGTCCTGTCGCCTGGTAAGGCGGTATCCGCTAGGTAGCATTCAAACTGCATACGCACGGACAGGAGAGCTTGACTGGGGGCATGGCTTGTAACCAGGCGGCGTCTGGATATGATTGACGCTCTTCGATATGTACAGCACAGTCCATCTTCAACATGTTACAGGAACAACTTTATGGGACGAAGAGTAACAAGTCAGGCTGAGGATGTTGAACAACGGAGCAACGACGGCTCTCGTTCCATTCTGATGAAGCTAGCTGCAAAAGGTCTCCGATCCGAGTTGTTGGTTGAAAAGGTGGAACTCAGGTCTGGAGTCCACCCTTCCCCAAGTGACTTGGGACGATCATAAACACATCCTTCCGATGATTGCATGAACCGATCCTCCCGAAGTCTCACGATTGATCCTAGAATGCGGCCACGGATTACCCCAGGCAGTTGACATCCGGCATCGGACAGGTCTTGGGATAACCATCCAAAGTCCACGACGTGACTTCCCGATATCGAGCCAGCATGCTAGTATCTAGCGGCTGGGGATGGGACAGAGACCAACGACGGTCGGGGTGAAGAAATACACCGGATGCCATGATGTTCGCATTTGGATCGTAGAGTTCGGGGTGTTTCTCAAAAAAGTCAGGTCCCAGTCGGAATTGGTGGGGTCCGTGATCCATTCCCAACAGCTTGAAGGCCTGTAATGCGAGCCTCTTTGACTGGAAAAGAGCTCTCGTGCTCGAAGCTGGAAGGGAGCCCTCGGATTGGGTCCCTTCATTCATGTCGTTGCTGGGGCCATCGAAAGTCTTGTCAATCGATGCGTTGTCCCGAGCTGAGCAGTTCCATACCGAAAAGCCCGTGGAAGAAGGCAAATTGGTGCATGTCGTTTCTGGGGATATTGCCTGCACTAGGTCCCAAACTGACACGTAGCCTGGGGTCGACGAGAAGCCTGACACCAATTTCGACAAATCGATTTCCATAACATAGCTTGACGCGATCTCGAAAATGAGATCGTCCAACCTCGGGTTCGCGGAGTGGTACGTTATAAGTGCGTCACGAATCGATGGCCACGGCATCCAGTCAATGACTGCCGGGTATGAAACAGAAAGCTGCAACTGTGTTGGTCGGTAGTACGGTGGCACCTTGGACAGATTTTTTGGACTAGGATTCACCCGCCATTCCATGAGACTAGTCAGATCAGGCTGTACTTTCAAGTAAGCATGCCATGCTGTCATAGTATGCCACGACATTGCGACAAAAGTCGAGAAGATCAGCGATACTGCGGCGGTAATGTGACTGGAGGGGCGGCCGGTTAGCTCTATTTGTCCTGAAAGTCGATAGAAATCAATTTACTCACTCATCAAGATGCGACGAAATGTTCCGGTTTTGTGATCTACGAGATGTCGACAGGTTCAATTTGAGGAAATACTCCATGGAGCCAATGTGATTTGACAGCATCGAATGAGTGGCATGCAACTGACCCTGGGCTCCAGTGAACAGAAGAGGGCCAGCTTGAGACGCTGCAGCATACGAGGCTGGGCCAAACTGGGCCAAGGTGAAGGATAAGGGAAGTTGAGAGACCGGATCGTTCAGGCAATTGTCTCTGGATGACGCAGCTTTTCCATTTGCAAGCAAGACTGACGATTGAATTTGATCTCTCATGTTTGACGGCCCATCTAGTTGTCTATCGGCGGAAACATGCGGATCCTTCTGCGACTCGTGTGAAATTTCGTATGAGTACAGAGAATCGTCAATCCAGACTGTGTCGATCTCCTGGGCCTGAGGAATACTGGTGTCGAAATCGAACAAATTCTCGCAAATAGAGTTATCAGCAGCTGAGGGGCATGGCACTCCTACCAGAGGATAAGACGCATTTTGAGGGAAGTTAGCCTCCTCTGGCGCTTGAGGAGAAGAATTCTTCGCGGATGAGACTTCCTCCCCTCTGCAAGTGGTATCCTCGTTGATCTTAAGTACAAGTCAGTTAGTTGCAGTGAAAGATGAAATCTACCAGCCTTTTTTTTTGGTTCGATTTTGACTATCACTCACCATGAGATCAAGGTATTTGGCTGTGGAGTCGATAAGAGCCTTGAGAGAGACCTGGAGGCTCTCCATCTTCTTGTGATTATCAAACAGGCGCTGGCGAAGCAGAGTGTTGTGCTCCTCCAGTTGGGAGACGCGCTCGCTCTCTGATTCCGGGAGATTCTCAAGTCTTTGCTCTAGTTCCTTGATGCGCAATGCCTGTCGCGCGCGAAACGCTTTTTGAGACAGGCGATTTCGTACCCTTCTGTCTTCTCGATTCATTTTGATGTCGACGTGAGGTTAAGGTCGTGATAGTTAAATCAGACTGCGCAAGACTGTGATCATCGTCCAACCTAGATCCGAAGAGCTGCTTTATCAATCATTCGAAGTCGCTTCAGACACTCTTGATGCTAAGGATAACCCCGCTGCGGACTTTCGGTGCGTTCAATGGAAGGGCTATCCGTGAGTATCTGGGGAACGAGACGAGCGCCCCCACAAAATCGCCTGAAAACGGGATCGTGGAGGAGAAGAACGATTCGGGATCAAACCACGCAAGAGTAGCGCACCAAGATCAGATCGTGATTGGATGCTGTTTGCCGATCATGAAGCATGATAGGGAGAGGCTGGTCTTAGACGACCCTTTGAGGCATTGTTGGAGGTAGGAGATGACCATCGAAAGCCCTCAGAGCGACAATTGTTCACGGAACCGAGCCGAATTGATTTGCAAGCAATTGAGGAGATGCTTCCCGCTTCCGAAGCCGCGAAGTCGTCTCCTCCGAATCCACGGTTCCTGGCATCAGTCGATGTCACTAGATATCGCACTCACCCGAGATGAATCTGACCACTGGTAATCATCGTCCAATCCATCACATGACTTCGAGTGAGAGGATGCTTTTGTGGCGAACTAGGCGCCAGAGAAATCAATCTCAAGTAGCCAACGTCAAGAGAGGGAACGAGAATGGATCTACGACTATGCATCTACGAGTGTCATTCATGTTCACCACGCTAGAATTATTCGCGTTCGAATCTACGCTCGTAGACATCTGCACTTTGTAGAGGACAACGGCTCCTGCTCCTTATCCTAGCATTCATTCAGCGCCCAGAGCTTGAAAGACGCCTTGAAGCAGTTTCCATCATCACAATTGACTACTTGGTGAAAAGCCACGGAAAGGGAATTAGGTGCGGCTCCAACTCAAGCTTCTGGTGGCAAGGCATTTAAAGATCACGCGAGAGTAAGCTAGTCAGAGTATTCTGACTGTCCATGTCGATCAGCACTCCAAGCGCTATTTCCATGAGCCAACTTCCTCCCTTGGAAAGACGACATACAGATTCGTGAGAAGCCATCTCTCAGACTTGTCTGACTGTACGAGGACTCCAGCCAATCATCCGTGGCTCGGCGCATTGATATTCTACGGCACCAAGCAGGGCCAGAGCTGATCAAATCAAAGCTTACTGGTTGAAGAAGACGATTGAGGCACTGCTACCGAGTGGGCTGCTCCGCGGGTTGCTGTACAGTACGAGTACAGAGTTACGAGCACCCTATTTTCCCATGCGGGGAGTTTTCTGGGAGGTGTGGAACGTGTGGGTGCCCCAGAGGAGCCAGTTGGCCGTAAGCTTGACCAGGACTTGTCGCCCTAGCCCCGAACAGGCATTCGAAGATATGTATCAGTCGATGAAACCGGAGTATGCTGCGAACATATGGTATATAAACCGTCCACTTTTGGTGGGAGTCTCGGAGCAAAATGCCCAGGACTGCTCTCGACAAAGAATACCCAGCCTTCTCAGTCACGAGTGACTACGTGCCATCATGAAGCAGTCACACTTCGACGCCTTGGTGGTAGGCGCTGGTTTCGGCGGCATCTACCAGCTTCACAAATTCGTCAAGCTTGGCCTCAATACAAAGCTCATCGAAATGGCCGCCGATGTAGGAGGAACCTGGTACCATAACAGGTATCCAGGAGCCATGTCGGACTCCTACTCTATGGGTATGCCTCTTTTGGAGCGCCTGAGATTTGGCACAGTACTGATACGGTGTTTGTACCAGTCTATCGCTACAGCTGGGACAAGGACGACTTGGTGACATATCCCTGGAAGAATCGCTATGTCCATCAGCCAGAAGTTCTGAAATATCTGCAACATGTGGTCGAGCGCCATGATCTGCGGAGGTACATGCAGTTCAACACTGAGCTTACGCGTGCAAACTATGACGAGGTCCACAACCGCTGGGTGGTCCAGACCTCAACTGGGGATGTTTACACTGTTCGGTATCTCGTCACGGCTCTGGGCATCCTGTCTAGGATAAACTATCCAGATATCCCGGGTTTGAAATCGTTCAAGGGGGAGATGTATCATACAGGGTAAACAATGAATTCCTTGCGCGGCTATTTCAGCAAGGGGAGTAACTGACACTGCTTCTCTCACACACACAGAAAATGGCCCAAAGCCCACGAATTCAGAGATAAACGAGTCGGAGTGATCGGAAACGGGTCGACTGGCGTCCAAGTGATCACAGCTTTGGGTCCAGAAGTCAAATCCCTCACCTCTTTCCAGCGACGGCCACAATACAGTGTGCCCAGTGGCAACAGGGCCTTGACCAAAGAAGAACGAGACGACATCAATGCTCGGTACGACGAGATCTGGGAGTTCGTACGTAACAGCACCATGGGCGTCGGTCTCCCAGAGGGCTCACGCCCGACAATGAGTGTCTCTGCAGAAGAAAGAGAACAAGTCTTCGAAGACGCGTGGCAAGGAGGGAACGGGTTCCGCTTCATGTTCTCGACGTTCAACGACATCATAACTTCCGAGGAGGCCAATGAGGAAGCTTGCAAGTTTCTGCGCAGGAAGATCAAAGACACGGTCAAAGACCCGGAGAAAGCAAGGAAGCTCACTCCGACCGAGATCTTCGCCCGTCGCCCAATCTGTGATAGTGGGTACTTTGAACAGTTCAATCGCTCTAACGTGGACCTCGCGCTCTTGTCAGAGAATCCAATCCAAACGATCACTGAAAAGGGCGTCCTCATGCAGGATGGCACGCACTACGATCTAGACGTCCTCATTTTTGCCACCGGCTTCGACGCCGTGGATGGAAACTGGACCCGGACCACCATCAAAGGTCGCGGTGGCAAGAGTCTGAAAGAACACTGGGACAAGAGCGGGAGTCCAACGTCACTACTGGGGAGCTTCGTGCCCGACTTTCCCAACATGTTTATGCTCTTCGGCCCCAGCAGCCCCTTTGGCAACGGACCTCCCGTCCTCGAAGCCCAGGTTGACTTCATCATCGACGTCGTACAGCAGGCCGAGAAGACCAGCAAAAAGCAGACCGACAGCTCGACGACTAATGGAGTAGCTGACGGTGCTCTCACCTCTCGAGGTCCAGTGGTCGAAGCATTGCCGTCATCGGTGGACGCCTGGGTCCAAAAGTGCGAGTCGGTCGCCAATGGCACTCTCTTCCCCAGACTCGACAACTGGATCTTGGGAAAGAATGTGCCTGGTAAGACTCCTTCGGTGTTGGTTTGGCTGGGAGGTATCGGGCAGTTTAGGAAATATCTACAAGAGATTGCAGAGGGGGGGTATCAGACGTTCGAACCATTTTCGTAGCGTGCCCTAGGTCCTTCTAATATCGAGCGAGTCTCATTCACTGTAGTATTCGCAAAGACTCGGGGGGTCTCCTTTTTTGCTTGTTTTCGTCCTACGTGGTGCCAACTCGTGCCGTGCATACTCGACTAAAATAGGATATAATATCTCTATAGTTCTAAACGTCCACATTCCTAACTCACAACTTACATCGGGTTAGCCTGGTAGCATCATCACCGTCGGCAACACAGAGTGATCGGAGATGTATTTCATATATGCCCTTGCCTTCGCAGAATCACTCACGCACCGCGGTAGCCTTGAACGGCTTCAAGTACGCAGTCAAGGCACTTGCGCCACTGGCCAGCATACACGACCCGGTGAAGAGCACGACGGCCTTGTACTTTGTGGCGCCGTAATCCGAATCTCCAACCGAGTCGACCAGAAGGTTCGCACCGATGGGGCCCGCAAACACGTTCCCCAGGCCCTTGCCGAAATTGAACAGACCGAACGCGGCGAAAGCGGCGGTCGTGTCGGCGGTGACGGTGGTGCCCATCCTCGCCCACATGGCCGTGTATCCGGCGCCGAAGAAGCCGTAGAGGAGGGAAAACAGACACAGCAGGCCGAAGGTGCGCGCGAGACCCCACAGCGTCAACACGGCCGCGGCGGACACGAGGGTCGACGTGACCATGAGGGTGTTGACGCTGAACCGCCGTCGGTCCGAGATGTACCCGAAGCTGAATTGTCCCAGGACCTGTGCCACGCTCATCAGGGCCAGCAACAGCGCACCTCGTCGGGCGCCCATGCCCAAGGTGGTCGCGTACGAGGGGAGGTACAACGAAGGGAAAAAGTACCCCAACCCTTGCAGGAGGTTGGAGACGGCGTATATCCAAAACAATGGTACGCGCAGGAAACCCCAGTCTGTGTGCTGTGTTGGACCAGGGGTGGTGGGTTGTTCTTGTTGTTGTTGCTGCTGCTGCTGCTGCTGCTGCCGCCGCCGCCGCTGCTGCTGTTGTTGTTGTTGAGACAAAGGAATACGTCCTTTGAGTAGTGGAATCAAAGGACCAGTGAGGATGGCTATCCCGATCGCCACGGCCCGTAACGTCGTAGACAAGCCGTACCTCTTCAACAACGCCTCGAGGGCTACGGGCATGACGACGCCCGAGACGCCCGAAGACGCGCACAATATACCGTAAGCCATGCCGCGGCGAGCCACCCAGAATTCGTTCACCATTCCGATGATGGGGTATTCGAAGAGTGCGAATCCGACTCCGTACATGACTCCCTGGGTGAAGATGATCGCGGGCAAGGTCTCTGCAAAGGAGCTGGCGAGGACACCAACGATGCACATCGACCCTGTTTACAGTACTGGTCAGTCGGGACCAAATCGTCTCTGTTCGTGTACAGACAATGACTTGGGTATCGTAAGATATCCTGAATATCTGGGTTATTTTTTTGTAAAAAGAAAAAAAAGAAGTAAAAACGTACATCCGACCCAGATAATGACCATTCGATACCGTCCAAGCCGTTTTACTAACGGAATGATCAACGGTGCCCCCAGGTAGGTTATCCCGGTCGCCGCTGTCCCGATGATCGAGACATAGGGTTGGTTCGCAAACCTCGGGATTCGAGAGTAATAGTTTTGGAAAACACCAAAGGAGAGAGGGAAACCTATACAAACATGCCCACGGCCGTGCGTGGCCGTGTATATATTTTCGTCAGTTGTGTGTGTGTGTGTCGACTCTGAATCTCGACAACAAAAATCAAGTGAGTTAATCATTGTACAGAGGGATCAAGGACCTCTCGTCGGTTGTTGTACGTTAGTATTTTGAACTCACCCCAAAGCAGAGACTCGAAGATAAAGGCCGAAAATAACATCCTCCAAGCTGCACGACCTCGATCGATCGGCGGGAGATCTGGACCTGCGTCTTGTCCATGATCATGACCATTGTCATTGCCGTCTTCGAAACTCTCACTCTGCTCTGCAACCGTTTGATTTCTCGACGTCACCGTCTCCAATGCCACGATGTCGTTGTGATCCTCTAAAGCCATGGTATCGCGGCGGTGAAAGGGACTTTTTGTCGTACGCAGTATGTTAGGTATGAAGTGCTAGAAGTACCTGTAGCCTTACCAGTTTCGAATCTACATATCAGAACATGATACACGTACGGTAGTATGCCAGATAAACGGATACTACTCTGTGTTTGGGCAACAATATATATGCATAAATTTAAACCGAGGCTCAACCCGCACAAGGGTGGAATATTATATTTACGGACATACGGATACTCGTACACTGGAACAAAACACTCACTCCTCATCCTTACCCGACCGATCATCGAGATTCTGGGATGACCTACACGCCTCGGTTGAACGAATCTCACTCGTGGCTGGGAGATGTTCTCTTTAAATTCCACCGAGGCAGTTATCTACTGGTAGAGATGTAACGCAAGACGAGAATCTAGGATTAGTAAACTATCGCCTCAAGATGCTTCATCAAGGGGCCGCTTAGAGCCAGTCACGCCGATAGTCTCAAATCTCTATACACAAAGCACCAAGGCAAGTTAAAATAATGTCTACGGGTCATGTCGCATTTGCCCTTTTCCATCCAAACAACGCCCAGAACCAGATGCCTGGGTATCGCTTTTACCAAAAGGGGCCTCAAGTCCTTGTTCCCAATTCCCAAACGCCCTCGCTGGATGCCATATTCACACAACCGCCCCCCTCCCGAGATGATTTCACAGTCCCACAAAAGTATCGTCGAGAACAGCTTTTGCCAGCCGTGTATGGCCAGAATCCGCTATTCGGTTCCCAACTACCGGTCCAACCTTCTCAACTAGCCTCGTTCGCATGTTGTTCAGAGCCTCTTCTGAATGTCCATTCATCGTGGGAACATCGTCATCAACCAGGGTTCCTAGCGCGTTGAGAATCGCGTTCATGACTTTCTCCGCCTCCGGCTTCTTCATTCCTTCGGTGGTTATGTCTTCCTCCAGCAATTCACCATAGGCTTTGAGGTTAGGTACAATCAGTTGTCGCACCACCTCCGCTCCACCGATGGCTTTTAGTCCGAGAATAGCACCGTAGTGACTGCCGAGAGGTTTCGTGGGGTCGAGAAAGGTCTTTAGACACGAACGCGCCAAACGTGGCTTGAGGTTGTGGGAGTGCTTCGAGTACTTGTTGCACAGATGTCCCAGTAAGGACGCCGCCAGGTCACGCAGGTCGTAGTGATCGAGAGAGCCAATACCTGAACCCAATGTTCGTCCGATGAGACATGTCAAGACAGGAGGGACCATCGAAGCGACCTGGAATCATTGTCAGTGCGTTGTCGTGCAAAATGACGCTTTCAGGCTTTGCCATACATATGGTGTCAGATTCAATTTCTCGTTCCGCGTCAACGCCTCGGTCACCAGCATCATCTGGGTGAGCACAAAGAGATCTTTCAGATTGTGCGTCACCTTCTCCGCCACGAATTGAACAAAGTACGGTACCAGCTGGTGTAGACCTGGATCTTCCTTCAGGCTCGCCAGCCCGGCCGTCCTATATTCGGGTTGTGTCTCGTCAAGGACAGACGCGCACACCTTCTCAAAGTATAACTGGAGTTCCTTGGACAGAATATGCTTGACTTGGGGTTTTGTTGTAGTATTGTCAGAGCCGGCCATCGCAGCGAGAGCCGGATTGGCATTCGGTCCTTTAGGTAGGAGTTCGAGGTTTCGGCCCTCGTTGGACGTCGGATTTTGGGGAATGGATGGCTGGACGCCCTCGACGGCGAGCCAGTGTGCTGGATGACGGTGAGCTATCGCCTTGCACATCGAATCTGAGTTTCACCAACCTGTAAATGACACCTCGCGCGGCACTTTCGGTAGAGGCGCGTTTATGAGCTTTTCAAAATCCATTTCCTCATCCTCTACATAAAACAGCGCCTGCGTGGGGCCCAGCGACGCTTCGCCATATTTCAGAGGTCTGGTCGTCTCATAGCCGTACAGGGGCTCAAGGTCCAGTACTCGTAATGCCTGTGCGATATCTTGCGACCAGAGAACTGTCCTTCGAGCGTGTTTCATGAACTTGAGGGCCTCCTGTAGAACTTGGGAAATCCGATATTCGACGTCGCGGCAGAGGGCTTGGTTGACATCCTTATTGAGGTTGATGATACCGACAGACTCGGCGACATCCCTGACGGTGTCTTGACCCCAAAGAGTCATGGCTATATGTGCTGATCAACCTCTTGTGCTGTAATCGGATCACGAACATCAACGGGCGCAGGTTGGAGTTCATGAAGAAGCCCAGGATTGAGGAGAAACTCCGGCGGAGCATGACATGGTACGGTAGATTGAATCGTACCAAACCGCAGAATGGTTTTGGGCATCACTTTTCGCCGAAGTCATGACTTGTTTACAATAGATCCTAGTTCCATTACGACATCCACTACTAGCAAGAACGCATTGGACATTGAAGAGATGTGTTTAGTCATTGAAAAAAAATCTATATATCGAAGGTTTGGCAGACCACAAGATAGGTCAGGGTAGAGGTCAATTGTCCGCAACCCTCCAAACCAGCCGCGCTCCGTGGACCTGTTTATTGCGTAACATTTCCAAAGCCTTTGTCGCCCTCTCCAATGTGGTCTCGCCTTCGACGGTAATGAATTCGTTGGGCTCAACAATACCCTTAGCCAACAATGTTGGCATGATCTCTGACTGAAGTTTTTCTGCCAGGAATTTGTTATCAAGATAGAAATGAGTTCGAACACCAGTAACCTGCACCCCAGACTGCCAGTCTGCGCACTTATCAACCTCCATTTCGTACTCGGGCTTGACCTCTGGAGCAGCGTCTTTCACAATAACTGGTAGTAGGATTGCTACCTTGCAGCCTGGTCGTGCGAGCTTAGCAACAGGCCGGACACTCCCCTGGAGACTCCCGATGCAGTCATAGATGTAGGACAAACTGGTGTTGCCGCCCCGCGATCTCACAAAATCCATTATGTCCTGGACAACACCAACATCTTTGTAATCGAAGCATTTCAAAGCCCCATATCGTTGCAGTTTCTCGTGATGCCCTGCACTTGCAGTCGCAAGCACATTCTTGTAGCCGTACCAATTTAAGATCTGCAATGCGTACTGGCCCACGCTAGATGCCGCGCCCCATACAAGAATCGCTTGATCAGCCTCTTCTGGAACAAAATCGTCTGGCTTTGGCCATGGCAGCTCAAATCCGAAGTCCTTAGTCAAGGTATGCCAGACCGTGACAAAGTTGTTTGGCAGAGTGACTGCTTGTTGCATACTAACGCCGGACGGGAGTTTCCCGAAGAGAAATTCGGGTGCAACGACGAACTCCTGGTGAGCCTTTTCTGCTTGGCTGCGCCATGTGAATCCGAACACTTTATCCCCGACCGCCAAAGTTGAAACCTCCGGTCCAACCTCGACAACAGTCCCAGCCACTCCATCTCCTAGAATGTTGGGGTGTTTAATAAGAAGTCCGCCGTCTGCCTGATGCAGATCAAGGGGTGTTGACGCAGTCCATTCGCTTCTGACCAGTACTTGGTCCTTGATTGGTACCGGAGTGGGCACTTGCAGGACCTGTAGTGGTAACCCGGGACCAACAGTGACAATAGCAAAATGTGTTGTCATATTTGTCGTCATTTGAGCCTTGTAACTCAGGGTGTATCTGACCTACTTATTAAGCACTGCTGAGGGCAATGTGGTGTCGATGGATGCCATTATATATGCACTCAGCAATACATCGAGCATTCGACCGAGGTGGGCCGGTTAGTCAGAATTACAGGTGAAGCATTGCCACACCATAAATTTCGTCCGTGGGAAACCACGTGACCGTTCTTCTCGATCGGCTGGTCAAACAACAGTTTTGTCAGGCCACGAATGACACCACGTTCCCTATACTTAAAGAATTCGCGGGCGACACTCCAGCAGGCTGGTAAGTCTGTAGAGTCTAAACATCATCGAGATGACAGTCCTCCAGGTTGATTTCGACGTCATTCCAGTTGATGTCGAACTCACTGGGATCAATCCGCGTCAACTCCTCCACTCTCCTATCGGGTTCCAGCGGCGGTATGTCGGCGGCCATTTTCATGTGCGTGTTTCCAATCTGGTGCAACTTTCTCAGGACCCAATCTCGTTCAACTCCTGGTTCGAGGACCGTCAGAGACAGACGCAGGGCAAAAATGATATAGAAGGGTCCAAGGAAAGACGAAGTCAACATAAACGAGGTAGTTCGACAGATCTCTCTGGCAAGTTCCCTGTTTTCCATGATGTAGAGGCCAGTTTTATCGGGGGCCTCTGCCGACTCCATCTCCTTCAAGATCAGGTTCAAGATGATCATGATGGTGTAGTACCCAACATGAGTTGAGCCAATGAAAACATTGACATAGGAATATTGCATAGGAAACACCGGATCTGGAGTCTGGAGAATAGTGGTATTCACACCCATCCTTTTCATGGCAGCCCTAAACCGCAGATTAATCGATTTGAGCTTTGATCGGTGATTTCGAGACCTGTCGAGGATAGATTTCCGATACAGTTGGTACTCGTCGGGAGACAAGACTTGCCGCATTTTAGAGCTTCTCATAGCGTCATGGCAGGTTGCTGGAATGAAGATGTTCTCCATGTAGAACTCTTCGGCCAAATCGAAAAGCTCCATACGTTCATCCTGAAGCGTACCACTGCGGCGTAGATCCTCGTGGATTTGCTTCGCCACGTCCACCCACTCCGGGTCACTCAGAAAGCAAGGTTCGTCCCGCTGGAATGCTTCAATGTAAATGGTGTGGCGATACGCCAAAAACACATCACGGTCAAGCCCAGAGAGATGCTTGGACGGCCCACGGATGCGCATCAAAGTCGACGCACCGCCTGCGTGCCGTACCCAAGACTGATTGGAATCCGATGCGAACATCTCGTAGAAGGATAAGAGGATAGTTGCAGACAATGTCTCTGTAGACATACCTCGGGTATCATCCGAAAGAGCGTCGTTGAGCAGTCGGAGAGACTTGCCGTAAAAACGCCGGGATTCCTGCTCGAAGGAAGCCAGCTGATGAATGCGACTCAGATGAATCAGAGAGACTGCTCGCACTGTGTTATCGAGCAGGGTACTGCCGAACATGGTGGGGAGCTGAGCGAGCCAACGTGTATGGCTTTGGATCTGTCGAGGGAATATCTGTACTGATCCTGTAGAAGAGATGGCCGAGGAAAATGTGCCGAGGAGTTGTTCTTGTGCCAGATGGGGTGAGTACAAAGAATCATTGAGAGCCAGTGAAAATGGGAGATCAAAATTGATGCTGCCGCCACATAGTTGCGCTGGCGAGTTAGAAGCTGTAGAAGCTATACTTCCGAGACTGAGCAGATCGGCGTCGGGGCGGTATTGGTTCTCGACTATTGAGATGAGGGGATTGCGCGGAGGAAGCAGGACGTCGGCACGATATGATGAATCGTATTCAGGAGTGCCATATCGAGACACTAATTCCACCGAGTCTTCGGGGGACGAGCCCGAGGACTGACTGTGGCTACTCGTGGCCGGCGAGGAACTATCGGCCTCGCTCTTGGTCTCGTTCAGCTGCTTCTGGCCGAAACGTTTGCGTAATTTGTTGCCCTCGTCGTGGATCCTCAAGTCGGTATCATAGCCAGGACAAGGGCGATTGCCCTTGACGCAGTTCTTGCACTTTGGCCGTGTCAGGTCGCACTTGACGCGACGCTGAACACAAATCCTACATCCTTTGCTTCTCGGAACGCCCACCATGCCTGAGTAGATTGATGCACTAAACCTGCAACATGAGTCATTCGCCAAAGGGCAATCAACAGGCACTCGGCAGAATTGGGCCCTTCTGGTCCTAGACACCAGTTGCGGAAATGATGCGTAAGGGGATTCTAGGTTCAAAGAAGTCCAAATGCGGTGTATTTTGGAATGGAAGTAGGTGAAAGGGTGAGCAAATGCTGGCGCCTGGTGATGGGGAAGAAAATAGAGGGATTGATTTGACAAGGCGTGGAAAGCGCTAGTTACATAAGTCCGGAGTTTCTTTAATTGAGACGTCAAGACCCAAACACTTTTTAATTATCAAGGCACATCTCCGTACGACCATCTCGTGGCGGATACGAAGCGGCCTATTGAACCCAGATCTGTAGGGCTGGTGGGCTGTGCCCGCGCCTAGAGGGGCTAAGTGATTTCACTAAATAGAGATCCTGGTGAGCCTTGTGAGCCCAAACTCAACCACAATCGGCTCATCCCGCCTGTAAAATCGTAGATTTTGGGCAGGTAGTACGTAGGCGGAGTACGGAGTATTTAATCGGCTATCAGAACAGCATCAGGAATTTCGCCGTGGCAAGGCGTTTACAGGGCAACTACTCTGTACCGGGGGGGTCTCTGTAGGCAGTCCTTAATACGAGTACGAGGTACCCATATAATCTCACAAAGATCAATACCTGAACTACGCGATATCGAGGTCATGATCATACTTTTGCAGTCTTCGATAAGCAGTACCTAGGTCCTTAGCCAGCTCAGGCAGGAATCTCGTTCACGGGTCACCTTTTTTTCCTGATGGCCAGAACACCTTGCACCTCCATGCCACTGATTCACTGGGAGAGCCTGCAGTTTGTTGAAACCCTTTCACCAACACCAGCTTTTCAATCATCAAGTCCCTATCGTCAAATGTCAAAGGCATCAAGCCAAGACGTGTCGTAGGCATTTAAACCGAACTGCATCGTCCTAGCCCACGGGTTGCATGAAAGAAGAGACAATTGCCATAAATACTGGTTGGATTCCTAGCCCTCGAGCTCGTTCATAGGGACGTCCTCGTCATCAGGTCCTACAATAGCCTCTGCGACTTTCCAAACCTGAATCAGGTTGTCATCGGCGGCACTGCAAACCACCCATGGGCTGTTTTTATTCCACGAGAAGTCGCTGATTCGGTTGGTATGTCCTCCGTGCATGAACAACAACTCCGGTGGCCCATCCTCACTGTCTTCGGGGGTTTGTTCCTCGCCGACTCTGGCCAGATCCCAGAACATGATCCTTCGATCATAGCTGCTAGATGCAATCACTGACTCTTCAAATGGATGCCACTCTAATGTCGTGACACTATCATTATGACCTTCGAGGACATGTAGCTTGTGATTGATATTCCGGAGATCCCAAATTGCGATTGATTTGTCGGCACTGCCTGTAGCAACGAGCTGATCAACAGCCAAGTTGAAAGCGATGGCATTGATGGCATCCCTATGTGCATTGTCGCATTTCAAGGCGGACCTGGTAGTGTCAGATTGTCTCAAGTCGAGGATCTGCATCGTCATATCGTCCGACACAGTGCCGACCATGTTGCCAAGGTTGGGATGGTACTGCACATCATTGACAATACTGTTGTGGTGTGTGTATTTGCTCGACTCTTTCAACACATTGTTGGCTCTTGATGCTTGTGTGATGTCCCATAATCTGACCGTGGAGTCTTCGCTAGCGGTAGCAAGCTGGCCAGCCTGACGGGGATCCCAGCTGAGGCCGTATCCTTCCCGCTCATGCCCATGAAGCTCGATAGCCGGTGTTGGGGTCCCTGAAGGACGACCTGATAGCTTGCTCTTGTCCCACACCATTACTCGTCCATCCGTGCACATGGTGGCGATGAGGTTTGGATTCTGAGGCTGGTATCGAGCTTTGTTGACCTCGCCCGGGTGGTCAATCTTCTGGATGATGTTGAACTTGACTTCTAACTGGTTCTTGCCGGCAGGTCCTCCACCATAGCCTCCGATCTCTCCAGTCTCTTCATTGTAGTCTTTCACATCCGGTTTCTTGGGCTTGGGTAATTGGACTTGCGCTATTTCTAGGTAATTGGGCTGGCCTGGGGCGGTATGTGTACCAATAAGGAGACGGTGCCTGAGGTAGTTGGTGCCAGGAACGCTGGATATGTCAGTTCAATCCCAAGGTGTGTTGCAGACTTCCTCACTCGTGGACATCGGGCATCCATTGCGTGGTCAGTGTGGGCCAATCCAGGGCCGTACTGAGAATCATATCGTAAAGAAAGGGCGCATTCTTCTTCCACGTCTTGTATTCTTCGTTGATGATCTTCTGTTCGGTCTCCGCATCCTCATTGTTGAGCTCTTCGCTCACTAAGGCTACATTAGCATGCGCAGATGGCGGTATCATCTTGAACCCACTGTTTTCCTCGTCGTCTGCCATAGTGTAAGAGAAAGTGTTGGCGGATAGGAGATCGGTAACAACGACTCAAGGAGATGAAGAACGAATTAGGCGTACATAGATTTCCCTGGGGGTTGGAAATCTCTCAGCGCAAGGACTTTTTGAAGTACTATCATCACGCAGAGTAAACGCGCTCCCACTTTCTAACGCGTAATAAAAGAGGTTTAGCTCAAGCTGGAGTAAAGTGCCAAATGCCATCTTGGGCAAGTCCGCCGAGGCTCTTGGCATCATAACTCCAGCCAGGCTTGTCTTTGTCACCAGATCGCAAACTCGCCATCATCGAAACCACGAATCAAGATATCAACCTTTTTCATACTGCGGCGTCAGTGGCCTTTATCTCATACGCCTTCAACCGCATGTGTCGTTGAGGAACTTTGCCCTAAGCCTTTTCTTCGCTCCCGAATATAAACATCTTTCTTTTGGCATTCACCCACCGTCACAATGGGCGTCCCCAAATTCTTCAGATGGCTCAGTGAGCGTTATCCTGCGATTTCGCAATTGATCGCTGAGAACCGCATTCCCGAATTCGATTGTCTTTATTTGGATATGAATGGTATCATCCACAATTGCACTCACAAAGACTCCGACTCGCCATCTTTTCGGATGACCGAGGACAAAATGTTCATTGCTATCTTCAATTACATTGAGCACCTCTTTGGCAAGATCAAGCCCAAAAAACTGTTCTTCATGGCAATTGATGGGGTAGCACCCAGAGCCAAAATGAATCAGCAGCGTGCTCGTCGATTCCGTACCGCCCTCGACAACGAAAAGGCCCGAGACAAAGCTATCAAAGAAGGCTTGGAAATGCCAAAGGAGGATCCGTTCGACAGCAACTGTATCACACCCGGGACAGACTTCATGGCCAAACTTACAAAGCAATTGAAGTATTTCATCAACAAGAAAGTATCCGAAGATGTCGATTGGCAAGGTGTTGAGGTTGTCCTCTCTGGCCATGAGGTTCCTGGTGAAGGCGAACACAAGATCATGGAGTACATCCGACAGGCCAAAGCACAGCCAGGCTACGACCCGAATGTCCGTCATTGTCTGTATGGACTAGATGCTGATCTGATCATGTTGGGTCTACTCAGCCATGATCCCCATTTCTGCCTGCTTCGAGAAGAAGTTACTTTTGGGAGGCAATCCTCGAAGAAATCCAAAGAATTGGAACATCAGAACTTCTACCTCATGCATCTGTGCATTGTGAGAGAATACCTCGAGCTCGAATTTCAAGAGCTAGAACTAGACGGTGCTCTCGATTTTCCCTTTGATATGGAACGAATCATTGACGACTTCATCCTGATGGCCTTTTTTGTTGGAAACGACTTCTTACCTAATCTCCCAAACCTTCACATCAATGAAGGAGCTTTGGCTCTAATGTTTCAGAAATATAAGCAGATTTTACCGGGGCTGGGTGGCTACATCAACGAGCATGGAGTAATCAATTTGCAGAGATTATCAGTTCTGCTCAATGAACTGTCCGAAGTTGAGCACCGATTCTTCGAGGCAGAGTATTCCGATACAAAATGGATCGGTGCTAAGCGGAAAGACGCTGCGCTAGAAGAACCCCTCAAACCATCACGCGGACCTGTCAGGGTTTCGCCTGAGCAGAAACAGCTCTTTAAGGACATCAAGAAGTGGTTCATCTCTCCTGGTAATAAGGATCTGGCCACGAGACAGCCGCTGAACCTGCCCTTCACACTCCCCGCACGGGATCGCAGATTTGTACAGCAATTGGCAGTCGATCTGAACCTCCCATGGTCTACCAAAGAAGACGAGGAAGGAAATCGATTTATACAACTAGAATTCCCACCATCGCAGGACGAAGAGTTAGAGGAAGAAGAGTCGCTGTTGGCCATCACCAGAATTTTGAAGCGATATGAGAATGCCAAAGTCGAAGAGGCCACAGATGAACAAGCCCAGCAAGACTTGAAGAAGAAATATGATGAGAAGTTCTATGAATGGAAGAACAAATATTACAAAGAGAAATTTGAATGGGGCCTTGAGGACGAGAAGAGTCTGCGCCAACTTACAGAAAATTATGTCCAGGGTCTCCAGTGGGTGCTGTATTACTATTATCGCGGTGTCGCGTCGTGGCCATGGTTTTATCAGTATCATTACGCTCCAATGATATCTGATGTCAAGAATGGCCTTGGTGCGGACATGAATTTTCAGCTTGGTCAACCCTTCCGTCCCTTTCAGCAACTGATGGGCGTCTTACCTGACCGAAGCAAGAAGATTGTCCCTGAAGTCTACCATGACTTGATGACATCAAAAGATTCGCCGATTATCGATTTCTACCCCCGAGATTTTCAACTGGATATGAACGGCAAGAAAATGGAGTGGGAAGCCGTGGTGAAGATCCCTTTCATTGATGAAAAGAGACTTCTCAGCGCTATGGCCACAAAAGACCACCTTCTTTCCGAAGATGAACGCCTTCGAAACGATTTTGGAGTCAGCCTCAAGTTTGTCTACTCACCCGAGGTGGACTACACCTATCCATCTTCATTAACCGGTATTTTTCCGGACCTGCCTCATTGCCACTGCATACAAAATGAATTCGAGCTTCCAACTATGGAGGGTCTAGAACCTTATGTTGGCCTCGTCGACGGAGTGAAACTAGGTGCCGCTGCTCTAGCCGGCTTTCCTAGCTTGAAGACTTTGCCATTCACTGGGTCGCTGGGGTTCCATGGCGTGAATGTTTTCCAACAGGACAGTCGTAACGAAAGTATGGTAATAACATTATCAGACACTGAAGCACGAAGCAACTCCGAGTACGCAAAGAAGCTACTGAATCAGCGCGTACATGTTGGATACCCATTTTTACAGGAAGCCAAGATCGTCAAAGTCTCCGACGAGCTGTTTGATTACACGATGGCTGAGGGAGGTAACCAGCAGGTGCAGGCTATTGAGCACACTGGAAGTGAAATCGATCAGTTCCACAAGAAAGCAGAGCGCATTGAGAAATGGTACAGTAAGAGACTCGGCATGCTAGCGGGCGATGTCGAGACACTTGTCCATGTCGAGATGCTCAAAGGCCTGAAAAAACTCGACGATGGTTCCACCGTCAAGGAATTTGCCGAACTTCCTGGAATGGAGACCATCCATGCCACGCAACTTGTTGTTGAGAGTGTCATCAGCGAGGATGTGCGATTCATTGAGAAATCGGCACTGCCGATCGAAGAAGAATTTCCAGATGGAACCAATGCTTTCTTCCTGGGAGATTATGCATATGGAAGGCCGCTCAGTGTGGTCGGGCATGAAAATGGCAAAGCAAGATGTCTGATTGCACTTTCTAGTGGCCGACAACATGAATTCGGACGTGACATAGCTCATCAAGCAGAGAGATTGTCACCTTACACGCCATCGTTTCAAGTTGCACGGAGTCTCAACTTGAACGCACTGGCTTTAGCCAAGATCACTTCCTCATACTCCGTAATGGTTGATGATCAGCGAGTCAACCTTGGATTGAACCTCAAGTTCGAGGCCAAGAAGCTCAAGGTGTTGGGCTACTCACGCAAGAGCCAGAGTGGTTGGGAATTCAGCCAGAGAGCTGTTGAGTTGATCCAACAGTACATGATCAAGTTCCCACAATTTATCGCTGGCATCAACAACAATCCACAAGGCGATATGCTACCGCCCACTGCGTACTTCCCAGGCGATGAAAAGGAGGCAAAGGCAAAGGTCAAAGAAATTCAGGCTTGGCTCAAGGAAATCGAGTCAAAGAGTTTTGAAAAAGTCCCTCTGGAAGCGGAACAGCTGGATTCGGAGATTGTCAAGCGAATTGAAGCCGCTGCTGATGAAATGGTTCGCACTGAACCACCTTCTCAGAACAAAGTCATTGGAGGAGTTCCTCGGCATGGTCTTCTGAAGCCCTCTGATGCACAATGGCGTTTGGGCAGCCAGAGTTACTCTCTAGGAGACAGAGTTATCTATGTGGCTGACTCCGGAAAAGTCCCAATCGCATCTCAAGGCACCGTTGTGGGCCTCACTCAGACCACAAGAGAGACTTGGCTCGACGTTGTGTTCGATGTGTCCTTCATGAGCGGCACATCCTTGGGAGATCGTTGTTCACCATTCCGTGGTTCCACGGTGCCTACCTGGTCAGTTCTGAACCTTAGCAACCGTCAAGTTTTGGCATCGTCAAAGGCAAGTGCCAATCGACAAACGAGTGTAACCCAATCACCACTCACAGTCACGGGCTATGGACAACCAGGCATCAACGGGCAAGGGCAATTGCGTCCAGCTCAAACACCGCCAGCATTACGCGGGACGTGGCGTGGAGCTGTAGGTGGACAAGTCAACGGTCGTGGTAAACTGAACGGAACACACATGCCAATTCGAAGTCTGTCTGGATCCCCTGCCAATGGCAACCGTGGAGCAACAATAAATGGTGCCCGAGGAGGTCGGGGTGGCTACACAACCAGGGGTGGCTACAATCAAGTCGATCGGGGTGATCCTCAAGCCGGTGTGATCCAGAATAACCCGGCGTTCAGACCCAAATCTCACAACAATGTTCCACCGCCGTCTAATCTGAATCATTCCAATACGCCCCGCGGCCGGGGCAGAGGTGGTCGTGGAGGTACAGCACGCGGAGGAAGAGGACCTTCTTCTTGAGCCGAGTCCTTGACAACCAATGGTAGTTGTTGAGTTCCCATGATTGTTCATTATTTGTGAGTGGCGTGAATGTGGATGACGTGGCAGCTCAACGATGGGATTAGATAGCTATCTGGATTCTCAGGCGTCTTGAGTAGGCATACGGCCATGAATGAACTGCTTCCAGACTACCCGAGCTTCCTTACCATGGAATGGAGGAAGGGGACGTAGGAGCGACCTGCATGTTAGCAAATAAAGCCCACCAGAGACTCAACATTAGTTTGTACTAGATAGAATCTCCATCAATTCGCATCAACGTACTCCACAGGAAGTGCCCAGGGGTGTGAGCACAAGAGCTGCCACTTGTTCGCTTTCTAGGGGTAAGACAGGTGGAAGGGTATATCGCTGTAGGAGCTAGCAAGGAATACCTTGGGAGGCCAATCATAAGAACAAGGTGCATACCTGACTTCTCTTCCATTCGCAGAATGAGACTGACGATTTGCACTGCACATGCTTTGCTACCCAATACAGCAGACGAGTAATAAATCACTCTGATCGTCGACATCACACAGCCTTGGAGCGGAGGGAGAATCTACATTAGGCTAGGTCTCTAGTGGCTTGGCATCCGACGCACGTCATTGAAACTCACGCGGGGCTAAACCCTGATTAATCTAGCTCAAGGACTGGCGTCTAACACCACCTTCTCGCGTACCAAAAACCTCCTCCCACTTCACTCTTCCCGTCACCTGTCAACACCACCACCGATCCTTGCCGTTCTGCCCTTCCCGTCTTTGCTGCATCAACCCCTCTTCCTAACAAGCTAATCTGTTCCATGATTCGACCGCCTTCGCAATGGTTGTGTTCCTGTGTTCCTGGCTCCTCCACGCCCTCGTTCAACACCACGTCAGATTCGTCTGCTACCAGCCCACTAAGCCCCCACGCTACCAGAATGCGACACGTTTTGCGTTGCGCTGCATTCGTCTGGCCTGCCCTACCTCCATCAAAACAAAATACCTCGGGGTTCCTAGGCGCGTGAACATGATACGAGGTGCGCAATAAGGATGCATCCATCTGACTCAACACCATGCTCGAACCCACGCTCAAAGTGCAAGCGAGAGCAGCTCAAAATGACATCAAGCTGCTTCTGCATGTAGCTTTCGAACCAACAGCCAGCTATACGAGGAGACAGAATCCGGAACCCCGCGCGTTCAACATGCCAGCAACATGTTGCTGAAGACAAGAAATCTGCTCCCCACGCCTTAAGCCTGTGTGACACCCGAGTTTCTACCCGTATGTGCCCTCGAAGACTCAAACAAAGGGCAACAGGAGCCCCAATTCTGATTTCTAGTTTTCTCACCTCATATCTCTGCTTCCCTTATCTCGCGAGCTAAAATTTCCGTTACCCATTTTACAAGCTGCCAATCGCAGTATTCTCGGACTGTGGCCCGCTCCACATCAAGGTCATCATAACTTTGGCTGAGCAGGGGTCGCACTCTTCCACCTGACCAGCGTTTTCGCAGACTCCGTGGATTGTCGCGCCGAATCCTACCTTGACATTGTTGAGCATCATCTTTATCAGTTTCATCATAGTCACAGTCATGAAGCCAGACGCCTTAACATTCTATCGACCGCCGGCACATGCGCAATAGCATTCTTTATCCGTGCAGTATCTTAGGCGCGAGGCTGAGACTCCAGTCCAGAAAAGCACGGCAATAATAGCAATCTTTTGCTCCGCAGATCAGGGCTTCTATAGAGTACAAACCTTTTCCCTCCGCTAGGTTTTCGGAGTATTGGGCACCTGGATTAGCTTCCCTTCTTTACAAAGACACGGCACCGACAGCCCGAGGGGAAACAATGGCTGATTCGATGAATCTTATTACGGCCCAGATCTCTTTTCTGGTACGTTCGAGAACGTTAATGTCTCAGGTTTCTGAATTCCTCGATCTGATCTGAAAGGATCCCAGGTTCAGGTTAGCTGTTCGCGACTTGAGCTGACGTAGAGTTGCGTAATAGGACCCCCAACTGGCACTTGTCCACATCCCTATTGAATTGTACTCTTTCTGCTTGCAGCCGATACTTCGGCTCCTCTTTGGGGAGGATCATGATGAAGATGCTGCCAGAATATCGTGGACGAATCGACACGATTTTTTGAATGTGTCCCTGACACCAGTGGAGTGCTCGATTATATGTTCACGGTATTTAGCCGATACGTACGTGGCGCCCGTTGCACAGGCACTGAATCAACTGTATGGATCTAATGACAAAGGTAAGGAATCAAAGACAGACATTCAAATTAGTTCTGAGGACTATGTGGCGATTCAAGTCGATGGCCAAGGCCTTGATGCAGGTCAACGGGTACTGGAGCTGACGTCCCCTTTGGCTATGGCTGGCATGTGAGTGACATACCTTCGACCTATGAAGGAGCGAACTGACTCCTGAGTAGAAGCATTTTCTTCATCACGACATATTTCTCTGATTACATACTGGTACCTTTGCGATCTCGGAACACTGTAACAAAAGCTTTACAACAACGAGGATTTGTGTTCTCGCAGAGTGTTGACGCGTTTGTCTCGCAACTTTCTCCCTCGTTACCAGCGGTTCCCCATGGTGGTCGGCCGATTTATTCTCCGTCATTTTACGAAAACTCTGCACCAACAACACCACCTGCGAAAGACATCCCGGAATTGCAAATACGCACGTTTACAAAACTCAAGAAAAACAACATCAGCCCGCTTGTCGACAGCGACGTTCATCTTGTCAGCTGCGCTGGCAGCCGCGAGTTTGACGCTGAACGGGATGCTCAGCTTCGAGATGACCTTTTGCAGGTCCTGATTGCCACTATGCCTTTGGCTGATGGAACTTGCAAAACCAAACCCCTGAGCAATGGCGCCAGTAGCCTTGCCTCCCGGGTGGCTCTGGCATCGGGCCTCAACTTTGGGGCGAGGTTCCTTTCGCTGACCATCACAGCCGGGGAACCTATTTCGGTATTGATGGAGCATCGGCTTCTGGGTCGCTTGGGACAGTCACTCCTGGGGGCAAAGTCTGAGGATGATGCACTGATACCCATCACCCTTGATCTCCGCGACCTACCGCTTGACGCTACCGGTATTGTGTGTGGCGTGGCTGGACGCCTGGCGCAAGGAAGTACAGATGAAGACGAGCAGCTTGATTTCAGTCCAGGATCCGGGTCAGGTCCGGATACGAACGTGCCGGTGGAGATTTCCTTTCTGAGCACAGTCAGGGCAGGGACCGTGATTGTGAGGGCTAGTCATCTAGAGAAAGCTGTCGATGCATTGAAATATGGCATGGAAAAGGTCGCCGAGGCCCCAGCATGATTTGTAGTATGAGATTCAGCATCACAAACGAAGGCACATGGACATTGCATTTTGGTCAGTCAGTGTTGGGCTTTGCATTGGGTACGAGAGGTGGGAAAAACTGCATGGAATGGCAAAAGGTGATGTCGCATTATGACGGGAATCTTGCAGGACATGTCGTATTCATAGTGCATTGTCGCGGTCCAAGTTTTGAGTCGACAAACTTGTGGTGTTGGTGAAAATTTCTACCATTCACAATTATGAGGCACGAATATGACCATGTGAAGATTTAGATTGCTTTGTGCTCAACCGGTGCTATAGATCTTGACGACACCGTCAGCGCTTCCTCCAGCCCACAAACCCTGCCTACCCTGAGCTTGACTGCCTTCTCTCCACTTGACCACGCTGACGACTTTCCCCGAAGGACTGACGTTGACATCTCCTACACTCTTTCCAGAGAGCACGTCCCATCCTCGTACGTTGCCATCGTCTTCGCTCCCACTCAGCACGAGGCTCTCATTGATTGCCAGACAGCTCTTGAGTCGTAGGCTAGTATTCTTGTAGCTTTTGGCGTTGTCTTCTTCAGACGGGAACGCTCTCAGACAGGTCCCATCCCCGCGATCCATCAGCCTTATCCTCCCGTCGAGACACCCGACCAGGATCGTCTTCGCATCCCTCGACACGTCCAAACTCGTCACGGATCCGGGAAACACGTCGACCGTCACCCTGCCCATTCGGACGTCGTAGCTCCTCACCCTCCCGTCCACGCTGGCGGCGACGATCTCGTAACCATTCCCGGTCACGACGATGCTGGAAATGCCGTCCTTGGCCTCGTCGAGGACCATCAGCGGTTTGGTGTCCCGGCTCTTGACGTCCCACAGCCTCACCGAGGTGTCGTCGCTCCCGCTCGCGATCACGGTGTCGCCATCCCCCGTGAATGCGACGCAGTTGATCCGACTGCTGTGCCCTTGGTTGGTGTTGCTCCCGAACCGTCGGCTCGTCCCCTCGGAGCCGCCGCTCGCCACGTCCCAGAGGAACACGCTGCGGTCCCCACCGACGCTGGCAAAGGTCTGGTTGTCCCGAGACACCGCGATGTCCAGGATGGGATACCCGTGCGCGACGTATTTTTGAATAGGCCCAGGTGACTGCTTCTTTTTGTCGGGGTCGGTGGCGGGCTCGGTACGCGAGAGGTGGATCTGCCGATCGGAGGACCCGGTCAGGACGTACGTGCCGGCCTGGGAGGAGAAGGTGATGGCGTTGATCGCCCCCGTGTGCGAGGTCAAGGTGTTGACGAGAGAGGACGGGACTTTTGCCGTCGTCTTTTTGTCGCTCATGACGGCAGCGGCGGTGGGTGCGAAAAGGAAGGATTGGGACTGTCTACCGACGACGCAACTGACAGGGTTGGAGATAGCTCCATGTCACCGCGCTGCTCGCTCTACAAATTTACACCGAGAACGACAAAAAGAAGACTCATAATGCAAGCAGACGTGAAAGGTGTTTTTCAAGAAATGTTTCGTTGATTATCACACAAGTCCGAGTGACGCAGTCCAAGACTCCGATGTTTTACCGATTCTGACGCTCGATTCCATCTTCATGGTCCTCGTGCAATTGATTCCTTGATCAACGACTTGTCCCTAATCGATATCACTCCTTCCAACAATGTCAGCCTCCGTCTCAAGCTGCCGCTCACCTGTTGATCTAGAAGAGAGACAGCCTCAAATGACGGATTCTACGAGTGCGATTGCCTGCTGGAAGCCGTCAATTCAACATCGCCAAATCTCTCTCCGCCTAATCCATCAAGTATATTGAAGATGGCTAGAGATTTCTATCGATCCTCGTGTTGCAAAACCTCACCTGACTGATTAGCGCTCTCCTTTAGTGCTTTCGATTGGGTGCGTGCGCAATGCTTAACCCGAACCTGACACTCCACGACCTCCTTGGGGTATCGATCAGGTCACGAGAAAGGATTCCACCATATTGTTGCTAGGTAAATAGAAGACTTGCATACTATCATGATTCTAATCATGATTGCTTGATTGATAGGGCAAGAGACGAAGAAAATGAGATAGGTATTTTCGATGTTGAGAGAATTTCATTTCAATTTTCTCTACCATAAGAATTCTTCCCCTTTCAATTCCTAAAGTCCTGCGACACACTTGGCCTTTTCGTTCAAGACCAACATTGCACAACAAAAGGTACCATACCTGCCGATCACATTCGACCCTGGTGAAAGTCCGGCTGAGGATATTGCTCTAGAGGCAAGCCGAGGTGTTGGTCCAGGATGATATCTTGGGCCTCCTGCTTGATGCATCCGGCTGCGTGGTGACCAGCGACAGAATGCCTCTTTTTGGGGCTGCTCGGTCTTTTCCTCTGAAGAGCTCCAGAGTTGACGACCTTGATATCAATGCTGTACCGTTTGCGAATCGCCGTGAATTTGGGAGGGATGCTGGACAGGCTCATGCCAAGTTGCTTTGCAACCTTTTCGGCGTCAACCTAGTGAACCACGTCAGGGCGTTACTTCAACGGCATCAGTAAGTCTCGTTACTTGGATTGGGCCAACCGAGCTCTGGATAGCGGCGACAAGGACCGCAATGTCGGATTCTTTGACCTGAATGCTTGCCATGACTACTATGGGATGAAGAAAGTGTCGAGTACAAGGAATTTTTGATCAAGAGCGAAGTCTATGGAATGGCAAAGTACGATGAAAGTTTCTACAAGAATGACAAGTTTGAGCAGAACCACTCGAGTCCTTTTATACCTCGACACGGCTCATGCGACGGGCTGAATGTGTGAAGGTCACAGAGACAATCTCAGGACAGAGTGTGAATCAGATCAGCAGACCGGGACTAGGGCCCGCTGAGGTCATGGTTGTCATCCACGGAGTACCACTCGTTACGATATGCAGTACTTGGACCGGTGAAACACTTCGGATGGACTCGATTGGTTCTCGACGCTTGCTTTCGCGAACAAAGCACTGCGAAAAGGCCGTTATCCGGCACTAGCACTTCGCAAAGGTCGTCTCATACGCGTATTTGCCCTGGGATCGACGCTTGTTGCTCCGTTAACGCACCATCGGAGTGTTAATCATGCTATCCTGCTACCTTCGGCCTACAAATACCTCTTCTCGCGGCCCTTGGATGATTTACTAATTGAGAGCTCAGCTATCTCGCTCCAGACTACTTTTCAAAAGCGTCCCATTCCTTGTCCGTCTGTGGATTCGAGCACCATGCCCAAGCCGTGGACTGCCCTAGACGAGAAAAAGCTCCTCATGTGCATCATTGACCAGCAAGCCACTTTCAAGTGGAAGCAGATAGCCCAAATAATGGGTCCACCGTTCTCTGTGGAAGCGTGTCGGTGCGACCCCCCCTCCCCTCTCTATCTCTTTCTCGTCTTCATTTTCTCTCTACCTTCAATTAAAGATTCTCGTTTCCTTTTCTTTCTCACGAATCTGCTCAACCATTGCTCTTGTTCCCCAATATCTCGCACGTTATTTCAGACTTTGTTACTGCTTTGCTACTTGTGCACATTTTGCAAAATCACATCATGCCTTACCACTGGACTGCGGAGAGGGAACGCCGCATGCTTCTTCTTGCCATTGCTTCTGCCAAGTTGAAGCCGTCGGCCGGTACATGGACAAAGGTTGCTCAACTTTTGGGGGAAGGCTTGACTGCCTCCGCCGTAAGGTCCGGGGACTCCGAGAACAGCACCTGGGCAGGCCATCAGAGAAAAATTTGCTGACTTCATGCCCTTAGTCAAAAATACTACAAACTCCGAAACGAGTTTGGCAAGCAGCTTGACGGTCAACCGTCGTCGTCGTCGTCGATGCCTTCTACTCCGACCAAGCGAAAGGCAAGAGACAACGATGACAACGATGACTACGACGATGGAGAAGGAACAGAAGACAAGAAACCAAGAACACCATCGTCGAAGCGTGCGAAGAAGCCGAAATGGGAGCCTTTGGATGCTATTCTCGTTTCGGATTCTAGCGACGATGGCTCCGCCTCGGTCAAGGAGGAAGACATGACTGCGAACATGATGAACACGACTACTCGGACAAACATGTTTGAGCAACAATACATGAACGGGCAACTTTTCATGCCAGTGCACATGCCCGTGGCAACAAAGGAGAACTCTCAGAGGGTTTACTAAATGGCAATGGCTTTGTTTTGGAGGTGAGAGACTGAGAGGAGAAAATGAGAGGGAAGGGCGAGGGTGAGAGCGAGGGCGATGGCTAGGGCGAGAGAAGGGGGGAATGAGTAGCAATACCAGATACTCCGTAGAAAACCAAGGAAAAGCGGTGGGAGACTCGAGAAAGAGGGGTTCAGAGCCGACGAATGCTTCCTGGCTTTCAATCGAGGCACAACAGCGACAGGGGCCAGGGCATTGAATCATGGAGGGAAAGAAAGAAAAGTGGCTGGATTGATCCCAAGGCACCCGTACTCCGTATACTCCGTACATGATCTATCCGTCTACTTTGTAGGAAGTGGTGACTACCTACGGAGTGCTGTCACTCTGTTACTGACCAATAAAAGGTGACAACGAGATGTGATTTGTTGAGCGGAAGCGCGTTGCAAGATCCGTAGTTTTCTTTCTTCTTTGTTCCTTTTGCCACGGGCGTTAACAGGGAGGTGCGACCGCAGCATCCTTGTCATGTCTTGAATGCATGTCTGCCTGGCTCGTCGGCCGGTGTGCCTTGGTGCGGTCGCTGACATGGTTTGTTTTGTTTGCCCCAACCTCCTGAATTTTCAAACCTCGTATAAGTGTCGCTGGCTTTTGCACCATATATAGACTTGTCGTCCATTTATGCCCGTTGCGACCCCAGGAAAGCAAAACAAACTTGAAGTTAGCGTTGTTTGTGGATCGCGTTAGTGGGTGTGTTTGCGTGTGTAAGGGAAGGGATATCGACTACGGACTCACTTATTGCACTACTGTACGGAGTACTTTCCGTACGGTTCCACCGAGCTACAAAAGTTCCATTCGATGGGGAGGCGGGAATCTAGCGATCATCGCTGTCACAAGTCAATCGGACTCGCTCGTCCCCCGTTGTGATGTGCCCGCGGCGCCACCGCAGTTAAATTCCCTCACACCGCTTGTGTGATGAGGTGTGATGAGAAAGCACAGTGGCTGCAGGATGGGGCCAAGGGGGTTGTGTGGAGGGAGTGGAGAGGGCGGCTGTTTTGGAACTTTTTGTCTGACCGAAACCTTAATCTGGTCGCTTAGGTCGCGACATCCGAAAGACGTTCGCCGAACACGTGTCCGAGGGTGATAGGGCGTCCTGTGTCGTGTGTCTCTGGCTCATCGATGCAGGGCTGAAGCGATGGTTCACTCGCTAATAAGGACGCTATCCTGAGGTTCACCTCTTCCCTCCACAGATAGAAGGCCAAGCTTGCATGTTTGCAAATCCTCGCGGGACGACTCTGTACAGGATAGACGGTGAGGCAGTCGCCTCATTGGCTTCTAGAACATCATCCTCCATACCCATGTAGAGTAAACCTGAATTTCCAGTAGAATGATAATAGAGAGATCATCGGATGGCGAGTTCTCGCTTGGAGGTGGAATCAAACTGGCCCATCACCGCTTTCCATCGCAACAAGTAGACTCCATGTATCTATTGTACCTCACCGGTTTTTCTGCCTCAGGCTGAACGCGCCATCGCGACCTCTGCCGGATTTCACTTCCCAGGGAGAGAAAATTGAATTGAATTGAGACATTCACCAGATACTGTTCTTTCGTCCTATCTCATCATCTCGGTCTTTCGACTATCGACGACACCATCAATATTGCCCACCCTTGTTACTCCTTGTCGTCTTCGCTAGACCAGACCATGGCATCCACACAAGAAGCATCCTCACCGGGACACAATGTCAAAGATGCATTGTACCTGGTCGAGTTCCTAAAACAAAACCCTCAAGCCATCACGGTACGTGAGATATATATACAGACACACACACACACACACACACATATATATATATATATATATATATATGAAGATTCTCGCGGGTGTATACTCGTCTTTCCCTCCTAAAATCATCCACTCTTACCATTTTACCTTGTTCTTTTTCTTTGAGGGGGTACTAACGGAAAAAACCAATGACCATAGTTCAATGTCAGTCCGTTTGCTGAAAAGACCGGTGCAAAAGTCAGATCAATCGAACGGAGGCTCAAAACTATCAAAAAGAGAAATGGTCTAAACATTGTCATTTCGGTGAATTCTGGTAGTGTCGCTGCTGGTGGTGGTGGTGGTGGTGGTGCTGCTGCTGCTGCTACAACCAAAACTGCCAAACCAAAACCGAGAGTGGCGTTCAAACGAGAGGACGATGAGAAGAATGATACCAAGACAGCCACAGGTCTTCTTTCTCCAGTCGAGTCTAATGTTGGTCCAAGTGAGACGACTACTCCTGCCGCTACAGCTGCTGTTGTCACAACATCCAAATCCCGTGGTAGTGGTCAAGGACAGAAGAAACGGAGCGCCAATGTCGTCAAAATGGAAGATCAAGAAGAAGACACTCACGGCCAGGCACCCACAAAGAGAATCAAAAGAGCTTGATATTTTGGAGACTTGATCGTCAGTCACTGGGAAGATGAGGATTTTCAATGTCTACAAGTCTGATCGTCTCGAATTCTCGAGTCGTGTCTCCAAGTCGTGTCTTTCAACCGAGAATCATTCTGTTGTATCACAGAATCATGGTATGATGTCTGAGGATATGACAACAATGGTAGTTCAGGAATCAAGTTACAGTTTTGGGAATCATGGAAAAGTGTGATAAGAGTACCTAGACCTACAGGTGTATTGGGTGTGGATCGAGGTATGGACTCTTCCAAGGTCATTCTTCATTTGGACCAAAGAAAAGGAGAAACAAAGGGAATCATTCAACTCAAAACAGTGATGGACCACAAAGTAAAGAGACGCCTCCTTTTTTTTGTTCTGCCTTGTTACGAGTACAAGAGTAAGGTCACGTATTAAAATCATGCCACACAAAAAGACCACCGGGTTATACAGATCGAATGAACTCGAGTAATATGGTTTAAACTATAGAGGACAGAGAACAGAGTATAGAGAGCATAGTATAGAGAGCATAGTATAGAGAGCATAGTATAGAGAGCATAGTATAGAGAGCATAGTATAGAGAGCATAGTATAGAGAGCAGAGTATAGAAAATAGAGGACAGAGAAAAGAATATAGAGAATAGAGCATAGGGTATAGAAAATAGAGTATAGGGTATAGAAAATAGAGTATATACTCCTTCCTGCTTCAAGGAAAGAGAAGAAGGGGAAAACAAAGAATCGTCAAAAAAGACAGCGTCAAATCATCATGTCAAGATCAAAGCACGCACTTTCATTTCCATTCCACCCGAGGCAGCCGTCAAAGAAACAGGCAGACAGAGAGGAGGAGAGGGAGGAGGGGGTAAGGGATATACACACACAATAATATGAAAAAGTACAAATCACAATCGATGATCATATACTCATAGGAGGGACTCATTCTATGTCACAGATTGAAAACGACCAACCTCGTCATTCAGGAATGCCAATGACATCTCTCCCGTTTGGATCTCTCGTCGTCGTCCTGGCCCCTTCTCTGTCCCGTTGTCCATTCTGACCATAGTCATTGCCGGCACCACAGGCCTCGCTATCGACAGATAAAAGACGACTGATGCTCATGTTTCTCCTTCTCAATTCCTGCTCATCATCAACTGCAGATTCCAAGCCCCTGCGCTCGCCGTCATGCCCATCTTCTAAGCTTGAAGGAACTTGGACATCACGCCCATCTTCTAATATTGAAGGAACTTCGATATCACGCTCATCTTCTGATCTTGAAGGAACTTCGACATTACGCCCATCTTCTAATCTCAAAGGAACTTCGACATTACGCCCATCTTCTAATCTTGAAGGAACTTCGAGATCATTCTGGGGAGGATCAGCCCCACTGTTGACAAGACTCGCCTCGCCAGGAACGACCGTGGACTCGCCGGTTGTGGGGGCCTCCAAAGCTTTCTGGTCTCTCCTGGGGGCCAGCAGTTGCGATAGGACATCTGTCAAGACTCGTATTTCCGATTCCTTGAGGATCACAGACGAAGGTGTCCCACCGGGTCCCATCATGGGTTGCGCTGGTGATGATGCAGAACAGAGCTGCTGCGAGGGAAGAGACGACGGTGACGATTTGTCTGGTGTGATTGATTCCAGTGATGATGACTGGCCCTGGGGTGCCGGGTGCGTAGAATTGGGGTTTGGTGACGGCGAGAACGATGCTGATGATGACATGTCTGCCGGAGGTCCTGCTTGAGCCGTGTCCAGCCGTGAACGAAGGCCCGCTTGTGGGGAGGACGGCGGTGACGATAAGCCTGGCCGTCGCGCAGGAATGGGTGGCTTTGGGCCGATCCCATTAGCCAAGCGAGGTGCAGACTTGGGCTTGGAAGGATACCGGGTCACCTCGATTGTGTCTCGTATCTCACTCTGCGCGCGAGACGTTTGAATGACCCGGTTTCGCCCCTGCACTGACGGGACGGCTTCCACATTATTTGATGATCCAGCTTCGTTTTGAGGTAGCTTGAATGACATGCCTCTTTCGACTCGGGCAAGTTGCTCACGAGCTTTGAAGACCAAGTCTCTATTCTTGAGCTTGCTCCGGTGCGACCTGCTGTATTTCTCATGCCTCGCAAGCTCCCTCTCATCAACTAGTTGGCTGCTGCACAGCGCACAACGGTATTCACCTTCCTTGGTCACGAAGCCAAATGAACGAGATCGGAGAGAGGCACTACTCGGCGCCGGGGACCAAGCAACTTGATCATCCTCGTCACCTTCGATCGCCGAGAATCGCCTCTTGTTGCTGCCCTTCCGACCCGATTCATCAGAAGGGACTCCAGCTTCGGATTGTGCCACTATGGTGGATGAGTCGTCATCACCGTCATCAGCAAGGGACCAAGATAGCGGCTGGGCTGGTGCTGGTGCAACTGGTCCGTTTTGTTCAATAAGTTTAGCCGCTTTTACCGCGGCGTCTTTGAAGACCAACTCGATGGTCTCTCCTGAGACTTCAGGGCCATAAAGCCTTGCAATCGCTTGATATCGACCTTTAAACTGTTGCAACATCAGCATGATCAGTAGAGAACATCAGGGGACAGGCCACGTACCGCATCTTCGCCGAATACTGCATACGTTGCAGCGAGGATTCGAAAGACAACAGCCCTAGATCGCACCCAATCTATCGTCATGCTGAAGCCTTGGCGGCAAAGGAAAGCGGCTGGATTCTCAAGTGATCACATCAGTAAAGAGGGAGAAGGAGTAAATGTAGAACCGTGTGGTGAAGGCCAAGGGGTTTTATCCGCAGAGAGAGAGTTGATCACATCAGAAGAGAGGGAGATGGAGTTGAAATTCAAAGCAATAGGATGATGGCTGGGAGGCTTTTTATAGCCAGAGAGGATGGCAGTACTCCGTAGAAACGGAGTGGATCGAGAAATGCTTTCTCACTCGAGAGGTTGGAGCGGAGAAAGGGGTGAGGCAACAATGAGGCGTTCGCACAGCCAGTCCTAGCGAATCCCAAACGAAATCAAACGCGCACTCGGCTCAACTCTTTGGTCGGACATGGTTGTGCTTGCACTGTCCGATGAGCTGTCAACTTGAACCAGCATACGGCGGTAGAGCGTCGATCAGCCCTCCGGTCAAACCCACCAATCCGAACGCGGCCTTTCGTTGCATTGCATGCAAAGAGCAAAAAACAGGGGCCAATGGTTGGGCATCAATGTGATAGACCAGGGTGACGGCTGCATCATGCGTTGTTGGTCTCCAGTGGATGATGAGGCTGCAGATGCAATCTCCACATTGCGGTTCTGCGTCTTTCCGTATTTGTGTTAGCTTGATAACAAAGTACTGTCATTACAAAGTCGGATGGAACTGTGTGTCTTGTATACCAGCTTCCGAAGTTTCATCCTCGCACTGGTCGACACGAAGGACTCCCATGTTCGGATTGTCCGTTATCACTACGGGCTGGATTGGGATCGGCTACTATTTCCGGATGTACCGGACGAGAGCAATCTCAAAGAAATCGGGCGTAGTCCTCGAATGAGTCAACATGTGTTGCAGTTTGGTTGAGTTCCTCGTCTTGTCTCAACGCTAATCGTTGACCGAGCTCTGTGGCTCTTTCGCTATGCTTTAACCATGCGTCTCATTCCCTGTGCATGATTCTCCATGTCCTGAAACTGCAGCTCTTTTGCAATTATATCCAAGTCTGGTTCCATTTTCCGCCCCAATCATGAGAGACGGTGTGCTTTCGAGAGACGGCGTTCTTTCACGAGACGTCAGTCAGCAGTGTGCTACCACGCAGCCAGGAGAACTTACGCAACTTGGAAGTTGACGTCGATAATCTTCAGTCATTAGATTCTTCGACCTTGGTTTGCGCGTTACCGTCATGGCCGGTTTCCACCTTCACTTCGACGTCGAGCTTCTTGCTTTTTTTCTTGGTAGGTGTTTCGATCACATCGTCACTGTCCAGCTTTCGTTTGACTCCGCCACTCTTGCGCGCTGATCCCTTTTCCTTCTTGGCGGTAGAGGCTGTTGGAGTAGTCGCGGCGGTGGCAGTGCCATCCTCACCAAGGAGCTTCTCGGACTCTTTCTTGAGCTTGTAGAATTTTTGACTATGGGAGATTGATTGTCAGCAACGCTGCCAATGTATTTCCAACATAAGAAGCAGATAGCAAGCAAATAATGCAATGTAATCTCAGCAGATGAAGGCACATGTGTACCTGCACGCACTGCCACTGAGGCCACCACCAAGCTTCTCAGCAACACTTTGCCAGATCGTAGCCGCAGGTGGAGCCACTTCGGCGAACGCGAGAAGCAGAAGAGCCCTCTCAGACTCGGGTGTCCACTTGTAGGGCATTTTGAGAGTGTGGAGGCGAGAAGAACCGAGACAAATAGAGAAGGTGTGGATGGGTTAGATACAGTTGCTAGGGGTTTTGCAGAAACAGAAGACTGTGCGAAGGTAGGTGACTTGAATTGGACCAGGAAGAATAGAAAAATGTCTGCAAGTGAAGAGGCCAAGAGAAGATGAGTCGAAGAGAGCTAAAGGGGAAGATTCAAGCAAGTGAAGACCAAACTGCACGTGCTCAAGGACGCATGGTCAAACAAAGTGAGGTACAGGTGAGAAATCGACCGCTGGAAGGCAACACACCGGCACGAGTTGGAAGTGAAGGCATCCCCCATGCTTCTCGCCACGCTTCCCCAGTCTGGTCGTGATTTCTCGTCAATCAGAAGTAACAGCATCTTGAGCTCCTGGGTTGGATTCCATGGGCTTAGATTGACAGTTGGCATCTTTCCGGAGGTGTGAAACGGTGGTTTGGATCTGTTGTGGCAATGGGCTTCAAGCTGAACAAGCAGACTTTGTTTTGCGAGAGATATGAAAAAGGATAGAGTTGGCAAGAGAAAGTGAAGATGCAAAGGCAATACGAGACAAAATAAAAGACAGTCACCACGAGAGCAGATGCAATAGAGGAGATCAACAGCCGCATGCGCTTGGCACAAAGACACAATTGATGGTGGCATATGTACGGACAGATACACGTACCGACAGGTATCAGTCTTGCGACCCATTCTGTTTGCCGCAGCCTCAAAAACATCACGAGTGACCGAGACGTCAAGGTCCAAAACCAGCAGCAGAAGGTTCAGATTGTCACGCTCGCACCAAGGTAGTTGAGGAGACATGATGGCTTGGTGTGTACCTGTTGTTTGGAAGGGCACAAAGAGAAAGCAAAGAGATTGAATTCACAGAGAGGGAACAGTGAGAGTTCTTAAAAGACACAAAACAGAAAGTGCCTGTGCAAGGAAATTGAGGCCACTTACCGGCATGCGTTCCAGGTCAAGCCATTGCCCAACTTCTCAGCTGCCTGCTCAAACTTCTCCCTTGACACACTATCTGGGAATGGAATCAGTGCGAAAAGAAGAAGCTTCTCAAGCTTGTCTGTCCATTGGGATGACATGGTTTTCTTTTGATGTTGTCGTTAATGATTGTTCACGCGTTGGGAAGAGGTATTAGGCACTGTAAGATTCTTGAAACAAAAGCCGCGGAATGAAAAAGTGGAAGTGTTGAAGAGGGAATTTTATTTTGAAAATACCATAGCTGTCTGGTTATGGTCTTTATCTGGGTGTGGCACTCTCGGCGTTCGTCCTCTGCAGTTTTGGTCGTGCACTCTGACATTCGTTTTGAAGGCTTTCGCAAGGAACAGGTGTTTCAACCCCAATCTTGAGGACGCTGTCGGCGAACCTAGCCCTTAGGATCTTCGATACTTGATTACAAGTCCACGTTCATACCGAGGATAGTTGTGCATGCCGCCACCAGTTCCAGATTGGGTGAGGGTATTGTCGTTCCAAGAACGCCATTTAGTTGCAAGGAGCCACCAGGTATCGGTGCCTACATGCTTTCACTGCAGCCCTTTCTCTGCCGTATGCCTGGCAGCTGTCTTGGGACGAGGAAATTTAGGCAGCACCCGGCGCCATGTCGACCACAATGTTTGTCCGCCACCTCGTTGGCCGTGAGCGTATTGCCCTTAGGTACCGGTTCTCGGTGGACTTGGTGGAAGATTAACCAAGAGCAGCTTCATAAAGAGTCGTGATAGTATGGTTGCTTCATAGTGCTTAATAGTTGAACAACTCCACTACAGTACTCAGGTAGAGGTCGAAACGGTGGGAGTGAATTTGCAGTTGGTTGTTTTTGCCCGGCCAACGGCGGCAGTGCAACAATCGGGCGGTGCGGGCTGACACGCCATGGACCCCACCATTCATTCATTCTATTCTGCCATTCTTCGTTGACCGAACAGAACTGCGCAGTCACTTCTCCTACTCGCAACACCTCGACGGTATTTCGCTGCCTACAGATTCTCGCATTCTACCAATTTACTTTTCTCGGCGGCCTCATAAGCTCCTAGACCAGAGGTACGTAATGCTTAGGCCATATCCACAAAAGATTCATCGATGCCTAGCCGCACAAGTCAATTGTCCTATTTCAATCCGTCCCTCCCTCAGCCCACATTTCGCGATAAGTCGTTGTTCAGGCACTGACCGTCAAGACAGACTTGAATCTACCCGCGCCGCTTCAAGAATCGTCAATCAGCAATCATGGTTCGTCTCGTCCCTGATTTCCTGCCACTACTGAGTACTAACTGGTATCTAGCCTGTCTCAGGGTATGTCTTGCGACCTCTAATGATCGAGTCGATTTGCTCGATTACAATGCAATCCCTCTTCTAACCCTTGCGACCTCCCAGACTTTCCGTCAACCCAGAGTGCGTCTCTGCTTTCAATGAGCTGAAGCTCGGCCGCGGTGGCCCCAAATACATTATCTACAAGATCTCCGATGATCAGAAGGAGATTGTGGTAGACGAGATTGGCAAAGAGTCAGACTACGATACCTTCAGAGAGAAGCTCATCTCCAAGAAGGAAAAGAGTGGCAAGGATAGACCCTCCTATGCCATCTACGACGTTGAATTTGAGCTTGAGGGCGGTGAGGGCAAGAGGTGTGTACCTCCATGCCCCGGTATCAGTTTGCCCGTGTTCTTTTCGCTAAACTTCAACCTCTAGATCCAAAATCGCCTTCATTACCTACATCAACCAAGACGCCACCGGTGTCAAGGTATGTCATTCGCATCGAATTACGGCGCCTGTCGCTAACGATGATAGTCCCGCATGGTCTACGCCAGCTCCCGCGAAACCTTGAAGAACGCACTAAACGGCATTGCCATGAACTGGCAAGCAAACGACCCAGGCGAGTTGGAATGGGCCGATCTTCTCAAGGAAGCGAGCAAGGGCAAGGGCACAATATAATCCTGACACACGAGTTGGCCAATTTGCGATGCGGCTCACAATGCGGCCTTCATAGTGGAAGCAGCAAGTAAACCACGGGTTGTATGCAAGTGGGAGTTCTCTTCTGACGAGCGGAGCTTCGCTTGTACAGGCTGTTGTCATGCACCGTTGGAGGAGCCGACATCTCACGCCGTGACGAAAACAGGTCCCATGCAATGAAGAATCCGAGATAGATGGTCTGGAGCAAAATCAAAACAATTTTCCCAAATAGTCACTCGCGCCCGGAAGAATTAGGATTGATATGAAGAACTTGCCGGTTTCGCCTGTCAGGTTTATTATTCTTCAACATCTCGATCTACTTTTATTCCATGCGTTCTCGGTCAATACTCATCATGTCTTGAAATAACGTCGGTATTGTACAGCGTATCTATTCAGCAACTGTAAAAGCCATACGTGTTGTAATATTGGCCCAATCCAGCGTCAAAGTTGGCCAATGTGTACAATATCAGACATCGAGTGTCCAGCATATCCATGAACATGAAGCACTACACAACTGATCGTTGATGTGACGCGAGTGGCCCAATAAGGCTGTGATGGGAGTTCCCTGACCGAGACCAAAGGTGAGAAGTGGTGTGAGGAATTGTTAGAGCGTTGGCGGTAATTTTGCGGCGCCAAGACCTTTGAGCTTCCTCTGATCATCGCAGTTCGACCTTCACAACTTCACGACCACTCACCCCATTCAAGCTCAATTCCACTGTCAATTCTCGCGATAGTGTCTGCGGAGCTTCAGGCTTCGGCAGGGTCTTTGATACTTCTCTCTCATATGTTTTAAGCCGACTTTCAAGGATCCCACACGATGTATCTCCACTCCCTGCCTCGTGCTGCTCGTACCTCTACGAGCAGCTTGAAGACATACACGCGGATGAGTTCCAGCCAGATTCGAAACTTCCAAACCTCGACGCGATCATTCGCCCCGACCTTCTCTGCCACTCAGCAACCTCCCATGACGAGCCAATCCCATGTTCGATCTGCTCACGCCATCTCCAACCCTACCCTGGCTGGAATTGAGAAGCGATGGGAGGCCATGCCTCCGCAAGAGCAGGCCGAGCTTTGGATGCAGCTTAGAGATCGCATGAAGGTTGATTGGCACGAGATGACTTTGCAGGAGAAGAAAGCTGGTATGATTACTGCTATTGTTGGATGGCGCGTTATCTGCCTCTTCATGTCCCTTTGAAGAGACAGATTGCTGCCGGAAAATGAATGCCTGATCGAGATATGTGATGGTGACTGACAGTTCTATAGCATGGTGGATTGCTTTTGGACCTCATGGACCACGTGCAGAAACCCCACCGGGTGAATGGACTAAAGTGTGGCTATATACCGCGGCCGGTGTTGGATTATCAGCAGTTTTGTTCTTTGGAATTCACTCTCTGGCCAGACCACCACCACGAACCATGACCAAAGAATGGCAAGAGGCTACGAATGAATACCTCAAGGTAAGCTTTCGACGCTGGAGTGATGCCGCATCAGCGATCCCAATCTCACTATTACGACCTCTACAAAACAATTGTGCTGACACGATCATCAATAGGCCGAGAAGAGTAATCCCATCTACGGTATCAGCAGTGAAGGATACAGCGGCAAAGGTCACATTCAAAGCAAGTCCGCAAAGGCTCAAGGCATCAGTCTCGATGCGGAGGAGTAGAAAATGGTCGAAAGACAACAGATTGCTTTCCTTAACTACAGCAATCCCCCTTTGTACTGTCACTAGTATCGAGAGAACTCAGCAGTCTCTTATTTTTGTCCATACAAAATCAATATCCAGTCCAGCTTTGTTTTGATTTTCAGGCCTCGGGTTCGTCGGATTGTACATAGACCTTATCATATAGTGGCTGAACCCATCTCCATAAACACCATACTGTTTCTCTTAGCCTACGAATGTGCTTCAAAGCTTTAATTATGGTCTTTGGGGGTTGAGAGGCCATCTAACCTGCTTGATGAGGACAACCGATGCCGGTTTTCCATCGGGATTTTTCATTCCGAATCAGGACTAGCGCAGAATTGGGAAGAGCTTCTGCTTTGACTTGACTTGACCTCGTAATTATTCTCCTTCGACCACACAACTCTCCTCTCTTCTTTGTAAAACCACCTCCCCATCATCTGCAAACATGCTCAAGAGGTTAGTAAAGCTCTTGTCACGGCTGAACAGAGCTCCTTCGACCTTTTTGAACCGCTGCTAACTGGAATTCACAGCGGCATTGCCCGTAGCTTGGGCAAGTCTGCCTTTGCCCGACCATCCTTCACCCGACGCGCATTCGAGCCTCTTCGAAGACAAGGTGTCCCTTCTATCGCTCAAAGATGGGCCTCGACGGAAACTGCCGGTGATGGCAAGATCCATCAGGTCATTGGTGCCGTCGTCGACGGTATGAAAAATTCCTCTTCATTGCCCTCTGGAGCTTTCATTTTAGCTCGGACCATCCAATACTTCTGCGGAAAATCATCACAACCATAGCTGACAGCTATATCTAGTCAAATTTGATGGCGAGAGACTGCCTCCCATTCTCAACGCCCTCGAAACCGATAACAATGGCAACAAGTTGACATTGGAAGTTTCGGTACGAACCCCTACGAGACAAGAGCTATGAACTTGACACATGATACTGACCGGAATCAGCAACATTTGGGTGAGAATGTCGTGCGATGCATTGCCATGGATGGTATGGAGCTCCGGCATCTACTTACGAGCGCAAGTTCTGACGTTTCGCAGGTACCGAGGGTTTGGTCCGTGGCCACAAGGCGAGCGACACTGGATACCCCATCAGAATTCCTGTCGGCGCAGGTACTTTGGGTCGTATCATGAACGTTACCGGTGACCCTATCGACGAGCGAGGACCCATCAAGGCTTCGAAGCTCGCTCCTATCCACGTCGACCCTCCGGAGTTCGTTGAACAATCCACCTCCGCCGAAGTGCTTGTCACTGGTATCAAGGTCGTGGACCTCTTGGCTCCCTACGCTCGTGGTGGAAAGATTGGTCTATTCGGTGGTGCCGGTGTCGGCAAGACTGTGTTTATTCAGGAATTGATCGTGGGTTTATTCCTCATGTTTCCAGTTGTTGGAGGCGCTGACCATGATTAGAACAACATTGCGAAGGCCCATGGTGGTTACTCTGTCTTTACCGGTGTGGGTGAGAGAACCCGTGAGGGTAACGATCTGTACCATGAAATGCAGGAGACCTCTGTCATCCAACTCGACGGCGAGTCCAAGGTCGCCCTGGTGTTTGGTCAGATGAACGAACCTCCTGGAGCTCGTGCTCGTGTCGCTTTGACTGGGGTAAGTTTTTATATCTCCTCTTGCCATCGTGTTTGCTGTTCTTGACCATCCAACACCCCCCCAACATTCAAGCACTGGCCGTCGTGTCTTGCCATCTCACGACCTCTCCCCTTTCAACGACTCGGGCTGCTGTATTTTGGCCTGGTGCCCACCTCCCTTCCCGAACGCACGTCTAGTCATTGCGACTGTGAAGGTCGTCGTGATAAGAACAAATTACACGCCACTTCGACATGGTTTGCAAAGAGCTCTGAAACAGTTCAGAAGATCGCGAAGACGGTCCGGAAGAAGGTAAAAGCTAGCAGCGTTTCACCTGCGAAGTCTGAGAGATGTACTTCCAAAGTTTCCAAAGTCAAAGCGCGCTGGACAAGCATCTGATTTGCAAGGCCCATCTCGACCGCGTCGCCGGTCTCAGCAAAGCCCCTCCCAGCAAGAGCGCCGTAAAGGTCAAGGCCATCCGGCAACAGGCCATAGAAGACAAATTACATTACTGCAATGTGTGTCAGAAGGCATTTGAGAATGACTGGTCCCTGCAAAGGCACCTCAAAACTCGACTCCACGCCAAAAGGGCTGGAATTGCCGGAGGCGATTCCACCACTGCTACCTCCTGACGCTCCTGTGGTCCTTTCTGCCTCGTCTCTGGCACCCGGTTTCTGGTTTCTTCTCTGGTTCCTGCCTCCCGGCTTCTGGTTTTCACTTTTCACCTTTCATTTTTCTCTTTTTGTTTCTTCACACAACCTCGACTTTGATACAACCTGTACGTTCATTTGCTAATTGTTTTAGCTTACTGTGGCTGAGTACTTCCGGGACGAAGAAGGCCAGGATGGTGAGTAAATCGATCTGTATCTTGGATGTTGCTGACAAAATTTCAGTGTTGCTCTTCATTGACAACATTTTCCGATTTACTCAAGCCGGTTCCGAGGTGTCTGCCCTGCTCGGTCGTATCCCATCTGCCGTCGGTTACCAACCTACCTTGGCCGTCGACATGGGTTCCATGCAGGAACGTATCACCACCACGCAAAAGGGATCCATCACCTCCGTGCAGGCTGTCTACGTGCCTGCCGACGATTTGACTGATCCTGCTCCTGCGACCACCTTCGCTCACTTGGACGCCACCACTGTGTTGTCTCGTGGTATCTCCGAATTGGGTATCTACCCTGCTGTCGATCCTCTCGACTCGAAGTCTCGAATGCTGGACCCCCGAGTCGTCGGTCAAGAACACTACGACACCGCTTCTCGTGTCCAACAGATGTTGCAAGAATACAAGTCGCTTCAGGATATCATTGCCATTCTGGGTATGGATGAATTGTCTGAAGCCGATAAGTTGACTGTCGAGCGTGCCCGTAAGCTCCAGAGATTCTTGAGCCAGCCTTTCACCGTGGCCCAGGTTTTCACTGGTATTGAGGGCAAGCTTGTCGATCTCAAGAACACCATCTCTTCCTTCCAGAAGATCATCAACGGTGAAGGTGATGATCTCCCAGAAGGTGCCTTCTACATGGTGGGCGATTTCGAGAGTGCTCGTGCAAAGGGTGAGAAGATCTTGGCTGAATTGGAGAAGTCATAAGCGGCCAAGAGGTAAAATAGAAAGCCAAGCAGCATAGTCTGTGGTCGACATATATTCTCTTATGTTGCAGTCAAGAAACAATGGCTATTCCAGGTCGTGAGGGGAGTATGGGGACGAAAAGAATTGAGTAGCTCATCTGTACATTGAACCTTCAAAATTATTCACTCGATTCCTTTGACACTTTATCCGACACCCTCCTTTGTATTCACGAGCTTGGTATTGACTTCCACATCATTTCTCGTTCTGTCAGCAGACCGACCTTCTGAGACAGCGTAGATGCTTTTGAAGTCATTGTTTTCAATCAGCTCTGAACTGCTTACGCATTGAGGCAGAAGATTGTGTGCCCCTCTGAGCTATTTGATCCGCAGTAATTGATATAATAATGGTTGTCGTGATATGATTTAAATTATGTCAGCAATGAGACAACAACGACAACAACAGAGACGAAAGGTTTCAAGACGATAATCCATGCCATGACTGACAACGTCCAGCATCTCTAGCAAGTCATCTTGTGTTCTGGAGTGTAGTGTTGAGAAAGAATTCCGAAGTCGCGAATTACAAATCCACTGGCTTCGAGAATTGATAGTATCAAATCTCACCAGAGCTAACCCTAGTACAAGACTCCCCTCGAAAATGCAGTGCAGATAAATGGTATTGTGCTTTGCAAAATTCCGTAAAAACCTTGAAATTTTATAATATGCCCATCACTCAACACTTCGAACCGACCAAATGTGACACTATGGGATCCTGTAACAGCAGCCCTTCCATTTCATTCCATAATATCTCTATATAGATCTACTCAGAATTCGATTCTCTATCTACTCATCTCAGCATTACTAGTTATAGAGATGTACTCGGCGTACAGCCATGAGGAAACGTCAACTGTATTACGATAGAAAACCAATGGTTGCATTTCACCACCGCACTTCACGAACACTTATAAAAATGCAAAGTTTCTTTGATTTGTATAAATATGAGCGTACATATTCTCTACTCATTAAGATATATAATCTATCATATAGTTTTACTAGAAAAACACGTATAAAACTGCAATTATTACTGTATTCATTATATATTTTTGATGCTAAGCATACTAAATCATTTCCTTTTAATAGTATTATTGTTAGTTCTTATAGTGGCAGAGAATAATATAGTCTTATAGGTAGTTAAATATATAGAATTAATGTTTATTAGTATCTCACTAGAAATTAAAGAATCTACATCTATATAAGTGTTAGACATGAAGTGCAGTGGCGAAATACAACAACCATTGGTCTTCTATCGTAATACAGTTGACCTTTCCTCTAACTAGTAATGCTGAGATGGATAGATAGAGAATCGAATTCTGAGTAGATCTATATAGAGATCTTATGGAATGAAATGGTTGTTGCTGCGGGATCTTAAGTTGTCACGTTTGTTTGGTTCGAACTGTTGAAGGTTGCAAAAAATAGGGCTTTTACGGACTTTGGCAAAGCACAATAAAAAGGAATCCAAAATCCCTCCTTCCACCTCGACACCCAACATGAAATGTTATAGCTTGACAGCAAAACGCTCCCTGAGCCGCGCTCCGTAACGATAGAAGAAGAATGGCACCGGGAGAAAGGCCACGCCTATTGAACCTAGGACGGTGTTCCCCACCCCGAGTCCCAGGTCCGCGTACAAGGACGGTCCTGCGAGAGGGATGAAAGCCGCAAAGAGAAGGCGGAGGATCACGTTCGCAGCCAGCGCGGAGGCGGCGGCCTCGGGGCCAAAAGCTTCCACCATGTACAGCTGAGCGGGCATCGTGATCCAGAGGAAGCCGAAGCCGAACAAGGAGGTGCCGAGGATGGGAACGATCCAGTGAGTCTGCTTCTCGGCCGTCCAGCCGTACCAGAAGATGCCGGCCGGTACGGCGGGCATGACCCACATCATGGGCTTCAGACGGCCCTCGGGTTGTGGCGAATCTCCTCCATGTGCCTTTTGCATCTTGTCGCTCACGTTGGCAAAGACCGCCAAAGAGACGGCCATTCCGATGCCGACGCCTAGGTAGGACAAGCCAGAAACGCCGGTGGAGAAGTGGTATTGTTCCTCAAAGACCGTGGGGAACGTCGTGAACAGTAGAAAGAGGAGACCGAAAACGAACGCGCAAAGAAGCGCGAGGAGGAGTACAATCGGCGACAGGATGAGAAGCTTCGTCGGTCGAATGATGGCGCGAAGGAATAACTGGCGGGGGGTCAAGCCTCGATTCAACTTCGAAACCAGAGCGGCATTGCCGGTTTCTTTGCGGAGGCGGGCAGCTTTCCGTTCCAGCAGCACGTTGGCATTGGTCTCGCGAATGAAAAAGATTGATGTTGCGAATGCTACTCCTGCCTTTTGCGTCGAGTCGTGTCAGAATCTCGGCAATATATGCTATTACGGTTGGTGCTTCATCCCTGTTTTACTCACAAGGATTGTGATGATCCAAAACGTCCATCGCCACCCGATCGATTCGGACACAAAGCCACCGATGATTGGGCCCAAGACCTTTCGAAACATGTATGGTCAGTGTCATGACGGTCTGAGAAGGGGAGTAAAGGCAAACCTACCGGTCCCAGAAGTGGTCCCATGGCGAATAAAGACATTGCCTTGCCACGCTGAGCTGGCGGGACGACGTCGGCGACGGTCCCTCCGCCTACTGTCAATGGACCCGAAGAGGCACATCCGGCAAGGAATCGAAAGACGAGAAACATGCCAGTGTTTTTGCTCAGCGCGCATCCGATCATGAAGCCGATGTAGATGACGTTGCAGATGTGGTAAATGACGAGCCGTCCGTACAACTCGGATAGCGGTGCAATAAACATTGGCCCGACGGCGAAGCCGCAGAGGTAGATCGACACGGTGAGACTGACAACGGTAGGACTCGTGATATGGAACTCCTTGGCAAGTGCAGCAGCTCCAGGTGCAAACATTGTCGCGGCGAGGTTGCTATATACATGTCCTATCAGTCAGTACGCTCGCGGAAAGAATCGCAGGGTTTGCCTTACGCAGGGAGCAAGAAAGCGCTGGCAAAGACGACTTGGATCATGCGTTTCCATGCTGGCCAGTTCCGCGGGTTCTCGGGGTCTTCTGGTCCATCCCATTCGACAACATCGTCCTTTGTCTCTTGGTCAGTCGCAGCCCCTTCAGGCTCGCTAGATGGTTGTTCAAGGTGGCCGTCTTGCGATGCGGCCGTCGTCTTCTCGTGGGCTGATTCCAAATCGGCCGCCATGATATGCTAGCAGGGCGATATGACTTGAGGTACTGCTGTGTGTTTGTTCACTCGTGTCAGGCTTTGCTCGATATATATTTGAAGGCAGGACACCGCCGCCACTATGAAGGGCCGAGTTCAAGGGAGTCATGGCTATAGTTCTCTGGGCAACAGGTGACTGCACCAGCTACTACTAAATCCGCAGAATAGTTCGTAAATACGGGATCAAACTGGAGATTTAATTAACACCAAGGGATTTCGAACAGAAAGTGGACGTGGAGGGTCGAGACGAACATGGCGGTGCACGGACGGTCGATGCGGACGATGGCGCGGACGGTCGGACGGTCATTCGCTTTCTACTCGTCCATCGCCCGTCTCTCGGTTTTGAACCACCAAACATTGTTCATTCTCTCTTCCTGAAATGACCCTGGAAGTGTTTGAGAGCGGACAAGGGGACTGATACGCTTTGAAAACGCCTGCATTGCCGTGCACGAAATTGAGCTCCTCGAGTGCCTCATTTCATTAATGTTAATATCGTCCTACACTATGACCGACAATGCTCAACGTCCGCGTCCGCCGCCAAATCGGCGCAGAGACAAAGTCCAACTTTCCTGCGACCCTTGTAGACAGCGAAAGTACGTGCTCCGATGGCCATCACACAGATCGTGAGACGCTTAACTTCTGCCAGGTTGAAGTGCGACCGACAGCACCCGTGCGGAGCTTGCACAAGGCGTGGCCTCACCAACTCCTGCAACTATGCGACGACACCCTCTGCCGCCACGCCCGTTGCTCCGCGAACGTCCACCAGCCTCCATGGCAGACTCGCTGAACTGGAGAGCCTCGTCGTGACTCTCATGAAAGGCCAATCGCTCCCAGATCCGCACACACCGATATCGCCGAGACCGACAAACTCGTTACCATCCGCAGATGTGGTGTTCTCCAACACCCTCGGACCAAAGAAATCCTCAGATGAAGCTGAATCTCCGGCAGACCCTGGCACCTTGAATTTGCGCAATTCTGGAACCAGCTATGTCCAGAGTGTCCATTGGGAGGCAATTCTCACCCAAATCAGGGGGCTGAAGGACGACTTGGTCATTGATAGCAAGCCCCCGCTCGGTTCACACTTGTTCTATGGGCCGAACCGTCATGCAACACGATATGAAATACTGACTGCTGTTCCTCCTCGTCCGGCTGTTGATCGCCTCATGGCCCTCCACTTCGATTCCTACATTGTAACTCCGTGTAAGTTCATCCCAAACTTTCTTTCCGCTCTCAGAGGAGGTTGAACGTGTGTTGTAGATATCATTCATGGCAGAAAGTTTCTTCGAGAGGTGGGTTCTTTCTCCCCTGGCCGACGATCAGCAGTTTGACATTTGGCTAGTACGAAAACTTCTGGAAAGATCCATCCGCAGCTTTAATCGCTTGGGTCGGTCTCTTGTTCTCCATGTTATACATTGCCGCGCTGTTGCAAATCTTCACCATTGACCTGACCGACGGACGAGCCGAATCGCTCAAGGTGGAATGTCTCAGCATGAAGGATGTCTTCCGGGAGAAGGCAGTTCAGTGTCTTCATCTGGCCAGGTATACGACGGGAGGACCATACATCCTCGAAACCCTCATCATGATCCTTACCGGAGAGTGTATACTCTTGAAAGATAGCGCCACCGATGGCTGGCTTCTGATCAGCATGATACTTCATCTCGCAATGCGCATGGGCTATCATCGGGACCCATGCCATTTTCCCGGAATAACTCCATTCGAGACTGAAATGCGTAGACGCATCTGGACTACACTCCTTCAACTGGATCTCAGTCTCTCACTGGAGATGGGTCTTCCTCGAAGTGCCACAGACAAGCACATCGACACAAAGCAACCGAGTAACCTGCGCGACTGTGATTTTGACGAGGACACGACCGAGATGCCACCTCCGAGGCCAGAAACGGAATGGACGCCGATTCTTCCTCTCATTGCGAGAGGGCGACTGATAACAGCTCTGGGCCTGATTTGCGAAGTCAACACCGACATCCACCCCCCTTCTCACGAGGAGGTCACGAAAATCGACGCCCTCCTCGGAGACGTGCACAAGCACGCCATTCCGCCCGTTCTGCGGTGGGAAACAATGCCACACCCTATCACGGACAGTCCAAACCTTGTGGTACAGCGGGTGAGTGTCGAGACGACCTACTACAAATCCCGCATTCTCCTGTATCGGAGAGCTTTGACCAGCAGCCAGCCAGCCCTTCGACAATCCCGAGAGCGGGACAGGGACAGGGAGTCGGTACGGATCTGTTTGGAATCGGCCCTCAAGATTCTGTCGTTTCAGGAGATGCTTCACGAAGAGTCTCAACCATTTGGCCGTTTGTGTCAGTTGAGATGGAAGGTCACCCACATTTTCAACCAGGATGTTCTTCTCGCCACGAGCGTGCTCTGTCTCTACCTTCAAGATGTGGACAAATTTGAATTGCCCGAGACTCCAGGACAGAATTTGTCGTCGTTGTCGTCATCGTCGCCCAGGGCCGAAGAGGTTCGTCAGCAATTGACAATCTCGCACAAGATTTGGCTCCAAATGAGTACGGCGTCTGCGGAAGCTGGAAAAGTAGCCAAAGCGCTGGGTATCGTCCTGGGAAACGCAGAAGAGTCGCCGTCTGTCGAGGACGGTGTCGGAAGCGTTGATTACGACTTTTTGACGGATTTTGACACCGTACCTTTGCATGACTTTGGGGTAGGGTTCAACAATCAAAATCAATGTGAGAAGTTCCCGCTGGTTGTTCGTATTGATGGTTGTCAAAAACTAACAAAAAGGGACTTTTAGATTTTCCTTCTGGACTTTACTCTCCTCTGACGTATTTTGATAATGTACTGGAACCCCGGCTACCATGAGAAAGAAGATTCCGATCTGGGTGTCTTGACCGGCAGCCATATCATGAGCTTGCCAGCCAGCATGTCAAAAGTGAATTCACAACCATCATGCTCCAATCTTGGGACCTCCTACACCCGTACTCGTAGTGCGGAGGAAAACAGAGGCCAACGACATCTTTCCAGGACAGGGAATTTGAACTAATCCCTTACCCACCGACTTGGCTGGTGGGGGCAAAAAGGGTTTTTTCTTTCTCTCTCCTTCGCAAGGGGTAACGAATGGTCAAGTACGAAGTACTGATACTACAGTAGTATTCTGTACTCTGTTCGAAGTAAGGGAAAAGTGGACAAAACTCCACCCGGTTTTGTTTTGGGACCGTTGTAAGTAGAATTCGGATTCGGGGGTCCCTTTCACTGTGCAGTACTCCGTAACAGTCTTGCAAATGTCTGCTCCGTGCATCCGTTCCAGGGAGGTTACCGTACTGTACCGTTGGTGAAGTAGAAGAAGAACAAGCGAATGAGTTGCGTCTGAGATGGCAAGGCTACCAAAACAAAAAGTGAAACGATAAACGATATTGTCAGGCTTGTTTGTTGTTTATTGCTGTTGCATTCACCACAGTACTGTAGGTAGGATCTTCCATATCCCAAAGATGTAAACGCAAGACGCGGGTTGTTTCTTTGAAGAAAACATGGAAGATGTGCAATCTCATCAGCAACATTGCGAAATATCAAAGTGTGAAGCGTGAGGTGTCGATACGGGCCCGTGTTGGCGACAGTCCTTTAGAAAGAAAGAAAAAAGAACCCAATATAGAGCTAGAGTATCCATAGGCCTATGGAGTACGGAGTACCTATCTACAGAGATGTACGTGGATGGAGTCGGGGAGCTGTTCATGTTGCGCAAGAATTGACTGGAGCATTTGAAGAGTTAGAGTCGCGGAGCACTTCTTCGTAGACTACTCCGTAAGAGTAACTCTGGTCGGTAGTCACGATCCAGGGCGAGCAAGGATCACAAGATTCAAAAGGGGTGACCGTACAAAGAATTGGAGAGGTTGCCAATTTTCACCACGACTACCGTTGTGAATACGAAGTACGGAGTCACGGCCGAGGAGGCTCTGTTCGAGGTACTGTTGCATTCTGTATAATAGTAAAAGTTAAAAAGAGCCCCAAGGGGGGTTGGGGGGGGAGGAGGGGCTTCTTGTGCGCAACATCTGTCCTGTATACGCGAGTACCTTGTCCGACAGATTGCCTAGCGTCAAGGTACTAATAAACTGTAGTGTCTCACTTTCACTTGTCCTTGGCTACTTACAGTAAGTAGACTCCATTCCCTAAATTGTCCCCGTACGTACGAGTGGTTCTCCTTGTCCTTTGTCCTTGGTTTCTGTACCTACTGTATGCACCACCTCCTCCCCCACCGCTCCAACTGTTGAACTAATGTATTTACGGAGTAGATCAACTAAACTAAAATACTGGTACATACTTGTACAATAGTTACAACCGCCCTCCCGGGCACTACCTGTCGATCACCCTTGATCCCCCTCCTCCCGGGCCCCTTGACGGCGGCGGCACTGGGAAAGCAGAAAAGACAAAAACCCAACTACCGTTAGGGTTATCTAATGTAAGTCAACTCCCGTTCGTTTCCGGCAGACTTACTCCGTATGAGCTTTTAGGTTGTTTATCCCGTACATAGTACATACATCTGTACTCCATAGTTTGGTGGACTTTTGAGGTGTGGTGTGTGGAGCGAAAAACTTTATCACCACCTACAGTAGAATACCTGAAGTGACGGTATTGCTGACATAGCTAGATTTACCTACAGATTTGCAAATGATAAGCTACATACGGAGTACGTACCAAGCCACTCCGGTTTTCGTATCACCTTGACTTTTACAGAAGTACTTCATCTACCTAGATATGGGATAAATCCCGTAATATACCACCGAAAACAAAAAAAAAATCCCCGAGAGGAGTACCTAAACTTTTCCATTGCATACGACGGTTACGCCGCGATGAGACGGTCTGGCTTGGGGGGAGCGAGGCGGTGCTTGCTTCGCTAGGCGTTTCCGTTGGCCATTTCTAGGCAACTGCAAAGGGTAGCCTATAACGATGTACAGGCAATGGACTGCCGGTGAATGACCCCCCCTGCCCATGCGCTGTACAGCTACTCCCTACTACCTGCGAACATGCGTTCTGCGTCCGGGAGATGATACAGCACGTCTACTGTAAGACAAACAAAATAAACCACCTTCATCCTCTTCATTTCGACAAAACGAACCAAGGGGTATTTATTATATACGTTCATATTCATCCAGTCTTACCATTTTAACACCGACTTGCTTTTTCAAGTAGTAATGATACAAATGCACTCTGTGAGACATCTTTGCATTCCTTTTCCAGGACAAAAGATTACAAGAGATACACAACCTCGCCCAGGCCATGGCGCTTTGTAAGGATCCGTACGATAATCAATACAGACACGCCACCCCGAACGACTCCATCCCAAAAACCCTCCCGATCGCAACATTGACACACACTGTATCACAAGTGAATCATGTGGCCGCAACTATTTACATACGCCTTGGACTCCCACCTGGACCGTCGTGGATACCATCAGCATCACTCTGTTGATCCTCATATTCAACCTTGTAGTCAATCGTATGTAGGATCACATCATCCGTAAGCCCCTTGACACTTTCACTGCGATCGTTCTCAACCTTGCTACTCGCCTTGGTGGCGTGAGGGCGATTGTATCCTCTCTCCATGGCAGTGACGGCCTCTTTTTGTTTTTCTCCCCATAGACCCGAACTGCCACTGCTTGGATTCAGCGTACTTCCACCGCGAGTGGTAAGTCCAAAGCGACTGGCGAGCCGCGTGAGACCCCCACCATTCTTGAGTGTAGTGCCTTTGCCTTCGCTCCTGCTCTTGGAATGTCGTACAAACGATGCTGTCAATTCGTGCTCGGGAATGTTGACCACAATCAATCCCGGTTTGATGTCGGCGAGGAATGGCTTGAGCGAGGGAATGCATGCAGCAATGATGGACACGTTCAGCATGATCTGGGCAAAGACTTGAGGTACGAGCGCGTACCACGTCGGATCGTTCCGGCCGCGGTTGGTCCTGAATTCGCGCCTCCTAAAGACGAGCATTGCAATCGTGAAAGCCGGGACCCTGAAACGAACGCTGTCAGCTCTGCTCACACACTGTCAGAGAATTGTCTTGTACATACGCAAGTCGACACGCAAAGAGACCGCTAACAACAAATCGCTTGCTCGAAGACACTTGGACTTTCTGCATCATGATAAAAGGCACAACCACGATGGAAATGTCACCCAGGATGTTGAGGGTATATATGCCGACGTTCAGCGCGAAAAGGTCGACACATTTGTTGCCATTAGTGTTCCACGGACCGGGAAGACTGCACTTGAATGATACTGCAATGATACTCGCTATCGTCCACGCCACCAGATATCCGAGGATAGCGTAGCAGGAGAGAAGCAGCTTCCGGGTGGGATTGATGGCAATGACCAAGAATGTAAGTGACGCTTGGGAAGCTGCTAGCGCTGCTATCTGGAGAATATCTGCTGCATAGATTGACTTTGACTGTCTTAGCATAGGAAATACCGAAAATGATATGGGCAAAGAATACCTTTTGGAATGATTCAAACTCTGCATCGGATACCTTGGGACGCTTTCTACCCAGGCCGTAATGTTCGGCCACTGTGATGGTGATGGTTTGGCATAACGCCAGGAACTGTACAGGTGTTAGCATTCCCTACCAACAAAGTAGACGGCATATCAACTTACCGCCGCAGTGAGGATGAAATAGTCGTTCGGAGTCAGGCGATTCGTTGCTTTGAATCTTGTAAACAGTTTTATAAAGATGGTCATAACACTGAGCACAATGAAAATATAACCGCAGACGATGATCCATGGCCCCGCCTCATCAGAAGACAGACTCCCCAGAGGTGCGCTGATCGGGGAATTATAGTCACCCGAAGACATCTTGGGCGAGAGGGCAAGGGGATTTTATTTTTGAGGTTGAGATCCAGCAGATGGGGGTGGAACGAGAGGCCGCCCAGGCGTTCTTGTATAGATATTGGATACTCTTAACAGAGACAACATGCTCAACAGCCGATGCTCAGCCACTCAAACCGAGTTCAGCATAGATGAACGGTCTAACCAGGTATCGATGCAGGAACGCACGCTTTCGTGGAGACAAGCACGCTTTGAAGTTGTATGCTCGACTTGAGCACATGTATGTACGGGGAGGGTTAATGGACCAGCCGAAACCCAACGAACCTCGTCGCGAATCACGGTGCCTGCTGATTGTCGCCCGACGAGGTTGTTACAGCGTCTAGAAACTGTGCTCGCATGATCTGCCGCTGCTCGTGGTATGGACTAAGATCATGGCACTCTGCCAAAGCGAACAGGGTTCGAAAGACTAAACCTCATATAGAAGAAGCCTCTGAGGATCAGTAACGAATGGACCAGGGGAGAAACGAGAGACAGAACATGCATTACTCCGTAAAGCGAGCAAGGACGGGGCGGAAACGGAGACAACTCACCTCGTCAAGGCCTGTCAAGGCCTGTACAATCCAAGTAGCGCAGCGTCACAGTGGCCAGAGATTGCCAGAATCCCATGCTCATTGGAAATTTGGCGAGCTTGAGTGATCTAGAAGACAATTACACGGGGGACCCGCGTCTGCACATCATTACATGAGTAAAGATCATGCCAAAAGCCCCAGGGAGCCCTGTACAGTATCAAGACCAAGTGTGCAAGGGAGGAAGAGGAGGAGCAGCAGGTCATGCTTGGCCCTCGCATGTACAGCCAACGGCGGTTCTTTCTGCTTGGGGGCTCTGCTACCATGCCAGAGTACAGTATGGATATCCTTGCCTCGTATGTCTTCTCGTTTATCAGCAACAGGCAAGTGATCTTCGTCGTCGGTGTTTTGTATTCTGTAGCACTCCGTATTCTCTATTAGCCACTCTCCCTTCACTCAGGACATTGTTCCTTCTAACTGACGTCTTTACCGCCTTGCTCTTCCGCGACTCTTGACAAAAATACAGGTGACTTGCACACCACAAAGATCATGCTCACCACGCTGATGTATCCGACGGTGGGGCCATGGCTTGGGCCTAGATTCCTTGTCATGTTCGGAGGACAATTACGCCAAGGTCTGGTGGACTTTTCATGTGCCATTTACTCGCTCTCGAGTGGATTCAGAACGGGATCGTCGTCGGGGAAGAGGAAGTTGAAGTTGATCTAACGGTTAGTGAGACGCTAAAGGCGGGACTTTCCACAGTAGTATCCACAGGGGATGTTGAGGAGGAGAATGAGGACGAGGAGTCGGTTGGTTGTTGCTATCTCCCTCTTGCCTCTTATCCTATCGATGGAGTAACGCTGCATGAGATCTCTTCCGGTAACGGCATCATCCTCCGGCATCTAATTTGTTCCAGACATGGATGCCCATGGTCCGCAGACCATGTCTTCCCACAAAACATATCCCGGTCTACGGAGGAGTGAAGAACCACTTCCTGTCAACCACGGCACGGCCCTTGGATATCCAAAGACAAAATCAACAAAGTGCGAGTACGTCGACAGACACTTCACTTACAAGTACAAGGGCAGTGACCTCTACGGATTTCTTCGGAGTCCCTCTGTGGCAAGTGTCAACCATCAACGCTGATCATGTCCCCTTCAATGGCCGATCCTTCGCGATATGAGACCCCAAGCCTTATCTCTAGCAGCCATGGCAAGCCAATAGACCCATGTCAGGCTATGGCTCACCAGTTGTCCTCCTCCAATCTCAGCAACCGATACGACATTGGCAGACCAGGGATCTACGTCTCTCACGAGACATACTCTGTCGGTGAAAGTGCGTCGGAATTGTTTTCACGAATCACCTACGCAGCACTGATTTTCCTTGCAACCTGGATCCAGCAGACTCATGGCACTTACCAAGAACAGTACTCACTAGACCAGCCTCAATCCCTGATCCCCCCTCACATCTAGAGGGGATGATACCTTACTGTTGTCTTTTTGATCTTTACACAATAGCATCCGGATCATGTGTGTTTGGATTGCTGTTCTGGAGCTCACCTCCTCATATATCTCCGGCGTTCAAACGGCCCAGCTCTCTACGGAGTACGGAGTACAGTTGAGGTAATTCTAAACTCATGTGGGCCAGGGCCATCTGTTATCAATCCAATATAGAGGTACCTATCCATATACCCCGTACTGTATTGTACCAGAAGTACTCCGTAGTTGGCTTCTACATACGGGATACAAACTTCCGTATTTTGACGCTTGCCCCGACCCTAACAGTCGCCTTTGCGCGAGTCTGCATTAGGCTCTGCTCGATACCTCCTCAACGACTTGTCAAAGCACCATACTACCTTCACCCTCGAGCTTCTTCACTCTCCACCGTACAGCATTAGTTGTGCTTGAGAGACGCTCGGATCGTCCTCACTTGCTGCCCGAATCAGCGCTTCTTGGAACGAGGCCAAAGATGAACCCTTGCTTGCTTCAAAAAAGGCAACCCAGATCCATGTCGCCATCTCCACCATCTCTCCATCGAACGTGTTGACTCTACTCGTAATTGTCAAGGCCGCCCCCAGGACAGGGTTTCTCTGTTACTCTCCTCCGGCCCTGCTCAGCGTTCCATCGAGTCCCTTCCAGTACTCTTCTAGTATCGCTTCCCGATACATTTCTGTCCTGGCCTACTCCTAAGGGGACCCCTCGGCTCTCCAGTTCCACGTTTCTCGAATTAACCCATTTTCCGTCGCCACATGGCAGCCGTCTAGGCTCGTTCGCAGCGAAACCATTGACTTCGGTTCGCGCTTGGTACACTTTTGCGATCGGGCGAGTGCCGACCGCCTCTGTGCCTGTCTTCTCTTTTAAAAACAAATCCTTTCCTCGTCTCCTCACGTTGTCTCTTCAGCCTATCCAACTCCTCGATGATCACAGTCAACATGGGGAACCCAAACGAGACCAACAGCATGGAGATGCAAGAGCCTGGGAAGGACTCCATCTCTTCTCTTGATCGTATCTCAGACGAGCCCAAATCTGAAAGGGCCGGAGAGAGACATGTTGCAAAGGCCTACCCTGTGGCCACAGACGCTCCTTCGCTGAGGGTAAGCTGTTCCGTGAAATGAGCTGTGATTGTTCGATAACGGAACTAACGTTTGTGGTAGCGACTTTTCAGTTTCGCCCAGCTTCTTGCCTTCTCCTTGACGTTTATGGAATCATGGGAAGTCATGGCAATGTACGTTCCGATGCCTTGATCTGCAGGGAGGGATATCTTGGTTGATGAACGAATTGTAGCAACATTTCTGCAACCTTCTGGAACGGTGGCCCACGAGCTTTGATCTGGGGATGTATCGCTGTGGTCGCTGGTTCTCTTTGCCAGGCATACTCAATGGCTGAACTCGGCTCCATTTTGCCAATCGCCGGTGCGCAGTACCACTGGACTCACATCATGGCTCCAGACAGTACGAAGAAGTTCATTACCTGGATGCAAGGTAGGGTTCTATGTCACCTCGATGAGCTTCGGCAGAACCACTGACATCTGTCCCTAGGTTGGGTCACCTGGTTTGCTTGGGTATCTGCTCTTGCTGGAAGTACCTCCGGTGAAGCTGCGCTTCTGCAAGCCTTGATCGCCGAGAACATCCCCGGATACACGCCAGAAAGATGGCATCTTACCCTGATCATGTGGGCACTGCTGATCAGCGTCGGATTGATGAACATGTACACCTTCTGGGTCATCCCATGGCTCGAATTGACGGCTGGTATCTTGCACGTCGTGCTCTTCATCATCTTCATGGTTGTGCTCGTCACCCTCGCTCCGAGACACGACTCGCATTTTGTTTGGTTCACAGATTCGACGCAGTCGGGATGGGATAGTAGTTTTGTGGCATTCAACCTAGGAATGCTCGTACCTGCCTGGGGATTCATTGGTATTTCTGTCCAAAATTACCGCATGTCGTGATCTGCGTTGCTCATTTCAATCTAGGCTTTGACGGTGTCGTCCACATGTCCGAAGAAGTGCGAAAGGCGAAGCACGCTGTTCCTCGCTCAATGATCTTGACCATCGTCATCAACGGTGTCATGGCCTTTGCGACCATTTTGGTCCTTCTGTACTGCCTGGGCGACCCAAACACTGTCCTCAACGCAGCATACCCGATCGTCAACATCTGCTACAACGCGACAAAGTCATGGCCTGCCACCAACGCGCTGGTCTCGATGCTGATCCTCATCACCTACTGTGTGGTTGCAGCCAGTGTCGCTTCCGTTTCGCGCATCACCTGGGCTTGGGCTCGTGACGGTGCTCTTCCCAAATGGCTGGCGATTGTAAGTACCAACATACCAACACTACCTAGCCTTTGGCCCTGATCATGACGGAACAAACACTGACAAGATCGCCATCGACTAGATCGACGCCAAACACCACGTCCCCACGAACGCACTGTGGCTCCCGATTGTCATCGTCATGCTCCTTGCCCTTTTGAACATTGGCTCGACCGCCGCCACCGCCTTTAGCGCCTTCACCGCCCTGTCCTCGCTGGGCCTGTACACGTCGTACATCATCGCCATCAGCTGCATCTTGCATGCCCGCCTGACCGGTCGTTTGAGCGACAAACCGGGGGCCGCGGTCCAGTACGGAGGCTGGCGCATGTGGAAGGGGTTCGCCGTGCCCATCAACATCATCGCACTCGTGTGGACCATCTACCTCACCATCTGGCTCCCGTTCCCCACCACGATCCCCGTCACCGGCACGAACATGAACTACGCCCTCCCCATCTACGTCGCCGTCGTCCTGGCCTCGCTCGGGTACTGGTTCGCCTGGGGAAGCAAAAATTGGCCCGGTTTGAACGCCAGCGCCATTGGTATGGTCGAGGCACATGATTAAGGGAGGAGAAACATACAAGAGGCGTGGGGAGGATACATCACAAAGGGGGGTTGTTTTTGTGGCTGCACATGGCCCCCGCCGTGAATCATCTTCCTTGTGGCTCTCTCGGACGACCTCACCTCTTTTCTTGTGTCATTCTTTCCACCTGCATCGGATTGGTGTGTGTGTTTCGAACATTTTGTCAAATCTAACGACCATTTGCACCTACACACACACACACACCTCACGAACTTTCCCCCTTCGATGAACCCACAACCGGAAAAATCAGACTGATGACGGTGTGAAAGACTTTTTCTCAGGCCGTCGAAAAGGGGTTTTGGCGTTTCTACTTTTTTGGGGGGTTCGACTCGAAGTCATCTATACTCGGTACATACCATCTTATACCGTCCTATCCCTTTAGTACATAGCTCCGCTCGTGTTGTTGTTGTTCTCTTCTTCGTTGTTGTGAAAAAAAGAAAAGGAAGAAGAGCAAAATAGAAGCCATTCTCTCTAAACGCTTCTTTTTTCAAAAGTGTTCTGTCGAGTAGTTCTTGCGACGGGAGTGTTGGACACATAAAGCGTGTGTAGAAAGGTCAGATCCCAGTGGGTTGTAGCAGGAGAAAGCAAGGAGGTTACTTCTGGTTGGTGAGTTCCTGCCCTCCCAGTCATGTACTGCTATGTATCCGTACTGACCGCGAAGGATATGATTGTGTTGTAGGAGTCTGCCCCCTTGGATTGTCATCGAGTACAACAAAGTCGAGGGGAAAAAAAGCCATCCATTCAATCTATATAGCACAGACAATCCCAAAGGAGAACGCGGTTGATATACAGAACCTAAGAACGACTGTGATGCAATTTTACAATTTTCGACTTTTATTACACAAATGTCTCTCTCTCTCTCCTTCTACCCACACACGGGACTGGCTATGATACAAATTACCCGCCGGTGACCACCGACGAGCTCCGTTGGGTTTTCGAATAAGGCAAAGAGTGCCTGCCTACTCACTTCTTTTCCGTCGTCTCATCTCGCTGCCTTCTCATCACCGTCGAGACATCCACAAACCACGACCACAATCACGACCCAGATCCGAATCCCGCCAAACAAAAATTGATTGACCGTTTCCGTTCCCCCTGTTCCGACCTCGGCCTGTATATGGAAAAGCTTTTTGGCGTAGATAAAAAAAACACACACAATCTTTCCGAAGAAAGAAAACAATGTTGAGTGGAGTAGTGTGACAAAAATCGCAATGTACAAAGTCTCTTGACAAGTAGGTTAGGTGATGGTAGGTGGGCAGTAACAAGTTCGATCGACAAATCTCTCGCCAACGGTTCCGATGCAATCATTTTGAAGGTCAACCATCGAGAGCCGAAACTTTTGTCGAGAAAATGTCAACCGTCCTGGTCCTCGCCGAGAGTGTAGCTATGCCAAATGAAATACAGTCGCTAAAACGCAGGAAATTTGGACACAAGTCCCAGGACAAGCGGCAAGTAGCAGTGAGAAAGGCAGCTTCGCGGAGCTTAACGCTGCGCTTAGAAGCCTCCCATACCGCCCATGCCGCCCATGCCACCGCCCATAGGTGGCATAGGAGGCTTCTCCTCTGGAGCCTCGACGATGGCAACCTCGGTGGTACCAAGCAGCGAAGCGACACCAGAGGCATCCACCAAAGCAGTGCGGACTACCTTGAGAGGGTCCACAATACCCTTTGACAACATGTCAACATATTGACCAGTGGCAGAGTCGAAGCCCTTGTTGAAGTCACCACCAAATTCATCCATGAGCTTGCCAACCACGACGCTACCTTCGAGACCGGCGTTTTCGACGATTCTGCGTGCGGGACGGGTGATGGCATTCTTGATGATGCTAACACCAAGTTGCTGGTCGAAGTTGCTCGGCTGGACGTCCTTGAGAGCGTTGGCAGCAGCCTTGATGAGAGCAGTGCCACCGCCGGGCAGGATACCCTCCTCGACAGCAGCACGGGTGGCGTTGAGAGCATCAACAACACGATCCTTCTTCTCACCAACTTCAACTTCGGAAGCACCGCCGACCTTGATAACAGCGACACCGCCAGAAAGCTTGGCCAGACGCTCTTGGAGCTTCTCCTTCTCGTATTCGGAGGTAGTAGGATCAGCCATGACACCACGGATTTGCTCGCATCTCTGGGCAATGGAATCCTTGCTTCCTTCACCGTTCAAAATGATTGTGTCCTCCTTGGTGATGGTGATGCTACCGGTGGATCCGAGCATGTCTGGGGTTGCCTTCTCCAACTTGATGTCAAGCTCATCCGTGAAGACGGTGGCGTTCGTCAAGATACCAATATCACCAAGGATGCTCTTGCGGTTGTCACCAAAGCCTGGGGCCTTGACAGCAGCCACTTGCAATTGACCTCGGAGCTTGTTCAGGATACAGACTGCCAAAGCCTCACCGTCGATATCTTCAGCGATAATAACGAGAGGTCGTCGCAGTTGAGTAGAGGCTTCGAGGGCAGGGATGATGTCTTGGACAGCTGAAATCTTCTTCTCAGACAACAGAATCAAAGGCTTCTCAAACTCGATCTTCTGGGACTTGGTATCGGTGATAAAGTAGGGAGAGGTGAAGCCACGGTCGAAGCGCATGCCTTCGGTGATTTCGAGCTCGTCCTCGATTGTCTTTCCTTCCTTGACTGTGATGACACCTTCCTTTCCGACCTTCTCCATAGCATTGGAGATGAGGTTGCCAACATGTGTATCACCGTTGGCAGAGATAGTGGCGACCTGGGCGATTTCGGCGCTTGTGGTGATGTCCTTCTTGTTCTTTTGCAGGAAGTCAACGACTGCTTCAACAGCCGCTTGTGTACCTCTTCTCAGATCCATAGGATTGCATCCAGCAGCAACATTCTTCACGGTCTCGGAGAAAATGGAGCTAGCGAGGACTGTTGCGGTTGTGGTGCCGTCACCAGCAACCTCGTTCGTCTTGGAGGCGACATCTTGGATGAGTCGAGCACCGAGGTTCTCGAATTTGTCTTGGAGAGTGACAGCTTTCGCGACGGTGACACCATCTAGCCCGTAGTTAGCAGATGCGTCGACGTTCTCAATGAGCTGGGTGCTTGCCTTTGGTAATCTTTGGTGAGCCGTAGCTTGATTCGATCAACACATTGCGACCCTTGGGACCGAGTGTCGTCGCGACAGCTTTTGAAAGAGTCTCGACACCTTTCAACAACTGAGCTCGACCTTCCACACCGAATCGGAGCTCTTTGTGAGCGAATCGGAGTTGTTGTAAACTCTTGCCGGCGGATCTGGAGTATGGAGAGGAGGAAGACAGCGAAGATCGCGCGGCCGAGGACAGAGCGCGCTGCATGATTGACACAACTGGAGACTACCAACACAACAATTAGAGTGAAGGAAATAGAAGACGACAGGCAAGCAACGATGATAAAGGTGAAGAGATGCCGGAAGACGAGAGGTTCATATGCTGGTGTCGAGCAGCCATAAAATTTTTGGAGATTCGCTTCGAAGGCCCTGGAAACCAGCCTACCACCTTTTGGGTTTAGCGCCTTGGCATCGAGCCTTGTGCCGACAAGGCCGAGCAACCACCGACAGCTCTTTTATGAAGACGATGGTAATGATGGGATATCCTCTCGAGCTTCTCTCTGTTGTACGCTCACGGTCGGAATCACGAAGCAAGAAATCATCTTGGATAATGTACAACTCTGTTGTTGTCAATCTATGTTCTTTTTGTGGTTTCAATTTCCTCATAGCACCGCCCTCGTAATTCATCATTCCCCAGCTTCGTTCATTTCATCACACATGTCAAATAGAATGGGTATGCAGCCAGCAATTATTCATCTCTTGGAAATCTGGCGAGAGTCTCAACGAAAGATCTGTCGGCCGACTTGGTGACTGCTGAAGGGGGAAAAGCTCAAGCAATAGTCATGACACTTCCTTCTTTCCACGGATGAAACTCTGCCCGGACTACACCACGCATGCCTCTCCGTCAAAAAATCCAGATTGTCATCTTCCTCGAAATGACTCCACTGAATTCCCACGCTTCTGTGCAATGCGTAATCACAATTTGTGGAAGTCAGGTTCGAAGGGTCTACCTCAAATGCAATTAGCTGTCATTCGATGCCGTTATTGACTGGACAATAGTCTTACCTAGACACTGAAATCCTTGCCAGTGCTGGCGAATTCGTCCATGTCTTGAGAAAATGCCTCGTTCCAGTGCTCGTTCAAGACCGGACCTGGCTTCTCTTGTGGATCCAAGCTAAAATCATCAAGGTTGTCAACCTTGAATGTTGCAGCTTCGGCCAAACGGGCCCGAGGTCGATCTTGCTGAGACTCGGACGCAGAAGTAAACGAAGACATTCCAGTGGCTACTGAATCGTTGCGGCTGGTCTGGTAGGACGAGTCAACTGAATATTGACGGAACAGCTCGGGCGCAAATTCCATGGGGCCAGTTCCCAAAGCCAACGGCATATCAAAGTTTTGCAGGTTCATTTCAGGCTGATTGTAGAGGCTGTTTGGCCTCCACAGAGCTGCGCCGTTGACTGTACCGGGGGGGAAGCTTGCAGCAGGCATACTAGCGAACATTCCAGCGACACCGTGCCATCCAGACACTCCGGTCTGTTTTCAAGGTCAGTAAAGCATCCGAAGCGCCGAAAAAACTGCAAACGCTTACAAAGGGGTCGACGTTGGGAGCATTGATATTGGCAGCATTTTCTCCAAAGATGTCAGAGCCCAGGTGTGGCAAATCATCGTTGACATTAACTGTTGCCATGATGTCGATGTCAGAGGGAGCGAGGGTAGGAAAGTCCTGAAACTTGCCCGCGGGCATTGCTGATTCTTCACCAGGATCTGAAGAGTCATCATTACCAGCGACAGAGTCATCGTCATCTTGATCGACATCGGCATCCATGTCATCAAGCACTGGATCCATCAAGGTATAGTCACGCTTGATGCCTCGAGTACGGCGACTTGGACCAGTGGATTGCTCAATGGTGCTGATTGAGCTTTCTCCCGATTCCTCCACCTTCCGTTCCGGAGTTGCTGGCAGATCAACGGCACTTGTGTCCACTTTCTTGCTCTTGGTTGCACGACGCTTCTTTTTTGGGCTGGCGTCCGAATCATACAAGGTCTCTGGGACAGGATCATCATCTTCTTCGTCGTCGTCGTCATCACTCATGTTGCGAGTACGACCGCCAGTACGCATCCGGCCCTTTCCCTGCGGAGTTGGAGATCCATCCTCTTCGACCTTGATGCTAGCTGCTTTTTCGTAGACGGATCTGGTGTCGGCATTTGCATTGGGGCTGCCTGTGTAGAGTGGCTCAATGCGGTCGAAGGTGCGTTTGGGAGTAACATTGCCATACACCTTTGATGGTGTCTTGGTCAGCATACCACGCTTGAGAGCTGGTGGGACAGGTATTTCGAGTTTTGCCATCAAGGTACGAAGTTTCGCGAGATGCTGAACGATCGCTCCTTCGGTGAAATGAGGACCCATGATTTCAGCAACTCTGCCCCCTGGTTGATTTACCGGTTAGCGTGAATATCGACAGCAAGGTGGGAAGGTCTTACAAGGTATCTTGATTCCAGCCTCAGCACAAGCGTATTGAACAACAAGCAACACTTCCTTGTCGAGGTCATCTGTAGCAATGTTAAAGATCGGTTGTTGAATGGAAGACATCTTCAAGACTCACCAGTCCAGCGAACAAGATTGCGCTTGGTAGCACGGGCACGTCGAGGAGACATCTTGAATTGGCCACTGAAACCGAGTCACCACCTGTGTCTTGTCTTGAATGTTAGATCTCTGGTATTGCTATCATCCCAACCAATATTTGTTGACGTTTTCCTTGTGGGTTGGGAGAGTGAAGAAGTTTGGCAGGTTCACTGGATTCGGAATGATGTTTGAAGAGTCGAGGAAGACGGTGACACGCGATTGGGCAACATGATTCACAGTCGTATCTGGGTGGTTACTGATGCCATGGACACACGGAGTGAATAAAGAAACCAACTTGTTTGTTGTGTGTTGGGGAGAATCTGAGTGAACGAGGCACTGGTGAAAGACAATGTGATGCTCAGGGACTTACCTTACAGAAAGATCTGTTGTGAACAGGATTCACACCGATCTGTCCTTGGCTGTGAACGTTTTGATGGAGGTCTGAGTGATGATATTGCGATGGATGAGATCAAAGTGAGAGAAAGAAAACGATGAGGCTGTGAGAGGGTTGTGGTAAGGGAGATGTGCAGGAGAACCGAATCTGGGAGGAGAAATTATAGGAGGTCAGTTTGTGTGCACGCCATCACAACAACTTTTCGCCGTACTTCTGATTATTCTGCCATCTCCTTGAACGCGTCGTCACGACGATTTGCAAGACTCTCTTCTCATCATGAAGAGGGACGCATTGATTGGTTCTGTATCCTGTTGTCTGTTCACGACATCCAAATTCCTAACAGACGACCTTTTGGAACTTCCTGACCACCATCATTGTATCCAAGAGGTGTACTACCTGTAGGTATTCTCGGACCATGGCATTTGATGTATCATTGATCTCGATAGGGGTTCTTTTGTCCTCGAAACATGCTTCCACTCCATTTCTTCTCGCTTGATAAACATCGAAAGGTTGCCAAACCCACCACCACTAGTTCGATTCTGACAATGCCCGCCGATTTGGCCATTCAAATGACGAATCGAAGCTATTCCACGACCACAACACCGGATTTTAGGTCACCGTCCTCGGTCTTCACCTTCATGGGAGCTGGCTGGACCTCCTGTGGCTGAGGTGGAAGTTTGGTCTCGCTTTTGGTGGGCTCGCCTTTGACGGTCTTGTCGGCTCCAAGAGTAGGAAGTGGTTGCACACGAATGGGGTAATATTGTCCAATGATCGGCTTGAAGGCGTTTGGATCTTCGAATGGGCTGCGAGGGCGCGCCTCCTCATGGCAACCAAACAAGCTTGCTTCTTGATAGCCCATGACAACACCTCTGGGCAGATCAGGCCCGACCACAGCGCTGTCAGGTGGGAAATAACCATGCATCTCTGGCAATTTTGACATCCTATAGTACTCGGCCGCCAATGCTCCCCAGTAACCAGGGACAGGAAGAGGTGGCAGGACCCCAGCAGGAGCAGGAGTAGCCGGAGGCGGCGGCATATGCATCGCCCGCTGTTTCATGGGGCTTGGCGCAGCAGGGTGAGTAGGAACAGATTGAGCAGGAGGCACCTGGACCGTCATGTGCATCGGTTGCCGATTCATGGGACCAGGTGCAGCAGAAGAGCGAACAGACGGAGTCGGGGCCGGCATGTGCATTGCTCGTTGATTCGGGGGACCTGGCGCGGCAGAAAAGCGAACAGGAGGAGGAGTTGAATCAGGAGGAACATGGACCGGCGACCAACGCCGCATCGCTCGCGGATCGATGGGAGGACCCCGGCCCGTCGGTATGCGCAACGTGTCCCATGATCCTCGCTCGACCTTAGGAGTTTGACTCTTCGGGAATCCCAATCTGGCGATTTCAGGTTTGGCGATGTTTGGAGGGCTCGCCTTCGGTCTATCCCCGAGGTGTACGTTCCTGGTTTGCTTTTTGGCTGACCTTGCCTCAGGAGCATCATCTGTCGCCTTTCTCTTGTACCAAGCTGATGCCAGTGGAACTTCGTCATCATCATCGTCAGCGTCGTTTGCGGTGTTCTCCAGGCCTAGTCCTTCAGGTGTGCCGAACGCTTTCAAGAGTCTTTCGTAACGCTTGGCCCTGTATCTGTGGTTCAGCTTTCGTGACACCAATATCACATGGAGCGAATCCTGCTACTCACGATGCTCCCTTGCTAGTGATTCCACACTCTCTTGCCACAGCAGCATGATCGACCTGGCGTTGGTCAGTTGTATGCTTGGTCAAAAAGTCACAATGTATCCTTGGGACCTACTCTTCCCCCGAATGAATGCCTGCAACACACGATCAAGAAACGAACTTGATCTTCTGGTGTGGCTTTGCGTGTGTTTCTGGGTGCTTTCGCCGACATGATTGCAGGATCTGGGTCCGACAGTCTATGAGGAGCTAAGAAGTGTCGACGACAACTTTGGCCTGGATGATGGGGGTCCTGTGGCAGTTGCAGAAGGTGAGAACTGTGAGATGACACTTGGAATCTTATGTTTGGAAAAGACGTCTCAACTAAAATAGCCCTCTCAGAACTGTCAATCGCTGGACTCTAACAGTTGTCTTGTTATTTTCTTTGATGAGATGGATTTGTGTGGACTTACACTCCTTTGATCAATGGGGTCTCTGAGCAAACTGACAGGTTGCAACAACGTCTTTCTTGCTTTGAGGCCCTTCATTCATTTCAGTACAAAGGGAAGCAATCGTCAACGACGTCCAGGAGATACCGACACTATTTCGTTCCCAAGAAAATAGATGGAGCTCGTGATTAATGAAAGAGCGGGAAAGATGATAATTTGAGTTGAGTTGAGTTGAATTGCAAAATGTTCATAGTGTTTTGTCGGTTTTTTAAAACGACAGTGTGGCACATTCAGGAAACCTCTCGGCGTGCGCAAAGAACTTCTCAACTCTCGGTATCCGCAGGTACTTGAAGACGGTCCCTTTGAGTAGCTAATCATTCTAGATAAGCCAAAGAACTCCCTGTTGTCCCATGCCACTCTTGCGTGGATTATGCTTGAGCATGCTTCTTTCGGCAGACGTCTAGCCTCAAACTATCAAGAAAACGAGGTAGGATGGACAACGGAAGATGGTGTGATTGAAATACTTGTGAGTACAGTCTAGTCATGCAGATGCATCGTCAATTTCATTGTCTTTTATACATCCTACAGTCATACCATAGGTTCTAGAAGAACATGAATGGGGAGTTGACAAGGCTGTGATACAAGGATTGTGGTCACGTGGCAGAGACTGCCAATCACTCTCCTGACATTTTCAAAGAGATCTGTGGTCAATGCTACGTTGGACGCTATGATCTCAGCCAAGGACTATTTGCAGTTGACAGGACTATGAACAATTCGAATCACTGAAAGGAATCAACTGTCGCTCCTGAGCCCCTGACTACTCCTATATACCCTTATGTACATGCTGCCATTCGGTCTTTTCTGCGGACCATTTACAACCGACATTTTCTCCGTTTTCTGGAATTCAAGAGTGACAACTATTGTGAGAGAGAATGCAGGTATTATAAATTGTGCATTGAATCTAGAGCCTCGTTCATACACTTGTCTCATACTTTGTCTTCGCACGGAGAAGATCTCCATATCGCCAAAACAGCCAAGGTATAGGAGCCATAGCTAGAGTACAAAACCCGAGTAACGTGGTGGCCCAGCCAACTCCTAGTGTTTTGAAGAGTTGGAGGGCGAATAGCGGAAACGCGGCTGACAACCCATATCGTGACAGCATCGCAGCTCCAGCTGCCGAGGCACCGTAGAGAGGTCCATAAGCATCGACCATGAACAAATTCACGGACGAGTAAATCATCACAGTTGCCATTATCGTCAACCCCTGAAAAACGATCGGGACCATCCAATGAATCGTTGGTCGTGACGTCCAAGCAAAGATAAACAAAAAGGTTGGCAGGGTGAAGGACGCAATTATACTCGGATACAGTCTGTACTCGGGAGGAAATACCTCGGTGTCAGAGTGACTTGCTCGAAAGCTCCTGAGGCGTGGCTGGTAGAGGTATAGGTCGACTACGATAAGAGGGCCAGGTGCGAATGCAGTTCCGACCATCAAACCAAGGAAAGACAGAGATTGTCCCGTCAAGTCGAAGCCGTAGTAGTGCTGAAAGACCCACGGTGAGGCAACCACGAAGGTGTACATGAGACCGAAAAGGAACCCGTTGTACAGGCATACCAAAGTCACAATGGGCTCGGTGATGACCATGTGAATTGGTCGAAAGAACAAGGCCGTCAAAAAGTGTTTGACGGTGGCGAGGATGGAATTCTTCTGTTGAGGCATCACCTGGTGCACATTCAACCTGCGAGCTCGTCGTTGCAGTATGGTCTTCTTGTACGTCTCTTTGGTGAACAGGATTGGAATATAAAAGGCGGCAATGAAGAATAGCGTGACCCACTGCGTCCAGCGCCAGTCTTTCTTCTCAACGAGAAGTCCACCCAGAAGAGGCCTGAGACTAATGTTAGAAAGTGCCCGGGATGAGTCCCGCTCGAATATACGTACCCGAAGACAGCCCCAAAGAACGGGATCGAATAGTAGAAAGCCAGAGATACGGCTCGATATCGTCCTGCAGTGTAGTCGACGATGGTCGCCGAAGCACAACTGATCGCAGGTGAAGCAAAGACGCCGGCAAAGAAACGGCAGATTATGAGGGATGCTATGTTCTGTGAGAACCCAGCACCAAGTGTGAAAAGAGCAAAGAGGGGCGTCGTGGTCAGGAAGACGGCTTTGCGCCCAAACGTCTCGCTCATGGGACTTCCTGCCAAAGGGCCGAATGCTAATCCACACGAGTACAGTGACAACGGTAGTAATGCCACCTCATCGGAGACGCCAAAGGCACTCGATACTTGCTCATGGCCCGGACTGTAGACCGAGGCGGCAAGGGTACTGACGAAAGCCAGGAACGTCACGGCAATCGTCGAACATGTTCGCCTTCTCAGAGAAAAGTTGCGAGGGTTGTCTGGATCGTCCGGTCCATCCCAGTCGGTCACGGTTGTGAGGGTATTTTGAAGCTCAACTGTATCTCCTCGTGCCTCCTCATCGCGCATGTCGAACACCAGTTGCGCCAGAAGAGGTCATTCATTTCCTGGGTCAGGATGTGAAAATGGGAATGTCATCGATTTAAGAGAGAGCAAACAACACAATGATCATCCCCCGCAAAGCCGGCTATCGGCACAACTACCGACCTCTGCAGCGTAGACTGTGGATCATCCCGTGGAATGAGTGTGTGCTCGTTCGAGAGGGCAATGTTGATCGAATACAGGCACGTACGACATTACAATGCGAGGCAGAGCGCTACACGACCGGCCGAAGAGGTCGCCGTTATGCTCCCAAACAGCAAACAAGCCTCGCTGTGCGAAGTCAAGATGGGTGGGAGAGAGCCGGAAAAATGTTATTGCGAAGAGTTTCAACTGAACGAATACTCGTAAACCAATACGAGTACGAGGACAAATACCGTGGCGTAGGGAGAGCCTTAGCCTTATTGGGGTTCGACGTCATTCTCAGTCGATTCGATGCCGTTAGTTTTAGATACTGTAGATATATTCCTCGCACCACCTGCGCAGTTCCAATAGACCCGATTGACAATCTGGACATCAGCAACAGAGCAACCCGCTTGCTCATTGCGGAAACACTCACAACCAGACTATCACCAGCTATGCTTTCTCCGCCTAGATGACCTCCAGGTTAATGCGCAAGCTTCCGAAAGCCACAACCCGTCCATCAGCTGCCTCATGGACCGGTAGACCTTCATCTACATTACCTGGTCGGCGCCGGCACAAGTCTACCTCAGCTGGCAATAGTTCTCCGCGTCAGATCCTACCCAAGAGACATCTGGCACAAGTCAGGCCAGAACCACTGTCAGAACTGTGGTTTACTGCTTCTTCACCGCGCTTCGGCCCTGCGGATGAACTGCTTGGGACCCCACCGCCGGGGAAGGACAATGACCACCAACCGCCGGACAAGCGACTGCTGAAACTGGGCAAAAGTGAGATTTCCCTTCCAAGCAGGACTTGCAAAGTGAACAAAAGTCTAACCAAAGATGATAGCACTACGACGACTGTCTCCTCTCCTGCCCGACATCCTCACGAAACCACTCCCTCAAGAGATCCTCTCCCCGGACGTAACACTCCACCTCTTCCCCTCGACGCACCCCCATCTCCCGGCCGTCAAGGGCAAGGTCGCGTACCGAGCCGCGCTATGGACTTCCCCGGTCGCCTGGGGATGTGTACCCATCGTCGGAAACGTGAAGCTGAAGATCATCTCGGAAAAGATTGTCCGGACAGGGTACACATACGCCATACCACAAGGCGACGATGACCCCGCGGACCTCAGCGCAGAAAAGCTGGTCGTGCGCTGGAAGACCGAACCCAAACAGAACGGCCACACCGCCGCGGCAGCCTCAGACCTCTCGGCGTCGTCGGCCGCGCAAGGCAACGAAACCTCCAACGGCGGCGTCAACAGAGGGCTGTCGAAATTGCTGGGTGGCGACAAGCCCATTTTCAACCTCAGCAACGACGACGACTTTGCCGGCCTGTTCATCTTCACGTTCGACTCCGAGGGTCGCATAGCGAGCCACACCATCGAGCACGCGGACGAGGACAGCAGCTTCGACAAGACGAGCAAGGTGGTGACCCTCACCGACTGGCTGTTGGGCAAGGCCAGGTGGAACCGGGCCAAGGAGAAGGAGGAGGATCTCGTGCCAGGTCTGGCGATGCGAGTGTGCAGGGAAGAGTGGGACCTGGGAAGGAGACTTGGCCAAGGAAACGGCCACAGGTGAGAGCGGACAGACTGAGCTCGCACCTGGCATTTTGTATCAAAAAGAGAAGAAAAGAACATGAGTTTGGCGAACAGTACCCGCCAGGTGGTTGATTATAATCTGTTGATACCCTCCACTCCGTGGAACGATGTAAATGAATCCTCTGCGAAAGCATGCGTTTTATGCACTCCACTTTTGACATATATTGCATTCTCACCAAGTAGCTAGCTACGCTATAGTTCAAGATGAGATCTCCCTCATCGACCATTTTTTTGAATGTGCTAAACAACATTGATATATCAAAACATCGACGTGACAGCTTGTTGTTTCATAACCGTCCATTCCTTCATTCTGCATGTGCGCCTTTCGACATGAACCTTAGCGTTTCATTGCTCCTTACAATGTACTCTCAAGAGCCAGGACCTACACACACAGAGCCGTTAGCATATTGGCCAGATCGTCAAGTAAGGATTCAACGAGACTTACCAAAGCGGTCCTTGTTGGGATATAGACTTGGGTGAAATTCTTGCGGTTGTTCCATGGCATATCTGTGGTGAAGAATCTCGTCTCCTTCGCGTTGCGTCCGAGACCGCCGAACTGAGGATCGTCTGTGTCAAGCACGATCCTGTACACGCCTGGCACCTCGACGCCTACACGATAATCTGTATAGGACATGGTGGGATGGAAATTGAAGATCCAGAGCAGCCCGGCACGTTCGAATACGAGGACTTTGTCGGTCTCGTTCTTCAATGAGATGTATGCCTGTGGTGAGTGTAGCCATCCATACTTTTCCTCGGTCCATTGCATGCTACGGTCGAACTCGTTGAGAAACTTGTATCGCAGTAGATGGTCTTCGGTCAAGTTCAGTTGGCGACGCGCGTACCAAAAGGAATTGTCGTTTCCTGCGCGCGGGAAGTCAAGCCATTCGGGATGTCCGAATTCGTTGCCCTCGAAGTTGAGATACCCTTCGCCTCCCAGGGCATGGGTGACAAGGCGAATCATTTTGTGCAGGGACATTGCGCGCTCGATGGTAGGTGTAAATTCTGTTAGCGTCGACATATGTGTGTACATCTCTGCATCGGCGAGCCACATCATGAGACTTTTGTCGCCTACTAGGGCTTGATCATGCGATTCGCAATACGCAATCGTCTTTTCGCCGTGGCGACGGTTGGTCAAAGTGAATGCAATATTGCCAATATCCCACTGGTCGTCGGACTTTTCTTTCAATAGTTTGATGTACATGTCCGGCACGGCCATGGCAAGGCGGTAGTCAAATCCCACACCTCCAAGGGAGAGCTTCAAGCAGAGCGCTGGCATGCCTGAAACATCTTCAGCGATGGTGATGCAATGTGGATATATGTTGTGAAGCATTTCGTTAGCGAGCATCAGGTAGACAACACCATCCTCGTCAACAGATGGGCCAAAGTATTCGTGGTAGCCGCCTGAGAATCCCGTACCGATGCCATGATGTGTATAGAGCATGGATGTTACGCCATCGAAGCGGAAGCCGTCGAATTGGTATTCCTCCATCCAGAAGCGAAGGTTGGAAAGCAGGAAACGGAGAACCTCGTGGTGGCCGTAGTTGAAGAGCCTCGAGTCCCACAACTCGTGACGACCTTTGGCTCCTTCGTGGAAGTAGAGATGATCACTGCCATCAAACATGTTGAGTCCGTCGAGGGTGTTCTTGCTGGCGTGAGAGTGGACGACGTCTAGCAGAATGGTGATACCCATGCCATGGGCAGTGTCTATGAGCTCTTTCAAATCGTCGGGGGTGCCGTATCTCGAGCTCGCGGCGAAGAACGAGTTCACCTGGTACCCAAAGCTGGCATAGTAGGCATGTTCCATGATAGCCATCAGCTGTATGACGTTGTAGCCCAGCCATTTGATTCTCGGTAACATATTCTTTGTGAATTCCTTGTAGGTAGCGACTTTGAGATCTGGCGAGGAGATGCCAACATGCGCTTCATATATCCGGACGCTCTTGGGATACGGAGGGCGAGGGTTCTTGAAAACATATCTCTCCGATTGAGGGGGATTCCAAAGCACGGCTTCGTAGACTGGGGAGACGGAAAGATCTTGCGTGACTCTTGTAATCCAAGCTGGGATCCTCTCTATTCTTTCTCCTCCGGGTATAACCATCGAGATTTTCAACTTGGTGTTGTGGGATATGGCAGGCACTCCGTCTTTTGCAGGGAGATGCAGCTCCCATACACCAAAATGATTTTTCTTCATTGGGTGAGAGTCTCTGTTCCAATTGTTGAACTCTCCGATCAGGTAGGCTTGCTCAGCATTTGGTGCCCATTCACTGTCATCAGGTCAGCTACTCGATCGAAACAGCTAGCCTTGGCCGCATACCGGTATGTTATATCTCCATTGGGACTGAAGGTGAAGCCCATATTCTCGTATCCTCGACTGAATTTCTCTAGCCCACCCTCCGTCTCGTCAATTGACTTGATCCACTTTTGAGCTTTAGCAAAACGGTGTTTGAGGGCGTCCCTGAAGGGTTCGAGCCACGGGTCGAGTTGAATTACGCCTGTAGTAAGAGTCAGCAAAGAACTGAAGTATGTTGTTGTCGTCCTTGACGTACCTGTACCATCAGGTGCAGCACCACCTGCCGCCGGTGCCGCCATGACGGAATTCTCTGAAGCTTGGTTCAATGCCATAGTGAAGGGCACGAGCTTCGAGCTTGTAGGGGTTCGAGGTGCAGAAGGGAGAAGGGGAAATCGTGTTTGTAACAATGGGAGTATTCTGGTGATCAATAAGTCTTTATTTCACCCCTTCTGAAAGCAATGAAGACGGTGGAGGGTTCTGGGGACCCTGACGCAAAATGTTGAATGGCAATGAGCTGTTTACTCGCTTGTGGCATGAGATCGATGTTAGCGAAGGTGTTTACGGGCGAGATGACATCAGTTGTGGGGGGAGCTTCATGGGCACCACAGGCATCGCAGGCGCCTAAAAACACCAAAGGGGCGTCCCGACCAAATCCAACCCCGCCAAAAACTGCACATGCTTTAACTGCCTCCGAGAGTTTTTCCGTTCCGATGTCTTTCAGGCGCTATGCCAATGAGAAGTATTCGAGGCATTTAAAAACAATGACAGTAGGCCTAGACGTTTCCTACACGAATCCTAGACCTAGTCTCATAGAAGTCACCATACCATCGGTGGTCAACTCGGATTAACCATCGTCCTGTCTCGCCGCAGGAGCTAAGAAGCCGTATGCCACGATGTCGTATCACAATGTGATGCGACCGAAAAGTGTGACCATGGGACGAGACATTACGGCTCCTAGGGCTCAAATTGATATGCAGCTTAATACACAAGGCTTTTACCATGTAGTCAGAAACACTGAATGCCCGTATACTCCAGATCGCGGTACTGAGATGTCCTGAATGAGCCAGTGCACGTGACCGTCTGGAATGGCATGACACACTTGCATGCGGAGAGACGGCGATCTATCGCGCTATCTCCTTCGTAACCCTGGTGAGCCTATGACTATCAAGACGGCCAGGCGTGGAGCTCCGCATGCGTCGACTCATCCTGAGATTCATCTTCTCAACATTTGGCCACACAACGTATGAGGAACATCATCATCTGTCAAGAAGCACATCGCTGCTATGCAGGCTTTCGGTGCGCTGCCAGTCTTCCTTTGCCCTGCCGTTGACGGCACTATGGCTGCGTCTTCTGCCGCCATCCCCCATCGACTGCGAACTTCCTATATTGCCTTGAGCAGACGGTCCCTCTCCAGCAGCCGCACCCGTCCATCTTCGTCACAATTCCGCCGTTCTGATTTCGCAAATCAACCCTTCACCGGATCATATGAGCCTGGACAGCCTACCAGTGGCCCGCTGGGCGGGGCGGCATCTTACACTACGCCGAGACTTACACCCAAGATGCTAAAGCAGCACCTGGATCAATTTGTCGTTGGCCAAGAAAGGAGTAAGAAAGTGCTTAGTGTGGCGGTCTTCAATCACTATCAGAGGATACAAGAGTTGCAACGCAGGGAGGAGGAGGAGGAAGAGTTAATGGCACAAAGAGAGCGAAGGGAGCGCCACCCAGTCGAGGATGAATTTCCTGGTCAACAAGCTACCATCCGACTAGGTAGTAGCCGTGTCTCCTCATTCGACGCACGACCGAGTGGAATGCCCTTGGTAGATACAAGCCCTCTTACCCTGGAAAAATCAAATATATTGTTACTGGGCCCCAGTGGCGTTGGGAAGACACTCATGGCGAAAACGTTGGCGAGAGTCTTATCAGTGCCATTTTCCATGTCAGATTGCACTCCTTTTACACAAGCAGGCTATATAGGTGAAGACGCCGAAGTCTGTGTCCATCGTCTATTGGCTGCTGCCAATTACGACGTTGAGAAAGCAGAACGGGGAATAATATGTCTGGATGAAGTCGATAAGATTGCCACGGCCAAAGTCAGTCACGGCAAAGACGTCTCCGGAGAGGGCGTACAACAAGCCTTGTTAAAGATCATTGAGGGGACAACCATTCAGATACAGGCCAAACCTGAACGAAACGCCCCTCGGGCAGGCGGTCAATCACAGAGTTACCCGACGAATAGTCCTTTGGGCGCAGGATTCTCGACTGGAGGAGGTGGTGGTGCAGCTACACCTGCAAAGGGCGAGGTTTACAACGTCAGAACAGATAATATTCTGTTCATCTTCAGTGGTGCTTTTGTCGGTCTCCAAAAGCATGTTCTGGACCGGCTAACGAAGGGAAGCATTGGGTTTGGTGCCAGTGTGCGCTCGAGCTCCAACTTACGGTCCTATGCTCGAGATCAAAAGTCTACAGACAACGCTCCCGTGCCTATTCTGCCGGGTTCGCAGGAAGAAGAGCTATACCGAAAGCACCTACCATTCTTCACCCCAGCACCAGCGCCTGAAGACCACACAGTGGATGGCATGTCGGCTGAGTTGAACTATTTCAATGCTCTGGATTTGGTCACTCCTGCCGATCTCCAATCTTATGGATTCATTCCTGAACTAATTGGGCGGATACCTACGACAACTGCGTTGTCCGCTCTAACACATTCCATGCTCTTGCGGATCTTAACAGAGCCACGGAATAGTCTGGTGGCTCAATATGTTACGCTCTTTTCACTGTCCGGCATTGAGCTTCGACTTACCACCCCTGCATTGCACGTTGTCGCTTCAAATGCACTCACTATGGGTACCGGAGCACGAGCCTTACGAACCGAGATGGAGACTATTCTTGGAGACGCTATGTTCGAAGCACCAGGGAGCAGTGTGAAGTATGTATTGGTTACCGAGCGAGTAGCCAAACGAGAGGAAGGTGCAGTCTATTTTGGCAGAGGGCAGGGCGGAAAGTTTCATGCCATGATTGCTCAGGAAGAAGGTGATTGGGAAGACCAACAGAAGCGCAACAACCCCAAGAAGAGTGAGAGCATAACTGCTAGCTTTGAAGATTGGAGGACAAAGACCACGGTGGCGGCTGGGAGTGGCTGAATGTTGCTGTTTGTCAGTCAACCGCTTTTGATGACAGAATTCGATCAATGGTGATGATAATGATGCATTCTTACTTGCTGATTCTCTCTCTTGACCGCTTGCTACGACTCTTGTTCCGAAGCTAAGAATGACAATGCAATCACTGTATCTTTATCACCAACACACGAGGGAGGCAGATAGCTTTTTGAGACATCGAGCATCTCAAATTGGTCTTGTTAGAGCTTTCATGGGCTCACTCGAATACAGAAATGTAGTTGAATAGCCCGTAGCCAAATTATTTCGTGTGGTGAACCACGAAACACTCGCTTCAGATGACCGGGTTTTGAATAGTAGTGCGTACTCAATCATTCTCAAGAGGGTAATGTATTGGACATGAGCCAAATGTCAATTACTACAAGTACTAAATCACCAGACTCTGGTCTGGACTGTGACCTCAACTTCTGGTATTGTATGGCCAGGCTGATCGTAAAAGGGGCCGGGAAAAAGGGGGTTCGGGTATGGCGAGTAAAAATACTGCGGATCTCCGCCGATATCGCGTGGACATACGGCGGTTGGTCTTACACTTTGCGTACTGTATGCATTGCGCTTCGAGGAATGTATCCTCTTTTCGTCCTCTTCCCATCTCACCATTATTTCTCGTTCCTGCATTTCTCGCCCTTTTTTCTCTCTCTCTCTCTGTGCGGCTTGTATCAAAAAGTATTTCTATCTTCTATTAATAGCATTCGACGAACGCGCCGGTCGCTTCGTTCACCCATTCCCTTATTAGACCCGATCAGAAGCTGTCCTTTGCTACACTTTCGCAGTTAACAATACGACTTTGACGACTTCACGAAAGATCATGGAACGACAGCCACCTCAGCAAAGAAAGAAGATTCTTCGAGTTCTCTTCATCTCTCTGTTGTTGGACTTGGTATGAACTCCTTCGCCGCCTCTAACGAAGGCGTAGACAAAGTACTGACCGACAGCTAGATCTCATTCACATTCATCCTTCCACTGTTCCCTTCGCTGCTCACCTTCTACCGCAACCTCGAAGCGCACCCGCACAGCACGTTGAACAGAATCTTGCACTATCTCAATGCCTACAAACAATCCTTTGCCGTTCCCATCAATGAAAAATACGACATAATACTCCTCGGCGGCGCACTTGGCTCGCTCTTCTCCCTTCTCCAGGCCATCGCGTCCCCCATCATTGGTCGCGCCTCGGACAAATATGGCCGCCGTACCGCTCTCCTCTGCAGTATGGCCGGCAACATCGCCTCCGTCGCACTTTGGTGTGTGGCCGTCGATTTCCGCACCTTCCTCCTGTCTCGAGTCGTTGGTGGTCTAAGCGAAGGCAATGTGCAACTGGCGACGGCGATCGCAACAGATATAAGCACTCCGGAACAAAGAGGCTCGACGATGGCTCTTGTGGGCGCATGCTTCAGCGTCGCCTTCACATTCGGACCGGCGCTTGGGGCGGGACTCGCGAGTATAACGACGGTCGCGGCAAACCCCTTCGCGACGGCCGCCGGGTTTAGCTTATTCCTCATTATCGTCGAGACGGTGTATTTGTACTATGCATTGCCAGAGACGAGGCCCATCGCGCCGAAAGAACAGAACTCATCCACCGATTCCAAAGGCAAAAAGGAGCGAACGACGGCGGAAACATTCAAACACACAAACAACACCGCCATTCTAAACGCAATTCACTTCCTCTTCCTCCTCCCCTTTTCGGGACTCGAATTCTCACTACCGTTCTTGATCACGTCGGTACTGTACCCGGACCATGCATCACCCTCGAAACTAAATGGTCGGTTACTGGGGTTCATCGGGCTCATCGCATCACTCCTCCAAGGCTCGATCGTTCGGCGCCTCCCGCCCTTGACGGTGGTCCGCGTCGGGGTAGTGTCGTGTACGATTGCGTTCTTCATGCTCTCACGTGTGCAGGATACCAATGGTCTGTACGTTGCCGGTGCTCTACTGGCAGTCACTTCGGCGACGGTCGTCACGGGCTTGAACAGCCTGGGAAGTTTCGAGGCGAGGGAGGAAAACCGTGGGCAAGTGCTGGGTTCGTTACGAAGTTGGGGACAGTTTGGGAGGGCATTTGGTCCCGTTGTATTTTGTACCTTGTTCTGGTGGGTCGGACGTGAGGCGGCTTATCTTGTGGGTGGGTGTTGCATGTTGACGGTCACGATGGCATTGTTTGCACTGTTGAAGGCGCCGAAGATCGAGAAGAAAGCACAAGCATCCAAATTGGAGTAGAAGATGGATCCAATCAAAATTCGTTTTGGCAATGACAACCTACTCTGATGCAATTTGGATGCATATGGAATGGTTGGTATTTCTCATGCTCCCGTGTACAGCCATGTTTTCGAGTCTTGTGCCGAAGACATCAAAAAGATGAACACGAGATACTCCCCGGATCATTCGTACCGGTCGGTACCCCAAAGAACACCACAGCAACGCCAGCGAGCATATTGACAAACGTCATCATGCAATAGTTGAAAATGACTGATGATCACGGAGTAGGTGATTAGCCAAGAAGCCAGAACCATAGGTACTCGAGACTGAACAAAGGAGGACGGGAATGGTCATACAAGTCCTGATTCTTCTTCACCCTGTAAACCTCATACTTTATCGTCTTGAGATCCACCTTTGGGTTTGTCTTGCAGTGCATGTCGAGAATGATGTGCATCTTTGTGGGCGTTTCGTTCAATGGAGCCACGAGGTGGGAAACGTAGTCATCCTGAGGGTCTAAGCCAACCAGGGTGAAAAACCTGGCGATGATGGCTCCTTCTTCGACCTCGTACGTGGCTGGAAATCGAAAGACAATACGCCTCGCGTCAGGGTGCTGCTGCATGTTGATGGTGATGGTGATGGTGATGGTGATGATGATGGAGTTGGGTGTAGGATCATTACTTTCTAGCCTTGTAACAAGTCGTTGTTCTTTACTGAGCATTGTGGAAGATGATGTTGATCAGAGAGTCTCCCCAACCTTTTCGATGTCCCAACATGGCCAAAAAGCCTGGAGGACATGAGCCCGTAAAGCCAACGGCCTAGGAACTTTAAGACATGGTTTTAGGTGGTAGGCCGTTTAGGTGCAGCTTCTCCTGTGTTTTCTTTTTCGGTAGTCCGTATCTGCTTGGGCTTTTACGGAGTACATGGAGTACGGTATCTGGTTGTCGTAGTACCCTTGATCCACCAAAAACTCATCTCGACATCCAACAAAGGGGGAAGGGGGGCTCAACTCTGAAGAATTTCCTTTTCTCGCTTCATAACAATTTTTTATAACACAAGGATAGTCAGTCGATCATTTCTTCAGACCCTAATATAATAAAAATGATGGATCCTCCAGCTTTCGCACCAAATATGACTTGTACGGAGACAATCCTGATGGATTTTCCATCATCCACAAGTTCTCCGTACGGAGAGTACGGACGACCGACCAACGTAATGTGTCGTTGATCTGCTGCACCACGGACTTTGAAGTTACAGTACGGAGTAAATAAGGTACTCCGTATGATACGGAATATATCCGTAATGAACAATATAAAAATATAATTCTCTCACGTCGATCGTTTTATTGCAACAAACAGTATGGGTGACGAAGGTATCTCTCTCTCTCTCTGCCACAGCTCTTCATAACCATAACGGAGTATTCGCAATGGCTCTGGACAGTAGATCCGGAAGGACCATGATCGAGTCAAAAAAAAAAATCACACTCCGATGCGAAACAATGGATGTTGTTGACGAGCATAACCTGAGGTCCGTTACGACTACAAAACGATATCCACCTACGAGACCGACCGATCGGTCCAAGGCGAGATCCTACGAGACACAATCACTCCATACTAGGGATTCCCTCGCTACGAAATGGATCTCACTTGGAAATCACCTTTCCATCCGGTAGGTTAAATAAATATACGGACAATGTCACCTTTTGCTTTCAAGTACGGTATCTCATCACCTTCTCTCCCTCCCTCCCTGCCTGAAAGAAACGACACACCTCCTACCAAAGATGGATCCACTCACCATTCAGGTCCTACTTCCCTACATTGCTCGTCTGGCGACCTTTTTCGTCGCCATCATATCCATAGCGGCGGGGGTTCGATCTATCTTGAAACCGATCGACTTTGCAACATCATTCGGTTTCCCACCTCCACGACTCTCTTGGAGACAAATATCACAAGACCCAAAGACACCAATATCGAATGAAAAGAGCACGGTTGGCGATCAATTCAAATCCCTACGGTCCGAATCCGAATCCGAACCATCTCCATCTACGACATCAACCAAGCCGTCGACGGACTCGACGAACCCATTCGTCCCGGTCGTGGGCGTACGCAACATCGCCTTGGGTCTCTCGATCCTGGCATTCACCGTCCTCGACGAGGTCCACGCCACCGGTGTCCTCTTGCTCTGCAACCTCGTCAGCATGGCGGGAGACACCGTCCTGTGTCACCGTCGAGGGACGCAAGGGTCCGAGTCGTCGCACCTCGTGGCCACGTTGTTGTTTGCCGGGCTGGGGAGTTATAATGTTTTACAATGATGAAGCCGAGAGAACATTGTTGGTTGACTGTTGTTGTTGTTGTTGTTGTTGTTGTTGTTTTCTGCCTTCTTCTCTTGGTGGTTTCGGTTAGACACAGCACATATGACAAATGTACCTACACTAGATAGATACCCAAGGCATAGACATACATCTTTAGGTACCTACCTACACACGGTGTATATGTACTCATGTCAGTGCCAAACACATTTACCTAATCGACCTGCCATACGAAGTCATGGCCAAATGAATAACCAAGTCATCTTGTCACTAGAAAGTCATCAATTATCACATTCATCCAGCAGTACGTCGTACATGGTAACCAGGAACCTGATCCTGCCGCTCCAGTGTTCACGATGAAGGGAAAAAAACCCCCCCTCGAGCTATTAACCCTAGACACCCATTGCTGATTGAATCCCATGAACCTTGAACAACACATCCGACATAGGTGTGGTCGTTCCTCAACGCCAGATCCTCAACATGCCGCGCCGTGTAATGACCATGATCATCAATTCTTCGTCTCAGAATTCCGATTCTGCTTCTTACCTCCACCCTCACTCTTCATCCATCCCCATCAGTCTCCGTTCGGCATAGTCACGAATCTTATCCTCCAAGACCGTCCTATTCCAACGACCAGCCACCTTCGCAGCAGCCTCCAACATCTTCCCACTCCTGTCTTTCAACAATCCGACAATTTCGAGAGCCTTCATCCCTCTGTCCTCTCCCTCGCGACACTCGACGGCCAACAACTGTAGGAGAATCTTGTCCACGTCAATCTCCCTCTTCATCACCTCGGTCTTTTGAGCGTGTCCAGCCCTCTCACCGAGACTCTGAACCAAATCGTCCACCAGGTCCAGCATGACCGAAGTTCTGACAAACGATTCTTCCAGGCGCACTGCCGCCGCAGCGTTCGTCTCCTCTTCTTCGTCCTCCTCCCCCTCATCATTCCTGTTCTTCTCCACGGCCCTCGATACGGGAACGTGGAACTCAAACTCCGTAAGCAGCGGCCGAGGGAAGTAAGGACTCTTGTCGCCTCCCTTGAGGATGATGCAGTGAAACTTCTCCCCCGCCACAGCGACAGGCCAGTAAGTTTCCTCTCTCTTCCCGTCCTTCAGACGGTCCAGCAACCGCGTGTCCAAAAGGGGCACCCACTTGGCTTGTCCCGGGTTGCGCCAGTGAAGCAAGGTCAACAAGACCCCGTTACTGTCGTAGATGCACGGATCTCCCAAATCGCTCCAGAAGACCGTCTTCAAACTCACGTCCTCCTCTTCCGAGTCCGGCGGAAGTGTGCCCAGGGCCAAGACATCCTCGTTCTGACAATTCTCGTCTCGTCGCACGTCATCGATACTGTACATCAACTGGGTACATCCGTCCGCGCCCACAGAGCCGTTGCCCACCGTCATGACATAGTCTCCCCATGCCGAACAGGTGACTGCGGGAGCACTCTTCATGCGCCACATGCGGACCGGAGTGCCGAACAACGTCCACACACGCACGTAGTTCTTGTTCGTCACGGCCACAATGTACCGATTGCTCAAAGCTATGCACGTGGCCTCCTCGCCGTCGGGCAGGCTGACGCGTGAATCAGAACGTGCCGTCCAAGTCTCGTGAGGTCGGTAGAATATCACAGCAGGTTGACCATCCTTCGGAGGAGACGCGAATAGTGTGCCGTTCTCGTTCAGGCACGCCTTGTCGTACAAAAAGGGGTCGGTGAAGTGGAAATCGCGATACATTTCGCGATCATAAAACTCAACAGTCACCGTGTTGTGCGTGTCTTGGTCGACAGTCCACACAAATCCGATGAGATTGAGACAAAGGTATTTTCGGTTACCACGCCAAGGGGTTGCCCCCGGCTGGAACGCCTCGTGGACCTGGGGTTGCCAGAGACCCTGCTTGTTGCGCTTCGCTGAATGTCCGTTGACACCTCCAAGATGGCCGTTGGTTCGCTTGCCGTTCTCGTTAATGTAGCCTGCACCATCGTCATCCTCGATCCAGTCATATTCGTCCTCGGGACCGAGCATCTCGTCCAGACTATCTGGTGTTCCTGCGCGCTTGCCCTGGCCACTGACCAAGGGTTTTCGACCATTCACAGCTGCAGTCTTCTCATGCAAAGGATCATGAAAGAACGGAGCTCTTACCCTGGGTCCTTTGAGGAGGCGGACGTGTGCTTCATCTTGCAAGAACTCGGGAATGATATAGAGTTCTCCCTGAGATGTCGTCCAATTGAAAATATTCTCTCCCGTGCTCTGCCAGGCAAGGTTGATGATCTTCTCGTAGTTAAATTTCTTGAGAACAGTTTGCGTCTTGGTCTCCCAAATGACCAGCTGATCATCTGCGCTAGAACTTGCAAGTAGCGCACCATTCGGTGACCAGGCCAGTGAGGTGATGTCTCCGTTATGAGCCCCTGCGAACGCTCGCTGATGAGCTCCATCCTCCACCGAGATGACTTGGATATCTCGTATCTGAGTGGCGCAAGCAAATGCTCTTCCATCAGGATGCCACACACACTTTGACGACGTGGATTCTGCAGTCTCCAAGCGATTGATGATTCCGTCCATCGTTCTCAGCAGAGCAGGCTCAGGACCAGCCATTGTGTATATGTAGATGACGCCATTTGTACAGGACGCAGCCAGGTATTTCCCAGTAGGGTCGTATGAGAGGTGCTTGATCGGCTTCGGGTGCTCACGGAGAGTCGTTATTTGCTCGATATCATGTCGATTGACAATTTTAACCTCAAGTTCGCTATGGTTGTCAGTTGACCTTGCAACGGGGATAGAAGGCTTGGGATTTGACCAACTCGCTTGAAACTGCAATCCAATTCTCGTCGGGAGAAAGTGCTATATCTCGCACAGGTAGTGTTGTTCTGACGAGTATCTGCTTGAGATCTCCCGATGGTACAGCATACTCGCATACAGTACCATCCTCACAACCCAATATCACGTAGTCATTCTGGCTTGTGTCAGCCACTCGATCCCTTATACCTTTTCAATCGGATAGAATTACCCCTGATGCCACAGCGTATGTTTCATCGTGCGTTTCCGGGAGCAGATCTGGCTCCCCATTGTCACCGGTTCTGAATGAGCGTGCAAAGTTTCCCACGCCGGCAACGATCAGTCGTTGACCGTCAGGAGAATACTGCAGATACGTCGGGCCGGGAGGTTGAGCAGGACGAGGGTGTTGAGGAGGTCTTTCCGGCATATTGACTCAACTCGCTTGGACTGGCAGAGGCATACAATCATCCATGTACGAAATACGTTGTAGGCTCGTTGACATTGAGGGTGTATTTCTTAGTTTGACCGCAGGGTAGCGGATAAATTGAACAGAACGCGTCAATCGAGGCACGTCGCGTCGCGTTGCGGAGAAACTTCACGACCCCCGCACGAGGCCGAAGCACGAGGGACGACGAGGCTGCTGAAGAACAATTGTAGGTTCAAGTTCTCATGTGAACGTCTATAACTTCATGCAGAAGAGGGCTCACGGATTTCTCAGACGAACCGCTGGAGGTAGACACAAGACAATCAAAGACTCGACTGGGCAAACTGTTGTTAAGACAGACTGGGAACTGAAGTCTAACTACTACTAACGACAAATTCGTGGATATCGTCTCATGGCGTACCAATGGTCCTCTTATGAAGACAATGCCGTACTGCTCGTCCTGGCCAGCGGATTAGGGTATCATGGCTAGAGTCCTTTTCCAACGCTTCTTGCCCTGCGACTCGTTCGAATACGCGTGCACGCATCTTGCAGTGCATGTTGGTTGTTGAGACATCTGTGAAGATATTGTATGTAGGAAGTAGATTGTAGGTGCTGAAATCAATGTCTCGCTGTTGACTATTATACAAGAATTGCGAAGGAAGGGTGACAGCTCAGCAACTATTTCGTAGATGGTGACAGCAGATTTGAACACCTGGTCATTTTGAGGCGGATAGTGTAACACGGAGAGTACTGTTGAAAAATAATCGGTGATTGAAGCTCGGGATTGCTGTCTAGTTGCTTCCAACTGCTCAACGACCCGGCGCAAGGGTTTTGGCCAGCAAACCTCGAACGGATGGTTGTGCTCGATGCTTTACTTGGGATCAAGCAAGGTAGCGAGGAGGTGTCTCGCATGCTGCAGGACTGCGATTCGTTTTTCGATGAACAACGGACCTTCAAGTCTCAGGCGGAGTCGAGACTTTTTCCTGTGGTCGAGGCGGATATAAACACTGCCGAACATGTTGAATGACATCTTGAACGTAGTCATGCCCTTGAGTGAGCAAACGGTCCATGTGCATAAAGTGATGAGGTACTCCTTTGAATCTCCTCATGACGACTTTGTTCCCGGCTTCTTCTACCTTCTTCCCATATGCTTCAGCCTCGTCCCGCAAAGGATCAACTTCAGCGGTCGCAATATAGGTAAAAGGTGCCAAATTTTTGAAGTCTGGCGCATTCATTGCATCGGCAAACCATGATATGTCTCGCTTCTGCTCTTTGGGCCTCGTCGAGTTCTGGCTGGACAAAGACATCCATTTGAAAGTGTCGAACCATTTCAACTTCTCCCAATTCAACAGTGGCGCATTTTCAGCGTCTCGCATACTAGGCCAGGGACTCATGCCCGGAGTCGCATATTTCTTCACGTCGCTAATGGTTGGAGTTCCAGCAACGACACCCTTCAACTTATCTCCAAAGGCGTTGTCCCTGAGTAAGTGATTGAGGATTAAAGCAATCGTGGCTCCGGATGATTCTCCTCCGAGAGTGAATCGATCTGGATCGATCGAAAATGTGTTGTGGTTGAAAAGAATATGCAACACGGCTGAGAGGCTGTCCATGATACCGATCGGAAATGGGTATTCGGGGATCAACCGATACTCGACGTCAATTACACAACACGGAACACAGGCGCAGATGTGATGGCATAGATGTGCGTCGGTCTCCAGGTCACCCGCAGCCCATCCTACTTTTGTTAGCATCGTGCTGTGCCTTCCAATATGGCCTCTCTTACCTCCGCCGTGAAAGTTGAAGTGTACGGGCCACACCTTGCGATTGCCCTGCTCTTCACCTGGTGGTACATAAACACGTATGTTGATTTCGTCAGGGTATTTGTCCCATCCTGGCACCTGCGTCTCCCCAATTCCGCCTACACCTGTTGCAGGCGCACTTGCATAAGAATAGAGGGACGAATAATTCTGCCGTACAGTGTTGAGATCGGTTGACCAGGCAGGGCCGTTGGCAATGTATGAATCGTAGAACTTGACAAACGCTGGATCGAGCTGCTCAATGATGGATGGGTGGATGGGTTTGTGTTGGGGAGGAGCAGGCGCATCGTAGGCTACATCGTGCATGCGAAGGTCCTGGGAGGTCATTTCGATGGAGATGTTCGCATGACCAGGCGATCCGCCGCAGGGAGTCCAAGGGCGCAAAGACCAAGATTCACAACAAGATCAGGGAGGCAACAGACGAAGAGTCTTCATGATGAAGGCGAGAAAAGCAGAGACCTGCAGATGGAATGTAAAGAAAAAGTCCAGACTTTGGTCAGGCCGTTGCAGCCGGAAGAGGGACACATCGAGGGCTCCCTAGTCAGATGGCAGATTGTACGGCTACAACACTTGATTGGACGACGATGAGCCCCGCGATGCTGATGATTGGGCCCAAAGTCCGATGAGATGGATGGGAGATGATGATGGGGGTGTTGATGGATACTGGAACATCGACATTGCATGGATCAGGTCGCTTGCTGCCTCTGCGTATTTCCTCTTCGCTTATGCACTGTATTCCGCTTTCAAGAACTGCTCAACCCTGCTATGGAGCCACAAACATCCTTTTTCCTGCCCATCGGCTTGGCTCTCTCAGTCTCGCAGTCTTGACCATGGCACGCCTGATGAAAGTGGTTCCTGGAGTGTATCCATCCTCCTTCGGAAGATTACCCCAAGTTTGCAGATCTGAGGTTGCGACTCCTTGCCATCCACTTCGCAAGATCTCTGCAAACGAGTGAGATGCCCACATGACGGTTTGAGTGATGGGTGAGACTGACGTTGACAACCTCGTGTGTGATGCTGACAGGGGCGAGACGACTGATCATTGCAGCGGCTTGCGATGGAGGGCTCGGTGAGACCAGCCAAGCTGTCAGCGAGCCAACATGCACCATCAGTATCGGTACACTACATCGATCCGGTCCAGCCTCACGAGAGCGAAGATACCTGCTCATTGTTCGCACGAAGTCAATTCCGAATCAATCATGCTGACAGTGTTGGACTTCGTTTGCACTGCGTTGGCAGTTGCTAATCGTAAAGTCTCTTTCGAATCTGACCCAGTAACTTCACCGTCCAAATGGTGGCCTTTCATCCCTTATGGCAGTACATCCACCTTCTCAAGTTCGTCGTCTCCTGCTTTCGGGACCAATCGACCTCTCTCCAAAGCGAGCCCAGTCACGACATTCCGCCTTCTGTCTGTCCTTCCACCAGCCATCGTTGCAAGCATAACCACAAATCTCCTCAGAAACCGGCATTTGGCGCCTGAGCGCTTCGCAGTAACCATCTTCCATGAACCACCAGCCTTCGATCGGTTCATTCTCCCAACCCACCGTCGCGAGAGGCGAGGAGCCATTCAGCAGCAACGCTTTACAAGTCTGAACAACCTGCTCGATTTCATCCGCAGAATAGTATTCGGTCCTTGTCTTTCTTGCTAACTTTCGCGATATGTTGACAAATGATACACCTTCCTCTACCAGCTTCATGACAAGCTGGCAGGTACTGCCCTTGACTAGCAATATCTGCCGAGTCGGAACTTTGAGATAAGAAGGGTATGCCTGGACCTTGCTACCAATCAATTTATGCTCCTGAGCCTCATCTTTGAGATTGTTCTCTGCCATTCCGATCGGCAACTGGAGGCTGTCTTCACCCTGTTGCTCGATAACACGTGCCGAGTATTGATCGTTATTGAGCCCATTTGACCGCGGTGTGCACGGTGTCTGTGTCTCTTTTTCAGCCAGATTTTGCGTGCGTTTCAACAACCGCAGTCGCCTTCCGCGAGACCAGTCCATATCCGGCAGCCAGTCGGGATTCACATTTGACGGACAAGAGGATGAACAACGAATTGAATATGTCTAGGGATGGAGGTGTCGATGTTGAGCTTTGATGTCAATGCTGAAGTGGGCAGCAGTCTCACAGATCACCTTGTCTCTTTGAGGCAACGATGTTCACTTTATCATGGTGTGGTGAATGTTGAGGTAAGGATGAAGAGACAAAAATCCCCAGAGGTACGCGGACGAGACATGACCTGGAACAAGACATTGACCAAAGAGGTTTCACTGTCAGGATAGCAGATAACTACGCAAGTATATGGCCTCGAAACGGAAACAATGTGATTGTACAAAAAGGGGTTCATGCATGAACCATACAAGATGGCTCAGTCCATCTATAACGCAACCGATTCGCAATTACTTTTTGAAATCAATCGAATTGCCTTTGCAGGTCAGAGGTTTTGATCTATTCAACGCCGCACCATGAAAATATGGATGCTGAAGAATATGATCCTCGAGAATGCTTGATAGAGCCTCAAAGGTACACTTTGGACTTTCTCTCCGATTTTTATACCCTCCCAAACGACAACCACGTAGGTGGTTAGGCCGACATCATCACAGAGGTCCCCCCCTTTTCGAGTTGATGTACCTACAGATGTACCTTGCCAATGGAACGGTACTTGGGTTCACGATCACCCACGACGTGCTCCCCAGGTCCCCGGACTTCCGGGTCTTCTTCGCCCCACGTGTGAATACGGTAGATCGACACGCTGCCTCGTTCTAAACATGCATACTTGTCCCTTTTCCCCCAAAAGTACTAGGTGGATCGAGAAAAAAAACCCGCCCGTACCTCGGTGGTCCGACCCTCGAGGAGAGAAGGAAGAAACAGGTATTGCCGTGGAGTACTGCATAAATTCCCACGCAAAGCGCGTCCCTCTCTCTACTCCGTAAGCCGCTTGGTACTGTAAAAGATGTTTCTTTCAAAAAGGGGGGTGGGCGATGGGCACGGAGTCGCGAGGACCCCCCAAAAAACGGCCGGGGAGCATTGCGGAAGACATGCCAGTATTCTAGAAGTATTCGCATTGTTGGCATTCCAAAGTGCCTCTTTGAAAATGAAATGCCTTCTTTGGAACACACACATGGCTATTCAAACATGATACATCATTAGTCACTATGTAATTGATCCGTTGAAAACGGAAATAGGTCGACAAAGTACAGAGTACAAAGAGTACAAAAAAAATTAGCTGCCAACCAGCCAGTATCCCCCCTAATGTGACGACACCATCGAAAAAAAGTCTAGATTCCCTCAAAGCTCCTAGACTCCCAGGTCGGACCACTCGAGATGACATTCGACCCAACGTCAACATGAGTGGAATAGCGAGTGAATGCTAAAAAGATCGTCGCGCCTGTCGACGCAAACACCCGGCCATCCCCAACGCCATGCCAAACTTCAATGTTTCCCGCGTTGTATGACAGTCCTCCTCCAAGGCCGGTCCATTCTATCGTCTTCGTTTTCTTTAGCCCCCACAGGGTTCGCATGAAGACGCAACTTGGACGCCACAATGGTGCTGTTCATGCCCTTTTCTTTTTTGCAATTCCGGCTTTTCTTCTGGCTGCAATGTCACCCTCGCCCAGCCACTTGCTTGCCTTGACCAGCTGAATTACGTTAATGATTTGCTTGCCAGCCATGACTGGAAAGCTGATCCCTGCCAGGATCCACGGCACCATACTATCCATCTTGTTGGCACGCGCCATTTCCAGTGCAGCTGCACTCCAGGGATTGGCAAACAATGTACTCGGCTTGGGGTGTGCAGGTGAGCCGGGTTGGGTCGAAGCCATCCCTGTGCCATTCTCGCTCGTGACTAGGAGGCTCGGTGACAGGTAAGGTGATGAGAAGGACAGGAGGTAAAGGGCAATGAAAAAGAGCTCATTCAGCGCGCAGAAAGCGAACAGTACAGCCTGGTAAATCACCACGTCAGCTGAGTTTGACCCCAAAGAGTTTGACCCCAAAGAGTTTGACCCCAAAGAGTTTGACCCCAAAGAGTTTGACCCCAAAGAGTTTGACCTCAAAGAGTTTGACCTCGGAAGTCAAGGGTGTACATACTCGGTTTGTGTAATACAAATGCAGAATCCAGCTGCGGCTGCTGTCCACCTTCTTATGACTTTGACCACTCCCTGCCATTGTCAAGGTCGCATACATGTGGATGTAATGGCTCGCCAGATCCAAACTGATCAGACCTTGGAAAATGATCGCCCATCTTGGGAAGGCCGACGCTAGGAAGACAAGGAGACAGCTCGTGGTGCAGCGGTCCGTCACCATGTCGAGAACGGCGCCAAAAGTGGTTCCTTGGTTGTACCTTCTCGCCGCCATGCCATCTGCGGCATCCAGGATGCAAGAAAAGCTGTATAGGCCCGAGCATGTACGTGGGTGAAGAGGCATGTAGTATAATGAAGCAATGGCCAGGACAATGCGAGCGTAGCCTGGATAGGTTTTACAATCGTCAGCGCATCGACGTACGAAAAGCCGTCAGGAACCACCGCCCGGCTCCGGGCAGCTCAAGGGAAAAGAAGCATACCGATTAGGTTTGGAATGAACAAAAAGATGTTCTCCTCCTCGTAGATGTCTGACTCGAGCTTTTCGAGCGCACCACTCACTTTGGCTTCTCCATTGGGGAGAGCGTGACCATTTGGACTGGACTTCCTCTTCTCAGCTTTCTTCGCCATAGTTCCAGGTTCTTCCGGCCGAGCCGAGTTTCGGGGACTTTCGTATTCCAAGGTAGTACGCAGTCGTGTAATGTGCGGAGCGGTAGAGAGAGAGGTCTCGTGCGGACTTTCTCGAATCGGTACAGATGTGAGGAGATGGAGCGATCAGGCAGGGAGGGAAGTTTAACAGCAGGGTCTAGCCAAGTCGCGCAGATAGAACTGATAAGGAGCCAGGTTGATCAACAGGCTCGCGGGTGTTAAATCAGGCGTGCAGGATCGTGTTCGGCTTCGACAACTTCATGCGGAGGCGTATTGGGGTCGTCAGACTATAGTAGGTGCGAGGCACAAGTCAAGAAGAACACAAGGCGTCGACGAGACTTGCGTCGTTGCATCCGGACGGATCCAGGGCAATTACTGTACACACGATTTAATAAATTGTGCTGCAGGCGGATGCATATTCAGGGTTTCGGCCCACTTGCCATGCAAAGCCGCACTTGGTTCCACCAAGGAGCTAGAGTGGTTTAATCCTTAGTCATCTCCACTAATTTCCGCCCGGGGTTAGTATGAGTTCGCCTACATCTGCCAGATCGCAAATCCAGAAGAAGTTCGTGCTTTAAACCGGACGATTGGATAACAATGAACTTCTCTTCTACTATTGAGCATGGATGATGCTCCTGGTATTCTACATAGGTAGCCATCGATGTCGACCCCATGTCGTACCATGGGATCAAGAGACTCCGTATTTGAGTATGATCTCGATAACTTGGGTCTGCTGTTTATTGACGTCGACTTCGCGGGTCTGAAGCACTTTGTCGCTTCCAATCTCGACTTTCTTTGGTTCCTAGGCTGCCATAACCGCCCTCTTGTCGTCGTTCCCAACCTCCCATCCTGACAACCAGACAAGTAGCATTATCGCCTTCTGTAGAGACTTCAGTAGCAAAGTTGACCACATCTCTGGCAGCTTGCTCAGGAGTTCTAGCCTCTTTGATGATGTCGACCACTTCCTGGTCTTCCAAGGTCCCAGAGACACCATCGGACATCAAAACCATGAAGGAGTATTCGGCCGGTCCCAAATCAACCCTCTTGATCTCCGGTTCCGCGCTGACTCCGATTCGTTTGGATTCTATGTCGCCGAATGCCCGCGTATTCGCAAGTCCTGATATCCGTTCCTCGCCAAATGAGTCCGTCACGAAGGTAGCAGCATATCTTCTAAGCCTGTTGCTTTCAATGGGTGACGAAGGATGGTGATTGGTCGTCAATGGGACGGCAACGCCAGAATCGGTAGAACAGAGAAGAATCCTCGTGTCTCCGACATGTGCAACAAGCAATGACGAAGTTGTCGAAGGATTCCAGAATGGTGTGGGGGATGGCGTAGAGACCAGTGCGACGCTGCAAGTACTACCGCCCTTGAATCTATTCGGCCCTCCTATATGCGCAGCAAGCTTGAAGGGTTCACCCAGGATATCACCCTCATTAAGGGGTCGGTCAGCTCGGGTGTTGTCGCTACTCTCGGATTTTTTCGCAGCCTGTGCCGACACAAAGTCATAGTCCGCTTTCAAGAAGGCATAGCTGATGACTTCTTCGATGGCAGCCCCGGTGTCGACGGCTTGACCGGCCTTTCGTAGGGATTCGGATTCTTCACCCAGTTTCTGGTAACCACTGAATATGGAAAAGTATGCCGGTTTGAATCGTCGAAAGTACCCGCCGACTAGCTCCTCCCAATTCCTCGTCAGCTCCTTCTCCAGGGTCTTGATTTGTTGTCTGTTTGCACTCTGGATGAGTGGTGGGTCTCCAGCATACGGAGCCTGCTGGCCTTTGTCTGGACTTTTGGCACTGCCATCTCCTGATTGTCCCTCGTCCTGCTTAGGGCTTTCGGCTTCGTCTGAACTGGAGAGGCCACGGCTTCCTCTGCTCTGCTTCTCTTTTCCAGCAGCGGGATCAAATCCTGCTGGGACAGGTACAGACTTGGACTTTCGTTCGCCAGGTTTTTGCAAGCTCGACTGCAGCTCAAATGACTGGGCCGATCTTTCAATGTAATCGTGTAATTTTTCTCTCAAAAAGTCGCTACACTCCGCCCCACCATGCCCATCGAAAACGCCGAAATAGAAAACTTGGGGGTCCCCTGACGCGCCTTCTGCAGATGTCCCCTCGCCAGGTCTTGATTTTGCGGTGATGGACCGTGGCGGCCTTTTCGCAAATGCAGGAAGCTCTATAACACCGGCCTGGTGTGAGTCTTCATTGTACGGTCTACTTCCTCGAGAGACCGACGACCCATAATGATGTTTGGCACTTTTGAGTGGTATGCGAACAACAGTAGTGTCTCTCAGAACCGATGGATGTGTAGCTGGCGCAGACCTTCCTCCATCTGGTGTATGAGGCGTTGAATCTTTCCTCGGGAATTTGTGGGCCAGCCCTGTCAAGGAGCGAGAGTCTGGGTGTAAGGACGAGGAAGGCAGATGAGTAACGAAATAATCATGGAATTGTCTTTGTTGAGAGAGGTCTCGAAGTCGAGTCCGCGTATGTGGGCGTGTCTGCCGTATGAAGACCGACAAAAGATCTGCTAAGAAGTCAGAAGCTGCTCCAAGCCCATCCAGGTGGTCGGGAAATCTCACCATAGTAGCACTCGGAAGAAGAATGCAGCGCTCTGCTGCCGTAAGACATTGTGGGAGAGGCAGCTGTTCAAACTCGCCATCGTCTAGGCTCAAGAAGAAACGGACATTGTGAAGAAGAGTATAAATATACAAATAAAGGTGAAGAGAGTAAGGAAACTCGTAAAATGCCAAAGAAGGACTTGGACTGCGCAGTTGGTCAAACTACCAGGTGCCTGAGGTAGTAACATGAAGACGCCATCACAGTTGCATCCTCTAGGTTTGTGGTGGTGGTGGTGGTTGTGGATGCTGCTCCTGGTGCGGAGAGTTTTGCAGGACAAGCCCCCCCCAACTGTTTACGAATCTATTTGCCAATCTTGTCCAAACCCTCTAGTGTTTGCACTCGCAGTCAATGACAAATGTTATCGTAAATCATGATCGATTGGATTGTGACTGGGACGGATGTCCTGGACAAGTCTATCTCTAATGACCGGCGGTGTTTCTACGCGGCTTACAACTTGGACGGCCGCAGACTCCCATCTGAGGTGGTCTTGACGCCCAATGCAGCAGCAGCCTCGTATGAATCAAAGCTCTCATCGCCGTGGAAATGCCAGCCTCTTTCTTCGCCCTGGGCCAAATGGCTGCAGTCGCTGTTCAAGATGCAGTCGAAGCCGCCGGCCACGCCTCCACTGTTCCTCCAGTCGTCGTCGTAGTACACCTCTCCTTCGGCCGGGACCCTCCTTCGCGCGAACTTGCTGATGCCGCAGGTGAAGCATTGGAAATCGTCCTCGTCGTGGTCGTCGGGCATCTGCCCGGTTAGTGCCCTCCCACTCGCGATGATCTGAGCGGCGTGGCCACAGAGTAGCAACGTGACTTCCTCGTCTCCGCGGCCAGCTCGCCTGTATTCCCTGTCCACGTCTTCCACGATCACCGCGAGCGCCCGTGCGACGCGATCGTGCAAGGGGTCTATCCTCTCTCCGTGCTCCGGAGGAACAACCTTGGACTCGTAAGTGTCGTCGAGCCAGGGGAAAAAGTCCCTCCGTAACCGCGCGGGCTCGGCGGGCTTTGGCTGGACGAACCATGCCCTTCCGAACCACTCCCCAATCCCTCTTTCTCCTCGAACGCTCACGCTCTTCGTCTTGTTGTTCGCCGCGTCACCCGTCGTCGGTGATGAGGAGGACGAGGACGTGGCTTCGATCAGTGCCTCGACCGTGGGTCGCAGCGTCTCGAGACATCGGTAGAACAAGCTAGAGTAGATACGCAGGCGGTCCTGCTTGGCCAGATCGCCCAATGTTTTCCCCAGGTGTGCGCCCGTCTCTTGCGCCTGTCGTACACCGAACGAGGCCAGCGGAGGGTCTGCCGGGAGACGCGTGGGATAGGGATGGCTGGACGAGTATTCGCCGGTAACAGGATTCAACGTCCACTGGAGGCGATTTCCATGCCGTAGCAGGAGGATTTCAGACACAGGCATGATGGTCTCTACCTATCGTTGCATTATTACGAATGGCTGCGGCCGAAAAAAAAAGGAAATGATGAATATGTAAATCAATAGTCTACTACATCCAACAGTTCTCTCTGCGCGATCGAAGGACGATATTTGGTGGTTATGACTAGTCGGTCCAACACTTTGTTTGGAGAAGCCGAGGTTACTGTGACCAAACAATTCATTCGTCTCGATGATGGACGTATTCCGCACTCGGGGACCTCAACTCTTGTTTCATATCACCAGAGCAAAGCACAACTTCCCCTTTGGTGGCGGAAACAACTCGTCTGACGATAACATACAAACGGACTATCCATGGCCATGCGGTGATGAAGATATAGTGTCGAAATATTCTCCAATCCGAATGTGCTGGTTGAGCTTGCAAAATCGACGAAAGAAATAGGATACAACGGCACGAGTCGAGTCCAAGGCTTTGACACTCACACGGTTCTTTTCGTTCATTCTACTACAGATTGTATTACCCCGTCGAGACATAATAGTCATGCTCAAACCATCCGGACTATGCTCTCAAAGCAGCATAAAACTCTTTTCCAAAGCTGGCGGCCCACGTCTGATCTCGTTTCGATACATATTGCCAACACAACAACATGGGAGGCGAGAGGGGAATGGGAAGAGCATCGACCTCAACCTCTACCCCTGCGCACATTCCAAAGGACAAATCAAAATGTTTTCGTCAAAGGGAGGACCTATGTTCTACAAACAATCTCCTTCCTCTCGATCCTTTCAACCCTCCAAAAACAACAACAAACAACCACCACCGTCTCAGCCCCAAAATGACAAGGCCGAGGATGCTACGACCGCAACTGATACCGACAACAAGCCACCACCGTCTCCAGAAAACAACGATGCTCCCCGAGAAGAATCAGAAACGACAAGATACTCCATCACCACCATGGACGAATTGGCGACCCAAGTCCACAAAATCTCCCACGACATCCGGTTGAGGTCGGTCAACGAGCTTCGCGAGGTTCTGTCGGACCGGGAGAACAATGCGACCATCTCCGAGGTCCTCACCGCCGCCCAACTACAAGCTAGAATCGAGATCAAGGACGAGCTGACCAGGCTCAAGGCCCGCACCACGCCCAGCCTCCACTGGCGTCTGGACCAGGTCATGAGGACCGCCGACAACGTTCACATCTCACAGATTCCGCGCATGCACAGCCTGCCACTGCTCGTCCTGTGGCACGGCGCAAAGTTCGTGCTCAGGCGACCGATCCTCGCCGCCTTGATATTGGCCATCTTGTTGACCAGCTCTATGTTCGGACCTCCGATCAATTGATGAAATCTGGCCCCCGTACCAAAAACGAGTTAGGTGTGGAAAACCACCACGACCTCTTATCTACCATTACGCCATCTACCAGGCCACACACGGGGCAAAGGAACCAAACTTCACGTCCACAGCTTGGATACGTGCTCCAGCTGCACCTTTTCAACGGTCGGATCATCCGCCACTTGCATAGCACTGTCAACGCCAGTCTCGGCCAAGATGGACCTAGCGATATTCCTCGTAGCCAATACGGGTCTTCTCTGTCCCGTAAACCACCATACCATCCATGGAAACATGATCCCGAAATCAGAGTGCGTTACATGCGTAGTCTCATGCAACACGTACATTGACACCTGTTCTTCAGACACCTGGCTGCGGCCCTCCTTGTCTGGGTCTTTCTCGGTTTCCGCCCTGGCCAAATACTTCGCTCTTTGCTCTTTGCTCTTGTTCATATACTCCCTCTGATCCTTGTACCTCGCTATTTCTTCTCGGTATTCCTCTATTGTCTGCACCTTGACGTTTGAAGGATTTGCTCCCGCCACCACAGGCATATGCGAATGGCATTCGGGCCAATGGTACGCAAATTCCGAACACATGAGCACCACTGTTCTCGCGGAATTCTTGCCAATTTCCGCTTCATGACATGGCAGTGGTCTTCTCAGTAACATCTCCGTCTTGGGCGACCTGAGCGGCAAGAACCACGGATCCAGCAGCACAACGGGCGAATGTGGTGTGACCTGTGCTTTCAGACTCGACGAGGGCTCTTGCCAAAGCAATGGACTTTTGGCGTCGTCACCATGCGCTTCGGAATAAAAGACAGACTTGACGAATTGCACTGTCGATGTGCCACCAAATGAATGTCCTGCCCAGATTACATTGCCTGGTGACATGTCTAAAGATCCCTTGGGAAGTGTGAACCCACCTTCACCCGCCAGATTCGGCAAGATCTGACCGCCGTTCATCACCTCCAAGGCCTGATATGCCGCACTCAATTCAAAGAGGCGAATGCTTAACTGCTCATCTCGGGCCTCGTGCATGCCAGGCTTGATTTTTAGTGTGATTGGCTTGTAATAAACACTCGGATTCGTCAGCCCTACTTCTGTTGGTACCGTTGCTGCATCGCCATTTGGCTCAGATCCCGTCCTACGGAGAGTTGTGAGCGGCCCGCTCCCGTCTCGGTGATCCAGTGCCAGACAGAAAACACCATGACTAGCGAGTTCGCCGAGCAGGGCGCTATGAGTGTTCATGTTACCGACCAGTCCGTGTGAGAATATGAGAGTGGGCACCTTTGCGCCATTGAAGAGTAGTGGTGCATTGTGGTGTACTGGAATCTGCGTCGTGCTGAGATAGTACCTGAACGGGGACGATAGAAGGAAGTCGCTGAGCCATGGCTTTATACCGGATAGCCGAAGGTATGCGTTTAGATGGTCTCTCTGAGGGTCTTGGAGCCAGGGGATGCCGTAGTTTTGAGAATTTGTGTAGGACGACTGCTTCGATGTGGTCGGATAGAACAGACGGAATTTCAAAGTCGTCAGCTTGGACGCTTGGAGTTGGGGCAGAGCCGGGAGCGAGAGTGAAGATATGGGAATTTCATGTTCTGAAGATCCAACGGCGTAAGGGCCGGTATATACTGGGAGAGACGGGAGAGGATTGAGATACGACAGCATTGTGGTGGTGATCTGACGACCAGACAAGGGTGTCAAACCTCGGTCATATGTCCACCCTTTCTCGCGATGTGAAGTCGTGTTTTTGAAATAGATGAAAGCTGCGACGTAATCCTGAGTAGCATCATAGTAGTTTTATATTGACAACTCCCAACACTCGTAGGTGGAGTTGATGATCTTTGCACCCAGGTAGGCAGGGTATCATTTGTCGTACCTCGTATTGTGTGTGCTTTGGTGGGACGGAGATGTTGTCCAAGGGCGTTAGCGCCCGACATAACCGGGCCCAGAGGAACGGGGCCTTGCAATGGCCCCAGTGACTAGGCTCCCTCGATGCCTACCTGTATGTACTCGTAGGCGATGGAGGATGCTTCTGATCTGCCGCTACGGACGTTACAGTACTCCCTCCAATATCGTAAGATTCCAGTATCTCGGCTCAGTCGAACGAGACGACGTTGATTACTCATCTCTCCTTCTCGGGCCATGCTCCTTCAACATTATTCTGGCAAATTCAACACACACATCCTCAAGGTCCTGTGGAGTGATGTTCCTTGCTGATTGCTGCTGCCAAAAAAATCCAGAACATGCTGTGAGACCAGCAAACAAGGTCAGTCGAATAACTGTCTATCCACGGCCAGAGCAAACAGCGTCATCTGTGTTTTTCTCTGGACCAACCCCATTTTCGTCGCCGCAATTCAAACATGAAGACACTAGAGATAAGAAACGTCAAGCCAGCGTAAATTTGTGGCCACAAGTATGGCCGACTCGAATGTGGCAGCCGAATCTCGAGAGCGATGGCTTCGGAAACTGGTCCCCGTGTCAGTCATTAATCAATCACAGAGAACAGGAACCCGAGACTCACACAAAGAAGGTAGGGACACTGTCAACCACATCAAACTGAGAGTCGAAGGCAGCTCTTGCAGTTCCACGACCTCTGCACACAGGGGGGCAATAGTCTGTTAGCATCGTCAGCAATGTTTGAGTGGTTACAGGACACGGTTATCCGTACGCTCCAATAAAGCCCAGCAGTTGCTCCCACAAGTAGGGCGAAGAAAATCAACAGTCCATAAGAATGCAGTGGAATCCAAATTGCAAAAATAATCAGCATGTTGAACGCCGTTAATAATGTAATGACCGTCATCCGGCCGCACCTGTCGCTCACCACACCAACGAATGGTCTTCCGAGCGCCGTTCCGAGATTCATGATGGTAGTGACAGTGCCTCCTTCGTGTTGTGTTAGTCCGATGGACACTGCAAACGCCGACAATGAATAAATGGTCACAATGTAGCCCAGAATGTTGAAGAATGAATAGCCGATCAAAAGCCACACACGCGGTCTTTTGAGCAAATTGACATCGAAGATCTTGATCTGTGGACGCACTGTCGTATTCCGATCACGAATCAAGATGGACGCGATCAACAACACGCCAAAGGAGACGATGCCTGTGATGCGAAGTGCCCACGCCAGTGAGAGGTTGTCGATCATTGGCGTCGTGGCTGCAGAAAAAATGATTCCTCCCACACCAGCTCCACTGGCAGCAATACCTTGAGCTAGACTCCTGTTCTTGTTGAACCATTGAGGCAACACCGGTGTCGCTGGCTGCCAGACGAATCCAGTCCCTAGCCCAACGAGAATGCCTTGGCTCAGGACGAGGTGCCAGAACTCGGTGGCAAACGAGGCCGCAATGAATCCACCCGAAAACATGAAGCAACCACAGTACATCGGGGGATTGGTGCCGAACTTTCGGGTTGACAAGTTGACCAAAGGAGCAGAGAGTAAGGCCATGGAGAAGTTGACGCCTCCAATGAATGTGTAATCCAGATCTGACGTTCCTGGGAAGGTCAAATTGTTGATGTAATAGGACAGGTAAACGCCAAAGCTCTGAGAGGGTGTCAGCACAATCGTCCGCAGCTGTAGGAGCAGGCCAGTATACCGCTAGAATACCCCAAGTGAAGCCATTGATCGCAGATAGAGCACCACAAACCACCCAGCCGTATCTGGGTTCCTCGTGAATGTCATAATGTATGAGTGGCTCGCCTGGTGCAATAGGTATGGCAACCTCACCGGTCTCTTTTGAGGCTTCTTCTGACATTGCGTGCCGCTTTGCTCAAAGCATTTGCCACTGAAGGCAAATTGAGAATTTAAAGAAAAGCGGTGGTCAACAACAGTGTTCAAATGCACCATGCTTCAGGTTTGGGTTTTAATAGAGGAACGGAAAGAGGCATGAGTGTCGAATACGCAGAATATGAGTGGAGAATCTCAAAAAGTCCACATCGTCAACTCCGAGGTTGCGAACTAGTCGTGGTTGAATTTTTGGGATATTATGTGAGCAACAGATCCCAAGAACGCCTAGAAGTCAGTGGTCTCGTACATGAGGTCACCACTGAAGCATCCGCAAGGTATTTCATCTAAGCTGATACATGAGTTCTACTGCAAAGCGCGACTGTGGTTGAAAGCAGTCGACAGTCGATGTCCGATGTACGGCAGAAAGCGTTCTTCTCCGTGCTGAGGTCACTTCAAACTTCTCCTCAATGTCGAGGGTGCGGAGTTGTTGCGGAACCTGGACACCATTGTGAGTGCCGCTTAGCCGTACGGAATTTCCGGGGCTTCGTATCCTTTGAACTTCTTCATATCCGGTGGACAGGATCTCCTTCTCTATGCCGGTCCTGATATTGTCATGTCAGCCAGTACCAGGCGGCATTGAGAATCCACAAGGCTATCAAACTGATGAAAACCCTTGCTCGCAAACCAATTTTACCCGAGTTCTTTGGGAGTGTGGTTGCCTGCGACTCGTGCTCCAGGTCTCGCCCGAGAACGGCTTCGTCTAGGTCATCTCGAATGAAGATTCGCGTGAGAGTCGGCACTGCTCCAGCCGTTGAATTACTCACCCAGAGGAACAGTGCCGAAATGATTGCGAAATCAACAAGATCGTACAAGAAGCTCCATTTGATTCGGTAAGTGTGAAGCAGTACATTCGCAAGTCCAAGGCGTAGAAGCCCGCGAGAATCCGCAGCGAGCCAAATGTGGAACTGCAGCACGAATGTCTCCAGCGAGCACCGACCGAACCACGCGAATAGGCGACTGTGGTACGCCCTTAGACGGCCAGTCGAGTTTCTGAGTATTGCGTATGCCATGACTGGCCAGGGCGAAATGAATGGGTGCCACCGATTATAGCTATACTTATCCTTGAATTGCCAGCAGAAGACAACATACAAAGCAATTATAGAGATAGACACGAGGAGAACAAGTGTGGCCATCGAACGACTCCAGGCTAGCGTCATATCATGAAGTCGAGTGCCGTCGTATCGACACTTTGAGCACACCAATGCGGCAAGAATCCCGGCAAAGACGATGTAGGCATCGAGTCGAAATCGAAAAAGGAACTCGTGAGTTTCGATTTTCAGTATGTGCAAGCCGAGACTATCTATTTCAGCCAGCCAACCTTGCGCAGTATGACCGTGTGTAATGACAACGCTAACGACAGCCGCCGACGCGATAATCTGCATTATGACTCGTGACATCTGCGCCCCAGCAGAGGTGGCCCTTGGGATAGTGATCCATATGATTAGGAACCAGAGAGTAGACAAGGCGGGGAAATAGTAAAGATCGTACTGGGTGCCCATGACAAAAGCCAGCAGAATGTTGAGCATATTGGTGCGTAGCGTGACATTCACCACTCTTCGAAGAGAGAAATCATTCGAGGTAAGGAAATACATGGTGTGGCCGTACCCTGTCATGAATAGGTATGATGCAACCAATAAGCGAACGAATTGGTATACCCATAGCACCTTTGACATTCCAAAGTAATGGTATAAGAGGATGACAATCTGCATCCAACCTTTCCATTCTTCCGTCTGTGGTCTCGATAATAACACAAGGCGCGGCACGGTGGTGGCGACAGCGTGTTTCCGGTGTTCAATCTTTGGGGAATGAGCTGATTGCAACGTAGCTAGACCCACAACAAGTGCAATGGCTAGCATGGAGAGAAACATTCCCATGTTGACAACTTTGGGGGTCTTTTCGAAGTACATTGTCCTGTCTGCGACATAACAATAGATTGCGGCCAACCATAGGGTAGCGAGGGCGCCAACTATCTGCGAAGGAGCAGAAGTTGGGAGGGAAGTGAGTGAAAGTGAGCGGCACAGTTTCGCCCATAACGAGACTGGCAGCAGTACAAGGCACACTGCCATGTATGTTCCAGCCCAAATCAAACTCTTCTGAACCCATGTTGAATTAACGTGTGGGGAGCAGCAATATGCCCCAGACTCGTTTGAAGCTCGATCAACGGTGTTACTGCACAAAAGATTAAACAACACCTCGGCTTGTGTGAACATGATTTTATGTTCGATGCTCATATTATTGTGCCTCCACGTTGAAGGCCAGTCCTCGATCATCATAGGGTAAACTTCCAAGGGCATGGAGATAGTAAAGGGGGGGTCGCCGCGGCCAGTGTCGTGTTCGGTGAGGCGGATTAGATGCGGTCGATGTGAGCGTTCAAGAGCCACGAGACCTGCAGAGTTCATCGAGATTTCATAGTGGTCATCATACCTCTCGACTGCAAGGGATTGCAGATAATCACGAACAGAACCAGCGCGTTTCATATCAAGGGTTGGTCCGCTATTCAAGAACTCGTCCCAGACAAAGGATATTCTCGAACCATTTGTGAACACAGTGATATTTTCCCCAATGTTGTTCCAGTTGGAATCAACTGCGCCAACATCCAGACTTGTGAGGAGAGCCTGAAAAAGTTGATGTGCGCTGTCATCACCGCGGATGGTCAAGCTGCGGTTCCAGAGGCAGTCATGGATATGGGGAGTCTTGTGATGATAAAGGATGCATCCTGGAGGCACCCAGACGCGACTACCATCATTCTCGATGAGAGGTTCCGCCCAGCGGCCATGATGAAGCATATTGCGACATCGATCACGGGCAATGGAGTCTGGCGCAACATTAGCAACGACTTATGTGTATCTGCCTCACTGCACCGACCTTGTGACAACGTTCCCCTCAGAAGCAATATGATCGGGAGAAGGAGAAGCCCCAAAAGGCTAGATAGAGGAAGTCGCGACGTAGGCATGATGATGTCTTGAGTAGTCTTCGTGGGATCGAGGAGACTTGGTAGCAGAGAAAGTTGAATCAGGTACGTAGATGCCGTAGAAAGATGAAGGGGATGAATGAAAGCAAGGAAGAATGGATAGTTCCAGGATAGGGATATTCCCTTCACTTGCGCTGCCACTGCCTGCGCCTGCTTCCAGGTTACTTCTTCTCAAAGAACTACGCATGCCAACGTTCTTGTCAACATGGCTAAACTCAGACTCAGGCTCTAGAGAAATTGACTTACTGCTGGAGCCACGATATCCATCCCCAACGTCAATGGTAGCTTCAATCCAAGGCTACCAACATGGGCCTGTTTATGTCGTACCTCTAATACCATTCACACTTGTCCCTGCACAAGTTGATGGTCTATCGGATTTCAGGATCACCCATCCAATCAGCCAGCTTGAGGCCAACAACCTGCTCGAGCTCTTCTTCATCCTCATGTGCGGTCCCACGGTATCTACTCCTTGTCTTCATCTTCACCTGGGCCGGGGTGGTATGGTCCCGAGCAAAGACCTGAAAGCCTCGAACATGAGTGTCCTTGCCATTTTGGTGGTTCTCGCAGATCCGAACTTGAACAAGCATGGCCTTCAGTACGTCTCCTCCAAATGAATCGTCCAAAGTTGGCTGAGAAGGATCTGAGCTAGATCCTGCAATACCGAGCATAGCCTCGTCTTCATGATATCGTACCTCACGCCCACCAACGCCCTTCAAAGGCACATCAATCCATCCTCTAACCCCTTCTATGCTGCTATGCGGTTCGCCCGTCTCTGGATCCGTCGTCTCCTCAACCTCCCAGGAGCCAAATTCGACCAAGCCTCCTTCTGACATGCCCGCGTAGAAATTCATCTTGGTCGGGGTGTACGATTCGTCCAACTCAAAATCCAGATAAATTCTCAGCTTGACAATAGCCACCAATTTGAAGAAATGCAGCGTCAATGTATGAGGCTGTGGTCCGTCGCTCTGCCAAAAGAGACCCGGACTGGGATTTCGCAGCTGAGCGAGACCGCAGCCAGGCTTTGATGAAGACAATGTCCACGTCGCCAGTGATGATATGTCCCTCAGCCCTTTAAGCTGTTTCGCATCCTCCGCATCGTGTTGCACTGAACCGAAAAAAGATTGTTCTTCTGCATGTTCCGCATCCGATGTCACCGAACCCAAGGCATTGTTTGATGGTTGGGAGTGATCTAACCCTTCGCTGTGTAGATTCCCATTGTCCACGGGCGTTGCTTGGTGTCTCCCTTGCGGACGGCGTGGTGCATTGGCTTCCGGCACAATGGAGTTTCCGGGGTTATTCGACGGAGGAAGGGGAGTAGTCAAGAATGGAGCATGCGGAGGGGTGTCGAGCATAAAAGGAGGGATTGCTGCTGTGATTGCGTTGGTGGTCGTTGGACGGGTCGGAGTCGTTGTTACGGCCTCGTGGGTGTGTTGCGGAACGCGCCGTGGTGCTCGAGGCATAGTCAGTGCAAATGGCAGAGTCCAGTCAACCTTGATCAGTGAAAGTGAGCACGTCTGCCATCCTTTACCTGTTGCCGCCGAAAATACTGGCCTTAAGAAGATGTGTTGGTGGTTGATCGAAAGGCAGTGTTGACACTGGATTGAAACACGCGTCGTGGCGGGCGATTTAAACGCCCCGCGTTGTTGAAATATTTCCTGTCAGCTTTGACTTCTCCACGAGGCTGAACCCTCCCTTTTCTCCCAGCCTACAGCAAGCAGGTTTTCTTATGTCATTGTATATCAAAGATTGTCGAAGAAGTACAACGAGTTACATTGGACAGCTATCTAGATAGATGGTATCAATACCGCGACAATTTCAACGCACCAAAGCCCTATATGCTGATACTTCATGGCACACCCCTTCCTTCTCTTGTGGCCTTAGCCATCTCGGATTGAGCTCGGTCCTCTGCATATCGTTGATATATGGGCATATACTTCTCACGGTCGCTTAGAGTTTCCGTCATCGACTTCCTTGATTGGATTGCTGCAACCCATTTGTGCCAACGATCCCACGCAGATTGATCTTCGCCACCTTGCCCTGGTTCCGGAATGCCAGACCCCCCTTTGAAATGATCAAGGACCCACATACGAAGAGCCCATGGTGCCAGAGCGACATCGGCATAGCTTATATTCTTACCCAGGAAGTAGGGTCCTTGAGAATCTGCCTGCTGGATCCAGGTCTTCAGAGCTCCCAAGAATTCAGTCTTTGCCTTTTCGAAGCTGTAAGGACTCTTCTCGGTCCATTGAAGAAACCTATGGTACGATGGAAGAATTCTGGTGGTGATATGATCGACCCAGATCTTCATATGCGCATTTTCGAAAGGGTCGTCCGGGAACAACTTTGGCCCAGATTTTGGGTAGGCCCAATCGAGATACTCCGAGATGATGTTGGACTCTATGAGAGGCTTGACAGATCCGTCCTTCGTAGGAGCACCTAAAGTAGGGACGAGTCCTCGTGGATTGAGTTTGAGGAAGCTGTGTACGTTAGCCAACGCTATTTCGCATATGACGACGGGTAGATCAGTACCTTGGCTCCTTGTTGTATGGGTTGATCTCTACGTATTTATATGGTATCATTTTCTCCTCCAGCGTTATCCAGGTTCGCTGGACAAATGGGCAGAACCAGCCCGAGTAGAGAGTTATTGCTGCATCTTTCTGGTGTTCTGCCACGATGTGCGCTGCGGGACCCGTGGCCTCTGGATAAATATCAGCGTCAGGATGCGACGAGCCCATAGTGAACACGTTGTGGTTGCTGGAAACGGGTGATGAGATTTTTATCCTTGTCTGTAAGCACTCACTTTGCCCTCAAACAACAAGAGTCACAAGAGGGAGACTTCAAGAATTATCGTAGAAGAGGGATGATCTCCCACTCGTCCCTCATACTCGTATTTGTATGACGTGCTGGTCATTAGTCAGAAAATGGGGGGTTGTCAAGCGGGACATTGTCGGTTTTGACGCCATATCATTGCCGCGTTCCGGGGTGGCAGGAATATGGAGGACTATACGAGTAAGGCTCTGATTCAGTGAAAAGTCATTAATATTCATATCCTATGAGCTGTTCATGTTCCGGCCTGGTTGAGAGCATTTATGTGGCTCTGCCATGGATCCTGGCTAAGTCTTCACCCTCCATGCCATTAAGGCCTGACTTTACCAGGCTTTCAATCGCCTCATTAATGGGATCATTCCCTTCCAGCAGGTCAAACCACCCTCGTGTATCGTCACGGGACAAAAGTGCTGCTGCGACGGCCGCAACGTCCTCTCGAGGAACGCTTCCACGTGAAGGAGTCTGTCCCATCTTTACCTTGCCTGTTCCTGGCGAGTCAGACAGAGTACCTGGTCTCAGGTTGATGGCCTGGAATGCTTTGTCGCCATTGTCCAACCGCTTCTTGGCCAAGGCCTCAAGATGCTCGTCAGCCTCTACCTTTGCAAGGTAGTAGTTGTGCAACACATCGTTGTTGACATGATCAGCCGCTTTCTTGTCCTCTTCTGACCACCATGGAGGATAGCCTTTTCGAGAAGCAATATATGATACCATGAGGAATTTGCTGACGGTAGGTGTCGCTAGCGAAGCTGATATGTAAGCCTTCGCGGCGACTTCGTCAATAGCCTTGGTCCTGGTAGGCCCACCCTTTCCACCGGCACCTTGAATCTCGTGAGATAGATCTCGACAATCACTGTCATAACGAACTCACCTGCAGACCAGACAACATAGTCAGGCTTGACCTTGTCCAGGACCCGTTGCGCCTGGGAAGTTTCTTTGACGTCGTCCAGACTGTCCACCAGCACATCAATAGTACCTGGCTTGTCCTTACCAAGTGCTAATATTTCAGCCTCTTGCTCGCGATTGCGAATGACACTGATGACATTCCACTTTTTCGCCAGCAACAGAGGCTGGAGGAAAAGAGAAATCTTCCCATGGCCTCCGAGGACCAATACACGCGGGTTAGTTGGTGCCATGGTACTTGTTGAATCTTCCTTTTGGGAACTTGTCTTCTCCGGACTTGCTGTAAATTTTCTTGCAATAAGAATTTTGGTACGGTTGAGTCTGACTTCAAAAGTCCTGCCACGATATTAATATGTGCGATTTCGTTATGAGAAAGAAATAAGGACGAGAAACTCCTGAGTAATGTCGAGGCTGACTACGTCACCGGAGTGCTGACAAAGTCGCCTAGCCCGGTTATCTCGCCGAAACACGTGACTGATGCATTACTTAAGCAGGCTCAGGTGGACGACCTGCTTACATAGGTAGTTGAAGGACCACAATGAACGTTCCCTTATTGTTTTCTTGACAATCTAAGTATCACTTTCCACAGAACCCTGGAGTCCACGAACACTTTTAATAATACGCGTGTTCCCTACATGTGCCGACACTAGCATACCGCCACCCATCAAGCTCGGCGGAGATGAGCGCGGAGGGTAATGCCATTGATAAACGCCATCAACCGGGGTCAGGGTGTGATCGCCTGCGAAATGGCCTAATGCGGGTCGGCCCTGAGAGCTTCACGACTCTGGCGCCTGAGCCAATTTATCAAGCATCTGTGGCTTTCTCCGCCGATGCCAAAACACATGGTCAGCGTTAGGGGAGGCGAAACCCCTAGGACGAGCTATTACAAACGGCGAACGACCTGAAAGTCTGAACGCCGTCAAATTTGGTGCAATCAGATGCATTTCCGCCCGGTCACTATGCTATCATTGTTGGGGTAAGCCGTCTGTTTGCAATGTGATCCTCCACTTTCCATGGATTTGCTTTTGTCCCAAACACCTGGAGAGCTTGATAACAACCCGGATGAATTCCGCCACCATCTTGCCATGTGCTACTGATACTTAAACATCGCCGTTTGCTGTCACACATGCGACTCAACACCTGCTTGCCTGTTCTTCCGATCCATCTTCGGTCAACTTTTACATCCTCTGAAGCAGTGTGAACCCAACCAAGCATGACACCGGACAAAGCCATGGAAGGTAGCCGAGAAGACAGACCCTTCGTACCGGGGACGGTACATCTCGTTGATTTAGAAGGGACCATGCATGCCAAACACGCGTCCAAAGGGTCCAAAGATATTGTTCTTGTTCCTGCACCGAGTAGCGACCCTGATGATCCTCTCAATTGGAGCCCGCGCAGGAAGCTGTTGTCAACGTCCTGCATGTGCGTGTACACGCTTATGGTATGCTGCAATTCAATTCTCGTGCTCTACGCTTCATTAATCACTGATCCGCTCCAGGTCGGCATTGCCAGCGCCGCGATTTACTCCGTCCTTGTCCCTATAAGCGAAGATACGGGCCTCACACTTGGAGATCTAAATGCTGGCACCGGATACATGTGTATGTCTTCCCATCTTTCATCTCAATAGCTCCAACAAGCTCTGACTTGTGACTGTTTAGTCCTATTCTTCGGATGGGGCTGCCTTATCTTCCAGCCTCTCGCTCTGCAGTACGGCAAACGACCTATTTATCTCCTCTCATTGCTAGCCACCCTGGCCATCCAGGTTTGGGCACCATACACCAAAACAAATGGACAATGGATCGCGAACAAAATTCTCCAAGGCTTTTTTGGTGCCCCGATCGAGTCCTTGTGCGAGATCTCGGTGACAGATATCTACTTTGCCCACGAGCGTGGATTCTACATGGCCATCTACGGACTCTTTCTGGCCGGCTCGAACTTCTTCGCCCCCATAATAGCGGGATTCATCGCTAATGGTCAAGGGTGGCAATGGGTGTTGTACTGGGCAGCAATATTCAACGGGATTGGCTTCATATACTGCTTTTTCCTGATGGAAGAAACCAACTACTCCCGAAATACTCTCGCTGGTCAGGAGTCAAGGGAGCAAAGCGGAACCCAAACCCCGGTCCCTGATGAGACAGACAAGAGCACTGTTCCAGATGAGAAGACTGTTTATCAGACTCCAGGGCCAGCAACCGAAGAGGGGGTTGGCTCGACGATACTGCCAAAGAAGTCCTATACGCAGAAACTGAAGCTCTTCCAACCTGGCTCTTTCTCCAAGAAGAATGAGATTCCAGGCATGATGCTTCGGCCGCTCCTTTATGCGGTCTGTTTTCCTGTGGTTGCATATTCTGGCTTCTCCTATGGCAGCAACTTGGTAAGTACGTCCTATTAAATCACATCGGTGCAATTACTGATCCCACGTGACAGGTATGGTTCAACGTGCTCAACGGCACCGCATCTCTCATCCTCTCCGGAGCGCCGTACAATTTCTCCAGTAGCATGGTCGGACTGAGTTACGTTAGCCCCCTGATTGGGGTCTTCCTCGGTGCAGCATATACGGGCAAATTCGGCGATTGGTTCATCGTGAAATATGCCCGTCGCAAGGGCGGCATCATGGAATCCGAATATCGGCTGTGGCTGTTTACAGCCTCCCTGGGGTTGATTCCCTTTGGTCTCCTGCTCTGGGGGATCGGCGCCTACCATCACGTCCAATGGTTCGGCTTGATCTTCGCAATGTGTATCATCGCTCTGACCAACACCATCGGCCTGCAACTCAGCGTGAGCTATTGCATCGACAGCTACCGCGATCTGGCGGGCGAGACTATCATCACGGTCATCCTCATCCGGAACACCATGTCATTTGCCATCGGGTACGGATTGACACCATGGGTCACCAACATGGGTTACCAGAATGCGTTCATCACGGCAGCGTTTGCGGGGTTGGCACAGGCGCTTACCTTTTTGATCTTTGTCAAGTATGGGAAATCTCTCCGCGTACGCTCGACGGACAGGTATCTCAAGTTTGTGAAGGAAATCACCGATGCTGGATTGACGCATTAAGCTTCCAGGGCTGGTTGCCGCCTGGGTACTGTACACCTATCATCGAGTGCTATGCATGTGCGGTAGTCGGAAGTACAATCAGGACGCACATCTTGTGCATGAATATACACCCCGATACAGCGCGATGTGGATTAGGAAACTGTATTCCTTGTTTTGAGGTTCAAATTTGCCAAGTAGGCCTTGTGCGTAGGGATGTTTCTACGACGAATCGAAAGACGGCTTCGACCTATCCGTACTACTGCTACCCGCGTTCGCTCCGGCCTCGATATAAATATGATTACAGAGAATAGCAAGGAGCCAGCCAAGAATTCCCCAGATACAGTACCCATTGGATGTCGACTATCTATGCCAAGTGATAGCATTCTTAACGGGGCTGTCCACTGATAAAGAGTCGTAACAATGTGATTGGCGCGTTGACCCTGATCTCATTGGCGCCGAGGATCTATCACTAGTTTATGCCATAGCACATCACCCAGGTCGATGTAGAGTGTTTCCTTGCATGCAATAGACTCCCATGGAGTTGGCCGCAAGCTGACGTCGCAGATGAATAGATAAAGACCATGACTTCGTCGAGGGAAATCTGTCTCTTTTCTTCATGTGGTCAAGAACGAGAGTCCCGTCATTCAGACTTTCAGGATGGCGATCTTCAACATGTCTAGGCCCAGCGTGGCAGGTTGGTCGTCCTCCGTCAAAGAGGGACTGAAATCTCGAAGACGCATTTCGGGGTGGACACTTCCCAAACAGAATAGCTCCGTTGCTCCTCCGAACGTCTGGAGTAACGCTGATCAGGATCCTGTCCCTCCCGAAAGACGAACTTGGACAGCGCGCACGTTCGTCGCGTACTGGTTCAGTGACCTGGTCACGGTTTCAACCTGGTCCCAGGGCAGCTCAGTCGTTGCAAGCGGCCTTTCTGCATCAGATGCTATGCTCATTTGTTTTGTCGCCAGCATGTGCAACGCTGTGCCCATTGTCCTGAACGGAGCAATTGGCAGTGACATACATATTCCGTTTCCGATTGCTGCTCGAGCTGCTTATGGTTACTGGCTGTCTTACATTGCCGTGGTCTCCAGAGCGATCCTTGCTCTTTTCTGGTTCGGCGTCAACAGCTCTGGTAAGTCTCCTCTTGTTCCAACTGCATTGCCGACAGTGTTGACATGCCTTAGCCGGTGGCCTTGCGGTGACCCAAATGATCAAGGCCATATGGCCCTCATACGCGAACCTTGCGAACCATCTGCCAGAATCAGCGGGCATAACGACGCAAGGAATGGTATCGTACCTGCTGTTTCATCTTTTGCAGCTGCCATTCTTGTTCATACCGATCCATCGGCTCCAACCCCTATTTCTAGCCAAAGTCATCGTCATGCCACCCGTTGCCATTGGCATGGTTGTTTGGATTACCACTCAAACTGGTGGCAGCAACTTCTTCAACGTTCCGGCGCAGGTGTCTGGCAGTACTAGAGTGTGGCTTTGGCTTGCCAGCATGACTTCGGTCACCGCGTCTTACTCTACCCTTGCCGTCAACATCCCCGACTTCAGTCGATTTGCCAAAAGCCCAGGCGCTCAGATATGGCAACTTCCATTCATTCCGATTTTCAAGGTAACGATTGCCGCCTGCGGTATCATTTCGGCGTCCGCATCCGTCCAGATCTATGGAGAGGCATTGTGGAATCCGCTTCTGATCATCGACAACTGGCACAGCTCATCGCGTGGCCGAGCTGCCGCTTTCTTCTGCTCCATCTGTTGGTGCCTGGCTCAGATTTGCTTGAACGTCTCTGCGAACTCACTGTCTTTCTCCAACGACGTCACATCGATGCTACCAAGATTCATCAACATCCGGAGAGGCTCGGTCATTTGCTTTCTGATCGGCGGATGGGCATTCTGCCCGTGGCTGATCCTCGCATCCGGTCAGACCTTCCTCAATTTCATGTCAGCATACGCCATCTTCATGGCGCCACTCGCCGGGTTTCTCATGTGCGACTATTGGATCGTCAAACGGCGCAGGTACGATGTCCCGGCACTGTACGACCCCAACGGCATATATGGAAAATGTAACTGGCGATCATTGATTGTCTTGATCGTAACCATCGTCCCAATGATGCCCGGACTGGCGAATAAAGTCTCACCCAAGACAGTTCACATACCTGCCGGGCTTCAACATCTTTTTGCGATTAACTGGCTCTACGGATTCTGCCTCACAGTCGTGCTCTACGCAGTGTTGAACTTGTTATTCCCTGATAAAAAGACACTTATTGCACGCGTCATCCAGGGGGTTTCTGTATCGGGAGCTGGGGACGAGGAGGAGTCCACCAGTTATGACCCCACAAATGAGCATACCAGGGTAGAGCAAGTCAAGACTTAGTTGAAAGGTATCGTCAAGAAGAGCTACCGCTATACAGGTTTTCTAGAACCAAAAAAAAGAGTGAAAGAGCAAAAAACCAAAAACAATCAACAATTAGGATTCGCTGCTCGTCACCGACGCAACTACTAACTAATCGGCTTGTGGCTTAAGTACGGCTGAGCGAACGGGAAGCCCTGTTTTCCACAACCTGTGGTCGATTGCGCAAGATAATCTATTTTCGAAATATACATACCTCGAATTAATTCTCTTAATAGTAGTAGTAGTAGTGACTACAGTATTAGTAGTCACTCTTGCTCTGTGATGCCTGGGCGATCTGTAATTTTAGCCACTAACTTTGCCCGTGGCTGAAATGCGTGTATACCCTGACACTTAAATCATCAAACCAAGGCAATCGAGAAAATAATAGAGATAATAGACTAAGCTTACTGATTAACATGTCAAAGAAAGGAATGTGTAGACTGAAAAGGAAGAATTCGTTATTGGAATAGATAGAAGTAGTAGAGAGCCTAGATTACTACCATAGAGTGCCGCGGCTCTCTTCCTCGTCACGTTCGGCCCACGGGAACCTACCTACGAGACATCTACGTCCTATCTGACACTGTTTCTATAGTATCGCTTTTCCAATGAGATTCATATCCCGCTTGCTACACTTCGCCGGACTACCCAGTAGCAATGGCGATGAGTTTCTTTCCAAAGAAGGTCATTCTGCTGCTCTTTACGCTGGTCGTCGTAACCTGGAGAATCCATCGCTTCCTCAACCGCCGTAAGTTCGCCCGGGCCCGCGGTTGCCTGCCAGTCGCACGATCGTACACCAGAGATCCATTCCTGGGCCTCGATCGTCTCCCCAGTGCGCTGCGAGCCATCAGGCAGCATAGGATCCTCGAACACGGCTGCTCCCTGTTCTCCACGTATGGGAGTACCTTCTCGCTCCAGGAATTGCCACGTAGTGTGATCCTGACGATTGAGCCGGAGAATGTCAAGACTGTCCTGTCGGTCAGGTTCCACGACTATGGCATCCACTACCGCCTGGAACCATTCCGGCCGCTCCTGGGGAAAGGTATTTTCAGTGCAGACGGTGAAGATTGGACCGCGTCCCGCGCGCTGATCAGACCAAGTTTCGCACGAGATCAAGTCGCAGATTTGAGGGAGCTGGAGAACTTGATGGGGGATCTTCTCGCATTGCTCCCAAGAGATGGCATGACTGTCGTCGACCTACAGGAATTGTTCTTCAGATATACGATCGATTCCGCTACGTCCTTTCTGTTTGGACAGTCTGTTGGTAGTTTGAAGAACACCACCCAGGGAGAAGGGATTGACTTCGCAGAGGCTTTCCATTATGCCCAAGGGGCGATACTCACGCGAGCAACAACAGGTCTGTGTGGATGTGCCTTGTGTGTCTCCCCGCCGTCATGATGAGAGACTGACGACCGAGAATAGGCCCCCTCAATCTTATCTACCGCGATCGAAAGGCCGATGAATGTAATCGCATCTGTCGGAACTTTGCCCAACAGTTCGTCGATGACGCTGTTCAGGCCGTTCATCAATCCAAGCAGGGTAGTACCAAAGACACGGTCAACGATGCCCAACCAGATCCAGACGCAAGGCACCAAAAGAAACACATCTTCTCCCACGAGCTCGCCTCGAGGACATCTGACAAACAGCGCATTCTGGACGAGCTTATGAACGTACTCCTAGCAGGGCGAGACACTACCGCCTGCCTGCTGAGCAACCTCTTCTTCGTTCTCGCCAGGAGTCCGGTGATATGGCAGAAGCTGCGGGCCGAAGTTGCTGTCCTCGAAGGTCGGCCACCAACTTACAACGAGCTTCGTGCTCTCAAATATGTTCGATACTGTGTCAATGAGTGTAAGGTGGCGTCCAATTTTTTTTGATCATCTATCTTGTAGCTAAAATGTATACCCAGCTCTCCGCCTCCACCCGCCCGTGCCCCGGAACGAGCGAATGGCCATACGGGATACTGTCCTGCCCTTGGGTGGAGGTAAAGATGGTCTCTCTCCTGCGTACGTGCCCAAAGGCACTGTCGTCGGCTGGAATGTCTACGCGATGCATCGTCGTACATCCATCTACGGCGCAGATGCAGAGGAATTCCGCCCGGAGCGCTGGGAGGATGGCAAGCTTCTTCGGCCGCACTGGGGGTTTTTACCATTCAGTGGCGGGCCACGGGTCTGTGTAGGACAGCAGTACGCTTTGACCGAAGCAAGCTACGTCCTCGTCCGAATGGTGCAGAAATTGGCGGCCATACAGACCGCCGATCCACGGCCCTGGGAGGAATCGTTGACCCTGACGCTCTGTTCGAGAAATGGCGTCAAGCTTCGCCTTTTTCCTGCTTGAATTCGCCGTGTGATTTCAAGTAAGGTTTCACTTTAAAGAAGGCACCATCGCTACAGCACATACCTACCAACCCGTACGTACTGTATTTCAATCACCATACTTTTTCAACAAGCCTTTCAACAACCCCATCGCGCCACCTTTGTAACCACCCCCAAAGATTGCCCAATGATTCAAATGGTGATAGCTCTCATAGAGTCTGATCCGATCTTCATACTCACTCACCGGCTCCGTTTTGGGTACGATAGCATGGTATTCGTTCCAGAAAGAACTTCCGAACCCTCCAAACATGTTCATGATTCCAAAATCGTATTCGTTGTGAGCGTAACATGAAGCAGGATCATAGACGACGTCCTCCACCGCTGAACCGTCACCGTCGCTGCTGCTGCCGCTGCCGCCATTTTGTGTTTCTGTCTCTGTTCGCGTTTGTCTTCTACCCACGAACCTTCCACGAGATTTATTCCCACTCCACAGATCCCCGTGTACCACGACCGGTCTGATCGCCTCTTTGCCACCCAGGTGTCCATCACCAAGTAATTTCGGTACGACCTCGTCAACCACCCTCTCGACGGTCTTTCGGAGTTGCGCATCAGAACCGTTGTTCCTCTCCCCTCGCTCCAAGATGGCTAGTAATCGTCTCTGGCCGAAGAATTCGGCCCATGACGGACTGAATGTATTGTCTTGCGGCGTATCACCGCAGCATGTCGACACGGGGAACCCGAATTGAGGCTCATCGTAACCCTCCGGTACAGGAGCGGGTGTGGAATGTAACCGTGCCAATTTCTCAGCGAGACTCATCCCACTTCCTGCCGACGTTGCTCCTCCTGATCCTCTTCTTTTCGACATCGACGGTGAGAGACCACCGAGGTTGAGAAACTCCGTGGCTAGAAAATACCCCCCTCCACCACCCTTTTCAAGTTGTCCCCATCCGAAAGATTTGGGACACAGACTTGGCACGGCGTCGTGTATGGCGTTCAGAGAGGCATGTTCGCCTTCAAACATGACCTTGGCCCCGGCTTCGGAACTCGTCTTGACGAACATCGACCTCGTGGGCGTGGTGATCCTGAACGTCGAAGAGAATCCCGAGCCGCCGTGCGTGGCCATCTTGGAGGTACCGACGTCCAGCGACAAGGCGCGGACGATGGCCGGGTCTATTGATGAGCTCGGCATCCTTACTGAACGGGGACTTCTGATCTCCCCCAAAAAAGGTTTATACGAGTAGGTAAATCAATTTGTAACCCCCGTAGGTCTGAATAATGGTACTTCGTGAATCCTCGGCCGGCTTCTTCACAATATCAACGGTGGCCCTCATGTACTGTGCGAAAATCATAATACGATCGGCTCGACTATGTTTCGCCTAATGTACAGACATTCATACTTGAGAACTACGAATAGTCAACATCAGGCCATGCTTGTGCTCCTTTTCAATCATGATGGTCTGATGTATTTGCAAAGAATGACGTAATGACAAGGCTCGGGGTATTGTGAACCGACCGAGTACAAGCTCGTAGCCTTGCCACCGAGGTATTTCATACGTGAAATCGTTAACGCGTTATTCTCCTCTGGACGAGCAAATTCAAAGAGCTTGAGATGATGATCTACCAAGCCCAGGTCGCAGCAACGCCCTAGATAGTTATCAAATCATTCGGTATTGACTACTTTGCTCTCCGCTTTCTGCTCGTCACTTTAATCGCAATCGCATCATCTTCAGTCTATTTTTGCACCATTGACCGATTGATATATTCCTTCATCCAGTCCAAACGCCCTCGCTATGCAATGCATTTCCAACAAAACACTGACGGCTCACGCTTTTGCCAAACTAACGCGGTCCCCGGCCAGAACCCTTGGATTTGGCTTCAGCATCGCTGTTGACTCCACTGCCTGTACCGCTGTCCGTACCTGCGCCCTTCTTCTTGGGCCGAAGAGTTTGTCCCTGACCCTTGAAGTGTGGCTTTACTTCGTCACCGACCACTGGCTCGCCATTCTCGTCTCTCTTTGCCAGAGGTTTGAACTCGTACCCGAAGAACAGTTTCCCGGGAGGCAGTCTGAGTGGTTGGGGCCCATTCGTCTTTCGCGGAGGTGGTTGTTTCGGTCGGTTTGTCGACGCACCGGCCACGGGAGTCGACGGGTTCGGGGTAGGTGCTTTGGAACCCTTCTTCGAACTCAACTTGTGTCCGGCGGAGAGAAAATGGGACGAAACAGCCCTGGCACCCGCAGCTGCAGACGTTGCCGCCGGCGCTATGCTTTCGTAGTTGATGGACTGTGCCATTGTTCCTTGGAAGTGGACTGAACCCCCTCGAGGCTTCCCGATGCCACTTCTTGGTGTGCTCGCTCCACTGGTCCGTTCCGGTGGAACGTACCCGACTGGTGTCGCAAAGTCAACTTCCAGATCCGTCTCCATGGTCACAATGGCGTGAGCGTCTGTGTCCGGTTTTATCTCCAGTACGGCAATATCGTACGTCTGATCGTTGTATTCAAAGGTAAAGGTGTCCCCCTTGGTCAAGCAAGCAAAGTTTCGAAAGGCATTCTCAAGGACAGCTCGAGGATCGGAGATATCGAGGAAGGCAGGCGATTGGGGTTGGAGTTTGATGAATTTACCAGGAGGAAGGTCGGTCGATCTGATCTGGAGCAGGTCGCCCGGGTCGAGGTCGAGAGTCTGCATCAGCTGGAATTCACGTTAGCATACGCCACATACCCGCATAGACAACAGGACGCACCCATTGTGGTAGGTAGATTCTTCCTTCTTCAGCGATGAACTCCAGAACACCAGCGTGAGTCGTCTTGCCAGCGTTGCCGTTGATCAATTCGAAGAGCATTGGATAGGCGATGTGTAGTCTCGTAAGTTTGTCCAGTGCTGACGGCGGTAGGAAAACCTTGCCACCATAGTTGACGTTCTTTCTGTCCGGTCCATTCATCATTACGACGGGGTAACAGCGATAGTATTCATCAAAACGCCTCGTGGACATGCCGACGGGAGGCCCGCCGCGCATGAAGGTCGGGAACCCCATCATGTCGCCTTGATAATACGACTGATATGGTCAGAAAATCGCAAGCCTATAGAGGGAGCTACTTACCATGGCTGTCGCGAAATGGAAAGATGATCCCGATTTACACGGTGGTAGATGGGTGAGATCGGTGTGAGGATGGTGTTGGGGCAAACACAATGACAAGGGCACCTGGTCAGGCGAGTGAGAGAACGCTAGAAAGTACAGTCGTGTGAATTATACGACGATCCCCTAGGTAGATGAGTGAATTGACTCGAGTTGAGCGTCTTGGTCTCGTAACTGTAGATGAAGCGCAGATGAAATGCAGGCGGCGATGATGTGACGTGATTTGGAGAAGAACGAGAAGCGCCGCATTTTATCCGATGCTCTTCAACTTCCCCGGACTTGCTCTCTACTGGATTCACAAGAGCTACTCCGTACTACATAGACCGTTCAGTTCTTCAGATTCATCCTCAACTCGTATGTTCCAAGACCAACCTCTCCCTTGCTCCCGTTGAGTGAGTTGTAGGACTCGCCTACAATGTCCTCTTACAACAAAAGACGCGCCGAAGATTTTGTTCGCACGCACGACCATGCCCAGCCCAGCAAAAAGCCTCGCTTCGACGTGCGCAATCCCTCCGCACTAGCTCCCGATGCTCCTGAGGACGATGCAATCCTGGATGCGGATGTCATCGGCTCACGAGGTCAACAAGTGCGCCGTGGCGCTGTGAATATTGATGGTTACGATTCTGACAGCGACAATGACAACTTCAACGCTCGCGCTGATGCAAAATCTCGCGCAGAGAAGGCCGCCGCTCAAAGGTCCAAACAAGAAGAACAAGACGATATGTTTGCTGACTTGGAGGACGATTTTCGTGACGGGGATGACTCAGAAGGAGACGCGGCCCGTCGAGGAGGGAAGAAGAAAGCCGTACGATTTCTGGACACAGATGAGATTCAAGGACAGGTGCAAAATTCAAGAAGCGGTGGTCATGTTTCGGCTGATTTCAGCCTGAATGGAAGTGGCCACGGCAAAGGCAAGGCAAAAGATAGAGAGGTCGATGATGAGGTGGAGAGTAGCAGTGACAGTGAAGTTGATGACGAGATGAGAGCAAGCACAGGTGAACTTGACCCAGAACTGGGTGCTGGAGGCAAGAAAGCCCACGCACCAAAGTTGGATGCTTTCAATATGAGGACGGAAATGGAGGAGGGCCGGTTTGATGAGCAACAGAATTATGTCCGCAAAGCAGTAGACCCTGATGCTATCCACGATGTCTGGCTGGAAGGAGTCTCAAAGAAGCAAATGCGAAAAGCCAAAGAGGCTGCTGAGAGGCGCGAGGAGGAGCGAAGGAAGCGTGACATCGAGGATGACGCCCAGTCGACAGGAGAGGTCCTGGGCCGCCTTATTCCATTGCTTGAACGCGGTGAAACGGTCCTGGAAGCTCTTGCCCGACTTGGTAAAGGCAAAGATAAAAAGGCCAAGTGGCAGACAAAGAAGATCAAGAAACAGAATGGCAATGAACAGGCCGAAGATGATGCGATCGAAAAGGCTCGCAAGGAAAAGGTCGAGGCTATCACTGGAGCAGCCGACATATTGTTAACACGCGGTCAACCCGAGGTCTACGACAGTGAAAGAGAATTACTCGTCAGACAATACAGAAGAGAGACTGGTGAAGACTGGGTTGAGTCTCAGCCCAAAGATATTGAAGCTGGCAATACTAGCCCTGACGCTGCGGAACATATGTGGGAGTATCGTTGGACTGATGCAAGGGATGGCGGTACCATCAACGGTCCATATACTGGCGATACCATGCGACAATGGAGTGATGCTGGATATTTTGGTGAGGGTGTTGAATTCCGTAGAGTGGACGGTGGCAACTGGTCCGCAATAGCCGAGTTCGCCTGATGATACTGTCGTCCGATATTCCGAATAATCGACTTCCTAAGCATGGAATATTTCTTTATCCGTTCGACCTTCACCATCCCACGCTGTCGCTTCGGTATGCCGGAATGTCATAACTCGCCAGTTGAGTTCACGACGCCAGAACAGACCATAGCTCAAATGAACGCCACCTCTTTCCGCGGACAGTCCACCACTGCCAGGCATTTGTCGACCTAAAACGCATGCCCGGAATCGTGAGTGAATCATGCCCATCCCACAGCAGACGCATGGTTCATGGGTCAAATAGATGTCCAGTCCGCTACAAAGATAGCCCTCCTTTTGAGGTCCCGATTGCTTTTCTGGCAGCACAGTGTCGTGGCTCTCTCCAATGTTGACGTTGCCGACTTTGCTGGTAAGATCTTCGAGAATTTTTTCATCATCTTCATAGCGAGCCTCAATGGCGGTGAGAGCCTGGCCAGACGGTGTTTCGCGGTAGGTGGTGAGGAATTTCTTGTGACCACCGGCTGCAATGCGTCTGCGTAATTCTTTATTGGCCACCATCGCAATGGCACGCATGACAGCATGGTATTCCGGGCGCCCTTCACCACGTGTGCCTCGACGACCTTTTTTGGGTTTGGGAACAGGGTTAGGAGAGTACCAACGAGCATCGCCAGCGACTGCAATGACAGCACCAGTTTCTGGATCCACAACCACAGCACCCACCGCGCGTCCGTGGCCCATCTCGCGGGCTTCAATCGCTGCCATCATGGCTAGTTGCAAGTATTTGTCAGCAGCTGGAACTTCCAGCTGGGTTCTGATCCGCTTGAGGTGCTGCAGCGGGGGGGCATCCTGAAGAACCTGCGCTGCAGGATTATAGATCGTCGGCCAGTATCGTTCAGACCACAAGGAGGCTTGCTCGACGTTGAGCGGACCGTAGCGTGGCACCACTGCATCGAAGCAACGTGGGAGGCCTTCTTCTTCGATATGTGGCAAGAAGTGGTCACGAATCTTCTCCCACGGCACTACCGTGTTTGGAACAAGGAGGAAACAGGTTTGCAAGCCTCTTGAGTCGTAGTCACGACGCCATGTCAGATCTTCTGGGAGGTGAGAAAGCGTGCACACTCGTCGGAAGTGACTGAAGGAGGGATGCTTGCCACCGCTCGGAATGATGGGCTTGACAAGGCTGCAGTTGTCATTAGTGGTATCCTGACTGCGGTTGATAGGAGACTTGCCTCAGTGCTTTGCTAGTCAATTTGGCTGGAATCTCCACCACGAATGCTTGTACTGGGCCAACGGTCAGTTTGCTTGTGTTTTGCTTGATGACCTGGACAGCAAACATACCGAACTCAACCTCGGACCGCGTCTCGTGGAGAGTCTTGAGGGGCTCAAGAAAGGCCACTGGTTCCTCCATGATTGGCAGGCTTGACAGACCCTGGCTGCATGATCCTGAAGGAAGCCCCAATGATGGAGGAAAAGAATCAAGTCAAGTTCTGCAGAAAAGAAGAGTAGGTTGCAGTTTTGTTTGGGGTTGTCGTAAATGACTTCACAGTCGTTCCTGCAGTCTAGGGTCTTTGTGTGTGGCAGAGACAGGCGGTAAGTGGTCTGGGTAGTTTAACTGAAAGAAAGAGCATAGGCAGAAATTTTACAGGTGAAGCAGGACAAGTCGTACAGTGAAATATTAACCTGCTAATGGACAGTCGAATAGAAGGTTGGGGAATGTATGTACAAGAAAAGAAGAATCGTCGACTGTGAAAGGTGGAATCTATGTCCCCGTCTTCGTTGTGCCTTTTTGTTTGAATTGAGATCGTTATGAGTGGAAGACCGAGTCACTCACTCATTTATCAATATTGTTGGCCGGAGGAAGAACGATGTTCCTTTCTCCGCAAAATAATTTCTCCGATCCGGTCGGATATATTCTGAGTCTGTCTGATTCACAGTCTCATGGACCGTACATGGCTACACTGATGACTTGTGACGGCCATCATGGCGTAGCTGCCTGCAGTTGAGGTCCCTGCCACTACTCACTCAGAAGGCGATTAAAGTTGTCAAATGTGAAGTCATTCTAGACTCAGGTGAATGACACTTACAATGCCATTGGTCATGACAGGTGATGGGGACGGGGTGGCATTTCCGTACTTATTACTTGAACCCTCTGATGAAAGCTCGCTCTCTCAGGGCTTGAACACTTGAAGGTGAAAGTGAATTATACATCATTAGAGAGACCGTGGATGAAAAGACAGGTCATAACAGGAAATTGTGCTATTCAGCACATTACACAATTTAATTCACGGCAGCTATCATCTATTACAACTCTTTGTAAAGTCATCCTAACCTTGCTTCCAAGATCATCTCATGATATTGGTGCAGATGGAGAAATTCCTGATTCAACACCTTCAAACTCCCTCGCTATGCTGTGCCACGCCATATCGCGTTAGAAGACGCAGTACATTTAAAAACAAGCACCTTCTGGCTATTCTCACCGTATTAGCATCTCATCATCGTCATGACCGGCGCACTATGCCTTGCCACATCCTTCAGTTTGTTCGTCTTCCGTATCCTCATATATCTCAACCTCATCCATATCGTATTGACGTTTCTTCCTCGGAACAAGCACCCTATGCTTGTTGCTTTCGGTAGCCTCAGTGATTGGATGGGGTCCGATGACAAGTTCTTGGGAATTGATCGCCGATTGCTCAGAATGCCGCGTTCTTTTGCGTTGCAAGCTTGAAACTTCATCATCGGGTATTCTTCTCGCTGAGACACTCCTGAGCCTAGAATTCTCTCCCGTAAAAGGAAAGTCTTGCAATGGAGGATAACTTTGCATGCCTGATAGGAAGTCGGTCGATGCGCTTTTCGGTCTGATCTGCTGCTGCGCCTCGTCGTCATCACGATATGAGAACTGTCTTTTCCTCGAAGTCCGAAGATGGGAGGCTAATTCGGCCGGATCTCCATACGACAAGATCTGATCCGAAAATCGGTGACCGTTAGGCGAGATTGGGGATGATGCTGTGACTTGGACTATTTCTCCAGGACTTGGCCCCAAATTTGAACCAGCATGTGGTCTACGCCGATCAGATGGGGAGTTAGCCCCATCGAGAATACCAGGGTCGTCGACCATTATTCCAGATTGAACATCTTCACTCAAGTCTGTGTCCAGTGGCGCAGGTGTGCTGTCTGCATGCGACGCTAGCCCTTCGTCCTCATCATGCATACGCCGCAAGCCTGATCTCTGATAATCAATCCCTTTATCAACTAGAGACAGTGGGTGCTGAGTTGTTGGGGGCGGACGTTTAGGTTTGTCAATCATGATGCTTCCAACCTCAGGAATTTCCTTTTCCGGTTCTTCGTGTTCTTGACGCCTGTGTAATTCGAGGAGTAGATCTCGTAGTCTTTCCCTTAGATCGTGGCCTCGAATCGTCTCAGGCCATTGATGAGCGTTCCCTTCTCGCTGTAAAATGTTGTACACAAACGTATCTGGATTCGCAACAAACTGCTCCAGGTACATGCACAGATACAACCCGCAGTCACTGAAATTGCGTTGTGTGGGAATCTCTTTAGCCGTCATTCCCCGAAGTTCGCTAGGCTCGAGGTCAAGGCCCTTTTTATTCTTCGCCTCCGCTACCACGTATTGTTTGAGAATGGAAGTTGTAGCAGGGCGTGCAGTTCCAAGGGAATCTAGGGTGATAATAACAGGTTTATCAGTATCATACTTTGGTAATCGGCTGACCCTTCTCCTTGCAGGCCTCTTTTTGCCCTTGGCATTGGAAGGAATCTGGTGGGAAATATCGTTATCACTAATAGAAAGCTCTGCCAATGATCTCTGCGTCTGCTCCTCGGAAGCAGTGGTTGGTCCATCAACATTTCCATCGGCTAGCGTGGAAGGATCTTCAAGAAGCAACGGCTGTAGTCCCTGCCTGGCTGGCTGTTCCGACTCGGGCAGAAAGTAAGGGAGGTTGCAAATGATGGCGAGGTACCAATGAAAATTTTCATTCACAGGAACCACCACAAAATCGCGCTTGAACAAATCCATGGCTTTCGTCCACTTGCTGACGCCTTCATAATTGATGCCTCGCCCTTTCTGGCCTTTAGACGTCTTCGTTAGAGTTTCGAAAAAGTATGTGTTAAAGATGTGAATTCTCGAGGACAATTCAGGCTTCGTAGAGTTGATCTTACTTTCCAGGTAATGAACAAAGAAGGAGATCAAGTTGTCGTTGAGGAACTCCTCGTGGCCCAAGTGGCCTAAATCCTCGTAAGGCACGCTCCCGGTTCTTTTCTCGCTGATCGCATATCTCAGATCGTTTCGCCATGGACCTCCTGGAATCTCAAGGTTTGAGGTCTTTGTTGATTGAGAGCCGTCTGCGATTCGATCGCACTGTTCTTTCTTACCAGACTCCTGTGATCTCGTTACTCTTCGCAATGAACTTGGCTCTGTCTGTGATATCTCTCGTCTGTCAGATTCCACCGACTTTGGCTGAGCGTTGTGAGCATGTTGGGTGGCCCTCGCATTGTCAGTGCCTCGTCTTTGGGCGCCAGTAATGACTGTAGGATGGCCGGAGATAACAGCAGGCAGATCCAATCGATCAACGTGACGGGTTCGTTTCTCTACTGTATCTTCATTCGCAATTTGCGTGTGCTTTTTGCTGACCTTTGTCTGCGTAACGGTAACTGTAGTCCCTTCCTTTTGATGCTTATCAATGTCGGCCTTTGTTTTGGATAACGCGGTCTCCATCCAATCACTGTTCTGGTCAGTAATATTATTATAATGTCAAGCATAAAAACGTACGAATCCTTCCGTTTGACACGATAAGACCTGTCTACCTCCTGCAGCAACTTCACGAATTCATCTGCTGCCCCCTCGGACTCAAAGCGAAGATATGTTGTCGGAGGACCGTTGCCACTACGCGAAAAATCGAGGGATACCAGGTTAGATTCGCTTCCATACTTGATATCAATAATCTTTTCCATTGGGCAAGCCTGTGTGGCATCAGTGCCGAGCTCGTCGATATCCGTATTTATCCGGAGTTGCTTTCTCCGTTCGTCCACTTCCAAGGTGACGACAGAGTCTGTCCAAAGATCTGACACAAATTCCAGGAGTTTAAAAGTTCTCAACGACGAATTTTGTATGTTTGTAAGCTTCTTCGTCGGATTTCTGATAGCCATACTCTTATCAGACCCCACAAGCATCTGAGTGAACGCCGTGGCCGGTACATTGTCGAGAGAGGTCGGATGTTGCTTGGTCGATCGAGAAGGCGGCTGCCGATAATCATCCTGTAATGCATCTGGACTTTCTGACCCTAAGGACTTCAGTTGACGGGTCCTCGGTACACCCGCACCAGGTATCATTGAGGTTTCAGTTTTGCCAAAGTACGCAGAAGTGGTTTTGCCTTGTGCAGCTCGGATAGACTGTCTTGATGGAGAAGTCTTCCGCGTGCTACCCTTTTCAGGAGGGCTGAGAGTGGGTTGCTCTGTCTTTCCATTTTGAAAGGCTGGACTCATTCCTAGCTCATCGACTGAGTCTTCCGCTTTCTGACTGTTCCCAAGGTCAATGGCATCTTGAATGTTCTGTCCTGCTTTTTGGGGTTGCTCCAACTTTCGTCTCTTGTGTCGATGATTGTGAGTGTCTTCATTTATCTGTCCACTGCTTTTGAAACCATGCAACTGAGGTAATCGGCCTGAAATCGGAGTTGAACCAACGAACCCGGATCGTGCGGAGGCGCGAGAACGATTCAAAGTGTCCACAGGTCTGTAGGGGGACTTGAACTGTAAGGGGGTCAAACATTGTATAGACAAGCAGTGCAGGAGACATACATTTGATGACTGCTTCATGGGATCTTGTATGGTCACAGACCCAGGTTCAGACTTACTAGAGCAACGCTCAGTTCTCCTGTCACAGATTATAGGACGAGCCTGATACCTCACACCACCAAGGAGCCGAATTTCGTCTGCTGACTGTGAATTATCTATGCTCTTTCCCGCAGTCATATCACGCTCCCTCTGGGTTGAACGTGTAGGCATTTGTCTTGTAGAGGCTTGCGTGGCAGACGAAACTTCATGATTGGATGCAGGTCGTGTTCGCAAGAGAGGCTTTGAGGTTTCCGGTCGAACAACAGGACGGATTTCTAATACCTCTTCTGCGTCGTCATCGTCTTCAATCTGCATACCAATTATCAGGTTAGTAAACTCAGAATGAATACTCAGTGAATGAGGGCGGTTTCACGTGAACGCGACCTACAGTTATCGGATCATTCTGTGCCGGATCATTATCTCTGATGTAAAGGTTCATGCGCTTGGTGAGATACTGTCTAGGAGCTTGCTGGGGCATTGATCCCCCCTTGCGAGGTGTGACATAGGAAGGATGCGAATGGTCGTTTGTCAGGTTATTGTCTTCACCAGAAGCCGGGACATGGGGGCTGAGAAGAGTGTCCAAACCGTGCCGTACCACATTGCGGAGATCCTCAGTCCAAGTTGAGCGCATCTGGCTCAGTCTCAAGCATTGTAAAAAGAAGTCTTCAAGTCTACAAACCGTCTCGGTGTCCTTCAGGTGTACATTTTTTTGAGAGGGTGCGATTATTCAACAATGATCATAGACGTAGAGAGAGTCCCCGCACACACAGATGCCGCATGATGGATCTCGAAATAAGGTTGATAGAGTATATATGCACACTACCATGAAACACAGACTCAGATGCATCTTTGTTAATCTTTACTTGGACCAAGCAGAAGAACAAATTCATTGTTGCACGGTCATAGAACATGGTTCATTGGACCTGGCAAGTCCCCTTGTTGGAGCTATATCCAGGAATTACTTGCAGTATTCTACACACGGGACCTTGTCCCGTCCCTCTCTTGCTAAGATGCCACCGCTTTACCTCTACTCTTGTCCGAATCATCATGTAACGTGGGCCGTCGTCTCTCCACTCCCGAATGGCCTTGTGGAGCACTTGATTTCTGCTGTCGAGCCTCATCGAGTGCAGAGCGCTGGGCGATGCTGTCATCGTGGCTCTTCCATACTATATTGGTGTCGGCGGGAAAAGCGAGTATTCGCTTGATGGTTTCGCTGTGTAACATTAGAATAAGCAATTTCAAGAGCATTGATACCAAGAACGTACCGAATCTTGATATTCCTCCCGCCATCGTTCTTGGTCCAAACACTGAGGACATCCTCACCACTTCGTACACTAAGTACAGCGCCACATACTTCCTCACCAGCCTCCATGAATTGATCTCCAATGATTGCAAGGAGCAATTCCTCCCAATACCTATCAGCGACGCCTTTCTTGAGCCTGACAATCCACTTTCCGCCTCTCTTGTTGGCCTCGTCTTCCCAAACGGGACGAATGCCATCCTTGAAAATATGATAATCAGACACGGTCGGTAGTAGGGAAGGCCGCTTAAGGTGGGAATATATCGTCCAGAAGCTTTCTACCGAGCTAATAGTGGCCAGCTTCTGAGTAGACTTTTCATAGTCGGAAAATTTGTTCGCCGGAGGTCTATAGAACAAATTCCAGGCGTTTCTTAATTGATGCCCAGGCTGGGCGCTGGATGCCGCCGAAGCCTCCGTGAATTTCTCAGTCAGGGAAGCTTCGGCATGTGTGTCTGTCTCCTTCTCTTTCTTGTCCCGTGATGTGAAGTCAAATCCGGTCCCGGATCCTGTCCCCGGGGTTTTGGGGGTTTTCGCGGAGCCGAACGAGGCGAACGCACCGCTTCCCAAGCCAAAAGCAGATGATGCGCTCGCTGAAGGAGACTTTGTGGCAGAGGGGGACAGAGCGTTGAACGGGTTCGATTTGCCGTGTGAAGAGGTGTCGCCAAAACGCTTGCTTGTGTAGTTTCGTGGCGATTCTACCTTGCTACCATCCTTACCATCAGAATCTCTCATAGACAGCGAAAGCTTTCCGGAACTGAAACATGGTCAGCGTACAAAGCAGAAAAGAGGATGCAACAGACTTTGAGCGCCGAGTCCACAAATTTGCGTTTTCCATGGGCAAGACAAGAAAAGAGTGACGGAAGGTCTTGGAATGCGACCAACAACGGTCAACAGCGACGTCGAGTATCTCAACGCTGCGGTAGTGAGAGCGTTCGTGGGTGGTTGATGCGATGGAAGGGTTCGATGGGAAGGATTCAAACGGCGGATGCGGAAGTTGAGCGGTGCGTCAGAGAACGATATCCAGAGTCAACTGAAGTGTTACAAGAAGGAAATGTGTTGATACAAAATGCGAGGCCGTACTGGGTGGGCTTTGAGTCTTAAAATCGGAACAGGGTAGAGTGTAGAGAGTACAAATGAAACAGTAAAGCAGAAGCGCAGTGGTGTCAAGCCGCAGTGTTTGTTGGAGGTGAAAGGCGAGGAGCCCTTGCAGCGGGAGAATGCCCAAGGGCCAATTAGGGGTCTCACAGCAGTCCCCAGCTTGCTGCTTTTAATCACCAACTAGACCGCATTGACACTAGGCCCACGATCCAGGAACAATGAAAACTTCGGCTTTTCAACCTCTCCATTCTCCTTCTTTTTCCTATTATCAAGACACCCAACTCAAATCATCGTCAGCTGAAGACACCAGTCACCGTGGAGCTGGTGATTCCGATGAGAGTGTCGAGATTGAACCTCATCAAGTCCGCATCTAAAACCATCATCACGAGGGCCAACCCGGCTTCCCATGATGCGGTGATGACCTGAATGTCGGAACATGCAATCATGAACGTATTATGAACGTACTGGGGCGTTGCAATGTAGGTAGCATATTCTCCTTTCCTTGTTCGAAAGTCAAAATGAAGAAATAGATCAAACAACTCTGGTAAGCCGATAGGCTCAACCGCTAGAATAGAACCTCGTATACTCTATGCTGGTCGAGCATGACGTTCAAGGCATTTACTGAACTAGTTTTGATGCATCAGACCTCTGGGACAATGCTAGGAACACATTGCTGACACTACGCTAGGGTTATTCCACAAGCAGAGAAGTATGTAAGCCTTATCGGCAGGGTCATATGGCCTGAACTCGATTGTCATTTGCATACCTAAGCATGATGCCAAAGATGGCAGCAAGTGTTTTCAGACGGCGTCTAAACTCGCTCGTGATGTGAGCTGCTCGTTCTGGTTTCCCAACTTGGATATCTGGAGGAATGCGTCTACGCCGTAGCCCTCCAAACTATGCAATTCTAGGCCTCCAGCCCAGTATTCGGCGTATACTCGGCTCATGGGCAATCCCATTCCGAGTCTCAGATCTGGTGCTCTTGACGCGAGCGTGCTCAGGGATGAATCTCTGATCTTTCCACTTGGCTTTTCTTCGGCCACCTCAAACTGTCGGACTTCTTGCATAGTGGCAGCCAAGGTTGGAACGTCCCGGAAGTTCTCGAGGCGGGCAGCACTTCTTGGTCCTTTATTAAAAGACCAAAGAAAAGGTGTGATCTCCCTAGAAATGCCTCCACCCTGGTCGGAAATGCGGATCACCACCTGCTGAGGAGCCTCGCAGACCAGCACTTCGATCGGTGGTGGAGGTTTGCTCGGAGTTTGGTATCGTGCCATAACTGCCTGGACTGAATTCCGTAGCAATTCCCCAATGATATATTCCAGGTGGCTCAAAACGTATGGAAACGTCGCATTGACATGCCCTTGAATTTTGATCTCTGGGACTAACGGGTCAGCGCCTGCTGATGACTTGCAAATTTCCTGTGTGAATTTTCCAACCCGTTCAATGATGTCCTTCGCATTACATTTGAGAAGAACTTCACCCACGAACTCGTTTTCCGAGCTCGGCTGAGCCACGTGCCATGGAGAATTGAAGGTCTCGGTCAATGCGAGATGTTGTTCGGCAATGACACGTCTGGAGATGCGAGCCCGCAGCATGGCCTGCACGAATTTGTCCATCGTATCCGCCGGCACAAGTTCCTGACACTCGAGAACTCCCATAACCAGATTGGGGATCACAGCCAGATGTTCCTTCAAGCTCTCGCCGATGACCTTGCAGAAGTGTTCGTTCTCTTCCACATTTCTGATGACGGGAATTCTACGAAAGCTCTCAAACGACTTGTAGTATAACTCATACACCAAAGAGAGATGTGGGTTGGTGACCACAACGTATGGCAACCTTTGCATTTCCCGTAGCCGGTGCGCAATTCTAGTGGGCAGCTCCATGCGGACATAGTTAGCTGAGCTGAGCAGGCGACTCTCGGTCAGGGTACGGCCGAAGAAGAAAAGCTGGCGCAAACTAATAGGACGAGTTGGGCGATCAACCCAGCTGCGTAGGTAGTTAGCAACGTGAATTTCTCCGCCTAGCACAGACTCACTCATCCAACGCCGAAGCCGGTCGCCATGGCGGCGGCGTGCTCTTTGGTCGTGTAGAAGAAGACCATCTACACAACGCTGTTGTCGTAGTTGTTGTGTGGCCCTTTACTGGCGAGGCTCGTGGCCTCAAGAAGCGGGGGACCTGCAGCATCTCATATCAATTGAGGGCGTGCGATATGTCATGGTCAAAGTCGTCTGAGTGAATCGTATACGGATACCGTCCTACGTTCAGTCGAGTGACGGCGTAGTCATACTTGACGAGTGCGGTAATGGTGTGTGTCCAGCAGCAGACGGAGACGGTGATATCAGTGATTTGGATGGGTTTATTGAAGTTGGAGAGGCACCAACAGTCACCACTCGTTATAATAATAGTCTGTGCGGGTTTCTCGGCCAGTCGTCATTTGATCACTGCTCAGCGTGACGAGGTTCATATTCAATTCGTCCTCACCTGCGCTCGCCCTAAATCCTGGATTTCCTGTTATAAATCCCGAGTATACTTGTCCCATACCTTATTTTCGAGGCTTCATTGAGATAAGTACTCTGAAATCTGCTTCCCGGACAGTTTCCTCGAGTGCAAGGTACTGCGAGCCGTGCCTCAGGTTGAGGATCTGCCTGCGCTCTCGCTGACTACAATGCTAGGTGCCCTCACTCCACGGTGAACTTTGCGTAGGGCGAATCCTTGCGGCAAACCGAGGAAGGAGCTGTTCAGTTCCTTCCCCGTTAAAGACACACACACACAATTACGAACATGGACAATGTACGTGAGATGTTCCTCTTCTGCATCCGCCGCCACCTGCCCACTCGACTGCCTCGCCGCCTCGCCGCCCATAAACATGAATACTGACTTTGAATTCGTTTTTGGTCGTCTGCAGTTGGGAGGTCCTGACATGCTCATTGACGACTATGACCAGTATAACCAGCAGGAAAATGAAGTTGTCAACATCTCCCCCGATGATGCCTCAGAGGAGCCTGCCGACGCACCACCACGGGCCGATGACTGTATGAACACCCCCCTCTATCTCCTCCCTTCGTCGCTGACAACATGTAGTCGAAGCAATGAAACGACATGTCCTTGTCGATCTTCCTGATGCCGAAGCAGAGACAGAAGCATATCACACTTGGCATATCGAGAAGTGGCGGACACTGCCACGCCGGGAGCATGGACCGGTCTTCGAAGTTGGGGGTCATCCGTGGCGGGTACTCTTCTTCCCGTACGGAAACCAGGTTGACTGTGCCTCCTTCTACCTCGAACATGGTTTCGAAAATGAACCCCCGCCAGACTGGTATGCCTGCGTTCAATTTGCTCTAGTCCTTTGGAACCCGAACGATCCCACCATATTCCGTACGCATACCGCAACGCATCGGTTCAACGCGAAAGAGGGAGACTGGGGCTTCACAAGATTCGTGGAACTACGCAAAGCCTTCAACCAACCATGGGAAGATGGATCTAGACATCTCATTGAGAATGATGAAGCCAAGCTCACTGCCTACGTCCGTATCATCAAAGACCCCACTGGCGTGTTATGGCACAACTTCGAGGGCTACGACTCGAAGAAGGAGACGGGCATGGTCGGGCTTAAGAACCAGGGTGCAACTTGCTACCTCAATTCCCTTCTCCAATCGCTCTACTTTACCGATGCCTTCCGAAAAGCCGTATATCAAATTCCTACCGAGCAGGATGCCAACCGAAGTAACAGTGCTTGGACTTTGCAGAGACTCTTCTTCAAACTGCAGAAAGATAAATTTGCTGTGTCCACAAACGAACTTACCGCCTCCTTTGGCTGGGACACTCGTCAGATATTTGAACAGCAAGACGTCCAGGAACTGTCCCGAATTCTGATGGAAGTGTTGGAGAAGAAGATGAAAGATACACCAGCAGAGAGAACCTTACCGGAGCTCTTCGTGGGAAAGACGAAGACCTACATCTCATGCATCAATGTTGACTACGAGTCCTCAAGGATTGAAGAATTCTGGGATCTTCAACTCAATGTTCGAGGCAACAAAAATCTCCACGAGAGTTTCATGGACTACATCCAGGTCGAAACTCTGGAGGGTGAGAACAAGTACGATGCAGGGGAACCATACAAACTCCAGGACGCCAAAAAGGGTGTCATATTTGAGAGCTTCCCACCAGTTCTTCATTTACAGCTCAAGAGATTTGAGTATGACATCAACCGAGACGCAATGATGAAAGTGAACGATAGGCACGAATTTCCAGAGGAGTTCGATGCGTCCCTCTACCTGTCAGAGGAGGCGAGAGCAGCATCAACGGAGCCTTGGGATTACCAATTGCATGGAGTTCTGGTTCACAGCGGTGACTTCAATGCAGGCCATTACTATGCATTTCTCAAGCCTAAAAAGGACGGTTTCTTCTACAAGTTTGACGATGACAGAGTAACTCGGTCGACCATGAAGGAAGTCCTCGAGGAAAATTTCGGAGGAGAATATGCGAACGTTGCAAATGGCGGGCCAGGTCAACGTCAACCTTATATGAGAGGATATTCCACCAAACGCTCCATGAATGCGTATATGTTGGTCTACATCCGAAAGAGCCGGCTTGACCAGGTTCTTCATGGCGTGAACGAATCGGATATACCTTCCCATATCGAGAGAAAGATCACAGAAGAGCAGGCCGAACTCGCCAGAAAGAAGAAAGAACGTGAAGAGGCGCATTTATACATGAATGTCGGCGTCATAACAGAAAAGACATTCCAAGCCCACCACGGATTTGACCTGACCAGCTACGAACTGGAACAGGGCGACCCTGCCGCTGCACAGGTCTATCGAATCCTGCGGACAACCAAAATCAGCGAGTTTGCCGCGACAGTCGCCGAAGAGCTCGAACTCGGGCCAGATCAAATCAGATTTTGGAACATGGTAGGCAGGCAGAACAAAACAAACCGTCCGGATCAGCCAATCCGAGATACCGATATGACTATCGAGGAGGCCCTTACCAAATATGGGACGAGGGGTCGTCCATTCTATCTTTGGGCCGAACACGCACCAAAATCTGATGATGGCAAAGCTGTTTTCCCAGATACCGGACCCACAAACCCTAATGCGCCCATACTCGTCTTCCTCAAGTATTTCGACGTCAAAGCTCAAAGTCTGACTGGTGTCGGCCATATCTACGTAAAGAAACTGGACAAGGTTTCAGAAATTGCGCCACAGATTAACAAGCTTATGCAATGGGACTCTAGTACGCCAATACTTCTCTTCGAGGAGATCAAGTATTCTATGATAGAGGTGATGAAACCGAAACAAACATTCCAACAGTCGGAGATACAGGATGGCGATATTATTTGTTTCCAACAAAACCTTCCGGACCTTGACCCTTCTACAGTCACCTACAGCGATGCCCGCCAGTACTACGACTATCTCTTGAACAGAATACCAGTCAGCTTCTATCCCAAACCCAGCACAGAAGGGGAAGCTTTCTCATTGAGCCTTAGTAAGAAAATGACCTACGAGCAATTCTCTGGTAAAGTCGGGGAATATCTCAAGGTTGACCCAACGCACATTCGGTTCGCCACAATAAGTTCAACCAACAACAAGATAAAGATGTGGCTCAAGCGCGGTATGAATCACACTCTGCAACAAATCCTCCATTCGCAGTTTTCCTCCTATGGGGGCTATGCTGCCCACCGCGGTGATGCTCTCTACTATGAAGTCCTTGAGACCAGTCTTGCCGACTACGAGACCAAGAAGATTATGAAGGTGATATGGCTTAGCGACGGCATCAGTAAAGAGGTAAGTACTGCCCTAGGAAAGCAAAGCGCTCCCTTAACAATGTACAGGAACCACTTGAAATCCTTGTCGCAAAGAATGGCATTATTGGCGATTTGGTAAACGGCATTGCGAAAAAGATCAACCTTGATGAACAGACGGCACGAAATGTTCGCATACTTGAGGTTCATGGCGGCAAGATTCACAAAGAACTGATCGAAGACTTTAACGTAGTTGGAGTCAATGAGTTCACGACACTTTATGCGGAAAAAATTCCTGATGAAGAAATTCATGCTTCTGATGACGACCGATTCATCTATTGTTTCCATTTTGACAAGGAAGCGAGCAAGCCTCATGGCATTCCCTTCAAATTCATGCTCAAACCTGGTGAATCATTGAAGGACACCAAAGAACGGATCAGCAGGAGAACTGGCATCAAGGGGAAACTCTTGCAGCAGATCAAATTTGCCTTGGTCTCCAGGGCCATCTATGCTAAACCACGGTATCTTGAGGACGATGATATCATCTTGGATCTTCTCCAGGATGGCGACGAGATGCTCGGCTTGGACCACGTAAACAAGGCTAGGAATTTCTGGGGTAGAGCCGAAGGAATGTTCATCCGGTGAGATTACGCTCAAGCCAAGTCGAGAACACGAGAAGCTCCGCTTCAGAATGGCGACTGTGTCCATCATAATGGGGGCGTTCTTTGTGGCGGAAGCGCTCCATTATCAAGTATTCCACCAGTGTCCAGCAGGCAAAAGTCCCTAAGGATGTAGGGTTCTGGATCCACGAAGAGAGCCACCAGGCAGGCCTGCTGGTATTCTTCAGCATCTTATGCTAAATTTTGTAGAGATAATTCGCGAACTTGCTGCTTTCACTTGGGGCTCAGCAGGAAGGGTCATATTATTGGTGCAACAAACGAACTATCTCGAGCGACCGCAGAGATGATGATTCAAGCGATTGCTAGCTATGTTACCGGTTATATACACCAAAAAGGCGCTCACGCGATGAGGATTGCTAGCACCATAGATAGAGGAATGAATGAGTTGAATAAGTATGTGATTATTGGGTGCAAGTCCCTCTTGTCCTTTCTTTTTTATTTCGTTTTGTTTGTTTTAAACATTCTTGATGATCCAGTCCCACGTTTTGATCAAGTACTCGTCGTCGAGTCCCGAGTGTTGTTGGTCACGGAGACAGGGCATTCGGGCGTAAGTCTTGTCCATGTCGTACCGTCGTATGGGTGGTGATGTTTTGATGTTCGGCGTTTCCTGTGTTTGGGGGTCTTTTGTGCTGCTGCCATATACACTTTTCCAGAACCCCAACAGTTTGAATGACGGATGTTTTTGCAGGCCTTCAAAAGCAGTACCTGTGGTGTCTTTTTGGTTTTGTTCTTGGAGTGAGGAAAGGACCCTCAACCACTCATCCGCCGGGACGGCTTTGAAAGGTTGATGACGACGCGACGACAGGCGAGCGAGAAGATCGGACCAATGCAACTCTGTGGACGGATTGAGGACGTGGTGTACGGGGATGTTTTCGATTTTGGGTGGTTGTTGTCGGTCTCGGTTTTGGTGGTCAATCCCCTTCAGCGCGTCCTCCACGAAAGCACGAGCAGCCAGATCGACGGGGAGCCAACCCAAAACTTCGTGCTTCAGGTCAGGCAACACGCCAGTCACCCGCGAGCTGCTCAACATCAGCGGGTACGCCTCGGTCTTGCTCCACACCCCCGTGTCGGTGGCGGCGGAGAGTTGACCGACCCGAGATATCGAGATGCGAGAGTTGAGTCGAGTCTCGGTGTGGGCGGCGACGCACATGGCTTCGGCCACCCATTTGGAGCGAGCGTAGCCTGTCGGTCCTGACGCGGCGGGCATATCGGAGACGGGCAGTTCGGGAACGAGGGTGTCCGTCTGTTCGCAGCGAGTATGACCCTTACGCGTGCCGGTGGCGGTTTGAGTGTCGTCGTCGGCGCCGGTGACATTACAAGTCTGATATGCCGACACACTAGCCACGCTGGAACAGAAAACGAACCTTGGTGGACGGGGGCGTGACGACGATGTCAGTGAAAAGTTGATCAGATTGCGGAGGCCGGCGAGGTGTGTTGTTTCGAATGAGCGCAGCGGAAGCAAAAAGTTGACGGACCACGCGAGGTGGATGATGACGTCGACTCGAGATGCGAGGGTTGCGTAGTCTGCAGGCGAGAGTCCGAGTAAGGGGTCGGACAGCGTGCATTGCCATATTGTGGTTCGGCTGCCAAAGTCTATCGGGACGGGGAGGAGACGAGAGGATAGGGCCTCGAGGACGCGGTCCCGTGAAGCTTGGGCCGTCTCACCGCGGACGAAGAGGTGGATGTGGGATACTCGAGGATCACAAAGGAGTTGGTGAAGAATGTGTGAGCCGAGAGAACCTGTCGGACCTGTGAGGAGAATCTGTACACCCTCTTGGTTCGAGGCTGTTGTTACTGGGCTGGGGGCGGGAGAGGAGCAGGACGGCGTCGAGGGGATGGGCGACAACCCAGAGTCTTCAAACGTGCTGTATCTTTTGACTAAATCGAGCATCAAGGCATGCTGGTCTAAGGAAGTGTCTTTGATGTCATTGGTTTCTTCTCCTGAGCGGATGCGTAGAATGAGGGCGCTCAATCGAGAAATCGTCCCTTGGTCTTCGACGACAGTCAGTGGCAAGGCTGAGCCATCAGGGATGAGACGACACAAAGCATGGCGAATCTGGATGCAACCGATCGAGTCGATCCCAAAGGAGAACAGGTCCGAGTCGTCGCTGAGAGATCCAGGCTTGACGTCTGTCCTATCGCCGACGATGTTTGTGACTATCTTGCGTACATTTTCGAGGATGTCTTCGTCCGACACGTTCGAGGTGGTGGCTGATGGATCAGCCGAGTATGCTCTGGAAATAATGCTGGCGTAACGTTCTTCGGCCCTGCTTCGAAGGATGGTGCCCTTGCTGCTTTTTTCGAGACTTCCCTGGTCATAAGGCATTGGGAGTAGCATGCTTCGGGGGATTCTCGCGTGACTTTGACTGTCCCTGTTCAGCCTCTCGATCATGGGCGCTATCCCCCGAAGAAAATCGTCGTCTGTGAGGGAAATTGCACTTTTCGATCGGAAAATAAGGACCCCCGGATAGAGGTTTTCGTTTCCGAAGACCAAAACATCTTCGACAAGAGGCGACGAAGCTCGAATGGCATCTTCCAGGGGAGCAGGGTCGAATTTCTTGCCGGTGACGAGTGTGAGTTGAGAATCGGCGCGGGAGTGATACCGCCACGCATTGGGGATGCGCGAATGCGCCGCAAATAGATCTGCTGTGGCATATGAACCGTCGTCACGATTGTGTTTTGCCTTGATACCGGGTCAGTTCAGCTTCTGCAGGAGGGACAAAGAAAGACTTACCATATGAGGCCATCCAGGCTGGATGACGAGTTCTGATAGACCGTCATTCTCTTGTGGTTCGAACTTGAGATGTTCTTGTCCAGGCATTATTCTGAGATACTGCCATTCTTTGTCCTTTTTGAAATCTCGACATGATGACATGAGAAACCCACATTCGGCACTCCCAAACCGTGATATCAGGTTGACGTTGGACAGTACCAGTTTGTCGCCAATCTCTGCGGGAAGGGCTGCTCCTCCCACACCCACAACGTCCATATCTTGCAAATACTTCAATCCAACCCGGTCTTCGGCCATCATTTGCAAGATGTATGGCACTGACGAGAAGTACTTGACTGGGGGAGCGCTGTCTTGTTCGACCGCAGATGATGCTGCGTCCAGGCAGCGACAAACATTCGCGGCCGTAATGGGGTGATCTTTACCGGGGAATAGCCACATGAGTGCATCGCTTGTCCATGCTCGAAACAGGTCTGCAATCCCACCGTGATAAAGTGGTGTCGTGGTGAATGAAGCATGCCCGGTCCCATCAAGTCTAGGCAGCACGCCAACAGCTCCATGGTGAGTCTGAGGTATCGGTTTTGGAATCCCAGTCGACGTGCCTGAGGTATGATGAAGGTATGCAATGTCGAATCGGCGGATCCCTTGGGCCGTTTCAGGGGTTGGTGATGGTGTCCGAGAGATGACATCAAATATATCTTCGTTGGCGAAGGGAATGATGGTGGCGTCAATGTCCAAACCCTTTGAATTGGCGGACTCCGCAGACGCTTTTTCTGCTAGGTCCTGGTAAACCTCATCATAGAAAAGATGCTTCACCTCGCATGATCTACATAGATGACTGACCGCGGATGGGGAACACTGTGGTGCAATCAGGAGTGCGGCATGACCCAAGCGGATAATGGCGAGCCAGGTGAAAAGAAATTCAGGCGAACTTGGACAGATGAGTGCAATAGTCTGCTTTGGTATGGCCCCTAACTTCGTTGACAGTGCCTTTGCCACAACCATCGACCCTCGTTGCACATCCCCGAACGTCAAGATGTGGGTGCTCCATGGCTCGGATCCCTGTGACAAGGAGAAGAAACCAACGGCTGGTGACGAGTGTTGTTGTCGAGCCTTGAGGTCGATGAATTCTGTCACGGTCTCATATTTCTTTCCACACCGATACTTGACAGCCTGTTCGAGATCACAAGTGAAGTATGTGGGCTCCATTTTCCTTCCAGCCCATACGAGAATGTGACCACATCAGCGGACACTGGCAAAGCTTTGAATGTGAGGTCCTAAGATTGGTTGGGAACCTTGTCTGGTGGTGAGCGTTGTTTACTATGGTGGTAGAAAGGTCTCAGCACCGGTCACTGACCTGGCTATTGCCACGTGTAATGTATGGAGATTCTTTCCATGGTCCGACGGTGTAACGAGTCCTGTCAATGATGTATATTAGCAAGGAATATCCTGTTCATGTCCAACCACTTGTACCTCCACTCTGATCTGAAGTGTTGACATCATGACATGCTTTGGGGCTTTCTTCAGTCAAAATCTTCCTCTAATTTTACTGGAGCCATGAGATGATCAAATGCATGTGCGGAACCGTGTCATGCTATGTGTAAAGTGGTAGAGAGTAACGTGTAGTGTGTGTCGCGTACTACTGCGAGCACGGATTGGAACCATATTTATAATCTACAATTGTGCCATACACAGAGAGTTTGACCCTTCAGAAATCACATCTAGAAATCACTCGAGTCTCAGATCGTCGTGTTAACAGGCGGAGACGATTCTCACACACGAGGCTTCTCGAATGTGCCAAATACTATCTATCTATCTATCAAAGCTTCGGGCATTGCAATCATGAACATGCCATACTCATACCCCATGAGCTAATGAACCCCATTGACACGAACACCGTTAACACCAGCACCATTGACATGGTTACCGTTCGTGTGAGTACCGTTCGTGTGAGTACCGTTCGTGTGAGTACCGTTCGTACCGTTCGTACCATTCGTATGGCCATTTGTATGACCATTCATACCATGTGCGCTCCCATTGGCCAAACCAATCGTAGCATGGTCTGTCACTCCATTGACAAGCTCAGTAGGCTTCTCCTCGGCAGATGCATGCTTGATAGCCTTGGACACACCGTTGGTCATCTTGCCATCCGCATTCTGGTGTCCGTTGATGTGGGTATCATCGTTCAGGACATTAAGCTTTTTCAGTCCGTTAGAGATGACACCAGTTTCAACAGGCTTGTTGTTGACCGTGTAGCCAGTGTCACTGGCGTCGACGAAAGCCTCAATGCCTTCGCCATTTCTTGGGTAGTTCTTCATCAGAGACTTGTGCTTCTTCAAAGCAGCATACATCTCTTCCATTGAGACGTCGTTCAGGAAAACACACCTCCCAAGGGGACTAGGAACAGCGGCACGAAGCAGACCATCTCGCGTTCTGAGAATAGCCTTGGTGCCCTTGTCCAGAATCTCCTCGTCGAATTGGTGATGATCCATGGATAGACCTGCCCGGGAGAATAGGGACAGAAGTCGGCTGTGATCCTCATCACTGAGCAGCCCGCGCATATTGGCCAAGGTTGCAGAGTATGCCATATCAATTGAGATTGCATGACCGTGTCGAAGCGGAACTTCTGGCACCAGCTCATGAAGAGGTGACCATCTAGATAACGTCAACGAGGCTCATATCACTCGAGGTGAACTTACTTGTGACCGTAGGCAATGACACGATCAAGCCCGATTTCGTGCAAGTTTGGCGTTTCGAGCTTCAACATCTCGTGGATGCCGGCACGGTTGATGGTATCCGCAGCCTTTCGTACTTCTTCAGGAGCACCATCGGTGCGTCCGAACCCAGTCCCGATGAGCTGTTCACAATATTTGTCTAGCAGGTCAAAGGTCGGGAGGTGAGCACATGTGGAGATCTTGATGAGCTCGGCAAAGCCATTCCGGATTTGCGCTTCTGGCAAGGTGCGAAGGAAGCCAAAGTCCAGGAATGTATGCATAGGAGCATGGTAGGCTCCCAGCCTGTTCTTGTAGTTGCCATAATTGACCGCGACCTTGATTGAGACTGACGCATCGATCAGACCAATGACAGTGGTCGGGATACGAATATAATTGGTGTTTCTGCGGTAAGCAGCGCAAGCAAAACTGGAAATGATCGGTCAGTGACAAGATCGCGATGGTACAACAGCCAGGGATATATATGGGCCAGAGTGCCTTGTGGTCATCTTTGGCAGGTGGTATCCTTTACCCAGCAACATCAGTAACCAATCCACCGCCAATGACGAGTACAGGTTCCTTTGAATGGTCAGTCATGGTTCATAGGGATACGCGTGGGAGGGGCACTAACCTTTCTGAAGACACCGAACTTGTTCATGGAATCGACAATACTCAAGAAAGTGTCAATGGATTTGGCCTTCTCTCCAATCATGGTCTTGTGGATGTCCAGGTCGATCTTGTAATGATCGAAGTATCTCTGCATCTGCTCGCCATAGACGTCGAAGATATTAGAGTCCATGACTGCTAGACACCGTCCCCATTGCTGATAACAATCAGAGAGGTTTTTGTTGCCGGTGTCGAACACTCCATCAATGAAGGTGAAGTCATATTCGATCTTCTCATACCCCTCGACGTGGAAGCCGACCTTGGTTTCGGCAACAGATGCCTTGAGGTCAGACATGTTGAATGAAGATATTGGTCGTCTGAGGAAAGAATGGTAGGCAAGTGAAGGCGGCAATGCAGATCAACCTGGGGAAGCGAGAGAAGAGCTGGTTTAATATACCCAAGCACTTACCAGCACACTGTGCAACGATTCGACACGACGTGATGACTCGGTGGAACCAATTCTACCCGCCGTACGCTGCAAAGACGTCTTCCATTTTGTCGGTTGCAAAGGCTCAGGACAATTCCAAGGCAGATGCAATTGCTGGTGACTCGAGAGATCCGGCAGAAATATTCCACCAACAGGCTTCATGGAGCATTCGAGTCAAGGGAGGTTCGCGCATTGATTGGGCCACCCCTGGTAGGTGAGACTCCCGGCATAGAGCTTGTATGCCATTTAAGATTTGCACCAGGCACAGTCATGATGTAGTCGATGATTGTTTGCTAAAGATGGCAGAGGACAAGATACTCAGAATAGCCAAGAAAGAAAGCTGCATCCAGCAGGGGATGCAGGTATGGGCATAAGGACGTGACAGGCGATGCTAGATCCTAGCGCCATCTTCGGGTAGATTGAGTTGCCGCGGAATCATGTTGCGACCTGTCCCACAGCCTGGAGAAAATCCACAGAAGGTCCAGAAGCACCCACGTCAGTACGCGGTCGGGCATGCAGTAGTCATAGACCGGTCACACTTGGCGTAGTGCAAGGCAACCACCGGAAATGGCGGTTGACAACGGTCATGTCAAAGAGATTGATGGGAATGACACCACGGTACGAGTATGACAGAAAGTGTACAGAGTGAGAGGACGAGCGACAATCAACTGGAGGAGGTTGAATCTGCCGCAGCTGTTTGGGAGGTACAGGAGAGGCATACTGCGCTAATCCCTTCTAGGACTAGCTGTATCACGCTGGTTGGTCCATCCGAACATCACCGAATCATCACCTTCAAACGTGTCTTTTCTGCGCTCCGGACGTCGACTTCTCTGCTTCCACGAGGACGCGTATTACATCTTGCTCAAAGTGGATGTGCAGACCAATCCATATTGACGCGCTGGCTAGCTATTGGCATCGCCTATGCGACCCAGCATTGGACGAGAATCTGCTCTGGTTACGGGTAAGTGCTTGAGCATGTCAGATGTCATCGATCTCTATAGGTCGGATCTACTTCCGAAAAGCTGCTCTACCTTGAATCTGGCTGGGGTCAAGGCGATATCCTCGAACTACCGCTGCATGTCGGGATCATTATCCTCCATCCATTGAGATTGGAGATATTGGCCTACCTTGACCGCCTGTTGTGCAAACCCGTAGAGACTTCTCTGCAGAATTCACTGACCACAGCCAGTCCTGAAAGGAAGGCTCATCTTAGTACAGTAATCAATCTAGGGCAGAAAATGGCGGATTTCAATCTTGAGAAGAAATATCAGGAGCAAGAAGAGACATTTGTATTTGCCGACAATCCCATCACTTGGCGTTCTTGCTGATCTGATGCAGTTTGACGATGGAAGAGAAATCGAGCTTCTGCATTTCATCTACAGTAATCCCGACATCGAAACCATCAGGAACTCTCCAACCAAGGTCCTGGCTGCCATTGACAACTTTGCACGGACGAAAAAGTACCTCATGAATGTCGGTGAGGACAAAGGACGGATAGTAGCTGATCTGATTGCCGAGGTCAAACCTGAGGTCATGGTCGAGTTGGGTGGCTACATAGGTTATTCTTGTGTCTTGTTTGGAGATGCTGTCCGCAAGGCTGGAGGCAAGAGATATTTCAGCCTTGAGCGAAACCCGGAGTTTGCTGCTGTTATCGCTTCTTTGGTTGATCTCGCTGGCCTGAGTGACATTGTCAAAGTCATCGTCGGGTCTAGTGATGTTTCCATAAAGAGATTGCATGCCTCTGGAGACCTCAAGCATATCGACTTGATGTTCCTGGACCACTATAAACCTGCTTACACGACAGACTTGAAGCTCTGCGAGGAACTGGGCTTGATCACTCCCAGCACTGTCCTTGCCGCTGACAATGTCATTGCGCCTGGAAATCCTCCCTACCTTGAATACGTCAGAAGCAGCGTCGAACAGAAAAAGCGTGCGACCAAATTTGGTGGTACGGTTAATGGAGTTGACAGCAGATTCGCGGATAAAACCGCCAACCAATATCTGAAGCGCGAAGGAAAAGCCCAACTCGATGAGACTAGGGTTGGCAACCCCCTGCTCATCTATGAAAGCAAGCTCGTCAACAGCTTCGAACCATCTGGTGTTCCTGTAAGAAAAGAGCCCTCATTTGTGGATGTCTAAGATCTGTGCCCACTGACATGTTGCTAGGATGGCATTGAAATCACGAGGTGTGTGGGAGTGGAAACGTCTTGAGACGAGGAACATCTGTTTCACCGGCATATGCTCTCTCACACCAAGGAACCTGGGGAAGTTGAGGCCAAAGGACGGTGGTAGATCTGCCACCAAAAATTCATGCGCGCGTTCAACTCTGCCAAGACTTTTCGGAACAACAGCAACCTCACTCACAACGGGGCTAAAAAAAAAGAACAATAACAAAAATTGCAAAAAGAATCGAACTTTTGGTCAATATGAGGCTTGAACTCATGGCCTTTGTGTTTTCCATAGTGTTTGACCACAGGGTATTAGCACAACGATCTAACCAACTGATCTAATCGACCATTTTTGTGTCTCAATTCTGGACCAAAAATTGACCATTTTATCTGATAGAAATTGAAAATTTTCACCATGGCACAGTGGGTCGTACCCATCGTAACGCCTAAACAGCAAGTGGTGATGACTCTTACTGAATCTAACTCTCTCCTCTTCGTTTTCTCACAGTACATGAGGTAGTCATTTTACGCTCAATGCACAAGGACCTCGCACCTATTACGGACGCCTTACAATTAATATGTAAATTTTGTACGGAGTACCTGTGGACTACCTCGACGTTTTCCTAGTGTCCACAAGTTCTTATTGAGTCTACAGCCCCAGAATGGTGACTGCCAATGCTGGTCTCTCAAGTGTAAGGTATGCCGAATACGCATTCAATTTTGTGGACTATTTGTGGAGCGAGCATACAAAAGAGGAAGTGCTGTCTCTCATACGCGACTTGATAGTAACACTCGGAGTACTCGTTCAGCAGATAGCGCTGATGCCGATCACCATCACTATTGTCAATTGTCTACGGTCGTTTGCGAGACTCGCAAGAACGAACACGACTGGTCTAGGGGGTCAACAATTGTCCCGGTTGCCTGGACTCATGCTATCCAGTTCTTGGTACCCACCGTTTTCACGTATACTGGTTGCGACGAGCAATCCTCACTGGCTCGTGCTATGTGTTGGTCGCTGACTGCATGAGATTTCTCCGTATAAACGGTACTTTTGACCATATTCAGGACCGAATCCGTTCGGAATAGCGGCACCGCAAGCTTTCATCCGACGTGGCTTCGAGAGCAATGACTTGTGTGTGCAGTGTATATATCTGGCGTCGTCCTTGCACAGCATGGTCAACAGTACTATCTCGTCACAGAATTGCGTCAGGCCACCGCACCACACAAACACGCACAAACAGACATCGTCGTTTTCCAGTACCCTTATCAGTCCTGAGAACGGAACATGTCTCGCGTATGACACTCCCTCATAACTTCAGGCCCCCAGAAGATAGGAAATAGCATGATCCTAACTGCCTTCAGACTCACAAGAACGTCTTCAATCACCTCGCAATATCAGTCCCCAATCTAGATGAGGCAGTCACCTGGTATAGCAAGATCTTCGGCCTCCAAAAATTATGTCCAGACGCTCTCCTGGAACCGGAGCTCATATCGAAGTTGCCTGTCTCTAAGATCTATGGACCACGTCTGCGGAGAATGAAGATCGCATTTCTGGACTTTGGTGATGGGGTTGGCCTGGAGTTGTTTGAATTCCTAGATCCTCCGTACAGGAAACCCGAGGACCCCTTTGACTATGCAAAGGGCGGGTTCTTCCATGTCGGAATCACCGTCACCGACCCCGAAGACACGGCAAGAGCAGTTTGTGAGAATGGAGGGAGGAGGATGGGGGAAGCCATAGTCATGGGCAGTGAGAAGGCAGTGTATTGTCAGGATCCTTGGGGTAATGCTCTGGAATGTCTCAGCTCCGGATTCGAGCAGATACTATTAGCTGGCCGAGGAGGGGAGACCTTCAATTTGCCTAATGGACAATGAATGCACCGAGGCCTGGTATGTACGTATTTGACCCGGTCGAGGAAAAGGCCCAGGTCGCTGGTTTCGTCAACCGACAGTAAATGTCGTGGGGTTAACGACCTCGCCAGTAGAAAACATTCGCCGGTTTGCCCTTCAGTCCTACCAGATCACTCGCAAAGGATTCCTAAAGCGCAATCGCCGTTGGAGAATACTCCGTAATGCTGGAGAAAATGAGGAAAACATGGCGCGGCACCTCGGTGGCCTTAACGTGTACTCCGAAGAGCATTAATGTCCTTTAAAATGTGGTTGTAGTTGGGAAAAAGCTGTGGGTTTAAATACTCCGCTCCATATATACGGTCGAGTATATCACTTTGGGGTGAAATATTTGGGATGAACATCAATTTGTTCCGTAGAATCTCAACACATGAACTTCACATCATCCTACATGGGAGCTTCCAGGCTCATGGTTTACAGTACACTGCAAGGTACAGTTCGTATGATTCTCTGGCATCGCTTTGCCTTAGACGCTCCATCTACACAATCATGTCTTCACCAATGGGCCTCACAACCCACTCAGTCACTTCGTGACGTCGACATTTTCATTTGGACCAGCTAATGCCAGGTCCAACCAAATTTTCTTTCTCAGGGTGTGAATAGAAGCCATTCGACATTTGATTTTTGTTCTCTGAATTTTTTTTTTGCGTGAAGACCTTTGCAACGCACAACTGGGGATCTCCCTGAATCTGCTAACAATGCTCGACGGAAATTCATCCGTTCTTTCTCACCGGTTGCAGAATGCCGGCCTATTGCTTCTCAGCCTCATTTTCCTTCCCATGGATACTTTCATTCTCATTGCTTCTCTCTTGCTTGCAGTTGTCCTCCCAAGCCATGCAGGCCGCACTCGTCGACATTCTGATGCTTCCGCCTCTAGTCCTCGAATAATTCTCGTTACTGGAGTGGGTATGACAAAAGGCCTGGCTCTGGCTAGATTATTTTACCAAGCTGGACATGTCGTTATCGGGGCCGATTTCGAGCCAAATGGAGCTCTTGTCTGTGGAAGAATGTCCAAAGCATTATACAAATTCTACCGTTTACGGAAACCAACGACGAAGGCTGGGTCGGCACCCTATATTCAGAGTTTATTGGAGATAATCACGAAAGAAAAGATTGACCTCTGGGTCAGTTGTTCGGGGGTAGCGTCTGCTGTCGAGGATGGAACGGCAAAAGAGATAGTCGAAAGTCGGACAAGCTGCAGGGCTATCCAATTCGACGTCGATACCACCCAAACACTTCACGAAAAGCACACGTTCATTGCTCATACCAGGGAAATTGGTCTTAATGTCCCGGAGACGCACGAAGTCTGCAGCCGTGCCAGAGTTGAATGCATCTTGCGCAACGCTCCTCCTGGACGCCAGTACATCATGAAGACGGTCGGCGTTGACGATGCGGCTCGTGGAGATATGACGCTCCTCCCCAAGAGCACACCAATGGAGACCTCGAAGCATATCGCAAAGCTAAAGATCTCGGCCGATTCGCCTTGGATCTTGCAGCAATTCATCAAAGGCAAAGAATATTGCACACATTCACTCGTGGTCAATGGACAGGTGAAGGCTTTTGTGGCTTGTCCTTCTGCAGAGCTACTCATGCATTACGAGACATTGCACCCTACTTCTGCCCTGAGCAAAGCAATGCTAGATTTCACCAGTAAATATGCTGCTAATGGCGGCCCGGCTTTCACGGGCCACTTATCCTTCGACTTTATGGTGGAGGACTCCGCGAAAATAACGCTCTATCCAATCGAATGCAACCCGCGAGCTCACACAGCCGTGGCACTATTCAATGGTACCTCTACGATGATTGATGGGTACCTCTCAGTACTGGAAAAATCTCCTGCAGCGCAAACCTCGGCGATAGCTCGACCTTTACACAATGACAAGTATTATTGGATCGGTCATGACTTAGTGACACGAGTACTCCTTCCAACGTTTGGATTTCTGTCCCTTCAAAATACTTTCCGCGACCTTGTCCGGAACAATGTCGATTTCACGACCCATCTCCTGACCTGGAAAGACGGAACATATGAGATCTGGGACCCCTTGCCTTGGTGGTGGCTGTATCATGTGTATTGGCCAATGCAATTCTTCTCTTGTATCTGGACTGGCTCAAAATGGAGCCGCATCAATGTCAGCACAACCAAAATGTTCCAATGCTAGATGAATGGGATAGAGTTGCTGCTCCCAAGTCTCTGCATTCATATGCAATAGACTCAAGATCAGACTCGGATTGATGGCAGCAGTTTCTTGGCCAATGATGTCAACTTCTCCATGCCTCTACAATTTATATACTTTTACTATACGTACCAACTTGTTCATCCTGTCAGTCTGACAAAGACACAAGCCACCGTGCATCTGCCTGAAACCGTGAACAAGAATTTGTAATTTTGGTCCTCACTGGCCTGGTTTGCCAACTCAGACCGCCGTCCCTGGGCGACTTGGAAATGGTGTGGTATGCTCCGAAGGTGTTGAAAGTCTGAGCTGCCCTCTGGAGGTACACTGACCTACGGTCATCTGTGTCATATTATAGGGAATTTGGTGCTCCGTACTTGGTGTCCCTTTCGCCTGATCGCAGCTAAACATTCGTCTGCACGTCACCGGCTTAGGCGCGCAAGGGGGATATGCAGCTTAGATTTTGGCCCCCGTCTCCATCGGTAGGACACCTCACCGCCCTTGGCTTCATTCTCTCATCATCATCATTACAGAACTGTACTATTCTTCTTCTGGTCAAACACATCTGACTGGCCGAAGTTGATGGGAAAGTTGAATAAAGGAACAGTCCATTCGGTCAGCAATTCCATGGGCAAGCCTCACTTGTACGAGGGACGAGGTTTCCCGTCATGATCCCCCAAAAATGTGACACCTTACGGAGTACGATGCGGTCTGTCTGTACGCGGCCGCCTACATTCCCTTCAGGCCTCTTCGCGCTCACCCTTTGCCCAGACCGGTAGCTGTCTCTGAAACCACACTAGGCGCCGGTTGCCTTGCATTGGCCAAAGTCCGATGGCCGACAACGAGGCTACAGGACTCCGTACATTTTTGGTCATAAGGTCACCGCTTCCACAATGGGCCTTGGGCGTGGGCTTCGATGAGCTGTTCGTTTAACCACAAGACGAGTTTACGGGCGTGCAGACCAAAATTTACCGTCAGGCGGACGAGAGATCTCCCCCTCCCCACGAATCGAGCATTTTCCAGCTTTGGGTTTGCGGCTCTCCCAGCCTGACTTTTGCTGACAGGGGGCCGTTTCTTTCTGCTTTGCTCGACGATCCTCTGGGCTCTTCAATACTCTTGACGTGACTATTAACTGATCTATACGAGATCGAAGGGGATACGTCACTGCTAGGTAAAGGCAAGGCCATCTTTGAAAACCAACGAGGACTCGAACTTACTACCACGACCGATACCTGAGCGGCACTTGGATACGAAGAAGTCTTGACATCCGAGGTGTGTCGTGGGCTCACGCACGTACGATGCCCTCAACTCCACCACCCCCCTCGACGGTACCTGAGATCCTGGCTACATCGGAGATCGACCCGTCCTTCGCCAAAGCACTCGAGGAATCTCCACCACAGTCACTCGGACCAGATTGCACAGTCGCCTCTCTCAAGCAAAGCAGCGTTGCCAGACGGTCAAGTGTCCAACAATCTCTCGCGGACACGCGACCCGCCGACATCACCGAGACCACCCACTTTATCAAACTCCGTGACGACTTCCCATCCCGCATCATCCTGTGCCACCTGACGTCGGCGGTCGCGGACACGACGCCTCCTCGCCCGTTGATCCTCTTGTTCCACGGCGGCGGCCACTGCACGGGCTACCCCGAACTCGAACTCCCTCTCGCCCGACGACTCGCCCAGACGCACTCCGCCATCGTCGTCAGCGCGTCGTATCGCCTGGCGCCCCATTTCCCATTCCCCTTCTCCATCTGCGACGCCTGGGAGACGCTGGAGTTCGTCGCCCGAGAGGCGCGCAAGGCAAATTCGGCCGTATTCCCACGCTGCACGGATCCCCGCGTCGGGTTTCTGGTTGGGGGGTCGTCGGCCGGCGCCAACCTCGCGGCGTCCCTGGCCCATCTGGCGCGCGACCACAACCTCCATCCCAAACTGACCGGCCACTTCCTCTTCGCCGGCACCTACATCTCGGATCAGCACGTGCCGGAAAAGTACCGGGATAGATATCTCAGCTCGACGCAGAACCGGGATGCGCCTCTCCTGAACAATGCAATGGTTAGACTTTTGCGGGACGCGTTCCAGCCTGACCTGACCAGCAAGCTCTATATGAGTTTCGACCAGCACCACCCGTACGACCAAGGGACGGGGTCGGTCAGGCACGGCCACATGGGTCTGCCGCCCGTGTATTTTCAGGTGTGCGGCCTGGATCCGTCTCGGGATGACGGTCTGATCTATGAGCGTGTCCTGAGGGAGGAGTGCGACGTGCCGACGAGGCTGGACATGTACCCCGGGTTTGCGCATTGTTGGTGGGATGTCTTCCCAGATCTAGACATGTGTCGGAAGAGGATGAAGGATGCCGTGGAAGGAGTGGGATGGTTGTTAGAGGCTTGTAAAAGGGAAGGGAGATGATGCTGGGTGTAGTTTTAGCATTGCGTTGCGTTCTTGTTGCTCAAGACGGGATAGCGTTGTAGCGAGGGCGGGAAGCATGGAGTTAGTATCTAGGTTAGATTGCGGTCTTGTGGTGATTGTCTGGAAATGCATGATCAGTCCTCATAGCGTAGCATTTTATATGGAGCACAAATCAATCTTTTGACATCTTTGGGTGCTTTTGAAGAAGTTGCCATCTCGAATCTTTGTATATTTCTCCTCCTTGACGTTCTGATATGTATTATAATGGATCAAGTCTCTTGAAATGTGTTTTATTTTGGGGGGAAGCCATCATGGGTCTCATTTAGACATAGTTTTACAGAAATTTTGGTTGTGTATGTGTGTGTCCATCGAAGAAGGGTACTCTATACGAAGCCTGTGGTCGAGAAGAAGTCAGCGTCAATCGCCCACGTACACATAGATCACAAGGAGAACCACTTTGGAAACATTACCTTTTCGGTTACTCTGGAAGAAGAATCTGACGACCAGAACTTGAAGACCTGCCATTCCGACCATCATGCACACCTCGATCAAACTGAAGTTGAAGATTCTCTGTTCCGTGCTCCTCACCGTGCTGAAGTTGCGGTTCTCCCTGGTCCTGAAATACTTTTGCATCCTGCTGACCGTGCTCAACTGTCCACTGATCTTGTAAATCATATCTTCGAGGGCGGAATGCTGTTCGGGAGACGATCCGGCCTTTTGAGGGAGCAGGGCTGATTTGCCTTCATCTTCGACCTGTTATGTATCATCAAACATGTCAGCTCGTGTTGTGTATTATCTCTCTACGTTTTTGGTTCGTGTGAGAGGTCCTTGGAGAGTAGCGTACCGCGACTTCAAAGTCGACCATCTTGTCTGCGAAAGTGGACATTTCATTGTTGAAGCAGAACCTATACTCTCCGGTGTTCTGTGCCGTAAAGACAAAATCCCCCTGTCGCTCCTTCTCTCCTTCCATGATCTTCTTGTCGTTGGGTCCTACCACGGAGTAATCGACGTCGAAGGATCCGCCGGATTGCACCTGTTTGAGAGGGTCTGTGTCAGTCAAGCAGTCAAAAAGAAAACAACTCTTTTGTCAAACTCTTGGGTGGTGCACAGGCTCGAGTCACATACCGCAAAGTAAAAGGCGACTTTGGCATTTTGTCGTTCGACATTTGTGAAGAAACAGGCCTTCTCGCTGGCCCCGAGTTGGTAGGTCAAGGCGGTGCTGTAGACGCCAGAGACAGCCAACGCCAACAGGCTGATGAAGAGAGACAACGTCCGCATGTTGACAGAATTACACAGACGCGGAAAAAGGGAAAGTTGTCGACAACAAAAAAGTCCTGAGATTCTACAGACACGCGAATAAACAATTCAACCTACTCCGTATCTGTAAAGGGGCCCAGCATTGAATACTTTGGCCTTTCGGCGCAGCCCAGCAATTGGATTCTCCAGATCTTGGCACGGATTTTACGGATTTACAATTGAGCCCAAGTCAACATCGAGCGAGAACATTCAACGTCTCATGGTATTCTTCTATAGGTACCTAATTGTGTCTGAAATGGCATATAAGTGCGTCATGGGAGAGACTTGGACACTATCACACTACAACATGCTGCTCCGTTGTGCTCGATTGCCAACCAAATCTGCCAGGCTGTTCCGTACCATTACTGATGAAGTCCAACCAAGATTGAGCTGAACCGACGAACATCACATTGACTATCCAAGGACAGGCTAGATCAGATCTTTCGAAGCTCGTTGAATACCCAGTGGCTACACTGAGAATATGTCTGCGCCTCTCCCCTATCTCTGCTGCGAATAGGAGGCGCGTTGCAGCCGCCAATGGACTCGCTAAGTCGCCGCCACTCCAACTAATCAAGTGGCAGTGCGACGCACTAGGCCAGGATACTGTCCTACAGGCTTCGTTGCATCAGGCTGGGAAAATGTAAATATCTCTCTGCCCCCGAGGGCAATCAGTTGCTATCATCAAAAATCGTAACGAGCAATCCAAACCCTCAGGATGTCCGGTGTCGAGGCCACCCTCGGTGTCGTAAGCGCCGGAGCAGGGCTCATTTCGTTGGGTATACAGCTTGGAGAGTCAGCCATGAAGCTGAAGCGTATCTACCATGCTGCAAGAGACGCTCCAGCCATTATACAAATGTTATTGCTTGACCTTGAAACGATGGCACTGGCTTTGGGGCAACTTGAGAATCATCGACAGCATGACAATCATGGTGAAGAGTTGCTGGTCCGCTGCATTTCACGGTGCCAACAATGTACCCAAGAAGTGCGACTGGTGGTTGAGAAACTTGAGCGATCCCTGGAGAAGCATTTCCGACTACCTGGAAGGTTGTACAGTGCATTCAAAGAGCGAGATGTGAAAGATCTCCTCGACGACCTCGAAAGGGCCAAAACCTCAATGCACATTGCCTACACCATGTATATACACGCAGAACAGCAGAGGCGAGATCGCGAGCACCAAGCTCTCCTGGTCGGTCTTCGAGAACAGGTTCTTGAAGGAAGTGCAACCATTTCACAACAACTGTCGGTTCTCGTTGGACCTTCGATACAATTGATGCAGATCGAGACGTCTCTCATCAACAAGACCACCATTAACTCCCGGGACTTATCACACTCTCGTGATCAGGATGATGGACGACAAGTGTCCATCGCGAGAATGACTAGACGAAAGAAAGACAAACCCTACTTTCGGACATGTTTCCGATTTCCCTCTTGGCTCTCAAGCCGTATCTGGAATGTAGCTTTGCTTAGTGCCCAAGGCCGCTGGAATTTTGAGATCAAGACTTGGAGAATCGTTCCAAAAGACTCCCTGGTATTCCGGTACTGTCAAAGTGGCAACCTTGCCGGGTTACAGCGTCTTATTGGGAGTGAACAAGCGTCGGCTCTAGATATCACTGGTGGGTCGATCGACGGATATGCTCGGCCATGGAGCTTGCTCGAGGTCAGTCAAGACCCAATTTTCGTAACTCTGCTAACTCGACAGATGGCGGCGAATGCAGGACACATAGAGATTTGCCGTTTTCTCTTATCCTTGACGGTTTTTCCAAGCCACGACACAGTCCTTAGCAATGCTCTAGATCTCTGCGCCTTGCAGTCATTCCGCGCATCTCCCGAGGAGATGTACAAACTTTTCATGGAAGATCCGGAATTTTGTCCTGATGTCGCTGACATGGCTATGGGTGTACAACCTCCTTGGCTGACATTTTGCCCTAGCCTGCGTTGTCTCGACCTTGTTCTGAGCCACCTAGGACCCGAATTCCTTGGCCTCTCGGCAGACACCAAGCTTGACATGGCGCTCGAGTTGGAATTTCTTGAACCTGCCGGCTTTCTCGAGTTTATCGGGTTACAGCAATATGACAACAGCCTGGTCTGCCTCAGAAGTATCGATGGGGAATCGATTTTGCATCTGGTCGCGTCTTACCTCAACGGGGCCAAACACAGGCATTGTGCATGGTTCCACTTCGGCGTAGATCTCCTACGCCATGGTGCAGACCCGCATGCAGTTTCCAATAGGTGGATACTTCTGGATGGCTTTGCGCGCACCCCTCTCATTCACCTGCTAAGATATGATTTGTATTCGAACTTCACGCCAGCAGGACTGGTGAGTGTGATTCGCGATTGGGCTGATATGATCCGTCAAGCCGGACTAAATCTTTCGGACTACGGTAGGAATGAATCTAAAGTCTGGGAATCTCTTGGTGTAGGAACTCATTTACGGTACCTTGATGGAGTGATGAGTGGCAGCAGAGGAATCTATATCAAGCGACTAATCTTTGGTCCTAATCCACAAGACTGGAGTGTGGAATTTGCTCGTTGCGTAGTATTCTCATTGAGAAAACTATGTCCTCTACCTGGAGCATATCCAGGCCAAGCTCTTGTTCCTGATAGTATCCTATGGGAACCAAACGAAGAAGAGCAACATCAAGGTCCGTGGGATATTATATCAAGAAAGACGCTGCTTTCCTCAACTGTGGACATGAGAGTGATAGGCACGCGATCTAGGCAGCTCTTTCCCAATCTCATCGACGGAACGCAAGATGATCATGGGGTGATCACATTGATGCAGTATCGTACAGGCCGCCTCCAAAGCCGAGCTATGCGTTCTCGGTCGAGAGCAAAGAGCCAACCTCCCCTATTACGGAGAAGGGAAGTCGCATATAATGCATCACGATGGTGTATGGCGGGGTGGTTGGGAAATATCCACCTATGTCCTCTCGATTCGCGATGGAATTTTGGTCACCAATCTCATCGGTCGGACATCCTGAGCGATAATTACTTCTGGATGGTCGCTGATCTACGGAAATGTATGCAGGGACTGTCTTGCGGTCACAGTACAGTACAACAACTTCCCTCCTGGAGACGATGTAGTTTTCTTGCCGACACCCGTGACTGTCAAGACGAGTGGAAGCTGCGCAGGCATTGGGGCTGTGCTCGTAAGGGCCATACTGGGACGGCTGATTGCCCATGGGGCTGCAGCAAAGTTCATTTGGACCGACTTCATGTGCCAGAGTCTCTCAAAGAATGGCACCCACAACTTGATTACCCTGACATCGATGACGACGATTGATCCCTAAAGATGTTTCACTGCATTTGGGACCTACAGGCGCGTCTTGGTTACTCAACGGCACTAATGGATGCTCCTAGTAGGGACCAATGCAATTGTCAACTAACCAATCTATCAGATCATCCATTCGACAACACGTCAGGCATCAACAAACGGCACGTTTCAGGACAAAGACGGAAACAACAAGGTACCAACTTTCGGAAGGTGTCTATGAGGAACTATTCAGGATCAGACTCTTGACAAGTCTGATTGTCCAGCAAGGGAAAATACGTCGTTACCAGCCTACACACAGCGTCACATTGAGATTAACTGAATACGTCTGGATGATTCAATAGGACCCCATTTCATGGTATTTGAGACTTAATGAGAAACGACTTAAAAAGGAATGTAAGCTAGCAGGGACTATTGACTATATCCCGTCCTTGGTAGTAAGTCCCTTGCGAGATGTGCGCGTTCTTCTCGTGTAATAACAGTTCAACCGAGCAGCAGAACTTCATAGGAGGCCAATGAGCTCAGGACTGTTTGTTTGGGATGGAAAATCTCGACCCATCCGACCGAAGCATCACCCTTGTTGGGAGTACCTTCAGAGTCTTATTCCATGAAAGGCCGACGGGATGATTTTCCTCCAGTGAACTGGCTTGTTTCGGAGTCATAGAGCGAGAACGAGCCCATCAAACATCAACATGAGTGGATTGTCATTCGTTCTCTATCGCTCTTGTGAAAAATATTGGGGGCGCTCCTAAAGAAAACCGTTTACTGGGATGGGAAATTTGCAGTCTTCAGCAGGGCACCAGCGCCTTGTCTTGTCCTGTCCTGTCCACGAGACTCGGGAAAAAGGTTGCCTTTTTAACAGCATCAACCTGATCCCTGATCATGTTACACTTGAAACATCCGGAAGCAGTGAAGTAGTGAAAGTAAGTCCCTGCAGACCTCACACATCGACAATTGGAGAGGCGGACCCAGCTTCGGGAGCTGTTTTTTGTCCCTGATCCTTGGCCGCCGCAGTGGTGCTGGTGGTGGTTCCTTTCCGAGGCGGGAATCGAAACACTTGTGACTTTCCGACCTTGCCGGCTCTCCATTTACCCACGCGCTGTCCCAAAAGTCCCTTGTCCCAGACCAACGCGCCCACCCAGGGTTGGACGTTCCAGCCGACTTGCAAAGTGGCGTTGGCCCTCTCGGCGATGATGCCGCTCGGGTCGGTGACGTGGTATTTTGGTTTTTGGTTCTTCAGAGAGATGAAGCCGGGTTTGACCAGATCTTTGGATTGTTTGCTCATCGACTCCCTCTTGCTCTTTTTGGGCTTGTTCTTCTTGTCCGGAAAGTACTTTTGTTTCAGGTTCTGCCACGACCACGGGGTTGAAGTGGCTGGGATGATTGTGTCCCAGATGACGGCCTCGGACATTTTGTTGTTTGTGGTGGCATCGTCACCACCACCAGAAGGATAATTGACCGTCACGTAGACAAACAACTGTTTCGTGTTCCAAGTGAACAAGCTGGAAAGGTCCGCGTCCAGGTCGAATCGAACCTGTGCGAATTCCTCTCGTTTCTTGGTGTAATAATGAGCGCGACCTTTGACGACTTGGACATTTCGGACCGCGACGGAGGCACTCGGTGAACCCGAGGGAGAAGGTATGGGGATGACGGACAACAAGGCAATGATGGCCGCTAGGGTGAAGGCGCAAGTCGTAAAGAACCCAAAGGTCGTCTGGACCCGGTTGAGGGCGTTGTGCATGTTGGGCGGACAGTCCTGCGAGTAGATTCTTGGGTTTGCTTTCTTTGAACCTCACTCCGCTTCCTCGGCAGAACTTGTGAGACAATATGACCAGGCGAGGTTGTTCTTCTGATCAAATCATACTCGTACGTGTGACGGTCATGGCCTCACTCGGATCAAAGTGAGGTGGTTCCCTCAAATGCGGCGAGCGTCGAAGGGAAGTGAACACGTTTGGGGTAAATAGGTAAGTGACCGTCATGACCAGCCACGGTCGCGCCAAGCCATGACTCGCGTGTGTTTTTCTTGTCTCTTGATTCTTTTTCCCGAGCCATTTTGAGTCTTTCTTCTCTTTTTTTCCCTTCTCTCATGGACTTTGGCCTGGCAGCTCACAATCGCAGCAACAATCCCCAATTACTCGCGAAGTGGTTTTTCTGAACTCGAAAGTCTACACAGTTTCTCTGTGTATTCTTTTGGGGTTTTGACAAACGGAGTCCAAGAAGGACAAGACCTGTCGTTAATCGCCCATGTCCTTCTCTTCAATGAACTACAAGGGTTTCATATCCAAGGTCACATTTTAATCTTTTTATGTTTTTATGGTCATGATCATGTTCATGTTCATTTTGACTGTTATTGAGTACTGAGTACTGAATTGTCGTCAGTCTCTTGTGACACGACTCGCTAGAAGAGAAACAACTCGCTGTTCCTTGTAGCTTCAAAGAAGAAAGACCCCCCTCAAAACCCCTTGGATCATCCAAGATCAATCAACCAACCTACGCAAACAGACAGATACACAATTCCTTCCTCCCTATATGCGCCAGCAAAGAACAAAACCACCACCACGCAAGAACAGCACATTGTATGACTCCCTCCTCATCTTTTTCTCTTCTTTTCCTCGTCGAAAAAAAGCTCCTTACAAGTCTTTGATCATGATCCAACCGGTTTGAATACATTTGCCCATTTTGAATTCGCGCTCTCCGACCTTTGTGAACCCGAAAGTCTCGTACACCTTGTGCGCCTTAAAATTGCCCTCCCACACGCCGAGCCAGAGGATGCGGTAGGCCATGAGTCTCGCCATGTCCTCCATCTCGCGCTCCAGGGCCTTGCCGACGCCGATCCCGTGGTGGTCCGCGTCGACGTACAGCCTCTGCAATTCTACAATGCTCTCGAGGTCCTCGATGCAGGCCTCGCTGGAGCCTTCGGCGAGTTGCGCAAACGCGATGATTTTGCCGCCGTCGCCTTCTCCCTGCCCGCCGGCACAGGCGACGATGAGATGTGTTCGGGGGCTCCGGATGTACTCTTCGACGGTGGACTCGCTGAACGCCACGTCGAGATAGGCCTTTAGGTCCACCGTGGGGATGGAGAATCCATAGGTCGTCGAAAAGACCTTTGCGCCTAGCTCGGCGATCGCTGGTGCATCATCGATTGTCGCCTGTCGGATCTTGAATGATTGTTTTGTCGTCTTCGCTCCATTTGCTGATCTCGATCGTAATTGTACTGCTGTCGGAGATGAGATGTGTGAGTTGAAAGAGTATTCCGCTACCGAAGACGGCGGCGGTGGTGGTGATGCAGACTGTGTAGAAGTGATGGGGATGACTGGTTGAGCAGCGAGCATCATGATTGCGTATCCTTATTCGTATATTCGTACTCTGGTGCGTTTTGTGCGTTTTGTGTGTTTTATGTCTGTGTTCGTTTTTGAGAGAATATAGAGGGATAGATACCGCTCAGGTATAGTCGAACCGAGTACCGATTATAACACCCAGCACCAGTTTTTGTCTTGGATGTAATTGCTAAGATCGGATCACCTCGACTTGTTTGTTGCAATTCAATAGGAATAACAGCAAAGACGTATGATATACCGGTGGTACTGTATGGGAAAAATCAAGAATCATAGCTGTGCATGTAGATATGGTTGATATGTAGAAACCCAGATGGCGAAAAGTCGGCGACGCGCCCTGGGAGTAACGATCAAGAATACTCACTTCTCCGCACGCCCTGTCAGTGTCAGTATGTACAACTGTATCTCACTGTACGGATATTTGTTTTGGGGCGGAATGGATTGAGATCAGAGGCGATCGCCGCTTGGTGCCGCTTATTGCGAGAAAGCTCCTCGTACTTCCGAGCACGCCCTGTAACAGATGGTCACGACAAGTTCTACGTAGCAGCCCATCTACGCCTTTGGCGCCACCCGCCAAGGGATCAAATGCACAATTCCGCTACGAGTCTCTCACTCTGATTCTGACAAGCGGTACCGACGGCGACCACGGTTCTTTCGTTGCAGCCTCGAAAATGGGAAAGCTACGCCGTGAGTAGCCGCTCCCCTGCATAGGCGGTAAATTGAGAAACCAAGGCCAAAACAAAAAGAAAAATCTCGAATGAACTGTGTTTCTCTCTCCTCTGCAATTCTATCCTGAATTGCTCTGTGGTTCCTGGCCATCTAGTACGTTGCTTTCTCTGGCCTATAACTCCCTTCAACGTTCGACATTAGCTCTTGGGTCGGCACAATTCCTTGATTGCTTGCTTCCAACGCTCATCATCACTAGCTCATGGTAAACTCAATTCTTTGATCGCTTCAACGCTTCCAGCACAAACTCATCCAGTATCCGAAGGCCATTTCCGACTTCTGTTCTTCCGAATGCAGCCCTTGCAGCACCTGCAATCAATCATGACGTGAGCTGAAGTCGATGTTTTTGGAAATAGTTGTCGTAAAGGCTATCCGCGCCTTGCTCTCCTTTTTCAATTTCGACCTCCAAGGCCGCCATGATGGTGTCGTGTAGATCGAGCTTGACAAAAGTCTTGCCCTGGTCTTCATCCTGTCCTCTAGAAAGGCAAACCTCGACGACATGCTTGAGCATTCCTGTGTGTCCGGGCATGTCTGGGTACGAATTTTGGACGAGATGTAAGTTATCGAACCATGAATCCCTCATCGCAGCCCATGCAGCAAGCTTCGCTGCAGTGTGTATGATGAGATCTTTCTTGTTGAAAACACCTCGAGCACTAAGAGTCGCGTTCGTCGTCTTGTCAAAGTACATCTGCATGTCGATGAGGTTGCAATCGTTTGCTCGAATGACTTCACGACGCAGGCTGAGTTTCCGGAGATTCAAGAACGCAGGGTATTGGATCATCATGTTCCATATCGGTTGCAAGATACTTTCACAATACTCCTGGCACAACTGCGCGGCATTACCACTCTTTTCGAATGAAATGTGCTGGATGAGGGTTGTGGTTCGACGTCGGAGGCATTTTAGCCCATTTGGCCGGAAGAGATGATCGGGGTCGGCTGCGACAAACTTGTTCTTGCTATAGAGGACTGTGCTGGCTTCTCGGTAGATCTGTCGATTGGTCCGCAGGATTGATGCATCAATGCCATGCCCTTGGGGCTTGGGAAACGTCAAAGCATCGGCAAAAGTGACCGAACCATCTTGTGCCACCAAGAGCTCGCGATACAGCATGAAGCGGAAATGTTTCCAATTGTCACTCAGAATTTCGAATCGCATCCAACCAGCCTGTTCGACCTGTCTGCGCTTGAAGAGGAAACGGGGGGTGGGAGTCCAGCTCTTCTTTTCTTCTTTCCTAAAATTCGAGGCGTTGGCAAGGTAAGCCCTGGCTTCCTCAAAAGTGTAACCTGGTAGCAAGACAGAGGGCGCATTCGAAGGAATAGGAAGCATGTTGTTTCTTTTCGGGCGGGAAGATGCTGGTGTTGTATTCCGGTTGGTGGCGGTGCTGCTCCTCCTCCTCCTCCTCCTCACAGATCTTATGCCTTGGTGTCTTGCTACGGTCGAAGGGGAGGTAGTTGAAGTGAGTGCTTCGTTCGCATGATCATTCTCGAGGCGTGAGTGTGGTGTCTCCAATGTCGTCGTGTCATCTCCAGCTGAACTGGTTTCTCGATGTCCTGACTTTCGACGTCTCGTTGAAGGAGTGTAGTCTGGATCAGAGTCTTCCTGTCTCACTTCACTCTTTCTCTTTTTGCTGGGAGACTCCCGCGCGCCGTGAGAAGGACAGAGGGGGTGGATGGAGTCGGGGAGACAAAGACAGGCGCCCGGCCTAGAATACTTCAGTGTGATGAACGACATGAGTGCGAAAGAGATGTCGATGGATTCATGCTGGTGAAAAGGGAAAGAAGGCGCAAGGGCGACGGACCAAAGTGTTTTTGTGTGTGAGTGCATCGCGTGTGAAGTGACAGTGAAAACAACAGTGCAAGGAGAGGCTGCGAGGCCACATGATGAGGCTTTGGAGGCCATCCTTACCATAGCCGATGAATGTGATGAGGCACAACGACCACACATCTGGTCTGGTTATTGCTGGATACCCTACCCTGTGTTTCGGCGCGCATAACAGGTGGTATCATGGGATGGAGGGTATGTGCGGTCATTTTTTTTATTGTGATTAATCGGATTTGTACAGAATGCGATAGGTGTGTTTTCTTCAAGAGGCACGGGTGCTGGGTGGTATTCCAAAACTGCTAGCAGGTGTATACAGAGATATCGAAGGCTCACAGACAATTTTATATCATACATCATACTGCCATCGTATGGCATGAGAAGATCCTCACCGTATTTAGGTAGTCATTGTCACCAAACAAAGTTCAGCTTCTTTTGGTTTGATCCTTCCCTGTTCATACTTTGACCTGGTCAACCTTTTGTAGAATCGGCGTCCAACGTCCTTGTCTCTGCCATTTCGTCGTTGACTCTCCAATAAGACTTCGACTCGGCATCTCCATGTACGGGTCGATGCTGGAGCACAGCCTTTGCCTTTGCCTTTGCCAGCCTGGCAGCCTGGTGTTCATTTCTTATCCGACTCCTTAGAGTAACCGGCGATGTCCCCTGGAGCCTGCTAGATTTGCTGAACACCACCAAGAAACATTCCGAGAAAGGACAAAACAAAATACAGACTAATTAATGACGAACTTCACCGGTTTAACACCGAGACAATTCCCACACTCTTTGAGACTGACCAATCACCGTTATGGCATAATAATCCTGGTCACGTGTCAGCAGCCAAGCGAAAACAGCCGATCCCGTTCCGAGCACCTGCTTCACAGTTCCCTCGACATCACGAAAGCTTCACGTTGCTCTCCTTCGACATAGAAAGCGCGCCATCACCTTTCTCCCCTCCAAACACACAATGTCCGCCAGCTTGTTCTCCCGACGGGCTCTCCAGGCCACCACGAGGCGGTGTAAGCTGAACCATCAGTCCTCTCCCCTCACGGACTCTATGGACTGACGATCGAGCAGTGACAGTAGCCAACCCCTCCGCCTTCACCAAGACTCCCCTGTCGCGATGGTCAGCTCCAGCAGCTATCGCGGTCGGCCAGAATGTGCAGTATAGGTGAGACATTCTCATGCGCTGTTATATGGCTGCTTCCGTGAACCCTCTCGTGCCTCTCTGCCACTCGACCTCTACCGCTGCGACGATCAACCGAGCACCAATGCTTCCGAACCAGGAAAAGAGGATATATTTCAGACCTTCATCCTCACAAACACACACACCTCATCCTCCGGCCGGTCGAAGAAGATAACGCGCATAAGAAAGCACTTCCCACCGAACGACTCCGAACAACCCACAGCCTCCGCATCCGCATGACCTCTCTCTCGTGTCTCCCACCTTTGCATCATGCACCCAGTCTTCATGGCGACGATTATTTACTGTTGTCCGAGCGAGCTCATGCTAACCTACCTTGTTCCCCTAGACCAGCAGCGACAACCACCAGCATGACCCCCGCCGCCGGTGATGAAATCCTCGCCGCCCAGCGCCGCCACCGACCAGTAGCTCCTCACCTCTCCATCTACCGACCCCAGATAACGTGGTACATGTCCATGTTCCACCGAATCACGGGCGCGACGCTGTCCGTCGGCGTCTACGCCTTCGGCGCCGCCTACTTGATCGCCCCCATGCTCGGCTGGCACCTCGAGAGCGCCACCCTCGCCGCCAGTTTCGCCAGCCTGCCCATCTTCGCCAAGATCTCGCTCAAGACCCTCGCGGCCTACCCCTTCACGTACCACTGCTGGAACGGCATCCGACATCTCGTCTGGGACACCGGTGCGGCCATGACGAACAAGCAGGTTATCGTGACGGGATGGACGACCATCGGTTTGGCCACCGTCAGCGCTTTGGCTTTGGTGTTTATGTGAAGAAAAGTGGAGAAATAAGACCTTGGAATGGAAGCCGAATGGACGGCGTCGTGACTACTCACAGCAAGGCCAAATTGTTGTATATAACCATTTCCAACAACAAACCTGGAAGATCCTGGTTTCTTCTAAACTAGCGCAGTTACAACAGCAATAGCGATGACATGGATTAACACTAACATTCAAACCTTGATGTGTTCATTTCCTCTATCCCTGTATTCTCGTTGACGATCAGATTGATTCTTGCTGAGTGATACTGTTGGATTTTCCAGCCGACCGATGCTGAACCAGCGCTCCTGTCTGTTACTAGCGGATATGCGCTACATGTTTCTAGCCATAATCTCCGATGTACAAGTTTCGGCTACCTAAGGGAGGTATGCGTGTACACACGAAAAGAAAGAAGATAAGAATAATCACTTGCGTGGCGGCCACGTCTGGGATCGTGACCTTTCCATCTCTATCCGTCCACGTACGTCGAGCCGTCTCGCAATTCGTGCAAGACACTACCGGCCCGCTGCTGTCCATCGTCATTGTCAACGTACTTTGTGCCGTCCCGAAGCTCATGCACCACGCTGGGGCTCTTGTGTCTCGCACTCCGTCGGGGCGCGGCAGACTCCCTGCCCGTCGGTTTCGGGGTCGTGGCAGAGGCGATTGACACGGTCGATCCCCTCCGCCCCGCGGAGGCGCTACCCTCGCGGATTTCCATGCTCCCAAAACTGGCCCCGTCGTGTCCCTGCCCCTCGGCGGCCGGGGTGACGGACCTCTTATGTCGTGCACTCCTGCGCGGCGTGAACTCGCGCATGGAGATGTTGGGGCTGAGGGATGCAGATGGGGCTATTGATCTGCGCCGGTCATTGACGTCCGTCTTCGTTCCTGCGGGTGCCTTGTCTCCAACGTGTGTAGTCCGAATAGTGTCTTGGACTTCATCCGTTGGAATGCCTGATCGCCTAGACCCGACTCTTCGGCGCGAAGTTGGCTCCGGGGACGCTTTGGACTCGGAAGGCGTACCTTGAACGGACGGTCCACGACCATTTTCATTGGTCTTGTCGGCCAATGGAGTCGCGTTCTCTACTTCTCCGTTTGCGTCGATTTGGTCAGTCTCATTGTCCATGTTATCCGTCCTGTTGCTTCTTCGTCGATTCGCAGGGCGAGGCTTGAGATGCGGGGTCCCAGAGGACTTGATATCAGATGTGGTACCTGAAGAAGGAAACAGGGCGCTGCCACCGTCTCTCCACCATGAACGTAGCAGAGCTACATAATCTTCCTCTGTTGATCCATACTCAACGGGAGGACCGGTGACAAGAACTTCGAACCGGCGAGATGTCTCGCCTTCGGTGGAGCAGAAGACCGCCCACGACGAGGTGTCAGTGCTCAGCAGCATGAACTTTCGGTTCAAGGTCTGCGATTTAAAATCTCGGAGCAGGACGACGTCGCCACGTCGTGTATTTGGAAGTGCTGTTTTGACTGGGCGAAACACGCGCACATTGACCCCATCCTGCTTGCACGATGAGTCTGCTACTCGTAGTGTAGTGAAATACTCCCTCGGACCCGATTTCGCACGTTCCGGTTGGAAGGAGTCATCTACACACACCCCAATGACATCAACAAGATGGTTAAAGTGCTCATCCAGGGAAGCAAGAGGAGGGTAGTATGCATGTTGTGTCGTTATGCCGGTCGTCCGGGATATGGGATAATGAGGCTCTTGCTGCGCACTGACAATCGTGCCGCCACCTCCTTTCGCAGCTATTGATATGTCGATAGTCTCGTTTGATGTACGATGAGCCTGTGTAGGAGAGGACGGCAAGTTGGAGGGGGATGTTGTGGAAGGCTTTACATTTTCCTTTTGTGAAGATGTGGGCGACGAGGTTCGAGCCGACCGGCGAGGTGTAAAGTATGGACTGGAGATATTGGCAGGCATCACAGATCTTCTGGTTGATAATCGCTGAGAGAGGCGACGTGGTACATTTGTTTCAATTTCCTCTTGAATTTGTGAGACCGCCGTACCAGAGTCCGCTCCTTCTTGGGCAGAACCGATGGGTCCTTCACCGGAAGGTGCAATTGAGTCACCTTGGGGTTGATGCTCAGCAAGAGTCGTCGTTGTTTGCAACTCGGGTGATGATGCTATGCGCCTGGCGTTGACAGCGAGTTGGTCCGGTTGAGTATGATCCGGAGTGGGTAATTGTGCAGGTGTTTCAACACTCGTCACGCTATTGAAAGACTCTTGGACAACATCTCTTGAAGAAACATCTTGACCCACTTCAACGACAGAATCGTCGTCCCTATCACGCACACGAATATCTTCGCGACTTCGAACGACAGGCTCCTGTCCGACAGGTGAAATTTCGATCTCTGCCACTAGCTCTGCGTGGCTGTCCTCATGACTTGCCGGCGGACTGCCCAATCTGGCATCGCCATCTTCCAGGTATGTCAAGGCTGCAGATGCCAAGTCGATCTTCGGTGTTGGAAGTACGTTGGATGATTGGAGAGCTGGAAGGGAATTTTCGACTTGTTCGGATGTCATCTCTCGTGCCTCGGTCATCGCAATATCCTTAGCAGCCTCTGCAGAGGCTATGGCCAGTTCCGGTATATCATCGCTGATGACTAGTCGCTGCCGCTCTGTCGTATGTGCTTCGAGATGGAAAGTTGCATGGTCAAGAGCCTGCTCCTCAATCACAGCGAGAGTCTCCCGTTCATCAACATTGCCATCCATTGAATGATTCTGCGTGGGCATCGCTGGAGAACTACGGGGTGATGATTCAGAGCCTGCCAGCCGAGGTTGCGATTGTTGCGTTGAGCCACCTCCGACGAGGAAAGGAAAGGGGGTGTGTTCGACAGTAGTGTACGTGCTTTCCATCTCGATATATGGTTCTGAATTCTCTCTCGATGGTGACGTCTCCAAGATTTTGGCCTTGTTACCCCAAGCAGTAGCAGTGCCGGAGGGCTGGACAGGCGATATCTGGAGAAATTCTTCGATCACATCGAGAGCACTTTTCTGCTGGTCTCTAGAGATGTCTTGGGTATTGACAGGAGGACTTCTAGGTGCGACATCGCTCGGCGCTCCATAAAGATCATCGTCTTCTATCTCAATGATCTGTGGGGTACTTGATTCAAGGTGGCGGGAGGTCAACTCGTGTTCTTGCTGAAAACGACCTTCCTCAATGGCTAACTCTGTATTTGACAGCCATAATTCAGTTGCAGTGCTAGCAGGGTTCTCGGGATCATAGTGGTGGTCTGCAGTCTCACCAACTGATTCGGAGCCATGGTGATGATTCACTGCTATCGCACTAGACTGCTCATCCATCGGCGGCTGCAAGATCTGTTTAGTCGAAGCAGGCTGTTGATTCGGAAAGGAGTCTAGAACCACAAGTGACCCGTCCGAGTCGTCTTCAGTTGTTGGAGCTCCTGGAGCTTCGACGCCGTCGTGGTGTTCTTCATGAGCCACAATGTGAGTAGAAACCCCTTCACGAAAACTACTGAATGAATTCGTTCGATCATTACTTTCGTCCTCGGCTGTACTCGTGCCGGAGGCATCTAATTGAGATACGCCATCCTCAAACGGTGGAAAGTATCCAATCTCGACACCATATTTTTGGATCAATGGAGATACCAGAGGAAGGCCCGGTGATGCGAGGGGATGTAGTCTGGGGGTAGTCGTCGCGTTAGAGGATGTTTCGGTTGGTGTAGTGGCATCGATAACACGTGCAGGAAGATGTGGAATCCTCATTGGCGTCTGTGGGGGACCCATGGAAGTCAACTTGGGCTCTCGGCTTGGGGAGCGTATTTGAGAGCCTGACTGATGTGCGGCGCTGCTGGGGTTGCCACCACTACTTCCGAGGCTGCCAATTTCGTTATCAAGTAGGTGAACTTGGTCATTGTCTCGTGTGTGACTCCCTAGTGACTCCTCATTGGGGACGCCGCCCGTTGGTGTAGAAGCCTGCATCTCACTGGGCAGACCAACTGTTGGGGCAGTTGTACCTGTTTCCTCTGTCGTGGAGACTGGAGGCTGTGGTGTTCTTGGGATGGGTTCTGCGTCCTCATCCATGTCCACGAGGTTCCATCCTCCACTGTCTCTCGCGAACTTCGTGCGTTTGCGCCCATGGCCCGCCACATAGCCATCATCATCGGTAAAGATATCGAGCGAGGTGTCGAAGAATGTCTTTCCGGAATATCTTCTGCCAGATCTTGAGGGCGTTATGAGAGGAACATGTATCGTGCTTAGTTCGTGGCCCATTGAACCATTTCGCTTAGGAGTCGCATCTTGGAGGGTATCAAGGGTTTCTAAAATACTATTTCCTGGTCCAAGGTGGTCATCATGTGCAGTATAATTTATGGTAGTCGCTTCAGCATTGTCGCGCAGGATCTCGGCAGTGACCTGGCCCTGGAATACCAAGTTCCAGCTGATCTTCTTTCCTGGGGTGGATATATTGTCCTTGTTCTCTTGCCATTTGCAGCCAGCGAGGCCAAGGTGCAGGAGGTCGCCTATGCCAACTTTCGTCTTTGCAACCTCTCGAGCACTGCCATCGTGGAAGATCACTTTCACCTGCCCGCGAGGTTTCCGCACTGGAATATCCGAATCTGCCAGCAGCAACGCGAGAGTCCTTGTAGAACTAGAGTATGGCCAGACCAGTGCGACGCTGGCGAGGATATAGGAAGCTGCACCAGTCGTGGTGGGACTGAGGCTGGCAATTGAGATTCGCTCGCTGGCTTCAAAGGCAGGTTGGCTGGAGAGATTGGGCACCGCCACAGTGGTCATGTTGAAGGCGGCCAAAGGAGAGCATCGGGAGCGACAGCCATTTCTGGACCACGTAGTGTCCGCAAGTCTCCTGGGAGGTACGCGCCGGCGTGTGGAATGGAATGTTCGCTGGTGTTGTAAGGGACGATTGAGGGAATGATTGGTGTCCAGTCAAGGCAAATTGTTGCGGGGAGAATGAGACACCACAAAGCGATTGCCGAAACGCGTTTCACAAGCGATGGATCCGGACGCGACAATCTGCACATGCCAGTCGAGCCACCAGCCTCATCAATCTCACAGTCTGCGTGTTTCACGGTTCTTGCTTCACCGTGTGTCCGACTGGCTATACGTGTTTCCTGATTATATGATGCAATCTACTGCTATGAGTTCTAGCCTGCTCGACTTTGATGGCCTTGATGAACTCAGCCCGGAAGACATCCAGCCCTGAATATCAACAAGATGAGACCACATTCCTGAGCGTGTCTGTCACTAGGGTGCGGCAGAAATGTTCATTTCAGTAGTGCCTCCTCGCCGTGGTGACAATAGATTCCTGGTATTGAAGAATTCACTGTCGTTTACTATTCACGCTGCGTTTCTATTCATCTCTCAAAACCACGCTCATTCATTCCTTGCTTCTCGTTCTGTTTGCTCTCTCATAGACCTTGGTCGCATCTGTTTTCCTCTTCTCCCCTAACCTCTTAATACCTCATCATCTTCTCTTCGACGACTTCAAGACATTCTTTCGCGCATTCAGTGATTGCAACATCTTGACCTCAAGTCCGCAGGCGGCATAACATTCATTTCGTCAAGAGTTGTCCGAGACCGACAACAGACCCGGACAATGCGGTGCATTCTTTTTCCCTTGCTGCTGGTCAGCATCTTTCTCGAACCCACCGTGGCAACATATCAGTTGGTGCACGACTACTCGGGTGATGCCTTCTGGACAGGCTTTGACTTCTTCACCGACCGTGATCCAACAGATGGACTTGTACAGTTCCAGTCGCTCGAAGCAGCAAATGCAACAGGTCTGGCAGGATTCTTAGAGACTGGAAACTCATCAATGGCAGTGTTCATGGGAGTTGACACGGAGCAGGTGGCACCCGAGGGCCGTGCAGCCGTTCGTGTGTCATCAAACGAAACGTTCCAGCATGCCTTGGTCATCGCGGACATCTCTCACATGCCTGGCGGTGTCTGTGGGGTGTGGCCTGCATTCTGGATGCTCGGGTCAGATTGGCCTAACAATGGCGAGATCGATATCGTCGAAGGAGTCAACGACCAGACTGCCAACAGCATGACGTTGCACACAAATGCAGGTCCTATCATTACTGATGGATCACACTTCTCAGGCGAATTGGTCACGGCTGACTGCGACATCAACGCACCCGACCAGCCAAAGAACTCAGGTTGTTCCATCGGCGACACTTCCAATCTGACATTCGGAGCCGACTTTAATGCGGCTGGGGGTGGCGTCTTCGCGACAGAATGGACGTCTCAATTCATCAAGATCTGGTTCTTCCCTCGCGGCAGCTTTCCTGACGACATCGTCAGCAGTAGCCCGAACCCCGGCCAGAACTGGGGTACCCCGAACTCAGTTTTCCAGGGATCGTTCAGCATCGACGATCACTTCAAAGATTTGCAGATCGTCTTCGACACCACATTCTGCGGACAGGTAAGTACTCGTACCAATTGCTGAAGAGCGTTCGGGATTTCCTTCTTCATATGGCTGACTTCTATATTCAGTGGGCAGGCCAAGTGTGGAATACTACCTCTTGTGCAACGCTAGCCCCAACTTGCGAGGAGTACGTGGCCAACAACCCGAAGGATTTTGTCAACGCCTACTGGGCAATCAATACACTCCAGGTATTCCAGGACGATGATCAAGGAGCACTCAATACCACCTCCAGCACAGGAACAATCAATGCTAGAAACACCGTCAACAAGCCCAATCGTTCTCACGTGGCTCGATCGACCGGAAGAACAGGTAGCCGGGTGTTGCCGATATACTTGTGACGGAAGGGTCTATCAGCTTCGCTGTTATTAAAGAGCATGGCATTTACGGTTGGCGAAGTATTTTGGCGATGTTTCCCATGGCCATTACGTCTTTGGCACTCAAGGGTTGACAGGAACATGAGTACTCGTACCTGGGTGAATTAGGTGAAGCTTGTTTATCTTGGACAGAATAGCACGGCATGGAAGCCGAGCCGATCGACATGATCGCTGCTGTACGTGAGAAGTAGTGATTCCAGATGCTGCATAAAAACGGAGTACTCGAATTCTCCAGTTGATCATCTTTCCCCTCCTTTTTGTTACGAGTGATCAATCCCATTCTTATGCTATGCTGTATGTAGATACTTCGCGGGGATGTGTCTTGGGGGAAGCTGGGTGATTGATTACTGAGAGCAATGAAAAGCGACTCAGCGTCGACTTTCCGACGAAGAGAGAGGTGGGAATCGAGAAATAGGCACAGTAATCGTAATGCTGAGTACCGACCTGCAACTCCAGACGTGGTGATCGCATTCCGATTCAAGTAGCTCGACTCGCGATCACTGATCGCATCTGCAAATCACGAGTCACTCCGGGCGCCTGAAAAATTTCGCTCACAAGAACTATCGACGTCATCATAAGGCTGTGCCAAGCTTTGGTGGCTGCCTCGGCAAAGAATCGGCGCCACTGAGCAAAACAAGCATTTGAGTCGCATACAATTTCCAAAAGGCATCATGAGATCTTTCATCAGGTATGAATGAGGCTGCTGTATCCAAAGTACTTGACAGGCAGCAGAACCCTTTGTCTGTTGAAGGTTCTCGCCATATCCTCAGGCGTGATGCAGCTGACCATCGTTGGCTGGAAGGCTCACGAAGGTACAGCACGAGCACCCACCCGGCCCCTCCCCATCAATAGCGGCTGACCAGTACAAAGCTGTCATTGCTCATATTCCTGCTCCATAGCGATAGTGGAATCGAGGTTCAACAATGGCAACCTTCGTCATAGCGCAGGCTAGTGACTTCAGTGTTGACTTTGTACAGGATTCGGCCTTGTCGGGTCGTCTGGCCACACTCCACTGTTGATATCATCGCACATTTTATACTGACACTTGGTGTGGGTGATGAAACGCTACCACTACACGCATCTGGGGCCTTGCAACGGTGATAATTGCACAGGGTCCTCAGCACAAGGTGTCCGCCTCCAGCCCGCCTTTCTCTATATACTCTGCTGCACCCCGTCATCTCCCACATTTTGTTTGTTTTGCGGATTATCTTATTCCTGACCTTTTCTGGACCACCTCTACAGATTCTTCTGTTGGTCGTCTATCATCATGGCTTCAGATCATCAGGATCACCAGCCTACCCTCCATACCCCAAATTTTGATCAGGAGAATGGATCGACCGGAGGAGCGAAAGGAGAAAACGGTGAATGGGAGAAGGCCTCCACGATCGGAGGCGATGGCGATGTACCTGCCAACAAGCCTGAAGAAAATGGGCCGGAAGCAACACATGTCGGGACTACCCTCTCGGAAAAGGAGCAACAAGATCTTGGGCCTGAACCCGAGAATTTCGATAAGATCGAAATAACCGAAGATGACTGCATGGACGAGCTCGGCTACTCGTGGCCCGAGTGGAAGAAATGGACTGTGTTGACTGTCATCTTCCTTGTCCAGCTTTCCATGAATTTCAACACCTCGCTATATTCGAACGGTCTGAAGGGTATCTCGGAGGAGTACGGTGTTAGCGCCCAGGCCGCCCGCTGCGGTGCTATGATTTTCTTGGTCCTCTACGCTTTTGGATGTGAACTTTGGGCCCCATGGAGTGAGGAATTCGGTCGCTGGCCCATCCTTCAGCTTTCCCTTACTCTCGTCAACATCTGGCAACTTCCTGTCGCTCTTGCACCTAATTTCGCGTCTCTGATGGTCGGAAGAGCTCTTGGTGGCCTCAGCTCCGCTGGCGGCTCAGTCACCCTAGGAATGATTGGTGAGTTGAATACACTTGTGTCCTAGGGTTTCTACTAACAACCTATAGCTGATCTCTGGGATGCGGATAACCAGCAATATGCTGTGGCTTATGTGGTCTTCTCATCTGTCTTCGGATCAGTGCTGGGTCCTATCATTGGTGGATTTGTTGAACAGTACCTTGCATGGAGATGGGCTATTTGGATCCAGTTGATCTTTGGCGGCTTCGTACAAGCTGCACATTTTTTCTTGGTTCCAGAGACCCGATCGACGGTTCTCATGGACCGAATTGCAAAGAAGAGACGCAAGGCTACTGGTGAAAACATCTGGGGACCTAACGAGTTGGAACCTTTCAGAGATCGTTTCTCTGTTCGAGAAGTTCTCATTACCTGGATGCGCCCCTTCAAGATGTTCTTGACTGAGCCCATCGTCCTCACGCTCTCGCTCCTCAGTGGTTTCTCGGACGCTCTGATCTTCATGTTCATTCAATCATTCTCCTTGGTATATGGACAATGGAACTTTTCAGCTTGGGCCACTGGTCTTGCTTTCTTGCCACTCGGCATTGGGTATCTCTTGGCTTGGATCTCATTCATCCCTGCGATTAAGAGGAATATCAAGGAGCGAGAGCGAAACCCTGGCGACGAAAAGGCACAGTACGAGTCTCGACTGTGGTGGCTTCTATATACAGCTCCCACCCTTCCAATCGGTCTTTTCGGCTTTGCTTGGACTATCCAGGGTCCTCCCATCCACTGGATCGGCTCCATGATTTTCTCAGCCATCGTTGGTATCGCCAACTACTCAATCTATATGGCAACAATCGACTATATGATTTGCGCATATGGCCCTTATTCGGCTTCGGCTACTGGTGGCAACGGCTGGTCCAGAGATTTCCTTGCTGGTGTTCTCACCATTCCGGCAACACCTTTCTTCGAGAGTGAGTCCCACTATACAATTTTGTCTGTCCCTTGCCTTACTAACTGATTATATAGATATTGGTGGTCGTTATCACCTCGACTACGCCGTCACTATTCTTGCCTGTATTGCTACTCTCCTTGTTGTTGCGGTCTACGCCATCTACTGGTGGGGACCAGTATTGCGAAAGAGATCGCCCTTCGCTCAGTCGCTTGCCGAAGCTCGCGCAGATAACGACGGTCGCCGCCTCTCTTATTTGCCGTCCCAGTCCGGGACTTCGGGTTCAAGGCGCGCCTCACGTGCCAGCATCGACGCCTCCCGAGCACTCAACTCCCGCAGGCAAAGCCAGGCAAGTTTCGCTAGACAAAGCATGCCTCCAAGAATGGGATCAGGTATGGTCAGATAAATGTGCTTCGCAACATCGGTTTGCAGACATTTAGCTAGGCTGCAGAATTTCTCACGTGGGCGTTACAGTCAGTAAAGAGTCTTGTGCATCACATTATTGGGGTTTGTACTCGTATACGTTGTCTTGGTACAATCTTTCAGCAAACGCATTGTTTTCTTGGAGTCTCAATCATGACTGTATGACATGAATGACGCTTGGTTGCAAAGAATTGGAATTTTATACAAGTGTGGGCGTGTATAACGCGTGTACCATAACAAGAAATAATGATACCTGAAGAACGAGTCCAGTACATGAAGTAACGATTACCTATCATCTTGTGCTCTGCTGGTTATCAACAGCTGCAAACCGAGCCGTATCATTACGAGGCGGACGGGTGGGTTCGGCCAGTCGGAGGAAGCCAGAAATAAAAATGCAGCAATCAGCGATGGAAGAAGCCGAGAATTTCTAGACTTCTATCCACTTCAACATCTGCCCCTCTACACTCCATGCTGTCATGCGATAGACCTAGTTCAGAGGCCCGTGGATAGCCGAAGCGTTTCTTATCTCTCCTGAACTCGACAACAATGAAGCCAACTTGCAAACATGAGATAACATGAGTGAAAGCTGGCATGGATTCAGGCCTATAGATGTCTCGGCTCGTCTTGTCTGCCTAATCGCCTTCAAGACATCATAAATGGGAGCGAATTACAAAATTCTCAGCTGTCGTCCTTGCAGAGAACGCAAGGTATGCTCGATGAAAGACGTCCATCATTGATATCAGACTTATTGGCTTCTTCCAGGTGCGATGCAATCGGACCATTCCCTGCCAAAGCTGCATCAGACATAAATGTGAAGCCAGCTGTCAACCTTACCAGGCCAAAAAGATCCAGCAAGTCAAGGTGCCTATCTCAAGGAACCATGGGCCGACTCGACGAACATATAGTGCTGCACCTGAGACCCAGTCGCCGGTCCGTACCCAGACCTTGACACCTGGCAGTAGCATCAGCAACGAGCGTGATGGTCAAGTTGAACGCAATTCAAGACCACCACAAAGCAACGTCAACTATCAGGTCCTGGAAACCAGCACCATAATCCCGCCTGCCGGATTAGCAGAACTCACTGTCGAAGCGCTTCACACCCACAAAAATCTTCAGTCCCTTCAGAGAGGCCACCAGTTGGCCAGTTTGCCTCCATTATTCGCTGGTGCTGGTATCAGCTTATCTCCCTCCGAGAAGATTGCCTGGCAGATTCACCTTGCGGGCTTCTTGCCTTCGCGGTCGCACTGTGATCTTTTTGTGGCCTACTTTTTCGAAGACATCAACTGGATCTACCAGGCAATCCATGCTCCGTCGTTCCGTCAAAAGTATGAGGCCCTCTGGGTGGAACCTGTGAAGGACATCGATCTGGTCTGGCTCGCCCTTTTGTATGTTATTATATCGCTTACTGCACTGTACATCGATCCTAGGGCATGTGAGAGTGTCGGTTACGATGCTTCAGAAATACGGGACGATGGACATCTTTGGTTCCGGCTATCTCGCCAGGCTCTGCATGCCGGTGAATACGACTCTAAGCCCTGCTTGACACAAATTCAAGTCTTTATCGAATCTCAATCTTATTGGTATGCAACGAAGGCCGTCGAAGCGTTGAATAGGTATGTTCCTCGACTTCTCCCAATACCCTTGCTCACTAGTCCTAGCGCTATGGGTCAGGCCATACGCTGTGCTCAAGCCATTCACCTTGACAAGGATCGAGCTCCTGCCACAAATCTGGCCTCTGAGCTCCGGCATCGATTATGGTGGGACCTGTGCTGTTCCGATACCTACCAATCCCTCTGCCTCGATCGGCAGCCATTGATTCAAGCACATCTCTCCGACGTACCTTTTCCACAGAATTGTGAAGATTGCGATATAACAAGTACAACAATCAACTGCCGCCCGCTTGATGAACCAACTGTGATGGCACTACATGTTCTCCGCGCACGATTATTCAAAACATTTAACAAGCTCTACGCGAACAGTGCATCTGCATCCGCGTCCTATGAAGAGGTATGTGCGATCGACCAGGAGATCCTTACGATTGTGGATCAATATCCATGGTATTTAAAGACACGCGTGGACCGAGGCCACTCTACAGTCATCAGTTCTACCCTGCCTCCAGTGTTCGACCATATCCAATGGCAGCACCACGTCATCCACAATTCAATTTGTGTCCAACGAATCCGAATATACCGGCCGTTCCTCCGTTCTCGATTTCACAATGACTGTTGGTCGAAATGCATCGAGGCTGTCGAAGGAGCCTTCGCCGTCTATCACGCGATTCGCGATGCGAATCCATCACGTTTCCAGCGGTCACAAAAAATGCTTGCCCAGAGCTACCAAATCTTTTGTTCGGCAGTTTCGATAGCAGTATTCTTGCTTGTGGAACGTCCCGCCATACACAGCAGAATGCAATCGGATATCGAGATCGTCATACAAGACTTGCAGCGTATCGTGCAGAATCACAGCTCCATCCCTATGGCCGTGGCCGGGCGGGTTGTCCTAACGAAAATCCTTGACGCATATAACCTTGGTAACCGGCAACAAGACCGTTCAGGGCCTGAAGAGGCAGTTTCGAACCCCAACTGGCATACTCTTATTCCAGAGATATATGCTCACATGGGCGGACAGGTGAAAACGAAAACATATCTCGACCGGTGTGCCGTTTCACACATTGTGAACCAGGAAGGCAGTATGAGTGTTTCAGAATCGGCACCGGACCCTCATTCCATGGCAACATCGAGATCAGGTGAAATCGCTGCACCTGAGCCGACTGAAAATACAAATTACTCGAGTTCCTTCGACCCGGATTTCGCGACGTCTTTTGGCTTCGATCTCCATTTTGACGTCCTGAATTGGGGGATCGAGGAATTTGAGTTTTTGCAATGAGTGCAGGAGTCGCACTATGAACATGCATTTTACCAGAGTCAGGACGGGGTACATCTATAGTGCTCCAGGAGCTTCATGGTGATTATGCAAGTCGAAGGCTACGATAGAAGGTTGAGTGGTCGCCGGCAGGGAGCAACGCCTCCGTTGGGCAGACATACAGTGTAATATCACTCAACGACTTTTCCGCCGTTGATGATCGTAATAAATAAATCGCTTTGATCTAGCCTTGCGCTCGACTCGCATTGTACTCGTAATGCCTGGTGTCCTTAAGAGGATACTAAGTAAGTAATTCAATGTGGGGATCCTCTCCCTCTGCCGACGACACTAAAATTCAAACCACCAACTAAGATAAGATAAGATGATTCGAGATTTCACAAATACTTTTTCGATAAAATGCGCTGGCCTTGATGAATCTGGATCTCTATTACAAGATTAATCTCTCTCTCTCTCTCTCTCTCTCTCTCTCTCTCTCTCTCTCTCTCTCTCCGTCTCCGCATCGACACTTCCGTCATGTCGAAAAATTCTATTGAATCGCCTGCAGAGCAGAAGCCGATCCACACTATCCTCCTAGACTCCTCACCACTTCTGCTCAACACACCTGGCATATCTACACTGCTGGCAAATGGCCATGTTCTTGTGACCACTCCTTCTGTGATCGCTGAAATACGAGGCGAGGAAGCGAGAACGAGAATAGAGACACTTTACAAACCCTTTCTCGAAATTCGGACCCCGAAACCCGAAAGCGTCAAACATGTCAAGGAATTCGCTAGGAAGACCGGTGACGGTGCCGTGCTCAGTCAGACCGATTTTGAAGTACTTGCACTGGCATACGATCTTGAGTGTGAGCGGAATGGAGGCGACTGGCGGTTACGAGCGACACCAAGACAAAAGAGATTGAATGGTGCACCCCCGCAGAAAGAGCCAGACGAGACTACGAAGCAGGATGCGTCCACTGTCGAGGCCATCCCGGTACAAAACGAAGAAACAAACCATAACGACGAGCAAGTTTCCATCGAAGCTCATGTCAAGTCTATGACTCTGCAGGACGGTGAGGTCGAGGCAGCCCAACCACAACAAGAACGTGAAGGGGTCGAAATAGAGGAAGGCCGAGAGGAATTGCCATCTCAAGAAGACACAGAACAAGTCGTCGAAGTGCCGACGAATGACGCACAATCCGACTCGGATGATGGCTGGATTACACCTTCAAATATCAAGAAACGGCAGGCCAAAGACGAGGCTGCCAATAGCAAACCCAAGCCTAAAAGCGAAACGAAACATTTACAGGTCGCCACCATGACAGGCGATTTCGCAATGCAAAACGTACTGCTTCAGATGAACCTCAACCTCTTGTCCACCAAAAACTGCCAACGGATCTCACAGATCAAGCAGTTCATACTCAGATGTCATGGGTGCTTTGCCACCACCAAAGACATGAACAAGCAATTTTGTCCACGATGCGGCAAGCCTACACTGACTAGAGTCAGCTGCACGACTAGCGACAAGGGGGAGGTGAAGTTGCACCTCAAAGCAAACATGCAATGGAACAATAGGGGCAACGTCTTCTCGATTCCTAAACCTACTGCTGGCACTTCGAATCAGAAGTGGAAAGGACCTAGGCAAGGCGGCGGACAAGGTGGTTGGGGCGGTGATTTGATCCTGGCTGAAGATCAGAAGGAGTACGTTAGAGCCATGTCAACGATGAAGAGGACGAAAGAGAAAGATTTGATGGATCAAGACACGCTTCCTAGCATTCTGACTGGCGATCGAGGTCAGAACACTGGACGGATCCGGGTGGGAGGCGGTAGGAACATCAATTCTCGAAAGAGGCAGTAGAAGTATCGGAAAGTCTCGGATTTTAACGAAGCCATGAATTTTGATTTTATGAAACCATGACCGTACAATATGTCAAGGCTTCTGGGTATCCCTTCCTTTCTGTCCCAGACGCCAAACGCCATTCGTCCCGTACCCAGGGCTACCTGTTAGAAACAAACACTACCTCTCAGCAGTGTCAGAGGCGAAGCTGCATGAGTCGTTTTCCGGTATAGCTGAAATTGTTCCGTGTGAATCGTCCAACAACCATTCATCTTCCTCTGCCATCGAACATCCCTTCGTCCATCAAAAACTGGATTGCACCCCCCGACAGTCAGTGGCGAAACATCCTCTTTATTTCTTCTCGTCTTCTGCGCACGGGTTAGCACTCGAACGTCTGGGCAAACGGAGGAATTAGGAAGGCAAACGCACTTTGTTGCGTGAGAAGGAGGCCGTATCGCTTCTTTAGTGTGACTCGATGCCTGCCAACCGGGTTAGAAATGCTACCAGAACTTGCACCTGCGCGGTCTCTTCCGTACCTCGAATATTTGTCATCGGGTGAAAATCTCGCGGGATGCGCCGACTTTGTAACCACACCGTCGAGCACTTTCTTCAGAGTGTAGACCCTCTTGCCCGTGGCCGGGTCCTCGGTGTACATCAAATGCATCTTTTTTTCGGGAGGCGCTGTGCGTTTTTTTCGACCGTCCTGTCTGAAGGATATACTATTCCGTGCCGAGAAGAAGAAGAATAAAAAGCGATACCAATCGGTGGATTGTGGTTGGAGGACGAGGATCGGCAAAATGCAACTGAAAGTGCAGAGACTGCGGCGGTTTAAAAATTTGGGCAGAAAAAGTGACTGGCGAAGCAAATAATTTCCCCGCGCAGCCCGAAGTTTTGATGCAGACCAGATTTTTGGGCCAACAGCAACTCTTTCTACACACACCTCATTCACCAACAATCCAAACATCTCTCCATCCATCCACAAGCGAAACCCTCTCGCCCTGCATTAAATGCTCGACCGCGCATCAGATTCGTATCCTCGCATCCTCTGTCGCTCTGCGGCACAACGGAAGAGAAGTAAGTCTGCCCAACCCTTAGCTGGTAAACATCACTCCACCTCTACATATTGTTCCTACACTACATGATGACTCTTTTCTTTCGCCGAGGAGGTGGCATTTTGATTTCAGCTGCCTCCAATGTGCGCAATGTATTAGACTACAACGGTATCTGATTTGTTTAATCTCTCTGAAAAATCTCCTCGTCCTGGCTATAGCTATCATGGCAAAAAAGGCTGACCTCGAAACAACCTAGAATTTAGTGCCATGAGGTCAACATGGCTTCTTCCTCGACTGTATCAACAATGAACAAGACAAGTACTGGGACGGACCCGAAAGCGTCTTCTTCAAAGCCACAGCAGAAACGACCTCGTAGGCCCAATTACAACTATATACATCGAAATCTCCTGCCCATCGAAGTCCACCCTCTTCCTGTTCTCATTCCACACAACCCGCTATCCCTCGTCGCCATTGCCTTGTCGTATCTCACACAAATCCTGGCCCCTCCACGAAGACCGACGTATAAAGGATATTTCTCCTCGGCGACTTCTTCCATCCATGTTACAGATGCCGGGACCATCAGGAAGCTATGGGAGATGGGCTTTTTTGGTCGAGGAAGCTTGAGCCGAAGTGAACCAACGTGGATGGACAATCGCAAGAAGCAAGGTGTCACGGCGGAAGAAAATACAGCTCAACGTCGACAGCAGAGAAGACAGTTGAAGCAGGAACGTGCCCGGAAGGAGCAAGAAGAGATAGAGCAAAAACTGGCCGAAGAATCACGGACAAAGGACAAGGTTGGTGAAGTTCTCTCAGAAAATGTCCTCAAGACGAATGCTCGGGATTTGAACGATATTGGGAGTGTGTTGGACTCTGCCAACGGCACTCCAACGCTTGAAAACCAAGAAGATAAAGAGAACAACAGTTCAATACATGGGTTTCACGAATGGAAAAACGCGATAGAGGCGAATGGCATTCCGACACCTCCTCCGACTTCAACGTCGTCAGAGGCCAGCCACACTGACGGTCGACCGGTCAAACGACTACAACGGACCAAGACGGTCCGCTTCTCACCCACCATCGAGGCCAGGGAATTTGACTTGAGTTCGCCTGTGATTTCACCGATTAAGAATCCTGGGACCACGGCAATGGAGGAAACCCAACCCGAGGCAGAGGCCGCCCAGGAGAACCAAGAACATCTGAATCTGTCTCTCGAAGAGGCATTTTTCTTGTCTTATGGCTTGGGGGTGCTTGACATCTATTGCGACGACAGCGACGCCGTATTGCCTCCGTCTTCCCAGTTATCCCTCTTCCGCCGCCATTCCTACTCTCCCCCACGAAGTCTTTCCGTCCCAGCCGGACCCGACGACCCCTTCATGTTGTCATACGCTGTGTACCACCATTATCGATCCCTGGGCTGGGTGGTCCGGTCGGGGGTCAAGTTTTCCACGGATTATTTATTGTACAATCGAGGTCCTGCCTTTTCACACGCCGAGTTCGCCGTCGTGATTGTTCCATCATACACCCACCCGCACTGGACGGATTCACCCGAGTCTACAAAGTCGATCGAGCAAAAGACCAAAAAGTCTTGGTGGTGGTTGCACGGCGTCAATAGGGTTCAGGCGAATGTACACAAACAATTGGTTTTATGTTATGTCGATGTCCCACCTCCTTTTGTGGTCGGAGGTGATGACAAGTCTTCCCGGGACATCGACATCGGGTTACTTCTTTCACGGTACAAAATTCGGGATGTCAATGTACGGCGTTGGACTCCGAATCGGAGTAGGGATTGAGGATTATAATGATTTTGATGATGAAAGAATGAAAATGATGAGATGATGATGATGAGACTTCAATTTCCTTCCCAATGTGGAGTAAATTTCACATCAAAATGAAAAATGTTGTATCCGGTACGACGATGAGGGCCAAAAAAGACAGTTGTTGATCTTCGAGACCAATTCATGAGTATCTACGGTTTCAATGGACACTCATCTTAGTTGGGATATTGAGAATGTAGGTTGTGTACTGTACTGCACTGTAGATGACAGTGTGAGGGTGTACTTGCGGCACAGACAAAAGATGGTCCCGGTTTGAAAACAGGATATTGTTATGGTTCCTGTCAAGTCTGAGTCTGTGAGCCTTGAGTCTTGGATCTAAATCACGATGGCCCGCATATGCTCTCATGAATAAACCGTAACGTACGAAGAGGTTAGCCATACGAAGAAGTACCAACGAGTGGCTTCTGTAGCTTGGGTCTACAGAGTACCCGAGGGTAAGGTAGGTAGGTACCTTAGGGTGTACGGAGTATGTCGTCGACCTTCGCATCCTGGCTACGAATCCCGTTGGTTGTACTCAGTAAGAGATGCCCCGGGTATCAACAGGTCTCGTATCCAATTCGGGAAGCGGGACCGATCGGGTCATCTCTGAATTGGGAACACCATCCGTCGTCTAGTCAGCATGTTACCATCAGGCCCAATTCCTGGCGCTCGATACAGTTCTGTTTTTTTTTGATGCGAATGCGTGTCGGTTCGGTCCCGGTCCAAATGCGTTATTTTGTTTCCATTTTCTTTGCGAAATAAGTCTTCTGACAACTGCATTGCGCGCCTATGATGTGGATTGTTCAAGGTCATGACTGGTGACTCTTGAAGATGATTGGGTCAAAAATCGGTGGATTCCATGAGACCTAACACGATGACTCGTTCCAGATAACTTGATCGAAGATCAGTGGTCAGTCAGTGTTCGGCGGACGGGAGGGGAGGCCGGTGTCAGTATGTCTTTTTGGACGGAATGGGTAAGGGATCCGATTGCCCTTTGGAAGGGAACGGAGTACGGAGTAAGTAAGACTCTGAAACCACGTGCGAGAAAGAGAGCAAAAAAAAGGACACCAAACGAAGGAAGGGTACATAATGAGTTGCCTACCTGTGGTACACGTAGAGGGAAGGAGCGAGGAGGAAAAAGGACAAGTGATTGTTACCGCTGATCATTGGAACTTGTCTTGTTCTTTTCAGAACCTGGACCTCCAGAGCGAGAACATACAAGTCCCCTTTTTCATCTTCTTCTTCTTGTCGCATCATACTCTGTTCAAGAAGAAAGAATAATCAAAAAGACACAAAGAACAAGAAAATACTTGTCGAAAACAATCACAATCACAAGCACAACCATGAAACTCAACTTACTGAATCCAATAGACCATACGAGGTCCAGTCCGGTTAGACCCATTGTGCCTACCCTCTCACTGAGCGAACCCATCAACCTCCAAGTCGTGCTTGACGAAGATGAGCAGCTCGATCTGCTGGGAACAAAAGTCAACGTCCACCTTTACGGAGTGATCGAATTGCTTCGATACGAGACCTTTACCAACAGTGGTGGGATTGTCAGTTTCAAGGCCCGCCCAGTTCGGTCGGAAGATTTGTTGAATGTCTGTCGGGCCATGGTGCTGCAGACACCACAAGAATGTACCACGATAGATTTGTTTTCGTCGTCCTCGTCATCGTCATCGCCGGGCCTCGATGCGTCACAGTTGCCGTCGTCCATCGAGGTCATCGGGAAAGACACTTCGGACTCGTCGTCGGACTCGTCGCCGTTGATGCAGCTCGTCGTGAGATATGTGCTCTCGGTGTCGGATTGGAAGGGCAGGACCGTATGTCAGGAGGTTCACATGTTGGGTCAAAGCCTCAGCGAGAGGGAAGGGTTTGCCGAAGCCAAGATTCTCCGACCGAGAGGAGGATACAAGCGCGGTATCTCACAAAGGTCGTCGACGTGGAAGTGGGCGGCCCGTCTTGATCCGTTCAGGCACTTCAGACCCGCCGCAGCATCGCGGCCGCGCCGTGAGTTGACCGTCGACGTGACAGGGTATGATCCGATCGTCCTCAGGCATCAGGAGAACACGGTGTCGACGGTGGTTCGTTGGCGCTTGAGGCTAGCTAATTACCGGCAACAAGACCTGAAATCCCCAGAACCAAAAGTGGCCATGTCTGCACGTTGGAGTCTACGGTCCTCGACTGAGTGGGAGATCTCGGGTTCGGAAGGAAATCATGTCAGGATCCAGGACAGAGGCAGTCTCCATGGCTCAAGCATCTCGACGTCTGAAGAGGCCGTGACTGAGTGGCGACAGGGCTTCGAGGAGAGTCTGGAAGCTCAACACTGTACAACCTTGTCACTCCCCGTACGACAATTTCTGGCACCGACGTTCTTCTTGGGGTCCATTCAGCATACCTATACCTTGCACTTGAAGGTGTGTTGTCGAGTGAAGGGGGAGAAGTTGAACATTCGCGCCAACCTCGAGTTTGAGTTACCTATCGCATTGATATATGTGGCGCCAGGATATGATAGTGACGATGCGCCGCCTGCATATTCCTAACGTTCTGACGTTGGAATGAGCAGGGTTTGGAGGGTTGTGTGAGTATTGAGATACCGCGTCTTTTCAGGAGTATGACCAAGTTGAACTCATTGAGAGAAACAAATGGTTGCTGTCGAGAGAGCCAGACGGTGTCGCGGGAAGCATGGCTTAAATCCTAGTTCTGAAGCACTCTCGGTTGGTGAGACTGGCGTCGGTTTTAGACAGGTTGGGTGCATGAATGAAAGATAATAGATAGCTAGATGTGCATGGCACGTCAACAGTACCTTGGATTCACAATACGTACAGTTCGAGCATCAGATACGGAGTTGGTAGAATACTTAAGGAGGTGTGTTTCTTACGGTGTCTTGTATCAGAATCAGTCCGGTCTAGCACGCGTATAATTGGTAGGGAAGTCGCAGCAAGTAAGAGATTGACGCGAGAGCCCAGTTCCTGGAGTAGCCTCAAAGAATCCAACAATAGAGTCTTTGTGGTATACGGATGACATGGAGATGGAGGTCGAATTGGACAGTCAGGATGGTGTACGGGGCAAAGAACTGCGCCTTGGCTTATATACTCCGACCGGGTGATGATACGGTACAACTTTGTATCATGCGCATCATCTTTTGACCTCGAACGGCTTTCATACCCCGCTTGCATGCGACTCGAGTACTGTGCTTCTTGCACTATACTCGAACATTTGACAGAGCAAAGCTCTTGGAATACCAGCAGCAAAGCGCTCGTCTCAGAAATGGATACTCGCAAACGAAAGAAAAAGGTCCTGTTGATGGGCAAGAGTGGATCGGGAAAGTCGTCCATGCGATCCATCATCTTCAGCAACTATGTCGCAAAGGACGTCCGGAGACTGGGGGCGACTATCGATGTCGAACACAGCCATGCCAAATTCATGGGCAACTTGACGTTGAATCTATGGGACTGTGGAGGGTCAGTGCACTCAAAAAACCCCATGAATTGACAGAGTTGTCGCGGTTGGAGGAGCTCTGCTGTGGTTGCGTCTGCTAACACTTTGACAACCATAGACAAGATGCTTTCATGGACTCCTACCTTAACGCGCAACGGGAGAACGTCTTCTCCGACGCCGAAGTCCTGATATACGTGTTCGACATCGAGTCGAGGGCGGTGGAACAGGATCTCGAGACGTACAGTCAGGTCATCAAGGCTTTGAAAGAGTTCAGTCCGGAGGCACACGTTTTTTGTCTGATCCACAAGATGGACCTGGTACAGCACGAGCTGAGGGAGAGGATCTACGAGGAGAGGTGCCGCCTGATCACGGCCAGGTCCGAGGGCCTGAGCCTCGAGACGTTCGCCAGCAGCATCTGGGACCAGACGTTGTACAAGGCCTGGGCGGGCATCGTGCACAAGATGATCCCGAACCTGGTCGTCATCGAGAAGTTCCTCGAGGCGTTTGCGAGACAACTCCGGGCCGAGGAGATTGTCCTGTTTGAGCGGTCGACCTTTCTCACCGTCACAAACGTCGTCACGCACTACGGCGAGGACAACCCGAACCACGACAGGCACGAACGCATCTCGAACATCATGAAGAGTTACAAGCACACGGTGGCGAGGAACACGAGGACGACAGCCGCCAGTGCCGGGTTTCTGTTGTTCAAGGTTCAGACCCCGAGGTTCAATTGTTTCCTCGCCCGGTTCACCGAAAACACCTACATCTACGTCGTCATCCCACCCGGGGAAGCCGCTTTCAACTGTGCCGTTCTCAACACCATGATGGCGAGAGATGTCTTTAAGAAAAAGACGGGTGTTGAGGGATGAAGAAAAAAACCACCGGGAAACTGCTATTAATTTCGTCTCCTCCGAACACCTTTATGCTGAGATGTCATACCGCACATCTCTTGTCGGCACGAAAGGCTCAGAGAAAGCGCACGCGAGGTCTCACTCTATCTTGAGACGGCGTTTTATACATGCAATCTTGCTGTATTGGCAATAGTGTCTTGAGTCGCAGAGCAACACTAACAAAGATCATTCTGGCTCAGACCATCAATTGGGAGCTCACTGCAATGGAGCTTCTCTCCCCAAGACCACTACCACAAATCTGGCTCGACATATGTATCACACTACATTCTCGCACCCAGTTTTTTATCCTTCCATGGTGCGAGACTTGTCTCGACTTTGAGCATCTCCTCACGACAGAATACGAGATTCGCCTGGGACTACGGAGTAGCATTCGTGACGGACCAGACGCTAGCAAGGGTGGCTGGAGAGCACTTCACCGGGAACCAGTACCGCAAGAAGCACGAGTGCAAGTTTACTTGTCAAATTGAACCGGCTTCTGTGGGGTACTCGTATTCGCAGGACGTGCGGATCTTCCTGTGTTTCCGTGAGTTCACGCTCACGAGCTTTTTCATCGCGTGGAAACTGTGTGATAGATCAGACCTGTGTACGAGCACATATGGGTTGGCCATTGCGAATGAAAGGAGGTACGTAGAAGGAAGATTTGTGGGTGACGAAGAACGGGACAGGAGGATAGCAGTCCGCAACCCGTCAATGTACAGTGTACGAATATAGCGCGAAGAACATACGTAGTGGACAAAATCAGACACGGCTTTATTCACTGCTTTCGAGGCATGACCTTTGTTATTTTTTTCTACGAAAGGTAGAGCCACAGCCATGGTATGAATACGGAGTTCTAAGCTCTAATCACTGCAATAAATCGGACAGGGTCGGAGCCTCGTACAGTACACTGATCTCACTTGACATCAATGCTTGCATTTCTTTTTCTTTTTCTCCTTCTCAACACCAGGCTCCGCGGCCTCTTCATGACCCTCTGAAGCTTTCAGGAAGCCTTATGCACCGACCTCGGCAACCACGTTTCCGCTGTCCACGACCGACAGGTTCTTGACGTTGTTGTTCGTTTCTGCCTGGGCCAGAGCGAGCCTCTTGGCCTCGAGGGCGTTGAAATTGCGCATCATGGCGTTTTTGGTGAATTCTTCGCCGGTGACGAGGGGGTATTTCTTGAGGGGCCCCTGGATGAGGGTGTCGCGGCACGGCTGGTTGAAGAAGGCGATGCTGTACCGTTCCCCATAGTAGTCGTCCGGGTCGCAGGGGGCCTTGACTCGGTGGAACGTCGACTTGAACCGGTCGTCGGACCACGACATGAGGAGGTCACCGATGTTGCAGATGATGGCGTTGGTGTCTGGGTCGGGTTCGACCTTGGTCCACGTGTCTCCGTGGCCGAAAGATGTGCTCACTTCTCTCCCTGGACAGATCTGTGACAAGCCAAAAGAAAAGGAGGGTCGAAGGTCAGTTGATGTCCGAACCTTGAGAAAAAGGAGAAGAGGCAAAAGAAGTTCAAAAGTCAAATTCGAGAAATGAAACAAAGAGAGTAAAGCTCACCTCTAACCCAGACTGTCCGGCCTTTTGGAACAGCAACGTGAGTAGATCCCAATCCGTGTGAGCGCCGGCACGATGCCACACCTCTCCGTTTGTGTTTGCCGGAGTTTCAAAGTAGTGCAGGAGCCGCGCGACGGTCTGGCTCTCGGGTCTCTTGACGTCGTGGGCGCGGATGAAGTAGTCGTCGGGGAACCCCAGCCCTCGAGCCAGGCAGAGCATCAGCCTCTCCGAGACCTCCTGCACGCGCCACATGAACTTCAGACTGGAGTCCTTGAACCCCGCAATGTCCTCTTCGTCGAGCCATTTGCCGTCCATGTTGCGGCCGAACTGCATCTGGTACGACTCCTTCCGGTCCGCGGCGCCCGTGGACGGTCGGACCTGGCTGTTCTTCTCCCACCCGGCGTTGTGGGCCGAGGAGAACGGGACCTTGGCCTTGACCTCGTCCGGGAGCGCAAAGAACCGCGCCGACTGGGCAAAGATGCCGTCGACCTCTTGCTTGCTGATGCCGTGGTCGACCACGCAGAAGAATCCCTCCTTCTCGGCGGCCTCCACCAGTGACGCGGTGATTTCGTCGACGCGCTCATCAAAGTCGGCGAGTGAGATGGTCGGGATGGCCCGGTCGACGTATTTTGTCTCGTCGGATGACATTTTGATAAACAGAGGAAACTAGTCTGGGGACCGTACGTGAGGTCGCAATGGAGTCGTGGTACGCGCAGGAGTACAAGTCCCGGTTGATGCTGCGGAGAATGATGGTAGCGCCAGTTCCTACTTTTTAATTATCAACCAAGTGGCTTTGGAGACTTTTTGCTGGTCGGAAATCTCATGTAGGGACGACAGCGAGGACGTTTTATATGCTTTATTCATAAGAAAAAGGGTCAATGGCTTGAAAATCATTTGTTCTCGTGTCGTCTGTGATAGTGGAAAGTCGAACATGCCGCGTACGACCTGATAAGGCTGGACTCCGTGCCCCGCACGTTTATCGTCCAATGAAATCATTCAAACGGTCGTACGAATATGGACTATCCGATCGAACAGCCTCGCCTAGCCACTCATATATCAAAGTTCAAAAGATCCTCAAACAAAAAATTGTTGCTGATACCGGTGTGCGGAGGAAACAATTGTTCGAATGTCTCGTACCCGAAATCAGACGTGAAGGATGGATCTTGTGGTATGGGTGTACGAGCTGGAGTCCGCGCTTCAGGTTCGAAAAGATCAAGGCTCGGTTCGCCGCCCCTGTTGGCCGTCCGTAGTGAATGCGTGAACGAATCGTTACCAACAAATGACTCGACAAACTTGGGCACGTTGAACTTTTGCCTCTTATGCTGCGACGGATCACCTAACGTGTCGTTCGAACGTTTTCGGTAGTTCTCCAATGTCTGGTCCGCTGTGAGTCGAGCCTGTTCGGCAAGAAGAGACGACAAGAGACGGATCCCTCTCAGTGCGATCATGCTATTCTCGAATTTTCCCAGCATGCTGATGGTATTCTCGACCAGCTTTCGATGTTCCTCGTATTCCGGATCGTTGGGCTTGCGGTGGAAAATGTCCAGCGCTAGGGTGATCCCAGCCGCCACCATGAAAGCTTGATCTATCCATAGCAGAGGCCCCTCCTCATCATAAGCTTGTCTGGCCTCCTTCAAAATACTCTTTGCAGCCGCCATGCACGTACGCCGGGTAAAGTCGAATGCCGGCTCCGTGAAGCTACGTCCTAGGAATGCTCGATGGATCATGATGATCTTATGGGCAAAGCATATCGTCAAGCTTCGCCTAGCCCAGGAGACGAAGGGCGGCCACTCTGGCTTCATTGGTTCGTTGTTCGAGAAGAAGGATGGCATATGCTCAGTTGTCAGTATCCGCATTTTGGTGTCATATTCAACGACTTGTTCGTATTTGGTGTACAGGGTGTTGGACGCTATGATGGCATCGTGGATCTGTGGCATCAACGCGGCCATCTCCACGAGAGTGTTCTGGAAGCTAGTCACCGAAGGCATATCCTCGGGCATGGGTTCCATCGTGTTGTCATCTACGTGCAGGGATTTTATCGTGGTGAAATGATGTCTCTGGATCGAGTACATTTCAGAGAATGGGATGGAGAACCAATCTTGCATGCAGAGTTGAGACCATACTCTCCTGCCGGTCTCCCGTTTGATGGCTTTTTCTCGTTGTGCTGATGCACTGACGATGGAAATTCCAGTAGGATTGTTGCTCTCTTCTTCTGGGCCAAGTCTTTGGAGGCCTAAACCTTGAGCGATCTTTAGAGCTACCCCGAGCAGTGTACTCTGAGTATTACTGAAGCCCAGCACATGCGCTGACATGGTCAGGATGGCGATGGCTTGCACAGAGTAGATGTGATGTCGCCACATGTAGTCAGCCAGGTTGAGGCATGTGACTGTGGCCTTGTACCACTGTCTGGTCAATTTGGCCCTTTCGCTCTTTTTGAACCCCCATGACGAGGCTATTTGGTCGCTGGCACAGGTCATGCTCGCTGCCATGATTGAAAATAAGATAGCAGTCCATCTTAGATCCATGTTACGGACTTGTAGACCACTGGGCCCTTGGTAGACATCGTTGAGCTCGTTGTAGAAGGTGGGCCCATGAAAGCATGCATGATACCATAATATGGAGTTGATATGATATTCAACGAGTTGAAAAACTTGTCGACGATTTGGGAGTAATAGTTGCAAGAACGATACCTGAGCTGCACCTGTACCACCAAATCCATTGGAAACATCCCAGTCAGGTCCCGAATCCTTGGGAACCGAGGAGGCACCACCATAATGCGGTTCCTTCAGAAGTTCCAGGGCTTTGAGATCGTAATCGGAGAATTTTGATCGGCCCCAGGTAAGAAACTCCAGGGTGCTGGCTGCAGCATCAGGATCCGAGAGAGGACCATTGCCTGGATGGGGGCCGAGACCGAGAGGATTAGGTTGGCGACGAGGGTTGGGGCTAGGTGGTGATTTTACCGAGGCGGATTTTCTCTTGGATGAGGGCGGGATGGGCATGTCTGAGACATTTTGGGCGGTCGTCGCAGGGGAGGTGTTGTTGTCTGTGGTGGCAGGGCTGTCATCGCCTTGACCTGTAGATGTCCGAGGATAGATACGATGGACCTTTGGGTCGTAGCCCCCGTCCGGCCACTCCCTCGTACATTTATGTCCGTCGCCGCGCTTGACACAGCGGCTGCAGGGGATGTTGCGATCGCATTTCTGGCGACGCATAGAACACTCCGTACAGGTTTGGCGTTCTTTCGGCATATTGGAGATAGAGTCACATAGCCTGTCGTACTACAGCCCACAAGTGGTCGGTCAACCGATGTACGCAACTTCTGAGGTGGTTGTACGGAGGACAGTACGAGGGTGGGTTGAGCACCGATGGCCACTTTGTGACCAGATGGAAAATTTTCGGTCCGGTTCGTGCTTGGCAACGGTCACGTGCAACTATTTGAAGGTCCCAGTGCCCGCAGGCTCTCTATCTTTAATATCCCATCTTAATACTCTCGAGACTTGCTTATCAACTGGTTCACCATTGCCCTAGAAGGAATCATCGACCCTGGTGGTCTTTCAGCTGGCAGCTTCACCCTGTACGAGTATAGGGGAGGCCCCTTATTCCATCGAGCCCAGGTTATTGAAGATATACGATATGTGTCCTCGATAAAGCTTCATACCTCCCTATGACAGTTAAAGGCCTCCCATTCCACAAGATAAAGCGAATTGGCCGTGTCGGTGTTTTGCACTGCAACCCGGTATCCCATCATCACTCCTCCAACGCCTTCGTGGATGAATTCTCCAAGACTTCTCCCGTAGTCTCGTTTACGACAGATTCCGAGGGGACAAGAACGAATAACATTCGACAGTTCTCGTTTGTCATATTCTTCCAGGCCTAGATTCAACACCGCTGATAAGTACAAGCTGTTGCTCCTACTATTGGACTGGTCCGTCGAATGTAAACGTAGCCAACAAGTGACTGTAGAAACTTACATGGATAGTCGCCCTTTGAACACACACGTCTCCTTCATTCATGATTGTTTCGACTTCATCGTCGAGAATGAGCTTGATGCTTCCCTTCAGCACTACACCAAAGTCCACACTCTGGGTTCGGTGCATGATGTTGACGTTGTCCGATGCATCGCCGGTTGCGGGGAAATCGACAATTCGGCAGTAAACTCCGGACTGATCGACGAGGCCAATTTTCTTACCGTGGACGTCGACAAATGGCGTCTGCGCTTTCGCCGGGATGCCATCGGTCTTGTAGAGGTTGGTAAACCCTGGGATGATCCCAGTGGGCGGATTGCCCTCAGGGTCGAGAGGGTTGGCAGGAGTCAGCACAGCATCGGACGTTATGATTGCCTTGCCGTTGTTGTCATGGCCTGGGTATTTTGTCCGTCAATCTCCATCACGGGCAAGAGGGACATACGTTAAAGAGAGAGAACATACCTGTCACTATCCTTCTTGTTGTTGGTAAAGACATGGTGTAGATTGACTTTGAGACAAGACTGGGTTGGAAGGTCAAGGATTTGTAGAGTTGGTCGAAGCTTACGGAGTAGTGTACAATAAGCTTAATCACCTCTCACAGCACCAAACATTCCGACATGGGGGAAAGTCATCGAGTAGCTTGTTACTATCACGTCGCTAATAAACCATGATGAACTCAAGTTAGGGAATACCTTTGACCAAGTACATCAGCCTCTTACATTCCACAATGTCTTTGCTGCTTGTTTACTTGAAAGACGCCAGGGGTCATTGAAGAATATGATTGCAATATCATCGACTATGCTAACACTCTCCTATCGGCGTTCTTGTCACATCAAGATATCCGTCACACCAAAAGACTTTTTTTGTCGTGTCCTGACATCACCCCTCCACACATTATGCTATTATGAAGTTATTTGAAAATAGTTCTGCCATACAAAACTCGTCTCGCGGTATCGTCTTAAGATGTGCAACCTCCTACAACAAAGCAGCGAGACCCAAAAGGGCAGCACCAGCAGCACCGGTCAGACCAGTGGGCAGAGCAGCAGCTACATTACCGGTCTCGGAAGCACCAGAGCCACTCGCCGAGGCACCACTTGCTGCCGAGTTGATGGCGGAAGAAGCAGACGAAGCGGCACCGCCGGCTCTGCTTGTAGCACTGCTGACAACGCTACCAGCATCGCTCGAGATGCTGGCCAAGATTGAACTAGCTGCGGAGGTCAAGGAGGCGAGGGATGAAGAGGCGCCGGTGGCGTTGTTGGCGGCGGCGGAACTCAAGCTGGAGAGGCTGGATGAGAGGGCGGACTCTTTGGAGCTGACGCTGCTAGCAATTGACGATTCTTTGGACTCTGCAGAGGATGAAGCAGCAGAAGCAGAGCTACCCGCAGCAGATGTAATTGAGGCAATAGAGCTGGAAAGGGAGGATGCTGCACCAGATCCAGAGGCGGTCGGAAGGTTATCGGTGGCGGATGAAACGATGCTCGACAGACCGGAGGCGGCGCTGCTCGCTGGGTTCTGGGCGAGAGCTGGGACAGCTGCGAGGAGGAGGACGAAGTTGGTGAGCTGCATGGTGGTAGGATTGGTCGTGCGTATGTAATGTGTGTTGTGACGGAGAATGGACTGGTTTCTCTTCAAGTGAACTGTTTGAGGATGGGATTGCTACGGTTCAACTGATAAAGGATGGCCAAGTTCTAAAGGGAGGAAGAGCAATCAATATATACCTTAACTCGTAAGAAGTGAATACAGCACATTTCAGGCAAACCAGTTGTGAAACAAGCGAGTGTGAGGAATGCGTCACCATCTCAATGCACAATGGTCGACAAGGCTCGAGGTTCCGGGGAACTAGGCAATATCTGGGTCGCTCTAGCTCGACGATTTCCTTGATTTGAGCTTCGGTCAGGCCTGGATCGAGCGGCAACAAGGGAGATCAACGGAAAAGAGAAGCCATTCGCCCCTTTGTGGGCTGACATTGACCGTGACAGGTTGTTGACGAGAGACATTCATCCAGTTACGAACATTGGGATGCCCCATTTCGACAAGGGGCCAGCGAATAAATAAATGATGAAAATAGAACGTCATACTCCATATATGTAGAACATCACTAGCCAGACACGACGCCGCCAAGCCGAGCTAGTCTTTTTTTGGGATCACATCAGCCACACCCGGAGCCGCATCTCGTATTCGTACAAGTAAATGCCATCAACGATGCTTCGCTCTTCACCAATCACTTCTTCTCGGAACATTGACCTCGTCGACTTCAATCCGCCTTATCCGACACTGACTTACATCACGTACACCTTTCTCGATCCTTCCAAGCATGGTCAGTGCCCTCCAAAGCGACATGGTTTGGAGTATTACGTTTTGACGCAAGAGGAACGCCCCAGGCTTCCGGAGAACATAATAAGGTCACCATTCAACAAGTAAGAGGAGAACAAAGGTAGGAACACAGCTATAGAGGATTTCTAGGGGCATATGTCGGGAGGGTTAAGGAGCAATTCTGAAAGGATTAGGGTTGGGGCCTGCGGGGACCCTTGAAAATTAGGTGGCACTAAGGTGGGCTTCTAGGTCCGGCGCCTAGAACTATAGGTTTTCATGCCTCTAACGTCATGAAAATTATCCCCAAATTCCCAAATCACCAATGGTGGGCGCCTGAGGGTATGTTCTAGGGTACACCTTCGAGCCTTGCATTGACAATTTTGATCCCAGAGCTACGTGGAGATAATAACGACTGCGAGCATCAGCACTCTGTCTCCCGATTTACCCATGGTAGTCACTGTGGGATGTGACGACAGCCGACACCCTGCGAGACCCGACAACATACGATACCCGAGTCAATCACGAAGCTGCTTTCACCTCGCCATTCATTTGTGGAAAGTACTCATTGCCCTTACCCGGCGAGATCACAAATGTGGTATTGGTACTGGTCTGTTGTGAGTGGCCACTAAAATCTTTCAGTTCAATGACATGTCGGGGTGTAGAGGAAATATGTCCCTCTGGCGTGAATGTGAACATCATCTTACCCACCTACTCAAGTTGGTTGATATCACCAACGTCAATCTTGGTGCAAACTGATCACAACGGGTACTTCAGCTCAATCTCTAGCACCAGATACGGGCACTGGATAGGTAGGTCAAATCGTTGCACACTCAGGGTTGTGGTCGACGCTTTCGAGAGCGTTATAACCAATCGGAGGTGATGTTCGGAAGGCTCTTGGGTTCGGGTGAGTGGGCTCCGATTGGGTTTGTTGTCTCGCGACTGTACTTTTGCCGAGTCCCCACAGCCTTTGACTCTTCCGGGGAAACATGATCTGCTAGTGAAGAAATACATTGACGGTTGGCAGAGTGATCCTTCGGCCTATACCTAGACGTTCTCCCGTCAGCCACCCGACAAGCGATGTATCAAGACCCGAGGAGTCCAATGGACGCCCCGCAAATCTCAGCATTGCTTGTAGGCCCTTTGAGCGTTAAAGAAAGGCTGTAGTGAAGCGGGATCTGGTGTTTCTAAGCCTTACTCATAGATCCAGGCACGAAGATGGAACGTCTCGTGAAGAGTGCTCTCGAGGAGAGTTCTCTTCTCCTAAAAGTTGCTGTGGTAGTCATTGCTGCAGGTTTACTGTTTGCTGCGGTTCGCCAAAGGCTGTACCCGCAGCCTCTACCATGGCTTCCTTACAATCAAGAAGCCAAGGGGAGATTGTTCGGGGACCTACCGTCGCTGATGAGCTGGCATAAGAAATATGGAGAGCAACGCAAATGGTACCAGGCACAGTGTCTGAAGTTGAATTCTCCTATGGTTCAGGTCTTTCTCCATCCGTTCGACGGGAAGCCTTCAATCCTATTGTGTGATCACCGCGAGATACGCGACATCCTAATGAAACGATACAAGGAGTTTGATCGTGGTAATCGTGAGCAGAACGCTTTTGGCGCTCTGCTTCCACAGCAATTCCTGTCTATCCAGACACCTACTCCGAAATTCAAATTCCACAAAGAATTAATGAAGGATCTCATGCTTCCTGGATTTCTCAATGATGTATTTAACTTCCACTCCGTCCTGATAGCTTGATCAAGTTCTTATTGAACTAACTTGTCTTTTCTAGGTTAATGCTCCTGAGATCTACCGGAAGTCAATTGCATTACTGGACTTGTGGAAAGCAAAGACAATCATTGCCAATGGTCGACCGTTCGATGTGAAGTGGGATATACACAAAGCCGCCTTTGATATCATAATGGCCGTCTCCTTTGGCCTCAAAGACGAGGATAGCTGCACCATCAAACAGCTTAGGGCTACTTTGGCAGAAGATAATCCTAGGGCTTCACGTCAAGTTGACCTCAACGAACCCTACAAATTTTCGAGCCTGGCTATGGACCCCGAAGGTCAGGCTGTGTTGGATCTTACCGAAAGTATAAGTGTCGGATTTTCTTCACCTATTCCCTACATTCACAGCTGGATATTGCTGCACATGCCACCGCTTCGGAATGCTGTACAGGTAAAAGAACAAATGACCCGCCGTCAGATTGACGGTGCCGTTGCAAAACTACCTCCGACTGATGAGGAAGCGCAACGTAATGCTAAAACCGGGTTGGAATACCTGATTTTCCGTGAGAGAGCATCTGCGAGGAAGTCAGGTCGAGAACCCAACTATCACAGTCGCTATATATATGATGAGGTGAGTCTGCTAACTCGTCTTTGTGTGCCGAAACAGTATGCTGAGTGCTCTGATATAGCTTTTTGGTTATCTCATTGGAGGCCATGACACCACCTCGAACTCGCTCGCATGGGGGTTGATGTACCTTGCGGACATCGAGGGCCCTCAAAAGAAACTTCGTTCCAAGTTGAAGGAAGCATTCCCCGAAGCCGCTCGGGAGAAACGTCAATTGACGCTGGACGAAATTACAAAGGCCAACGTTCCATACTTGGAAGCCGTGAACGAGGAGATCCTCAGGTTTAGCGTTGTCATACCCGTTGTTTCCAGGAAAGCCGTTTGCGACACTACAATCCTGGGCCATGCTATCCCAAAAGGGACCGAAGTCGAATTCGTTTTCAACGGGCCGGGCTTCTTGAAGCCACAGCTCCCCGTCAATAACGAATTGAGAAGTGAGACCTCCAAGCTATCCAAAATTCGAGACTGGGCTAGAGACGACGTGGACCAGTTCCTCCCAGAAAGGTGGCTGGACACGGACCACAATGGAAACGAGGTGTTTGATGCTCTCAAAGGTCCGATGATGACTTTCGGAGGTGGACCCCGAGGATGTTATGGCAAAAGACTCGCTTATATGGAGATGCGGATTATTCTTGCCCTGCTAGTTTGGAATTTCGAGTTCTTACCCATGAAGTCCCAGCGAAGACCTTTCGGCTTGCTTGAAAATATCACTGTGGAACCGTCGGAGTGTCTGATAAAGATCAAGACTTTGATCCAATGAAGAAACCCTTGATATGGACCTTGACTAGGCACTCTCAATCGGACCTACAAATTCCTTCAAACTTAAGATACTTATCTTTTCACGGGGGGTTTTCTTCTAGTTCTTTCTCTTCTAGTTCCGGAAATATGCTGGACTATGCATGATTGACGGCTAAATTAATTCCAGTGAGGGTTACCTGGTATCGGCCACGATACACTGACAATGGTTCTCAAGTGATTTTATTATTAGAGGCTCGACTAGTAACCACTGTAGATATATTTCAATCGTTATGTTCTATCCCGGATCTGACTACCTCGACAACACGCAAGACCCGTCCAAGTGTTGTCTTGACACGGGTCACCAACCGAGGTAATCTTGTCTCTTATATAACGGGACTCAGATCTTGGTGAAAGGATCATCAAAGTACCAGACTGGGTCACCGTCCTCACTAACTTCGGTCTGTGTGTATCCGTTGCCCAGAAACTGGAAGGTGTTGTTGGTCTTGTAGGTGAGATCGTAGTCCTCCCAGCGGACTTCTTTGAGCAGTTCAAAGAAATGTAGACGACTGCCGGGATAAATGGCGGTGACAGGGCCATGGATCTTCCCATTCTTGAACCACGATCGGCAAGCTGTGGAGGGCATTAGATATCAATACGGCGTTTGTGAGTTCTTGGGATCAAAAACTTACGTGAGGACCACACGAGACGTTTCATCAGTTCGTGCGTGTGGTTGTATAGGTCCTTGATTGCTTTTTCTTTTGGCTCAAACGACTTGATGTTCTCTCTCTGGAACTTTTCAATCATCTGGAATGCATACCGTGTATACCATTCGAGGATGGGTAAGATGGAGCTGTGGCTAGCCGGACCGTTGGGGCCAATCAACACTTTAATAGTCAATACCTTACGTCAAGCACATCCTCTCATCATGTTCGAACTCACAGAAAAAGTTGGGAAAATTCCTCACGGTGACTCCCAAATATCCAATTGGGAAATCTCCAAATTGCTCTTTGATGTCGGCACCGTTGCGACCGATCAGCTTGAAGTGTGGTGTAAAGGATGTGTCGAAACCTGTGGCGCAGATGACGACGTCGACTTCATGTTCCGTGCCGTCTTCGTCGACGACGCCAGTTTCCGTCAGTCTCACCACCGACCTGTGCACCGGCTGAACATTCTCCTTGGTCAGGGACTGTAGATATCCACTTCCAGGCGTCATTCGGCGACATCCCAAAGCGAAATTTGGTGTCATCCTCGCCGTCAGAGCCGGGTCACCTCCGAGTTGGTCCTTCATGATACTGGCGATGAGGTCGCGTGAGTTTTTCTGGTCTTTGCCCTTGGAGTGCATGAGGGTGAAGCGTTTGTTGAGCTCGCCTTCGATATCCCGGCAGTACTTGACGTGAGCCTCAGGGTTCTCTCGGAATTCCTTGAGTTGCTCCTCGGAGTATTCGAAATTGGTGCCACCGGGTCCGGCGTATCTGGCTCCGAATCCAGTGGTGATCCACACGGGAGACCGCAGGAATGCCGTGAGCTTTTTCACCTTTGGTTGAATATTGGGGACTATCTGGACGGCCGAAGACCCTCCTCCGATCACCGCGACCGTCTTGTCGGTGAGATCGTAGTCCGCGTCCCACTTGGCGCTGTGCATCAATTTGCCCTTGAACAGATCAAGGCCTGGGATGTCGGGATATTTCCAGGAGTTGAGCACTCCAGAACCGCTGATGAGAATGTCACACGAGTCTGTTATTCGTTCTCCGGCTGGGTTCAGAATCTTGACGTGGTACTTGCCGAGTTCCTCGTCCCAAACTGCTTCTTCGACCGTCGTCTTGAACTGGACATACTTTTCAAGATTGTACTTGACGGCGATGTCTTTGAAGTACTGCCAGATTTCCTCGGATGCCGAGTAGAAATGTGACCAGTTGGGGTTTCGAGCCCAAGTGAACTGGTAAGAATGAGAAGGAATATCACAGGTACAGCCGGGATAGCGATTTTCCAACCACGTCCCTCCGACGTCGTTGTTCTTCTCATAGATTTGTAGGTCGATGTTCTCGAGGGCTCTCTCGGCTTTGTAGGCGATTTGTAATCCTGCGGCGCCAGCTCCGACACAGATGATTCTCAGCGGGCGCTTGGCGTACAAAAGCTGCTCAGTGACTCGATAGCCATCAAAATCTTGGTTGTACCATTCATTCTCGTGGATGGCGTCTGAAGGCGGCACGGCGTCGAGGTCCGGCTGCGCCGAAATCAGCATCACCGGTTTGTTGATCATGGCTGGCTCTGAAAATCCGTGGACGTCTTTGAGATTGTTTGCTTGATTTGTTTTGACATCTAACACAGCAAAAGATATGGGCTTGTGTTTGGGTTCCCGAATTTGCAATGAATCATTATAAGGAAGGCCTCTCCAATGATTGTCCCGAACTCACCTGATCGTTGCTCGGGCGGTTCCAAGACGCTGCATACAAAGATTGGAGTCGACCCCAGATCCTCGGTTCTCGACAGGTCCATGGACATCACCCGATAGCCGAAGGCGATAGACGACATGAAGACTACAACGCAGCATTCGGGTCATCGTCCGAAAAGGAGAAGCGGGGACTGACCTTTGCCGAACAGTAAATTTGCGGAGCACTTTTACGTGGTAAGCTCCAACAAAGGACTTCCAATCACATGGTCATTGAAATGATCAGAACAGCCTCTGCTGAGGTTCATGTTTACACCCAGACTCTAGGTGTTAGTCGGGGCTTTTTCTTTGGAAATTAGTTGCCAATCGCCTTTGCCTCCAGACTTGACGAAAAATACAATACGCTACTCACGACACCATTCGACATCAACATCTCCCGAGTCGGAGAAGATGGTTTCCAGCGAAACCTACGAAGTGGCCTTTGCAGACCCTCCAGGAACCAACCTGGCAGGCATACCTACCACCAATCTAAAGTTGTTCTCGCCATACGTTTCCCACGGCTTGCCGTACGATGTCGCTTGCGCAAAGCACGTCTCTGAAACCTTTCATGCCAAACGAGTTTATATAATCGCCTCTGGTACCCTAGCGCGAACGTCAGATAAGGTTGAGAGGTTGATCACAGCTATCGGTAAAGATAACGTCGTGGGAGTGAGAAAGGGAATGACTCCCCATACTCCGTGGTCAGAGATACTTTCCATCACTGGGGAGTGCAGAAAGCTGGATGTGGACTGTGTGGTGACGTTGGGAGCCGGAAGTACCACAGATGGCGCCAAAATCGTCGTACTGGTAACATCTCCCTTCCATGTAGTATGCGGTGATATGTTGACGAGTCTTGTCAGGCGTTGGCCAACGACATTCAAACCCCCCAACAACTGGCTAGATATTCGGTAGAAAGCCAGGACGTTCCCGACAATATCGCACAGCCCACTGTTCCTCTGATCACGATCCCCACAAGTCTATCAGGTGGCGAGGTAAGACCTCAATACAGCTATACTTTACAAGTGCCAGCAACTGATTTCGTATACAGTATTTCAGTCTTGGTGGAGGAACCGATGACAGCACGCATCATAAGCAAGGCTTCCTACATTCTGGAATGGGGTCCAAGCTGATCATCCTTGACCCCGAGCTTTGTGTGACCACCCCTCCGTATCACTGGCTAAGCACGGGGATTCGTAGCGTGGACCACTGCGTGGAAGCCCTTTGTTGCCTGACCGCGACCGAAAAATCAGACAAAAAGGCTGAGGCAGGACTTCGACAGCTAGTTCCCAATCTGTTGAAATGCAAACGGGATCCCAACGACGTCGAGGCTCGTCGACAATGCCAGCTTGCGGTTGTGAACGCTATGGACAACATCCGTGCCGGAATCCCCATGGGCGGTAGCCATGCGATTGGACACCAACTCGGTCCTTTAGGAGTTCCTCACGGCATTACCAGCTGCATAATGTGTCCGGCAGTTATGAAATACAACATCAAGCACGGCAAGGACCCCGAAATCTTCAAGAGGCAGGAGAAAGTGAGAAAACTTCTGTGGTCGGAGCCAGAGGTGGCCCACACCTTGAGAAATGCGTCTTTGGATTCCAACTCGGACCTTGGAGACCTGTTGGACGCCATCATTCGAGCCCTAGGATTGCCGAGGACACTAAGTGAGGTAGGAGTTACTGACAAAGAGATCAGCGGTTTGTCGACGAGGGCTCTCGAAGACTTTTGGGCTCCCACTAACCCTATTCCACTTCTCAAACCGGAACAAGTTACTGAGATTCTGATGGAAGTGAAATAGATGTATATAAATATACATAGCAAAGTTTCCGCTACACTATTGAGAAATAACAATTAAACATCTTCATCGAAAGGTCTCGATCGTCCACTCGGACTTTCAGCTCGTCCTGCTGCTTGATAAGTTCTCTGAGTAAAATGGCCGCTCGTTTCGCATTCCTCGTAGCACCAGAGCTGAGCTTGAAAGGCGGCAGTGATTGTGAGTCGGACTCTTCATCCTCCAGTACTGGCTTCGCTTCACTTAGCGCCTCTAGCTGCTCTATGGCCCAGGTGCGTTGTGTTTCGTCCTTGCACTCGCACCCAAACATGAATAGAGGCCACAGGAGGGCTGGATGCACGACCTTTTGCTGGGTCTGCTCACTGATTTCTCCGTACGCGCGCTGCATGCTGTTCCAAGTTTCCCCCAGTGCACGACTAGCCGTAGAGGACAGTGGGAAATTCCACCAGCTCACGCGATGGAGATACACGAACAAGATCCAGAAACTCGCAAGGTACACGTTGAAGATCTCTTCGAGCCTGGTGGCGACGTCACTCGAAACCACCTGCATCAGTTGCTCGGCCTTGACCGAAATCACCGTGGGCCGAGAATGCCAAAGCTCAAACAACTCGGTCTCGATTTGTTTGCACGCCAAAATTACCTGGTACTCGTCCTCGGTCGTCGAACGGCTGCAGTGGTGCTTGTTGTGGGAACTGATCCGTCTACAGTACGACTGTGACGACAGGTACCACTCTAGTGCCGGTTGAAGAAGCGAGTTCAACATGGCCTGTTTTACCTGGCCCATGCTGAGAGACAACCTGCTGCCATTATTCTCGAACTGGAACTGCGACTGTTCGGTGGATAGTGCACTGAGAGCAGGCGACTCGGAAGACTCGGTGTCAGACTCGTCTGCCATGACGTTTCTTGCTTCGTCTTCGACCTCCAATGTGGTAGCGGACGTGATCCGCGTCGGGTAGCGACTAACGATCCGGAGCGCCTTTTGCGAGAGCAATGCGTCCCCGCCGAGATGGGTCGCTTTACTGTCCAGCGTGTTCAGCCATGACAGCAACTCTTGGGAGTCCCGGCTCCAGGTCGTTTCCGTTGCGATGACAGCGTCGGCCAAATCACCCGGGAACAGGCCACGATTGGCATCCTGGTCGTGAATCACTTCAAACCATGCGAGTAAGAAAACGGCCGCCAACATGTACTCACGCGTCCTGGTCTTCATTCCAGAGTTGTTCTTGGAGAGTTTCATACGGATCTCGCTACAAGCGGCCCGATGATGACCCAGAATGCGTTTCATACATTCATTCCGCTCATGTGCGCCTTGACCGCAGGTCTCATTCATGGATAGAAGCTCAGCAACACAGAGGAGTGCACTATTGACCGCTCGACTCTGCTCACTCATCTTGTGAAAGTAGCGCTGTAAGCGTCGCCACCGCTTGAATCCGCCAATCAAAACAGCCGCTGGAGGCTGTGCAATCTTTTGGAATAGTTGCTTGAGCTGTGCGCGTTGGCTTTCTGATGAGAGGATTTCGTCGTCATCAACGTGTCTGCTTCTTGGAATACTAGAGTGATTTTGAGGCTGTTGAAGGGGTTCTCGTCTCTTCTCACTCCCCAAAGAAGATTCTGCCAATGATGGAAAGCTCAAAGGAATATCACCCCATGCGCCTACCATTCCATGGCTTCGTCCCTCCCGGTCAGGTGCTGGGCCTTCTCGTGTAGAGGGATTCGCGTTGTTAGCCCCCGGGGAATTAAACAGCAGGTCCTGATCTCCACTGTCATGACCGCTGCTGTGAATACCAACGTTGGGCGGATTTGAGTCGTCCGGGAAGATGCATGGCCATTCACCAGCCCATGAAGTGAATTGATCGTCGACAAGGTCGTTCAGGAAAAAGTTTTTGGCCTGAACCGAAGAGCTCATGTTGGTATCTTCTGGAAGGTAAGAAAGTAGTGCCGAGACTCCCTGAGTAGGTGGCATCACAGTTGTTGCGGTGTGGACATGGTGCGATGCAGAAGGCGCTTGTCTCAATAACCCAGATTCCCCTGTAACTCGAGAGCCAGCGTAGTGGTTCCTCGCCGCTCGTTCTTGCTGCTGCAGCCGCTGGGCCTGTGGCAGATAATAACAGTCGAGCTGCAATCGAGTGCAGTGACCGCAGACAGGGTGTACCTCATCACACCGAACCCTGCGTTGCTTGCAGTTGGCACAGCCGGTTCTCGAACGAGGACCCGAACGGCCTAGTTTCTTCCGACGAGACCCTCCCGGAGGGTAAGAGTCCTGCATGAAGATGAGGCCTTTTGTTCCTCGAGGTTGCATCATTGGATGAGAAGGGTGTCCAGCATAGATTGTGACTATACGAGCAATACAGTCGATGCCCGAACGTGAGAATCGCGTACCCGTACGGAAGGGGAGTGAGAGAGACTCGGAAACCCGGGGAAGCGTGACCAGAGAAATGCCGTGCCAAATTGGTAAGGCGGGGTAATGGTCCGAATCATGTCTTCTTCCACAAGAGGTGGCGATTCCACTTGCTGCCCTTGGCAGACTCACCGTTGCCGGGCTCGCCGGGCTCTGGTAGTGCCTTTCGGAAGCTTTGTTCGGGCTCGGGTGGATTGTATCTTCCCTCTAACTCGCTCCGGATTGGCCTCGGCTTGCTGTTCATCTCATGTCAGAGCCTTGGACAGCGTTGGTCACGAACGCGGTTTAGAGTGGATGAGAAGGCTTTATGGTGATGTCAGTATCGTGCTCAGAGGCGTGTGATGAACCTTTTTCAAAAAACGTGGGAAGTGCTGATCTCTGTACTTAGGGTTTCTATATGACTCGGTATCGAGAATCCCATCTCTTATTGCGACCGAGTCTGGGTCAAAACCCTGTGTGGTGACGGGACTCGAGTCAATATTCACAATTCCAACGCGTGCCCTCGGTGAACGCGGTGTCGAATGTACTTTGGAAGAAACTGTGCTTAAAATAAATTGCGAAACTGGATCCATTCCGGATGATCAGCTCGATCAATCGCAGTTAGACAGACACTATGCATAGACTTGACCCTCCCTTCCGCTAAACTGGCGAGCTATACTTTGCAACAAATTTCACACAGCTTCCACCCGAGTGTGTTCGCCCTTCGGTTCAGAGGATGGTATATGCACATCCTCAATCGGGCCGTGGTAGACCTCGTGTTCTTCGTCACCAAATAATGCTCCAATCTCTTCCAGAGCCAATCCTCGCGTGTCTGGAAAGAAAAGGAAACAGGCAATGGCGAACAGGTAAGCAGGGATGATGAAACACAGATAGAACTTCCAGCCGATATTCCTAACATGCAGGGTCAGCTTGATTCTTGCTTCGATTAATGGACGTTGACTTACTCAAATGCAGTCGGCGCTGCCTGGAGCCACATAATGTTCATCAAGGCGACAGCCGCAAGACCGATAGTTACTCCCTTGCTACGAAGATGAGTTGGAAACATCTCCGGATACCAAACCCATTGCACTTCATCCAAGCACAATTGGGAGAACGCCTAGGAAGTCTTAGCCCGTGGTCCTTTGGGTTTGTAAAGATAGACTGACCATATAGCAAAATGTCATTGCTACGGCAGCCCGGAGGGCGGCTTGATTTTGTCCAGGCATAACAGGGTAATTGGCTACCAGCGCAGCCTCTACAACGAGGCATGTCGTGACCAAAGTCGTCCCGAGAGCGACAATTTTGTTCCGGGGTAGCAACTCGATCAAGAAGATACCGATGATGCCGCACCCGAAACCAAGAGTATTGAAGCCTGAAGTGTACAACAACACGGTCGAACCAGTGATTCCCAACCCCTTATAGATGATTGATGAGTAGTCTAGCCAGAATCGCCTTGGATCAGTAGTGTCCAATATCATCTCAAAGAGTCAACATATTTACTCACTGTTAATCACAAGTACGCCGGTAAACTGGATGCCACAGGCCAAACCTATCGCAAATAGTGTCCTCTTTCGATATGACTTTTTGGCCAGCATCGACTTCCAACTGCTTGGTAGTGAAGCATCGACTTGTAATTGAGCTTCAATTTGAGCGAATTCGAATCTTGCTTCTTCTGGCGCGTGAAGTCTTGCGAGGACCCTCCGAGCTTCATCGTGCTTTCCTGACTGCACGAGGTATCGCGGAGACTCAGGGAGCCAAGGCATACCAATTAGGACGATGACACAAGGAAGGCATTGGAAGGCAAATGTAGCGCGCCAGGCAGCGGGCTGTCGGTTGGTCAATATGTATTCATGGGCATGCACATGGGAAGGGTAGGAAAGTCTTACATGGTCCACGAAATAGAAGCCATATCCAACCCAGCAAGCAAATGTGTAGCCAAAGAGCAAGCTCGCACCGTGAATATTCACAAGAGCTCCACGGTTTTTGGGTGGAGCAACTTCAGTCATCCACATGGGAATACTGCCCAACAACATCCACGAGCCAACACCAGCCACAAAGCGAAACACGAGGAACATGGCGATATTGACAGACCCGGCAAGTAAGGCGCCTGAGATAAGGACGAGGATTGCCGGGAAGGCGATGGCCCATTTTCTGCCCCAATGATCGCCCACAGGATTGATCAACAATGCCCCGACAAAGGCACCAGCCTGGAAGAGACCATTCATGGTCGAGATGAGAGACGTGGCATCCGATCTGGTGGCGAGTTCAAAGTATTCGATAAAAGTCGGTTGAGCTATCCATATGTGTCAGTCGAACCGGTATTATCTCTGAAACTGTACTGTAAGGTAAACACCTACCAAGCGTGGTTCCGATGATGCTGGCACTATAACCCATAGCAACCGAAGCACATCCCATGAACAAGATGACAGCGACATTATAGAACTGAAACTGCCGGCTAGCGACGTGCTCCGTTACGACTGGTTCCATGATTGATGGTCGATGGTGTTGTACCAAATGTGATGATAAAGAAGTGTTACGACTCGAAAAGAAGCACATGGCCGGGTGAGCGGTTCTATTTAGTATTAAGAAGCTTCTTTACACATGAGTGAGAAGTGGTGATGGCTTCGTGTGATCCCGCAAACCCGACCAAAGGTCATAGCGTCCCCATCTCATCCCGCAAAGTCCATACCCGAGCTTGCATGGGTACTTTCTAAGCATGGGGTTATGCGGAGTCCCAAAGACCCTGTAGTGAGGTAAGCAAACAATACCAATGCAAAGGGAAATCGGCTGTAGAGTTTCGACTTTCCTAAATTAAGTATGCGAAATACCCGACCATTAGCGACACCCGGCCCCACGAGAATGCCTGGGTACTCGGTATCTTGGTGGATTTTTGTGATTATGGCCAGCAACCTGACAATGACCAACCGTGTGTGATGTTATCCCGCTATTCCTTACCCGAGCTCGAATAATAGTCACTACAGTCAGGCAAATATTCTAGTTTGGTAAGATTGTATTTTATTACGATTTTATTCTTCTACTTGGCTGGGTTATATCATAGAAGGGCCCACACGTGCTCAAGCGCCACTGTTACCACTGTTTCACACGCTGTTCACCCGCTGGACAATCATAGCGCTCGAACCTCCCCCACCGTTACAGATACCAACTGCTCCATACTGCCCAACCTCCAGCTGGTGTATGAGAGTGGTTAGGATACGACACCCTGAGCTGCCCAAGGCATGCCCTAAAGCAATTGCTCCGCCGAAGATGTTCACCTTTGCGTTTTCCAAACCCAAGATCTATTGGTACTCTCGTCAGCTTGTAAGATTTTCACAGCAGGGAAACTATGACCACTTACACGCTCCGTAACACCAATGACCGCGGCAAATGCCTCGTTGACCTCCCAAAGAGTGATATCTTGTTTTCGTAGACCTCCCCTCTGCAGCGCCTTGGCGAGAGCCTTTGCAGGAGCACAGGAGAAATCAATGGGATCCACAGCTGCGTCAGCGTAAGACACTATTCTGCACAAGGCCCGACTGTTTGCGCCGTACTGGGCGACTAGGTCCGAGGAAACCAGTACCACAGCGCTGGCACCATCATTCATGGTGGACGAATTGGCTGCAGTAATTGTGCCGTCCTTCATAAAGACCGGTTTCAACACAGGGACCTTCGCCTCAACTAGTTCTTTCCATCCTTCATCTTCTTCGACAACAGTCTCTCCCTTTGGATCTTTAACCGTCACCGGGGCGATTTCATGATTGAATCTGCCCTCAGACCAGGACTGTTGTGCTCTTTTATAAGACCTAATGGCATATTTGTCTTGCTCCTGACGGGGAATTTGAAATTGTTTGGCCGAATGCTCAGCACATGTACCCATGTGAATCTGATTATAGGGATCCCAGAGGCCGTCTTTGATCAGGCCGTCTTCGAGGGACATATGTCCGAAAGCTTTGCTCTGACTCGCCCGTGGGGAGTAGTATGGCACATTCGACATGGACTCGAAGCCGCCTGCGACCTGAGCATCTGCCAAGCCGAGCTGGATGTTCTGTGCAGCCAACATCACCGCCTTGAGACCGGATGCGCATACCTTGTTGACTGTCACGGCCTCTACCGATGAAGGAAGGTCTGCGTAGGTCATGGCTTGTCGAGCGGGCGACTGCCCTTCGTTTGCTTGAAGGACGTTCCCCATGTATACGTCGGTAATCTTCTCCACTGGGATATTCGCTTTGTGGACAGCAGCTTTGATCGCCACGGCACCTAGCTGTGGTCCTGTGAGTGTCTTCAGGCCTCCATTGAACTGCCCTCTGTAAGTATCACTGCCACAGGCTGTATCCCCATGGGAGGGAAAGGGGAAGTCTCACTGACCTTCCCTGTAGGCGTTCTCGCGGCACTGATAATATAAACATTTCGCGCCCCTGATTCACCGAGACTTTCTTTGGGTTTCAGAAAATCTTGGACTTGTGTAAGCCTTGTGGACGGGGTTGAGGCAACCATCTTGCGCGATGTTACTTATTGAACAGCGTGCACAGAAAGTATAGACGCCTAGCTAGCAGACCAAGCAGTCTAGATGGTATTAGATATCAACTTACATGTTTGGGCCACAATATCAATCTTCATCGCGAAATCGACTGCAGTGATTGAAAGTTCTTGGCATGCTCTATTGCTGACTGACTGAATTGGCGAAGATTACTCCACTTCACTATGTCTACAACTTGTTCCATCGTGATCAAAATTTGCCGATACGCGACGAGCCTTCAATAGCCACTTGAGTCTCGCCAAAGAAGCTGAACTTACTCTACCTGAACGGCTAGGACTAGTCGACTCAAAAAGTTTTGTGTAGGACTACCTGAGTCACTACGGCAGGGTGGGCATGTCCTACAAACTACTACCATCGGTATCCTTTCTTACATAAGCATTTGTACCCGATACATAGGTCGAGATAACTTCCTACGTACATTGGAATCCTGAGACTTCCTACGCAACGAAATGGCAGAGAGGTCAATATGGAACGAACGAAAATCGCAAGGCAGCCAGGCTACGTGAATCCAGAGCTTGCAGAGGTGACTAGACCCACACAAGTTCACCAAATATGGAATCTAATCAACTATAGATACTGAAATCCAGCGGGCCCGTACGTGGTTTAGACGCCACCACAGATATCGTAGGCCTTCGAAAACAACTACGAGAAAGGAAACTAGCCTTGACCAGCGCTCACAAGAAGGGGACTACGAACATCACTGAAAACGACATGAGGATCAAGACTCGAGATGGGAGCGAGATCCTCATTCGAATATATCAGCGAGCACAAGGTGACCAAGGCCCAGTCATGGTCATGCTGCACGGTGGAGGATGGATCCTTGGAGATCTTGACAACGAGGCCCTACTGTGCAGAAGATGGTGCGAGGAGTGTGGAGGATTGAGCATCAATGTCGAGTACAGGCTTGCTCCAGAGTATAAATTCCCCACTGCTGTTTTCGACTGTTACGATGCCGTTCTATGGGTACGTGTCTTTCTTCTCCTCTTCTCCTCTGAACCACACCGAAACTGAAGGACAATAATAGACCGCCAAACATGTCCACAATTACGGTGGTGATCTCGCGAAAGGATTCGTCATTGCAGGTGTTTCAGCAGGTGCAAATATGGCTGCGACTCTATCCCATCTCTATCGAGACGAAGGTTTCCTGCCACGACTAACAGGACTCTATCTCTCTATCCCTTCCCTCCTGGCACCTGAAGCTGTGCCACCTGAATACAAAGGCGAGTATTTGAGTCGCCAAGAAAACAAAGACGCGCCAGTTCTGAACTCAGCCGCAATCAAGTGGTTTAGGGGTAAGTGCCATGACATCTTCCAGGTCACAATGTATATACCATGACTGATTTTCTTCCGTGTCTTAGATTGTTATCAGGATGACCCTCGGTCTCCATTGATGTCTCCCTTTGTGTTTGAGACCGGACACGCCGGGCTTCCCCCGACGTACTTCCAGGTTGCGGGGATGGATCCTTTGAGAGATGAGGCACTGATCTACGAGCGAGTCTTGAGGGAAGAATGCAACGTTCCCACCCGTCTCGATCTGTACCCGGGCTTACCACATGGGTTCTGGTCATGGTGGCCAACTGCAGGATTCAGCAAGAAACAGGCTCAGGATTCTATGGCAGGTTTGAAGTGGCTCCTCATCGCCGACAGTCAATCAAAATGATATCTGTCACCTATCTCAGGGCAGTCCAGGGTCTGGCATGAGAGCTGCCGAGACCTCGGTCCTGACACTATTCCCTTTCATATGCCAAGTGGAAAATAAGAAATTGAAATAGTCGAGCGGCATTCTCGAATCAATTCTCCGCAGAACAGAGATTACGATCATCAAGACATAGAAGTACTACCCGGGGTAATGTGACCAAAGCTCCACGCGGAGGACTGGAGTGTAAGACTTTCAGGAATCCCATTCGTTGTGGAGATTTCGGGCGAGGAGTAGTAGTGCATCAGGAGGCTGTTCGGAAGTGGACCGAGGACTACTTATTCCCGTACTGTACGATTTACTGTACTGCAGCGACACGGAAACTATCTGCACTCCGCAATGAACGAATGCTTGGTGTGCGGAGGTTTTTGTATCCACTTTACCCGCAGACCCACCTGCCATATTCGGAAGCCGATACCCGACGAGGCATTACCACTGCGAGGTCAGTAACAACCACCGTGAGATGAACACTACCAGAGACTGCCTGTTCATGCCTTGTCTCCCGAACGTCTATCACTTGTTCGGGATTCTCGAGACTAAAGTTTCTGGACCGAATCAAACCTTGGCCTTCTCAAGTGGGAGTAGCTCGGGAGCACAGAGCTAGATTGGTGAAGACTGTTTCGAAGGAATTTGGAGTGTATCAACTTCTCGTATTATTCACCAGATCAGCAGGAGGCATTGGTACGATGCAATAACAAACAAAGACAGTGCTGCAGAGCGACAACTTGAAAGACCGGGTCCGGTACAGCATCAACTGCGCGCGCCCATCTACAACATCCAAAAGAAAAGGATAATGTTACAGCAGAAAGAGTCCCCTCGACGGGCGTCCATCATCAGAGGTCCTCGTACGCCTGGCTTGTTGGACTGGACCTTCAATGATGTGCTCAGAGAACAATCGAAGCGTCGGCCACGAGACACCGCCATTTTGTGTCCGCACCAAAACCGCAGGGTCACTTACCATGAGCTCCAACAACGTTCGAGGACGCTGGCTGCGGTGATGCTCGCAAATGGGGTCGTTCAGGGAGACCGGGTCGCAGTCTTTCTTGGAAACCGTTCAGAGTATATCGAGGTAATTTCTTGGTCTCTCCCATACACGTTGCCGCGGTAAAACTGACTGTCCCCCATGGAGATCTTTTTCGCCTGCGCCAAACTCGGTGCCTATGCGACCTTGATCAATTATGCAGCTTCTGCATCCGAGTTAAACGCGGCGCTGTTATCAACAAGTCCTAAGATGTTATTCACAACCTTGACCACGTCACGATATGACTATATCTCCATGTTGAATGGCTTAACGGACAGGTTTTCGAGTTTGGAACACATCATCATCCTGGAAGATATATCGGGGACTCCGTACCACACTTCTGAAAGAGGATTCTTAAGTTATCAAGAACTTTTCCATTCCAGCACTAGCACTGCAACAGACATGGACAAGATTGAAAGGAATGTCAAGTGCGCAAGCATTCTGAACTTACAGTTCACGTCTGGAAGCACAGGATCGCCAAAAGCTGCAGCTCTCACCCACCACGGCATGGTCAACAGCGCGAGATTCATCGGCATACAGATGAATCTCAAACCTACGGACAGGATCGTCATCCCTGTCCCGTTGTTTCACGCTTTTGGGTTGATTATAGGTTAGTACAGCTGCCTATACTCCTTTTTTTTGTCATATCGAATTTGATCTTGAACAACTCGAGAAACTTCTGCTGACCATCTAGGTGTCTGTACCGCCTTCGTCCATGGAGCAAGCGCTGTATTACCGTCGGAGTATTTCGATGCAGGCGCTACACTGTCGGCCGTTGATAGATTCCAATGTACCGGTCTATACGGTGTTACCACCATGTTTGTCGATGAAATGTCACATCCACTCTTTACATCCACCAAGCGCACTTCTCTCCGGTAAAAATTTCCCCCCAACCCATGCACATGGTGATTCAGTCCCTCAACGAAGAAAAACTAACACAAGAAAGATTTGGCATAATGGCAGGCTCTGCGATGCATGAAGAATTGCTGAACCGGGTCATGACGTCCTTCCCCATCCCGGAGCTATACACAAACTGGGGAATGACCGAGCTATCGTCCATCGCCACGATGACGGTGACCGATGACTCCATGGAGAAAATGCTCAAGACTGCTGGGAAGCTATTGCCCCATTTCGAGGCCAAGATTGTCGAACCCAATACCGGCCGGACGCTCCCTTGGGGCCAACGCGGTGAAATCGTGGTCAGTGGCTTTGGAGTCATGCACTCTTACTATGGCAACGAGATTCAAACCCGCAACACAATCCGCACACACCCTGAGGATCTTCTCCCTGGCCAGTTGGGACTCGACGACAACGGTTGCCCGAGAAGGTGGATGCACACTGGGGACGAAGGTTATCTCGATGACGACGGCTACTTTGTCATCACGGGTCGCATCAAGGACCTCATCATCAGGGGTGGTGAGAACATCTCGCCAATGGAGATCGAGGCGAGGCTTTACGAGCACCCTTTGGTCAAGCAAGCCGTGGTTTTTGGGGTGCCCAGTGGTAGATACGGCGAGGAGGTGGCGGCCATGTTGGAGCTGGAGGACAAGTGCGTCGAGCGACCATCGGACAAGGAAATAAAGTCTTGGGTCAGGGAGTCTCTGTCACGATACAAGGTACCGGTGCACATTTGGTGGCTGGGCGACAAAGGACTAGGAATACCGACGGAGTGGCCCAAGACGACAAACGGAAAGTTGAGAAAGGCAGATATTCGGGCCATTGGCGAAGGTGAGTAAAATTGTTGTCGTGACTACAAGCGAGGATAATTTTGCACTAACACTTCCAAAGCTTTATTGAGGTCCTGTGTTGCTGAGAAACAGCTTGTACCGTCACTCTGAACTTGTATCCAGTTGAGCAGTCGTGTCGAGTGTAGGATAAACGGTGTACGTTGGGAACTGGGGACACAAGAAACTCAGAGGATTCAGGGCATGGTGGGTTTAGATGCCCAGGAAATCAAAGCTGTCTAGTTGAGGTTGACTCAGCCATCCTTCGGAAAGGAAGTCGAGGATTGAGTTTTGAGAATCAGGTGGTGGTGGGAACGTCATGTCGTAGACAGGGTTGTTGTGAGTATTAGACCTAGACTCTCGAGTGCCCTGTTGGCGCAGATCTGAAATGAGTTGTTCCGTATCGGCCGCACCCATGTATTCAGAAGAGACAGGATGCTTGAATGGCGCAATAGATGTCAGGGTTGATAGACAGCGTCTTGCCGATGGACGGCATACGCTGTATTGAGTTAGCAAGCCAAGTGCGTCTTCCATGCTATGATTCAGAGCCAGCGGCTCGAGTGTAGCGACCACATCTTGCTTGTGCATCGCTACGGCAATTGTCGTCGCGGCAGTATAAATATCTGAAGAAGAGGATATTTGGTTAGGACATGATGAGACAAAAGTCAGACTTTCAAGATCCCCACGTACACAATATGTTCATCCACCACGGAGTAAGCATGGTACTTTCGGCGTGACCATTGATTTGCGCTTTGCATAGTCCCACCATTTCTTGAGCATTTTTGAGACACGACGAAGTAATGTACAAAAGGGTCGACTGTTTGAGGCCCAGTGAAGTTGTTGTCCGAGAAGAATCATGATCCGCCAAAATGAGCTCGGCGAGACCAGGACGGTAGAGCATGATGCATACTTGTAGATATCTGTAGACAGAGGATCAGTCCCGGTTCGAAATCCTACAATTGCCGGCTTCAATGATGTCAACATTACCGTTGTCTCAGAGTTTGAGCTTGACACAAGAAATATGGACCTCCCTGTGTTGTTGGTGATGTATTGGAGATTTTCAGATGGCGAGGTAGGTTGTCCTCCCACCGTGCAAGTTTCTCTTCCATCGAAGTCACCGTAGATACGAATGAATCCGGAGCGATGGTCCTCATTTGGGGCTTGGCCTCTGGTACGTATACTTTCAATAGTATCTCGTGGAGAACATCAAACAGTTCGCTTGAAGCCTTGAAAAACGTATGTGCTGTGTATCGATCGGCACGAATGCCATCAGTGACTCGAGAACCACTTCCCGAGTCCACATCGTCGTCCAATTTGATATATGAGGTTGCGTTGAGACTCACGATCGGCGCCTGACCAAGGCACATTGCGACCGCTCTCGAAGACCGTCAGCATCCGACCCTAAAAATCATGTCTTGGAGGCTTACCTATCTATCAATACACAACAATGCCACACACGTTTCGACAGTGAACGTTCCAAGTCATCTTGAAGTCCGTCCAAGATCGAAACACGGTTCAGTCCGAGGCACTCCGCAATGCGAGCACTCAGACTGACCATGAGCCAGCACTGCTGAGGGCGATCGGTACTCAAAAGGAACTGGGCACATATGAGTGTTGTCTGGAGTTGAGCAAAAGACCATCCGTCGAGAATGTTGATCGAAAGAAGATTTCGTGCTCTGGTAAAGTAAGGAGCGGCTGGATCATCGTCTGAGGAATCAGGTGGTTGATGACTCTGCGTTGCAAGGGCAAACATGAAGTTCAATAGGCAATGGAGAGTACGCTGATCTGTCGTGCTATCCGTCCCGAGGTAGATCGTTTCCACATCAGACATGAACCTGGGCAAATCGAGGAGTGGATACATCGGATAGTGGTATTTCCGATAGATGTCTAATAGTCTGTGCAGTTCTTTCCTAGAGGGCAGCAGGAAGTCTTCCCCGGAGGCTTTGTAAGAAGCCGATGAATTTGGCATTCCAAGGGTTGCCAGCGTAGCTGCATTTTGCTGCTTACTAGGTGGCCTGCTATTGGACCCTTGTTGGCGTAGAGTCGTATCGGCGCCAGGTAAGAGTGTCTGTAAGAAACCTCCAGAGCTCGAGAGTCCAAGTTCTCCTTGTTGAAGGCGGCCCACATTGGGCGAGTTTGATATGGAATGAATGCTACGTGGAGATGGGCTGTAACGGGTTGATGAGGTAGCATGGTTCGGAAGTAGTGCCGTTGAGGACGTATTGTCACAAACTATGGTATTTCCATTCCAATCAAACGACTGACGGGTAGCCAGAGGCGTTGGTGAGGTCTGATTTTGATTCTGCGAATAGTGAGGTCCATCATTAGACTGTCCACGGTCCAGACGGCCCGTTGTTGTCTCTCGGGCCTCCTGGACTCGAACAACTGTCGTCGCGATGTATTCACAAGTGCTGGTTTCTTTCCTTGAAACGCATGTTACACAAACTAGGAAGAAATGGTGTTAGCAGTTCTCTGGCAGCATGCTGTGGCAAACCATACAAGGGTGCTCTCCGCCACAGCGTACTTTGCGTGCTCGACAATTGCTACAGGCGAGAGCAGTCTTCTGACGCTTTGTGGGGCGGCTACCATCCGCTTGAAATGGCATAGCAGGAGCCATAGTAGGCATGAAATTTATATGCTTGCCCCATGAATTCTAAAGAAGAAGAAGTTGTCTGTAGACATTCGTCGTTGCTACAACCCCGCATTGTACCGTAGTAATGGCAATGAATGTACGAGTACGAATACGAGTACGACAAGAGAAAGTCGGTGCTTGTCATGATGACTAAGATTGGAGCTTCACCGTGCCGTGGAGTCTCACAGCAACCTCGACTACTGTAGTCCTCGCCACCGGAGTCCATTCCTGAGACTGGGTAGCCAAAAGGATTGCACTCCTTGGCTAATAGCATCCAATAGATATACGAACGACCTCAAATATATGACAACCGCAAGGGCCAACGAGGTCTATCAACCCGGAGCCAAAGCTACTGCTCTTATATGTGTATTCCGTACAGCACACAGCTCTCGATATAGGTATTGGTAGACTAGCTGCGCACAACTGATTCGACATTCTGTGCTCTGGCGGGCTGCCCCCAACACCTCCAAGGGGAAGTAAGGTGAAGCTGAAGCCGAGGCTGACCCAGCTGAATACCTAGCCTTCGCCAATTGCGACTTCTACTTGTTTTACACTCTCAGTGCATACAATTGAATGAGTGAGTTGACTGGTATTGCTCTTGGCGAACAAAAACTCATCCCATAACCCCTTTTTGAGGGGGTTATGAGAATAGAAAACCAGGAAACCTGATTTTTAAAGCTGCAACCGAATGGGACTCGAACCTGGTCTCTACCTGCTCAAGCAAACTCTCTCCCTCTGTCTCCAATATTGCAAAGATCACCACTATACAATGTGCATAGCGCTTTCAAACATGATCTCGCAGTTGGAAAACAGGAAAGGAAGATGCCTTTGCTGGTTAGACCATGAAGGAGGCCCATTGGTGACAGAAATTTGAACTACATAATCCATCAAGTGAACATTTTCCGTTGGTGAATACATGGATATTGTCGCCAAGGAGTCGTGTTTGATATATGGCGTTGAGTTGTGAATGTGAAGCTAGGCATGTCGGTTGCAAAAAATGGTCAAATATTCTTTGCGGGGAACAATCCTCTCGTCGGTCAAATAAACGGAGGAACTTTGCACATTCTCGTCCAAGATATGTCTCAACGGCCGTACGGAGTACCACAGAGTACATATTAATTCACAATTTCAAGCCATGGTCGACTCTAAACTCTTAACAACTGCTTTGGCAGTCATCGACGGGTACAACAAGTGGGACATGGATGCCATTTTGGCTCCCCGGGCCAAAAACTGTACCCAAAGAGTATATCCCTTCCACGGTACTGGGTCCTTATGCAAACGAGTACTCTCTCATGATGAAAATGACGGAATCTCAGGACCAGGTGTGGGAGATTAAGGACTTTGTTGATAGTGAATACAGCTCGAGCTTCTTTGCAAGTCTCGCACAGTACATCGAACAAGGTGGACCATGTATCCGCGACAAGTGAGATCGAAGCCCAGAACTACCTCATCAGATCAGAAGTGCTTTGGAAGGAACACCTTGGTGGTCTGGCGCCTTGTCTATGATGACCGTCTACTACTGATACTTTCAGTCGATGGGGTTACTCAAGACAAGACTATACAAGTGTGTATCTTGGCCAGTGTCAACGTGGGAATCGGATACGTTGACGTCGATACTTTGTAGACCCTGATGAGGACCAACATACCTACACTGGGTCCATACCCTGGTATCTGTATTCCCAAGAAACCACGTGTGTGTCGAGATTGAATATAATTGGGAGGTGAAACATTTCGTACATTCTGTCATGTACTGTATGAAGTAATGCCAGTCGATGATCAGCCGAGACAAAATGTCGACGATCGGGCCGGGATTTTTTTCTCCAATTAAAAAGCCACGCGTTGTCACCTTTTCCCAAGCACCGCAAAAACCAACGTCGTAAACAATTGTGTGAACGTCGTACTCCGTATCACATAAAGGTACTTGAATATCCTCGGATTCTCTCAGCAACCATATCTCCCAGCACCGGTCCAAGCTTGCTCGAGATTTGAACACATCATGGTCTCGTCCTTGGTCGCCGTTGTTGCGACAGCTCTCGCCCTGGGCACATCCGCCGCTCCCGTACCCGCGTCGGGCACGGCGGAAGGCTTGGACATCTCGACTACACTCCAGAACATCCTCTCCAATACCCATAACAGTGATGCATACACATATCCGACAGACCTGACGAGAGGGATTGTTCCGGTAAGTACACCCCCATGATTTTTTCAAAGTCTCGCAATCCCGCCCACTTTGCGTCGTCTGACCTGGGACCATGGCATTGCCAACCACAGAAACCAATCCACTCGCACAACGACTACTGGCGGGACGTTCCATTCTACACGGCCCTGTCAGTAGGGTGCATCTCGACCGAGGCCGACGTGTGGCTGTACAACGACACTCTGTACGTCGGCCACGAGCAATCGGCACTCACGACGAGCCGGACGTTTGACAGTCTGTACGTCCAACCCATCCTGGACACGCTGCGTCGGGAGAACCCAACAACACAGTTTGTCAGCAAACCGACCAAGAACGGAGTCTTCGACACGTCTTCGGGGCAGACCTTGTACCTGTTTGTCGACCTCAAGACCGACGGACCCAGCACGTGGCCCGTCGTGATTAAACAGCTCCAACCGTTGCGTGATGCAGGGTACCTGACGACCTACAACGGCACCGGCGTCACCCCGGGACCCGTGACCGTGATCGGCACGGGAAACACACCTCTAAATCTCGTCCAGGGCGTCGACGACCGAGATTACTTTTTCGACGCCAACCTCGCCCTCCTAAGCACCACTCAGTCAAACATCACGCGAGAAGTGAGCCCCATCGCCTCCACTCAGTTCAGCAAGTACTTTGGCACCATCAACGGGACCACGTTCAACGACACCCAGATCGCCACGCTCAGTCAACACCTTGCCGTCGCCAACGAAAGGGGCATCCTGGGTCGGTACTGGGATACCCCCGCGTGGCCAGTCAAGACGAGAAACGCCGTGTGGTCGACCCTCATCGAGGCCGGCGTTGGACTTCTGAATGCCGACGAGTTGGACGAGGCGGCGGGATTCGGTGGTGTCAATGGATATTGGTGATTTTCGTATAGAAGTCATGGATATACAAGACGAGCGATTTGCATTGCATTGCTTTCACCAGAGAAGTAATAATAATCTTGTTTCGACAATCCGCCGGTCATATATACACTCCAACCACCCTTGTGTATGTTACCCCATACATAAGGTTCTGAAGAGTTATCTACAACTTACTCTTTTCCTTCTTGACAAAAGCACCCTTCGCACTAACATCATAATCCTTGCCCTTCTTCCAACCCATCCACTCTGCGAGCGCGCTCTCGCCACCCTCGCCGGGTTTCAAGGGCTTGCCCTTCCAAGGCGACGTGGGTGTTCTCCCGGGGCTCTCCGTCAGGCCCACAATCGGTCTATGGTCGTAGCCTGCGGATTCCATCTCGGCGTGCTCCAACACGGGTACCGCACAGGCGTCGGTCCCGTCAAAGACGGCCTCCCACTCTTGTCTTGTCTTTGTCCTGAACCGCCTGGTGAACAATTCACGCATATATGGCCACGCTCGACTGTCGGTCCTGTCGAGTCCCTTTCCGGGTACGACCTCGTCGTGAGAGAACCCCAGTCCCTTCAGCAGCTCATCGTAGAATTGTGGTTCCAGCGCTCCGATAGACATGTATTTCCCTGCGTCCTTGCACTCGTAGCACCCGTAGTACGGCGCTCCCCCGTCGAGCGTGTTTGTACCACGCTCACCGCCCCACATGCTTTCTTTTGTCAACAACCTCGGGAATGTGCCTAGGTAGCTCACGCCGTCAACCATGTTGGCCTCGACGACTTGACCACGTCCGCTTGTGGACCGGTGGATCAAAGCGAGCAAGACACCCGTGAAAGCCGCGTGCCCGCCGCCCGCGAAATCCGCGAGGATGTTGCCGGGGGGCGAAGGGGGTGCGCCCCGGGCCCCCAACATGCTCAGCATTCCCGAGGCGGCAATGTAGTTGATGTCGTGACCCGCCATGGCCGAGTACTTGCCGTCGCGGCGGAACCCGGTCAGGCGCACAACGATGAGACGAGGGTTCGCGCGGAGCAGGACCCCCTTCGGGTCGAGGCCGAGTTTCTCGAGGACTCCCGGCCGGAAAGGGTCGATCAGGACGTCGGTCGTCGGGATGAGGGAGAGGAAGACGGCGCGCGACGAAGGGTCCTTGAGGTCGAGGGCGATCGAGGCCTTGTGGGAAGTGAGGAGGTCGGTGGTCGGTGGGCCGGGGCGGTCGATGCGCAGGACAGACGCACCCCAGTCGGCGAGCAGCAAACCGCAAAAGGGGCCTGATGGAAATATCAGGAGCGTTAGTATTTCATTCCTTGTGGTGGTATTGTAGATCGAGGATCAGATCCATCAGAGGATGCCAACGTACCAGGTGCTAGACCGCCGAGTTCTAGGACACGAAGCCCCGAGAGAGGGTGTTGTTGAGACGGCATGGCTTGTTTGCTGAGTGAGGTCAAGCCCGTGTCCGATATTGTGATGTCTTTAGACTGGAGACGAGAGGATGTGATAAAGACACCAGTTGGCGTCAAGAGCCCGTGGTAGCTTCCTACATGACTTTGTTGGTGTTATGTATGGAGGTCGATATACGCGGGAGAAACTGACTGGCCGCGGTTTCGGTGAATGAGCCAAAGTGACCGAGGTTCATTCGGCCCATGGAAAAAATGCGGGGATCAGCTTTAGCTGTCCACCGTACCAGGTTCTCGTACGGAGGAGTATTTCACGAGGCTAGCGAATGTTTTTGAACTCAGGGTCCGAGTAACTGGTATGACTACTGAGTACTCGCCTCTAAGCAGGTACCTGATTTACCGCGCTGCATTGTCTGGCAATAGATCATAGATCTTAAAACAGCTTGCTAGCCACCTTCTGAAGGATACCTCTCTCCTCGGTGGGATCCTGCTCAATCACATCCACGCGTCCTGTCCAGAGATCAATATCCTGGATGGGCACGATTTGTGTCTTTTTCGCCAACTTCCAGACAAGATAGAAAGTAGTGAATATTCTAATTGACAGGATTAGTACTTGACTTCCCTTAAAACATGGGAGTTTGACGTACGGAAGCCCAATATAAGCCGATATGAAGTTACGAGTGTCCCAGTTGCCACGAGTAAAGACGGCAAAGCCATTGAAGATTAGAACCATACCAAAAAACACCACCCCTCCCCAAGCCAGGTAGGGCTGGAATGGTGACTTGAACGGGAGAGTGTCACGGTCGATGTTGTGCAAAAGGAGCGCCCGGCGGAAGCGTGTGTAGGCCAAGCAGATGGAGAACCATGTGAGTAAGTATGCGATGGACACCAGGCTCGAGAACCATTTGAACACGTCGGCGCCGCCCGACGAGACCGTCATGTATGTTAGAAGGCCAATCGACGCAGTGACACCCACACCTACCCAGTTTCCAGTGGTCAGTGTGATTGTTTCGCTTTCTAGGTTCCCATATAGGGAAATACTAACAGTAAATGGGGACACCTCTCTTGGTGCACTTGAGGAAAATCCTGGGTGCTTGACCCTGGACCGCCAGTGCATAGAGATATCGAGAGCCAGTGTACAGGTCGGCGTTTGCCGCCGACGAGGCTGACGTAACGAGCACGGCATTGATGATGTGCGGCAGGACGGGAATGCCGGCGCTTCGAATGGCGACGATCCAGGGAGACTGTGCAATGCCGGTGCCGTAGAGGAGGTTAAGGTTGTCGGAGGGGACGAGCACTCCCACCGCAAACGATCCCATACAGTAAAAGATTAGAAGACGCCAGAAGACACGACGAATTGCTTTGGGGATGTTGCGCGTCGGGTTTTTCGTCTCGCCCGCGGCCACGGCCACCTGCTCAGCGCCACCGAACGCGAAGGCGGCGTTGATCAGGGTGTTGAAGAGGCCGAGAAAGCGACCGGTCGAGCCCTTGGCGATGTACTCGTTCATGGGTCCGGGATGCTTCCAGTATCGAAAGCCGAGTCGGTCGTGAGACGGTCCGCCGCCCAAGTCGAGGCAGAGTGCCATGATCAAGAGGCCCACAATGGTGAGGATCTTGATCGTGGCAAAGAGAAACTCGGCCTCGCCATACACCCCAACCGTGATGACATTGAGAACGACGAGCGCGACTAGGATGACGGTGATCCAAGCAGCAGGCTGTTGCGTCAATCAGTCAGTCAACGTTCGCTCCGGGGGCAGGTTAATGCGCTATAAGCCACACTCACGTTGATGTCCGTCCAGAATTGTATAAGTACCACGGCCGCAGAAGTTTCGGCGCTGATGGCAATGGCACAGTTGTACCATTGATTCCACCCAATGGCGAATCCGAAAGCAGGGTCAACGAAACGAGCGCCCAGCTGGGCAACCATACCAGGTAGAGGGAGCAAGGAAGCCATTTCCCCCAGGCATTGCATCTGTGAAGCACGGGATTGTTATTAACAGTAGGGCCAAGCTGTGGTCAACACTCACCATGGCCCAGATGGCCACTGAGGTAAAGCAGTAACCTAGCCAGAGCGACAACGGACCAGATGTGGCCAAAGCACTCCCAATCCCCAAGAAGAGACCAGTGCCAATGGTGCCTCCCAACGCAATGAACTGGACATGGCGTTCTTTGAGCGATCGATGGAGTTGTCCATTCGGGTCAGAGACGGCCGCCTGATCAGCGCTGATTGTCGCTTCGAGGTCTTTTTCAGTTGCCATCTTCGAATCCATTTGGATCTTAGTAGGATGGGTCATGGTTCATTCGAATGCTGAGGAGGACGATGCCTCGCCATCATGATCACAAGCGGACTCATATACTGTAGCGGGTAAAAGGGGTTCAGAAGATGATAGTTAGCATGATGAATTGACCGATCATCTAGGACTGGATCTAGAAATTGACTTTGGGGCTGGGAAAGAGTGAGGTGAGCATACGACGTATACTCGGAGGGTCAACTATCTGATGACAGCTTCCAGTCGCCACCAAAGCCTGATAAGCGATCGGGAATTGTTGCAACACAGAATTTCCCGATCTCCGATGTGGAAAGAAGTTCACCTTCCCCACAAGGCTTGCGACCTGGTTTTAACATCTCACCACGTAGATTATCAATGAACAAGAGGCTGGTCTTCAGTCCATTGAGTTTTTGCGTGGCTCATTCAATATTGCTCGTCTGATCATCTACAAACCACAAACCCGCCAGCATGCCTCTCGTCCAAAAAGAATTCACCACCCGACCGACCCATCCTGCTATCGGCGCAGCTCCCGTTTCACCACCATGCGAGGGTCAATGGTACTCGATAGGCCCCAAGATCTGGGAGTTACTCCTAAACGGCGAGAGCAACTCAGACCAAAAGTCCGTCCTACAGTGGTACGAACCAGGGGCGGTATCGGTCACTGACGAAATCATCACGCACACGTACATCGAAGAAGTATGTTTCATTGAGGGAGGGCTCGAAGACGTCACACTGGGCCAGGGCTGGACCCAGGGAGCGTATGCGTACAGATTGCCCGGTATGAAGCATGGCCCTTACAAAGCTTCTTCTCAAGGTTGTCTACAGTTTGTCAAGCTGGTACCGGCTTCCTACATGTCGAAAGAGTGACCGGGAATCGGTCAAGTATATCATTACCTTTCCCGCGACAGAACTTGTAATACAGAAAATAAATGGTTTAGAATAGATCTATCTGTGAAGTTGTGGGGTTTTTTACCTTCAAGGCATAATAAAAGTTATTATTCATTACCCGTCATAGCAAAAATCCACATCGATATTATCAATAACCTCTTGCCACGTCTGCAGATCCGTGAGTCCAGGGAAAGTGCCTGGAAAGAGTTGGTCTTGCCAGACAGGAGTTTTCCCTGCGTCCAAAGTAGACGGTGACACCATCTCCAGCGGCCCGACATTCATCAGAGCAGCATTCTGGTCGGTTGCCATGGTCAGATCAACATCAACCGGCACAACATTGCTTGGGCCATCCAGGTTGGGGACCTGTGATGCTTCTGGAGTCTGTCGCTGGGTCCCGGTGTTCCTTTGGGCGCTATTCTGCAGTTGTTGCTTCAATTTGGCGATACACATTTCTACCACCTTGATTTCAGCCAGGCCAAACTCGCTCAACCACATCTCCGACCTCTGCATCTCACAGTAAGCCTCTAGATCTTCGACCACGCCAGGAGTCTGCGGAGATTTGACCTCCCGGACGGCGATGATGCCCAGGATGATGGCGCTGTTGAAGAGTTGATGGGCAGCAAGGCTAGTTGCGTATCGCTTGGCGGCGTCCGTTGTATGGTTATTGAGCCGAGTCCCTAGATCGGCTCGTGCCGATGAAAGACAAGCATGTCTACTGAATTCGTAGCGATTGGTCATGGAATAGCGGAGCAGGAATGGCCGATGCAACGTGATGCGTGCGAAGTGAAAGCTGGTGTGCAGATACAATCGCTGCCATTTCAAGTAGCCATGCGTCTCGTCGAGGGACAGATCAGGGTCCTCCAGCGCGAAGTAGTGAGGGAGTGTGTCCTTCCACCTCATGAGTTTCTTATCAAGCGCCAATACATCTCGATAAGAGGCCGCGTGAAACTGGAAACACGCTTCCTGGATCTGCCCGATGACTTTGGCCAGTCGATATTCGAAAGACGCCATGGCACTGATTGTAGGGTTGGTAAGGGGTTGAGGCTGTGCTGAGTGTGCCTCGTCATCGGTCATGTCGTCCACGAAGATATTCTGAGGCTCTTCCAGAATGCTCTGAGCATCCGAGATGACCGACGGCCTCCCTAGGGCGAGGGAAATCATCCGGTCGAGCGTGTACAGATGACCCCACAGCCGTCGACGCGTCTCTGTTGATCTTTTGGGCAGTCCCCATTTATCTCCGTCTACGTGAAGACCCTGTGCAATACCGATTCTCGCGGCGAACCCAACCGTTAACCAGCTTTCAGCCAGTCTCTGGGTTTGGATCAGATACCGTGTGATCAGAACCCCGGCACGAACGAGGTCCGTACTTTCGCCGTAGAACGACGGAGCCAACACGATTGCCCTCCTCGAAGCCCAGTAGAACCTCAAGGAAGCTTCTTCATAGTCACGCTTCGTGTCCGGAGTGCTTTCCAAAGGGCAGTCTAGATAGGCGCCGATGGCAAGGATGACAAACAAAAGTGCAAGCCACCTCAAGTCTACCGTCGTAACGTCGTCGAAGCCCGATTTGCGCTCCCAAAACTGAACGTAGCTTTGTCGGAAAGACGTCGGATGCACGGCGTCAATGTCTTGGTTCACATCGTTGAAAAAGCGATCCACCAGGTGGTCCACGGTGGTCTTCTGCCTCGGGAGGAGACCCAACAGGTCCCAGATCTGTGAGAATGGACCAGACTCGTCACGAAACGGTCGTGCGTCTAGTGCTCTTCTCGATCCGGTCCCTGCAGGAATGACAGGAGCCGAAGAGTCGATCATGACGGCCGCCACCTGAGGCCCAAAATAAGAAGTACCATAAAATGCCGGAGCGCCTCTGGAGCTCCAGAGTTGCCCAATCCGCGGCTGCTGCGACTGAGATGGCATGGCTCGTGTGTTTGTCGTTGCCAGTCCACCGCTCCCAGTCACTTCCACCACTTCGTCAGGAGTCGGAGACCGTGAGCGGAGTTCTGGCGCACGGCGCTTTGGGTCCCGAGGTCGCTTTTCCCGGCATCTAGGCTCCGGCTGGTGCTGTGGAGGCGGAGGACCAGAGCAGAGATAACTAACACCTCGTCGAATGCAATTCATGCAAGGTAGGTTGCCATTACACTATCAAGTCTCACTCAGTCAGCCCCGTGAATAGGCAATATAACTATCGAGGCCAATAGATTTAGGCTTCAGAAGCGAACTGGGTCTCTCCGAATATGGCCCTGAATTCTCATTCGATGCCTTTTCGGTAGATGGAAAATGCATTGCAATCTCCCTTACCTTTTGTTTTCTCGTGTGACACTGCGAGCAGGCAGAAGCATTCCGTCCTCGTTTGCGAGCGCCTGGCCGCGGCTTAGAATTTGCCGATGACGGATCAAGCTGCGCTCCAGTCGCAGAAGATGCATTGATTTCCATCCCGCCACTTACAGAAGACGCGGTCTTTTTTGGTGCTTGAAAACAAAGCTGCGATCTTTCGGTGCGACTGGCTCAAGATACTATCTCGTAGACTTGATAATGGGAATCTGTGGAGGAGGACGAGAGGGAGGTTAATGACGATTGCCGGAGCGGAGAAATGGATTTTCGGAATCGGCTTTTTATCCTTTGTATAAAGGTAAGAGCTAAGGAAGTCTGTGTTGCTTACCTGAGCATCCGACATTCAGACCTAGAGCTCCGGCGTATAGATGCTGTGATAATGCCAATATATAGGTAAGATTTTTCGACCCTGTCCCAGAGACACAGAGGTACCTTCTTGACCTGTGCTTGACTATCCCCGCTCCAAATGGCGACTCGCATCAAAGCTGTCTGGTTCGACTTCATGGGCACCTGTCTGGATTGGCATTCGAGCATCGAAAAATCCCTGCCATCCGCACTTTCCGAGTCCGAGAAATCGAGTTTTGCCTTGGAATTGAGGCAGAGCTACTTTGACTATAACGCCAAACGCCTAGTCGACGGAAGAGAGGTGGAGGATTTTGACCACACCCAAAGGCGGGTGCTGGATGCCTTCCTGGACCGGGAGCCGAACCTGGCCATTAAGCACTTGTTCTCGGTCGAAGTGAAAGAACACTTGGTGGCCGCGTGGCATCATCAAGAAGCTTGGCCAGACGTCGCTGAAGCTCTGAGAAAGTTGAAAAGAGATAGTGAATTGGAAGTGTACGTCCACGCCAACGGCAGTACGCGACTTCAGTTGGATCTTGTCAAGTCAGCCGGGCTGCACTTCGACATGCTATTCTCCAGTGAGCTGTTGGGGCTTTACAAGCCCGCATCAGAAAGTTATCAAGCCGTGATGAAACTGTTGAAGCTCAAACCGGACGAATGTGTCATGGTTGCCGCCCATGCATACGACCTGAGAGGCGCAAAAGCCGTCGGGATGAAAACAGTCTATGTGTACAGGTGGACGGACGACATTAGGGAAGATCAGCGAGTGGTGAGGAAGGAGAATGATGCATATTTGTCCGATATGGACAATCTGGGTAGTGTTATTGCAAGCCTATAAGACCGAGCACGAGAAATGAAATGCTCCAGAAAATTCCGAGTATTGGAGCATGATCAGGTCATTGAAATCGACCGAGGTGAGGTGTTGGTGGGTCTGACACACGCATATAAGTTTCGGAATCTGCGTAATGAGTAGCTACATTGTCCCGCTCTCGTAAGTGTCAAAGGTGATATAGGCATATGAGTGCTCAAAGCAACTCGTCAACTACTTCTGTTCATATCTCGCCATACAGATCTCCCTGCACCCGATCTTTTCATCCGCCTTGCAAGGTCCATGCAACATCCCTGGTGGCCTGCAACAGTAACTGCCGGCGGCGAACCACTGCTTCTTGCCTACGTCGTAGAATCTACCCTCGATGATGTAGCATTCCTCCCAGTAATCATGCGAGCAGACTGTGTCTTTGTCGAAGTCGTCGGACGGGTTTCCGCCCCACACGCTGCCAGGAGAGTGTTCCTTTAGAATGGTTTTGTCGCCCGTGGTCGGGTCATGAGAGAGCAAATAAGTCCGATAATTGGTGAAGGTGCCATCGGCATTGGAGTGAGCAGTGACGTTGGACGAGAAAACTCCCTTGCTGTCGGCGACGGGTGTGAATTCGATCTCGGGTTTGGCGAGTGATGGCATCTTGGAGTTTTGAACTTTGTCACCAATGTAGGAAGCGTTGAAGGTAGATAGATATCTGACGACAAGGGAAAATTAACGCAGCCAAGTAATCAATCATCAAGTAACAAAGAAATACTAATTGTTGTCCGCGTATATCCATGCTTGCCTCTATCGGCTTGAGGCGTATTTGGCTTTTTGTTTTATTCCGATCGGCACTAGAATCTACGAAAGTATAATGGGTAGACTGTCGGACTATTGCTCCCGCTTATCTCAATTAAATTTATGGTAAACCTGCTCACAGCATGAGTCTGCGAACAGAATGTTTTTACCATGCGGTGAATACAGACCAGTCGGCCCACACGACCAAAGTGACGATGGAAACTGCGGCGTCCTTCGCTCTACATCTTTCTCCGACGAAGGTTCAAAGAGACAGCAGTAGGCCGACGAGAGAAAGCTGCCGCCTGGAGATAATATGGGTTGGTGAAATGTTGTCGAACTTACCTCTGCACAGAGCGTCCTCAGTGTTCTTACCAAAGACTTTATAACGGGAGGTCACATTTGGGTAGGAATCCCTACCAAAAGGGTTCTTTCCCATCATGTCGGTTCCTCTACTCGACGTTTCATTGTAGGGAAATATTTATCATGCGGTCTACGGGAGAATTGACAGCTACTTCTAGGTCGACTGACGTGTCCACAAATGACGTTTTTGCCTTGTGTAAGAGAGTAGGCCTCGAGGTATCGGAGGAGTTCGCCGAAGCATGTCGTCCTGTGATCGGGGCACTTGATGGCTGTGCCAAAGTCATTATGGCACGAGACGGTTAGGACCGATATAACGAAAAGGATCATGGTACTGACTGGCTGACAGACCACTTTCCCGGGCCTGATGAAATTGGGTATCCACGCAAGGACATTCAGACCGATATAGATAACAGTCTCGATGGAGGTGGTTGGGCTACAAAGGTGAGAGCGTCGGGAGGGCTATTGATGCTGACGTGCACTAAGGTGAATGTGAAATCAACCCAGCCGGAGAGTAACTTGCTACAAGGCCGGACACTTGCGTTGAAAGACAACATTGCGCTGGCCGGAGTAAGGTGTACAAATGGGACTGATCTGAGCGGCTGGGTCCCTGACTTCGATGCGACCGTCGTGAAGCGAATCTTAGATTGTGGTGGTACGATACTCGGAAAAGCAGGTAAGATGAAAGACGGAGCATTTCGTGCGCGCGTTTCTGAAGGAATTCTAGCCTGCGAGAGTGGTTGCTGGAGCACCGTCAGCGACACTTCTATCACGGGCCCGGTGAGAAACCCCTATCACGATGAATTTAGCTGCGGTGGATCTAGCAGTGGAAGTGCGAGGCTTGTCGCCTGTAGAAGTGTCGACATGGCCTTGGTTCGTACTGAAATTTGCTCACTGCGGCTTTGGACTAATTAGCCGCCCAGGGAGGAGATCAAGGGGGCTCTATTCGTGTTCCTGCGTCGGCGTGCGGAATAGTTGGATTGAAACCAACCTGGGGTCTTGTACCATATACAGGCATTCTCGGGGTATCGGCAGTCATTGACCATGTCGGTCCCATGGCCAGAACAGTTGCAGATTGTGCCCTTCTTCTAGAAGCCATCGCAGGACCAGACGGAATCGACGACCGCCAACCTCACATAAATTGGTTTCGCTCAGTTCCCTATGCTGACGAGGTACGTCAGCACTCGACAACCGCTGACCCCAGGCCTCTGGCAGGCGTCAAGATTGGTGTTCTAGAAGAAGGCTTTCAACACCCTCGACAAGACGACCTTGTTGCAAGAGTAGTTCGCCAAAGTATTGACAAGTTTGAGGAACTCGGCGCTGAGGTTCGAACTTGTCATGTACCAGAGCACCGTGACACAGAGCTGGCCTGGATGTGCACTCTGCCAGCTTTCGCCTTCACTCAGGGTCTCGTTCTCAATTCTGGTGGCCGTAAACAGTTTGCTATGTCCGGACCTGCAGCCCTAGGCAACGGTGGACTGAGCCAGTCGACTTTTGATGTCCTCAATACTGCAGGCCAGAATCTCTATCTGAGAGGATGTTTCCTACAAGAAAAGTATGGCGCTGCTCTGGTTTCTCGATGCACTAACTTGATGAGAAAATTGAGCGTATGCATAAAAGGATTGACATACATTGAACTATTGCTGAACCCCATTCAGGACGACTATGACGTGGCATTCAGACAATTCGACGTCCTGGTCATGCCCACAACGCCTCTACCACCGTGTAGGATATTCAAATCTAGAAGCGAAGGAAGTACATCTGAAAGACTCAAGCGTACGACCGGTATTACCGCGAATACTGCACCCTTCAACGGTAGGTGGAAACAGGAATTCGGGTGGAATTAAAGCGCCAACTGACGAATCGCATAGCTTCTGGTCACCCTGCCCTCAGTATACCTGTTGGATTCTCCCCAGCTCTGGAAGATCCTTCTGTCCGTCTGCCAGTGGGCTTACAACTTGTTGGAAGAAAGTTTGAAGATGCTCTTCTCTTGAAAGTTGCTGCATCTTGGGAGAATCGCTACGATTGGAAAGCCCAATGAAGAGCTCGATCACTATTTCTAGACAAAGAACTACTACTAGCCAATATTCGTTGTACTACGCTGATAACCCGTGGCCGAGAACGTTGGTCCGTGAGATGATCGCACAATCGATCGGAGAGACAGAGCCGGAAGGCTAGGGTCCTTCCTCCCTCAAGCTTTAGCTCCGCTCGCATGAAGTTGAACTGATCGGAAAATCTGTAGAAATTGCTAAGCAGCTACGGTGTCGGCAAAATCGATCGGTAAATCGTACTGACACAATATGAGGCATCCGAACGACGGAATTTCACTCGACTCGTCCGAGATATACACTAGGTGACCATGGCTTGCATAGACCCGGAGCTTTTTTGGCCTGACTTGGAAGATATCAGCCTTGATCAAGGTTGAGGGCCCAACAGAAGCGCCTGCATCTGCCACAGTAGATAAGATATGGGATTGGAGATGTCAATAAGAAGCAAGATACTGCTCCTAGGAGACATTTGCCAGTACGTCTTACTTTAGATGTCCATTGACGAGATACATCGCTGACAACTATCAGTGCACAAAGCCATTGGGAAGCTCTCAGTGATCTGGGAGAGGTGGTCCGACCAAGAGCAACAAACAGAGCCGATTTTATAACAGAATGTAAAGAAGGGGGGCTTGACGGAGTGGTTGCTGCCTACCGGACAGCTGAGTCCATCGAGATCACGGGACGCTTCGACGAAGAACTCATAACCATTTTACCCAAGAGCTGGATCTTTCTTGCGAACTGTGGTGAGGAGTGCTATTTGTCAAGTTCCTAAAAGACAGAACCATTAGTTACTGACTAAAGTAAAAGGGGCTGGCTACGATGCCATTGATGTGAAGGATTGCTCTCAAAGACAGCCACCGCTATGCGTCTCGAACGTGCCGACAGCTGTTGATGACTCCACGGCTGATACTGCTATTTTTTTGATGCTTGGAGCACTCAGAAATTTCAACGCCTCCATTCACACCTTGCGCCAAGGAGACTGGAGAGGCAAGCAGCCGGTCGAACTCGGACACGATCCGCAAGGAAAAGTCCTTGGGATCCTCGGCATGGGTGGCATAGGCAAGAACATGAGCGTGAAGGCCGCCACGTTTGGAATGTCGACGATCTATCATAACCGCCGAAAGATCAAAGGGGAGACTATCGAGTACGTCTCATTCGAAGATCTACTGAAGAGGAGTGATGTACTCAGTTTAAACCTACCCCTTAACTCCAAGACTCGACATATCATCTCCACGGCTCAGCTAAGAATGATGAAGCCAACCTCGATCATCATCAATACGGCTAGGGGTGCGGTGCTGGACGAAGGAGCCCTCGTCGAGGCTCTTGAAAATGGCACCATTGCCGGTGCAGGCTTGGATGTGTTCGAGGAGGAACCCAGCATCCACCCAGGCTTGATCCAAAATACGAATGTGATCCTCTTACCACACATGGGGACACACACGATGGAGACAAAACGAAAAATGGAAGAAAAGACAATCGAAAACATACGGGAAGCTCTTGAGACGGGCCAGCTGATAGATCCAATCCCTGAGCAACGGGGACTGTGATCATATATAACAAAGTGTTCAGCTAAAATTGCACAAGACATTCATAGCATTATCATTACGGCAATCCATTTCCAAAAGCGACATTCAGGATGGATTGGTTTATTTGAATCATTAAACCAACTTTAAGGGAGAATCCTAGTTTTCTTTTTCTACTTGAAGATGAAACCCTTGTGACCTATCCAGTTGACGAGGTAAATCCTCCGTCCACCACAATTTTTTGTCCGGTAATGTACCGACTTGCAATGGATGCCAAAAAGCCCGCTGTATTGGCCACGTCAAAGGACGTCCCCATGAGGCCCATAGGGACCTGTCTATTTCTCTTCGCGATGAATCCCTCCAGGTCACCTCCCGCATACTTTTCCGCCAACATACCCAGAAGCGGTGTATGCATTAGACCGGGGACCACGACATTCATGCGGATGCCCTTGTTGGCATACAGTACAGCGGTGGCTTTTGTGAATTGAATGACGGCGGCTTTCGTCGCCGAATAGGCAACCTGAGGCTTTCCGATGTACCGGATCCCAGCCACTGAAGCTACGTTCACCACCACCCCGGACCCTTGGGCCTCCATGTGAGGCAGGACGTGGTGGCAGCAGAGGTAGACCGACTTGAGATTGACGTCGGTCTGAGCATCCCAAACTCGCTCTTCCATCTCGGCGGGACCACCTGGCTCGGAACGACCAACGTTACTAGGAAGACACCAAGCTGTTAGTCTTGATAGCCGGATGATGCTTCCGTGGTTGTGATCATTGCATCGCATTCGGATGACGACGTAGGGAGGGTACTACACACTTGACGAGAACATCGATACGTCCATACTTGACTATGCAAGCGTCCACAAACTCCTTCACCTGCTCATTGTTGGTGACATCAACTGACATGACGGTCACCTCGGCGCCTTCGGCCTGCAGGCGCTTTTGAGTATGACGAGCCGCTTCGATGTTGAGATCACAGCCGAATATCTTGGCTCCCGATCGAGCGAGCACTCGCGCGGTTGCCGCACCATTGCCCCATAGCTTTTGGTCGCCCGTTTGACCGATCCCAGTCACTGTGATTCGTTGATTGTTAGTGGATTATACAGATATTTTTCAATTCAATCCGAGCCCGACGGCACTCTTACAGAGAACCACCTTTCCTTCCAATCCAGGAAATGTATGCTTTTCATTCTCCTGGTCGAGTTCTGGTGGCGTCATTTTGGTTGTTCCTAAACTTCACCGAATGATGACTGGTCCTTGGTCGTCTGGAAGAAGGCTGTGTCAGGGGGAAAAGAGAAGGGTTTTAAGTTGTTGTGATGATGCAGTATATAAGTGTTCGTCAGTCCAAGAGTCGTCAGATCCCAGGCTTATTCAGACAAGATTGAAAATATACAGGTCATATATGCCCTTGATTGCTCTGAAAACGCACCAAGCATCGGAGCCAGAAAACTTCGTGCTCAGTAACCAACATTCACATCGGAACGAAGAAGTACTCTCAAAGTCAACGATTGGACATTGTCTCCAGGAGCTTCATCTTCTCCGAAGCGTTTCTCCGCCGGAAATATCCTCTTCGGCTATTGACCTGCCTCTCTTCTCGGGGTTTTCTGAATATTGCCACTACAGGTTGGGGATAAACGGGGAATGTGTTACAATGAGTTCTCCGTATAGTACGGCACTCTTTCATGCTCTAGAGACTGCTGCGAGTTTCAAATGTCTTTTCAAGTAGACGATCAGGCTCCTGTCTCTCTCCAAACTTGTGGCTTTCCTTCAGTTCGCCGAATACAGAAACAGGCTTTTAAGACGACCAGGATCATCTGAAACCCAATCATGATAGACGATTCTTTGGCCAACAATTTGACAAGGAAAATCATCCAACAAGCTAAATCTGGTGGCTATGCCGTCGGCGGGTTTTGTGTGTAAGTTCAAACACTCGTGGGGATTACGCAATTGAAGCGACTCCCTCTCTCCACGTCATGCGGTGTTGACAGTCCTATCTCTCTCAAGCTACAACGCCGAAGGTGTACAGGCCGTCATAAAAGCTGCAGAGAGATGCCGCTCGCCAGCGATCATACAACTCTTCCCCTGGACGATGCATTTCTATGGACCGGAATTCATCAGATTCGCGGCAGACCGAGCACATGCGGCCTCTGTGCCGATATCCCTTCATCTGGACCACTGTCTGAAGCCCAGTGATGCCTACCTGGCTCTCGAGTGCGCTTTCGACTCCATCATGATTGATGGCTCGATGTTCGACGAGGAGGAGAACATCAGGTACGTCAGGTCGATTGTGGAAAGAGCCAAGGCCAAAAACATCACCATCGAAGCTGAGCTAGGGAGGATGGAGGGGAAGGAAGACGGTGTGCCTCAGATTGATCTCGAGACCGTGTGGACGGATCCGAAGAAAGCCGCGTCGTTTGTACGTGAGACTGGTGTTCACTTCCTGGCCCCCAGCTTTGGGAACGTCCACGGTCCATATGGCCCAGGAGGAGCGGAAAAACATTGGCAATTGGACAGGTGAGTTTTCGTTTATGAAGGGCTCAAGGGAAGACTTTCGAGATGTGTTATCTGGCTACCGAAGGCTGAAAAGTTTACAGGCTGATGAAGATTTATGAGAAATTGGGAGACCGAACGCCATTGGTCCTTCACGGCACCCACCCTCTATCTGATGATCTCGTCCGCGTCGCCATGCGGTTGGGAATGGTCAAGATCAATCAAAATCGGAGCGTTCGGAACAAATATCATGAGTATCTCGCCAATTTCGGTGGGAAGGGAGACCTCATCGCATTACAGGAGAATGCGGTCGAAGCATACTCTCAAGATATTGAGCGAGTCATGACTGAGGTTTTCATGTCCGCTGGCAAAGCATGAAATGAAGAGAGAGAGAGAGAGAGCTAGGAAGAAGGTATGCTGCTTGGACATTTTGCGCTTGCTCCCATGTGAATGGACCAGTAAAATGTAGGTAAAACGTACACCTCATTATAGAACAAGAGTATCAAAAGGGTTCACCTGTAATCAAGTGCTCGTTCTTCTGGCGTCTTTTCAAATCCCGAGAACCCTTCGCTCAATATCTCAACGTTTGCCAATATTCCGATAGCAGCCACGCTTATATCCTTTAACTAGTAAAGACTTATAGCTGGTATCAGAATTTGCCGACGTGGCCTAGTACTCCGACAGACCCTGTCCTCTCGCTTCGCGCCGATACCCGTGGACTCCTATAATGGCCGTCGGCTTTTCCACAAGTCTACAACAGCCGTGCTAGATGTCGTCGTTGGAGAGCAGGAAGCGGTTTAAGAGAGATATTTCTCTGCCATCTTCGAACCTTGATACCAAGAATATTGTCGACTTACGGCGATCTTACAGAAAACGCATAGATTCTGGAGGATGAGTACCAACAAGCGAGTGAGTGCAGACCGGGTATAATGGAACTGTCATGGGCTCGTCAGAATACACGTACTCACCATAACCTGTTTACGATCTAGGTCTGGACACGTTTTCTCCGCTTTGTCAGCGATGATGGCAAGACATATGGCGGTGAGCCTGTTGATGCAGAGATCGATGGTACGTCTCCAGAAACGAGAAGCTCGAGAGGAGGACTATTTGCTCGAAGCTGACAATCCAATCATAGTCGGTCTCGCTATCAAAGAGGGCAAGGTAGTCAAGGCACGTGTGCTCAGTTCAAGCTCGGCTCTTGACGAGGGAGCAAAGTTCACAGGACAGGAGCGCCCGGTGCAACAGGTACGTCTCCACCCTCGAGACCGGCAAGGGCGAAGTAACCATTTCTACCAACAGATATTGGCACCGTTGACGGCAGAGCAAGTTGGAAGCATTCGATGTATCGGTGTGAACTACAACGATCACGGTGTAAGTACCACCTAAAAGGCAACAGCCAGTCTGCGTGTGTGAAAGAGAGGAGGGACAGGGTAAGACGGCTGACATGGTACTGCACCTACTCACAGGCAGAGCTCGGCTATGATGTTCCACCGGTGCCAATTGTGTTCATCAAGCCAAGTTCGGCATTGAATGACCCCAGTGCCCCAGTCGTCATTCCATATTTCGTGACGGATGCGGATTTTGAGGTCGAACTGTGCGTGGTGATTGGCAAAGAAGCCAGGAACGTGGCCGACGACGAGGCCTTGGACTATGTCCTTGGATATTGCACTTCCAATGACGTGGCTGCGCGACGGGCACAAACAATCACGACCCAGTTCTGCCATGGCAAGGGGTTTGATACTTTTGCCCCCGTTGGGCCGACGTTGGTGCATGCAAAAGCGATTCCCAACCCACAAACCCTAGAAATGAGGACCACTTTAAACGGGAAAGAAATGCAACATGCGACCCTCGATACCATGATCTTTCCCGTGGCGAGGATTGTCTCGCATTTGTCTCAGGTAAGCTTTGTCCAGAGAGCAACGTACAAAGTAAGCCGGAAGGTAACTTGGCGCAGGCCACGACTATCCCCGCTGGGACAATCATCATGACTGGCACTCCTGGGGGAATCGGACACTCGCGAACCCCGCCCCAGTATCTGCAGGAGGGCGATGACTTGAGACTGTGGATAAGTGGTGGTCTTGGGACGCTCACCAATCCTATTGTGAAGGACAAATTTCGGACTTCTTTCAACAATGGACTGATAGAGATGAACGGCAAGGCTTAATCATTGTACGGAATCAGAGGAATGTACAAATGTCATGACTCGATCCTTGTTATTGATACCTGTTCCTTGCATTGAAAAACGGCACGCTCTGGATGAGTCAGCCGATTAGCCAGGCACATGTGATGGTCTATTGGATATGTTGAAGCTGCTGCGTCCAGATGCGTCCTCCCAACAGTCCGGAAACATGAGTCAAAGAGCAATAAATAGAAACCGAGATCCCCTGACTTTTGCATCCATGCACACAGTACAAGAGTCCGAAGGCGGCTCTTATCTTTTTTATCGTAAGCCAACACGTCAACAATCCATCAGTCGACGCGGACAGTTGGTGGATCAAGAAGCCGGGCCTTGCGCCTCCCGTTTGATGAGCCACAAGGCTTCTTGATTGAGGATCCTTCGGCGAGGCCGGAATCCCCAATGTGGTCTAGCGCACTTTCCTAGCCCCGAATTTTTTCCCACTCTTTAAATTCTTCAAGATACGAATTAAAATGGATAATTTATTGATTGCAACGTCTCGCGTCGTCCGCACGGCCATCTCCTCCCAGCAAGTATTATTGGAATTATGGAGAAAGTCATCTCAACGGCTTCGCACGGATCCATTACACCGAAGCCTGGAAGGTCTCCTGTGACCCTCACATGCAAAGTCCCAGGCGCAGCGACTCCTGATTGTCTTATTCTCTCACACAGTAACCGAGCACGCCACCGCTCAACGGAATTTTCTCTTCCTTTTCTCGGATCTTACTGCGTTGCTGATGGCAAAACACAAACACTGAATCTTTTCATATGGCTCGATTGCCAAGGTAGGAATCGTCAGCCTTTTATCATATTCACGTCTTTCTTGTTGGCAAAGAATCCATCTTTTTTCCCTCGCTCGCTATCTCAATCGGTCCACTTTTTCCTCCATCTATGCACCATGCACAAAATGGCCCGTTTATTATTGATCAGATCCCGTCGAACTTTGGCTTTCGTTCGGTGTCTGTGCTAATCCATCCGACAAGTCATGACATGGATTGCCTCCACCACATGCTAATCATGCAAAATTTGGTACTGGTAATGCTTTTTCATCGATCAGAGACCCTCTCGTTGGATATCAAAGTCCTGAATACCGTCTACCAAGTTTCCCCCTACTCCATTGACTCTGTTACTTACCTCCAACTCTCATACAATACTTCCTGAACAATCTCCGAACCTTCTTTTGACCTCTTCCCCAAGTCCTTCTCATTGTGCTGTACATACGTGAATCCTGGATTCTTCGATTTCCATCCTCCCTTCAGCATCAGATACTGTCTTTTTCGACTGATTGATTTCACCAACGCACTCAACCTGCCCGGGCGGTGTCCGGGTGACCGTCGACTCGGTTCACACACATATGGCCGACGGACAACTCCCTTCATCAGAACCCGAAAGCCACAGCAGTAGCAATAATTCCAGCACAAATCATAGCAGGAGCCAGAGTGCCCACGGAAGGGCTGGTCAAAAAACGCACAAGGTCAAATTTATCGGTGACGAGGATGGTGGTGGTGGTGAACAGGGAGAGTCCTCCCGACGGAGGAGTATACCTGAAATACGACTCGCAGAATCAGAAGATGTAGCCGACTCTCCCATGACGCCGACCGAGTCGGAATATGCAGGACGAGCCGATGTTGCAGCTGCCCAAGCACAGAGTCGGGCCAGTCGCTTAGCCTTTAGACTCAGCAACTCACAAACACAAACGGGACGCGGCAAGACAAACTCTGGTTCAAATACTCCTCTCATACCAAACCAACAAGGTTCGTGCACGACAGCTCCCATCACAACCAGGATCGGAATGCCTGCATCTTTTGGAAGATTCGTGCTGACATTGCAATCGACTAGGTTATGCTTCACCCGACAACTCACCGCCCATGAAACCATTGAGCGACTGGCTTGTCGACGTCGACGATATTCCTCTGACCTCCCTTTCCAAAGACAAACGACCATATACTATCCACGACGATACGACTGATGACGATGATGACGACGATGATGAAAAGCCCAAAACCCTCAAGCGAGATGACGAAAACATAGCCGAAGCGAGACGCCTTTTGAGAACCCTCACCAATGGCCCCCAACAGGGGTCCAGATGGCAGCCTCATCCTAGGTCTGGATCGGAGACCCCGGCCGTTGATAAACATCTACACGACTTAGATTATGTCCCACCTCCAAATGATTATCGGCCTGGCGTCTTCGGGGCCATTCTCTCGTCCAAGCTTGCCGATCTTCAACAACATGGCTTCACGCATCCAAGGTACCATGACGATAGCCCTCAACACCATCAAGGTGTCAGGCACGACTCCAAAGATGGTCGTTTCGCCGGCCATTCCCGAGCGAATTCGGACACTTATGCTCCTTCTTATACATCATCAGGCCGGGCCACGCCCTCCGGGAGACTGACGCCGTCGTCCAAGAGGCCAAAATGGTACGAAAAACCAAATCATTCCATGAGCTCCATGGGCTCCATGGCGACATTGCTGGCATCTGCGTCGGCGGCCTCGGCAGCGCCGGCCGCCCCAAGCACCACTGGGCAAGTGCCACGGCCACACCTGCCTCGATCCAAATCTTCGAATAGTATGATTGCCACTGCGGTCGACATGATCAAGCATCCTGGGAATGTAAGCTTTTGCACCCAACCTTGTTTCTTTGTTGCGTTTTCGTTTTCGTTTTCTTCATCTGGTCGGGACATGGTGGCTGACATCTACCCGTAGCATTTTCATCACAAATCCGAGCAGATTCTCCGAGCCGAGGAAGAACGCGTCATCCACGATGTTGCCGAGATCATTGCCTGTCGCAAGTACCTCAAGAAACTCGCCCGGGCATTGATGGCGGTCGGTGCACCGTCACACCGTCTCGAAGAATACATGAAGACGTCGGCACGAGCGCTCGGCATTGACGGCGACTTTCTGTACCTGCCTGGGTCCATGCTCGTCTCGATCAACGACAAGGTCACCATGAGTACGGAAGTCACGCTGGTCAGGGAAACTCAAAACGTCGACCTGGGGAAATTCAAGGACGTCTTTGCCACGTACAAGTGCGTCATCCACGGGAAACTGACGGCCCAAGAGGGCCTTGACGAACTCGACGGTATCCTCAAATCTCCCAAGCGACACAAGACGCCCGTACAGATTCTGGCCTACGGCATTGCCGCCGTTGCCGTCGGGCCATTCGCTTTCGCCGCGAGACCCGTCGACTTTGGACCAAGTTTTGCCCTGGGTTGTGTTTTGGGTTTCCTGCAGCTCATCGTGGTGACTCGCTCATCACAATTCTCGCACGTGTTCGAGGTCCTCGCGGCGGTCATCATAGCGTTCGTCGCCCGAGGTCTCGGCTCCATCTACCACAACAGCCATCCTGTGTTCTGCTTCTCCGCCATAGCGCAGAGCAGTATAGCACTGATCTTGCCGGGATATACTGTTCTCTGCGCGGCTCTGGAATTACAGAGCAAAAGTCTGGTCGCCGGATCGGTCAGGATGGTATATGCCATCATCTACTCGCTGTTCCTTGGTTTCGGTATCCTCATAGGCTCTGTCTTGATGGGTATGTGTTGATCTCCACTCCAATGTTTCAAGTCAATGCTAACATTCGGGACTTTCTAGGTATCATGTATAATGATGCACAGAGCAGTGTGACCTGTGATATGCCGTCATGGTGGAACGTCACCAACCCCAACTACCAATTGATCTATGTCAAGTTCATATGGGTTCCGGTGGTGAGTTTGGCTCCCCATCCCTCCTCTTTACCTTTTGTACCTTTTGTTGTATCATCCATGCTAACCCAGTGTCTTTTGCTCGGACAGTTTGCTATATGTCTTGCAATCATCAACCAAGCCAAATGGGGCCAAATTCCCGTCATGACCATCATCGCCATGGCCGGATACCAGGCCAACTTTTGGATTTCCGTCTACCTGGCGAACAACATTCAGGTTGCAAATGCCATCGGCGCTTTTGTTATCGGATGTCTGGCGAACTTGTACAGTCGATTCTTTCACGGTCTCGCCGCCGCGGCCATGTTGCCTGCGATATTCGTCCAGGTGCCTTCGGGCCTCGCTGCGAGCGGTAGTCTCGTCGCCGGCATCACGAGCGCGAATCAAATCACGCACAACACGACGGGTATTAGTGTCATCAACAACGGGACGGCCGGATTTCAAGCCGCCCAGGACAGCGCATCTGCGGGATTGTATTCCGGGACGATATTCAATGTTGGGTACGGCATGATTCAGATCGCCATTGGTATCAGCGTGGGTTTGTACCTGAGTGCTTTGGTCGTGTATCCTATTGGGAAACGGAGGAGTGGATTATTTAGTTTTTGATTCTAGCTTTTTGGAGGGGTTTTGAGCGTTTTTGGACATTTTGTACAGGAGTCCTATGGGTTATGATTATTTGTTGGAAATGATATGATGTTGTGTGAGCGAACCTACTCATTACGAGTCCCAAACCTACCTACAAGGTAACATATTCTAGTCCCTTTAGGTTATATCTAATGTATTGAACACAAACAAGCCTGGTCAAAGCAACGTCTCTCCCTTTTATACGGAGCGTTTGAAAAGTTTGAGAGTTGAGATATTGTCATGTAAAAATGGCAAGACCACACACACACACTCTCCCTCTCACACACGCAGAGTCGGCTATATGGCAAAACCGGATAGGAGAAGGGCCATCCTCGCATTCAGCACCTCGATATCAAGTAATCAAATACTACTATATACTCGTAGAGGAGGAAAAAACAACCCGGTTCTTGCTCGGTTAGTATACTAAGTCAGCCACTGTACTCACTCGTACGGAATCACCCATCGCCCATCATCTTGATACCTACCTAGATACGAGCAGCCATGGCCAGTCCCAAAGGAGGGAAGAAGTATTAACCATGGGATTTATGGGGGGGTTTTAAATCGTCAAGTTGACGTATTTTGACTTTTTGGTGAGACAAATATAGTAACCGGCAGATTCCTTGGACAGCAACTCATGTACCATGAGGTGTGAACTCTTGGATTCCGAAATCACAACTGTGCACCGGGTAAAGATCCTGCAGAACAGTAGCGAGGACGAGTGAATTGCGTGTTCAAATGTATGTCCCAACCGGTTTGCAAGCGAGGAAGGCCCCGAAGGGGGGAGTGGGAAGGGGAGAGGGGGGGTGTTTCCCCCGCCTTGGACGACCATGACGACGACATCACCGGGGGCAAATTAGGAAACCAAGTTACCTTACCTACGGAGTACATAGGTAAAGTACTCGGTCAAAGGTACCCAAGGTACTCCGTACTGTAGGTACTTTACGTGTCCTCCATACACTACTCTTTAATCCGTATATACTCCCGTACCTACTCCGTACATATAGTACTACTCACACCCTTCCCCCCCCCACCAAGTCGATTATACCTTGCTGGGTAAATGGACGACCGACAGCCAGACTATCGACAAGGGTATTTCCCTGATTGTTTTTTTCCTTTTCATTTTTTGTTGCGTTGCCTTGTTTATCCAAAGCATCATCATCATCATCATTGCACAATCTCTGTACAGCACTTTACGGAGTGGACGAGAGTGAATCTCCACCTCATGCTCTTATCAATTACCTTGTGTGTGTACGGAGGTACTTCTACAATGGTTTGGTAGATACGATGAGTATTACTTTAGAGATAAAGTAGGTAGACTTGGAGGTATAATTTCCTTGTTTCCATTAGGTAGGTATTCTCTAACCCAAGGCATTTCTTCCCTTGGGTCTGGAGTCCAGGACAGAACCATCGTTTCGAAACTACCTACCTTACCTAGGTAGAGGTAAGGTAGTCGACTCATCTTAGCCCAGCTAAGAAAAAAGGCAGTTTCTCAGTGAACAAGGTGAAATTCCCACCCATCATTGTGATCAATTTCGGTTGAACATCAATCACGCCCGACCACAACACAATCACATAAAACCACCTTTCGTGCCCCATTGAAAACCTTCATTATCGCCATTAATACTCCCCTTTCTCTGGCCAAAAGGGGGATCATTCGACTTGTTGCGAGCCAAAAAAATAAATAAAGAACTCCCCTTCACAGGTTCACCCTGGCGCCCCAGAAGAAGAAAAAAGGAAATCCGTATCCGTAGCTGTATAACAAGCCGGGTTGAATTGAAAAGAGAAGAACCAACAACCGTCATGATCAATCCTCAATATCAGGGTTCGCCACGAATAATCGAACACCTGCTCCCATACTCATTGTCCGTTCGTCGACGCTGCCACGCCGCCGTAGGTCTTCGGCCACTTTAGCCTGTTCCATTGCTCTTTGCACAGAACTGGGTCCAGAGAGATCTTTCAATTCACCAAAAGAATCTTCGTCGTCTCGATCTTCCTGCTTGCTGGCTGGCGTTTCTTCCGAATGTTCTGGAATACCTCGACTGGGGGAGGTTTCGCCATTGGGAGGCGTGCTCGTACTGCTGAAACGGCCTTGATCCGGTCTGGGATATCCACTGCGGTATTTGGCGCTGTTCGTACTGCTTCGACCGCTCCCTGTTCGAGCGTGTCTCATGCTGTTGTCTCCCAAACTCTGAGCTTCTTCGTCGTCCCCCAACATTTCGTTCGCGCTGAGCCGGAGCGGTACCGACGCTCCATTCAAATTGGCCGGGACATAACCAGGAGCTTTTGGCACGCCGCCGTGTCTGATCTTGCCCACAACCCCGCCTGAATTTATGGTGCTTGTACGACCGGAATTGTTGACACTTTGCACCTCAAGTGCAGCTCTCTGTTTGGCGGCCTTTTGTGCTGCTGCTAACCGAGGGTCCGTACTCTGGGCTCGGTCGCACCACACTGTGGCCTTTTGTTTTCGCATCAGAGCGACATATGAGGTAGGACTGTTCGTCGCGATTGAGCGCCCCGACGTAGAGCGTCGTGGGAGGCTGTTAGCCGACGCGGTGGTGCCTTGTCGCTGCATGTTCATGTTGTGAGAGGCGGAAGATTGGCGGGAGTGTGAGGATGAGGTGACTCGTGAGTGAGCCGGAAGAGGTTGCGAGGTTGAAGAGGAGGGCTGTCGGAAGGGAGCGGCGGCGTTGGTACCGGAAGAGATAGTTCGAGAGTGCTGGTGGCTGCTCAGTCTAGGTGAGGATGTTGACTGAGGAATTGTTGTCGGATTGTAGGTCCTGCGTTCGGTCCGGGTGTAAGCGCCTGGAGGCGTAGAATGGGCGGTCCGGACTGGTAATGTGGCAGGATTAGGAGGGTGCGGGCGTGAATAGTCGTAAGGGAGTGTTGGATCTGGGATGTTAGACCCAACTACTGTCAGAACGCTCATCGAGGTGTTGTTGCAGTGTGTGTCTCTCTACAGTAAGAGATTCCTCGTAGCTGAGAAAGGTGGAAGCCGGGAAGCGCAGGATGAGAAACCGAAGGGCTTGTGGTTTTGACTTTCACCAAATGCCAGTGGTGGGGATTCGGATTTCAGCTGCAAGTCACAGGTCAATTCGTGCCGTCCAGCCGCTACTATTGGCTAATAGCGGTAGATCCCAAGCATGGACACTCGTGTTTAAGTCCTGCCGTCTGCTGTCGATCCTGGAAATATCTTGCGGAACGATTGTGCGGAGGGGGAGGACAATAATGAGGACGGCAGAAGCGGTGTAGATATAGACGAGGACCAGGCTGGCAGTGGAGAGAGAGGGAGAGGGTGAAGGAGGATCGGAGTTGAAGCAGGGTACGCCGCAGGTGGTAGCGAGATGATGTATTTCGTCTCGTCCTGTCTCGTATTCTTTGGCCAACCCCTCTTCCTTTCCAGGATCTGGAGGCCCGGCTACTGCTAAGTATAAAACGAAGCTTCGGCACCCGGAAGAACAGGGCACCTGTGGACCAACGACGATGCAGTGAGTGTCAAGCCAAAGTCCGAGCGCCAAATTGAGGGTGCGAAGGGTAGTGGACGAGAGGTGGCAGCCTTATAAAGAAGACTCGGTAGTGGGAAAAATGGGAAAAGATAAAGGTCCCAAGGGGGGATCGTGCCGGATATTGAGGCGCTTTTCTAGACCTCTTATGGTTATGGATGCATGCAAAGGATTGGCATGGATCAGAGACAAGGATTCAGTTGAGGATGGACAAGATGATGATGCTGTCGACACCTGTTTGGCCTTGGGGACGACCAGGTACCTTGAAGTGAATACAGTGGTTATGCAGGCGTAATCGTGGCTTCAAAGCGCTGACGGGTGACATGCTACACAGTTCGCTAAATACAGAGTACGAAGACCTAAACTCATAGCAATGCCATTTCTGATGTTTCATTTCTGATTTTATTTTTATGCTCCGTCCCCATCGCCATCAACACCTCCTCCTCCTCCTCCTCCTCTTCATGTCACCGTCGTGTTCGTTGCGAGAAGGTTCCCGCGGCGGGGAAACTCTGAAGAAATACTCCCCTGTAAAATACGAGTACAGCCCACTGCAGGGTATCCCACCCGTCTCCTTTGAGGGAAAATTCCTCACTCGAGGCCCGTGATTAGTCCATGACAATGTTTTAGTTCAGGCATTCAGCCGGCCATGCCACTGAATCCCACGCCAACGGGCGGTACAGCCTAGGCGAGCTGAATCCTCCTCTCCTCCACTCCACCCGGGCGTTACTCGTCATTCAGACCCTCCCTCAACTGCCTATAACGTCGACTTCCATGGGCCACCGAGCTCGATTTGACCATATTGAATAGCCCTCATGGCCAATCCCTACAACTTCGACGCCCGTCTGGGTTCATGGCAGCCGCATCGCGTTCCAATCCTTGTTTAAACCCCCGACCAGCCCTATCGTGGTGCCTCTATCTCCTCAGCAACAACAATATTACTTCCCTCCTCCTGGACCCTCTTTGATGTACCTCGCATGGTCGGCACAGTAAAGGCCGTGAGCTGGTCAGACGGACAAAGTGCTGCAATGCAATGACACACCAAGCATTGGTTCAGCCGCATGCGCGGATCTCCTGATGTAGTGTTGTATCTAACTACTCCGTAACAGTCACCACTACTGCCGTACTCGTCCCAGACAGAAACAGACCCATCTGCGCGCCACTCAAAACAGCGTACTGTACGTCGAGCTGCTCGCTTCCCGCTTCTCCACGTTGCCAGGTTGGTGACGGCCACTGCCACGCGAAGCCAGTACGTCAAGAAATTGTTGGAAGTCTTGTCGAGTTAATCGAGATCACTTGGATCTAGCTATGAATATTTCTGGAGCACAAAAGTGGCACTGCAATTGTCTCTACGTCACAGCGGTTTCACAATTCTCTCCATTCTGCTAAAAGGCCACTGTTCCCACTCGTCCTGTTGACAGTGGTGCCAGTTTCCCAGCTTCCCGGGCCTTGAGCAAGATAAAAACGTCATGTTGCCATTCGGCTTCTCAGGTTTCCTAGATCCAGAGAATCGAGCACCCGTCGGCCGTGAGCCGGTGCCTGATCGTCCGGCAGGCCACGGAGAAAATGCCAATCTGAACTCAAAGAATAGGAGACTTCATTGAACAAATCATCACGGCTCGGCAAATTTTACTCAAGGCTGGCGTGATGTTGGATATTTCGATGATATCGTCGAGCCAAGCCAAGACATTGATGTTTGTTGCCGCTACTCTGGGCGCTGCTTTGGTGTGGGCTCACCAGGCATGAGACATCCTAGAGAGAGGAAGATTACGGTAGGTGAGAGATTCAGTCTTTCGAAGCTGAATCCCAAATTGCTCAATGTATTCCCTCGTGTGCACTATTTCGTTTCGACTTGGATGTCCCAATTTGTCCTATTCTACAGAGTCAGGGTTGCTGTATGACACTATCGTTGAGCACCTCACTCGCAGTGCGAATGTTGAAAAAGTTGCGGTTCGACTGAGTGCGTTACCAGCTGTTTTAAGTCCAGATATGATTCTGGGGCTGCGTGACTATGTACGTGGTGAACAACGATTGCACGATGAAATTGACGACGCCTGCAGCTCCGTCCGCGATGAAAGAGCTTTCTGTCGTGGATGCCTGAGCCATGTCTGGATTAGCAGGTAGATATCTATAAAATGACATTTCTGCAACTCCTCCCTACAATTTTGTCGACCGTCATGGGCAACCAATTACTCAATCACCATGGAAGAGTGAGATATAGGTGACCACAAGTCTCTGACCAAATGTAGCTCGTGTCACAACTAACAAGATCACCTCATTAGAGTGACACAGACTGATCGTTGACCCAGACACCAATCTGAACACTTGCTGACGATACAGCCCAGTGGCAGGCACCGTGTTACTTCAGCTGGGCAAAACATCGGCTGTTTTGGAGCAAAAATACGCTGGGAAGTGCTGAAAAATGAATCATGACTCTCCAATGCGTCCAAACATGGCCGTTGGTACCACCTGCTAATTAAACATACGTCGACGCCGCCTGTCGGTACCTGCGTACACATAGTACAGAAGTGGTTCTTTACGGAGGAGGTGGTCAACCGAGAAGTATTCGATCTGGGAAGGCCGTTGCAATTGCCAGCGCATTCATGCGGGATGTCGTGGGTCTCAAGCAGGGCGGCAAAGACGTGGCGTTGTCGGTGAGCCGGTGACCTTGCGAACGACACATGGCTGAAGATCTTCGGATTTCATTTCAAGATCATCATCACCTGCTACTCCATACGAGGGGTCTCTCGAGAACTTGGACTTTGTCCAGCAGTCTTTCTGCTCTGATTGACGTGGCAAATTCTACCAGCAAGTTAAGGAACAGGCGGAGGAAGCATTATCTGCAGGGTACTTCAGCAGTACTTTCTGCTCCAACTCCGTCCGCCAGTACTTATAAAAGTTTCTCTACCTGTCCACCGAACCAGTGTTTTAGGGTTTATGAGATTAGATCCCCATACCCCTCAGAACCACTCCTTCCCAGGTCTTCTGTCGTGGGATCTTCAAAGGCAACTCGTTCACCATATGATGCCACGCCACCCAGTCGTCGCTAAGGCAGTGAGATACACCATTCCACACAGACACAGCAGATCAAAAGGCATTTCTCCATTTGTTGCTCGTAGCAGCTTGTACTGTGCCAGTCAAGCGTCGTAGACTACTCCTCGCCACCCTACCTGAGAATCCGGGGATTCAGCCGTAGCCTCTCGCGCACCGCCAGTCTCTCGAGCTTGCTCTGGGAATAACGGGCCGGAGCGTGTCGAGTGTACCAGAGTGCGTCTCGACATGGGCAATGAGTGGTGCGAGGCATGCTGAGATTATGTCCAGGGACGAGTTAGAGACGCCGACTAATGCAGCCTGCATATGCATTCGTTGGCAAGCCGGGCCTGCAAGTCATCCGCTCGATGCGCTGTGCTTTGTTCAACTCTCGATGCGTGATGTTGCGCTGTACTGGCAGTATTTTGTGGCCCCAGAGGGACCGGATCTCGTTCACTTTTACGCGCCCGACAAGAATATCCATGTTGTCGCCAGGCCTGGCAGTTTCTTCGTGTAAATACCCTGAATTCAAATCGTGGGTTGACAAGAGGCCACAAATAACCAGCTTCAAGCGAGACCATTTCTCCCCCGCATCCACGCATCACGCTTTCACGCTTCACCCTTGAGCAACCCTTGAGCTGTTGATTGCAGCCCCATCGTGTTAGAAGAAAGTGACCGAGAGAGAGAGAGAGAGAGACAGAGAGAAGCTGGATCGTCGAGGGCAATCGTGACAATCACAGTCAACCTCTCCGAGTCACGAGCATCTTCAACCAATTCCAGCGCCGACGCATGCAAATCCCACCTGATCGACCGTTAAGGATTCGTCTCGCCTGTTCTCCTCCCTCGCCTCACTCCTACTGCGGCATCTCCACGCCGCCAATGTGAAGCAGCCATCTGCTAACGCCTTATCTTCTCCTTTGGATTAATTCTGGCAGCGTATGTGTCGGGCAACGGCCAAAGCTGGGATGGAAGTCGCCATCGTATGACACCCCTATTTGGCTCTGCCAGTGTTCGAGAAGGTCGAGGTCCGTCACTACTTTTTGCCTTGTTCCGCCCTGCGGTCATGGACATATTGCTGACCTTCTCGTCGCTGCAGATCGAGCAACTTTCCCTCCCCGATCCTATCCCTCCCACAATGCGGATGACGATGCCAAATCTATGTCTGGGCCTGGACATAACAAGAGCACCTTGCAGGAAGTCCCGCAGGTTGGAAGCTCCTCCCGTGAGACCACTGACCACCATGCCCAAACGAGAGATCGCCTCGAAGGGATGGCCCCTTCAAACCTGCAGATGAAGGCTGGCCAGAGCCCATCGAGCACCATGAGCGAATACGGGAAAGGTGTCAATGTGTCCCACCGCGAAATTCCGTTTGCGCATATGCGTATACATTTTGAAGATTTTGCGAATGAGCTGCGCCTGCACAGGCATCAGGAGCATCGAAAACGTATACTCTTCCATCGGCGTGACAGGCTTCGCACTGCAGTAGCGCTGTCTTCACGCTTGCACCGAGTGGGATCATGGCTTCACGATGGGCTCGTAGCAATCTCTCGTCAGTCAGAGGCAAATGGCTTCTCAAGAGTACATCAGCGCATGCAGGACCTGGCCGACTCGTGTTTCTCGTCCTGGACACACGAGATCAATGCGTTCGAGCTATCTCCTGATATGAAGACGCCAATCAAGGATTCATTCTTTGCGCGGTTACCGGCCTACTCGCAGGATGACTGTCTCGAGCTCATTCATACCCTACGAAGCAAGCCTCGGTTTCTCGTAGAGCGCTTCAAAGCCATGTCTCCCGCACAAATAACTTCTCTCTCCACAGCCCCTAAATATCGCGAACTCTCAGAGTCCGTATTGACATCTTTGTCTCAAAACAGCGGGAGAGGTTCTCAGAAACGTCGAATCAATGCCTACTCGAAAGAGCTGGAAGACTACTCTTCTTCCTTCGAGCGAGCGAATCCTTTGTCCTTCATAATACACAACATCTACGGGCCCTTCCCAGACATCAACAGCAAAGAAAGTCGATTGCGATTCTCTACTTGGTCCTCTGTCTGTGCAACTCTCATGGTAGAATCGCAGCATACCTTTCATGCCTTGATTGGTCAGCTGCTCAGTGCGTTTGCAAACATGTATTCATGGCAGATCAAGCCCCGTCTTGAATTGTATTTGATGAGCGTTTTGCAAAGAGGTGCGTTCCTACTTGACATGGTTGAACATCCATTCCCGACTTTGCGATCCGAATTCTCGCTATTCGATCCGTTTAACACCCAGGAAGCCCGAAGCTTCTTTCAAGAGGCGGTACAGGAACTTTTTGATATTCTTGCTTGCGATGAGGGTCTACCTATAGGTGCACTGAGTCTGGGCCGTGCCATCATTGCCAAATTGCCCACGGAGGAATATCAGAGTCAGTTCCGTGGTCATTTCTTCTTCGAATGGTTTCTCCGAGATTTCCTGCGAGTGGCTATTGCTTTTCCTGAGGTATTTGCTATGCACATTTACACAGTCTTCTTTTCGGCAGATGCTAATTGGCGAAGGATGAAAAGTTACTGCACCAGTTTCATGTCAGCGACAGGGCAAGGTCATATCTGCTGCACACCATTTGGGATCGCGCTTATAGTTGGGCCCGAGATGCGTTCAATCCAATGTACTGATGCCTTTCCCTTTCTCAAGGACGGGCTAACATCTCCTTAGACCTGCCGAGCCAGAAGACCTGGGCGTGAAGAACTGCGTGTCGAATATGATCAACCAGTTAGATGCTGAGGTAAACTGCTTCGACCCATATCGCGCCGACACGCCTGCTTCCACGTTGTCTTCTGAAGTGTTCATCAGCATCTCTGCTGCAGACGTCGTTCACACCCTCGAAGCGTTGAACCCACAATACATCCACACTTCAAGCCCCTGGGACCCCTTTCTGAGCTCATCCCATTCGACCTTCAGCAGGCAGTACGCCCATGCTAGCGGTAGATTCGACACATTGCGACGTCGCATATTGGAGGCAATCGAGCCTGGCCAGTCCTCGAGAACCATTCATCCTTGTCAAGAGAACTGGGCTTTGATAACTATTTCGGGGAATGGGACCCCGGTACCAACGCGCTCCATCGAGAAGCTCGTAATGCCGGATGGGCTGGGTAAGCTTGATCTAGCTGAGAAAGCGGCGCTTCGACTGATCGAAGGGACCTCATCTTCATCTGGTCGCGAAAGTGCCGTAGGAATCTCTGTCGAAAGAATGAGAGGGTCGAGTTTATCGAGACTGTTCGCCGAGGAAGCGAGACGGGCTCTTGTCGGACACGATAGCATAACTTCGATGTTTTGGCACGACGCTGTATCCTTCTTGCGCCGATCGTACCCCCTTACGGTGTTGACAGACGATGACACCAAGGTCCTGGCACCAATGTCTGATAAGTTGCGGATGAGCCATCTACGGCTAGGTAAAGAATGCCTCCGGCTTGAGCAAGACGTTGCCAGACTCGAGGCTTCTTATGACCTGGCAAAGTCGAAGATGTCGCAACTCTCCACTTGGCTGGAGAAACTCCGAATCAAATTATGGTATAGAATGTACGTGGTGAGTTCTGATGCTTACGAAGATGCAAAGAATATCTCTGTGGCATTGAACAATATGGCACTGCCAGTGTTACATGCAGGTGCCAGTTCTGGAGGAGTGGTGCGGTCATCACAAACTAGTCCGCAAGGTACATCAGTGACATCAACGTCGTCCCTATTCGAGCAGCCAAGAGTCGATACGATGAGCATTTTAAAAGCACCTGTGGAATACGGCGGGCCCAGAAAGCTTGCCGATTCACAAATCGAGAGTACCAGGCATTGGCTCGAGCAAAATCACTTGGACAATTTCTGCAAAGGCGAAGAGAGAATCCATCGGTTCTGCATGGAAGTCAGCAATGCCACGAAGAGGCTGGTCGGTGAGACTCTCAGTGAGAGCCCGGTGCTCTGGTCAAGTGAACTTTTCGCACGGGAGAGAGAACGATATGAGGTGCATTCCACAGGGTCTTTTAGTGCTCAACCCAGCAGTCGTGCACCCAGCGTATGGAGTGAACCGCTCTCCTCGACCTCGTATCCTTCTCGGTCAACCTTTGGAGGAGGGCGAGCATCCTTCTATAGCCAAGCTTCTGGAAAGCTTCATCTCGATCTGGCCTCTATGATCAGTTCACCAGGAAGAGCAAATACTGTGACGACGGTCGACTCCAACAGCAGCATCTGGTCGCCTCCGATTTCCAATCCAAGATCCGTGACCTCGGTCTCATCACAATCAAGGCCTGCGTCCACGTTTGAGGATTCAAGCCTACACCGCCTGGCAGATCACAGCGTGGAGAAGGCGGCGTTTCTGGAAACCCTTCACCACGATCTCACGTGTCTACTGTTATCCGACCTCGCTTGTCCGGTGTGGAGTTGTGGAAGCGAGACTGATTCTTGGATAAGCACAATATTGCAGACCCCCAGCATTCAGGAGCGACTAGCCCAAAGGTCCGTGATGGCGCATCTGCTGTCTACGCCAAACCTGCTCGGCCACGCTGTGCATGCTGCTGCCAGGAAGCAAAAAGGTCGACTGCAGCGTAGCCAAAGTTCAGCGCCAAGTCCATCGCAGCATTCTGAACATCGGGTTCCGCCAAAAGATCACCTCGAAGATGTTCTCGATATGACAAATCCGGAACCCGATTCTGACGGATTTTCCTTTCGTCACGGTTTTGACGACGTGTTCATGCGAATCAGCGAGCATGTCGACCCGAGTTTGAAGCTCGAAGCTATTCACGACCTGTTGACGCTGTCCCAAGCGTGCCAAGAACGGTGGCCCAGCTCAGGTCCCGACCCGGCGACTCCTGCCGCAGCAGTCCGCAGGCAGAGTCTCAATCCAAGCGTACTTTCTTCTAATCTTGAGCGACAAAGCAACAGCCAGGCCATGATAGCCAGCACTGCCCGTACGGACGCCAGCACAGAGAGCGAAGTGGTGCAATTCCTGAAGAGGCTGCTGCTGTTGTTCCAACCGAAGACGATATTTCGAGACTTGCAATACGTTGCTGCCTTTGTATCATCCGATACGCTCAACGACACGGAGATCGGACGGGCGTTTTTGCAGGTTGGGCTAGCAGCTTTGGCGTGGAAAGACGAAGTCTGTCGGGCGATGGTCGATGTTGCTGACCGGATTGTGGCTAAAGACTCGATCAAACGCAGAGTTCAGCGTGGCGAGCGCAATGAACCGTCGATTCTGAAAGCTGCCGAGTATTGGGTGATAGCTGCACGAGAGGGCAACGCAATTGCGCAACGAGAATTGGCCAGTCTCTACCTTAGCCACCCCGAGGTACCGCCGGTCATCAGCGTGCCTCTCTCTATGTCCGCGGACATTTTCAAAAGCGACATGTTGTGGGAGGAACAAGAGGGGTCGCAGCGCAGTAGTCAGACGATGTGTTTGGCATTGCACTGGATGCGGCGAGCAGCGGAAAATGGGGACGAAGTGGCACAATTAAAATTGAGGGAACGTCGCACGGGTCTTTCGATTCGATGAAGCAGGGTTGTTTTTATTATCTGACACTTTATTCTTGCTTACATGGGGAGTTTGAGGCATCATGCCTCTGTTCAGCTTTCTTGGGTGGGTGGCAAGTATTGTTCTTTTGCTTTTCGGCCACGATATGGAATGGATGCAGGGGTCTGGAGTCTTTTGTGTGTGTCCGTGTTTGACGTACCCCCGTACAGGGGATTTGGATGGGACCAGGCATACTTTTTTGATACACGTGTACTTTGACGGGCGGCCACTTGCTGTTTTCGGGGAGGCGGATGCAGTGGACAGTAGGGAGTATACCCAGCAGATAACAATCAATGAGAAGCATGAAGATTTCGACAGTGGAAGAACGGAAGGAATCTTTGAACATTTGTGGAATGGCAAAAATGAATTCGAACCTGGTTTGTATCGTACAGTATTGTATCCTCGTCCCATGCTCCCTCGTGGAGCGAGGCATGCGCTGTCATTGTCTTTGGTCTTTCCGAGTCATCGGTCGCGAGGGTCGTGGACCCAGCTTAGGTCACAAGCCGGGGGTGGGTGAGTTGTGATGGAATTGAAACGCAGCGAACCGAGACGGATTCTACGGAGAGGGGTTTCTTTTTGTGGAATCTTTACTCTGTACGGAGTATGAACGAATCAATCGGGTAGGGGTAGGAGTGAGGCCAGGGATGATTCAGGCACATGTTCGAATGAGCCAGGGGTGACCCTTGTGTGTTTGTGTGTGTCGCACAAGATAGATTGTTTTCTGGAAGGGGGGGGGTGTCACAGGTAAGGGGACCCAAGACGACGTCGTCGCGCAGGTGACAGGGCCACCACGATGATATGGTACTTGTGGGACGAGTACTTGTGGTAACCCGTTGGTCGCGTTGGACGAATCGATGACGGGTATTCATGTGGATGGAGACCACCCGACAAACAAATTGATGGATTTGATGCATGATGATGTTGCTGATGTTGATGAGAATGAATTGAAAGCCAAAGCGACAAACATGATGAATAACCTGCAGTACTCGCTCGCAGTACGTGGTACTACGCAGTACGGCAGTACAGTATTTACTGTATGTAAGTACGAAGTACACCGTACCTAAAGCACAGACTAGTTCGTGATAACGAGTCATGATCTGTAGCATGACGTATGGTCTCCAGTTAAAGTGTGCAGTGTGTGAAGACAAGAGAACCCAACCCTTAGCGAGGCTAAACGCCCTATAATAACTTGATACTATATGCACAAGTCACCAAAGCTGCCGCCTAATTTATTGAGCGTTGACTACCTTTAGTACTTGTACTGTCCATACCTACATACATATATATTGAGGTGCTCGTACTGTCGACGAATGGGCAGATAACGCAGTAGATCTAACGAGTACGGGAGTACTCCGTACAAATCATCAAAATGGTACTTGACATGTGTCACTATTAATTCCGTACTGTACTGTACAGTTTTGTTTTTTTGTGATGGGCATGTGACTGACACTTGGTCCCTCTCGGTTGGGCCGTTTGTTGGATGGATTTGTGTACTCCGTGTACTGTACTGTAGGTAATAATAAGAGTGATCAAAAAAGGTATTGCCCCTCGTATTTAGAGTCATCGATAGGGACCAAGTTGATGGGTTCAGCTTTGCCTGCTGCCACATGCTTGTCGTTCCTGTCAATTGTATCATCATCATCCATCATCCATCATCAGTCAACCCAACGACAGAATACCACCTGTTGGGCACTTTTCCCTCTGCTCAACGGTACCTCCGAACGAGTAGTAAACTGGTGTCAAACAAAACAAAATCCCTGTCCTGTCCTTGTTGTCACTGACTCCGTATCTTATGATCAACATCCGGTCGTCTGGGTAGCACCAGACTTCTTTGTCACCGACTGACTTGACTTCTTTTGCCCCTCGGATCCCAGTTCCATCATCACATCCATCAATCCTCTCTCCATCTTCCTCCTCCCCTCCGTCTACCCGTCAAGTTTTTAAAACCCACTTGTACCGCCCGGTCCTTCGCCCACGCCCGCCATTTCCATCACACAAACCTCTCTACGAATACGAAGTACCACATTCAACTTTGTTCTCCAAACTTCAGCTTCTTCACTCGGCCAACTTGCCTTGCGTCGGCTGTCCCGTCGACCCCGTCAACATTACCTTGTGATTGACCATTTGCTCATTTCCCACCACACACCTCGTTCACACCTCATTTCTACAACCAACCAACCACCACCACCAACAACAACAACATCCGCCAAACAACTTCTCCATCTTTCATCACGATCACCGCCAGAATGCCCGTCGAAGTCCATCATTCACCTCCACCCTTGCACCATCCGAGTTCGGGTAACGTTCGACCGAAAGGTTGGTGGTCAACAAACAATCAGCCGTTCCGGATCTCATTACTGACTTGCTCCTCCTCCCACAGGCATCCTCAAGAACCCCTCGTTCTCCTCCGCTAGTGGCCGACCCGAATCACCTACGAAAGAGACCTCCCACATCCCTCCCACCACGCCCCTCGACCCCCAGGAAGAGCGAGAATTGACCTTGCAAAACACCCTCCAGAATGCCGGACACCGCCGTTCCTCGTCCGCCGCCAGGCGCGCTTCCGCGTCTCGACGTCACTCCTCGGCCGCCGCCGCCGCCGGCGAGCACCAGGACGACCCGGACAAGATGCGGTTGAAGTGGGACGAGGCCAATCTGTACCTGGCGGAGCAAGAGTCGGGAGGCCGGATGAAGATCACGGAGCCCAAGACCCCCTACCAGTACGGCGACGCGATGGAGGAGGACGAAGAGGAAGACGTGGCCATCGACCCCCGCTTCGTCAACGTCGACGAGGTTGAAATGGCCAAGAACAAGCCCGACAAGAAGCACCGTGAGAGTGAGATCCCGGGCCTGGAGCTGGGCGAGCCGGAGGACGATTTCGTCGCAGGATCCGCACGGGAAGACGACCGGATCATACGGGCGAGCAGCCTTTCGCGGGAAAACAGCAAGGAAAAGCATGTCAGTGTCAGCGAAGGAAGTGAAAATAACGGCTTCGCCGAGCAGGTCGGAATGCCCACCAGAGAGGAGGCGGAAAAGCACCGACAGTTTGAGCAACAGAGAAAGAAGCATTACGAGATGAAGGACATTAAAGGTCTCCTGGGGTAAGTCTTCTTCTTGTTGGTCCGGTGTCGGGTAGAGTGTTGACTGGCAATGCCGTGCACAGTCACCCAGAAGAATTGGACGTGGACGACGACGATGAGGCGACATCTCCCACGTCCATGCCCAAGAGACTGCCTGAAAGATCTGTCAATGGCACACAATAAATGACATCTCAGGATTCAGTTCAGAAGCTCGACGTTGTCGATGGATTTTTACAAACACAACATAACTCTCATGATCTCCGAGAGGAGGGACATGAGCATTTTCCCTTGGCCGTCTCGACCCGAGCACGAACAATTCCTGATGTTCACGTCTCACGATTCTCATCACACGACCCTCAAGTACAAAGTTCCACGACACCAAAGTTTACTATACAGGGTCTCATTTCCTATGTTTTTTTTGACGACAACCAGTACGAATTGAATTGAATTGTATCGAAATTGATTCTTTTTTTCTTCCCGGTTTCATGCATTGACGACCATCGACCAAACCTGCTCCCCCTTTTTTTCCGTTCTTTTCTTGTCACAACATGGCTTTTTTATCTAGTTCACACACACCTGCCTGGAATTGCGACATTCCCTCCCCTCGACCATTGTCGAAAACACGTCAACCATTCGACCGGGATTTTCTTTCTCCCCCTTTTTTTTTCTTTCTCCTTCTCGGCCAAGAGCACAGACTATGAACGGCCACGGCAAAGGAAACCAAAGCATGAATACACGGACCGATGAAGACGTTCTGAACATCAATCAATCAATCATCCTTGTCTTGTCACGACCTCTTTTTTGTTGTTTTTTGACGTGTTCCCGCCAACAACACGCGACTCAATCGCTCGAACCCCGGTTCTGAACCCGCATCATTTTTTTTATCAAAAACATTCCATCTGGATTGCCTTCTTTTTTTTTGGTCCTCTGGGGGCGGCGGAAGCAGAAGCAGAAGCAGAAGCGCAAGCAAAGGATACGTGGTCGTTGAACCTGTATCGTGGATGAATAAGGAGAAACCCACAGCAATACGGGTGTGTGTGTGTGTGTGCGTGTGTGTGCGTGTGCAGTGTTTCTGAGGACCTCAAGGAAGGTGCTCGTCAACGGGCCAAAAGCTTGGAAAAGGAGGGGGGTTGGGTCGAGTCGAGCGGATAAAGTTGACAGAGGTACCTAGGTATCGAGTAGGGTATATTTCCAAACCATGGGGCGTCTTTCCTTTCGTTTCGAGTTTCATTTCGTCTTGTCTTGATAACGGGGAGACTTTGGCCGCCAGAATTGTCAAAGAGCTGTTGCGTTGGTGTTTGATGACAACGACGATGGCCCCCCCTGATGGGGAACCCACTTTAGACGCCCGTTCGACGACGAGTCCAGATTCTTTACTCGACCTTCTGAGCGGTCCATTTTCCCCCCTACACGTAGTGATGGATCAAAATATCCGACGAGGTTCACATCGTCTTCTATTTACGGGTCATGGCTGTTTATTGAGCAAAAAGGTCATGGCATGGCATGGTTGTTCATTATATCCTGACATTCTGGCTCGGTATCTTCCAACATCTCACCTATCCAGTTGAATCCAACCCCAGACAGACAGACAGACAGACAGACCAATGTAAATCTGAATAAGTCAACAACCGTCACCCGATCCACAACCTCCCCAGGATCAAACTCTGCACGACATCCTCGTTGCAAATGACCTTGACGTTGGAATGAATTTTGCCTTCACCCCCTGGGTCAGCTCCTTCCCTTCCTCCACCACCGTCAGACCCGGCTCCGGTCTTGTTCGCTTTACCCAAAGTCCGAGTCTTTTTGCCTGCCTTTCGCGAAATGCGCACCGCGGCACTCTCTTCGAACAAGGTCTTTGCACTGCCAATGTCACGATCGTCGACGAACACAAAAGTATCCTCGTCATCAGAAGAATCCCCCGTCCCACGAACCTCCGCTGTGGCACTCGCCAAATCCGACACGCTCACAATCTCGCCCGCACCAAGCGCTCGGATCAGAAACACAAACGCCCTTCTTCGCTTTTCGACTTTTTCACCTCCGCTTTTCATTGCCACAACGACCCGAGCGCCATTGAGGATACGTGCTCGTGACTCAATCATCTCATGGACCTTGAGATTCGCTGCTGGGTCAAAGGATAAGACTCGTGATCTCGTTGCGCCCTCCAACTCGGCACATTCGCCGGATGGCAAAAGGTACGTACTCCAGGTAACCAATTCCTCCGCGTGCACGCAAGACTCGATCCACCTTCCACTAAGGCACGGTACGCCCAAAGCAAGAGCTTGCATGTACTTCTCCTTGCGAGATTGTCTGTCGGCGAGGAGCGCCGTAAATGACAAATCTGCATGCTGAGCCTTCATTTGTAACGAGTCTAGTTCCAAGAGGTCGAGAAACGATTCCTTCAATACCAAACCTCCTTGTTGTCGAATCTGACGTTCAAGCTGGTCACGGCGCGTGTCATCGTCGTAGGATATTGCAAATGCCATATTTGTGAACAATCCTTCCACGACGCACGTTGACAATGATAGGGCGGTGGTCACTGCAGTCGTGCCTCGGCGATTGCGCGATGGCGGCGAGCATGGAGTCGAGCTACATGGTGCCGGGGTTGACATTGCTGACACCATCGGCCGAGGAACAGTCGTCTTGTGCTCATAAAGCCGGTCTTTCATCTGTCCCCACATGTTGCTATCCAAATATATCGAGGAGATCGGAACTTCCTTAAGCGCTTCAGTTGATACATCTGCTGGTAGACTCTTCCGCTGTTTCGTAGAGACAAGCAAAGTCTTGTAGCCTTGTATGTCGGTCAGGATTTGATCTTCGCTCTTTGGAGCATGGGCAGAAATCCTATTCTTGAAGGCCTTGATAATGTATGGTACTTTTGGGAAGCCTTGAAGGTTGACTTTGATCTGGTCCCCCACGCGTAGGTCTAGACTCCGTACACCATGTTGATCCAGTTCTTCTGGATCGTATCCTTCCCATTGAATGCGATACCGGGTCGGATCAGCGTCGGAAAGCCCGAGACATGTTGCGGGATAGTATGCACGCGTTTTGCCGTTGAAGCACGCGAACACCACATTGGGAACCGAGGGGTTTTCTGAAACTTGTTCGACGACGGTGTTCAATGCTGTACCCAAATTCTCAAGATGCTGTGCTGATATATCTTCACATTCGTCCGCAATGGGCGTATGCCTCGAGGATGCTGTGGTTGCCTTTTCGGGAACTTTGCGTCTTTTGGCCGATGTTTCTTGTGCGTCAGCAGGTGACAGTTGCTCCCTCTTCTTGCGCTTCAGAGACGAATTTGGTCTGGTCAGAGGAGCCTTCTGAGGGGGAGATGCGTCGAGATCCCATTGTGACCGTCGGGACTGGGCATCTGCAAGTGGGGTGTGTGGTTTCGAATTTTCCAACGCCTTGGGAGTTGGCTTACGCAACCGTCGAGAAGAATGTATAGTGGTCTGGGGTGTTGTTGAGGCCAGATCCAGACTATTGCCGTGCAGATTCTGATTACGACGTTGCTTCATCTCATTATTTCTCTCCACTGGATGTCCATAGTTAGAAGCATTCTCCGGCCCTTCCACATGCTCGGTATTCTCCTGCTCTTCAGGTGGGACATGTATGTGCTCGGTAAATCTGGAAACGGAAGGATTATTAAGTGGAGGTCGCTTAGATGGACTCTGGAAGGCTGCATCAAGGTGAAGCGCATCCGTGACATTGAAGCTTGGTTGTGACTTCAAAGGCGAGGGTTCGGCAGCGATCTCGGTCATCCGTCTACGATTGCAGCTAGGTGTCGAATGCCCGTTAGAATCACCGGTTCCTATGTCCTCGCCGTTCTCTTGCTGTTTGGAATGCTCTATAGACTGAGGAACCTGCGACTGGGCGGTCTCGAACTCTCCTCGACTCGTGGTGTCCGGATCGCTTTGTTTGGTGCTGGCATCCCCTCTGGAAGGCTCTGTCGGTGGCTCATTCGAGCTAGTCTCAGGTATTGTCCCTTTTTGATGAACAGGAGAATTGGATGCAGCATTTTCAGGCATGGCGTTGGGAACATCCTCCGACAGCCCATCGGGAACGTCGTTTGCTGTAGTCCTTTCTTTTTCAGAAGCGTCTGTAACTTCTATTCCCGCAGTGGGAGACTGCGGAACAAAATCAACACTTCCAGTGCCAGGAGTAGACTTCAGTGCTTGACTAAGTTTCTGCATTCGTCGTCGAGACTGCGAAGACTGAGAGTCGGCAATTGCAAAAGGTTGCGAGCTGTGCATCGCATGCTTTTCAGCACTAATCCGCCGGTGGTGTCTCAAAGACGGACTGTCCTCAACTTCGGAAGGATCCCCATGAGCAACACGGATCAATCGTGCAGCTGTCTCAGGAACTTGACTCCCATTGCTCAGGCAGTTTTCCTTGTCGTCATCGCCGTCATTCAACGCAACCATGACTTGACTTGAGCGCGCTACTGCTATCTGCGGGCTGTCTTCCAAGTCTGTTTCTTCTTCACTTTCTTGAAGTGGATCCGGCGAATCTGCCTTTGTTGGGCTTGATCTATCTGTGAACCTGGTTATGCGTGAGGAGAGCGGTTCAATGGGAGAGCTACGACGATTCTGTCGAACAGGGGATGATTTTGACAAGGACGGCCTCCGTAGCAACCGAGTCGAAGGTGAAGACAGTCGCTGGAGTGACACTTTCACCTGCTTCTCGATTGCCAGTCGTCGACGGTATTTGGTCATAGAATCTGGCTCTTGGAGGTGAGCAAATACATCATCTTCCTCATCGTCAGATGCTTCTTGTGGTTCGGGCCCCGCGTGTTCACGTAAAGCCAACTCTTCCCTGACAGATATGTACCGTGATGCCGGTTCCGTAGATGCCCTTTTAAAGGCAGAGATAGGTCTCATCGGCGAGCTGGTAGCTGTCACAGGACGTGGTCGCAGCTCAATATTCGGAGAAGGTCGATCAGACGGTATATCACCATTGCCATTGTTGACGAATGGCGAAGTGTCTGCTTGAGTTGCTGCAAATGCTTGACTCAGACCCATGATGTTTTCCTGTTGGTGCGAACCGCCTCCCAGAAGAGGATTGCGTGGTAGGACTGGACTGTCAATAATGTCTCCATCGTAGCTTCTCTTTTTCCCTGCAGTCGCGGGAGTCTTGAAGCGCTGAGATTCGGGAAAGCGGGAAAGCGCAAGTTGAGTCTGTGTAGGAGAATATTCGACTGGCTCGGAGTCCAATTCACTGGGACCATTCTTTGGCGACACCAGGCTGGACAATAAATCAATGTGTCCTTCATCCCCCTCCCGAAGTGAGAATTGTGGAGACTCTTCGTCGTCTTCTTCATGGTGCTCCCTTAGCAATTGGGCTGCGCTGCGACTTCGACTCTGTAAAAAGGAAGTATAATGTGACTGAGACAGCTCTTGCGTAGGGGCATCGCTACCTTGGCTGGTCATCTTCTGGACAGGTGTGGCTCGCCTCTCATGAGTGATCGCTGGTCGAAGGAACGTGAATGGACTTTCGACATTTGGGAGGGACTCGGATTCAGGAACGATGCTGGCGAGTTCAGGTACCGTATTTGTGGCCGGGGTGGTTATGATGGGGGACGGTTCAATGGGGGACGGTTCAATGGGAGACAATCCGTCGAGAGCGTGTCGGATGGCTTCAAGCTGTCGTTGCGGGACAAGTCTGCGATCTGACCCTGGCTGGTCTTGGATCGACTGGGATGGCACAGTTAGAAACAGGACTCGATGCACAATGAGCAGGGTTGACTAATTGCCACTCACTTCCTGGTCATGGAGGACGGCGAATTTAATGCTTGATACGTCTAAACTCTCACTTTCCGAATCAAGAAGGATGGGCGCGGCCTCCATGATGGTTTTTCAATGCGCCAGATCCATGCGAGAAAAAGTTGTCGTGTGCACTGGCAAAATCATAGTAATCGAACAAGTGCCAAACAAAGATCGCGGGCACGAGCGCGTGCCACTTTAGACGCGCATCAGAGGAACCCGTAAATGTTAATTATGATGTGGGGTAAAAGTGGTGGTTAACTACATGTACTGTAAACAGCCATCACGGCTCTAGTCCTAACAGCAAGTGGCTATCTCATCACGCTAGAAAGAGTCTAGTGATGCTAGCACCTTCAAGCTGGTTAACAACTGTACAAGGCTGTGTGTGAACTGAACAACCTCCAGCCGTACTCGAACCGACTTTGGACTTGGAGGTATGTACCTTCTCGTGCACACCTTGAATCCTTTAAGCCCTTTCAACCCATTATACAGGTCTTTGAACGCTGGATACAGGCAAATGTAACCGCAAATGAGTCCACTCAGCACCTAAATGCGCCGCGTCCAGGATGGCGAGACCAGAACTCGTACTCTGATGCCAACAGCCAGCATGGCTTCTGAATACGTGGCACCCCATTCTGCTGGTATCGGACCGACAAATATATCCTGACTGACGTTGGTAAGGCTTCTCAGGCCGACCTGATCTATCGAAGGGAATGCGCATATTGTGGATGGTCGGTGCTTCACACGCCGACAACACCGACGCACTGCCATCGGTGGTCGTAATCCGACACGACACGCAAGGCTGCGGCCTCTATCTTTATCATCTTCATTTTTCTTGGCTGCCCAACCACCCTCCTTTCACGATAGATGAGATGCAAATGTTGTTGCAGAGTCCGACGAGGGATACCAGATCAGGACGTATGAATCGTCATCATCCGGCGGTGTCCATTATCTTGGTGATGATGCGTCGTCAAAGCCGTCCGGACATCTTTACTGGCTGGGTTCCGCAGATTCTCCCAATATGGTTGTTCCTGAGCAGATAGATACGGTCATGCTGCGATGATCATTGCAAGTCGTCGGCACATCGAGGCAGTAGCTGACCTCGTTTGGGGCCTAGCCAGAGAGACACAAAGATATAAGTAGCCATGCCTTCCTCGACACTGACCTCAATATCAGGCAGCAAGAGAACAGTACCATCAATACAAACCTTGAATCCTAAGACATCCAACACGAAAGATAAAAACCCTCTGGCAAGATGAAGACCTCAATCCTCGCCGCCCTTGCATTCTCTTCGCTGGCTTTGGCCTCACCGGTTGGCCCTTTCCCCTCCAACCTTAACGGCACGACCACAGCGGGAACACATTCTTCCCTTACCGCAGCGGCTCTCAATCCAACCGGAGAGTCTGTCTACGTGAACAGCAGTACTCCATTCACCAGTGGCATCTTCGCGAGAGACACTAGAAGACGGAGCCCCCAGGGAGGTTCTTTCTCAGCTGGTACTTTTTCCAACGGAACCTTTCCAACTGCGACATCTGGGATAGCTTTTCCAACTGGGACTTTCACCGCCAACCCTTTCACAACAAGTGCCTAATTCCCTCTCACTATCGTGTCATACGTTATCATGACAACAAAAGTTCATCAAGTTGTCGCCGAAAGAACCCCGAGACGCATCGACCGATATGATATTCCTTGATCAGACGCCTTTACGATTATTCTACGATTTGATTAGACGAAATGAGACACCCTTCACTTAACCTCTGTTATTTACGTCGATATAAATAATCATTTCTCGGTATAGAATACACCAACGAGCAGATTAGAACGGACCTTCAGCGGCAGGACCTGATGTTACGGGTAGACTATTACATTGAACATGATAGACCAAACAGTTGTACAACTCAAATTCAGCATGTCATAATACATTATTCCTTGTACTCCCGTATAAGTCCCAAAACGTGATACCTGCGTTAGAGCAAAGCCTTTATCCGTAACTGTTCATCAAACCACACCGAAATCCGATCGGGAATGGAGCGGGTTGAATTACACACCACTCCTGTACACTTGGCTGCCACCACTTCTTAATCTTACAGTCTCTCTGCGCTGTAGGACGTGTAGTGCTCTTGCCAATGCTGCCTCGCTATACCCTCGCCCCTGCACAAATTCACGCCTGAGCGTTGCCAGGCTCGTACTCCAGCCGATGGGAAGACGTCGTCTAAGTTCTTCTTCTACTTTACCTACTTCGTCCATGAGCTCGCGATTCGCGCTCATCCCGCCTGCGCCTTCACCTTGCGATACAGCATCCATGGTACTTGCAAGGAAGAGACGAATTGCCTCATCCACGTGGTGTTCCTCGGCAACCGGTGAAAGTGTCAATTTCGCAAGTGATTCTGTGATACGAATGATGGCTTCGAGCTGACGAACGGTGATGGGAATCGAAGATCGTACGTTGCTGTTCCTTTCGGCACGGGCGACACGGTCACGAATGGAAACAAAGTGGGACGACAGTTTCTCTGCTGCAGTAGCCGAGAGACGAGGAGCACATCGCCTATTTACAGCGTCAGTTGTTTTCATTACTGGCGTCTTGAGAGGTCCTGAACTTACGACTTGCAGAAACTGATGTATCTCTTCATCTTCTCCACAGAAATCTCTGACTCCGCCTGTTCCTCGACACCTTGGTTGCCCATATGAATGCTCATAACGTGCTTGGCAATAGTTTCGTCACGATTTCGATCGTGATCATCTCGAACAATGAAGATCATATCAAAACGAGAGAGAATTGTCGTCTGGAAATCGATGTTCTCGCCAGGAGACTTGAGGTCATCATAACGCCCGAAAATAGGATTGGCGGCAGCAAGGACTGATGTGCGTGCGTTGAGTATGGTGGTAATGCCAGCTTTCGCAATAGAGATGGTCTGTTGTTCCATGGCTTCATGAATCGCCACACGGTCCTCGTCCCGCATCTTGTCGAATTCATCGATACAGACTACACCGCCATCCGCGAGAACCATGGCGCCACCTTCCAGGTAGAATTCGCGTGTCTGTGTATCGCGTTGGACAGATGCTGTTAGACCTGCGGCTGATGAACCCTTGCCAGACGTGTAGATTGCAATAGGAGAGACTTTCTCGACGAACTTGAGGAGTTGAGACTTCGCCGTACCAGGGTCACCAAGCAGGAGGACGTTGATGTCCCCTCGAAGTTTCATACCGTCAGGGAGTATCTTTTTGGAACCACCCATTAAAAGGCATGCGACGGCCTTCTTGATGTCCATATTGCCGTAAATTGAAGGGGCAATGCAACGGGCGAAGCGATCATACAAGTCCGGTGACCGAGCCAATTCTTCAAATTCCTGCACTTCTTCATCGGAAAAGCTAGCACCACTGGCAGAGTGGTCGACGTCTGTTGAGATGCCAACAGCTCGGAGATATGGATTCCGAATGGCAATAGCATCCTTCTTCGAGCCTTTATTTCGTTGGTAAATTGAGAAGACACCCATTATCGTACACCTCGAACCAGGAACAACTCGGTTTGTCAAATAGCGGTCCGCCGAAACGAGAATGTGTCTGGGGAGTTCGCCAACGGGTACCTGATCTGGAGCCTCTTGCAGCTTAAGAATCTGCTGATCCATAAATTGAGAATCTTCGTGGACCACGAAATACGGGTCCATTGGACATGGATCTCCCGACTCTGTCCCGGGATTCTTAATTCTTCCACATGTCCTTGGTAGAGTTATGCCTGTAAAACCGCCCTCCACAGCAATTTTTTGAACGTGTTCGCAGTTGCGGCACTGGATGTTGAGTAGTGTGGCTTTTGACGAGAGCGTCGATGCTCCGATGACGATGCCCGGTATACGGACCAGGCGTGAGACGTTCGTCGCGTTAAGATCCCGGATAGAGATGTGGTCGACGGAGGAATGAAGAAGGAGTTGGTGTTGAGGAAGCTCGACATCGGTGGTATGTGGGAAGACGATTCTTTGCGAGCATTGCTTCAATGCGGCTTCGAATAATGGAATGGTGTCCGATGGATCGGTGGTTAGCCGATGCGCGAGTTCTTCGTTGTACGAGATCAAATGGCTCAGATCGACATCGCAGTAATATTGTTTGACCAGTACGTTCTCCCGGATTTGATCGCGGTAGATGTATGTGCCGTCAATCTGGAAGGCGAGGATGAACTCCCTGAGTTTTGCTTGCAACTCTGTGCGCGGTTCTGATGCTTCGTCGGGATGAGCAGGAAGTACACTCAGCGAGTACGCAGATCGACTGTCTAAAGCCATATTGAAGTTGTTGCTGTGGTTATCGAGTGTATGAGATTGTGTGGTGTTGCATGAGGGTAAAGGGGACACATGAATTGACAATGGTTTGTCGCGACACGCGTTACCGCGTCGCGCGTAAAGTAGTTGCAGTCGGCGAAACAGAATATCCGGGCTCCGTCCCCAGACTCGATTATGATTATCGTTGCGTGTCCTTCAGCGCAGTGTACCCGGAGTATCAGCAAACCATTCGCGCCGTCCACATGCCACTGAATACAAAACATGGGCTTATTGAGCATACGAATAGCTATTCCTACAAGGATATATCTAGCCTCACTGTCTGTATGAATTGACTGCTAATGCCGCCGAAACAGCTGCCTGCGGCATTTTCAATATGGCCTCGCCAATCAGGCCTCGCGCAGAGGCATCCTTTGTATCCCCGACCGCGAGTACACCTTCGGGGGGATATCCCTTCCCTGATGTATCGCAGAGGCAGCATGGACCTAGGGGAACCATGCGACGGGGGTCGACAGCAAGCTCAATCGCGAGTATAGGAGGAGCCTTAGACACGGGGTCGATCAATCATCCTACCATCGCTGAAACGAGTCAGAATGCCATCTCAACACTTCTTCAGCATCCTATTATGCGCACTGGTCTCTCCGCAAGCACTGCCGTTCCTTCGAACGGCTACAAAACCCCAACCCATCGGGATATCCCTCCAGTTGCGTTAACGAACATCCCTCATATTGAGTCCAAAGCCTTTCATCCATACTTATCACAAGTGGGGTCAATATACGAAGCCTTCCAGCGAGCGAAGAATGAAGGCGAAGGAGAGGCGTCGCTCTTTCAGCGCGACAAGAAGGACAGCAGAAATGAGGAGTGGGAGGCGATTCTGGCCAAAAGGTTACAAAAATCAGGACATTCTCGTGCAGGGTCTATGAGTTCTACAACCTCAACACCCCTAGAAACGCCGCAGCCAAAACGGCGACATAGTGGACAACGGCGTCAAGCAGTGACGCCACTGTCCACTATCCCGACAGTATATTCCGAGGAAGACTTTCATCTGGAAAATCCAAGAACATTCGACATTGTGTCAGAGCACTCTGAGATCATCCGAGATCCTAACGGAGCTCCGAGTGGGAGGAAGTCATTAGCTACGAATGCAATATTGCAGGAGAAGTTGTCCTGGTATATGGATACAGTAGAAGTCCACCTCATCAACTCGATATCTACTGCTTCCAAGTCTTTCTTTTCGGCTCTGGGCTCCCTAAGAGAACTACACAATGAGGCAGCAGATTCAGTGGACCGGATCCAGAAACTGCGAAAGGAATTAGCCAAGCTCGACAAGGAGATGGCAATAGATGGCCTGAAGGTGGTCAATCTCAAGCAACGGCGAGATAATGTTCGTCAACTCGCACAGACAATCATGCAACTTGAAGATATCGTCGCATCAGTTCAGAACGCGGAAGATAAGGTAGAGAAAGGTGACATTGACGAGGCCCTGGACGAGCTTGATGATGTCGAGCTGTTGATGGCTGGGAAGGAAATTGCCGCCTCATCTCCGGAAGACAACGCGCGATATAGACGACGTGATCTCCGGAGAATTAGAGCTCTGGAGGGAGCTTTGGACGATCTAAACCAGCTGAGATTCCGTGCTGGCCGAGGGTACGAGACGAGATTCCATGGCAGCCTTCTTAGCGACATTAGGCGACACGTCGAGCACACCGAAACCCTTGCTACGCTTCAGCGATGGGGCATAGCGTACACAAGACCGAAGCCGGGCCAGAGAAGGGCGCCTTCTTCATTCCCTGGTTACATGAACATTGGGTCAGAACTGCGGTCCGAACTCGAAGCCGAAATGAGAGGATTGTCCAGAGCTAGGTACACGACGCAAGCAGCTACCACATTCCGAGCCATCGTTCTCAGGGAGATGAAGAATATGATCAGAAAACAGTTACCAAGCTCTAGTGATGACGACAATGTTTCCACGGTATCAGCGTCAACTATGGGAGGGAGGAGTATGAGTCAGCAGGAGAAGTCTTCGATCCTGGCTCGTAACTTGCGAGCCTTGGATGCTGAAGATTGGTATCAAATGTTGGCTACCATTTATACAAATATCAGCGAGGGTCTTCGGAGACTCAGTGTACAGGTGAAAATTCTGCTGGATATCACAAGCAACTTACCTGAGCACATGCTCAAGTCTCCTCCCACGAGTCCTGATCCCGCGAATCTCGACCGAGTACGAAGCCCAGGTCGGCCAAGAGCTACAAGTTCCGTCCAGGCAGAGATGCAGCAAGTTCTTGATTTGTCGAGCTTACTAGGAGAAGGAGTAGACCTTGTTCAGACGCAAATCACCAAAGTTGTCAAGGTCCGATCGCAACAAAATGCCGAACTGCCACTGGACGACTTCTTGAAATATTTTACTCTCAATCGACTATTCGCGGATGAGTGTGAAGCGATCTCAGGTCGCAGTGGAACAGCGTTGAAAACTGTTGTTGATTCCCAAATCAAAGATTTTGTTTATCGGTTTGGCGAGTCACAGAAACATGATGTAATCAAGGTCATGGACAGCGACAAATGGGATGCCAAAGATTTTGGCGATCGTGAAAATAAAATTCTCAGTCGCATCCTTGAAGGCAGCACGAGTGATGCAATGCCATGGGTCGAGAGCACTATGATCTGGCAGCCTGCTACAAATGGGCTTAAGGACAGCAACGGCAGTGCCACTAATGGATCTGCTGGTACAACGGCAAAAGTACGAAGTGCTGTCATCGACGAGCAGAAGTATATTCTCCCTGAATCGGCACTGGCCATGCTCCAATCAATGGAATCCTTCCAACACTTGGCTGCTGGTATTCCCAGCATGAGTCAAGAAGTGGCGACATCACTGCTCGAAACACTGAGGTTCTTCAATTCTCGGAGCTCACAATTGATCCTCGGAGCCGGGGCTACTCGAAGTGCAGGGCTCAAGAATATTACCACGAAACATTTGGCACTCTCTTCACAGGCACTGAGTTTCGTCGTCGCGTTGATACCTTATGTGAGGGAGTTCTTCCGACGTCATCTACCTTCCTCAACTGCCCCACACATCATGACCGAGTTTGACAAAGTCAAGCGTCTGTTTCAAGAGCACCAAAGTGGCATTCATGAGAAATTGGTCGACATCATGTCGGGGCGGGCAGCGATGCACGTAAAGTCGATGAAGAATATCGACTGGGAAGAGGCAGCAAAGAACAAAGCTACCTCTGTCTCCCCATATATGGAGACTCTAACCAAAGAGACCGGCACGTTGCAAAAAGTCCTGGCCAAGCATCTGCCCGAGCCCGTCGTAGCAGGAATCATGGTTCCTGTCTTCTCGAGCTATCGGGAGCAATGGACGAACGCGTATCAAGAGGTAGTTCTCAAATCTGCGGCCGCAAAGGACAGGTAAGACAAAACAAACTCCCAACGTAAAACGAAGGCCCGGAGCTAACATGACTTTGTAGATTACTTGCTGACGCGGATTTCTTCCACTCGCGACTGAGCAAAATCGATGGATCGGGCGACTTGGGCGAGCACATCGTCAAGGTTGTGAAAGCAAAAGAGCTAGCTAACAATGTCTCCTCGACCACTTCTGAGACAATTGAAAAACAGAGCGACAAAGTCGAGGCACCTCAGGACAAAAAGACTTCAGTGGAAGCCAAAGATAATAGGGAAAGGGAAGGGACATAGATCGTCTTGACCCAGTTGGATTTGGAGGATTGAGTAAAAGAATTGGCTGCTAGATAGCGGTGTTTTCTGAAAAATATACAGAAAAAGACCTACGTTGGCGACAGCATTTGCAATCATCCATGCCCCGACTTTGTCGATTTGTCGTTCAAATTTTCACAATTCAAGGTAACATTCAAGGTAACGCGGCGTTATCTTCTCGTTTCTCTTTAATCTCCTGGCGTATGCTGCATCGACGACATTGATTCATTTGAACCGTTTTTGCTGAATTTGTTTCAACCACAGATGCCCACTATGTTCTGGTTTGTTTTAGAAGATGGCAGTGGCATTGACGTGGCTACTGACGCCTCCTGGCATGTTGGCGGGGGAACTCGAAAAGAAAAAGGTCCAGCGCTTGTTCTTCTTGGCCAGCTCGCTCAGCTTCTCCAGGTCCAGCATCTCGCCGAGGGGCATGCCCCAGAGCGCGAGGATGTACTCGTGCAGGTAGTACGACTCGGGGGTCGGCCAGCGCTCGAAGCTGGGCGCGTCCCCTCCCACGGCGGCGAAGTAGCAGTCGTGGAGCCAGTCCTTCATGGCCTCCTCCTGCTTGATCCCCGCCCACGCCTGCTTGCCGCCGTGGGTGCCGTGGCCGCGCAGGGCGAGGGCGTCGCGTTCCTCGGGCGCCCGGTTGTAGTAGTCCTGCACCCAGCCGGAGCGGATGAGGAGGATGTCGCCGATCTTGACGTCGCCGCCTTGCGAGGCCGGACGGATGTCGATGCCCTGCCACTTCCCGCACGCCGCCAGCTCGTCGTACGATATCGCATGGCTCGTCGCCGTGTCGTACTTGATCCCGTGGGCGTCGGCGTACGAGCGGTAGTCGAGCAGGATGCCGCGGCCGGAGAAGCCGTGCGTGCTCCAGTGGTGGATGCTACATTTGTGGTTGGCCGTCTCGCCGACAATGTCGGCCGCGTGAGTGTCGTTGTAGAAAGTTTTTGTTCTATTAACGACCACAACGTTTAGAAATGGGCTGGTCACAGTCAAGGAAGTAGGGGAGCGGACTCGTCATTCCACATACGCCATATGAGCAAAGTGTCGAAATCCGTCCCATTGGGTCCCGGATTGCGTGTTACAATGATACACATCGTCAAAGGCCACTCCGCCCTCCAGGTCGAGAATCTTGTGCTCGAACTTTTGTCGACCAAAGGCCGGCTGTTCGGGAATCGTCAGGGGAAGGTCCAGACGGGCCATTTCACCCGTTCGTATCTCAGACGCGGCCGCTCTCACTCGAGTCGGCGTCAGGAGATTCAAGCGACCGATGTAGTCGTCCTTGCCCCACACCCATGCTGCCTCGTCGGGAGCGCCGACGATCTTGGGAAGATTCTTTCGTGTCGGAAATGACGTCGAATCCGGGTCGAAGGGGATTGTGGTTGCTGTTTTGCCGAGAATTGTGTCTTTGATCTGACTCAATCTTCGGCCAGCTAGGGACAGCGTATCTGCCATTTGTGATGTTTGAGCGTTAAAAGAAAAGAGTGGGTGGGTGGGTTAGTGGATGGATGGCAAGCTTGATGGACTCAGGCTCAGTCAGTACAAGTACTAATATTGACAATATTGGCTTGTTAATGGTGATGATCGATCGTTATACGAAGACGTTCAAGCAGATTCAGATTTAGGATGCTGGTGAAGCACTAAGATCAAACCGTCTCATCCCCGAGGTTCTTCGGGTCATGATGATGATATCCACCACCCACCAGAAAGAGGGGCTGCCTTCATCCACAAGGCTTCCACCATTGTTTTCCAGGTTTGTAGGGATTCCCCCCGCTCATACTCCGTACATTGGTTGATGGTAGTGTTGGTAGCCTCAGTCTCTGACATGCATATCCTTGTAATGACGGTGTTTGTGTCACTTGTAAGGTGTGTTCATGTCTGCAAAACGATAACACGGAAGTATGAAGTAGCCTACGCGATGGCAATCACCTCGTATTCGCACTCGCACTCGTATGCGGGGAAAGCTCCGGATAAATTCAGCCTCGGCATCAAACCCGTATGGACTTGTATTTTTGATATGTCGATGATCCTTCACTACAGACACATCGACACAGGGCGGCTTGGATAGCCTGATATCGTGCATCAATGTGGGCTTCGGAACACTAACAACATCGAGTGATATAGCCGCTTTATGGTGCACTTTTGAACCTCAACCAACCCCTCGCACATTGAATCTCCAACGACACTTGATCAGTGCTTTGTACAAATGGTCAAGCTTGATTATATCTTACCTTTCCCTTAGACATCGGCTCGGGCTTCGAACGGAAATATATATTTCATCTTCTTGCCTGTGTTTCCGCGGTCCCAGTGTTATTCTCGGGATAAGGAGAACTTGAAAATGGGAGACACGACACCGCTTTCAAATAACCGAGACGGCGATACGCATACCGACGGCATCAACGGGGCACGACGCATTCCAAGAAGACTCTACTCTCTCAATCAACCACCTTCACTCGAACATTTCAAACAACTCTGTGTCCAAAACACCGATGCGACTCTCTATCCGCACGCAAAATCCGTAATATCAAACGTCCCAATCTATGACATTACTTCTTTACCAACCCACGCAGAGATTGATGAGATCCAAGACGAATGGCACCATATTCTCCTTTCAGGTCCCGGAGTTTTTGTCATCCGCAACTTCGTCCGCGATGCCGCATTACTACAGCGCATCAACGCAGCTTTCACAGAAATCATCGACTTCGAATCTCGGTCCTCTTCAAAGGGAGACCATTTTGCCGCTTCTGGTAACAATGCACGTATCTGGAACTCTTTCCAAAAGCACGCCGAACACCACCCACCCAGCTTTGTACGCTACTACTCGAACCCTTGGCTACGTCGAGTCTGTGAAAGTTGGCTGGGACCATCCTACCAAGTCACGGCGCAGGTCAACCTGGTCAGACCGGGCGGGAAACCTCAAGTCAGCCACCGAGATTACCATCTGGGGTTTCAAACGGCCGAGTCGTGCTCTCGATACCCAAAAGTCACTCAGGTGGCGAGTCAGTACCTCACGTTGCAAGGGGCCGTGGCGCACTCGGACATGCCTCTCGAGAGTGGGCCGACGCGGTTTCTGCCATTTTCCCAGCAATTCGACCAAGGTTTCATGGCGTACCGCCTCGGAGAGTTCATCGACTACTTTGACCAAAACTGGGTCAGTGTGGATTTGAAGATGGGCGACGCCGTTTTTTTCAACCCGGCGCTGTTCCATGCCGCAGGAGAGAACCGCACAACAAATGTCGAGAGAAGCGCCAACCTCTTACAGATCAGCAGCGCGTTCGGGAGGACCATGGAGAGCATCGACACGGCCACCATCATCGACAAATGCTGGGATGATGTGCAGAAATTGTGTGAGCAAGGCAGCACCACGCAAGATGAGATAGATTCCCTCTTGGCCGCCATCGGTGAGGGATACCCTTTTCCGACCAATCTCGACCGCCGTCCACCGGCACCCGGAGGGATGGCACCCGAAAGTGAGGTGGACATTCTTCATCGGGCATTGAACCAAGGGTGGAACAAGGAAGAGGTATCATCAGCCATCACGACCGTTAGAAAAGATTCAATGTCATGAGACATCTCCGCGATATAATAAAGGCAAGCTCAATTTTATCAAGTCGAGAACCAGCATACACAATACATGTGCATAGCTGGAGAATGCTACAAGCCTGTAGTTTTGTAGATAGTAGCTCCGATCACGGTCTTCCTGATAGTATAGATATCTCTCTCGTACACGGAAGAAACAATCCCAACTACCAGACAATGACAGCCTTGATTGAGGACCCATCCTGCATACTCTGCATTGCGGCCATTGCATCACTCGCCGGGAAGAACTTGACGAACTTCTCCAAGGGCAGCTTTCCGTCGCGATACCACTCGATCATTTTTGGAATCTGCTCTTGACCAGTGGTCTCGCCCAGATAGTGACACTCGAACCTCTTGTTGTCACTGAAGAAGGTGCTCAGGGGGAACTGGAACTCGGTACCAGGTGGCGGCACTCCGAGCTGAAGGTGTCTGCCCCGTTTCCCCATGGCCTTCATACATGCCTCTATGACCGGCACGGCACCCGTGGTCTCTATGACGATGGAGATGCGCTGGCCGTTCACCACCCTGGCCGCCTCTCCGACCAAGTCACCCTTCTCCCCGGCCGCGCTCGTGTCGATGACTTTGGTCGCGCCCAGCTGCCTCGCGAGGTCCAGCCTCGAAGCGATCCTGTCGACGGCAATGACCTCTCGACACCCCGCGATCTTTGCGGCCATGACGGCGCCCAAGCCGACTCCCCCCAGGCCAGTGACCATGACGATGTCGTGGGTCTTTGCCTCTGCCCCGTTCAGGACGGCGCCGGAGCCCGTCATAACGCCGCAGCCCAGCGGCGCGAAGAGTCTGAGTTCGTTGTCATTCTCGATGAGGTTTGTAACATTGACAACGCTGGTTTCGGAGACGATACTCGCACCCGCGAAGCTCGACTGCCCGAAAAACCCGCCAGTCACCGTCTCTCCGCTTTTCGCATCTTCAAACAACCCCGGCTTGCCCACGATGTTGAGTGCGACCCACTGCAGACAGTACGGTTGCTTGTTGTCACGACACAAGTCGCAGTTACCGCAGTAGTTATACGACAAAATAACCTTATCCCCCACCTTCGTGGTCGTGACCCCCGATCCGACCTCCTCGACTATTCCAACGCCCTCATGGCCCAAAATGCGAGGGTACGAGAACCCGGGGCCGGCGTTGCCGGGAACCGAACCCACGATAATGTCAGAATGACATATCCCCGTCGCCACGAGCCTGACCTTGACTTGATGGTCACCTGGTGCTTTTGGCGGGATTTTGACCTTTTCCAACTTCCACACCGGCTTCGGGTTGGGCTCGTAAGAAACGAGGGCGGGATATTCGTACGACGATTGTGTAGACATTTCTGCCTTGTATTTTGGACACAAAATCAATAAAGTCTAGAGAAGGACGTCTGTGTGAATCTGAGTGAAAAGGAGACAGGCATGGATACGGAGTGTGCCCATGGGGATGTAATATTAGTGTACCGAGTATTAAACTCGGATCATTTTTGCTGACTCGGTACTTTTCACCTGGTCCCTGACTCGGTTTCGTTCTACTTGAGGGGAAGTTTTTACGCACCGGAGAGTAACACAACAATGCTTACACAGGGACATCTTCTTGCATTTACGAAGTTGCATTAGTCCCGAAAGGACTGACCGACATGTCGAGTGTATGCAAGTAATTGGTGGTCCTGTATTTTCCCCATTTCCTTCCATACCTAGGTACGGAGTACTGTGACTGGGGCATTTGGTACACGAGGTGATCGTCCAACGTAAGCACTTTACTTGTGATCAGATTTTCCACAGATGATGGCCACACGGCCCATGATAAAAGGAGAAGACTCCGAGTTGTAAAGGACGACCACCTAACTCAAATGTAACAGAAGAACTAGTAATAACATCTATATTAGGGAGAACTCGACCTCCAACATATCAGATATCAATCAATTGGTGCTTTTTGGATTTCAAGTGACCGTTGGGCTGTTGTATCATTCACGATCATTCATTTTTATATATGATATCCACCTCGAGGGTAAGGACTATTCCTGGATCAAGAAAAACAAGCGATATTGCCATACAATACACCATGACGGTAGGTATCTAGACTCATGTCAAGTCTATACGGTACCCTACCTTGTGATAGAATCCAGTCGCATGTCAAGTCTATACGGCACGGAACACTACGATGGAACCTAGACACGCGTCAAGTCTATTGGGTAGCCTACAAAGGACACACTACTCATGGAGGAATACAACTGTGACAAAGCCCAATTCAATTCTCTCTTTTTATACAAGAAAAAAAGCAAAACCCAAGCAAAAAAAGAAAACCCCCAACTCCTTCGCTCCATCACACAAAAACACACATCCGCACACAGCAAAAATCATGCGGCCTAGCCGCGGAACTCGACCAAAAAGGTCTCCAGCATTGGCCCGATTTGTTGGACCTTTTTCAGCCCCTCCAAGGAGCGTGCGAGGGCGCCGCGAAGGGCCTCCCGGGCGGCCACCGTCCCCTCCGGGGCGACCCCGGTGCACGAGATCACCCCGGCCCGGCGGAAGATCTCGTTGCAGAGGCCCACCTGGACCTTGAGCGCCTCCTCGCACTCGAGAACCAGGTCCAGGAGGTCCCGGAGGCCGTCGATCTTGCGGCGACCGGCGAGGTCGCGGGCCTCGACCTCCCGGCGCCGGGTGTTCTCCGACGGCGTCATGTCCCTGAAGGACTTGTACTGCTTGCCCGAAGCCCGGAGCTTGCGGGCGTGGCCGCCGCGGAGACCCCTCCTCTTGAGGTCCTCGAAGAACCTCCACATGGCCGAGAGGCGGGCCTTGACCCGGCCTATCGCCTCGAGGACGCGGGTCTTGACCGAGCCGACCTCGCGCGTCAGCGAGACGAGGTCCCTGCCGTATCGGCGGGCGTCCTCGAGGAGGATGCGGCGGTGGCGGGGCCCTGGCGCCCGCGCGGCGTCAGGGGCCCTCTTGAGGCCTTCGAGGATGGCGGCGACGTCGGGGAAGGCAGGACGGCCGCCGCGGGCCCAAGCCGGGGTCGCAGGAGGAAGGGCGGGGGGAGGGCGAGAGGCGAAAGGCTGGGCAGGAGCCACAGCGGGAACAGGAGGGTCATAGACCGGTTGCTTGCCACGTCGTTTCTCAGACATGGTGGCTGCCAGAAACAGAAAGGACCGGTTAGTTACACTTCTCGGTGGCGTTCAGAGAGGGCGTTGTAGGAGACTTACGACCTGTTCCCGCTTGGTTCGTGGCATCCATCGTGCCAACAACGGCAGGATTGCCGGAAGAAATGACCTCTGCATGACCACTGTTGGAGATCTTGAGGAAAGGGGTCGGTCGACGGTGAGGTGGACTAGGCTGAGAAAATCCATAGTCTGAAGTGGTCTCTCCAAAAGAAGTGTTCTGACGGCTTGATGTGCCAATCTGGTCAACTCTGCCGTTGTGTGTGGTATTCGGTCGATTGGAAGGACCTGGCTGTGTAGAATCTTCTTCCCAAAAATGACTGGATCCAATGTCGTGATTCTCAGTAGTGAGTATTTCACTTTGACCAACGCTGTTGAATGAGGTGTTTTGTGGATCGGATTGAGTTGGTCTGAGAAAGTCCTCCCAAGGGTCATCTGGTCTCGTGCCAAACAACTCATCATCGTCGTCTGGAAAGTCTGAGGCTAGTGGGTCATCGTATGTCTCTTCTTCCAACGATTCAGAGAACGACTGGTCAATAGCCATGCTATCGTCATTGTCGAAATTTGGCTGTTCGTCATCACCACCAAGGATATCGATGAAGTTCAGGGGTTGTGCGAAGAAAAGGGGCGACGGTGGAGGGTTATTCTGGTCACCAGAGCCTGAGGCCATCAGCATTGGCCTGGTATAGAGGGAAATTACCCAAATACTGACCTTGATCTCCTTCAAAAGCGTCGGATCCTTGATTGGACTCCATCCTGTTCTATCCACACTGGTTTTCAATCGAATAGAGAGCAAAATGCTGATGAAGTTGATGAAGTCTTGTTCTCGTCTGGCGATGAGACCCGTGATTTGGTTTCGCAGGTGAACTTCATAGTGCGGTGATTTGAGAGAAACGCGACACCCAACGCGCTTCTCAATACCACCGCCCTCGCAGGAGTTCTCATTCACAACGAGGGCGGTCTGATAGATTTGTATATTCACGATCTCCTTTCGCCAAGCGTCCTGGGAATCACCCAGGACATCTCTTTTCGAGTTTCTTGTAAGCCCCTGAGAATGAGGAACATATATACATATTCGAAAGAGGCATCCGTTGTCCACGATATGAGGAACCAAAGCGTAAGGGCACTTGGTCGTCCACAAAAATCACCTTTCAGTTGCCTTTGGCTCCTCGTGCGTCCTCTGCTGAGAAAGGAGACCGATGAGGTTCGCATGCTCGACAAGTTTTTCCATCAAACACATCTGACTCACGGCCAGGGGCAGCCTCCGGCATGTCACAGGTTCAGGAAGCATGGCGACAATGCAGCAATGAGGGTTGCTGAAGATTCGGGAAGGGAATTGTCACAGTCTCGCTGTCGCAGAGATACAATCAATGACAGTCCACAAAGGCCATATCTTCCGCCACCGAGATGCCGTATGAAGAAGCTGGAAATCGCAGGAACATATTGGTTGACAGCAAGTTTTGAAGGGAGATGGAGAGGCAGGGGAGAGCGTTGAGTATCTCTCGCCACTGAATTTGACTGCCCATGCGAAGGTTTCTCCATACTAGCATTCAGAAGAATGGGATGTTGTGTGAAATGCCGTGGCCAATAACGAAGCTGATTGACAATGCCAGAGTTCTTGATCAGACTTTAACGTGCTCCAAATAACAGAGCTATCTCGGCCGAGGTGCAACATTGTGAAGTTGCTTGGTGACTTGCAAGGAGCTAGTAAGCATAGGTGGTGGAGAAAATGATATGTCGAATGTGCACCCTCCAGTTCCTGGGCCCCCTATCTTTGCAGCAGCCTTGTGGCGTAGGTTGTGCAAGGCTGTGTCGACATCGCCAAACTCCACATGCCACGAAGGGTCAGCACAAGAAACGAAGTGTGCATAAGTCGTCATGACTGGGATTATGCATGGCGCGCGGCCAGCTGGGAATAAGCGAGCTTTTGCCTGCAGGAGACACGATGGTTCAGATCGCTCTAGATCCGAGCCAGTCCGTGTATACCCGTATCAAGGTACGCTGCTGCGCTAAGACCATGATGTTAGCTGACCAGAAGACAGGGAATCAAATCTTGCTGTCCAAGAAACCCTAGAGGGCTACACCTTTCAAAGCAAAGGAGAATGTGCAGCCCCCTAGGGCCTAGCGACAAGGCCTTCTTGTATTGTGATCGGCAAGGAAGTTTGTTGGTTGGGTGCTGGTGGTTGTGTGAAGAAGAGAAAAGAAATCAAACTTCAAAAGAAACAATCAAATAATGACATAGGGGTGCCGGTCGGGTAGTGCATGCTGGAATCGGATCCGGGTAGATGGGGATATTTGCGGTGTCTGTCATGGTCACTGTCGGCCCAGGCTCATCCGGTGGACAATGGAAGTCTGTGTCTGTCTTTTCGCAGTAATCATGACTATGAATTGAGGCATGAGAGAGGAGGATAAAAGAAGTGATGGCGAAGATGAAGTTGTGGTCACACAAGGCTGAAGGCTGCGTCTGACTAAAAAGGGGATGAAGCTGTGCAGTCTGTGGGGCCGACGGAGAGAGCCGGAGTGGACGGAGCAAAAGGTTCTATTGTAGTACGGGGTTAAATACTCCGACACCCCCTCATACATTGCCCCTCATTGTACGTGAGTACCAGTGGCCTGATACTTCTGTGCAGTGGTACTTCCTTCATTTGTACTTGGATTCTCTTCGTTTAAATTCCCCAGTAAGAGTCCTTTGACAGAAAGATTCAGGCACAGGTTCCATCAAACACAACATCATGCTGATCGAAGAATCCTACAAAGATGTGCCGACCACGGTGGCCGGGAAGGGCACGATGCGTACGACTCCTCTGACCTAGTAACCTGGTTCTCAGGTTCAAACTCTCCTAACATTGGCTGAGCATCTTTCCAAAGGCATCTTCCTCATCCATCCCACAATCGCAGGATACCCTCACGCAAAGTTCCCCGGCGTAGTGGTGTTTTCGGAAATTTATCAAGGTTCGGCTGCTCTATGTCACTTTGTGTTTGGTTTTGCTATGGAACTAAAGGGAAATGTTTTGCAGTCACCGGCCCCGTCACTCGGTTCGCTCGTCAGATTGCTGGACAAGGCTACATCGTCGCCTTGCCTTCATTCTACCATGAGTTCACCGGCCCCGAACCTCTCTCGTACGACGGGCCTGGCACTGACGCTGGCAACACGTGGAAAATCACCAAGAAAGTCGCGGCCTACGACGAGGACGCACAGCTCACGGTGTCGTTCCTCTTGGGGCTGAAGACGTGCAATGGCAGAATCGGAGCCACGGGAATGTGTCTCGGAGGTCATCTTACTTACCGCTGTGCACTGGATCCCCGAGTGACTGCGGCGCTGTGTTTCTTCGCCACGGACATCCACAGTTCCACGTTGGGTGAAGGAAAGAAGGATGACAGCTTGAAGAGAGCGGGTGATATCAAAGGAGAACTGGTCATGGTCTTTGGCAAGAGTGACCCTCACGTTCCGGCGGAGGGTCGAGACCTGATCCGCAAGACTCTTCACGAGGCGGGTGTCGAGTTTTCCTTCTACGAAGTCTTCGCCGCTCAACATGCCTTTATGTCGTGCTCGAGACTAGAGAGTACCTGTTCGGATCGTTGTAGCACTGTGACTTTTGATCCCAGCCGGGCAAACATCTGCGCTGCTTCCAGCGCAATATAGCCACCACCAAGGACGAGGAGCGACTCTGGTCGCTTCGATTCGAAGTATGCGGTTTCGTTGGTCAGGTAATCGATCTTAGCAAGGTCGTCAACCAGTTGGCTTGGAAGACTGGTGCGGACTCCAGAGGCAATTATCACGCGATCCGCGGGCAGAGTCTGAAAAGGAGCCTGATCCTCATGGCTAGAGCGGACTTCAACCGCTAATTGACCCACACTCTGGACAAGTTTTCCGAGTCCTTCAATATACTTAACATTATCCAAACTAGCGATAACTTTGGCATATTTCTCCTGTCGAAGTCCTTCAACAAGCGCACGGTTCTGTGCGGTGAGCGCCGCGAAGTCAGTCACCCTATCAGTGACGTTGCGTATGCCATGAAATGGGGGGGCGTTATTGTGAGGGCTGGTAACATGCGCCGCTTGGATGAGGAACTTCGAAGGAACTACCGAGCGTGTTAAGATATCCCCGCTCATTAGAAACTCGTCCTGCGAGGAGTATTGCACGTACCACAGCCGACATTCACGCAGCAACCTCCCATCGGTAGGCCTTTGTTGACTATGATGACACTCGCTGCTTCAGGCGCAGCCGCAATAGCTGCTGCAAAGGCAGCTGAACCGCCGCCTGATTCTAACCTTAGCATGCGCCCATACTACAAGGTCAGAAGGAACGAACCAATAATAACTAGTCGGCCAGTTCGACTACTGGCATTCCCGCAGCTCGAGTCCGACGATAAGCACTGCTCTGCAGAGGCCATTGTAAAAAGAGTGAGGTTGATCCAAAGTCCAGAACCGAATGTCTCGTCGCCAGTTTTTGCCATTCATTTTTAAGGCATCTAGGTCTGAGAGCGAAAGACTGTTGGTTCGTCTGCTCAGCGAGTCACGTCATCCGCCGCTGACGATCTACATCCGAACTCCCGAGACTTCGTTGCGTCTAAATCTATACTTTGTCGCAGGTGCAAATATTACGTGCCAAAATCTACATATGTTTGTCCTCTCAGTCGATCAACGGGTTTCTAGATATTCATTCCTCTTCTCTAAGCATTCTCCCGTCCTCGACCTCAAAATTTTGCGTTCCTCCCCGTAAACTGGGACAAGCCCATTTGATCATGGAGGTTAGCACTCTAATAGCAAACGTGGGCATGTTTACTGTACGATACTATCTAATCAAGCTTGACAGGCATGTTGTGAGCACCAGGACGACAATACCGCAGGATTAACACCTGTCCTCGATTCTATCATGCATCGTCGCCGCGCACCTAGGGAGGAGGGCTTGCGCGCAACACAAGTCGCAATCTTGAGCTCGTTAAGTGAGTCCGGACACCTCCCGGCAAGCAATATCATCGACGACATCGCGGCCGACTCGGGTAAGACAGGATATGAAATCCTGACTGCACTGCACGAGCACGATTATGTACGCATAGACAAACACGGGAAGATCATCGCTGCCTATCCGTTCTCGATCAGGCCCACTCGCCATCGCGTCAAACTGAAAAATGGTGTAACAGTCTTTGCGATGTGCGCGATAGATGCTCTAGGCATCCCCCCTATGGTCAACAGCGATGCAACTATATGCTCAGATACAGACTCTGGTGATGAAGTCCGTATCATCTTCCGCCAGCCGCAGGTTAGCTGGGACCCACCGGAAACCGTGGTTCTGGTTGGAACGGAGTCTCATACGGGTGCCGCAGCGGATATTTGCTGCCAATACGTGAATTTCTTTGCAAGCCAGACAATGGCAGAAGCGTGGGCAAAGGCTCATCCTCAGATAGAGCACGTGGTTTTCGATCAAAGCAGAGCTGTTCAGCTTGGTGCTGCGGTTTTTGGGACATTACTTCAGCAAGAAGGCTCGTAAGCTCGTGTCATATGTGCAAAATGGACAAGAAATTACCATGTATACAATCTCAGAAGACAGTATCAAACATTCCACCAGTTCCCCACAGTCACAGGTTGTTGAGTGGATGTACAGGGGAAATCAGATGAATTTAGTGATCGCCAGCATTGCTTGTGCTCCAAGATCGGCCTCGCTCTCGTCCTAGCCGTAACTCCTCAAACCCACCATCTTCCAAAGGAGAAGTTAGCAGCATCTCACAGTATGCTTCTTGGTGCACCTCTTTCCCCTCTTTAATCTCACTCAATACCTCCCGTATCTAGTTTATCATGACGAGGGAAGGTCTCGAGTAAGAGATCGGTGATATTCTTCCGGAGGGCCGCCTCAACGCTATATTTCCCCTAAGGCGGTGAGGGTAAAAGGTATTAAGTGGAGTAACCCTCAATATCCTGCAGTGCTTGATAAGGATAGAAGCCAAGTAGGCACCATGATTGCTCGATTTATTCGATTCGTTCGTGGCTGTGGAGGTTCAAGATTGCTCGAGCCGGTTGTCAACCTGCGTAGTTGTTTCCTCGGTCTACCCATACCCTTAGACTTGCCCAGGAGGTCTACCATACTCCTACACAGTCCGCAGACGTTAAGACACCTTCGCAGGTCATCGTGAGAGTTGTTGCATCGTCCGCAGCATCATAGTCATATGCCTTTGACCATGCCCTCACAAGTTAGCAAAAGACTCTGGGACATGGCTGCGTGACTCACTGGTATACCACCGAGCGCCAGCGTCGTTCATCGACCTCCCATGCAAAATGATTGAGGGATAATCACTTAGAGGGATAATAAGTCTCGACCTGTCTATTGCAGGTTGAATGATCGAGGATGTTGGGTCGACGGGTTGACGCGATAGATTTCGCGGTCGCAGAATTACGCATGACTAATTAGCCACAGACCTGCAGCCCAATCCTGTCAAGCAGCGGGGCTCTATCAGAAGGCAGACTACCTAATGCCGTTTGGACCACATCTTGGATTAATAACCACTAGATGCAAGCAAAGCAAAGTTATGAGGCTCGTTAAGCCGACTCTTTCTGTGCGTTGACTGCGCACGGCTGACAGAGTGGATCCTAGCCCCATTCATCTTAAGATAGCTATTGACATCAGAGGTGTTTCTTCTAGAGGAAAATTGAATGTCTTCTTGTTCAATCATTGGGGAAAAAAACCCTTTATCGCTTTGACTGCTCTGGAGGGAAGTTTTACACTTTCAAATGAGAACGCGGGAGACCAGAAAAGTGCTCTGTCACCCGCTGTGGCTCAGCTTAGTGGAAATTACGCCCCAGTTGAGGCTGAGGAGCATGGGGTGGGGCTGATAATATGCAGGACAAAACAGCGTCGACATTTTCTCTGCCAAACGTCCCATCCTCCCTTCTTCATCTTTCTAATACCACTTCGAAGGATGAGCACCGCCACCGATTCCTTCCCTCCGACGACAGACCGACCTAGTCTGCGACTCCCTACCTCCTCCCGTTTCGTCCCAGCCTCACGATGAGCTTCAACAACAGTCAGAACATCTTGGGAATCACAGCTTTGATTGTCTCGCTCGTGGCTCTATTAACGACAGTTCTACAAGTTCTACAGCAATACTTCTCAAGTGCTGAGGGGTATCGACGATGCGCAGAATCTGTTATGGGACTTTGGTCGAAAGGAACACATCGAAAACTTCGAGCTCATGAATTTAGAATTGAGGTCGTCTTTGAAACGCCGGTCATCTTCCTGGCGCCACCAGACAACAAGCGGGGCCCCATACCAGGTCGAAACATTCATTATCTCGATGGCACGGAGCTGTCGTATAAGAACACCCGTGTCCTGGGACCAACGGCTCAAAAACAAGCAGACGAGCAGGCGATTGCACGAGTACATACTGCCGATGATGAGCAGGCATCCTGGGTGACCCTACTATCGACTCTTCAGCGCGAAGAAGGGGATTCCCGAAAGTGGGACGACGAAATCCGGAATAAGGCTCATACAGGCGTCAGGATCAGACCCCCGGAGTACAGGCTCGCAGTTGGTTTACAAAGCAAGACTCGATCTTGGGACTTCATGCCAGCTGCGGTCACGAAACCTTACGCCACTTCAGCGATGTGCCACTTGGTTGAGATGATGGCAATTTTAGGGATATACTGGAAAGTCTTTGACCAGATTCAATGGAACCTCAGGGCTGAAGGCAACGGATTTATATTGACCTCGACCATAGTTGATGGTCTAGGGGTAATGGTCGTCTTTGCGATCACGGGAAAGTCGAGGTTCTTGGAAAATCGGGTCATCCCAGACAAAGACATAAAGGAGTTATGTTTTGGAACCGTCCCTAACATATTCGACAACCCGGAATATCTCGACCGAGAGAAGGATGCCCAAAGTCTGGACTTGGTATTCGGGACATCAGAAGAAGTTTCAACGACACTCGAGTCTCTAGGATGTACGTCAGACACGCTAAAAAAATATGAAAAAGAACACAAGCATATATTCTCAGGGAAGCACGCTCTAAATCTCTCCTTTGCTTTATAAGCTCTGACGGAAACTGCAGTTTCTTTTGAAATAATCGGCATGCTCGGAAAGGTGTTTCGAATCCGTGGTAGCAGCTTCAGAATGATTGCCAATCCGACCAGCGATCACTGGCTTAAGAACAATGGCCCGAGAGCTTTATGGAAAATAACACGCCTGATGAAAGTGTTTCAAGACAAATTAAGAGAACTTTCCCTCACCGAAGACTTGGGACCCGGCCATCCAATCACTGCTATTTCGGACCAGTGGAAAATTATTCAAGGTCATAACTGTACGGACGAAGCCAATCTCAGTATCGAAGTCCGCGAAGCTATCCACAACGCCCTCGACGAAAGGACCGAGTATCTCCTCAGTCTCAGACAATCAAGTGTTCTCAGTGTTCTAGTCACCCACCTTACCAAGGTCATGGAAATCCTGGACGATCCAAACTCGCCGCTCAATTGCATCGTCCTTGCGAATAAAGAGGAGGCTTTACTGAGCTACTACTTCTACCAAGTACGTCCTGCGGTTATTGGCAACCTGGACTCTGCGGGCAAGCTGCTTAGCAAGGATGAGAAGGAGCAGAGAAGCAATATTTGGGTGTCATTGATCTTTCGAATGTTGTGTTGGCTTTTGCTGCATGATTTTGATAAAGCGGATGTTAAGGTCGTGCCGTCGGATCTGAAGGGGAGCAGGATGCCTGTGTATATTGGCTGAGACGAAAAATGAAAGATTTATCAACGTTATAGAATCGGCGTCACGGAGCGCTTTTGGTCATTTACGGCGCTAGATAGAGCAGAGCAATGCCAGGAAAGATATACCTATCGCATTCAGAGACCTGTTGCTCAAGCTGAGTTGCATGGACAACAATCCCAGATAAAGCTGTGGCCTGTGCGTGCATACGATGTTTTGCTTCTTTATTTCCTCTGTCTTTCTCCTCAGTCCATTAGAAACCTTTCTTTTACGACCGCACACGTGACGTCGTCCTTTTCCATAGCATAGCAGCGACACTTGGCCATTCACGCCTTACCCAACCCAACAAGCACCAATAGCGCAACATTCATCACAGCAATGACCAACCATATCAGCACCGCAAAAACGGCGGTAATCCAATGATTTCTCATCTTCACACTGCCACCATCGATCGTGCTGACAGTCATATATTTGTTGCGGCAAGTGAAGTAAATCAACGGGGCAGATACAAACGGCAGGATGACACTCAATGCAGTCTGCGTGCCATTAAGCGCGGCACTCAAACCATCCCGCCCCACCGCAGCAGCAATAATAATGCTAGGGGTGATGGATATCGATCGAGTGAGCAAGCGACGCAACCAGGGTGCGCATTTCCAATTGAGGGCGCCTTCGCTGACCATTTGACCTGCAATGGTTGCCACAATGCCAGCCGACGTGCCGCTGAGTAAGAGAGCCAAAGCGAAAATGGTGCCGGCAACGGGCGCGATAGTTGAAGACAGTAAATCGTGGATGGCAAAGAGGTCTGCGTCCTGCGCCGAACTGTTGTTTGAAAGGGAGGCACCGGCGGTAATAAGGATGGCGCTATTAACAAAGAGGGCGAATGTGAAGAGGGCGATTCCTAGCTCGATGATGGAGTAGCCTAGACAGTTGCGGATGGCGGGTAGGGAAGGGCGGTATTTGACGCTATTTATGGAGGAAGATGAAGAGTTAGAGGACATGGCGGGGAGGTGTCCTGACTTGACATCAAATTCGCGAAGGCGTGCTTGGACGATTCCGCTTCCGAGATAGAGACTATGAGGCATGACCGTCGCGCCGAGAATACCACAGCTAAGGTAGAGACTAGGGAGATCGTATGAGTATAGAACTGACTCTCAAAAAATTGGTACTAGTAGTGGAGAACATACCCTTGAGCTTCTACAATGGAAGAAGAAGGGATATAACCTTTGAACACCTCTCCAACCGATACGCCTTCAATGTAAGAGAGTTCAATACAAAAGCAAACGACCACGCCAAGGACCAGTGCTATCACGAAATACTCAAAACACCGGAGACGCCGCATAGAGCCAGAAGGGTCATAAAAGATAAGGATTATAAGAACATCGACGAGAGTGAGGGCGCATCCTGCAACCAACGGAACTTTAATCAGAATGTTTAGCGCAATGGCCGAACCAATCACCTCAAGGACCTGTAAGTCACTATACTCTCGAGTAGAACCCAAATCGTGGAGAACTTACCTCGGCGATATCTGTAGCAATAATAGCGCTCTCGGCCAAGAAGTAAAGGAAGTAGTTGAGCCATCTAGGCAAGTGCTCCCTACAGTGCTCTGCAAGATTCAAACCGGTAACAGTGCCTAGTTTAATACAGAGCGACTGCAGGAAAATGGCAAAAAGGTTGGACATTAGAATAATGAATAGCAGCTTGAACCTGTAGGTAGAGCCAGCCGCGACATCGGTCGAGTAGTTGCCAGGATCGATGTATGCAACTGCTATCATGAAACCTGAGCGTTGAGGCAAGAGTCAGCGTATTAGGCCTAATTACCACATCATGATGCCTGAAAGGAGAATTGACCTGGTCCAATAAAACCACCGAATTTCAGGACGACTTGCCACACCCTCTGAGCTGCGGCCGTGAGGTGATTCGGATAGTAGTGGGGAATATCGGAAATGACTGATGCCTGGTTGTCGCCCCCATCGTCAGGCCTTTTCTTGCCAGCATCAGTCAAGGCCCTCAGTCGACCGAATTTTTCGGCATCATGTTTACTTTTGGCGACGAAATCCCCGCGATCGTCTGGCTCGATATTTTTGTTATCGCGACGGTCCCTCGCATTGATAATGCCGTTCAGGTCTGCGCGAGTTGTTGTGTCCCCAGATAAGCTCGAGGGTTTTTGGTTCCAGCCCTCATGGTCAAATACCTCGTCAACCCTTGAAGGGCAATTCATAGTATCGTGGATATTTTGCTTCGTACAGATGCGAGCCTTTGCAAATGAGTGCTGTATGTGGTGGAGTGAAGAAGAGGGAAGGCGAGAGTCAAGGTAGACTTGGGAGCTGTCCAGCACACCGCTTTTTGGCGTTCTGGACTTCGGGAACGGAGCATCCGAGGGAAGGTGGAATATTGAGAGTGGCATCCTCCAGTCCAATATGATCGTGGAACGGCTGCGAGAACTCGATTTCGTCCAAAACCAAGCCCGCATTTAACTCCTCTACAGGTATGTTCAAGTAAGCCGATGGGTTATGATTTCTGTGGGGGTACTTGAAAGTCGCCTAAATCGGTTTAGCTTCGCTTGGCGTGGAATCTACACGTGCATCTGGCGTGAGACCTGCTCATTAAATCGTCTCTTTCTGATAAACACGAGGCTAACCTGCGGAAAACCTCCCCCTTAGTTCGAAGACGTAAATTGGATAGCTGCTGTATCTTCCCTTCGCGCGTACATAAGACTGTGAAGTTGAGAATGGCTTGCGAGTTAATTGAAAATATCTAGGGGAACAACCTTGTCGCAATCTCCAATAAGGACATAATCACACAAGGCTTTCACACTCGACACTGGCTCCTCCTTGCTGATCCAAAAACTTGCCCCACCCACGCTCCGAGCGGCGTGGCAAAAGTTTGCGGCGATTGACCGAGCCCCAGGAATCCCTAGCTTCGTGCCAACGATCAGCACCAGCTCCGGGCATATTCTCAAATCATGCTTAGCAGTTTCCAGAATCTCTTTGTCATCTGGGTGAGGCTCGCCGTATAGAAGAACGTTGGGTCTCAGCCTGCCAATTTTCAATGAACGCTTGCCCTTCAATATCCGGGCCTGGCTTCTTTGCAAGCACCTTTGACAATATAGCGAATCGGAACCTTGGAACAGATGTGGCTTATACTCACACACCCAGTTGCATATCCCGCATCGGGCTTGATCAATTCGACCATGGAGGCGTATCGTCTTGGCGTCGAGATCAGGTAACAGGCGCTCGACGCAATCAATGTTCTGTGTATAGTGCCGAAAATGAGGGCGAGTCCGCGCAAGCTCGTCCATAACCTTGTGGAAAGGCGAAGGCTCGGTTGAATCCGAGTGTAGGCGTTCACACATATCACGGACTGTGGAGTGGAAGCTGGTCATCTCGTCGGAAGAGGAGTAGAGAGAGCGGTCGAACGAGGTCTGTTTGGATTTCCGCATATCCTCAAAGGTGGGAACTAGGTAAATCAATATCGATAAAGGGATTTACAAACAAGCTTCAACTCACAACCTGCACTGACAGAGATGCCGGCCCCGCTAATGACGACAATCTTTTCACTCGATCGCACGAGCTCCCTCAATCGGCTAAAGTCATCCACGGGTTCGCGGATGGTCTGAAGCGATCCTCTCATTTTTCGGGCTCTCTTTCTGATTCGGTGCTTCTCGTTGATTGGTCCCTGAGTGGAAGCCGTCCGTTTTGGCAAATCCACATCATCGTCAATTACAATTGGCCGGTCTATTTCACGATCAGCAAGGCTTCATGATACTGCATCTGGACCTCCTACCTCGAGAACCCTCCTGAGGGCATGCCCGCCTCTTCCTTGACTTGGAGGCCGCGGTCAAATTGTCACATATCTTCTGAGTCCTTTTCAAACCAATGTTGGCATGAAGTGCGCGTCCATCGTCGTAGCATCTCACCGAGTCGGATTCTGCAGATGCCATCTTCGCAATGACATGAAGTGGTAAGGATGTTTGGAAAAAATGAAAAGGAAGCTGGGAGGGAAGTAGTTTGGAGGGGGGAGTGCTGCCCTCTTATACTTGAACGGAGGGTTCGATGGCGCAGCTGCGACAAACTCCAGGATCCACCCCACTAACAGAGTTGCATGAACCCTTCATGGGATACCTTAAGCTCGGAGGCCTTGATTCCTTGGAGATCGGTCAGACGGAGGCCTGCACCGTCGGTCTCCCGATCAGGAATCCCCTTGCTGGTGACAGCATGCGGCGCTCCTTGCATCAAACGCTCTCAGACTTGACGATGACCATGACTGATGCGTGCAATGCCCGTGAGCCATTGCGGGTAGCGACTGACGGTATCCAGGAAGAAGCGGCGTTTCTCTGAAGCGTGCTGAAGCTCACGCATCATTGTTCTGCGATCGCCGAAGTCTTGCGAGCATGTTGAATCTTGTTTCCATTCCATGAGTAAATGGACGTTGTTGGACAGGTCTCACAGGCTTCCTTGTCGCTGAATGATCATACCTCCTAGCTTCCCATTCCATCCGTACAGAGGTATCACTTATAGCTGATCGAGTAGGCTGTGTCGGCATTGACGCATTGTATATGGTGCATAATCTGCCTGTCCTTAGAAGACGGCCAGGGCACCTTGTGAGAGCGGAGTCGAACCTTCGACTGAGGCTTCGGCGTCCCTCTAGCGTAGATTATACGAAAAGGTACGCCGCTAGAGGTATGGTATATGTGAGTGCATGCTGTCGCTGGGCACTCCTGAAAGACTTGAGCTGCATGGCGAGAGTTGACGAGGTATTGCTTTAACTTGACTCTCGATTCTTCGCCTGCTTTGAAATCGGATCAGCGACATAGACACAACCACCATCCAAACGTGCTGTAAGCTTACATTATAGGCTTTCCCCTTCTCATCCTCGCTTGCATCGACCTACAAGCTCGCGCCTCTTCCTGTTCCATACCATCATTGCAGCTTATCTTGACAATAACATTTTGAACTTCGTTTGCGGGACCGCCAACTCGTAGAGGATATCACAGTCTTGTCTCGTAATTGGCAGATGATGAGGTGCTCGATTGGCGGAGATGCCAAGCTGCGACAAGTACCAGTTATAGCTGAAGTAATGTGTGGTGGAGAGTCGTCCAACGTTGGAAAGCGTGGAAAACGAAATTGGCGATGTTGAAGCCGAAGACATTTTTGGTGGGGCAGCGTCTAATTAGCGCCGAAGCGAGGTATTGTTGTCACGTGTAGCAATTTAAATCGGACTGAGGAGTCCCATTCAAGTTATTATCGCATTGTGGTTTTACTAGTCTCTAAAATCATAACAATGCCGCAAATAGGGCAAGTGGATGAGTTTAATATTATTTCTAAGACGATGAGTTGGTGCTGTTGATATAAATGGTTCGACCCACGATTGAAACGAAAAATTCTTGATGTTGTCCCCAAATTTGCCAAATATCGCATACAACTTTGTTAACTTACAGTGTACTTTTCGTGAAGCCTCTCTTTGCGGACTCGCTCAACTTGTGTTCATGGTACTGATCTATTGCCGGAGCGGCACGAACAAGTTGTTCAAATGGCATGATATCTCTTGAAGCTAAGACCAAAATTCTCCACGAGAGACAGGGACCCGTTTTATCCTTTTCGTTAACACCTTCCCACTTTAGGTATACATTCGCATCGCCGTCAGGCTTTGCAACCTGCATCTGGTTAAGTGTGCCCGAAACCTGCGAATAGTCCAACCAAAGCTTTTCCGTAGGTCCCGGGATGGCTTGAACAACCCTGTCTTCTGAATACCGAATCTTCCCGGAGAACACGCCCAAGAAATTGTTCCGAGATACCGGAATACTTGGACAGACGGCGAGTAGTTTATCGCTTTTCTCCACAAGAGAGATAAAGATCGACTTGTTCCAGCACAATCCTGTATCCACATTATCATAGAATAGTTCCGGAGTTGTGGTGGACGAACTTGCTATGAATTTGGTCTCAAGCTTGAAGGCAGTCTCTTCATCAGCAGAGTACCAGTCATTAGAAGCATTGTTCCAGGAGGACTCCGATATGTTCAGTCTCTCAGCGACATGTTTTTGCTCCAGCTGAGACTTCCCGGAAAAATCTCCGGCCCGCTGTGCAAGTATCCGCAACTCGAGCTGGTCTATTTGAAGTCCGTACACCTTTTCCCATGACAAGATGGTGGCAAGGAGCGGCGGTTCTTGAGTCTGTCGGTATTTCTTGCAATATGTATCGAACGCAGGCGTTCGATAGCATAACGTAGATCCCACACCTGCATTCTGTAATTCGAATAGGGCTTTCCATAAGTGACGAAACTGCCTCTGGCTTTCATCGCTCGTGGGATAATTAGCTTCAACCATAAATTCGTAGGTCGCAACCTTCTCGGCAACGCTGAAGTCATCAGGGGGTCCTTTAGCGGCTGGCAATTTTGTGGGATCGCGTGCTCTGGCAGATTTGGAGATGATATCCCAATACCAGCATTCGTCAGACTGATTCTGGACATCACTACCTGCGCCACACGCCCTTCTTAATGCGACTCGCTTTGTTGCGCTGACAAAATCGCGGGACGCAAGGTCCCTCGAGAGCTCACAGATTTTCCTAGTGTCCGTGAAGACACGCAAGTCTGACTGTCCGCGACCAAACTTTCCTGCTTTCTGACGTTGTGCGGCGCAATATAATAGGACAGATGTCATAACTCTGATGGCATCCGCTGGATTTAACATCTCTGATATGAATGACCACACATGTTGGAACGTCTGTCCTGTCTGGTTCCCTGGCTGGAGGGTCTCCCTATTGTTAGGCAGGGTCTCAGGCTGACTTACGGTCAATGGTACCATCTCTCCACCTACGCCATGGCTTGCTAAGACTGTGTTGTTGTCTGCTGCAGGGATGTTGTTTGGCAATGTCTCTGTAGCCCCGCCGGCACTTTGCTCTTCCACACCTGCTTGAGGGATACCGTCTGACAAAGTCTTCAGAGCTGCATCTGTCCCGATGTCTGTGCCTGTCGAAGAGGTATCGTTCGGCAAAGTCTCTGGAGCGCCGTTGGAACCATGCTCTTCCACCGCTGCCAATGGGATACCGGTCGGCAAAGTCTCCGGAGCCTCATCTAATCTGGCGTCGGCCGTGCCTGCTGAACGTATCTTGCTCGGCAGAGTCTCCGGATCGGCACTTGCACCAGCAGTCCTCTTACGTCTCCTCTTGGGCGCACTTGCCATGCCAACGTACGATTGTCTTTTGGTATGTCGACATTCTCGGCAGCCGCCATGTGCTGAATCGTTGTTTGTGGACGAAGGTGTCGTGGGAGGCGTCGCGGGAGGCGTTGTAGAAGCATTATTGTTGATGGCCATCGGAAAGGAGGGCGGATCTCTGTCTATTCCCATCTCGACTCGACATTCATGGACTGTGGTAAAGTTAACGATTGAAGAATAGCGAAAATACTGGATTAACAGCTCACCTGTACGGGAGATATGAAGAATCTGCTCGTTGAACAGCCCATTGATGCCATCAGGTAATCCGTAAATTGACAGGACTTCACGAAGCTTCTGCCGCATCGAGTCTTGGATTGCTTCCATGATGACTTCGTATGCCTCATTCAACGCGATTTTCAAAGGATATCAGAAAATAGCAGTGACTCATGGGATTAAATAGAATGAGAGCCAGGAGCAACGTTCTTCGAGAACATTCTCTGATCCACTTGCCCAACAAAGGTTGGCCGCAAGACCAAGTGCAAGCGGCCCCATGGCGAGTTGGGCCGAAATTCTTGGGACACAATTATCGCGGAAAGGAACTCCTCACTACCTAATTTCAGTTCTGAATGCTGGGAAAATGTGCCACGATCAAGCTGCTGTCGCGACTGATCGCTGCTATGTTTGATAAGGTTCATCTCAGTCCAGGCTTGCGCAGCCAGGTCGCTACGGCTGCTTTAACGAAGAAAACTGTGATTCTAAAAGCCCCCATATTTCCCTGCCAAATGTGTGTTAGCGGTACTCAAACTCGGTTGGGAGTACCGCTAACCCATATGTGGAATGGTGATTGTTCAACAAGCACCAAACATGACGCAAGATTGTAACGCGCTGATCCAGTGATGCACGTGATTTTTGAATCGAAAATTTTCGCGTTGCTACTAAACACTTTGTGCCCCCCTAGCAAGGTAGGTCATCCATCTACTGTGGTGCCGCACTACTGGTCATCACCTTGTCAGGGTCTTGCCCAACCCCAGGTGCAACGGCCTTCTCATTTCCTCCCGTCTCAAGGGGGGAAATGGCATCGACTGCTCGAAACATTACAACAGAGCGGTCTCACGAGTCTCTTGCCCAAAGCCGATCCCAGTTTATTTCCAGGGGATTTCTTAGGAATCTACTCTGGAACCGTTCGATTCTCAGAGAAAGTCAGTCTTTCACATGCTATCCCCGGACCCGGCCCTACAGCAAAGCTTTGGCTAGACTACTCACAGGGCACTGGAGCCCTTAACCAGATGCAGGTTTCAAAGCCTGACGATGACGGGAATGTAGGTCTGCACTGGGAGGCCGTCAATGAGCAGGATGAAACAGGCCCTTGCGAGTCGTGGAGAGTCTTGGTCATAGCTAGTAAGGCTATCATGCCCTTTGAACCGCTTGTCCGTGCCGCTCCTCGAAACGAGCAATACCTTCTACACCAGGCATTGGGATTCACGAAGAGAGGCTTTATGAAAAGTACCTTGGTGACAAAGTTGAAGGCTTAACTTGTGGAGGTGAGAGTGGCCAAGGATTCTGGTTTGACCTCAAAGCTCGGTTTGTCGCAAGAGCTGGAATCACTGGGTGTCGGTCAAATCGAGACATCACATCACGTAATCTTCTGGATCGCCTTCTGGATCCTGTTCAAGGTTGGGAAAGAGCTGAATAGTAATTGGTTGCATATCTTTATAAGTTATAATTGGAGTCATTTTATAGATAGGTTTTTTTTCGCAATCGTGACACCATTGACAAGTAGAGATTTGATTGACGACTGGTATGATTCAGATTGAGCTGTATAGTTATGGATGCGCTTGCAGAGTTTCTTGCCCTGATCCCTATGACCCATATTCCCATGGCTGACTATCTATCAAGCTTCGAGCAACTGTAGCATCTTATCACTGTGTGCAGGGGTAACGGATGTCAGGCCAATTCTTCATTTGATTGCCGTCGCCGTGCCATCTTCAAGATTGGCGGCTGGCAGCCTTTACAATTGCGTATATTGCTGACGGATATGAGCGACGGTAGCTATTCTGCTCAAAGTCTGCACTCTGTAGAAGTAACTGGTAGCAGTTCGTCAGCCGTTTTGTCAGGGTTATCCGGTCGTCGTCGAAATTGGCAAAAGTGTCGCCCCCGATAACCCATCTCCACCCACACTGACGACCATTTAACTGACAGACATGCATGGTGGATCCATTCGTTAGTCCTGGCACTGACAGAAGTGCGCAGTTCGGTACTGTAATGGTGCTCTCTATTCTACTCTTCTGAGATGGCAGTCTGCAAAGGGTTTGGAAGGCCAATTACCATGGTCAACAAACTTCCGTGAAGATGACGTTGTGAAGCACCTGGGAAGACAGAGGCAGTGACGTCATCATAAATGATGACGAATTAACGCTTATTGGTTTAAAGGAGTGGATCTCGCTAGTAAAGTGGGTATTTTCATTGTGGTCAGCACATTTTCAGGGTCTGAGCGATCGCCCACCTTGCGGAGTCTTTATTTCCTCTCGCCTTTTTGCTCTCCAATTCGCGACCGCCATAAGTGCTTCTCAAAGGCAGCGTGTGTTACTTTTCTTATAAAGGAAGTATGCTAGAGTATCTTATCATTTACTGGTTTAAATTTACACTAATAATGTCGAATAATACATGAAGAAAATATATAGTACGTTTTGTTGCTTGTAATCTATCGAAATCGTGGCTTTTAGTGGGATGTTGTTGATTCATTCGCTAAAATAAAGTTCCCAGGATTAAGTCCTCAAACCTGGCGAGCTAATCTGTCCCCCGCACCCATTAATGCCTCCAGCTCAATTCTTGCCATGGCACTTCTCTTGTGCCTCCCTTCCGGCCTTTACAGAGCCGAGATTTAGTGCCTTGCTTTGTGAAGCTAGCCGGTGTATACCTTTCAACCAGAGGATAACTCTGATCCTAAAAAAGTTTAGAATATAGGCCTTGGATGAAACACAAGGCTACTCACCACCTCTGTCAAACTGAGCGGCCAAGAAGGCCCACCTCTAGAGGCGTAATTGAAGAGCCGTCCGTTCCTCCGTACCAAAACGTAAACTTCACTGCCGAACTCACTCCTCAGCTCATCTGCCTTTTCCATAAAGGTGTCTTTCCGTCTCCGGAAATTCTCCGACACGCCTTTTGTCGAGCGCCGTGGAGATCGCGGCTTCTCCATGCTTAAAGCGACTTAGGCAGCTTCTCCCCGGGTTTTATAGTCTATTCGATGCTAATTGTTCGCCTCGATCTCCGTTCGTAGGTCCTCAATCGGCTGATGAGGAGGATTTCCATGGCTTGCGTACATTTACAGTATCTCTTCTCGATATATTCTGTTTAAGCCGCAGTGTTCTCCCTTCGAGGTCATCATCTTAATATCGGTCAGCATTCAATTGCGAGAAAAAAGAACGATGTCTCACAAGATAATACGATGTCATAGCTGACATGTATAGTTGCAGACTGAAGATGACTGAATCTTCCTGCCATTTTTTGGAGCAGAGCTGACTGCGAAAGGACGATCCCGATTCTGCGGACGACATCAAAAGCTGACAGAGATACTACTGCGGACGGCTTCAAAGCTGACGGAGATTCTTGCCGCAGGCGTTGTCCGCGAAGGGGAGCAGGTACACATCTGAGTTATCTTTCCTGCTATTCGTGCCACGTCTTGAGTAGTCCTGGCTAAGAGATTCGTAGCTTGAATTCTCATCTGGGACTTTCTACCTAGCCTCCAGACCACTCAGGATTCCCTCAGTAGGACACTCCTCCTATCCTACCTCTTTCGACTGGACAACGCCATAAGCCAGATCGCGCCTTCGACTCCTCGTTCTTACAAAGCCTCGCTGGTGGAGAAGCAAAGATGGGTAAATCGTAAGCATAAGACCTGTATGATTTATTGGGAATAGTATTTAATTTCTCTCTCCAGACAATCCAAGCTCTCGCAAGAGCAGCTCAATGAGCTCCAACGATCGACCCATTTCGACAAGAAGGAGTTACAGCAATGGTACAAGGGTATGCAAAGCCTGGCTGGCTAAAGGGCCTATATTGACTCGACCTAGGTTTCTTGAAGGACTGTCCCTCTGGCATGCTCACCAAAGAGGAATTCCAGGAGATCTACCGCCAATTCTTCCCCTTTGGCGACCCTTCTTCCTTTGCAGACTACGTATTCAATGCCTTCGATAGCGATAAATCAGGTTCAATCGATTTCAAGAAGTTCATTTGCGCTTTGAGCGTCACGAGTCAGGGAAAGATGGAAGATAAGCTTGACTGAGCATTCCAGCTCTATGATATCGATGGAGATGGCAAGATAAGCTATGAGGAGATGTTGGCTATCGTTGAGGCAATTTACAAGATGGTACGTTGGATATTGATCGGTCACATGACTTTCACCCTCTTACCGTTAGAGCAAGCGGCTAGAGGGAGCACATTCTGACATGAGAAATAGGTCGGATCTATGGAAAAGCTCCCAGCAGACGAAGACACTCCCGAAAAGCGCGTCAAGAAGATCTTCCGTATGATGGACAAGGACGAAAACGGTAGCCTGGATATGGAAGAGTTTAAGGAAGGCAGCAAGCGCGACGAGACAATCGTATCAGCACTGTCACTCTACGACGGCCTCTTTTGATAAACGGGATTACGCAATGAGAATGAATAGGGAAGGAGCTTTTAGATTTTGATGATTTTTATCCCCATTTGTTAGAGAAAATTCCGCATTATTGTTGAATTAATTACATGAAATTCAAACATGCAGGCCAAGCTTTGTCCTCTTCAGAACCGTTCACAACATGTCTAGCCTCAACTCGGTGCCTGCCTCTAACCTAAGTCCGTAGCTGTTCGAGTATCTCTCGTCTGTATATTGCTCGAGGAGTCCGGTATCTCAAAGACCCCGCTTAGGACTTCGCGCTCCCGTAAGGTCATAGGAGGGCAGTTTGAAGGCAATCCTTGACCCCATCTTTGCAATTAAACAGGAGAATTCGCCATTTCTCGGAATTCCCGTTTTCGACGAGCGCCAAAAACAAACACGGCTTATCCCTGGTTGCCATTTTTTGGAGCAGAGCTGACTGCGAAAAGGACGATTCTGATTCTGCGGACGAAATCAAGCTGACGGAGATTCTTAGATGGTTGGAAGGGGTGATCTTTGGAAACGAAGTGAAAGGGTGGTTCGCTGACGGCGGCACGGGGATCGTGGGAACGAGCCGCATTCAGAAAAGAATATTCGAGAATTTACACAGCCACAAGCCATATTTCTTGATCTAATTTTAGATATAGAAGGCTAAACTTTTTAGGTTAGATCGATAATCTCTCCCCCAGCCGTATTAGGGATTCTCTTTTGACGATTCTCACTGAATCTCTCGACCCCATTCTCCTGAACCAAAAATCGGCGTTCCCACGACGTATACGAACTTCTCAGACGCTTTCGCATCCCACAGTATTGGTCAGCCTAACTGGTAGATGCTGCCGTTGGCTGCGGCAAATGATCCAGGCTATGAACTTCAGAACCAGAACGACCAGCGAAGGAGAGCATCGTACGTACCCGTCTCGATACATATGTTCTTTTTATGCACAATAAGCCCAGTCAAGACACAGTAGAATGCTGATTCAGATGCATGTAGGATGAGTGAAGCGCCGAGAACGACTTGACTCTCAAGGCGAACGGATCTACGAGCAATCCTCCCCGAAAATGACGAATATAAAGAGCGGGAAGTGCAATACGGAGAAACAATTATGGGCATATCTACTATAGATATTCTACAGGTGCTGCCGTCTTCAAGTCGACGCCGCATCATCTCTAAGTTACTGCAGAACGGTTGGGTTGGGTTGCAGAGTCAAGGACCTGCCTTTGCGGTGACCCTCCCAGTCAGGGTTGTTATTATGTCAATTCCGTCATCTCATTAGTCTATCACCTCGTCAGGACTATTATATCTCCTGCCACCTGAATTACAGTCAACTTTTGCTACAAGGGAAGCCACAGATGAAACAAATCAGAGAATAGGACGCTGAGACTTCATTCAGTAATATCCATAACTATGGTCTTATTTTCCCTTTTGCAAGCAGGTAGTCTGCCTACCGTTCATTATTCTTGCGAGGCAATTTTTTTTTCTCTGGTATGTTTAGAAAAGCGCTTCTCGATGTCTTCTGGTAGTATATTCTTTGGGAGAGGATAGGCAGTTTGCTAGATGAGTGTCAGCACCGGTCGTGTATTTCAAGCAAGTAAATCGCTTTACTTACTATCTCTGCTACAGATGGCGGCCACGATGCGTGGTCCCTGGACCTGTACGTGGTGTATCGACCATGCTTGCAAATAATCAGAGCCACGTCGATACCATCGAATTCCCCTAATTCATAGGCTTTCTTAATCAAGGTATCCTTTCTCCTGTTTAATCCCTCGTTCTTTCTCTTTCTTCTTTTCCCCTCGTCGTTTCGTTTGACGTTTGTAGTATCCATTGATACCAAAAGGCTGCTGCAGAGCGAGCTCAGGTCAGTTTTGATGCACTTTGAGCATTAAGCCTGAGGTATTTGAGTTGTCTGTTCTGGGCCGTGTTTTGTCAAAGACCCTCTGTTTTAATAGTTTGAGGACTTTCGTATTGGTGGCCAACAGGGGCATAGGTGCCGACTTTGACCCCATGGTTTGATTGCACAACGAGGGGCCCGAATCGGTCTCCTCGAATCCAAAGTGGTGGGGAGCCTCATTTGAACCCGCGATCCTCCAAATCTCATTCGAAGGGTTTGATTGCACAATGAGGGGCCTGAATCGATCCCCTCCAAACCAAAGTGGTGGGGAGCCGCATTTAAACCCTTAATCCTCCAAATTCTTAGCCCAAGGAAGGGTTTGATTACGCAATGGAGGGCCTGAATCGGTCCCCTTGAATCCAAGTGGTGTGGATGTGGACCCCTTCAATTCTAAAAATAGGCTGAGCTCTGTAAGCCCCTTTATAGTGCCACTTGTTCTCACGATGTGCGATTCTGCTTAGTTCTTGTTCTTTTCACAAGACTAGACAGGGGTTTCTTGTTTTCAGGAATCATCAAACCCCTGCTAGCTCTTAATTAGTATTTACCATGGTGTCTCTACCCTACCTTCAGGGTAGAGAGACCCTAGCAGCGCTTAAACAAGACTTTTTTTTTCGTACGTTGTAAGGCGAACGAGACTGTAACGGCCACTTCTGTATCAACACTCTGTCTATGTGCCATGCAGGCTGTATTTCCTGGTAGTTCTGGCCAGGACAACCTTACTCTTGCGTGTTTTGCTATGGTCAACATTGGGCAACGCAGACAATTAAAGCAGTAAGCTCAGAGCTCTTTAGTGTAGTCACTTCAGATTTACATGCTCTTTAGCAAAGTTTCTATAGAGATCTAATCCTTATGATTCCTAGAAGAATGCTACTAGCAGAAAGCCCCTGGGTTATCATGGGATGAAGGTCCTATGATAGCCGGGCTCCCAAGAACCATGATCTGCTAGGACCTTTCTCCTGTGAGCCTCGGGTTAGGAGAAATTTCTTAGGGGATCAGGGGTCCTATGATAAAATTCTTGGGACATTATGGCTCTTGGGAGAGCATAGCTCCTATGAGAAATTTTTTAGAAGCCGTGCCCTCCCAAGCGATTTTTCACAGGACCCGTGATCTCCCAAGAAATTTCTCCCCAGAATAGTGCTGTGCTAGCAGTTAGCTCACGTGACAGCACTCTAGGACGATGTTGTGACCAAAATAAGTCAGAACATCAGCGTCTAGAATACCTCGGGACGGCAATTCTATAGATATGTGGCACGTGACTAGCGTTATTGAGGCCAATTTTGCTCTATTCTCAATGCCGGCGCTCGTCAAGCGCCATCGCAGCGGATGCGCCGGCGTCAGGGAGCCAATTTCTGCTCCCTTTTAAACGCTGCCATTCGTCAAGCGCTATCGTAACGGATGCGCCGGCGTCAGGGAGCCAATTTCTGCTCCCTTATTCAACGCAGTAGTTTGCTTACTCGAAACTATTTTTAGATTCGGAGTACTACAACTGCGAATACATTGGGTTGAAATAATACACCTCGAAGTAATTGCGTTTGAAGTATAATACCTTAATATACTACAAGACAGCATACGTGCCTTATTCACACTTTTAGCCAAAGTAGTCCGAGTTGCAATAGTGTTATTCGGACTGCTTTGGCTTGAAGTACATGAACTCGGCCTAGTAGAACTTAGAGCAACCTGAAATTTTACACTGAAACCCAAACTACTCCGGCTGATAATACCAAAATCCAGACTATTCCTATAATCTGTACTGCACCGACCGACTCCCGACTCTAATCGGGTCGAGTTTATGATCTAGCCACTCATGTCGTCCACAGGAGTTGATCCGTCTAGTTGTTATATGATAACTTGTTGCATAACTACTTGTTGCACAGCAGCCCGTTGCACAACCATTTGTTGTACAACAACCTGTTGCACAACGCCATGTTACATAACTACTTGTTGCATAATAACTCGTTGCATAACTAATTGTTGCACAACAGCCCGTTGCACAATCATTTAATTTACAACAACCCGTTGCACAACGCCCTGTTACATAACTACTTGTTGCACAACAGCCGGTTGCACAACCATTTGTTGTACAACAATCCGTTACACAACCACTTGTTGTATAATAATAGGTAAAAGAACAGTTCAACAATATGACATTAATTGATCAAAACGAATTCTAGGAAATGAAGCTCTTACTCAAATAAATACAAAAATAAGGAAACATGCTTTTAAACCTAAATTTCAGAATCCATATTATTAAAAATAACAAAAAACAGAAAAAGACTATTATTTTTTTTAAATAAATTAAAAAATAAAGTTAAAATACAAAAAAAAAAAATAATTTTAGGTGAATATTTAGAAAAAAAAAATATAAATATTAAACCTTATTTTAACAATAAAAATTTATTAGAAAGCTATATTATTAATAATCTTAAATATAAACATATAACTGGGTTTAGATTAGAAGCAAGAGGTAGATTAAGCAAAAGATATACTGCCTCGAGATCTATGTATAAAGTTAGTTATGTTGGTAATTTATTAAATTTAGATTCATCATATAAAGGTTTATCTACTATTTTATTAAAAGGTAATTTAGATTCAAATTTACAATATACAAAACTAAATTCTAAAACACGAGGAAGACAACATTAGTCTCCTGCCACTGTCCAAGTTCATTGGAACAGGGAAGGCTGCAGTGGTGGTGGTCGTCGAGGGTCCAGAATATGTAAATCTCAGCGGCTTTCATAACAAGGGGTTCTATCTGCCATCACAGTTGGATATTTGTGATGACCACTCTGATACTGATGACCGCGCGAAGATGGTCCATGATCAGGTCCAAAAGATGCGGAACTTCATGCGCACAAGTGACAAGCGCTTGTTTTTGGTCTCTTGGACCTTGACCCATCAGCCTCCAAGCTTGACACGAGAAGACTCGATGTCGGGCAACAAATTGCAAAGTCTGGACGTACTCAATATTTGGCAACCGAACCACAAATCCATCAGGGAACAAGCATGCTCGGTCAACAAAAGGTTGTGGAAGGATTTGTTGCCCAACACGAGTCATGTTGCTTTTCCCAACATTGTGTACATTAACTTTATGGAGAGTAGGGAATATGTTGCGTTGGTCATGGCCATCAACGACAAGTTGTTGATGACTGCATGACCTGGGACACAGAGACTCTCATGTGTCATGTACGAAGCACTCCATACAAAGACCTCGAATGATGAGGAAACCCCTAGGCAGAATATGAATATCCTTCAACCTGACATCGTGATTTTACTGGTCTAATCGTGCACATGACAAGGAAGATGAACAACTACTGCAAGAGCATCCTGGATTTTTACTTGTTTATTCGTTATTTTTTTTACTGGTACTATTTCAGAGAAGACAAGATCCCTAGGTACTGTTCCAATTTTTCTAGTGCCGTCAGTCAACATGATCATAATATGCAGGCCAGTAAGTAAGTACTGTTACATGCGTGTATATGTCGTGTATGGATTCGTCGATGCATAATCACCAGGTTGTCATGATGGTGAAAAAGACTTTTGTCTCTCAAGAAGTATCATCAAGAAACCACCCTCTCGGTTGTATCTTGATGATCAGGTAAACCTGGACCTGTGATGTTGGTGTTGGTGGTGGTGGTCGCGGCGTGAGCGTTGGCACGTTGGGAAGCCTGAGCGGCGTTGGCCTCGATGTCATAATCATCATCAACGACATTACGAGGTGTGCGACCATTTTGTTGGATGTTGTTGTTGTCGTTGTTGCCGTCGTGATGGTTGTGGTTGTGGTTCTGGGCGGCAGCAATTTTATTCCTACTTTCCCACCCTTCGTCACCCACATAGTTTGCCCTGCCGACACCCAACCAAAAGGCTCGGTCTCGGCTGCGTGCGCCCCAAGACCACCCACTCCCACCTCGGATGGGTAAGTGGTACCATCGGAACCCGAACCAGGCGGTGAAGATGCCGATGAGCGAACCCGAGATGATGTCGAACCCGTGGTGACGGTAGTCGAACCAACGGGACACGCAGACGAAGAGGGCCACGCCGACGGGCACGAAGGCGACGATGAGGAGGTAAATAGGTGGAGCGGCCGCCTCGTTGCGAGGAGGATGAAAATGATGATGATGTTGTTGTCTTTGTCGTAGGGATGATGACCATTCGGGGGTCCCTGCCGAGCGTAGACTCTTTTTGCCAGAACCATGGTCTTCCGCTGTCGTCGTCGTCGTTGTTGTTTCCGCTTCACTTTGTTGGTCATGAATACCGGCCCCGGCGACACCACCACCATCCTCCTCCTCGTCAAAAGTCGATATGAATCTTCTGCTACCGCCGTCTCGATTAGACGGTGGAGTTGCCGGAGGTAGAAAGGGGATTTGGACGGCGAATTTGGCGCAGAGGAAGAACGTCAGGTACAACATGCCTGCCCAACTGAAACTGGAGTGACCCGACGGCCAGCTGGCAAAGGCGTTCCTCATCTGGGACTGGTCGGTGTTGCGGCAAATGTGCCACGACACGACGATGGGCGTGGCCGAGTCGAGGGAAGAACCCAACCCACCGACCTGGTGTCTCCGGATGGACTCCGGCGAGGTGTCTGGGTCGCAGACCGAAAGCATAAACGGTCGAGGTTTCCCGGACAGATCCTTCAGACCTTCTGTTATGAGGAAAGCGGAAGCCAACGACAGACCCAAACCCATCCACGCCGTATTCCACTCCCATATCTTGCGCCGCCATATCAAGGCCCTAGGGGTTCTCGGTGACGCGGTCGGTCCTGGAATGAAGAGCAAGGAGATTGCCGCGGTGATGACCCCCGGCGCGACCAGGACCACGACGATGAGTACGCCGACCGTGACGGTGTCGTCGTGGTAAGGGTAGGATATCGAAGGGTCTTGTAGAGAAAAATCATGTCGGGCCCCGTGGATTTGGGAAAATGCTCCTCCTACGGCCGCTATGCCTCTGTTGTAGACAAGATGTCAGTTGAGAGATCGCAGCGCTCGCGAAAGACCAGGTGGTCGAAAGGGTATGGAACGACGGAAAGTAGTATGGATATATTTACAGTATGAGGATCCAATCGAGGATATAAGACGCGACCAGTCTTTTGGACAATCTTCTTGCACCTCCGGCTAAACTGTTGACTGTTTTGGCTGTAGCCACCATTTTCTGTGTTGGATTTCCCGTATTGGCTGATGTTTACAGGCCTCCCTGACGAACTGACCAGATTGGGGAAATGAGCACGCGACACTCTCTTTCGCAGCACAGCGCAAAAAAAGAAAAAAAAGAGAGACGAAGAGTTCACGGCATTGAACTGAACTGCAAGAGAGAGGAGGTTTGAGAATGATGAAGAGAGAATAGACAAATGGCAAGAAGAGGAATCCAAGCTTATTGATTGATTACGACGTGGTAGAGTTTATTATTGTTGAAGTCCGTGACGACTCGTAGTCCAGAGTTTCAATGCGGGATGATCGACTTTTGACAAACATGAATGGGTCAATATGACCGCCAATGCTTCGCCGAGAGTGACATGTTGTTCCCACCAGATCACCAGGTTTACATACAGTACTAATAGAGGTTACTCCGGGCGACACGGGGGAACCATAAGAAAGAGGGCTGTGCACAATCTCTCATATTCCTTCTAGATGCCCTAGTACGGAGTAATAACTTTGTGTATGTATTGTTCTCATGATTTGCATGGAATGACACTGACAAGAACCAAGCCACAATTCCAGCTCATCTTTCTAACCCTGTTTACCATCCAAATCGGCATAGAAATTCCACCCAAACCGTTGTGACGGATCGTTGAAGCGCAACTTCTTGTCGAGGGCGTCGATCTTTTTCACATCCTCAACATCCAACTTGAAATCACCTTCAAAGTTGGCCTGGATTCGTGCAGGAGTCTTGGACTTCGGAATCACACTGTGACCCTTTGCGATTCCCCACGCCAGGGCGACCTGCGCACCATTCTTGCCGTACTTCCTACCAACATCCGACAAGACCGGGTCATCGATCAACTTTCCGATGTTCTCACCCTTGTCGTAGATTGGATTCGCGTTGCCAAAGGGCGAGTACTGCGTGACGTGGATGCCCTTTGATTTGTGGAATTCCACAAAGTCGGTCTGTTGGAGGTAAGGGTGCAGCTCAATCTGGTGGGCGGCGGGGACGATGGAGGTCTCGCGGAGCAGTCTTTCCAACTCGGCCCTGGAAAAGTTGCTGACGCCTATGGCCTTGCACTTGCCGCTCTTGACGAGCTTCTCCATGGCCTTGTACGTGTCGACGTAGTCACTGTCGCCGGTCTGGATCTCGCCGTCCTTTTGCGGCATGAGTTTGTCCCCCCGGGCAAAGGGGCTAGGCCAGTGCATGAGGTACAAATCGAGATAATCGGTCTGGAGGTCTTTGAGGGATGCGTTGCACGCAGCCTCCACGTCGTCTGGGTGGTGGGAATTGTTCCATAGCTTGGTGGTGATGAAGATGTCGCTCCGAGGGACTCCGCTCTTCGAGATACCTTTGGCCACGCCTGGTTCGGTGCCATATCTTTTGTTTTAAAAACAAGCGAATCAGTCAAAACAGGAATCCATGTCAAATTACACTTTCTCAAGACCTTACATTCTTGCAGTGTCAATGTGTCTATATCCGGCTTTCAAGGCTTCGTATACCGCATCTTCTTGAGCATCTTTGTCCTGTTTCGTGGGGTCGCGAATGAGCATATGGTCTGGCAAGATCTTGACAGTTGGTGGAAGATAGTGGGACGAGCCTACCTGCCATGTTCCAAACCCAATTGCTGGGATTTCATCACCAGTGTTGAGTTGAAATTTGGTCTTGTTGTATCCGGCCATCGTTCTCGTTTGTCGCGAGAGTTGGCGAGATATCTGTGATAACCGAGATGGAGCTCGGATCTGAAGGCGGGACAACATGGTGGGCGAATTTTATGTACAAATATGAAATAATTGACTTCTAGTGGGAGCTGTCTCTTTCGGATTTCAAAAGATAATTTCCTTCATCAATGACGACGAGCCATGAGCTCATTGTATGGAGTCTGGTACAGAAATGCCATCATGCAGTTAGTTGGATGCTGATGTCAGTGGTTTGCCTTTGACACTCAACAGCCGGGGAATTTCCGAGTTCTCAGAGAGTCACTACCAAGTACGGAGTACTAGGACTGGATTTCTTTTCATTCCGACAAACCCTTTATCCTCAGAGACTTTGCTTGAACTTGTATTTCTACATCGACGACAATGGTATGATGATGAATTCGACAAACATAGATCTTGCCATGCTCTTTGATGTCAGGCTTGGTTCGAGCATGGCAGTCTTGGTAGATTTAGATTCGCCACTGGATAGTAGATATCCTTGGACTATGCAAACTACGATCATGCGGACAATTCGAATGTCCCCCGGACGGTCGTGGCCACTACATCTTGAAAACAAAGGCTTTATGCTGACATCGAGTTGTATCGACCAATCACTTCGGCATTCTGAGCATCCCTTGCATGTTGAGGCGATTCCACTCATGCCATAATTCTCTTGCATTCTTTGTACGTTGTCCGGGGAAAGGCCCAGACCCTCTACCGTTTGCATCATGTCACACGCTTCAGTCGGACAAAGAGAGTCCATCCATGAATAAATGGCCCATTTCCAGTAGGTGGTGGTGGAGGTACCCAGTCATCCTCCTTTCTGAATACACACTTCAAGTCGGTCCCTTTCTGACGTCGACGAGGATGGTCGATCACGGCGAGGAAGATACTCCCCGTACCATTTCCAGGTTCTCAACTTCGACATCGCTCAGGATGTCTCAGGCGGCGGCACACAACACGGACGTTGTTCCGATGCCTCGGTGGTCGAGCGCCGTAGGGTGCGCTCGAGTCGCCCTGGCTGTGGTCGTGCTCGCCTTGACCGCGGCGGCCACTTCGATCTGGGGAAACTATGATGCATTCGGCTTCACGCTGTTCACAGTAAGTTCTGCTACCATTGTGGGTACTTTGGGCACGAGTTGACCATGAGCAAAAGGCATCGGCGAGTCTGATCATCTTCGTCTACTACTTCATCGCCCTCTCACGTCAACCGAATCTATACAATCGCTGGGCAGTCTTGGGCCTCGAGATGTTCGGGGTGATTTTCTGGCTGACGAGCTTCGCATTGATGGCACAATGGACCAGTGTATACAACGGATGGTGGTACGGTAACGGCAACAGCAGGGGGGTTTGGAATGCCCCCTACCGCCCTGAAGACATCGGGTTTGCCAAGCGCACCGTCGTCAAGAGAAGTGTCAACAAGTACCATGCCGGAGTTGCCTTGGCTGGCACTGCTGCGGGTCTTGGAGCTGTGGAATTGTAAGTCACAAGGTTGAGTTCGTGAGTCTGGTGCTGATAGTTCTCCATCGTAGTGTTCTCTACACCCTTACCCTGGCAATTTTCGGAATGTCTCTGCGTCAACAGCGTATTCGTGCTACACATGCAGATGCTCCTGTCGTGTCTGTAACGGACACGTCGACAGATGTTGAAGCTGGGACTACAGCAACAGAGGACAAGACTCTGAACGACGGGACTGATGAGGCCAAGACAGAGACTGAGCCTGTTACGGTTTAGACTGGATCCATTGGGGAAGACGGAAATAGCTGGAGAAGGACGGAGGAAAAGATCGGATCGCCAAGGCTGCTGACTTTTAATTCGGTGACGGCTGCATCTCCTGCTTCTGCTTTAGCAAAATCAACCATTACTCCATCGTTTCTCAGCCGTGTGAACATGATTTGCCGAATTCGTGCCTCTCGACGTCTCTCGGAAGAAGGCTTCGAAGTCTTGGAAGCTACTTTTAGGGAGTTTGCTTTCTCCGCAGATGTATTAATTACATTGATCCAAAAATCCTTCTTCTCCGGGACATAATGTCCACTGTTGTTACATATTCATGATTCAGCGTATGACTCTATACGCCTAGCATCCATTCATTTCAGGTTCGCTATATATTTCCTTTCTCTTCCAATATATCGAATCATGAATTTACGTCGTGCTATCATCATCTGTCCCTCCACTTGACCTTGATTTCATCCTGATCGCCACTCATGGCGCTCCAACAACCGGACCCGAACCCGGACAAGCATGTTGTCGTCGCATCACCTCCGAACCCTACCTCAAACGAGAGCAGCACCATGGAGTTGCCCGTAGTTGAAAAGGCCCCGACGGAACCAGACACCGAAGAGTCAATGGAGGCCCGTATCGAGCGTCTGGGCCGCGAACGACCCCCAGCCTTCAAAACCGTCTGGTCTGAACTGGGATTCGTCTTCTCGATTCTGATGTCTCAGATTTTGACCGAGTACTTTGTCTCGGGCTTCAACATCATCCTCCCCACCCTCATCGAGGACCTTGGCATTCCTCAATCCTCCAGTGTCTGGCCAGCGACGGCATTCTCCCTCGTCATCGCGGCCACACTCCTGGTCTTTGGTAGACTGGGCGACATGTACGGCGGATATCCGGTGTATCTGGCCGGTCTGGCCTGGCTCGTGGTCTGGAGTATCGTATGCGGATTCTCCACGAACCCACTGATGATGGACCTGTGTAGGGCTCTGCAGGGCCTGGGCCCCGCCGCTTTCCTACCGACGGGTGTCATGTTGATGGGCACCGTCTACCGCCCAGGACCCCGGAAGAACCTCGTCTTCGCCATGTACGGCACGTTCGCGGTCATCGGGTTCTACTTTGGCATCTTCTGCGCGGGCATCATCAGCCAATTCATCCGCTGGGGCTGGTACTTTTGGGTCGGCGCGTCACTGACCTTCCTGGTGCTCGTCACGTCGGCCATCTTCATACCCGACGACTCCAAGGAGCGACGCAAGAACGGGATCGTCATGGACTGGCTCGGCTCCGTGGCCATTGTGTCTGGGATCGTCTTGGTCGTGTTCGCCATCACGGAATCGGCACATGCCACGCGAGGCTGGCGCACACCCTACATCCCCACGCTCCTCTGCGTCGGCTGCGTCGTGTTGTTCGTCGCGGCGTACATCGAGGGCCGGGTCGCCGAGATGCCCCTCTTGCCGGCCGACGTCTTCGCGACCCCCTGCATGACGCAACTCACCGTCGCCCTGCTCCTGCTGTACGGCAATTGCGGCATCTACCTCCTCTACGGCACCCAGTACTTCCAGAACATCATGGGCGCCACACCCTTGCAGGTCGTGGCTTGGTTCACGCCCACGGCCATCGGCGGCATCGTCCTCAACATCCTGGAAGGCTACTTCCTGCACTTGGTGCCCGGGAGGGCCTTGTTGGTCGTGTCCGGGGCGTCGGCCGTCGGCGCGCCCCTCCTCCTGGCCCTCGTCCCCGAGGGCGGGAGCTACTGGGCTTGGATATTCCCTTCGAACATCCTGACCACCATGAGCATCGACCTGTCGTACACGCTGATCTGCGTCTTCGTCACCACGCAGCTGCCGTCCTCCCGGCAGGGTCTCGCGGGCGGCCTGATCAACAGCGTCCTCCAGCTCGGCATGGCCGTCGTCCTCGGCTTCAGCGACATCGTCCAGTCCTACACCGTGGACGAGGCGGGCCTGAGGCGGAGCTACAAAAACACCTTTTGGCTCGCCGTGGCCACGGGCGCCGCCAGCCTGGTCATCATGACCATCTGGGGCAAGGTCGGCAAGGCCAAGAGCGACCTCACCGCCGACGAGAAGTTGGAGTTGCAAAGAGAGGCCACGAGATTGTCATCCGCGCCAGAGTGATTGAGACAGCCCCTCCACAGACCAACAAAAATCAAAAGAGTAAGAAGACAAGGCTGCAAATACACTCATGACTTGAATTTCCCCAACATGAATCTTTGATTTTGATCTTTTCTGTCATCATCAGCGACGGAGTTTCGATCTTACACATGTATCTGTTTGTTTGAAAGGCTGCATCAAGGGAAGATAGAATATAGCATGTTTTAGGCGTCATTTGAACAAAGATTCTACCTTGGGGATATTATAGTACATTGGCGAACATTTCATGTACTCTGTACGTAGCTATACATACCGATCTGATCAGACATTTTTGCATCTTTACTTATTACCGATGTCTGCTGATGATCGATATGGTATTAGATTAATACAGTTACAAACGTCGGATAAAGGTCGCCTAATTGTTTCTGCCCTCGTTGCTTATCTTATCAGTCCAACAATTGTACCTCGGCTCATGATATACAGAGTACAAAAATCTCTCCGGGCATCCTTGGTACCCTTTCCCGTATCTACCCGTTGACAGTTCCTGTACTGTATGTGCAGACTTCTCGGCCTTGATCTCCGATTCCGATATCCGGACATGGTTCATGACTGCATGATTTGTATGTTCGTCCTCGCACAGTACACAATAGTGTCATGACATATTTCAGCCTCGCCGCCTTGACGGGCCCATAAACTCTTGCAATTTTTGGTGGCTCCTTCCTTCTCCTTATCGGCCCTTCAGACCCTGCACATGTTTTCTTGTTTCACTCCTCTCCTTTGCAAAGGCCGAGAAAGGGAGAGACCCAGAAAAAATTGCCCCCAAACACCGCTGTCCTTACTCGTACAATTTCTTTTTTTTTTAAATCTCTCGACCCACATTCAGCATTGGAAAATCGGCCTTTGATGCGTATTTCGACTCTTATCTGAGAGTCCATCATTCGTTCGACTCAGAATCGAACAAGGGACAGGACAACTTGCCGAGGTTTGTTTTCGTTCTTTGGCTTGTCTTGCGAGTAGTTTGGCCCTCGAGAGGCATGCTCACCCTCTCTATTGCGTGTCCCGTGTTATAGGTTTCTTTCTCCGATGACTGTTGCATTTCGTTTTTTCGTTCCTTCATGCTCATGCTCGTGCTTCGTTCTCACGTGTCTCCTTAAATATATCATATCATCCGAGCTTGCCTCTCTTCTTGTTTCCTTTCTTCTCAGATCTCTCTTTATCTCATCTCCAGCGTTGCCCCCCAATCAAACAAAACTAGACTCACAGATCTTTCACTCTCCAACATTCATTCAGTTCCCCTTCAGCCACTCTAGAGAGGTTCTGCTTCAATTGCCACCAGTGACGAACACGCACACTCTCCCCCAGCCTTCGCGACTGCACCTTTTTCTGACCGCGTCAACGTTAAATCCTCACACAGACCTCCAAAATGTCCACCTTTCCTGAATCTCAACCTTCATCATCAGAAACCTTACCCACAAACTCACCTTCAGCGTCTCGACTCGCTCCCGTAAAAGAAGCCATAAAAGCTCTCCTCAATCAGCCCGACTATGACGATGGCAGCGCTGGGCCTGTCTTGGTCCGCTTGGCCTGGCATTCAGCGGGCACGTATGATGCCGAGACGAACACGGGAGGTAGCAATGGCGCCGGCATGCGCTATGAAGCCGAAGGCGGCGATCCAGCCAACGCAGGCCTCCAGTATGCCCGGGCTTTTCTCGAACCCATCAAGGCGTCTTTCCCTTGGATCACCTACGCCGATTTGTGGACACTCGCAGCAATCGTTGCGATACGTGAGATGGGCGGCCCCGAAATATCCTGGCAAGGTGGCCGGACCGATTTCACCGATGACTCTCGAGTGCCGCCACGCGGGCGCCTACCGGATGGGAGCAAAGGCGCTGACCACCTTCGTTGGATCTTCTACCGCATGGGCTTCGATGATCGAGAGATTGTGGCCCTCAGTGGAGCCCATAACCTCGGAAGATGCCACAGCGGGCGCTCCGGTTTCGAGGGTAAATGGGTCAACAACCCAACTCGGTTTTCGAATACATATTTCAAGTTGTTGAAGACGCATGAGTGGAAAAAGAAGAAGTTGGAGAATGGACTGGAGCAGTTCATTTACGTTGACGAGGATCTTGATCCAGAGGAACAGGAGGAGGAGACTCTGATGATGTTGCCTACCGATATGGCTCTGCTGGAAGATCCTAGCTTCAAAAAATGGGTGTATAAATATGCCGAGGACAAGGAGTTGTTCTTCCGAGACTTCGCAGGCGTGTTTGCCAAATTGATGGAGCTAGGAATTCAACGCGATGCCCAAGGAGACGTCATCAACCAAGAGAATGTGGAAGATGGGTATAGAAGTGCCCCCAAGAAGAGTGATTCGCCTGGCGTACCGGGGCGAGATCAGGGCGCCGGGCAGATTGCGCATGAGGCTGGCCGATTGAAGAAGGAAATGGAGAAAGCAAAAGGTTCGGTGGTGCTCAAGTCGAAGATGTAATGTGGCGCTCCAGTATAGCATCATTGGGTTGATCACGGCGTTTCAATGGAGCTTTGGCTTTGTCATGTAGAGAAGGCGTTAAAGATATTGGGATGACTGCAACGAGACTTGTTCTCTGACAAATTGGTGATTCCCCCGATAGATTATGATGGTGCTTTTAGATTCCAGTTGAGTACTCGTGATTCAGGTTCGTCAATTAGATGGTGTTGTCTCATTAATTGCTGCTGTCAATGTCTGGTGCCATGTTGGCAACTTGGTCATTAGGTATCTCTTCCTGGTCCAATACATCAGGATCGTTTTTGAATGCGTCACTGTCCAGCACGGGGATTATTCTTCTCACATCCCTTTCGATGACTGTGACTTCTTTCGGCAGTTGGTCGAGGCTCGATTCATTCACTTTCTGGCACCGCGCAAGGTAGCGCAACATGGCGCTAATGACCCTGTTCTTTTCTTCTTTGGTCTCGTTCAAGGTGTGCCTGACAGCCTTTGTCAGCATCGCCGGAAGATAGGTCGTCTGCACGGCTGGCGATTGCACTACACCATCCAGATTAAGACCTGAGATCAGCATCCGTCTCGATTCTTCTGGTATACCAGAGGTAAACGCTTCGAAGTACATCTCGGCATCTTGCACGTTGGACGAGTTACTCAGACAAAAGAGTCGCATCAACGCACGATCCGCAGGGTTTTTGACGTCGAGGTTACGTCGGTACCCTAGTCGATGTAACAATTCTGCTCTCCGGACGAGAATGATATCGTACCCTTCTCGCAGGCTTCTGTGTCCGTTGATGATTGCATAAGCCACATCGTAAACATTACGATACGATTGGAACACCGGTTCGATCATCTTCTTCGCGCAGGTCCAGTCCTCGTGACCAGAAGCTCCAGCAAGATCAAGGACTTGTTCCATGAACCGTAGTTCAAATGCGCGATCGTGGCCACGCATCTCTACTAGTCCAGTGAGCGATGCTGGAACATTTTCTGCTTGAGCGAGTTGGCCGAAATTGAAATTTGATCCGAGTTTCATACCCAACAGAACATATTGCTTGTCACGCTCGCTGAGTCGATCCAGAGCTTGGATCATCCCGGCCTCGACTGCTTGGTAGAGAATCATATCATGATTGACATTCGAGATGTCGACGCCATTTTTGTCTGCATGGTCGGTAGCAAGTTGTGGATCTTTACCTAGATCGTTGATGATCATACAAGTGATCAAAGTATAAACGTCCTCTGCTGACTTTAGACCGGTGGTGTATATTTTCCTCAGCCAATCGAAGGATTCGCGAGTCAGCCTCACTTGTGGAGATTGTGTGCCGACGAATACATCGTGCTCGTCATTCCACAGCCATCGCAAAGCGAGGATACCTAGTAGGGTCCGGTTCACTTCTGGGTAATCATGTCCGTAAAGGAACTCAGATATCGATGGACCAGCGGGGCCAGGGGCATCCGAATCTCGAACGAAGGTTGCACGGTGTAACCGCTGCAGCTCAGTCGGAAATTCCGACTTGATCAGAGAAAGAAGTTCCCAGTCAGGGATGCTCCAGAATGAGCCATCGGTAATGGTATTTTTGAGACCACGTTGTTGAGGGGGGTCTGACTCGGGTGTTTGCCCAGACATTGGACAATGATTGCTCGATGCAAACGGACACACGAGTCTGTCAAACGTCTTCAGGCTTGGTGTTGTCTGGAGGCGCGATTATTGGACAGAGCTTTGGGTTGACCTGGCGCAGCGTAGGACGAAATGCTGTTAGAAAGCTTTTCATTGAATTATGATGTTGCTAATGTGTGGTCTCTTTTGTTCTCGTCACCCATTACCGGACCGGCATCTGAGATGGCCCTGGGGTATAGTCACGAGTTGACTCCCTTGTTGCATGGCTGGCACTCGGAGGTAAATATTGAGCTGAAGGATCCTTGATTCAACTGCAGTCAAGACAGACGGTGCTTTTTGTTATGCGGCTATGAGTGTCAGCGTGCGTCATAGCCTCATGAGCATTCAGAGCCGAGGCTAAGTGACCTCTGGATGAACAATATTGTGATTTACGAATCTGCCTGATCGCGTACGCAGACGAGGGTGAGCAGCCACAATCAGGGTTGTATGGAGATGTCTGATACGGATGGTTTTGGTTGCCTTCGCTGAAGTTACAAGGCCTGGGACTGTGCAGTTGAGGCAGCCGCCATCTCGGGGCTGAGTTATTCCGGCGATGTGATTGGATTCAGTGATGAGTTGACTAGACAGGTTCGGGGAAGAGCAGGAGCCGCGCCCAAAGCGAGCACGGGCAACTATGAGGATAAATGAGAGGCCTGATACTGAGCCTGGACTTCATAAATAGTGACAATGGTCGAAGGATACCAAGATCACGATGGATTTTATAGTATCACTGGTGCATGGAATCGCTCCAGAACCTTTATCATTAAGTATTTATACATACTGCCCAGGAACAAACATGTCGTGTCCTGGATCTCAAGCTTCATGTACACAGTCAGATGCTTTCCGATCCTAGGACATAGTACATTATTTTATTCATCCCTACCAGTGTCGTATTGTGACAAGTACCTTTTTATTCTCGCCCTTTTCATCCTCAACTCCTCCATTAAACTCCAATCCCATCTTCATAAGCATATCCCATACGTTTTTTCTCTTGAGACCTTCGCGTACTGGAATTTTCTCCAAGGCTTCATGACCGGAGAAGTACTTTACAAAGACTGACCAATATCGCCGGACATCGGCTGTGTCTAGATCATTCTCAGACGAGGGTGATGCTGGTAGATCTGTTCGTGAAGCATTCAGAGAAGACGTTAGTGTCGACGCAATATGGTCGAGCCAACGGGACTCTTCAGGAGATGCACGTTGGGGAGATAACACCAAGCTGGCCTGTTTTGGGTTGTGTTTGAATTGCTGACCGCGTGAGCTGGTATGGTCGGTTGAAATCGACTGTCTTCCGTCGCTTGAGGGACGACTGACCATACTGGGTCGTTGTCTGAAACCGGATATCATGCTGCTGGCAACAGTGGTTGGGGTTCCGCTTCCGAAGCTCTTGGATACATCAGCAGATTCCCGCAAGTCCTTGTCCGCAGGTGTCCTGGACCCCTTCTCTTCACGTTCCTTCTCTCGCACAGCTTTCTTGACTTCCGGGTCAATGCGCACCAAAGCAAACGTGCGGAGTTGTGTGACCCAGCCCTCACGCACAAGCCATTCCAAAACGCGGTAATATTCTTCTTTGTGGTCGCTACTGGGGATCAGTGCGCCATAAGGTGACGGGGTTCCACTCAATACACTGAGCATCTTCGGTAAGGAAGGCATCATCGGGAATGTCGCTTCGTACGTCTTGCAGGCCCCTACTAGCTTCTGCATATTCGCGTTTGGTGAAACAATATAGGTATCTCGCTGATGCAGTGGAGGGATCGCAATGGCACGTCGCCAGTAGACAAGATGGCGCGCAAGGTGCTGGATATCAGACAGATTGATGCCTGAAAGCACAGAAATCTTGTAAAAGGACTTTGTCGGCTTTGCATTGCTTATAAAGTTTGTCAATGGCATTGCCAACGGTCCTCCCGCAGCCTGAATGTCTTTGAGAATCTTTTGGGGGCTGGCCTTGAGAAGAAGCGTAAAGTTTTTGGAAAGCTGCAAGGCCCCAGAACTTGACGCTGTATCCATATCGGCCTCAGTTGAAGCAGGATCCGTGGCTGTAGTGAGCCACAGACCAGGCTCTAAAGGAGGCTCGGTGAGCGAAGGCAGGTATGACGTCGATGTAACAGGAGGAATCTGAAGAGAGACTGATAACTTGGAGCTAAGTGTGATTGCAGCAATTTTAGAAGCAGAGATGTTGTCAAACACTTTGGCAATGGCTGCCGCTAGTGATGACTTTCTCATCATCTCGGTGTAAAGCGTGCGCGTGGACGACTGCTGGTGGGCATGTGTGGACTTGATGGACTGTAGCAGCTCTGACTGCTCCCACACATAGTTGTGATGGGACTGTTCCCATTTGAGAACCTTGGACAACTTCTTCACCACATGATCATACATATCCTTTACTCTCAAGGAATGCTCTAATGGAGATGGATCCATCACAAATACAAGATGAAACATGGTAAGCTGTGTCTTTGTTGATTCAGAGGTGCTCTTTGCCTTTTTGTCACGGACATGTCCCTCAGACGAGCCGTCTGGGCTGTTGTTCCCATCGTCTATGCCACTGTCACTTACTGCAGTGTCTGAGGAATGTTGTGCATCGTCCTCCACTAACGATCTCTGCTTCTTAACTCGGGGCTTCCGCCAGTATCCTTCTTCACGAGCATAGACTGGTCTGCCCAGAAAGGTCAGATCATTAATACCAAGCTCAAATCTGCGTTTGTGCCAGGCCCTTCCCGGGGTCAAGAGGCTCACCAGACCATCCTCGCCCAGCCCAAGGAGTGGCTCCCAGGGAGGTTTCCAGCCCTCACTGTCTACAGACCCTCTCTTTACCTGCACATCTTCGTCATCCTCGTCCGAATTCTGCGATCGACTATCAGGATTCGCAGGTGCCGTGTGGTTGATGCGCTTTATGAACAACTCGAAGTCATCGTCGGAGGAAGAATCTTCAGAGTCACTGCTAGAGCTGTCTTCCTCATCATCTTCCGCCAGAGATATTGCTTCGGCGGTACGAGCTGCCGCTAACGGGTCTGGAGGATAATGGAAGACAAGCTGGGCGTTGGAGCCAGTGCGACCCTGCGCAACAAGAAGAACGGCGAGTAGGGCAGGATTTCGAGATGTGGTGGCAGTCGACATATGTCTCTAGGTGTTTCGGAAATTCATTCAACGCGTGTATCCACGCGTTTGTACTCCGTTCGTCCGTTTTCGTCCTCACGAAGGCTCTTCACAGTCAGGTGGTAGACAGGCCTTAGTCTTGATCAGGCTGAACCTCGGACCGTGGAGCTATTCTTTCAGCCATACTAAATTTGGATGAGACGCGGGGAGAGGCCTGAGTGAAGGATGCGGACAATCAAAGGAGTCGGCTAGATCGTATTGAGAATGAGACAAATACGTGGATTCATGCAGGTTTGAGAGGAGAGGAGGAGAGACGACGGAAAATAGGCAACGCAGTTTGTACGAGTAGAGGACGGGTGGTGCGTGGGTTCGCTATACGGAGTCCTGGAGGTACTTGGATAGGCTCGGTAGCTAGCTAGACTGGCAGGGTGCGGGTAGAGATGGAAGAGCGCAGACGAGGGTCATCAGGTTCTCGTGAAGTCGCGATCCAGTGCTAATGGCCCTGGTGTTCGCAGTGTGAACAAACCGTAGAGTGAGGAGAGACGACCAAGTTAGGGCATTGAGAGGGGTCAGCCGTGCATTGAGGGTGAATGTGTGGTTGTCGGTGCAGCAGTGGGCGTAATAGCTGGGTAAAGATGGAGTATACAGTCCCTTGGTAAATCCCTCTGTTCGCTGGCGGTTCGGAAGCAAGTAAAATGCCGCTAGGAATTCGAAATTCAGACTCTGAGCTTTCACACGAAAAAGGCTTGCTCTGTTCCCACACACGCACAACACTTCCACACCCTTTCTCTCCCTCGTCTTTTACCCTTCCGTTACCAGGTCGTTCACCTGTTGATGTGCTTGTCGCTTTAATTGCTATCGTGTGTCCTCACTTCTGGCCCCAGCGCTTCCGGCACAGGGAAAAGTGTTTCGACGCTAAGACTCGCACTCAAAAGTTTTTGGAGTCTCCGTCACCTCACTTCTCTCCGACTCACCCACGCACCATCGCGACAATTCCTCTCTCGCTTTTGCTAAATTCGCCGCGAGAGACTGTGAGCGTTGGCCTCTCGCTTTTCTACCTCTTGGGTTGTGTAGCTTTCAGTCAGACAAGACGACAGCCATACGACCACTCCACACAAGGTTCGCCGTGTCTCAATTGACGACAGTCGGTAATTTACGACTGATCCAGAACCACAGACTTTCATCCTCTCCTCGCGAGCCGGGCCCTCCGTAGTGTTATCCTGTCTGCACGAAATCGTCGCGGCTTCCAAGGTTGATCGAGTCTTCGCATCCCACCTGAACGAAAGCTCATCGCCGTCGTCTTTTACCAGGGACACGCCACGGCTGATATTGTTCAAGAAAGAACACCGCCGGGTCTTCTTGCCGACAAAATTTCAGTGAAAGAAACATTTCTGGGGCTAAAAGCCGGTGTTCCTTTGTGGGAAGAGAAAAAGAACATTATTGAAAAGGCGTGAATTCTGAGGAATTTCCTCTCAGGGACCATTACGCAGCCCATACTGGTTGTTGTACACCAAAACCAGCTTGTTGCTGGTGAGGGGTTAGGTTGAAGAATAAGAGGTGCGCCAAACCATATTTGGGCGACGAAGATGTCTACACCTTCAGGCGCTGCTGCGCCAGTGTTCTCGTATGCACAGGCGGCCAAAGGACTTACTCCATCGACTTCAAGTCAGCCGACACCGCGTAACGAAAGCCCTGCTGCTTCCGAGAAGACCACCAGAGAGCGTTCCGCCACAGAGTCGAATATTAGCCAGCCAGCTGCTAAACTTGTTCGTGAGAAGTCTGAAACAGATGCCAGATCCAACACCGAGACTGCATACCAAAAATCCTCCAATGAGGATAATTCGGAAAAAGATACCTCGGCCAATGTACAGAAAGCACTCGATGTACCAGAAAGTTCATCTGAACAGCCTAACTTGTCCGGCAATGAATCTAGCCAGGATACTAAAAAGGAGGAGACAAGACCGCAGTTGACAAATGGACGGACACCATCATTCGACCAAGCTTCTGAAATATCTGGACAAGGAAGTGCAGACAAGAAGCCCAAAGACTCTGAGGATGATTGGGAGAAGATTTCTGTTCCTTCGATGACAGCTGAGAAAGAGTTGAAGGCTGCGCCTATTCCCGTGGTCAATATCTGGCAACAACGCAGAGAGGCACAGGCTGCCAGGCTGAAGGAGATTGCCGACCAACAGCGAACTGCACCGTCAAATACGCCGAAACCCACGCCTAGCCATGATGATCCCAAACGCAGATCAATGAGTCGAGACATGGAAAGCCGCGAACGCGAAGGCAAGGCCACCGATATTCCTCGTGCTAACAGCCGAAAAGAAGCGATGGCCTCTCGTTCCTCCAAAGACAGAGCCGACACTGAAGCACCACCTTCAGTCGCTGATGCCCAGGCATGGCCAACCCCGGACAACTCGCTTGTCGAAGAACGCCGTAGGTCGAGTGCCTATGACAAGGGAGATAGGACTGAGAACAAGGGTGGTTCCCAGACAAAGTGGAAGACCATGCCCTTCGTGCCGACTGCAAAATTTGAGACCCAGCTTCCGGCTGCTGCTGCAAGACGAGGTGGTAGAGGGGGTGGTCGTGGTCGAGATCCTACCGGCCGTGGTGGTCATGCTAGTTCTAGCGAGAAGCAAGATTTGCCAGGCTCTATGGGTCCACCTCCGCTGCCAAAGCAAACAGGCGAACAACAAGATCGTGGCCGTCGTTCGGAAGGACAACGTCTTCAGCGTGCGGGGTCCGTCCCGACGACCAGTACACGTCCAGAGAGTATTGACGATGTGACGCCGTCATTCCGAAAGCCAGCTGCTCCTGCCAGCAAAGAACAGAGTGTCGGCGACGAATACCCACCTCAGAAGACTGAACAAAGTTCAAGGTCGTCTTCGAGACACACTGGACAAGTCGGAGGCCGGAATGTCAATGGAGAGGCAGGCTCACCATCTGACCAGGCTCCTGGGTCTTTTGGGCAGCCAACCGAGCAAGGTCCACGCTATCCGTTCTCTTTTGATCGATTCAAGAGTTCAGGAAATAGCAATCCTCGTGGAAACGGTGAATTCGCCCGTGAGCGTGGCTCAGGCCGCAATCGAGACTGGTCAAGAGACAAGCCTGAGACTGCGCGAGAGAAAGTTGAATCATGGCGCGACCGCGACTCATCAGGTGATCAAAGTAACCGACGTGAAGTCCGCCCTGAACGCGCCCGAGGAGGTGGTTTTCGTGGGCGTGGCAACCATGCCTTCGGCACTCCATACAACTCATCGCATGCGTATACTGCACCATTACCTCAAAATGGCTTTGAGACCAGATCCAGCTCTCACACAGAGAGTCGGACGAGACAAACCTCGCAACCTTTTCAACCGACCCAGACACCGTCAGGCTCGCGCAACAACCCGCGTTCGCAGTCTATTCCAGTCGGCATGATGTTCCCAGGATACTATCCTGGCATGTCCCCAGGCTTGCCGGCATTGCAGACAGACATGGCGATGTATGGTTATACACAGCCTATGCAGATGCAGCCTGGCATTATGAGCGCAATGCCATTCAACGATCCGCTCAATTCATATGCTCTGCTATCAATGGTTATGACTCAAATGTAAGTTTATCTCTCCTTGCTCGTATCGGCGCTGACTGTCTTCCAGCGAGTATTACTTTTCCATCGACAACCTATGCAAGGACCTTTTCTTGAGAAAGCATATGGACGGCCAGGGTTATGTGCCGCTCCGGGTGATCGCAAACTTCAAGCGTATCAAGACGTTGACTGAGGACAACATGACAATAGATACTCTGCGCTACGTTTGCCAACAAGTCAAGAGTGTGGAATTTTTCCTTGGAGCTGATGGGGATGATCGTCTTCGTCGCCGAGATGGCTGGCGCGATTTTGTGCTGCCGGAGGAAGAGCGCTTCGAAGACGCCCGTAACGACGGCCCTCAACAACCCGCAGAGCAGCATATTCGGTCACCTCAATACGAGCAACCAGCGCCCTTTGAGCCATCCTTCAGTATGGGCCAAATGCGCAGTCCTGCGATGAATGTTCCTACGACAAATGGCATGTTTCACCCAGCCTCCCCAATGCCTTTCGTGCCCGGAGCCCAAGTCGATGGTCATGTACCTTTCCCTGCTTCCTTTGAAGGCGTTGGCCCTGAAGATATCTCAAATGTCGGCTACAACTCAAGAGCAGCACCCATGAGATCACCACCTGCCCAAGCCGGCGGTGCTACCATGGGTGGTCTAGTAAATGGCCATCACCGCCAGGCTTCTCGAGCTGATATCGAAGAAAATGTCTTCCCTGACGAGGAAATTCCAAACATCAACATCCGCATGCAGCCTCATGCATCACTTGAGACCAACAAGCCTGCTGATGACACGCCTGCTGCGCCAACAGGAACCGGTGAGAGTGATGCGGATCAAAAACAAACTCGTATTCCGAGCTTGAGTCTGCGCGGAGGTGCAGGCAGCCCGCAGCTGTGAGTCGATTCCGAGCTTGTCCTCCGAAACTGGCCACTAACAGTCCGATAAGACTCGAAACAATCCACAATCTCTCGTTTGGAACAGCTGCTACAGTCTCTTTGGCTGATTCGGTCACCTACTTTACAAAGGATGGCCACGAAACCCAACTTCCACCCCCCCTATCAGGTCAATATGACCAGAGCTATCAATCAGTCCACGACATGGCATTTCAGCAAAGGCTTCTAGGCATCGATGGTGCTCTGGAGCCACTCTACTCGTTTTGGAGCGACTTTCTCGTCGACAAATTCAATGTGGGCATGTATGAGGAATTCAAATCAACCGCCAGTGCAGATATTGCAGAAGGCAGTGCTAGTGGCATGAATCATCTTATTCGTTATTACGGCAAAGTCCTGAGTGGACCTATCCCCGTCAGCGAACGCCTGGCTGCTGACATGGTTCAGCTTTCGAGGCAAGAAACTGACGTCGCATCTACTCTCCTTCACACACTTCGAGGTGCGTGGCGCAACGGTGCTACCAACATGAAAACCATCAAGAGACTCGGCGATGTTCTCACCGCTGAGGAAAAAACCGAACTCGACAAAAGTGGCTAAGCGAAGAAAACCGTCTCTTCGTTGGCCAAAATACCCCATACCCTGCAAAGCGATTTTTGTTTACAAAAAGACACCATGTTCTGCTCATTTCCGAACCCCGCCATGATGTACCATGTCAGTCAGGTATATCGCAGATTGAACATTGGATCAGACTCAACAGTGTTGAGGCAGATTTACAGTATTTCAATTTTACTCGGGAATGCAGAACGTCACACTTGTTTTTCTATTGAGCTACCAGCACAAGATATTCCCCCTCAGGCCTCGATGAATTTTTGACATGCAATGTACTGGACTATCAATCACCATCCTTGAGGAGCACAGTTCCCGAACCAAGCTCGTTCTCAGTCTCGATATGCTGGCCTTATTCTCCTACTCGCATTAATCAACACACCCATGGAACGGTGGCGACTGCTCTGCAAATCGAGGACTCTTTCAACTTCTTTCGATCGCTTTGCCGGAGCGAAAGGCGCATGTTGACTGCGGAAAGCTAACGACCGGTCATGATTGAGTTTTCAAGATATCCCTGTCTTATGCTAGTGGCTTCACATTATCATGGCTCCAACAACGTGGTTCTTTTCTTTTACGTTTCCTTTCTTGTCTTGCATAGACCCCCTCTCATCTGTTCGGGACAGGGTGGAGTGGTTGGGAGGATGCGGATGGGAGCTGGACCGACCGATTGTGCAAAGGACGCAGAGAGACACACACACAACTTGAAGAAGAAGCCCGAGCAATCCGAATTCTCTTCCGCGCACACGAAAGCGTTGCACCACGACCGAGGGTGATGCACAACTCTGCCAGAAAATTTGGGAACACTTCTGGGCCATGGATCCTCGAGATGGTCAGAATCAATACAAAGTTTCTCATGTGTGTGTGTGGGAGGGGGGGGGGGGTGCCGTCTGCTGGGTTATCATTTTCCATCGGGGATTGAGGAAGTCCCCGGCTAGAAATGGGCAGCAGATCGGACAAATTCGTGCTTTTATTCCCATCCCTTTTCTTTTCCTTGCTTTCCTTTTTTTTCCAACAGCGTCCCAAAAATTTACCAACACAACAAGCCATGGCATGCGACGGAGAGAAAAAGACAAAAGTTTGTACACAGTATCATGAGAGCCCTTCCTTACATATTGAAGAAAAACCAGAAAGATTCAATGTGATTCAGGAACCAACCAAAAAAGACCCCTGGGTAAAAGTAGAGAATTTCCCCTTTCGCTGTGAACATTTCTTCCGACTTGTGATTGTAATTGTGTTACTACCTAGGGAGTCATGTACCTTGAGTTTGGTACATATGCAATGTGTACGGTGTAGTTGCACTTATCGGGTTCTATTGAGAATTCCTGCCGCCTCGTGGCCAGACACTTTTGTTCTGGGGGGTTTTTCCCCAATTGGCGAGAGAGAGAGAGAGAGACGTATTGCGGAGTAGTGTCTCTTTTTGCTTTTCTCATGTCAATGGCATTGGGATCGTCACAAGTCTCATTTCTGTCCACCTTCCTCTGCTTTCTTCTGGCAAGTAGCTCCCACCCCTTCATGTTTTCTCGTCCATGCGCTGTGACATTGTCCCCTTTTCTTTGGACACAAATTTTGCTCTTGAGCTTCCTGGTCTGGCCCGTCTGACTTGCCAAGGGCCGCCCAAGCCGCCTTTGGTCTGCCCGTTCCCTTTGAGTCTTGCGGCCCTGCTCTCCGCTCATCTGTAAACCGACACACACAGACGCACATCCGCTCACGCACATCCACACCCACACCAGTGCACACACCGGACACTCTGTGATCCATGTCGAGGCGGGCACATGTCACGTCCACAATCGCCCGCCCCTTCCTTCTCCTTTCCAGCCAGATTCGATCGAAGCGGGGGACGAACCAAAACCCGGCACTCGACGGTCGGTGTAGTTTCTGCAATTTTGTGAGGTTCGTGCGATTTGCGTGACTTTGTATTTCACCAAAATCAACTCAGGTCCATCTTCCAGAGCCCATCCCCGAGGTAATGGCCGGCCGCCATGGCCACTCCCTTTTTGGCCTTCTTCATCTCTTCCGTGCCCATGTCCAGTTGACCGATGAGGCAGATTTCTGTTTTTCCCTCTGCGGCTATGGCGACGACGTCTCCGGCTTTCGCCTCCTCTTCGGCATCGGGGAGTCGTCCACCGGGGGAAGTGAGGCCGGGGACCATGAGCGTGGCGCCGGACAGGACGAACCGGATGGCGCCTCGGTCGATTCCTATCGTCTTGAAGGCGTGAGGGTATTGGTGGACGATCTTGAGGTGGGGGATGATGGGGTCATCCATGTGTTGGTAGAAGAGAGGTCGGTCGTCTAGGACGTAGAGAGATACTCGGTCTGGTCTGTGGAAGGTCATGAGAAGTTAGTATGAGAGAACAAGAGCAGGCTCCGTGTCCAAACCCCTCTCACACGGTAGCGAGATGTGTGTAGACAGTAGGTTGTTTCTTACAACTTGACAAGATCTAGTTGACTCTTTTTCGGCAGGATTTCTTCAATATGAGGTTCGAGTAAGGGATATGTCTCGAGTACTTTGGCACGGATGCCCCGCTGCACCGAAGACTTGACTTTGGACTTGGCGCCCGCGGAGAGACTATACGAAGGTTGTGAGGCAGAGGTTAGATTTCTAGGAAGAACTGAAGGTACGGGGCAGGGAATGTGTGTAAATTACTCTTTTTTGAACATGGTGCACTGCGTACGGGGTTCTCAACAATTCGTGGCGGCGGCGGCGGTGTGGTGGTGTGGTGTGGTGCAGAGAGAGTGTGTATGTGTTGTGTATGGAGAAAACATGTGCGGAGAATTGAGAAGTGACGAAAGACGTTTGCCAAGTGCTACTACAGTAAGTAATACTACTGTACAGAGTACAAATGGAGGCCAACCTCATCACACTATTCGTCCTCATAAGAGTATCATTCGTCATTCTTCATCAGCTACTCGTACGCGTCGTAAGGGGTTCTTTACTAAACCACTCATGCTTGAGAATATCTCGAGTCGATAATCGATCCTCTGGCAGGTAGCACATCATTTTGGATAAGAGATCCCCCAATCTCTTGACATCTTCCTCTGCGAATGATTCCGCCTTTGTCTGTCGTTCGCTGTTAAAGTAAACTTCCCCGAGCCAATTTGAAAGTGAACCTCCATCTATCTCATCCTTGTACTGACCTATGACCACTTTGGCTTGATTTCTCCATTTCTCTGGTATTTCTCCGGTATTTCTCCAAGCATTGCAATCCACTCCAACACCAAAGGAGCCTTTGCCGCCATAACGTTGTCAAAAGGTGGTTGCCCCGTAACAAGTTCAAAAATCGTACATGCCAGAGACCATATGTCCATACGCAGGTCCCACGTCGAATCCAGCAGCGTCTCTGGAGCTCTGAAAATCAATGGGGTGCGGACCTTTGCCAGTGAATGACCGTTACAGAGGAATGCCTGCTCAAAATCGATGAGCTTCGCGTGTACCTGTCCGGTGACAACTGGAATAGGTAACGTCGCTGGCTCCACGATATGCCGTGGGAAGCTTTTGGTAATCTGGCAACCGGGTCGTGCATCGATATTCACTAGGACAGGTGGACCAAGGTTGTTTAGGATAATTGGATCCGAGTACTGTGCTTCCCTTTGTGAAACCAAGATGTTGCCGGTATAAAGGTCTTCATTTCTTTAAAATATGACTCTTGCGAAGAAGATGAGGACATCACTTACCGCCGTGTGCAATATCATTTGAGTGCAAACAGTCCAACGCAAGTGTGATTTGTTTTGAAAGCTGCCAGGCTAGACGTCCTGGCAGTCTCGAACCGCCACCCCATCGATCGACAAGTGTTGGCACACTGACGCCGCCGACATCGAAAACGAGACACTGGTGTCTGCCATTGGGTCCAATGTGATGGAATGAATCGACAAGTTTCCGTAAATGACGTTGATCTTGGTGTTTGGCCACCGGAGCCGTAGTAAGCCGTCGAAGTATTCGAACTTCATTTACAACGGACCCCTTCTCACCGATCTCCGAGACCACAACCTTCAATGCGGCGAGCCGAGATAGCTCGAGGTCGTAGACCAGCCAGACGGTCGAGTATCCACCCCACCCAAGCTTCTGGAGGACACGATACCTCCCCGAACGGAAAGTGTCGTCGATATTGACGGGGTGGTAGCCGCCAGGACGGTACCTTTCAAGCGACTCACACTCAACCTCGCAAGAGTAGTGGGCTGGGCCAGCATTTGAAACAGTACGTGTGACCGAAAGGCTGCTCTTCACGGATGATCGACTACGAAACCTTCTATAAGAATTATGGAGGAACTGTCGACGAGTAAACCAAAACAAACAAGTCATTATTATTCAAATGAATGCCATGTTACCGACTTTGTCAAGACTTCCTTGTATAGGTAGTCACAGCTGCGTGAGGAGCAAACGATCGTGACAGGTTCTCACAACACAAAAGACACCGCCAAGTCCTGCGAAACAACGGACAAATTGCAGAACAACAAAATCCCGCTGATCATCACATGTCATTATCCGTATATCAGTCGTAATCCTTGAAACTATCACCGTCGTCCTATAGCACAACCGTTGCCTTGACATGAAATCTAATCATCAATATAATCCCAACGAACGACAGAGCAAGCAACAACAACTTCTCTCTACGTCTGCACAGCCTTTGTCCACCTTGTTCCCAGACCGTCTCTCAAATCAGTCTCTCATGTATGACCGGATAGTAACAATGATCTAAACCATCCAACCGAGAAGCAAATGGGTGTGCCTCACTCTCTGTTTCATGTACATCGTTCATGGAATGGGTTCGTATGAACTTCCAGACTTGTGGGCCGCGCGGTTCGAGAAGAGGAAGTAGATGAGCATGCCGATCAGAGGGAACAAGACGACGATCAAGATCCACAGTAACTTGTGAGAGACTGGGCGATTCGATTGAAGGACCTCGACTGTTGTTTGATGACACTTTGGTTAGAAACATCCCACACAAGCCGCACTATTCTCAAACACCACATCATGCTTGGCAGTGTGCTGGGGCGGGGAGGATTTGCACATTTGAGGAGACGGAAGACACTTACTGATGACAATGATGTCGAGAATCAGAATGATCAACCCAGCGATGCCACCACCTGTACCGTAGCCGATTGCATTGCTGGTAGTGGTTACGGGTTCGTCACCTATGGGAGCCGCTGACGCAATGCTGGTGAACAGGAGGAAAAGGAAGGTGATGATATTATGCAGCATATTGGAGTTGTTGGTGATGAGTAGAATTTAGAGTAGCTTCTATGTGAACTTCAAAGCTTTCAGAGTGAACACAACGACCAGGAAAAGAAGTAAGAGTTTAAACTTCACGTGAGGATTTGAATGTGATGGGGTGATCTTGCGAGATACTTGCTTTATATACGAGTACGACGAGGACTGATATTGTGGCTGCCTAAGCTTCCCCCCGCATGACGTCAGGGTGACTCTGTGCCTTGCAGACATTATTCTAACAATCGTCATTCCTTACTGTACAGAATACCCTTGTGCCTGAGATACCTCAAAAATCATATCTACTCGCATCGGTACATTAAATTCTAAAGACTACCTCGTACGGGTACAGTTCAAGAACCCACACCAATCGCTCTGGATCATCTGCAACATGCCTTTCAATCCTTGTGGACTTTGCAACGCAGACAATCCAGAGCCTGACCGGAGCTGCTGCTGTTCTTCCCAACCGAGTAACTGTCCATGCAACCGTGTCTGATTGACTGCAGTTCGAGAGCCGAGCGCTTCGAGGTACGCGTTTGTAAAAGTGCGCCACCGTGGCAGGTAATACCCGGCTACCAACCCCGCCCATTGTCGCGAGGCATAGTCTGCGATCTCGCCAGTCGGTCCCCACAGCGTGATTTGGTTGATGGCATCGTACGTGTAGAAATCAGATATGGTGTCATTGTCTCCTGCCCACGCACGAGCTGCCGACACCCAGGATTCCAATGACGACTCAGGAACCGTGCTGGGCGTGTGGCAGAGAAGTTGGTCCAGCGTACTCAGCAGAGACAGCATCATTCTTTGAGTCTCTGTCGCGGAAGCAAGGCAAGCGTCGACGGCCGACGCATTAGAGACATCGAGGGCCGTGAGGTTGGTGTGCGCGACGAAAGACAGGTACAAGGGGTTGAACGCATTGGCCAGGACTTGACGAGTCATGTCGATCAGGTCGAATTGATATGCTTCGTTCGACCATAGCTCGGGCGTCGAGTTTGCAGCGGCTAGAAATGTTTGCCACGCCCCGACCAAGATGGCCGGATCGTACATGAGGTGTGTAGGATGGTGACCCCAGAGATCAACCAGACCTGACGCATTGGGAGCAAGTTCAAATGAGGACTTGGTAACCGCCATGACGCCGGTCACATTGGTGTTGTTGTAGACCGTGCGCATGAGAGTATCCCACGTCTCGTAGATTTGTAAGGGAAGGTCTCCATCGGTCGCATTCGAATAACGCACTGTCGCCCAGTCGTGAAAGTACGCTGCCGGGTCTATGGGAACATTTGACCACGCCTGGTCAAGCAGTCTTGGACAGTGTAAGTCTTGGATCATTAAGAGATCAGTCCATGAACTTACAGATCGTAGACGATTTCATTGCCTTCTTGTCCTTCCATCGTCAATCCGAATCCGACCAAGGAAGAAGAGTTGGCAAGGGCTTCGATCGGATTGATTGTGATATTCAAAACTTGTCCATACAGCCCATTATTTCCACCAAAGTCGTGTAATTGACACCATATCCACGGTTTGCCATAATACGAGTTCAATCGTTGCCATTGAGGTTGGGTCTCGGAGTAAAGGTCCAGGATGAGCATGTCGTCATTTTCCACTCCGCTCAAGAAGGCTTCGACGCGCTCGTTTGTCCAGAAATCAGAGTTGCTGAAAAAGAGCCATCCCTGAAGCATCCAAACAGCATCTGGGTCCGCCTTCTTCAGGCTCTGACCCACTTGCGATGCGAGGGTCTTAAGCGCGGTGAGGTCCCCGGAAATAGGATCGTTCTCATTGAATTGGTCCAGGGTGTAGACACTGGAGATGTTGCCGTAATATTGTCGCTGCTTGGTGATGAAACTCTTCTGAAGTTGGGCGAAGAGTGGGTCAGTCGGCTCGAGAAAAGTGTCATTGGTATATTCGGTGCTGAAACCACCCCATTGAGATATGTTGACCATGGTGGCGTTGTGAATTATCTCTGGCAGCACTCGAGGCACGAAACCTGTAAATGCAGGAAGTACGGGAGTCATACCCAGCTCGACCATTCTCTTCAGTATTTTCTTCTGTAGCTCGAATTGGCCGTTGATCCACGACATCGGCAATTGCCCACCCCAGGAAGACTGGATGTTGCCAAAACGATTCCATGCCTGAAAAGCTGGACCGGAAAGAAACTCCAGAATATCTGCCTGAGACAAACCGATCTCCTCGAATACCTCAACCAAAATCTTCTCAAATCCCACCCAGGCAAGGGGCAGGTTTACACCTCTCAAAGCAAGCCAGTCAAGCTGCGTCTCCCAATCCTCCCAGGTCCAGAAAGCAGCGGTGTAAGAGAACGTCACTATCACCCTGTGTCAGAAATTCACTGCATATCACCTATTTTCCTTACCGGTATTGAAGTGATATCTCCATGGAATCACGCTCGACCCATTCAGAACGGTACAGCTTGGTAGGTCGTGCACATGGTCTAGTTGACTGCCGATGAACCAGTAGATGTCAACGTGGGCGACATCGGTCAGGTAACGGCGTAGCCTGGATGCTGGTTAGACAAAACCAGACCCAGTTGTACGGTCAAATCTCACCCCGAAGCAAGAGCGCTAATCGAGTTGCCTTCAATGGCTACCTTACCATCGTTACAGCTGACAGAGTACCTATCGTTCGTTACTCCAGGAGTGTGATTTCCAGGTGTCAAGTCGAATGCGAATTTGTCGACGTGATCGGGAAGCCTTCGTTTGACGAGGTCAGTGAGGCCATCAGTAGGCGAACAGTCACTCGAACAGAGAAAGGACCACAGGGTGAGGATGATAATGTGCCACCGCATGGTTGGTGAATTTAGCACCCTGAAAAGCTATAGTCAATCGGTTTGAGGTGGAAACAAGGCAGGTAGAGACTTGCACACTTATACAAATGGCGTCTGTTAACGTCCATTGGCGGATGCAACTCTAACCCAGTATCTACCTAGGTAGGTATCCATACAAAGATCGGTTGTAGCGGTGTAGTCCGCCATTTGCGGCCATGTAACAAGCTGGAGTTACCCTGTGTAGATCCCTGAACTCAGGCAGTAATGGACCGAAAGATCGAGCAGCTACTTTGGCTGCTTACCTGCTTACCTGCTTGGCAGCATAAAGTAGTGGTTTTACTTGGACTGTACGTAAATGAGGCATACTCTTTCTGAGAGATTTAGTGATGGAAGACGCCAATGTTCTTATAAATAGAAGCGAGTGCGAGATACGCGTCTCTGGTTGACCGTAGGACTTTGAAGACTACGGTGGACGAGAGACACGTGCCGGCTTCTTCATGAGAGATCTGACGTGGACGAAGTATGGCAACCGATCCCCCTGAGATGAGATCGAGGTGGCCCTTGAGCACTGATCACAGCTTTCTGAAACACCAAGACTTCGGCATTCAGTAGATGGAGAAGCTGGCCGTCCCTTCAAGTCGAAGTTGGGAAATGCTAACCCAGATTTCGAAGACGCAGTTGATCATTGTCCACCTGCGAAGATGTTCTCCTGTGACACCACCCCCCGGTCGTATGCTGCGCACGTTCATCAGCCTTCCCACGTGGTAGAATACGAGAATCTGATGCCAAAATGATAGCCAACTTTTCTGTCACGATCGGTAGTGACTCCTGTTGTCCTCTGCCTAGGGAGTTCAAGCGGGCCCAAATACTTCAAGCCAAAGTCGCTCTCCTTGGACATCAAAGAGACAGTCAACCCAGAACAGAGCTTCCAGTAGAACTTTTGCATTCGTCCATGTGACCAAATCCACCCTTTGGCCTACAAAAGCTCTGAGATGGGCTCTGAACCAATCCTTCTCGTCCGTTTGTGACGAGACTAACGCGCCCATGACTTGGACCCAGAACAGCAGGTCAGATCTAGTGCACTCGGTTCTGAGAGTAGTTAAAATGTTTTGCAGCTGCCGCGAGATTTCCATCGAAGCCGTCCTCGCGAAAGGCGTCTCCTGCATGATGCTCTTTCCGAATGCTAACGCTGCTAGCCTGCAAGCACTGTCCACGATGGTGGCGCCTGTCATATCAAAAGTCAGCAGATCGTACTGCATGCATGTGATATCTTCTTCGTAGGCCGTGGAATCAATGATGACCCCAGTTTTAGCTGCGTAGTTCAGAGTCTGTGCAAATAACGACAAGTCGATGAGAAGGTCAAACATGTTCGGCGTCAAGTCCGACTCAACTAATGCAGATAACAGAGTAGCATCAAGAGGAAATGTCATTTTAATTGCCTTGTAAAGGGACTCCGTAGACCTTGGGGGCCGTGGCAAACGTGGCATTGAAAGTGTGTCGACCGCCCCTATGACCTCGCCTCGATACAACTTTAATCGCTTCTCCGGAGGGATGGAAGCTATTCCACCCCTGTTGCGAATCATTTCTGACATGCCTGCCGCGTGCATTGCCCACTGGGTGTGATTGCCTTCGCTATTATCACACAGCGCCAAACAGGAGACGGCACCTATTGTCGTGTCGGAATAATTCCCAGTCTGTAGACGGCGGTTGAGTCGGTCGAATATCACTTTCAAGAGGACCTTTGAGTCGCCAACATCTTGGCAGTTCATGGTTGAGATGTAGTGCATAGCGGAAGAAAGGAGTATAACATGTAGGAAAACTTCATCGTTGATTGCTGCAGGGAGCCATATCTCCTTGATTGCATTCGAGCTTACGGAAGCATACTTGCTGATTGGAAGCAATGCTGAAGCTAGCCGAGTCGGATCTGGTCGCCTGCTATCAGCCTGGGCAACCTTTGAGCAATGCGATGGGTCGACTTACAATACGATATGAATTCCTGAAAGTCGCTGACTTCAGGATCGATAAAGCTATAGAGCGGAGAAGCACTCCCAGATATACTTTGTTTCAGCATCGCTGAGCACATCGACATGCGAGTGGACGCTGTGTTTGGGGCAGGCAGCGCTAGGCCTGTCCGTCTTTGAACAACATTTCTGGGTCTTGTTGCTGTTCGCCTTCGTCGCCCGATAGCTTGTCCTGGTGATGAGATTGGAGGCTCATATTGCATAAATTGGGCGCCAGCGGTCAGTTCTTGCCCCTGTGTAGTGCCTCTGACACCTTTGAATCCAGTCGAAGTGGGCCATTGTGAAGGATGTTCTCTTGCAATTGTGATTGTGACGTCGGGAACTCCGGTTCGTTCGGACCCATACCCTAGAACTGAGTGACTATCACTGGTATTCTTCTTCTTCCTGCTCCGCTGCCAGCCACGATCCACCATGAACATAGATTGAGTGGGAAATAAGACGGCCTCTTCCGCCATTCCTCGATTGATCAGAGTGAAGATTGTTGGTCCTGACAAGGAAATCTTGTCCCTGGGATGGATGAAGATGTTTGGAGATTCAGGAGGTCTTCAAGTGTAGGTTCGTACATCATTGCCCGTCGAGAAGACAGCAAGCAAAGGCCTTATGAGTACAAGATAGAGAACATAGACACTGACGACAGGCGATGATTCACGACATTGAGGCTGACACGATGACGCGGGGAAAGGATGATCCACACCCGAGCGTCGTTAGTCAGCAGTTTATTCTCGCATAGAGGTGTGTATCAAGGGCACATCAACATCAGCCCAATTCTTCGTGATGAATGCAAGCCTTGACGAGAAGTGCATTGAATTGCATTGCTCATACCATCACGTGCTTACTTGAATAACTTCAATCTACTTCGTACTGTTGCAATCTGTTTGTCAGATGATCTGCTGTTTCATCCTGTCTATCTAGTTCCCCAGCTCCAACTCCTCTCCCTCTTCGATGTAACGATAATTCACAAGCCAGTTATAGGACACCGTCGCACATCCCCGCCTTCTTAGGGGACCACTAACCTTCGAGTCTTGTTCTGGTGGCCGCTGATCCTTCGTCCTGGCATCCTTATCGCGCGTGGCCGCTTCTACCTTAACACGAGCTTCTGCAGCAACTTTTCCAACTAGCGGGCTAGGCTAGAGAGGTACAACAAATCCAGCCCATGACCGCCCGCAGAGGCATTCTCGATGAGCGGGCGCCACTTCTTCAGTCTGGAAGCACGCGACGAAATGACGAAGGTGAGTGCCTCTAAGCGAAGTTCTCGGGTGAGCCAAAGTCTGTGTCTATGAATCGGGGATATGTTAAAGTAGCCATCGCCACTACTGTTGGTTTGGGTTTGTTACATCCCACTATCAACAAGCGAGGTGCGAGATTGGAGTGCGAGCTGGTATTCGCAGAGGCGGAGAGCACTGCTGATCAACATTGATATTGCCGAAGCGACAAATTCTATATCTACCCATCTACCTTTCCTTCCATCTCACTCTCTTTTACTGTCGCAAAAGTCTAACAATCAGTATGGCATCTCCAGGCACAGATAAGGATATTGAGAACACGAAAGACCCAGCGGGTCTCATCGCGACCGCTTCCATTGATGATATCCGGGCTGAGGCTCGTATTGCTGCCGATGAAGAACATGGCCGGGGCTTTTGGCAATCTGCCAGGCTCTATCCATCTGCCGTCTTCTGGTCACTCTTCTTCTCTCTTGGTGTGATCATGTAAGAGTCAAAGCTCGACACGCTGATCCAGATTTGACTTTGGATATATAGGTGTGCATTCGATCCACAACTGCTCGGCCAAGTAAGTTGCCCACATGTGAAACTCCTGGACTTCAGGCAGGCGGTTAGAGCACCTGGCTAACCCATTGATAGCTGTATGCGACTCCCAAGTTCCAGAAAGATTTCGGGTATTTGTACAAAGGCAACTGGATCATCTCCGCACCATGGCAGACAGGGTTGTCAATGGGATCTCCCATCGGCCAGGTTGTTGGCGCATTCTGCGCTGGTTATCCTGTGTGTATATTTCATGGCGAGATGATTTCGACTATCTTCTAACAAATCACAGATGGAATGGTTCGGTCGCAAGAAGACTTTTGGAGCCTGCGTGATCTTCACCACCGGCTTCATCTTCATTCAATTTTTCGCAAGGTCATTACCAGTCTTGCTTGTTGGAGAGCTGCTAGGTGGACTAGTCCTGGGAACATATGCCGTCATTGCTCCTGCGTATGCCTCGGAAGTCTGCCCACTTGCTCTACGAGGTGTACTCACGTCTTGCACCAACATATGTCCGCTCGTCCTTCCTGTGTGTCTGAAGCTACACTGACATACCCTCAGGTTTTGTTACGGGCCAATTGATCGCTAATGGAGTCATTGCTGGTACGCAAAGACTCGACAGTCATTGGGCGTATAGTGCTCCTTTCTCAGCACAATGGGTAACGATGATTCTCAAGGTACTACTTTATTGATAGGACCCTTGGCTAATGTCAACTCAGGTGTGGCCGCTTGTCATATTGATCGGTCTTCCATTCGCTCCCGAGAGGTGAGTCACGTACTCGGCTCAAATGTTCTGGAATATCGCTGACCTGTACAGTCCTTGGTGGCTTCAGCGTCAAGGACGATTTGAAGACGCTGAAAAAGCTCTTAAACAACTAGCGTCGTCTAAGGTCGATGTCAAGCCGACATTAGCCATCATCATCGAAACCGACCGACTCGAAAGGGAGATCGAGACGGGCTCGACGTATCTCGATTGCTTCAAGAAAATAAATCTCCGTCGTACCGAAATAGCTGTTGGAGTCTACACCATACAGGTGCTTAGTGGTATTTATCTAGTAGGATACGCTACGTACTTCTTTACTCGTGAGTCGTGTATATCCCTCACGATAAACGCTTCACATACTGAGAAAATCCAGTCGCCGGACTGCCGACTGACCAAGCGTTCAATATGGGCGTGGGATTCCTGGCTGTGGGATTCGTCGGAACCTGCTGTTCCTGGGTTCTGCTGGTCCATTTCGGACGGCGTACAATCTACAACTACGGCCTCGCAACGCTTGCTGTCCTCCAATTCATTATCGGCATCCTCGACTGCGCACCCAACTATGACAACAGACCTTCGATTGCATGGGCCGAGGCAGTCCTCATGGTGATTTGGAATTTCGTTTACGACATATCCATCGGTCCAGTGTGCTTTGTGTTGCTTTGCGAGGTGTCGGCCACAAGAGTCCGTAGCAAGACCATCGCTCTTGCAACGGCAGCACAGGCGACGGCGGGTATCGTCATGACAGTCGCTATCCCATACATGATTAATGCCGATCAAGCGAACATGCGAGGTAAACTGGGGTTCTTCTTTGGAGGACTTGCGAGCCTGTGTTTACTCTGGGCATTCTTCAGAGTTCCGGAACTGTGAGTACCTCTCTGAACACGGTCGACGAGTTGCTAACTTGGACATCTATAGAAAAGGAAGGACGTACCAGGAAGTCGATATCATGTTCGAGCGCGGCATCAAGACCCGCGAATTCAAGAACTATGTGGTCAGCAGAGATTGAGGACGCTGAACCATGTTGGATATGTGGGTTCACCTTGTTATGTATGTGGCTGGGTATCACGTGTTCCTTCCATATTGAGACACGCAAGGCTGTTGTCTTATAGGCTGGTGATCAGTACGATTAAGAGTGACCATGTACCAAAGTGATTTCATAGTGCCTAGTCGTGTCTATAACGCCCTCGTGTTCTTAAGCCGTAGATTAAGTGGCTTGGTCGTGTTGAGTCTGGAGCATGCCGAGTAATTATCATGTGCAATACGCAGTGCGGGGAACAAAACAAGCAGAATCTTGACCTCGTCCATGATCTCAGAGAAAATCAACATTCGTTGCAGCAGCCTAGAAAGAACTCTTTACACCGAGCAGATCCTCATTCTTCCCAGTCTTGTTCAGGTTCCTTTCTTTTACTCTCCTCTCCCTCATGTCTTGAGCTCGACCTCTACTATCAGCCATGGCGAGGCTATCCAACCCCGTCGCCTTCACTCGCTGGCCTGTAACTATCCTAACCACAGCGGTCTATCTCGCGATTACTATCACATTGATCATTGTTCACACAGGCGTGCCAACTCCTCCATCTTCTGCCACACCCCTACATGGCATCAACTTGACCGAGGCATGGGACGATCTGCAGCTCCTCACCTCCTCCCGTCATCCTTACAATACCCACGCCAATGACAAAGTCCACGACTGGCTTCTCGCCCGAATCACGTCTATCTTGGAGGAGAATGTGGAAAGCCCCTCAGGCACTTCGGCCAGGCCACCGTCTGTCTATGTATTCGAAGATAACACGTCGAACTTGACATACTCATCGGGCGGAATTTCAGGAGTTGGTGGTACCAGTGTCTACTTTGAGGGCACAAACGTTATCGTCTACATACCAGGCATAGAAGATGATTTATCACAATGGTGGCTAGAGCCGAATGGGAAACCTTCTTCTCGAAATGCTGTCTTGGTGAATGCTCACTACGATAGTGTCTCTACTGGTTTTGGTTCCACAGACGATGGTGTTGGTGTCATATGTGTGCTCCAGCTGTTGAAGTACTTCAGCACACCTGACAACAAGCCTAAGAATGGCGTTGTCCTTCTACTCAACAATGGCGAAGAAGACTTTTTGAACGGCGCCAATGTGTTTGGACAACATCCCATGTCCAAAGTGGTCAGCAATTTTCTCAATCTTGAAGGAGCGGGTGCCGGAGGGAGAGCTGCTCTTTTCCGAAGCACCGATGATGCTGTAACGAAAGCTTATGCTCACTCAAAATACCCCTTCGGCTCATCTACCTCTGCCGATGGCTTTGAACGGGGCCTGATCCGTAGTCAGACGGACTATGTCGTGTTCAATGGGAAGCTGGGTCTGAGAGGTCTAGATGTAGCTTTCATTGGACCGCGAGCACGATATCATACTGATCAAGATGACTCGCGACACACAGGTAGAGCATCACTTTGGCATATGCTTTCCGCAGCGGTAGCAACCACTGAGTCTTTGACCTCTACTTCCCTGGAGACGAATCTGGAACCTGGCAACACACCGGGCCACCGGGCTCTCTGGTTCGATATGTTTGGCCGAGCATTCGCTGTCCTCCGAGCCCATACATTCTTCGCTCTCTCTGTCACGCTGCTGGTGGCAGGACCCGTCATCCTCTTGATCACGCTGATATTACTCTATCGATTTGACAAGTTTTACCTCTTTTCTGGGTCAAGGGAATACCATATGCCAGATGGGGAGGATAAAGTTTCCTTGTATGGGTGGCGTGGGTTCTTCCGCTTCCCAATGATATTGCTTGTGGCGTGTGCAGCGCCAATCGCTCTGGCATATCTTTTGTTCAAGGAAAACCAGTATATTGCGCACAGTAGCGAGTGGGCGGTTTGGAGCATGATGATTTCATCATTTGTCTTTGTGGCATGGTTCCTCTGCCGAACTGCAGATTTTGGGAGACCGTCATCGCTAACTCGGGTGTACGGACTGTCTTGGATGTGGCTTGCATGGTGGGTATTCTTGGTTGTTGCCACTGTTTTCGAAGAACATCTGCACTTGGTCGGAGTTTACTTTGTTCTCATTTACACCGCTACTCTCTTTTTGGCCACATGGCTAGCCTACCTAGAGCTCTTCTCTTTGCCAAAGAAGTCGACATATTGCCGTGGTAAGGTTGGAGACGATTCTTCTACGGCGCCTTCGCGCAGTAGCTCAGGAGCGAGGTACGGGACTTCCGCTCCAGGACAAGAGGAAACCGGCGAAGATGGTGGAAACGACGAAGGTGAGCCAACAGAGAGGTCCAGCTTGTTGAGAAGTCGGGGACGATCGACCTTCAAGGGGTACCGTCCAGAAGGCACTGAACCCAGCCCAAGTGCGAAATCTAAAGACGACAAGAGCTCGCAGCCCGAAGAACAAGAATGGAGCAAGTCTCAGTGGACGTCACTTTGGCTGCTACAAATGCTTGTGGTTGTGCCCATCAATCTGATCATCGTTGGCCAACTTGGATTGCTGACTGCCGAGGGACTACATCAGACTGGCCAAGATGGGAGCTCGATGTTCTTGGTTTACATTATGATGGCTGTCGCGACGATTTTGATGTTTTCTCCTGTCGTCCCAATCCTGCACCGATTCACCTGGCATATTCCTATATTCCTCCTTCTCGTTCTAATAGGCACGCTGTCATACAACCTCGTCGCTTTTCCATTCTCAGCGGACAACAGGCTGAAACTCTTCTTCGTTCAGCAAGTCGACCTTGATACAGGGGACAACTTGGCGTCGCTTGCTGGAGCCACCCCTTTTGTGCGCTATGCCGTAGCAGAACTGCCTAGTGCGCCCGATCGATCTCTCGATTGCATCTCTTATGGACCGGACAACAATCTCGAGAGATGTTCGTGGCCCGGCATCCCACCGAACGTGGCGAATCCTACAAGTTCGGTTCCTCCCGAGAAACGGTACAAGAGCTGGCTGAGTTTCAACGCCACCCGGATTAACAACAGTGACAGCAACAACGAGGCACGTTTCGTCATCTACGGAAAAAACACACGAGCGTGCAAAATCGTGTTTGACTCACCGATCAGTGCATTCCATGTCGAAGGTCAAGCACCTCGCGACAAGCGATTCACCCCCGTACCCGAAAGTGGAAGTACAGAGGTCCGACTGTGGTCGAGGACCTGGGATCGTGCTTGGACCGTTAACGTGTCGTGGGCAGATTCTGCTTCGGGCAAAGAGGGGGATGACGACGACGACGACCAGGACGGGCACAAGCTTGCACGCAATGAGACCAACATGACGGGCAGGGTTGTGTGCCTGTGGAGCGATGTGAATCAGGTGGGGTTGATTCCTGCATTCGACGAAGCCGTGCACTATACACCGGACTGGGTGGCCATCACGAAAGCCAGCGACGGCTTAGTCGAGGGCTACAAGAACTTCAAGGTGTGAGTAGTGGCTTCGTTTGAGTCTATGTGGGAGATGTAGAATTTGATTTTCCATCTGCACGAGCTTGCGACGGGTATTCCCACCGGGTGTTTGGTGAGGGTTGTATCATGTATTATGATTTTTGTCTCACTCTTCTGGGGGTTTGATGCATACTAGTATAGCACATGGGCGCGCAAATTGAGATGTCTCGTTTTTGAACACACCTCTAACCAGGGTTTGAACATAAGAGAGATCTATTATCGCCGCAGGGCATTAGCACTGGACTCGGGGCCGACTTGGCTTACTCCGTAAGCTCTCCAAACGTCCCCTGCTTGGATTTGTGACCACGAAACGACCTCGTCTCGGATTTGGGTTGCTTATCCCGTCTTGCGAAACGCTCCTCTTATCAGTCTCACACCCAGCCGACCTTTGAATGGGTAGCGGAACTCCAGATTCCCGTGGCCAATGCATCACTGGGATGGGTGGGGATTGGCCTGCCGCTGTAGACTGCGAGGGTACTATCAACGCAGGCTTAGAGAGCAATCGTCTTGGAAGTGGTCGAAGCCTATCGATTTGTAGTCAGGGGCTGCCTCAGGGATACTCTCCGTCAGAAAGGATGTATTCCGTTGCTCTGTGATGGAATGAGCATTGACTTGTATGGGCTTTCGGCGTGGTGAGCTACTAGGCAGCATAGCTCCGAGCTACTCGTGAAGGCGTCGGCAGGGTCTGCACCTCGCGGTACCATGCCCTGTTAGCACCTTATTCAGTGAAGCTTTCGACTATCAGCTGTTGATGCTGATCAGCCGACGCTGAGCAATGGTCGCGCCCAAGTCTTCGTCTCTCCCCTTTCAGTCATTTTGGCGTAGTTTAGCCAGAGCAGCCATGACGCCTTCGCTCAGTTCAGGTTCTTTTCTCGCCACGGCCTGTGCTACTTTTGGCTTTTCCGCATCGGCCAGGTTCGATTCGGCTTCGACCATTGCTACGAGAGCAGCCTCGTCCTCGTCCAGGCCGTCGTCCATCGGGATTTCCTCGAGCCTGGGGCGTTTCTGCCCTCGAGAACCTTCGGCCGGGTCGGCGACCGAAGGTATTGATGTGCCCTGCCTGCTCAGAGATGGGACAGTGCTGATCGGAATGGGTGTAAGTGTAGGTCCAGCATCGGGAGTGAGTGGAGCGCTGTCTCCATCAGAATACATTGTGCTCTCTTGCCTCAGCAAAGCTGCATTTGACTTGGCAGCTCTCTTGACTCGGAACGGCTCTCGGACGGTTGTGGTCCAGGCCTTGACCTTCTTCTCTCCCCAGCCCGGCACCAAGGCCAACTCTTCTGGTTGTGCATTCACGGCCGCCCGCAAGGACCCGAAATTCGAGATCAAACTCGCAGCATCCGTCTTGTTGATGGTGCGAGGAGTGGTGACGAACTCGGTCAGACTTTCTTGGTAGGTCTCTGCCTGATGGGCTCGAATCGAGGCGGGCGAGGCGTGCTCGTAGGACTTGAAGAGCTCGAGATACCGACCGGCTTCTTGCGAGGACCAGCAGAGGATCAGGGTGAGGTTGTTGATCATGGACGTTTTGGACAACTCTTTCAACGCCTCTTCATGATTCGTGATATCTACCATGGTCAGCAGGATGCGCAGGTTGTACAGTTTGCCTAGCTGTCGGATCCGACTGTAGATGTACTCGGGGTGCAGCCGGTGGTATTTGAGGGACAGGAACAGTGCACAGGTGGTGGCACCGAGCACATAGTCACAGGGAATGTCCGAATACTCCCACGGTAGTGATTTGACATGATTCAAGATGGGGTTTCCCTTCTGTCGAGTCGAGACTAGAATGGCCGAGGGGCCTTGCCTGCCAGGCATTGCCTGCGGCTTTGGCTGGACAACCTTGGAGGCATTGTTGACAGCAGGGTTCGCCGTCCGCTGAGGTGCAGCGGATGATGATCGTTGTACGGCAGCCTCTGCAGCAAGAAACTCAGCATCATCGAACTCTTCGGCCATCGTTATTTAGGCTCCCTGTAGCATCTTGTTGTGTTAACTGGAGACGCGGAGGCACAGACGCGGGTGTGCGCATGAATGAATTAATTAATTGATTGATTTGAATCATGGCCAAGACGCGTCTGCGCCCATGAGATCATCATCATTACTGATATATCGGTAATACAGAGGACACCAACCCTGAAACCCCTAAACAATGGCGATAGGTAATACGCCCACCTATAATGAAAAGATATATCTACACAATATTGAACTTGTCGAAACCTCACATCCCGTACCTATTCCTCATCGCTCGAGCCATTGTCATGGTCATTGTGAGGTCTGTTGGCCTCAACGGAGCGCCTCCACCAATTCTCAGATTCGGAGACCTTCAATTGCGGATGGATCAAAAGTCTTTTTGACTTGACCTTCTTGTCCTCCCATGTACCATTGTTCTGGAGGACGGACACCAAGCTTTCATGGGCCGCCATAGTAGCCCTATGGTGCATTCCGAGTGTTTCTGCCCGGGCTTCGGTCACCAACCAGTATAGTCTCTCGGTCTCGTCAAGGCGGTTGAGTTTCCGAAGAATGAGGGCTTTTCGAATGAGCAGCTCCAATCGAAGTGGATGGTATTCCCCCAAAGGTGCCACTGCCGCTGCAAGACTTTGGTCAATCGTCTCCAAGGCCAGCAAAAACTTCTTCTGACGACCTTGAGCTCTGCTTAGCGTGGCGAGAACGTTGATGGTCTGCAAGTGAGCCAACCCAAGGATCTTGGTCGAAATGAGGGATAACCTCTGAAGATGTTCTTCTGCTTCGGCAAAGAGCTTGTCGGCAAGGATCAGCTGGAAACTCAGACAATATAGGGCCACAATTGTGTGTGGATGTTCTGCTCCTAAGCGGTGTTGGAAAGTCTGCCATACATGCCGCAGAGTCTCAGTGTTGACGGTACATGCTCTCATCTTCTCAATGCCGCCAGTAGCAGCTATCATCCATGCTAGCAAGGTACTTATTGGATCTTGGTTCCCCAGGGCATCTTTCGCGGTTTCCCAACACGCACTCATGACCATCCCCGCGATGCTTCCCTCGGCGTGCACGATCATCCAAGTCAGCATTGTGCTAGCACAAGTGAGGACAAACGGACTTTTCACCAGACACATTTGCCGAAACAACATTACTGTTTGCCTGAGGCCTTGACGTCCCATCTCCCTTCTGCCGGCTGCATGAAACATACACGCCAGCATACAGGCTGAATCGTAAGTTGTTGGACGGTCTGCTTGCTCACTTATGGTCGCTGGTCCGTCATACTTGACCGCCGAGGGTTGGGTAGACACAATCGCTGCACTCCCACCTGCCAGTTGCTGTTCGCTCTCTCCAATATTACATCCATGCCTAAATTCAACTTGATTTTCGGGCGGACCGCTCAGTCTCAATCGACTATGGTCGTTGGCTGGAGGCCTCGAGAAAGATTCTTCTGTTCGACTTGCCGGCCTGGGACCGCTCATGTCCAAGTCTGGAACCTCGCGCCACTGTTGATCCGGCGCAGTCATCTCGTACGACTCAGTAAATGCTGGGTTCAAAGGATCCTCGTTTTGCGTCAGACTAGGCGAGCGATATGTTTTGGGACCTACGTGTTTGTCAGCAGGGGTCCTTCATACGTCGCAGGCCCTAGACTGGTACTTGGTGCCGTTTCTGCTAGACTGCCGTCTGCATGACAGAGGTGCATGTATCCAGGTATCGGGATCTCTGAAGCCATGGCCTCCGCGACAAAGGCATCCTCGTCTTCGCGATGGGCTCTCAGATATCGTCTGAGTTCCTGTATCCTGCGGATTTTATTGTGTATGAGCATGAAGGTATCATTCATGCCGGCTTCCAGTCTTTCTTGGTAAGACTGCATGAAGACGAGCCAGTCTGCCCGCGTGGCGTTCTTTCCAATGTTCCATCTTTTCAGTCTGGCCTTGTACATTCGTTCGCTGAAGAGTCAGTGTGTCAGGTTAGGTAGGCGAGACGGATAACCCTTACGTCGCCGTAAAGCCACGGTTCTCCATTTCCTCCATCACCTCAGGGAGGGAGAGGTTTTGAACAAGGTACAACTCTTCGATGTCTTTTCTGACATCGCCCCAAGGACCTTCAGGTGCTACCACTGTGGTGGGCCGGATGGCATAATGATCATCTAAGATAGCTTTTTCTTGGTGCAGGGGGGCTTTGTCCATGGTTGACAGCATGTAATTGCTTCTGTTTTCACTCGAGGTTGTCAAATTTGGCAGTGGTATGGCTCTACTCATTCAACGTCATCGATTATGATAATGCACAGGATATCATTCATTTTACCTTACCTTTGACATGCTTTCCAAGTACAAGTACAAGCAGGATTTGAAGCAAGTGAGTCCTAGAGCTATCACAACACCATCCGCAACTGCAAGACCAAAACTCGATCGAGGCCTAGCGGGCGGTACGCTATGTATGGGGTTCGATGCCACGGTCGGTATTTCATTATGTCGAACGGTTGCAACTCCAAATTACCCAGCCCAAATGCCGCCACCGAATGAGAACTGCAAGTCAGCCTTCAGTAGTGGCTGCCCTTTGGGCACTTCTGCGTATTCTCGCTTGCAGAAGGCAGAGGAGGCTAACAAGGCTGACTTGCATGATTTAACAGACCTTTTGTCATGCGTGGCGCTTGTGGTGAACCTTTTCGATCACGTGATGCTGGATGTACCATGAGTGTGATACAGCCTCGCAAGATGGACCGGTGAAAATGCATGGTATTTCCTGCCCCGAGGACTCTTCACGAGATGAAGCGGTGAAAATACAGTGCATGGTACTTCCTGCCCCGAGAACTCAATGATTATTGCATTACAAGCATTTGCGAACAACAAATGTGCCAGTATAAGTAGGGCCATATTCCCAGCCTTGCCACTCTACTGCTACCCGAAACAAAGCACTCCTGAAGTTCTGGTTGCTGAAAGCCTGTATATTTTGGTATATCCGAGGCTTGCACTGGTTATTGTTTACTTTTCTTTGCGTGGTACCGACACGAATCGTCCAGTCCTGACAGGATCTTTCCACTCTTCGTTCAGACACCGCTGACCCGTCGTCCAGGTGTCTCCGAACCATTTCATAGACCAAAAAAGGGACTTTTTTTATATTTGAGGACTGTATCTCAGGACTGTATCCAGAAATATCCACATCCCCAAGGACTATCTATTATCCCGGGATTCTCTTATATCCACTCATATCAGTTGCAAGGGAGCTTTTAGGCTCACTTTTGAGGTGTATTCTTTCCGACAAAGCCCTTGGCTAGGACTAGGACCAAAGCCTTAGAGCCACGAATCCCAAGGCCTATTTTTCTGGATATTCCTTGGCTTCCTCATACTGGCCCTCTCAAACAGAATACGTTCATAATAGATGAACTGCGTCCAAACTCCCTTTCAAACCAGGACCGCATGACAGTATCCCTGAATCTGTCCGCCATGGAAATAACACTGGCTTCATCAGCAATTGGAGTGACGAGCAAAATAAGGTACTACACATTCTCATTTCTCTCAGTATATCTGAGTATGGCCGTAGGATTCTGGATTGGTACGACTCTTGGTATCCTATTGATTTCTTCCATTTGACGTTTCACCCGCTAGAAGAGGTCGATGTGCATGAGGCCAGTCATTTTTTTCTCTTTTATGAGGACATTCGCACCACAATGCAGCTTTCTCTCGGCAGGTCAATGAAATGCGATTTTGTGGGGGTTAACGAGGTACGTAACAAGCTTTGGATGACCCCTAAGTGCTTCGCAAGATACCGTGTCATTTTGAAAGCGCCCACCGATGAGCAAGCCCTCGGAGCCTACGGACTGGTGTTGATGACTCTCCACCTCGTCGCCGAGATCGGGCTTTGTCCATCCTCCTCGGACCTCAATGGTTTCAATCTGCTCGCATCATATACCGTGGGAATGGAAAACTGAGAATCATCCTACATTGACATTGTCAGAATGACGAAACTGTCACTATGAGATTCAAACTTTGGAGTGGTTAAGCGACGAGTAGGAGGCGTTCACCCGAGGCTTTCTATTTTCAGGGGCTCGGCCCCCGCGATGGCGTGCACACTTCTTTTTTTCTCAGTATGTTCAACACCTAGGAATTATTACTAACTCAAACAAAAAGACCCTACACCACGGCAATCAGTCTACAAGTGTTGGCCAGGGAAGCAGTGCGCAGAAAAGTGATGAGAATCACGTCGACCAGAATCGAGAAGCAGAGCTCGAGACAAGTTTTCCCTATTCATGCCATGTTCGAGATCCTCATAGGTCCCGTGCATGCGATAGGCAATATCAAGATGAAGATTTCCAAAGAAGCGAGGCATGTGGTTTTCACGCGAAGCAGGTAATGTGGAACCTTTTATTATCATTGCCGCCAGATTCTAAACGCTGTATGGTTGACTAGTTTTCAGAACATTATCATCGATGACAAAAAGTCTGCCGGGAAAGATGCAGTTATTTCCTTGCGTAGATGCAAAGAAGCCATAAATGACTTACATACAACCCGAGGACTTCGTCGAGAACAATGTATTTACATCGCAAAAGGTTGCACGCATATGTTGAACCTATGGACAGTGTTAACTCTGGAAGAAGAAAGACCGAGGTTAATTTACCCCTTTCTACTTGCAAAGAGAACTCTAACTTAAGTATGATGACAGTGAGGACAACCGTGATATGACGAATGATAATTACACCTCAAGAAGCACATCATTACGGAAGAGGAAAGAGCCGGATGACGATGACACAGATGGAATGTACGGCTTTAGTAGAGCCACTGACAACGTTTACAGCATGGGTGGACCGAGGCGTTTTCAAGTCAGAAAGACATATTCGTCCATGTCGGATCGTCCCAAGAAGTCAAAGGAATCAAGATATCAGATGGGTAGCACATCGACAGCAGCGTCGAAGCAGAGAGCGCCAGCACAGATGTCAAGGTCGACATTGATAATGTGGAAGGCCGTCATAGAGCGTACCTGCAAGGTTCACTGCCACCACAACAGCCACGAGAATGAAGATCATTGTTCAGACGAGATTGAGCCGAAACCCGACGGAGGAGATCTCACGATTGTCGAAGCCGGTTTGACCAGGAAGCGGTTATTCCTTTGTGTCTAGGATGGTGGTTTGCTGCAATATTGGGAAGAGAGTGGAGAGGTGGGCACCAATGGACAGAAGCTGGGCACTTATACGTCGTTCTACCTGTGTTTATTTCCCTAGAAGTTGGCAAAGAAATTGACGGGAAGGGTGTCTCCGCTGTTAAGCAGCAAGTTTTCGTTGATATAGCACTCTATCGACAAGGTCGTTTCAAGAAATTGTTTCAATGATTTTACTGTTCTATATGTGATCCGTGATCTTTGACCATTCTCTGTAAGCAAAACCACCGGCCGCGGTACGTTCGATGGCCACCACTGTATCCGCTTGTCCGCCATGCTCCTTGAACAGGTCCTCTATGCCTGCCGCCGGGGCAGCCGCCCTCCCACGCTCGAACCGATCTGCCACCAGACCTGCGGTGCTCAGGCGCGCCTGCACGTCGCGCACCACGTCACCGTCGCCTCCCGAGGAGGTCGACAGTGCCACGCACGTCAGCACGATCCCCAGGACCACAAAGGCCAGGTTCGCGGCGAGGAGACAAAACAGTGGCGCCATCGGCAGTCGAGTCACGAGTAACGAAGAGCGTTCCTGGGCCGCCACGGCCGGTGAAAGCTGGACCGACTGTGCGCCCACGCCCAACGCGGCCTTGCTGTACGCCACGGCGTACTGGTCCGCGAGATCCTGTGCGGACGTCGCGGTCGAGACGGCGATGAGCGCGGCCGTCTGGAGGTTGGAGGCCGCGACCCCCGTGGGCCAGATGGGGACCTGCCATATCGTCGCGACCGAGTCGTTGCTCGGGGTGGTGACGAAGCGGGTGATGGTGCCGTTGATCGAGTCGTACTCGACGTCAAACATCCATATGCTGCACGAGAGCAAGAAGGCCAAGCCTCCGTGGACCGGGGTGATGACTTCGTCAGAGTCTGACAGCTTGGAGTTGCCGGCCGCTTGGAATTCGGCCGCCACGGCGTAGTGATAAGGGTTCTTGACACCGAGACTGGTGTCGTTCGAGGCCATCGTGGAGTCGGAAAAGTATGATTCGAGCCACTTGTCGACTTCGAGGTCGCCGGCAAACGCATCAGTACATCGGAACGGCGTCGATGCGCCCGAGTTATGATTCAAATTGCACGCCTTGGAGGCCGGCTTGCATTCCGTCCTCATCCCGAACGTTGTTGCGGTGTAGTCGTGACTTGTTACGGAACTGCCGCCGGACTGAGGAATCCCCAAGTAGGTGTACCTCTCATCGGGACCGTTGCTGTGCACCGCGATGCTGTCCGAGACGTTGTTGAGCACAGTGAGCGATTGGGTCGGGTCGAACAGAAATTCACCTGTGCTGGATTGAATGAGGTTGCACTGGGTTCCGCGGCTAGCCATAGAGTTGTTGGTAGTCAGGCAACCCGGGACCAGAGTCAGGCTGTAGTTTGTCGTCCCAGCTGCTGGACTCGTGTTCACGAAAGAGACCGTGGACGTTGTGATATGGAGCCAGGTATCGGCCAGAAAGACTACGATTCTATTTGAAATAAGGTACTCGGTCAGCCAGCTTCATCTGAGGAAATTCCCGTTTCCTTGTTTCAAAGAACCCAGTTTTCCACAAACAAACCTAATTCCAATATATGCAATACCTTTCTCGCTGAAGTACATGGGAAGGGGGCACTCAACTAACCCTAGTATCGTGACGATCACGGTCACAAAGGCGCTTTCCGTCAACAGTCTCGACTGTATTTGACGTTGATGTTTCCACCTGACCAGGTACCTCATCCAGCTGTACAGCGCGCCCCATCCCCCGCCACCCAGGAATTTGAGCGACAGGGCGAACTGGTAGGGGGTGGGCAGGGTCGGTCTCTGGTCTTGAATCTCCCGCCAGTAGTGTCGAGTCAGAGGGTACGACGCCAGAGTCATAAGGAACCCCAACAGCAATGGGCCGACGCTGCTCGACCAAGACGAGATAAAAATCAGGACCGTGGCGCTCAGGTTGACGTAGTAGACTCCGTCTTCGTCGGTCGCCCCGGGGGGACGCAGACGCTCGAGTTGCCCCGTCGTCGAATGCGTGACTCGGTATTTGTAGACGAGGCCCAAGAGGACGGCGCTGAATGCAAGCATGGGGACCGTCACAATCGTAAACGCCGTCCAAATATCGACGAGCCGGCCTGACATTCGTGGGGGAGTGTCCCGTGCCATGATGGATCGAGGCTGCGTGATAGTATTCCTGCTGCTGCCATGAGGAGGATCACCACCTCTGTTGAGTTTGCGATACATGGCAAAGCAGCGTGCCGGAGGGTCTGTTGAATGAACCTAGCTAGACTTTCAGCGACTCCAAGACGACTTGTACTTAGATACACATCGGAAAAAGGGTTGTTGGCCGATGCCAATACTGGTGGAGGAAAGAAGAGTACCCACGGATACCTAGGTACGGAGTACAGTATATTGGTCTATGTGTAGGATAGGGAAAACGCCCGCCATACTTGGACAAAACGGTCCACCCCCAGATAGGGGCCAGACAGTACCGAACGACCGAGGCTGAGTTTCACGTAACAACGCGTTCACATGTCTCCTACGGAGTACAATAGATTTACTTTATTCCGTTCTGATGCACGAGATACTGAAAAGGCCAATGATGAATAGACGTGAGAGATGGTTACAGGGTATACTACCTATGGAAGTTATTCTCAGTTAGCAAATATCACTTGTATTTTATATTGGAAAACCTATAAAAGAGAGAATAAGGCCCAAATCTTTAGGGGTTGATGCCTATAACGTCGCTAAAAGTTTAGGCAACATTAGGGGCGAGTTATCGGTATTTGCGCCTATTTCAATAGGCGTTAAAGTTTATAAGGTCATATCTTCCTTGATCGGGAAGTTTACCTCGTGCGGCGCGTTTTACTGTACGCCTGTTTAACGGTTACAATTCCAGTAGCCCGTGGGGCATTTTCCATTTCCGCTCCCCTTGATTTCAACATGCAGTTTCATAAGATGAGGGCCTTAACAAGCCTCCTCATCTCGCATAAAACTTACCCAAGTTACAGCTCAAGGCGCAGCCAGTTCATCAAGATCAGCCCCCTGCACTTACTCCGTACACGTGTGGTGCTGCTATTGGTTATTCCTGTAGATCAAGGTCGATTTCCAACCGTGACGGCCCCCAAAGTTCAAAAGTACTTACTCCGTGCCAGGATTGGTTTTATGTCTGCCTGAGACACACACATATAACGGGGGATATCCGTACTAATAGCTGACGTTGAACAAAGGTAATTCCATACGCTGAGGTTAGATATGTGATGAAACCAGCACCGAAACCTGTGCCTCAAGTCTTTTTGTCCTCTGTGCTTGCAACAATACTCTCTTCAAGTGTTCACTATTCAGGGCCCTTCTCAACCACCTCGTAAGCCTTAAGAGTGTCTGTCATGGCTCTTTCGGGTGCGTGGTTACCGGTTCAGACTCCTTTTGATTTTCCTCAAAGCTGGCACCAACACCAGAATGTGGCGCCGCTGCCTACCACATCACCACCACGCCCGACGCCAAGTCCAAACCATCCTCATAAACGACAGATAATAGAAAAGACCAGTTTGACGTCGGTCTGTGGTTATGTCAGCGGAGATAAATGTCAGTTTAGAGGCCATCTTTTGCGATTGAACTGCAGAATGAACGCAAAGTGATGAGGCTCCGCGAAGAGTATCAGGAGTAATCGACTGGTTCTAATGGTCCCACAGCAAACCCAGTCACCTGTCCCAGCGGGTCGTACTGTGGATATCAATATGTACTTGACGTGGTGGGTTGTTGCGCGAGCTATCACACAACCTCATCCACACAACTTGTCCTGGATTCTTGCAATTACAAAATCGCATGCGTCGACGGTGACGACGTTGACCAGGGAAACTGTGACGAGGAGTGTCAATCGAATGACATGATATTGAAATGGTACTGTAGCACAAAGGAGAAGAAGACCCTCAAGCATGGCGAAGCTGTCGTTGGACACAGAGACTAACAAGCAGGCAATCTAGTACGGACTCCTCAGCTTCCTCCACTAGGTGCAACACATACACTTATTCCTTTCAGGGCATCAATAGCTATGCCTGCGGAACGTTGGAACAGTTCAACGTCCAATTAAGTTTCACCACACCCGGTCAGACAGAGAGCGACCCGCCCTGGGTAACGACAACTTATACCGGCATGTCGTTTCCCAACGCAGGTGGAGGAGGTCCTAGTACAATGACCATGCCCGCTCCTCAGGTCCAACAGGACGAGACCGAGCTTGGACCACATGTCGGCGAGATCACGGCAGCGGTGGTGGGAGCCAGTTTCGGTGTTATGCTACTGGGCATCCTGGCATTGTTCCTCTGCCTTCACAAACGGTCGAAAACGTCCAACACAGTCAGGTTCGCCGCCAGTCAAGATATGTACGGACAGCCACTCGTTCCAACTTTCACCACCAATTCTCTCGAACCACAGTATGCTGACGGAGGGCCCGACTCGATAAGTTCAATACCACAATCCTCGAGGGGACGAACGCGGTAACCTACGGGAATCGAACGCCAGAAGACATGGTCAATCGACGTTGTATACAGGTAAAATACACTTGGTATATATTCCATTTATAACCAAGATCATTCTGGGTAAATGAGCTCAGGCTTCGTTACCCACCTTCCCGTGATCCAGCTCCGAAACTCGGATCCTCTTCACCGGAATCTTCGCAATGCTCGCTTTTCGTGGATTGCGCGCTTCAAAGATATCGTCAAGCTCTTCCAGTGTGCGGCCTTTGGTCTCGACGTAAAAGAGGTAAATGAAACAGAATTCAAAGAGATCCCAAAAGGCAAAGAAGGCGTAGAACCAAAACTTGATCTGGTATAGGGAATCTGGGGTGAGTCATACAGCCAAATAGCGGTAACATGGTATGGAGGACCTCGGAGGCCAGAGGGTACATGAAAACGTTGAAGGAGAAAAGAAGTAAGATCAAATAGGGCAAGACTTACATTCTTCAGAGCGACTGGCGCCGCAAAGGTGTTGACAAAGCTTGCCACTCCCGCCGTCAGTTGATATATTGTCATTCCTTTGGCACGCATTTCGTTGGACAGGACTTCGGCCGGATAGATGGGTTGCATGGATGTCATGGCCAGAGCAAATATGGCGCCAAAGATGTAGATGAAGGCGATCGAAGCCGACGAACTGATTCTGCTCCCCGTGTGGACGTATCCAGAGGCGGTCCCAGCGGTGATAGCAAGGCAGATGGACATGCCAAGCGTCACACCCATCAGCATCTTGCGACGTCCGACCACATCATGGAGCCGTGCGCCAATCATGGCCGGTATCCAGCCACTGACGGCGTAGACCACGTTGAGCAGGAGTTGGGTGTTGGTGCTTGTAATGCCGACGTTGGCGACGAGGTAAGGGAGATAGTAGCTCGCCACGTTGTTGCCTGAGAATTGACCAAACCAGCTGAACGAAATGTTTAGCATCATACGATAACGACGTGATCGACTGTTGAACAAGGTCCGGAAGTCCAGAAAATTACGCCAGGTCAGAGGGTTGACTTCTGCCAGGGACTGCACCATCTCCTTCATCTCCAGTTCCACGAGAGGGTGATCAAGGTTGCCATTGGTGTGGAGGTCGATGATTATTCGGCGAGCCTCCTCGTATTCTTCAGCGCCGATCAACCTAGTGTAGGACGATCAGGTAGGTGTCAGTCCCCATCCATCACATTACTTGTACGAATGTGTTCACACATATCTTGGGGGCCGATGGTTCTGTTACTTACCATCTTGGTGACTCGGGACAGAAAAACACGCCCAAGCAGACTGTGCCTGGACAGATCATCTGCAGCCACAATGACAATCTCCAAGCTATAGTTCCCTTGTCGAGGAGATGGAGATTTGAGCCGTATACGGCACAAGTGGCGATGATGGCACCGAGGTAATAGAGCGTGTTGTACAGACCCGCGATGGTTCCCCGGTATTGCGGCGGAACAATTTCTATCAGATACATTGGGGCGGCGACTGTGGCGACGGTGGCCCCAAACGAAAGAAGAAATCTGCCACCGATGAATCCACTCAGTGTCGGCGAAGTGGCTGTTATAACTGCTCCCACGCAGGTGAGAAGACATCCCCCGAAGATCGGAACTCGCCTGCCTCGCCAATCTGCCACCCAGGTGAAGAGAGCTCCAGCCATCTGGCCAACCTGGAAGATGGCAAAGACTATGCCAGTTGCACTGCTGCCTTCAGACGGGAGGTTGTAATAGTCGGTGAAACTCTTCATGGCGTTGATAGATCCCATCAATTGGCCGTCAAAACCTGGAGCCCTTAGTTTCAGCTATTGTGATGGAATTCCATATTCACCATTCATTGTCGAACATAGGTAGAGCAGCCCACATATACCATACAGGCGAAGGTATCCAGGACCCCAAGGGTTTGGTTTATGCCCTCGAAGGGCATCTGCCAAGGTAGTCATGTCTTCCCTGCCGTGTGCATTTTCTTCCTCATGAACACGAGGCAGGTCCATGAGTTTGAGAGGGGGTTCCGCCGTGCCTCTGACGGAAGCCATTTCGTTCGTAGTGTGGTAGTGTATGTCAGACTCAGGGTATTACCTGCTTCTTTTAGCATCACTCTGCACCAAGACTTATATACCGCACTCTATGCAACGCTGCGATCCCAGAATACTCCCAAAATGTATCGCCAAGAGGTCAAAAGTTCCACATACCCATGGTCTGTCCGCACCAATGACAATGATAATGCATATTAGTATCCTCTGGCCCCATGTATCCATAGCAATTCAGAAACCCGGGGGATGCGAAGCGGAGAGGTTGGAGCCGGAGGCGAAACAACACATCGGATGTCCGTTTTAGGAAACGGAAATGGGCGAGATGAGAGCTAGGGGACGCCGCTCGAGTAACCGGCCCAAGTTTTGGTCGAAGAGACCTGATTGATACTCATTGAGATAGCAATATTTATCCCTCAAAGCCTCTGTCAAAGCTTCCGTCCCAGTTAAGCGAACTCAAGAAGCCGCCATTCTGATCTTGAAAATTGCCCCAGCTCAGGTCATAAAAGTTGTCGACGAAAAAGTCGCCTCCGATCGGCATCGATCCAAATGAAGAGGGTGTATCGTCCGGCACTGCATGCAGATAAGTCTCGGTCTCTCCTATTAATGGTTCTGGAGGTACATGCGAGGCCTCGTCCCCCGCATTCAGGGGCGTCGGAGGAGAGTATGATATTCCTGCCTCATATAGTCGTTTCACAACTTCCAGTGATCTTTGAGCAGCAGGGGACCATCGTTCCAGGCTAGTGAATGTCTGCATAGCGGATTGTATCTGTAAACTTGAGCTTTCGAGCACGACCGAGTCGTTGTGATCGCAATACAGAGACAAGAGCGGAACCATGCTTGCCTGGTATAATAGCCATGTGGCGATCCACCCAGAGATCTGACATCGTCCGGAAATGTGCCATGTTTTCTCGATATCCGAAATGAGTTCGGCGGCTAGTTCGCGGCATTGAGTGATTGCTCTCCGTTTCTCTTCTGAGATGGTGGTCATGGAAGACCTAGAAACTGCGTACCACAGAAGTAACGGCCGATAGACTAATACACGGGCGCTAATGCAGCGCCAGCGCATTATATTCATGGCAGTGACTATACCAGGAGAAAATCCTGATAAATCTGGGTTCACCCGGTCCCTGCGAGAGGACGAGTTCTGGAGCCACTCACGAAGCGACGTGTCTAATTCTGTCCGGTTTTTTGTACCCAAGATAGGCTTTTCAGCAAGGAAGTCTTCCATACGGGTTGTGACAATGGAGCAATCCACATTCTCTCGTAGTAAAGTTGTGATAATTCCGGAACCACTCTGGTTGAGAAGCGTTAAGAATGTGCACAAATGCAGAGAGGAAAATATCTCACTTACAATGGGTTGTTGTGGCTTTTTAGTTGTGTAACCTGGTCCAGCACGACCCAAGGTTGGCCGCCCCAGGAAGATTGCAGTCCAAGCATCCATAATGATGATGCAGTGCCATATTCGGCGTCTCAACTCAACTGTGCTCAGAATTTTGGGATCATTGGAAGCACTTGAATTGTCGAGATAGTCGCGATGAAGACCGATCGCAGTAGCCATGCGGAAGACGACCCCACTCAGGGAATTTGCCAGCGTTGGTTCATTGTTATAATGCAGATACAACCCACTCAAAATTGCTAGTGCTTGAACGGTCTCAATGTGAGCAGAACCAAGCAAGTCAATCGTCAGATATTGTTTAGCGCGGCCATAGAAAGCACAATGGGTATAGTCGTCAGCTTCCGTGGCAGCGACACTACCCATTGCCAGGACAGCATTCAATAAAAGATGCCACCTGGAGTCCGTGCGCTTTCCTTCCGCATATATCTCACGAAATCGATCCTCGTCGATCAAAGGGATTATAGGATGGACCGCCCGAAAATAGGCGTTGATCACAGGTACGTCCGACCAAAGCGCGACAGACCTTGGCAAAGTCGGCGCATTATTTTGGATCTGAAAGGCACGAGATTTCGCTTCAGCACCGTTGTTCCTTGTCTCTCTAGGAGTAAATGCGCGGCAGGTCGGGTCGAGCGATAGTATCACTCGTAGAATCGCTAGCACCGATGATACCCCCAGATATGAAGAGGACGGCCTCAGGGACAAAGAAAGGGCATTGACGTCATCTGTAATTCTCGGAGTCGTCGCAGGACTGGCCGAAAAAGCTGCACCTTCGTCTTGGCTGTCGGAGAGCTCTTCAGGAAATGACTGTAGTTGCTCAAGGCTTCGTTCATCTCCAGGAGGGTCGCTGTCATCATCGGCTCCATGGTGAGCCAGATTGTGCTTATTCAAGAGCTCGATCAGTTCCTCCCTAGTGTACTGATCTAGCTGTGCTGGAAGAATCCTGATGATCGGCGCTCTCCTTTCAGGTATATTGCTGGCTGAGTCCAGAGCTGAGCCCATGGTAGCTCTGGTCTCCATCAGCAGTGATTTCGGAGGAAGCGGAGAGGGCCACTTGCCTATCTAGGCTACCTGATGTACGGCCAGGCGGTTTGTAAACACATTCCGAAGGTTTGTTGCGTGACAGACACGGTCTACAGGGCTTTTGGCCATCGCAACGATTCTTCCGTCGGCGGCAAGAATCGCATGCCCGTGGCACTGGTTTCCTTCTCTTTGGGGGTGCCCGCACAGCTCCGAAAGGCCTCCGAATGCCCTCAAACGTGTGGAACATTACTGTATTGGCATGGGACGAGCTTGGAGCCGACCTGGCAGAAGCAGAATTGACAAGTCCGAAAGAAATGAGATGTCTGTCGTTCACACTGTACTGTTCATCACGTGCCAACTAACTTTTTATGGTAGCCCGGAAGCGCCTCCGACGGCCTAACTAGGAAGGTCTGCCTCCGCTACTGCACAGGCCCACAAGACGGAATCTAGCACATCTCGGGTTATGCCATGGACATTGCGTCCGGAGCTCATTAACATTTGGCCAATAATGAATTGGTGCCTAAAGCATCGAGATTGAATCCTGGGAGCTGAAATGAGAGCACGGTACGGAGTACGCGATCCGCTACAGCCTTACCCCGTGAGGCCAAAGATAAGCGCAAGAGATCCTAGCTACAGGATGTCTTTGCTCCGTGATATGAGTAGGCAATCAATGATCACTAATATGGTATCGATCTGACACATATCTACTTCAAGGTGTGCCTCTAGAAAGGACCCTCTAACTTCAACACAGTTCGGCGACATCTGATAGTTTTGGTAACACCAGACCTTCAGCATGGGAAGTTTGGGTCCTAGAAAACCAAGAAATATTCCTCTTGAAACAGGGTGGCATTTGAAAGATGCGTCTAAGTCTCAAGACAATTGGATTCCGGTGCAGAAAGTTCCTTCTGTCGTCCACACCGAGCTTATTCGGCAAGGAAGGTATGCCTGACTAAGTCCACTTCACAAGGAAGAGTCTGTTGCTGAATGACTTGCTGTTAGAATCTCAGATCCTTATGTTGGACTCAATGAACTAGATGTTGAGTGGGTTGGCGAACGATCATGGGTCTACAAGGTGGCCTTCAACACTCCCGAAGTTGCTCATGGCGAAGAAGTCGATCTAGTCGTGGAAGGTCTGGACACTTTCGCTGAAGTTGTTCTAAATCAGAAATGCATCTTGAAAAGTGCCAATATGTTCATCGGTCACCGTGTCAACATCAACGATCGACTTCTTTGTGACGGAACCAATCAACTGGAGATAGTATTTTCGTCCGCGCTCGAGCAAGGGAGATGTCTAGAGAAGGAGCATAGCAAACACAGGTTCATCGCTCATAACGGTGAGACCGGGCGTCTTGCCGTGAGAAAGGCACAGTATCATTGGGTAGGTACTCATGTCCTTTGTCGAGACGAATGTGTAATGACCATGTTTTAGGGCTGGGATTGGGGCCCAGTTTTGATGACTGCAGGGCCATGGAAGCCAGTCCGACTGGAAATTTACCAGTCCCGCATTACTGATGTCTGGACAACTTACGAATTATCTGATAATCTGCACGTACTTCAGGGAACGGTGCACTCTCAAATTCAGGGACATGCAGATGTCGTCCGGTTCCGACTTTTCCTCGATAATGAAACTCTTTTCGAGACCGAGGCTGCTCCATCCGCGGATGGTCAAGTCAAAGTCGACATCACTCTAGGTGTGTATGGTTGCTCATATTGGATAGTGGCTCTAGCTGATTGACAGACAGATAATCCAAGACTGTGGTATCCTATTGGATATGGCTCACAGCCTCTGTATACATTGATAGTCGAGATCCTTGTTAACCACAACGTCCGATATACCACAACAAAGAAGGTCGGTTTTCGCCAGCTAGAACTTGTCCAAGAAGATGATGTCTTCGGCACGAGCTTCTACTTCAGAGTCAATCATGTCGACGTGTTCTGCGGCGGATCTTGTTGGATTCCGGCGGACAACTTCCTGAGCGAAGTGTCAGAAACAAGTTATCGAAAGTGGCTGAACCTTCTAGTGAGAGGGAACCAGAATATGATCAGGTGAATGGACAAAGCTCGCCACATTGATACTTTCAGAGCATTAACAAACCAATTCTTAGAGTTTGGGGCGGAGGTGTCTACGAACAAGACGTATTCTATGACTTGTGTGATGAGATGGGAATCCTCGTCTGGCAAGACTTTATGTTTGCCTGTGGAAGCTATCCTACGTGGCCTGGCCTCTTACAAACCATTGAGGATGAGGCAGTCTACAACTGTCGACGCCTTCGACATCACCCATCAATTGCCCTTCTTTGTGGAAGCAATGAGGACTACCAAATCCAAGAATGGTATGGCCTAGACTACCAACAGACCGATGACCCTCAAGAGTGGTTGAAGTCGACGTTTCCAGCGCGGTATATCTATGAGTATCTCTTGCCCAAGGTGGTTGCAGCAGAGGTGCCTGGTACTCGATATTGGCCTTGTTCTCCTTACACAGGAGGGGGTAAAAATTCTGGAGACCTTACCATAGGAGACATCCACATGTGGGATGGTAAGTTTGTATCCTCGTATAAATCTGGTCCGATCAGCCATGCTAACGACACGATATCAAAGTGTGGCATAACAAACAAGAAAAGTATCAGAAATACTGCGAGCTTGGAGGACGGTTCAACAGTGAATTTGGACTTGCCTCCCTTCCGTGTCTGGAAACCATCAAATCTTTTGTCACAGATCAGTCTGAAATGCATGGCCAGTCTGTGACTATGGATTTCCATAACAAGGCAGATGGGCAGGAGCGACGTATCGCTACTTATGTTCTGGAGAACTTCCGCCAAACATCCGATTTTGAGGTTCGTGTAAACCTTTTGGAAGCGTTGGTGGCCGAAGAAGTGAAGCTGATCAGGATTATAGACGTGGATCTATTTGACGCAACTCGCGCAGTCCGAAGCCATGATATATGCTTATAAAGATTGGCGAAGACAGTGGAGAGAACCAAGACTCAGACAATGCGGCGGGGCCTTGGCATGGCAGCTCAATGACTGCTGGCCGTGTTCATCATGGTCAATTGTTGACTATTACCATCGGCCCAAGCCAGCTTATTACGCCATCAAACGTATACTGAACCCCATTGCAATCGGTGTTCGTCGGGAACATCATGACTGGAGTAATAGTCACCTGCGTCCACAGCCACTCCAATACTGGCTTTGGGTGATGAACAGTGGTCATACTTCCATCAAAGCAAAGGTCGAGCTCAGATTCGTTTCTATCCAGACAGGGAGGGACACCGAATCGACCATCACGAGAGATGTTGAACTGATAGGTAATGGAGTGACAGAGATACTAGAAGGACAGCTTGAAGATAAGAGACAGCATGCTGTCGTCCTGGCGGCCAGAGTCTGGGTTGGTGGGCAGTGTGTCTCTCGGGATGCTGACTGGCCGCAGCCATTCAAGTACACGCGGTTCCCGGAGCGTGGCCTCTCCCTCTCCGTCCACGAGACTCACCTTGTCTTATCAACGGAGAAGCCGGTGAAAGGCTTTGTCATTGAAGAAAAGGATGGTGTACAACTCAGCGACAATGGTCTTGACCTCATGCCTGGTGATCCACAGTCTATCAAGATGGAAGGTTTTAGCGGAGGGATGGATCAGATCAAATGGAGATTTCTTGAATAGGGTCAAAGGCGTACAGAATGATCTGACTCACTATACTCAGTGGAATGAAGAAGGTGATCTCGCAAGAAGCCGAAGCATACCTCGATATCACTTCACTGCTCGATGCTAAGCTTGGCGGTTGTACATGCAAGGTGCCCGCCTCACATTCACTAACTATATCGTAAAAAGGAAACAAAAACAATTTCAGCAAAAAGTTATTTGGAGGGTTCGAAGCCCCGACCGTCTGCAGCGGTCGGGGCTCCTAATACTTATCCCGACTATGACCATTCACAGATCTCAACTCCCTAAGGAACGTATTACTCCGTAATACTTGAAAAGATTGCTACAGCAGTCATGGAAACCTGCCGAAGACTCCCAGTTTAATCCACTAAGCAGCTGGTTTCCAAGGATAAGCCCACCTCCAAACCACTTAAGCCAAAGGTGCATTGCGATGCGGTGAGTCTTAGTAGTGGCCATCCAGGCAGTTCCTTTGTTGAAGGCAATTTCAATGGAATAAATATATATAGTATTAGTTACAGAGTGGGGCATAGTGACAGTGAACTTTCCTGTTTAGCTTTAGCGCGAGGCTTCCTTGGCATATTCAAATAGGGGCTGTGCTACTCTCACTCAACCTCTTGCCATGTAATCGCTCAACAACACCGAAGACACCAAACATCTCTACTCCTTGTCGCAAAGCGAAATTTATCATTAATCTTAGTCATTTGAATCCTACCACAATTGAAGCATTGAGAGCTCATCCTCCGGACCTTCCCCAGACGTCTGTCATGACCGACTCTACTCAAGGCTATGACGGCAACAAATTGGACGAGCCAAACACCGAATTCGAAGAGGTTGGTTAACTTACAAAGTAACTCTCAAGTAGTTCTACGCATCCACCCACTGACGTGTGAACAGTTCATCAAGAGAAATCCGCCCCCTAATATTGACTGGTCCAATGGTCCGCTTTGCAAACTGATAGGCCAGGCGATGGTAGAAGAGGCCGCGAGATCTCACAGCATACCACCTGTGGGTGTGAAGCAGGTAGAAACCACCTTTAGGGCCGACGATGGGACTCATTTGAGAACAAAAATCTACCAACCGGCCGATTTACTATCTGACCAGGGTCGTCCACTGATTGTTCTCATCCACGGCGGAGGATTTTGTATCGGCGTGCCTGAGAACGAAGAGATAACTGCACGGAATGTCGTCCAGACGCATGGCGCCATCGCAATTTCTATCGACTACAGACACGCCCCTGAATACAAATTTCCCTACGCGGTCGAGGATGCCTGGGCTGGTCTCCGATGGGCTGCCAAAAACGCCGCCTCGTACGGCGCAGACCCAACCAAGGGCTTCATAGTCGGTGGGAGCTCGGCGGGAGGCAACCTCACCGCAGTTCTGGCGCACCTTGCACGTGACAAAGGTCTCCGTCCTCCCCTGACGGGTCAGTACTTGGCCATTCCATCTGTCGGGACCGAGGAGGAGATCCCCGCCAAGTACCAAGATCGACTCAAGTCGTACACCAAGTACGCCGACTCCCCGGGCCTTTCGGTCGCCGCGATCAATTCCGTCCTGAAAATGTATCAACCTGACCTGAAGGACGGAGCACGCTTTTGCATCGTCAATCACCCCAAGGGACACGCATATTTGCCCCCTGCCTATTTCCAGATTGCCGGTGCCGACACGCTACGTGACCAAGGCTTGGTGTACGAGACGGTTCTTCGCGAGGAATATGGCGTGCCCACAAAACTGGACACCTACCCTGGCCTGCCGCATGGGTTCTGGAGTGCATTTCCCACTCTGTCCGCGAGCAAGGCCTTTCGACGGGACCAAGTCCGTGGCTTTGGGTGGTTGCTCAACTCGGAACCGCGTGTCGAGAGACTTCAATCACTAGAATACGATCGCGTGGTCTCGATCCAATGGACCACCAAACTATGGATACTGTGGGTTGTTTTGAAGGACAAGCTGACCAGTCTTTGGGCTTTTTAGACGACGTGTTCTTTGGTAGTTCTCTTTAACCACCAAAAAACAAGATTCAAAAAGTTGGCCTCGTGATAGACTCGAAAGAAGTTGCGGAGGGTTACAGTACACATAATTTACGATCTTGGTATTATTGAAAACATGAAGGCGGTAAACCAAATCCCCGGGCGGAAAGATTTGGTTTGGTGTGGCGGGGCCGCCCACTCCGATATTGCCATTCTTGGTCGCGGAGGGCCGGATTGGGATGTCCGGCCCGACTACACAAAACCCGTACATTTTTGCACCAGCAGATGGAGGGACCACTGATTTCCTTTTTAGGCGACCCCGGGCAAAGGAAAGAATTCAATTTCTCTGAGCACACAATTAAGAGCGGAACTGAGTCCATCAAGTCAAGCTTTGGACAGCTAGAGAAGTTCTAGAAGCCTTGTTGCAACGCATGTGGCATCTCCAGACTTTGTCTTGAAACCCCGTGGATATCTATTTAGATATCGTGGAGAAGTTAAGGCGGCTTCGAGGCACATCTATCCAGGCCCATGTACAAAAAGGCCCGTGTCTCCCACCACGGTCTGGTCTGAATGCAGCTTGCTTCAAGCTTGATATCTCTACCACCTCTCTTTTTCCTTCTAAAAGGTCTTTCGATCAGTGGCAACTGCGCAAGGCCTGGACGGTTCTCTACGACACATAACAAACATGCCAGACTCATCACCCTCAAGAGCTAACGAGGGCTATCGTCGAAGCAACACTAATGTCCTCGTCTACTCCTTCATCGTGGGCATCGCTGCCATGACGTTCGGATTCGACCAAGGTTTGACGGGTGGTTTTCTGGCCATGCAACCGTGAGTCCTTTGTCCCTGTCTGATGCGAGCCCGTACTGCGAACAAGTCAAACCCCGCTTTGCTAACATAGAAGCCCAGCTTTCTCAAGGACTACGGATACTTTGAACCTGCGCTGGGCGGGTATGCCATGACGGCGAGATCTCAGACACTGATGTATGGTATCGAAGTTGCCTGCATCGGTGGTGCTGCCATGGCGGCCGGATGGATCGGATCTCGCTACGGTCGCAAGATCCTCCTCTATCTTTGTGCCGTGTGCGCCATGATCGGAGTGGCAATCCAGATCGTCCCGCATTACCCTGTCATGGTGTTCGGAAGGGGCATCATGGGTCTGGGTATCGGGTTTGCAGCGAACGGCTGCCTCGTCATGTGGAGCGAGATGCCACCGGCTCATCTTCGTGGCTTGATCATCATCTTTTACCAGGTGTTCCTAAACATCCCCAATTTCATCGGAGCCTGTGTCAACGAAGGCACTCACACGCTCAAGACCGCTTGGGCTTATCGGATTGGTCTTTTGGTGGCTATCGCTCCCCCTATGCTACTTCTGGCCTTTCTTTGGATAGTGCCCGAGTCTCCACGTAAGTGATTCCTGTTGTTATTTTTTGTTGGCGTAGAATCAAGGCGGCTGACGATGGGGCGTCAAAAATAGGCTGGCTAGTTTCACGGGGCAAAGTCCAGCAGGGCAAAACAAACATGACCAAGATCCGAGGAGAAAGTTGGCCTGAAGAAGAAATCGACGAAGAGATCAGAGAAATCAGTTTCTTCGTCGAAGTAGAGGCCACCGTGGAGAAGTCCACCTCGTACCTTGACTGTTTGAAAGGAACGGATTTGCGTCGGACCATGATCTCTCTCCTCATCCTTTGCGGCCAACAGTTCTTTGGCGTGGCGTTTTTTGCAGGGTACGCTCACCACACCGCATCATGATCGAAATTGAAAAACTGAGTCACTGACCGGGGCTAGCTTCCTAACTTATTTCTTTACTCTGGTTGGTATCAACAATGCATTCTTGGCCACGGTCATCTCCAACGTATGCTCCATCGCCGGAGCGGTCGGATCGTTCCCCATGGTCAAGTACTGGGGCCGAAGGCCAATCTTGATCTTTGGTGGTATCATTCAGTCGTTTTGCATGGTACGCGTCGTCTCCTGTGCTTGCTGAACCCAGAATTTTACTGACTATCCGGATGGGTAGATGGCGTTCGCCATCATCTCAGTAGCTGCACCAACAAGTAGTGCTGCCAGCAAGAGCGTCATCGCTTTCATCTCGCTCTTTCAGTTCTCGTACTCCTTCACGTGGGGGACTGCGGGAAACGCCCTGGCGGTGGAAGTGCTCTCTACGAGACTTCGTTCCAAGGCGATTGGAATTGCGTCCAGTTGCAGTTGGATCATCTGTTTGGGTGTCACGTGTGGTAGTCCGTTCATGATCAATCCCCAGTACGGCAATCTGGGCACCAAGATTGGCTTCGTTTTCGGCTCGACAGCTATTGTGGTGACGCTCTTGACCATTCTTTTTGTGCCAGAAACAAAGGTGAGTTTGGACTTGTGTAAATCTCAGTCGTTTCCCGACGAACAGCAATCGGCTGACAAGGCACTTACCTCCACAGGACCGCACATTGGAAGAAATTGATGAAATGTTCCTCAATGTGAGTATAAAATACCTTCTTTGTGATCTAGATCGTGGCCATACTAACGGAGTGTATCAGCGTGTCCCAACTCGAAAGTTCAAGAGCTATATTTGCACCGGTAATGTTGGGGATTACTCAATCACGCAACATGAAACCAAAAATGTTCTCGAAAAGGGACATGCGGTGGTGAGCGAAGTTGATCACGCATGAGTGATTTGGTTCCCGTTGATGTTGTGACTAGAAGCCACAGCAGGCTCATAAAGTCAATGGAGTGTTACTGAGATAGTTGAGATAAAAGTCGTGAGATATCAACACTGCCAAAATACTAGATTCATACCTTTCCCAGAAGAATGAGGACATGAGATACTTGAAATACATCTCGTAGTCGGTGATTAGCTTCGTAATCGTACTCGTACTCGTATGTGCGGAGAATTCAAAAGTTGGAGAAATTTTTGGTTGAGAAACTTCAAACCTGAATCCGTAGCGTAGTTTATTTTTCTTTTTCTGGCTGAAGTGAATTTACTCAGTACCACCAGGAAAACCAGGAGAATATGGAGTCCAGCACGAAGAGAAGAAAGTTGTCGGACGACAATTACGAAGCCGTCCCTCCTAGTACTGAAAAGCCAAATACCCAAGAAATCGCTACTTCTAAAGAGCAGCGAAACTCACTTTTCGTCCGCTCTCTCCCTGCCTCCGTCACCACAGAAAGACTCGCCGAGCACTTCTCGCAGTCATTCCCTCTGAAACATGCCGTCGTAGTGGTTGACCACGAGACAAAGATTTCGAAAGGGTTCGGTTTTGTGACCTTTGCCGATGCCGAAGACGCTCAGGCCGCAATCGAACAGTTCAACAACACCACACTAGATGGCAGAAAGATCAAAGTGGAGGCTGCGTTATCCAGACACAGAGAAACCGAGGAAGGCTTGAAGAGCAGTGAGAATCGAACCGCAGCAGAACTGCGAGCACAGCGCGAAAAGGAACGGGCGCAGGTACAACAACCAAGGTTGATTGTGAGGAATTTGCCGTGGAGCATCAAGACTGGAGATGACCTGGCGTTACTTTTCCGCAGTTATGGAAAGGTCAAACATGCAGTTGTCCCACAAAAAGGTCCTCGAGTACAATATGGCTTTGGCATCGTGGTGCTGAGAGGCAAGAAGAATGCCGAGCGTGCAATTGCCGGCGTCAATGGGAAAGAGGTGGATGGCAGGACGCTTGCAGTTGATTGGGCAGTCGACAAGGAAACTTGGGAGCAACAACAAAAGCAACAGCAGAATGACTCGGAAACGGCAGTCCAAGCAGCAGAGCAGGATGCGACTGCAAAGACGGCGTCTGACAGCGCTGAGGATTCTGACGGTATCGAGGATATTGACAATGATGGTAATTCCGAAGATGAATTGGATGACGAGATCATGGACGACGTTGAGGGAGTGGGTTCAGAAGAAGAGGGTTCTGAAAACCAATCGTCGCTGGACGAAGCCAGCGAGGACGAGGAACAGCACGACCCGAGAAACGACAGCACGATTTTCATCCGAAACCTACCTTTCACAGCAGATGATGACAGCCTCAAAGAACACTTTTCCTTATTTGGTCCTGTCCGATATGCACGTGTTGTGTATGATCCGGAGACAGAACGTTCCAGGGGTACTGCCTTTGTCTGCTTTTACAAGGTCGACGATGCGAAGGCTTGCGTTAAGGACGCACCGAAGCCTCCATCCGCGACGCCTGTCAATGACAATGACAAGAAGCGCAAAGGAGAAGCAGTGAAGCACTCGATTCTCCAGAATGAAGCTACAGATCCATCGGGTCGGTACACGCTTGAAGGTCGCGTTTTGCAAGTGTCGAGGGCACTTAGCAGAGGAGACGCGAATAGGAGAGCCGCCGAGGCAAGTGAGAAGAGAGATATCCGCGACCGAGACAAGCGCCGACTTTATTTGTTGTCGGAAGGGTCGATTCCCAGGGGGTCCAAATTGTACGAGTTGCTAGGGAAGCCGGAAATCGACATTCGCGAAAGCAGCGCTCGTCAACGACAGAGCATCATCAAGAACAACCCCAACCTGTGCTTGAGTCTGACGCGATTGAGTGTGAGGAACCTGCCGAGAAGCATCGACAGCAAACAACTCAAAGCTCTGGCTCGAGAAGCGGTCGTGGGCTTCGCCAAAGATGTCAAGGCCGGTCTTCGACAGGCTCTGAGCAAGGAGGAGCTCCGCCGGGAAGGTGACGAGATGAAGGAGGCAGAACGGCAGCGGAGGTTTGCCGGCAAGGGTATCGTCAAACAAGCCAAGGTCGTCTTTGAAGATCAAAAGGGGACCAAGGTCCACGACGGCGCGGGCAGAAGTCGAGGGTACGGGTTCATCGAGTACGCCAGCCACCGCAACGCCCTGGCCGGGCTGCGCTGGCTCAACGGACACATGGTGAAGTCGTCCGACGGGGAGCGGGGGAAGAGACTGATTGTCGAGTTCGCCATCGAAAACGCCCAGGTCATTCAGCGACGCAATGAGAAGGAGCGCAGGTTCAAGGAGAACAGGGGGAAGAAGGTGCACGAGAATGGACGAGGTGACGAGAACCGGCGCGACGGGTCGGCCAAGGAGGGCAAGGGCAAGAAAAGGAAGCAGCGTGATGGTGAAGGAGGAGAAGGAGAAAAGGAAAAGAAGACCACCGGCAACGCTGTCGACGGGGAAGAAAAGAACAGCCTTGCAAAGAGGAATCGTATCATAGCAAAGAAGCGACAGGCCAGGAAGAACCGAAAGGGTTGATTTGGGGATATAGGAAGCTAAATAGATGGAACAAGTCATGACGACTGGTCTGTCACAATCTGTCTACACATTCATTCTGGGTATTCCATTCGATTTCATAACCAAGGGTACTATTCAAAAAACATACTGGAGCGTAATAGTACCGTAATCCTGCTCCCGGCTTTGGGTAGTGGTGGTTGGTACACTTTACCTTCCCCCTTCCAACTTGATGCGCTTGACACTCGCGAGTCGTTTACGAAGGATCCGACGTGAAGCGTCCTTTGTCCATACCCTCGTTGTGAGCACCGTCGACCTGTGAAGAAAGGAAAAAAAGGTCAAATCAGTATTTGGTTCGATGATTCTCCTTTGCTCCGGTTTTTCTTTTTCTATACAATTGCGATACGAATTTGTGTGTTTGTTTTGTTTCTTCTTCTTGGTCTTTCCTGGTCCTTTTTGGGGGGCGGGGGGAGGGGGGGTTCTCATTCTTCTCTTTTTCTCCGTGTACACGTCTCTCTCTTTCTCTTTGTTCTCTTCTCCTTCTCATTCGTGAATGCGAATCGCGCGCGCGCAAAAGGGTGGGAGGGGTATTCAAAGCTTGTGCGACGAGGAATCATCACTGACCTTGCCGACAATGTTGTATCGTTTGCTGAAGAATGTATACCACTCATCCAAGACGGTCTGGTACTTGTCGTCCAGGTCGCCCCATTCGGGAACGCAATCTTCGGGTTTCAAGCTCGAAAGGGCCAAGGCACGAGAAGGGTCTTTTCCTGCAAAGACTGTATGACCAAGAAAGAAAAAAAAAGTCGTAAGCTTATACCCTCCGTGCTCCGGTAGGGAAAGTCTCTCCTAGGAGGCCCCGCGGGGTATGCGACGCACCATGATATTGACCCTTTTCGCCGTACGCGGAATTCTTGGAAACATCAAACACGGTTCCCTTTATGGCGACGTAGGTAGGTTTATCCGGATTCGTGCCTAGAACATGAATCGATCTCAATCAGCCTGCTTCTTCTTTGTCATATCCTGTTTCTTTGGAAACACGTCCTGATAAAAACACGGCACGAACACCGGGGGATGTGCATTCATGCGCCTGTACATGTATATATTGTACGCCCCCCCGGGGTGTCGCTGCCTTACCGTCACATTTGCTCAACTCTTCGAGGGTGATGAGGGTGTCCTTTGGAGGATCTAGTTCGACCTTGACCTTGGGTTCGAACTTTTTGTTTTCGGAATACGGGGATGGTGAAGTTGGATCCGCCATGTTTACGGTTTGGTGCGATGGCGCGCGACGGGTGCGACGACGAGGAGTTGAAAGTGGTCGGTTTCGGCGTCGGTCGGATTCCTTGTAGGGGAGAATGGAGGAAGCGGGTACGGTGACGAGTAGTCAATCGACAAGTTGTGAATAAGGATACGGAAATTCAGTAAATTGACAAGTTCGAAAAAAGGAAGAAGAGAGGCTACAAGACGCAGATGGTCAGTGAAATGGTAATGTAGTGGAGGGTTGGACCTCTAGTGCTAAATGTGGTAAACCGCGGAAACGAATGATTACATACTTTGCGTGTCAATGGGGAACCAATACTACGGTAAGCAAAGTACTCCGTAGAGGCTGAAGATCCGCAACGTAGTTTGGGAACCGGTGTGAGTGGGAGGGAGTCTAGGAGCGAGACTATTTGCGAGCTTTGCTGCTGCGGATAAAGAATGTAGCAGGATGGAGGGGTTCGTGTCTGGTGGTGGTGTGTGAGTTGGTCCGTATTGAAAATCGCGGGGCAAGAGAAAGTCCATGTCAATGCCTTGCATACAGTAGTACTCCGTACGGAGTTTCTTACATGGGTCTGGAGCGTATGGGATTCTGTAGTGTGTGCGTGTGACAGATTACTGAGCACAGACACTTCGGTAAGTTCCCAGCTTTTCCCAACAACCTCTCTTCTTCGTATGAGTACACATCCCATACTGTGGACCGACTCTTGCCTTCTAGATCCTCGGTACTGAACACTCGTACGGAGTACTATAAGACTTGGTCACTGATGACACATTTCACTCGACATCATCACCATCATCATCATCTTTCTCCAAGCATCCGTAATCTGAAATGGAGCTGTTACTGTACGGAGTATGAGGGCTGAGGTCTTGGGGCTCTCACTTGTTTGATCCTCCCCCGCAAATACATTTCCGTAGCTTGTTGCCTCTTATCACATACCTTCGTACTGGATGGAAGATATTTACTTAGGTACCTAGATTAGGTACTTGGGTACGGTGTAGAGTATACATTTTTGCTTCTGAGGTAAGTGATATATATACACACACGTAGATCTGTTTGTTTTGCTCTCAATCTTCCTTCTTGTTCTCCTTCAAAGGTTTCACAGGAGTCTCGACCATCAAACCCATGAGAGAATGGGCAACCTCGGCCGCCGCGAGGACCGTGGTCTCTCCCGCGTTGTCATAAATGGGGGCCACTTCGACCACATCGGCGCCGACGACCTTTAACCCTTCGAGCCCATCCAGGATACTGAGAAGTTCGCGAGTCGTCCACCCACCCACTTCGGCCGTCCCCGTCCCCGGCGCGTACGCAGGGTCGAGGACGTCAATGTCGACCGAGATGTAGACATTGGTGTCACCCACTCGTGCTTTCAGTTTCTCAATGACCCCCGACACACCAACCTTGTCGATGTCTCTCGCCGTGATGATTTCGAATCCGCATCGTCGGTCGTTCTTCCAGTCGTGTTTCTTGTTGACGGCGGGCGCTCGTATTCCGGCGTGTGCGGAACTGTTGAGGATGAGGCCTTCTTCGTGTGCGATGTGCAGGAACGTCCCGTGGTTCAGTCCCGCGTAGTCCGAAAGTCCACCCCCGAGGACCTTGGGGTCCCAGGTGTCGATGTGACTGTCAAAGTGGATCACGCTCACCGGCCCCCAGTGGTCAAAGGTCGACCGCAGTGCCACGAGCGTCGTGGTGTGGTCGCCACCGAGGGTGATGACGCGGGGGACGGTCGAGATCTCCGTCGCGTTCGCCGGTCGTCCCGAAATGACCTTGTGGGCGGTTTCGAGTTGTTTCAGCGCCACGGTGTTGTCCAAGAAGGTCATGGGCACGTCTCCACAGTCCACGATCCGCGCCCACTGGAGGAACTCGTTCTTGTGCGTATAGGGACTCCAGTCCATGGGCGCACCGATCCTTCGAGAGCCGCTGTTGATTTCCCTCTCAGTCAAATATTCAACAGCTTCGCCCGCAAAATCCTCAACACAGATTCAAAGTCCTCGGAACAACGACAAATGTCAAAACCAACCGAGTGTTTGTAGAAACTTACAGTCGAATTCCCGTAGGGCCATAACGAGTTCCAGGTCTTCCAGTGGTGGCCGTATCAAATGGGGCTCCTACAAAAGCAATGTCGTACCCTTCAATGTCCTTCTCATCCGACAAGCAATGAACCCAAGGGAGGTTGGAAAATGTGGTCAAGCCGGCAAACTTGTCAAGGTCCAGAAAGGACTGTTTCTCGTCGTTCACCGATGATCGGTACTGACCACGGCCATTGTTCGCCTGTAATGGTACGACAGGAGGGAAAACGATCTCGCGTGCTACCACCAAGCTGCTAGGTAGGATGAGTAGTAGTAGGGAGAACGATGTCAACCGCAAGAAGCTCAACATGATGACGACGGATATCCAAGAGCAGAGGGCAGCCTGACCATCAGACTTCTATCTACACTAGATCGCACACAGATGTCGTGGTGCCTAGAAACTTCAACGTGTCTCAGAGCTTGGGAGCTCGGGGAGTGCTGAAGGTGACGGTGAAGTCCATGTATGTACACTAATAAGCCGACGGCGAAGTCCTTACGTGTGGGCCATGAGCCGAGATGTGAGATCCAGCCACTCATTATGTAAGATTTATACCTCGAATGATGGCTACTTACCGTGTCCCGGGCATAGACGAAAGTTGTTCAAAGGGCAAACTGTGTAAACATAGGCACAGATGTGGGCTGACATGGGAAATGACTGTCTGGACTGCCTTTGGTATCAAGACAATTCGGACCCAAGCAGGATGATTCCACAAAACAGTCCGTGGTGAGGATCATACATTCGTAGGTAGGTGATCTCTTTACTAGCATAGCAATGGTTGAAACGTGCAATCCAAGAGCCTTCCCGTGCACTTCGAATAGCCTGAAAATGCTCGCGCGGAATCAGACATCTCACAATATAGATGACATTTCTCATCACTGCCTCATTCCTGTACCCTACTGACAATCGAAACATTTCAGCCAATGTCAGATTGACGTTGAACACTTCCTGTTCAATTTCCGAACCTGATCGACAAGTTTCGCCGGAAAACCAACCTTGTACCGGAACTGCCTCCATTTCCATTTCCAGGGACCAACTCGATAACGGTGACTAGCGTAGAGATTTGTGCCAGTAATATTGGCTGGTATCAGCAGCAAAAATGAATCACTAAGATTTCTCTTGGTGAGCAAAAACTCATCCCATAACCCCCGAAGGGATTATGGGAATAGAAAACCAGGGAACCTGGTTTTTAAAGGGGCAACACCGATGCGACTCGAACCCTACCACCCATTACTCCCGACTCTCTCCAGAACATTGCTAAAGGCCACAGGCGACATGCTGGTAAGCATTGCGCCAATGACCTTTAGAAGGGGTTCTGGGTACTATGAAGGAAGGCCTTTGGTGTTCAGACTAGAGTCCCATTGTTGAACAAAATTTGAAAAACACAATATATCAAGTGAGCATTGCCGAGTGAAGTGATATATGTGGGCATCGGCTGCGCCAAGAGGTGTTGAGGTTGTTGAAGAGCAGAACTTCACTTTTGAGCAAGTCTCGAGGTCATATGGCGTTTCATTCGAAGGATGATCGATCATGAACGCGTATCGTAATGACATCCCCTGCCAAAACCGGTCCCCTCGTAACCCACGTCAAATGATAACTTGCACCAGACAATGCATTGTCCATGGTCCCGGGGGAGGAGTACCGTGTCGTGCGCGCGGCTCTATCGTGTTGATCTCCAGCCTTGCCTTGCATTTTCAGCGGATGAGGCCGAAGGTCGGGAGCACCTTGCTCCTAGGAGTCGAGTTTGTTAATGCGAGACTGCTTCTCTCTGGACGCCTGGATGTCGTCTCCTGGGGTTCCTCTTTGGGTTCCAATCGACCATTGATTGACTTCGAAATCACACTCATGATCACACAGCTTCGAACGCTATTTCGCTCTTTCTTCTTCCACCAAGCCAGGCTCCGGGTGGCGGCTGAAGTAGTCCATCGACCTCTTCGACGATCTGCTCCCTCCTCTGTTCTGCGGCAAGTCGCTCTTGCTGCTCTTTCTCGGTCTCGTTGCGCGCGGTCACGTCGGCTGCATTTGCATAATTCCCCGCCCCTCCTCGACCAGGAGGCATGAAGAATTGACTGGTCGGGCTGGGGTTCCTGCTTCCACTTGCGCTCATGCTCACGGGGAGGCTGGGACTTCGTTTGGGAGGTGCGATCTCATTGCTAGAGGCATAATTCCCTGCGCCGCCGCGGCCGACGGACAAGAAACCCCCGGAGGACTGCCGAGTGTGCTTGTGGACGGCTCGTTTGGTATTGATATTTTCTAATTTCGCGGCCGCTTTCCGACGGTCGGCGAGGGAGGAGTGTTTGTTGTTCTGAGCTTCAAGATCGATCTCTGATATCTTGGGAGACTTGATGTTGGTTTCCCACGTGAAATTGCCGGCTCCCCCGCGGCCAGTACGTACATAAGGGCCGTAGGCAGAGGAATTCGAGATCGAGGACATGGGGCTCAACGAACTCGAGTCACCGGAGGACGTCGTGTGTGGAGACTCGGATATCGAGTCGGACGCTTCGTGGTGACGGTAGGGAGAGTCTGAAGTCACTGGGGAGACCGACGAGGCATATGAGTCGAGCAGCCATGCTGCCCACGACTGTTGCGCCGCCATTTGGCCGATCTTGACGTGCGGGTGGCCGTGTCTCGAGTGAGTCTTTGTTTGGGGGCGCAGATGCAGGGCCCAGGGGTAGAGGAGTGAGAGACAGCTGCGGAAGCTTTGGTGGTGGAAGTGGCTGGTCGTGGGTTTCGGGGGCGCCTGGGAGCTTCGGCAGAGGGCTCGGATGCGGGGGATCTCAGGTGCCCGGAAAGCCTACAACAATCAAAGTGCAAGGTTGATGCCGGCTCAGTTTGTACACATCAAAGCCCTCGTGCAAAGGTAAAGAACTTGAAGTAAGTTATGGTTGATGTCAGGCAGGAAAAAAAGGCACGGGCTGAGGCTGGCTTTTCCATAGAGACGGCGAGAGTTCAATAAATGAATTGTTGATTATTGTTTTTGATTGTCCGGTGGCGGACGCCATTGCGGACAGACCATCATCGTAGCATGAACCAGGTCCCTATGTACAAATAAAACATATGACAGGGGGTCTGTGGGTATCAATGCTCACCACTCCTGAGATGCTGTTGTCTTAGCGAAATGCACTCAATCTCAGCTATCAACCAAAGGCACAAGAGGCAAGAAAAAAAGCTATGGGTAACACCAAAGTCCGACCATACAATCAATTGCCGTAGTAAAACCTTTGCTATGACGCTTCCACATCCAGGAACCCCGTCTTCGTCACTTCCGTAGTCGTCGGACAAGTCAGCCCAATAGACGAGTCCCTGTTCCTGTGTTAAGCTCGCTAAGAAGGCCTTGGGGACGCCTGGCGGAATGCTTACTAACCTCTAAGGACGGATGCAAGGGATCATCTTCACCTGCAGGTGAGAATCTCTAAATAGGTACCTAAGGCATCTATCGGCATGATCTGTAGAGGAAATATATACTGGATCTGGGCCATGTACCGAGTAGAACTCGATACTTGCAAAAAGTCTCAACTCTCGTATCCTCTTCTCTCCTCTCTCGCTTACCGTCAATTGTTGCCCGAAGCAGCAATGAGGCCAATCTTTGTATTGATCCATACTGCACCTCTCTCGCCACTGATTTCGCTTCCTCGTCCTTGCCCGACCGTAGGCTCTTGAGTCTCAGCCTGGTCGCTGTTGTGGTCGTTTTGGTAAACCTCAAGAAGGCCTTGCTTCTGTTGCTCCTGAGACAAGTGATCTTGTACAATCCCGTCCACGATAAATTCTGCTACATCCTCGAAACTTACAGTGTATCGAGCGGAGTTGGCAATGATTTCCAGCAAAGGCCCGATACCCCACGGTATACGTCGGAAAAAGGGCCATATCTCCCACTTTGGAGGCACATTGGAACTCGCAAAGAGAGTGGGTAAAACCCGAGAATGCATGTCCTTGCCTGTGGGAGTCGGCGTGTCTTCATAGCCGGGAGAAGCTGACGACGTAGGTACGTTGGACACTCCAGAGCGTGGAACCATCTTTGCAGGACAGACAAGGGTCCAGTCCAGATACTCGGACGATCGTAACATAGCCTCAAGGGGACGGTGGTGCAGGTAAAGTGGCAGACTGTCACATCATCAGATTAAGCATAAGGGGGGGGAAAGTTGGCATGATGCTCCAAGGAAAGGATATAATCATGCAACGTACTATTCGTCCAGAGTTTGCGCTTTCTGGTCACTCCCTGCCACTGGTTTAGTTCCAGGCAAGTCCAACAGCAACATTCCTCCAATAAACCATCCTCTCATTTTCAAGTCGCTTGTACCGCCTGTGCCTGAGCCTCCTACTTCGTGTACGGCGTCGATTGAAGCACGTACGATACACGCAACTTCATTATCAATGCTCTGGGCCTTGTTTTCCCCATCAGCAACGGTACCAGAACCATTTCGTGCAAACATGGGAGCATGGCCTGCTGCATTGACCAGGACCCGGATTTCCCTTTCTTGTATGAGTCGAGCAAGCAGTCCAGAATCTGTGGCGCTTCCCTCGATGATGGAGAGTCGTTCTCTCGGCGAAGGAGGAGCAGTTCCTGAAATCTGTCGGCATGGCTGCTGGTGATGCGAGGTGGCCTCTTTCAACTTGTTCCGATTCCTCACGACAGCAGTGACATTGATGAAAGGTCTTTCGAGCAGAGCCCACAAAATACGTGAGCCCAAGGATCCAGTAGCACCGAGGAGAAGGACACCTATTGTGCTTTGGTTCGCGAAAGCTGCTGTCATTTTTCCAAAGGTAATATCGAGCAGCGATCAAAATGGTTTGTTGCGTATCATCTGTCGTTATCCAGGAGCGGAGGTAAATGCATGAATCTGCTAGTCACCGACATGCAATAAGACCGTTGCGGGTAAGATCTAGAAATTGGGTACCCGGGCATCGGCAAATCGTACAGAATCCTCACCGATTACCCGGACGCGGCAGGCCAAAGATTGTAACAGTGCTCGTGCCGTCTTTTGACCATGTTACGTAGGCGCACCAGTTCACGACTCCTTTACGGATGTCCGAATGTTGTTTCTCCTCGAGATGTTGTTCATCTTACGTTGTCACAGCGATAAGTAGCCTCGGAGCCTTGCTGCCTCACGGGTATAGATGTGGGTCCAGCCTCAAGGGCAAGACATGAAAAAAGCGGAATCATGGTGCTGCACCGATTCGGATAGCCGCGAATTGCAGAAAAATTCCGATAAAACCAGACCAGACAACTATTCACAGGCTAGGAGCCAATACAGGTCGGGGAGTTGCAGATGTTCGAAGTTGAGATAGTTCAAGACACTTTTCTGCAGGCGCCGCGGGAAGCATGCTGTCTTGATGGACATCAACAATCGTCCCGCTTGAATGTGCGAGTCCATTCTGTTGTTGTGGTTGAATGAAGTCCAACACTTCTCTCGCAATGGTCTGAAGCTCATGTAAGCTTCTCGAGGCCAGCACTCTCTCGAGGTGATGAAGAGTTACAGCCAAGGGATGGTGATGCAGAAATGTGTCGTCGCCGCTTCGAGTCGTGCCCGATGGTCGACTCGCCGGACGTAGTAGATAGAGGGACATCTGGCTGGAGGCCATTCGGCATGGCAATTGTAGTGCATGTTGTGAGGCGGCGTCTTGCAGCTGAAGCAGACCGGTCAAGACCTCCCCCTTCGAGATTGGGCGTAGACGCAGTGATGCCTTCCTGAAAACACGGAGCGCAAGGACTTTTGGCGCAGCTTTTTACATGGGCAGCTCGACAGGCCACGCACGCCAACGACACCCTTTTTCGCGAGAGCTTTGTGGGCTTAAGTGACCATGAGTGCCGCATTGATGCAACCAAATTCACATCCACGGAGATATAACCCACATGTCGCTGGAGAGATGTACGGAGCAGTAACAATGAGACTTAGGTAGGGCCCTTCTAAGGCCCAAGTAATTCTTACTAAGATGGCCATACAATACTATTTTGCGTACTTGTTTGTTGTATGTAGGCAAGTGTACTCGTACTCCGTCCCGGACCCTGAGATGAGAGTCTGGACCAGTCTACGAATTACCAACCTACTACAGTACCGGGGGGATCCCCCCATCTCCCATGCCCCTCTCCGTTTACAGAGTAAGTTGTACACCCGTACTCAGTACTCGTACTCTTTAATTTGCCACCACCACTACCACCCTCTCACCTCTATCTCTTGCTTGGTGTCTGTAGGGGCTTCTCTTCTTTTTTGTGCTATTTCAGTGGCCAGACCCCACCTTTCGTGGATATCCTGTCTTCTCCCCTCCTCTACAAGTCAAACTAGCTACCGATCAAGAGGCTATCTCATAGTGCCCGCCTTGCCCGCTTTTTGCCAGGGCGCCGCCACGAGGCAACTGCCTCCCCCCTCCTTCTCTCGGTCCATATTTGCCCTTTTCGGGGCCCTCGACTGCCTAACACGGTAGGAAGTTCTGATTTTCATCAGACAACAAGGCGATAATCGCCACCCTGGTGGAACCCTCGAAGCCCTCGAGGCGACGAATGATGCCCCTAAATCTCTCGCTAGACTGGAGTACATACCTGGGTACCTACTCCCCTTGTACTCCAGAGTGTACTGTACTGTACTCGTACTTGGTATCTATGTTGGTGGGTATGGACAAGATACAAAGAACCCAAAGTGTGGACGGCCGGAAGATAACAAGACTTGAGGTAACGTGGTACGGCCGGCGAATGTACTTGTACATATGTACTATTGGTTTTGCCGTACAAAAAACATGAATTTTGTTGTACCTCTACGATCTACCAACGTACCGAGACACTGTGAAGGAGGTAATTTGTTAATCGTCTACCAACAATATCACAATCACAAAGGGCTCTCTCTTTCTTTCACTCACTGAAGATCCAAGAATGCGCCCTCTCTACTTCCTCCATCTCTTTGAGCTGCGAAAAGACCAAAAACCAAGCTCGCCACGGTAGAAAGACCCCTCTCGATACAAAGGATGGTACGGAGGGGTACCTCGTCCACGGGGCCCAATAAAGTGCCCCTCGCCACCGGACGCCTCCACAAGGTACCTCTGGCTTTTGACTATGGTCATGAGCAACCGCACCTATTAGGTATCAAGGTACCTAGGTACTTACCTAACTAAAGGTGTCTAGTGTGGTCTACCACGCCTCCCACTACTACTCACATTCTCCAGTATTACGGAGTAATGAATTATTTGAGGAGGGTAGACGAAGCAGTCGGCACTTGACCGTGACCTCCACCCTCCAAAGTGTCGAGACTGGAAGGGAAAAAAAAGTGCACGAGGCTAGCCAACACATCGACAGAAGTCGGCCTACGTCTTTCGCTCGTCGGAGGACGAGTTGGCGCCGCGAGCCCCGAAACACTCTCGTGACTTATGGAGCACCGGTGACAATGCTCACCTTGCAAATCACTCCGTACTCCGTACAAGGTAGCGCGTTTCAATACAATACGTTCGCCAATACGGCATGCTGGGTACAGATTTACTCCTGATGGATGAGTACATACATATGCACTAGCGTAAAAGATAGATTCAAGCACACGCCATGCATCTAATCCCTTGCCAAAAAAAGGCCACCATCATCAATCACTCTTGGCGTGCAAATCATATCAAACCAAAACCAAACCCAATGTACCTAAAGAAAAAAAAAACCTGAGGTCGTAAAAATCGTTACAGGGACTTGAGTGAGTTGGAGATTGCATCCGTGGCTTTATGCCACCCATTGATGCCTCATACCATCAACTATCCAGACCTCCCCGGTCCAGTGCATTCCATTATCATCCTTCACGTCAGTGGTTCACACAGCTCAAGTGAACATCCAACTACTTCGCCGACTTCGACTGGGACTCTTACTCTTCTCGCGCACAACGTACATCTTGTCACCCTTCTTGACATACGAGTGGTCGTTGGGTGTCAGAGTCGTGATGGTCTTGGTCTCCTTGACGTACGGACCCGTGATCAGTTTTCGTTCCTTCAATCGCCGTGTGTGTTCAAACAGTTCGTCCTGGAAGGTGTTGTCGATGTACTTTTTGATGATGATGTATTCCGTGTCACGCTAAAGAGTAAAAAAAACGCCGGCCTGGTTAGCACATTGCTCGTTTGCACATCAACACCAACCACCCGACCAACTTAAAGATCCCCACAGGCTTCCTGCTTGATTCACGATGGTACAGGCAAGTCCGGCGCCCGTCTGACGGTGTAACCATCAGCAGTTCACACAAACGCCATATTATTGTACAACTTTTCGGCACTTTCCCGCCTTCGACAAACAACAGGAACCATTTGAATGGAAGAGCGGGAAAAGAAGAGAACGACTCACCGAATCCCATTCCCAAGGCAACCCGTAATAATCCAACGTGTCTGGATGTAGATACTTTCGATTGACCTTGATGTACGTCGGGCGGTGAAGATCAATAGCGAGCGCCGCGTTGGCTTTTTCCTGCTTCTTCTTGTGCAAGATCTCCTCAATATACTCGGGACTGTAGCCTGTAGTGTCACACAAACCAAAAAGAATTAGCCAACCATTCTCATCAAAATATCTCGAATCGTCGTCACATGAAGGGAAGTAAGTGCCTGCAGCGACATCACTAGCACCGGCACCGGCTTAGTCGCACGATATGCCCATACCCACTGTGATCCCCGATGCGCATCGCAAGATGCTCCCATCAGAATAGACCAGAAACAACCCAGATCAGTGGCAACACCAGGCATAACTACCAGTAGCGGCCAAAACCACCACCACCACCACCGCGACGATAATAATTATCACAAGGGGGTTCCAGCATACCGGCATTCATAAACTTCTCCTTCACTTTCCTCTCGAATTCTTCCTCCTCGGCCTTCTTCTCCTTTTCCTTTCTTTGCTTCTCCTCTTCGTCCTTGAGGATCTTCTGCCTCAGCTCTTCTGCGGCCTTTTTCTTCCTCTCCTCTTCTAGCTTCGCCTCAAGCAAGATGGCCTCTTTCTCTTTCTCCCTCCTTCTCTTCTTGTCTTCCTCCTCCGCCTGCCATCTCTTTCGGTCGGCATCACGGTCCCTGTTGTATTTGTCCTCGTCCCGGCGTTGGCGTGCCAGATCCAGCTCTTTACGTAAGCTATACGCCAGGTCATCTTCGTACACTTTGCTTTCCGGTCGTCGATCTCGGTGTCGGTGTCGCGACCTGGACCGTGCGCTGTAGTGATCCGAGCCGGAGGAACAACTTTCGTAATCACGACGATGGCGGCTGTGGCTTCTGCTGTGTCCACGATCCGAGGCAGCAATATTGATGGTCATGGGAGCCTGCCCTCCTCCTGTACTGGCCGCACGAGGGCGTGATCCGCCAGGCACCACCAGATGATTGTTGATCACCACCTCTTCTGGCTCCACGACCCTCTCCACCACTCGTGTTGGCCGTCGCCGTCCTCTGTATTCGCTCTCCGCATGACTGCGAACTGGCATCAACACGTATTCATCCTCCGAGTCGGTGTAATATGCTGTTCGTGGCATTTTCGGACGTGGCGAGCACGGTCTTTCAACGGTTCACCCCTCCGCTAGTGAATCTCTCTCAATCTCTCTCAGCCCTGTCGGGAAACTCGGTGATCGATCTGGCGGCTGGAGGTGGGGTAAAAGAACGCCCAGTCAGTTATGGAGTCGGGGGCAGCGCAGCCACAGCAAGACAATAATGGAAAAGAATGAATCCCTGCTAAGCGATGAATCCTTCGGTAATAATGGGTAGATCTGATTTTGAGAAAGTCGCAGTCAGTGACAAGAAGAGGGAAAAGAGAAGTAGAGGGCAAGAAGGTAATTTCAGCTGATGGCGGGGGGCGTCTCTAGTAGGCTTTATTCACCTCGTGCTGCACAAGTCGGTCTGAAACCAGCCACAAGACACACGAAACTGGGGGCCGTTTGTTTTTGTTTGGGCAGCACCAGGCGCTTCGCCGTCCCAGATCCTCTCGATTTTGGCCCGAATCAGAAATTTGCCAATGAGATTAGTCCCGATCAAAGGGGACGATTATTGGCGGCTCAAGAGATGGTAAATCGACTGCCCACCGCCCTTGGCGTCTTACCCGCGCCACGCCGCTCTTGAGGTCCGCTCACCTCCCTCTATCATATAGGAGAATTTCTGATGGCCATTAACTGCACACGATATTACAGTAGATGTTCCTAATTGAAAGGAATTGATTTCGGCTTCACCTGATCCGCGGCAGCCACTTGCTGATGTCCTCGTAGTCCTTGACCCTCCCATGACTTCTTAGAACCCTCCGCGTAACTGGATGCACTCTAAACGGTCCTAGTGCACTTACCAAGACAGCGAGTTCGATGGTGTTAAGGGTTTCACTTATAGTATATATGCAACCTCTACATATGTCGATATCAGGAAGGATCTAGAACGGGTCGTGGTGTAGTTAGAATTAATAGATTGGTTCTCTTCGGAGTGCCTGACCCTATGAGATATCAATTCGCTTATCTAGCGACCACAACTACAATATTAAATACGACAAGTCTCGCATTTAGCGTTATAACTGCCATCTCCCATTTCATCCCCGCTAACTACCATGAAGAGAAAAGAAGAAGGCATTGCTTCATAGAGCCCCCTTCTTTAACTAAAAGCTTTCTAACCTACACGATGATGTTTCCTGTCTACTTACTTCTTCCTACGCAGCAACTATAGGACCATTCGTTTGAATCTCTCGAACTTCACTCGTCGGCTTCTTCTCCTCAGCAGTAACTGATTCCTTTGTGTGGTTTTCATCTCGGCCAGTCTTTGCGATTCTGCGCATAGACCTCCCTAGGGCAGGGCTATCATCTGCATCACGAATGTAATAAGCCCAGTCTGCACCAGAGTCCAATTCTGTCTGGCTGTAGCCATTACCCATCCACGAGAAACGATTGCCATTGTAAGTGACATCAAAGTCATCGTGGCGAGGATATTCCATTGTCTCCATGAAATGCAGGGAACTACCGGGCCAGAGGGCGGTGACCCTGCCGTCCGCGGTGCCGTTCTTGTACCATGACCGACAGTCTTCCGTCCACACGGTGCAGTTCATATAGTCGTTGACGTGCTCCACAAAGTCATCCACCGCGGCCACTTTGGGAGAGAAGCTGCGGATGTTCTCCGTCTGCCAACGATCGATCCAGTGTAACATGTAATCGGCCTGGACCTCTGTGAGGGGGAGTAAGTTAGTGAAGCTCCATTGATGATTGGGGGATGAGCGCCTGCAACGTATCAGTGGTTCTTCTTACCAATAACTCGTAGCACCGGACCATTCCCTATAGGGCAGTTGGGTCCCAAGAAGAGCATGTAGTTGGGTACACCGGCGGCCGCAGTTCCTAGATAACTCTTTGGTTCCTTTGCCCACTGGTTCTGCAGATCCCCAGTTAAACCGACAATGGGAAAGCGAGGCTTAAACGATACGTCGAAGCCAGTAGCACAGATCAATACATCCAGTGGATGCGAGACACCATTCTTGTCGGTACATCCAGTCTCTGTAATGCGACTGACCTCCCCAGCGACCACTTGCACGTTCGGTTGACCGAGGGCCTCGAGATAGTTGATTCCTGGCGTCAATCTACGACAGCCAGGACTCCACTGTGGGATGAGCTTGGATTCCAGCCCTGTACCTTTTAGTTTCGTTCGCATCTTTGTTGTCAGGTCGACGCGGGTGTCGAGCTGAGTCTTGGACCCTTTGATAAAGGTTCCGAAGAGGCAGTTCATACTGGTCTCGTTCATTTTACGGTATACCGTTAATTGGGAAGGTTCGTTGCGGAACAAGCGCCGTTCTTCCTCGGTGTAGTTGTGTTGATCGAGTCCCTGGACTGGTGAAATCCAGGTTGCGCCTCGGATGAAGGTGACTACTTTATTGACTTCAGGTTGAATAGCGGGCAATATCTGGATCCCCGAAGACCTGTGATGATAATCAGTCATGGGAAACTTTGAAATATGCTGAAATTCGTCGGGAAGAGTTCGACCACTTACCCGTTCCCAATCAACCCCACCGTTTTTCCGTGTAGATCGACATTTGAATTCCAATTCGCACTGTGCAACAGCTGTCCTTTGAATTCATTGAGACCGGGGATAATCGGCCATTTCCAGTTGTTCAGGATGCCGGAAGCGTTGATCAGAATATCACATTGTGCCTGAAAGACGTGATCATTCGTGCGGTTTTGGATGTCCACGTTCCACGAATTTCCGTTCCACTTTGCTCCAATGACCTGATGCTCTAGCTGGACGTACTTGTGCAGGTTATACTTGGTCGCAAATCTGTCGAAGTACTGGAATAATTCTTGTGACGAGACATAGACAGCGGTGGCATCTACCGATGGTTCCCAGGAGAAGGTGTAGTTATGAGCAGGAACATCGCAAGCACATCTTGATTTTGCCGTTAGATAGCAGGTACATAGCCTGGAGGCAAACTCACCCGGGATAGGTATTCTCCCACCAGGTACCAGAGACCGCTGGGTTCTTCTCGTATATTATCAGCTCAAAGTTCCGAAAAGATCGTTGCAGTTTATAGGCGAAGCATAGACCCGAGGCACCGGCACCGATACATATGATGCGAACTTTGCGTTCAGAGAACAGTGGTTTGCCTGCTGGAGGATGCTGACTATGTCGAGCCTTGTCATTCTGGATGGACTCGGACGTTATCTTTGAGAAGGCCTGGGGCGCTGCCACCATTGTTGCTTTAATTGAAGTGTTTTGTTGATGATTCAGGCAATAGATATTAGGATGGTGAAGACGACAAACACTTGGTTGAACGGCGACGACAATGATAAGCAGCAGTGTTTGCACACGCTGCTATGTGTACTCTTTTAATTGAAGATACGAGATGGCCACAGTCTGGATGGTGCTGTGCGCTTCCCGCGAGGCTGTTGGCTAAGGGGTCTGGAACCCCAATCCCCATTTCCCCTCCCTTGATAGCGTCCCGCAAAATTGCGGGTCACGAACACCATCATTGCGGCAACTGCTTCAGACAAGAATATCCCTTGCACCTCTTTGCTGTACCGACCTCTCCCCGGAAGTCCAATGCAGGCCCCCCTCCTAAGACGCGAGTAGTGAAGTTTTCATCTTCGAGACATCTCCGTGAAGGATTGGCTACCTAGAATAAAGTAGCTAGCCGCTTTGTTGTCAGCGAGGTCAATTGATGGTTAAAATTTAGACCTCACTTTGTCTAAGTCATTTATATTGCTGTTCGAACACTTCGTCCTCAACCGCATACTGAACCCAACTCAACATGGCACCTGCAAAGAAGATCGACGTGCATTCACACTACGTGCCAGAAAAGTATCGCCAGACGTGTATCGAAAATGGCCACGCCCATCCTGATGGTATGCCAGGATATCCAACGTGGTCAGAGGAATCGCATCTCGCGATGATGGACTCGCTCGATATCGAAAAGGCCTACCTCAGTATTACTTCTCCCGGTACACATCTCGTACAGGGCAACGATGAATTAGCACGGGTTGTCACACGGCAATGCAATGTTGAGGCTGCAAACTTCAAACGGCGTTGTCCTGATCGAATTGGATTCTTTGCCTCGACCCCTCTCCCTGATGTTGCGGGAACCCTGGAAGAGATCAAGGCGATATTCGACCCTAATGATCTCAATGCTGACGGTGTTGTCGTCGAGACGAACCATCATGGAACTTATCTGGGCGATCCGGAATTTGATGCAGTCATGGCTGCCCTCAATGAGAACCGGAGCGTTGTCTTCATCCACCCGACTACACCTTGCTTGAGAACGGGTCAGGCAGCTAGCCCCTTGGTCAACATTCCTCGCCCCATGCTGGAATTTTTCTTCGAGACAGCACGAGCAGCGGCCAACTTGTTCATCTCTGGAACCGTCACCAAGTACCCAAACATCACGTATATTCTCTCACATTGTGGTGGTGCTCTACCACCCTTGATTCGTCGCATGTGTGGTGCCAGTCCTATCGTCGGGCTGGGAGATGAAATGACTTACGACAAAGTGAATGCTCAGCTGAATCGGCAGTTCTATTTTGATACAGCAGGGTGGCCTTTCCCCGAGCAGTTGACAGGTCTTTTACAGCATGTCTCGCCTCAGCGGATTCTCTACGGCACAGATTTTCCTTGGACGCCACTGGGGATCGTGACCGGGCTATCCAAGGACCATGATGAGTGGCTACCGAAGGTGTTTTCTGAGAAGGAGGATCGAGACAACGTAGCTTTTGGCAATGCGCGGCGGCTGCTTTTCTCTAAACAGAAGAATAACTTGTAGTTGTCTCTATTGACATCAAAATTCTACATCATTGGCTTTAACCAGGGTCACATCTGAAATAGCTTCCTTCCTTGGTATGACACTCCCCAGAGCCAGCGAACCAAACACATGATTGATTCAGAAATCGGCAGTAATCTGACTTCCCCAGCACCTCCGCCCAAGCACAAAAAACTACTCAGAAGCAGTTCATCCGTACTGTACGGAGTACAAACAAATCTTTCCCAGATCCTCCTTGGAGAAAAGGAGGGACCTCATTAACCTTTTACGCTAGGTCCAGCCGATTTATCGAAGCGAGTGCCGCGATTGCGGTACCATTGACAATCGTGGGCCGGGGCAGGATGTCCGCTACAGGAGCTGGAGCGTGGGGAATGCTGCGGGGAGCATGATGGGGGATCAATCCATGAGATTGACGCGCGGGGACAGGGACGGAAGGTTGATGATTGTCCAAGAGATGATTGGCGCTGCTCCTGGGGTCAGTAATGCTGATGGTTGACTCTGATTTCTGCTTCTATACTTGAAAGTTCGCCTCGTGCTCCTGTACTGTGTGACCATAGAAAGTCATTATAAGTCCTGTGCCAGCGCACCACCTCCAGTTTTTCATTCTTCTCCATTCCAAACCCTTCGTGGCTCGTTCCATCCATTCCTTCATCCACCAGGTTCTTTACAACCTCTAAAGCCTTCCAACATGACTTCGCAGCGAACAGAGATCCACAAGGATGGCATTGAGACCATTGAGCACTCTCACAATGAGGCACAGCCGGCCGCAGCCGTCGCCCGTCAGAAAACCACATGGCAAATGATCGCCTTCTCCTCCTTCATTGCTCTGGCTGGATGGATCTTCAATTTCGATCTCGGTAAGCTGACGAGACATTGCCTTCCCCCAAACGCTTCTTCTAACGACGACTTGTCCAGGTTATGGCGGCACTGTTCTTCAGATGGCATCCTACAAAAAGTCCTTTGGCCACTGTGGACCCAAGACTGATTCTATAACCGGCGTCACCACGGTAGTTTGCTCGCAAACCGCTCTTCAACAAGGCCTCGTATCCCTGACTCTTCTTTTCATCGCATTGGGCGGAGCGATCAGTGGCGTCGTAGGCAACTTCCTTGGGCGCCGAGGAACTATTCAAGTTGGTGCCGCCCTGGCAGCTATCGGCGCGGCAGGGATGCTTGGGACGGCCGGAAATCTCACGGCATACCTCGCCTGTAAATGTATCGGGGGTGTCGGGTTGGGTCACATCATTGCTGCAGCCCCCGTCTACGGAGCAGAGTGCACATTGGCCAGGAAGCGTGGTATGCTTCTCGCTCTGTACAACGTCGGATTGGGCACTGGCAACGCCGTCGCGGCGGCCGTCTGCTGGGGCTCCTCGACCTACACGCACAGCAACCTGGCATGGCAGATCCCAATCATCTGCCAGATCCCGTTGTCATTCATCCTGGGCTTTGGTGTACTACTGTTTCCCGAGTCACCACGGTGGCTCCTCACCAAGGGTCGCGACGAAGCCGCAAAAAGATCATTTGCCTGGTTCTACGCTCGCCCCGTCGACCATCCAGATATTCTACTCCAGATTCAAGATGTACAAGGCCATATCGAGATGGAGACGACGCTCGCATCGTCGTCGACCTGGACTGAGATTTACCGTCGAGGCAATTTCAGACGTACTTTTACCTCCGGCCTAATCATGGTTGGCCTGGCCATCACTGGGAGCAAATTCACCGGACCGTACGGAGCCATCTTCCTCGCTAAAGTCGGTGTTCCCAATGTGTTCCTGAACAACTTCATTATCGCGGCTTGTACGATGGCAGGCTCTCTCCTTGGCCCTCTTGTCGTCGAGTACGGTGGTCGCCGTTTCTCCATGCTCTGCGGCTACAGCACCATGGTCGTGTGTATGCTGATAATAGCAATCGTTGGATCCACGCTAGGCCAGAGTAGCAGTAAGGCCAAGGTCATCCTCCTTGTGTTTCTCTTCCTGTGGGCCTACCTATTTGGCCTTTTTATCGGCACCAGCGTCTGGATTGCTGCTCCAGAACAACACAGTCTCCGCCTTCGCACCTATGGTCAGGCGTCTACCACTACGATCTATCAGATTTTTGGATTCGCTGCAAGCTTCTATGGTCCTTACATGCTCAGCGTGGATTACGGCAATATGGGTCTTACTGTGGGCTATTTCTATGCCGGTATGTTCACCATTGTGTCCAAAGCATCTCACTCGAGCAGCGAAGCAAAAAGACATACTTTGTTACCTGAGGCTGACTAGATGCTGATCTTAGGCGTGACTTTTGCGATGCTGCTGTTGACATTTTTCTTCGTACCCGAGACTGCACGTTTGACCTTGGAACAGATCGACGAGTATTTCTTTTCGGGAAAACCTGCTTGGAAAACTTCTACTACACGGAATGTCAAGATCGCTGCAGGAGAGGCGGAGGATACACCTTGAAATTTCGATATTGAGGTTGGAATTGAAGAGGCTAGATTGCGACTGCTTTCTCGAGGAGGTTCGCAGAGAAAAATTCTCTTTCTCTCGAAAAGATGACAAGATAGTGCTGAAGTTGATGAAAATAGTTGAGTCCGGGGGATTGAATTAGTTTGTCTTGCAATGGATGCACGTTGGTTAGTAAAACTCATCGATTGTGTAGTGCACCGGACACAGCGTCCTCTCTATGAAAGCTGTCAACTCTAACCGTTCCTGCCCTGGCAGTATCCAATTCGTGTCCTATTCTCGATACATAGATTGCCAAAGCCCACCTGGCTCTGCCTGGGCTCTCAAGAATGCCATGCTCTCATTTGCACTTTCCACTTCCGTGCGATAGAATAGATCGTGGCCAACCACTTCGACCGTGTGAGCGGTCTTGATGACTCCCGACGTTCCATTACTCAACCCATCTTGTTTGACTAGGCCTTTGTCGTCGATTAACTCCATGAATGCTCTGATCACGGCGTCCATTGATGTCTGATGCTCCCGAGGCCATGCGGCAAGAAGTTCTGGAGACGCCAACCCGGTGGGCACGAATCCTGGCATCACGCAGTTGACAGCCACGTTGTCGTCATCCAGCAGCTTGCGACCCACGGAGCGTGTTAGTCCGACGACTCCATGCTTAGCTGCACAGTATTGTGGCGCGACGACGAACGGATATTGTCCAACACAGCTCCCTGTGATGACCATTTTGGGGTTGAAGTCGGATGCGTCAATCATGGACGCTCTTGTCTTGCGAGCATAGTATACGAAAAGCTTCAGCGCATAGAACACGCTCAGAAAATTGACCTCGACACATGTGAGGTCAGGTTTTTCTGGACCGACGTCAAGGTTCATCGGAGCATAGATTGACTCCTTGTCGTCGGTCCCGGCATTGGCGGCAACAAAGTCAATCCTGTTGCTCTCTGTCGCAGAATCTGTTGCTATCTCAGTCCAGGCCCATGCTGTCTCGAACAGAGCCGTCATGTCTGTCCATGAGGAAACGTCCGTTGGAACGAACAACGCCCGGACCGGGTCGATGTCCAGGGCTTCATGTGGAGGATGTCGTGCGGCCATAATCACGCGCCAGCGTGGACTTTTGAGTGTGAGAAGATGACGTGTAAGAGCGAGCCCGATACCAGACGATGCTCCTGTGATGATGGCTGTCTTCATAGTGGATTTTGATGAAATGGTCGTGCATAGAGCTCTTGATGGTGATGGAAGACAACGATTGATCTCTTGCTCAAGTGAGAATTTTCCCTTATCCAACGCAACCTAAGAGTCTGTTCAGTAAGGCAGTAACAAGGCTCTTTATTGGGTGTCTACCTGTCTTATCTCGACATTGAATGCACTCCCATCTACTACGCCATAGAGGATGGACATGAATAAAGCTTATTAGTTTCTTATTGGCGGGGCCTAACTTGTCCCTTATGTTCAATCAATTCGAAGAAAGGCTTTTTCTCGCCGGAACAACTGGCTATCCACGCCTACAGAAAGAGGGAAGGATCCGGCCACTGTTAGGATTGCGGCGTGAGAGTCGGGACTGCGGGAGTGAAGGGTACCGCAATTACGGCACCATTCGTGGTCGGTTGAGACGTACCTGGTAGCCGATTGCGGCACGCCCAAGACAAGCATTCACCCCATAGCTTCTAAAGCCCAGGCCTGATACTCAAGGTTAGATTTAGGACATGCTCCGCAAATTTTATGCGTAATTTGTGGTGATGACCGAGGCCGTTGACGACCTTTGTGCTCTCACTTTGTCAACGTATCCATCAGCAGTGGACCTCCAACAATAACGAAAGTAGTGAAAACCCAGTCACCTCGCACATTGGATGTTAACACAAGCCGGTACACACCACGACTGAGCTCTCGGACAGGTAACGATGACAGGCTTGGAGGGTAGAGTTGTATGTATCTTCCCACTCCACAAATGACCAGGTCTAGGAAGAATGATACTTACCACATACCAACAAGTTCGCTGTGACAGGAGCCGCCTCGGGTATTGGTCTGGCGACTGCAAGACTTCTGGCTAGCCAGGGCGCCATTCTTTCTATTTCCGACGTACAGGAAAACGCGCTTCAAGCTGCGCTGAAATCTCTGGAAGGTGAAGGTCACATTGCTACGGTAGTCAATGTAAGCAAAAGCAACGAAGTCAAAGACTGGATCCAACAGACGGTCGACCGACTGGGCCAACTACACGGGGCGGGCAATTTCGCTGGAATCATCCGGTTGGGTTCTCTCTGCGACACTTCGGACGAGGACTGGCATGCAATCATGGATGTCAACGCTAGTGGTGTCTTCTTTTGCATGAGGGAGCAATTAAACAATATGCGGGATGGGGGCTCAATCGTAGGTACTCATCGTCGGAAATAATCCGGATCGAACTGGAGAAAGACAGAAATTTGTGGAATCTTTTACTGACTGGTCACCGATCCATTGAAGGTCAACGCATCCAGCGTCGCCGGACTCCGTGGCGTCGATAAAAGTGGTATCTATGCGGCCAGTAAACACGCGGTTATGGGCTTGACAAAAGCCGCTGCCAGAGATGTTGGGCATAGAGGGATCAGAGTGAATGCGGTGGCACCAGGGACAATTGCAACGGCCATGTCTGATGAAATCAGGAGGATCACACAAGGCGCTGCCTCCCCGTCAACACGAGTTTTGGGAAGGGCAGGAACCGCAGATGAGGTTGCCAACATCGTTGCATTCCTTCTAAGTGACCAAGCATCGTACGTGACAGGTGCGGCATGGACGGTAGACGGAGGCTGGACAGCATAGTTTTGCGGGGGGGGAGCGGGGGAGGGGGTTCTTATCGTGCTCGTGGTGAAGATGCTCGAAGCATATCGAGGACTGAATGATGGATTCTAGAGCTAGTGCTTAGACCAGCAAAAAAATCCCCACGATCCTGGTTCTGGAAGGGGAGCCTCCTGTCGAGTCAAATCTCGCATTCTCGCGGTCCATGCACTGTCGCACTGCTGAGGCTCTCTTCGTCTGAATTGACCACCAGCAATCTCGGCAGCGGCTTGGCCCTGGGGAGAAACTTGTCGTCAGGGGATGGCGGGGAAGGATAGGTTGGAGACCAAGTGCGAGAACGCCGCGTTGGCCACCCCAGCCTCGGGCAGGTCGATCAAAGCGGAGCCCCGGGGCAAAACCGGGGACATGTCAGTGGACCTTTGATCCTCGGACACCCACTCTCGCAGGTAGAGCCTTCGGCACACGAATGCATCTAAGCATATGGAGATTATTGAGATCAAGTTATTTGTTGAATCAGGACAGGCGAAAAGAAAGGCTACGAACTATTTGCACTGCACTCGAGGTCGTTGTATACGGCTGTAGTCAGATCAGCTGGGCGAAGTATACTCCGTAACCGTGGAGAACCAAACTCAATTCCGACAACCTTGCCCTTCTTCACTTGGCCATCCCGGCCCGTCTAAGCTTCGACCTTCTTTCGTCCCCAATTACTCCAGCGATAGCGTATCCCCCATGACCAGTACTCTCGAATGTATAATGACGGGCGCATATAACCGATAAAGCCAACCATGGTGTTTGTGGCCTGTTTCACGCGTTGATGAATGCAGATGAGCTTGAGGGTTCTTCAGCGGCCCGCGACTGGAGCCGGATGAGGCGACGGTGCAGGTTTTGTCGCAAAGAGTTCTCCAAATATGAACATCTCCTGGTACATCATGCATTCTTTCGCTTGTCTTGTTTCGCCACTACTAACGATCACTCAGCGACATGAGCGGACCCGTACGTGATGGGCCTTTTTGTAGCCAATCTGACGGAATTTTGCAGACACCGGGGAGAGACCTTTCAACTGTGAGGGCTGCAAGAGATCATTTGCCCGTTTAGACACCCTCAATCGACACCGAAAAACGTACCAGCATGGCGAATTCCAAGCGGATGGCGACTCAGTGGCCCATCAAGTCCTCGATACCCCTCTTTTCGATGTCACTGGGAACAAAGTGGTTGCAGAATGGGGCAACCAGACTGATCTTGACGCATTGGGGACCAATGGTGCTACATGGTCGACGTTAGCACACGACAATATCTGCTCCCTCAATTCTGCGTCTCTCTCGTTTGACTACCCCGACCAGGAACCAACACGCGCAATGCCGTTCGATGAAACAGAAGACATGTTACAATACTTGTTTCCCTCACCGCTGGGCTGGTCGATATCGAACACCCCGAGCATGGGGCTGGACAATATGCCTCACCCACTGCTTAACAGCAACCGAAATATTGCTGATGCCGAGGGCGTTCCAGCCGACAACAGCAGCCCGCAAGCCCTCGTGCAGTTGGATGCTCTGATCGAAGATGCGGTGAGTACAGTCCACAGGGATTGATTGATATCATCTGACAGACCATGCGGACACAAGACCGCCAGTTACAAAAGTCAAATTAGACAAAAAGGCATCACCTGCTCCTTTTTCGATACTTGTCTGTCACTGTTTTTTTCTCAATTCTATCCTTCCTTCCCAATCATTCACGAACCAACGTGGGCGATGAAGAACACCAGCCCTTTCGTTTTGTTGAATATGGTCGCGATCGGATCTCTGTTCATCGGATCTGCAGATGCCGTATCTCAAGTAAGCATCGGCTCTAGACAGACAGTTGAATTATAGATCTCGTGCTGATAGATCTAGGGGGAGCTGCTATGGGAGGTTGCATATGTCGCCGCGTCGACTAGGGTAGGCGCAATATTTTTCCCTCTCACAGGCACCTGACAGCTAATGGCCGTGCAAGTGGCATCATGTGTACGAACACTCTTCAGGGGAGCTAATTTCGAAATGCCAAATCGTAACTTGTGCTGCCTTGGGCCAGTTGTACGCCATGTTATCCAAGGTGTGCATTTTCCATTCGGATAGAAAATGATTCCAGCCTGCTGACCTGAACCCTTTAGTCTGCTAGGCTAAGACAAGTGTCCCAAACAGTCCACAGCTGGCCCTTCTCTTGGGCTCGACGGCTAGGCATGTTTGAGGTCGAGGAATATCGCTTGCAAGATCTACCAGATGTCTCGGACCCTCTTCAAACTAAACTTGAGAAGTGGAAGACATGGGCAGCTCTCGAATGCCGGCGCCGAGCTGTGCACGGATTGTTCATCATCGATGCTCACCTGGCACGTTATTCCGGAGGCTTCCCGGTAGGGAAACATGTTCTGAATCCATTGCCTCTCACCGCAGTGGACGCCATTTTCGAGGCAAGAACGGTAGATGACTGGATTACCCAAATGCGGCAGCACTGGACTCAGCAACCATCCTTCCGCAATGTATACCTCTCCATTTTCGGCGATGGGCCTCTCAAGATGCCGGTTGATTCTCTGTTTTCTATATTTGTGCTTCTGGAAGGACTGCAGGCTGTCATTACGGAGTCAAATTTGGCGTCCGGGCAGGGTGTCGGACTGCCATCCAAGAAGCAGATCCAGCGCGCTTTGATACGCACCCGCAACGCGCTGCAGAACGGTCTGGATCCTGGAGTTGACACGTTGGAAATCTATCTCCGTTGGCACGCACTTTGTCTGGATCACATCATAGACACCTCTCGTCTTCAGAGAGAGCTCTGCAGGCACAGAGACTTCCCCCAAAACATATTTACTTCTGGAATGGATACTTGGAAAAACACCGATCATCTCAGAAGCTGGACAAAGTCCACGGAGGGACGAAAAGCTCTGCTACATGGCATAGCCATCCAAGATATCGCCCAGCGTCTGTCGATTGGCCGCGCATATGGCGCCGGCACGCTAGCCGCCGTGCTCGCGGCAGGGACAATCTACTGCACATTCTGCACCGTGGATCAGCACGACGTTGCTGTGCCCCGATGTGTCAACTGGAACCTGGTCGCCGATTGGGATGACGACTACGCACATGGTGACAACTCTTTGCAAGTCAGGGAATGTAGAGCATTCTTCCAGGGGAAGCTTCTTCCCTCGGGTTGTCGGAGGCTCAACCTGCGACTTTCCTTGTACCAACTCCAAACCACCCTACGCACAATGTCCGCGCAGTGGGGAATAGCCGAAGAGATGCGACAGGTCTTGCTCCATTGGACTTCTCTCGGTCTGGGTTCGTAAGTCGAGTAGTCACTGGCACAAGCTGGTTTCGGGATATGGAAAAAAATTCTTTTTCAATTCTGAGCCTTGTCCGCGACATGGATCAATGAATCAATGAGCCACAGGCTTAGTTGTTTAGAGCAATCCCATGTCAGCTCGATTTTCTGGAGTCCTTCTGGGCTTTGTAGCTACATGTATCTAGATCACGCAACGTTGCGTCTCCTGGAAGTTGATTGTATCGTTCAAAGTTGAATTAGCTTCTGGCAAGATCGGCTCGAAGTCTTCGTAGCGTTGTTATAAAATGCCACAAGAAACTGGTCATGGATCGCTTCCTGGGATACTACAAGTCACGAGACAAGGTAGGTCCCTCGACAGGTAGGAGGTACAAGTTAATGCCAGAGAGAACACGACATAGGGCGAATCGATGTACGTGAAGTGATACCAACTCAATTACCCCAAACGTATTGGCATAAATTGAGAACGAAGTTGACCACACGGTAAGAGCCATGAAATGGCCGTGTGCTCAGTGCTAGGCGCTCTACAATTCGTGATTCTTGGGGTGTCCATTCCTCGCCTGGCCTCCGTGGCCTTGGGCTTCATGGCAGACCGCGTTCGTAGAACTATTCTCTGGCTCTCGTGTTTTGTAGTACGGAGTACTCTCGTTCCGCTTAGGTGGATAACCTATCTCGCGTAGTTTTAGACGACGTGTAAAAGCTCATGTGGCATGAGTTTCAAAGCTTCTTCCATGCACTTCTGACCCACCACATATTGGCCATTACACCTAATATGTATGGAGTGTGTTGTACAGCGATCTAGATCAACAGACACTGGGCTTTGGTGCAGTACAAAAGTCTTTCTCGCTGCCATTATAGATTGATAACGGCATTTTTGGAACATAGGTTGCCGAAACTGCCAAGTCGACTGACATGCTGTTTGCGTGTGTGTGCGTGTGACCATAGGATGGTGTCTTCAGCTCCGGTGAGAACAAACCGGTCGCGTGCTGGGTAGGACAATCACGGAGATTCGAAAGGTGATTTCAAGGACGAGCTGCCGATTGTAAGATCTTTTCAATGTGTTGCCGGCTATTTTTGTAGGTTGTCTCTTGATAATGCAATCTCTTTTCCAGATCCGAGATCTCTTTATTCAAAGAAGTTGATTCGGACTCGAGGCGTTCGCTGAGGGTAGACATGGGCACGGCGACGAACCTGGTAAGCATTTAATTAGCATCGTGTTGATCAAGGTCGGGGCCGACTTCGTACATCTTGCCGACTCCCTCGTAGGTCTTTGTGTCCTTGGATAGCGATTTGAGTTCATTGGCAGTTAGCAGATTCAACCGTGAATCTCGTCGTTTGGCACTCAGTTCTGCCTGGGTTTGAGTGATTTTTTGCTGGGAGAGAACTGCTTGAGTCTCGACTTCCTGGAGTAGCTGTACCACCGTCAGCCGTCTGCGAGGCCGCCACAAACTGAAATACCGCACCTTTTGCAAAGCCGCATTGGGGATTGCCATCTTGATGGAGCCAAAGTCGACTCAAAGAGATGAACCAACAACTGAGATTTTGAACCTCTGTTTGAAGTGACCGAGGTCTGTCCGATGCGTGTGAAGAAAACGTGTTGCCTCAGGTCAGGTATGGAGTTAAGTGCAGGCTAGGCTTGATAGGCTTGGTGGGCGATAAGAGCAGTGGTGGCACGGCACAATCTTTGCTTAAGGATGCTTTGCCGAACCTGCCGGGATGGAGACTGACCGGCGTAGAGAAGGCTGCCTCTCAGCCTTAGATTGAGTCAAACTTGTACTCCGTGCCTTTGGAAGCAAGAGGCTTGACTACAGTACTCGCATTCCGTACACCTCTTGGAAAACAACACGGGCTTGCGTCTTCAGCCGGGATCGAGGTGCCTCGCCCCTCAAAATCCGGAGGGTCACAATGTTCTTCTTTGCAGCTGGACCGCCACTATCGGGCACGGTTCGTCCTCCGCCAGCCTTTCAGCGCTTCACGTGTCAGGCACAAAACGCCGTCCTCGGGTCAAAACGATCAGCCTAATGGGCCCCGAAATGGGCCAACGCCACTACGTATTTCGTATGCATGCATATTGAGCGCAGTATCGTACGTCACATTCGTTTGACTCGACCTTGACGTCGCCAAAAAGAATCACAGCAAGCCTGCTCCACTAGTATTTAATAAGTCAATATTGCCTACTGTCAGCAGAATATTCGCGTTGGACGCTGTTTCCGCCTGCACACCCGCACCATCCGGATGTCTTAAAAAAGATCTTGCTTCGCACACCTCTCGCTACTTGTACTCTCAGTTCTTGTCCGATATGCCAAACTTCTAAGCTTCACAACACCCGATTGAGCTGACCCAACACTGGCTGCAAGAATGCCCTCATGGCTACCCTCAATCCCTTACCCTCCTCCAGACCAGCCAGGCTACTGGGACCCGGTCACATCGACTCTACAATGGTGTGAAGAGGTACGAGAGATGTCCAACGGTGCGCGACGCCGGATACTAACGAGCCCTCTCATAGGACTACTATGCGACCTACTATTCCGCCGAGATCATCAATACCCTAACGAATCTCATGTTCATATACCTTGCATACAAAGGTGTCAAGAGTTGTAAGAATCAAGGCCATGACACTGTGTTCGAGGTCGCATACTTTGGATACTTCCTTGTCGGCTTCGGAAGTTTTATGTTCCACACAACGTTGAAATGTAACCAACCCTTCGACTCGTAAAACATGCGACAAGGCTGACTGGGATATTTAGATCCATGGCAACTCGTCGACGAACTAAACATGATTTACACAACGTGCCTGATGGCTTACGCGAGCTTGTCTTATTCCCGCCCAGCAACCCACCAAGTAGCCCTAGGCCTCTTTCTCCTCGCCTTCTGCGCTGCGATTACCTTGTACTACCACTACCTACAAGACCCGGTCTTCCATCAGACCGTCTACGCCTTTCTCACCTTGTTTATTGTTCTACGGAGCTTGTACAGTATGGAGTTTAGTTTGCGCCCTTCTCTGCGACAAACCGAAGAGAGACACCGTCTAGAAAGAGTAAGAAAGGGTCTGCCGGTGATGACCAAAGAGGAGCAAGACTATGAGAATAAAAGAGACATGGAGATACTCCGAACCATGTGGTTTTTTGTTGTTTTTGGAGTATCCATCTTTTTGGCTGGATTCGGAATCTGGAACCTGGACAACCAGTACTGCTCGACCCTACGTAAATGGCGTCGAGAACTAGGTATGCCCTGGGGCTTCTTCCTTGAGGGTCACGGCTGGTGGCATCTCATGGCCGGGATCGGCGCATATTTTTACATTCTCTGGGCCATTCATCTGCGACACGTTCTCAATGGCGACCAAGAACATTTCCGCCTGGTCTGGGACAGATTCTTTCAGCTACCTGAAGTCGTCAGGATCTCGGATCCTCCCAGCAAGGAGAAAAATTGCAGTGGAGCCATCAACGGTAGCCTGGAGAACGGTCATGCGAATGGAAACACTAAGAAGACGAAATGAATCCGCACATTGCATCACACTCGCTAAGGAACACTTTTGAATTGCATAGGAATGGCGAATGGACATGCTCAATGTTTGCGTGTGAGTTTAGCAAGTGTCGAGTACTAGATAGCATGATACCCCCAACATTTGAGCGCAGCCTGAATGAATGCTTACCTTACTTTCTCTCATGCTTTTGGCTTGTTGGTGCTACGTATACTTCCAATGATCTGTGACCTTATCTCAATGCCACAGTCCCCTGTTCGCAGGGCGGTATACCTACCTGACTTGCACATACGGAGTACTAAGTATATATTCACCTAAGTGATCCCACCAGGAAATTCACACTTTACATATTATAAAAGTGAATTTTCCCTCAACAAAGTATCGCCTTGATGGCCCACTACCAAAGACTCACCGCGTCGAATAGCGACTTTGTCCTAATGGTTTGGAGGTTGGGCTTATCCTTGGAAACTTCGCCTAGTGGGATTAAAACCGGGAGTCTGGCAGGTTTCCATGGCTACTGTAGCATCTCTTCTTCAAAGGGAGGTGTGAAAGGTCATAGTCGGGATAAGTAACAGCAGAGCCGGGGGTTCGACCTTCCAAACTTTTTGTTTCCTAGCAGGACTTTTTGTTTATTTTTTCGAGGCTGAGTGAAGGTGGTGAAGTGATGCTCCCTCGATTGGACTTATGTAGAGGCATTCGATGTTGTTGTGTTGACCGCCAGTATTAAGGGGGTCCTTGTAAAGGCGTTAACCATCCAATCCCGCGTTTCGAGACGTAGGAATAAAAAATAATGACGTTCATGATTGGCCCGTTAGCAACAACACCAATTCAACACTGCCTAATTTACTATGTTGCACCGACTCTCAACCAGCACGCGAAGTATCATAGCAATCTGCAATGGCTCTGAGCGTAGGATTCTTTCAGTTTCTCCTGTCCTGATGTGTGGAATCCAGATATTCAATCACCGGTGGTAGGTATCTGCAGACCATGATACCAGCACCAGAACCACAACTCAAGACCCTTGATCAACTTACACTTCGAATCAATGCTTCATGATAAGCGAACATGGCAGAAACACCACCTCCGATACTCGCACCGCCATCGATTCAACCGACCACCACCACCACCACTCCCAGTCTTCTCTCCACCCATAAAGGGTTGGTTGAAACCATCTCATCCTTTTTGACCGTGGCCACACACCACATCATCTTCCTCCGCCGCATCTACCCGCCCATCAGCTTCCTCTCGGTGCGGGCGTACAACTACGCCGTGCGGCAGAACCGACACCCCGCCGTCTGCGCGTGGATCAACGACGCCATCTCCGCCGTGCGGGACCAGCTCGAGAAAAACACCGTCGAGAGGGTCTCCCTGTGCATCTACGAGTGTCGGGGCCACCGCGTCCTCGAGAAATGGACGTTCGATCTACACTCGATCCCGTCCGTCGCCAAGATCGACCGCGACACCCCCTTTGTCGACACGACGACGACGTCACCGCCCGAGACGACCGGTACTGACCAATGGCCACCACTCGCCGAGGGACTCAACGTCGCCGACCTCGAGGCCAACTTCCGCGCGACGCTCGCACGGATCAGCACGGCCGCGGGCAAACTCAAACCACTGCCCCAGGGCCTCAACGCGCCGGAGTGTAGCTTCACCCTCGCCATGGAAGTCAAGGACGACGCCGACAGACCCGTGGGGATGCTCGAACCCGACGAGCGGAGATGGATGGCCGCCGAAACACGCCCTTCCACTGCTACTGCCACGGACACAGCATCCGCTGCTGGCGACCGCCGTGCAGGTGACGCAGAAGGTACCTCGTCGTCATCGGCCCAAACGCACGTGGTCCGCCGTCTCGAGACGGGCGAATTGCGTATGGAGGTGTGGGTTGAAGAGTCCGCGGCCAAGTTCGAGTACGACCTTCGAGCAGTACCGCAGCCCGGTGCCGTAGGGACACGACGGGTGAATTTCGCTTCCTCCGACGGCGCCGGCACGGCCAAGGTCGACCGTCCAGCGGATAAAGAATACGATCTCGAGCCGCCAGACGTGAACCGTAAACCTCAAGGAGGCGCCATGACCGATTATCAACGAGATAGATGAAATTTTTTTTTCCAAACCAAAAATCTTTCTGTCGCTTCAGATCGAAGTATGATCTACAGTAATTTCCACCGCCAAAGGAACCGGCCCGGGGGGGGGGCACCCTCACACCGACTCCCGCGCAGAAACTGGCATCGGCGTGAAAACCCTGTGAGGGGATTCGGTCTCAGGCAAGAAGGATATGAGACAAAGCACAAGCACGATATATCCACAGAGAAACGCCCTGTTTGTCGCCACCCACCACTATCATAATCATACCTATACATCACATGGGAAGAGACTCGACCTCCTGACCATATGGCGACGTGGTCCGAGATTCAGGGGGGCCGCATTCTAATAGAATAGTATCTCCATCTGAGCACACTCTAAAACCATCATAAAAGACGCCTGATTATTGTCGTCGCCAAAGTCCTTGCAAACAGATCATATGAACGTCTGAAGCTAATACCCGTTGCTACTTTTTTTTCCATTTTCTAAATTTTCAATAAACTAAAAGGACTCGGTGCAATTGTAATCTGAGCTCGCAGGGGCCGTCACAACTCACGGATGCAATCTGAATTTCTGGTGTATCACTAATGGTCTCGTAACGCAAAAGACACTCCCCTGTTTCGCCGGGACCTCTTGTGACATAACCCATGGCCCGATGACTGAATGAATCACCTGCCGAATGACATCTAACATTTCCGCACGCCCATTTCTCAGATTGACGCCCAGGTCCTTTATTTCCCCAGCCATTGTAAACCTAGCCCCCCCGTCGGACATGCAGAAAAAAAGGGGGGACGTACAAAACAAAAAAAAGTCGGACCACCGAAAGAAAGGGAAAAAGGTAATTTTTTTTGTTTCAGTTCAACACGGGCCGGGTGGTCCGCAGCCATATTTGTTTTGCAAAAGGAATTGCTGAACGCTGATGCCATGATTATGTGTCCATTTTACCTTCATTGAGACACGATCGTACATCAATGGAGACTCAACCACTTCAAGGACGACGTCCACCAGGAATCACATTGTACGGGTTTTCCGGCCAACCATAAATCGGTGCATGGGGATCTGCGGCTGCAGCACGAGGATCCATCGCTCTCCTAACGTAAGCATTGACAGCTTGCTCAAGCCACTGGTTTGCCCCGGCTCCGATGTCAGGACGATACTGCATTGGGTGCATCTGACGCTCGCGTCCAAGTCCACCTTGTGCAGGAGGAGCGTGTTGTGCTGGGGGGCGAGGATGTGCTGCAAGTCCTGGAGCTACTGCCGGGATTGGAAGGTTTGGGTATTCTGGAAAATTGGCCGGACCTTGGAACTGGTCAAATCTGTCGTGGTGCATCGCCGGAGGGGCTGGTGGAGGGATGGGATCCAAGCCCATTCGAAGCGCATCTACGTTGACTCTTGCGCCCAAGTTTTCATCGAAGTGTAAGGGTACGCCGAAGTTTTGGTCCATGCGTGGCTCCAGATTCCTCATCCGATGCACAAACTGTTGACGTTGCTGTTGTCCTTCCTGGATCAAGTGGTCAATAAAAGCAGCTTGCTCTGGGTCCGGCCTCACTCTCTGCATGATAGCAACACGCTGGTTTAGTTCTTGAACGCGACGTTGATTGTGATCGAGACGCCGGGCTCGATTCATCATATTTTGGTAGAAAATGTCCGCAGCCGGATGGTCATCTAGTTTGGGCTTTTGCGGTTTTCCCGATTCGACTCGAAGCAGAGTTTCATCAACGTCGGCATCGACCTTCTTGGCTTCTTCTATGGCTTCAAGCTCCGCTGCCATGGCCTCTTGTTCGTGTCGATCGACACCCTCTTGGTCGTATAGCGGACATTTGGCGTCTGGTTTGTTGAAATGCCAGTACGTATTGCCGCCGAGGTACGTGATGTCTTGCTTGCAAACGTAGCACATTTTCGAATGACACTTGACACATTCCATTTTGTTGCAACCAAAGTCTTTTATGATTTTGACGCCGCATTTCTTGTTGGGACATGTCCGCATGATTGCCTCCGATCGAGCCTCCTCGATGTTGTGGCGTCCACTGAGCTCCCCGTCTCGCTTGTTTTCTTCACAGGACTTTGGCAAGTGGTTGTCCTTGTTGCATTTTCTGCATGTTGCACGCTTGCATTGGGGGTTCAGGCAAATGAAGACTGGATCTTCATCCACAGTGTCACAGATAGCTTGATAGTCACACCATCTGCATTTCTCAAGTCCGTCAATACCAGCAGCCATGACCTCGGCTTGTTGTCTGTTCATCTCCAGTCGGTCAAATGTTAATATCGGTACAGCTTTACCGACATGCTCGTTGAAGAGATCAGCAGTACAGCCACTGACGTCCATACACCTCATCTCATGCTTCATCATGCCGACTTGGCTGTTTGCCAGGCTTTCAACACATGCATAGCAAAAGTAATGCTGCTGATCAGCCATACAAGGTACGATTCGGTTGAGTGGTATCTCCGGGTCGAAACAACATTGACATTCGGCCAAGGCACCATTCTCTTTGTGCCAGAGAAGATTGATTCGCTCGGCCTCCTTTTTTTCCTTTCTGGCGGCGTCCTGGATAGCTTCCCGAGCCACATGTTGTTTAGCAGCTTGCAGCTCATTGACCCGATGAAAATACTGGTATGGTATACGCCGATCGTTGTAGGTGAGCAGGTATTTCTTCTCGATCTCCTTTCGAGGATTTCTTAGTCGAGCGTACGGACGTTTTGCTAGAGAGTAGAATTGCTCCTCCTGCTCATGGAGGTGAACGTATGCATTGAAGATTGACTTTTTCTCGTCCACAACCTTGTGGATGTAATGCGTCGGCACATGATCAAAGGTCTTCGCCACCAAGATGACGGCATCCTTGAGATACATAGCATCTTTTTCGAGATCGCGATCCCAAGTGATTGTGATACCTGTACCGTTGTCAGGAGCAGGGTCCTGACTACTCAATGAGGTAGTGATGTCTTCTTTCGGGTACGTATTCATCTCCAAGACCTCGTCGATGATAGTCTGTGCAACAAGTGCGAATTCTGGTCTGATAACAACATCGTGGATGTCAGGTTTCACAGCCTCTGCGATGGCTTCGATTTCCTTCTCAACGAAAGCAACTTCAATGTCTGGGAAAACCCCCCTTACACTTTCGAGACAGCAATCTTCAAATTCACTGGAAGCGTCCGTCTCACGATCATTCTGGTCGATATGGTCAGGGTCGTAGGTCGGATCATTGAGGGAATAGAGCTCTCGTTGTAGTCTTGCAGCCTTTCTTTGCAATCTCTTAGTTTCTTTTGCATCCCACTTGTTACAAATCTCTTGGTGGCCTTTTACAGTGCCTAGCACAACAGGAAACTGCTCAAAGCCTGGACCATTGTACATCTTTACCTCAAAGCAGCCATCTACATAATATGGCGGTCTCAACTCTGCATCTGCCTGTGGCAACCGCGAGTTTAGGGGGACGCGACTTGAAGATGCTTCGCCACTTTCTTGCACTTCTGTTTCTTGGTAAGTCGGTTGAGCTGCCACCGCACCTCGCTGAAATGGATGTGGCCCGTCCCGAGAGCCATGCCAACGGCGATATACCTGTGTTTCGGGATATTGGTCTCGGTTCGGATTCAAGTTGAGGTGTCCGGGGTTGGGGGCTATGTCGGCTTCGATTTTGGCACGCTTGTATGCATGAGGACTTTGGATCGGACTGGGCTTGTCTCCACAAATTGGCAGACTATCGTGGGTGGTCGTAAGACGCAAGTCATTGTCGCCGTTGTCATGCCAAGCTACCTGATGATCAGCTATGAGTTCATGGTCAGACTCATCATCAGAAATCTCGATGACTACTCTTCCATGTGGATCTGGACGTGGAAGCGCGACCGCAACTTCGTCGTCGTGACCACCGTCTTTCGGCATCCTAGAACGAAAGCGAAGATCAGTAACAAAGTATCCTCGACGAAACATGCTGACTAGAATATTCTCTTCAACGGAGTAATGTGAGTAAAGGGGCCAGGACACATGGAGGCATGGCAGGTCTAAAAGGTGAAATAAATAGTCAAAGACAAACACTTACTGTGTTAATGGCTCGTTCTCTATGACCGGTGACCGAAAGACTCAGGCAATGATGAACTAGGCGCAGGTGAGCGAACTGCTGTCGGGTGAGGCTTGACAGAACCCGACAATCAAGGCGCATGAACAGCACCGGGATGACCACAAAATTGGATCACGGCTGTCATCAGGAGTCGCGATGTATCCTGAGGAAAGAGGCTGTCAATAGTGCAGAACAAAGAATGGAAAAGCCACTGTATTCCGTGAGAGCGATCAAGATTGTGATGGTGACTTCACAAGGAGAGTATCCCACGGTGGGAAGGACAGCCGTGGGCGAAGTCAGTAAGCAGGTGGTGAGCACGAGGTCGCGGAATAGGCGCAGGAACAGGGCAACAATGACGCGACGCGATGCTACATTCCCAGAGGTGAGGCATAAATCTCTGACCGAGTGAAGAAGTGAAGTTGGGAGGGGAAAGTGATGGGAGGCAGTTCAGGTGTGGCAGAAATCCTACTGGACCACCGACTCTCAAACCTTTCAATAGACGGATAATGGACGCGAGGGGCAACCAACAGGCAGAAGACACTGGCCGGTACCACCATTTCTGCCTGGGCTGAACCAAAGATTGGTAGCGAGTTTAAAAATGAGGCATCTGGATATCCGCGGTGCATGACGAGATGGAAGAAGTTGGGCGAGGAACGATATAAATACATTCAAAGGCACCAGGGGGGAAATGGGCGCTGTAGATCTTGTCCTTGTACTCGTACTATGCCATTACGAGTATCTTGTCTTATCCTCGCCGCTGCGCACTGACACTGACCTGGGCTGTATCACCAACCTCGATGTCTCCTGGCTCATTCTTTTGGACTTCTCATCTTGCGGAGACACTGCAGAGATATTGATGGTGAATGCATCGACGCTGTGCTCAAAACTCTCGCATTCGCTGCAGAAGAATGATCGTCTCCCCCGCGCCCTTCAGATCCCTAAGCAAGTGATGTTATTTACGCCTTATGATCATTCTACATATTCACACTTTCAATACCTTTCCTTTGCTCGTGATCAGACAGCGTCTACTCATTCTTTGACAGTTTGTCTAACTCCAGGAACTTTGTTCGGCCAGAACCATGGCCTCCTCGAACACACCTTTCAACCAAGTCAAGACTTCGAAGCCTCCTGCTGTTGAGCCGCGAGCCCAGCCATACTCACAATCTCCCGACCTTTCGCTTGAGCCTGCCACGCTCCTCGAATATGTTCAAACTGCATATCTCAATGCTGACGAGTGGAAGGGGCCTCTGACGATGGCTCAATACCTCGACAGAGAAACATACCTGCAGGAGGTCGAGCTCACAGAAAATGGTGGCATCACTGGGTGGATTCTGACTTCTGCTACCCTGCCAGTAAATCCCGATGGATCTCGGCCTATCCTTGCTTCGTGTGAGAGTATCCATGTACGCGGCTATATTGCGCGGGGAGGAAAACTTGAAAGAGTTCGTGCGCATGGCATTGCTTCTGTCTATACACGGCCTGAGTACCGCGGAAAGGGTTATGCTGGCCGCATGATGGCTGATTTGGGCAAGAGACTGGAAACTTGGGGACAACCTGAACAACAAAGGAGTCCTTTCTCCGTCCTCTTCTCTGACATTGGGCCAAACTTCTATGCCAAACACGGCTGGAAAGTCTTCCCCAGCAACCATATTCATTTGGCGCCAGTCGACCGTCTGACCTATGACACTACAAGGACGGCTTTGCCAGTCGTTGAAGACTTGACGCTTTCGGACTTGCAGCAAATTCCCGCAGCCGACTACCTTGAACAGCGACTTTTAGCACAATCAAGAGACAATCCAGACTCAACATTCGTCTCCATTCGTCCTGATATGGCGCACTTCATATGGCATTTTGTGCGTGATGAATTCCAGACCAAGTTACTGGGGAAAGGGGACCCCAAGATCAAGGGTGCAATTCATCGCGACACTGGCATTGCCTTGGTCTGGTGTCGAGTCTACGCTGCACAAGAAAAGGACTTCCAATTGCATATCCTGCACAGCATCATTCCGGATTCGGTTAGGCACTCGCCAAAGGCACAAGCCGCAATGGCAGCTTTACTCTTGAGAGCGCAACTGGAAGCGAATCTATATGGTATGACAGCCGGTGTCGAAGTATGGGATCCGTCTGACTTGACGATATCTGCGGCACAACATTTGCGCGGAGAGGAGCAAGGCCGGGTAGAGGTTGTCACAAGAGACAAGGAACACTTATGCAGTCTACGCTGGACTGCTAACCCCTCGGGTCAGGACCAAGACCTTGTCTGGCTAGCGAATGAAAAATATGCCTGGTGTTAGAGACTCGGCCTGATATTGTTGCCGCCGGCTTTATATGCACCCTTGGCTGTTACCACAACATTATCACTACTTGGGTCTCTCGGTGTTATCACTATTCAAATACGGAGTATACGTGCCTGATTCGGCATGGAGCAACCAACAAGTCGAACTTGATCCGAACTCCCACCTACAGGCTGGACCCAGTTTCCATACCTAGAGTAGAACGGGGCTTCTCGAGGAGGGTAAAGTGGGGACACTGGTCTGCCTGATCTCGTATTTCGTATCGGGATGATCAGCCATGCCTAGTCGCCATTACCACCACGAAATACTGTGCATAGAGCAGAGGTAGGTGATTTAGACCAAAAAAAACATAGTAATTGAATTCTCTGATCAACGAGAGCACAGTCAATGCACATGTTTTTGACCGAGGCCCGAAGGATTGAGCAATACCTCTTCGCATTTTTCCTATTTCTTGGAGGAGGCCTCAAAAGGCTGACACCGTTGGAATTAACATATTGTCCTCGTCTGCATCTTAGATATTTCGTTCTTATGTCTTGGGGCTCCCTCGGTGTAACGATCCGCTCAGACAGACAATCTAAGGACTTGACTTACAATATGTTGAAAGACCCGCTCTGGGATTTCGAGAAACTGGGGAATGGCATACACCTCTACGAACCACCAGCTACATCAACACCCTCCCTCCCTTCGATCTCAGGTGCCGCCGCGTCCGAAGCACAGCCAACCCTGATCATCTGTTGTGTGTGGATGTTTGCGGCAGCACGCCATGCAGCCAAATACTTCCACCATTACCAACTCCTGTACCCGGAAGCACAGATCCTCCTGCTGCAAAACAACATCATGAATATCACCATCAGGCCGGACAGGCTCCAGATACAAGCCATGACTCCTGCGGTCGAGGCGGTCAAAGAATCCATCAGGAAGAATCCACATTCGCATATTCTCGTCCACGCCTTCTCCGGAGGAGGTTGCCACAGTGTCGTCCAGCTTGCACAAGCCTATCGCGAGAACATAGAGTCTGTGCCAGACGCCAGAGACTTGCCCCTCGAGATTCCCATTTCGGCAATGGTGTTGGACTCGTCTCCTCCTCACGGGAGCCCACCTTTGCAGACGGCCGTGACGGCATCCTTGTCATTTCTTCCCAAGGCAAGTATGAGTCAACGACTGCTAGCCACGCCGGTCGCATGGGCCGTCATCGGCAGTTGTGCCCTTCTCAACGACCTCGGATTGGTCGAGTCGTCGCCCAGCAAGATATGGCGGTGTTTGAATGATCCCGAGGGCCCGTTCCTTTTCAACCATGATCACGTTGTGGATAGACTTGGGTTCAATCCATCTAAAAGGACTATCCCTCGGACGTACATTTTCAGCAAGGACGATCAACTTGTCCCTCACGAACATATCGTCCTCCACGCCGCCGAAGCCAGCAGCAAGTGTGAAGTATTGGCATCAGACGCCGACTCGAAAGAATCGATCCGTCTGGAAGAGTTCATCGGCAGCGCACATGTGAACCATGTGTCGGTTGACGCCCAGAGATATTGGCAATTGGTGAACGATACTGTGGAAAAAGGGTTTGCGATGGATGAACAGACACAGAGATTGATGTCAACCGCTTGATGTACAAGATTAATCCCAGAACTTCCTGAAGAAATCGCCACCGTAGTCTGTTGAATACCTCGAGGGTAGATCAATATTTCTTTCAACGGCCGGTGTTTGTTGAAAGACACACGGTTCAAAGATTTCTTGCGCATCTACATGAGGTTCTGTAAGACTATGTACAACAGACTCCGGGGGGCTCAGGGTTATCTAAGCGATGATGTCATCCGAACATCGCCCGCGTGCGGCTTTTTGATAGAATCTCGACCGGCAATATATTTTGACGAGGTGCTGAGTATTCTGGCAAAGTACATAAATTCTTCGCCATCTTCATACACACGTGTCTTTGATGCAGTGACAAACACCCCTTACTACGATGGCTGCCAATAGCGCTATCCAACTTTTGTTGACCTCGCAAGGTCGGTGGGTATGCAATTCATGCTTGCGACAGATCTCGAGGAGGCAACTTAGCTACCGCCAGCTATCTTCTTCTTCTACCACCGACCAACGTCGCGCGACGAAACAGGCGAGGGGCCAAAATGTCCACTCACACAGTAATAACAACAGCACACAGTCTCTACCCCGCCAAAGGTCGTTTCACTCCGGAACCAACCAACTACGGCGCGAGCATGCTCCCGATCAACCTCACCAGGCAGTGCCGCTAGGTGATTTCTACACGGACCTACTCTCCTCGCCCATGCGCGAGGCCCCTCACACGGACCATAGTGCACTGCCTACGTTTGTGACGACAAAGGACGAGTCGGTACAAGCAAGAGCCAGGAAATTATTCGGCACGATCGAAGGGTCGGGTTACAAGAGTACCACCTCAGAGACACCCGACGCGACGTGGAGGACCATCAACGGGGTTCCTGTGCCCCCGAGACCGGCCGAGCCGGACAATTGTTGCATGAGTGGTTGCGTGCATTGCGTGTGGGACGATTACAGAGACGACGTGGAGGCGTGGGCTGCGAGGGTACGGGAAGCTCAGTCAAGAAAGTCACCGAATCATCGGCAGACGGAGGATCCCAAGTTGAGGTTATCCAGACCCGAAGTCCATGAAGCTTCGGGCAGTATGGACGAAGACGGCGGTGGGAGCGAAGGTCTTTGGACGGCACCTGCTGCGCCGGACGATGAGGATGCGCTGTTCGCCGACATACCTGTGGGGATCAGAGAATTCATGGCCACCGAAAAAAGGATAAGAGAAAGAAAACGAGTAAAGATGCAGAGAGCTTCATGACGGTGATGATTCTTGGAATGCAGTATTTGGGAGCTTTGTTATTGAGCGATGAATGACCTAGAGAATTGTCTATAGAATTCTGATGACTTGTGGAATATACTTGTATTTGACCTAGTGTTCTACGAGAAGGAGGAATATGTATGGGAACCTGAGGATTAGTCCGAACAGATCACAACCAATATGTCTCTACATATATATCTATAAAATTCGTGCTGTGGCGGCTCAGCATTATCGAATCGCTGTAAAGTTGGCTTGTGGATATCGGCAGTTGGGAATTGGGTAATTAACCCATAGACTCCTGGGGAAATTTCTTCGCCTCCCATTCGAGACATTAACAAAGATGTTTCGTAGAATCTATGCTCGCAGCTTCTGACGCCACAGTTACTGTAAGTACAAAGTTCACATACTTGACTTGTATATTTCATTTGTAAGCCCTGTCATTTTTGGTGGTTGATCCGACCCTTGCCATCTCATTTTCCAACCATCGCCATCTTTTCTAGTCTCAACACAGACAGGCGACATCAGGACTTTGGTATCGTTACCATCACACCATCACAAGACAAAGTCATACGGAGTATCGAAAGCAACATATACCCTCCACCATGGCCGAGTCCTCTACTACCACCACCACCGACGAAGACCCGGTCCTGCCACCACTGTCCGCGGCCGACTTTAGACTCTTCAACCGCCTGGCAGAAGAAATGGAGTTTTATCACGGCATGTTCCGGTCGACGTGGGATCAACTGTACGCCGGGACGGCACCGGGGTCGCGTCTCAAACCGAGCCAATTGATCAATCTGGGCTTGCGGTTTTGTCAACACCTCGAAGGTCACCACGACATCGAAGAGGCTCACTGGTTCCCCGTGCTGGGCAAGAAAATGCCCGGGTTCAAAGCCAGAGGGTTCGCCAAGGAACAGCACAAGGAAATGCACAAGGGCCTGGAGAGATTGGGTCCGTACCTGATGGAATGCAGAAGCGGAGACCGAGAGTTGCGAAGGGAAGAAGTGAGGGAAATCATGGATTCCTTCGCAAAGGTGCTGTGGTCGCATTTGGAGGAAGAGGTCAAGGAGCTCGAGGCTGAGAATATGAGAAGGTATTGGACCAAAGACGAGATGAGGAGATTTCCGTTCTGACATGACCGACGATGGAATTTTTGGACATTACTTGGCCATTTTGAGGCTTGTACATAGACATACTCCGTATATGATTGATGGATGGAAACGACGAGGCTATGAAAGACCACCACAACAACAACATGGATTATACATGTTAAGGATCTAATGATATACCCCATCTCAACCATTAAGACTCATATAGATAGGTGTACGTGTATCCCCTAGATCAAACAGCCTCGCATCATAGGACCTCGCTGAAGTACATATTACTCCATAGTCGCAAGTACCTACTAAAGCAAAAACGACAACATGGATCTTCGTTTTCAACCCCACCAACGTAAGCACCGCGACATACAGCACAATCCACAACCCGCGTGTGAAAGGACCACGGTAAGACTTCATTTTTCTACCCGACTCTCAAGAGCGGAGCTCTAGGATGCTACATACAATGTGATAGTGACAAGGCCCCCTATTATTTGATGAACTTGTACTCCATAGGCACTATTCTTGAGCATTTCCACCGACTCATTTTCTCTTTTTTTTTCCCCTTCACCCTCTTCAGCGTCATCACCTCTGGAAGTTTTACGCTCGATCCTGATCTGATCATCGATGGAATGCCATGACACGTATTCCCTTGGCACAATATCTCTTCAAGCGTCTACGCTCACAAGGAGTACACGCCATCCATGGTGTCCCGGGTGACTTTACGCTCAAGGCCCTCGACCACCTCCCCCCGAGTGGTGTGAAATGGATCGGGAACTGCAACGAGTTGAACGCAGGGTACGCGGCGGACGGGTACGCTCGAGTCCGGGGGCTCGGGGCCCTGTTCACCACCTACGGCGTGGGTGAGTTGTCGGCCATCAACGCGGTGGCGGGGAGTTTCTCCGAGTCGGTCCCCGTCGTCCACATTGTCGGCACGCCGCAAAGGCGCCTCCAGGATGCGAGGGCGAACGTACACCACACGTTGGGAGACGGCCGGCCAAGGGTGTTTGCTCAGATGCACCGGCCCGTCACCGTCGCCCAGACGGACCTCCGTGACGAAACCACGGCCCCCGAGGACATTGATCGTACCGTCGCCGCGGCCCTCGAACATTCCCGACCCGTTTACATCGAACTACCTTGTGACATGGTGTCGAAGGAGGTCGACGCCGCGGGACTGGAGGTGCCGTTGGTGGATCGTTTTACGACGACGGAAGAATTCAAGGCTCGAGACGAGGACGCCCTCGTCGCGGACATCGTCCGGAGGTTGTACGGTTCCAAAAGGCCCCTCGTCCTGGTCGACAGCGGTGACGGGTTACGTTCACCCTCTCTCCGACGAGAGGTCAACGAATTCGTCAAGAGGTCGGGATTACCCACGCTGTGCATGCCTTCGGGAAGTGGAATGGTAGATCACGCGCTCGGAAACTACTACGGCGTCCATTCCGGTCCCGTGGGTCAGATCGATACCATGCCGTACGTGAACGGAGCCGATTTGGTACTCGCCTTCGGACCGATGTTTTCAGACACTCAGACCTTGGGTTGGAAGGTGGTTCCGGAACCGGAAAAGACAATAACAATGGGGAAGAATCATTTGTCTTTGCCTACGCGAACCAGCACGACTTTGTCAAGGATAAATCTGCACTCTCTACTGCCCAGACTGACCAAACTTCTCGACAAGACACTACTCTCCAAACCGGACGTATCAACACTGGGTGACTTTCGAACCGTCGTACCGAGACCGAGACCGACGTCCGCATCTACGTCTACAGCCAACGAAGACGGTCAATCAGACGACGATCCGATCGACCAGACAAACTTTTACCTTCGTCTCAACCCGTACCTACGACCCGACGACGTCGTGTTGTTGGGTAACGCCACACCCATCCTAGGTGGTCGTGATCTGGTCCTACCGACTGGATCTCAAGTCATCGCGTCAGGACAATGGTTTTCAATAGGTCACATGTTACCCGCCGCGTTGGGAGCCAGTTTGGCTCGACAGCAAACCGTAAGAAACGGTGGTCGTACGATACTACTAGACGGTGACGGTAGTTTTCAAGTGACGGCACAAGAGCTGAGTACCGTCATACGTTACCGCGTGGACCTGACGATCTTCCTGATCAACAATTCGGGTTACGCTTACGAGAGACAAATCCACGGTATGAATGAAGATTATAATGATTTGTCTTGTTGGAACTACATGGAATTACCATTTGTATTTTCGAATAAACCGCACAGAAACGACGATGGCACCACCACCACCACCACCACCACCACCAACGACAACCGTAATCATGACGAGGATGACGAGTATCCCATCAAAAGTTACGTGATACGTACCTGGAGGGAAATGGATACTCTGTTGGCTTCTGAAGAATTTTGTACCGGAAAAGGTCTACGATTTGTTGACGTTAGGATGGACAAGTTTGACGTCCCCGAGAAGTTCAGGGTGGTTTTCAAAAGGGCCGGTGAGCAATTGGGTTAGGTGACTTGCTACCTAGGTACCTAGGTGAGGGATCATCATGATCATGTGTATACCGCGGCAATGGGGTTTTGTTTGACATGGTACATACTTCGTAAGAACTAGAATTAATCTAGATATATCACAGGTCAACAAATATACCTCAAGTATTGCTTCCCCTTCAAGGTTGATATCTCATATCAAATACCATACACAATGGCATTATCCACATCTATCCGGACTAGGCTCATCGGAACTTGATAAGAATATATTACTCCATACTATGCTATGCTATCCCATGCTGTGTTACTCTATCCTATACCATGCTATGCTATGCCCATACTACGCCATGTCATTGAATCTTCTTCTCAATTCTCACATGGAAAAACTAGTGTCGAAACTAGGCCTCCTTTCAAGATTGTGATGATCATACCCTCTAGGGATTGATCCAGAAGCTGTCGAAGACGCACCGGCCCTGCTCCTCCTCGAACTAGCCGTGGCTGTACGTGAAAGAGGTTCGGTAGGCGAATTGCCTACGAACGTTGCCTCAATCCCGTCATCCTCCGACTCCGACTCCGACTCAGTCTCAGACTCGGAGTACTCGGTGGTTGTCGCCCTATCCAGATCTTCTTGACGCTGCAAGTTCGGGATATGTACAGGCCATATCATCAGAATACAAATCACACTGATGACTATGCCCATGGAGAAAGTGACTCGGATACTGTTTGCGTACGCCTCGATGACTTGTCTTTTGTGTACCGGATCCAAGTTCTTGATGGCATGAACCGACTCTCTCACTGCTCGGATGATGTTCTCTTTGGTCTGTTCGTCCGGAGCCGTCACTAGACGGTCCAAATAAACGAGCAACGCGTTCTGAAGAATCCAACTACTAATGGCAACTCCGAGAATCGCGCCTAAATTCCGCAACAAACCCAAAGTAGTCGTCACTACGGCTTGTTCGTCTTGAGAGTTCAACGCCAACGAGGCAATCGTAGCTGCTGGGAAAGAAAGGCCTTGTGCGATTGAACAAAACGGGATTAGAAACGGAACAGACCAAGTTGGTGTATCTGCAGACAAACAAGTCACACATATCGCTCCCATGAGCATGATAAACGTGCCCACGACCATCGGTGGTTTCATCTTTCGTGTGAGAGTGATGTACAGGCCGCACAAAAGCGCCGTTGCTGTGCCGCCAAGCAAGAGAATAAGCAGGTTCAAACCGGACGCGGTAGGGCTGCTCTGCTTTACGGCCTGAAGATATAGCGGGACGTTGAACAGAACCGTGTTCGTGACAATGGCACCGAAGAAATTCATCCACATCAAGTTGCCCATTGGCCTTGTGGAGAGGAATTTCAGGGGCAGCATCGGTAGTTGAGCCTTTCTTTCCACGAAGTACAGCGAGACTGCCGCGACGACAAAGAGCACAAGGCTGGTGATGACCAACGGATGTGTCCAAGTAAAGACATTTCCACCTAGGTTCACTCCGAGGATGAGGCATGTGACGGTGGTGGTGAGGGTAATGGCCCCGAGAGTGTCGAACGTCTTGAATGCTTGTCGTATGGATTTGCCTTGAGTCTTGGCCAGATTTGGTCCCAGATCAGAGGGGCAAAAGACCAATGTCAATATAGCGTAGGTAAAGATGAAAGGGAGCTGGACATAAAACGCAGCTCGCCAACCCAGTTTGTCACAGAGCAGTCCACCCAGCACGGCACCAAGACCATTACCCAAGCCCCATGACTAGGTAGGCATTGTCAGATGAACCCCCTCCAAATGTAACGGACAAGGCAAAGGACTCACCATGTTGAAATAGCTTTGGTAAATTCCTCGATATTCAATCTTGACAACGTCACTCGTCAATATGGACGACATGGACATTACTCCTCCAGCTCCCAGACCACAGACTGCTCTGGCAGCGATGAAACTGCCAATGGTACCCGCAAAACCACACCACGCGGTACTTGCAAGAAACATGCTCGCCGCGAAGAAAACCACTGGTCTTCGTCCAATGGTGTCAGATACACGACCATAGAGCGGCTGGAAGACCGTTGAAGACAGGTAAAACACGGTGCTCAGCCAAGATGCCGCGTTCGATGCATGGAAATAAGATGTGATGACTGGATGAGCCGAAGCCATGAGGGTTGAGTCGAAAAAGGCAATCGTACAGCCAAACATTATGCTCAGGAAAAGAACGATGAAGCGAGGGCGTGGTATATTTCGAAAGTGAGTGTTGGACGGTTTCTCCGCCGATACTCTGGTGATCAATGGTGTGTCTTCGGAGGGTTGGGCCGATCCCGGTGGTTCGAGACTGCCTCGTTGACTAGGTGCCACGTCCTGTCTTGCTACAGCCATGATTTCTTCCTCATGAAAGTGCTCCTTGGGCCTCCGCAAGTCCTCTGTAAGGGCTTCCCGCCTCAAGTAGCTGTTTCGGAGTTCGAGTCGTTCTTTCCGAGAATAAGAGTAATGTCCCAGGCGGCATGAACGAAATGTTGACCACTTGAGGCTGATGAGATGACAAAAAGAAACACCAAGCGAATCTCACCTAAGACCTTCGTATCTGCGTCCTCTGCCGGAAGTTTGCTGCAGAGAGGGCTCTTTCATGCACTGCTTCGTGTCGATAAGTCGGGTGGTCGAAGTCGTGCTTGTGACCATGCAAGAAAACCGAGTAGTCGGTTATCCAATTTTATTGTACTGCAACCCGATGCCCCTCCAAAGAAGTCGACTGAAGAAATGGCCTAACGCAGCCTGGCGAGGTCAAGCCGACAAATCAGGCTGCGGTATTCCGCAGTAGGTGTCTTTATTGGGGTCATAGGCCTTTTAACCAAGCCCGTGAGAGCCCATAAGCGGGAGTAGCTTGAGCCCTATTTACCTTTCTCGTTAGGGCTTCTTCAGGCGGACTTTCGAATGTCCGCTCGTTCGGCCCCCCAACGCCCTATGATGCGCTCAAATCCGTATTCCGCTCCTCACGCAATTGGTGCCCATTGGATGACTGATTTGTCGTGTACGGAATGAAGAGGCGGATTTCTTTGACAAGGGCGTATGAAATGGGCTCCATAGAATTAGATAAGGGAAACAGAAAGACGACCAACACATCTTTTCTCATCGACATTGATTCATATAAAAACAAGTTGGCCTCCAAGATGATGCTCTAACATTCGATTCCTCCCTCGACATTTCACTGTGTTCTCTCTCTCTCTCTCTTCCCCCCTACGATAACATACCATGAATTTGAAAAAGCAACATCCTTATCGAATAGCCGTCCTTGAATGCGACACACCGTTGCCCAAAACCAAGGCCAAGTTTCAAGGGTATGGTGGCGTATTCGAGTTCTTGCTTCGAGCCGGCGCAAAGGCCTTGGGTCGACCAGATTTAGATCCCGAGACGGGATTCGAGGTGTCGAAATGGCAAGTCGAGTTGGAACCTGACAAGTATCCCAACCCTGATACGATTGATGCCATTCTCATCACCGGCTCGAGTAAGGAAACACTCCCTTTTAGACTATCCCACCCCTTCTCTTTTGAGGCCGGGTCATATTGACCAAAGGAACTTCGTCGATAGAACATGACTCCTTCGCCGATACCCCATGGATCAACAAACTAGTCGAATACACCGCAATGATCTTGTCAGAAACAAAGGTTCGAGTGATTGGTGTCTGCTTCGGTCATCAGATCGTGGGGAGGGCATTGAAGGCCGGAGTCGGGAGGAATCCTTTAGGTTGGGAGGCCGCGGTGAACGAGGTCGATTTGTCACCGAGAGGAAAAGAACTTTTCGGTACCGAGAAATTGGTACGTGAAGTCCATGGGTGTTGGCCCCCCAGGTGACGAACCATGTTGGCCGAAAGGATCGGGATATACTAACATTTTTGGGGTTGTTTCAGCGTATACACCAGATGCACCGTGACTGTGTCTTTTTCTATCCAGAGGGCGTCGAGGAGCTGGGATCTTCGCCCGTCTGCAAAGTACAGGGCATGTATTCACCTAAACGACTGCTGACCGTCCAAGGTCATCCTGAGTTTAACAAGGAAATCATGGACGAAATCGTCAATACCCGACACGCCACCGGCATCTTTGATGACGAGGCGTACAATGAACACATGAAGAAGGTGGATTTGCCGCACGATGGTTTGATTGTGAGCCAGGCATTTTGGAAATTCTTACTTGAGAAATAGGATACATAGGATCGGAGTTTCAAGGACGCAAGAGGGAATAGCCGGTAAAGGTTTATTTTCAAACTGCTCGTGTGAGAAGAACCTGATAGATTGGCGGCGCTATGTTACAAGGTCATGAATGCTTTGCCAACCACTACAGATTCGAGGTGTCGTCCTGGTCTTTACACTCGCGACATCGTTTATGACACCATTCTATCTGCATCAGCTGCACCGGCTGGTATGCGACCTTCGGCGAGATCTTTCTCTATGCTTGTGATTTCGGCTAGACTCTTTGCATTCTTGATCATTTCTTGCACTCTCTTCTTCTCCGTCTCTGTCAATTGTGTCCGTACACCTTTCCGTTTACCCTCTGCCTTGCCGTTGACGCCGGCACCCGATACGTCGAATGATCTGGTCTTGACACCTTTAATCCTTGCTGCCAATTCCGAGGGCTCTTCAGCGGTGCCAAACAATTCAGTGGCCTGCTCGCGCTCGGCCTCTCGGACCTTTTGATAGTCAAGGAATCGTAACGACGGATTTGCCCATATCAGGTAGAGTCTGTAGTGCTGTAGAAACCCCAGAAGTCAGCATCATCGGTTCAAGAAGTTGTATACCACAGACGTCTTGACCACCTACTTCTTTTCTCGTTACCGGATTCTCCAGCAAACAGAGATGTGTCAACTTTCCACATAAACTCAACCCGTCGAGATCTGCCAGCTCTTTGACGTGATTCGCAGTGAGTACCAGCGTTGTCAAGTTTGGTATTTGTTCTGCAATTCTTTTGTCGACGCTCTGTATCCGATTTCGCGCACATAGCAGCGTGTTTAACCGAGGGGAGAGGGGGAAATTGGAGATTGTGGCGATGTCGTTGTCTGTGAAGTCGATGGCATCTTGTGGCCCGGCAACACCAAGGTTCTCGATGATAGGGATTTTATGGCCTGTAACGTCGCAAATACACCGGAGTGTGGTCAATTATGTTCTGCATGCTCCAAAATGATTCGAGTGTAGCATCTGCTCTTTTCAGACATACCTCGTAGGTCAAGCTCCCGCTCCTTGAGTGGATTTAAATATGACAACGAGTTGTTGATCAGGTCGGCCGTGAGCCTCATGATTGCGAAACGGAGGGGAAGTGTGGGCTCGGAATGCCAAAGTTGAAGGCTTGATCGGATTCTCTCGTCGGAGAGACGCTATTTCCGCACAAGTTCTACCAGGGTAGAAAAAAGAGTTTAGCAAGTGCCGACCAATCCTCACTTTCTTGACAAAGGGTCGCGAGAGGATTGAGAAGTCCCACACGGCACAGGTCTCTTGATGGGAACTTGTTTTGCACGTGCTGTTGCGGTGGTGACCAGAATCCCCCGGATCAACTGGCCGAGAGCTTGCGTTGGCGGGTTTGGACAAAGAAGTATTCAGGTTGATTAAGGGCGCGAAGCAATGAGGATTGGATGAAATTGCAAAGGGTTGGATCCTTCAACGCGGGAATCTGATCCAATACACACTGTACAGTACACAATACTCTGTACGTCGCGCAGGAACTTTTTTCATGATGCCAAGCCAAAAGATGGCCCAATAGAAATGCAGGAGGTTCTCCCCAGATTTGGCCGGGGCTGCGGCTCATGCTGGGACTAGCTGTACGTAACAATTAGATGCCAAGGTTAATATTTGTACTACTTGTACTTGTACTCCGTACTTGCGGCTACTCGTACTGGACTAAGGAGTGGGAGCTTGCGCGAGTCATGCACGGTAGATCGAGTCGCGTGAGGGATCTACAGTATTGTATCTCACGGCCCTTCGCACGAGGGCTTCAAAGTCCTGTGTAGTACTCGTACTCGTACGTCCATGGACGATGCCGCACGTAGCCGATCACACGTGGCTCGCCAGCAAACGGGTGACGACGATGTTGTACTGTTTAGGGAGTAGTGAGCCGGACGGTTCTCGGATCAGGGTAACGGATACAGCAGGGTGTTCGGTGTGGGCGATGATGGATGGTACTCGTACTCCGTACTGGCAGGCGAGAAGTTTCTTCTGCAAAGTGGTGGCTGCAGGTGGCTGCATATCCCTTCCTTTGCGAGTGCAAGCATCATCTGATGGACAGCCCCGTCAAACCACGCACGGCTCGATCTGGGCTATGGGCTTGACTGGACCGGGGGACAGTATCACGCTATTGGCCTCTGGGTGGTGTCGCTTGTCGTGTGGTGGTCTCTGTAATGAGTTGTTCTGAAGCTTCTCGACCTACCACAACCAGCACAACGGCCTCCCCCGCCCCAAGGCTCACAGAAGCACAGGCCACTAAGGACCCTCGCCACCTCCGAGTGCGACATCCCTATCTATGACACTTGAATGGCCCCAAGTGATTCTAGAAGGAAATACGCAGACCAAGGTTGGCTAATCAAGGTGAATTCGAGCCAATGACACGCCGTATCGACAGACCTTATCTCGACCCATGCCCATTGTGGACTGGCGCTGGTCAGCCCGATGTTACCTCAATGTGGCAGCCACCAATACGAAGGCGATGGACTCCGGGATCTGTTGCGCCCCGAACCACTCTTCGAATCGATGGTGGACGCCTATCTGCGGAGGAATTACCGTAGTTGCATGTCGCTAACACTAACTGCGCAGGTCAGTTACAGCATGGGTTCACCAAGGCAGGTCAAGGGTTGCTTGGTCGAGGTGCTTGTCGAGCTTGTGGCGCTTGGGAAGCTTGGGTCGTATAAAGAGGAGGGAGGAAGCACCAGGTCAATCTCACACCTGACACGTCTTTCTTCTCTCTCCCTCAACCTCTCCCTCTTCTCCTGCCCATTGAGTATCTGCAGCAACCATGAGTCTCAAAAACGACGCCAATGTCACTGGCGAGAAGGATGTCAACGGCCTCCCCGGTGAAGGTCGTAACAACTCCTTCTCGGCACATGCACGCGGCCGACAATTCAGCGTCGACCCAGAAGACCAGGCCATGGTAACAACCGACCAGAATGCGCTTCATCGTAATCTGAGAGGTAGACACATGCAGATGATTGCCATGTAAGCCTCTCCATTGATCCGTTCCACTCTCGGTGTATACTGACCTCATCCTCGCAGTGGTGGTGCCATTGGTGCCGGTCTGTTTATTGGTTCCGGCGGTGCTTTCCAGACTGGTGGCCCAGGTTCTGTGCTTCTTGGTTTCATGATTATCGGTGAGTACTCATTCTATTCCTCTTATCGAGGTCCGCGACAAGAAATTGCAAAGCAATGGCTAACCTTTCTCTCCTTTGCAGGTCTCATGGTGTAAGTCCTGTCTAGTCGCGTCTAGTCAAACGCCATGCCGCAGTTTGGTCTCTTGTCTGACATCATCGTCTTTTTTAGCTATCTCATGATGCAAGCCCTCGCAGAATTGAGCGTCATGTACCCGATCAACGGCGCCTTCACCATGTACATCTGTCGCTTCGTCGATCCCTCGCTTGGATTTGCTTGTGGTTGGGAATACGCTATCTCTTGGCTGACGGTGCTTCCTTTTGAAATTTCGGCTGCTTGCAATATTATCCACTACTGGCCCGGATCCGATGGTATCAACAACAGCGCTTGGATCGTTCCACTTCTTGTCGCCTTGGTTGCTATTCAATTTTTCGGTGTGAGAGGATATGGCGAGGTAGGTCTCCCCAAAAAATATCTGTATTGCCCAAAGGAATCGAATTGGGCTAACGGATCATATTAGGTCGAATTCGTCCTCAGTATTATCAAGGTCACCGCCTGCGTGGGTTTCATGATTCTTGGAATCATCATCAACTGTGGTGGAGTTCCAAGCGATGACAGAGGCTACATTGGAGCCCGATACTGGCATTCACCTTACGAGGCCTTCCTCAACGGATTCCACGGCTTTTGCAGCGTCTTCGTCACCGCTGCTTTCGCCTACACTGGTACTGAGCTTACTGGATTGGCTGCTGCTGAAGCCGAAGACCCCAAGAGGGAGATCCCAAGGGCCTCCAAGCAGGTCGTGTGGCGTATCTGTATCTTCTACATCGTCAACCTCTTCCTTGTCGGGTTGATTGTACCTGAGAACAGCCCTCTGTACAGTGGAGAGGGTTCCGAATCCCGCCACTCACCTTTCGTCATTGCAATCCAGCTCGCTGGCATCAAGGTCCTCCCATCCATCATGAACGCTGTCATCTTGATGGCTGTCATGAGTGTTGCGAACTCGTGTACTTTTGGATCGACCCGAACCATCCAGGCTCTCGCTGCCAATGGCATGGGTCCTAAGATCCTTGCTTACGTCGACAAGAAGGGCCGTCCCGTTTCGGTGGTCATCCTCCAGCTTCTCTTTGGGTGCCTCGCTTTCATCAACTTGGCCAGCGACGGTGGCACGATTTTCAACTGGCTTCTGTCTCTGTCGGGTCTCGCCATTCTCTTCGTCTACGGCAGTATCGGTCTAGCTCACATCCGCTTCCGCGCTGCCTGGAAAGCCCAGGGTCACACCGTGGACGAACTCCCCTTCCGCGCCGCGTGGGGTGTCTGGGGCTCATGGCTTTGTTCCTTTATCTGCTTGATCGGTTTGATCGCTCAATTCTACGTCGCACTGTACCCAGTCGGCGGTCCCTACTTGAATGCCAACACATTCTTCCAACTCTACCTTGCCGGTCCCCTTCTCATTTTCCTGTATCTGTGTTGGAAGGTCTACAGCTGGATTTACCGACCCTCAGATCGCCCATTGTTCACCAGGGCCAAGGATATCGACATCTACACGGGCATGAGAGAGACTCAGCAATACATCAGTGGTCGCAACGTCCCACAGGATCAGAGACGTGCCAGTATCCAATCCTTGCAAGCGGAAAACGAGAAAAAGGGTGCCAAGGGTTATATTATGTCTGTCATCAGAAACATCATTTAGGCTCGAGAGGGTTGTTTTTTTTTGTTTTTCCATTCCATGGGAACCATGGGACCAAGGAGAAACCCAAAAACTCGAGAGAAGGAAAGACTAAAGACTCCCCTCGGGGTGTTGTCTGTGAGCATGAATCAAACAGCGTTTTACGGAATACGTTCGTAAAATTTTCTGCAACGAACCGTAGCCGCTACAATCACCGGGCATGAGCCAATCGTTGGGAGTTTTGGGGTGTGTGAGGGAGAGGAGAGGTGAAAGAAACGAGTCGTGTTGTTGTGTATAGTACCGATAGCCAAATGTCAAAAATAGTTATACTTGAGGTACCGATCAACAGATACCCAGATCCACGGACAAGGCTGCAGATCTTTATATAATACTTTTTTTGAAACCATTTGTGATTTTGAAAAATATCACTTTTTCCATCAATTCAGGAATGAAGGGAACATTGTAGATATGGTGTCTCTTGCCCCCTGTACCGAGCTAGGATCTTGAGAGTTCTTACGGAGTACAAAAGGGTCGAATGTCAAAGGACATCAAGGCCCTTCCGTACTGCGCGCGAACAGAACTGGCGACGTCTATTTCCGTACTCGTTTGTTGTTGGTCCCCCTTTACTCTCTGTGTCATGACTCTTCCGTAACTAGTCTACCCTTGCAAGGTATGTAGGTGTGAACAGTTTTGAAACCTTTGTGGCAAGGGGGGGGGGGGGGGGTTTGTGATGGGTTAGAGAAAAGGCGAAGGCGAAGGCGAAAATCAATGTGGACTTTTTTTTGTCTACCGAGTACTCAAGCGGGAAAAAACAAAAACAAAAAACCAAACCACCACCTGTGTACATACGGAATAGTGTACAACAACAACGAGTCAAAACAGGTAAAAGCCCGTGATAGGCGAAATCCGAACTTGAAACTCGTACTCGCGTAATTACACCAAGGTTGGTTTTACTGTACAAGTATCGATACGGAGTATCCGTACTCCGTATCTAGTTGTCGTTTTCCTCTGTCGGCCTTCCTTTTAGGTATTAACTATTGACTACCCCTTTTACCCCGGTACATGTACTCCGTACATCTGTACTCCGTACCTACTCCGTAATATCCTCTGTTATCCGACACCCACTTATTACCCCGTACTCGTACTTTGTGGTTTGGATGTCTCCATCCCTCCCCCCCGAGGTCCACGAAGGTATATACCTCTTAGGTAATGTCTACAACATCACACGGAGACATTCCACACAACAACAAAAAAAGTTTCCCTCCTTTATGTACCTACCACTTACCTATTCTCTGGGGGTGGCTCCCCTCTCAAATCTCCCCCCCGTCCCCCTCGCCCCCCCCCAAATCAATCTACTCCGTACTCCGTACTCCGTACTTTCTCAACCAAAAAAGCAACTTTTACATACTGTACGGAGTAGATTGGCGTGGTGGCGAATGGGGAGGAAAACTAATCTCTCACTCCGTAGAAGCTGCCCGTAGTTCTTTCTATGGTAGGATATTTTTCTTCCCAGGTGCCTTGGCATGCAACAACTTGCCACCGCCCCACGCTGTACGGGGTGATTGCATACCTCCTCATTTCTTCGACATCTCAAGGATGAAGAATACAAGTCTTCAATACATGTACATATCTGTCGCACCCTCCCGAGACCAGAGCACATTTCCGAAGCAGGTCACAGCACCTGTCGACCAACCTGGGCATGTTGCAAGAGCAGACAAGCACGCCTTCGATGGATGACCGCCCGCCCCTTCTCAACCACGACTCGTACCTCTTCGAGTTGTCACTCAACGTCGTGAGTTCAAACTCTTCTCGATCGCGCGTCGAATAAGGTCGACCGTGCAGATCTTGAGGCACCGCGGCCGCCGGCCCGCACAGGTCGCATATCATGTTTGCCCGGGAGCATGCCCAAATCGCCAGGGCCGCCCTGAACAAACACTCGGCCGCGGCGAAACTGACAGAGGATCGTTCCGAGTCTGCACCCTGCGTCTCCTTGTCTAGAAGCACCACGATTTGCGCTGCGTGCCACAGTGCCTCCTTCACCCCATGGGACCGGGCCCACTGTTGCACCTGAACCTCGAGTTGGCGAATGTACTGAGGTTGTGCAGGGGAACCGCCGTCGCAGAGACCTTGGACAAGTTGTCGGATCAGGGGAAGGTCGGAATGCACACGGATCAGACCGGCGTGGTGTAGAGTCATGCCGGTGACGTAGGCTTCCTTTTCGCACTCGGGCGTTGAACGGTGGAACCCAGACTGCCTGAACTGCTCCATTGTGACACGCCAGATTCCCATGAGCACAGGCCAGCTCTGGTTGTATCCCAAAGCTTGCTCGTCGGCCTCGTCGATTTCGTACTTTGTGTGCGCCAGTGCGAGTTTCGCGCTGATGTTCCGACACTGTGTCTCTTCCCAAAGTCGTGACTGCATCCCGCACATGCCCAGTTCGAAATCCTGAGGCGTAAAGAACCCTGGTAACTTCAATCGATCGACCGCCGTTAGACGAGACATTGCGAGTGAACACAAGAAATTAAAGGGTCCATGGGCACGGTGAGGTGGCTCGTTGGCAAGGGCGGAGGTCCACTCTGAGTCGGGCGCATCCCAAGCAGCATTGGTTGGGGGAAACGGCACGTTGATTTCTTCGAATCGGAGCAATGGTGGAAGGTCCAGGATCAAACTGAGATGACAGCCAAGTCGGAAACAGCTGTATACGAGCCTATCGAGGGTCAATGATCAATCCGCGTACAAGACTACCACCTTCGATAGACTCTCATATGAGTTACTTACTGGACAACGAGTCCCCTCTGGATCCAATTTCGTCTTGATGGGGCGACATCACTGTACCGCGCGACGATGTTTGCAAATGACAAGGATCCATTGAGGCGAAGCGTAGAAATGAGAATGTTCAAAAGCAGATATGCGTTTCTGAGGAGAGGAGTTTTCTGAGAGGAGAGAATCAATGTAAGCAAGAAATGTACGATTTGTTTGTAAAGTTTGACGTACCCCGATGACCATCGCAAGAAGGATGTTGAGGACAGCTTGTTGATAGAGTGGCAGGCAGGACTTTCCAGTCATACACTACGTGCGAGTAAAGCATTAGTGGACTGATGCAGCAGATATGCTGTACTCGGAAGTACTTACCAAAGGTATCTTTTGCATTAGATCATTCCAGAGGCATTCGTGAAGTTGTTTAGCTTCATCGGAAACGTGGCCGTCGTCTTTCAACGTCGATCCCAATAATGCCATGGAACATTGTAACCCCAATGGGGCGTCCTCAGTAACTTGGGACGGTGCGTGTAATAACGGCCATCTGGCGTGCCAGTGCTTGAAGTACAGGTCAATATTGGTGTTTGTCAAGATACATTTAATCGTGTCCAGATGCTCCGCAAGTGTCGTAAACTCGTCGACATTCATTTTGGTGTTGATTGATGAATTGATATGGCGCGGGCTTAGACACTCCGACGCCTGTGTTCCTAAAGACTGGACCGAGTCTGGGTTGACGAATTGGACGCTAGCTAAGATGGATGTCGCATCTGCATCAACACCTTTCATCGCTTGCGGTACGACATTGCAATTAATTTCGTTTAGCCCCGAATCCACCATGTTGGCAACACCATGACTGGCTTCATTCTGCTCTAGTTGCGGGAGCATGTCGAATTCATTTGCTTCGTTAGCGAAAACCGCCCGGTGGGTGCTTGATGGCTCATCCCAATGCTCTGCCACAGTGTGCTCGGCATCCGAAGGTATCAACATGCGCTTATTGTGCGGTCTTGCTGTCTGGTACAGGTTCAACGCTTCCAGGTTGCCGAAGTGCCATATTCTGGCTGTCCTCTGCTCGATTGAAGAAGCGTCATGCTGGTTTCTGGATATCAGAGATATATTTGAAAAGGTCTTATGAGATTCATCAGATCCAGCCACTCTGTCGGAGATGATTGACACGGTATCATGGGTTTGGGCATCATCATCGTCGGACATTAACGACTTTTCATCGACATCGACTCTAGATTGAATAGCTTCAGTCTCTGAGGTCGTCCGACCTTGTTGATCCTGTTTCGGCTTGATACACTGAGACTGCGACTCAGCACAACTGGAGCAAGGAGTATTTCCATCACATTCAATCCCATGGGATTGGCACATCAGGCATTCAGTTTCTGGTTTCCGTTTCCGTGCTGCGGCAGTGGTTGCATGCCGATACAAACGGCCATGGCGAAACAACGCATCCCTGACATGCAGAATTAGTATAGTGCCAGATATAACAGTGAGGGAGTTTCCTGTGTTCAAAAACTTACTTCCGTGAAAAGGGTCTCCCACATGAAAAACAAGTAAATGGCCTTATCCGTTTATGATTTGTTTGCTCATGGCGGGTCAAATGGTACTTCCTGCGAAAAGTTCTGTTGCAACCCGCCTCAGAGCAAGTCCAATTCTGCATCTTGTAATCAGGATAGTGGTTCGTAGAATCAGATGGAGAACAGGAAGGAATCTAGGCTTCTTTTTCTTTTGATGATCCTGAGATGAGCATTTGTGGGCGAAGAACCAACTTGCCGAACCCCATGGGCCAGAACAGGCGGAGGAGGTTAAACTGAACTGGGCGATCTGGAGGTGGATGGTGGTGGATGATGGTGGGATGATGTGGAGGACGCCGGAATTGCCCCATTTAGCCCTCAAAGCTTCACAGCCTCGTACAAAAATATAGATAGCCTTGCCCATCAAAGCGTAGAATCGCACTTGGACGGTGTTCAATCGGGCGAATTAAGGGTATAGATGGTATTGACGACCAGAGATATGAATCAGTCAAACAAAATTACATGGCTTTCATGAAGTATCACTCTGAGATCGCTGATAGTTTTTGTACGATCCGTCAAGGTGTCATAGTACGACTGCCGCTCATGATTCGTGTCCCTTGTAGAAGGAACTGGTTCATATAAAGGGATCGCAGTCGGAATGAATCGATGGATCTTTAGAGTCTCGACCGCCTCTTCTGCCCTCTGGAAGTAGTTTGCATATCATCACTCGAGGGCGACTCAGCCTCCAGGAAAATTTGCTTGTTCAGCGTGGCAGCAAGGGACAAAACACGTGTGGATACCGCTGCACCGTCTCGTCGGTTCTTTCCCTCTCGCCGATGCAGAGCGATGCTCTCGATGAAATCCCATAATCTACCAGATGCCGTGAGGTCGCCCGTTGCTGCATCTCTTTCTGGCAACCATTCTGGGGCAAGCCGAACCATGGTCGAGGTCTTTGAGTCTTTGCTCTTGCTCAACAGAATGATGCCCTCCTCCTGGAAGCGGCTATATGCATTCTTGAGAGCTTCCTTATTAATAGCCTCAAAATATGACAGATCTCCTTGATGGTATAGCGTCCTTCCGGCCAGTTGAGCGGTATTTTGTGCCTGGGTCATATCGATCCAAGTGATTGTTGAGCCTACTGGCGGAACCAGGACCAACAAAGAGACTGCGCCTAGCCAGGCCGCGTCCACAAACGGCCAGATCAGAAAGCAATAGAAATCGAAATTCTCTCGACCCTGTTTGCGTTCCTTGTCTGACAAGCCGATCCACCTTTCACCATTTCCAGAGATCGACAACACATCGTCACGTACAAGACTCTGCATTGCTGCTTCAAGATTGTGCCGCAAGCCTTGTCCAGCAGGGAAAATGAATTCGCCCCTAAACAACTGCGACAAGAAGCTAACCTTGTCGATCAGTTCCGTCTCCTTCATCCTTTGATTAGCGCTTCCGCCACCTTGTTTCACCTTGGTGTATATCGAGGCTGCAATCAACGATTCGGAGATGAACAAGTGTATTGTCATATTCCGATAAAATGACAGTTGGAACCGGTCCACGGCATAAAATGTCTCCTCCGCCAGCCCATCAATTGTGCCGACCAATTTGGGGCCCAAGACCTCGAGAGCTCTTTCCACCACATACGACGTTGGCATGCCGTGGAAGTCTGCCACCTTTCCGCCATTTGCCCTTGTTCTCGCGCAAAGCCAGTCCACGCGACGTATCAGCTCAGACTTGCCCACACCACGACCACGCAGCGTGAGTAGAACCGTGCCAACTAGAGCTGTCGGCATGATGACCGAAGCCGAATTGATGTCGGAAAGCACCTTGTAGCCAAGTGTCCGCAGTAACCGAATTCTGGAGTTGGAGTCTGCTGCACTTGAACTCAGGTCCTCATAGCCTGGCTGATCTTGCCGCTGCTTCTGTTCTTGAATAAACTGCTTCAGGCTCCAAGGCTCATGAAACCTGCAGTCTACTCGTCCCAGGTTGAGTGAAAGAACTGAGGATGATGACAGGAAGTCTGCCAGATTCTCTTTCTGCTTGGGTTTACCCAACAGTTCATTGACATATGAATCCACTTCAATGACCTTGTCGTATTGCAGCGACACTGGACAGATGTACGCATCGTCTGTCCTTCCGGACAAAACAGAATCAAGCAGAAAGCTCAATATACCGAAACGAGGGCCCAGTAGCTTTCCTGTTCTGCTTCGTGTTCCCTCGATGAAACATTCCAAGTTGTATCCTTTTTGCATCAAGGTGTCAATATATGCCTGCACGACAGTACCATAGAGCTGGTCATCGTTGAAGCTCCTTCGGATCCACATGGCACCACAACTTTGCAAAAAGTTACCTACGAGAGGAAAATTGAGGTTGTCTCCAGCTACCACGACAGGGAGAGTAAGTCCCAGTCGATAGCATATCAAGTGTAATGTAACATAATCGATGTGGCTTGTATGTCGAGGGAGGAAGATGATTGATTGGTTCTTCTTCGCTGCCTGTGCTGCGATTTCACGTAACCTCTTTACCTCAGCTTCGGACACGTGTATCGCGCTGTATGCTCGGGTGAGTAGTTGTGTCGTCATATAGAATGCGCCGCGGATGTATGGCTTGCTCTCCATCTTGCATATCATGGCATCCACCATATTGCTTGTAATGTCGATTAACTGAGATGTTATCTCGTGCCTGCGCTTCTCGCGCTCTTGTAGATACGTTGGACTGCTTTCGTCCAGGTAGTTTTCCTGCTCTTCTATCTTCAGTCGTCTTTCCGTTAACTCGACTACTTTCCGCCGCAAAAGGGGAGAACTCATAGTTGCAGACTTGATGTTGGCGGTGTAGCCTGGATAGAAGACCGGTTGGCCGAGGATGTCATTGTAGCTGCGCCAACCTACCCCTCGCACAAACAAGGATATCTCATGAGCAAAATTGAAAGGATTCTTTCGAAATCTAGCCATACGCGTAAGGATACTCTGTTCGGTAGGGTCATGGTTGGCTTCTGGGCCGGTCTCTGGCCGGACAAGGTCAGGCATTTGTACTGCAGTTGCAGGAGTGTCTATGGGGATCGCGTGGAAGGAAGGAGAGGATGAGAGGAAACACAGGCGAATCCCATATCGGGGTCAGGAACGCGAGGATATACCACAGTTTACGAGTCTTCGTATTGAGTGAACAGCTTCACGGTTGTTGACTCGGTTCGCTGGTTTGGCGAAGCAACTGGCGCGAAGGATCAGCCGAGGAAACGGCGACCTCCGCACTTTCCCCAGATTCAAGCCACAAGAGACATGCAAGCCACACCATCTGATTCAGCTGAGGGCACAAGCCACAACTCCAGCTGACTGACTAGGACAACCGGAAAGAAGAATAAGTAGAGGAAGAGAAACATATGCACCATTATGCTCAATTCCTCTCCACAGATAGTGACAAAGATTACAGGAACGTGGCCGTGTACACGCAGTGCTATGGAGAGGCTCCTTGGGCTGGCATTCCCAGACATGTAGACTATGAGGTCCGTATGTGGCCTACTCCGTAGCGACATACTATGTAAACTTCAAGATTAAACAGACCGAACCCTGGGTCGAATGATCATTGCTCACAGATTCTTTTGTTTCCTGCAATCGGCAAGATGGTGCTCTCATGTCTCAACCAGTGCATCGTTCTACACAGCCTCGTCAGGCTACGCTAAACCGCAAATGGTGACTATATCCCCCCTCACGTGAGTCTACGTAATCCTTGGGACCAAAAGAAATCAACATTCGCCTCTGCACATGCCCGAACATTTCTTCGGTCCCTCCTTCCTCTCCCCAACAATATCATCAATATCACAGCTGTCGGTCTCAACCTTCGTCATTCGTTTCCCTCAGAATAATCCCTGATCTACCGTCTCCTTCTCCCTCTTTGAGTTGGCTGGTTCCGACTACACTTGACGACAGTGAAATTCTTGAACATGCAATGAACGATTTCTATTATGGTTAAAAAGGCTGACCGAAAATATGGAGTTGTTCTGGACGCGGGTTCGTCTGGCACCAGAGTGTACATATACCGATGGGTCAAGAATGCCGTTGCTCGACAGGGCGCAGCATCGTTGCAAACTCTCCCTGTGTTAGAAACAAAGGAAAAATGGACGAAGAAAGTTCACCCAGGCGTGTCGACATTCGGCGACGACCCTGAATCCGTGGGCCCAGATCATCTCAAAACGCTTCTCAAACACGCTCTCCGTCACGTCCCCAAGGAAGCCGTTCCTGAAACCCCCATATTCCTTCTTGCGACGGCCGGCATGCGTCTTCTACCGGACCAGAAACAAAAAGAGATTTTGAACAATATATGCTCCTACATCCGCTCTGAGACTGACTTCTCACTTCCTGACTGCGATTCACATGTACAAGTAATACCTGGCGAAACTGAAGGGCTCTATGGTTGGTTAGCTGCAAACTACCTATTGGGAGGGTTCGACGCTCCGCAAGACCATGATCATGGCAAAGGGCATCACACATATGGCTTCCTGGACATGGGTGGTGCCTCAGCCCAAATTGCATTTGCGCCAAATGCTACAGAAGCGGAAAAGCACGCCAACGATCTGACACTTCTCCGTTTGAGAACAATAGATGGGACTCCGCAAGAACATAAAGTTTTCGTGACAACTTGGCTTGGGTTCGGCGCAAACGAGGCGCGAAAGCGCTATGTCGAGGATCTCGAGGAGACATATGGTATCGACGGCCTTCTTGAGATGCCGGACCCATGTCTGCCCAAGGGTTTGAAATTGACGGAAGAAGGCGAGCTTCTCTCATCATCCAAGGAGGCGGACCATAAGCGATTTCTTCTTGGGACAGGCAAATTCGATGAATGCCTAAGACGCACGTTTCCTTTGCTCGAAAAAGACGTCCCCTGTCCTGATGAGCCTTGTCTGGTCCATGGCGTTCATGTCCCAACTATTGACTTTGAGGTGAATCACTTTATTGGGATAAGCGAATACTGGCACACAACTCACGAAATATTCGAGATGGGTCATAAAGACAAAGCCTACGACTTCAACACATATCAGAATCGTGTCAGAGACTTTTGCGAACAAGATTGGGCAAAGATTCAGGAGGGTGTTGCCGATAAAACATGGGGTGGCAATGTTGATGAACAAACTGCATTGGAGGTCTGCTTCAAAGCCAGCTGGTTGATCAATATGCTTCACGATGGTATCGGGATACCCAGAATCGGCATTGAAAACACGAATTTTTCATCACATAACGGGACAAAAGAGCTTCTTGAAAGCAGTAAAGAGAAGGGATTTTTGGATCCTTTCCAAGCCGTCAACGAGATCAAATCCACAGAAGTGAGTTGGACACTGGGTAAAATGGTCCTTTACGCTTCGGCAGACGTTCCTCCTGCACATGAGAATGACCTTCCCGTTGGCTTTGGCAGCAATGTTCCAGGCGTGCCCGACGACTTCCAATACCCTAGCGGTGGCATCCTTCAGGACATTAAACCTTCTCATCCTGGCTCGTCATCCGAGACAGAAAGTCAAAGCATAACCGACCAGATCCACGACACTCTCTTCCATTCCGACGCATCGCATCGATTACCTGGCTTCATCTTCTTCCTGTTGATCGTCATCATCGCTTCTTTCTACCTCTGTGGACGTGATCGGAGGTCAAGGATCTATAATTACTTCATTTCATCACCCAAGTCTTCGAGGCCTCCTTTCTCTTTCCTCCACAAAATCCTCTACCGTGGCTCCAAGGCCGGCCTAAATGATCGCGACCTTGAGGACGGCACGTCGTCACGTCTGTATGATCCGACTGATTTCGAGCTCGGCAATCTTTCAGCATCAAGTTCAGACGATGATCTCTCTGTCACACCCCGTCCAACATCCCGATCAGGAGTGGACAAGTCTTCTCTATCCCCGCAGAACAGCCGTCGACACCTTGATAGGTTAGCGTCTACTGTCATCGATCGTACGGGGCTGGTTGTAAGAACGGAGAGTCGTGAGCGACTGGGAGGAGATACAACAGCCACCAATGGACGTTCGAAGAGCAGGAGCGGTAGTCCAACTAGATTGAAGTGAGGTACAAAGCAACATTGAATGAGACAAGATGATTGGCACAATAACGAAGTTAAGAGTGGGATGATGATAATCATGGACCGGCTTGGTTCTTTTCGGTTGGTGTTTGGGGTCTCGGTAGGATTATGTATATACAGTGTATGTTCAATGCGCTACAGTTAGGGAGGGCATGTCCGAGGCACAGAAAATTGGCGTAGACTAGTAGTGGATATTGTATTATGAATGGTTGAATAAACATACAAACTTTGGGATGCAAATTCGCTAGGTAAACAAAGTTGAACAACGATACCGTGGAGAGTGAAGAGATTCAACATGTACGGGCATCTCTAGACAAGCACTTTGTGACCAGGTACGTAATCTACATGCCTCGTAGCGGCTTGAAATTGTACAAGTACATTGTCTACAGTATAAACGTAGCTACGTAACATCCCCAGGTGGTTAGGTAGGTCAACTCTGAGACGTCCTCCTCCCCGTCACTGCCTCGGGGAGTTTGAACTCGGGGATGCCAATCTCCCCTTCCACCGTGACTTCCTTGACGGGCCGGAGGAGACTCGAGCTCGTCCCCCCCGTGCCGGTGCTCCCGCCCGTCTGCTTGCGTTGTTCCCTCTCCCTGTCACGCTGGCCGACGACTTGAGGCAGGGTGGCGGCGACCTCCCGGTAAAAGGCCTCGAGCCGGTCCCTGTCGTGGCACAGAGCCTCCAGGTCGTCCTTGATCTGTTCGGGGGTGATGTACTGGCCCGGGACGTTCCCGCCGAGCAAAAGAGACTGACGGCCGGCCCCGAACACGTCGGCGGTGACTTGGGGGGTCGTCACCAGGGGCGGTTGCGGCGGCACGGCCATGGTGGACCCGGACGCCGAGGATAGACTCGGTGTTGACATGCCTGCGGCGGCGGCGGCGCCAGGGGTCCCGAGAGGAGTCGTGTTTGACAGGGGACGCATCAGTGGTGACGAAAACGGCGCGGTTCTCGGTGACGCCACGTTCAGTCCGATGATCCCGGATGCCTGGACACCTGCGACAGAGTTGGCGTTGTTGCTGTTGCTGTTACTACTAATGCTGCTGACGCTTCCGCCGTGGTTGTTGTTGATGTTGTTATTGTTGGTGGGTGAGCCGCTCACCATGGACGGCGGTGGTCGCAATATGATTGATGATGCGGCGGTGTTTGGAGTGGCTTCTTTCTTCAGGGTGCTGTCCATCCTCGAGGAGGTGTCCTTGCCGGACGCGAGTCTGGAATTGTACAGTCGGTTGGCCAGCAACAGAATGTCACCCTCGTCGGTGATTTGCGCGAGACCCACACCAGAGCGGTGCACGAACTGCGTGTACCGATAGTCCAGCGTGCCCCAGGAGTATCTAATCTCGACGTTCTCGGGAAACTCAGATGTGGCTTCGAGGTCGAGCACGAAGTTGAAGCGCTTCAGCAGCGCCTTTTGGTAAAGGTGCACGTCGGAATTCAGTGGCGCCTGCGGTCCAAAGGACGTGGCGGTGAAATACACGTTGTTCGTCACGGCCCGTTGAGGAGGCTCCAACGCCAGCTTGATGCGATAGGGGGCCCGGAAAGGTTCGTGGTCTGGAACTCGGGATGCTTCTGCTATCGGCACCTCGACCAGCTTCAAGCCGTACTTTTCCGCCTGAGTGGTCCAGTTGACGATCGCATCGTCGACGAGCTTGGAAGTCACGTTAAGCCAGGCCAGCTCGAGATGATAGCAGTTTTCCGGGTTGTGTAGCCTGTCGTAGTGCAGGTTGACAATCTCGGGTCTGTTGGACCGCTTCCTTGTGTCGACGTCGATTCGAATCATTTTGCTCAACGTGATGGCCCGTTTCTTCTTGTCACCGAGCGATTTGGCAAGCTCCGAGGTGACCTGCGCTTGGTTCGCAAGGCTCGACGCTGAACGCGTCCGACCTGTCAATGCCTCGCGCGGTCCTTGCTCGTTGATGGGAGTCGCCGGAATCGACCGGTCTGGTTTTCGACTTGCCGGGAACCATGACTGCTGCTTGTTCTCTGCTCTTTGGGTACGCCACTCAGGTTTGATGGAGTAGAAGTAATTGCCATCTTTGAACTTGTGCCGGCTGTTCACGTGTTCGAACAGACCCTCCTTCATGAGGTCGTTGCCGATTTCCACCGCCTCATCTCTTGTTTCAATATCTCTGAAATTGTGGACTAGCCAGTTGGTCAAGTCTTCACCCATGAAACAACTATAATGCAACCTCAGGTGCCATCGTCTGGTCTTGATCTCGATCCCTCTGTCGCCTTGCAATGTTTGTGCCAATTTGGATAAGCTGAAACTATCACGGTCGAACTGATCTTCCTCGGGAAGTAGCTGAGTAGATTGCAGCTCGCCAGCCTCCTCAGCTGCGATGAGCTTATCGAGTTCGGTGGCGACTAACTCGGACGGATTCAGGGTCTCGAGATTGATACGCAACGGATTACGATCTTTGAGCTTCATCGTGCTCAGGCGATTGTGAGCAGGTCTTCTTTCGTCGGGCGGGACGAATCGAGCTTTTTGCCACATCTGTGTCAATACTCTGATGCCCCGTAGATGAATCTCCTCTTCATTCTCCTCTCCTTCAGAGGGTGCCGGTCTGCGGGCGGTCTGAGGCGGTTCGACTGGGATCAAAACGAACCGAGCACGCCAGAATCTGAGTGCTACAGTATCTGCTTCCGCTTGCCGGCTGATGTCGGAGAGGTAGTTGTCTGCTTCTTCCCAAGGATACTGTTCAGAGAATCCTTTGAATTGCATGTCTCGTATCATGTAGTTTTTGGAAAGGATTGTTTTGATGTTAGGATAATAGTTGATGTGTTGAGGATACGGTGGTTGGACAGTAGGCTGCTTGCGCACGTATCTCGTGACACGGATACAATCTGCTTCCTCGAGAGACAGTTTTTGTATCGTGTTTGCCATAGACAGAAAGATGTAAGATCCGTCTGGTCTAACTAGACCAGGTGTGAAGAATGACGAACTGTCACCAGTGCCGGGTCCCACAGACTCAACTAAAGTCGGGCCTACCACCAATTGGTAGCCATGAGAGAACCTCAAGGCGAGCATTTCTCGAAGGAGCGTGTCACGAGATTCAGGGACTTCAAGCATATCGTTGGACATTTCGAGGTGGACATCGTAAGAAGTCGATTCATACTCCGTCTGAAGGTCCTGCATGGAAGGAAAATCTGAACTGGTCAAAGGGACTGAAGCAGGGGTGCATAATGATCTCCATTTGACAATAGCGGCGCGAGGTTTCCGTGGATACAAATGTTGCCATCTGCCGTAGTATGACTCTCGTTCCGGATGTCGTTTCAAGGGATTCGAAGCGTTGACGTTCCGGACATATGGGAGGTTGCTTCGAGTAACCGAGCTTGCGATTGACGTACCCATCCAGCTCTCGGCAGCTTCAGCACTGTCATCCCCCTCTCCATCGCTAGCTGACGTTGCAGACCTTTCGCTCCCTGATTCTCCTTCTGTTTCGTAGCTGTTTTTTCTATCGTTGATGTCGTTTTTAACATGCTGCGAGGTCGAGTTCGATCTTAGCGAACCGCCAATCCTGTCATCGTGGTGCTTTCGTAGCGGCGTATTGATTGAGATTGGCTTCGACGGCATGCCGCTTGGGCGATTCGAGGAAGTTGGTTTTGGGCTTCCAAATCGTTGCTGCAGAAGGTTTTTTTTCTCTCCGGCGAGACTGGTAGTAGAGACCGATCGAATACTTGCGGCGGATGTAGCGACTGTTGGTCTTGACTTGCCGAGCATGCTAATAGCTGGCTGGGCTGATATATTGGTAGTGTTGACCTCCGTGCTTGGTACAGATCTCACTGGGGGAGCCAAACCCCTCAAAGAATAGCTCAAATTGCGGTTCGCTTTTGGTGTTTCCGGAGTTTGCTTTGCAGCAGATCCTTCGGATGCGTCTCCTGACATTAGGGATGGAAGTTGTGGGCGAAAGGCGCCATTGGGTGCTTTCCTGGAAGTCACTTTCGTCAACTTTGGTCCCGTGGATGTTTCGTCGACCTTTGCTTGGGTTTCGTTATCGAGCTTAGATGTTATGAAAGCTGCACTCTTTTCCAGACTTGAAGATTGCATGAGCCTAGTCGATAGCACTTGGTGCCCGGGCCTTGAGCGGAACAACATCGAGTCATACCGCTCCATACGTTCAAAGATGTCTCCCAACGCTTTCGCATGCGTGGATAAAAGTCCTTGGGAATGAAGCTTTGGGTCTAGCCTTGGCCCGAGCTTACGCGAAATCGTTGGAGAGTGTGATAAACTCCTGGCTGCACTTGTTCGTCTGTTTCTGTACTTGTAGTGTTTGGCTTTTCCTAAGGTCAAGGTCTGGGTCTCACTCATGAAAGGTATGCTCATGTCTGCCAGTCCTAGTTCCATCAGACCCATCATTTGAATCTCATACATGCGAACTCGTGGTACGAAGGGACGTTTGTTTCGCTTCGACACCTGACCTTTGTCCTTAGGCTCGTCTTCACGCACAAGTGGCTCGATTCGGTCATCTTCAGCAGACCAGTATGAGAGATCGACCCATTGAGGAATACCAAAACACCAGCCACGTAAACCCTCATGGCCCTGGCCTGTAATGTAACTGGTGAGGTGCCGAAGACTATTTGATGTAATGGACGATAAGGCAGGCGATAGCTTGCGCGGTTGGCTGGAATCGTACAGCGCCGGGCCTGAACCTGACCTTCGGGGACTGATGTTGACGCTGGAGGGGAGGGCAGACTGAGCAGAATCTTCGGAGGGACTGTTACGATATTTGAACAGTGGCACAGAGTGGAGAGGCATTCTTGATAGGCAAACAATGTCAATGCCGACTCCGTTGTTGGTCAGATTTTGTGATGTCAGGTTAAGAAGATCTCTGTTGACCTCAAAAACCCCGGTTCCGGCACTGATGACCACAATTGAGACTCCCGTCCGAATCAGATCACGGTCAACATAGTCATTGGCAAATTGTGTCGAAGCTATGTTGATGGCTTCCAAGATATTTCCCTTCAGAGCTGTACTTGGTCTCCCAGCGATGCGAGTGCCATTGGTCTTTGCATCCTTGACTGCTATCTCGTTGTTGGCTGATGTATGCAGCGAGATATCCCTGAGGAAAACACGAAAATCCTTTTTCAGCTCGTTCAAGATAGTGGTCCATTGTGCGCTTGCCATATCCGTGACAACAACCCGGTAGAAGTCTTGGTATTGTCTGGCAGTCATGTTTGGTGCTCCTGTCTCCGGAGCCGTCTCTATTCTTCTGTCCTTGTTCCTAGCAAGGTCGAAACGATCATATTCGAGACGTCCAAACATGACAATGCTGACGAGGTGACGAACGTCCAGATCGGTCCATCGCTTGAAGAGGTCTGGAAGAAACCCGTTAATCACTCGATTGAACATGATCTCACCATTGCCTTCGGAATCGAAGTCCCACATCTCACTGGACATCTGTATGAAAAGTACATAACGGGCGGCCTCGCTGCGGAATATTGGGATAGTTGTTCCTGAGAAATACCCAGACGCTACTTTATGACTCTGGACATGAATTGACTTCACAGTCAACTTGATTGTGCCTAGGAAAGTGATCTTTTGCCCGGTGTAAATTGTTCTGCCAGCCAATTCTTGGCCAACAAGCCTCCACATATCAGACCTTGCTAAGTAGGCATCTCTGAAATTGAACTCGACATGCGAAGCTGTTCGGTCTTCAAAGGAAGCAGGGATGATCCACACTTGGGACCGTGGTCGAAGTCCAAAGGCGTTGGCAATATTGCTTTTCACGGAAACCTGGAGACCTGTCTGTCTCGCTGTGAGATCTAATGGGGCATGTTTAGCAACACAGAGATACCGCGTCGCGGCATCGGCAGCGTGATCCACATGTGGTCTTCCTGAGACATTGAAAGCCGTGTCCTCGTTTTTGGTGACTGGAGACTGAAAGTCGCGAACGTCAGACGTCTCTTTCGCAAGAAAAATTTCTATGAGATTGCCTTCGCGTATGTCTGTGCCTTCGAGAAAAGCTTCATTCAGGAGGACATCCTCGGGTGAGAAGTTATCGTCGTGGATCCAAAGAGTGGCACGGACGGGCGGTTTTGCTTGGGTGCCCGCAGAACCATTGCTCAAACCCGAATGATTCCTTCCGGCAGCTTTGATTGTGGATCCGCTGCTGGTGCGGCGATGAATGCTGGAGCCTTGCATTTGGAGTTGAGGCCTCTCAGACCGCGCTGACCTTAATGCTTACCTCGCGGGTGTCAATGCTCGCATATCTGGTAAGAACAAGGCGACGTGTTCGGGACAAGGAGATCATGGTGTTTCGAGACCGATTATAGACTGGACTTGACTACAATTGTGATCTTTGCTGGAAGCCACGGTGGCATTGTTGAAATCTCGTTCCTGAGTATCTCGCTATCTGCAGATAATGAGTGTGGCATATATCATGAGCATCGTCGGCTGGCCCTTGGATGAAGCCGAGATGGGAAGCATCTTGGCCTTGTCCTATTTGGGAAATCTGTAGATGCCGCTTTATGATCCTCATTGTATTGCCCCTCGTCTGTTTAATGTACAATGAACTACGACGAGCCAACTATGAGGGAGACCACATCCACCTGACTTATGTTAAAACGCTGGCAAATCCTCAATTTGATTCTCTATTCTCACATCTTGTCATGTTACATCTGTCTTCTAACTTCACTAATGGTACAAATTTGCTCAAAGGGTATCTTCGTGAGCGTGAGCGACTGGAAATACATCAGTCCTCGCAAAAATCATCAGTCGTCAAATGTACAAATCTTGGTAGAAGGCTACCACACACTCCGTGTCTCCACGTTGAGTAGCCATTTCTTCACACCTTCGCGCAGGATATTGTCTTGTTTCATTTCTTGTTCCAGTGCTTTACTGTCGAGATTCAAACTGCCGTCAGCATCCTTGGAGCGGTGGTGCTTGGCTAAATCATCATTGACGCTCTTCACCACCTCCTCCAAAGCCCCGACAACTGCTTGGCGGCATTCAGTCTGAGATAGCATCAGGGAACGCGAGCTGTATCTGGTTTTACTTGAGCCAGAAATGTCCAAAGGCTCGGACCTGGCGGATGATGCAGTGGAGACAGCCCTTGAATGCGTTCTTGATGGAGTCATTGACTTAAGACGCGACTGCTCGGCTTCGTTCAGCACCCGTTCAATTGCATCAGTGAGCGTAGAGTCAAAGTCCATAACGGTTTCACTGACGAAGCGCTCCGAGGCTTCGTTTTGGAACACAGGAGCCCGGCGGTATCGTAAATCAGAAGGAGCACTCTGAGGCTTCATTATTGGGTTGTGGACATCTTTTTTGTCCGTTGGGTTATCGTATTCAATTCGGCGTTGTAATGTGAGACGTTGAATGGTGAAAGTACGACAGTCCGCGAGGAGAGTAGTACAAACATTAACCCACAACTCCCCGTCTCGCTCCTCTGGCAACGAGCTGCGCAAATCTTCTGGAGGCGTGAGCTCCCTTGCCATGCTTTGCCGGACTTCTTCTTTGAGATCTGGGTACGGCTTCACACCTTGAAGGATGAAATCTTCGTGATATCGCCTCAAGAAACCGGCAACATTCAGAGGCTTAGAGCCGGCAGTATCATTGCGCTTGGAGTTGTGACTAAGAAAAGAGCCTGCGTCATCCGTACTAGTGATCGAAGGCGATCGGAGCCTGAATGACGAAGCTGGGGACGCAAATTTCCCCTCCGTCCAGCCGATAAATCCTGGCAGGCTGATATCAACATCAACCACGCCATCCTTATCGTCGACCGTGAGCCTGGGTGGCTGGGCATCCTTGCCAGTTGTCGGGGGTCGTTTTATAGGTATAGCGGCACGACCACTTTCACTTTCCGTTCCCCCTGTGCGCAAATTGCTCGCTTCATTAACCATCCTCTCTAACTGACTCGGTTTTCTCGCATGGATGGAAACATTTTGAGGGGCGTTCTTCCTGCGATCCCGTAGACTTCCGGCTGCAGACGAAGCCGATGCTTCAGCAGCGGACGAGGAAGAACTCCCCTTCTTACTCCATAAACCACTCACATTGCTGATCAATGAACCCCAGTTGATGCTTGATTGGCCACTCTGAGGATGACTGATACTGTCTCTTCGAAGAATGCGGGCTAAATCCGCACTAGCACTCCCTTCATCGGCTTCTGCAATAGCTCCATCAGGGAAGTAGCTATCTGCCTTGGCGGAGAAATAAGGGACGGGTGTGCTTCCACCCGGAGTAGCAGTTGAGCTCGTAGTGTCCGTCTTCTGAGCTGCGCCATTTCCATCAGGCGTAAACACTGACGGCTGCTTGCTGGCCAGCAGATCCGTCTCAGGTCGCGACAAGACTGAGCGTGAATTGCTCTGCAAAGCTTTACCCAGACCACCAACGCTCTCTGTCGATGATACACTGGTCGACAAATTTGAAATGTCACGAGTAGAAAAAGCCAATGTACCTTCCCGGGATTTTGTGTGGATATGACGCCTCATTGAACCTCCACGAAAATTCTTCCCCGCTGGAGATGATGACTCAATATCGGGTGTCAATAATGGAGACAAGTACTCTCCGCCAACCTTCGCCAGTGCCGTTGTTCCTACTGAGCGTGGCAGGAAAGTGGCCAACAGAAAAATGAGCCTTCGAGCCATTGAACGGTTGTCGCAAATGATAATAGTGCGAGAGGCAAGGCTGCTCGAGGGACTCCGAGACCTGTTCAATGCTTTGATTTGTTTCCTGTACCAGTCTGGACCCAGCCTTTCAAGCCACTCTGTATGGTTCCCAAGAAAGGCAGTCAACAAGTTGAAAAGGAAGAAGTTTTGCTGCTTGTTGCCGCATAGACGAACGAGATACCGTGCCTCGTCCAACCAATGGCCTCCGTTGTCAAGGCCGAACCCAGTCAGTACCCGCGGGATTCTTAGGGCATATGAGATGCGTCCCAGAGCATGTTTCATCAGCGGGCGCAAATGACTGGCCTCAGCCAGCAAATTGGGCGATCTCAGATATACGTTGCGTTGATTGGTCCGCTGTTCAGAGGGCCCTTTTGGCGCCTTTGCAGCTGAGGAGATCATAGCCAGATTCACTTGCTGTAACAATTCGCCAATCTCAGCACGAGCGACCTGTTCAACAACTGAAAGGCTTCTCAAAATGACGTCCCAGTTCTGAACAATAATGCCCATGCTTCTGTCGGTCGATTGACTCGTTGCTTCGGGGGAAAATAAATGATCGGGAATTGCATTCAGGAAAATCCATGAAGCATCAGATCCGTACGAAGCAGGAGTAGAGTTGCTATTGAATGAGGCCCTCGAAGCTGGTCGGGCGGCAGAGGTACCTGGGCGATTGTCGCTGTGGCGGGGGAGATAGAACAGTAACCCGATGGCGTAGACGGGAGTCTTCTTCTCAACAAGTTTAGGCTTCTTTCCTTGCGCCCCCTGTTCGTGCAATTCTCGTCCAGCAGTGGATGGACTCGCTGCATCGCTTTGTCCAGCAGAGGAGCTCCGATGTTGTCGCAAGTCATCCTTGCTCTCGGGTAGAGTAACAGGGAAGATCCTAGTGATCAAAATGGAGTCTCGAGTTTCCACCTCAGCTTCTTTGGGTGATGAAGTCTGCCGAGGCGTCATGGCGGGGTTCCCAGAAGTCTTTGCTCTCACTAAAGGCGCTCGCATTGGAGTTGTACTCTGGACATTCGAGGATGGTGTTCGACCAGCTGAACTATTCGCAGCGGCACGCTCTCCCGGCAAGACATGTATTTTGGTGCTTGCGCCAGACTTTGTGGCGCTACTAACTCCAAACATACAGTCCAACACATTACTGAGGTGATCTGTGGGTTCCGAATCTTTATGTGGGCGTGCCCATGAGGCAGCAGAACCAGACATTGTAGAACTCCTATTCCGTATATGTCCAGTGATCGGAGTATGGGGATCTTTGGGGGTGTTCGTATGGCTAAAAGGAGAAGCATTATACTCTGTAGGAGAAGTAACGCCTGAAATTGTTTCCGCAGTCTGGGTGTCATATAGCAGCATGGGACGATCATGCGTGCCAAAAGCATCTTGGGCGATGATGACTCGGAGGTCTTTGGTCTCATTCAGATCTAAGCCAGCTCGGTCGTCAAAAGGAGAAGCACGAAGGACTGGGGAGCCGAAGGGAGTCGCTGGAGGGGAGAGGGAGCCATAGCGACCGTCGGGGCTAACTTCTGGCCAGAGGAGCGTACGAGTGTGAGTCTCTTCGGTCGCACTCTCAAGCTGCCCACCTCTTGAGTATCCCTGTATCAACCTTCCCAGCATCTCAGCAAGATAGTATCACAGCGGTGTAAGCTCGGTAAGCGTCCTATAATAGGCATCACATCAGGAGAAAGGAGTTTGGTGGCTGGGAAACGAGGAGTCGATGGACAAGGTCAGTGCTTGCGCTGGAGTGACAACAACAATTTGAAATCGACTCTGCCACGAATGGAGAGAAGCAGGATACATTACTCTCCAGGCACTTGCAAAAGCCCAAATATACAGCAGAAGCAGTCAATTGGTAACCGTGATTGATGGTGTTGGGTCTAGAATGGATTCGGTAATATCGATATTATTTATTAAGCGACAGTGACGATGAACAAATTACGGTGTAGAAAGCGGCGAGTTTTCCATTTGCAGCATTTCACAGCAATTATTAAATAGACAGTAATTTCATGCCTCATCTTGATTCCAGGGAGCCATTCACACCAAACAACAACCCTCTACACAAGGCCGACGCGGCTGTTATCATGATCGATATGTATGTCGTCGCCGCTCGAACATATAAACTCGGTAGGTATAAGATCTGGTCTACACCACACGGCTACGTTCTGCTCGAGGCCACCACCATTATCAAGATACTCGATGGCTGTAGGTTGCTGAATAAGGTGAGTTCCTACACACAACGACCTCATTCTGCATCAGGCCGCCGCCATCATCAACATAGCACGTTGTCTGAACTATATGTACCTCACCTGTCACCCAGATCTCTCATCCCTCTTACCTTTCCTCTCACCACTCCTTCTAATACTCCTCCTCCACCTCCTCTTTTCCTTCTCCTTCGCCCTATTACTCCTCACCGTTTCTTTCATCATTCGTCCACTCATCGCCGCACTATCCTCCTTTTGTAATGGCTTCGGAGAACGTTGACGATGACATGGCCCTCGACGATGTTGCGGCATTGATTACTTTCAACGAGAACAATGCCTCTTTCAACGCCGATGTCGTCAATATCGATGGCCTGAATTGGGATGCTGAGCTTGATGAGGATTCCAAGGCCGCTCTCAAGGAAAACGAGACCAGCAAGGCCAATTTTGCACGCCTCGAAGAAGAATTTCAAGGTAAGAAAGCTCTAGGAACCACCACTGAGGAAGACGAGATTCGGTATGCTGCTGCCAAACACGCAGAGCAGCAGCGTATCAAGGATTTCGAGCGGAGCCAGATGGAGATAGAAGAGCCTGTGAAAGTAGCAGATCAACCCCCAGAAGATGAGGAGGATAGCCTCTTCATTCCCGAGGTCCCTGAGCGACCCGAGCCGCCCCAACGGAAAAAGCGAGCAGCAGCAAAGCCTAAAAATCGTCTCACTGCGAAAGAGAAAAATGAGGCCATGTCTGCTGGATTAGATCGTTTGGAAAGTGGCAAACCTAAGAGGAAGAAAACCCAGGACAAGAGTGCAGAACCGCGAAAGAGGAAGCGACCAGCAGCTAATCAGAAGCGACGAAGACCCACCTTGAACAATCTTCAAGGCTTAGGATCAACCAATATCATTGGACCTGCTCAGGCCAATGCAGAGAGACCGGACATGCCAACCTTTACTTCGAAAGACAAAAGCAAGGCTCTCCAGGAACTACTTGCAAGTATCCCAAATTCTGAACAGCGTCTACACTCATCCGAGAAAAATGCCATCCTCGAAGCATCCAAGAAATTCAATGGTCAAGGTGCTATCCGATCAGATGGCCAAGGAGGCTGGAAGCTCCGAGGCATGGAGTCTTCTTTATACCATCATCAACTACTGGGTGCGGCTTTCCTACGTGATCGCGAACATAGCAATACCCGGCCACATGGCGGTTTAGTCTGCGACGAAATGGGATTTGGAAAGACCATACAGATGATGTAAGTCTGAATGGATATAGCCCTTTACTCTGCTGACGCTTATAGTGCCAATATTCTCACTGGTAAGCCAGAAAATGGCAGCGCAGTGAAGACAACGTTGATCGTGGCACCGCCTTCTCTCGTCAATCAGTGGATGGCTGAGATGGATAAACACGTCAAAGATCGAGCGCTTGGCCGGATTCTTCGTTACCACAACGGCTCCCGTCTTATGAGCAACGATGTTGTGGCTGACCTAGCAACCTACGACATAGTTCTCACGACGTATGGAGAAGTCCAGAAAAGTTACCCTATGATCGAGCCGCCGAAGCATCTATCTTCAGAGACCAAGAAGAATGAGTGGTGGAAAGACTTCTATGTCAACAACTGTGGACCTCTACACAAGATGAAGTTTCATCGTATTGTTCTCGATGAGGCTCACGCCATCAAGAACCACAACTCCAAAACCTCGATTGCTGTCCGAGGTCTGACTGGAAAATTTCGATGGGCTATTACAGGAACACCCATCCTGAACTATATTGAGGAGTTATTTCCATACTTCTCATTCCTTCGAGTTCCACACACGGGTGATTACAATACCTTTTGTCATAACTATTGCAACAATCGCTCCAATCGTGAGCCGGTCAACATGGAACGGATTCACAATATCCTCCGCGCCATAATGCTCAGACGTACGCATGTCGACAGTCTATTCAATGCGCCGATCGTCAAGTTACCTGGGATTTCACATGTCACGCATGAGGTGGAGTTCAACTCCATCGAGCGCGCCATCTACTCAATGGTCAAGCGCCGCTATGCACAACAGATCAACACCTTCTCATCTTCCGGCAATCTAACAGCCAATTACAGCAACATCTTGAGTATGATCTTGCGACTTAGAATGCTCTGCTCTCATATTTTTCTCTGTCAGGAGACCCTCAAGGAGATGTTTGTGGTCGCTGACATCGAAAACCTCTGGCAACTAACACAGAAGGAAGTCGAAACGGTGGATAAAGGCATTCAGCGCTCCTCGGACACCTTCATCGCCCTCCGAAAGATGCTCCATTCAAAGGACAAGACAATCACAACATGCCAGACACGGGAAGGCGATGCATCCAGTCCGATAGATATTTCGGACATCGACAATCAGGAAGACGTCAGTACTGGCGCTTCGTTCGGTCTCACTTTCAAGTTTCGACGCTTCCTCCGTGAACTGAGTAAGAGCACCACCTGGGCCGAGCTTCACGCCCGTTCCAATTGCGCCAAATGCGGTCAGCAACCCGATGAGCCAATGTGTACATCATGCTTCCATGTATACTGCATAGAATGCCTTGCACAACTGAGACTGGAGCAAAGAGACGAGCTTAAGGTTGCTTGTCTCGAATGTGGCACTTCCTTTGAAGAGACCTCGCCATGTTCTGGCTTGAAGGAACTTGGCTTCAACTCCGGCCCCGTCGTAGAAAAAGTTGAGAGAATCAAGGAGAAACGTATGGCAGCAGCCAAGGGACGCAGAGGTACAAGTCAGTCTCAGTATGGTGATGATGAGGAAGACCCGGGCAAGGAATCTAGCGACTGGATTGAATTCGGCCAAGTTCTTCCTTCAGCCAAGCTCACGGCCACGAAAGCAGCGATCCTCAACTGGCGGGAAAAGAACGAGTCGGACAAGATCATCATCTACACGCAGTTTCTTGGCCTCTGTCGCATTCTCGCGCGCATGTGCGAGGCCGAAGGATGGGGTTACGTCAACTTCAACGGTAAAATGACCCTGGAGGCACGAGAAAAGGCCATTGACAAGTTTCGGGACAAGCCCGAGGTCTGCATCATGATTTGCTCACTCAAGGCCGGCGGCATAGGTCTCAACCTCACCATGGCGTCCAAGGTCATCATTCTCGACCTCTGGTTCAACAGTTCGGTCGAGGCACAGGCGTACTGTCGCGCTTTCCGCATCGGACAGCAGAACAAAGTCGAGGTCCTCCGCTTCGTAGTCAAGAATTCCATTGACGAGGATCTCGTCAAGATGCAAGATCGCAAGGACATTGAAGTCAGCGGTGCGATCGGACCCGAGAGTCACGGCAAACGCGCGACGGTGCGTCAACTGTTGGAGTTGTTTGGCAGCGTGAAAGAGGGCGAAGGACAGAACGAATTCATTCTCGTGGAGGATGAAGAGGATGATGAAAATGACGATGACGACGGAGCCGATGCGACTAAACGGTTACCACCGCGACCTTTCTAGTTCTCGTTTGCTGTGCTCCCAGGTCATCCATCACTCGACAGCGATGAATCTAAAACTAGAGCTAAAGCCGAAATCAAAGATGAAGATGAAGAGGGGATTTGCGACAGGTGTGGCCCTGGAACAATTTTGCGGATACACAAAAGATCGTGATATGAGTGCTTTGGACCTAGGCATCAAGAACAACCAAGGACACGAGTTTGCTTACGAGGTTGGACACATGATGCAGAGGTGTTTTGATATGGTCAACCACGACGCTTATCAACATATACTGACACCAACCCTCGACGGCGAGTGACGACAGTAACGAGAATCATGACTTGTGCTCGGATTTTGGGAGAAGGAAAAAGGACAGAAGAGTCGACTAGGAGAAGACGACACGAAAACTCTACTCAATGACACCGGATGCTGGGCAGCGAGTTTATCTACTAGTATTTTTTGGCTCGTCATGGCATCGAGCTCAACAAAAGACCTGGGAGGTAGTAGTCGCTTGTGCATACGGAGTAGCTGGAATGGTGTTACTATTAACTCTACATGCTTCTCGCGGCAACTACGTTGCAACCGTGTTTTCTCGTTTTCTCCCACTCAAATTTGACACCCGCAAAATGGTCAAGTTCTCAGTGAAAGATAAAGACTGTACCCGCTCGATCAACACTGACCACGCAGCCGTAGGGCTTTCTCAGTGCCACCACGTCCGTGATGCCTTCCATGTGCGTGCGAAGAATCTGCTGCTGAGCGCCACTGATAATGGTGCTGCGAGGCAGTTTTGACGACGCTGAGGATGACGAACCGGTTGCTTGAGACGCCGGGCTCCTCGTCGCGGCATCGTGATGAGGATCCTTGATGGTAGAAGAGCGTGGTTGCGGCACTGGCTTCTTAGGCGTGCCGCGGGTGCTGCTACCACTTGTATGGGTCTCCTCGCTTAGCTTCTCCTGCACGAGTGCGATCTGAGCACCGGCGCTCAGTGCCAACGGGTACGTGACTTCGTACGTCGCCCTGACAGCCGTAGCCGCGTCGTCGCCGTAGAGCTCGGGGCCTGAGACGATGAAGCTGTTCTCCGGACGCGGAATGTCCCAGTACCGCAGGTCGCGGTCCCCTCCACCAGTAAAGAGAAGCGGGTGTTTGTGTGGATTGTCCGGCTGTGACGGGTTCGAAAGATAGTCGTGGAGAATGTAGACTGCCGGTATGGAGGGTGCGGACCAAGCATGTGACTGTCCTGTGGCGGAGTCCGCGGTTTCACCAGCACTGGTGGTGGCCAATCTGGCTTTGATGGGAGAACCGTTGGAGAGGGAAGGGCGTATTTGAGTTTGAGGTGCTACTGCTGTGTGCACTGCGCCGTCTTCGGCTGTTGACGAACGAGCAAACCGCGACAATATTCGTTCGCTGCTCTCTTCGTCGGGCGACCAGACTTCGTAGGGCCGTGGTCTCGTTGATGGGACGAATGTGCTTGGACGCCACACTTCGCGGCACACCAGCTTCTCAATATCCCAGACACTAATCTCGCCACCGGCGCTGGCCATCACCCACCGACCGTGTCCCTTTGATGGATGGATAAGGACTCGGTCGATTCGTGCGTCGGTCTGGATGCCGAAGCTGCGTAGCCTCATCCTGAATCTTAGGTCCCAGAGATCCAAAATCCCGTGACTCGTCCCGAGCAGGAGCCAGTGGTGCTTTTTATCGACACAGAACGTGGTCGGAGTTCCGTGGTGGGCGGGGTTTTCCATGCAGTGGATGATTTCCATATTCTTGAGGTCGATGGCTAGGATCCGACATTCGCTGGTAGCGATGAGAAGGACTGACTGGGAAGTCTGGGTTCGGTAATGATACATCCAGACGGCATATTCAGGTTTGACATTTGCAGCAGCGTCTGTGGCCAAACCGAGGCTCTGCGTCGTCGACTTTGATGATGGGATCTGATAGTCCCTGACGAGGATTGGTTTACCGTACCTGGAGCTCTCCCCACCATCGACACTTTTGTAATCGATCCGGATGGCATGGATGCTTCCATCATCTGCTCCGCTTAAGAAAGTGTGGCTTCCACTCACGATGCAGAGACTCTTGACTTTGGCCCCTTCCGCGTGGCGATGAGTATGCCTTGATCGCGGTGTGACGTTTTTCTCCAAGCGGACAGTATCCCAAACCTTACACGTGCCGTCGTCGGAAGCCGTCACAAAAAAGGCATGATCGGGGGCTGCGCAAACTCGGTTGATGGCAGCATTGTGTTCGGAGAACTGTGTGACGAGTTGACCCGTAGGACGCCAGGGATCTGCACGGAACGAAAGTTCTTGTTGGGCGACTCGGCCCGTGTTTTGTTGAAAGACGTCTGTTGCTCTTCTTATGGCTGCTTTGCTATCCGCTGGAGGTCTATTAGGACCAAAGTCCATCTGATCGACGGGGAAGTTCTCCATGAAATGATTATCGAGTAGCTTCAACACATTTGGGTCGTTACCTGTGTAGGAATGGTTCGGTTCGTACAGTGATGTTCGAGAACCTCCACTTCTGGGAGATACAGACCTTGACCTCGCTGCTGCGCTTGCTGCAACTGTCAAAGCTGAAGGCCCGGCCGTGCTTTTGCGGTGTGGAGGCCCGTCAACTTTTCCAAAAGCGGTCTCTGAACTTGTCGAAATTTCAGCATCTGCTTTTGCAGAGTCGCTTCGGTTCATCAAATTGAGACCGCTATTACGATGTCTCAATTCGAGCGGCTTGCGACGTAAAGACAATCGGTCCAGAGGTGAACCAGTCCCATTCGAGGCACTGGGCCTTGAAGAACTGCTTGCTCTTTCGATGTTGACCACCGGGGCGGAGTCTGTTCTGGTTCCGGCCATACGAGATTGGATATCAATCGGCCTGGTAGTTGGGGTTTGCCTGCCACTTCCACTATCGGACGGGGAGTTCCGCCGACGCTCGTCTATGCTGGTAGAGGCATCCAACAACGCATCTGCCAGGCTATGTCGTTCATCTTTTCGACTCTTCCTCTTCGCGAGGCCTGGCCGGGTTTTGATTTCCCGCAAAGCTTCACGCTGGTCGAAGAACACGTTTTGAGGTGTAACGTTAATCTGGTTGAGGGACACAATATTGTTCAGAAGTGCATGCTTCTCATTGACATCGTCGGAAACCTTGTGTTTCGATACTTTGTAAATGTATTCCCGCAATGCGAGCAACTTGATCTCATCATCTGCAGTCATACCAAGGTTTTTGAGAGTTTCAAGGGATGCCTGGTCATCCTTGTCTTTCTGTGATGGCGGGATCCGCGTCAGGAGCCTCTTTGTCAAATTGGATGGGTTCTGTGGCATTGATGGATCTGATAAAGTCAGAGCACCATCACGACTTGCAGCGGTCCAGAATAGACTATTCCCTTTTCTCGTCGCCCAGTGTATGGCCGCATCAAAGACGGCCTTCTGAAGCGGTCGTTTTAAGTGGTCCAGGATACGTTCCTCTGATAGGACATGGAGCTTGTTCCTTAGGAAAGGTTGTATCATCGGTACAACGATACAATACTGGTCTGCCGCGGAGATGTACTTGGCTGACAGCACAAGGAATTGTACAGCACTCTCCCGAACCCAGATGCTTGGATGGGCTAGGAATCGTGCAGCAATTCCAATGAGTTCCCACGTCGTGGATTTCTGCAGGAGACCCAATGCTGCCATTCGTGCGAGAGATCGAAAGACTTTCTCGATGACGAAATTCTCTGTGTCGGTAAGAGAGCCCACCATAATTGGGAGAATGAACTTCTCGAGACTCGACGTGCCAACATATGAGGCAACACCGACAAGAGCTTCGAAAAAGGAGCATCGAAGAATCCAATCTTTATCATTCAGATAAGTGTTGAGATGGGGTAGAATCACATCGCCTGCTCGAGAGCTTCCGAAGAAGACACATAGACGAGTTATCGAACCCAGTAAAGCCCTGCGAACTGGTGGCTCTGGATCCGTAAGCAACGCGACGGTTGCTTCTTCAAAATGAGGTATCAGCTCTGCTCTTGCTATGTCGTACAAGCCATGATAGGACGACTCTGGGGCGAGATCATCCTCTCGTAAAGCGGGCAATCGACCATCGGCACGAATAGCGTGGACCATGTCCAATATTCGCAGAGAAGACAGGGCTAAAGATGCCAGGCATGAAGCATAGGCGGATCGGATCATGATGCTTGGCTGAGTATGCTGGTTGAGAATAAATTGACGCATTCTGGGAAAGATGTACTCTGGAAAGACGTAGGCATTGATTGGTGAGACAACCTCAATCATCTCAAAGATTGAAGTCATGGCGTAGATGCCGGCAGCTACCACGACGTCCGAAGTGTCGGAAAGCAAACCGACAATGTAAGGCAGAATACGGTCAAGCTTGGCCTCGTCGGGAAGCCGTTCTGCGAAAGCGACAAGCAGATCACATGCCTTCAGCCTCGCTGATGCCTTGGCAGTATTTCTCATACTCGAGACCACCAGTGTAAGAAAGATAAGACTTCCGTCATATAAAGAAGGGTCAGCGTCCGGAGCCTTGATTCTGCTGCTTGATCGGAAGGAAAGAGGTGACCTTGAAGACTGCTTTGCAGGGCTTGGGCCATATCCTAAGAAGAATGATATCTTGTCAAAGTCGAGGTAAACTCGGTTGATCTTCTCATCGCATTCGGCGAGACTCCCAGTGTCAAGACCGACAGGTTTTGCAGCTGATGCAGATCTCGTAAGGTCCCACATATACTGGTGCAGAAAACTGTAGAAGTATTCCGGAAAGATTTTGTCTCTATAGAACGAGAGGATCTGCTCTGCGCTGTACCGCTTTTCTGGATCTAGTTCGACCATGTTGAGTATCATTGCTTTGACTTCTGGATCTTCGATCTTGTTCAGATGCGTATGTTCCGGACTATACTCGCCTGCACGATATTTGAAAATCTGACTGAGGGAGAATATGGGCCCCTCCAGGAACATCTCGGCAATCGCACAACCAACGCTGAAGATGTCCATCGCCCAGGTCAGATCACCCTGCGTCTCGTCTGAGTCGGAAGTTGTGAATCTTTCAGGAGCGATATAGCATGTTCGACGACTAGAGGTATCGAAATAGAAAGAAAAGTCGGCCGGGTTGTCTTCGGGCAAGTATGTGGGCTTGAATGATGAAGAGAAGTCGGTAAGGTAGAGCCAATTCCAAGACGTAACAAGTAAGTTTTCCGTCTTGATATCCCCATGGTAGATGTTTCTCGCATGACAGTCGCGTATACCACATAACAATTGAAACGCCAACCATTTCTTCTCAATGTCTTCCAAGAATGGCCGGGTGCTGATGCGATCGTAGACCGAGCTGAACATGTATTGGCGAACGAGGAAGCCACCACTTCCCACCTCGACAATTCTCTCATAGCCCAAGGCATTCGGTATCTCAGACAAAATGCTCCTCTCCTCGCTGATCTGCCGAACGTATTCTTGGACCTGAAACGATGAGTATGGTTTCATGACCGCCTTGACGAACACGAAACCTTGTTGACTGCGGGCTCGAACACTTTTCATGAACCGAGCGGATGCCAGCGTCTTCTCATGAACGAGATCAGCAAGTTCGGGAACGTCAATGGTGGCCGACGCCGCCGACAGCGTGGTCATTGAGTATCCTTGACCCATAATGACGATTTCTCCTAGTACGATCGATGTCTACCCTTCGGGAAGCAGCAGAGACTAGGTTAAATGGCCATCATCGGAAGTCATTATTGCAATCAAAAGCCAGGATGCAGTGTTGTTGTGGTTTCCATGGCCGTTTGCCCAGGTGTTACTTGCGAGGCCAAATCCGTGGTGGCCTCTTTGTTAGTGTGGTAAGCTATTCAAATTAAACGACGAGAAGGTATAGAAGGAAGAGAGATTTCCTGGTTGTGGTTGAGGACTTCTCTTTCACGATGTTCTATTTGCGCCCAAGCGATAGACAAGAACAGGCTCCTGGGGACATTAAGACGTGAGAAATACGTTGACTATGGTCTTAATGCTTCACCGTAAATGACCCAAAATGAAAACTGTCTGACAGTACTCAGGTGTATCACTACTTTGTTCAGCATTAAAGTTCTGGCGTCCCTTATAATAATCAAGTATCACAGTGAAGCAGATAGTAAGTAACCTTGATCTCTCATCAAGTAGAGTACTTCTTGTTGTTTCCTCCTTCATATACAGGCATTAGACCGGTCAAGGGTTGCATTAGTTAGCCTCATTCAGTACTTCCGTAGTATCCCTGCTGCAGAAAGAAACGGTCAGACTTCTCCATTTTTCCTCCCCGTGACTACGGCGTCCATCGGCCACTATGCCTAGTGAGTGCAAGTCTGTCTCGGTCTTGTCCCACGATTGACGCCCCTACACGAAACGCGCGGTGCCACCAGGAATCCCTGTCAAACGCATGCAGCGGACTAAGGTGTAGTAGATGACTTGTCGTCATATCACACGAGCACTCTTGTATGCGAGAATGCCTAACCTCCAGACGTGTACTCATACAGTTCAAGCACAGTCAGACTTCTTGTCCAGTCTATTCACCGAAACTTGTTTGCAGACAACTTCAGCAATACAACTACTCCCTACCATCCCTTGCAATCCAACATTACAAACCGAATTACAGGGTACTCTTATCTGATACGATGGTCGAACACCGAGTTTGATGACGTGCAACACGGGGACCCATTCACGACAAACAGTTCTAGAAAGTCGAGTTCGAAGATGCGGGTGTTTGTTTTGGTGCGAATAGAAGCCGCTGATTCATGTTGATGCTTCGGTCAACCGACTCTGGCTTCAACATGTCCGACAACGGTAGCAATTTGTCCCGACGCTCCTCCTCCCAGACCTCACACGCTTCTACAACCACCGAGCAGAAAAAGTCCAAGACACTACGCGGAATACCAAAAAGACATGGCTCCAAAGCCTCTGCCAGATCACTCGAGGACGATGATCCGGCCTTGACCTCTTTCCCATCCTTCTCCCCTGAACCAGAGCAAAAATCTGCAAGCATTCTTCAAGAGGTGGTACCCAAACCGTTGAGGACAGTATCACAAAAGGCGCGAGACAGAAAGGCTACTCTAGCTGGTTTGACGAATGCATCGCCATCATTTAACAAGCAGAACGCCCTCTTTGACGACTCTCCACGATCTTTGCTCGACATTCCAGGCTCGCTACACCTGGCTAGTGATGGACATATTGAGCGGCTGATTAGCAAGACTGGGGCAGTCAAACTGATTCGGCAGTATGCCTCCGACCTGGCTCAGAGGGATGCGGAAATCTCGGCTCTACGGATCCGCGCAGACAACAGAGAACGGGAGCTAAAGCGACTATTACGGGAAGCGAGTGTCTCAACGCCTGAGGTCGAGAAGAGATTATTGCGATTGGAGCAAGGTTATTCTGTTTCTGAAAACCCTAACCTCTCCGAATCATCCGACCAAACAACGTCTGTAACCTCTTTGGATGGCATGATGAGCGAAGCCATGGAGGGGGGGTTCCTGGTGAACAGTCCCATCGACGAGACCTTCGCAGCGGACTCTATCCAGGATGCACGAAATGCAGACAACACCACGCAAGTGAATGGCCAGGGAAGTCGCAGTAGAGCAACGTCCACGGCGTCAACACAGCTCAAAGGCAGCAGAACTTCTAGCCGAGCGAACAGCACAATCAGTGAAAACAGTCAAGATATGGACGCCACCTTACGGCCAAGGGTTAGTAGCAGCAATTCAACGAAGATACCAGGACTCCAGAGTATATTTCAGCCCCCTTCTCAATCCACCAGCTATTTTATAGGAGGCAAGTCGCTTAGAAAACCGAAACTTGGTGATGAAATTAGTGTACGCTCGAACCAATCTGCGCGTTCTTTCGCATCCTGGACACAGATATTCAGTGGAAAGACACAACCAGGTAGATCCAGGGCTTCATCACTTGGACAAGAAGCCAACAGCAATACTGCACCTCCAACTGATGCACAAAAGTCACTCTCAGGTTTATCAAAAATAAAAACCCAGGTCGATGGAAAATCCACAACGTCGCTACCAGCACCTGACAATGCCAAAATGCGTCCTCCGCCTAAGCGCGTACCAACTCCAAACAGGCTCAATGCCAGTCCAAACCATGTTCGAAAAGAATCGAATGCAAGCAACCTCCCCCCTACGGTGGAGCTGGACTCCATGATTGAGAGCTCACAACTTCCGCCGACCATGACGAATCAATACGATGACAAACACGGGCTATTGACGGACAGGTACGGGTTTATCTTTGACCAGTACCGTCGGAGGCGACAAAATCTCCAAGCTCGAGGCCATAAAAAGAACAAGATGAGCAATACAGAGACTTTGGCCAGTTTTAGAGCCGGCAGTCCGGGATCCGAAGACGTATTTGCAGACAGACCCTCTACTCCTGCATCGGTCGATGATGAAACACCCAAGAAAGCGTGGTCTGACTATCTTAAAGTTCCTGTTGCATTATCCTCAGGCAGACCCAAGGAGTTGCTGTCACATACCCCGTCCGCTGGTGCTGTTGTTACAGTCAGCACTGCTGATGGAGCTGCTCCTACCACGCCACCACATAGAAGTAGGGAGGCGTCTATCTCAGTGAACGCTTCCATACAGAAAGCCCTTCCGACAACCAGCGTCGTGGTCGAACCACAACATTCAGCAATCACGGCCACTTCGTCAGACTTGATGGCTGACACCGAAAATGACACCAACAACGACTCGGGCCCAACCAAAATCCTCCTGGACCAATTAAGAGATCTTCACGATGCCTTGCAAGCTGAAAGAAGTGCACGCTGGAATGATTTCCTTAGACGAGTAAGAGCCGAAAGAGCCAGTAACACCGATCGAACAACCAACAACACACCCGAAGCAGATCTTCTCAATGGCGAACTCATTGGAATTGCAACTCTCGGGCGTTCCAAACAGACCAGAAACAAATACTTACACTTCAAATCGCTGGTGCTTGCTGGGATTCCGGTGTCACTTCGACCAAAGATTTGGGCCGAGTGTTCTGGTGCAACTGCGCTGCGAAATCCCAGCTACTACGAGGATTTGGTTGCCCGTTCGCAAGACGGCACTGACCCAGACATTGCTAGTCAGATCAAGGCCGATGTTAGACGCACGCTGACTGACAATGTTTTCTTTCGTCATGGGCCTGGAATTCAACGACTCGAAGAATTACTGAGGGCGTACTCGCTACACAATCCTCGTATTGGTTATTGTCAAGGTATACTACTCACCGACTCATGTGCAGGAAAACCATTGCTGACATTTTTTAAAGGCATGAACCTAATTACGGCTTCTCTGCTCCTCATCTGCGCGACGGCCGAAGATTGTTTCTGGCTCCTCGTTGCTATCATTGATGTCATCCTGCCCAGCCAATACTTCAGCTCAACATTACTTGTCGCACGAGCAGACCAAATCGTTCTCCGTCAGTATGTTGCTGAGATACTGCCTAGACTGAGTGCCAAACTGGAAGAACTCGACGTGGATCTCGAGGCACTTACATTTCATTGGTTCTTGTCCCTCTACACGGGTGTCCTCACTGGTGGCGAGGCTTTGTATCGTGTATGGGATGTTATGTAAGTTTTTTCTTGTAGCTCAAGGGAGGAATGTGGCTAACGATGATTGTAGCCTTTGCTTGAACAGCTCTGACGCCATGCCATACGGGTTCGATCAGCCGAAGAATCTGACCGTCGACGTCCAAGCTCTCGGTATAAGCCAGCCGTCCACCCCGGTGACACCGGCCATGCCTGAATTGAATGCCGACAACGAGCACGACGGGACTAGCTCTCCCTTTTTGTTTCAACTTGCGCTGGCGCTATTGAAACTCAACGAGAATTCCATCCTTGCACTTGATTCTGCGGCTCAAGTGTATACATACATCAATCACAACATGACGAACCACGCGATAAGTATCGATGCGTTGATACAAGCCAGTGAAGGCCTCAGAGTCAAAGTGAAGAGAAGTGAAGTACTTGAACGCAGGAAAGCGGCCATAAAAGAGCTTGGTGCTTGATTTGATATAGACAACTCCTCCGGCCATCCGACCAGCAGGATAGATTCTGGTGGGATGGGAGAATGCTGCAGATTGGTCTGCTGGCAGAAGACGGCATGTAAACTTCATTTCCTTGCGGGTTCGAGGTCACCACGCCCATGCCGCGGAGGACGTGCTAGGTTTTCATTTGTGATGGGTTGCGGGCATTTTATTTTCGTTGTTGATGACCCCCAAAATGTTTGTCTTTTAGAATGATACCCCCGTTGCACACTACAAAGAAAATTACTTGAGATTGGTTTACTATACGGGTCCCCAAATCACTTTCATCGTACCTAGAGGTAAGATGGTTTGTAGTTCTGATGTTCTAAATCCAGTTGGTGACGCCGAGCTTCTGTAGCAGACGTGATAAGATGTTGTTAAGCACGTTGCCCACTACAGTAGGGGTTTCTCTTGATCACCGGTGTTTAGGAATGACTACATGCTGGAGAGAATCGAATGTCGGACCGAGGCAGATAAAATTGGAGTTGCCAAAAAAACATCCACGTACGAAGGATCCGAGAACAGACCGACTACCTCCTTTTCCATTCCATCATCTTTGGGACGCTTTGCCCAGGGCCTTGTCTGTTGTACTAGCGAGTACGATACATCGAATCTTTGCATTCTTTTTTGCTCTAGTTGTTGCTATAAGCCTGACGGCTTTCGGCAAATCATCACCTCCTCGAATTACTTGTCAACATATATGTATCCAGAGGCACCTCAAACATAAAAGAGATCCAAATCACCACGAGTGCCAGGCAGTCATTAACCTCTAAAAGACGGGGAGTACGCCAGACCATAGTTATCAGCCCATCATGTCGACATCGACAGGCACAGGAAGCACCACCCTTCCTCATGGCGATAAGCACATTTGTCTCATCGGCCTGGGAGCCATAGGGGTATCGTTCCTCGCCCTGCATCTGACATACACATCTGCAAGGGTGTCCGTGTATGACCCTCGGCCGGACCTCCAGGAACATCTCGAATCGGTGTTGCCATTGTACTTGCCGTCAGACCCCTCGTCGTCGTCCACGTCCACGTCCGTATCCGAATTACTCTCCGGCAAAAGGTTGGTCATCCATTCGGATCTTGCGTCGGCCGTTCGAGACGCCACCATCGTCCAGGAACAAGGACCCGAACACCTCCCGTTCAAACAATCGACGTGGTCCGAGGTCATCAAGTACGCATCGCCGGCCACACATCTGTGGTCCTCGACTTCTGGGATCCCGGCGAGCCGGCAGTTGTCTCATCTTTCTCACGCCGACGCTGCCAAGAGCAAACTCTTGATCGTCCACCCGTTCAACCCACCTCACATAATGCCCCTGTTGGAACTCGTCCCTTCTCCCGACACGGCGACGGAGGAAGTCGAGTTTGCCCGCGAGTACTTTGCCTCGTTGGGGTCGGGCCATCGACCGATCACGATCCACAAGGAGAGCCAAGGGTTCGTGGCGAACCGTCTGTCTTTCATCATGTTCCGCGAGGCGTGTCATTTGGTCAACGAGGGCGTGGCGAGCGCCGAGGAGGTCGACGAGATTGTCCGAGCGAGTCTGGGACCCAGGTGGGCCGTCGCGGGACCTTTCAAGATGTACGCCTTCGGCGGAGGGAAGAAGGGGATGGCCGGGTTCTTGGACAACATAGGAGAGTCCATCGACGGGGTGTGGAAGGACGCCGGGAACATCACGATGGCGGAACAAGGATGGAAGAAGGCCGTGGCCGAGCAGACGGATAGATCGTATGGGACTTTGGGACCCGACGAGATTAGAGCTCGCGACGAGGGGTTAAAGAGGATGGTGAAACTGCAGGAGGACTTGACTGGGGGTAAATCAAGGTAGAGGTTCTAGTATCTAGGTAGGTAGCTCACTCGCGATACGTGAGGTATGGAAATGAAGAGTATGTACAATAGAATCACGACTGCGGGAGATACCTACCTGAGGTAGATACCCTATATCTACAATACCATACTGGAGACAGAATATCAAAAGGGGACGTCGGGACACAGAACATGGACAGATAATAACCACACAAAATCGGGATACTACCAGGAGCCTTGTCTTCCCGAGGTTCTAATTTAGACACCGTCACCCAAATATGAAAGGCCCAAGACTGAGCGTGGTGTTTGTAGAATTGTCGTCAAAAAGACAAGTACCCGTACAATACCCAGCAGCCGACCCGGTGAGTACCTGAGGTACCTACAATACCTCTCCATAGGGGGGATGTACTCCGTAAATTGGCATTGGGTTCTTCCCCAGATTTATTTTCTTCGCCAAAGTCTCCAAATCGGTCCTTGAGCCTCGGTAACTTTCCCAGGCAATCGCTTAAACCTCTTTAAACGTTCAAGGCACAAGAAGTGTACTTCCCGTAGATCTTACAGTACCTACCTCTAGAAATAAAAACAACGACATTACCTCGACGAGCCGAGCGCAGTCAGACACTTCAAACAACGTACACAAGATTTTAGAGACTAGGAACAAAAAATCACCGCCGTTTCGTTCTCGTCCACAGATCACTTCCTCACCACCTACCTCACTCCTCGGCCACCTTACTGCCTCACCTTTGGAAAACACCCTCTCTGCTCCATCCTGAGCTTGCTCCAATCTACCATCTCCTCTCCGCCGTGGCCCCTACAATGACAGCGGTACCCAAACGACGTCTCGCTGCACTCTCGCAACAACTCGTCGAGGGTGTCCCTTCAGAAGGAACTTTCGAAAACATCCCCCGCATTCGTCACGTCGCAGGACCTTCGACGGGGGAAAGAGTAAAAGGGAAGGTTGTCATTGTCACAGGTAGGTCTTACTTGATCAGAAAGAGAAGGGAACCACTTCTTCGCCACGACCCATGCCATCCTTTTCAAATAAGACACACGCCGACTGGTCTGTCCTCTACTGACGGCTCCTTGTGTAGGATGCAATTCCCCAATAGGCATCGGTAGAGCGTCGGCTCACCAGTACGCCGCCAACGGTGCCAGGGCGGTTTACATATGTGACTACGCGACCGAACATCTGGAGACACACAAGCGTGAAATGGGCGAGTTGTACCCCGGTTGCGAAGTGCATGCGGTGAAAATGGACGTCGGGAACGAAGAACAGGTCAAATCGGTGGTGGATCAAGCCATTCAGCGCTACGGAAGATTAGATGTAATGTTCGCCAACGCCGGCGTGACCGGCGTGCCCAACACGTTCGAGCACGTCAGCGCCGACGCCTTCATGAATACGTTGCGCGTCAACACGGTCGGGGTTTTCCTCTGTGCCAAGTACGCGGCGATTGCGATGCAAAAGACCGGCGCCGAGAAAAAGTATCCCGGCGGGAGTATCATTGGCACGGCGAGCGTGGCCGGGTTGAGGTCTAATGCTGGCGGGACAGACTACTCGGCCAGTAAAGCGGCTGTGGTGTCGATCGCCCAGACAATGTCGTATCAATTGGCCGGCACGGGTGTGCGGGTCAATGCCCTGTGTCCCGGTGTGATTGAGACGGGCATGACCAAGGCCATGTATGACCAAGCCAGAAGTAGAGGGACCGAGGGGAAGATCGGACAGCTGAATCCATTGCAACGTGGTGCCGTGGCAGATGAAGTTGCGCGCGTCGCGCTGTTCTTGGGAAGTGATGAAGCTAGTTATGTCAACGGCCAGGCCTGGGCAGTCTGCGGTGGTCTCAGTGCAGGACATCCGTTTGTGCCAGGAAAGTTGGCATAGGTATGAATGCAACAAGTACGAGTACCAAGTAGCTTTTATGAACTTCGATCACGTACAATGTTAGACCCTCAAAACCCCTATCCCGTGAGATCTTGCTGTAGGACTTCGAGCACTTTCTTCTCGTCAATATCCGGTAGTGGCTTCTTCTGAGACCCGGTATCGTCAGGGGCCGCGTAGGTTGGCAAGCTGATGGGGACTTCTGAACCGTAGAGCTGGGTATACTTTTCTTCGCTAATGAAGGGCTCGGGCAACGAATCGGGGGGTTCTTCCCGAACGTAGAATGTTGGAAACTCGAGTAAGGTTTTGCCGGAGAGGGCATCTTTCAGTGTAGATACTTGGGCAATGGGTATCAAGCATTTGTATTTGGCTGTGTTTGGCCTCAGGAGGTAGAAGTGAAGGTGGCTTAAGAGCTGTGAGAGGTTGTCCTCGGGTATGTTTGAAGCAAGTGATTCTTCTTGGGCAAGAGACGACTCTTCTCCGGCTGGCATTTGAGGTTCGGCATCGTCCGCAGAAGCTGGTATGGGATGGGGCGCCTCATCGTCGAGAGACTTTTCCACAGCGAAATCCTCTTTGTTGTTCAGGGGATCCTCGCCCGGCGTTGCGTGTGCAACTTGACTTGCCTGCTTTTTCGTTTCTAGACCCTCGGAAGTGTTGAGAGGAGTTTCTTCATCTCCATATATTGTGTCATCATCTTCAACAGACTCGTTGGATCCAAGATCTCCCTTGGCATCAAGCAAATGCTGTGCTGTCGTGATGGTAGTATTCTGAGTTTCTAAGTTGGCAGACTCTTCGGTTGCAGGGTCTTGCCGTGTGGCAGCAGTCTCATGTTGTGAGCCTGCAGCAGTGTCTGTTTCATCGACGTCTCGTTTTCTCTTCCGATCAAGGGTCTTTCGGCCAAATACTGCGAGAAAGCCCTGCGCAACTGTCCTCGTCTCCCTGACGTTGGTGATTTTCCGCTGGCCATCATGGAATACCCATTCTGTCGTCCATAGAATACATTTGTTCGGTCCGCCCGCCCAGTGTGATTTGTTCTGTTTGTTTCGGGACAGTCCTGAAGGGGCCCTAATCAAACGAATCCCTCTTTCTTCGACTTCAGCATCAAACTTCCATTTGCCGACGGGGCCTCTCCTTTTGACTCCACTGGGCGCCAAATCTATGCCTTTGTCAAGGGCTGATTCATCTGCCCTCTGTAGGGATCGTTCGACGGAGGTTATGAAGTTGAAATCCTGATCGATCGAGGAAGGGGTGGCTAGATCTGCCCTCTTCCGATATGCAGCAGGATTTCGTATGCCCGAGCACTGTGCCCAAGCCTTGTGACGTTTAACACAGGGGAGGGAGCAGGTGTGTATTCCGCATCGAGGGCATGTGTACTTGATCGAGTTTGTATGGCTGGTGACAGAGTCAGTAGCGTTCGTTGTTAGCCTCGCGACTGGGAGTGGATCAATCATACCAGATAGCACAAAGGTCAGTCAGCACTGCATCGCCTCCATCTGCCTGCATCATGGAACAGTAAGTTACAATGTGCAAACTCGATACTGATGGACGCGCGAACTCGACACGGGGTCCAGACCAGAATGCGCGTGGAATTCTCACCGCGATAGGCATGCGGAGGCGCTTAGAAGAAAAAAAAAGTTAGCTGCGGGGGAGGCGATTTTTAGTCAAAGAGGGGCAGCGCGGGATCTTTTGAGGGCGTTGGGCACCAACAACACTGCAGGCACCCAGGATCCATCCATTGCTTGTTGACCTCTTTGGAACTGGGCCAGGCTGATCTTGCATTGTGCATATGCAACCTGCTGAATACACTACCGAGAAGAACCACTTGGAGAGCCACCATGCATCCAGTTTTGGCTCGACAACGCCTCCTGTCTCCGTACATTTTCGAAGGCTTGTGCCCTGTTCTGGCCATGGCTTGTGTCCTGACAGCCTCCAGGCGCCCGACTTGGGCTGAAGTACTCCGTAAAGGTCTTCAAATCGCTCATCTTCACCCGCGTCACCAAGACGCGCCCTTGCATTTCCGTACCTGCATTGAGAAAACCGCCGGAATGGAACGACAGCTACTGACACGAACGGCATTGTTCACTCAAGTTTATTGCTACATGACATAACTCTAATTTTGAACGGGGTTTGCTAGAAATACACCAAATCCTACCATAACGATCTCGAGCCTGGTCAAAAGGAGTTTGGTTGTGGTGGACTGCCTGCAGATAGAATGCAGCAGACATGGCAGATCTGATCTCAAGTTCGTCCACATTCACCACGGTGATGCCTCCTGACTTCCATATGAGGAAGGCTCCCGAATCCGAAGCATATTCCACAACATGCGCCAAACTCAGAATATCAACAGAGATGCAGAGTGTGTCCTTTTAGATAACTCCGAGCGGCGATACGTTCCCTTGGGAACCCCTGCGTCCTGGCCGCATGCAGATGTGAGCAATGGCGTTCGTATTTCCCTGCAACTCCCGATAGAGTATCCTTGCCATTGTGACCTTTTGAGAAGATGAGAAGCGGCAGGATGTGGATGTTGATGACCGGGACATGACACCTTGATGTCAAAAAGCGCCCGCGTATCCGTACAACACCATGATTCATCATATTTCAAGTCCGACCCGAATGTCCACTTGGCATAACCCAGGGGAAAGGGTAGTTTCCTTCCAGAAACATATTCAGGTACTGGCTTCGATCGGACTAGGTCCGAGCATGTGTACGGAGTATGTAAGACAGCCACGAGAATGATGATAAGATCATTCGCGTGGGAAGACTGGGAACATTATGTCAAAGGTGTGTTGGTAAAGGGTAACGCTCGACGGAGGCGCAGATTCTTGACCAACAACGCTCGTCGACGGTCCCTCCGCAGGCTCCTCCTTTTCAAATTCATGCAGTCAACACGGGAAGTCCGTTGGCAGGATAAGGATAGAAACACGCGACAGGGACGTCGGATCAGGATGCGCTCGGAGATCTTACTGCTTTCCTTCACGTAAAGTTACACGTTATTCTTTTCTTTGCGACTCGACGTGTCGGTGTGTGTGCCGTTCTCGCATGAACTTCAGAACCTGCATGCGCCTACATAGAGTCACACAAAGATGGAATAGCGAAAAGAGCCTCCGCACGGGCGTCGAGAAACCCCCCTGAAGCTTGCAAATACGAGCTTCCAGCAAGCCACTGGCAGTCCAGAGTCTTTGGCCTCGTTTACTAACGACCATTGGGGCATGGAGAAAAACAGCGCATTCAAAGCCGGTGATGTTCAGTGGCCGCAAATTGCATGGACCAGGCCCGAGGCCTCATCCGCAAGCTGTCAAACAAGACCCTAGTTTATCACAGTGGGAGTGGAACTGAACCCTTGTACAAGTAGCCATCAGATTGAGCTTCAATCTGGTCCGCTGGGATACCGACCGGAGTCAATCAGACAGACAGGGGGCCAACGGAGGCCAAAGGTGACACCATCGAGCCTTTAGCCTTCCTCCAATCCAGGGGCAGCCCAACAGTACTTCGGTAAGCTGCTGCGCTGGGTGAGCTTAACGACGGTGGACCTCCTGGCTAGGCTGTAAGAGGCCATTTAGCAGCACCTTAGCCTGCGGTTTTGGGTATTGGATTTACACTGATTTTCATGCCAGCTCGCCCCATGCGGTTGATGGTGTCCACGCATCTGGATCATAAACGTGTGGTGCAGCTGTCAAAGTGTCAGAAAAAACACGAAGGCTTCAAGCGCAAAAGAATGACCCGGATTATCATCGATTTACACGGCCAGCTCTTGCACCGTCGCCCAAGCCGTCGACCTGTGGCAAAAAGGGCGAAACTGCAAATTCGAAGAGCAACTCGATGCGGCAAAGACGAGTCTCTAGACCCCTGCAAGCCTCATCTTCCTAGGTCACTTTTCTCCGCCTTGGCCGGGATTAGCCTGACACGACGGGCCCAACTTGCTACGCATGCACCCTCTCGCTTCGAGTATCAGCAGGCCTCCTGAATCTTGGACCTTCTCGGTACCTTGCATTTGATTGCCTCAGTCCTTTCTTGAGCTGTTTTCGGTGATAACCTAAACTTCTCTCCTCCTCTGCTTCGCAGCCCTCTCTACATCTTCCCCGTCCTTTCTATACCTGTCAAAAGGTTGAAAGCACGTCAACACGTCAACGACACCCAGTGTACGTCGCAAGGTGTAGGACCTTCACTACCTACGCCCTGGGCACAGACCCGGGCACAGACATATTTGATAGCGGCCCGAACCCTTGAAAGGACCGTAGACAACCGTCATCGACTTCGGCAATAATGGGACCCTCTCTTAGAGGTCATACCTCTATGACTTCCATGGCTCGACCACAGACTCGCGAGACGAACCGTCCGGGCACAAGAGAGCAAATCGTCGACACGACGATGGTTCCAAGCAGAACCTCGTCGCTGCACTCACGAATCACACAGCCCCTGCCGTCAACTCTGGCCAAGTCGAACAATAGGCCTACCCCAAAGACACTTACCCATGCGTATATGGTGTGTGGTGTGGGACGAGAACCATCACAATGGGTCAAAGCACCCGCCCCGTCTTTTGGAAAGATTCAACACATGAAGGGGGCAGTAGGCCAATTTTGGCTTCCGGAAATTTTGGGAAGTAGTCCACGCCTCGAGAGCGACAATGAGATCGCTCGAGCGCTGCACAGCGCAATGAGGGTAAGGTTACCGTCAAGCCCAGATGTTCCAAAATTCTAATCTATCACAGGCATGTTTCCCTCACGATGTTGAAATCTGTACAGGACGCAGCCAACCACACTGTGTTCACCATTCCTTTGTATTGCAGCAAGACTCTCAACATACCCTCTATGGCATTGCTCTGCGAGTCTGGTCTCGAGCTGACGAGAAGCGCGCTGAGACCATTCGCGACCTGCGACGAAAGACTGAACCCGACTTCAGAGATGTAGCCGACGAAACCTACTGGATCCCATACTGCCTGAGCTTCTTGTCCCGCTACCCATTGTATAACCTGCTCGGCGACTACTTGCGAGGAATGTGGATTCACTGGAACAAGGCCACCAATCTGTTCCATGCCGAGGAGGTCTCTCGCATTCTGAGCTTCCCAGCACCACGACTGAACGACCTCGTCCGAATTGACATGAAGGACTATGCCCTTTGTTATCAATTCCCATCTTCACCCACTGGGTTCCAAAACTTTGCTATGTGGCCTCTCTTCAACTGCTTGACCATCCCAAACATCGTCGGTCTTGTTGAGGCGGCTGTATCTCCCACTCGACGCATCATCCTGACCAGTCATCATCCTGCTATGCTTACGATTGCTGCTGAAACCATCAGATTCTGTGTTCGAGTTTATGAATGGAGTGGACTCTACGTACCAGTCGTTCATGCCAGGAATGTCGGCGATATGGTCCAAGAGCCTGGTCCATATATCCTGGGTATCACGACAGAATGCCGATCATTGTTCCAGCCACCCAAGGATGCTCTGCTTGTCGACCTTGACCGCAATCTAGTCATTACCGACCACCCACCGAACGTCCTCACGGCCGGTCAGCGTACCAAGTTCATCAACAGACTGACCCAAGCCTTGAACAGTGATGTGGAAATCAGTGGTGTTCCACAGCACCTCAAATCTGCCTACGGAGGCGGCAAGCTCATTCCTGCTGGTCAGATTATTGTCCTTCGCGGTGAAGTCGAAAGCGTTCAGGACCCTTCATGGTGGAATCAAGATTCCATCATGGCGGTTATGGATCACGTTTGTGAGAAGCTTGGCCGCAACACCGGTGTCAAGGCCTTGTTCAATGGCTCGATGAAGAAGCCACTCATGACCAAGATCTCCATGAGACATATGAACGAAATTGTGCGCGAACGCAACCAATACTCCCGCGACGCCCTGGAGGCATGGCAAGACTTTATCAACCTCAAAGGACGCATGGACACCGAGCTTGCCAAGGTTGCTAAACGTAACAACTACCTTGAACAAGAAGTTGAGACATGGAAACTTCAATTCCAGAAGTTCCAAGCATTCGTCGAGTCCCTCAACAAGGAGTTGGCTGAACTGCGTGTCAAGATTGAATCCCACAAGCGTGAGAACCGCAGACTCACCGGTCTCATTGACCAGCAGAAGGATGATGCTGCTCGTCTTGCTCTGAGATTGTCTGGTACCGAACGACAGCGTGACAATGCCCTCGAAGCTCTTGTCCTCCAGCAAGGCATTGCAGAAGACCTTGAGAAGGAACGGTCTCGCAACCGAAAAGAGATCGCCGCACTCCAACACACCAACCAGACACTCCAGAGACAACGAGACGAAGCTCAACGCGTGGTTCTCCATCTCCGCTCCCTCATCACTGGTCAAACTCACCACATGGAACACATTGTCCGATCGATCGGCTCTGCTTCCGAGCTGGCTGACTACATCCAGGAGGGATACGAGGACGAAGAGGAAGAGGAAGAAGAGCAAGAGGGAGAGGATACAGTCGAAGAACCCACTGACAGGCTTCGAAATGTCACCAGCCGCTCCTCCAAGCGTGCGTCGCGTGCGGTATCTGCTGATGGTCAAGATGTTACTCCTCAAATGGAGAACAAGCTCCTCGCCACCAGCAAGCGCCTCAGCAAACGTTTCTCTGGACTCAGCATGTCCGATGTCGCCGATCGACATCTGCGCGATAAGACCGACGCTATTGCCGACATCATCCGCAACATCAGCGAGCAATGTGCTGCTGCCGTCGAAGGCCTTCAACTTGCCAATGAGGCCGCCGAGGTCGAAGGTGAGGAGGAAGACCAGGAGCAGGGCGCGCATTCTGAATCTGGCATCTCTCCTTCCACAAGCCACTCACGCGAAGACAGTGGCAATCTGTCACCTGTGGAGCACCTCGCCACCGACTCTCGCACGGGTACCGGCCACTTGACCCCCCAAAGTGAGCGCAGCTCAATCCCCCCAACACCAGACCTAGTGCACCAGCGATCCAGCACCGCATTGAGCATGGCGAGCACGGCTCCTACGAACTACACTGCTCGCGAGAGTCTGAACCAAAACACCCGAGGTCCAGACAGGACAAAGATCGTTGAAGACGACGATGCCGAACGTGCACACGCGGCCGCTGCCGTCACTGGCGGAGGCAGCGTCAAGGGTGATGACGACAACATTAAGCAGCCACCTTCTGGTCGCGGTGCGGTCTTGAGCCGTGTGATCGAAGCATGAAGTCATGGAAATTCTGAATCTCTCTATATATATATCCCTTCAGTATGGAACTTTTAGGGGAAAGGGAGTCTTGCATGGAGCTTTTGGCGTTGAGAAGCGAATTTTTGATTTTCTTGTTTCTTTTCCGAAAGAGGGCAGGGTATGGGCAGCAGGGGAATTCTGTGTATGTGTGTGTGGGAATTCATTCTTGGTCCGGACAAGGATGGTGATTTCCCACATGTTGATCTGTTCGGCGATGATGCCTCTTTCTTTTTGTTATTGTTGTCTCTAATTGTTTGATATGTCATGGTCCCAAAGAACCTCGATTTGTTTTTGTGTGTCTGAGGACGTCCTCGTAATATTACCTTTCGGGGGCGCGCAATTTGCTGCCTTTTTTCAAAATCGGTACACTCTGTACCGAGTCTCGTGTTGTGGTCGTTCTCTCGGTTTTGGTTCGCTCTAGTTTCGTTTTTCGTGGTCATCTTTTCGTTGTTGTTGGGTCGTACAGTATGTTTCTACCTGAAGCGCCGAGCTCCTGGAGAGTCTTGAGAGAGGAGGGAAAAAGCAAAAATGTACTCGTATTCTGTACTTTATACTCCGTATGGAAATTACCTACCTTTTACTTACACTGTAGTATTGTATCATTGAAAGGGTATGAAAGGGTTTCTTGCCATGCAATGAGTAGACAGAATGTGAACTGTGCGCGATATTCATTTGCATAGGGAGACGGTGTATTATCCCACATTGCATTATTACGGAGTTCGTACCAGTGGGAGACAAGCCGTTCAGTTGTACCTCGGCACTTGTCCCCAAACACGGTTTCTACCCTTTCTGGTTATCGATTCGGCTACTCGTGGAATTGTATACCTCTCTGAGTACTCGTGTCTTGGTTTCTCCGAGAAACATCTACGGTGCCTCAGAGATCTTGACTTGGGTAGAAAAGTCTGAACAAGAAAAAAAAGGGCTACAAACATACAAAATGGGGTCAATGGTAGACCCGACGGACACGGCGGTCCCTGACCTGTCGGACCAACAATACGCCTATTTCAATTCCGTACCTTGGTGCGCCAGGCTCCTCTCAGACAAGAGATACTCCACGGTACCTTCGAGGTTCGGGCAACCTTCGCCCGACACTCGAGGGGATTTTTTTACACGTACGCTGGCGACGGACAATACGATCGTGGCGTGTTTGTATCAAGAACGGAGGGTGAATGGCAACGATGAAAGGTTAGAGTCAGGGCTAGAGTCGAATGGCTCAACAAAACCTCAACAACAAGACCAAAGAATTTCCAACGTCGAAGAAATCAGGGCTTTCCTTGCCACCGCCTCAGGAGTGAATGGTTTCCCAGGTGTGGCTCACGGTGGATTTGTGGCCGCAGTCATAGACGAGACGATGGGTTATTTGATCAAGGCTCACCTGAGGGCTTCGGTCACCGAGGTCGCTCCTCCTCCTGGAAAGGCAAAAGTGACAATGGTACCGTTGACTTCTTCGGATACCACCGCCGCCGTCATGACTGGCGAATTGACCATCCGATACAAGCGACCCGTGCCGACAGGGGAAGTCTTGCTCGTGAGGACTTGGGTCGAGAAGATTGAAGGAAGGAAGACTTACGCAAAGGCTGTCGTGGAGGACGGTGAGGGAACGGTACTCACAGAGGGAACGTCAGTGTTTATCGCTCTAAAACATGGAAAGACACCGCAGACGAGGCGAGTTGCGAAGATTTGACATCATTGAGACGAGACGAGACGAGACGGCGGGAGACGGGAGGAGATATGAGGAGGGAATGGGGAGTCAAGGTGGAAGGGGGACCGCCATATCCCGGCAGAGTAACGTACAGAGTAGAGTTGTACAGGAGGCATTGTGTGGGTGCGTTGTGCTTGTGTATATACGGAGATATTTTTTTAGAAAGATAGAAGAGATCTGGGCTGGCTGGTTGGTAGAGTAGAACTAGATTAGAACTGTTAGACGGAGAGGCTTTGGCAATGCATTTATAGAAATCCAATCGAGACATTGTCATACAACGTAGACTTAAAAAAGGAGACGGAGATAGGCTTCCTTCAATACTATACTTAGGTATTCAATCATGGATGTGTGCTGTCGTTATTGGATAGTGCATTTCCAGTTACAATCTCTGTATCATGGCTTTTGGTCAGGCGTTGAAAGATACACTGTACTTGGGCCATATACGTGTACATGTAGCTAGATATAGTGATAAAATTCCTCATCACACGGTTATTATATTTGAGTACAAGTTCACAAGCCCAATCGATCAACAGCGGAGTTGAATTCCAAGTAGTTTGCATATTCCTTTTGCTTCACATGGTTTTGAAAGAGTTGTCCTTCGCAGGTACACTGTCATATGCCCCTAACACAAACACATATGTTCCATTGTTCACAACCCCCCAGAACCGGATGTCAAGGGTCACTCGAACACGAGCAACGATCTAACCCCTCTTTTCATTATTGTTATTATCGTAAATTCATCATTTGATGACAACAAGAGTCATCTATCATTTGTCGCTTCTTAATGCTCTCGCCGCAGCCTCCACTTCAGGACCAAAGGCAAAAACACCACCGAACATCATCTGTTGGCCCGGGGTCAAGATGACGCCGGAGATCATGACGCCACGTCCGACCGACTCTGACCATTTGTTGTTGAGTCTTCCACCCTTCATGCGAGGGTACAGGTCGTCTGCCAGTTGGTCGGGCTTTTCAGCAAAGTCCGGCCCTGGAAGTATCGCCAGAGCGTGACTGTATTTGGGTGCGTCGGGGGGGGGAGGGGG